ACCACCTCTTTCAGCAACTCCACAGCCTCCTTCACTTGTCCATTTGCTTTATATGCTCCTGCCAGCTCGTGCTGCGACGCTAGTCGAGATGGATGATCCTCCGCCAATGTCTGCTCCCGGATCTGTACCACACCCTTAAGAACTTGGACTGCTTCTCTCACATGGCCAGAGTTCAATAAGTTCCGACCCATGAGGTCATACAGATCCACCCACCGTCGATCAGTAGGCGACCTATCAACTCCAAGGTGAGAGCACAGTCGGTCAAGCAGTCGGAACAGTGTTTGATCATCCCGCATGCGGTGAAGTAGCGACCCACATGCAACCAATATACCGGCCACGGCGGCCCGAGGCGCCGACCCAAACATACACCCCATCTCCCATGACGTGGTCGCTTGAACGTGAGGCTGCAGTAGCCGTGCCTGCACGCGCCACATGTCGTCACCTCCAGACAACGCTACCACACAGCTCATGGCGACCCAGGATGCGTGCTGTCGCCGCTCGTCCTGCCGGTCCCGTGCCCAAGCGTGCACCAACGGATGCATCGATACACGCACCTGTCCATCCTCCACGTGCCTCGATACTAATGCCAACGCCCTCAGTGCAGAGACCGCCTCCACGAGCCGAAACGAGTCCCACGCATCTGCACCGACCGTGATCCAAGAGGGCAGACACGACACGTGCCATGTCGTCAGTCGAAGATCATCCTCATCCCCCGGCTCGCCCTCCCGTATTCCGTGCGCTCCCGTCCATGCCGCAGCAAAGAGAGATAGCGGTAGCGGGCTCGGCCCGCCCACCGCCAGGAGTGGCAGGAGCTCCAGGGCATCGTGCGACGACTCCGTCGGGCTCGCCTGTAAGATCTCCACCGACGCTTCAAACGTCGCGTACACGTCCCGATACCGCGACTGAACTTGCGACGGCCGGAACCTGAGGAGTCGCTTCCGTTGACGTTCGTACACTCGGGGGTACTCTGCTAACCCACAGTGGCCGCGCTTCACGTACGCCCCGGCCTGGATGAGGGCGAGAGGATGTGATTGAAGTAAGGTGGCCACTCTTCGCGCGTCATCGTTTCGCACAGAATGTTGCTCACCAGCAGCACCGGGTGCAACACCGGCGACTTTCAGCAAAAGTGCGGTAGCCTCCTCGGTCGTTAGCCCTTCTAAAGCCACAAAATCTGCCGTGGCATACTGCTGGCACTCCTCATTCCGCGATGTCAGCACCATCACGCCGGCCGAGCCAGGGGGGAAGTAGGTCTGATAATCGACGTCGAGGTCATCCGCATTATCCAGCACCAACATCCACGGTTGTTGGACATTGGCGAGTGCCTGCCGGCCATCCTCCCACGTCGAGGCCGAGATCTGAAGTCGGGTGGCGATATCGAGGAACCCGTTCTCCGCTAAAGACGACGTGCTGACGTCGACCCAGAACACACCCCAAAATCTGCAGATGTTAGTAGAGACTTATGTAGAGTAGAGAAGAAGAAGGTGGACCAACAGGGTTCGAAGGCGCTGGGCGAGCTGTAAGCAGATCTCACTTTTACCTTGGCCACCCATTCCCGAGATGACAATTCGACATTGTACGGTAGGAGTAACCTCGACCAGGGCTTTTTGAATCTTATCTTCCAAGCTCGCGAGAATACAGTCTCGTCCAGTGAATAAAGTATGGACGGGACGTCTAACACTCCAGTGCACATTGACAGTCCTTGCTTCTGTTCGAGGTCAGGAAGTGCATGCAAAGGCGTGGGATGGTCATACTAAGCAGATATTGAACCCGCTGAACATTGTATTTCTGGCTCTACTTAGCGTTCACTCGCCAGCGACAAGATTCAGCTTACCTCGACTGCACTCGCCAAGGAACTCTCGGCCCTTCCTACCACAGAGCGTCAGTAGCGGCACGGTCGCCAGCTAAGTGAAATCTTCGAGGTACACACTTTGTTTCTGTTTCAAATTCGCCACACAGTCGCGCACGCGGAATATTTGCTGCTGGTCGTCCAGGTACTGGTGCGCCGCCTCCTCGATGCGACCCTGTTCTTTATATTCGGCCAAGTCCACGTCCTGGAGTCCCTGCTCGACATTGAGACGGAAGTATCGATTCTGGACGAAATGCTGCCGCCACCGCCCCACAAATCGCTTGGCCGTCTCTTCCGTCTCTGTCGTGATTTGGACTAACGTCTGGGACAAGAACTTCAGTAAATTGTGCTCGATCGCCTTCTTGCCGGGATTCCCCGTCCCGATCGAGATGAAACACTTCACTAGCGACTTCACATCGCCCGTGTCGGCACACCAAATGTCGGAGGCTTCGCCTTCCACCTCTTCCACGGGGTTGTTGACCCCCAACGCGCCATCCACAAACTGTCGAGCTCCGATGAAGACAGGGTCGAAGAAGCCGGTGGCGGCGGACGTGGCGAGGGCAGCTTCACTGATCGTGGCCGGCACGCTCGGTTTCTCGGGAAGGTCGTAACTGCGGAGGCGTGTGATCCCGTACAGGTCTTTCGCCGCCGTGCACACGAAGCTAGATTATCATTTAGCACATCTTCTCGTTGATCTCGAGTTGATGCGTACACGTGACACCCGTGAGACTTCCCATTATTGAACGGTTCCGTGGGGGAGTAACCGCGACTTGTGATTACCTCGTCGATGACCGCTTTCAACTTAGCGCTGTCAAATCGTGGTTGGACTTGTCCTCGCCAGCTCAACGGTGTCCAGTGCGCCTTCTGTTCAAAGACGGCCTTGATCAGTCGGTTGTAGGCTGTGATGCACTCGTCCACGTCCATCTCGAGCCGGCCGAGCATGATGGCGATCAAGCTGTCGCCTTGAGTGTTAGCGCAAGCCACGATTGAGGGCGTAGTGTGATAGAGGATGGAGCGTGTCCACGTACCCGCCGGTGCTGGTCCCGCCGATGAGGTCGAACAATTCGCACGGCTTGAGTTCCGAAGCGCCGCTCTCCCGACGTTCGTGATTCAGCCGAGTCATAATGCTCTTGAGGATATGGAGGGTCGACAGACCGCGAACTCCCCCGCCGTCGAGCGACAGCAGACAGAGCCCGGTGGAGTCGACGGGATTTGACGGGCCACCCGTCGCTCGGTCGACAGAGACTGCTTGCGCCATGAGGTTGGCCCGCGCTGGAAGATACGGGACGGTAGTCTGACGGCAAGGCGAAGTCAAGGTAAAAGAGCGGTAGAGCACAACGGTTATAAGGCCGATGCCTACGCTTGAAGGTGTCTGCGAAAGGCATTGTGAAGGTCGTCCGATCAGGCTGAGAGTGTCTCATCTGGTCTGCGTCAAGCAGTGGGCGCTTACACGACGAGTCGTAGGCGGAGGGATATGGGCCCAGACATGTGGCGTCGAGACCTTTACCATTCAGCCGTTGTGGCGCGCCTTGCGCTTGATTGATTGATTGATTCTTACCTGTTCCAAGGCGCTAGGCCAGGCTCATAAGAGCCTATGCGGGGGCCCTTCGACCAGAGACTAGTACATATGGAAGACTGCTACTAATAGGAAACATCAAAATGGCTATCGCCGGTTTCTATTTTTGGCTATCACAAAGTGATGTTGCCATCTCGGTTTCCTCCAACTGAGTTTGCTCCTCGGCCCGTTCCAAGCAACCCACATTAAGTTCGTCCACGATAAGAGTGAACCACTTCTAGCCCCGTTAGTATATGACTTTGTCAGATGTCGATCTACGAGCATCTCAGTCACTAAAGGCAATGAAAAATACGGAAGTATTCAATTTGTGGGTCCTATAATGGAACCACAAAAGTACCTGGAAAGGCAGCGGATAGCAAGGTATTTTGCTTGCGGTGTTATACTGTCATCCGTCGCTATCAAAGGATGGTGGAAAGATTCTGCCAGTGGCTGATAGCTTTTGTTAGCTATCTCAGGGGGAGAGCGACTAAACTGTGGGTATGAGACTCGATGTCTTTTCGGTACGTTGATATGGACATCAGATGTTCCAGAACCATGAACGGCAGTATCTCCTTATTGTATTGAAACGGAACACATCTTTCTCTCGGGGCCTTGCCATCGTTCTCTGAGCATACAGTGTTTAGGCCCTAACATAGTCTTCTCACGAATGTACTTTGGACAGCAAACCATGAGTTTGCGGGAGAAACGTGGAGCTGTTGAGGATAGGAAAATATCGCAGTGATCCGCAAAGAGCTTTGCTGGCTACCGCGACGTGCTATGGAATGTGAACCAAAAGGTACAGATCATCTGTCGCTGCTGCCCGGTACCCATCTTCTGAGTCGACACGACGACATGACTTCACCAGCCCGGCTCGCTCTAACTATCAATGACAGATCTTTCTCAAATCCGGAGCTGGCATACGAGGAAGCCACAGCACACGATACGCTCGTTGAAGCATTGCAAATAGAGAGAGTGCGAGCCACGCCACATGCATATGGGATCCCGACTGCCTTGGAGGCGGAATTTGGATCTGGGGGAAGAGTGTTGACGTTCAACACGGAATATGATGCTCTTCCAGGAATCGGGCATGCCTGTGGCCACAACCCCATCTCGACATCGAACATCTCGGAGGCTTTGCTGATCTTCGACCGAACCTTCCAATCTGCCAGGCGTTTCAAGATGCAATGACCGACTTGGGCCGGAATGTGCAGAACAATATTGGCCGCGAAACCACCCCGGCGTCGACGGATCAGGGTAACGTGAGCTACGAGTGTCCGAGCTGGCAAGGCATTTTTGGCATTCCATCGCTAAACGGCGCTTATCCTCACAACGCAGGATTTGCTGGAGGCGCAGGTACCCTTGCATCCTTCGAGAAAGCCCGGTTGTCGTGCGAAGGAATGGCTATTGCAGGACATCGTTTCCTGACCAACGACAACTTGGCAGACCAGGTCCAAAAGCATTTCGAAACTGACCCCAGATGATATACTCGGGCGGGACTCTTTATCACCATGTTCACTGCGGTCATGGGAGGATATAGAGTCTGCGCTGCTGTGGGGGAACTTCTTCTGCCAGTTCTAGCTTAATGACTGACTTGACCATATAATGTAGTCAATGATGGTAGTTACCAAAGGGTTTATCATTTATGAAGCAAAGCATCCTGATTCTTGTTCTGTCCGAGCAAATATGCATCCACACATGTCCAGATACAAGATTAGATTTGCTGTGTGGTCGCTCAGGGGCCGCTTAGGCCTTCTTGCTCTCCACATTCTCACGTTGAGCCGAAGATGTCTGTTCAGGAATCTCGGTAACGGTATCCATCTTCTGTCCCAGCATACCAGCATCCTCCACCAAGTTTTGGTTGTCACTGTAACCATTTAGTAAAGCCTTTGTCACCCTAGCCTTTGACTTACTTCAAAGTTTGATTGGGAATGAACAAAGCAAAGGCGATGCCAGGGATGATCATGGCCATTGCGGCAATGAAGAAATATCTGGACACTCATTAGTGATTTCCTCCCAAAACACTTAAGGAAAGTCACATACGATGTAACCTTGTTATACTGCCCACCTGTTAGCAACAGACCTATAGAACTTCCTTTGGTCAGACTTACAGCAACAGCAATGGCGGCTCTCTGTGGAGTGCCCCAATCAGGAACACCAGTAGTGATGGAGTTGTACAAGTTGCTGATGAGTTCCGGTGTGGCGTCGGAACCAAGTGCTTTGGACAGCTGTTCCCTCATGGTTCCTGTGTAGATGGCGCCGCAGATGGCAGTTCCCACACTCTGACCCAGCATGCCGATGGTGACGACAAGGGCGGCCATCTGAGCGGTCTCTCGGTGCGGAACGTTGATGGTAGCCGCGACGTAGCCTCCACTCTGGACTATGCCGTCGCCGATGCCTTGGATGAACTGGACGACGAAGATCTCGGCGGTTGACGGGTGAGACGTGCGCACTCGGAACATCAAGCCATATCCCAAGAGTCGAAGAGCCACACCGCCCATGAGGATCCACTTGAAATGGCGGGTCTTGTAGAGAATGGCCCCCAAGATGATGCCCATGGTGAAGATCATCACACCGTTGACATTGCTCAGATTGGTTGCGGTCACAATCGACATGTTCTTTGCAATCACGGCCCAGTTGTATAGGTAGTTGTGGCTTGCTGCGGCCGCCATGTAGTCTGTAAAGTAGAGCAAGAACCCCAAGCAGATGGACCTGTGCTTCAGGTAGCGCATGGGCAGGAACGGGTGCGCTGCGAAGTGTGCTTCAAAGAACGGAAGGCCGATGAGCATCAGCCCGCCAATCACCATCAGTGCGATGACCCAGGGGGTTTTGTAGCCATGGGGCTGGTTGCTCGCCAACGACAGAGGAATGAGGATGAAAGCGCACCCGACGATGATTATGGCGACCCCCAGCAGATCCATGCTCGACACGACTTCGGAGAAAGTAGGCTTAGGCTTCGCAAGATCGCCGACTTCTAGCCGCTTAGCACGCCGTTCGTAGATCAGAAGCACCGCCGTGATCATCGCAGTGCCAAACGGTAGGATGATCGCAATGATCCCAATACCCCAGCCCCATCCGATGCCCCCAGGCGAGACGACGGCAGAGACCATGTACGAAATGCACCACGGCAGTACCAGGGTGGGGAAGAATTGGATGTTGACGCCGAAGCCACGCAACCGCGTACTGGTAAGATCGGAGATGACAATGGTGTTCAGTGAGTTGAACGCGGTGATGCCAACGACCCGCAGAACCGTCCCCGCTGCGAAAGCCTCGAAGCTCTTTGCTGATGCGGCGACAATCATGCCGACCAGAGCCAGCACGAGCGCCACCGGGTACATGGTCCCACGACCCCAGACATCCGACATCTTAGACCACACAGGTTTTAAAAGAGAAAACGTCAGGTTGGAGGCAGTGGTCAACGCTGCTTCCTGGGATGTCTGCATGAAGCTGGAGATCGCGTAGACATAGTATGTGCTGAAAGTATAGTTGTCCAATTCACTGAGCAATCAATTAGCTGACTCGCGCTCGTTGGGTCGTCTCTGGAGTGTCCGTACTAAACCACCATAAACACACAGATTCTGGAGTGTGATTAGTATGTGAATACAACATGGTTCGAACTTCGCACGCTCAATGGAACATACCCGATGAAAATCAAGAGCCTGCCGTGCCTGCCCCAAACTACCTGCATCAACTCAGATCGTTTGGCACCCTCTGCGGCTAGGTCCAGCTTGACGACTGGCTGCTTCAAATCCTCCTCGTCGGTGTTCACGGTCGTCAAGCCCGTGCCCGGCTCTGCTCTGGCCTCTGCTTGAGTGATCTCCATCGCTGTAGGGTCGACACCATCTGTTGCAAGGGGAGACTTGAGGCTTGGAAAGAAAGGCATGATGGAATGGAGATGATGTGGTCAGAGTAGATTGAGTATCTCACAGCTATTCTGTCTGTCATACCATGCTATTGTATCTATATGTGTTTTCCAGTGATTGTGTGACCTAGTCTCTATCATAGTGACTTCTTGGACCCGCCTCTACCCAGGAGGGTGATCATCCGAGATCTGATAGGGCAGTCAGTATGGAGGCTATCTGGACCATGTGGTTCACGAACTAAGTATGCCCGAACCAGGTACGGCGCTGCCATTAGGTCAAGTGCGGGAATAAGGAGTGCGTGGTCGAGGCTCCCTCTCCTGATGTCTCTATAGCTTATCGCTGTTGGAGATAGCGTACGATAAGGCCAGGAGGGTGGTAGGTGTTGGTTGTTGCGCCGTGCGATAGCATGTCAGAGGCACCTACCAATGAGAATATCTCATCTAGTTGTATGGCGAATAGATAGGTATTCGACATCTCACTGGGTTAGGTTGTAAAGACGTAGCCTTGCGGTCCCATTCTGGCCTGATGCAGCTGTCGAAGCCCTTGGGTGGTGAATGAGTAGGTGGTCTTATCTTATACTGTATTGTCTGACCAGGTCTGCTACCAAGCATCATTACTCATGACGAGGCGAATACAACCAAACCTTTTCACACGAATTCATAGCCGGATCCGGTTGGCCACCCTAACCGAGGCGTATGGGAGTATGCTATCTCGTGAGGCGCTGCTAAGCTGCTTCCTCAGACATCTACTCGCTAGCTCGACTCGCTCATTCAGCCACGACACTTTCCATCTTCACATGGTGAGATGGTGAGATCTCCACTCGTATCATGCATAATCGGTGCTTGCTCTCAAAACGCCTGGTGCTACCCTGGAGTATCGACTGTTGTCCGATGGAATGGGCTGATCGAAGTCGCTACCTGGATGAAACATCGCTATTTCACCAGGGGATCTGTAGACTCTACCATCTTGATAGCTAGGATGCACGTTGAATTGAAAGAGGTCTGTCAACCATATCTTCTGACTGAAAAGCTATCTTATCATGAAGGCATCTTTTTCCAAATCCATGGAGAATCCATGGAGACTTGTTGCAAGGCTGTGGAAACTCACCAACCAGCAACGAGGCTGGAGACCCCGCCAAATGGAAAAGGGGCTCGGTGGTTCGGGCAAGCTCGGCCGATGGCCGGGAAAGGCAAGGAATTAAGTCCGAGCCCCGAACTGCATAATAAACACAACAATGAGTGCCCAAGGATGCCAGCCCCTGGTCAGATGCGGTGTTAATGCTTCATTAACCATCACTCTCGTAGTCAGTAGCGCACTGGGTGGCCACAAGAAAGGGGACTCTGGAGGGGCACATGTTCAAGGCTGGGCAGTTCCTCCGGAGAGCGAAAGCCCGTTACTTTAATATGTTAATGCGTTGTGGAAATCCTGCGCATGGTTAATAGTCTTGGATACGCTGGCCTGCCGAGCTGGACAGTAAGTCCTAGCCGCCATCGTCTATTCATACACACTGTGTCCGCCCTTCGTAAATTCCATACCCCCAGCCAGCCGTCCATCATGACATTCATAGGTACCATGCGTATCATATTCATCATGCTTTTCTCGGGCTCGATGCGGGCTCGTCAGCGGCCTCGACTCTGACCAGGACCTCTTCCAGAAATCCTTCAAGAAACTCGGTCACTCCACCACCCATGCCGACTGGACTCTCTTCATCACATCGCTGGATCTCGTGAAAGACGCTCACAGCTTTAGCAGCCAGCCGTCTGACCTTCTCATGAGCCTGGACTCTCTGTTGGTGCATTCCGGCGGCGGCAGAGGGGCTGAGCTGGCTGGTGCGTGCAAGCTCCTTCAACATGTATGTCCGGCGATGCATTGCTGCCTCCAACGCCGGAATGAGAACAGAGTCTAAAGCGGTGAGTCCTTGGTTCGGATCCTGTTTGGGCACCTGCGCCGATGCGGTATTGCTATTCGTCCTTGATGAGGTGCTACTGTGTGATGCAGGTGTAGAAGCTTGTTGATTCGTCTTGCTCTGCAATGGTGGCAATGGCTGTTGGTTGTTCATGGATGCAGTGGAAGGTGCTCGGGGAATGGAGGGAAGATCTTTTGGCGAAAATTCTGGGAGTGGCTTTTGAACAGGAGTAGTCTTGGAAGTCGATGGTGTGTCATTCCTCTGGATCGGCGCACCTCTGCCTGGGTGCCCTTTGAAAGCTGGAATTTCCGGTATGAGCATGCGAGGCCTCTGTCCTGGTGGAGTCTGTCCTTGTGCCTGGGTCGTGGGGCTGTTTCCACCATCGATCTTCAGAAATCCCATATCTTTGGCCAATTGTGCCTGGAATGCTCGGTCGTACTCATTAGATCCAGGGCTATCTTTATGCGGCGGAGATGTTGGACCGTTGGTGGCAGCGGGGACACGCGGCGTGTCTGGAACAGTTGTAGACTTTGCCAAACTAGACGCTGAGGATAGTTGTGGAAGACCCGAGGGACCAGTGGCTTGCGGCGAGAATGATCCAGACGCTTTCATCGGAGATGGTGGAAGTGGCACCTTCGCCGGAGTAGGAAATGCAGACTTCACGGGCGATTTCTGAGGTGAAGATGGTGCCTTGACAGTGTCATCCCATTCAACCTTGTTCTTGGGAGCAGAGGTCTCAGCGGAGGCGCGCGAATTGGTGTCGGAGTCGTTCATCGGACGGAGCCCAGTTCCACGACCGCCGGCTGCTCTGACAGTGCCGAAGTCCCACAGATCTTCATTTTCCGATGCCGATGGATGGGACTGTTGGGCCTCTTCTTCCTCCTCTTCGTCGTCAGAGGATCGGTGGCCGCGGGTCGCCATGTATCTTTCGTTCCTCTCAATCAGTTCGGTCAGATATGTCGTCTTCTTTGCTTTGCGCACGAACGGATGTTTTAACAATTCTCTTGCCGAAGGTCGCTCCCGAGGGTCCCGTCGTAGACATAGCTCAACGAAATCCTTGAATGTCCTGGAGAAGTTCCCCTGCAACGTTGGCGGTGGGTTCTTGGGGATCAGGAACAACACTTTCATCGGATGGATGTCGGCATATGGAGGCTCCCCCTGCGCCAGTTCGATAGCCGTGATACCAAGGGACCAGATGTCTGCTTTATGATCATAGCCAGACTGCTTAATCACCTCTGGAGCCATCCAGAAAGGCGTTCCGACAAAGGTGTTCTTCTTGGTCATCGTGGCTGACAGTTGTCCCGAGACCCCAAAGTCGGCCAACTTTACTTGTCCGTTCTGGCCCAGCAAAATATTGGCAGCCTTGATATCTCGGTGTAATTTCTTGTCTCCGTGTAGGTAGTCCAGACCCATCAATAGTTCCCGAATGATGATGCAGATGTAGTCTTCGTGAATATTGCCGGGGCGCATGAGATCTGAACAACTTCCACCCGAGCAAAATTCCATTATGATCCAAAGATCCGAGCCTTTGAGGAATGAGCCATGGTATTTCGTCACGTACGGAGACTGCAGCTCTGACAGGATCGATATCTCTTGTATGATGTCTTCGACTTCGTCTTCGGCATTTTCAACGTCAATAACCTTGATGGCCACAGCTTGTCCGGTCCTCTTGTCCACTCCCTTGTAAACCTTTCCAAAGCTTCCGCCCCCGATGCAATTTTGCTTGGTATAAAGCTCCTCGGGATCCATCGGCGACGAATATGGTGAGCGCGGGGCCAAGGGAGGCCGTAAGCTGGTGCGCGATATGGACGTGTCTTGCAGGGCGCAACCGATCTAGGACGTCGACGATTGTAGTCGTTTAGGAATTTCAGCAGCAGTCTGAGTTCTGAATACAAGAAGTGTCAATGGAAGCGGCTGATATCATGAAGGGTGTCAGTGCACCAGTCAGTTCCTCAGGGAAAAGTGGGAGGATAGAGCTGTGTGAATCGCGTCGCTTGTGTGTCGTGTGCTGTGTAAGAGCTCGTAAGGTTATCATGGGCATTCCACATCTTTGTATTGTGCATGCATACTCAGATCTCGGGCTGTCGTCGCAATGCTCATGATTGTCAGTTAATGGTTGTGGAGGTGAAACGAATGCCAGACTGAGTTGACTCCCTTGTTTACTCCTTGCCGCATGTGGCGCGACTTTTGTATCAACACTGCGATTGGCTGCGAGACTTCACGGCCACTACGTTGTTACAAAGTACAAGTGAGAAATCCACTCAACACCATTTGAGTCTTGGGTATCTATGGTTTCATATGATCCCTGCACAATTCTGTGTGCAGTTGAAAACCCACGCCCAGGTAGCACAGCCCTTTGGCCAGACGATGGGTATCTCTAGATACTTGCCTGAAACGCCTTGCAATGCATCGTTTCTCCGCATGGACATTAGTCGCCCTATGCGAGGTCTTCAAGCCTCGTTGAACTCGACCATGACCGTTCCATTTTTCAAGCCAGCATCTTCAATCGTCTGCTCTCGCGAGTCAATGAGATTCTTGCCCATGGAAACCAACTCAAAATCCACTCCCGCCTTGCCTTCCAGTGGCTCCGCTTTCAAGTATTCGTAGATTCGCTGCACAGGCTCATTTTCGGCGAATCGACGGACAACTCTGCCACCTGGATGCCGGATTTGCACTCGCGTAACTCCTGGACCAGGCGCAGGTTCGACGTGAGGCTGATCTGAAGGAATCTGAGAAAAGGCGCTTGCCTCGGGCGTTGCTTCGTCATTCATATCGACGTCCATCGCCTCTGCATTTGAGGATTCTCGTGCTGACCTCAAATCACCCACACTCCGCGTGAGTTCATCCGGATCTTCTGCTGGCCGTGGCGGTGATTTCAGTCCTTCAGTCTGAGAGGCGAGACTGGCCTGTAACGCTCGTTCAAGCATTTCTTCCTCGGTCAGCTGATCGATGGATTTCTCTTGTCTTGCCTCCGACTTTCGTTTTGCAACGGGGTTGCGTGCGTTATTGTCCAGGCTGTACCGATCCAAGAATTCATGTAGCTGCATCAAAAACTCTGGTGCTGACGGGATCTTTCGTGCCCACAGCTTGATCTGCTCGCCCGTCCTCGGATCAACGATAGCAACATGGGGGTATTCGTCTGGGTTCTCGTATGTCGGGAAGTAGTATTGAATGTACTGCGCTGCTCTTGGGTCGTGCTTGTTGTACTGGAAGAAGATGAAATTCTCCTTGACTGTGTCCACGACACCTTCGTTCTTCCACAAATCTCGATTCAGTGCTTGACAGTCGAAGATCGACGGATCTTGAATATCCACTAGAATCCATTTCTTTTGTTCTTTTCCCTCACTTCTGGCGTCTTCCCATTCACCCTTGTACATCATTTCCCAAGGGGGCTGGAACAGTCGTGCAAGTCGCGTTGATCTTGCAGAAGATGGGCGGGCTGTTGCAGGTAGCGCTCCTATAGGCATGTCATCACCGTGATCAAGGTGATCAGGGGGGAAGCCTTGGTCCCAAATGGTTGTGCCTGCTAGATGTTGATTGAAGATACCCGCAGGTGCTATTCTACCGTTAGTCAAGAAACAAAACATTGCCGTAGTATACTGACGTTGATGTCTTCTTCCTTCAAATGCCCGCATCCGTGCTTCAACAGCAGCCGCATAAGCAGGACCACGCATGGGTAGAGACTCTGCTCCTGGTCCGACCAATGTCTCCGCCTGTCGGGCAATAGGTGCACGGATCGGTTCCTCCACACCGCCTGCTCCATACATCTCCTCTTGTAATCGCCTCGCCATGGCCTCATCATCTTCGAAATTGCCTGCAGCGGTTGGATCTGACGAAGCGGATGCATTCGGTTGTCTGGCTTTCTGGTAACCAGTAATTTGCGGATCATTGTCATCTGAAATGTCGTCGTCGCCGTCTAGGTCAATAGGATCTTGTTGACCACCAGTGGCGCGGGAACTTGTCGGTGGAGGAATATGTGATGAAGAGGATCCCGCCAGATCTGCGCCTCCGTTCTCGAAGAATAACTGCACCGCTTGATTAGGATCGCCATCAGCAAGCTGCACATACTGCGCGGCCAGCTCTGGGGTAGTCCCAGTAACTGTCACCACGGTGGCTATTGCGTCGTCCATTGTGGGGGATTGATAGAAGGTATGGAGGTAGTCGGCGGGGTTCGACGATCGGAGGAATGAAATTGATAGAGGAGTTCTGGCGATTCACTTCAAGGGCCCTTTGGCAGTGAGAGGGTCTGTTGGAGACGGTCAGAGCATAGCATGGCAGAAAGGGTTGAAGGAAGAAAGAATCTGTAGAGCCTTGGAGAATCAGTGGCTTGAAACAGAGGCCTGCATTTTACACACTGCCACTGGTTGTCTCTCGCGGTCACAGTTGAGGCAAGGCGACGGCCGATATGACGAAGACACCCCAGTGAAATCATGTGCAAATTCGCCAAGCAAACGACTTGAGAGCCGCTGTGGCTGAGGTGGGGTGCAGGGAGCGCCAGCAAATGGCGTCCTTGATTCAAATGACACAGAAGTGCAGCCACAATATACGGTGAAGCAGTAGTGCCAGTAACGCGCGACGGAGGAAGGGTGGCTTGACAGGGCTTAAAGTGGCTGGCAGTGGGTCATTCTCACGACGCGTGAACTTGGCATTCTGTTAAGGCAGGAACGACCTGACTCGCGACTGCCACTTTCTGAGTCGTGCCTTCTCCAACTGCAACACCACCAGCAAAAGCAGCAACAACCAACCCAATGGCTGCTGCAGTACTGGGAAAGAGGTCTCGACGAGTTCTGGATGAGGAAGGTACGTTGCAGCCCTGCCTGGTTGAAATGAATAGCATTGACCGGAGAGTTCTATAGATATCGGAACATCCCTACCCATCGCGAAAAGACGAACGCGACGCTCAACACCACAGATATTTGAAGATGCAGCGCAACAGAAAGCATTGGAGAAAGATGATACCCAGTCAGCCTTGTCTGTAAGGACGCGTAACAGACGAGTGAAACATACCGTTCAAGACGAGGTGGTAACAAAACAGACAAGCACAACTGCGCCTATTGACGGTAACTCTTTCCCTCCCTCGAGCGAGCTGGTTCTGCCCATTATCATGATCACAAACTGATTATGGACCTCCAGAAGAAAATTTGCCTCCTTCGGCTTTTTCCACTCCGTCAGCCGCTCGGTTCAAGGATGTGCTTGCGACACAGACTCCGAGCACACCAAAATTTCGCGTCCGGCTCGCTGGCCAACTACTCACTCCTCGTTCATCACGCTCATCCACCGCACCAAAATCGCAGAACGTCTACGCTCAAGCCAGGCAACTCTTCGCCCAGGCAAGCAGCGGGAAAGTGATCGGTCGAGAGTCCGAACGGAGCCAATTGACAAACTTCATTTCCACCTCTATCCAAACCAGGAATGGGGGCTGTACGTACGTTAGTGGGCCACCGGGCACTGGGAAGAGTGCACTGGTTCAGGAGATTCTGCAAAACTATGGCGAGGAGCGCGTCGAGGTCACCACGATCAACTGTGTGACTCTGAAGTCATCCACCGAAGTTCTGGCCAAGTTTGGCGAAGCATTCGGTTGCTCAACAAGCAGCCACAAAGGAGCAAAGTCAAATCTGGCGAAACTTTTCACAGCTAGAAAGGCAGACTCGAAAATGCACCTCGTGTTGCTGGACGAAATCGACACCCTGCTCAGGGGTGACTGCGACGTTCTGTACAGCATATTCGAATGGGCGATGCACCCTTCGTCAACCCTCATTTTGATCGGAATCGCCAATGCTCTCGACTTGACCGACCGCTTTCTACCACGCCTGAAAATGAGGAACCTCAAGCCTAGGTTACTTCCGTTCCTTCCCTACTCGGCTCAACAGATTTCGACGATAATCACCGGAAAGCTTCGATCGTTGTTACCTGGTGGGATTATGATGGAATCTGACTTTGTCCCGCTGATGCATCCGGCTGCCATCCAGCTATGTGGCAAGAAGATTGCGGCTCAAACGGGTGATCTGCGTAAAGCTTTCGGCCTGGTTCGTCGCGCGATTGACCAGATTGAGCAAGAAACACTCCTTGAAATGAGCCGAGAGCAGAGTGTCACACCAACCAAGCAACCACTTACAGAGAATTCCAACTTGAGGACGAGTCAGGGCTCGTTTTCGGTCAGGCCAGACTCACGATCATTCCTCGGCCAACTTAACATGGAGACGGCACCTAGAGCAACTATCGGACATGTGGCGAAGATTGCATCTGGCATATTCAACAATGGGACTGTCTCTCGGTTGGGAGGACTGAATTTGCAGCAAAAGGCTGTGCTGTGTTCTTTGGTCGCATCGGAAAATCGCCAGTACCGAAGAGATCCTTACACGACCCCGTCAAAGTCGTGGTCCAAGATACCTACCATCAAAAAGCTGTTCGAGAAGTATGCTCTCCTTTGCAGACGGGATGATGGATTATTGCAGCCACTCAAGAACACCGAGTTCAGGGATGTGGTTGCCAGCCTGGAGATATTAGGGTTGATTCAAGAAGCGTCGGGACGGAACTCGAGTTTGTTGACCCCGTCCAAAACACCTTCTCGCAGTGGAAGAGCAATGGACGACATGCAGGTGACGAGTGCCGTGTCTGAAAAAGAAATGCGGGACAGCCTGAATGGGCCAGGGTCTGACTTGTTGTTGAGGCTGCTTGATGAAGATTAATGGCCGATGATTGGGTTTTGCATGGCATGGGACTTGTACACATGGCTCTGCATGAGCGAGGATTGTTCTGAACATTGGCGAGACTGTCGAGTACTTGCACCGATTGTGCGCGGAACAAATGCATTATTGGTAACTTGAAGCGTTGTTGAGTGACAATCAACTTATCAGTAATGTGATTGTTTGTCACACTCCACAGCTCGGTCGCTCAGTACTACTAGTACCTTGGATGACGATGTGACGAGTCTGGATGAGAATGATGTCAATGCATTGATGCCCTGGAGAAGGCACGTCATCTACTAAGGTACACCTGAATTGCTTAAGGTATTCAAGCTTTTGGCTAAGCTTCTCAGCCGTAGCTTGGTAGTTTTCAGCTAATTCCGCAGCTGGTATCATCTTGCGTGGGGCGTCGTCAGCCCCCCCAATTTCAATGGAACCCTCTGAATGCGCCCAACTCTTTCAAGTTCTCCATGATATAGTACTAGTACTAGTACATAGTACTGCTAGGCAGCATGCAATTTCTATCCATCTTCACTCCTGCGCTATACTTCGCATCGCCGTAAGGTGATTGTTTCCCTACGCACCATTAATTTAATCTCACATCTTTGCGGTCGGCCCCTCCAATCGACGATCCATCCCCATGTGCGCGCAGCAACGCCTGGGTAGCTACGACACACCAACACGATGACGGACAATGACACCGCGGAACCGGTGTTACGTCGTGGGCATCAGACGGACAAGATAGTCCCTAAGATAGTTGGGCAGGCAGATAAGCTACAACAGAAATACCAAGGGCAGACTGGGACGGGGAGCAGCGACAAGAAAGGTCCTCCTGGAGGCTTTGACCCTACTCCTCTCCCCAGTGTTCCTCCTGGATATACATTGAGAATCACGTTCCACAAGGCGGAGAACCTCCCCTTTGCCGACCTCAAGACATTGTCGTCTGATCCCTACATTCTCGCCATCCTGCAGACGGATGTACCCAAGAGACATAAACAAGATCCGGATGTCCAATGGAGAACACCGACGATACATCGAAATACCAACCCGGAATGGAACACGGAATGGATAGTTGCTAATGTTCCCAAGTCTGGGTTCTTTCTGAAATGCAGATTGTATGACGAAGACCCCAGCGACCATGACGATCGATTGGGGAATGCGCATATTGTGGTGCATCACATCGATGACAACTGGAAGGGCATGTCGCACGAGCGGTTTAACCTGAAGAAGCGCATGGGAAGCAAGAGAGCGTACACACTTCGTGGAGCGGCCGCGCTGGTGTCTAGGCGCGTCAAAATGGGTGGACACCTTATTGTCAGCGTCGAGAACCTGGGAAGAACCAAAGCTGAAAGTGGAGGGCACGTATATACCGTCGGCCCACTGGCCTGGAGTCGGCATTTCTCGCCGCTCATTGGACGACTGGTGGGTATCAAGGACACGGAGCAGGGGCAGGATGGCAAGAAGACTGAAAAATACAAGTACGTCGCAGCACTGAGGGATGGTTCCAATACCCACTGACACGTTCCAGCTTTCAAGCAATCCAACTGCAACTTCAAGGACCCGTCCCCGCAGATCTGTATCATCGATATGTAGAGTTCAGGCCATTTATCGCCGGCATGTTCACGGCTCATTCATTGCGTGGCCGCCTCCTGAATCGAGCTCTTCACCACCAACATGCTCGAATCTACAATTATGACCGGACGACCAAATACGGCTTATTCCAGGAGCCGTGCATGGAATTGACAAAACAGTTCCTCGAGTTTGTGCATTACGACGAAGGCGGACGGATCTTCACCTATGTTTTGACCTTGGATGCTCAAATGCGGTTCACCGAAACGGGCAAGGAGTTCGGCGTCGACCTGCTCAGCAAGCACACCATGCATAGCGATGTCAGCATCTATATCGCCTTTAGTGGAGAGTTTTTCATCCGAAGAATCCGGCAGGCACATCTTCACAGGAAAGACAAGAACGTTGATCCGGCATCTGGGACGCATCCTCCAGCACCGGATCCGGAGGACACCAAGAATGGCAACGGGATCAAAAAGAACAATAAACGAAAAGACAACAACAAGGAAGGAGCCCAATCTAGGACATCTGGTGGCATCACACCCAGCCGAGATCCCTCGGACTACGAACTGATCATCGACAACGACAGCGGCACGTACCGGCCCAATGCCCAAAAGCTCCCATTGCTGCGGGAGTACTTGTCGCATAATTTCCCCGGGCTGAAAGTCGTCACGCTTGATTGTCAAGCGGACGAGGAGAAGATGAAGAAGCTGAAGAACGAACAGCGCGAGCGGAAGAAACAATCCGGCCAACAAGTCATGTACCTCCAGAACCTCAGCATGAGCAGTCTCAGTTCCAGTGACGAGGAACGGCTTGAGGCTGGAGCGCCGGACGGTCAGCGAAAGGAGAGCACATACAAACATGGAATGCACAAGTTGATGGATGGAGGTAAGGACCAGCACCATGATGGCGGGTCACCCGAATCCGGGAAGGTGGACGCAAGTGCTGAAAGACAGGAGGTGGAAAGAAATGGTGAAGGCGGAGGAGGAGGAGGAGGAGGTAATGATGAGCCAGCTGTTCATGGCAGTCCTGCTGGTCAGGAACCCGAGAAACAGCAATGACCCGAGTTCACCAAAGAGGAAAGATAATCTCAAGTAGACCGGACATGACACCGGTCGGGTCGGTCGATGCTTGGTTGTGTTTGTTGTTTAGCGGTTCGTCTGGATGGAAGAAAGAGTGATGTTTATATTGATGGCTTTCTTCGTGGTCCAGTGCAAGCAGTTTGTGTCCGAGGACGGGGCGAGTGTTGGGGCGGTGTTTACTTAGCGTTGACGTTGGTATATCCTTTGATCTGGATGGTCTTGACATTCAAGTTGGTTCTATATCCCCGGCTTCATAGCCAAAGTCACGACTATTGATTGTTGTGCGTGCTGCAGGTGGTCAATCAATGTATGCCCACTGCATACGATGCAGTGTCGTTAAAGTGTCATTAAATCTCCTTTCTAGTCGAGCGTCCCCTCAGCCTATGTTGTCTTTTTTCCCCTTCTATAGCAGTGGTTCTCTCCGGCCTGTAGTAACCGACTTGATCATTCACCACTGCAATGCGAGGCTGTACCGTGTTCCGGCCGAAACTCCGCAACGGACGAAGAAAGGTACCTACGGCACGTTCACCACGGGGCCAACGGGGATGGCATGATAGCTCCGGATCCTGGCTTCCCCTTTCCACCTGCAACTCTCTCTGCTTGTCTGGCTTGGGAGTTTGAACCCATATCCTGCTACTAGTACCAATACTAGGTAGGTAGTATCGTAGTACGATGGCTAAAGGGCGGCATTATTGGGATGGAATGGCGGGCGAGGGCGGCATCTCTCCAATTTCCCTGAACCTCGGCATCTGTTATCACTCTCCAAGTGCGTCATCTCCAACCCGGGGGCCACGGGGCCACGGGGCCCCTTCATTCTCAACCGTGTGTGCCGGTTGGCAGCTTCAGAACCCTCGAGCTGGATGAAGAGACCAACAGGAACTCGAACATAGTATTAGTAGACCCGTAAACAGTCACTAATACTAGTACCCAGTTACTTACTAGTAGACATGGTCGAATACAATAGCCCCAAACAACGAATCAAGGTGCTGGCATTCAAATTGATCGCTCCTCTCTCCGGCCGTGCAAACTCCGGGCCGAGTTCCTTTCCTCTGTTCTCCTTCTCCTCCACAAATCAATGCATCCCCCCGGAATACCCAAAATACCCAAATGATTGAGATGACCCAGGACCCGGGACCCAGATCTCCCCTCCATTCTATCAACCACTCGCTGCCCGTCCATTAATCAATCTGCGAGATCATTTCTTCTTTCTATCCATCTACCTACCGAATTTCATCACTCTTGTTCTCGGGTTTCCCAGCTATTCAAGAATTTCTCACATACCTAGCGCCCCGATCTCCAACATTCGACTGTTGGGTGTGTTTGCCTTCACTTGCAGAACATTGGCCGGAGAATAAGTTCGCGGGCCTAATCAGTAACAACGCGCTGAAGAACATACTATACTATACCCAACAACGCACTTGACATACTATACTATACCTACCTGCTACAAGTACTGTGGTACCTGGCGAGCGAGATATCTATCCAAGGTATCCCCGTCATCATCGACTCAACTCCTCGCTTGGATAGCTGCCGACACTGGGTTGAGCTCAGATCCAATATTTGTTGTTGCTGGTGTCTCGGAGACCCTCACAGGGCTTGGTCTGTTCGGTGCTCTTTCGCCATCATGCCTATCAAGTCCAACTTCCCGGACATCGACCTGCAGGTTGCGGATATCTTTTCTTTCCTGTTCAATCGCAAAGACCGGCCGTTCCCTGATGACCAAGGTACGTCGGATCTCTGGATAGCTTTACTTCCCCCAAATCACTGCACGACAAAAATGTCTCGAGACGTCCGTTGGTCTCGTCTCGAGAAGTTTGTCCATTCTCTCGAACTATGTTGCTGACGACTTCAACATAGTCATCTTCCAGGATGCCGACAACCTCGAGCGTCAATACACGTACGGCCAGATCAAACAATCGAGTATTGATTTTGGCAAAGGTCTAAAATCGAACCATGGCTTCCGCAAAGCAGATGTGCTCGGTCTGTTCGTGCCCAACGACATCGACGTTGCGCCTGTCGTGTTTGGCACGCTGTGGGCCGGTGGGATCGTGTCCCCGGCAAATCCAGGCTACACGGTTCCCGAGCTGGTCTATCAACTTAAAGACTCTGGGGCGCGCGTGCTGGTGACACATCTGAGCGTGCTGGACAATGCGCGCAAGGCTTGCGCCGAGGTGGGCATTCCCGACTCGCATATCTTGTTACTCGGCAAAGATCGCGACCAGGGACGCCAGGTCAAGCATTGGACGCAGGTCCGAAACTTGGAGGGCACTGCACGCTACCGAACGCCCAAGATCGAACCGAAAACAGATCTAGCATTCCTCGTTTACTCGTCCGGCACGACGGGACGGCCGAAAGGCGTCAAACTCACCCACCACAATATGACATCCAACATCCAGCAGATCCAAGCCTCGGAGGGCTGGCTGTCGTGGGATGGATCCAAAAGGGTCCCTGGCATCCCGGACGCGCCCAAGGGCAAAGGCGACAAGATCCTGGCGTGTCTGCCGTTTTTCCATATCTACGGGCTCAACATGCTCGTGCATTCGCCCATGTATTCGGGCGTGCATACGCTGGTGCTAGCGCGGTTCGAATTGGAGAAATGGTGTCGACTGGTGCAAGAGCACCAGATCACGTTCAGCTACATTGTTCCGCCCATCGTCCTGCTTTTGTGCAAGGCCCCCGTCGTGGACAAATATGACCTGAGTTCGCTGCGCATGACAAATTCCGGCGCGGCGCCGCTGACTCGCGACCTGGTCGAGGCGCTGTACAAGCGCAAAGGAGTGCGAGTCAAGCAGGGATACGGGCTCAGCGAGACAAGTCCGACCATCTTCGTGCAGCGGTGGGAAGACTGGCTCGACTCGGTCGGCTCGACGGGCTGGATGCTACCGAATCTCGAGGCCAAATTCTGCGCCGTACCTGGTCCAGGCCAGGAGAGCGACGGCAATAAAGAGGTCCCAAGGGGCCAGGTCGGCGAGTTGTACGTCCGCGGACCGAACGTCTTTGTCGGCTATCACAACAACCCCGCCGCGACGGCCGAGTGTCTCGATGAAGAAGGCTGGTTCCGCACCGGCGACGTCGGATTCATGGATGACAAAGGCAATTTGACCATCACGGACCGTGTCAAGGAGCTTATCAAGTACAAAGGGTTCCAGGTCCCGCCGGCCGAGCTGGAGGGATACCTGGCCAGCCATGACCTGGTGGATGATGTCGCCGTCGTGGGCGTCGAGAGTGTCGAATTGGGCACCGAGGTGCCTCGCGCTTACGTCGTGCGCAAGGGCGGGTTGCAGGCTGTGAAGCCCAATGATGGCAAAGACATCGTGGCCTGGTTGAACGCAAAGGTCGCCAACCATAAGAAGCTACGTGGTGGGATCAAGTTTGTCGACGCTGTCCCTAAGAGTGTCAGTGGAAAGATCTTGAGGAGAGTGCTGAAGGAACAGGCTCAGAAGGAGTTCAGGGAGGAAGAGGAGGCCAAGATCAAGAAGGCTGGTAGAGCGAAGCTGTAAGGAAAGGGACGCTCCATCAAGAGGGATGGCAGCCTTCTATCTGTCCAGAGAAGAGGTGACAGCACACTCTGGATATTCTGTCGTCTTACATGGATGGTTTCTTGTTGCAGACAGTGGCGCACAGCACAGGACATATCTAAATACATTGCGTGAGGCAGTATAGCGAGGTCAGATATATCAGGTAGTCATCTAGCATGCTCTTTTTCGTTGCAGTTTACCGGTTCCATCAAGAGGCATCCATTCACCGTCGAATGAATTTTGTGTATCCGACTGCCTGCTATTGACTCCTTCTCTATCTTCCATTCCGGTCAAGGGTCCGGCTGGCTTCAAGCTCATGGCTGGGTTCTCGGATGAAAAGGGATTTCAGCTTCTCTACCGGCGCGCATATCATATCAGCGCCGAGTGTTCGGGATGCAGCTGTCTGCATCCCCGGGCGAGACATGCACGATATAGGCCCAAGAAGCCTATGGGAGGACAGATGTTTGGACGGTCGCGAGGCTCTTCCGGCGCCATGGGAGTTGAGGTGATTGTGATGTGACATTTTGCTAACCAATTGTGATATGGATGATAGCCTCCGGGGCTGCAATAGGTAAAGTAGTTAGTAAGGCTCGAAGAAGGTTTGATCACACTGGGGACTATTGCACCATGGCGTCTAGGTGACACTTGTCAAAAGGTACCTAACTTGGGGAGGTCCAGATAGAATGAATGAATGGTGTATATATGTGATGACTGGATCAAAATATCGTTGAGATGTGGTGTCTATAACAGGAGTGCCTCATTCCTCAATTGACAGTAGGTCTTTGGGTCGTGAGTAGTACCCAGATGCCAGTTATTGCATTGACCTTTGAGCCTAGGGAGCCCCTTGCCCCTGGCCCCTGGCACCCTCCTAATCCCCAGGTCCAGTTAACAGACAGTCCTAGGGTCCTAGCCGCCGCGGAACCCTTTAGCCTTTGATCCGCGACACCTTTAAGTGGCACCTCAGGCTTCTTAGGCTGCTGCGTACCTGACCATGGGCAGCGACTTAACCATTTCCTGCCTAGAGGTTGGCCTCCATAGCCCCTAGAGAGTCAAAAGGCCAAACAGAATGCTTGTCGACACGGCTGCTTCCTTGCTCCCCGCGTTGACTTCAGCATCAGCACTGGCACCACTGAATGAGGTCCAGTTTCTCTCCAATCGAGAAATTCCCACCACCGGCTGCCGACGTTTCACATCTTCCAACATGCGACATTTCCCAGACATTTCCCTTGCGCTGTCGCTGTGAACTGAATCGTGCCAACATTCGAGCTTCATTGTCACAGTGACTCGTTGGACTCACCTCGACCTCGAACCAAGCACATAGCCTCTCGCGGACCATGTTATAACATCAAGTCCCGGTTACTTGAACAATTCTTTTTTTCGTCGTCGCTCCCCGGGGTGTTCACGACCACTGTCCCACCACTACGCTCTACACTATTTCTCAGTCGATCGCTACCTGTTGTACAACCCCAAAGACACTCCGACCTCTTAAAAGAAAGAAGAAAAGTCAAAGATCGCTGACCTACCATGTCCCCATCCTCGCCCTCCAAAATACGCACAATCTCGACCGACAAGTCTCGTGCCTACAGCACCTCGTCCTCCTTCAACCTAACCGTCCTAATCTCCGGGTCTGGCACGAACCTACAAGCTCTGATCGATGCGTGCGGCCAAGCCCCATCGTCGAAGAACACCGCCCGACCTCTCCCTCAAGCGCAAATCACCCATGTGATCTCGAACCGACGGGATGCGTACGGCCTGGTTCGCGCCCAAGAAGCCCACATCCCCACCACGTACCATAACCTGGTGACATACAAGAAGAAACACCCGCCCACTGAGACCGGCACACAGACAGCCAGACGGGAATACGACACCGACCTGGCGCAGAAGATCCTCACGCATATCCCGTGTCCCGACCTCGTCGTGTGCGCCGGCTGGATGCATATTCTGTCTCCGGTCTTTGTCAATGCCCTAGCCGCGGCGAACGTGCCGATCATCAACCTTCATCCGGCGCTGCCTGGTCAATTCAACGGCGCAAACGCCATAGGACGGGCCTACGAGGCGTTTCAGCGCGGCGAGATCTCTAAGACTGGCGTCATGGTCCACTATGTCGTGGATGAGGTGGATATGGGACAGCCTGTCATGGTGAAGGAGGTCGAATGTAGACCCGGGGAAAGTCAAAAGGAGCTCGAGGAGAGGATTCATCAGACAGAGTGGCAGCTGTTGGTGGAAGCTACAGAGAAAGTCCTCGCCGAGCTGGAGGAGAAGAGACGGTTGGAGGGATGAAGAACAGCCAAGCACGGAGATGTTTGGAGGGCTGGGAAGGGAGCATCAGCCTGCAGTCCGGACCTCGGGAGATAAGAGTTACATCCAACAACGACGTTTGAGGGAATTGGCGACTAAGAACCACAGATATGGGTCGGGAAAAAGTCGATTGTGCGATCGGGCCAGCGAGGTGTTGTTTCGTCTTGGAAGGGGTTGCTTCTCTCACTTGGAGTTTGGGATCTTGAATCTGGAAGGGAGTTTGTGATGAAGCATGTTGAACCGGAGGCGATTCAGTCATTGCTTGGCCGCGCAGCAAGCTACATGCGCGGGTTCTCTTATGGAAGTCTTGTCCTGAAATAGATTGGTGGCGCAGAGCATGAAAGCTTGAGTTCGATTTGTGGCATTGGGATCTTGGGAGGAAGTCCATTGGTAGCCATGATTTGATCATTCGAAGAGAAGGGGCGGCCAGCACGGAAAACCGGCTGACAGGGGCCGAGAAGAAGAATGAGAGTGGGAAAGACGAGGACGGAGAGGCAGAGACGACACGCTCTGCAGTGATGTTCTGTTCGGGGTGGCTCGAACGAAGAGACAATACGAGAACAGAATCTGGCCTTCTCCGGGCCTGATTGATGGTAGCCTTGAAGCATGAATTCATACAGTCCATCTTCGGGGGCGTACGATCGAGACTTCTGAGAAGTGCGAACTGAGGCTTGATACCTTAGGTATGATAATGAGATAGTGATTACAGGCCTGAAATCAGCTAGATGAATTGAAGATATTTCAGATCCGTCTTCGGCTTTTTGAAGTTACTCTGGTTGGACCGTCTCATCTGCAGTATCGAGTGTCCAACATCAAGCAATGGTGTTAGTGTTATGTGGCACAAGGACGTCTTCCGTCGTGGCGGACGCAACACCGACTGGAACGAAACAAGGACAGCGCCACTGCTATATCATTTCTAGAATGAATGGGTTTGTACGGAACGTATTATTCGTGATGATTACTTGTAAGTGTATGTATTAGTCGATCAACAGATCCAATCCAGGCGTGTCCGCACGTCTGGCCTAATCAAATCATACCGTGTCTCCTCCATAGCCAAGGATCTCGACGACGACATTGCCAATCGTAGACAAAGTCCACAGGGCGATCAAGCCCAATCCGATCTTCCGATCCATTCTCCAGCCATTCAGCGGCACGACGATCAACAGCCCGACGAGAGTCACCAACAGGGTAATCCCCGAGATCATCAGGGTGGTACTGACCTCGATCTGGTAGGGCTGGTACTCGATGGGCCGATGGGGATGTTTGGCGTGTTTGTGACTCGCCTGGTGGACGGTCATGTACATGCCGCCGATGCCGATGCCGAGTAAGATGTTGAGCATGGGCCCGCCGAAACAGGCCGAGAGGGCCATGACGGGGTAGCCGAGTTTGGCGACGGTGATGTCGGCGACCAGATCGCCAAGGGAGTTGCCGACGGCGAAGATGGTCAGGCCCAGAATGGCGTCCGAGATGCCCAGGATGACGCCGAACGCCTTCAACACGCCGACCACTTCGTTGGCGATGGTCGAGATCCACGCGATCGCCACCGCGAACCCCAGGAAACAGAGGAGCGGGCGGTATTTGGGCTCGCGGTCCGCGCTGGTCAATGACAGAATGATCAAGAGTGCGACCAGGGAAAATACTAAGGAGCCGAGGATCAGTCGGATCAAGACTTTGATCGTGTGCTCTTCGTCCATGTTGGCCCAGACGATGCTCACGACGCACAGCGGCGCCGTGAACACTTGCACGAACACCAGCCATCGGTTCCAGTCCTTTTGCCCGGCTGAGAACCCATCAGTCCCGGAAGGCGTGTGGTCGTCCTTGGGATAGTCGGACATGGTGCGGGCCAGGTTGGTTTCGTGAGGATGAGGACTCCCTAGTACTTCCACTTCCGAAGGATTGCGTTTTGGAGCGAGGGCGGGAGTGTCGGATGGTAGATTAACATGGTTGTGACTCCCGCCGTGGTAGTCCGCTACAACTGACAGAAGATCCGGGTCCACGTCTTCGGGACGTTCTTCCCTGGGCTCGACGACAGGAAGGGTGATGGTGAGGACGAACACGCTGGGTGCGGTGACCAAGCTTAACATCCGGTCGGTAAAGGACTTCTCGCGCCATCCGCGAAGAGTGGGGAAAACGGTTGCAATGATGTCTTGAGGCGCAGGGAGATGTGCGTATGGCCACCATGAGAAGTGCCGCCTGGGCTCTTCTTCCTCGTCAGGGAGCAATTGCAGATCGTGGATGGATTCCGGAGACATGCTGGGTTCGGGTAGGTGCATGCTTGGAGGCCCCGACGACACGGGAGAATCTGTATATGGAGGGAAGTCTTCTTGGTGTAAGCGAATCTGTTTGTGGTCCGGATGTGGCGTGTGCAGAATGGGCACCTGTAGACTCGGCCCCGTTCTAGGGGAGTACAGCGGACTACGGTTTTCGTCATGATGCTCTTCATCATAGTCAGGCTGGTGGAACGAGGTGGTGGGTGGTGCCAGGAGGCTTGGGGACCGGACAGAATCAGGTCGCTCAAGCTGAGTGTCCAGTTGATGTTGGGATTCTGCCGGGGACAAGACAAGTTTCGGCGAGGGTGGGTTTTGCCTTTGATTCGAAGGTTCATTCAGCGTCCGCAGAATATTCGCGCTGGCTCTGGTGTGTTTTGCCGGCGGTGCCAGCGAAGATGCGCCGCTGGCCAGGACACTTCCCGCGTGCCTTTCGGACGCCATGTCGGACAGAAAGTCGGTGTCAATCCTCAGGCTGGCAGCATCGTTCGCAGAAACCGCCCGTCCTCGGACGCCCTGACCATGGGGTTCTTGGTCAACGTCAAGGAGGTCATTGGCGGAATGGCCGACAAGTGTGGGCTGAGAAGCATGCGGGTGTGCGTTGGGTCGACCTGGATCGACACTTTCAGAAGAATATCTGCGAAGACCAATAGAATGGGCGGTGGTGCTCTTCTTTCCCAAAGAAGTCATCAGTGCCCTAAACTCGAGGGCACCGATCAAGCTTGGTCGGATGGGGGTGATGGTATTCCTCCGTTCTCCCCGAGGCGGCCGGCTGACTCTCATCTTGCTTTGGAGTTCCGCCAGATACCGGTCTCTAGCTTCGTCGTCGTCGTCAAGATCTTCAACCCTCCAAGCCGGCGTGCCAGGACTGCGCAGAGTCGGGACGCTCTCGTTCGATGCTGAGTGGAGGAGACCAGTCCTTTCGCTCGCCGGACGGGACTCCTCGTCCTCCTCCAGCTCCGGGACCTCTAGTTCTTGGGAGTCTGGGATATAGTGGCCCAACCTCGCTGTGGTCTCGGCAAGCCGTATGCGTCGTCGCCTCGTAAGCCACCAATGCCAGACTACCACAAAGACAACGTAGCAGACATAGTAGCCGACCATGACCGCACATTCCCAGAATCGCAGACTTCCGTCGGCCAGAAAGACCAGGCTGAAGCTGGCCGCGACAACGAAGAACCCGACGTCTCGAACAAAGCTCTTTCTGGCAACCTGGAAGGGCGCAACCAAGGCCATGCTCCCGGCCACCACTGCGGTGATGAAACCTGCAGCACCCATCAATTCGCCGACGGCCAGACTCCCACTGTTGCTGCTCATGGCTGCGAAAGTAGAGAAGACATCCGGACTTCCATTGCCAAACGCCAGGAAGGTGACTCCGGTCAAACTCTCGCTCATGCCCAGAATACTCGCGATTGTGCTCAGGTTGATGCAGAGGAAGTCGGAGGCGACCATGCCGATGGTGCTGAACAAGAGACAGACCCATACGACCAAGATGATGAAGGCCAGCGGCCGGGCATGCGGCAGATGGCAGTAGTAGAATTGGAGGTATGATATGAGACCGGCTTCTTCATCGGGACAATTACTCTTCACGAAGGCACACTTATCGCTGGCGTGGTGGACGAGCCGACACTGGAACTGGCAGGTTAGCTATCGACGCAGTTGGAATGGGGGATTGATGGTGTAGCGGTCGCACCTCCAGGTCGCGCGCATCGAGTGAGCGGGCGGCGACTGACGGAGCGCGGTGTGAGCTTCCATTTCCCAGGTTTCGTAGAAGACTGTAACACGTAAATAACGTGATGATCAGAGCGGTGGTATAAAAGGTGCGACCGTGATTCCGGCGCGGGCGACGCCTTGTGGGAGAACGCATGGAGGCCATCGGAAAGGGTCGCGATTCATACTGGACGGAGTGGGAGGGAGACGGCAAATAAGGATACCATGAGACTCAGACTCAGACCCCGAGAGATATGGATGTGAAGGCTAATAAGATGGCATGAATAGAAAGTAGAGCAGTTTCAAGATCAGTCCATTGCCAATCTGTCTGCGCTGCGAGTTGCTTGATGAGTCTCTCTCTTTCTCTGTCTCTCACTCCACCGGCAGCCAAACCAAGAAATGGGCCCGAACTCGTCTGCCAATGCAGTGCGTCTCCGTCATTATGCGTTTGTACCGAGAAAACAATCCAGTCACATCAATTGGACTCGTTAGGCTCGATTGCACAGCCTCACTGTGAGCCACAGGAACTGACATAGTAGTAGTAGTAGTATTATTAGGGATCCCTAGGACTGGCACAGGCACCATGGACCCTGTTAGTAGTACTGTGTTACAGTGTTGAACACCTGCAATCAGTGGGCTGCTAGTATTACGGACTGAGTCTGCCTCTTGTCTCTACCATCATGATGCTATCTTGTCATCCCATATCCACATCTGATCGAAGATCAATCCCATCATTGACAGCAGATCCGGCTTACCAAGGTACATCTGTACCCAAGCCCAAGGAATAGCCGGAATGAACAGTATTGCTCCTCATCTGCCGCTGTACTGCATCTGAGCCGAGGCTCTGTTCCCAGCGGATTTCCTCCCCTGTCCATCTATCTCCCCTAGATCTGATCATACATAAGGTACCTTACAAACTTCCGTGAGTCGATTGTTGTTGATCCTTTCGTGGTTGATCTTCTCGTGTCACTCAGCTGTCAGGAAAGAATGCCCTTGATTGTCGAGACCTTCTAACGACGTTGTCTGGTGTGCCCTCCATGGCCATGGCGCCAACCTTTGCAGACGTCCTACCCGTCAAGCAACTCTCTTCGCACAAATACACCGTATCCCTGGAGAACGAATGGTGTATAGGAACAGGTCAGTCATAGACAATCGACCGCTGTCACTTTGTTTGTGCTGACACCAGTATCACTTCAGTCCCCAATGGCGGCTATGTCACCTCTGCGTTCCTCGTCGTCGCCCGAACACACATGTCCCTCACCCACCGCACCCGCTCCGAACCACATCCCATAAACCTACATCTAGAATTCCTGCGGCGCACCTCCGTTGGCCCGGCGCTGTTTACAGTGAAGGACGTCAAACTCGGGGCGCGCATTAGCAATCTACACATCACGCTCTCGCAGCAACAAGACCACAACGGAGAATGGCAAGATGAAGCAGAAGGATACATCATGATGAGCAACCTCAGCACCGAATCGGGGTTGAGCCTAGACACAGCTTATGAGCCATACCCGCGCGTGCTTCCGGCCGACCTCGCATTGTTGGGCTCACAGGGCCAGGACGCAAACTATACCTTACGATCGAAGGATCCGTTTCCCCAGTTCAGACGCGCCGCCCAGAACATCCAGATGTTCCTGGTCCGTCCAGACCGGAAGCCTGTAGGGCGGCCCAAGGCAATCAACGATCAATGGGTTCGCTTTGCCCCCGGCGGAAAGGTCGCAAATGGTCGCTGGACCACCGACGCTTTGGGGTTTGTTGTCGATATGTTCCCTCAGATCGTGGAGAGCTACGTCAACCCCTTCGTCGAAGAGGCGGCGTTGGGCCAGCACTCCGAAACCGAGTTGCAGGATTATCTGCGGTCCAGTGAGCCCCGTGCCAAATACTGGTATCCTACGCTCGCGCTGAATCTGGATGTCAAGAAACTCTTACCTCCTGAAGGAGTCGAGTGGTTGTTCGTCCGGGTTAAGGCCAAGGCTATCAGGAATGGAAGGTTCGATCTTGATGTTGAAGTCTGGGACGTTGATAATGAGCTGGTCGCCACGAGTTGCCACGCCAGTCTGGTTGTCGATGCGTCAAGGAACACTACTCGAAAGGGGAAAAGTGCGAAATTATAGAAAAGACGGCGTTGGCGTCTGCTGCATGCGAGCTCCCAAGCAAGAATGCTCTCGGGAGTGATCCCAGATACATCAAGGTAGGTAGGTAGGTCATGAAGATATTCTAGATATGCTTCAGCAAAGATGGGTCAAACCAGATATTCCAGACGATATTTTCGGACGACTGTGCCTGGCTGCTGGAAGAGACAAAGTGACCCTATGTCTGGAAGGCAGGTATCGAATCTACCTTGGGAGATGAGGAGCCGGCCAGAAATCCCGACTGGATCAGTTGATCTATCAATTCTAGCTTCATCCGCTACTCCCAAGCCCAACGAAGGGAAGGCTGAACAACGGATATGCACCCTAGCCGGCTTCATTAAGCCCCCTAGGGCGAACGGACGCAAGCAAGACCTTCAGCTCAGCAAGATACGTTGATAATCAATCGTCCAACTTTCCCGCTTGTGTTCATGGCCTTGAAGAACATCGCTGTTCTTCTCCTTTGACAAGTCGGGCCCCGTCAGCACAACTGCCAGCGTGGTTTCTATGCAGCTGCAGACATACATGAGGAAAATGGCTACTACCAACCTCTTGTCCGAGCCGTTGGAGAAGGGTAGGGCTAAATATGAAATGTGTTTTGCGATAGCACGAGGAATCTCAATACAAGGCCAACTGGCAACAATTCAGGGAGCGTGTGCTAGAACATCAGAAAGTGGCGAGTCTCCTTGTTTCCAACGGCATCAATCCAGATTCTAGGCTGGGGAATACGCACTACTCTTTTGTTGCGCCCATTGGTACTCTGGACCACGCTCGGGTGTATATATATATACCAGTATCTCTATAAACGTATGTTAAATCCATGTCCAAGTTCGACCCATCCCGCAATTGCGTGTCATTCGTCAGCCTTGTGCCATCGTGTCCACTTCCCACTGTTCCGGATCAAACTTCTTCTGCCGTCACACAACTGCCGCAACTCGGAAGTTTTGGTCCCAGCAGATGGATAATCTATCGTCCTCATTGATTACGACCAGATAGACATCGTGTCATGCCTGGCTATGGCCGCATCTGCTGCTGCGATGGTGGGCAAGTGGTGGGCAAGCTGTTTTCAGCGGCAGCACCCTCATGTGCGCTATTCAGCATCCCTCGTTACCCTTTGCAGCCTTGCCTGAGAGGCTGAGCCGAATGACTTTTGATTTCTCCTTTTCGTTGAACCGAGTCATTGACTGTCACGTCCAAGGGTCCATTATGCATGTAGTGTATGCATTCGAGGGTTGCCGCGGCCGAAATATCTCTTTGTCGGAGTATTCGAATTTCCAACCTTCCTGCCTCAGATACTTCCCAAGGGCGAAGAAGTCCACGTGTGAATGACCCCAGACCAGCCTGACCCGACAGTGACATCCGGTTTCTGGTGGTACAGATGGTTGAGAACAGATGCCGAGTGTCAAGATCTTCACGCTGAGCCTGACGACGAGCTCTTTGTTGTCCCGGACGTCTCCGAGCTTCTGGCACAACTTGGTAACTCGAGGTGTACCGAAGACGAACTGGAAGTACAACTGGACCCTGAAGTTGTAGACGTACTGGATCTCCAATCCGAAGTGGACGATGATGCTGCCTTACGACGCGTAGTCATTTCAAATTCCCGTCCTTGTTCTCTTGGTATCGACGGTCTCGCCGCTTGCAAGAAGAACATGGATAGAGATGTGTCAGGTGGTGAATTGGTCGAGAGTGCCGATCTGCGCGCGAAGTATCCGGAAGCCATTGTGGTTGTGGTTGTTTTTGTTTCTTGATTCTTATTTCCTCTGTCTCTGTCTTCGTCGGTGACTCTGTCGAGGTGCTCCTGAACACTGCTCGTGGATTGGAATCTGATATTCGTATGGAAAGTGATATCTTGTGTGGTGTCCGCTTCTGATGTCCTGGACTCTTAGTGTATTCCCCAAACCTAGACAGCCAGCTTGAAGAGTCGAGACAAGTATAATCACTCTTCGGGCTTGAGAACTCTTATGTCTGCCGTTGAATGTAAATACTAGAGCAGAGGCAGAGACGCGATCCTGAGTATGTAGGTAAACTTGCTAGAAATATCAAAGACAACGACGCTGGCCTGGGATGGGATGGGATGTGGTTATACACAATCCTGTCACCTGTGTATCATGTATAAGGTAAGAACCAAGGTAGATATGACACCAAACTTACCTCTTGCCGGGACGGATGGTTCAGCTTATATATATATATCTTGAGATGCTGGGACCTTCCCCGTCCCCGTCTCTCTGTTCCTTGCTTACCATTTCACACACTAACAAACATTCAGTTTGTATCCATGCTGCTCGGTCAGGCGTGACACTGACAGCGTCCCCAGACCACATCTCTGGTACATGCATGATGAGCACTGCGACTCTACTCTGCATGAACAACAACATAGACCCCAGGATCGGCATCCAAGGTTTCGGCTTCTGTGATTGGAGGGCGCCATCTAGGGCTGACAGCCTGACAAGGCGCAGTTAAGCGACAAGAAAGGCGAGGCGAACCAGGGATCAAGACAATGCAATGAGAAAGCCCCATCATGCCTTCCGTCGCCTGAAACTGAATGTGGGGGCTGACAGGCACACCACGCGATGAACGGGTGTCCAGTTGTTGAACAGGTGGTCAGGCTGATCATGTAAGATATCCGATCACATCGATTAGGCATGATGCAGCTTCATCATGTTGCAGAGTCACATAAGCCGGAACCTGACAGCTCGACAGTGTAGGCCTGAAACTTTGGAAATGGGATAGTTGAGGTATGAACCAGTCAACATTCCTACAACAGTGCGCAATGCCAGCTCGGTGTCTCTAAGCCTCCTTGGAATCGTCCCATACTTTCTGAGGATACGCTTTATGAATGCAACTTCCGTGGTCTATCGCTTGACTGCAATGGCATCTTAAAGCATGTCACCATCTATCATCATGCCACCAAACACCATCGATCAGGAATATGATATCGCTGCGTATCCCGTGTCCGCATTATAAGAATGAGAGTATCACACAGACAACCCGTCAAACATGGTCTATCTTGACTGTTCCGGCTGCTGTGAAGTTCGCGCCAGTTTCTCGAGGATCGACAATACACCTAGGATCATGTTAGCGAAGCTTCAAATATCCAGACGACCCATCAAACTTACCAGTCACGCCCTGAGTCAATGTGGCCGAAGCTTCGGTGCTTCTGGCACCAAGAGTCACAGTCACCACATCTCGTATTTTGCCTGCTTTCTCCAGCTTATGTGCCCAGTTGAACGCATATTCATCCTCTCGAGAATCCCCAATGACCAAGAGGAATTCCGGTAGCCCCATCCCGCTCTTCTCCATCCGGTCACTGATCATCTGGGTCGCCAATCCCTTGTTGACTTCCATCTCGGAAATGAACAGTCCATCTTCGATTGGGACGCAGTTGACGTTTTGGTCACGGCACGCATCGTTGATATGATTGGCACACTCTCCCGCCTGCTTGAAGGCTCCCGCACGATCGTCAGCGTCGCTGTAGTCGAAGATCAAAGAGCAATGTCGTTCCTCAATCTTGCTACCCTCGATTCTCTCCACGTAGTATTGGAGAATACTCCTAAGGCCACCTTTCCAGTTCTTGAAGTGTTCAAGGTTGGCCAACTCCTCCCATTCGTCCGAGCCGGCCTCGAGCAAGAATCCGCCGTTCTCTGCAATCATCCCGAGCCCACTAACAGGACTGAACAGTCGTTCCATTTCCTCCGGCATGCGAGAGCTCATCACATAGACGGTGTTTTTCTTGTCCTCGATCAGATCATTCAACACATCGATGGATCTCTTGGGAGTGGTCAGAATGATGTCTGTGGGAGATCCCCATGACGCCAAAGTGCCCTCATAGTCAAGAATGATCAGGCGTTTCTCAGCTTTGAGATATTTCGGTTTGACCGAAGACAACGACAGGCGCGGTACAGACGTGGAGTCGCGAATGGAATGTTCTTTCCAGGCACGGTCTAACGCCTTGGTGTAGGTATCGAACCACTCCACTGCATTTTGCTTCACGACAATATCGTGCATAGCCTTCCACCGACGTTCCTTCTCCGGAAGAGGCATGTCAAGGGCTTGCTTGATTGCCGCGGCACATTGGCTGTAGTGCCATGGATTGACCAGAATGGCGTTGTGGCCAAAGACAGTAGCCGAACCTGTAAACTCACTAAGGATTAATGGTCCGTACTTGGCGTCGCAAAATTGGCCATCCTGACAGATGACGAACTCGTGGCTTGTCAGGTTCATTCCTTCTCGTAAACTGGTGATCATCAGGCATTCTGCAACAGTAAGAAGGGCCAGATACTGCGCAAAATCAATATCTTGCTTCAAAAACACCAATGGCTGATGAGCCAAGGTCGAATGGATGGAATTGACCCGCGTGACAATGTCGGCCACTGTGGCACTCAATTCGGGGTCCTCAGTGGAAGAGGTAGCAATTTGGATCAGAACAACCTTGTCCTTGTACTCGGGATATTTGTTGAGGAACAGTTCGTATGATAGAATCTTCTGCCGCACTCCACGAATGTTGTCCAGCTTGTCTCGGGCCACGATGATCTGTTTCCCACGATACTTGTCTAGAATGATTTGCACCCATTCAGAGACTTCGGGCAGGCGACGTTGCTGCTCCAGGGACTTGGGGTCAATACCGACGGGGCACGTGCTGACATGGACAAATCGTCCGTCTTCGAGAATGACTCCGTACTTGGTAGCTTCAACATTGAGCAAGCGACTGCATGTCTGCAGGAAATGATGACAGTATTCGTCCGTTTGAAATCCGATCATGTTGGCTCCAAGAATCCCTTCCAAAAGCTCGCTTCGCACGGCCAGACATCGGAAAATCTCCGAAGATGGGAAGGCTGTATGCAAGAAGAAGCCGATTTCCGCTTCTGGCAGCCGTTGGCGCAGCAGACCAGGCACCAGCAGGAGGTGGTAGTCGTGAATCCAAATCACATCTCCTTTCTTGTAGTTCTTTGCGATGCGATCGGCGAACGCCTCGTTGACCTTGACATAGAAGACCCATGAATGGTCTTCATACGCCTTGCTTTTCGGGTGATCTGGTATTTGGTAATGGAAGACGGGCCAAAGGATGGTCTTGCAGTAATGCTCGTAATGGCCATTGAGATCGCTGTCGCTGACATAGACCGTCAACGAGTCGTAGTCATTCTCCAACTTTTCTGCAATGTTTTCCTTGAGAGGATCATCCAGTACATCGACCGGACATCCCAGAGTCCCAACCCAGGTCTTCTCTTCTAGACTCCCGGCTTCAGCTGCAGCATCGATGGCATTGAAGAGCCCTCCATTTCCCAGGAGTGCCCGTTCTACCGTGTAGTTGTATTCTGAGAACCGTCGTTCATGACTGAACGTCCTTGTTCTTTTGTGTTGCCGCCCCCTCTTAGTTTGTAAGGTGGACATGGCAGCTGCCGCAGCCTTATCAGCTTTGTCCTTGGCCTCGGCCGCCGCATGCTTCAAGATCGAGCTCGGAGGGGGCGACTTCGCACGTGAGGGAGGTTGATTCCATCCAATGGTCTTGCCCCAACCCGGGGAATGGAGATCATGGCGGGAAATCGCTCGAGGATCTCGTGCCAGTGCAGGTCGAGACGTTTGGTTGGTTCGAGGGAGAGTCAGACTGATGGGCCGGTCGACGTGAGGAAGGAAGATCTTTTCATGGTCGGTTGTTGCACCTGGAGTTTGAATCAAAGCACTTGGGCTTTGACCGATACCAGCACCAATGCCAGGGGCAGGTGTGAATAAGCTCACACTTTGGCCATCGGGCAGGGGGGTCTGTGGGACGGTACTTTGAGAAAAGGTCGATGGTGGCTTTGGCACTTCTGCGCGCTCTGGAGGAGGAGAGCTTGAAGGTGCATCAAAGTTGATGGTATAGGGTAGGAAGAGAGTAGCCACGAAGACAGTCATGGTTGCAAAAGTATTGTTACCAAGAAACCCTCAACGCAGTTTACGATCGGCCACCACAGTAGATCTGTGCTGGGGTCAATCAGAGGTCCTTGCTGCGCAATACGATCCGATAAAACTCGTGTACGTGTTGCGGGCTTGTGACGTTCGAGGCAGAGAGCGGAAGGGCGTCGAGGTCATTCGAGTCACCGAGGGGCCCAAGCAGCGGCGCAAGATCGAAGGAGCGGATGACGGACCAACTGCAGGCAACTAGAGATCCGGCCGTCTCTAAGATTTGACAGAGCGAGGCTGCAACGACGCAGGAGGGAAGAGAGTTGTGTGAAGTACACAGGGGTGGTGTAGCAAAATAGTGCCGATGGGAGGGAAAACAAGACCGGTTCATGGAGCCGTTGAAATCCTATTTTGTTGGACTCGGAAACTTGAACTGCGTGTCATACAGGTTGCTCGTTCTCGACTAGCATTCCATTGGGGCGGAAGATGACCTGGGACAAGACGTGGAGGCTGGCAATATCTCCACGTTGCACATGGAAGGCCTATCGAATGCTATAGGAGGTGCCTCTGGTGGCTGCCACCATTACTCGTTTGTTCAATTTGCTGTTGACTGAGTTCTAGTGAATTCCAACATCGTGATCTGCAGGGCTGCTAAAGTTCGTATTTGGCTAGTCAGCCTTGATAGTGCCTAAGTTAATACCGTTCTAACCTGAACAGGGTGCCTTCTTTATCTTTAACAACTTTAGACAGCACAAAAGGCGCGAAGATCCGGTGGTTATTCTTGTTGGTGCCGCCGGGGTTAGAAAACATTGGTTAAAATGACGCACGTGGTGGGGAGTCGCTGTCCAGACAAAACCACTATTGGCTGGAGGCTAAACGGTGGATGGGAACTTGAAGGGGTGAGGTCAGAGGCTCAGAGCCTGAACCTGGGTAGCGACCAGGGCTTAGGAGGCTCCCTAAGGTACTACAGAGCACTCTGTAGGCTCCCGCAGCCGATGCAGAGCTGCTATAGTGGTGCCCCTCCTCGGATTTGAAGCCCGCTAATAGTTGTCACTCCAGTAGGACTTACCTACTACTACGGTATCTTAGGCAACAACATTGCTCAATTCCTACTGGCCCGGGACGTGTTCCGGGTTTGTCCAACGCGTTCTGCCTGCAAACCTCTCTCCCAAGTTGAGTCAGGCTTGAGCCTTCTAATTCTCGTAAATTCTCCTGCCATCTGCATCCCTCATGCCACTATTCAGACGAAGGGATCAACGCCTTCCAATTTCGTACCACTACATCAGAAACAGCTCAAATGTCGTCTTCTAAGCCGGACTATCCAACCCAGCCTGTTCTATCCCACCCTTGTCGTCCTCTCCGCCATGCCGCTGTATCTTACTGCGGCCCACTCATCACGCATCACTAAACCGGCCCAGAGATCCGTCTCATCTGCTCGTCGGCACTCCTCGTCGCCTTTCGCGAACGCTCCGCGTACCAAAGCATCATCACAAAGGTCCAAATCCGTGTCTGATGCTTTCAACAAACTTGAAGACGTAGACGAGGAAGACGATGAGGCTGAGGAGCGCCTTGTGCCTAGTGGCAAGATCTTGACCACCATCTCCGTGGACTCGGCGCAAGATGTGTTGTCTGCTGTGCAACACACGCGCATGTCCATGTTCGCCGCTATCCCAGACCGGGCAGGTATGAACAGTGTACGGATATCCGAGGTCCTCAATTTTCAAAGGAACATGCCCTCGGTGGTGACACTGGCACATGTCCACGCCTTGATTGCTGCTTCATCCAAGACGGAGCGGCAGATTGCTGCCTTGCAATCGGCCGGTAAGCTGCGCAAGATCAAGGTCACCGGCCGCGGTAACGATATCAGTGGCACGGGCGAGGTTCTGATCCTTATGAATGACTTGCAAACCCTCCTTGAACGAAGCCACGTCGCGCCAGACGTCGTGACTGACTTTTGCAATGTGCTTCGTCGTCAGCCTCGTGCAACCTTCATATCGCCCCGGGATCTTCCTCCCTCCCATGTGACCGCTTTAACTCGAGCAGGCTTTCTCGTCTCTTCAAGTCTTTCCGGCTCCCGCAGTCTGTCTCTTGCAGGTTCATCCCTGGTTTCCACAACCAAAATCTCCCGTGCCGCTTCAGGTACGTCCGATGCCGTTGGCGGAGATGCAGCATTCGAGAATCTAGGCGGTGTCGGGACTGCGAAGCGGCGCCAGTCTAGTCTTCACTTCAGTCAGACCTTTCAAGGAAGCGACTTGGCTCTTTCTGTGCCGAACATCGGTCCTTACCTCAGGCTTTTGAGCGCTGGTCGTGCACATCTGCTGGAACTCTTGGGCAAATCAAAATACAGGGAAGGACCTCTATATCTCCTCCGAGAACGGTGGGACGGCGCAGTTGACTCCGACAATCGCGCTTCTGTCGCCAAACGCATCCGGGGAGAGTTTTCCGGGGTTATGCCAGCTAAAACCAAGAAATGGAGAGACCTCTACGGTCTGAATTTCGATTGGGTCGTTGAAGAATGTCTGGGTGCCGGCTTGATAGAGTTGTTTGAGACTCGAAGCGTGGGGCTGGGTATTCGTGCGTTGACATGAATTACAATCCCCATCCCCAGCGCAGAAGAGACAGTCCTTTTCAGTGCATGTTGAAGACTCTCGTCGACTATCTTGGAAGTGGACGGCGCATTGGCTGGGTAAGCATCGACCCTCTCGTCCACGATGCATGGCCTATTATCAGATTCACCAAACACATTTCCCCATCCTCAGGCGGTCCTTGGGAAGCCAGCGGCGTCGTTGAGGACACAGTCCTCCCCAAGCACAAGGCGTCTACAAATTCACAATGATGAATCATGCTACGGTCCTATTCGGAATGTAGCAGTGTCAGGTCACTGAGCTAAAGGAATGTCAGAAACGACAGGGCCAAGGGATAACTCTGGCCCTGGAAAACGCGCGCGCAGTGCGTTTGCCGCCGGCTGATGTACACAACTGCCGCATGAAATCTGTCACACATCTAAACACACCGACCTTCGTGCAGAAGACCACGGTGCGAGAACCAAAGCTGGCGGTGCATAGGCACCCAGTGGTGCGCTACAGATACAATCCCAATAACGTCACAGCCAGGCGTTGGGTTTTCCGTTTGGCGGCAACAAGATCCGGGGAAACTCTCTGTATACCTTATGTGGACAACTCGGAAATTGTATCACTCTGTCAGCGACGCGGATTCAAAACCGGTCTGTGAGGAGTATGCCTCGTGGCGGTTGAAAAAGTGCTTGCCAGAACCCGATACGAAGCTTATATATGAGACAGCTTGCCACGTTCTGGACAATACGCCAGGTTCTTGTTGCACCAATATGATATTGTACACCATCGTCTCTGTCACTCCGTCTCCATCCTCACCGTCGTTGTACCAACGTCCTTGATCTGACGACCATACCCAGCGAAGGACATGCTCTACACAATTAAATCTTTCCCCCGCTCAATTTCTCGGCGATCTTTTGCATGCGTTCCTGGTCACGCAGGGCCCGCTCATTGACATCGGTAGCGAGCATCATTCCACCACGGCCCTGGTCGGATGTCCTGTCCCGGCCACGCCGAATCATTTCCTCCACTGTATCCGGCTTGCCAGAGCGCCAGATACTCCTGGTCGTCGTGAAAGTCGCATCCAGCGCCGCTGCCAGCTGGTCTTTTGTAGTGATGAAGCCACGAGCATTCATGTAGAGCGTGTGTAGCTTCTCAAGGCGCTGCTCATGCTTAGCAGCCACTCGCGCGTCATGTGCGGCCTTGCGCGCATTGTAAATTGCCAGCTCTTCCTCAGGAGACAACTGCAGTGGTTTTTGGGGCTGCATGGCCGAAGGTACGGAGATCCTAGTCAGCCGTTCATCCTCTCGCTCCTGCTGCGCGGCTAGCCGAGCACTCTCGTGCCATTTATGTGCACTGCGCTGTACGAGCTGAGCGTCAATCGACTTCTTCCGACGATGCAGCTCTTTCAGGCCATCGCGAAGATACGACTTGCGCAGCTCGGCCATCCGCCTCTTGTACTTGCCCAATTCTGTGAGCTCCTCCTCTGGCACAACATTCTTCGGTAGAGGGTCCCGTGTCACATTCGCTAGATACTCCTTGCCTGGCTTGTCCGGGCGGCGGGCGGGGAAGAGCTCACGAGGGACAGGGAGGAGGCCTTTGGCCGGAATGGGTCGCTCGCGAATGGACTGATATGGTTCTGGCACGTCGACAAAGACCGGTGATTCGGGAGGAATGTGCGTGCGCGCTGCGGATGTGCTGAAGCCTCGGGTTGAAGATGGTTTGAGGAGCCGCAGTCGGCACGCTCGACACATGGAGCTGGGTAACGTCTCCATCGTGGGGAGCTGCCTTGTATAGTAACCGGTGGTGAGAACCCGGCGGAGACAGGGAGACGATGAGGATCGCGGGATGGTAACTTCGTGAAGCAATTGTCCCAGATATTGAGCATTACAGACGTTCAAGTTCGACTCTCAGAATCTGAAGTCTACACTATGCCCGATTCGGAAGTATACTCCACCAAAGCTTGGCGCCAGTTTGTTATGTGGAATTCTCAAGGCTTCATAAGGCTGTACATCTCAACCACAACTATAGGAAACCCAACATCTGGTCCATATTGGCTGGAGGACCTTGGAAGAGTTTAACATTACTTGTCGAGTGTCAAACTGAACCTACTATTTTATCGCAACATTATAACGAGCCTCGATACGACGACAGTGTTCCTTTTCGGGAGACAACCCTGTGACTTCTCGCCTACTGCCAGACTCCTCGAACCGGTATGACCTAATGATGCAGACGCTGGTATTGTATGGAGCTAGCCTTGCTTCTAGTAGGTGAATAGTAGTATCTTCAGAGCTCACGCGTACCCTAAGTTTAATCGAGTCTCAATACAAATGTCGCATCTGGGTGAGTGGGCCTGCCTTGAATGACGACCGCTTCCTTCAATTTGAGATCCATCACAATGCTAAATAGCGTCGCACAATTAGAGCCCTGTTCTTGAGCCCGACAGATGGCAAAAGGGAACTCTGTTTCGTCCTTGAAGACGTTACAGACGTCCAAACTTGAAGGCTCGCCGGTGATGGCGTCGGTCAAAGTCTCCATCTGTTCGACTCGGAAGAACGAGTCTTTGAGCCAGAAGTCCTCGTTAAGGCCTGTGTGCTCGGCATGGAGATGGTTGGAGTGCATGATCCGTCCGCGCGAGTCGATTGGCAGCTTGATGAATGTCTTGGACGTGAATTCGCAGCCCTGCGCGAAGTCGGCGTCGCCGATCAACATGTGTGCCGACGCCGCCATGCCCATCGCTTCGAGGGCCGCGATGGCCTCCTTGGCAGACGCACTTTCCAAGACGATCCGCAGACCCAGGTGGACGGGGATCCGGCTGGGATCGACTCCTTGGACTCTAATGGCGTTGGAGACGACCCCGACACCGAGGGAGTTGAAGCCAATCTTGCCGAGCATGCCTGCTTCATTGACCATTTTGATGGTTGGTTTGCCTTCCTGGATGATCGTTATCAAGATGAGGTTTTCCCCCTTCGATTGAACTCGCCTTCGACGGATACATCCTCCTGGATACCGGGCCGAGGGATAGGCAGAAGCGGCATTGATAAAATACGAGGCGAGACTGGGCGAGTGACTGATACACTACTTCATGTAGTATGTCTCGACGTCTCAGAACTCTCCAATCTACTCATTCATCGACCGCACGCCCTTCGATAAGGCCCCCCACTAAAGACGGCTGACTAAGTAGAACCCGGCTGGAGCTGTGAGAGCACAAGAGCGAGTAACCCCCGGTCTGACGCGGAACTTCTCATCTTGGGACATACCCAAGACTGATATTAGTTTCTGGTACTACCAGCTCGACAAACCCACGAGCAGTAATGCTAGAGAAGTGGTGCGTAGTCTGAATGGTTCAATATGTGGTCCATCGTCCTCTTTACTACCACTCCATCACACCTGCATGCCGACTCAACCTCCACCCTCCCATCACTTGTACCCATTCATAGCGACTACAAATCGCTGTCTTGTAGTACATGATGATCGGTCGTGACCTTGCACCATTCAAATGATGTTTCTCAGACCCGACATGATATAATCCTTGGGGCCTCTCTTCTTCTTTTCCTCCTGCATCTCTACAATGCTAGCGCGTCTCTGCTCCTCCGGAACATCTACGCCGCTGATCATGAGCTGAGCCTCTCTCATGCCCGTGTAGATATCGATATCCTTCGTCCTGATGAACCATTTTCGCTCTTCTGGGTGGTCGAACCAGTCATAGATCTTCCAACACAGGTACAGGAAGATAAGCAGAGGGCCCGCGAGGTAGAGTTGGAAGAAGGTGTCGGCATCCAGATAAGGGCCGCCGACTGGATACAGTGCAACGTAGAACTGAGCCATAAGGCTGACCACGTTGATGAGCAGGCACAGATACGAGCCCCAGACGCCGAAAGCAGCCTTGTAGGGGAGCTCGTCCAGGGAATGACCGTTGGCCTTCCTGTAAGTAGTTAGTCACCGAGCGGAGCGGACCGTGCAGTCTGTTGCTTACCATGCCCCACGGAAGCGAATATGAGCCAGAGCGATGCTGCCATAGACGAAGAGGATGGCAAGACCCGACAACGACAGGAGCCAGTTGAAAATCGTTCCGCCATCATGCGCCAAGTTGATGAATGCCAGGCAGCCGAATGCAATCTGGAGAATGACAACAGACACAGGACGGCCCTTCTTGTCAACGTAGGCCAGGATCTTAGGACCCATTCCTGTGGATGAAGTTAGCGCCGTGAACAAATTATGGAGTCACGTACGCACCATTTGCAGCGAGAGCCTGAATGGTTCGAGTCGAGCCAAAAGTGCACGAGTTTGCAACGCTCATGACAGAGATCAAGATGACAGCATTGAAAATCGAGGGGAGGGCCTTTATGCCAGCAAGCTGAATTGCAATGACAAAGGGCGAGTGTCGCGATTCGGAACCTTTGCCACTGTACAAGGGGCTGTTCTCCGGTACGATCAAACCAACGAGGAAAAGGTTGACAATGTAGAAGATAGCGATACGCCATACGACCTGTTTCGAGGCCTTTGGAATCTCCTTTTTGGGGTCCTGCGTTTCCGCAGCAGCAAGCCCGGTCAGCTCGGTGCCAGTGTAGGCGAACGCCGCGGTGACGAAGACGCTACAGAAGCCGTGGAAGCCATTGAGGAAGGCCTCGTAAGGGGAATGCCTGTTTCAAACCATCAGCATCGTCGGTACCGAGCCACTCATAGTATAAAATTACCAGTATCTTGCGCCAATGTAGCCTCTGTGATCCGTTGGAACGCCACCGCAGTCGATAATTATTCCAAGAATCATGAAGCCTATGCAGGCGATGACCTTCAGGAGACTGAGGGCAAATTCGACCTGTTTTAATTAGCATAGCCTCCAACAGACGTCGAGTGAACTTGCCTCGCCATATCCCTTCACACCAAAAAACTGAATGCAAATCAAAGCGACCAGCAGCGGCACGATCCAAGCACTGTTGTTGATACCGTCCGAGCCTGGCCAGTAGTGGATGATATTGCATGCCGCCGAGATTTCGAAGGGAAGGACCGTCAGCCAACTGATGGCGTACTCCCAGCCACAAGCAAACCCCAAAGAGGGATCAACGAAGCGAACGATGTACATGGTGAAGGCACCGTTGATCGGATACATGACGGACATCTCTGCGAGGGCCTGCATCATGAGGTAGCTGAATAAATGACTGTGTCAGCAGAGGACAAAGTCTTCCGATATCCAAGAAACATACACCATGAGACCTAAAAACGCGTTAGCTACTGTATCGCAGTCCTCGTTCTCGCTCTCGCAGGGTATGACCAACCAATAATGATGAAACCAAGAAGTACAGAACCAGGCCCGCCAGTCTGGAAAGCACCTCCAGAACTGACGAAGAGACCAGCACCGATTGCACCACCACTAAAACCGTCGATTAGTATGCACAGCACTCGAGGACTCGGGGATCAAACTCACATGGCAATCATTTGCATGTGTCTGCCCTTTAGATCACGGTGAAGTCTGTTCTGGTCGGTTGTCACGATGGCCTGATCCTCGGGGTCGACGCTGAACTGGCGACCGCGTGCATGATCGGCGAACGAGGCCGACGTGTAGCCCGGCGCATCGTTGCCATGCTTGTCACCAAGCGCATTGGTTTCGTCTTTACTCATGTTTACAGCCGACAAGAGTGTGTGAGGAGGGAGGGACGAAAGATGTACAGAGTAAGACGAAGACCGCGGTCACCCCGGCTTTAAAGCACCAAGCTTCGCATGCATCATGCCATGCGCTCCAAGCACAGCAAGCATCCTTATCATGAAATGCGTGATGGACTGCCGTCATGATCAACGCTTGCAACCTCACGATAAGCTGGAGTCCAGGGCATAAAATTGGAGATGACCACATCGGGAACCTGACAGGTCGTTCAATGCTCACTATCAGTGGAGCCGTGAAACGTCAAAAGAACGCTACAAGGCAAGCTTTGGGACCCCGGCCAATTAACCCCATCGGATGCTTGGACATTGACGCTGATAGGCATTCTGCCCTGTTCTACCGTCATGTTCCAGAAAGATAAGCGTCCAATGTCGCATCGAGAGTGGTTCGGCGGCGCCACAGCTCCCGGATTCCTTCACAAACCACATTGGTAATTGCTTCGGTGAGGTGACATCGTTCGTTCATCTGGCCAACCCTGACTAGGTAGGCCTTCGCGCACAGGTGGGCCCTGCTTACAGAGTAGGAGGTGGACGAGTGGCAGAAGCAGCCGCTGCGGTTGCGAGAGAGTGGCGACGAGTGTCCTCCGAGTCGCCCAGATACCCAGATACCCAGATATACTCGGTACAGAGGATCAGGTGAGGAGATCTACTTGTGATCGTGATGGCCAACTTGGTCGATTTCTGCCGAGATCAGGTTCCCCTGTTCCCCTACCTTGGGTATCTTACCGAAGGTGTCTTATAGGATGGAACTACGATCGAGTCTACAACCGTCAAGCTCACACCGCGTCATGCGGCCAAGAACTTGAGATTCAAGTTACTGGTAGGCCCGTGAAGCCTTACTTCGGATGCCAGTGAGACACAGATTGGCCAGACCGGTGAGACCCCTCGCCCCTGGCCGCCTTACCGACCATGCAGCGAGAGCAAGGGGTGAGCACAGGGAGCCAAGGAGGCTTCACCTTGGCCCTAATCCGGGGTGGCGCGACTACATTTCCCACCCCTTCAAGGTCGGCGCCACTCACTGGTCTTCAATGTGGACGACCTCGCTCCGTGCCAGCTTCACTCTCACCCCTCGTGGATACTTCTCCTAAATAACGCAGTGGCCCTCTCACTTGGATACTACGATACTTGTCCCAATTAACGCAGTGGCTCTCACTTGGATACTACGTACTGTGCAAGACACCTCCAATGGCTGGCGCTGTGAGGACTTCTAAAGCAATCTGGTGATTCTGCGGGTGTCCCACCACGCAATCGCATGATTTCAATTGGGACGAGTTCAACCCGTACAGGGTGGCATCCAGACTAGTCAAGCGGATCCATACGAAACAATGCTTTACTGGAGCAATTGAGGACATTCTCGCCTTCTACGGCGATTCCAGAAGACTGTCAACTTGCAAGACTCCGAACGGTAGCGTGTCTGATGGACTCCGTACGTCCTATCAGCCAGACTCCATCTTTGAATAATGGTTTGAAGCAATAGGTTTATGCAGTTCCAGCCAGTCCAAGGTCGTGCTTGCCAGATACGTGTTCTTCACATCAGCTAGTCCCCAGGCAGGCTTGGGCTGCGAGTGATCACACAGAAGGACCTTGGAGAAGCATGTGGTGGAAGCCATGATCAAACTCGCAGGCACAGTCGAATTCGTCAAAATCCTCATTCGTCAATTGAATACTTGAAGGCGGATGCTCTCCTTGATTTGCACCACGTTGCGAGCACCAGCAATCGGGAAGACGGACGACGCCTTCTGCACCACATGCTTCGGCGACATTGAATCAAGAGTGACCAGTGATGTTCGAGGTGCTCTCAAGTCTGGCAGAGACCTGCGTGTCTCGCTCGGAGAGAGGAATGAACTTGCGACCCGGGCTATGCTTCTCGCGCTCCCTGGAGTCTTCGGCAGTCTGGAAATGGTCGAGGTTCAGGACTCCATACGGCCACAAGCCCATCCCTTCACCCAGCCAGCCACGGTAATAATATCGCATCAGACATACGCGTAGTGGCGCGCTCCACATGCCTTCATATGTGGAAGATTGACGCAGACCATGGTCCCGGGTATATTCATTCGCTTTCACAACCACTTAGAAGCCCAACGGCGCCCAAGATGCAGATAATCAACCTTGCCAGGTGTCACTCAATCACATCAGGTATGCAATACCTATGGGATCGAGATGGTACAGTGAGAGTAATGTCCATTATGGCGAGTGCCGTACATCCAACAAGCCATGTTTCCCTGGTAGCAGTTGAAATTGTGCAGCAGAAGGTAAGGTAGCTAAGGAAGTCTCATTTCCTCTATCAGGCTGTGATGTATAAAGCGGCGCGTCGCACAGTAGGCGTAAAACAAGGCTAAATATAGGGCGGCAACGTGCTTGTACTAAAAAGGCAACCTTGGATGAAATCTTGGCGGCTCCATCTTTTTTCTCTGGGAGAATCTAGATTGCGGAGCGAGTCGCATTTTTGCCCTTTCCTTCACCTATTAACTGTGCCCCGACGAGATAATCAAACCCAGGACAATCATTCAGCACAGATTGTCATCATGGGTGCGAGAAAGAAGGAGGCATCCCGCCGGGAACGGCAGGGAGTTGCATCAGACGGCATGGGGAATGTCAAAGTCAAAGGGGAGAATTTCTACCGGTATGCTGCGTGAACATGAGTCTTCGTACCGAGTGCTAACGGAATTACCAGAACTGCCAAGAAGCTCAAGACCCTGAATATGCTGAAAGATGGCAAGGCGCAGAGAAACGCCCAGGGGAAAGTGACCAAGGCCGCTTCGTTTCAGTCTCGAGACGTTCCGACAGCACGAGTCGAGCCCAATCGGAAGTGGTTTGGAAACACTCGAGTGATCACCCAAGAGGCATTGGAATCATTTAGACAAGCGGTGGCGGAACGGGCCTCAGATCCATATCAGGTTCTGCTGAAAACCAACAAGTTGCCGATGAGCCTGATCAGAGACACTGAAAACACCAAGAATGGGGTGAAGCAACACCAGGCCAAGATCGCCGTGGAATCTGCTCCGTTCGCCGATACCTTCGGGCCGAAGTCGCAACGAAAGCGGGTGAAACTCAACGCTGCCTCTGTGATGGATTTGGCTGGCGAGTCTGTCAAGATGCACGACAACTACCTGGAGCGGCTGGAAGAGAACAAATTGCTCAGTGGGCAGACCGCCGAGCAGATGGAGGGAGAGCAAGAAGTAGAGCTCACGACGGCCAGAGAACCCATCTTCTCTAAAGGGCAGAGCAAACGGATATGGAACGAATTGTACAAAGTCATCGATTCGTCCGACGTTGTGATCCACGTTCTTGACGCTCGAGACCCTGAGGGCACCAGATGCCGGAGTGTCGAGAAGTACATCCGTGAAGAGGCGCCACACAAACATCTGATCTTCGTTCTGAACAAGTGCGATCTCGTGCCGACAAAGATAGCGGTAAGTTCGTTGTTACGATATGCCCTGCTCCCTTCCCTCAAATTCCCTGGCCCCCATCATTTTCCATCGCTAAGTCAAGGCTCCTTTCTTGCTTTTTTTGCAACGTCTCCATGAAAGACGCCTGTTACAGCTATGGTACATTAAGCCGCGCTCGCCACCTTGGTGGTTTTCGGCATGGCGTCCGTCTTGGAAGCCTTGTCACCAGAGCGCATGGCGTGTTTCGTTTGAGTTGAGGTCTGCTTGGGCCGATTTTCTTCTGGCCCCTCGAGTCATAGCACACTTCTTAGTAATGTCTCACACATACTGACCATTCATTCCTAATAGGCGCAATGGGTGCGATTGTTGTCGAAAGAATACCCGACGCTGGCTTTTCATGCCTCCATGACGAATTCATTTGGCAAAGGCTCCCTGATCACCCTTCTACGACAATTTTCAACGTTGCACGCGGCAAGAAAACAAATCTCTGTGGGGTTTATCGGTTATCCAAACACTGGCAAGTCCTCGATTATCAACACCTTACGTAAGAAGCGAGTTTGCACTGTCGCACCGATACCTGGTGAGACGAAGGTGTGGCAATACATCACTCTAATGAAGAGAATTTATCTCATCGACTGCCCTGGTGTTGTGCCTCCCAGCAACGGCGACTCGGAAGAAGATATCCTTCTTCGTGGTGTCGTGCGGGTCGAAAACGTTGAACACCCTGCTCAGTACATCGAGGCTGTATTACGGCGGACGCAACCCCGACATATCGAGCGGACTTATGAAGTCAAAGCTGCAGACTACAACAACGATCCCATCGAATTTCTCAGTATCCTCGCCCGGAAAGGCGGGAGACTACTGAAAGGCGGCGAGCCTGATGTCGATGGTGTCGCGAAGATGGTGCTGAACGATTTTCTGCGTGGCAAGATCCCCTGGTTCACCCCGCCATCGAAGAAAGTTGGTTTGAACGCACCTGAAGAGGATCTGGACACCGCCACTATCGTTGAAGGACGTGAAGGCCGTCTCGGTGAAATGCCTGGAAAGAGAACGGCCGAGCTTCCTACGGAGCCAGAAGAAGGCAAAGACGAAGACGAAGACGAAGCTGAGAGTGACTCGGGTGATGATGATGAAGGAGGAGACCAGGCAGCTGCTGAGGGTCAGTTCAGTGGCAGTGACGATGAGTCAGAGGAAGGAAACTCCTCAGATCAAGGTGCTGATGACTTTGAAACCTTTGGTGACGAACATGATGACAAAAGTACTGACGATGAGGGCGGAACTCAATTGTGATGGGACGCCTCCTGTCGCTGGCTATCCTCTATATACGCAATTGTTTATTCCTGATGGATGAATGGAACTCATGCATTCTCCCAATTCTTTTGTTGTCTTGGCCCCAGGATCAGCTGTGATACTTGTGACCGTGTCATCGATGCATCTGTAAGGCCGGAGGTGTAAGCGATAATATTATCTGATACTGGGGTTATTCAGCCTAGTCGAAGGCAGACCGGTTACTGTCCGTGCAGGCAAGACAAGTTGAGCTTTGATGATGTAATATCAGGTGACTCCTAATCCCCGTCGAAGTTTTAAAAATCTTGGGGATTCTGTCATTGTCTCCGAGTCTTCGACGTCAAACCTCCGCCTCTCCCCATACTTCTTGTCCCATTGTCTCGAATCTATCCTTAAACCCCTGCGATCATCGGGCGATGATTTTCTCCTCCCCTCCTCCGGCTTAATATTCGACTCCGATGCTCTTCTTTTGTGCCGTCATATGGTTGTGGTCATGGACAGTTGTGGCGAGTGCGATTCCGCCCCGCTGGCGGGCGAGCGAACGAGCAATATCTCGGCGAACCTTTGAATCCCTCGAAGAACTTGCTCGGATCGTGGACATATCCTACTGCGTCGGCACCACAGGCATCCAGAAGCCCTTTAAGTGTCTCAGCCGATGCAGCGACTTCGAAGGGTTTGAACTCGTCACTACGTGGAATACTGGGCCGCTGCTCTCTGATTCATGCGGCTACGTCGCCGTGTCGCATCCTCCGTTTGCGAAACGCGTCATTGTTGCCTTCCGTGGAACCTACTCCATTGCGAATACGATTGCCGATCTGTCCACGAACCCTGCCGAATACGCCCCTTTTCCTTCCGACAGCGACAACGATTCCGTCTGCACGTCTGTCGAGCCGTACAATGACAAGCGCCCTGTGTTGCCGCAGTTAGTCTCACAACTGGGAAAGAGAAGTAATCTGGAAGTCGAGTGTCCGAACTGTACGGTCCACGCTGGCTTCATGACATCCTGGCAGAACACTCGATGCACCATCGTGCCACATGTGGAAAAGGCGCTGAACGAGAATCCAGACTACGAACTGGTCTTGGTTGGTCATTCTCTGGGAGGTGCCGTGGCTGCTCTGGCTGCTCTGGAATTCCAAGCTCGGGGTTGGACTCCTCACGTTACAACGTTTGGGGAGCCTCGGATCGGCAACCTGGCTCTGAATCGGTTCATCGACAAACGGTTCAAGCTGAATACGACCGATCCCGAAGAATCACTATACCGCCGAGTCACGCATGTCGATGATCCTGTTCCGCTGTTACCGTTGGAAGAATGGGGATACCGAATGCATGGTGGAGAGATATACATCTCAAAGCCCTCACTACCGGCAGCCCCAGCCGATCTCCGGCATTGTTCCGGCGACGAGGATCCCGCGTGTATCGCCGGAAGCGTTTCTACCGATCAAGTCCGTGACGACCTTGGCGAAGGGAACCCCAGAAATCTCGATGTCAAGGCTCTTTGGGAACTCGGCCGACGTTATAAGCTGTGGGAGCTTTTCTTTGCACATCGGGACTATTTTTGGAGGCTGGGGCTTTGCGTTCCAGGAGGAGATCCGTGGGATTGGTCTAGAGGCAAATATAATGAGAGCTTGAATGATGAACTCTAGCGTTGGTCGTGGCGGCAGAAGCAGGAAAACCGCTCCAGGATGGATTGAACTCTATTGATGCGAGTATAATTATCATTCACGATCACACGGGTTATGGGAGTAGCATGGCGTTGGCTGGAGCTGGGTATTTCAATTCACAAAGGCCGTATCTAACGATGAATCATGGTAACACGCAGATTATTCCGACTGTTATTATTGCTCCATTATTTTATGTTGCAATGCGATATCTAGCTGAGTATATATTGATTCTCTCCATGATAAATTGTTGATGAACCGAGATCCGACCGAAAACAGTGACGAACGTCTCATCTTCGCGATACTTCTTTCTTGCCATTACTGTTCGCCAGCATTAAGCATTGCGTATGGGATCAAGCATGATAGCAATAGATACGTACATCCCGCATGTGGCCTTCGCATTCTATGCAGATGTCAGCGTCTCCCTGTATCTGCGCCACCGTGGTTGATGTTCGGTGGAGCAGGGGACTTTCTACGTAATTTCGTTCGTCAGTTTTCCGAATGGACATTGAGCCATTTGACGACAAACAATTAACCATCTTACATCCCTGGTACGCTGATCGCCGGATACGCTTCCCTTCTAGAAAGTCTCCTCCTCGATTAAACAGGGACACGCGCCGCTGGTACAGCGCAGAAACGTTCAACCCGATCGCACATCAACTTCTTCCGCATCTCGTTTGGTTCTCACTTCGCAATGGCATCAACACTTTTACCATTAGGTTGGTGGTGACGCAGGCGCAGGATAGACTGACGCCCCAGGCTGACAGACGGTGCAGAATTGATCGACAAATGCGTCGGCTCGAGGATCTGGGTTGTGATGAAAGGCGACAAAGGTACAGTACTTCCAATACTATTTCCCCAATCTCCCTCGCCACTGGTCGTGTGTGCCGAGCGCACGCGTGTTACTTGCACGAAAGCGTCTTCATTCGTTGGGCTTCTACTGATATCAGACCGCAGAGTTCGCCGGCACGTTACTGGGCTTCGATGACTACGTCAGTAAGTTTGACCATGGCATGGCGTTGTTATTGATTCAATGGCATGAGACCCCAGCGGAGAGAAATGCTGATATGGCTGTCCAGACATGGTCTTGGAAGATGTGATCGAATTGTAAGTGCACCATTTGCGTTCTTGAGATCGGCCACGTTGGTGGCTAGAGGAGAGTCTGGCTGACTGACCGGGTCCGAATCAGTGACTACACGGGCGCGCAAACGAAATTACCTAAGATCCTGCTCAACGGCAATAACATTTGCATGGTGAGTGCACTATCCTGCAGTCCTATCTCATTGCTTGGTGTCGACCCGACGGAGATGCCCTTATTTCCTTGACGGCGGTGCTGCTGTCTGGAAAACATGGGAGCTGATTTCTTGGTTCTTGAACAGTTGATACCCGGCGGTGAAGGGCCAGTGCCGCCATCATCGTGACGTGGGCGCCATATTGCGTTGTGTTCTGGCAAGAAACGGGAACAACAGTGATCCTCGGGTGGAATACTTTGGGCCGATCATGCGGGTGAAACGGTCGACTCGCCGCCATCGATATGGAAGATGGCAGCGGCCGACGAACAGGTTACAGCATACCGCAAATGCCGCAGACGGCTGTCCACAGTGGCCATACCAAGCCATACCTCTATGCCAATTGTGCAATTGAGAGGAAAAAGCAGATTGCAAGTTACAACTTCTGTGGCTGGTTCGAATATCTGTACATTTATTTTGGGTACAGCGCTGTCGACCTTTGTAGAACTTCAATAGCCTCCCGCCGTACCTGTCTCACAATTTCCCCGGCAGGCATCACTACTTTGATCAATCCAATTCCCGTGCCTGCATACGTGGTCATTCTTCCCTCTGGCCCCCATCCAGCATCACCCTGGTCTACAGTCTCCTTGTAGCGTTCTACATTCTCTTGTTCCGACATCCCATGCACTGCATCAAGGTACGTCCTATTCACGACTCCCCGGCCATTGTAGGCCTTGGGCCAGCCATGGATGCCTCTGACCACATCATATATGGTCGTGGTCACGGTGTTTGTGCCGCCATCAGTAACTCGTAGCACTTCATTCTGATAGCCTTTGGAGATAACCGCCTCCTGAGCCGCAAGGAACCTGGTCCCCAGAGCTACGCCTTGAGCACCGAGCGTCAGAGCTGCCGCAATTCCTCGACCGTCGACGATACCGCCGGCTGCAATGACTGGGATATCAATATCTTCGGCGGCTAGGGCATCCACGGTCTCGGGCAGCAAAGTCAGAAGACCCGCTCGCTGCGCAAGGCCATGGCCCCCAGAATCAGATCCTTGCATCACCAAGACATCTGGTTTCGTGGTCTTCGCAACCTCGATGGCTTCAGCTACCGTACCAACTTGGACCCAGATCTTGGTTTTGCCCTCGCTGAAGGCACGAATCGTCTTGGCCCAGTCGATCAGATCGCTCAACTGCTTGGGCGCGAAGAACCACACGGCAGCCACGGGATGGTTTTGGAGGGCTTCCACTGCCATTCGCACATCGCTGCCCCAGTTCTGAAAGCCGACACCGATGGGCAGCACGCCGTTGTGAAGCGGCACGTTTTGAGAGTTCGCATACTCGGCGGCTTCGGCGAGGTCCTTCGAAAGTGGGGAGAGGTCAAATCCTCCAGCGAGGAAACCGAAGCCGCCGGCCGCAGAGACGGTCACTGCTAGACGGCCCATAGTGATCTTCATCATGGGCGCTGAGACCACTAAGGGCGCGTTGGGCGAAGTCCATGGATAGTCCTTGTGGAGGCTATTCGGCGCCATTCTTTTGGTGATGCTAGCAATGCGGCAGCAATAGAAATAGCTGGAAGTAAGATAGATCTCAGTCTCGCTCCGGAGCTGTAGTCGAGTGAGGTCTCAAGTCTTCGAAATATGTGATTCAATAACAACTAGCTGTTTAGTAAGCGTTGGGTCTTGGTCTCATTCCCATCAGGTGGTTCTCCGCGGAGTTCAATTCGATCTTCCCTACCGATCAGAGTCATAGGGAGGCCGGGTTCTGTGCGTCAGTGATGGGTCCGAATACGACGAGGACCTCTCGATCGTAGGCTCGCACGAATAGTCAGTTCCACAGATCCGGATGGCTTGGGAATGACTGGCATTGTGGAGGACAATGCGAGCTGGGAGACTCGGTGGGATAATGCCTCGGATGGGTCGTTTTCTCCATCGGTATGTTGTCACTGTCGTTTGCTTGTGCCACAGACGCCACAACCTGCACCGCCACACCGACAAGGTACTGTCGGCAAACCTTCCTTCGTGAAAAGATATCTCTTGGCGACATCCAGCGAGGCTTCACCTCCAACCTTCACTTCAAGTTGTAGACGTTAGCATTAAACTTAACCTTGTTGTTTTCGCACCATCGCGACTTCTTCAACTTCTCACTTCATCATCCACTTCATCCACTTCCTCATCGCGACAGTCATCCTTGAAACATCAGTCTCATCGCCGCCTGGCATTCTTTGAGCCAAGCAAAGCCGTCGCTTTCTCTGCCTCGATTCTTTCTCTCTGAGATCTGACAAGATGAATGCACCAGATCGGTATGTACCAAAGTTTGAGTTGTCTTTGTTGTTCCATGTCATCTTCCGGTCGGAGAGGAGTAGTCAAGATGTGCAGACAGAGTAGGAGGATGGAAGAAAAGATAAAAGGCCACACCCGCTGCCGGTCACCTGAACAATCTTCCCGCTGCCGGGCCTTCTGGCCATCCAGGATTGTGCGCCGACGATGTCACTGCCGGAATCTTCTGCGTTCTCACTGCTGCTCACTCTGAGTGGCTGAGTTCTGCCAGACCCCAGCCAATCTACAAGCTTGGCATTCGAGGGCGCTGCTGGAAGTCGATCTATATACCACCGCTTCGACTTGTCAACAGCCAACATCCCCCATCATTCTACACATCTTCTCTCTCTCAACCATCATCAAACTCGAACATCATTCTATCAGAGCAAAGTCTCAGGAGCCATGGCGGATGCAGCAGAGACGGCGCCCATGCGTCCGAGCACCACTCCTCCTGGTAGTCCTCCAGCAATGCCATTCCGTGGTCGGGTCCTCAACAGTGGATATCCTGAGATTCCTGCCAGTACCACTCCACCAGGAAGCCCACCAGGAAACCGTGCCTTCTCCAACGCGCTCTTCCGACGCCCGGTCCCTTTCAGCACCACTCCTCCGGGTACTCCGAGACGCTTTTCTACTGGCCAAGACATCAAGGGCAAAGCGCGTTCCACCGACTCCGAATCTCGTGGCGCAGCTGCGAACAACACCAATGCCGGAATGAACCCACGGTACGTTAAGTCTTCCTGGTTGCATACATTCCAGTGTGTCTTTTGACATGCTGGATTTGATGTAACTGCATCAATACAATGTCCTTTCGCCTCACTAACTTGAGTCTTTCCAGTGAGGCTGCCTTGGCCAAAGCCATTGAGGCCCTGAAGGTCGCATACGCCAAGAATGTCCCTCTGATCAAAGAAACCCCCACTTCCAGCAAGGCACCCGGATCCGGTGGAGGCAACAACGAACCAGAGAATACCAACAACCAGGACCACCCGCAGCAGGACGACCACGGCGATCACCAGGACGATGCTAGAGCTCAACAGCATGGGACACGTGGTGAACGTATTCCTGATCGGTGCGCAACCGCAAGATTACTGCACCCATTCCACCGGCCAGCCGACTGCACATCTGGCTATACTCCTGCTCCTGGCCTCAGCCCATTGCTTCTTCTATCTGTGCAGCGTACCTTGGTAACAGCATTGACTGACATCTTTTTCCATAATAGTACCGAGGCTTTCCTTCTTGGACCTGGCGAGAAGCGAATTGAGCTAAAAATCGACACCCGTAAGTGGTCTCGATTTCGTCGTTGCTCCTTGCTGACCAATGTCTCAGGTACTCCAAACACCGAGATTTTCGTCTTCAACAAAGAAGACCACACTCTTGGTGGCTTGCTGGTGGACAAGCTCCTGAAGAACAGCCATGTCCTCTTCGCCGCCTACCGAGTAAGTTGCCCAGAAAGACCCATATCGCCTGGTGAAATATGCTGATTTGCTTTAGGTCCCACATCCTCTTTTCGCCCGATTCGAGCTTCGCGTGCAGACTGATGGGGAGATTTCACCGAAGGAAGCGCTCGTTGCGTCAAGCAGTGAGATCATTCGTGACTTCGAAACCCTCAAGACCAACTTCACCCGCGAGTACGAGTTGAGAAAGATGGTTGGCAGCGCGGCACAGAACAATGGCGCCTGATTGGGGCCCATGTTCTGGATGCCAGTTCATGACGATCATGATCATGGAATGGATGATACCCTGTACCATTAGCGAGGGTCTGGCGTGATGGCGTTCTCTGGGAGCAAGAGGCTCGAACCCATCACCTTTAACAATTGCATTTATTAGTGGCGTCAGGCGGGAGGGCCTTGCACCCCCGAAAGAAAATGCTTTTTCCACAAAACGGTCCTTCTTATTGTATCCTCCCTGTGCTGCCGTAGTATATCTCGTCGAACCCTTACTTCACGTTGATCTGTCACCCATCCCATCGGCGAGTCAGGTTGATGGGGACATGGCAAGGCTGTCTCATAGCCTCGTGGCTCGACGCAGCAAAACCATGTCGCTGCTTTAACAATTGCCAAGACGCAATCATCTCACCTGCAGCTGAGTGCAGTGCCAGCCCCCGTATTAGCACGTCGGAGCAGTAGTAATCCAGAGGAGAGGTATCAGCCATCGGGTCCGCGTCACTGCAATCAGCAATTTGAAACTGAACCTGAACTGCAGCGGCCTCAATTCGTCTCACTTCAAATTGTTGCATTTCTTTCGCCTTTCATTGCGTTCTCTGCGTCTTTTGCCCGTCATGTATTCGTCCTCAAATTCTTTCTTGGGCGGCACGAACACTGGCCGTCCAGGTCCCGCAGGCTTTGGACAACAGCAATCGTTCGGGCCCTTTACCCAAGCTCCTCAACAGCAGACGCCCTTCGCTCCGCAGCCTACCGGTTTCCCTGGACAGTTGCAAGTACAACAGACTGGCTTTCCAGCATATGGACAACAGCAAAACTTTCAGGCTCCTGCTCAGCAACCTCAGTTTACAGGATATCCTGCCCAGAACCAACCCCAGCAGCCGCAGTTTCCCCAGGCGCCACCTTTCCAGCAGCAGCCGTCGTTTCAAGCTACTCCCCAGATACAACCACAGCCCACAGCTGCGCCGCTCCGACCTCATCAGACCTCCTCGCAGATTGCACAATCTTTCAACACCGGTACCTCTACCGCAGCTTCGTCGAACAGAGGCGCAGGCAAAAGGTCGAGCAAGATCCCTAATATTCGGCTGTCGTTCATCACGGCCACAGACCAGGCCAAATTTGAGCAACTTTTCAAGTCTGCCGTCGGAGATAGTCAAGCTTTGGATGGAGAAAAAGCTAGGGATCTACTGCTGAGGTCGAAACTGCCGGGTAGCGACTTGTCGCGGATATGGATCTTGTCAGATACCACGAAGTCGGGGCAACTCCTGTTCCCGGAGTTCGCGTTGGCCATGTACCTGTGCAACCTGAGGTTGACTGGAAAGGAGCTGCCGTCCATCCTACCAGAGAAGATCAGGAACGAGGTATCAAGCATGGTTGACATAATCTCATTTGGCGTGCCCGACGAGAAGCCTCTTCCACCGCCTCGTACCAACGTGCCAGACTTCGACGCACCTCTGAGGCAGAATGCTGTCTCGCCTCCTGCGCCTCAAGCACCACAACCGAAGCAGCCCTCAAACCAGCAGCTATTGACGCAGCTCACTTCCCAGCCAACTGGATTCTATAACCAGGCAACGGGCTTCCAACCTGGTCTACAGGCGCAACCGACGGGGTTTCCTGGGCCTTCTCAGGCAATGCAAATGCAACCGACAGGCTTCATGAACAATCCTCAGCCTACAGGTTATACTGGCCCTCGTCCGCCTCTGCCGCCCATGCCAACAGGGTTCGCAAACAATATGTCGCCTCAGCAGACCGGACCTTTGCAGGCACAGCCTACCGGTATACCTGGTCAATGGGGTTTCATAAACACACCCGCCGGAGGCTTACCGAATATTGAGGCACTACAACGGCAACTCATGCCTCAGTCTGGCCGAGAGGGCGGGTTCACCACGCAAGGCTTAGCCGGCAGCGCCAAAGTTGCCTGGGCCATCACCAAGGAGGAAAAGAAGATCTACGACGAACTGTTTCGCGCCTGGGATGGTTTGGGTAGAGGCTTTATCTCTGGCGATGTCGCGATTGAGATCATGGGCCAGAGTGGACTTGAGCGGTCTGATCTCGAACGCATTTGGACGCTGGCAGACCCCAGCAACAAAGGCCGCCTGAACATGGATGAGTTTGCTGTAGCTATGCATCTCATCTACCGCAAGCTGAATGGTTATCCTGTTCCTACGAGACTGCCACCTGAGTTGATCCCTCCGTCAACCCGGTTCATCAATGAGTCAATCAATACAGTCAAGTCGCTTCTGTCACACGATGCTGAGGCCAGGAAATCATCGGGGGCCTTCTTGCAACCGCAAAGGACTGGGGTAAGCTACCTCAAAAATCACTCATTCCGCAGCGCGTCGAGCTCTCCTGGCTTCGGCCGCAAAGACGCCACAGTCTTCCGCAACAATGATGACGATATTGGATACCGTTCTAGTGCACGGCGCCGCCTTGGAGCCGGGGGACGTACTCCATCCCCTGCGCAATCGTCCGAGGTCACCGAGTCGTACGATGACATGACCCCCGACCAGATCCGGAAGAAGATCCGCGAGAAGAAGATTCTTTTGGAGGCTACAGACTTTGAAGACGAAAGACAGGCAGAGGATGAAGATGTTTTGGACCGGAGAGACAGGAGAGAAGCAGAAGACCTCTTCCGACAGATTCGCCGTGTGCAAGATGACATTGACACTCATCCTAAATCTGATCTGGTTGGATCGGACACTGGTGCCGAGAGGAGAGCCATGCGTCGAGAGTTACAGCGATATCAAGATCGTCTACCTATGTTGGCATCAAATGTTCGAAAAGTTGAGAAGAGCATTGCGGAGGCTAAGTTACAGCTATTCCGGCTGAAAGATGCCAAAGCTCATCCGAACAGCACGTCGAACATTGTTGGGACTGGTCCCGGCGGTGCGGTGACGGAGGCTGACCGCATCAAAGCACGTGCGAGGGCCAGGATGCAGGCCCGAGCTGCCGAGCTGGCAGGACGACCGGTCCCCGCAGCTGATGATGAGGGAGCTGCGCAAAGACGTCTTGAACAAGAATCATCCAAGATCAGGTCCGATCAAGAACGGCACGAAGCCATGACTCGAGATGTGGAGGATAGTGTCAAGGATTTTGTTTCGAGTCTTGAGGATGGCCTGCGCGAGCAAGGTGAAAGTGCAAGCCAGGAGCATGAACGAAGACGGTGGGAAGAAGCTTTGGGCGTGGAAGATGAAATCAAGGAGCTCATCTATGATCTCCAACGAAGCAGTAGGACTGCTAGAGTCCGCAAAGAGGAGTATGGCGTTCCGTCGTCCCTGAGTAAGGATTTGGTGCTAACATATCTTAGGCAATCACGCTCCGTCCGACAACCGTCTTTGGACCATGTCCGTGAAGAGTCGAAGCCCGCAAATGGAGATCTACCTTCTCGACCTGCGCCGACAACCACCAATTCGTCGTCTTCCGTCACACCCAGCCTATCGCACCAGGACCGTATCGCCTCAGCAAAGGAAAAGGCCTTGCGGCGTATCCAGGAAAGGATGGCGGCAGCTGGTCTCAAACCAGCAGGCGAAAGCGGTGAAACGTTGCAACAACGACAGGAGCGAGAGAAACAAGAAAGAGCGGAGCGGTTGCGAAAGGCAGAGGCCGAGGACGCAAAGCGCGAGGCCGAGAGACAGCAGAGATTGGCCAATGAAGGAGTGGCACCTCCCAGTCCCAAGGCCGTCAAGGCACCCCCTCCACCACCCACCAGAAAGACGCGACAGGACAGCTCCGAGACATCGGACCGCAAAGCCGCCGAGGAGGCAGCTCGTGCCAAGGCGGAAGAAGAGGCAGCCGCACAGATTCGGGCCCAGCAGGAGATTCAACAACAGGAGCGTGAACGACTTGAGTTAGTAAATACAATCCTACCACTGCAGGACATACTGACAAGAGACCTAGGACTCAAACCAAAGAGGGCGAGGACGAGCTCGAGAAGGAACGTGAAGCTGCTCAGGCTCGTCTGCGTGCTCTCGAGGAGCAAGTCAAGGCCGGCAAGATCAAGAAACAGGAGGAGAAGGCCCGAAAGAAGGCGGCCGAAAAAGAGGCCAAGGAGAAAGAAGCCAGGCTCGCAGCTCAGCGAGCCGAGCTTGAAGCGGCTCGCGAACGGGAACGACAACTCCAGCTCCAGCTCGAGAATCTGGGCGAGTCATCCTCTGATGATGACGAAGGTCCGGAGCAGATCACACCTCAGGAGAGTACACCGGCCACGAGTCAGGTTCTTCCCAGCACAATCTCTTCACCTCCACCAGCAGCTCCGCCAGCAGCGCCTTCTACCAGCAGTGGTTACGAGGCGACTCCTCTTTCTAGCCCGCCTGCTGAAGAATCGAGGAACCCATACTTCAAAAAGCGGACTCAGTCTTCGGAAAATGCGCCACCAGTATTCTCCCCACCTCCTGTGCCGCAAACTCAACCATTCTCACCTCCCGAGGCCCCGCCGGCAGCGCCAGTCGATCTGCCGTCAACAAATCCGTTCCACAGGATGGCGCAACAAGAGGCTGCGAGCCCGCTCATACCCAACTTTACGGGTAAGCTGCTGTCCCGGCGTCGTCCCGAAGAGGATGAGTGGTCAGCAGCTGGCTCCAATAAAGGGGACTCTAGCGATGAAGACGAGCCTCCGGCCAGCGGATCAGCGAAGCACTTGGCCTCCATTCTTTTTGGTACGATGGCGCCGCCGAGACCTCTTTCAGCCATGGACAGCAAGCCTGATACACCGGTTCAAGAACCAGCTCCAGCCCCAGCCCTAGCTCCTTTGTCTACCGATTCCGCTCCACCTCCGCCACCATTACCGAGCAGTGATGCTCCGGCCGAACCTTCTCCTCCGCCTACGATTCCAGGGTCATTTGAGGAAGCGAGTGCGCCTCCTCCGCCTCCCCCACCAGCTCCTGGATTCGGGGCACCAAGCGCGCCTCCGCCGCCGCCGCCCGTCCCTGAATCTGGAGCCTTCAGCGCACCTCCTCCGCCTCCACCATTTCCCGATACTGCTGCTCCTGGAGGTCCACCCCCACCTCCTCCCATGCCCGGCCCGGCTGCCGCAGCCCCGGCTATCGGGTCACTTTTGGGCGAGATCAAGAAAGGGAAGGGACTACGCCATGCTCAAACGAATGATCGTAGCACAAGTTCTATAGCGGGGAGGGTTTTGAATTGAACATTGGTGTTTGGTAGACGGGCAGCATGGTATGTATATTGACATAACGGTGCCGAATATCAGATTGAACTGGCCATCCCTACAACTGTCCATTTATTGGTCCAAATATATGGTATCTCAACACATGAGATAGTAGACGGTGGCATAACAAAATGAAATATCTGATCAACGCTGGCCGTGCGTGGTGCAGCTCTGGAGACTGGAAGATGCGGGCAGCCGAGCACGTGACTTGGCGTGGTGCCGAAAGATCAACTAAACCCTTTCTGGACAGAAAGTAAATACAAGTCATTGAACCACAACATCTGTTCCGTAGACGACGAAGACCCTTGCACAGCAATCCAACCGTTACAGATGCATTGCAGGCGCCGTCATCGATAATAGCTGACCTTGGCTGTTGCTACTTGAGGAAGACACGACAAAGTTCCCTTCTGAGGGTATTGAGAGACAGACTTCAACGATGCCTCGTGTCGCAGGGCAGTCCACCGGCCGACCAGGCCGGGCGGGTGTTGTGATGAATATGGCGCGCGAAAAGAACAAGTCGTCGCCAGTGAAGTGAGTGTTTAACATGCGCTATCCAAATTGATATTGAAGGAATTTGAATGCGACGAGCCACCAAGACTGCGCTCCAACAGCGCTCACTTCATACAGTGGTGGTATCGGTGACTCGTTCGCGCAACCCATGACAAATACCAAAGGGTGCTGGGATCGATTAAAGCTAACCTCTCGGATTCACAAACAGACTCGCGCTCAATGATGACCGTGGCGAAAAGGTGGCACGCTTGCACTCGCGACAAGCACTCCAAGAAATCCATATGAACGAAATCCGCGCCGCGGCGAGCCCCATCCGCAAGATCAATCAACGAAGATCTACGAACACCAACGGCAACAGTAGGAACATGTCAGAGTCGCCGCGCACACCGCGAACATCGGGGGCGGGTATGATGCACAATAAGAGACTGCCGACACAGCAACAACTCCGCCATCACGGGCGAGAAAGCGACATCGTGCCTGGGAGTATAGTGCGGCCGAAATGCGTGCCGATTCTGGCGAATTTTGAGGAGTGGATGAAGATGGCGACGGACAACAAGATCAACGCGGCGAACTCGTGGAATTTTGCCCTGATCGACTACTTCCATGATATGAGTCTGTTGAAGGAGGGCGATGGAGTCAATTTCCAAAAGGCGAGTTGTACGCTCGATGGCTGTGTCAAGATCTACACGAGCAGAGTCGACAGTGTCGCTACGGAAACGGGTCGATTGCTCAGTGGATTGGCAGATGGAGATGGGAAGAGGAGAAAAAAGGGCGACGGCGCCGATGATGAGGAGGAAGAAGACGGCGATGAAGATGGCGAAGAAGGAGAAGACGGGGAGGGGACGAAAAAAGCCAAGAAGAGACCGGTCAGAAGTCACGAAGCTACTCTTGCGCCCAGCTTTGCTTCGTTCCAGGGCAAGAAGCTCGAATTGGAGTTTGCAGTAGATCCGTTGTTCAAGAAAGCGTCGGCGGATTTCGATGAGGGAGGGGCTAAGGGTCTTTTGCTGAATCATTTGTCCATCGACTCCGATGGACGTATCGTCTTTGACAGCAGTGACGATGCCGGTGACGCGACTCTTTCGGCGGAAAAGGAGCAACACCATTCTGAAGAACACAGTGAAAATCAGGACGACGATGACGATGCCACCGAAGTGCCGGAGACAAGGGCAAAGACAACCACAGAAGAGGCAAAAGAAGAGGAGAATGCCGAAGGCGACCAAGACGAAGATATCGATTTGGTAGCCCTCGCTGCCAAATTCTTTCCAGATCTAGGCATCTTGGATTCCCAGGATATCTGTCCCTCCATGAAAATGTTCACGCTTGGTGACACGTCGGGAGATCTGAGCATCCCTTTCCTCAAAGCCCCGGACGACTGGCGAGAACAGAAAAAGGGGGCCGGGGCGGCAACGCCTCAGCACTCGACGAGTAACCCGAACCTCAATCTTTCCGACCAGACTGGCATCTTCCTCGACGGGAGTAATGCCATGGGCTTCGACGATGACGACGACGATGGTGGTCTTCTTGGGGGCTTCGATGTCGCAGACAATGTTGGCTTCGGCGAAGGAGGCGAAGCTTGGGCCAAAGATGCCGCCGTTGATGCGCAGACACGGCTTGCACGGGCTGAAGATGTCGACGATAACCTTATCGAAGGAGACAATGCCGACGGGTATGCTCTAGCACTGCAGCACAAATATCAGGAAGACGCGGAGCACGAGTCGATCATGGCGTATTTCGACAAAGCATTCAATTCGCGAGCCAAAGGCAAAACAGCGTTCATGACCCTGGAGAACTGGCGAATGCAAAAGATCCAGAAGGCTCAACAAGGGGAGACGAGTGCGCCGACCCGACAGAGGAAAGAAAAGGAACCGTTCGAAATTGACTTCCTTGGACCCACGTCGGAGAGCTTGCAGGAACTGCTTGAAGCACCTGCGGTGCTTAACTCGCAGATCAGCCTGCCCAAAGCCCAATGGAGGACGAAAGGGAGGAATCTGCTCGACAAAGATGATGAGGTGGTCGATCCGAGAAAGTTGATGCGGCTGTGGACGAAGCCGAAGTGTCGAGTCGGAAGACGGAAGGGTGGCATGGGCGTCATCGACGAGGGCTTTGGCGCGAGAAACCGATTTGGTATGGTCAAGGATAACGGAGAAGATGACGACGAAGACGGCGAAGGTGAGGGACGGCAAGGTGACTACGATGCCAATTTCTTCGCCGATGACGATCAAATGCCCTTCTTTGACGGACCTTTGCCCATTGACGATGATGATGATGACGACGACGTCAACGGCGGAGGGGCGGGAGGAGCGGACGATGATGGCGCCCAAGCATTCATGGACGCGAGGGAGATGCTCAGCCCTCAGCCTGAAGGACATCAACAGCCGCCACCTGATCTTCTTGGACAAATCGATGGTGAAGTTGATGGCATCGGTTCGCAGGATCCGAACCAGCAGCCGATGAACCCGCAGATGCTGCTGCCGCCCCCACAAAGCCAGAATGACTTGCTCCCAGGCAGTTTCGGGTCCCAGCTCGTGACGCAGGGCGGCCGGAGATTGAGGCCGGAATACGTCAATTACGCGCGGAGCGCGAAGAAAGTGGACGTTCGTCGACTCAAAGAGAACATGTGGAAAGGCATGAGTCAGAAATTGATGGCCATCAATGTCTTCAGCAAGGATGACCGGTTCGGGGGGAGGACCGAACGGCAAGAGGCTGGAGATTCCCCTGCTCCCGTGGTCAACGAAGATGTCGATATCGATATGATGGATGTGGATGCTGATGATGCCGCTCCTGATGCTGGCGAAGCGGGAGCTATGGTGGACGAACACCACAACCTGACCTCAACCGACAAGAATGATGCGAATGCCCCTGAGCAGACCCAACAGCTCACATTCACCGACGTGATGCGCGACCTGAAATACGTCTACCCGGATCAGCAGATGAAGGATATCAGTACCTCATACTGCTTCATCTGTCTGCTCCATCTGGCCAACGAGAAGGGGTTGGTTTTGGAGGTCGAGCGGGATGGTGAGAAGGCGATGCAGGACATCAAGGTGTTCCGAGATCCAAGTGTGGGAGAGGAATACGAGGGCGAATAGAGAGAGAGAGAGAGAGAGAGAGAACAGGAGAAAGAACTTGGACGGAACTTTCGAGATCTAGGCACCTTACCTGATGATGATGGCGATTTGTTGCGGCGTGTGTTTGGTCTGGGTGCAACGAAAGGAAAAAAGAAAGGATTTGGATGTGTTCATCACTTGTCGTTGTCATTGTGATTGTGATTCTGCTGACGATCCAATCCTGAACGTGATTCCTCGACCTTGGATGCCGTGAGAATAGGGGAGAGGAATCAATGCAGTGGGAGGCAACGCTTTGAATAAATACCCCAGTGGAGTCTGTCAGCTGTGTCCATTCGTGATGGTCATGGTCATGGTGATTGGAATGGGATGGGATGGGATGGTCTTCAGATTGATCTTTGATCTTATCCAGAATGTGTTTAATGCCCAACTTTCAAATGCTCACTCTCTGGTCTATTACTTTCCACTTTCGATCTGTTCGTGCGTCCGGTTTCCAACAAAGAAGACGTACCATGACAGTGGTCACTGTCTTGCCGATGAGGTGACACAGTCCTAAGCATGGCTTTCCAAGGAGATACAATGGCACCGCTTCGCTTCGCTTGGAGGAGAGATTGTAGGATCAAACCTGTGGGTAATGACTGTTTCGTGTAAACAGACTCTATCTAGATCGAGTCTTTCTTTTCTTTCCAAAAAGGCAAAAGGAAAACGGTGCTGGTATACAGTTATTAGTATTTCATTTGAGTTGATTCCCTACCAGTACCACTACAATCCTTCCCGATTCTTCATTGTTCTTTGCTCATAACCATCTTCACAATCCTTGCTCACCCTTCAATATCCTTCGCTATCCTTCGGTCTTTTTCAATCACCTCCGACACTCTCCACACTATACTATCATTCTGGGGACTCCGGCGCCCGCCATGACAGCTTCCCCACATTGATGGGCCATAAACTCGTCGCGATCAACGTCATTCACATATATCACGATCTCTCAAGTATTTATTTAGCTACAAGTATATCAAACCAACCGAACGAAGCGATCTGTGGACACAGCGAACTTGATCTGGTCTCTGGGTACCTGTACCTGTACAAAGAAAATACAATGACATCTCCTCTTCCAAGCATGCGCCGAATTGTGACCTCTCACAATGAAAAAGGAGAGGCGATCATCAGCCGCGACACTCAAATCATCTCCCAAATCCTACCACACGGGGTTGGGTCGGCGCAAATATGGTCCAGCGACAGCAGTCCCGCGGACGTGGCCTCGTCGGACGACAAAGGTGATGTCGAGGCCGGGTTTGTCAGTGGAGGTTCGATTTTCCGAGTCGTCGACGTTCCGCCACGGAGCACTGGGGCTCTCCACCGTTCCATCTCTTTGGACTATATCATTGTCCAACGGGGAACCGTGGTGCTGAACTTGGACGACGGGTCGAGGACAAAAGTAGACCCAGGTGGAATCGTCGTCCAACAGGCTACTATGCATGGCTGGGACAATCAAGGCGACGAATGGGCTCGGTTACTTTGCATCATGCTACCGGCCAAGGCTCCTGTCGTGGGCGGGAAAGAGCTACGGACGGACTTGGGTGCTTTGTTTGCATTGGGCAATTGAAAGGATTAGACCCGTGGAAGGGTGCCGGATACTAGATAATAGGTATCCTGGAAGCCGAGTCCCTACCTCGCTCTTCTAGCATGGGGATCCGATACCTAACACCGAGACAACTGACGACATGTGGATATGGCGTGCCAGTGGTGAGGGGTCAATGGCACCGGCGAGTATGATTTATCCAGGTGCGGAGGTCGAGTAAGAGTTCCATTGTCAGGGATCAGGGTTCGGGTTCGGGACCGAGGGATTGTCAGCAAGGTGGGTGAAACCCTTACCGCTGAAGAACGTCGTTTCTGCGACCCACGATCCATGCTCCATGCTCCATGCCCCATGCTCCATGCCCCATGCCCCATCACACCCCATTCCACTCCTCGTGGAGTGAACCGAATGTGGGGAAAAAGGACGCGAGTTTGGCACGAGATCAAATGCCCAAAGACGGTATCGCTGTAGTACCTAATGTAGGTACAGAGTAGGCATATCTTGTAACGTGGGACAGACGGGACATTGGCGATTCTGCAAAAGTCTCTTGGTCGCCAGGGACATGATGGTGTGGTCAAGGCTGATTAGATTCGTTGAGGAGTCTGGAAACACGACTTTTGGGGATCCATGCATCGACAAAAGCGACGACGACCTGATTACGCTGGTGAATCGGCGTCAACTATATGCCATCAGGCTCTCCGGCAATGATCCTTTTGCACTGACCCGGACGAATGAGAGGACAAGGGTCGACCGTCTTCTCGGGGTGCTCACTGAGGAAGACGTGAGTGTCTTCAAATGTATAGGTCTCAACTATGTCAAACATAGTAAGTCGCCGCGGGATCGTGGCTCACCGGCTCCAGAGAGCACCACCAAGCAGCCTTGTCATCCGTCACCCTGACTGACTGATGGCAGTTACTGAAAGTGGTCGTAAAGCACCCCCATATCCTTCCTTGTTCATGAAGCCTGCGCCGGCCATAGCAGCATTCAATGCCGACATTCGAGTCCCGTGCATTGCGCAGAACAAGAATCTCGACTACGAGGGCGAGCTTGTACGTGAAGAGCAAGACCAAAGGACCAGACATTCGGGCGACTAACCGTTCACCAGGCTGTTGTCATTGGGAAGTCGGGGAGAAACATCTCGACGGAGGATGCCATCTCCCACGTCGCCGGATATGCGTCTTCGAATGATGTCTCGGCGAGGACCTGGCAACGGGATCCCGCCTATGCCGGAACTGTGCCACAGTGGTCTTTTGCAAAGTCCTTTGACACGTTTGCGCCGCTGGGGCCGATGCTGGTCTCCCCCTCCGTCGTGGGGGCTGCGGATCATCTGAGATTGCAGACCTGGGTCAATGGGGAGGTCCGCCAGGATTCCAACACAAATGACCTCCTGTTCAACGTTGCTGCAATCATCAGCTTTCTGAGCCAGGGCTCGACGTTGCAAAAGGGTACCGTCATCATGACCGGGACGCCTGATGGAGTGGCTCTGGGTATGGCGCAGCCGAAATGGTTACAGGACGGCGATGTAGTCGAGGTGAAAATCGAGCATCTGGGTGCTTGTCTGAACCGCATCGTCCACGACGAGATCAGGGGAGTCCTCTGATGGAGGTCTAGGCAATCAGACAGTATGAGTGTGTCTCGAAACGCCCTCGAGTCTTGAAGTGTAGTGCAGTCGTAGTGACAGGTATTGGATGAGAGGCAGGACTGGGATATCGGCCTCTCATCCACGTATATCGAGATCGAGGAAGGCAAACACCTCGAATCCATTCAAGATCCATCTACTGCCAGTGGTGAACTTGAACTTGAACTTGAGCTTGATCTTGATTTTGAGCTCCTCGGCAGGAAACCCCCGCATTCCTGTAGACTCGTTGTCAATACCCTAATACCCCGACTTTTGACCCGCGAACCCCAGCGAATATGGAGTTAATATGGAGTGAATATGGAGATGACCTTCACCACCACAACTACTACTACTACTACTACTACTACTACTACTACTACTACTACTACTACCTGCCTGTCATTGCACCTATTGCCAACATGTTCGAACATGGGTTTGTATCCTTCTTAGACTCCGGCACGTCGGACAATCTGTTCCATCTACCTTGACTTTGGAAGATTTCCATCACTTCAACGCTTTGCGCGAGCTATCTGGGCTTCCACATCAGATGATGATCACCCCAAAGTTCCTGCGCTCCTACAGACTCTTCTCAGACTGTCCTTGAGTTACGACCACGAAACCCCTATCCTCTCTATTAGCCATCTCGCTTCTCCCAACAGTGGCTAGTCTGAACCTGATGTCTGGTCATGGAAGACGCCTACGGGCCAAGGACAAGGAGAGGCAGTGCGCATTCTGCGGTCGCACATTCACTAAGGAGGAGCATCTCAAGCGCCATGAAAGATCACGTATGCCCCCTGGAGAATGGAGAGGAAAATGCTGTGCAAACTCAATGGACGCCTGCACCCTCGTTCTCGTTCTGGTTCTGGCTAACATTTGACTGATGCTGCAGATACTGGAGAACGACCGTTCAAGTGTACCAGATGCGACAGGAGATATGGCCGAAGGTTTGCCTCCCAGCTTTTTCTTGACTGCGTCCCTTTGGTGCTACAGATCAACGTTTTATGTCATCTCAACTTCTGACCTGGAATGATCAAGTGATGTCCTTGCTCGCCATATCCAGACACATCCCCACGACAACATTTATCAGAAACCCTTCTCGAACGGCGCCCATGGCAACACTGGACGAATCCATTCAGGGCCGGGCGCCGGGGATGAGCATGGTGAGGCCACTCAACAAATTCAGATGGACTCTTTCACCTTCAGCAACCAGACCTTCCCTGCGCCAAACCAGGAGCAAGTCTTCATCATGCCGGCGGATGAGCACCATCATCCGATGGTTCAGCAACAAAACATCAGGCGATCTTCAACATTCCCACACGCCGACCATGACTTGAGCACAATTGGCCGAGGTGAGCCTTTGTCCGAATTAGGCAGCAACGTCGAGACACACGGCAGCGATGCTGCAGAAGATGGGGACACGGTCACCATTGTAGTAGATGAGCCATCGAACCAAACTACGGGGTCGATGTCGAGTTCTCAAGCACCACTTTGGCAGAAAATACATCATCCAGGGCCACTGCTATCTCACCCCACAGAGGATGTGTCTCGGGGGCAACCGTCATTGCCTGGATGGGACCCGTCCGCTGTTCGGAGCTCCGCCGTGCATTCTCCCAATGGCTTGTCTTTGCCATCTCAGGTCTCCGGCGTGGATAAGTACAATGCAAACTTCATGCTCGACACGGACTTTGGTACCTACGGCTATCTGACTCCCGGCGTACTGGATCTTTTGGACTTTGCAACCCCTCAGCCACCCTCGTCGTATACTCCTCACCCCCAGGACAGGCAAGTTGAGAGATCATGTGATAAACCAGAAGTCCTTTTTTCGGGTCATCAAGTGCAGCGCATGCGCCAGCTGTGGTATGATCGACGACCGGCGTCCGGCATGCAGATGGTACGATCAATGTGGCATGTTGTCGTGCAGTATGAAGCGGACAATATCTTCTCAAGGGCCAAGACTTCTCAGCAAAGCTGCCCAGAGTCACTGTCCCAAAGTGATCTAAACTCTCAATGGCATCTCGACGACGAAAGCAGAGGGAGGATGACCGATTTCTGCAATGAGCTCGACAAGAACTTTTACCACGAAGATCTGGCTAAGCTCACACCTCAGTCTGCACCGCGTGCCTCAAGTTCCGAAGCTGGGTCAGGAAGTACATTACCATGGTCCTCAGCAGATGGATTCCCGACGAAGGAAATTCTCAATGCAAGCCTGGAATTGTTCTTCCACTGTTCGCATTTGCCGTTTTTACACAAGGCTACCTTTGACGCAACGTCCGTCCCAGAGCCTCTATTGCTGGCAGTCTGCCTGCTTGGGCTTTCGAGCCTGCATCCGGAACGCTCCAAAAGCTTTGTTCTCCGATACTACAATGTAACCCCTCTCTTTTCTCGTGTTGATATCTTGATACCAATGCTAACAATCGTTTAGAGACTGATGCATTTCTGTCGTAATGATCTAACGACGAAGACGGTGGATCGGTGTAAGCCATGGGAGCTTCTGGTGGCAATAGCTACGACTTTACTGGTCGTATATCTTGCCTTGGGTCACTTGGTATTTCTGAACTTATCCCGGATGATCAAGACTGGACTTAGCTGACCGACGCCACAAGGAAGAGCTCGATGAATCCCAGGCGCATGGGCTCACCATCCAAATGCTTCATGTAAGTATCGCTCCAGGATGGAGTGGATCTGGACTTATTCGTGACACCCAGGTCGCCGAGAGACATGGTCTTTTTGCTGCATCTTGTAGCGATGACCTCATCCTACAATTGCAAGCGACCCCGGATGAGCAAGAGGTTTCGTGGAAAGCCTGGTGTCGTGCAGAGTCCATCAAGCGGTGAGTTCTTTTGGCAAGGAAGAGATCCAATGGCTCATAAGAACGCAGTATGATTTCCTGCCTTCTGTGGATGGATCTGGCATATGCCCGCATCATGGGTGGCCCGGGGATGGTAGACATTGACAAAGTCGACCTTCATCTACCATGCGAGGCCGCCCTTTTCGATGCTCCAAGCTCCAACCGTTTTCTCCTTCTCCAAGCAGGACAACACGGAGCCCAGCTGATGATGCCACGGATGCGGGTACACATGTTCCATGCAAATCCACCTGCCACCCTCACTCACATGTCGATGGAGACCTTACTGGTTGCGCTGTACCTGCAGACAGTCGCCATTCGCCACAAGTGGCATACTCCAGACCACAGAGCCCGCATTTGCAGCCATGAGGAGACCTTGTTCGCCGACGGCAAGGCCAATGGCATCATTGCGTCTCTTCTGCTGTTGCCATCACGGTACGCCAAGTTATTCCGACAGCGGCACCGAGTGACCGCATTTGCATGGAACAACGTTTGCATCGCTCTCACCACAGATCTGAGTCTTTTGGAGACTGCCGCTGGCCGGGAGGGCATTGATACGGCTCAAGTTGCGATGCATGCCGTTACCAGGTGGTCCGAGACACCTAGAGCCCGAAGAGCTGTATTGCACGCAGCACAAATATTTGACATCTTATCTTCATCACGATTCAGCGAGTGGAACATCGCAAGGCCAGATCTGCTGCTGTTCCAATCGGCCCTCCTCCTCAGCATGTATCTCTTCGTGTTCAAGCACGAAACCGATCACCATGATAGTCCGGCATTCGAGCTTCTCCAAGACGTTGACTGGACAGTGGTTGGAGCAGAGGGAATTGGCAGCCCAACCCAGACTGCGCCAGGGAGTCCCGGAACGACCTGTTCAAGTCCATCAGGATCAGGCTACGCAGCACGCAACTTCATACGCCAAGGTGGGCCGATATCTTTCTCTGGAGAGGCTCTGAGTCCTGGTGGTGTCACTGCCAGGAAGATACTGCTAAACTATGTGCACCTACTGGACGATATCGGCAAGTATAGTGGCTCGATCTATTCACAGTTATTGAGGACGATGAGTGATTGTGTGATTGAGTGAAGTCACTGAATACTCGCCAGCTCACGGCCATCCAACTAGCTTCGCCCCGGGAAGTTGTGGCAAGCAGCCATGCCACGGCAAAGAGACTGTCACCCAGCAGGCACCCTTGGTGCCAGTGCAAACTCTGGGACAGGAGGAAGACTTTAACCTCAGACACGGTGGCAACCTGGGATGGACCCTCGTGACTGCAAAAGTTTGGGCGTCTACTATTGTACATGAAGGTACCTTGAATGCACGTTCGGAGTCCAGAATATATAAGTATATACCCCAGTGTATTTGTATGTCCTACGACGATTTATGCCCTCTATGGCACATGAGGACTGTTCGATCTCGAGGAAATTGATATGGGCTTGATGGGAAGTGGAACGTGCTGCCTTTGCAATGTTTGGCAGATTGTGGTTCCATCTCATCTCTAGTCTCGACTTTGGAGACCCTCTCCACATAGGGGACCCGGAGACTGTCCCACCTTGATCGAGGGACTTCTACCTGTGGATAGGAGAGCGTCCAAAACTTTGACTTTGGCATGGGCGTGAAAACTAAGCCTCGCAAAGCAGTGTCGTTCTCTACTACTAGGTACTAGACGTTCAATCTTGTGGTGAGGCAGGACTTTCCCGTCAATCTGTGAGATCTGTGAGATCCCATTCTCTATAAGATAAGCATAGAAGAAACGGCATAGGCTAACTAACGTGCAAGCCAACTCCGAAGTAACAAGTCGGGCCTGGGACCTTGATTGTTAAATCCGAGAGAGGTCAAGCCAACAAAGACAGCGTTTTGGAGAGAACAATGTCGAATTGGGATCAGGATGAATTCATGTCCCAGTGGGACAAAAAATACGTCTCAACCAACGTGAAGACCGGGTCTCGACCATATGATAAAGAAGTCTTCCTAAAACTCGACAAGGACCTGGCCTCATATCCCGATCTACATCGCATTGCCCATGCTATCATGGTATGTCGAATTCGTTGCTATCCTATTCAATCATCTTGAGGTTTCTCGACCTCTAACCACCCACTAGGCTGCCGCGTTCTGTGCGGTAGGACGTGCAGATGTTGTTGGAAGGTTCTTTGATGACACTACGGCCACAGCCACGCCAGATGATTCAGAAGCAATCTTCCTACGTCTTCGAGAAGCCATCACCATCATCTTCCCTTACGTGGGTATGCCGACCTGTATACCGGCCTGCTACGGAATGATCGGCGTGGTCCAACGCAAAGGTCAAGCATTTGCCTCTACAAGAGTGCTACGGAAGCCCATCGTCACCGAACAGGACGCACAAAAAGGAAACGAACTCCGCTCAAGGATCTATAGCGGAGTGGGAAACTCGGAGATTTTCGGGCTCATGGAGAAATATTTCACGGATTTATGTGAGTGTACGCTGCTTTGTGATTTTCCTCGGCAACCACAACTGACAACGGTCATCCAGTTACTTGTTCGACCGTGGTGACATGGGGCTATCTGATCGCGAAGGCGAACGAGGAGGTCTTTCACCCCCAGGAGTCCCACCTGATTGTGGCCACGGCCATCATGGCTTTGGGAGCAACACGCCAGGCCAAAAGTCATATCAAGGCCACGCTGGGCATCGGCAACTCCATCCCGTCGGTCAAAGCTGTGGTCGAAGTCGTCTCTGAAGTCGCTAGATGGGCCGACCGTCCTCATATTGGACCTTTTCACGTTGATGAGCTTGCGAGTGAGATTCAGCGTGCGTTGAGGGGTTAGTGTTACGCTGGAGATGGGCTGCGGGTGGTCAATGTATGGCGATTGCAAAAGGGGGAGAATAGTAGCATCGGTGAGATGCCTTTACCTAGACTCATCCACGGTGCGGAAGTTCGAAATGGACGCACCAAGAGTTTGCAATCACAGCTGAAGGCTAATCCCAAGCCATGGTCTTCATGATTGGTTCTCATCCGAAGCCCTCGTGGTCTTTGACCGGCAGCTGGTGTTTTGTCCGTGCAGTACAGGTAGGGCCGGAATCCCCTCGCTGTTCTTCGTGTGCCCAGCATGTCCCCACATTCCCCAGTTTCCAGCAGACCGGGGGCAGAAGATCGAGACCTTGTGCTCCAGGCACTTTTGACCTCGGAAAATGACCACGTCCGGGCGGTCGGGCCGAAGATATATATTGCTCGCGAGTTGGGCTATTGTTTGTCCGCGTGAATCGACAACCATCTCTGCCCCCAAAGCTGTTATACCTAGCCTCGTCGAAATCAACAGACTAATTCCGGCCCCCTACGGCCTTCAACATGCCTCTCCCAGCGCCCAGGGTGGCGTTCGTCACTGGCTGTAATGGGATCAGCGGCAATGCCATCGTCGAGTACCTTGTTCGCCAACCCAAGGAAGAGTGGTAAGAACGTTCCGCTGCAGTGACGCTGGGGATTGATACATGAAGCTTTACCCATGGAGATTTGTCTATTCTGACACTGCGAGGCAGGTCACGTATCGTGGTGTCTTCTCGAAGTCCGTCAAGACATTACTGGCAAGACCCTCGGGTGGAATTTGTGGCCATCGACTTTCTGGATCCGGTCGATACCATCATCGCAAAGATCCAACCCATCTGCAACACCGTCACGCATGCCTACTTCACCTCCTATGTCCACACGGATGACTTTGCAAGATTGAGAGACCTGAACGTTCCTCTTTTTGAGAACTTCTTGACCGCAATCGACACGGTTGCCAGACACTCTCTGCAGCGGGTCTGTCTGCAGACTGGCGGCAAGGTATGAATCGTGTCGTTGGCGACATGGATGTTTTTGGCTGATTTGAACGCCTTCCTGAACAGCATTATGGTCCTCACTTGGGACCGGTCAACGCCCCACTGACCGAAGACCTCCCCCGATACGAAGACGGTGGCTTGAACTTCTACTACAGTCAGGAAGATTACATGTTCGACCTGCACAAGCAGAGGAGTTGGTCATGGAACGTCATTCGCCCTAATGGCATTGTCGGCTTCACCCCAGGCAGTAGGTACCTACCTACCTACGAACGACCTTGGTCTGGGGGCTTTGACTGATTGTATCTTCCCCACCCGCAGAAAATGGAATGTCGGAATCCATCACTCTTGCTCTCTACATGCTCATCTGCAAGGAGCTTGGCGAGACACCAAAGTTTCCCGGGAATAAATACTTCTACAACGCCGTCGACGATAGCTCCTATGCGGTGAGTCTGGCCGACATGTCTGTGTGGGCGACGACGCACGACCACGCCAAGGACGAAGCGTTCAATCACGTCAACGGCGATACTATTGTGTGGAGGTACTTCTTTAAGAAGGTTGGCGCCTACTTTGGCATGGATGTAAGCCCCCGTCCGCAGTGATCGTGATCGTGATCGAAGCTGGCCATCAGAGAGCTAATTTCCCTAGATTCCCGACCAGACCGAATGGCCGGAGCTGGGCGAAAATCAAAAGATGGCACACGGATTCAGGATGGCCGAGTGGGCGGCGGACAAGAAGCCGGTGTGGGACAGAATTTGCGACAAATACGGCGGCAAAAGAGAGGCCTTTGACTGGGGCACCTGGTTTTTCTTTGACTGGTCAGTCGGCAAGGCATGGCCTACATTGTCGTCGATAACCAAGGCACGCAAGTACGGTTGGACTCGGTACGATGACACGTACGAGACCTGGGTCGAGACTTTCCGAGCGTTCGAGAACGCTGGCGTCCTCCCCCAGAACAGCGTGCTTCTCGCCAATGAGAGCTCGGGCAAGATGGTGAACGGTGTCAAGGGGGAATCAAACAATGTGCGGACAAACAAGGCTGGTGTGGAGGCGGAGGCGCCATCATTGGTGGCGGCGTAAAGGAGGCGCTGAGCTGAGCTACCTACACCTTCTATTCTACCCACGCTTCCTTGTCTGTGGGAGGACGCCGAGCAAGTCCAGAGCACGCAGGAATATAACTACACGCTGAAATCAAACAAGACGAGCCAGATGCTTATGTCGGATATCGTGCAACGAGATCCACTCCCCTCCCTTCCCTCGCTTTCCCGGGTAGAGAAACGGTCGAGATGGCCTAACAGCCCCTAAGCTTCCATCGTTCCATATCCACGAGGCCCCCCAGGGCTGTATGTAACGTAGATCGTGATGCCCAGCAGTGGGGAGTCCTTCTTCCGCGGCGGGATTAGGTTCCCCATCACTACTATGAGGACACCGGGGTCCCCAGCCTGCCAAATGCGGAGAGCAAACGCGGGATGTGGGGACCTGATATGATTGGCCCATCTCCACCTCTCCGACGTCTGGGGAGGCATGTGCAGGATGTTCACACAAGCGCGGTCAGCGCCCCATGCTTCAGATCGATCAAACTGCCAGGGTTCATGCTGGACCGTTTTGTTTGGGAGCCGGGAGTCCCAGTGCACTCTCACAGGTGCACTGGAGTCACCGCTGCCGAGGTCTCATATCTCGTGAGTCGTGATCATGGCTGGACATCAGATCTTGAGTATTGCGTTGCTACACATTTGTCATCCGTTGCATATGACTCTTTGTGGCCCAGAGAATGGCTCTCGAGTTGACATAGACCAGGACACCGAGACCAGAATCCAATCACGCACTCGGCATCATGACGGACCAAGATAGCACCGAAGCTCATCGGCCTAATGAGGTGTAAGCAATCATGTTCTGTCCGACCTTATTGATCGAATTGGGCTGATGACCGCATATCCAGCAATGGCCTCAATCCGACAGTCGATGTGAATGGCTCCGCGGCGCATCCCCATGACATAGACACCGATGTCCTGGTGGTGGGAGCTGGAGTCACGGGCCTTACACTGGCAGGTTTGCTGGCGGGCGCCGGGGTACGAGCATTCACAGTGGCAAAGCACCGGGGCACAGCACCGTCGCCACGGGCGCATGTCACGAATCAACGCACCATGGAGGTCTTCCGCAGTATGGGGATCGAGGAACAAGTACGGGCAGTGTCAACGCCTCTGCCACAGTTGGGCAATGGAGTCATCTGCACCAGCCTCACGGGCATGGAGATAGGACGCTATAGCTGTTACGGCGCCGGCCCCCATCAGCTCACCGATTTCGCGCTGGCCAGCCCATGTGAAATGATCAACTCGCCGCAACATGTGTTGGAGCAGGTCCTTCTGGCGCACGCCCGGGACCAGGGAGCCTCGATCCGCTACTCGAACGAGCTGGTCGAGATCGAACAGACGTCCGAAGGGGTGGTTGCCCGGATCCGAGAGCGACAGTCGCAAGCAGAGTATATGGTCCGGGCTCGCTACGCCGTTGGAGCCGACGGAGGCCGGTCCACCGTGGCCCAGCAGATTGGATTTGGCTTCAAAGGCGAGCCGGGACTCATGCACATGCTGACCTCGTGGTTGGAAGCCGACGTGACGCAGTATACTGCGTACCGGCCTGCGTGCATCTACATGATGGCCCAGCCGGGAAATGCCTTCTGGGTGGGTTCGGGGACGCTGATCGCGGTCCGTCCGTTCCAGGAGTGGCTCCTGAACCGCCAGTACAACCCGGCGGACGGGGAGCCGGATGCCTCTGACGAAGCAGTGGTGTCGTACGCGCGGACGGCGTTGGGGATTCCGGACCTGCCGATCCGCGTCAAAGACAGCAGCAAGTGGCAGGTGAACAATGTCGTGGCCACGGAATATCGGCGTGGACGCATCTTTCTGGCGGGCGATGCGGCCCATCGCCATCCGCCGGCCAGTGGGCTCGGCAGCAATACATGCGTCCAAGATGCTCACAACATCTTCTGGAAACTCGGGTTGGTCTTGTCCGGCCGCGCCGGGGATCGTCTCCTCGACAGCTATCACCAGGAACGCCAGCCGATAGGCGACCAGGTCGTCAGCCACGCCATCCAGACCCTGCACAACTTTGCCCGCATCCCTCAGGTCCTTGGCTTCCGGCACGGCCAGTCGCCCCAAGACGGCTTTGCGTCCTTGCAAGACCTGTTTTCCGATCTCCCCGGCGCAGACCGGCGCCGCGACGAATTGAAAGAGGTCATCGACCTCCAGAACCGCCGTTCAAACGCCCTCGGTGTCCAACTGGGCCACCGATACAAGAACTCGTGTGCGCTGGTGGACGACCAAACCCCATTTCCCGCACCCACCCGTGATCCCGTCCTCTATTACCAGCCCACAACGCACCCGGGAGGATATCTGCCCCATGCCTGGGTCGAGCGCCATCATCGACAGATCTCCACGCTGGACATTCTAGAACACGGCCGGTTCGGCCTCATCGTCGGGATCGGAGGCCAACCATTCGTGGAAGCTGCAGCAAAGGTGGGCGACGATCTAGGTGTGCCCTTGTCGGTGTACCCCGTGGGATACCGCTGTCTTTACGATGATGTGCTCGGGCAATGGAGCAGTGTCCGCGAAATCACGGACCGGGGTGCTCTTCTGGTCCGCCCTGACCGTCATATTGCATGGCGCTGCCTCGATCGCCCGGCAGATCCCACTCAGGCCTTAGGCTCTGCACTGAGCCGGGTCCTTGCGCTCGATAGTCTCAAACCAACGTTTTGATGGAGATCCATTTCATTGCATGTAGCATGTACACTTCAATTCACAGTTGTCACTGGTCTGGTCCAGGTCCACCACGACACTTTTTCAGAGCTGAGTAGCGAGTGTCTAGGCCCGCGGAGGAAGTGTTCTAGTTGAGATATTGACAAAGATCATATTTGAAAAAGTCCAGCTGTAAGTCCTTCTGTTTTCACAATACGTTACACATTTCTGAGCCATACCAAATGCGTGGATCTACAAGATAACGCCCACGACCGGTTGAGAAGAACGTAACATTTCCCCTACACCACATAGTTCTTATTTGGTATGAAATTTGCACCATGTTGAGCATTCGCTGAAGATCCATCCTCTCACATACAGCCATGTATTTGTGCCGAATATGTGTATTTGATATTGTATTGAATCGGTCCCACGTTCAACCAGTTATTCCCAAGGTCTCCTCTCCTTGGATGTGGGAAGACCCAACTCTGGCCTGTCAGACTGTCAAGGGGATGGGAGCGTAGAGTGATCAAGAGTCTTTCCCTTCCGGCGAACTTGGTAGACCTTGCCTTTGATACCGTTCTCGATACTGCCTCAGCAATTCCTTGCCGTAATCGTTCCCGTTTGGAGTCCTGACCAAAGTGTGGATGTGAAATGGCAAGGGATCTTTGTTGGTGAGAAAGACGCCAGAATGGTGGTCAAACTCGACCATCACGACCGGAGAATGGATCTTGTAGTAGAAGCCCGTCTCCCTCTGGTACCCACCGATCCAACAGAAGTACGTATCCTGCCAGTGTGCCGCAATCTCTTGCACTTTCACGGCCAACGCTCCTTCGGGAAGGTAGTTGATACCGAGAACGATCAGCTGGCGGACCAAGTCTTGCTCAACGGCCGTGAATGTCGAGACTTTGGAGCCCTCGTAAGGGATTTGCCGGTTGTCCTGAAAGGCGCCGCCGAGATGCCTCTGGTCGGCCCGATGGTATCGCCAGCTCGGAAATTCCGGACCACTCAGCTGTTTGTAGATTCTTACCCGGGCACGCGTCGGTTGGTCCATTGATTGCACGAGCTGGAGAGCCGTCTGCTCCTGGTCTGTGAAGAGTTCGGTGCCTTTGTTCGGGCCCTCGTCGATGACATTGGGTTCGGCACCCATGAAGACCGGCGACAAGACCATCTGCCGTCGGACCACCAAACAGTTCATGTCCAAATGATGGCCATGGAGCTGCCATCCCCACGGCTCGACTTGCGAGGGCTCCCCAAACATGGTGAAGTTGTAAGACCGTTCATTGAGGACTTTGGTTCCGTCCACAACCTTGCCCAGGAAATCGTTTACTTTCATACAACCCGCGGCTTTGACGTATCCTGCTGGAGAGAGACTGGCCCGCATCAAGCCATGGATGGCCTCTACCAGGGCGTCCGATACCTCTTCCAGACGTACCCCATGTCGGTAGACATAGATTTCCGGGTTCATCCATCGTCGCCACTCCGGTGCATCGATCTCTCTGACGATAAGACGTCTTTGATCCGCGCTCGCTTCCCCCAACACGATCTGTGCTGCCCTGACCATTGCGGCTACCGGAACCGGAGTCCCTGGTCCGCCCGCCCCGTCGTCATCCAGGTGGTATAGATCAGGGATCGATTGGCCATTAACCGTGATTCCTTTGTACGGCTCGCCTAGAAGACCTTCCCATGCTTGCATCCAGCCGGAGACGAAAGGCTCACTGCAGCGTGCTTCCGCCCATTGATAGGTATTCGATCTTGCTAGCTCTTTGCTCCTCGGTGTATCCGGTGGAGGGATGTAGTCTCTCCAGTATGTCGTCCTGCAACCCGTTTCCATGGTCTGCAATTTTCTCAAGATTGAATATATATCAGAGGGAAAATGGCTACTCAATCACCAAGTCTGCTGGTGTATCGAGCCCGGGCAAGTCACTTCACTTGGACCAGGAACCTTGCGATATGAATGTGTACAAACAGTGGTAACATGGGCTAGGCCACATCGCACTGCACATACTACCCCTGCCAGAGCCTCCCGGCTGGGGAATGTGGGAAGGCGACCGTGGGGCCAAGTCAAACCAAACCTCGCCTTACGCAACCTCGGAATCTCGTCCACGGGATGTCCCCATGTATCTGAAACATATGTGACGGACATGGGCATGTGGCGTCATCGAGACTACCAGCTAGATTTGGCCTGGACGCATCGTCGATACCATTAGGTATGCACATCAGCAGTTAGATGGTGTGTCGCCAACCCCGACACTTGACAGACGGACGAGCAAAAGGTTCATGTAGCACGCTCAGACTTCTATTCAGAGATACAGGTGCTTGACTTGAGCAGAGTTCAGGGGCACCGTAATCAGATGCTGACATTGTCGGCTGCATCGTGATCTATTCATGTCTGGCTTCTCAAATCCGCCGCTGATTCTTGGGCTTCCTTGTCCAAAATCGCCCAGCGCTCTGGCGAGCGACATTTCAAGTCAAATGGGAACGTATGTGGCTCTGTATTGAGAGCTCTGACGTCTGTATTTATCAACCCCTGTGAGTAGATGCTCCCTTGTAAAAGAAACACGAGCTGAGATGGAATGCTGGCCACAGGGGGCAGAGAACTTACAGTCGTATTCTGGAGGAGTGATCTCCTTGCCAGTGGCCGCGTCAACTGCCTTTCGAATGTTGCATGCCCAGGCAACTCGCGCAACAATAATATTCAAACTTCTTTCGGCGATATGTGCTCCAGGGCACAGTCGTCGTCCAAACCCAAAGACAGAATAGTTGTTCATGTTGGGGTAATGAGTGAGAGGCTCGCGGTAGGTTGGGTACTTTGGCGACAGCCATCGATCCGGGCTGAAGGATTCAGGCTCAGGGTAAAGCTCAGGATCTCGATGGATAGCCCTGTAGTCACCATGTCAGCCTTGAAGGAGAAGAACCTGTGGAACATGCAAGGTCTCACCATAGATTGGGGTGGATCAAGCTGCCCTTGGGGATGAAATACCCATTGTACACATCGTCCTCCGTAGTCTTATGGGGGATTCCTAGAAGAGGAGGAAGGGGACATGTCAGTAAGTGTCAGAAAAGAATGAGTAGAACTCTCTCGAAAGTCCCTTGAGTCTTTTACCTCCTGCCGTGACCGGTCGCAGCCTGGCCACCTCTTTCACCACCGCCCTGACAAGCGGGAGTTGCGGTAGATCGTCAAATACAGGCAGACGATCTGGGCCGACGACTTGGTCCAGCTCTTGCTGCAATCTTGCCAGCCATTCTGGATTGAGCACCATCATCAACACCCAGCTCATGGCGAGAGATGCTGTGGTAGAAGCCGCGGCCGAATACAAGCCACCGAGAACGTAGATCCCCTGCAGGTCAGACAGACCAAACTTTTGCTTGTTCTCGAGCCACATTCGAGTGAAACTCGGCCCTGCCTTGCCCGAGGCCATGTCCTTTTCCACGGATTCGACAAGGCCGCGGAACAGTGACACTTCGCGAGTACGGTGTGCCAGCGCCTCCCGCTTGAATGGCGCCAGTGGCGATGGCAACCACATCAGGATGGGCAGCAAGTCCACCAAATATCGACCAGGGGTGGCCACTCGCTCAAAGTTGACTTGGTTCTCGTAAACGAGCCGCACGATGTCCTCCTCTCCGGTCTCGATCTTGGTGCCATACGTGAGCCGAAGGATGAGGGCTGAAGCGTAGCGCTGGAAGAGAGTCTTGTATCGTTTCGGTTCCAGGACGAGATCGTGCACCAGGCGGGCTGATTCTTTCATCTGAAGAGGCTGATAGGATGTGGCAGCCTTCACTTGAGTGACATGATGCTGGAGCTTGCGGACGCGGCGCCACGCATCTAATGGACAACGTATTAGCATTTGAATCGCGGAGCACAAGAGGCGAGGTTGTGACTGGTGACGCGGAAGCAATGGGGACTCATACCGCCGTAGGGTAGAAGTAAGGCTCTCTTGTTGTCACTCATCAATTGGGATCCCATGGGCATTTGTTCGCGTGAGCTGTAAATGTCTCCGCGCTCTCTGAGCAGATCGTTGGCGATTTTCTCGGTCGAGACCACAACATTGACTCTGCCATAGGCTGTATATTGGCAGATAGGTCCATATTTCCGGCCCCATTCCGTGAATTTGTACCAGAAGTAGCCGTCTTGACCCTTCTTCAGCTCGTTGGCGCTGCCAATGAATGGTAATCCTGGCAATTCCTAAGTCAGAGTTCCAGTCAAGCATATATAAGAATGCTCCCGTGTTGTCCCAGCTAACCTTTAGGTCCCGGCAACTGTTTCGTCCCCTTTTGCCGCCGGGGCCGCAGAAATCGAATACATTGCACGAAGGCAATCAAGCAGACGAATGCTAACAGTGAAGTAAGATGCAGCATGTTTCAACTTGAAAGAACTCCCAGTTTCCGAAAAGTTCGGGGTCGATGTGAATCTTCATATGGTAGAACAGAGCAAGGCTGCAAAATGAAATCAACCATACAATGATGTCGATGTCACAATCCATGCACTATAAGTGCCTTCAAGGGTAGTGGGCTTCTGTGTGCGAGGTCGGGTCTGAAAGCACATTCCGCCGGCAGAAGAAGTTGACTTTTCGGTCGCCCCAAGTTGCCACATCTCCATGGATGGGATCCACGATGTTCGCATCTAATACCCAATGGCTCTCATTGAATGTAGAGAGTAAATCATCTCCCACCTGTACCCTTGCCTGGCCCGTTTCGCGCCAATGTGGGGATGGTTCTTCCCCAGATGTTGTACCGAAGTCAGTCAATGTCGAACGTGCCAGTTAAAAGGCGTCCCACCCCACATATCGCACATGGGGACGACGAGGAATGAAAGAAGTCAGGTCAATGTAGCCCACTGCAGGCACGGCAGTCTCGCAGAAACCTCTAAACTAGGTTCTGGTATCGGCCAATCGTGAAGGGTCCCTGCCTGCTTGGTCCTTTCAACGCCTCCTGAACAGTCAATAGCCCGATCAAGATCTCTCTGGGAGTCAGTCGACTGGCACTCTTGCAGGGGAAATGGTTTGGGTCAAGGTTTTCTGGGGAAGAAATCCACCATGGCACGTCCCCACGGGGTACCGACTTGATGTCCTCCAGTTCTTGCCTATAAGCACTGCCTGCTCGCCGTCCGCTTAGCAGAAACCTCTTGTTTGCATAGTTTCAGCATGGCAGAGATCCACAAAGCTCCGGACCACATTGATCATGTCGAGGAATCAGCTTATGCCGCAAAAGCGGTGCCAGATGTTGTGAAAGTCGAGGGCGGTGTCTTGCTCGACGCCGGAACGAAAAATGAATATCACCTCAAGGTCGCAAAGGACGGACATGTAAGGAGGCCGAGGCTACTTTGCCCTCCACTGAAGATGTCGCGCGAGTCCCGAGAACACAAGCTGACCATACTCACAGACTGTCCTCCTGCCACAGCCATCTGACAACCCCGAAGATCCTTTGCTATGGTCGGTTTTCAACAAACATGCCCTTCTTTTCACCCTCGCCTATGGCGCTTTCACGGCCGACGCCATCTCTGGGGAATGCACCGCGTTGATCGTCGCCCAGGGGACCGACTGGGGCATGAACCCAAACACGGTCAACCACGCCAATACACTCAACATTTTGTTGCTGTAAGTCCGGCAAGGATCGCGAGGCTATCGCAAAAGCTAAGACCCAGACCTCCAGAGGCATCAGTGCCTTGTTCTTTGTCCCTCTCTCGACCTGGTGGGGGCGCGCTCCCACTCTGTTCTGGTCCGCCTTCATCGCGCTGTTCCTCAACCTGGGCGTCGCGCTCTCGACCGATTGGGACACTTACTATGTCCTTCGGGTATTGTCAGGCTTGTTTTCGAATGCGCCACCCAGTATTGCCATTGGCTGTCTCCGGGATATCTTTTTCTTCCACGAGCGTGCTCGAAAGATTGGGTTCTGGACTTGTCTCTTCATTGCATCTCCTTACATGGGCCCTCTGTTTGCCAACTTTATGCTCGCAGGCTTGGGTGAGTGGCGACCCGTGCTCTGGCTGGGACTTGCAATGCATGCTCTCTACGTCTGCACCTTGGTGGTCTTCTTGGACGAAACTTGGTACAACCGCGACCCTGCACACAGCGACCAGCCTCCGCGTGGCAGTGCCTTCTTGGACAGGATGCTCCGCGTTACGGGCTTCTGGCAGATCAGGCATCACAAGTACTTCATGACTCTGCGTCACTCCCTGACGAGGTTTTTTCAGGCTCTACTGAAGCCCGTGCTGTTGATTGTCTATTTCAATTAGTAAGTCTTGGGTCCTTGCCGCCCGGCAGCATATCTCTGCTGATTGTCGTACCCAGTTTCATTGCTTTTGCCTGGGCTGTGGGAATCAATGTAACCACAGCAATCCTCTTTGCCACCCCGGTTGAGTTCGGTGGATATGGCTACAATTATCGACAGCTTGGCTTCTTGTACTTCACGCCCGTGGTTGGAATCCTTCTGGGAGAGGCATTTGGGCATTTTGCAAATGATTTCTTGGCCAAGATATATGTTCGCCGCCACAAAGGTGTCTTTGAGCCTGAAGTCCGCCTTTTCATGGCATATATTGCTGCCTTTCTTATGATTCTGGGCCTCGTCCTCTTGGGTCAAGGGTTGTACCACAAGCTCAACGTTGGAGTCATCATCATAGGGTGGGGCGCACAAGTCTGTGGCCTGGTCATCCTTTCCGTGACAACATTTGCATATGCTGTCGACTCTTACCCCACGGCGTCTGCTGAGACTGCGGGATGGGTCAGCTTCATTCGCGTTGCTGGCGGGTTCAGTGTCGGATACTATCAGCAGCCGTGGGGAGAGGCTGTGGGATATAACAACAGCTTTGGTACTCAGGCAGCCTTGGTCGGTCTTGGAATGCTCCTCATCATCGTCGCGCACAAGTTCGGCCATCGACTCCGAGTCAAATCAGGCGACATCAACTGAAGACAGATTGGAGGCCAGCATGTGTCTCTGGGTTTGAGGAGTCTCATACCACACCCGAGGATATATGACCTTTTTCTTCATCACGGGCTTCGTTTGAAGCGTGAAGATGGCCTTGAAAAGGTGGTGCTCAAGAAGTGCCTTTTGTGTGCTTGATATCTGTTCTGAACAAAGTTTTGAATGAACCTATACCATCAAAACACTTGCCCCCTTCGTAGGATACTACATCAATGCGGTGACTTGATATAGCCATACTCTGTGGGACCCTTGTGAATCCTTCCTACCTGTAACTAACTGATTAGCCCCCAAAAGTGTTTCTCTTATCTCTTATTAATTATATATCTTCGGAAGAGCCTTTCGAGTTACTAATAATAGTCGGTACAGGGACCTTTGCCGATGGCGCTGAGACGCTGAGACCAAGCCGCGATGATCAAATCATTTCCAAAATACTACCACACGGGGTTGTAGGGGTCTTGCGTAAACAATGCCTGATTAGCAATTGATACCCTTGAACACTCTCGATCAATTCCCGAATTCCAACCCATTCGCGGTCTGTATGTGCTGTTTGAATTGAACCAGGCCCAAACAAATATTTACGGTGTGAACCAGGCAGTCGAGGTATGTCGGTGCCGTAAGAGGCAATATATGAACCTAGATCTGCAGAGACAACAGCGGTGAACACCACGTTAGCGACAAGCGACACTCACAAATGAACTCAGTTTCTGGGGATCGCAAACTAAGTCGGCATCTGTTTAGTGTAGTGGACAACGGACGTCCGGTTTGGAGGACTAAGATGCACTCAACTGGGTCCACCACGGGAGGTTGAAAGAAGAAGAAGAAAAAGAAGAATAGACATTCTCATACCGTTCTTGCAGCACCGCCAGCATGGTGGCGATAGCACTGCGGCCGAGCTCGGGATATCCCGAATGACAAGCGACACCCTGGACATCAAGGCGGAAAACCATGTGTCCTTTATGCCCCTGGGCAAGTTTTGATTCTGTCGGTTCCGCGAACACGATACTCTCCCAGGACAAGCCCATGGTCGTACTCCAAGGTCCCATTTCCAACATGCCAGGCCCGCCGGCTTCCTCGCCCACCACAAACAAGAACGCCACGTCTCCCCGAGCACGAATGTCCCCTGCGGCACGCAGCTCTTCCACCGCCATGATCTGAGCGGCCATCGGCCCCTTGTCATCATTGGTGCCACGTCCGAAGATGGTGTCCCCCTCGATTCGGAACAGGATATGTGGAGGCACCGTGTCCATGTGCGCTGTTAGACAGACGCGGGTTTTTCGCTGCCCGCCCAAATAGGCATATACGTTGAAGCGATTCGGCGAGTTGGGGAGCCCGATCTTCTCGGTCGTGTATCCTCGAGCTTGCAGGTATTGGACCAGAAAGTGGCCCATTCCTTCTTCGTGACCGCTGGTACTCCGACAAGACTGCAGAGACAACGGTTTACGAGCTCCAAGGGCCAAGGAGCGGCTTCCTTTCGTCTTCCCTCGCTCCGAACTAAACACACTACCAGCATTTTGTGTTTTCCTTTTACCGCATTGCGGCTGTGAGTATCCTGCGCAGCTGGGATGGGGCTAAAAATGTCTGGGGCGGGATATTGTGGCCAATCACGACCTGTTGCACGTCTTCGTTGGCCCGGTAGAAACAAGCATGCTTCGAAGTCGAATCTTCCACCTTCGGTCCACAATGATGTCCAGCCCAGAGCGGAAGGTCCTGTAGCCTCAGTCAGAGATCACACTATGACAACATGCCAACGTGACAAATTACAGGCACGGACAAACTCACAATCTAGTAGCCAATTGGTAATCGAATTGTCCAACAATGATGAGCGAGCATGGACTATTTTTCGTTATAGTTTCTTACTACAGACGATAGACATTGCGATGTTGATACTCAAAATTAACACAGAACCGGGATATGTTTCTCTTGCTATCAGACTTTGGATGGCTGGCTTAAAGCCTCCTAATTTCCAAAACCAAAACCGCCTCAACTGATGTCACTCGGCTTTGGTGACAAAAGTACCGAACCAGCTCAGCATCCTTACACAAGCGTCGATCAAGGCTGGGAAGTGTCTGATGCCGTGCCCTTCAAGAGGATACTCGACAATCGCCGACCGGACGCCGTGGTGAGTGAGTGCGACGTGATAGTAGTGAGCCTGGGCTGGCGGGGTGCAACTGTCCTGTGTCCCTACCAGCTGCAACGTGGGTGTTTTGACTTTGTGGACATGTTGTAGCGGACTGCGTGTCTCAAAGAGACTGTCGCGTCGATAGAGGCCGTCGTCGAGAATGTCTTGGTGTAGATCGCTCGACTGCCAGTGCAGCCTCCAATCGGTGACGGGAGAAATGGGGATGGCGGCCGAAAAGCGGGTGGTGATGGTCGTCAGCCAGGCCGTCATGTACCCGCCGTAACTACCTCCTATGACCCCCAGACGGCGAGGATCGGCGAGGCCTTTTCCCACCAGATGGTCAACCCCACTGAGGAGATCTCGTGCGTCGCCTCCGCCCAGGTCGCCCTTGACGCCGGCGGCGAACTTGCTGCCACGTCCGACGGAACCGCGAGGGTTGGGGCTGAAGACGGCGTAGCCATGTGCCACCAGGAAGGCGACCCACGGTCGGTACCCCATCCAGGAACTGGAAAAGGCACTGAAAGGGCCGCCGTGGACGTTTAGAATCGTTGGGAATGGTGCCGAACCCTGGGCCGGGCGATAGAGAAACCCCTGGATTTCAACGCCATCGGTCGACTTCCAGGTGATTGTTTCGCTCGGGCCAAATTGCTCGCGGAGCCAGATGGAGCCGGGGTGGTCGAAGGAGTGAATCGGGTGGTACGTGAATTGGCCGTCGATCAATCCGATCTCCGGCGCGAGCTTCCAGCCATGGCGGACAACGGCGATGCCACGACCGGGCACCAGACACATGGTGGGAAACGAAGAGCCGCATGTGTCGGGAGTGGACCACAACTCTCGAGCCTGTTTCGACGTGACATCTACCTCCACCATGACCGAGTCGAGCCCTCGAAGGCCCATGATGAGCACTTTGTCTTCATCCAGCCAGGTGAGCGCGTGAACATCGACATTTTGGGAAGGGAGGGCGGTTTTTTGTTGAGTGGCCACATCTATGCAGACCAGGGGGCCGGCGACTTTGCTCCGATCTCCTCCCTCAGCTTCAGGAAAAGCCACCTTGGCCCCGGAGAAGGGCGACGCAAGTTCTCCTAACAGCATGCCCTCGTGCTGTCGTAGAGTGGTTTCCGACCCGTCCTCAAGCGACATTCGTACGACCGAGGAGTACTTGTACTCACCCTCGCTTGGCCCGTCGCTGACCAGAGCAAATGCGTGGCGTTTGCCTGCCCACGTGAATCTCCACACATTCCTTCCGGCCTGACTGACCTGTCGTGCCTTTTGGGAGGCAACGTCAAGCAGCCAGAGCGTCCGGAGGTGGGACCCCGGTGTACCGTGTTTGACAGTGGGCATCCACGCAGGGGAGCTCTCATCGCTAGGAGCCAACGTTCCGGAGCCTTCAAACCCGGATTTGGGCAGACCCCACGCCGCCAGCCTGAGCAGCAAAGACGTTCCATCCGGTGACCATTCAAAGTCTTCCACCACGCCGTCGAGGATGCTCGAGGCCAAAGGGTACGCTTCTCCCACGAGACCTCCGACATCCAGCGCGTAGAGCTGGAAGTGACCCTTGCGCCGGCGGTCGGATAAGAATGCCAGCCGACGGTTGTCTGGAGACCACTTCGGCTTCTTGTCTTCATTGGGACCTTGTGTCACCGCTCTCAATGCATATTGCTTTTGGCCAGTATTGCCATCGCCCAGATCAATCAGGTGTATACGTCTCCGAGTTTTCTCAAGTGATAACCGAGTGGTGGATGTGAAGGCAATCTGTTTCCCGTCCGGAGACGCTGAAAGCTCATCTGCGTCGCTGGGTCGTCCAAAGCCCGGAGCATGGAGCTTCTGGAACCACCCCTCGACACGGTTCCAGTCTTCGGTTTGAGTCAAGTCTTGCTTCTCAGCTAAGAGGTCTGTCGCTGGCGACAGAGAGTACCCATTGCCGTCATGAGTGGGGGCGTCGCAATCCATGACGAAGGATTGATTGAGCGAGCACAGTCGCGGTGTGAAGGATGGAGAGGGACAGCGCAAGTCTTGAGGAAGAGAAAGAAGTAAACTCCAACGACGCCGTCAAGACATTTAACATACTCTGCGCTTGACGTGGCATTCTTCCGTCACGGTCTTCTCGGTTAATGACCCAGGTAGTACCCCAGACCCTGCCCAATCAAAAAGCTCCAATGCGCCATGAAATTCGTGCTGATGATCACGGCTTGTCGTTGTGTGCTCACGCCTGTCGTGATCTTCATGCTTGGAGCTTCCACAGAAGTGCCCTGCCCTGGACATTGGCAAATTGCCCTTGCTCCGACAGTGATGCGGTTAAGTGAGTGGATCCAGCCCCGGTGGAGGCGCGGATATTCTGACCAATCGTGGCGTTGGTGTCGACCATTGATTTGCTCCTAACTCGCACGGAGGTTGGCTTCTGACCCAGAAACCCGCCTCCGGGATGGTCGGAGGGGGATGGAGTTGGTCGCAAGAGATATGGAGTCGAGACTGCCCGAGGATTCTCACTCGTGAGTTGGCATACAGTGCGGTCTCCCGCACGAATCTCTGCCGCTCATGAGAACTGTACCGAGATGATATCTCGGATTCTCCAAGATTTCAGAACACTCATTGTTTTGTTGTTGTTACTAGCTTTCGCGCGTTTCGAGGGGTGAGACGAGCTCATCTTGCCGCCCTGATTCTGCGCCCGGGTACTGCGTTCGAAGGATTTCCCTCAGGTCCTCCGGCGCCAGTCTCTTTCCCCGCGATTCTTCAGCAGCCCAGGCGGTCAACAAAAGGTGCTTCAGCTCGGTGATGGCCATGTGATCTTGGATCCAGTCGCGATGGATGGGGTCAGTGGTTTCTATGCCAACAATAAACAGCGACCGATTAAACCAGCTGTACCGCACCCCAGCTTTCCAGATTCGACTTGCGATTCGCAAGTACGAGGAAGCTGCGTTGCTAATGGCCGCTGTCAACGGTTGCTCTCTACAACGGAAATGGTAGATTTGGATGGCGTAGAATTCGCAAACGATCGTGTCAATCTGGAAATGGCGCCGAGTGTATTGCGATTGGGCACTAAAGGGACTCGAAGTGATTCGAATGAAGGAATCACATTTCTACTGTAGAGTCAGTCGACAAGTCCGAATCTTGGGGAGATGACGGGGAAACCTGTAGGCAAGGAGCGGCTTACTGCTTCGAGACTTTCGATCGCTTGTTCCAAGACACTATAGTCTCCACTATTTATCCAGAAAAGTTGGCTGATCCAGTGATACAATCTGTGCTCTTCGAGGTACAATCGATAGCATTCTGCGCTCTCGATATCACAAAGAGTCTCGGCGATCGGGTAAGAATGCCCATGGTTGAGCTGCAGGTAGTTTTGTGACACCTGAGTGAGATCGTGGAGCACCTCCGTGTCGTCGAAGAAGAGCTCCGCGAAATGACCAATGTAAGTGCGGAAATTCAAATGGACGTGGCCGAAGACGAGCATGGTGAGTAGCTTAGCCAGCAGGCTATGAGTGGGCGCCTCAATCTTTCCGGGCCGGTGTCTGACGACTTCATTCCCCCTGCCGCCGGGGCCAATGGTAGCACTCCAGGCCCGATGTAAATTGTTCTCTCGGACGTACTCAGTGAGAGCCGAATTCAGCCAAGTTCTCTCCGTCACAGCAGGGAAAGCTTTTCCGTTCAACATGAACAGGGTCAGAAGCCAGAAAGCAGTCAAGACAGTAACATGATCCCGTCCATCCTGTCCAAGATATTCACGTAGCGTCTGCATCCCTCTTTCCAGATATAATCTGGTAAGACGCACGTTGCCGCTGTCATTGGGATCAACATGTAGTAAGTCCTGCATGGATAGTGCCAGAATGAGATGCAAGATGACTTTCTTCTCGCGAGCCAAGCGCAAGAAGAGTGCGTACGAGGACGATGCGAAAGGTTTGAGACTTCGTGAAGGGGAGAATCGAGAGCGGTAATAATCCAATGCCCTGCACTCCACAGAGTTGAGCCTCTCGACGCACGGGAAGTCGGCTGGAGCCGGCCAGGAGCTGATTGCCGAAGGTGTCGACGCCTGTGGATGGGGAAGAGACTGGATCGAGTCTTTCATGGTATCAAACGGTGGCAGCAGAGTCATGTCACATTGTGGTAGGGTCGGTGTATGATTCTCCCGCTGCACGAGCTGACTTGTACCAAGGTCCCCGGGCGAAGTCTGCCAGGCTACGGGGGGTTGGAAATCCGCCCACGCGGTGGTGTCCCAAGTGTCGTTAGCTACGTACAAGTCGAAACCTTGATTGAGAAATTCGGCCAGAGCGGGATCCCAGGGGCTCTCACCGGCCGTGGCCACCTGCGATGGGACTCCCTCGGGCAACCAAGGCTCGTCATAGACGAAATTGCTAGGGTTGGAGCCTAACTCAAGGTTCTGTGGGAAGGGGTTTTGGATGGCTGCCGTTGTCGACGGCACCGGTTGCATATCCACTGAAGAGTCAAAGTCGCCGGTCGCAGCCATTGTGGCACTCTCAAGACATGGTACGACGGCATCCGGTGCCGGCTGAGGTGGAACGACGGGCTTCGACGCTGGTGTAGCCGCCGAGCGCGGCGATATCCCCGGCTGAGAACCTTTGTCGTCGCCGTCAGGCCGGAGGGGCGAAGGCACCCATTTCTGTCGAGACCTGATTGAGCCAAAGCCTCGCCGCCTCTGTCCCAGGGGAACTGGAGAGTCGGGCTTGCTGCACTCCAGCTGCATGCGTATGCAGCGGCCACACTTTGGCCAAGTCTCGTCACATTTAATCCGCCTCAATCGGCAAGGAAGACAGCCTGGTCGACAGCGATCAGTCGAGACCGTAGAATAATGACGATGGGAGCCTCTTAGTGAAGGCTCATAACCACTCACCAGACTTTGACCTCTTGTGCCTTGTCGAAGGAGGCAAGTGCAGCGCTCCATGGCCACCCTTGCTCTCAGATTTACGTTGGCGGTTCGCGTCCGTAAGCGATAGGGTCGCCATGTTGATCGATCTCTTGTCACACGGATCCCAGCTCTTGAAAAAGTGACATTTCCAGCCCGAAGAGGAGAGCAGCAAGAACGAGGAAGCCGATGTGCACAATCTGACCGGACAGATTGGAGGTTGACGCTGATCAAGTGTCCGGGACAGAGTTGAAGTCTAATGTTGACTGCAATGGATCTGCGGTCTACCAGGCCAGATCATGGCTGCTCTGGTCCAGAGTACAGTGGATTGATTCTCCATCTCGTCGCTTGCCATTTCATGATGAATTGGAGGTCACAGAGGTCTTATGTGACTCTAGCTATTTCTGGTAATAGTATAGAAATTTGTTGGAGCCGCTTATCAAATAGGACCGGAGATTCCCGTAGGGTTGTGACACACGTGACTGGTCTCCCGATTCGGTTAGTAGTAGTGAATCAATTATGGGGACCTACCCGATAACAGCTCGTCACCTCTATGACCAAACTAGCCGCGATTCACGCGAGGCTGAGCGGAGCCCCTCGGGCCTCGAGCGGCAATTCTGGCCAATGACCAGAGGCTGGAATCCACCCGAATCACCCCAAAATGTCGAGACATGTTCATGCCGCAGCACTATCTCGATTCTCATGGCTTACATCGTGCCTGGGCTCATGCCGCTGCCATGTTCTCTCGAGAGCGCGAGGATGCTGTTCGCACGACCGCCTCGAAAAGACCACGACCCTTGAGCGGCTCAGAGGACAACTGATAACGGATGCTTCAACGTCACCCAAGCCATCTATAAAGATTGAGTGAAGCCTCCCCTAGGTCTGCTGCACCTTCTCGTTGAAATCAGAACATTTTTCACCCTCTACGGCTCGCGAACTGAAACCGCCTCCTTTCCATGGCTTGGTCTCACTCTTCGTCACGTCAGGAAGCCCCACCTGTCCTCGACCGTCGAGACCCCAACCTCCCCGGCGGTGTGATCGATTCACTCACTGAGAAGGACGTCGGCCCGGAGGTTATCAAGACCGCTGACAGCGAACAGATCGTCCAAGTCGTCGACTCCTCTCCTTACCCAGAGGTCGAAGCGGCAGTCCGAAACTATGACCAAGGTTTGCCGGCAAGCACCCTCCGGGCATGGTCGATCGGCCTGCTCCTGGTGACGGTCTGTGGTGGCTTGAATATGCTGTTCCATTTGCGATCGCCTGCAATTACCATCTCCAGCATTGTGGCTCAAGTCATCGCATATCCGCAGGGAAAGTTATGGGAGAAAACCATGCCAATGAGGACCTTTACCACATTTGGCAAATCATGGTCATTGAACCCGGGCTCTTTCAACATCAAGAAACATACCGTCGTCGCCGTCATGGCAAATGCCGGGTTTGGCATCGGAGCGGCCTACTCGACGGATGTTTTGACCGCCCAGCAGGCCTTTTACCATACCTCTTATGGCTGGGGGTTTCAGCTGCTATTGACGTGGTCGACAACCATGATTGGTTATGGTCTTGCAGGTCTTGCTCGACGCTTCCTCGTGTGAGTTTGGAGGGTTCCCTCCTCCGAACGATCTGCTGACCGAGTGCCCGAACTCAGCTGGCCCGCCGCCATGACTAGGGAGGTAAACCTCGTGTCTACCTCCCTACTCTACAGTCTGCACGACCATGCTCCGGCAGACCCCGAGTCAACCGGTGGATGGGTCATGGGGAGATTTCGATATTTCTGGTACCTCGTCCTGGGAGCGTTTGTGTGGTATTGGCTTCCCGGATTTCTATTCAAAGCGCTGAGCGTCATGACTTTTGTCACCTGGATCAAACCAAAGAGCCCGGTCATCAACCAGGTATTCGGTGGAGTGAGCGGTGTTGCCCTTCTCCCCTTGACGTTAGATTGGACCGTGGTTACAGCTTACATCCAGAGTCCTCTGATTCCACCTTGGTGAGAGCGATGCTTTTCCTGACCGCTGCATCACACTGCTTACCCTTCCTGCCTAGGTTCGCCATCGCCAATACGCTCTTTGGGGTGGCTGTCTTCTTCTGGATCACTGCCATCGCCGTCCACTTTTCGGGCATGACATACAGTAAATTCTTGCCCATGTCCACATCATCCGTGTACGACAACACGGGCGCGGTCTACAATGTGTCGAGAATCGTCACCCCTCAGCTGACTCTCGACGTCAAGGCGTACGAAGAGTACTCGCCTTTATTTCTCTCCACCACGTACGCCCTTTCATTCGGCGTCTCCTTTGCCATGGTGGTGTATGTCCTCGTCAATACAGGCCTCTTCCACGGCCGCGAACTTTGGGTCCGGACCAAACTTGCACGCAAGCAGGAGGACGATGTTCACATGCGCCTGATGAAGAAATATGACGACGCTCCAGACTGGTGGTATCTTTCCATATTCCTTGTCATGTTCGGCATCTCTTTCGGGGTGATATATGGCTGGAACACCGAACTCTCTTGGTGGGCATTTCTGGTGTCAATGTTGATCGCCTTCGTCTGGACCGTCCCCATGGGCATGGTTCACGCCATGACGAATGTTACGCTAGGACTGAATGTGTTGACCGAATTCATCATCGGTTACATGCAGCCTGGAAAACCTCTGGCGATGATGCTCTTCAAGGCATATGGATATATGACCATGTACCAGGCCCTTAGTTTCTCCCAAGACCTCAAGCTGGGCCACTACATGAAAGTCCCGCCGAAACTGCTGTTCTGGTCGCAGACGGTCGCCACCATCTGGTGCGGCATCGTGCAAATCGCGGTCATGAACTGGGCTTTCGCCAATATCCCGGACATCTGTTCTCTCGACCAAAGCAACGATTTCACCTGTCCCGGTGGCCGCGTCTACTTCTCCAACTCGGTCATCTGGGGCCTCGTCGGCCCGAAACGCTTCTTCTCACCGGGTCAACTCTACAGTGGCCTGTACTATTTTTTCCTCGCCGGTGCAGTCCTTCCCGTCATCATGTACCTTTTGAGCCGCCGTTTCCCGAACTCCAACCTGCGATATATCATGGCCCCGGTCATCTTCGCCGGCTGCGGCTGGATCCCGCCTGCCACGCCGTTGAACTATTTGACATGGGCCATCGTCGGCTATATATTCGCGCGCGTCATCAAAACCCGCTATCGGGGCTGGTGGATGCAGTACAACTACATCACCTCGGCCGGACTGGATGTCGGGTTGCAGCTCTGCACAATTCTCATCTTCTTCACCCTCACCCTGACGCACACAGACGCACCGAAATGGTGGGGGAACCAAGTTGGAGCCGGTACGCTGGACTTTCATTCAACGGACAATGTGCAGCAGAAAGTCACGCCAGGTCAGATCTTCGGGCCGCCGAAAGGGAGTTGGCATTGAGAAATCCGTCTCGGGCCTTGACACAACATTCTGGGTCTGAGCATGGCACGACTTCTGGGTCGAAATGGATGTGACGGGTGAAAGGGGACGGGGGAATGGGGCAAAGTCGGTAAGAAATAGATCGGTGGCAGAGACATGTAACTGCCAGTCTGTCAGACTGTGTCGGGATGGAGAATCCACAGATTCACTGTTGTTGACTTGTTTCTATTCTCAAATCTCGTCGTAAGAATCTATATTGGACGTAAAAACAGTTATTACGTCGCCCCTCGTCTGGAATCTATCTACGTACCTCCTTGCAAAAACTGGCGCGCTTTTTCAGGCGTAAGGGTGATGTGCATCCGCCTACAGCAGAGCTCTGTCTGGTTTGCCCCCATTCCAGCCGTCCAACTCCCCCAGATCCCTTTCGGGGAATGGATGTCTCTCAACAGTCGAGGCGGGAGGGTCGCTACCAAACCTCCAAGCCCACAGACTCTGTAGTTCCGGGTCCAACCTCCCCTCCACCATATCGACGATATATTTACCAATATTTGGCAAAAATTTGAACCCATGGAGAGAGCCGCCCGTCGCGATGAACAGATTTGGATGAGCGGGATGTGGTGTCAGCCTGAAATTGGAGTCCTTTGTCGCCGCATCCCAGCACATCCTCGTCTGACAGAACGGTCGATCCGCCAGCTCGGGCAAGAGCTCTCTGATCCACGCTCTCAGCTCGGTCTGGATCTGGGTCGGGACACGGTCATCAGGGAATTCGCCGTGCGAGCGACCGATCGACACTTGTTGGATAGGGGAGTGATGACGGTTGGTCACGTAGCGACAGCTACAGACCTTGAGCAGGCCGTGTTGGTCGGGCGGAAAAAGCATCCCATGAAATATTGGATCAGCGTGGCGAGAAGGAGGTGAGTGAGAGATGTTTCGGTGAGCCGCGCCGGATAACCATTGTAGACACAGAGACGTGGAAATTGGAGGGAATTTGTGTCCTGAGGAGGAGCAGGTCGGCGACTTACCCATCTCAAAATGATCAACCATGGGCAAGTTCCCGTACTTCTCCCTCTCAATCTCGGTTAGCTGAATCATGGCGACACACATGGCCTTTGCTGAAATTTCGGACTTGGTGTCGATCAGGTTCTCTGTCTGTGGACCACAGGCCAGGATGATCTTGTCTGCTGTATGGACGGCGCCGGACTGGCTAACAACACCGTCGCAGTTCCCCTTCGTATCGTTGAGTAGTCTGACGGCGTGTCCGTTCTTGCCGAAGGTGAAATTGACTCCGTTTATGCTAGCGGCTGCTGCGAGTCTGACGAGCGCCTGGTCAGATGGCGCCTAAGCGGAAATAACCACCATGCCGGTTAGAATTTCTTTTCTCTTCCTCCTTCTCTCGTGGCTAGAGAAAGGAGAGACGGGAGGAAAATGCTACTCACCCATCCAGCTTCAGAGCCCCATAAGCTCTTCCAGTTTTTCAAGTTCCCCTTGAATTCTGGAAACCTCGCCTGAATCTCTTCAGGGGAGATGTATTCTACCGCACCTTTCCCATTCTTTCTATTCTGATATGTGGCGTCGATAAACGCCTTTGCATGATCACTCGCCGCCATGATCCATCCTATACGGTGGAAAAGACCGGCGAGCGGGCCAGAGTTTGATGTCCAGAACTCCATAGCTTCTTCAGCGAGATGCGCATATTGTGGTTTGTCATAGTCGAAGCGAATGGTCTTGTTGATGTCGGTCCCGGCAGCATCGGTAGATGGTGGAGAGAAACGGTCGATCAAAGTCACCTTCTTGTATCCTCTGAGAGAGAGGTGGTAGGCTGTTGAGATCCCGAAGGTGCCGGCACCGACAACGAGAATGGACTGGGATGTGTAATCTGCCATGGTATCTCCTTGAAGTTTGGACTTGCTCTTCGTTTGGACCAGAAGATCAAAACAGCCTCTTCTTGCCAGTTTGTTAAAATGATTGTTCGGAGGCTAATGTTCCCAGGTTTATATAGGCGCGGCGTAGTATTCAAAGACCAGGCTGTTGTCAGTCCAATTCCTCAAGTGCTGGGGCTTCCGCACAAGGCGTGAGCAGAAATCGGGTAGGCATTCCGCATCCCAAATCAACGATTGGCCCCTCTGCCTTGGAATCTTTGCTTCCACCCTACTCGCATAGAGGACTCGAGATGGAGGCCGAGAGACAGGTCAAGGGCGGGTCCAGGGCGGCGCGGGTCGACCGAGACGGCCTGATTCGCTGGAATATCCGCCGAGGGGACCCACCCTTCACATCAGGTGCATTCTGGCTTTATTCCACTTCACTGGTGCTTCTTGTTGCAGTCTGGCCATGGCAGTTAGTTACTGAGGCTGGTGGTTTTCATACGCCAACACACGTTGGCACCTTGTTCAGAAGGGTTGATATAATATGAGAGGTGCTTAGACTAAGCGAGCTTGTCAAACGCTTCCCCTTGATCCTCATTGCCCGCACTTCTTCGCAGGACCTAGGACTGTTTTCGGTTCAACCTCCTGCTTCAGGGGGGATGTTTACTTCTTGAGATGAGCGCATGTCGCGGCCTCAGTGTTGACACGGAGACTGAGCAAGTCAAGCCTCGAGTAATGGTCAATGACATCTAAGTTGTGTTTCGCAAGAGCCTTTCGCGTCAGTTACAATGATCGGCGGGAAGAATGGGACGCGGTTACTTTCCGCAAGTTCTTCAAACTGTCTCGGGAGGCTCCAGAGGCGGGCATCACGCGAATGAAGATCAGTGCCGTCTTCGACAGTCCTATCAAAGAAGCAGGTCTCCTCCGGAAGGCACCGGCCAAATCTGGTACGAGAAGCTTGTCGGCGGAATGACCAAGATCCCAGACGACAAATTGCCCGCGGGCGCACAGTTTGGGTATGATTTATCGACGTTTATGGTCAATGTGCAGGCTTACCTACTCTGGTACGTATTTAACAAGCCGAACTATCCTGGATGGCGCCTCTCATTAGGGATAGGCTTCAAGTCCAAGTCTGGAAAGCAGGAATTGACGTGCGTCGAGAATACTATGATGACATTCGGGAGTTGTTTGAGGACTTCCCATCGACCATGGCTATTTTCAACTGCACAGGCTTGGGCTCGTACAGTCTCAAAGGCGTCGAGGACCACGCCGTATATCCGACAAGGGTTGGGATGTCTCTCTCACTCCTGTCGGTCCCGGGCTGGCCAAGTCATGCTGGTTGAAACACCAACGACGCCGATCAAGCAAATGTACTTCCATTCGCCCAAAATGGTGGCGAGCGATACGACATATGTCTTTCCTCGGCACCCCGGTGGAGCTGTGATCCTTGGTGACCTTGATACCAAGTATGGCAACGGAGTAACAAGAGGAAATGACCATCGACAAGCAAGCGGGCGCTGGCGCAAGTATATTATGTAGGCGCCGTCAAAGGCGGCGAGGGTTCGGCGCGGCTGACCTACCCGATCGGGGGCAGCTCGCCGCATAAGGAGCAGCAGGTTTATGCCGCCATTTCACCAATACAGAGACTGCGGAGTACTAGTACTACAGGAGTGCGACGGATCAGTCGACGGATCTTCCAGCCTGTTGGATCGTGTCTCATTGTGTCGCAAAGCGAATTTTCTCTTTCTGCCGACCATCTCCGGCCGAATCCACAGATAGAAAGGTCGAACAGAATACGTACGCTGGAGCACCGTCGGCGGTACGTAGTAGTACAGTACAATTTTGATTATCTCCATATAGCGCTTGTTCTCGGTGGAAAAGGGTTGCAGGCGGCGTAGATTTGTAAAGCGCAAGCGTGTGGCGCCGATCCACTGCAAGTCCCCATCATTTCGAGTCTGCAGCAGAGGAGAGGAGATTGTGTGGATTGCGCCGGAAGAATCGTTGGCCTCTAAGGAATACATCTTCTTTGTATCAGGATAAAAAGCTAAAGCAAGATGGGAATGTGTTGCAGCTGGTACGGACATCCTCGTCGAGATGATGCCTGTTCATGTCTCTTGCGAGAGGATTCGTCTCCTCGAGATGGACTGTAAAGAAGGTGCCTGAGGGCCACCCGCCGTGTAAGAGTGGTGGGGTCGGGTTTATATGTTATAACTTCTCTTGTCGCTTGGCCAACACCCAGAGCCCCTCTGCTTCGGTCAGGACCACGCCATCTTTGTCAATAATCTGGCCGTGCGCCAGCCATTTCCGACCCTCTCTTGCTACCACCCAGGTCTTGACTAGAACATCTCCAGGTGTAGGCACCGGTGCACGGAAGGTTACGTTCAGGTTCACTGTGAAAAGGGAGTCTCGAGGGCCGCAGATGTGTTGATGGTGCAGCATCAAACATAAGCCGATCATCTCGTCGAGAATGGCGCAGGCCATACCGCCGTGGATGATACGAGGATGGCCGTCCAAACCAGGTCGACCTAGACTCAATAGCATTACACAGTCTGGCTTCTCGGGGACCCTTGTGACCGCAGTTTGGCTTTCTTTTCCCTTGAGCGTCCCCTTGGGCACCTCCGGCGGAGTCTCAAAGTTTTTCAATTGAAGAGTGACTAGGTGCGGAATGGTCGCCGGAGTGCTGACGGTGCGAGCGAAGAAGTGATCTTCTCCTGACTCTTTGAGGACCCGGGAGAAGGTCGGTATGGGTTTGTAGAGAGGATCGGAGAGGTATTTGTTGGTCCATTCGACGGAAGCGAAATGCCTGCGCGATTCTTCAGGCACTCGGTTTTTCTTGAGAAAATTGGACATGAAGTCCGTTTGTTCGCCCATGGTTGATGGCTGCAAGAGAGACAGGTCAGTGGTCAAAACTGAGTGAGTGGGCTTGACTGTGATCTGTAGCACATGGTTCCGTCTTACAAGCAGGCAGGCAGGAGGCAGAAGGTAGCAAGTTCATGTTGTAATTGTATAACCATTCTTGGGATGTATTTCTATCCCCGAACTGCGGACTGGGGAACCATTCCGACTGCGAACCTCGGCCCCAAGAGCAGTATTGTCGTCGGCGGCGGTGAGTGGTCAGATATCAATCTAGATACGAAGGGTGGCTGGTAAGTGGTGGGTTTGCTGGCGGCGGCTAAGGCATGGATTTTGCACAGGCGAGAGTGGATTGAGGTGTCCGTGGTTGCAAGGTTGACGTGGACATGCTGCCCACACTGCTTGCAAGTGGTTGAAGCAGCTCCAGAGCGACAGCTTATCCGCCTCGCCGCCTAGTAGTCAGGTCGGTGGAGGATGCGATATCCGTATGATTGGAGGGCGTTGCTAATGTGTTTCAAAGGACCACGAATGCCTGGTCGACCTTGCTGTCGACCCCTGTCAAGTCACTAGCCACCGCAGTCGAGCGATAGCACTATCCTGGCCAAAGAGTAGTAGTTCTAGTAGCGGAGAGATAGTGACAAGATGCGGTGCGGTCGGTGGGTGGCCGGCAAACCAATGCTAGTGCCAGTGCCACTCGTCTGCTCTCTAGGCGACGGAATGGTTGAAAGGTTGATGGGATAAATTCATACAAAGCCACGGACTCGACTCGACTCGTCTCTACCCAGCCATCGACCTCGATCACTGCATTCGCCGTCGTCGACACAGCAACAAGACTGTCTGTTAAGGTCCCCAAGACTCACCAACCTTCTGCTCTGATAAAGGTAGCTCTTACCCCAAGTCCATACAGTACGTACAGTGCTTGCAGCAAGAAGAAGAATATTCTTTTGCGAACCCACCGCACAGCTCTCCACTGCTGCCGTGCCGTGGTCGCTGCCCGCTCAGTCCTGCCTGCGTTGCATCTTCCCTCTTTCTCATCAACTCTTTTTCGGCCGCTTTACAAAGCTGCCTCTTCACTTGCATCAGCTTCTTCCTCCCTCGCACCAGATACTCAGAGCATCAATTGACATCTGACATCGACAGCAGTCTCCTCGGTAACTCAACCTCTCTTCATCTTCCCCAACTACTACCATCATGGTGTCCGCATTCGTCCTTGCGGCTTCGGCCTTCGTCGCTGTCGCCCATGCACAGACAATCGAGACCTCCAGCGCTTCTTCAGTAGCTGCCTCTACCACTGTCTCCCAAGTCATGCCTCCGGTCGCGACGGCGTCCTTCAATCCTGCTGGTGTCGACTCAACCACTGCATGTAAGAGAGAGCACAAGACCTGAAAGACGGCAATGAGAAAAATACTGATGGGGACATAGTCAACTGGTGCCATGCTCAACTGAATACTTGCCCTCAAATCTGTGGTGGAGCTGCCTCGCAGAATCAGTGTGACGATGTACGTGACATCTCCCCTGGTCAATGGCATCCTAGCTAATCCTGCCGCAGACCGCTTTCACCTACACCTGTGTCTGTGCGAATGGTACAGTGCCAGATTGCACCGCCTTCACCGAGACCCTCCCCTTCTACATCTGTCAAGAATCATACATCCAATGTATCAACAACAACCCGAACGACGCTCAGGCCCAGTCAGTGTGTGCTTCGAATGAGCAGTGCGGCACTCGCAACGCTACTGCCGAGGCCCTTGCCGCCTCATCTGCTGCGGCGACTACTGCGGCTGCTACCACGAGTGCTGCAGCATCCTCTTCCGCCGCCCCTTCTACTAGTTCTAGTTCCGCGAGCGCCACTGCTGCGAGCGCCACTGCCTCTGCGACTCAGAGTGGACTGGCTGCGGCCGGTCTTTCTCAGCAACTCACCACTGGCGCTTTTGCTGCGCTCCTGATGGCTGCGTTCAAGCTTTTCCTCTAGGCTGCTCTCGGTCGGATGCAATGGCAGCATCACTCGATCCGTCCTTGCGCTTTGATATTGGACATCATTCTTGTCGCTCGAGCCACGAAAAGCATGGAGGACACGGCGACTACAGAGCAGAAATGGAGTTCTGACGAGTAAGGTCTCCATCTACTGTGGGCATGATTATGCTTGACTCTTATGGGACGAAGGGGTTGACCACGACTTCACTGAGCAATGATTTATGCTTTTTCGGCGTTGCGCTGTTGCTGTTGGGCAAAAGCACTTTCAATCCTTTAGCAAGCGCCCGCGTGCTGGCATGGGATTAATGGGGGTGACATATGCAGATACGAGAGCGGATGGATCGCTCAGTTAATAATCCAATCGTGGTTGCTTGGAGCTTGTTCTGACGGATTGACATGATCGTCGCACTGCCTCGTGCTGTTTCCACTTTTTATGATGCGCAGGTTTAGCAGGGTCTGCAGGGATGTCGGTGCATTTTCTTTGCTCCTTACCTGATTCGATGGTGATCAACTGTGCGAGTTCTTCAGCCACAGCCGCCAGCCTCGTGTGGCTGGGATTGTGGCTGTGGAATCCACTATCACCTGATGCCTATCCCGAAGTCGGCGACACATCCGATGTTCATCCGGCGGCGCGGAGTCTCTCCGGCGGACTTCCGCTCCATCTCCCAGCCTCTCGCCCTCCCCCCCGTGCATCTGTGTGACCCATCCCGTGTGAAGTACCCTTTTACCCTCTTCCTATTCTTGTATAGACTCTGATAAGGGGACGGGAGACTTGCTACCAGTCAGAAACCTTTACGCTATTTGTCCATCCAGGTCGTTTCCGACATCGTGGATTGTGGCCGCTCTTACCTCATTGGAATATGAACAGCATCCGCCTTTGTTGGAAAAGACCTGCTTCATTCTTCCGATCGGCCGTGACGGGACCTTCTCCACTGGCAGCACGAGGCGGACCAGTTCTTTCGCTCTCAGCTTCTCGCACACCTCAGATCTACTCTGGTATGTCCCGAGAGCCGACATTGATGACCTCAGGGCCGGGGCTGTATACTGAATCAACCCTGTAGTCCGCACTTTCGCCAATACTACATCTCAAGCCATGCGTGCCCTCAGATACCACGGGGTGAAGGACCTCCGTGTCGACTATGACATCCCAGAGCCGACATGCGGCGAGCATCAGATCAAGATCAAGCGTGGGTACCAAGGCGAATCCATTGCATGGTTGAAAGTACCACTGTTTAAGACACTGGACTGACATACTGTTTGCGCTGTAGCTGCCTTCTGTGGAATATGTGGAACAGACTGTAAGGCTCCCTCCCTTCGCCCAGTGGATGCTTTCAGGAGTGGTAGTGGTAGAGAGCGGTCGTTTCCAATCGATAAGGCTGTCTCTAGACGCTGCTGATGATCCATGCCAGCAACATGATTGTCCGTCCAGTCTTGTGCTTCGCAGCCATGTCTTGCACGGGAGTTTGAATTTGATGATGAACTGACCGACGATTATAGTACATGAATACTCCTCTCCAACATTCATCCCGTTGAAGGACTCTCCTCACCCCGTGACCAAGGAGTCCATGCCAGTCACCATCGGGCATGAGTTCAGCGGCGAGGTTGTCGAAATCGGCTCCAAGGCCAAGAACCCCTCGGGTCTCAAGGTCGGAGACAAAGTGGCGGCGCAGCCCACCGTATGCTGTCACAGCTGTGGGCCATGCAAAGAAGGCTACATCAACTGCTGCGACCACGCCGGGTTTGTAGGCCTGAGCGGCGGCGGCGGCGGCATGTCAGACTATGTGTGCATCGATGAGCAATTCGTCTACAAGCTGCCGGACAATGTCCCCCTCGACATTGGCGCCCTGGTCGAACCACTCGCCGTGGCGTGGCACGGAGTCAATCAATCGCCTCTCAAGGAAGGCCAATCTGCGCTGGTCATGGGAGCAGGCCCGATCGGGTTGGGCGTGATTCAATGCTTGAAAGCCCGTGGCGCAAAGGACATCATCGTCGTGGAACTCGCAAAGGAGAGACAGAACTTTGCGCAGCAATTCGGGGCAACTCATATCATAGATCCCAGATACGAAGATGTCGTGAAGCGCTGCAAGGAAATCTGTGACGGTCAAGGTCCGCATGTCGCTTTGGACGCGGCGGGCGTGGCTGCAACTCTGAAGTCTGCAGCTTTGGCTGTGAGGGCTAGAGGGACGATAGTCAACCTGGCCATTTGGGAGAAAGAGGTAATATTTGATCAGAAACAAGATATCGGCTTCGACGCAGAAGAGATGCTGACCGACTCCACTCAACTAGGTGCCCTTCCAGCCCAACACTCTGGTGTTTGGAGAAAAGAAATATCTCGGAGGTGAGTGACATAGTGATGTTGTTTTCATTTTCATTTTACTCGCACCGTGTGTTGTGTTTTGGACTCCTTTTGCCGCGCCCTCACGTGTCCCGATGTCCTCGCAACCAACGCACAAATCTGGCCTCGCCTGCCATGGCACAAAAAAGAAAAGCAATATCACAACCATACTCGAACCCGAACCTGCAACCTTTTTGGTTTAGAAGACCAAAAACTCTAGGATCCCCGAAGCCCAACTACCCGGTGGTAGATGAGGTTCGAGGTCCAGAGAACCCCCCAGCTGAGAAGGGGATTTTTTGCGATCCGGTCGTTTCGTCAGGTTGCTCCCCTACCATAGGTCCTCCGATGAGGACATGAATGGTGGGAACTATCTCTCTTGCGGCTGATTCGTCAAGAGTCACTGATCACACCTTCTGAGATGGCAGTGCCTTTTTCCGTTCCAGTCAGGGGTCCGCCTCTAGGATTCACGGCTTCGCCCAGGAGCAAACTGTCTCATGGCTGGTGGCTACACCCTCACGCCCCGACCAGCCTAGCAACTTGAAGTTGAACGCCCACTGCGCCATCGGCGCCAGCAGCTGCTAGGGTCGGGACCCGGGATAGCCATGAGAATCGTTGAGGGGAATTCTGCGGTTTAACTCTATCACCTTGTTTATTTCTGGTTCGGATCACATGATGGATCCAGAGGGTTTGACTTCACTACACGGGATCAGGACATGTTTACTGTTTACTTCACGTGCTGGATTGAGGATACTTCACATCAGATGGTCCTCTAGTTTGGGGGGGCTTTGTACTATTCTGTTCTGGCTTTTTTGCTATGCTATGCTATGTTCTGCTCTGCTATGTTTAGCGTACTGCCGTTTTTGTCTCAACTGAGTATGCTAACGAGTCCGCTCTGTTTATTCTAGTCCTGGGCTATGTCAATGAAGACTTCGAAGGTGTCATCAAAGCACTCGGCGAGAAGCGCCTGCAGCCGGAGAAGATGATCACGCGGAAGATCCATATCGATCGCGTCGCTGAGGATGGGTTCCGCGCCTTGATCGAGGAGAAGGACAAGCAGGTCAAGATCCTGGTCGATTGCAGAGCCTGAAGATGCTCAGCTTCGGACAGATATACCGAATGAGAAGGGATGGAGACGAAGTTGGTTTGTATATACTTGCATAGGATATCTACAGGGTGCATAATTATCAGAAAATAAGTGGTACAGTACATAGTTGCACTACCACAATTATATGGCTCATACTTTGTACAACTAATTGATCGATCGTGCTTGTTCATATAATCACCGAGTAGTTATATTCTATACTATCAGCGGTACTAGTAGTAGTCAACTGAAGTCAGTCGCAGTCTCACAAGATAGATCCTTTCTTGGTTTCTATAGGACATGTATGACTCCGTCAGTGTCAGTACGGTGGTAAAGTACAGTATCCAGTCTGTAAGCGCTGTCGTGAAGAAAAGAAAAGTATTGCCAAACATCAAGCGTCAGCAGGGTCAAGCTTATGCACCTAGTATCCAACCCATGACCTCGTTGGAAGAGTATGCAAGGCATGATTCTATCAAAACTCGATGGGAACGAGTAATCCAACCTCATCCGCATTGTCAATCGCCAATCATTAATCATCAATCGCCGACCAGACCTTCGACCTTAGACATTAGACATCAGTCTGAGGTTGAAGCTAAGGGCAAAAAATCTGAAGCCGTCCTCTCCACCTTCCGCTCTGCCTGTAGGTGATTGACTTCTTCGCCCTCGACTCCATTCACTATCAGATGATCCGAGTCTCTTTCTTCAACGACAATCCCCCCGCCGCGGGCTTGATCGAGTAGAGCTGCGGGGGCTTTCGTGCGCTGGCCGGTCTCCTTGTTCCAGACCCAGCCTTCTTGTAGCCATTTCCAGGTCAGGTAGGCTCGGAGTTCTTTGTCGGTAGGGATGACTCGCTTCCATTCAGGTTCGAAGGGAGTGTGAGGATGGGTTGTGGGAGTAGGAGTAGGTGGCACTTGATGGTCGTATTCATGTCCAGCTTGAGCTTCGGGTTGAATTCGTGGGTCGTCAGGATCCTGTCCCCCATCTCCATCTTGATCTTGTCTTCCGCACTCGACTCCTCTATGTCCTGTGCTAGGATTTCGTAAGGGTGGAGCTTCTTCGATTTCTTGGTTCGAGTCTTTCAATCCAAGACATATTGTTGCAGCAGCAGCAGCAGCAGGATCGTCGTCGTCGTCGTCTTCTCCTTCCCCTTCTCCACTTGCCCTTGTAGCCACATCTTCTCCATCGCCACCTTTGGGTCCAATTCCTCTCAGTTGATCGCGGCAAAATATTCGCCAGCTATCATGAGAATAGGGGCCCAGACCAGGCAAATGGGAAATCTCCCACGCGACACGACCATCGATCTCATCGTCCGCCAACACCTCATCCTCTCGCACATCCTTCCCATCGCCTTTACACGGGTAGTTGAGCTTCCTGTACCTCTTCCCACGCCGCGGTGGGTTGGCGAGCCACGCTTTAGCCATCGCCACGCATTTCTTCGCCCGTTGGTTCTGAAACCCAAGTCCGTAAATCATGGAAGTGATCTCACTGACCTCCGCCCCGGCGAGATCTGCTGGGGTAGGATACCGCGACATCAGCTGGTAGAAGATGGGCATGGCGCGCTCGCCGGGGGTCTTGTTCAGGAAAATCGTGGCGATCAGTAGGCGGAACGGATCGTGAGCCAGACGTTCTTGCATCAGGCCGAACGTGGTGTGGGATAAGGGAGGGAAGGGCAATGTTGATAGAAAGGTTGGTCTGTGTTTGTGTGGATGTGGGAAGTAAGGCGATTTGGTGGGACGGCGGACTTTCTTCTTTTCGGGGTTGGTTTTGGTTTTGATGGCTTGAACTGTAGAAGCAGCGGGGTGTTGTTCGGGAGATGCAGTCCATCGCAGTCCTGCTGATGCTTCCAACGAGGTCTGGTCTCCTGTCGGAGTTGACGACGCTGGTAGTGGTGGTGGTGGTGGTGGTGGTGGTGAGTCTGCTTTCGAGGAAAAGGGGTCTGGTCCAATATCGTCAGGGACATCGCTGAGGCTGGAATCGGAGGAGAGGTCGTCGATGTTGAGTCCATAGTAGACACGCGGACGAGGACGCGCTGGTGTCACAGGTGGTGTTGCCAGAGCTGCGGGAGGTCTCTCATCCGAATCATGTTGTTGTTGCTTCTGGCAGGACCGCTTTCTCTTTGCTTTATTGCTATAATTCTCTCGTTTCTTGTCTGGTTGACTTCTTTGTGAGGGTCGCGCCGAACCAGGCTCACTCCTAGGACTCGCCTCTACGAAGTGTCTTGACACATATGTGATTTTCCTGCGTGTCCTCGTCGATCTCTCCTTCGCCTTTTCCACCGCATGCCCCGATCGAGTGAACTCTTTCTCCGGAGAAGCCTCATCGTCGGCGATCATACCCAGGTCATCGGGGGGATGACGGGCAACTCTGCATCGGAGAGTGGTGAAGAAGGAGGCGATAGTAAGATATGATCGGCGTTGTTGTGGTTGGGGTAAAATGAGGTCATCTCCATCTTGCTGATCCGTCGACTCGAACAACTTGGATTAAGGCGAAGACTCGGTTTTCAAGTGGTGGCCTGATGAACATGTTACCCCGGCCGAGAAGAGGGATTGAAGATGCTTCAAGTTCTCTCAAGTAGCATACTCGTTTACAGCTTGGTGAACCATTCTTTGAACCACGAGGCCATCTTCACTTTACGATCATCTCAAATCCGGAGAGACCTGTGAACACGCGCTCTCGCCTGCTTCAACGTCTACCACAAACCTCCATCATTCAAACCCATGCAGCCTACCCTGCCCGGAGTGAAGTGAGCACTACCTGTATCTACGCAAACTTGGAACACAAGACGACCTCAATCTCACTCGGCCTGAAAATGGCCATGGCCATGGAAAGCACTGGTAGCCAATCATATCGAACCCAGGTCAAGCGAGGGAGCATCCCCGACACGCGCAATTTCGTTCGCAGCTGATGATGGAACATTCTTTGCATCTTTGCTGCTTTGCCGGTCCATTGGCGCTGGAAGCTGACGGCTTATTTGCTAACACCGCTACAATGCAGAAAGCCGAAGCAAACCTCCCAGACACACGATGCCTCCGAACCACGTCTAGCAACACCTTGCGGGGGTTTGCGGATGTAGATACCCCTTCGAACAGTGCACCATACAAGTTTGTTGTCGCCGGACATACCAATCCGGACTTCTGAAACGATGGTAGAACAAGATGAACAAGCATTAGACGCAGCCAGGTCAGCGACGGTTCGGCGGAAACCTGTGCCTGCGCGCCCACCACCTCCGTATCCTACCAAGAAACTAAGCTTGGTGGACCGATGGAAGAACCTCTCACGACGGACTCGAATCATAGTCCTCGCAGCTATCCTCGCCACCATTGCCTTGGTCGTTGGCCTCGCCGCTGGCCTGTCGACGCGCAAACATACCCAAAACCTCCCTCTACCGTCCGGACACGGCGGCCCCTACACAGGCGATCTGACCTACTACGAGCCGGGCCTCGGTGCGTGTGGTGTCACGTCCAGCAATAAAGACAAGATTGTGGCAATATCTCATATCGTGTTTGATGCCGTGAGCACAGGTAGCGATCCCAACAGCAATCCACTGTGTGGGAAGAAGATCAGAGCACGGCGAGATAACAAGAGCGTGGATTTGACGGTGGTCGACAGATGCACTGGATGTCATCCCAAAGACATTGATGTCACAGTCGATACCTTTGCCATGCTGGCTGATGTTGATCTCGGTAGAGTACTTGTCGAATGGAACTGGTTGGAGAATATACCTGCGAAGGCGGAAGGGTGACAACTTATCAGAATTGGACCAGGAAGCGCTGTGCTCAACCACGATACATCAAAATCCATCTCTACGTACGGACGTTCGCCGAAGACATCAACTCGAGTCGGGGGTCCGAACTCCCTCGTACCTCTCTGTGCGGCCCGACACCGGCAAAACCATCGTGGAGACCCACGCCGTTAAGGCGGACATGCGCGTGGCGCATTGGAAATACCTCTACTACTACTACTAGTAGGTAGGTATCTCGCATCTATGCAGTCTACCTACAATTATTCACCCATATCCTGGCTCCGACCTCACTATCACCGCCCAGGCGCACCGTTAGACTGTGATCTGAAACGATCTCCTCCCGACAGAGGCAATCTCGACAATGTCTATCGTAGCATTGGCAGACGGGCAGCAGTATGTTAACCCTCCCTCCACGGCCGCCGATGTACTGACGATCCCAGGTCGAGTGTCACCCTCGATGTCCTCCGCGATGTTGCTGCCAAAAACAATATGAAGATCTCTTCTCCGGCAGAAGAAGAAGCCTACCTCCTTGTACTGCAATCGGCAGATGTAACGACAACCAATGTTGACGATCTGCCGGACTACGTTGATCCGCGACTTGAGCCAGTGCCGACGAAAGGAGGACGACAATATTGGAAATCAAAGGAGAACAGTCATAACGCATGGAGTCATCAGGCAGCTCTTGTGGCGGAAAAGCCGGTCTCAGATGTCCTCAAGGGCCGCAAGATTGTGATGAAGGACAATATCTCTGTTGGCGGGTTGCCGCACACCCTTGGAACGTTTCCTCAGTTTGTGTCCAAGGACGGGAAATACCCTACAGCGACTATTGATGCGACCATCACGCGACGACTGTTGGAAGCTGGAGCCACAATCGTTGGCACTTCGACCTGCGAGAATTACTCTCTGACACCCCTGTCCTATTCGTCTGCCAATGGACCAGTCCACAATCCGTGGCTTCACGGCTACAATGCCGGTGGAAGCACCAGTGGAGGGGCTTGTCTACTGGCCCTCGGCAATGCGCGGGCAGCCTGCGTACCAGGGCTGGAGCAAGCAGGTGAAGACATAGACCTAGCCATGGGCGGCGACCAAGCTGGAAGTATCCGAATTCCGTCGTGTTATTGTGGTGTCTACGGGCTCAAGCCGACTTTTGGCCTGGTTCCGTATACTGGAATCGCAGGACACCATCCCATGGTCGACTATACTGGGCCTATGGCAAGAAAGTTGGAGGACATAGCCAGCCTGCTCACAGTGGTGGCTGGTTACGATGGACTTGACCCGAGGATGACTCCCGAATCGCCACTTAGGCAGAACGTTATTGATTACGCGAAGGAGCTTTCGTCGGCAAAGGATCCTGGCAAAGGTCTCAAAGTCGGCATCATCAAAGAGTCTTTGACCTTACCCGGGACCCAGGCAGAAGTGGCAGAGGTTGTGAAGTCCGCAGCAATCAAGCATTTCGAAGCCAGTGGAGCGACAGTGTCTGAAGTCTCGGTCCCAATGCATCTACTGGGACCGGCTATCTGGACGGTAGCCACGAGAACTTATCTCGCAGGGCTGGCCGTTGGTGGTAGGACTCCTGATGTGCTCTTTCACAACATGCCGCACTTGTCCTTGAGGTGGCCGCCGGATCAAGAAATGTATGATGTCCTGACGGCCTCCAATCCTGCAGTGATCAACATCATTTTCTGTGAGACATTCTTGAAGGAGAAATATGGGCCCGAGGTCCAAGCCAAGGCCCACCGGCATGTGTTTGAATTGAGGGCGGCATACGACAAGGCTCTGGAGGATTTCGATATTCTCATCACACCTACGGCGCCCTTTGTTGCGCCGCCTCACCCTGACATGCGACCCAAAGCCGAAGGTGGAAGCACCTTCATGGACAAGATGACGCTCTCAGTGGGCGTAACCAACAACACGGCTCCTTTCAATACTTCGGGCCATCCAGCACTCAACGTGCCTTGTGGTTGGGCGCCCTCGCGCACCGGCAAGGGAATGCTGCCTGTGGGAATGCAAGTCATTGGGAAGAGGTGGGATGATCTCGGTGTGTTGAAAGCAGCCAAAGCCTTTGAACTTGGAGGCGGTGGCCTTGGACCGTGGCCGGGCCAGAAGCAATAGTAGCCGTCTCTTCCAGCGACTTACAACGGTTGCCGATTGGTCTTGGAACAGCTTCGTGGGATCTCGAGCTGCAGCAGTGGTTAGTCGGAGAAGCTCTCGATCAATAGCAATTCTCACATTTATGCCGGAAACGGACGGGCTCCTGAAAGGAGTGCCCTGCTCAGCGGTCTTTTGATGGACACTGACACAAAACATGCCCGGACAGATAATGTGGGAGCAATGTCAAGGGACAGCCTCGCAACCCTCAAAATCCCATATCGTGTTCTTACGTATTATGTCTCCTATTGTGCCATGGGATCAAGCAAGCGCTGTCCATTCTTCCCGCACCCTTAGCTCTCCTGCAACAGCGGATGCAGCCAGTAATAGCACGATATGCTCAATCTAGAGACAGAAAATCCTATCAGTTGGAACTCCTTCGATGAGGCTGCAATCTTGGGCATCGTAAGAGCTACTGCATCCATCGCTCAATAGGCGGGAAAAGCACAGGCCGTGACGTGGCACTTGCGAGAGACGGCTGGATCAAGACATCGGAAGCTATCGACGGTCCCTTCTTGACTGGAGAAAGATGCGGCATGTTGTGGGGATGTCGGGCACTGCGGGCACCAGCATCAACAAAGGATCAAGCAGAACGATCTATACTTGTCTGAGTCAGTAGCGGTCAACAAAATAGAGTCGTTGCACCCTCAAACGTTCGACGGTGTTCAGGATTAGTTCAGCCTTGCTGTACTGAACCAGTCGCTCTCTAGCAGGTTGTAGCTTGCAGCAGATTCAGATTCCCTGCCACCTGAAATAAAGACAAAATGTGCCAGTGGCAGCGAACTTCAACTGCGCCTCGACCGCCAACGACATCATCGCAATTCAAGCCACAACCAACAAATTCCCCGGAACCTATCGTGACACGACACCTCATATGCTGACAACTCTTTCACTGTTCTATTTTCTCTTCTAATCGAGGCATGCGTTGTACAACTCTTTGGCTCCTTGACTAACCACCCCTTCTCGTGACATGGTACATGCCACAGCCATCTAAGCGCCCTGGTCCTGGTACCTTACACCTCTCTCTGCCTTACGAAAGACCGCACCGAATGATACCCGCGATCTAAGCGCCTCGACTGCATTTCTTTCCAGGTCGCATCATGCAACCTCCTGACCAAGATGCCTTTCAAAATTCGAGATAGTAGCCCCGAACGGCGGCGGGAGAAAAAGGAGTCTAGTAAGATGGAAAAGCATGAAAGAGAGCGGAAAGACAGAGACAAAGACAGACATCGCTCGCATCGCAAAACGCCAACGAAGGAAAAGACCACATCTAGATCATCGCTTTCACCCGCGGACGGAAAGAGACGATCTTCCATGCCTGGGAAAGTTGAAGTCGAAGATGCCTCCCTCAGATCCGAATCCAAGTCTAGTCTTCCATATCCGACCTTTTCCAAGGAACACAGTCGGGAAGCGGTGGGGGTTAGTGCGAGGCCGACGCTGAATGTGTTTACACCACCTACGACGGATTTGAATGGGTCCAAGGACCGGTTGTCAACAGGAAAGTCGACGCCCATGTCCAACCATGCTCCTCCTAGTCCACCTCTCACCGATCAGAACTCCGGGTCGGGAAAGTGGAGACACAACGCAGGCAAGCCAGTGTCTGTAGAGACGATACCGGAAGAGAAGGATATAAGGAATGACAAAGATTCCAAGATCAAAGCCAAGCTACGGCCACGCTCCTCCAGATCCAATGGCCATTTACGCAGCTCGTCGGAGCTGGGGGCAAATAGTTTGCCGACGAAGAAACATCGAGATGTAGCAGACTCGCCACTCAAGACGACAACTTCGGTTGATACTGGTATTCCTCAGAGATCAGTCAGTCAACCGACCAGACTTGACTCGCCCATCACGGCAACAAGCGCTACCGAATCGGCCACCAATATCAGCTCGGACGCAACCTCCATAGCCCCAGACCAACCCAGTATTCAGCGACCTGGCTCGAAGATTCCTCCAGCGGCGGCACAACATGATATTCAACACCATCGCGGTCCAAGTGTTCAGCCCCAGTCCCGTGGCGTCACGCCCTTGGAGGTATTTGTTGAAGACGGATCTTCAATTCTATCTGCCACTGCCGACGGCGTCTCGGCCACTCCAGGACCTCCACCTCCTCCTCCGCCTCCTCCTGTCATTGCCCCAGTTCCCAAAGTCGATTATTTGCTCCAACATGGCGGGTTGAATCAACCAGTGCCGAAGAGACTTTTGTTGGCGGGTAAGCCCATGGCCGTGCAACAGGCTCAATCCCCTGAGCAGCCACCAGTTGTGGTTGCGAACCTCTTTCAACCTTACACATCACTTCTCGATGATTACGAAAAGGTCATGTCGAAGAACGGCTCTCTTGCTGTTGCGACAGGCTATCGATCTGTAGCGCGTCGATTGCTCGACCGACTCGAGGCGGTCTTTGCGCGAGATATCTCCTCCGAAGCTTGTCGTTGTCCTATGTGCGGGTATGACCACTCACACGATGTGCGGAGTGTTAGCTGGGGGGAAGCGCTGGAATTGGTCTCTGGTCGCAAAGAGCTTCCTCCTTGGCCCCCGTTCACGTTCACACAGTCTCCGGTGGGATTGGGCATTTCCCTCGAACTCCATGTGCCGATGCAAAAGCTTGATATCGATGTTCCAGATGAATACCGGGAACATTACATCCGACAGTCGCGCAAGACCAAACAAAGCGTCGACAAGTGGTTGAACCGTCAAACCGACAGTCCCAGCTCTCCACCAGAAGAAGTTGACGACGAGACACTCACCTTTGCCATCCTCACACATCTACCGGCTGAGCAGAGACCAGTGTTCAAGGACCTGTTGGGTATTGTCGACAGACCGATGGAACCCCCTCGAAGAGCTCCGACACCAGACTTGCGGACACAGAATGGTCTCGCGCCTCGACCACCCCTACCCACCCCGACTCCGACTCCCGCACCTCGTATTCGGCCGGAACACATCACCACTGCATCTCAAGCAATACAACGGCTATATCGACTGCCTGTTGCACCACGAGACTCGGAGGCTGCGCTGTTCCTCTTCAATAACCCTACATTGCACAATGCACTGGCCACCCTTGCCGCAATATCCAATGATGAATGGGATATTTTGATCTCCGGTCGGTTTGACGGGTTCTTGCGCAGTGGAGCCGAGGAAGGGCCCACGTCGATGGCAGAGATGGGCGTCCCTTCCAGAGGTCCTACACCGCATCGTCCACCCACGCGAGGCATAACGCCAGGCTATGTTGGGGTTGGCGGCTCTGCGTCCGTACCCAACGGCGATGACTACCGGTCCCGACAAGGAAGCTACGGCCACACATCCTCATATCCAGGTGCGACGGCACAGTATGGTGCTCCCATCGCTTTCGACGAGGAAATCGAGCTTGCCACGCTGGCCGAGGTCGAGCGGGACATTTATGCCGGCATGGAGGCCCTCGAGGATGCCTTTGAGGCCTTACATAACAAGGCCGAGCTGGTGCGTCGCGCGTTGCGTGAACGTGCTGCCGGTCTGGCTGCAGCTGCACAACGCCGACGGGGTCATCTCGGTGGAGGGGTTGAGGTTCGCATGGACACTCCGGCGAGTGGAATTCTGCCCAGTTTTCCTGATGGTGACACCGGCGGCGGCGGTGGGAAACCATGGGATGCTGAAACGGATGACGGGTTGGGTGAATGGGATGGGTACAGTGAGATCGAACCGGACGATTCGGCGAGCAATATCTCCAGTGCGAGACGACGGCGGCCGAAACGAAGAAACGAGCGAAGAACCCCGGCTCTCATCGAGGAGGAAGATGAGTACGAGGACATCATCAGTGAATGGACCGGCAGTCCGAGAAAGCGGTGAACATTGAACAGAGTGAACTGAAACTAGGACTACTATCTCAATTCCTCCAGATGTAGGCTATTATGGACTATGCGTACCTCACAGGAGAACAGGGCAGGCCTGCTTGCAAGGCATCATGATGGAATGAAGTGATGAATGAGAACAGGACAGGACAGGACAGGACATAGCCTTTACATGTATTGGACTTGCTGTGAATTGTATCGAGCAAGCGATGGCCAGTTGCTAGCTACTCGGTAAGAGGTGAGAAGTATTTGCCTACCTAGACAAGCGGCCTTCAGATGTTCGTTCACCTGAATATGTTCGAATTGTCTTGTGAGTTCCCTTCTGGATAGGTAGGCAGGTGCTTCTAGTATTGTGTATGTGCTTGCAACTTCAAGGGAACCACTGAGGTGCACAGCATGACATATGGGTAAGATCATGGATTCTACCGCGAACCCGGAATGTGGATGACTGTCGTAGCTGGATGATAGGTACATGTACTCAACAGTAGGGTTGAAGGTTCCTTTGAAGGGGTCATAGCTACCACAATACCTACTGCCTACTACCTATATACCTGCGTGAGGTCCTTGAGGTAAGTGTAACAGGCTGTAGACGTGCAGTGATACTTTTGTTGATGATGGGAGTAACGTGGCAGTATCCCACACTTTGTCTTTCGCGGATATTACCAGATCAAGGAGGTACAAGGTCCCGGAGAAAGCAAGCAGCCTCATATACTACCATGAGGTCTGTTGAGTCTAATTGCTAACCTAATAAGACATCCGGTGCATCTAAGTAGGTAGGTACGTCAGGTACCTAATGTGTAAGGTATCTATCTGCTCAGCTCAGCTCAGCCTCAGCCTCAGTCTTTCTGGTAAGGGGTTGCAGTATTAAAGTTGGAGATGGACTACTGTGGTACTCGTAGTTGATGTGATTGGTCTCTCATCCTGTTAGTGGAGAAGCCACTTACCACATCGGGATTCCGTTCGCGCAACTAACCCGATCAGGCGATTTCCACGAACTTCAAGCTTGCGAGTTCGCCCCACAGAGATATATCTCATTGGGTGATTCGCTATCTATCGTTGGTGCCTGGGGTTGGAGATCGCTGTTTAGTCCTCGCGTTGAATACTGAATCTGACAACGTTCGCGCGAGGGGCTGTGTTTGTGGTAGTACAATGCAGATCAGAGCGATGGGGTGACAGTGAGATAAGATAGTAGAGACAGTCGGATAACACAGAGACGCGTTGTAGGGTATATATCCCATGACCTTCCTTGGTGTTGGGAGACTCTTATCATTAATCGGTCTCACACTCTTCATCTTCCACTTCCACTCGAGGATCAAGTATCAAGATAACATATCTACCTATCGACCTGCCTAAGGTACCTTAGGCACGAACAGTGGGATAAGCAAAGAATACCTGCCTACATATATTAGCAGAGCAACATCAATCAATTCAACTCAAGGCATATCAGATTCATTCAATCAATCCAGCAAACTTCAAACTTCCAGATCTCACAACCTCGCCAATCCCATTACCGCGGGCATGATGTACTCTTCCCCTGCCACCCACCAAACCCCAGCTCTCGCAGCCGCAGCTGCCATGAGGAGAACGGGAGCCGGCTACCCCTACGATGACAGCCACGGCTACGGCTACGGCTACGGCGTTGGTGCTGGTCCCGCATATGGCTACGAGTGTCCATGCGGCCGTCGTCGCTGTCGGAGATCGTGCGCGCGCTACGCCCCGCGACAACAGCCGAGAATGTACGCTGGTCCCGGGCTGGTGTCTGCCTACGCACCCGGACCCGGACTAGGCTGCGATTACAACTACGAGAACGAGTACGGTCGTGGTTGTGGTCGGGGACGGGGTCGCGGTCGCAGCAGCGGTCGTCAAGGTGGACCGATCAGTCTGGTCCTCGGTGGTGTCATCGGGTTGGTCAAGATGTATGTGGACAAAGGCAGGGAGAGAGAAAGTCCAAAGCAGCAACAGCAGCAGACTGCTGCAAAGGACGGCACCAATCGAAGTAGGAATAGGAATGAGGATGAAACCGAGCATGAGATCGGCTGGACTGATGCCGAAGAAGACGAAGAAGATGAAAACGAGGAGGAACAGCGGCAGCAACAGCAGCAGTACTACCAACACGATTCTAGGCGCGAAAAGCAGGGCTTGAGGACGGATGATCCGCCGGCTTATGAGAGTCAGCCGCCTTCGTATCAGGCTGCGGTGGCTCAGTCTCAGGGTCAGAGTCGGCCTCGTCCCCGGAGATGAGGGTCGCGTTAAAGCTTTGAGATGATGCGTTTGAGATGAATCATTGGAGTTGCAGGCACAGGGGTTGCGATTGATGGAAACATACAGCGTTTTAGATTGGCGTTGCAAAGAGTTCATTCACAGCCGGAGATTTCTTTTTCTTCAGTTTCCAGTTGGAAGCTTCTTGATAGTCCATTTGAGCAGATATGACCGCTCATATTGGTTTCGATCTGAATGCCTCCACAACTGTTGCAACGTCCAGCCTGCTTTGATGGTGGGTATATTCCTCTCAATGAATAGATGAATGGCTTTTTGTGTCTTTTGTTGTACTTCCAGTCTAAAACGCTTTTTTAGTGGGAATGCCGAAACGTCAACACAGACCTTTTGCCATGCCATGCCTTCCACGAAGGGTTTGGGCGGTTCCGGGCGGCAGTTTTCCAAGATGCTGGCTTTGTCGGCGAAGGTGTTGCCCAGTATAGGCTAACGTTCCAACCCAAAATCCAGCTACCGGGTGGGAACGAAATGCAGGGAATTGTGATCTGTCGGATATCATCGATATGGCCGCTCATAGCCTGGTAGTCATGGTTGAGAACACGGCAGTCTTTGATATGAGGCCTCCATTCGATAGATACCGTGCTATGGTCTTCATACAGCCGACCAATCGGTATCCTTGTCGAGACAGATCATATCGTCAGGACTGTGCCATTGTTGAGACTAAATGCCATACATCAACGCGCCAACTGCTTTCGATCAATACTGTGCACCTGTCGAACCCTCGTTCCTCTCCACCAAATCACCCACTCCCAAACTCTTCCCGACCTTGACCTTGATCATTTTCTCCTTCTTGCCCCCTTCACCATTGACCTGACCGTCACTGTCTCCCTTCTTGCCGGCCGACCCCACAGCATCACCTTCATCTTGCTCGTCGTCCTTGTCATCATCCGGCAGGATCTTGAGCTGCATTCCCGTCAGGTCCATCTTCATCGCATACGCATCTTCCCCGTCGGCGTAGTATTTGCTCTCGACCTTCTCGACCTGAAAGCCCAGGGTGTCTCGGTACAGATGCAGCGCAGCGACATTAGACATGCGCACATGCAAGCTCACGTAGTTGGCGTTGAACACTTCCGCCATAGCTCGTTGGCTCATGCGCATCAACTTCTCCGCAATCCCGAGTCGACGATGTGTCCGCATCACAGATAAACTCGTGATATGTCCGTGTGCCACGCCGTCGGTGGGCTCTTCCTCCATCTTGGCCAGCACGTAGCCCACCACTTTCGGATAGGCTGATGGTTTGCCGCCGGGGCCGCGCACCACAGCCACATACGACAGTTGCGGCCATGTCAGGGCGTGGTACAGGTAGTATTTAAGGAAGTAGTTCTCGGGCAGGTTCGTCAGGTTGCATTGTTGGATGGATGGGAGGAGAGAGATGTGCGATGGGTATGACGAGACAGGGATGATGTCGACCATGGTGACTGGAACAAAGGGTCGACAGTGACGTTTGAAGCGAGGTATTTGTTCGTGAGTCTGGTGGTGTCTGTCACAGAGGTGTAATGGTTTACTGGGTTCGCTGACTGCAAGTTCAAGTTCGGTGTTGGAGTGTGCAAAATACGGACGGCAGAACTACGGCAGATTTTGAGGAGATTCTAGTTGCGTCAAACAATATTGTATATGTGTTGTGCTGCCCCCAATTCAATCCAACACCTTGACATGCCACTGGAACTGCAAAGCGTCATCGAATATACCAGTAATGTCTCCTCTATTTCTGAGGTACTTTTGCTATGAGGTCTACAGGGTATGCTACTGACGAGAAGCGTCTGGCGAAATGGTGTCTATCCGAGATTCGTGTTTCGTGTCTATATCCAAGATCGTTTTCTCTATCAAGTTTTCATCTCCGTGTCCCATCATGCTATCGACATCTTCATCCCTCCATTGGCACAAATCACACTCCCCGTCGTCCATCCACTCTCCTCTGAGCAAAGCATTCCCACAACACCTGCTATCTCATCGGGGAAGGCTGGTCTCTTCCCACCCATCCCTTTGATGACAATGTCGTCGTACTCTTTTGGATCTATGCCCGCTCGAGCTCTGATTGCATCGTCTCCAGTGTATTCCATCAATGGAGCACTGTCGACATATTTCTGGTTGGTTTTCCAGAATTTCTCTCCAGCCTGGCTGTACATGTCTCCCCAGACTGGTCCAGGATTGACGGCATTGACCGTACAGTTTTCGGCCAATTCTCGCGCCCACACTCGCGTCATGGCTTCAACGGCGGCCTTTGTCCCTGCATATATCGACTGCGACTCGCAACCGATGGATGCAGACACGCTCGAGACATTGACGATTCGCCCGGATCGGTCTTTCGGCAAGTATGGCTGACATGCTTGGACGAGCAACAGCGGCGCCAATACATTCACATTGTACTGCTTATGGAACTGCGTCTCTTCAATCGGTCCCAGTTCGGGGTCATTCAATAGCTTGTTTCCTGCAATGCCTGCATTGTTGATGATGATGTCGACTCGAAATGCACCTGTTCGAGGATGCGAGAAGTGGTTCTTGGCCGTGGCTAGGATCAAGGGAGCGCTGCGTGAAGGTTCGGCCAGGTCGGCTTGCACCGCTACACAGAGGATGTCATGTTCACTCGACAGCTCGGAACACAGGGCGTTGGTGGGTTCCGTGGAGGAGTCGGATGTGTAGACAAGGAGAAGAGAGCATCCTTTGGCAGCAAGGTTGCGAGCTATAGCTGCTCCGATACCTAATCAAAGGTCAGATGAGTCTACCACATCTATAACCACGGAGCTTGCTCGCCTCTTGACCCGCCCGTGATGATCCCAAGCTTGCCCTCGTGTGGCCGGTAAGCCGGCTCTCTGTGGACACTCGTCGAAGAGAAATTCCTCTTGGGTCTTCCTGGGAGCGCCATTGTGGGAGCTACTAGTATTGTACTTGCGGAGGGCTCGGGAGGTGAGAGAGCGTGAATTCTGCCTTGACTACCTGGGTGCTCACAGAGGTAACTTACTATTAGGTACCTACATCGCAGCCCACAGACCAGTAACAAGTGGGATGGTTTCGGTGGAGCGAACGCGGGGAACAAATGCAGTGCTCGAGAAGACGCGCTCAGAAGAAATGCGGTCGTAGCCAAAGCAGACAAACACCGCCTTCCTACGCCTCTAGCCCAGGGTTTCCCTTAGATTTGCTCAACGAAAGGACACCTTCCCACTACGTCCATTCTTTCATGCATGTTCTGCTGTTTTGTTTCGTACGCACTGCTTTTCTCTGCCATAACGAATGATCGTTCATGGACTTCCTTAAGTCTGCAGTTGCATCTGCCATTGCCAAATCGAGCTCTTTTCCGGTGACTCTTGGAGACCGAATAGATCTAGGAGACTCGATCTGGACTCTGCATAATGGCGTGAAGAAGGTGAGACTCTTGGTCGCTATTTCTGGGCGCTTCTCATCTGGATAACCAGGACGACCATACATCATGTTGCGTCTTCACCTTCGACATCAACTCCAACAAGGCCAGATTACCCTTGGCCAAAAATGCTGCCCGAAGGTTGCGTACTTTACGACATCCCGGCGTCATTCGGGTCATCGACGTGATCGAGAGCGAGACGCATATCTACATCATCACGGAAAAGGTCACACCGTTGAGCTGGCACATCAAGCGCAAGAGTCTGAGCGAAGAGACGATAAAATGGGGGATATACAGTGTTTCTTCCACCTTGAAATTCATCAACAACGATGCCTCCTCAGTGCACGGTGCCGTTCGGGTCTCCTCGATATTTGCCAGCGAAAGTGGAGAATGGAAATTGGGGGGCTTTGAAGTGTTGAGTTCGATGAACGAGGACGATGCCATCATTTATACCTATGGAAGCCTATTACCAGACTCCAATCGATATGCGCCACCAGAAGTTGTGAATGGAGGCTGGTCTGCCATTAAAAAGAACCCCCTCGGTGCGCCGGACGCATACGGGTTGGGGATATTGATTTTTGAAGCATTCAATGGGACTTTCATGGGGAGCGATCAATTGGGACAACCAAGGAGCGTACCTGCGAACATGATCCAGAGCTACCGGAGGCTGATCAACCCGAACCCAAAACTCCGGCTCAATGCTGGCCAGTTTGTTGACCTTGGAAAGAAGACAGGTGGGTTCTTTGAGACACCGCTGATACACATCACGGAGGGCGCGGATAGTTTGGGGCTGAAAAGCGAGGCCGAAAGAGATGAGTTCTTAGGGTAATACCTTCAGTGTCTTTTGCAGTACCATGCTGACCGGAACAGAGAGCTCGATGCCCTTACGGACGACTTCCCAGAGGACTTCTTCAAGATGAAAATCCTACCTGAATTGCTCAAATCGGTGGAATTTGGTGGCGGAGGACCTAGCGTCTTTGGAGCGATCATGAAGATAGGTCTGAAAATGTCTGATGACGAATTCGAATCTCGACTTGGACCCGTGATCATTCGACTCTTCAATAGTCCCGACCGAGCAATGAGAGTGTGCTTACTGGATAACCTGCCCTTGATGATTGATCGGATACCCCAGAAAGATGTCAACAACAAGATTTGGCCGGCCATGACCACCGGGTTCACCGATACTGCCCCAATAGTCAGAGAACAGACGGTGAAAGGGGTGTTGTCAGTAATCTCCAAGTTGTCAGATCGAGCAATCAATGGGGAACTACTCCGATATCTCGCCAAAACAGCCAACGATGACCAACCTGGGATCCGAACGAACACCACCATCTGTTTAGGGAAGATTGCTAGGAATCTTGGAGCTGGTTCGCGATCGAAAGTCTTGATTGCGGCATTCTCCAGAGCACTTCGAGATCCATTTGTGCATGCCCGCAATGCAGCATTGATGGCACTCAACGCAACTATTGATGTATTCGGTGACGAGGACTGTGCTACCAAGATTCTTCCTGCCATTTGTATCAGCCTCATCGACAAGGAAAAATTGGTGCGAGATCAGGCAAATAAGGCTCTGGATATTTACCTTCAAAGAGTGAGGAAATATGCATCAACCATGCCCGATAGTGCCCTTCCACTGGAAACTGGAACAAGCGCTCCTGCGACAGCTGCACCAGCTAGGATGGGGAATCAGACCGACACAAGTTGGGCAGGATGGGCGATCTCTTCGTTCACGAACAAAATGGCAGGAGCAAGAGGCGAAATGGCTTCCACTACCACAGTGAACGGCTCAGGGCTACAAAAGACGCAGTCACTTCCGGCGTCAGGCCGAGCAACTCCTACAATCAATCTTGTCCAAGAGAAGTCCATCACCAGCTCACCAAGACCGTCTGCGTCGTATACAGCCCGAAGCTCGACTTCCCAGCCGCCTCAACCCGACCAGCCTTTCCAAGATGATACCATGGATGCCTGGGGTACAATGGACGACGATGGCGACAACTTCTTCGACGCTTCCGCCTCCAATCAAGCCGCCAAAGCTCCGGGCGCTGCACCTAGTGCTGCCTTTGACGACGGCGGAGAGCCAGATTTTGCAGGCTGGTTGGCAGCACAGTCCAAAGCGAAGACTCAGAAGCAGCTTCCAAAGGGACTGGCCAAGCCGAATGCTGCTGGCGGAGGTCTCAATGTCAGACCATCGGTTCCAGCGAGGAGCGTTTCTGCTGGCGTATCCAATGTGAAGAGACCCACAGTTGCAAGTGCTCGGACTACAGCCTCAGTGACCGCAAAGAAGGAAGTGAAAAGGGAATTGCCAAAACCCAAAGACGACAACATGAATGATGATGACTGGGGTGATGCTTGGGATTGAAAAGCCCGTCTTTCCACACGACTGATCTGCTGGGCGCACTTTTGGATAATGAGATTGTGAAGTGATCTAAGTCTACTGGAGCGAGGAGTCTGGTGCGGCATTGTGACGATACTGGAATGAAATCTTCTTCGGCAGGCTATTTCATCTGGTTCTTATGCTTTATCAACCAGTTCGTCAACATGACTGTTACTTCTCTGACTGTGTTGCCATGGCACGTTTGCAGCGGATGTCCTGCTTGGCCTACATCGCACCCAGATGATAACGAATATGCTGTTTTCACAACAAACGGTGTCTTCTCTTCATCCAATGGCAGTCCTCTCCGATGAGTACCATGGGCTGAGTACCTCCATCTTTGAAAGACTCCTTGCACAGCCGGCGTCTGCCGTTGTCATTATATCCAGAACGAATTGCCCGCATTTAAGCAGCACTCAAGGGAACCCTGATCTATCGTTTCGCCACCACCAAGTCTCTGGGCCCCTTCCAGCAACTCAAACGAGAGAATACCACGATGCATCAGATTACGGTTGGTATTGGTCCTTGGCGCCCTGGAGGGCATAAGAGGCAAAAGGGTTCTGACGATGGAGAAAAGATTGGACAAGTGGTCGACGTCGAGGCGAAGTCTTGTCCTTTAAGTGAGGTCCTGGAGCACGCTCGACTTCATATGCGACAGTACGAGAGACTACAAAACATCGCCGTGGCAAAGGCCAAGCTGGAAGTCGAATCAAAGATGTCAGCACTTGAAGTTCGGGATAGCCACGACACCGAGCAAAGATCAATATCGTCGTCGAGCAAGAGGCGACGAAAGCATCGACGACAAATGACTGCCCAACGAGTAAGACATCATCCAATAACCGGTGCTCCAACTCCTGTGCCTGCAGTGTATGGGACAGTGTACAGAAGGGGCTACGAAGTTGAGAATGGCAACGAGGCTGAGCTTCAACAACAGACACCCTACGGTGCAGGTCCGCAAGAAGGTAACTGGCGCGTCAACATGAGGGACAATATCCATCGAATGCCAAAGCAGGAACGTCATAATCACGCCCGCTGGATTAGAAGTTTGTCGTTGAATCCCGGGGTCCTTTCTCCGCCAACAGCCAATGACTGGATTGTCGAAGGCCCAAGTCGGATTCATGGAGAAGAGGATTTGAGACAGTCCTCGGAGCCAGACCCACGTCGCCAGCTTGTGACTTGGGAGAACTGGGCACTCTCAAGAATGCTCCAGGAATATGTTGGCTTGAATGATAGCGAGATCGGGTTTCTGTTGAGCATGGAGCTCAAGGCGGCGAAGAAACGCTGGGGTTGACTGATGCTGGACATGACCTGACATGACACGGAACGTTGACGTGGAAGAATTGGACTGGCCAGGAGTGCATGTGGGAGCCTTGGAAGGAACGTGCCCAACCGCCGAACTTGGGAGATGACGAGAGGAGAGAGAGAGAATGAAGATGCTGGTGAGAATGGCCTAGCACAACAAGGTCATTGTTTTCAGCCCGTCGTGCCTGAAGGGACGAGACCTATGCGTCAATAAATGAGGAGCTGTTTCTCCCAGCGCCGTTCTTTCAATCGTGATCATAACTCCGTTCTAGCATCTTTTTGGTGGAGGCAGCGCTGGTGGTGGTGTAGCACATGAGCCGGAAACTGACATGCGATCCTTGATCTGCTAATTCATTTCCTTTCTCCCGTACAGAGCATTTCAAGGGAAGATCTGATCGTTATATCTTTCCATCCCTGGAGCATTCGTCAAGATCTCTCATTCTTTCCCCGATTGTTGGACCATTCATCGGGGTATGTTTCCCACGCTCCAACCCATCGTCTTTCCTATCATATCCTCCCATCCTTCACCATCTCCCTCATGACCTCGAGTGTCTTCTCGACCGCCGTCTTCGCCATAGCCCATTCCTTCTCCCTCTTCGCCGCCAACGCCGCCTCATCGCCCTCACATTCGGGATGTAGCCATTCAAAAGTATACGTCATGTACAGGTCCTTGTCGCCCTGGGCGCCCTGGCTAATGACGTTCTGCACTTTGCTCCCGTCCGGCTGGTGGAATTCGACCTTCATCGGTTCGTACGCAATACATGTCTCCCGGACGCGGCGGTTGCCTTCGCGGAAGACGACTTCGCGCACGGTGACCGGGTGGCCGTTGTCGGTTTCAGAGGTCGAGATCACGTCGGTGGCTATGATTGCGCCGCCGACAAAGTCTTGGCCGGCTTTGATCTTGAGCTGGAGGCCGCGCCAGATCTGGGCGTACGAGAGGACGGGGGTGGTGTTGGGAGGGTTGATGGCGGCGGTGTAGGCGACGTTGTTGGAGGGTGTGGGTGGCATTTTGGGCAAGAAGTCAGGTCTGCAGTGGTGTAAGTGCTCGCGATAGAGACCTTTACCCGTTGGAATGTACTGTGTACTGTTTGGACCTGGGATGTTGTGAGACGTATTAGATGGTGCGTTGTAGGTGCGTTGGTGAAACGCGGTGGTGTATCAGTCTTTCCAGAGTGTCGGGACTCCGAGTCCCCCGCGATTCAGGATTCCACTACCTAAAGCACCGTTGCTACAAGTATTTTCAGGTACCGCAGTTTGCATAGTAGGGCACCTCCCGCATCATTTTAGTTGTCCGTTCAAGCATTTCTATGCCGACAGCAAGCTCAATACCGAGATAGAAGGTGGAAGGAGACATGCCCAACACCAATCCCCGACAATGGCATTTGCAGGTCGCCCATTAATCGACAATGGACAAGTACCATGTCCCTACTACTCTACTGGCATGTCGCAGGCACTATCTGCTGCCATCCAGGTCGATCTGATGTCACGGATAAGGTGATCCTGGACCAAGCTGAACATCTCAACTCTCATACGGCCGTTGTTGCCTGAAAAACGGGACGCCTCACGGTGCTACAAAGCTTGATGTTACTCTGTTCCTCCAATCTCCTCTGCGCTCTGTGCTCTGGACTGCGTGGTATGTCAGCAACCGAAGTCACCGGAACAGTAGCGGCAGCGACAAAATACGCCCTGACCAATCATGGCTGGCGAGAGACAGGCAGCCCGCCCCTCCAGGCGGATGCGCTTCGGGGTCTCGCACCTGGATACAATGGCCACGAAGTAAAGGGCTGAGGGTTATATCCACGGCCTCTGACTCTTGGTCGTGGCAAAGACGCGAATTTCAAGAACAAGAACACTTTGTGCCAGGGAGCAAGACGCAGACGCAAGGCGGAAGACGGAACACCGATTGGATTTGTGACACCAGTGCAAAGTACTTGGATCCTGATCTATAGAGATTGGCGTTCTCCTCAAAGCAGTCCTCAATGACCTCGATAACGGCAACCTCTGTGATGCCAGATACACTCCTTCCAGAAAAACCGAAACGAACGCGCAGAGCTCACACCAAGGCCAGGACAGGATGCTTGACCTGCAAGTAAGTTCATATGATGTACAGAGGTGCGATCGTTGGGCGTTTACTGACCAAACATAGAATTCGAAGGAAGAAGTGCGATGAAGAGAAACCTTTCTGCCGCCGATGTACAAGTACCGGCCGCAAATGTGATGGCTATCTCACCCAATCCTCGCCGCACACCTCAACCTCAAACGATGCACCGTCAACCACCCCCGAACCCGAACTAAAACGTCCGAGGACGCATACAGGCGCAAATAGCCTCTCTCCCGTACTCGCCGAAATGAGACAAGGGCCCGTTTATGACCATGATTCTGTCGATATAGTCCGGCCGCCATCGAATGTCATGTTCGAAACCGACAATGACTTCTATTGCTTCGACTTCTTCCGTTCGCGCACCGGCCCCGAATTCGCCGCTTACTTTGACAGCTCGATCTGGCGCACGTATCTCATCCGGGCATGTTATCAACATCCCACCGTGCTGGCTGCCACGGTAGCCGTAGGTGCTGTCCACCGAAGATTCGAGCTGGGCATTTCCCGGGAGGCTTTCGAGTACTGTGATCTCTCGAATCAGATGTACCAGCGGGCCTTGAGACGGTTGTCAGACGACATAGCTTCCGGACATCCCAACGTCGCAGAAATAAACATGATCACCGCGAAACTGTTCAGCGTGTTCGAAACATTCCAGGGGAACCATGAGCTTGCACAGATGCACCTGGCGGCAGGACTCAAAGCACTGCTAGGTCGGGATATGCGCACGACTCGCCGGGAAACGCAATACCGGTCTGTCGATATTTCGTACGAGACCCTCCGACAGCTGTTCTTGAAGCTAGAACTGGAATCCGTGCGGTTGTTTGACGGTCCCGCCACCATTCTCAGCGATCCGGAAGCCGCCACATTGCTTTGCTCCTTGGAATCCGACCCGTCCTTTCCCGACGCGACTCCATGTCTTCCAGACCCGAACCCATACCCGATCCCGCGTGCGTTCTCTTCCCTCTCGCGCGCGAGAGATGTCTTGTTCACTGAAGCCAAATGGATCTGGCATACCTGGGGACTACTCGAACAAGGAGCGTTGTCTGGGACCGGTTTCAGCCGCCATCAGACGCACACCTCCCGTCTTCTGCAGTGGTCAATCGCCTATGCCGAGAAAATGAAAGTCGGCATCTGCCGCTTCCAGCCGCGACTTCGACAAGCAGCGCAATTGCTGAAAGTCTACCGCGAGGCTGCTTACCTATTACTCCTGACCCAGATGGCTTTCCATTCGCCCGATACCGGCGCGGCGATTGTTACTCTCTGCGAGTTTCCCGAGCTTTGCGACTGCCATCGATCCTGCCGGACGTATGCCGAGCGCAAAGAGGCCCTGAATGCGCATTTTGCCCGCCTGCTCGTGCTCAGCGAGAGTGTTCTGAACCGTGCCTCCTTCTCTGCTTACGAGGAGCACGCGCTCAGTATGGACAGCGGGATTGGCCCACCGCTCTACCGCGGCGACAAGCAGCGGTGTCGGTCAACTAAAGTGCGGCATCAAGTCACGTCCTTATTGGGGAAGAGCGAGATCCAGGCCCGCGTGTGGGATACTCTTGGCGTGTATGCCATCGCAGAGCAGCTGGCGAGCGTGGAGGAACATGCCATCGTACAAAGCGGCATTGTGCCCGAGGAGCTGGAGCCCAAGTGGGTGGACATTACCTTCTTCCTGGAAGAGAGACGGGTTTTGTTGAGATATTGTACTCGGGATCCGGAGGGCCACGGTGGCGGATTGAGAGGGACTAAGCTGGTGATGGATAAGTTTGGCGGAGGCAGTGGCACAGGCGGGTTGATTTGGACGCAGGAGTGGGCGTCTTTCTAACCAGGAGTATGATGGCCGACTCCATAGTGCTCGGTTGGGTAAAGAAAGGACCTAAGGGAGGTCTGGTCCCACAATAAAGAAAGAGTCTTTGAATATAATATACGGATTCAGGACGGGAAAACATGCTCTTATGTTATCGAATGCCATCACACACCTTCTGTTTATAGGGATGGCATATATAACCCTGAGCATGTTTCCATGAACTGTCTTCGTTCAGAGGGGTGGACTTTGTCCATTGTAATGATATCGTATCATCGTCCCAGACGGACAGAATGTATTTTGTCCATTGTAGAATGCCATGATTGATCCGATCAGACAAGTATGCCCTACCTGACACCGCCGACTCTTGACTGATAAATCGATGCATATTCAAATTGGCCATGCTTATACGTCCCGATTTCTCCTCCGAAACCCAAACGAGCCAGGCTGTCTCGGCGGAGGTGTGGCGCTCTCCTCGCCGTAACTCTCGGTCCCATGGTCCTGATCGGAGCCATTCACAAATGTCTTCTCACTCCTCTTCATCGCCTTCCTTCGACCCGAGCAGCAACAAACACCACAGCACGTGCCAAACTGCATGATACATCCGATCAGGTCCATCCCGGTAGCGATCCACATGAACGCGAGCATGGGTTCGCCCAAATAGGCCCGGATGTTCAGATCAGCCGCCCCGGAGAACCTGTCCTGGAAGATGACGAACATGACCGTAGCAATGACCGACCCGGCAGCAGTGAACAGCAGTGCCAGGAAGGTAAGGAGGGCCATGGGCAACTGGCGCAAGAAGATGCGTTTCTTTCGATGCTCCCAGCGCGGATGCTTCGAGAAGCCCATGGGTGCGAGGAAGATGCAGAGAAAGGTCAGCACCGTGCCGACCAGAAAACACGCGAACATCCAATAGCTAGCGGTTCGGACGAGATGGAGCACGGTGACCACCTCGCTTGGCAGAGTGATGGACGCTCCCGCCAGTAATTCGGACAGGATGATCTCGACCGGGTTGAACCAGTAGATCACCTTGGTGGGCGAGCAGTAGGTGATGCCCTGGCCATTGTAGCCTTCGCAGAAGTTCCACAGACCGACCTGGTAAAAGTCATGCAGGCCGATACTTTGGGCGATTGAGTTGATGAAGACGGCGTTCGGGATCGATGCCGGAATGATGTTGGCCAGTTCGATCTTGAGGAAATACGTGTCTCGAATCACGACGTTGTTGTTGATGTTTCCGATCTCCACGAGGATCAGGAATACCAGGGCTATTATGTAGATGCAGACGGTGAAGATGCGGAGGCTGGTCGGTCTAGACGTGAAAGCTGAAGCGTCGGCATTGGATGTCTTGGACCGTGAGAAGATGCCCATTGTAGTCGTATCAGGAGGAATGACCTAGAGAGAGATCACGACCCTGATGTCGTGTCTATCCTTGATTCAGGAGTCCCGCGTATACGACATCCCGCCGCTTCCGTACGCTCTGCTGATAAGGAGCAGGAGTCGTCCGGCCACGAGGTTAAGATGAGGACAGAGACAACCTCCAGATGATTATCCGGTGAGCTGGAGATATATGTCGTCGGAAGATGTGTATATGTCTCCGACTGTATCAATGTCCAGGGGATGGTTTGGGTTTTGATGTCGTCGGTGAACGGCGTTGATTTTCTTCCTAGCGTCATTGACTGCTGCTGTTGGGAGAAAAGATGAGCCGCCATGCCATTACATCAACGGCGCACGTCTTTCCGAAACCCTAACTAACTTCTCACAGGGGGAGGCCTAGACGACAAGCCTCTGCGCCCTTTAAGCGGAGGCGGCATCACGCCTACAAGGCTCCAGCCGAGTGCCGTGCAGGCCCAATCCAGCTCCTCCATGGCCTCCATGGCCCCCGGCACATCCGCGCCCTGGTCTGATCACCATTATTAACGGTCCCCAACAGACTGTCGCGAAAACTTTAACAAAAAACATGCCATCATGACCAAGTGTGATGCCTTGTTGTTGATTCAGTACCTAAGCATCATTGCTGGAACTGTTCGTCTCGGTCTATTCTATTCTATACAAACACCTTCTCACCCGGTCTTTCTCTCGTCCTTTGATGCGAGACTTGTACGCGTCATCCAGCTTGGGCTCCATCCATTTCAGTCTCCACTTTATTTCTTTCCGAATCCGTGGTCGAAACTGAGACGCTAGACTGTGTTAGGACTAGCGGCTAGAGCACATATTGACGTCGTGTGTCTCCACTGGTTGCTGCTCTGCTGCTGCTGCTTCAGCTTCTCCTGGTATTATTTTCATCTCCATCTCCATCTCCATCAACATCAACTTCACGATCACTGTACAGTCCACATTTTCTGCCATTCGTTTCTCGGTCACAACGTTATTATAGTGCTGTTCCTCGCTGGGTCCTTCTCAATGTTTTGAAGTCCGTTTCCACCAGGCTAGCCGTCTCCATAGGCCGTCCATCTTTCACCCATCATCATGCACTCAATACACCTATTCATCATTGCCAGCTTCGTCCACCATGTTTTATCTCAATCCACCGAGTCCTCGAGGACCGGACTAGCCACCTCCGCCGTGATCGCAGACTATCCGACCTCTGGGACCAGCTATGCCAACGATGGGATCACCATCACCCTTCCTACCACCGTCGACTATGCCAGCATAACCGACCTCTCTTCCGCCATGGGCACTGATAATACCACGGCTGCCGCCTCGACTTCCACCTCGGGCAACAGCACCACTTCAAGTCCAAGCCAGACTTTGTTGGTCGGGACTGCTCGGACGACGACAACGCTGAACGGGACTGCCACGCGGAATGCAACAGCTTCTAGAACAACAAGCTCTGCCAGGCCCTCCAACACCGCGCCATGCAATGGACACCCTGATTTCTGTCAACGGAAGTACAGCAACATCACCTACATTGCCGCTCACAACAGTCCTTTCATCCGCCCGGGAAATCTCGCGGCCAACCAAATGCTGGACGTTGAGGCCCAACTGAACGACGGCATCAGAATGTGTAAGGCTACCTACTATCAATCTCCCGACCTCCCTCAATCTCGATACATACAGCACCGTGACCCCATGGCCTTCCACACCCTCCTTGCTCCGCTATGCGGTCCAACTGAAGCTGGCTTAGCCATTACTAACTCTTTCTCAGTGCAATTCCAGACTCATTATGTCAATGGCACTGTCTACCTCTGCCACACCTCCTGCGACATCCTCAATGCCGGCACGCTCGAAGACTACCTGATCACCATCACTAAATGGCTACGGGCCAACCCCTACGACGTGATCGCAGTGTTGATGGGCAACGACGACGTCATCGACCCGATGAACTTCACCGGCCCCGTAGTCAACTCCGGCCTGATCGATTTCGTATACACTCCTCCGACCGTGCCCATGCCGATCGAGTCCTGGCCTACCCTTGCCGAAATGATCTTCCGCAACGAAAGGGCGGTCGTCATGCTCGACTACCAAGCCAACCAGACCGCCATTCCCTGGCTCCTGGATGAGTTCTCGCAGATGTGGGAGACGCCGTTCTCCCCCACGGACCGGGATTTCCCTTGCACGGCCCAGCGCCCGCCTGACCGGCCGCGCGACGTCCGCCTCGACCGCATGTACATGGCCAACCACAACCTGAACCTCGAAGTCTCTTTTGCCGGGTTCGACCTGCTGGTCCCTTTCTATCCACTGCTCAACGAAACCAATGCCGTCTCGGGCTACGGGTCCGCGGGCGTCGCCGTGTCCAATTGTACCCAGATGTGGGATCGGCCGCCGAATTTCATCCTCGTCGACTACTACAACATCGGCAGCTACAATGGCAGCGTGTTCCAGGTTGCCGCCGAGGCGAATAATGTCACCTATAATCGCGACTCGTGCTGTGGCACCGCAGGGGTCCAGAGCATCGCTGCTCGACTGTTGGAGGGCAGCGATGCGAGGAAGATTTATGTTTTCGTCGTCGTTGTTGGCATAGCTTCGTCTTGGTTCTTATGATGCACGCAGGCATTCGGTTTGGGACTGGAGGAGTTGGTTAAAAAGCGATTTTGTTGGGTTTGACGGCTCTTCGGCGTCGGCGCGTATCAATCATCATCAATGAGTTTTTGGGAAAGAGCAGGACGAACGAATCAATGAATGAATGAATGACCGAGATCATCTAGTCAACCTGGTAGGTAGTAGGATCTTCTAACCGCGCGATATCACTTTCATTCTTCCAGGTAGATGGATGATTGTATATCTCAGAGCCCAAGGTCCTGTTGGACTAGATGCTCCCACCTCTTGCCAATGCTTGCCGTCCGACAATACGGTTGGCCCTGTATTGAGGAGTAGGAGTGACACGGTTCTGTCATTTCCAGCGGAGCTTGAGCGAGACTATCATTCCATGGCGGCGTCGTTGATGCCCAAGGCGGTTTAGCTGCCGCTCCTGTCATTCCCCCCTGGAACAAACTGGGTCTGTATCTGATCGTGATCGTGGCCCCAGCCATAAGGTCAGATTGCTTCGGTGTTTCTTGTACAGAGTAAAGCCTTCTCAAACCAGATCTTTCGCGCCTTTGCGCTCAGAGGAGATAATGACAGTACTACTAGCAGTAGTAGTAGTGCTGCGAGCAATCATGCGACTTCGCGTGACGGCACGACGCTTGGCACCATCGCGGTTGATGCCTTCAAGTTACTGACCTAGTAGTAGTAGTAGTAAACAGCACTCAACCCCCTCACTCATTCGCACCACTCACCATTGTGATGGATTGCGCAAGTTGAAAGCTTTCACGTCCTCACTCCTAATGCGCCTACAACTCGACTTCCTCCACTATCATGACGGAGGAACTCGGTAGCCCGATGAACGAACACGGTGACCGCGACGACACCCCGCCTCACAGCACGAGCGAAAAAGCCATGGATGACAGCCCTCAATCGCTCTCCGAAGACTTCAATCTCAAAGTTTTCCGGAGAATGAAAAATGCGTTGTAGAGGGACCCGGCCATCGACCTCACGACCGTGTTCCCATCGACATATACAAAACGTCTTGCCGAGAAACGAGAATAGGATGAGCAGCAGAGAATCGCGCAAGACGGTCCAAACTCTACCATTCTGGTGACGACTGAATCCGAAGATGCCAAAGAATCGGATATCATCGTCGATCATAGGACCAATGCCGTCCAAACCAGCCTCAGCGTTCCGTTTGAACTGGCGCCCAGCTTGAAACGCCTATTGCAATGCGACCACCAGTCTAGTCAAATGCTCCAAGACCGAATCCAAAGCCTGATTCGAGACGGAAAAGTCCTATGGCGGTCGGAGTTCTCTGCCAAAATCTGTGTTATCAAATGCAACGAAGAAATTGTCCTCAAGTCGGTCCTGTGCACGTCAGACTACAGAGTTCACGGGTATGCAATACTTGCAAGAACACCTACCGGGGATCCCGGCACCGAGGCCTCTCGGAGTCATTTCAGACTCTCACTACACCTACATTTTCATGACATTCAAGCCGGGTGCTAGGCTTGATACTGTTTGGCCTCAACTGAATGGCGCTCAGAAGATGGAAATTGCGAAAGGATTGGAGAAGATTGTCATGAAAATGAGGGAACATGTTCCCGAGAAGAAGATGCCACTTGGTGGATTCGGCGGAGAGGGCTGCAAGGATTCAAGACGCCACACTAGGACGTGCAACACGCCCCTCTTACGAGTTCAGAATACATCAACTTCGTCTTGTCAAATCCCCATTATGGGTGGAAAATCTGGATTGACTGTTTACGACGGCTATGTGAACAAGAAAAGTCGACGATTGTCTTGACCCACGGAGACCTTCAGCCCTGGAACATCTTGGTACAGTCCAGCGGTGATGGCTCATGGCTGATATCTGCCATTATAGACTGGGAGCGCAGCGGCATGTACCCTCAGTGGGTGGAAGCCAACAAAGCGACGAACTGCCTATCATCGATGGAGTGGGAGGATGACTGGGCGCTGTTTCTCCCACCTTGCATTTCACTCCAACAATGTCCAATCGCATGGCTGTTGGATCGGATCTGGGACGTGCATGTTGCTTGATGTCGTCAAACCGGGCCATAATGATGCACTTCTCAACGAGGCTTACTACGAGCTCCACCACGAAGCATACTAGCAAGAGAAGAGAGAGAGAGAGAGAGAGAGAGAGAGCGAATAGTAGTATGCTGAGTGCCGAGCTTGCAAGTCACCTTGCAAAATAGGTGGCATCGCAAAAACGATGGAGGTAAGTCCTTGGTAGGTGAGCAATCAGTCAGTTCGATATAATAGACATTCTCCTTTAACGTAAGTATACCTACTGCGTATTGAATGTTTGAAGGGCGCCTCTATTAACATCTAATAGTACTACTTATCTTATAGGGTGGCTTACTAGTAAGTAGATACTTAGGTAGGTAGACTGTAAGGTCGATATAATAGACGTTCTCCTTAAACGTAGGTATACCTACCACCTATTGAAGGTTTGAGGGCCGCCCTTACCAAGATCTGGCGCTGCCACTGATTTTGTAGGGTGGATTGCCGGTTACAACTTGAACAGGCAGGCGCAGCCAAGGCCTAACAGCGTTTCGGCCCGTCACATAAGCCCCAAAACCCAAAACCGCAACCTTACAGTCACGACATGCCTACCACTGCAGGTGATTCATCTACCACTGATTTCTTGTCACTGTGCACCACTTCACGAATCGCAGGCTGCCTCGCTCGATACTCATGACTGACTGGCTCCTGAAATCAAGCAATGTACAACCCCCGAACTTCGAACGAAAGCCTAAAGGCGACAGCGGAGACACACGAGTGGGGACCATGGGGACAACTTCGACGCAGAGGATGTCTATGGAGTCACAGACCGTGATTCCTCAGCCTGCTGTGCATTTTGCATGTAATAAGATGGAGAAGCTTCCAAATTCCAAGCTTGTGCGGCTGTGACAGACAGAAAGCTGCTCTATCCTCCTCTAGCGAGGCAGACCCCTGTCCAGCAGGCAGCTGGCGCCCTGCATGAGCCGAGGCTAAAGAGGCTGCGCCCTGCTCCCATGTCTATGGGGGCTTAGGAGGCCGGCTTTTGAAGTCAATAGGCAAGATGCTACAAGCGAAGTACTGCAGCACAAACTTTACGGCCCCCAACATTGTCTGCACCACTCTACCGGCACTATGCACGACCCTTTGTCAGGCAGACCATTTTCCCAAGCCTGATAATGGCAGCTCAGGCTTTTATCAGACCTTCATACTGACATAAAGGTATTGCAAGGTCCTATCGGAGTCTCGCGTACAAGGTCACCTTTTCAGAAGTAGAGGGATATCAGTGTCACGATGACAGTGACGAAAGGACACAAGGATGTCCATTGGAAAGCCCCAACTCTTATGCTGCTTCCCACAGCGGCTGGACTGGGTCTTGCATTGGGACAACACTTTTTCTACCACCACCTGAATGGAAGAGCGACCGATGGTTCTGAGACGAAATACTCTCAAGCCCTCAACACCGGTATAGGCACTGCCATGGCATTTCTTGTCAGATCCCAACTGGTTCTTGCCATTGGCACCGCATATGCTCAGTTGTTTTGGCAACGGCTGCGACACAAACAGGTCAAGTTTACGGAAATCGACTCACTTTTCTCGATTTTGACCAGCGTGATGGACTTGTTGCGATGGAGAATCTGGGTTCATCACCCTTTGTTGGCTTTTGTTGCTCTGTTGGCATGGTGAGATCACTTGTCTGCTCTACCGTCTGGAACACCTCTGAGTCCAAGTAGGCTACTACCATTGACAGCCGTTGTTGCGCCCACTGCATTGACCACGCACTGGTCGGAAAGGTCGCGCGAAACATATCAAATGGCAAAGGTGCCGGTTCCGGACTTCAACCGCAGTTCTTATGGCATCCTCGGCGCCGACATGACCAATGGCTATCTTAGTTGGAGAGGCTCACAGTATACTCTGGACCGACTGACACTCGCCACTGCTACCGGAGGTGAAGTATTATCTGCACCCGCACCGGCAGTCAACTCTTCGTACACGATCAGCTTCTATGGCCCATCACTACATTGCCAACCTCCTTCTAGCGCGTTCAATCAGAGCTTCCAAACACTCATTACAGACTTGGAGCAAGGGAAGTTACTCTACCAGCAGATCCTCTACGCTGCTTGGCGTCCAAATGACACGGACAACTTGCCGTGGTTGGAAACAATGTTGGAAACAGGGTTCGACCAAGGGGCCGGGCGCAATCTGATCGGGCCGGGCGATCAAACAGCCACGGTGTATTTCGCTTTCACGGGTGCCAATGCTCCTACCGTGGTCGAGTGTACCTTAACGAATTCGTCTTATCTGGTGGAAATCACTAACTCCAACGGCTTTCAGACTCAACGGGTTCGTAAGGCACAACCACTGGGTAACATCACGACTATTTCTGGGTATCAGTCACACACCGACGATGCATTGCGACAGATCCTTGCCTATGAAACCATGCTGGCATCCTTCTTCGACATACTTCTGGGCAGCATCGTGCATCCTCGAAGCGCTGATAGCAATATCTGGTCGACCGACACCACTCAAGTGATGGCGACCACGCTTGGATTGAGTGATGAACTTTATCCCATTCTCACAGAATCCGATGCCATGACAGACTATGAGACACCGACTGAGCCAGACGTCGTGCCCAGTGGAAAGTCGTTCGCCCGGTCTGCAGAAGAATTGTTCCAGAACATCACATTGAGCCTTATGGCGTTCGAACGGTACAGAACGAACTTTACCGACATCCAGCACGAACATCCGCTCACCAACGTCACGATATATTCGCCATATATTGTATACGACTATGCGCCCCGGAACCTCATCATTGCCTACGCCAGTGCCGTGGGTGTAGCGCTTGTGATCGTTGTCATTGGCAGTCTTGTTCTGTTCACTTCTGGAAAATCATTCAGCAATACCTTTACCACTGTCATGAGAACGACGAACAATCCTCACGTCGAAGGCATAGTCACACAGGATGATAAGGATGGAAGGGATCCGCTTGCAAAGCATATCGCTCAGTCGACATTCGATTTGCGGCACGACAATATAGCGACTGAAAAGGCAGCATCGGATTCAACTCCCTCGCAACCCGCCTCCCTGATCTCCGAAAAGGTGGTCAAACCTTCAATTGTCAGGGCAAAGTCATTGCCCGCGCGAGCATTAATGAATACGGCCGTGACAGACGCAGGACCCTTGCCTATAAGCCCACCAACCGCAGAAAATAGCCGACCCAATCATGGTGAAGGAACTGTCCATGAGGGTCCAGACGGTGGACGTAGTGGAGAAGGACCATCACACCGTTCAACCTGGTGAGGCCGGTTGCCATTCCGGAACTGGTGCAACAGGCGAAAAGCCCCTCGAACGGCGCCGCCCAGCTCTTCTTGCTGTCTGGGACCATCAGGCAGAATGTGCTGGACGTCAATGGGCTGGGCAGTTCGATTATCGATCAAGGACTGGGCGTATTCCTTCAATGGCTATCTCGCCCAGGTTGGGGGAAAGTGCCGTACACGGGGCCCGTGTCGTGACGGAGAAGATGAAGCCGCCGAATATTATCATGGTCGATTATGTGGCTACGGATAGGTTTTTGACTCCGATTTGTGTGGGCATGACAATTTCCTATAATGCACAGAGTTTGTGAATAGGAATGCTGTGAAAAGGATATCGAGGACATGTGTTTTGGGGCTGATGACGACGATGACGATGACGGTGAAAATGATAATGATAATGATGAGGAAGATGACGATGATGATGATATTGACGACGACTATAATGACCGCCTTAAGAAAACGACATTCAGAAGAGTGTAACGACTGTATAGGAAAAATTCACGGTGAATAGATTGATTCGGTCAGAATCATACCATGTCGTCCGCCCTTCAGGGGTATCTGTCCCCTGGATGCAGGCGATGGGATTTTAGCTATGACAGGTACTGTAATCTGTACTGCAAGTGACAGAAGTAGTCACGACGACTTGCCTATTATTGCTACTGCATCTGAGGCTGGCGCATTGAAATCCAGGCTTGAGGACCACCAATCTAGTACTAGGAGATACAGGCATCGGCGATACATGTCCGGGGTCCACTCATAAGGCTGAACCCCCTTTTCACGCCTCGAGGGGTGCAGTGGTCAAAGTTCACAAACTTACGGGCTCACGAAGCAATCATACCAAGCGATTAAATAGGGGGGTCTTCGTGAAAGCAGGATCCAGTATAGGCTATGCTTTAATTTTTCTCGATCATCGATTTTGTTTCCTAAGGTAGTCTAGACAACCAGGACGGTTGCGATACAGGACGGATTCCTTGTTAGAGTCTCGTCCTGACGCCCCGGCTCGGATTTTTCTCCCAGGCATATCGACGTGCAGACCCTGAGGAAAAGTCGGTATCCCTTGTGATTATATGCAGTGCTTAAACCTGTCCAAGCCTGATTGGTACCTATTGCTCAGTCCCGGATATATGGCTGTGAGATGATCCCGACCTGATATCAGGTAAGGCCAGAAAGGGGAGAGAGTCATTCGAGAATCCGCATACGACCTTCATCCTTCTCCGCAACCGCACAAGTTGTGTCTAGAGATGTGCTGGCGGATGCGCCAACCCAAACTGCTAGCTTTTTCGTTTCCGTGCACGTGCAAGCTGAACTGAATTGCTGTCAGCTTTGGAGAATGGAGGGAACAGCCTCTGCCTCTCCAAAGAAAAAGCGCACAGCACGGCCTTTGGCCGTATCCCCTGGGGAGCTGTGATTGCTGTTGGGACATGATAAATTGCTGTGCGCATCGCTAGGATTGTTGGGCCAGAGTAAATCACGCCTTAGAGATGCGACGACCTGGATAATCGTTTGATCTTGTGTCCCGGGAATGTATCTTAGGCTCTTCAACATCGTAGGTTCATCCAGTCAGGAGATTCAAACACCCACAGCCAGAGTCGCGCGCTGGGAAGTGATGATTGCTCTCCCTAAGTCAAGGACGTCATTTGCAGTGGGTGGCGGGGCACAGTACTTCTTCCTTCTTCCATGCAAGCGGCTGCAGGACTCGGCAACCAGCATTGGGGTTGATGAGGACTGTATAGTACCCTTCTTCGCATCGCGAAAGAGGAAGAACCAGACCCCACTGCTGCACTGGATGTTTCTTCGTCCTGGCAGTCCAGACTTATGGCGACGGCGACAGATCGCCCGCAGTGACCGTACGAGCCTGAACGTTGCTTGGAAAAGGACACACATGACTCCTCCCGAGCCGGTAATTAGGTCGAATGAATTACGAGTACGTATTCATTTCGTTGTCGCTGTCGTTGTCGCTGTCATGCTCTTCAAGACCGGCCTCGTCTCGAGAGTCTGCGAAATGAATCCTCGCAGCGCCGCCAACCGCTCACTCGCAGAGGGCACAGTTGACTTCTGTTCAGAGGCGGCTTGCCCAGACGAAGCCGCGGGTTTCGAAGCAGCCAGTTGCGCCATGTTCTTAGCGAAGCGGTCCCGTTCGCCCTTGTCCAGCTTTTCTCTCCGTTTCAGGGCGCCAGGCCTGGACTTCATGCTCTTGCGCTTGATGATGTTGATTTGGTCCTGTGGGCGGGATCCCGCCGGCCCATTTGTGCCGGGTACAGAATCACCATCGTTATCAGCGCTGGGAAGAGCGTCGGCCAAGGCACCGAGAGTCGTGACTAGTTTCTTGTTCGGCCGTCTTCGTTTGGGCTTCTTGGCTGAAGACTTGGTGACTCGGTCTAGAAGCAAAGCATGTTTGATCCGGCGTTTGTCTTTCTTGGAGGATGGGAAGAGAGAATCTGTATCCGCTGTGGCTGTGGCGGGGCTGGAAGATGTCTTTAGGATTGATTTTCGCGGTGGCGCGGATCGGGGTGGAAGGCCGCGTAGAGGGGCCTGTAGAGAAGTGGTCAGTCGTTAGTTGTTAGAGGCTAGAGAAATGAGAGGCTCGTGCGCAGAGGAACGAGGAACGTACCATGCCTGTAACGATGTAAAATGCTCACCACTTCAACCTATTAGTAGCACAGAGAGTGAACGATCATGAGAATAGCATTGCATGTTTCATCTACAAAAAGTTCCTGGGTTGGTGATGACATTTTAGCCCGGCAAATCCCCGGGCGCGATTTAGTTAGACTTATCGATAAGCGATAACAGATAACAGATAACAACCTTGGACATTTTTCACCACTGCACCGTATGACATCCTATACAGTATGTCCCTCCATCGTTGCCAACCGGAACTTGAACCCAAGAACGAAGCGACTTCGACTTTGAGCTCGCATGACTGACTGTGTATGACTGGTCTGAAGACTCGCACTGATGCGTAGTGGTGCCAAGAGAACCAACCCGAAACGTGCATGTCGATGCTGGAGTTCTACAATGACGAACCCCAATGACCCGGGCTCACCTGTGCGTTGAATGGAAGCCTGCCAGGTCCACCTCGAAGCAGGGTCAATAGGTGACCTACCTCGCCACTTACAAGAGGACAACCAGTCTATTGTTCCAGGATCATTACATACAGCCCCACAGTTTGCAGAGCTGACAGACCATTCCCACTGTCTGGGCTGGAAGCCTTCGGTACACAACCATCTCTTGACATCGTGGAGGTATCGCACCAAAAGCACGGAGGAATGGCGCGGAATATATACTTGCTTACTTTTCGGCAAAGACTCTGACACAACCGAGAAAGAGTTTCGAGCGACGTGACAAAGTCCTTAGAGAGGATGAAGAACCATTTTACCATTCTAACTGACTTCAATATGGTACACACCGGGCTATGTGCCTATCCTCGTCCTCCAGCATCTGTGCCGTGCTGTGCCTGTCTTCATCTACTCCTCCTTCTTCCCCCAAGCACCACCCCCAGGGGTCATAACCACCACTCTGTCACCTCTCCTTACTTTGACAGTATTCTTCCCACCGAGATTAACCCTGCGTTCCTCCCCGGTCTCATCATCCTTGGTAATCCAGAGATTCAAGCCTTCCTTCCCCTGCCCACCACCTTCCATCCCGTACGGCCTGTGGACCCTCCTCTCACTCAGGATTGAGCACTGGACGGGCTCCAGAAACTCAATCTCACGCACGACACCATCGCCTCCCGGATTGGCACCGACCCCGCCCGACCCTTCTCTCAGCGTGAATTGGCGCAGGACGCAAGGATACCGTTTCTCCAGAATCTCTGGATCCGTGATATGCGTATTCGTCATATGGGTATGCACGCCGCTCTGCCCGGTCCAGGTAGGCCCAGCACCGCCTCCGCCCGCGATGGTCTCGTAGTACCCGAATCCATTGACATGGCTGACAATGCCATCTTTGTCTTCGGATTTGCCTCCAGTGCCGAACGTCAAGTTATTCGTGTCGCCCTGGGACGCGGCGCAGGCACGGAACGCTTTGAGCACGACGTCCGTGATGCGCTGGGATGTGAGGACATTGCCGCCAACGACAGCGGCAGTTCGTGACGGCGAAAGTAAAGACCTCTTGGGGATCTTGATGGTGATGGGTGCCAGACAGCCCTGGTTGAGCGGAATATCGGAATTGATCATACAGCGCAGACAATAGATGATGGCCGAATGCGTGATCGCCACCGGCGCGTTCGTGTTCCCGTACACCTCCGGCCCAGTTCCTTCGAAATCGAACACTGCGGAGCCGGTGTCTTTGTCAATCTGGATCTTGAGACTGATCGGCGTCCCGTCGTCCATATAGTCCGTCGCTGCGAGCGGCTGCCCGTCAAAGCGGAGATAAAGTTCGTGCAGGAGATTGCGTACAGCCGTCTCGGCCGTAGACTGGATGGCGTACATGTATGCCTGCACGCAGAGGAGACCGTATTCGGAGATCAGGTTCTGAATGAGTTGAATGCCGCGTGTGTTGGCGGCGATCTGGGCTTTCAGGTCGGACAGGTTGTCCGCGAGACAGCGTGTGCCGGAACATCCGTCGTAATTTGCAGGTTCTTGTAGCAATATTTCAGTCATCCGGGACTCGTTGAAGAAGCCGTTGTCGACGATCTTTTCCGCTTCAATCGCCGCGCCTTCTTGCCATAGTTCGGTGGATTTCGGCGGCATCGATCCCGGGAGCAGACCGCCTATGTCGGCGTGGTGGCCGCGCGACGCGACGTAGAAGACAATCTCGGAGCCGCCGGGTCGGTCGAACACGGGCGTTATCACTGTAATATCTGGTAGATGCGTTCCGCCGCAGCTGGGGTGGTTGGAGACAAGAACGTCGCCGTCTTTGAGTTGGCCGAGCCACCGGTTGTGCTGGTAACGTACGGCAAATTGCATCGAGCCCAGGTGAACAGGCACGTGGGGTGCGTTCGCAACAAGGCCGCCATCAGGAGAGAATAGTGCACAGGAGAAGTCGAGGCGTTCTTTGATATTGGTGGACACAGACGTCTTTTGGAGCGTCCGGCCCATCTGCTCGGCGATGGACATGAATCTGTGCCCGAAGATGGAGAGTCTCACGGGGTCGATGGGGATTCTTGCGTTGGATAATACCGCGTCTGCAGGGGAGGTGACCTGGGCGGTCTGGGTCTTGTCTTGCTCCAGATCAAGCACGATGCATGTTTGCAGCACGTTGGCCACGGCGTCTGGCGCAACCACAATAGTCTGAGTCTCGTCGATGATGATTGCTGGGCCGTGGATCAGAGTGTTCTTCGCGATGCTCTTGAGAAGATAGACAGGAGTATCAGCGTAGCCTGTCGTCTCGAAATATACTTGTGTCGTCTCCTTCGGGGGGTTGGTCATGTCTTTCATCTGCGCCTCTTTGAGCTGGACTGCTGGACTCTTCTCGGCGTGTCTGTTGGAAGAGGCAATCGAGCGGACACGCACGTCGTCCACCAGCAATGGCTTTTCGAACGTGAATCCAAATTCTCTCCGGTGACGTTCTTTGAATGCTGCCGCAAAGTCCCAGTTCTCCGGCTTGAGAATCATGAGACTGGTGTCGGAGCCTTCGTAACGCATGTTGAGGTAGAGCTGATGATGGATCTGTTCCAGCTGGAACCCCTGACCCAGCAAGTCGGAAGTGGAATTGGCGATCATGCTTTCGAATCGTTTGCGCAAGCTGGATTGCGAGGAGATATACTCGACAGAAGCAGGCTCTTGAGCTTCCTTGACGACGTCCGCCAGGGCCAACCCGTACGCCGAGAGGACCGAAGAATACTTGTGGATGATGATCCGAGAGATCCCAAGAGTGGCTGCAACAGAGCAGGCATGTTGACCTCCAGCGCCTCCAAACGATGCAAGATAGTGGGAAGAAGTCTCGAAGCCGCGCGCCTCAGTCAGATTACGGACAGGGCGTGCCATAGACTCATCGGCAACCTTCAGGAAGCCTAGGGCCACTTCCTCGGCAGTGAACTCTGCTTGGCCCGTTTCTCGCTGTTCTTGATTAATGGCATCTGTGAGTTCTTGGAATTTCCGCGTGGTGATCTCACGATCCAGTGGCTCATTCTCGTTCGGACCAAATATCTTGGGGAAGTACTCAGGTAGTAGTCTACCGAGGAACAAGTTGGCGTCGGTGACTGTGAGAGGCCCTCCTTTGCGGTAGCAGGCCGGGCCTGGATGAGCAGACGCCGACTCTGGGCCAACAAGGAACAGACCGTTTCGCCATGTGAGATTCGATCCACCTCCGGCGGCGACAGTGTTGATATCAAGCTGTGGAGACTGTATTGACACGCCTGCAATGTTGGCACCGAAGACGTGCTCGAAGTTTCCATCAAACCGGCAGACATCAGTGGAGGTGCCGCCCATATCGAATCCAATGACAGGGACACGCTCCTGTTCATCCCAGCTAGTGGCGGCAAACCCGACTACACCAGCGGCAGGTCCAGAAAGAATCGCTTTCAGACCGCTGAAGTTGCGGAAGTCGACCAGCCCTCCATCGGATTGCATGAATTCAAAGCGGCAGCCGTGCGAATTGTCGAGACCGCCTTCAAAGTTGGAGTCGATTGAGTCGATATAACTCTTGATCACTGGGGTCAAGTAGGCATCTGCCGAAGCTGACATGCCTCGGGGCACCACTTTGATCATGGGCTGAAGCCTTGACGACAGGGCGACCGAGAAGCCCATCGACAAAGCGATCTCGCCAATCTTAACCTCATGCGCAGGATGGGCGTAGGAGTGCAGCAGTGCCACAGCGAGCGATCTGTATCCTTCGTCCCATAATTTATGCAGTTCGTCAATGACTTCTTCTTGATTGAGCTCCTGCAAAATCCGAAATTGCTCGCCAGTTGTCCCTTCTACTAGGCGGCATTCAGGATATCTGTGTGCCTCGCTGGCTTGGGGGCAGGGGATGATCCTCTCGTTGATTTCGACGACCTTTTCATATAGCACTTCCGCTTTCTTCGCAGAGAGGTCGAAGATCTTGGGTCTCGCCTGGTTGCCTATTGACAATAGATCTTTGAAGCCTTTTGTGGTGATCAGCGCCGACTTTGCGCCTTTTCGTTCGAGCAATGCATTCGTAGCTACTGTAGTACCCATTCGCAGTCTCTCCAGATATTTCAAGTTGAGTGGCTTGCCTCTGGGAAAGCTTTCATCAGTAGCCAGTTCGAGCACCCGCCGAATTCCTTCGGTGGGAGCATCTTGGTAATTCCCTGGGTCGACTGATAAAAGCTTCAAAATGATGTCTGGTTTACCAGGTACAGAGGCATGCACATCAGTGAACGTCCCGCCTCGGTCGATTGAGATTCTAATCTTAGAGGGTTGGGATTTAGTTGACACCGGCATGTTGGAGGCGGATATGGAGGTGATATTGCAGCAAGAACATCAAGGCGGACGTCCCAGCCTTACATATAGCCACAGCGATGCCGCCGTGACTGGCGAAAACTGTGGCATCTCGTGGTCAGGCAGAATTCTTGATGATGCTTCCCGATAACGTGGATCCATGTGTAAGCGATTCAGCAGAGGCTGAACGATCACACACCTTGAAGCATGGGAGTTGAGGATGGAGTTGGGGTCTTCGGGAGACGGAAACCGAAGGCTGAAGCCACCCCGATCGGGAGCGTCTTCCTAGCGTCTGATCTGACAGGCGAGTCTGTGGTGTTTGATCCCTGATCATCTCCTCTTCTCCACTGGATTTGTGTAGCGGACTGTCCGCCTCCGCCGGAGAAGGGCGTTCAGACCGTGATTGGTTACGTGGTGATACATGAGTTGATAAGGCGTGGCCGCATCGAATAGTGTAGGCATTGATAAATCTGCAAGCAAGAGCCAGATGGATATCATCCCACCTGTGGCAATCCAACTCGATATTCATTGTTGACGCCCACGGGAAGCAACACCCGCCCCTCTAGCACACCATGGCGCCTATTGCTGTTACCCATGTCGTCGAAGCGGCGAAGCCCTCGAAAACGACCGGCAACCGCAAGTCAGCGGTCGAGGAGACAGGAGAGAGCATACGCCTTGCCGCAAGAGCAGGTGAATACACCGATCAGACTTCTGGCGTAGCGCCAACATATGTCCAGGCAAACTTGATCGTCCTCCCATCGCAATACGCTTCGGACTTCCGCCTCCTGTGTCGAAGGAACCCAGTGCCCTGTCCTCTGCTGGCCGAATCCAAAGAGGTAGGACGGTGGGACCAATTACAATCATGGATCCAAGGCGTGACAGGCGATCAGATCACCAAGGACCTCGACATCCGAAACGACATCTCAAAATATATGGTCTATGAGAATGGAAATTTGACAAAGTCACATTGTCATAACGTCGAGGCTGAATGGACTGAAGACCACGTCGGCTTCTTGATTGGCTGTTCGTACAGTTTTGAGACGGCACTTACGGCGGCCGGTCTGCTCCCTGCTCATACGGCTCACGGGAGGAATGTTCCAATGTACCGGACCAAGATCCCACTGTGCCCAGCCGGGGTGTTTCAACACTCTACATATGTGGTGTCGATGAGACCGTACCGGCGGCGAGACATTGAGAAAGTGAGAGGGATAACTCGGCCATACGTAGCGACCCACGGAGAGCCAATCGATTGGGGTTGGGATGCTGTTGAACGATTGGGGATCCAGGATCTGAGCCGACCCGAGTATGGAGAGGCGCCTATAGCGACGGACGGTTCTCCTCTTGTGAGAGGAATGGGTATTGAGGATGACGAGCTTGTCCCTGTATTTTGGGGGTGCGGCGTGACTCCTCAGGAAGCCATACGCAGAGCAAAGCCCGAAGGAACTGTTATAGGCCATGCTCCTGGTCATATGCTTGTCCTGGATATCAGGGACTGGGACATCATCCCCAAGCAAGAGGAAATCCCCATATGATTTAAACTGATCTTGACGCGAGAATTAGAAGTTGCAGGGATACTCGTGCCGAGACGTCTGATAGTGCCGTTCATCAGACTCCTGGCCCTCCAGGCTGCATGGTATGTGGAAACAGATATGCCTCATTCCGAAGTGCATTTTCAATCCAGCCAATGCTGTCCATGTCCATATCCATGTCAATATTTCGAATTTCTTCCCAGAATTGGGGGTCGTCTTCTGTAAGGTCGACGGATATGTCCTGCAGCGGCTGGAAGTTGTTGTCAAGCTGTGGACTTGCATCTTGTAATGAGATAGGCGTGGGCGTTGCCAGGGGCAAGCTTCCGTACTTTGAGGCATAATTTGAGTCCTCGCGTTGATAGACTGGCACCGTCACTGGCACGTTGGCTTGGTGCCTGTAGCTTGGAGCTCGGGGACCAATTGAAGAGCGGAGGTTCGTCAGAAGCGTCAGTCGAGCTTGGATATATTCGTTCCCCTTTTCTGCCATGCTTCGAAGCACATCAAGTGCCGCCTCCATGGCTCTCGCATCTCGTTCGTTGTACGGGAAGGCAACATTGACCATCACAAGGGTCAAGGATGCGGAAAAGGCGTGCTCGCCGTCCATGAACCCATACGTTGCTGCTGTCATCAGTGTCTTGTATTGTTCCGAAAAATGGAGATCAAGGCTTACCAAAGAGGCCCTGCCTTGCTGCCGCACTCATGATCAGTGTACTTGCGCGAGCAGCGGCGATGGTATTATCAATCACTGTCACAACGCTCGGGGATAGTCCATCCTTCCAGTTTGGAGAAGCCGTGCCATCCGCAAGCGCCTCCAGTCTCCTCTGTATGACATAATACAGCAACGGACGTGCTGTCATATTGATGCACTGGTAGTAGTGAAGAAAGGTCGAGACACCTTCCCTTGACAGGGGTCGGTGCAGGGCTGTCAAATCAATTCCAAGTTCAGGTGGCACATGCTTCAGCCACTTTGACAGATCGTTCATGATGTTCTGGACGGAAGTGAGCAGACTTGTCCCCGACTTCGACTTCTTCCGGTAGATTCCCTCTCCAATCCTTCCTAGGATTCGAGACAACTGAGTGTAGTGTGCCAGGACTCTTGGAGGAGATGGATCGCGGTCAACTCCCGGGATAGGACTTGGCATGTTGACATCAATATCTTCGTCGTGAATGGAGACTGGATTGCCTGATTTCACGGACAAGATCCTATCCATACTGTACACCGACCACCAAACCCTTCGCCGATGCTCTCGTTCTCCCATATCCATTCCGGGGTCATCCACCTCTTGGTGAAGACCCAAGGAGATTGCCATGCGCAGAGCCAGGCCTATGTAGAGAAAGGCAGCATCTTTTCTGTTGAGATTTTGCAAGTATGGGGCAAGGAGCCCGAGCACCTCCACAAACAGGATGGAACCTTCTTGGTGGATGTCCGGAAGTAGCCACAAAGCGTGTTTGAAGTAAGTGAATCCAGGGGGGCCATCGGTCCCTGACCACTGATTGACAGAGTACATCTGACCATATGCGAAGATCAGCAGTATTTGACAGTAGGTGAGACACTCCTCCCTGTTTTCCAGATTGGGAGGACAGCTATAGATTTGCTGAAGCCTTGTCTCGAAATCGTCGGGTTGCAGAAATGAGAAAATTGTCCCGATGTACATGTACTGAGCCACGAAGAGTCGTTTGGCGAACTCATACGGAGGCAGTTGTGGTAAGATATGACTTTGGGGACGCTGAAGCGAGGAGGGGTCTTTGTACATCGGATGGACATCCCAGGATAAGTTGTTGTCTGAAGTGGGATTGAGCTTCTGGGCGAGATATGTCGAAGAGGCAGTCCCAACATAATGGCGCTCTCCGGACTTTGTCAAAAACAGCGTGTCCATTCCTTTATACCACCAGGCATCGTCATCTTTTCCCGATTCGGCTTCGATTGTGACCGGAGACGCGTCGCTGCTTTGTCTTGACCTTGAGGCTGTACTTGTTAGCAAGAGCAGAGATGTCATATTTTCGAAAGCGCTAGTTTGCACCAGAAAAATGACATGATCGGCCGGGCAGCACTTACGTCCATCAGCAATCCCGGCTCGTGCCTGCAGCTCTAGTAGATAGCTGCTGCCATTAGAAAGAATCGACTCATCGTTTAGATTGCCACACACCTTTCTGGGACAGGTATCCGTCTCTCAGTCTCTGTATATGTGCATTCAGCGCTGGCTTCTACGCAAGCTGGACACGGATGAGGCGGTCGCCCTAAGCATTTCGTCTTCCTCCCTCGGCAACGGTTGCAGGCAAGGGGGGCGCGCTTAGGATCGTGTGAGGAACGGCGGGCTTTCCCTCGTATTGCATTGTTGAACTGACCGTTGGACTGCATCCTAGACAGGCCAGCGTGGCGGAGAGCGCCAGATGAATGATGATCTTCGGGGAGGGCGAGCTGTGGTAAAAGACCTTATCCTCAGGCCATATACAATGTGCACCTGTTGGTGTACCACAATTCGTCCTTTGTGTGAGTGAGCCAGGGAACTCTCCCATGACAGGTCCTCAGCCCCTGCTGGGAACCTGCTGTTAGCCCTGTATCGAGATCGCCTTGTGCGAGCAATGCCCGGAGCAAAGCAGGCGGTTGCCTGTCGCTTTCGGTGACCAGCAGCAAGCCGAACGACTGCCCGGTAGAACTCGCCTGCGGTTCTAACGCGCCGTGATGAAAGGGGCAACCTCGCTCGGTGCTCGCACGAGCACGAAGCTGAGCCGGTCTCGACCTACACCACGGGCACCACAAGCCGGGAACGTGGACAGCCTTATCAAGCCACCGGGTGGATGGTACCGTGGGCGGATGGGGGCGGAAGAGGACGAGGTGGGATGTTCAGTCCTCTTGCACTGTAGTCCGGAGCAGGAGAAGGCTGACTTCGCTCTATCTCCAATGATCAACTGGGGGCAAGGGATGCAAGGACTCACACGAAAGACTCAGCCTGACAATTGACGTCTACTAAAGGCAGCGGGAGATGATAAGCACGTGATGACTAACCACGGAGATCTCCGCTATAATATGTCACGTGGGATCCATCGATAGCGCTAAGCCCCAAAGGGAAGGCATCTTCCTCCAGTCGCCGAACAAACAGCGTTCGACGATTGATTTGGTTGGATTGACTACCAGCCTCCAACTCTTCTGTAACGAATGTAACCAGACTGTCAACGGGATTTGCCAATGGCACCTTGTTATCATATCAAGTCTATCAGATCGACATCCCTGTCTATCTCGGGGCCCCAGAGCCGATACCGACATCATTGCATGACAGGGGCGATCCAGTCAACAGCTAACCCAAGATAAAGACGCACATACCTTACACAGGAGCTTTTCACTTATCATGGCTGCGGGGTATAAAAACACCCTCGAGGACGCGATGCAAGTAATGTATCAATCCTTGGAACAGGCAATAAGGCTTGTCAGTGTCTATACCAACAATCAGCAAATAGTTCTCTGTCCTCGCGGCATTTCCCCTCTATCCACAATTCAATATGGCTCAGATTGAACAGCAGCCTGTTGATGAAAAAGTCATAGGCACTGCCTATGGGCAGCCGACAACAGATGATGGCCTCAAGGAGACGGGCAGCGTCAGCGTTATGCCTCAAATCGATCCTGCCAAAGAGAAGATCCTTCTGGCCAAACTGGATCTGATGTTTAACCCCATTATCATGCTGGTTTATCTGTCATGTTTTCTCGACAGGTCCAACATTGTACGTGGGCAGACTGTGCCTCCCAAATCTGATGGGACACTAACTGGCATAACAGGGGAACGTCAAAGTTGCTGGAATGCCGGAAGACATTGGCGCCTCGGACCAACAGTTCTCGACGGCCGTGTCCATCTTCTATGGTGAGTTCTCATTGTGCCCGGAACATCGCATCATGATGGGTCTTGGTGGTGTCTCAGGTCATCATGAACAGCCGACTGACGATCAATCTCTTAGCAACCTATGTGACCTTTGAGACTCCTTTCGCCATTCTCTTGAAGAAGTTGACCCCCCGACTTCTTCTCGCCAGTCTTTGCGTCGTATGGTCTCTGACAACGATCTTCTCGGGCTTCATTCAGAATGTTGGAGGACTATACGCCAGTCGTCTGGTCCTGGGAGCGTGTGAGGCCGGCCTCTTCCCCTCGCTGACTCTCTACCTTACGATGGTCTACAAAAGAGATGAACAGGCCAAGCGAGTGGCATACCTGTTTAGTTGCACTGCGCTAGCTGGCGCATTCGGTGGCCTCCTGGCCTACGCATTGCTCCAGATGGATGGTGTGGCAGGATACGCCGGGTGGCGGTAAGTCTTATTGGATTTCCCTGGCTCCAAGTGCCATCTGACCTTCTCTGCCGACAGATGGGTTTATATCATTGAAGGCATCTTCAGTGCTGTCATCGCTGTGGCTGTTTGGTTCGGTCTACCAACAAATCCCGCAGAGGCCTGGTTCTTGACTCCGGAGCAAAAAGGCTTCATGCGGATCCGGCAAGAACAGGCTGCTCAATACATGGGCAGCGATGAATTCAGCTGGGAAGAGGTCCGCATCGCCTTCAAAGATCCTAAGGTCTACCTCAGCGCCACCATCCAGTTCTGCCAAGATATCCTCTTGTACGGATTCAGCACCTTTTTACCAGCCATCCTCAAAGGCGCAGGCTATAACACTCTGGAGAGCAACTACCTTACGGTGCCCGTCTACATATTCGGCGGTCTCGCATTCGTTATTGCTGCGATCATATCAGACCGATTGAGACTCCGATCTCCTGTAAGTGCCATTACCCTATCGATTCTTGATGCTATCTCCTTAGTCTCTTGGAGATCTTGACCGCTCCCCTTCCCCTGGACTGCTCGTCGTCGAGGCCCAACCGAAGCTAATTGTTGCTTGTTTGCAGTTCGTTCTTTTCGCCAATCTCTTTGGCATTGCCGGCTACATCGTTCTCCTCACCGTTTCAACCGATGGAGTGCGATACTTTGCAACCTTCCTCTGCGCTGTGGCTGTCTACAACGGTCCAGGGCTGAATGTCACCTGGCTCAACGTCAATGTCGCCCCTCACTACCGCCGAGCCACGTCCATCGGTTTCCAGCAAACCATTGCAAACACTGCTGGCATTGTCGCTGGCCAGATCTACAGGAAATCACCATATAAGCTGGGCCACAGTTTCTCGTTGGGCGCGCTCTGCCTGGCCCAGGTCGTGATTGTGGGCAAGATGTTCTATATCAAACAGTGGAACACCAAGAAGGACAGAATCGCGAGAGGCGAGATTGAAGATACACGCAAGGTTAAGACAGGAGACAGAGAGCTGGACTTCCGGTATCATTTGTAAAAATTGGTTGCCTGGAAGAGAAAGGAGAAACCGATAGCTTGTCAATGCCAGAGACGCTTCCATCATACCCCCCGAGGTCAACTCGACAGCCCATGCCGCCGGAACGGGACACAAAAGAAGTCTTTGGAGGTGTTGTTTCCTGTACGATAGCTTTATGTCTTGGGCATGATAGCTGCCGAAAAGCACCACATTCATGACAAACTCGGCCACTATACATCACAGCCTTGTAAAAAATGGATATATTCCATTTCTCCGCGAAAAGGAGAAGGACAGATCATGGCAGATGCTCCCCAGAAGATATAGCCGAACTTGATACATCGATTACTCTGCAGTGCCATCTATCTCCGCCTCCGTCGCAGCGACAGCCGCATAGTCAGCCATGATTTTGTTCAAGCCATCTCGCTGAACACAGCTCTCGAATGCGAAACTCTTCGCCAACTCCTCCAGTTCCTCTTCACCTTTGCCGCGAAAAAGTTCCGCAAACTCCCCGACGAAAGTCTCCGCCAAGAACGTCTGCAAAACCGGACGCTCGACATGTCTCGCAGTATTCCAAGTCGAAGGGTATACATCGTTAGCCGTGGGCGATACGAAATCGATCCACTTGACCAGAGGGTTCATGACATCCTCGACCTCCTTGGCCGGATAAGTGCCCCACGCATCGAGCTGGAGTCGTTTCTTCTTCTCGCGCATCGGTTCAACCAGCCTATTCCACGCCGAATCTGGAAAAGTGTAGACCATGCCTCGCAGCCCGACATCCTTGAACAACCAGATGGACCAAGCGATGTGGAACCGATCGTAGATCCTCAGCTACTCGCCTAACAAGTTGTAGCGGTCCTGGTTGACCTCGTCGGCATTCTCATCCCATTTCGGATTCGCATAGACCGGGCCGAACTCTCCATTCCAGATGGGGATATGATGGGTTCGTTGAAACTCGGACTTGCGTAGGAATTGGGCTTCGAGACTCTGTTTCTGATCCGCCGTTCCCTTGTACGGTCGACCAGTGGGGAACCCCATCATGCTGTAGTCATGTAGAGAATAGACGCTGTTGGGAAGCACCTCGTCGGACCCTTTCTATTCTGCGGCGAATGTGTTGCAGTCTAGCCAGAGGATATGGTCCGGGTCGATTGCGCGAATGGCTTGCTCGAGTTGAGCATAGTATGCCGGTAGACGGACGTGTTTGGGGTCGCAGGGTTCGTTGATCGGGTTGTAGCCAGCGATCCAGGGATTGTCTTTATACCGTCGGGCGAGGTGCTCCCACAGCCAGACGGTGCGGTCTTGGTGGTCCTTGTAGTCCCAGAAGGCGGCGTAGCTGGTGGTGTTGTCGGCGTGCCAGCCTGGGCTTTGGCCGCCTGGCACCGTGTGCATGTCGAGAATGGTGTAGATACCCTCGCTTGCGCACAGGTTGATGACTCGATCGAGATGCTTGAAGCCGTTTTCTTGGAGAACGCGTGGGTTCATGTCATCTTCGAAGTGGCGGTAGTTGAATGGAATTCGGATACAGTTCAACCCTAGGGACTTGATGAACTTGGCGTCCGCTGAAGTGAAGAAGTAGTACAGCCATCGGTCAAAGAAGAAGTCGTAGTTCTTTTGGCCCGTCACTTCTAGCATTGCTGAGCGCATGCTTGATTCGTGGCCTGGGAAGCCAGTGATGAGATTCTCCATACTGTCGTGGGTTAGATACGTCGATGATTCTTGTCTCAATAGGAGCGCATCAACGAACTTGAGCCATCCTCCTAAGCCGGCGCCTCGTAATATGACAGGGGAGCCGTTGCCGTCGACCACCTGTGTGCCTTTCACTTTTAGTATTCCTGTTGCCATCGTTACGTGTGACCTGCTGAGTCTGGTTCAGGTGATTCACACTTGGATAGGCTGAAGTTAGAAGATATCAAAGACAGAACCATGGTTGTGCGGCTCTGGGGGAAGCATGTCATAGCATAGAAGTATACATACAGGATCCGGGGAATTTAGCCTGAAACGGCTCAACGCCGGCGAAGCTGCAGGCAGAGTGAGATCTACCGGCATTCCCGGTCATTTTTCCCTGGCTAATCATTCATGACTTGCCAGTGTGTTCAGACACATGATGATAGCAAGTTACGGCGATTCCGACTTCGACCACCTACTATTCGAACGACGGCGGACCAGCTGGGTCAAATATGTCCGCAGTGCAGAATCCTTATCACATGAAGCTGCCTTTAAAAGCAGTACCCAACGAGACTGAGGCTTATCGATGAGCTAGCATATTGTGAGGTGTACAACTTGCAGACTTCGAGGTCATTACAAGCTGGTCTGTGTCTGTATCCCGCAGCAGGAAGATCGATCACAAGCCGAATCGGAGATCGTCTGGGCGATGGCTCACAAGATGCCGGTCAACAAGTTCCTTCTTTTTGTAAAGACGTTCCCGCACACCATCAGAAGAGGAGCGGCATCGTATCAGATTGTAGATTGGCCTACGAATGAAGGTTATGTCCAGATATGATAATGTGTCATAGGATGGATGCTTTGATAGCTGTGGGATAAGTATAAGTGGCGGCATGCTTACTCCAGGAGAGCCCGATGACTTGAATGTTGAAACAGGAGTCTCATAGCACTGGAGCGACTGTGGCAAGCATATCAACTTTTCATGATAATCACCTCTTGAAAGAGTCTGACCCGACGGAGGGTTGGAGACGGTGGTAAGAGGAGACGTAGCAAGAGGGACTCCCAGCAGTGGGGACACGTAATGACGAAAGCTGAGGCGTGTATGAGCTTTGTGTCACAGACCCGACATATAGCAGACATGCAAGATAGATGCAGTCTCTCGCCTCCATATTGTACGTCCTGTGTAGATGATGAAGTGAAAGACGACAGGAGTTGACTCCGAGTCCCTTGTAGTGAGTGTGGACTCGTGGGCAAAATACTTTAAGCCAATCATAATAAGCCGCCGCTTTAATTAATCACTAACCACAACAAGCCTAGTGTCAGCAACTCTTGGCTGACCACGCCCGATCCCACTGCGCACACATTTTGGATTTACAGAGAGTAATTTCGACGTCGCCGCTAAGATCGATCGCCTTCGCCAACTCTCCCACCTCAACCTCACCCACACCCATCCTTCTTCACCCAGGAACACTCGACACACGAAATCCGCCAACATGGTCAAGAAACGCGCGTCGAACGGCCGAAACAAGAAGGGCAGAGGCCACGTGAAGCCCATCCGATGCTCCAACTGCTCCCGTTGCACTCCCAAGGACAAGGCCGTGAAGAGAGTGACAGTCCGCAACATGGTTGAGTCGGCAGCAATCCGTAAGTTTCCTATCTACTTAGCAAGCCGAAAAAATGGCAAGCACAACATGGGAGAGCACAGAGGTCTGACAGAGTCGGCTTGTTTGGAACAGGTGATATCTCGGACGCCTCCGTATTCGCCGACTACGCCGTCCCCAAAATGTACCTGAAGCTCCAATACTGCGTCTCGTGCGCCATCCACGGCAAGATTGTGCGTGTCCGATCGCGCGAAGGCCGCCGAAACCGTGCCCCTCCTCCGAGAATCCGATACAACAAGGACGGCAAGAAGGTCAACCCACAACAGGCTGCTCGTGCTTTGTAAGCTGAGAAGAGTAGCTTTGCAAGCAAATGGGTTGAAGGGACGTTCAAGGTGGTGGTATGAGCAGAAGATACGGTCATGAGCTCTATGAGAAACATGGTGGCCGCAAACATTCTGTGCCATGGGTCATGAAAAATGGCTGTGGCCAATGGAATGGCATAGCATGGCGTGTCGAGTCGACTCATTTCTGAGACGTCGGAAAGCTCGGTGGCACTGGTAGATGATTACGAGCTTCAGAGAAGAAGCGAGCTGCACAGGATGGCCGTTGCAAAACTGAAAACACAATGCAAATCCGTGTCAAATGAAATGATCCAGCCCACGTCCTATTGATACGGTTCGCCTCCGGTTGCTATGAATTAGGGTTTATGGTTGATTGCGCTGAACTCGATGTCTTGTTCGGCTGGTCTTCCTAGAGCGGTTCCCTGGAACTGAGCAGGACCACTGCTAAGCCAGGTTATGTCATCTCCTCTTTGCCGCGGGGAGAAGCGAGTCATCCGGCAACCCGCCTCTCTTCGTACCCGGCAGACTGCTCGTCCCAATATCGTTCGTTTCCGTACTCACTCTCCGATGCGGATAGACTTCATCCAACCCCTCGAAACAATTGTTGCTGACCCAAATCTCACCCTTGTGAGGCCCATCGTCCGTATTCCGAAAGTAGTCATGATGCAGCGCTCGCTCAGCTGTCAGCCTCTTATCTGGGTCATATTCGAACAACTCAGACAAGAGCTGAAACCCTCGTTGACCGGGAGACTTGTCCGGCGGATAGCTAGCGTGTCGGAGACAGTTGTTATACCAATTTTCCAGTCCAGTACCATTGTTGTTGGCGCTTCCACCAGATCCGCCGCGATTGATACTATTCGAGGAAGTCGGATAGAGTCCTCCACCAGGCATGCCGCCTCGAGAAACAACCAGCGACTGCAACTGCGGGTAGTCCGGCATGTCAGCCAGACCTTTCCAATTCTCACGTCTGGGCAGACCCAATATCTCGACAATCTTGCCCATCTGGTTCCGTTGGAATGGGACAGTCTTTTTGCTATCCATTTTGGTCTCTTCTCCCTTGAAAATGGGCCTCAAGCTCAGTAACTCGGCAAAGATACAACCGACTGCCCACATGTCGATGGCTGGTGTATAGTGGCGCGCGCCGAGAAGTAGATCAGGACTTCGATACCAAATCGTGACGACGACCTTATCGCCCGAGTACAGTGACGATAGTGGCTTATGAAATAACCGAGCCAGACCGAGATCTCCAATCCGTACATGACCAGAGCTCGTAACCATGATATTAGCGGGCTTCAGGTCACGATGGATGACCCAGTTTTGATGCAGATAGTAGAGGCCGTTCAGAAGCTGGAACAAGATAGACCTGATCATCGTGGCGGGGATTGGCCGCCGCGTTGGTTGAGTATGGTGGTGGATGATCTGTAGTAGGTCATGCTCACAGTACTCGAAGACCATAAAGACACATTTGTCTTCGAGGATGATTTCTGCTAGGTGGACGACATTAGGATGTGACAATTCGGTGCACAGGGACATTTCTCGGATCGCGGACTGCGACAGCCCCATGTATTGGACATTATCACCCTCCTTCTCTGGTTTGAATCTGAGATAGTCAGCTAGAGAAGGGCTTATTAACAAGTTGTGGGACTGACTTTTTGATGGCGTATAATTCCTTGGGGGCCGCCGATCCTGCCGGGCTGGAAGGGTCACTTTTGGGATTCTTCTCGACAGCCTTGTAGACTCGTCCGTATGTGCCGCTGCTGATGAAGCCGATGATATTGTATTTCTGGCCAATCTTGACCTTAGCCGTGTAGTAATTTCCCGAGTGTTTCTTTTCCAGATTTCGTGCAGCTTCTAGGATGGGTTGTCAGCCAGAAGTTGGCAGTAGTCGTAACCAGAACAACATTCCCCAGGGGGCAGCCACGTTGCAAGAAGAACGGTAGATCACGGCAGCGTCGGACATAACCCTACCTTCAAGGCCTAGTTGAGTGGTTTTCCTCAGCTGTTGGGCGATAGTAAGACTCGTACCCGGTCGCGACATGCTGAAGTCAAGATGCCACATATCCTAGTACCCCGACGACCGGACGGCGAATAACTGAGGCCTAAGACAGAGCGGCTTAAAATGACCGACACTGCCACATCTCTTCACCTGTCCGTCGCGGCGAAGACAGCCGGCACGGACTCCAGTCGACACAGAAGCAATATAGTCAACAACAGACGACCCGCGTCTTATGGGTAGGTACACTCCGATACGGTGGCGATCGGGAGGAAGGCTAATGACCTGGCTCCTGCAGCTAGCAGGCCGTTGTCATCAAAGATGAGATTCTGAGGATGGCAATTTCTGTTTTACCATCTGATGACCCCCCAGATGGACCAGGGTAAGGTACTGCACGCAAAGGCAGGACCACAGAAACGACGTTGGATGCAAGTTGTGCGTGCTATGAGGCAGTGCGATAGAGTACAGTTCACGTTGGACGTTGTACGAAGATGTCGATCCCAGGGCTTGGCAGAGGTTGGGATTAACGTGGATGAACCAATGATCCGACGAGAACTAAAGGGGTCTAAAGTGACACGGCTGCGCTTTCCCCATTTGGGCCAGAACAGTGCTGACTTCCCCCATGGCACCGCAAATGCTTCCATCGGAGGCCGCCGCTTCCTCCTCAATCGACCAGACACAATCCAAACAATCCATCTGCCTGTTGACGCTTCTCCCGCACCATGACGCACCATACGACGCCATTCCACCCCATACTGAGGCATCACTTATCACCCGGCATCACTCCATATAAGGTACGTTGACTCTCCCGTGCTTGGTCCCTTTCCTTTCCAGGAGCACAGAAATAGTTCACCTCGAGACCACACCGGCCACACCAGACAGGATGATGCTAAAGCGAAGTAGCAGTGGGTACAGCTCCCTCAAGCAGGGGTCGTCAAGTGAGCTTGACCTTGCCATCAAGGCTTGCGAGGGTTCGATGGCGTCTCCTAGGGGAATCACCCCTTTCCTCATCTATTTGGTCTTCATTGTGACCCTTGGCCCTTTTCAATTCGGGTACCATTTGGTAAGTGCAAGATCATGCAAGGCGTGACAGTGCCGAATGAGACTGACAATGGTTAGGGAGAACTCAACGCTCCTCAAAAGGTCATCACATGCCGAATCGACGAGCTGCCCCAATATAGTATCCTCAGACTTCCACAATGCATATCCATGGATGCAGGCGAGTGGGGAATGGTCCAGTCTCTCTTCACCATCGGAGGTCTCTTTGGCGCCCTCTTCAGTGGCTCTGTTGCCACGAGATTCGGTCGCCTATTCGCCCTGAGGTGGCTTACCTTCTTCTTAGCCGCCGGACCCGTCGCCGAGGCTCTGGCAGGTAGAATGTGGATCCTGGGGCTGGGGAGAGCGATATCTGGTATGGGAGCCGGCGCAGCCACTGTGGTTGCCCCCATCTACATCTCCGAAATCTCGCCCCCGGAAAACCGCGGTCTCTTCGGTGCCTTTACCCAGGTGCAGATCAATTCCGGGATCTTTATTGCACAGCTCCTTGGGTACTTTCTATCCAGTGAGGACAAATGGCGTTGGATTCTTGCGACAGCTGGGTTTGTTGCCGGTATCGCCTTCTTTGGGCTCAGCTTGGCTCCGGAAACTCCCAAGTGGCTGGCTGCAAACAACCGACCGCGGATGGCAAGGGGCGTCCTACAACGCATCCGAGGACGAGAAGCAGATATCGGAGAAGAAATGGAAGATTGGGAGATCTCAGGAGAAGCCGAAGAGGAAACTCTTCTTGGACCTCCTCGGGGGCCTCGACCGCAAAGACAACCGGTCAGATCCTTCCTCGACGTCGTCCGAAAGCCGAGGTATCGACGAGCTGTGATTGCAGTTTCCGGGGTCATGATGGCCCAGCAACTCAGTGGTATCAACAGCGTTGTCATGTACAGCGTGTCCATCCTGGGGAATATCATGCCAGACCAAGCGGCCCTCATCACAGTCATGGTCTCAGCTGCCAACGTGGTCGCGGTCCTAGCAACTGCTCCTTTGGCTGATAGACTTGGTCGCAAACCATGTCTACTCTTGTCGCTGGCCGGGATGGGAACGGCTTCTATGATGCTCGCCATAGGGCTTTCTGGGGATACCAGAGGACTCACCGTTTTCGGCCTACTTCTCTTTGTCTGTAGTTTCGGCCTCGGCTTGGGACCGGTTCCTTTCATCCTGACGAGTGAGCTGGTCGGTCCGGAGGCTGTTGGAGCCACGTCAAGCTGGGCACTTGCGATCAACTGGCTCTCAACATTCTTGGTCGCTCAATTTTTCCCTATGATCAACGCCGCGCTCCCTCGAGGAAGAGTGTTCTGGATTTTTGCCGCGCTTTCCGCCGCATTTTCCGCATTTGTTGGTCTCTTCGTGCCGGAAAGTAAAGGAAGCGCGAATGCGGAAGAGGTTTGGGGGAGGGCGCACGGGACCTAGCCATGTTAAGGGGGTTTGTTCTTCGTCCTCTGGCCAGACGCTGCTTTCTGTTCCTAGATGTTTCCCCAAGGCTGTGGGCGGCGTGCTCTGATTTGCGAGACGCGGTTGACCATGATGGGTGCTTCATGATGAGCCCTTGTATTATTAGTGTATCATTAGGCGCTTGAAGCGCAACAAAAGTATGCTTGTGGTGCTCCTTGTGTAATGGTTTCTTTCTCTGCAAAAGAGCAAGGACATTTGTTCTCTTGTCCAGCGTAGAGGAAGAAGAGCTCGACTTTGCTTTTTCTTTCCGGATTGGGGATTCGAGAGGTAAAGCTCCGATAACTTGTAAACAGACGTTTCTCCCTTTGCTCAGACCAAAAATAATCCAGCGCAGCAAGACCCACGTCATTCCCATCATAGAATAAATACCTATATTGACGCCTCCCTAGCCTCTTCTTCCTGCTGCAACCAAAATTTCACCTCCTGCCGTCCATCCTCAACGCCATGTTCGCGTGACAGCTGTTCAGGGCAGTGAATAACCTCGCATGCAACGCCTCAGCGGGTGGCTACCTGCTGTGGGTGATTTTTGAGGAGAGGACTACGCCTTGCCATGCGCCGGTTTCCACTGATATTGAGTCGAAGCTGGGGCTATTGACCTTTGAGGAAGAAATCCGACCAATCTGGACGTGCATCGGGCGTCTGAAAGCCGAACGGAAGCACGTATCGGGATCTCGAATGAGTGCCAACGGATCGAATACGCAATTTGAGCCTTGTTCGGCTTGGACCTTCGAGTCTTCGACGACGGGAGCGACCTGGCCTGCGCCCAAATTCACCCAGTGGCAAGACATGCAGCCATCCGGGGCATGTACTCGCGTGGTTCCATCTGAGGACCAGTCAGGCCTTGGATCTGTTCTTGCCACTTTGCTGCCATCTTTCCCTTGGCCACGGCCAGACAATTCTCTCCAAGCTCCATCCGGCCATGGCATTGCAAGGCGACTACTGCTGGTAGCAGAACTCTGGCAGATGGCCCTTGTGCGCCGTTGTCCTTGATTGCAGCGTTTCGGGACTTTCTCTCGAAGTCGATGGCCTTATCTGCTTGTGTTACTCAACATCTGCAGACCAGCCTATTTCCCTTTGTGTGTGCAAGTGTCGGGAGTGAGTGGGAAGATGACCGCGTCAGGCTGCACACAGCGCATATGCAGGCTTTTGTCTTCATCCAGGTCCTGCGGTACAACCAGGCGCAAACATGAAGTAGTAAGTATTTGTAGGTGCATGGAACAGAGCAGGACGTGAACGGTCTCGGTGTCAGGTTGTTTTTGAGTCTTCACAGCTTTTGCATTGATCATGAACTTGTCCTCACCGCAGCTGCAGTCGCAATTAGAGTCACGAGACTTATGTGCATCCATTCGGTCCTTGTTGTGTGTTGTTGAATCTGAGTTCTCCCTCACCTGCGCGTGTGTCTTCATGCTTCAGCATTGATGCCCCCTTCTACCTCCTCTTGACTCCTCACCAGTCACCAACCCCAGACTCTACCCACTTCGCGACTGCAGATCAGCCAAAAGCAAGACTCCTCACAGTGTGCTCTCACACAAATACGAGACACGATGCGGTGCCTCCAGAAAATACTTCTTCTCTCTTTCGTACTAGCACTGGGCAGTTCTTTCGTGGCTGCGGAATACACCAAATGGTCGGATCTACCAGACTGCGCAGTGAGTACAACTCATCCAAACCTTCGCCTTCTATCCACTCCAGTCTGGCGGCTCATTGCATGTCTTTACAGCATGCTATGCTCTGCGCCTTGCGAATGATGTCTGAAATTTGACCAGAAATCCTGCTTCCAATTTGGTGTCGACAACACCATCATAGGCTGCGGCTTCTCGCTAAACTGCGACTGTGATGACGGCAAGCCAGCCAGCCTGATCAACACCTGTCTATTGGCTTCGCCGCCATGCGATTCGAATCCAATCCACGATGCGGTCGCCAGCTACGGCAACAATGTTTTCTGCAATGCATCGAACCCAGACAGTGCTACGTATGAGCTCGTGGAAGGAACCTACTCTTTGACGTTGGCTCTCTACACTCAGTACACCTTGACGGAGAGTCAATCGACTTCATTGTCTATGACGGTTCAGGTATTTCTATTCTCCATCAGCAAAAGTCCAGCACAGCTTAGGCTTTGTCTTCCGCGATTCAGTTTCTAACTTGACCGTGCTTGCAGATGACATCGACTATCACTCCTTCTGCAGCATCCTCTAGCAGTGCGCAGTCCACGGCCGCAGGAACCACAGATGATCCACATAGCGCAACCGACGGCTCGATGGATTCTTCTTCATCTGCTACCGCAACTACAGGTGCCACATCGACATCAATGCCAGCGTCAGACCCGAATCCATTGGTCACCAGCTATTCGACCGCTGTGGTGACGTTGGATACGAGTAGCGTTACCACTGCCAGCACCGTAGTCACCGCACCGGCAACAGTCACCATCATAGCGTCCGCATCTGCAACAAGTGGCGGTTGGTCAATATTTGACAAGAGAATACAGTCGATGTGGGAAATCTGGCAGCTTTTGGCAGCCGGTATGGTGTTGTCAGCATTGTTGGGTAGCTTGTTGTGATGTGATGGGAGAGGGGATGAAAAAAAGGGCCACAAAGCGAGTTCCTCTTCCTCGATGCTGGTCTGCGTGAGAGACACCAGCATGCGCGCCGCATGTAAAAGCAGATGTAGGTGTCATGGGAACCCATTGAAACGAGAAAAGCGAGGCTGCGGCTAGCCAAAACATGCTTCAGAACCAGAAAAAAGAGACGCGAGTCTGTTCGAAATGGCGGCAGTTTCAACATGAATGAATGTAAGATATTGAACTCTTCGACTTGTAGTCTAATTTCCACTTCGTGGTCCTTCATGCATTGGGTCGCCAAAAGCAATCTCGGCGACCAAGTTGGAGCTCACACTGCATCTGATTTTACCTAGTCAAGGCTCCCTAGACCGAGATAACAGGTCCAAATGCATCGAATTCTGGAGGCCAGATCTTGCGCGCACTTGTTGGCCATAGCAATAATTCAATACCGAGTGTGCCGTGATGATTCCCTCCATCATGAGGTGTCACAGTAGTATCCAACCGCGAAGGTGCGCCTCACTTGTCAACGAGGGCCAAGTTAGTGTGCATGTAGATCTTATACTGCGGCCTAACGAGCAGAGTATGTTTCCCATTCCCAGATGGATGGATGTGTGTGTATGTGTTTGTTGTTGTCTTGGATGTTGAAATTGACGGCCGTTGAAAGTTGTGGGCCAACACGTGACTCGGCCGAGTTTCCCGATTGATTGTTTACCTCGCCAGCATCGCGGCCACCAATTGGCGTGGAGAACTTCAACTTCAACTTCGACCCGGTCGTTCCCTCCCTCTCCATCCAGTTGATTGCCAAACACACTGCAGTGTCTGTTTCGCGACCACTGCTACCATCCAGACCCTGTACAGGCGATCTGGATCATTCTCTCACCACCGCCCCCCTGAGTTATAAACATGTCTGGAATCGGTGGTACTTATCGAGGCACCCCCAATAGGCGCGGCCAAATCCCTTTCACAGATAGCCCATCGAGCATCCCTCGACCGAAGTTGGAGTCTACCACAAGTGCTGCACCGAGCGAGATGTCTGGCACCTCGACCATGTCTGCCAGCAGGCAGAAGCAGAGCAAAAGAGACGAGGTAAGTCCTCGATACAATGTCGCCGCAATCCACTCGGACTGTCTGTCTCACAATCTGCCATAGGCTATCCGCCGCAAAATGGAAGCCGACCTCAGCAAGAAGAAGCATGCCCCTTCTCGTGCTCGACATACTCGCAAAGCACCCCCTGGCACCGTCCTCGCCCTCAAACCCAGCCAGGCTTTACAGATCAAGCCAAGCACTACTGTTGCGGAGGCCGCGCAGTTGATGGCTGCAAAAAGAGAGGATTGCGTTCTGGTCACTGATGACGACGATAGAATTGCAGGCATCTTCACAGCGAAGGATTTGGCTTTCCGTGTCGTCGGAGCAGGTGTCAAAGCAAGTCAAGTCACCATCGAACAAATCATGACAAAGAACCCTCTCTGTGCCAGGACCGACACAAGCGCAACTGATGCGCTGGATTTGATGGTGAGGAAGGGCTTCCGACATCTTCCCGTCATGGATGAGAATCAGGACATCTCTGGCATCCTGGATATCACGAAATGCTTCTACGAAGCCATGGAGAAGTTGGAGCGCGCCTACAGTTCTTCACGCAAGCTGTACGATGCGCTCGAGGGCGTTCAGTCCGAATTCGGGTCAAGCCAGCCACAACAGATCATCCAATATGTGGAGGCTCTGAGGCAGAAGATGTCTGGTCCTACTTTGGAGTCCGTTCTCAACGGACTTCCTCCGACGACTGTCTCCGTCAGAACGTCAGTCAAGGAGGCAGCTCAACTCATGAAAGAGAATCACACCACAGCAGTCCTGGTACAAGATCAGGGCTCGATTACCGGCATTTTCACCAGCAAGGATGTGGTATTGCGTGTCATCGCACCAGGCCTTGATCCTTCCAACTGCAGTGTGGTCAGGGTGATGACACCGCACCCTGACTTTGCTCCGTCGGATATGAGCATTCAAGCCGCATTGCGCAAGATGCATGGTAGGTTGACCAACCCCTGCTTTCAGACAGTCCCTAACCCAAACAGATGGACATTACCTGAATCTTCCCGTTATGAACGAGACCGGCGAAATTGTCGGCATGGTTGACGTTTTGAAATTGACCTATGCTACCCTTGAGCAAATCAACACCATGAACACCGGGGAGTCCGAAGGTCCGGCTTGGAACAGGTTCTGGCTGTCTATGGACAACGACACCGAGTCCGTGATGTCGGCAGAAGGGAGTCATCGTCCAACAACAACGGGCCATCGTTCCTTGGTGGAGTCTGAGCTGACTCGTCCTGGAATGGAGAGGGGCGATAGTGTCCTGCCTCAGGATTCAGCTTCACATCGTGGGGATGATGCTCACTCTGAAGTTTTGCCTTCGATTGAAGCTCCAGAAGAGACGCCTTTCCCCTTCAAGTTCAAAGCACCAAGTGGCCGCGTCCATCGGATACAAGTGGTGCCGCGAAATGGTATTGCGGAACTTGTGAGCCTTGTCACCTCCAAACTGGGCTCTGAAATCGATGCCGTTGGAGGTGAAGCCATGGTGGAAGAAGGAAAGCTGGGCAAGACTGGCTATGCATTGAGTTATATGGATGATGAGGGTGACACCGTTTCCATCACGACTGATCTGGATCTTCTCGATGCAATCCTCCTTGCACGACAGGGCAAGCGAGACAAGGTCGACCTATTCGTGCATGACCCGGCACAGCCACCAATCGTCGCGACCATTGACCCCAGACCGCAGCTTTCAAAACCTCCCACGCCCCCTGAGTCGGTCCTCAAAGAGGTGCCGGCCTTGGATGATGCGGATAGTGAGGAGGAAGAGTACTCAAGGGTCAAAACGGTACGAATGAAACGATCGCCGGTAGCCGCAGCACAGCCAAAAGAGGAACAGCAGATCATCCAGGGCGTTCCCAACGACCTCCTTCTTCCGGGGGCTATTGTCACTCTTGCTGTTGTGATTGTTGGTGTCTTTGCGATTGGGCGTGCCACATCCAAGTGATCTTACCCCTGGTGGTAGATGCTGTATTATGGTAATGATTCATTGACAATTTTTGGGAGTTTCAGATTTGAATTTCAGTCTTTCATCGGAACAAGCTACTCAGGCTTGCTACATAGCATAGCCGCGTGTGTTCTGGGCTTTGGGATGACCATGGCACGATGAAGTATGCAGTTTGAACTTATAATGCGAGCGAGGTCGGATCTTCTCTCAGTATTCACATTTACAATATAGTAGATCATTATTGTCTCACTCTGACTTTTCTCCCCGAATATACGTAAATATACGGACTTCATCATTCTTCTTACATGGCAGAGATACCGATATCGACATGCTCACATCAGGCTCGTCCGTCCACCGACGTCCCGATTGCCTTCACCATTGGGCATCTCGCCATTTCTTCCAACAACAAATTCGCGATAGATGGCCGCCAGTCTCCTCCTCTCGTCATGAGAGATGGAGCTTTTGGTAGTTGCCAATGACTTTTCCACATGCTTCCACTCGATGATGACTTCGTCTTTGCGGTTCCCCTCATCTTTCCCACTTGCATTGCCGTCTGGGCCGTCTCTAAACGCCGTGGCGGAGGCCGATGAGTGTCGAGCTAGAGTATTCCTGAGCAGCTCTTTCTCGCGTCTCCGCGCGAGTTTCAGCTCATCCAGCTTCGCGGCAATGGCAGCCTTTGAATCCACGGCGGACGAAGTGAGAAGTTTCTTTGCCCGCGCATCCTCTTCAGGCGAGTACAGAAACTGGACGAAATCATGCTTCTCCGGACCATTGCGTCTGCGGCGGCGAGCGCCCGGCCCTGGACCATTCGCACTTCCACCGTTCCCTCCTGTTGTTGTTCTTGTGACACCATTGTATCCAGAGCCGCCACGGACTCTTTCTTTACCGTCCTGCGCAGATTTCGAGCCGTCGCCCAGTAAATCGTGAATCGCCTCCAGATGGGCATTGTACATCAGCGCCTGCAGATCGGCACCGCTCAAGCCCTGCGTGAGTTGGGCGACACTGAGCAAGCGATTCTCGACTTCCGGAGTCAACTGCAGCTTCGCACACACGGCTGTCAAGATATCCAGCCGATCGTCCATGTCCGGCATATCGCACAACAGACTCTTATCCAGGCGACCGGGCCGCAGGAGCGCTGGATCGATCAGATCAGGGCGCGACGTCGCAGCGAGCACATAGACGCCTTCCAGGCCCTCGGCGCCGTCCATCTGCGTGAGCATCTGGTTGACGACGCGGTCCGTGACGCCGGTGCTGTCGTGCCCGCGTTTCGGCGCGATGCTGTCGAACTCGTCGAAGAACAGCACGCACGGCTTCGCGGCCTGGGCGCGCTCAAACAGGTCGCGCACCGACTTCTCCGACGCGCCGATGTATTTGTTCAGAATCTCCGGGCCTTTGACCGAGATGAAGTTCAGGTTGCATTCCCCTGCCACGGCAGACGCGAGAAGCGTCTTCCCGCATCCGGGGTAGCCGTACAACAAAATTCCAGAGCGTAGGCGGAGTGGTGATCGGGCGAAAATCGGGGCGTATTTCGTCGGGTAGAGCAGGGTCTCCAGGAGCGTGTTTCGTGTCGCTTTCAGGCCGCCGACCGACGCGAACGTTGTGCTGGAGTGAGTGAGGGTGACGTTTCGGAGTGATGAAGGTGTGAAGTTCTTCAAGGCGGCGTCGAAATCCTTTTTGGTGATGGTTGGCGGGGCGTCGAAATTGGTGCTGTTATTATTGTTGGTGATAGTGGACTGGTAGGTTTCGTTGGAATCGGTTTCCGTGATAATTCGTGTCAGGGTTTCGTTTCGCGCGCGCGAGACTAGCAGGACCAAGTCTGCGGGCATGTACCCGTCGGTTTTGCTTGCGATATCCAGGAGATCTAGACTTGGGGAGAGGCGGAACCCTTCGACGCGAGACGAAGAGGATGACGAGCCGGGTCTGGATGACGGGTTCGACGGGTCCATCCATGAGCTTTCGGACATGCTTCGCGTGTCGCTCTGGGTTCGTGTGTGACGGTGTCCATTGCCGTGTTTTGCCGACACGCTGCCGTCGTCGGTCAGGTAGTCGAGGATGTCGCGCCGGACTTGTTTCGTGGGCGCTTTGATGCCGATGATGTCGCCTACAATGTGGCCGCCGATGATGACGCTGTTCAATGCATCTTTGCTCTGCGCCGTCGCAAGCAGACCAACTCCGGAATGGATACTGCAGTATTGCCGCACAATGGAACATAAGATCTCGGTGATCTGGCGGCTGCGGCCGTTGTCGTTTCCGACCTGCAGCTCGGTCTCGACGGGGCAGATCTTGTCCAGGTCATCGAGCACCACGACCGACTGGCCGCCGAGTCGAGCGCACCATGATGCCGTCATGAACAGTCTCGTCAACGTCTCTTTGATCGTAGACACCCTCGTCTCGTCGGTCACCAGCTTCTGGCACGAGAAGTAGGTCACGTTGAACACATAGTCTTCACGGAGCCGTTGCGAGATACATTGAGCAAGCGAGGTCTTGCCGGACCCGACTCCACCGGTCAACAGGACTGACGAACATAATGTCAGATTCGACATGCATTGCTTCAGCAGGTCGTCGGCGCCCACAAGGTGAGGAACCTGGCGAGGAATCCCGTGTGCGAAAGTGGGGAATAGAGTGGTCAATGAGACGGGTCGAGGAACTTCGGCTTTGATGTCGAAGTCGTCGTCTTGTTCCTGGCCATGCACCCAGAGACAAGAGTCACCACGGTCCTCGTCATGATCCGTCGTGTGACGGAATCTCAAGATTCCTCCGTCAAACGACGACGCAGAAGTTGCGTCTCCGGATGGCGGTAAAACCATGCCATCCGTGATCGGTCCCGACAGAAGCCCATCGTCTCCAGAGAACGTCAAGCGGAGCTTGTCGGCAAGTGCTTGTTTCGCCGCTCGTGAGTCCCCGCCGAATTTCAGACCTTCCTTCTTCTTGGAGTTGGACGGTAGGAAGGGGTAGAATTGGAACTTCTTGATCGAATAGCGTGCGAGTGGCGGCGCCGCTGCCTCGATCCGGACAATGATTCCCACCATCCCTTCGACACCGAGCATTTCGCACAAGGAAGATGACAACACAGCATGTCGATCGTCGAGCGCGTTCGGCCAAGGCAGGACCTGCGCCACAAGCTTCGACGCCGGTCTGCCGACCTCGCTGCTTTCCTCCTCTTTGAGTTGATTCACCTGGGCAGAGTCCAGCTGCGCACGCAGGCCGGCTGGCTTGACGACCGTCACAGTGGCCCATGTGGCGGATTTGATGTCGTCTGCTGCAATCACGTCGCTGCTTAGCCAGATGCAAAGCTTGTCAGTGGGAGGTGCGCTTGCGCTTGCATTCGATGGTTCGTCGAAGAAGCCGTCTGCAGTGGCCCGGTCGATGCCTCGCATGAAGATTGCAGATTTGGGTGGTCCTCTCTTCGAGTTCGAATTGCGAACGTTACTGACACCGCTTTTGCCACTGCGTCTGCTTGCAATGCTTCTCGAATCTCCTCTCGCGCTCCGGCCTGCCCTCTGTCGAGTTTTGGGAGCGACAATGACCTCGGCATCTGGAGCTATCTTGGCGAAGGGGCATGTGCTGGGAACGGGCGGCACCAAGGAGGTCACGATGATATTTGCCGTTGCTGTCGGTGACAAATGCAGAGTCAGAGGATGGGTGTGCTCGGCCTGGACGGTGGCCTTGTTGCTGAATGCAGGATTGGGGAGTGCTCGGATTTGAGATAGCAGGTTCAGTTCCAAGAAAGTGGCGTGCAGTTCGATCACTTCCCAATCCGCCGGGGTCAGTGGTTCAATGTTGATACTGTGTGCGACGGGCGGATCGAGGTGGATCAGAATGCCAATCTTCTGACCTTCGGACAGACCGAGCACTTTGGCAAATGTGGCGTCAATCTCGACTACTTGGGTCTCTTGCTCCCTGGTTCCAGGGCGACTCCGGTCGTTGTTGATCACTGAAGCAGGTCGGGACCGTGTGGGCATTCCCGTCCATCCGACATAGGCAGATCTTTGAAACCCGGCCGTATTGCCGCTCGAGATAGCCCCCGTAGATAGCGTCTGAGATCTATATTGTAACTCGACAACGACATTCTGGGCAGGCTATAGAATATTAAGTACATGAACGAAGGACTTGAAGTAGCGGACTTACTATATTGGTATTGCTGATCAGTGCAATCAGTCCCGGGGGTAAATTGACCAGGCAGTTTTTGAGGGACACCAAAGCGACCTCAGCCCGCACGGCTGGAGCCATGACTGAGCAGCGATATAATGCGAAGGAGATCTGACAATGATGCTTTCACTGCGACACAGAAGCTTCGACAAGACCGGAAAATGTCCACTTAGAAAGAACACGGATCATGTACAGTCAGGAAAAGAGCATATACACCATCGTCACCGCACCCAGCATAGTCTCCCACGAAGCAAAGTCCCAGGGCAAAGAGAACGAGAGTCTATACAGGTCAGATCGTATTGATGGATTCAAGTTGATGCTCGCCGTCGCCGACAAGTCAGAACCTCGGCAGATATACGGCGCATCAAACAGTCTCAACCACAGCATGAGTGGTTTTGTACTTCGCCATAACACACACTTTAAACAGACGCGTCGCGTGGGCGCGTTTTCTGTTCGACGCGCCGCGCCAGCCATCTATCTTGCAATTGCAATGCCACCGGTCACTCAGCCCCTTGTTCACGATCTCAGATATGCTGGTTATTCCCATTCACGAGCTCACCCACGAGAAACACTCATTCACCCTGTAGCATCAACCTCACACCATGGCGCTCTTACAGCATAAGGCGCTTGTCGACTATGAAAAGCAACTAGATGCGTTTCAGTCCTTCCTTGAGAAATTCGAGACCTCCAAAACCTCCACAGACGCCGCCGCTGAAGCCATCGATGACCTCCACCTCGATGGCGACCACACAAGCGATGAGTATGATTTCATGGACGATGTGTCGGATGGTCATGGCAGCAACTCGAGACGGCGACCCAAGAGAAAGTATTTGGATATGTTGCAAGAAGTTGCAGATCGAGAGCGTCAGAATATCCTGGTAGAGCTGGATGATCTCCAAGAGGTATGCCCAGGACCCTTTTGGGGCACAGCTGTGGGTTGACAAGTGTGATAGTTCGAAGACACACTGCCTGCAGAGTTCAACCTGAGGCTGGTTGAGTCGGTGACAACCAACACCAAACACTATGTCGACCTCTTCGCAAATGCTGTGGACAAGGTCATGCCCAAACCAAGCAAAGAAATCTCGTACGTAGTCTGACCGACCACCGTCTGGACCTTTGGACTCTAACTATACCCAGATTTAAGGATGATGTGCTGGACATCATCATGGCGCAGCGCGCAAAACGAAACGAGACAGTGGCGTCGGCCAGAGAAGCAGACGCCGAAGCTGCGGTCCCTGTCTCGACATTTCCTCCTGAATTGACCAGGCGATATACGCTTAATTTCAAACCCCTGACACCAACAGGTGCCGACATTGCCAAAAAGACTCTCGCTGTAAGGCAGGTTCGAGGGGAGCATCTAGGACATCTCATCACCGTGCGCGGCATCACCACCAGGGTTTCAGATGTCAAGCCGAGCATCCAAATACAAGCCTACACTTGCGATCGATGTGGATGCGAAATCTTTCAGCCTGTCTCGTCGAGACAATTCACCCCGTTGCAGATTTGCCCGTCAGACGAATGCAAGGAGAACGACTCAAAGGGTCAACTATTTCCATCTACACGAGCATCCAAATTCATGCCTTTCCAGGAAGTCAAGATCCAGGAAATGGCCGACCAGGTCCCAGTCGGCCACATCCCAAGAACTCTAACGGTACACTGCAGTGGCAGTCTTGCACGACAAATGAGTCCCGGAGATGTCGTAGATATTGACGGCATCTTCCTTCCCACCCCCTACACTGGCTTCCGAGCCATTAAGGCTGGCCTGCTGACGGATACATACCTCGAAGCACAGAACATTACGCAGCAGAAGAAAGCATATCAAGACCTGAAGATGGATCCTAGGATCATTCGCCGGATCGAATCTTTTAAAGCGACAGGACACATGTACGAATATCTGGCTCGGTCGATCGCCCCGGAGATCTATGGTCATCTGGATGTCAAAAAGGCGCTACTCCTACTTCTCATCGGGGGTGTCACCAAAGAAATGGGCGACGGCATGCGGATCCGTGGCGACATCAATATCTGTTTGATGGGTGACCCTGGTGTGGCCAAATCGCAACTACTCAAGTATATTACGAAAGTTGCTCCTCGAGGCGTCTACACAACAGGGCGAGGATCCAGCGGAGTCGGTCTGACAGCTGCCGTCATGCGAGATCCTGTGACGGACGAAATGGTTCTTGAAGGTGGCGCATTGGTGCTTGCCGACAACGGAATCTGCTGTATCGATGAATTCGACAAGATGGACGACAGCGACCGAACAGCCATCCATGAAGTCATGGAACAACAGACCATTTCCATCAGCAAAGCCGGGATCACAACAACGTTGAATGCTCGAACATCAATTCTGGCGGCAGCCAACCCCCTCTACGGTCGATACAACCCTCGCATCTCGCCCGTCGACAACATCAACTTGCCCGCAGCCTTGCTGTCGCGTTTTGACGTGCTGTTCCTGATCCTTGACACCCCCTCACGCGAAGGAGACGAGGAACTAGCCAACCACGTCTGCTACGTCCACATGCACAACCAACACCCACAGCGAGAGGGCGAGGGTGTCGTTTTCGCGCCCGAGGAGGTGCGGCAGTACATCGCGCAAGCACGAACCTTCCGACCTAACGTGCCCAAGTCGGTATCTGACTATATGGTCGGCGCATACGTGCGCATGCGACAGCAGCAGAAACGCGACGAAGGGTCGAAGAAGCACTTCACGCATACTTCGCCGCGGACGCTGCTGGGTGTATTACGTTTGTCCCAAGCGCTTGCTCGACTGAGGTTCAGCAATGAAGTGGTCACGGAAGACGTCGACGAGGCCTTGCGTCTGATCGAGGTCTCCAAGGCCAGCCTGTACCACGACCAGCGCGGTCAGGGTGATCAGACAGTGAGTTCGAGAGTTTACGATCTCGTGCGCGGCATGAGAGAGTCGGGCGCGGCGAGTGTCGGACGAGGCGCGAGAGGAGAGCTGAACCTGGCGCGTGTTCGGGAATTGGTGTTGGCCAAGGGTTTCACGATTGACCAGTTCCAAAGAACGATTGAAGAGTATGAGCTTCTGGATGTAAGTTTACTCCTGCCCTCTCTCGCTTCCTATTTCATTTTGCCCAACGGCTGCTAACTGCCATGCAATAGATCTGGCAAGTCGCGAACAACGGCACGAGATTGGTATGGATCGAAGCCGGTGATAGCGATGACGAGAACATGGATGACGGTGATGACGAGTGATGACAACTCCAGAGGAGCGGTCGGCATGACATGATGGAATACACTGCAACCATGATATGGGGATTGTCGACCACTGGCATTGTGCTAGAGTTATACCCTGATGTTTGGAGACCCGCGCCTCAGTTGTCATCACGCGCTACGTGGTGTTTCATGAGATGCGAGTGAGTGCATGCTTGTGATGTTTTCGTCTTGGGCGTTTACGGCATCAGAGCAGAGTCCGGGCAGATTCTCCAAGGAGTGGAACCTTGATACCAGTTGTTGTGGGAGCGGAAGGAAACGCTTTGTGAGAAAATTGCAAAAATGAACCCCTGGTTGAAATTGAATATGCCAAATCACAAATGCCGTTTTACGCCGATTCTCCGTAGCTTTTTTTAAAACTTGATCTATCAGCGGGTTTGGATACTACTGTAAAAGACAGTAATCGTGGCCATCTCACACGATTCTTTTGTGAGAATGCCAACACCAGACGTACGCAGATTACGATGTGGTCGCCGTAACATTGTCTTTCCTGTGCACCTGAGAAGGCAGATTGTCGTTTCAAGCTACCATCCGTGCTGAATGCAGAGGTCTTCGGTCGTCATCATCGTCAATGTCCGCAGGATGGACTGGATCTGGTAGACGTCCGCGACCACGCTCTGGACTCGGGCTCGGACTCGGACTCGGACTAGCGATAGTCGTGGGATCTCCCATGCGACGGCTATGCTCCATTTGGTCGCAGAAAGCGTTGTTTGTATTCAGGTAAGTCGAAGGTGGTGGTGGTGCTGAGACCGAAGAATATGGTTGTTGCTGAGGTTGAGGTTGATTTTGGTACTGTTGTTTCTGTCGTGATGTCGATGCAGCGATGACGCCGCCGCCGCGGCCAGAATACCCCGTCTCAAGACCCATATCTAGCGAAGCCTCCCTCTGTCGCGGTCTCGTGGGACGCCGATTTGCCATCGATGTCAATTCGTACCGGGACGAAATGGCAGTGTTGTTTGGGTTGGTGTCGTATCCGTTCTCATCAGCGGCGACTCTGTCGTCCAGAACCTCGAGCGTTTCGCTGTCGAGCATGACTTTGCCAGGAACAGGTCGTTTGACAGGCATCCCCCAGGAGCGGATGGGATAGGCGCGTCCCTTCTCCCACACGTGGCTGACGGGCGGGAAGTACTGGCGGTAGGCAGCCCAGGCGCACAAGAGACCCAGGACGGAGCCGAAGAGGACGTCGAAGGGGTGGTGGCGGGCGTCCATGATGCGAGACATGGCGACGCAGGATGCGGCGAGGGTAGGGATCAACACGATCACGCTTCGCCAGACTTCGCCGCGATGGTCGAGCACGTGCAGTTTGGCGGCCAGGTAGAGGGACAGGAAGAACAGACCGGCGAATGAAGAGGATGCGTGGCCTGACGGGAAGGAGCGGAAGCCTGGATGAGAAGAGTTCAGTGAGAATGTTTTCGGCGGCAGTATTACATAGATGGATATGATAGGGTCAATGAGATGGTATTTCCGACAGCCACCCGGGACGTCCAGAGAGGGCCTCGGAGAAGGACCAGAGAGGAAAATGCCACAGGACAGACAGACAGACAGACAGACAACCTTAACTTACCATCTTGCATAATGGCTTCATCCTGCTGGGTGCAGATAGCCTTGGTGGCCAAGCCGTAAGGAACACCGTCGGCAGATCCTGTCTGGGGACGGCAACGATCGATGAGGTCCGGCCGAGGCTTTCCACACAGGTTCTTGAGTGTGCCGGTGATGACAAACGCGGCGCCCTGGGCCAGCAACAGCCCCAACCAGCCACAGTTCAGCTCCCACAGTCGATCGCCGATTGTGTATTTGCACCTGGTATGCGTCGTGCGGCGGTGATGGGAGAAGAAGCCGTCGATGAACAGCGTGTAGACCAGAATCACGGCGGCGGGGAAGGCGCCAGAGATCAGCAGAGCGATGTGGATCGGGATCCGTTCGTGGACGGCATAAGGGTATTGGATGGAGATGTTGTTGAGCGAGAAATGCTGCGAGAAGGGCGTGACCAGTTTGTCGAGAGCGGCGTAGATGATGGCCAGCACTCTGGAACGAATGCTGTCAGATAAGATCCCAAGAACTTGTTTCTAGAAGCTTTGCTGCAGTGCGGTCGGTTGGCCAGTCGACTTACATGATGATCAAGTAGTCCACGACGTAGGAGACCAAGGCTCTGGTAGGGATGGTACGTTTTGTAGAGGCGGAGAGATGGTGTTGGAGCTGGCGGCTCAACCGCTCCATCATCGTGCAAGTGGCAGAACTCGGTGATATCCAAATCCAAGTCCTCCTTATCCCACGAAATAGTCACAAAACAGCAATCGATGTTGTTTGTTGTCTAGAGATGGACGGGAAATGGTCCTACCACTGATGCACAGTGCTTGTGCCGTTGGAATGCGGTTATTCAATGTTTTCTTGCCTCCTCTTCTTCTTTTCTCTCTGTGGCTGAAGGTGAAGATGAGGTGTAAGACGTCAGCCTCAAGTACTGTGTCGCGTGCCCTTGACCAGGGGGCTAAGGAGGCTTTGCGAGCAGCCGAAACAACAGCTCTCGGCGCATATCTGACTCTGACAACCGACAGGCGATGAAGCGCATATTTGACGAGGCTTGGGGGCAAAAAGGTCCCCAGATCGCTCCACTGAATGTCCAGGGAGCCCCTGTTCAGTGACTCAACAGCCTATAAACACCTTGTTTCAGGTGACAAGCAATGGCTGTGTGAGGCGGTGCATCAGCTTGGCTTTCTCATGTGAAACATCTCATTCATTGGCATGAGGCGTCGTCGGCCTTGGGAACCAACTTTTCAACTGTTTTGACCTTCAGTGGTTATGAATGTCTGTATGTATGTTGCCCTGTCTCGGAGATTTCATCATCCCTTCAGATATGAACGAGCTCACTGTGACTGGTGATAAAGAGCATGATGATTACTCTCTCGCTGCTATACAGCGCAGCATCTCCCCCTTTGGCCCCTCTTGGCCCCTTTAGCCCCTGATCCAGTCATGTGACACGCAAGGCTGTCATCGGCGACGAGGCTGAATCCCAGATCATGCTCTGTCTCCCCATCGCATCAAATCTCCTCATCGCATCAACAACAGCTTCAAACCCATACGCTTCTCCAACTTTATCATCACTTCGGCATGTCTTGATTCTCAGCTGAACAGGAAGGCGGTTCTGACGGCCAATCATGAGAGCCGAGCCCGCCATCACCGGTAAATACCTCGAACCCACCATGGGGATTGACCCGAGGTCTACTGGCCTTTGCCCTCTTCCGAGGACAGTTGAAAACTCTTGGGACTGAGGGGGATTCGTAGCTCCTCAGATCTATGAGACCATGGCGTTCATTCCCCCGCCTTTCCCAAGCATCGGCTCAAGGTACCGAATCACAATCCCGCGCATGACTTGTGTCCCGGAGCTTCCACCCCAGACCCCAGAGTCCCGAAGCCTGGGGAGGAGGTTGTACCTAGGTAGGTAGTCGTCGTCTCCCATCTACTGGGAATACGGTACAGTGGCCCCATTCACCATCATTGCCCATAAGTGTTTATCTCACCCTTCGATCTCCCTGTTGGCATGTCCCTGTCCCTCTATCAATTTTAGCTGTTGCTGTCGCTGTCGCTGTCAGTCACAGATTATATTTCTCTCCATCTATAAACCATCACCCAAAACAGCAACCATGGCAGACTACAGCAACATCCCTGACTTCGACTCGCTCCCACCAGTCAAGGACATGCCGCAAGGCTGCGCATGGGGCGTCTTCGATAAAGACGGAAAAAAGGACCATCTGGGCTGCCTCAACCTCCTCACGCCCAAAGTGGTGCAGTCAGCCTTCAAAGAAGCGCGCGACGGCATTTCCATCTCACTCAACTGGCCGATCGGGGCGATCAACAAACCCGGGTTCGCCCGCAAGGGACTCGAACACAAAGTGATATCGTTCCAAGAAGGCCCCTTCGGGCTGTGGGGGTTCGACGACGAACTGGAATTCAACACGCAATGCTCCTCGCAATGGGACAGCCTGGTGCATTTCGCCCACCAGCCCACCGGCCTCAGCTACAACGGCGTCCAGCCGACCCGGGAAGCCCTGGTCCAAAGCTTCGGCCAAGTCGACGTCGACAAGGCCCTGCCCACCCTCAACCACTGGCACGACCGGGGCGGACTGGTCGGCCGCGGCGTGTTGCTTGACTACCGCGCCTACGCGGAGGCCAAGGGCATCGCGTATGATTGTTTCGACTCGCATGCCATCACGGTCCAGACGCTCGAGGACGTCGCACGACATCAAGGCACCGAGTTCAAGTTCGGCGATATCCTGATCGTTCGTACGGGATTTACTGAGGACCTGGGCGGTGCGTCTGCCGAGGACCAGGAACGTATGCTCGGCACGCACAAGGCTGTCGGGCTCAAGGGCAATAAAGAGACGGCCAGGTGGATCTGGAACCATCACTTCGCCGCCGTCGCGGGTGATGCTATCGCGTTCGAGGTCCTGCCTCCTGTCATCGAGGAGGAGGGTGATCGGACGGGCACTATTGCGGAATTAGGTGAGTGTTGTCATAAGTACACAGCCGAGCGTTCACGTCTTGTGTTACACATGATTCACCAAATTCTTTCCTTCCACCGTTAAATTCTCGAACCCCGTTCAAGTGTTGGTTCTTGACAATCCCACTCAACTCGGTCACTGTGCTGTAACCAATCGAACAGCTAACTCTAACCCCCTTCTTTCTTCTCTTCCATCTAGTACTTCATCAATACTTCCTCTCCCTCTTCGGCCTTAATATTGGCGAACTATGGGACCTGAAGGCGCTGAGCGCGCATTGCAAGAACGTCGGCCGCTACGAGTTCCTACTGACCAGCGTTCCGCTCAACGTGCCCGGTGGCATTGGCAGCCCGCCTAACGCTTTGGCCATCTTCTGAATCCCTGATACTCGGTCGAAGTCACATCCAGGAAGTGTGGAGAAGGCAAGATGGGAGACAGGAGACCATCGGCACGTAGGAGACCGCTTGAGATACTGGACGACCGCCTGCCTGGCCCTGGAGTGGTCGCATGGCTGACTGACGTCGAATGCATAGTCGATGGACATTCTGACCGGAATCTATGAAGTATGGACAATGCATCGATGAAGCTATTGTGTCCAATCCTGCCGAGAGCATCTCCTGTGTACTCCGGTGCAGATCTCAGTATTCAAGGCCATGTCTATTTATGCAAGAGAACAAGGATCTCAAGTGCCGACGGAAATTGGAGTGATGTACTAGTTTGCTTTGTCACTTTTTATATATGCTCCGGCTTCAAAATGTACATCCAAATCTTCCTAAATTTCAAACATGCCTGCCAGTGGAGATATATTCACAACGGCGCGGCAATATCTTTATATTGATCTCTGCTGGTTGCAAGCACAAGGTCCCGGATGCTACACTTTGTGAACAAGCCAGTGGAGCTGAAGTCCATGGGTTCAACACTAGCAGTTGCGTGAGGCCACATCTCTCTGAGCATGACCACATCCATCTGTGTAGTATCACAAAAAGGGAGGTATCTCCACCATAGAACCATTCCTCTGTCTCTTCCCATATCACCATGTTGGTCACCCAAGGTAACTTATGGCTTAGCTAAACAGTCACCCGTCTTCCCAACTTGGCCAGTTCACCCACGACACCGCCACCAGCGAGGGCCCTAAACTCGGCAAGCGAGATTTCCGTAAGCGGTCGCTGCAACAATCCACTGCGCACAAAGTACTCCATGTACCCTTTGGACTCTTCGACACTGAGCCCCTTCAACTCCACAAGGTTGACATCTCCCAACCCGGACATCAACTCCAGGACATGAGTGTCTGGCTTGCTAAACGGTGCCGGAAGGGGGAAACCAGGAGCCGACGGATCGAGGCCTTGAGCCCGAGCGCGCATCTGGTTCAGCAAAAGACCGAAACTCGGGAAGGCGGGTGTGTTGGAGCCAGTGGTGCTATATAGCAACATACCGCCGTTGGCAAGTGGCGGAGACGAACCCGCCTTTGCGAACAGCAAGCCCAAAAACTGACGGACAAGCGTGAACTGGTGGGCGTGGATGATTTTGAAATCGGCACTGCGGTATTTGCTGGGTCCCATCCAGTGGTCGACCGAATCGACGGCGATGAGGACTCGAGGCCGTGAGTTCGCACCCGGTTCGCTGAGTTCCCGCCAGAGAGCCTGCCACGCTGGCCATGCGAAAGTATGGTCGCTCGCGCCCAGTTGCACGAGATCCTTGAGGGTGGCTGTGCCCTGCTTGAGAGGAAGATGTTTGGGGAACTCGTGGTTGAATTTGAGCGTCTTCAGCAATGATTCGTTCGCATGCAGGGCGCGGGTGAGCAGAGCCTGCGTCAGGTGAGGTTGGATGTATAGTTGTTCAGACTGCGCTTGATCGTCCTTCTGCTTAAGCGGGGCGTAGGAGGATGTGTTGTTGACGAACTCTTGAGCTGCGTAGATAGTCAGCGCACACTGTCCCTAATAGCCATCAAATCTCACAGAATCATATCACTTACCTTCGGGAATGTTGAAGACCAACCAATCGTTCATGAAAGCCATGGTCATCCCCTGGAGTCCAAGGATGCTCTTCCCAGAAGCCTTGTCACCAGTCACCAGATGTCTGACTGTCTTCTTACCCTGACTGTGGTTCACCTGCTCGATCTCCTGGCCCAGTTGGATAGTCTCGGACCGGATGAGCGTCGCAGGCCGTCGAAACAAGCTCCAGTTCTGAGTTGTTTTGAACGCCTTGCAGTCTCTCAACTTGTCCAGCAAAGCACCGTCGAGACCGAGCATCCGTCCTGTATTTTCCTCCGCCGTCATGTTCTCCTTGCTCCAATTCTCCAAGCTCGGCACCTCGAGGGCATTGGTGTTGCTGAGCACAATGCGATGTCGTTGAGCTCTCCGTTCTCCGATCGGCGGCGGCTTCGGCCGATCTCTGGTCTTCTTCTTCATTTTGGCAGATTGCGACGATCGGTACTTTGATTCGGGTGCCCTGTTCCCCTTCTTCGACTTCACTAGGGAATTGTTCTTGGCCATGACACTGGCGCTGTGAAAGGACGACACCGGAGTCAAAGACACCGCGGCAATCGCAAGGCTGCTCCTGGGGTTATGCGAGATGCGCAGCCTTGACAGGCAGTCGGCGCATATTGAGAGCGACATGTCTCTCTCTCCTACACCAGTGCCGGTGCCGATGCCGACACTCCTGTGGTGGATGCGTGGTAGTCAAGCGAACTTGATATTAGACTCAATTGTTGGAGGATCAAAAACATGCGGATACTAGTTTGAAGCATGGCAGCTTGCACTGCAGGAGTGTACCAAGCCAAGACTCGCCGCCCTAACATCGAGACTTTTATCCTTATCTTATCTAACAGCGGCGATGCAAAAAGTTCTGGAGGCCTCTGTTCTGGGCTTTCACTTCAGGTTTGCGTAGACTATCCCCAAGCCAACTTTTCACAGCAGACCGACCGACACCGAAACCATTTGCTGTACCATCGAGACCGGAATAAGAAAATTGCAATCGATATGGGGGATGCTACAATGGCGGACGGAAAAGCGGCCTCTGCGTCAAAGCAAGAACGACTGTAGGTTTGAACTCTTTACCGCTTTGCAGTATACTCTCGGAACTGACATGAACCGGTAGACCAACAACGGTGGACAAACCCACACCATACACATATGATCTAGGATATCTCACTGCGATCGACCCGAATCCTCTCCCCAGCACCTCAAGTCTCCTCTCCCAGTCCTTCGTCGAGCGCAATGCCACGCTCCAAGCCATCGCCCGAGACGGCGCCCAGTCACTCCTCAACACCCTCTTAACAACCTGCACGATAACCTCCACGCCGGACGGTCTGGTAATGGCCCTCCCGCCTGCGTCGAATCCTTTACCACGGTGGAAACCGCTGCCGAAGCCCAAGGCGCCGACGAAGTGGGAACTGTTCGCCCGCAAGAAGGGCATTGGGAAGTATGGGGGCAGTCTGAAGGGCGGAGCGGCGCTGGAGGATCGCAGAAAGAACATGGTCTACGACGAGGAGAGTGGCGAGTGGGTCAAGAAATGGGGCTATAAAGGAAAGAACAAGCAGGGGGAGAGCGACTGGTTGGTCGAACTGGATGACGAAAAGGTCGGCAAGGAAAAAGAGGGCTTTGGTGCAGAGGGAAGGACGGTGAGGGGTGAAGGTAGACGGGAGCGTCTCGAGAGAATGAAAAGACAGGAAAGAAGGCAACGCAACAATGAGCGCAAGGGTAGGAAGGGGGGCAAGGCTGGCTGAGTTGGTTCTCGTCCAGATGTATCTGGACGATGGCCATTGTCGTACGCTCAACAAACATTGTATGGATGGACAGGGTTGTTTCCGTTGCGTGTCCAGACATGTCGTACACGGTCCGAACACGATGTGCATGGGCATAGAAGGGCCTTGAAAGAGTGACTTGCAAACTGTGTCTTTCTCAGCTGCCTATTGAGAGTTCCTTATGGGACAGGCTCACTCAGTGCCGCAGCGGCTGCTTTACGATTCAAGCAGCGAGGTTTTGAAGGCCGAAAGCCGCAAAGGGGGACTACGCCGTCTGCGTCAAAGGGCCATTGGCCACTTTGATCCAAGGGTATCCAATGGGTCAGAGACACTTCTGGTGAAGACTGATCTTAGATAGGTGCATTTGAGCCTGGGACCCTCCCTGCCGTTGCTTCACGCGACCAATTCTCTAGCTAATCATACATCAGACATCAGACACTCACTGACACTTTGCTCGCTGTTGTCCACCATGTCCATCCCTCCCTGCAGCAATCCTCCTCATAAGCATCATAATTCAAAGAGCCAGGGATGGCTAATGCCGTGCCAGCGTAAAACGTCAATGCTAAGTCAAAAAGGGAATAGATAATACAGATTTTGCTCTGGGGTGGAAAGAAAGAGATGTGAGAGGCCGCCGCCGACCGTATGCAGTATGCCATCCTAAACCCGAAGTAAATGCATCGGCAGACGGCTTCCTTCGCGGGATATTCTTCTCGCCTAAAGAGTATCGTTGAAATGGCAAAACAACACATATTTTCTCACATGCGAATCGGGGAAAGGCCGGTCAGCTCGGGCAGCTTTTGGTCCAGAGACAACACCGGAGGCTCTGGAGTAACCACTCTAGGTGCTGTTGGCACACTTTGAGTTGCTGCGTGACTGCTGTTTGCTCTCCGCCTCGCACCTCCTTCGGACGACAGACTCCTTTGTTTGGTCTTGGGTAGAACGGACTTGCGTTGTGTAGCTGCATCAGCGCTTCGTGGGGGATTAGACGCTTGCTGTTGACTGCTGTCACTAGACGAAATGGCTCTGTCTTCAACCGCGACATCATTAGCTTCGTTGATGGAGCCCTCGCGTTGGTACCGGTATTCCTCTTCCAAGTATTCTTGTTCAGTCCAGCAACCCTGCCAGCAGTTCTTCCAGTCCATGACCAGGAACTGGAAACAGAACGCGTCGATCCTCAGACATGGCTGGAAACATATGCACAGGTTTCGAAAATCCATCTTGTTCTTGTCGGCGTAGTGATTAAGTAAACTGAGATGGCAAGTGATGGCGAAGAGGAGGTAATAGTTGAACGGTGGGAGTCGCGACAGTTCATCCTTGAGCATCTGAGGTGCTGACGTCGCACCAGCGCATTGGCTGGCAATCCTGCTTTGGGTGGATTTTGGCAGGATCTCATCAGGCAACTCTCGCAACCATGATTTGAACAAGGAACCGATGGTGTTGATGTCATATAAATCTGGTTCATCGAACAAATTGATGTCGTACTCGGTGTCGAACCGACGTTGCCAATGTTTGACATCTCTGCCGCTCCCTGGTATTCGATAAAGTCCTTCTTCTTCGGCTCCATTCATGTTCAGGTAGCTGTGAAAATTGTTAGCCGGGGCTTCTGGTCCAAAAGAGGGCTACATACTCAATACATCGCCATGGCAGGGCAGGCATCCAAAACTCTGTCTTGTCCTTGGAGAACTCGAGGCGTCGGGCAATCCGAGTTTTGCGGGTTTGCTTGACAAGTGGCAGGTTGATGGTGGTACAGGTGTAATTGTCATCCGTGACAAGTTCACGCTCGGTGCTGCTCCCACTCCTTGTGATCTTCCCCAGGAAGCCTTTTCCGGCCTTACCGAGACGATCGCCCATCCCTTTGCCCGTTTGACCGATATTCGATAATATCTGAAGAGTAGAACCTTCTCTGAAGGAGTGGGATAATGGTATCCCTCCGCCTGGGCGCTCCCTTCTCGTCACAAGGGAGTCCTCACGCATATGACGATCTGCAGAGCGGTTTCGCATGGCTCCGCTGCCCGGATTTCCAAACGCTCTCTCTCGATGATCCATTTTGATGGGTGCAGTTTTGGGGGATGGCTCGAGTTCAAGGTTATCTTGGTTCGCAGTCTCCAGCTGAAGATGACCAGGTGCTGAACTCTTTATTTTCGGGACCGTTTCCTCCATTCTCACAGTTTTAGTCCTTGTGAGAATCCCTCCGAGTTTTGACCTGACTTTCTTGCTAGGTTGGGTCGTCTCAGAAGAGGCCACAGCATTGGGCTCCGAGGAAGGAGGATTGGCGCCGCTGGCATTGGCACTCCCCATTCTTGGTAAGTCTGGGGTCGAGCCTTGCCTCTGCACTGAATGAAACGATCTATCCTTCGAGCTCGCCCGACTTCGAGCACTTGGTCTCTCTCCGCTTTCCGGAACGCTGGTTTCAGAGGGCTGCAGTTTGTGGGAGGATTTTGAGGCCATCAAATTTGAAAAGAAGCTTTTGGATGCCTCTCGCCCATGTTTTGGCGACTGGGGAACTGGTGAAGGCGGTAACTCGGGCATTGCAGTGATGCTTGGAGAATTGGGCCCAGTTCGATGGCCATCGTTGCCTCCATCCTGAGGCACGGACACATGATGCATGGTCGAAGGCGACGCAGCACCTCGCAGATATGGTGATACCGGGGCGGATTCCGGGGTGCGAGGCGAGCCTGTCGACCTAGGACTCAAGGTCGCAGGAGTCAAGCCGTTGAATTCCTCAATGTTTGTAGAGGTCAGGTTGAGATACGGTAAAGCCGAGGCTTTAGGCATATCCGCAACTCCTGAAGTGACATTCACAAGGTGTACTGCAGGTAGCCGGCCGCGCTTATGGTTGGGCTATAGGCTGTTTGCGCCAGGTCAATGGAACCCTGATGTTGCCCGTCGGGTGTGCTCCCCGTCTGTACCACCTCTTTTGCGTTGGCAGATATAATGGCCTTGTTTATCCAACGAATTTATCCAACGAAACGCGTCGGGGATGGAGAGCGAGAAGCGCAAGCGGCCAGTGCTTTTTCTGATTGTGGATGGAGCGCGCCTTGCCTGGGGGCGTGAGAAATCGACAAGTCATTTATCGATTGGAATGTCTGGCTGGCTGGTCCTCCTCTTCCCTGTTGCAGCTGCAATCCGAGGATATCTGCGTGTCTTGGGCGACAAGGGGCTGGCGTGCGAGATCTATAGGTCTCGATATACTGTATTGGAGGGAGTAGCGAGGAGTCCGACCCAGAAATGCTGTCGTGAAAAGCCGATTTGAATTAGGTAGCAAGGTATTCAGGCTTTGTGATCAGGCACACTTCATCGCAGGGAGTGATTGTGTAACAGCCTGGCTGTCAGAACCGCGTAGTGGCGTGCGAGGAAAGCGGCTAACGAAGGAGGAAGTTATAAGTTTTGAGGGAGTGACAGGAAGGGTAAGCTGAGGATGAGGCGGTCAATGCTCCAAACAACGATGCAGCCAGGCGGAAAGACCAAAAGCACCAGAATCAGACCAGGGGATTACTGGTCTATACAGACAAGTACAGTAGTGGTAGTGGTAGCAGTAGCAGTAGCAATATTAGAATGTTCAGAAGCGGTGTTTTGCTGGCCGCGTGGTTTGTGGTGGATGCCGCCAAAAGTTGAGGCTGGAAGAGACAAACGGGCGCTGCAGGTGGAGCGTTCGAGCGGCGAGGGCCCGGAGTGCGGAGCCTTAGCCTGCGCCTGCGCCTGCGACCGAAACTGCCAGTGAGCAGCCTTAGGCTCAAGGGTGTGTTGACAGACTCGACACAGTACTACTAGTAGTATATAATATGGCTTTTCTTCTGCACCTCAGCTTGCGACGTGGTAGAGAGCGAAATACTCCGGGCTGACGGGATATGATGGCGGTTGGTGGACGAGCCGGGGGTTTGTACGTGGTAGGATTGATTGATTGATTGATTGAGGCGCCGTGCCTGGCGTGTGCGGCGAGCGATTGATTGAAGACACGTCTTACATGTTGTACTAGTATGCTGCTGGGGTTGGTATGGGCTTGCTACTCTATCCGATCTACTGCTCTATATACCACCTACGTGAGGTAGGTAGGTACCTAAGGTAGGGACTCTATGGGTACCAAGAGACTAAGTACGTATTCGAGGGACTGGACTGCGTCTGAGGTGAAGTCGGAAGTCGTTGCGTCTAGGCTAGCATTGCAAGGTGTCCCAGGTTAGTCTCAAGGGTGTACTAGTATAGTACCTAGGTATCTGCCTAGTAGGAGGCATCGAGGCACGTATACAGGTATGTTATGGCGTAAGCTGTACACCCCCCGGCACCTAGCGAGCCTAGAGCGCAGAGATGCATAAGACAACTAAATGCATACTCTCATAAGGGTACTTCTTTATATTAAGGTGTGGTACTATGCATGTCAATATCCTACAGCAGCGACTCTTATGTACACTGGGTCCATGCTCTACTAGTAGTTCGCTGCTGCTTGAGGCGTACACAAAGATTCACTGACCGCCCCCGAGTGGCGATATCGCCCATCTATGGTCAGACAACACCCTCTTCACCGGAATATCGAAAGATGCCCTCGCGATATTAGGAAATATCTGACAAGGGGGGACCAGGGGAAGTGGATCAACTTCGTTAAATAATGACACACGCGGCGCCAGGGGCACGCCCACAGTCGAGAGACGCGCCTGTATCCAGTTGACTCTAGCTTGAAGCGACTGGCCAATATATGTAGTCATGTTTCCATGCAGTGGAGGAGCTCGCACTGCTATTCTGGACCCAACGTGGAGAAGGATGCCCCAAGAGCGAGTGAACTCCTACTCTGTACTGCTGGAGCATATTAATCGGCCTGGTCTTGTGCAACTTGCTCGTCGTACTGCGATGATAGTAGATGCCTAGGTAATAGGTAGGTACCTTACCTAGGTACCTACCTGTACAGATTCGTGCAGTGCAGTGCATGTACTGTCAGGTAAGATAGTACCTTATAGATAGTGGGCAGCTGTTGCAGTCCTGAACCAGCGCATCATCCATGTTCCAAGCCACGCCTACTTCAATCTGAAACCTGCCGGTGAAGATCTGTGTTTGACAGGAAGAAGACGGAAGAACTTCGGGCTCTTCTGCCTCAGTAAAGGCCAGTAGGCAAGTAATATATAGATGTGCAGTGGGCGAAGGACGGGGCGAGAGGGGCTAGGGCTTCGTGTCAAAGATGATGGCAGACTGTCATCCGTGACCTATATGTAGTACTAGTACATCATGTATAGATTTATTATGAAGGAGCAGGCATTGAACTTGAGTCGAACTTGGACTTCAATTCAAAGTTGTCGCAGGTTGCTGCCAAGGCCGGGGAGAAGAATTGTGCAGTGTACCTGTGGCTGCTTTAGCAGTCGGACCCAGTACTACCTACCTGAAGTACCTAGATATCTCATATACCAAACAATCATCACAAATTTCACCATCACATCTTCCCATCATCGCTACTTACTTTGATCATCCCCATTGGACGTAGCCCTTGCGGCCTCGCCGCCTGGTATTCTCCCAATTCCTTTGGCTTCGCGATACGCCTGCTGAATGGCTTTGGTGGCCGGACCAGGCAGAGGGGGAAGTCACCTTTCTAGCGGCAGCTCGCCCGCGCCCGCTGGCCTGGTCATCGACAAACATGTCAAATATATCCAAGGTTTGGATAGTGTGCGTTGAAGTGTGAGTTCCCCATACGTCGCCAGATGTTGATGCTTTTCCAGCGAAAAGATGAGCTCGACTACTGGTTGACCGAGCACCTGCGACTTAACGGCGTCTACTGGGGCCTCACCGCTCTTCACCTCTTGGGTCATCCAGATGCATTGCCGCGGGACAAAACACTACATTTCGTGTTTGCCTGTCAAAATCAAGATGGAGGCTTCGGTGCCGCTCCTGGCCACGACTCCCACATGCTGTATACCGTCAGCGCCGTCCAGATCCTCGCAACAATCAATGCTTTGCCTGAGCTCGAAAATCGCCGAGAAGGAGGAAAGGAGCGGATCGCACAATGTAAGTGATTGACTTCTCCATGGATATGATAGACCCCTCTCCAACTGGCGGAAATCAGACATTGCCAGCCTCCAGGATCCCAACACTGGTACATTCGCCGGAGATGAATGGGGTGAGACCGATACCCGCTTTCTCTATGGCGCCTTCAACGCCTTGTCCATCCTGAACATGATGCACCTCGTCAACGTCGAAAAAGCCGTGTCCTACATCCAGGCGTGCGCCAACTTCGATGGCGGGTTCGGAAGAGCTCCTGGTGCAGAATCGCACGCGGGTCAGATATTCACCTGCCTTGGCGCTTTAAGCATTGTAAGACGGCTTGACCTGGTGGACACTACGCGCTTGGGTGCTTGGTTGAGTGAAAGACAGCTGTCTAATGGTGGACTCAATGGTCGACCTGAGAAATTGGTGGATGTGTGCTACAGCTGGTGGGTGCTGAGTAGCCTTGCCATGCTGGGGAAGCTTCACTGGATCAATGCTTCTCAATTGACCAAGTTCATCTTGACGTGTCAAGACCCGGAGCACGGAGGCATTTCGGACATGCCGGGCGATATGGTCGATGTCTTCCATACTGTCTTTGGAGTCGCCGGTCTAAGTCTGCTCGGCTATCCAGGTCTAGTTGAGGTTGACCCCGTCTAGTAAGTCGACGTTGTCAGAGTCTTACTATCACCGCTGACGGGGCATTTCTCAGTTGTATGCCCGAAAAAGTCACCCAAGCACTGCCGTATCATCAAGCCTGATGCGGTGATGCTGCAGCGCCGACGATACACCTCTTGCAATCTAATAACCCACTTGATATGCCATTTGAGAGCTGGGATACAAGGCAAGAGGAGAGCGAAAACCACGATGGACTATTTTCCGCTTCATCACTCTACTATCCTCTTTCTTGAGGAGACATAGACATTGTGGTACACTTCCAAGTTTTGATTTCCCACAGTTAGAGGTGATGGGAAGCTTTAGTCTGCACTGGTGGCAATGTTCGTGCTGTTCAAGTTCTGGTACGATTCAGGTTCCGCAACACGTTGGAACTACTACTGCTACTAAAATGGGTAATCTCGCAAGGCTGAGGAGCTCTTTCCTGGTCTTGCGTCAGAGACGCATCAAATGTGATTCTCTGGACGCACCTTCCTCAATGCTCCCGGAATCTGTCTCCTTCCCTTGTTCCCCCTCAAGCTCGGCTCTGCCACCTTCTTGCAACTGTGTTTCTTGTTTACCACCCTCGCAGCCACTACTCACTGTCCTTGGGCTCTGCCACCTCAGCTGCCGATTTGCCCTCCTCTCCAGATGCCTTTGGAGCAGAAGGAGATACTTCGCACGGCATCTTCCTTGAGCCCGTGCTTGTCAACTTCTTGCAGTCATCACCCGGTTCTCCGTTTGCTGCTGCCTTGTCTTTCACTTCAATTGCATTTGTACAACCTCGCTGGGGAACGTGATGGACTTGGAGCTGCTTAACTGCAGTATCTGCCCCAAACAGCCTTCCTTCAGCGACACCTCACATTTACTTACCCACGTCAGTTCCAAAGGTCATCTGTCCCACCTGCACAAACTCCAAGTCCGAAGTCACCAGGAAATTGCGGCCGGCGTACAGTTGGCAACGTACAATCAATGGTATCAGCAACATGGCCTCGGCCAACTGCTCTCGGAGCGTATGATAATGAAGGAGGCCAAGAAGGCGGGTAGAAGGAAGAACGCAGCACGAAGAGGTGCATATGTGACGCAGCGAAGCCCACTTGCCCACGCAGCATCGGAGCAACCAGCGCCACTGAAGAAAATAGCCAAACCCCGGAAACAGGTGCAGCGGAAACAACCTCGAGGCAGATATGGCAGACATGCAATCGATGATGATAGCGACCTCGATTTCAGCCCCGTCAAGAGATCAAGGTGGTTCCCTCCTACAATCAAATTGTGTTGTCCTGCTTTGCTTTGCTTCTGACCGCGCCTTCTAGACCTAGATTACGTCAACATCAGGCCGTCTCTCCTGTCGGACCCTCTCCATCCTCTGACGCTCGTCCTCCTTCTGACGATGATGGGCGGACCGGGGAGGGATCCCGCCTCCTTGTGACCCCAGAACACAGCAAGCTAAAGGGCACAGTCTGGCCAGGCATGGATTTGTTTGATGCCGCCTCGGATGAGATGAGAAGGAAACGGAATCAAAAGAAGGATGGGTCCGTGTTGAGACGCATGGAACGGCTGTCTGCTCTGGTGGAACCCAGAGAAGTGGTCTACTCTCCCGGCGGACGCATCAAAAAGGCGCGACACATTGACGAGCTCGAAGATGCAAGCAGTCTCGTCGATGGGGAATCTCCCTTACCAAAGATGAAACAAGCCCGCCCCCGGAAGAGACAGCCAATGGCAGACAAGGACGTCAACGCACCCCGGCTGGTGAGGCGCAAGTCCAAAGGTCATACCACGAAGAAACAGGCCGAGCTACCGTTCATGCACGGACTACCACCGCTGCCATACTTGCCCAGCTCTTCGACTGGGGACTCATATGCCCTTGGCTCCCGCCTTCTTACGACTGAGGAGGACGAAGACGAGTTCAAACCAGCTGTCGCCGTCCGGCCTTCTCGAAAGCGGCCGGCCCCTTTCACGATCTTTGATGACGGAAGTCCTGGCTACGCAGGTGAAACCTTCGTGGAAGAAGGGCGACATCATCTTCACGCTGACCATCAAACCTACTCAAGAACTTCACGTACATCACTACCTGCCGTCTCTGCGCCTTGGCTTCAACCGCAGTATCAATCAGCCTGGCAATATACTAACCCCTACACATCGTATCGACCGGATCAACGCGAGTATCATGGCTCCTACGATGCAATCGATGCTAAAGAGGACGTTCCTCCGCTACCCGAGCCCACTCCCGAGTTCCCAGGGCTGAGCACCAACCCGCTCGCATGGAAATCTCCTGATCGAGATGCGATGGTGCCAATGCTGCCATCGGAATCCCCTTTCAGCAGTTTCTTTGGACTATTCCCCGGTGGCATGCCATGCGACGACCCATTTGTGACGACCAAAAACCCCTTGATCGCTGCCTTGGAGCACTTGGAAGGAGAACAAGACCGGGCAATGACGAGAGCAACCTCAAAGTCACCCGCAGATGCAGTGTCGCGTGAGGATGGTGGTGGCAAGCACCCTGCCCGAGCCCTATCAGCCCCACTTACATGAAAGGCGTCGCGACCAAAATACCGGTTCTTGCCTGACAATGTCCAATCCGGCGACTACCTAGCAAGCAGAATATGTGCGGCATGAATATGGTGAAATCGCTCACTCTTTCCCGGCAGCTATGCAGATCTCATGTATTGTTTGCCACAGCGCACACGTCCAGAGTTGAGGTGATGGTGTCACGAAAGTTCAACATGGTCTATCAGGTATTGGTGGGTAACCTTTTCATGGTATAGTTTGAGGTAGTCATTAGAAACATAGATAGATAGAAGATGTGACACGTGTATCACACGACTTGCACAGGTCTGGAAGCTGTACAGTGTGGTCTAGCAGACTTTATCCTTGACCGCGGAAATAGCATTCTGGCGGTAAATCGTGTAGGCTGAGGAGTGGCGATGATGGCAAGGCTGCACCACATCTAGTAGTAGAGCCTCGTTAGCATTGGGTTGGCTACTGGAATCTTTACTCCACCGTACCAACGCGACGCGTCCAAATGTCGCGTAAAGTGCCGCCAGTTTGCACCTTCCATTCGTTGGTCGATTCCTTTGCACGACGAGACGCATTTCGTCAACTTCGTTCGCTGTGTTCCCTCCAAAGTTGAGGCAGAATCACCGATCTCGGAGCTCTCACTGATGGGATCTCATGGCATCGTCGCAAAAGAAGCAGCAGACTTTGTCCGCATTCTTCAAGAAACCTTCTTCGCAACCTTCCACGCTCTCTCAAGGCCGAGTCGCTGATAATCACGACGATGACGACGAAGATGATCTGGTGTTGCCTGTCGCAAAGAAACGCAGGATTAATCCTATTTCGGACACCCTCGACGGGAATGGAATAGAGACAGAAGAAAGCGCGGAGCAGACTAGGACCTTGAGACCAGTTGTGGCAAATGGACAGTCCACAACCACAACCCTAGTTGCGCCTTCAGGATCCGAGAGGACTTCCAAATACATCTTCTCCTCAACGCCTCTTCAAGAGAACCAAGAAGTCGACGAACCTAACAGCCCGGACAGGCGACGAAAGGACGAACTGCATCGCAAGTTCGTTAAGAAATTGGGCAGACCGGACAGCATCGCGGAGATTAAGAGGCGAAATCGAGCACTTGAGGATGACGCTGGAGAGAACGAGGACGATGAGGGAGAAGATAATACCGTCGAAGAGGCGCCAAAGCCAACAGGTCGCACAAAAGCAGGTACAAAGAAGGGCGGTAGCAAACTAACCCCCATGGAGAAACAAGTGATCGAGATCAAGAAGGCTCATATGGACACCCTTTTGGTGGTGGAAGTCGGTTACAAGTTTCGTTTCTTCGGTGAAGATGCTAGAATTGCGGCGCGAGAATTGGGCATCGTATGTATCCCAGGGAAGTACCGCTTCGACGAACACCCTTCCGAAGCTCATCTGGATCGATTTGCTTCTGCGAGCATTCCTGTCCACCGTCTGCACGTACATGTCAAGCGATTGGTGGCTGCAGGCCACAAGGTCGGGGTCGTCCGTCAACTCGAGACGGCAGCGCTCAAGGCTGTTGGCGATAACAGAAACGCGCCCTTTGTTCGCAAACTCACAAATCTGTACACCAAAGGCACCTATATCGATGACGTTGAGGCAATTGAGGACGATGGCAAAGGCAGTTCTATGCCGCACTCGCCGTCCACCGGTTTTCTGCTTTGCATGACCGAGGTGAATGTCAAAGGGTACGGCAACGATGAAAAGGTCCATGTCGGTCTTGTTGCGGTCCAACCTGCCACAGGGGATATCGTATATGATGACTTCGAGGACGGTTTCATGCGCAGTGAGATCGAAACACGTCTGCTCCATATTGCACCTTGCGAATTTCTCATTGTTGGTGATCTTTCCAGGGCGACAGAGAAACTTGTGCTTCATTTGTCAGGCAGCAAAACCAATGTCTTCGGGGACAAGATTCGGGTCGAACGGACGGCAAAACCCAAGACCATGGCAGCGCAAGCACACAGCCATATCTCTACGTTCTATACCGACCGGCTCAAGGAGTCCCGGGTGGATCAAGACAAAGCGACAAGCATATTTGACAAGATACTGGGCTTGCCGGAAAATGTAACTGTCTGTCTGTCTGCGATGATAAATCATCTGTCCGAGTACGGCCTGGAACATGTTTTCCAGCTTACGAAGTACTTCCAGCCATTTTCTGCTCGCTCGCATATGCTGCTGAATGGCAACACACTTACCAGTCTGGAGATCTACCAAAATCAAACAGATCTTTCCACCAAAGGAAGTCTCTACTGGATGATGGACAGAACACAGACCCGCTTTGGAGGGAGACTTCTTCGCAAATGGGTCGGACGCCCTCTGTTGGACAAGCAGAGCATCGAGGAACGCTTGACTGCAGTCGCGGAGCTTCTTGATCCTGTCAAATCGATGCATGTCGAAAAACTGCGACATGTGCTGTCCAAGATGAAAACCGACCTGGAAAAGAGCCTCATAAGAATCTATTATGGGAAGTGCACGCGGCCGGAGCTCTTGAATGTCCTACAGTCACTGCAGTTGCTGACAAACGAGTTTGCACATGTGACTGATGCAGCATCTACCAACTTCGAGTCGAGTCTGATATCGTCCGCCATAACGTCTCTGCCCTTAATTTTAGAGGAAGTGGTGGGCTACCTCGAGAGAATCAATCTGCAGGCTGCCCGGTCTGACGACAAATACGACTTCTTCCAAGAGAGCTTCGAGAACGATACGATCACTGAGCACAAGTTCGGTATTGCAGGCGTAGAGCATGATCTGGACGAATTTCGTTCCACTGCAGCAGAGAAGTTGGGCAAGCAGCGACCCGTCGACTATGCCACAGTTGCCGGTATTGATTATTTGATCGAAGTCGACAACAACTCAGCCACCATCAAAAAAGTGCCTGCGTCTTGGGCAAAGATCTCAGGGACAAAGAAGATGTCGAGATTCCATGCACCCGAAGTGGTCAAACTCCTGCGCGAACGCGACCAACACAAAGAATCTCTCGCTGCAGCGTGCGACAAGGCATACAAGGATCTTTTGGCCGACATCAGCACCAAATACCAGCTTTTCCGCGATACCGTGCAAAGCCTCGCGCGTTTAGATTGTCTTCTCTCGCTTGCCAATGTCGCCTCGCAACCTGGCTACGTGCGGCCGAATTTCACGGAGGGCACGAAGATCGATGTCGAAGGAGCCCGTCATCCCATGGTAGAACAGCTCCTCATAGACACATACGTTCCCAACAACGTCTCGGTGTCGCAAGACGCGACGAGAGCCCTCCTGGTGACGGGTCCCAACATGGGCGGCAAGTCGTCATACGTGCGCTCCGTGGCTCTCATCTCCATCATGGCACAAATCGGGTCTTTCGTCCCAGCAACGTCCGCGACCTTAGGCATCCTCGACGCCGTCTTCACCCGCATGGGCGCCTTCGACAACATGATGTCGGGCGAAAGCACGTTCATGGTCGAGCTCAGCGAGACCAGCGACATCCTCAAACTCGCGACGGACCGAAGCCTTGTGGTCCTCGACGAACTGGGCCGTGGAACGAGTACCCACGACGGCGTCGCAATTGCAGCCAGCGTGCTGGACTATCTTGTCCGCGAACGCAAGTGCTTGACTCTGTTTATCACGCATTATCAGATGCTCGCGCGCATGGCGGACGGCTTTCCCAACGGGGAATTGAAGAACGTCCACATGCGCTTCACTGAGCAGGACGACGAGAACGTCACCTTCCTCTACGAAGTCGCTGAGGGCGTCGCGCATCGAAGCTACGGCCTCAATGTCGCGAGGTTGGCCAATATTAGCGAGTCGGTCATCGATGTTGCAAGGCGGAAGAGCGCTGAGCTCGAAGCCGCTACGAAGGCGAGGCAGTTGGCTGCTCTGGCGAGAATGCTCGGCGCACCAGACAAGGGAGACATGACTGGCGGAGTTGTTAGGTCTGATGCGGAGCGGTTGGATGCTATTATTGAAGGGATTGAGATGCTGTAGGATGAACTACGACAAGAAATTGGCGTTGAATTGTTCCGAGTTCTCATTCATGGCTTGGTGATCCAGCATTGCTATTACTTCTATGGCAGCTTGCTGGGCACGGCTCAGTCCGTGGGTCATTTTCTGTTCAGGGTACCATGATCACGAGCAAGAACTGAGTAACTCTTATTTCGGTTTCATCTGTACTTTTTGCAATGCATGCTTTTCATTCGGTTATCATGCGTACTAGAGTAAAAACCATGACTGACGCCAATCGAACGTCAGTCCATGTCTGGAATAGCTGGGTAGCTAGAAAGTCGAGATGCCGCAGGGTATCATGACCGCAGTGTCGATGAGCAAGAGAAGAATAAGAAGCAAACCTCCAGCACCGAATCCAGCCATTCCTTTTCGTGACTTCATACCAGCAATGCAATCGATTGAGCCCCACTGTCGTGCCTGATCCATTTGCGCCCCTGCTCAGCCAAAATTCCATGTGATGTTAATTGCAAGCTTCAACTGACCGATTAGCCATGCCGGCCTCGGGAGCCCTGCCGCCTGCAGGTTGCCGTGCCTGGCACTCACTCCGGCCTCAAGCCGAAAGCTACCAGTCATTCAAGGCTCCACCGACCACAATGCTGTCCTGCGCATTGGGCAGTCCGACGACGGCGATTCCGGCGGGAATCCTGGCCTGTCGTGCATTGAAGCAGGCAAAAACAGCCAGCTTGGCGAGCGCCGGACAACTCTTGAAGATGCCGTTCATGACCACATCGTCGACCTGGGTGACGAAGGACAAGTCGATATCCTTCAACTCCGGGTACTGCTTGACGCCATCGAAGACGTTGATCAGGGCGTCGTGAGAAATATGTCGGCACGATTTGAGGTTCAGCCGTTCCAGACGCTCCCCGGAGTGTTTCATCAGAGCTTCCAGAGCAGCCGAGCCCAAGCCGATGGGATTGTCCTGTGGACCTTCGGGGTTCATGTTGTCCATGTCGCGGTTGTCCGACAAGTCCGCATATACCAGCGGCGGGTTGCCGGAGTTGTTGTCGAAGATGCAGGCAAACGCGGCGTCGGAGCAAGGACTAGTTCCTCGAATGCGCAGTTTGGTCAACTTGTTGCAGTGGTTCTTGATCGCTTCCAGCACGGAATCGTCGAGTTCGGGGTAATCCTCGAGACAGAGGGTGCGAAGGTTCCGGCCCAGCGCAGTGATCAGCTTGACAAGAGTGGCTGCCGAGGTTTCCTGCTGGGCGACAGCAAGAGTCAAGTGCTCGAGTTTGGTCAGGGCGCAGAGCGCATCGACTGACGCTTCGCCCATGTGCGAGCAAGACCGCAGCTTCAGTCGCTTGAGGTTCTGGCAGTTCTTGACGAGTTCTTCGACCATGTCGTCGCCCAAGGCGTCATTCAATTCCGACAATTTCAGGCTTTCGAGCTGAGGACCCAGCTTCTGGAACATCTGGAGCCAGGCTTCATCAGTGACGAGGTTCGCGGCGCCGAGTTGCAAGTGACGGATCTTCTTGCACTTGTCGACCATGTAAAGCATGGGGCCGTCCTTCATTTGACCGGCGAACCGAAGATTGACGAACTTCACATCCGGCATGTATGCGAAGATCTTCTGGAAGTCCTCCTGCTCGAGCTTGCCGCAATCGTAGATGTCGATGCGGTCGATATCCGGGCGCAGGAAAAGCTCAAGAACACGCGGTGTGAGGACTCGTTGCTTGGAGAGGATCTGGCTCAATCGGTCCAGCACACTCTGAGGCATGTCGCCGAACTCGTCGATGTCGTGAACGACATTGGCAACTCGTCGGACACAGATGTCGACCAGACTCTTGGCGCCAGGCTTGACATCGCCCATCAGTCGGTCGCTTTCCGTCTGTCGACGTCGTCCTCGTGGTGCACTGGCTCTCTTCTTGTTGGCTTGGGCATCTTTCTTCTCCTCGTCTTTGAGTTCCTTTGAGCACTTGGCACACAAAAGACCGCCGTCGGGGCCAGTCTTGCTGTATGGAGTCACGGTGAATCGCTTCTCGCAGATATCACAGTTGTCCAGTTGACCCGGCAGCGGCTTGGACTTTGCGAGCATGCTCCGGGCGAGCTCGTCGTCGTCCATTTCGGTATCACTGCCATGCTCCTTCTTCTGCTCGAACTTGCGCTTCTTGAACTCCTTGCTCTGCTTGATCTTCATCAAAGTCTTCTCTTCCTTGCGCTTGCGCTTCTGTCGCTCAACCGGGTCTTCCTCGTCCTCACCGGCAGCATCTGCATTGTCGTCCTCTGCATTGCCGGCGTTCTGCTCTTGTTGTCGCTGTTCGTGTTCCTGAATACGACGTTGGTGGTCGAGGTGGATCTGCGCAGCAGAGATATTGTGCGATGCCAGAAAGTCGGTAAGCGCTGACTGCGGTCCACGGATCCGATTCAACGCCGCAGCACGTCGGGTCGCCCTGTGGTAGGAGGTTAGCGCAAGGCTCACCTTCTCAGGAGGTCGTTGACTCACATTGTCCGACGGTGGCGTTCATCAACCAGAGATCGGTGGCGCGATAACCAAGTCCAGGGCCGTGAAGTGGTGTGCGGGAGAGAAGAAAGAGGAGGAGAGTTATTGAAAGATGCGACGTGTCAGTCACCGATCTATAGCAGTGACTGTCACTGAAGGCAGTGAAAGCCGACTGCTTCGATGTCTGATCTCTTCAGCGACTGTCAAAAATCAGGCATCACCGGCCGGAGGACTGGAGCAAACATGCCAAGAAACCTCTTTACGCGCCTTTTATCGACGCGACCGTTAACCCTAAATGTAAGACCCGCTTAAACCCCTTTTATCGATAACGGTCCGGTAGATGCATCGGCCCCGCTTTTCGTCAGCCTTGTCCACAGCCCAATCGGTAACTGTGTAGTTTCGTATTCATACTGTCCAGATGATGACTCGGAGAACATTCATTTACTAGTAGGTAGGCATACATTAAGTCAGGTATACAGCAGCTGCATGCATGGCATCGACATCCTTCTTGTGACCTGACATACCCTGCTTCGCTAATGCAGTGGAGGCTACGCTGGCGCAGCCTGAGATAGTCTCCGTATCGAGCACTTGCTCTTCTCCTGGGTAGGACTGGAGCGAAGATGTGTTCAAGTCTTTCTGTAAGGTAACATATTTTCTTAAACCTCTCGCTGGTGTTGATAAGCCTGCGAGGGACTTGAGACATTGGACCTAGTCGCTTCGAATCAGCTGTTTCCACGGAGGAGGCGTTCTATAGGTATCCTTCATCCTTCGAGTATCCTATGGGATCCAAGGCTTGCTCGTTGAGCAAAGAACACAAAACGATGTTGCATATCTGCATCCCTGCTCAGATCCCTGATCGGCCAAGATATCAATAATGTCACCCACGCTCACTTGAACAGGTTCAGCAGCTGCGGGCCGTCGTATATGCGATATTCGAGGACCTGCTAGGTGGGCAGTCTGCAGGAGCTTTCCTAAATGCACAAACCGTGAAAGCTCAGCAGCACCTGCTGTACAGGGACGCTGCTAGGAGGAGGCGGTCGGAACAAGAAAGGATGGCGTGGACGAAACGAAGTTAGCATCGCTGCCATGTTCCAGCCCCTACACCACGTGGTCTTTAACATACCCCATGCTTGATGACGTTATAGATCAGCTAGAGAGACAGGCATATAGATACTCACAGCTTTGCCCACTCTGAAATATTCAGTGGTCATGGTGGCTACCGGAGCTTGGAGCTATGCTCGGAGGAGATAACGTGTAGTATCTCCTCAGGACGACATGGTGCACAAACTGAGAAGTCCACAGACGATCTCAATCGCCGTAAGCGGTTGAGCATCCACAGTGTAAGGCTATGATCAATGGATAGGCACCAAAGATACCTAATATGGTTTCATTCACTCTTTGTTTGGGACAGCAATTGCTGCCTTCAGCCTCATTGTCACTGTCTCCCGATTGAGGAAGGCGACGTTATCAGTGCCGCCAAGAAACCACTTTACGCGCATTCACGTGAGTGACGCGATTTGTCGCAGGCAGAAATGCGCTAGTAACGCGGGTCCCTTGACACTAAAAGTCGATCTTCTTTTCCTGCGATTGGCCTCGATCTCACGAACATTTTGTGACTCTTCCGATCTTCCTTCATCAACACCTTTCCACGTCGCTACAGACAGGATGGGTGCTCGTCGTCGTCCGGCAAGATCTGTCAGCGCAATACAGACACCTGGTGAGTTATCGCGACCCTGTATCTCGTCGTGGTCGACCACTAACCGCCGCTTCGCAGCCTTCAAAGTCGCCACCCCCCGAGAACCATCCCTGCCTGTACCTACGAAAACATCCAAACGAACCACGCGGACCTCACAACTCGCCGAAATACCTGATTCGGACGACGTTGAAGACTTCCCCTTATCAGAGTCGGTCTCAAAATCCACGTTTCAAGGAGTGTTCGTCAATAACAATGTCACTACTTCTGCGAAACCGGGTTCAAGCCGCCCAGATTCCACAGCGCCTTCTTCCATTGCCGATACCATGGATTCGTCAAGCTATGAGACAGCCGGCACGAGCACAGTTCCAACTCCAAATTTGATTGACCAGAGTTCCAAGTCTAGAGTTGGGGCTACTGCACGAGCACTCCAATTGCAGACGTCTCAGTTTGCTCTGCGCGGTGGTCAAGGGGCCTCGAAGAAACGAACAATCCTGGACCTTGAAATGGATGACGATGACCCTGAAGACATGGATTTCCAGCTTGCTTCCAGACTTCAAGCGGAAGAGTACAACGTGGTCGCAGACTCTGAGGATTCTGACGCTCTACCGCTACCAAAGCGTCCTCGCACTCAGCGAAAACCAGACCGCGCTATTGCCGGTTACGAGGAAGTGCTTGATTCGGAGGATGACAGCGATGATGATATCCCATTAGCCAAGAGTCAGCGAACTCGTGCGGTTCAAAAGTCGTCCAACCATATCAACCCTACAGACGTTTCTGATGATTCCGATGAAGATTCCGAGCTTTCATCGATTGTGTCGGTGACCGATACTGATGCCTCAGATTTTATAGCCAATTTGGGCCTTGGAACTGGTTCGCTGGCCGGTTACAAAGCTCTTGCGGCAGCTCAATCATCTGATGACGAGCCGCTGGTACCCCGAGCTGGAAGACGTCGCGGCCGAATACATGAATTCGGTGAGATGTTCATCCTCGACCCTGTTGAACGACGTCGCTACCGTGAACGCAAACGCCTTGAAAGAGCACATCCGGATATCAAGACAATGTGGGACAAATTGGCTTCTGTTGCCCCCATCAAACCTGTTCCTGCTCAACAGCCAAGCGGAATCTCTCGTCAGCTCAAGGGCTTTCAACTTGAGGGCTTAGACTGGATGATGAAGCAAGAGAAGTCTCAATGGAAAGGTGGCCTGTTGGGCGATGAAATGGGTATGGGTAAGACTATTCAAGCCGTGAGCTTGATCATGTCCGACTGGCCAGCGAAGAGTCCCACACTCGTCGTGGTTCCCCCCGTTGCACTGATGCAGTGGCAAGCCGAGATCAAGGACTACACCAGTGGGAAACTGAATGTTCTTATCTACCACATCTCTGCAAACCCCAAATGCAAGCAGCTGAGTCTGAAGGATTTGAAGAAATACGACGTCATCATGGTCTCCTACTCTGGGCTCGAATCAATGTTCCGCAAAGAGAACAAAGGATGGAATCGGAACGATGGTATTGTCAAGGAGGAGAGCCTGCTGCACGCCATCAAGTACCACCGGATCATTCTCGATGAAGCCCACAGCATCAAGCAGCGAACAACAAGTGTGTCGAAAGCATGTTTCGCCTTGAAGGCTGACTACAAATGGTGCTTGTCGGGCACACCAGTGCAGAATCGGATCGGAGAGTTCTTCTCTTTGTTACGCTTCCTCGAAGTCAAGCCGTTTGCTTGCTATTTCTGCAAGGAGTGCAAGTGCCGTCAACTGCATTGGAGTCAAGACGCATCGAAGATGTGTACCAGCTGCAAGCACAGTGGTTTCAATCACGTTTCCGTCTTCAACCAAGAGATTCTGAATCCCATTACTCAGGGCGAAAAGGTCGAATTGAGACAGAAAGGCCTCGACAAGCTACGCTTGATCACCGATCGTATCATGCTCCGTCGCATGAAACGAGACCATACTTCGTCCATGGAGCTGCCACCCAAAGATGTTGTCATCCACAACGAATTCTTCGGCGAAATCGAGCGTGACTTCAGTCAGAGCATCATGTCCAACTCCAACCGCAAGTTCGATACATACGTTGCTCAAGGTGTCATGTTGAACAACTACGCCAATATCTTCGGCTTGATCATGCAGATGAGACAAGTCGCCGATCATCCAGACCTGATCCTGCGCAAGAACGCTGAAGGCGGTCAGAACATCTTGGTCTGCTGCATCTGCGATGAGCCGGCCGAAGATGCCATTCGCTCGCGGTGCCGTCACGAGTTCTGTCGTCAATGTGCCAAGTCGTACATTCAGTCTTTTGCCGGTGGTGGCGGAGGCGGAGACGCAGATTGTCCAAGATGTCACATCCCTCTGGTCATTGATTGGGATCAGCCAGAGATCGAGCAAGACGAGGAGAATGTCAAGAAGTCGTCGATCATCAACCGCATCAAGATGGAGGATTGGACCTCTTCAACCAAGATCGAAATGCTCGTCTACGACCTCTACAAGCTCCGAAGCAAGAAACAGACCCACAAGAGCATTGTCTTCTCGCAGTTCACATCCATGTTGCAGCTCGTGCAATGGCGACTCCAGAAGTCTGGTTTCAGCACCGTCTTGCTTGATGGCAGCATGAGTCCGGCCCAACGACAGAAATCGATCGACCATTTCATGACCAATGTCGACTGCGAAGTTTTTTTGGTCTCGCTCAAAGCCGGCGGTGTTGCACTCAACCTAACTGAAGCCAGCAGAGTGTACATCATTGATCCGTAAGTTCTTCTCCTTGCACCCCCCTCAATGACCCGTCAACAGTTTCTATGTTGTCCGTTTGCCGTTGTCGCTCTGCGTTTGCCATTGTCGACGGACCATCTGATATACGTGCACATGACTGATTATTGTTTTTCTCTGTCTACAGATGGTGGAATCCCGCTGCTGAGTGGCAATCCGCCGATCGATGCCATCGAATCGGTCAACGTCGTCCCTGCGTCATCACACGTCTTGTCATCGAAGACTCGGTCGAGTCTAGAATCGTGCTGCTACAGGAGAAGAAGGCGAACATGATCAACGGCACGGTCAACAACGACCAGGTCGCCCTGGACAAGCTGACCCCAGAGGACATGCAGTTCTTGTTCCGTGGTTCTTAGAAAACGTCTTTCCAATCAGCCGGGCTACGATGGCCAAACCGACCTCCAACACTGCTGGCAGTGGGAAACCGCGGAATGGTCCTGGGCTGCTGATTACTCCTTGCTACTTGCTTTTTCTTCTCGTACCACGTGATTCTGCAACGCGTGTTTTCAACTGCATTCAGCATGGGCGTCAAGGTGGATTTGGGCTGGAGGGGCCAAGAGGCTGAATGGCCGAAGGGCTGGAACGGATAGCTTCATTGCTTTATATCAAACTGCAGCGAGCGAGACAGACAGACAAATGAGCTACATGAATTAGCAATGACCCAGCATGAACATAAACAAAGTAACCTGATCCTTCCCTGTTAAGACTAACATGCTCTTGATCATTCAAATACTATGGCGGCCCTCATGACGCCTCCCATCAGACTTTGGTCCTTGAATATAAGGCTCTCGTGGTTGATTTTTCACTTTGATATTCCGCTCTATGAAAAGGAGGCGCTCGCTGTATATTCTACTGTTCTCGTATGATTGGAATCCTGGCTCTCTCTGTTCACAGCGAAGCATGTGTATATTCTGTTTATATTTGATTCTGGCGTCCATCCGCCTCCCACTGCACCCTGCTCGTGAATGTCATGGAGAGACTCCCGTGAAGTATATACTAGTCTTTCCCTCTTTGACGCTGGAGGACCCGTTCAATACATTTCGCATAAGATATCACATCAAGGTCTGTTATGTTGTTGGATGCCTGGTATAGACCTGGCACGTCAGATTACAGCCCAGATATCAGGCTGGAGTACTCCCTTCTACGTCGATGTGGGACCAAAATATATCTATCTAGGTAGCCGCCAGTCTTAGCAATTCATATGGTTTTGATATGGACATCTCACACCTGATACCCTCGTTTCTTCGTCTATCTATCATTCTTACAAGAGCACGATTTCGTGCATGCAGACAAGAATGTACTCTTGTATTAGTATCATATCTTAGGTGGGAAACGGTCCATCTGAGATAGGTGTCTAGGAAGACGACACTGTTTTGGTATATCGATTACTGTGGGCAAGGAAAGGAAAGGCAAGGCAATAGAGTTGATTGATTGAGACACTGCATCTCCTCGTTGCATGCACAGCATGAGTCAAGTTTCTGTTTGTCTGTCGTCGGCCAGTTTGATGGACAGACCACACACTGGCATTAAAAGTCGTCCGGTCTTTCCTAGACCCAGACCTTTCAATTTCATTCATCATACTAGAGATATACCCGGCCGGACCTGTTCCACCACTCTCGATGAGCCCATGACTCTCTACCCATCCCCCGATGGCTCCCTGGCAGTAACCCCCATCATCCGTGGCCGCCCTTGTATCCGTATCCCTTGCCCTCGGACAGAGTAAAGGCAACCACTGTGCTGACCAGAGCAAACAAAACCAAACAAGACCAGATAAAGGAAACACAAACCAGAGTAAAAGTAACGATAGCATGCAATCTATAACGACCTGGATGAGGTCCGTGTCAACGACCGGAAAGCGTGAGCAAAGCTGATTGGCAAGGACAAGCAAAATGAAAAGAAGAAAAAAAAAACATAAGTATTGTGCCCCATCCAGCGAAAAACATCATTGGCAACTGCAAAGTAAAAGCCCCTGCGGAGGCCAACCACAGGCGTCTGCTGCGAATCGTGAGGGAGCCTCTGTGAACTGGAACTCGGGAGCGAGACTGTGACCCGGGACCAGAACCAAACAACACTCTAGAAAAGAGGTGTGGAAAAGTAGCAAGGTTGCAGTGTCATCAAAATCATTTGACTGGGTTGGATGGGTCGAGCTGAAGCGGACAGACAATCGGCCGTGAATCTCGTAGGGAAGTTGACCTTCCTCCAAATTTCTACCAAGATACTTCATTCCTGCAAAGGCTTCCAGGTCTAAAACGTTGTCCACTATAGAGGTGAATCAGTTCGTAACGGTCGGTAATGCGTGGCTGCCTCGCACAGCTACGATGTAGGTGGTGCAGATGGTTCTCCTGCCGGCCTTGACGTAGAACCCATGTACATGCCATCAGTAGACTGTGGTGACGATGCGACGTGGCCAGCCTGTTGTTGTGCGACCATCTCCCTGGCGTAGAATTCCACAAGCCTTGTGCCATAGGCTTCAAGTTCTTCTACCGGAACGGCAAGTCTAAAGTCGTTCAAGAGTAAGAATTGGAGCTCGAGGTTGTTCAGCTCTCCCAACGGGAGTCCTCCAACCTGCGAATTAGGGTCAGCATGATGCTTCTAGGCTCCAGGGTGGGCTCAAGCCGGCGATGATGAACATACCTTGGCATATCTAGAGTTTGTGTAGAAGACGTCCGAAAAGAACTTGCTGGCGCAGGTAACACCAGCTATGATGAGTCGGTGGATATTGTAGCTGTCAACAACGAAGAACTGGGACAAGTCGCCAGGGGTCCTAGAGGGCGGCATGGAAGCGGAAATTTGTGGAGACTGTTGACCAAACGTAGTGGGTGGTACGCTAATATCATGGTGTTCCTGCGGACTGTCTACACTCATAGACATGGGAGACCGTGGTGTAGGAGTCGAGGATTCAGGAGCAGTCGCAGGCGAATCATTTGGTTGCCGTTGACCGTGGCCAAGTAGCTCCCGATTGACCATCTCAGTCATGCGATCGAAATATACCAGCAGGCTCAAGAACACCTCGTACGTCGTCGGACAGTACCTGTGGATTCGGCTAAGATAACTCAGGATAGTTATGCCTGGTACGTTTCTGCCGTGGAACGCCAACACGCAAGACGCGTGAGGGTTGAGGTGGCTCTGTTCTTCTGTGAGTGGCATCGGTCGATGATATTCATGTTGTCTGTCATTCGTAGTAGTAATTTTAGTGAGCAGCCCGGCGACCATTTCAATGATGTCTGTAACCGGCATAGAACTGATCTCGTATTGTCTCCCAGGATCCGAGAAGAAACTGGACGAACGATTTCCCATTCGAGGTCGAGCCAGATATTCTTCGCTGGCAAAACTCCGTATGTGCGACAAGTCTCGTATTTTTATGCGGCTCGGAGAAGTGGCCTCTGAAGCACCCAACGATCTTGTTGATCGGTAGGTCGGTTGTAGCCGAGGAGAAGGTGGTGAGGCTGCCACCACTACTCGGGGGTCTCCGGTCAAGGGGAAACCGGATTGATCAAATCCTCGACTATGTTGGTTGATGTCGCTGTGATTTGGAGATGGATGCTGAGGAGATGAGCGTGTTTCAGCATCGGGAGATTCATATTGTGTAGGATGAGATGTCGGAGTGGTGGAACTTTCTGCTCGTTCCCGAACGATGGCCGTAGCTGCGTCCGCATTGGGCCCAGGGGTACCCTCGTGTCGTCTTGTCGTTGATGTAGATCTGCCCCTTCCTCTTGATGTCTGCGACACATTGCGGGAGGTGCCCTCGGCATGGGGATTGCTATCGACCATCATGTGATGGTATGGGTGTTGTCCAAGTCCCGGCGCCACTTGGCTTATCACCACTGAGCCCATCTCAACCGGTCGCGTAAAGTGCCTGTGATAAGAAGTGTCAGCGTTTCGTTTATGCGATGATGGCAAAAGCAGCTCTTGTTGCCATGTGACGTCTTCATTCCCGCGGTCCACAGCCCTCCCAACGACGAAACCAGTCTCAGCATGGCGGGTTGTCCGATAGCGGTTCTCCCAGTCATGACGCGGAGAGCAATGGTGGTATACGATGGATGGAGACGACAAGCTCCTGAGAGGGCTTCACATGAACGGCGACCGTTCCTGCGTTGGACAACCCCGAACATGAAGGTGGCAGGTGGTGGACCAGGATAGCTAGCATGTGCTGATGAGCGATGGAGGAATGAAATGCTGGCACTTACTAGAGACATGCCGTCGTCCGCCTGAGATGATGAAGGTCGCCTAGCGCGTCTGATCTAAAACAGTGAATGTCCTGATGATAGCGATGGAGGAGGCAGAAGCGTGAAGCAGAGAACAAGTCCAAGGAGTACCGAGTTGCAAAGAGGAGGAACAATGGGGAGTGGGTTGAGTTGAGCGCAGGGACGCAATCAAAGAGGCACAGACGGCGAGGCGAAGGACGAGAATTGGCCGGCGGGATGTCTGGATAACTGGATAACTGGGTATGTTGGGGGGGTTGATGAGGCAGCTGGTAGCTTGGGGCTTATAGGGAGGCAGCCTCATCGGCCAGTGCAGAGGGTGGCTACCTAAGGATGCCATCAGGCACTCGAGCTGCCAATAATCTGCTTCCAGGGATCGTTCCCTGCGGCGCAGGCTGGCGTCATTTTGCATACTGACAGGAACCCTTAAGTTACCTAACTGTGCTAACTGCCATAGAACGCCTGTCAGTGCAGAACTACAGCGACCAGCATCCACACACTACTCTGTATCCAGGTTACAATCTGACGGGTCCAGTGGCTACTCTCCAGCAAGGCTTTGTCGCATCTGCTATTGAATATCATCCTCTACATGATGCGCAAAGTGCCTGTTGTGTCCCTTGTTTTTAGCATCAAAGCCTTGGTCGCAGAAAACTGTCCAAAGCCCCGGTTCGGAGCCGCTCAGTTTCCGATATCCTCGACAACCTCCTGCTCGCTGGAATGCATGATTCATTTGATCCTTGACGCCGCCAATTGTGGTTACATTCTAGTTCACTTGTACCCGGGTCCTTTGTAATCCTGGTCTGGCAGATACAAATGCCGTTGTGCACCCTTGGCCGTCAATACCACCATTCGAATGACGCCGCCAGAACTGCCATCCCATTTGATTGCCTCTCGAAGAGCACTCTTGACAAAATTGACTCCTTCCTCTTCCGTCATGTCTTCTTTCCAGTGTGCATCACAGAAGCCGTAGATGTAAGTCGAGCCTGAGCCTGCGATTGCATAAGGCCCTTTGTGTAATGATCCGCCCAAGGGTATGGAGTAGACTTGACCACCGTTTCTCTTGTCGTAGCCTGCAATAATGATACCAGCACTACAGATCGTCAGTCGGAATTCTGATACACTTCTGGACGGTGCAGTCATTTACCTCAATTGGTCCTTGTTGTCATAGCATAATTCTTGGAAGAGAGCCGCGGCAGTTTGAGTTGTAGGGGGTTCGTTGTTCATGATGCCGTACATTCCAAGATGATATTGTACGATATCTGCCACAGCTTGTGTGTCGGCAGCTGACCCTGAGCGGCAGCACCAGATTGTGTCGTGGACTTGGGTAAGCTTGTCTGTGACTCGGTTTGCAATGTATGCTCCGGTGGTCGTCCGAGAATCCGCTCCCAGAATGACGCCGTCTTTGAAATTGATTGCCATGATTGAAGTCCCCAGGTTGACTTCACCAGACTTCAGGTGATTCATGTCAATGTGTATTCCATCCTCACCGAGCATGCCTGTGCCGGAGCCAAGCATGATTGCAGGAGTTCAAATATATGGGTTCGTTGTAATGGTCGGTGAAGGTTTCGAGGCAACGGGTAGAAGGATCTAGCAGAGGCAAGTTGCGGCAGCTGTAGTCGAGACTGGTGACGATGAGGTAAAATAGAGACAAGAGTTGATGGTTGACGGGCGCAGGAAAGGCACACCAACGTAAACGCGTTCTTTGGACAGACCAGGCGTCTAACAGGCGGCAAATTGATGTACTGTGTACAAGCTTCGCCTAGTACGCCGGCGGCAAAGCGGCTGCGCCAAGGTAGCCTCGAAATCTGATTGAGCGTCTTCCCCGGCCGCGATCAAGATAGTACTGGCAGCAGGTGAACTTCCAACCTCCTGCATCACCTTAACCGGATCATCACAGTATACCTTCGAAAACGGAGTTTACCCTGCGGCATGGCAGCCCTGCTCATGTGTCCTGCTGTCCACTCCCACCTCATCGGTCATTCACTCCATTCATCCTCCTCCTCCTCCCCCTCCTCGGACTTTGTCATACATGCCTAACTGAACTATAACGTCTTATCCTTAAAACTTGGGCCGGTCTGATACCTGCATTCGCCTGCGACCTACGAATATAGCCTTACCACCGCACCATCGATCGTCACCCGCCGTCGACGGACGCCAGCATGAATTCAATCTTCTCATACTTGCGAATTCCGCTCTTTGCTTCGTCTGGACTCGCTGCGCTAGGAAGCAGTCTTCTATACTTCAAGCAGAACGACATCATCTATCCCGCAAATCTACCCGCAGGTGCGAGGACGAACGTACCTACTCCGGAACAATTTCACATCGAGGATGCCGAATCTATAAAGTTCCCGACCCCCGATGGCGAAACCCTTCACGCCTACCTCTTGCGGCCCCCCACCCCAGCCCTGAAAAAGGACATCACACTGGTCATGTTCCATGGCAATGCTGGCAACATCGGCCACAGATTACCCATCGGCAAGGTCTTGTCGGAAAGTTTGGGCTGCCATGTATTCATGGTAGAATATAGAGGGTATGGTCTATCCACCGGCACCCCAGACGAGAGCGGTCTGTCCACCGATGGACAAACAGCGCTGGATTATGTCCGCAACCATGAAGAGTTGAGAAAAACCAATATCGTGCTGTATGGACAGAGTTTAGGCGGTGCGGTCGCAGTGAAGCTTTTGGAAGCCAATGAGCAGGCAGGCGATATCGCCGGCGTAATTCTGGAGAACACATTTCTGTCTATGCGAAAGCTGATCCCCACGGTGATGCCGCCGGCCAAGTACCTTGCGGCGCTCTGCCATCAGCAGTGGAACTCCGAAGAGACCCTGGCAAAGGTCAAGGACAAAGATATTCCCATTCTCTTCCTCTCCGGCCTCCAGGACGAGATAGTACCTCCATCCATGATGAAGGCCCTGTACGATCAATGTCCGACGCAGAAGGTCTGGAAAGAGTTTCCGGCCGGGGACCACAACTCCACTGTCGCGGAGCCAGGGTATTTCGATGCCATCTGGGAGTTCCTTGTCCGAGACGTCCTAAGAGGCGCTCGTAAGAAGAGCCTGGTAAGAGACAATGTCAATGTCGATCGGGACGAGCTGTGGGCATGAAATCTGAAGAGAAGATCCCTTCATGAGATTCTTTCAGCTTCGTCAACCAGTTCTTCCAGATTGAAGCCCTGGTCTCCTTTGCTAAACTTCTCCAACAATCCTTGCCGCTTGTCACGACCGATGCCTCCGCCGTGGCCTTCGGCATCATAGAACCTTTGCAGGCACATCAACAGCCACCTGCCTTCTTCGACGCTGACTCCACGTCCGTCAACAACAGATCCATTCAGCAGGACAAGCCCATGTGAATCGGCCAGGTCGAGGTGGTGAGTGACGGTTGTATGGGGCTGGGCATACGACCCATGAAGTTTAAACGCAGCCAAATGCGTGAAGATGACTGTGCTTGTGTGCGTGTTGGCAGTATTGAGAGCAGGACTCCGCGGTGCGCCTGCTGGTGGATGGAACCCCCATTGCAGGAAATGGATGTCTGCGGCAGTCCGCTCGCCTCCCTCAAAACCATGGGGTGACTGCTTCACATCACCGCTTCCATCATCAGCAGTCGGGCGAGGAAGAGGGAGGACGAATTGGGGATGCGTTCTGGCTGTGCGGTAGATTCGATTATATGTCTCGAGCGGAATGACAGCGCAGAGCGAACGCGGGTCGTTCGCATGTCGAAGCCTCCATATATATTCCACCTCTTTGTTTGACAAGGCGGCCACTTTCTCTAGATCAAGGTATGAAGACAAGGGCTTGATTCCCATAGAATTGTGATCAGGACCTTTCGCGTGTATAGGCTGAGCGGTGGGCGGCGGAGGCGGAGGCTGCTGGAACGGAGAGTGCTTCGTTGCCTGCGACGAGGAAGACGGAGTCGAGCTCGTTGGCGCTGAGGCAGGAGTTGTAACTGAAGAAGGTAGTTTCGCTCCTGGTGGCAGGGTCGACGCCGCTCGCTTGTACTCTTGGATTTTATCCTTGTACGCCTCTTTCAACGAAGACACGGAGTCGAGGCCCTCTCTTTACCCAGAACGATCAGCTCCTCAGCTCACCACATCTTAACAGTAGTAAGGACTGCTTCGGCCCGTCCGTAACAACTGGCCTCGTGCAAGAGGTAGGGAACTTACTGTTTCGCCTTCTGCTCCAGCTTTTCTCGGTACCGGTCTAGAATGCGCTCTTGATCCCGGTGCGTCGTGACGAAGCGGACATCGTGGACACGTGCCCAGCGCCGCTGAGCGCGGGTTTGGGCCACGGATTGGCCGAGCGTGCGACGGATAGCGATGCTCGCGGCTGTTGACATGATGGCTTGTACTGCGTAACGACAAAATGACAGGACGAGTTGTGCTCAGAGTGAAGGCGAAAGTAACATGGATACCGTCGATTTGAAGACTGGGTTGACCTGCACTCCGATTCGTCCAGACCGGGCGGCATGGCTACGGCGAAGCATAGAATCGATTTACGCTGGCAGGACTGGCCGACAAGGTACAAAGATCCCAGGGTTGAAACATAACCGAAGTTCGTATCTACTAATTGGAGACTCTGAAGGTAGGCGGGAATTCTTTCAGCTTTCGCACTACATGGATTATGTACAGGACCTATTGGGTTGTTCCCACCGCCACAACCTATGCAACTGTCCACAATGCAGTTAAATCCGTACACAAATCCCAAGATCTGTCCCGTAAACGCCATCGCTAAATGCAAGGTCTCAGACTGACCCAATCTCAAAGACAGTGTTGCTGCGCCGTGGCCGATCTGTCCAAATGGCTTCAAAATCTGATTGGCAACACCCACCGGTCCGGCGTCTTCATCTCCCATTTTCGACTTCAATGGCTATGACCAGTAACTCACGGCTTGAGGTGGAAGCCGGATCCATATGCCCACTATATCCTTCCCACTTGGATCGAGGTCATGTTTGCACGGCAGCCTCTATCCCAGAAACTTAGCCAGGTCCATGGCTACACAAATATGTCTGACGCACATGTCCAGAGATTTGACCATATGAATACCCATCCAAGTTCGTCCCTGGGGATCCCACTGGAGGATGGTTGGACGTTGTTGCTTCTTAGAGATATGCCTCGCCATGCACGACCGTACAGATCATCCACCATGATTCGCTCAGCAGGTGAGCTTTTCTGACGGCCGCTATTCGCTCAGTTGTTTGATACTTTAGCCGGGTCGTGGCAACGCTTAGGTGAGAGCGCGAGAGACGGATAGAAGTTCATCGACGGTAGGAATCGGAAGCGTCGCGGTAGTGGCCAGCAGGGAGATGTTGGCTGGGAGGACGCTGTGATTGTTTGGCAACCTCGGCGGTGGGGGAGAAGAACAAGCTAGGGACACTCGAAAAAGATCTAGGGAGTTTGCTGAGGTCTGCCATGTCGTGACCGGATTGTGCTGCGGGATTCTTCTTGAGGTCGGGTAGCGGCGTGTAGGCTGCAGTACCGCCTGCATTACCAGCGTTGGCGTCTCGTTTGAAACTGCGGTTGATGGACCATGTCATCAAGATCCTCCATGCAAATATGAGCAGAGCGATAAATCCCAGCGCGGCCCCGACCACTATGAAGACGAAGTTCTCTGGAAGTCGCGAAGTCTGTAGGTAAGGAGCACCAGCCTTTGGAGGAACGGTGGGAGCAGGATAATTGAAGCCGCCGGGAAGGGTCGGGAGTTTGCTGTCGGTAGCCGCGACCATGGTGTAAATCCGCTAATGTAAGTACATATGCTAGGAAAAGAGTTGCAAGTGCAATCTGGTTGCAATGTGAATGGAAAGAATGACAGGAAAAAGAGTCCAAGTTGAATAGAGAATCCAAGGTTGGAGAGTTCGGAAGAGCGACTCAAGGGAGAGTTGTCTGTTGGTTTGCTTTGTTGAGTGGTCCTTGCGCCTCTCTGAGACCTTGTCCTACCATTAGTCTAGGGATCTGGGAAGAATAGTGGATGCTGAGGTGTGCAACCCCGGGGTGAGACCTTAATGTGAGCAATTGTGGCTGACGCCTGGAGCCACAGGCGAGGAGATTTTCTAGGCGTCTCCTCGTTAGGCCCGGCCCTAACTGTAGCCTGCATTTCTTACAGCCGGCTTCACTGAACATTTCTTTTCTGCAGCGATCCACGGCACACCGAGCATACCGGAGGATCACTTTGAATTGACACTCGTTCTGGCGGCGGCAATATGGGTGTCCAAAAGAAGACTCGCAAGTTTGCGCAAGTGAAAAGGATCATTGGCCAAAGAGATTCTCGCCTCAAGAAGAATCAAGAGACCGACAAGGACGCTCAGAAGAAGAATAAGAACGACGATGAAGTGATCAGAGAGGTGTAAGTCCGACGATCCAGGTAGTGGAATGTTACTGACAATTTGCAGACCTCAAGTCTCATCGGCTTTGTTCTTCCAGTACAACACTGCCTTGGTGCCTCCATATCAAGTCCTCGTCGACACCAACTTCCTATCCCATACCGTTCAGAAGAAGCTCGAGTTATTACCGACAATGATGGACTGCCTCTACGCAAAATGCATACCTATCATCACAGACTGTGTTATGGCTGAACTTGAAAAGCTGGGACCAAAGTACCGAATAGCCTTGCGCATCGCCAGAGACGAACGCTGGGAGCGACTAAAGTGCGGCCACAAAGGCACCTACGCCGATGATTGTATTGTGGACAGGGTCGCAAGACACAAGATTTATATTGTGGCCACCAACGACAGAGACCTCAAGCGCAGAGTCCGCAAGATACCCGGTGTTCCTATCATGAGTGTGGCAAGAGGAAAATACGTGATCGAAAGGCTGCCAGGTGAGTTACTGTTACCGAGTTCGATTGCAGCAATGCAGCGTTTTGTGATTTTTTTTCCCCAAAGCATCCTGTCCAAAGAGATTCTCTGATTCCTTCCGACATGGATATGGCGACACAAATTCCGTACATGGCCAGAATAGCCTCCTCGATTTCCGTGGATCTTTTGCTAACCAAGTATTCCATCAGATGCGCCGGAAAAATGATCATAATCCTGATTCGCCCATCAATCTTATTGCGATAACCGCACATTTCAAACCGCTTGTGAACGAACATCGAATACCCTGATCTTGTCGTGGGTCACGCTCTGACCCTCCACACGGTCCACAGCGAGTCAATCCCCCAAGCAACAAGTGCCAGTGACATGGCACCTAATATACACAACGCGGCAATAACCTTCCGTCGCAACTGGAAGGCGTCGTCCATTTCCCGCTTGGCTAATTTGCGCTGGTTGGAGTGATAATACCCATCCTTCCTGCCCGACTGGCCGAAGATGTTCCCATAGGTTTGGCGGTCTATGAAGAACAAGGATATCAGGAATGAGACAAAGAGCACCGGGGCTATGATCAGCCGAGTGATTAAAGGCTCAGGAATAGGGATCGATTCGGACGCTGCTGGTTTATTTGACGGCATGCTGAGATTCCGCGCGCCTAGTCAAAATGTCGGGCATCGGAGTCGCGATGCCTACCGCGAATTGACTAAACAGTTTGCAGCCGACCGGCCATGATCTGATTTCGAGTATGAGAGTATGAGAGTATGAGATATGAAGATGCCCGGGTGTAGGCATTGCTATTGAACAGTGCGAAGTGCGAAGCAGGCACCGGCCAAATGACTCGCTTAGTCACACAGAGGGTGATGTCACAGAGCGCGGCATTCAGTTGTGCTGCGAAAATGCAGCAACTGAACGAACAATGCAGTCATGGCGATCTCAGTGCCAATAAAATCCATGAAGCCATGGTCAACCGTGAAACTCCATGCAATGCATAGAAGGGTGAACGATTTCATGATCACACGATAACGTCTTCCCAAATACTCTGATCGATCGGACCAACTTTATGCGCCCATGATCAGCGTTTCCAGTACCGTACCAGCCTTGCCTGAACGCCCTGGTCGGAGGGACCAACATGCGCCTGGGATCATTGGGCTCTTAGCCATTCGGTTCGACTCTACAGCTTCAAGCAATTGGCGACAGCAACTACTGTACAATCTGATTCCCCAATGTCTGGAGGTGTTGCAATCACAATGGCGGGCAATAGCTTTTGGTAATCTTATTGTATGCACCAACCTAGGTCCAACCATTTTCCAAGGCCTCGCTCCTCTTCGCGTAGGCTACTCCACCGTTGCAATGATATATAAAGATAAAGTAGCGCGCTCCGTGCGGCAGCCAGATCAGCCTGTCCGGGAGTTGGCAATGTCCAATACCAAAATATCCGTCGCGTGTACGGCCGTGAGTTCGTCCATGACCGTGGCGATATTCTTCTTTTCCACCATCGAGCTGACCGCAACCCAATCCGGTTCTTCCAGTGCAGTGATTGTAGGAGCCCTCTTTCCAGGAGTGATCTTGGTGGCTGCGGCCAACCTGTCCCGAGGGACGTTGTATTGACACAAAACATATCTTTGTGCCGTAATGACTCCTCGTATCCTAGCGGCGATCAAGTCCACCAATTTCGGATTCGATACCGACCTCGACTTGATCAGCACGGCAGTGCTTTCCACCACCGTCTCGATGGCCTTGAGGCCGGCTGCTCTCATCGTCTCGCCCGACTCGACCAAATCGATGATTCCATCTGCAACACCCAGCGCACAGGCGGCCTCAACACTGCCACCAACGAACTTGATTTTTGTCTTCAGCTTCGGGATTGGGCTCGAGGTGCCGTTGATACTCTCTTTTCGGCCACCCAGACCTTCCAGTCGCGCGAAATAGTCCTCGGCGAGGCCCGTGAAACTGGTGACAATGTTCTTGCCGACCAGATCCTTGACGTCCTGGATACCGCCTTTCTCAGGAACCTGCACTTGCAGTTTGCACTTTCCAAAGCCTAGATCCATCACTTCCTCGACGCCTGTCTCCTCGCCCAGTGCGAGCTGCGAGTCATGTTCGGCCACTTGGTCCTGACCTGTGATTCCAAGGTCTACTCTGCCTTCACCAACGAATGTTGGAATGTCGGCCGCCGGTAGGAATATCAGCGCCAGCGGCAGGTTCTTTACGAGTGCGATGTCGAGTCTTGTCTCCCGTCGGAACTGAATATCGGATCCTGAGAGTAAGTCGAGCGTTGCGGCCTGGAGACGGCCTTTCTTGGGAACCGCAAAGAGTAGACGATCGGACAGGTGGTTGACGAGATCCATGGCGATTGAAGGAAATAGTAGACCTGAACAGCTAGACCTTTTCAAGGGTTCTTTTTCCCGTTATAACAGTTTCACAAGTCGAGGTTGCTCTAGGTAGACTTTCTTGTTGATGCTGGGCGACTGCAAAAGAGCGGATCACTTTTGGGGCGCTGTGGCACGCAGATCTGGACAAGGACAAGAAAAGATTTCTCTACGCACACAAACAGTCTATGTGCAGAAGCCGGTTTTCTACCAGCATGAATTACTCGAAAGATTATAGAATGAATGTCGAACTCACCGTCAGCACATCCTCCATTATAGCCATTATTGAAGGTTCCCCGATTTGAGTCAGAGCCTTGCTCAAAATTTCCTCGGAGGGGCCAGGTCGGGGCTTGGCACCACAAATCTTGGCATCCTCGCCCACATTCAATCACTGCACTGCAACTGCAGTTCACTGCCGCTGCGACTGACCCTGCGCAACTTGAAGCAAAACCTCAGTCGTCGACCGCGTCTTCTCCCTCGCCAATACCTGAATTCTTCCAACCTCCATCTACCCGTCGAAGAACCAATCTTCTGCCAATACCGTCAAGATGGATGCTGGCAAGACCCCCGTCAAGCTTGTCAAGGTCACCCGAGTCCTCGGCCGAACAGGTAATGCGCACACACCTGAAGAATCGCTTGTGGTTGAGGCATGCGACTAATCTGTGTCCTCGTGTTCAAGGTTCCCGAGGTGGTGTCACCCAAGTCAGAGTCGAATTCATGGACGACACGAGCCGAAGCATTATCCGAAACGTCAAGGGACCAGGTATGGTGCTCCGAAGTCGAGAACGACTTGAGAAGGAGAGGCGATGGTGAAGACATGACTGACAAACGTTTTGGGATCACAGTGAAAGTGGACGACATTCTGTGCCTGCTCGAGTCTGAGAGAGAAGCGAGAAGACTGCGATAAAGTGGTGGCGGCTTGGGGACGTTTTGTTGCAGAGTTTCGCTTGCGGCTGGGGATGCAGAATTGAGAACGGGAGAACAAAAGAGCAATGACACTACCGTGAGGGCGTCGACGAAGTATGACGAAGTCCGTTTCTCCGTGTCAAGGAGCGAGTCTCGTCTAGGCTCGTCCTATTTCTGCAGGAGGGCGTTGATCCGGGGTTATCAAAAACCACAATCGACTATTTTGTCTCAACAGTTCGGATATCCGCAAAATCAAGAGGACCTCCAGCCACTTTTTGAGTGATTTCACCGTTCTGGTGTGTTTCCTTGGGCGTCGATTGTTGCTATGGGGTCATACACAATTGTTCGTCTTGGACCAACAAAGCCCCATGTGCCTCGTCCGCTGGAGCAGGTATCCTGTTCGCTATCGTTCTCGATCTTGTCCTCGACTGGCGGCCTGGGGTGCCGGCCGCGAACGTCTCTATCCCAATTTGTTCTGTGTCGCTGGCGGCTTCGAGTACCCATACCGCTCTCATAGATCCCTTGCGTCCGTCAGCCCAGATCCGCCCCTCTGCCAATGCAACTGCTGTTGTATAAACTCCAATTTTTCAGACTGTTGTGCGTGCTGCGTGTCAGGCTCAACTCTGCGGCCATCACCATATCGTAGTTCAGCCTTGTCTGAAGGCACGAAATGGCGATTTCCGCCAATCGAAGTCCGTCTTGGCGTTGTTGCCGCTTGAAGGCGATGCGGAAGGCTTCACTCGACGACGTGGCAATGTTATGGATGACACTAGAATCTTGAGAATTGCCGTTGGAATATGACGAATACATTGCTGCCTCTTGCTAGACCGGTGCATTATCTTCTCTGAATCGGCATGGCAATCGAGTGAGATCTCTTTCTCATCCCCCTATCAACCAGCTTGAGTACGTACATTGAGGTATCCTCGGGCCCGATAACTGTCTTTGTAATCTACACCTGTTCCACTCATACGGTCAGCAGCCCTTCTTTGCCTCTCTACAAGCTCCAAAGAGTGAACAGCGTGGGTTATAGAGGTGTGTCACCTTGCTAGGCTTGTAACCCAATGTCCTAGCACACAATACCTTGGACTCCAGCCATGTCCTCACAACAACCCGCTCCCGACCCGGAGCGGGAATATAACCTGATATCAAACCTCGAGTTGCGCATCGCCTCAGCCTCGACCGATGCAAAACTGGAGACGATCTTGCAGAAGTTCCTGCCGGCTTTACTGTTGAAGCTGGGGTCTCCCACGCCCAAGAATCGCAACCTCGCCATCAAAGTGTGCCAGTACGTCAATCAGCGATTGAAGATCACTGCGGATATCAAACTGCCTGTTCGGGCGCTGGTTAAGACGTTCCGAGAAGGAGAAAACGCATTCGTCCGGAGGTTCTGTCTAGTCTTCATCGAGCAAGGTCTGCCGAGATTGGACGTCGGCGAAGCAATTGTCACACTGCCTGGTGTGCTCCAGTTCGCGGTGCCCAAGAATGAAAGCTACGAAGGCAGCGACCGCAAGATGTGGGCGATCGCCTTTGACTTCCTCCTCGAGGTGCTGAGCAAGTGGAGGAATCTTCCTGAACGTGGTAGCAAGGAAGATCTGGCACTCAAAGAGACATTTGCTCTCTCCCAAACACAAAGTGATCTTTTGGTCGCTCGGTTTTGCGATTTCCTGCTCTACGACCCCAAGGACCCCAGCACAGCCAACAGTCTAGGGCAAGACGAAGAAGACTTCAAACCTGTACTTGATAAGAACTTTAGACGCCGGTCCGAGGTTGTCCATCCTATCGCGCGGTTTCTGTTCACCTCGATATTCACCGACCAGCAGCGTTTCATCCCAGCGGTTATTATGGCGGTCGACCCCAACACCTCTGCAGCGAGCATGAGCGATATCATGTTCAAACAGTGCAATTTCGACCTCGAGGCCGATACCACCGTAGACGCCCTTTTTGCACTTTACCGACGCGCCGGAACGAAGCCGAAGCTGCAGACGCGGATCCTGTCCATCCTGTCACGCAGCCAGAGGTCTACCACGCGCACGCAAGAGGTCATGGATATGGTCGAGACGCAGCTGCTAAACGCGGCCCGGTCGGGCGGTTTAGAGGCGGCTAAACTCCGAGCAGCGCTCTTCTCATACCTGACCTGGACTGTCCGTGTGGGTCAGAGTCAGCATCTGGGACAGATCAGCACCCGGCTTCAGGATCTGTTGAAAGAATATATTGAGATGCAGGGCTGGCCGACAATGAACGAGGACAATCGGTCGGCCGCTGCGGAGGTGGAGTTACGCGCCAAAGCCTACGAGAGCATTGGACTGTTGGCCGCAATCAAGGACACGGCGAAGACCTCGGAGACGAACGTACGGCTTCTGGATCTCGTAACGTGGCTCTTCACCAGTTTACGCTGTGACACGACTCGAGACATCAAAGGCAGCGTCGAAGAGGCCATTGGGCGAGTGATGAACACGGTCACAGCCACCGATCTCGATGAAACATCCACCGCGCGATTGAGGGACCTTTTACTATGGAACGTGCTTGCCACGCCTGGCCAGGAAGATCCGATCTATTTCCTGACCACGGTAAACGTGACGAAGTATCCCGCAATCCGATTCGCCAACAAATGTCTCCCCTTCCACAACGTCGATGCACGATTCATCGATGTGTTGGCTCTAGGCTCGTCAGACCGCAGAGAGGTGGCAGAGGAAGGTGTCCGAGGTCTTGACCCTTACTGGCATACGTCCAATGTGCGCATGGCAGGTCCTTCGTCTGAGGAAGTGGGCAAATTGGCTTTACCTGAGCTTTCCGCTCTGGTGCATCGCTTTTTCAACTCAGACCCCGATCAACTGAAATACTACGACAACCTTGCGGTATTAGCGGCTGCAGTGACTTTTTGTCGCAACGTCTTCATCTGTGACGCCTTGAAGGACACCAAGCTGGTGCCAGAAGCATCGGCAGATTGGAAGCAGACAATTGATGCCCTGGTCAGCAATGATCTCGACGTCCGACAGAAGATCCGCACTCACTTGCGTGACCTTCCAGTGGATGTTGCATTACCTCTGATCAATGCAGCTTTGCTTGGAATGTCCAGAGGTTCCGGTGAATGTGCAGACCTGTCCGTCGAATTCATGTCGCTTGCACCAAACAGCCTGATTCCATGTGTTCAGAAGTCGGCTCTCGACGCAGCCTCGCAGATCGTGGCAAAGTCGACGCTACAAACCCGGGGTGCTCGCGTGTTTGGTATCGTTTCGTCATTTGCCGACGACGCCGAGGCTATTGCGTGCGCGGAGTTGAGTGACAGCAAAGACTGGAACTCGGCTGTGGGAGACCAACTACTCAAGGCACAGGGTCATATGTTACGTGCATGTTTCTGCCTTACGAGGAGATCGCTCAGGGGCCGTCTGGACTTTTCTCACAACATCCTGCAAGAGCTAACACCACTTATCTTCGATATCATCAAAACATCCACCGACAAGTCTCTCAAGGAGACCGCATATCGGTGTCTGCGGCAGCTCGCTCTATGCATGCCACCTGACAAGGGACCACATCCGGACCAGGACCTACTGAAAATTCTCATTTCTGATGGGAAGAAAGAAAATGAGCCAGCGGTATCTGCCGCTGGACCTTTGCTTCCAACCCTGCATGCGAAAGAAACCGACTCCGAATTTGAGTCATTCTTCAAGCGTCTCCTAGGGCTCTCTGAAGTCCGACGGGCAGAGTTCCACTTTGCACTGGGAGAAGCCCTGGCTGTAGCCTGTGCTGGACTCGGTTCATCATCGACAATGACTGATTTTGACGTCGACGCCGAGCTGCCGACCTGGGGTGACAACGACATACTGGCCGAAATAATCATTGAACGAGTCCTTGAGGAATGTAAGACGACGAAACCCTCGCAGAAGAAGGCGGCCGCCATCTGGCTCTTATGTATTGTCCAATACTGCGGCAACCTCTCAGCCATCAAAGCGAGGCTGCGGGATTGTCAAGCTGCTTTTGCCAGGCTCCTCAACGATCGCGATGAGATTGTGCAAGAAACTGGCTCGCGAGGGCTTAGTGTCGTGTATGAGCATGGAGATAAACAGCTTCGAGACGATCTGGTACGAGATCTGGTCCAAACATTTACGGGGACCACGGCGAGATTCTCTGGTTCTGTGGATGAGGATACTCAGCTGTTCGAACCGGGTGCCCTGCCCACCGAGAAGGGAGAATCGGTGACGACATACAAAGACATTGTCCGTCTTGCCACGGAAATGGGCGATCCCAGTCTGGTGTACAGGTTCATGAACCTGGCTTCGAACAATGCTATTTGGAGCAGCCGAGCCGCATTTGGTCGATTCGGGCTGGGTCAAGTCCTGGCTGACTCGACGTATCTGACGGAAAACAAGAGGTTTTATCCCAAGCTATTCCGGTACCGGTTTGACCCCAACCCGAATGTTCAACGGTCGATGGAGGAGATCTGGAAAGCTCTAGTGAAGGACCCCAACAAGGTGATCAACGAGAACTTCGATCTCATCATGGAAGATCTGCTCAAAAGTGTGGTCTCTGGGAAAGAATGGCGCGCTCGGGAAGCCAGCTGTGCTGCAATCTCCGACCTTGTGCAGGGCCGCGACGTCGAGATGTTCGAAAAGTACCTTGACGAGATCTGGACCGTGGCTTTCAAGGTCCTAGATGATGTCAAGGAAACTGTGCGCGTGGCCGCCATGAAGCTATGCAGAACACTCACAAGCATGCTGATTCGCAATCTGGAGGTGGGTGAGGGCAGTTCCAAACGATCCGCAACCATGCTCAACCATGCTATGCCATTTCTGCTGCAGCAGATGGAAAACGGAGCAGCGAAGGATGTCCAGCAGTACGCCGTGGTGACACTCTTGGAGGTGGTCAAAAAGTGTCCGCCGAAAGCTCTACGCCCCTTTGCTCCAAAGGTGTTGGAGACACTGGTGATTTCTCTCAGCTCACTTGAACACGAAAGTATCAACTATCTGCACCTGAACGCCGACAAATACGGCTTGACCGCTGAGAAGCTTGACAAGATGAGAGTTTCGAGTATCAACGCCTCGCCCGTTACCGAGGCAATTGAGCGTTGTTTAGACAGCATCACCATGCCGATCACCCCGGACAATGACACTACGGACGCTATGCAGGGGGTGGTGTCGACTCCCGGAACACCAAGTGTTGCACCGATGGAAGATGGCATGCAACGGCTTGTGAATGCATACCGGGCATCGATCGGACTTCCGTCCAAGGTTGGACTCAGCAGAGTGATGACCACGCTGGTGGTTCGCCATCCAACCGCATTCCGACCATACGCTGACAGGTTCATCCAAGTGACGAGAAAGCATCTCCTCGATCGCAATGCCACCATTAGCATTGCTTTCAGTACTTCTTTGGGGTACCTGATGAGGCTGGCCTCCGACAAAGAAGTCCACGCAACAAGCAAGTACGCTCAGAAATTGTATTTCGAATCGCAGGAACTGGCCCATCGCGCCGTTGCTGGTGAAATCATCCAAGCGATTTCCAAGGCGGCCAACGACGTGTTCATGAATTTTGCTTCAGCCTTTCTACCTTTTGCATTCATCGGACGTCGCGACACAGACAAAGAAGTGAGGGAGCGGTTTGATGTGCCATGGAAAGAGAATATTGGCGGCTCCCGTGCGATCAACCTTTACTTACCGGAGATAGTCGACTTGATATCTACCCATATCAAGTCACCGTTGTGGCCCATCAAACATGCTTGCTCTCTGGCAGTCGCCGAGTTGATGTCATCGATGGAAGTCCAGGAGACCTACAGTGACAGGGATAGTTCCCTTCTTTGGCCCCTGGTGCAAGAAGCCCTGGACGGTAAGACCTGGGATGGTAAGGAAGAAATCATCAAAGTGTATCCCAAATTCATCAAGCAAGCTCGGCCACTCTGGTCCGACGCAAAGACGACCCAACAGATGAAGAAGATTGCCCTGCGGGAGGCGAAGAGGACAAATGCCACATATCGACCTCCTGCGATTGAAGCACTCGCGGAGTTCGCGGTCGTCCGGGAAGATCTGGACCTCACCCAGGAGGTGGTACCTTATCTGGCGGACCTGATGGACGAGCTGACAGACGAGGATGCCATGGAGGTTGATGATGCTAACGGCAAGTCCGTTGAGAATCGGTGAGACAACCCCCACTTGGGCATCAGGTCACGACTAACCGGGCGTCAGTAGTAATAGCGCGGTGGAACGGACGGCGACGGCGGCTGTGTCATGCCTGTTCAAAGTTTTGGCAACCCATGCAAACGTCAATGTTCTGGATCAAGCTACCCGAATTGTACAAAAGGCGCATTCGCTTTATTCCAGCACAATCGACGCTGCACTATACGACAGTGCAAAGGTTTTCGTCCAGGCAGCGCGCAAAGAGAACGAAAAGGGGAGTGTTGGTGGTGAGAAGGAAGGCTGCGACAAGACCGAAAATAACTCAGCCCCGGATGACGCACAACTTGAGGGCCTTAGGTCAGCGGCTGTAGCAAAAGAGGTTTCGGGGAGACGCGCGGGAGGAGACGATGGAGGAACGGGCGGCGGCGGGTTTGCGCCATTTGAGCCACTTCTTATGGCGGTGCTCACCGCCGGGGCCGACTTTTCTCGCCAAGCGACGGAAACCGAGGGCAGGCGCAGATCACGTGTGGATCTTGCTCGGACGCTGGCTGAGGGTGGCGTCGTGGATCCCGCAGCGCTCAGGGCGATCTTGGACCGCTGGTTGCAGGTCGAACGGTCGAGGCCTCTGCGTGAGGACATCGAGAGAGCCCGACAGGCCCTCGTTTGATGCCCTCCCATGTACCCTGTATTGTCAACCTCCAGTAATATAGTAGTTCTTCTGTGACGGTCCCCTGCAAAACACTTCCCAACGACTGAATCCTTGTTCGTCTTCACCGAGTCTGCGGGCGGACCAATTTTCCGAGGATAAGGATGCAAGTCTCCTCGCTTGACCTGTGGTCTGCCAGATCCCTGGGGAATTCAGAAACCTTGCCATGTGGATGGTAAGGCTGCATGCATCCATGCACGGGCCTTGATTAGCGTCTCCTGTTGATTTTTCCTGGTAGCACACCGCCCCCCTGCTATTGTCCTGCTTCATGATCCTGCAGAAAGGATAGAATGCCGTCGTGGTATCGCAGAGGAGTCCTAGGATGTGTTCTACTTGGGAGACCCGGTGGGCTTGGGAAGGTTGGATATGGTTGGCGTGATGATGGTGGCAGCCTAACGGGTCCCAACCAGTGTACTCTTGTTACAACCATCTCGTCGCTGTGCAAGCGAGGTGGAGTTTGCTTCATCGGAGGGCGTTTGTGTCCCGATTCCCGACAAACTCAAGTCTGGAGCTTTTGTACTCGAAGGCTTCGTCTCGGATGGATACCTAGCGTAGAAAGCTTAACGGGTGACCAGGCCTGGTAGATACTATCGACAGGAGAATTCTCGGGCGACTGGAGAGGGTCCCGGACGGCACGAGAAGGGACGAGGATTGCCGTGGTTTGACAGAAGGCCGGCGCACAAGGAAAACTCGGTTCAAAAAGTGACAGACGAGCGCTGCCATTGCAACTGAACTCAAACTACGTGACAGGAGCGATAGAAGCAACCAGCGGAATCCAGGGCCCAAAAGCACAGTCAGTTCAGTAGCTAGTAGTAGTAGGGAGTGTTGTGACACACTGGCAGGCGTAAGCAAGAGAGTTGTGCAGGGCGAAGATGCAAGCAATGGGCGAAAGAGGAAGCTAGGCAATTGGACTGGCTAATCACAGACCACCGGTGCATCCCTCGGTAGAACAGATTTTCCGATCCGTGGCCGGGCTCTGAGACTGCGACTGCGACTGCGCTTTGGATCCGCTTCCTCCATCTACTCCCTCACTCCCTCACACCATCTCTCTACGTTCGAAGCCACTACCACCAGCTACCATCTCCTCCTCCTCCACTCCCTTGTCCTTTTTCTACCCTGCGTCCCGGCAGATTCGCCCCCCTGGCACCGGAGATCCCCTCCATGGGACTTTAGCCCTCAGTGCTATAGCCGAAGATGCTTCAATCTGTCAGACCGTCTTCGAAGTTCGGGTCACTCTATTACCTGCTGATGGGGTGCGACCCTCAATGCCGGATGGCCTCAAGCAATGATCTGTGTGGCACTCCAATCATGACGGCCGATCGGGCAACCTAGGGTTGTGCATGCCTTTTCGCATCTTCCGTACACAGACAGTACCTACTTACTACTGCGTACACACATATGACATAGCGATGCCCCCGGGCTAACCCAAATGCCAAATTTTTGATTGACTTCTACCATTTCAGATTTCTGTCTTGCGACTGTCCTCCACTCTTCCTGTCTCTTCTCGACACTTCTTTCAGATCTGGTTTCCCTCGTGCCGCCCCGAGGCAATCAGACTCGGCCTGGATGCGCGAATTGTTTGCGGCTATCTGGCACCGTGGAGCCGTCCTCCCTGCCTATACCATACGAGCGCTCCCCTCATCCATATCTACTGCGTGTTGCGTCCAAGCCTTGTCTGTGCCAGGAGCCCACATCGCTGGTTGTATCAATCGGAATTATTACGTTGGGTAGCTAGTGCCAGACCCGGCGTCTGACATGTGCACCTAATCCGGCGTCGGCCTCCTTTCCCCCTTTGTTATCTGGCAGAGCACTCCTCATGATCTCTACCAACACGACGGTGGTAATGCAGGACGAGAAGCGAGGGGAGTCCTCGAAGAAACAGCCGGTGCGGTTACCTATCATTGCGCCCAAGGACGACCAATCTTCCTCGACTAGCTCCAGCCGCAGCGGCCACCTGGGCCCTAGTGTTCCCCCGCGCGCCCGCCTACCTCCCCGGTCACGCACTGGATGCTGGACGTGTCGCACCCGGAAAGTCAAATGTGACGAAGGGAGGCCGGTTTGTGGTCAATGTAGTCGTCTTGGTCACACTTGCGACTACAGTCCTCGGTTGGCCTTTCGAGATGACACTCCGCGTGTTGTCGAGCGGATGCAGGATGTTACGGTGGTCACCAGCTCGGTGTGGGATTGTCAGTTAAAGGTCGGTCATTCATTTCGCGTCACAAATTGGCTAACCTCTTTTCTTTCGTCTTCTTTCCAGCCAATTCTCCTGCCGTGACAGAAGCCAACACCGGCTCAGCCGTTGTAGATGACCTACCACCATTTGCATCACTGACCACCGACGAAGAACGCGAAAAGAAAGCCGAGCGATCCAGCCCGGGAACTTACAATGTTGTTGTCAACCAAGATAGCTTCCAACACCTTCCGGAATATGGCGACGACCCGGAAGTCAAGACCGAGATTTTATCACCGTTGCGCCGAGGGTCCATTGCCGCATCACTGGCGAGTAGCACCGGACGCGAGACAGTTGTGGAAGGTACTCCTGTTGCTGGTGATCCCAATGTGGTGGTGTTGCCTCGGTTCGAGGATGTCGGCCGGCGCAGCACGTTCAGTCATTCCTCCAAGGATACAAAGTCGCCGTTTTCGCCAACTGGCAGACCTACCCCTGTCATCAAGTCTGAAGAAACAGTGGGACCCGTTTTCACTGAAGAGCCAGCATCCGTCATGATGGACGACCTACGGATCGGCCAGGATGCTCGATACCTGCGACAATTCCGACATGTGGTATGGAGACAGCTCGTACCATCCGAGCGGGATTCAAGAGACGGCATGATACCTTCAAGCGTGAATGTTTTGGAGACGGCAGCGAGGACCTTCCCACCAGTCAGTCATCTTGTCCTGAGCCGCACACCCACATTTTGAAACTAATCTTGGACTTTTTAGTTACACCATGCGATGATGGCGGTCGCAGCTTTGAGTCTGGCTGTTCAGGAAGGGAAAGAACGATTAGACGCGCTACAACATTACCAGCAAGCTCTGCCAGCGTTACAGAGCGCCCTCAAAAGCCCCAATGATTTGTGTTCGGATGGCGCGTTTTTGACTCATTTCTTGTTACTCGTTTATGAGGTTGGTTCAACATCACGACTTGGTGGTATGTCGTTGGCGATTGATTATGCTGACAGACTCAATTTTAGATTGCCGCGGCCGAAGACGGCCATTCGAATCTCTGGTCCCCTCATCTTTCGACCCTTTTACGAATTACCCTGTCACGGCGCGAAGTTTTTGGAGGAGAAAGATATCCGTTTGTTGTGTGGTGGATTTGCGACATTGACTTGGGTGCTCTCTTCAGTGGTAGCGGCCGGGGAGAGTTTGTGGGATACATGTTGAACCACGACATCATCCCGCCGCCTAGTTTCCACCTGTATCCTCTCGGTCTGGACGGATCCAGCGTGGTTTATGCGCATGAGCTGGAATCACTACCGACGATCCTGCAGCTGGATCACGAGGTGACGGTGTTGGCCATTCGATTGGGCCTTCTCGCGCGCGAGTTCCGACAGGGCGCCAACAATATCGACCACACCGATATGATGCGACGAGCGCAGACGACCCGGATACGGCAGACCCGAATATTCGAGGTGCAAGAAGCCCTGAGACAGTTGTGGGTGACGCCTGGAGTGTCGATGGTGAGCCACAACGCCTGCAACCTTCCTTCCAGATCGAAAGTGCTGTACGAACACGCGGCCGCGCTCTATCGGGCCTGCATTCTTTACTCTCATACATCCATGTGGCCGGGTCAGCGCCTGGAAACGTCGCCGGACTACGACACGGAAATTGCGGTCGCTTCGACCCAGATCCTCGAGATGACGCGGAAGGCTTTAGCCGAAGATCGGGCCGACTGTCGATATCTGGTGTTTCCGGTCTTTATAGCCGGATTCGCCAGTCTGGACGGCGGACAGAGAATGCTGGCGTTAGATTTGATCCGCAGTATGGAGAAGACGAGTATTGGACGAAACACGGCCACGACACGCAAGGCCCTGGCCGCGGTCTACGAGAAACAGAATGAACGATTCATGAATACGGGACAAAGTTTGGACGTGGATTGGATGGAAGTCATGGTGGAAAGGGATCTGAGGGTGGTCAACTTTGGAGTTTGATTTTTTTGGTTATGCGATACCCATCCCATTCCGCAGCGTTTTGCGTTGTGGGTTTTGCTGTGGGTGGTTTGGCGATTACTTTTTTGTTTTTGTCTGCTTTGGGTTTTGCAAACTTACATATATGCATTTTCCTTTCTGAGCAGATGATGCCATTTGATCTTTGTGAGTGGCCATGAAGTCATGACGGTTTGTGTCGATTTGATCTTTCTGGCGAGCATATCACCGAGGCGGATTTCGTGCCAATGAAGTCGGATGCTCTTTTTTGGTCTAGGTGGTATGGTGGTATGGCGGGTACCTGGTATGGAGAGTGGAACATGTTGATTGAAGCCGCCCATGAATCATGATGGGTAGAGCTCTCAACTTAGGGGGGCATTGAAACACAATGGATTGGATTGAATTGGATTCATTCGATCAGGCTGGGTTCTATAACTTCTATCCTGGCAGGAAAAGAGGAAGCTACACGGCTTGAGGAATACGCGTATAAAATTTCCACACAAAAGTCTCGTCAGAGGTGTCTATTTTTGCTTTCTAGTTCGCGTTGTCGTTGGGGGAGGTTGGAACATGCTTCCTGCTGAGGTGTTTTTCGGGCAGGTCTGATCATATCATACAGCAGTTGAAAATCTATGATGAAGAGCAAACTCGTGACACCAGAGGGAGAGGAATGCTGGCTGATGTAGCATCGAGACCTGAAACCGGTTCTAGTCCGAGTAGTAGTAGTCTCCGGAGGGATATCCAGAAAATTGAATAGACGGCATTCTGCCCGAGTACAGAGGATAGGATAGAGTACTATTTTTGTTCATGAAATTGATATATTGAAATATTGAAATACTAGACAGAACTGTCACTGTCAGTGCGTTCAGCGTGCAACTAGACTCATCTTGGATCACCTTTTGGGGTCCTTTCTCGGCTTCGGACTGAACAAGTGGCTCCTCGGATTCCTCGGGTTCCTAAGATCTCCATCCGAATCCGATTTTCCCATGTCCTGCTGCAGTGTGGGGGACGACTAAACAAAGGCCAGGTAAGACAGGAAGAGAAGAAGGTTGTGGACATCAACACTATAGAGTATAGTGTACTCTGTATAGAAAGAACTGAAGAGGGCCGATTTATAATTAATAATACCATAGTCTATCTAGTATTTCCGGTGTTCACTCTGCCACTGTCGTGTGTGTCGTATGGTATGCCTATCTCGTTATTCATGTCAGATTTGGGATTGAGTGTTTGTTGTTGGTGGGTTTCCTCCTTTTTTTTTCATTTCTCCTCTGGTCGTTTTCGACGAGGCTGAGTCCTGACAGATCAGTGATGCAACTTGCAAATTTTGACAAGAGCAACAAGCGAATCATTTCACATTGCGCGCAATATAACCGCGAGCGAGTAGGTCGCCCCGGATCGAGACCGGAAGTGGTTAACGTTTGCTAAGTACGTTGTACTGTGTCTCTGTACCGAGAGTTCCACAGTCCCGTGTGGTCTGTCCCGTGTGGTCTAGCCGGGCTCGCCGAGAAGAAGTGGTGCTCCCTGAGCAATGTGGATTGTGGATTGCTGACTATGTGGCCTTGGAGGTCTTACTCATCAGACAGGTGTCAAGGTTGAGTTCGGAAGTTGGGATATTCTGACACATGTCAGGCCCACAAGGCTTGGACAGTTATGGAAACTGGGAACGTCCTTTGGAGTCTGTAGTCTGGACTCTAGTCAGAACGCCGAAGTGCGATTCCCCCTGGCTGAGTTTAGTTTATGGGAGGCTGAGAAGCATACATCGAACACCAACAGAAAGAAATGTAAGATAGGTCAAAAGCATAAAAAAGAAAAAGAGAAGAAGGAAGAAAGAATTTCAACTCACCTCCCATCATTGGCGTGGCATCTTCCTAGCTATCTGTGATATCTTGACCCAGATTCAGCCTGCATGATGCTATCTCTGTATACGATCGCCCTATTGAGTGCTTGAACTGAGAAAGATTCGAGACCATGCCTATCATTCATTCTGTACAGAGTATCTACCAACTTTGAATGCAGAGCTACAGTTACCCTGCCATAAACCGAAGAGCATATCGTTCTTGTCCGCTGCAAGCCAGTCTCGCTTGAGGGTCAGTATTGGCATGCTAGCAGGACGAAGATGAAACGAATAAACAAAAGAAAACAGAAACAGAAAAAGAAACGTGCTTCGTACCTGTTCACGCATGTGGGATAGAAAAGAAGACAACCTACCTACCTTCGACTTTTACCTGCAGTGGCCCAGGGACGGAAAAGCACGCATATCATACTAGTAGATATCGCCATACTCAATACCTCAAGTGCATAGATTCGGGATCAGGGAATCACAAAACCAGATGGATCCAGTCTTCAGTATCCAATATCCAATATCCAGCCCGTGGACGCCACCACCGGCCAATTGCCGAACTTGAAGAGGCACATCCCGAACCGGATAATCATACGATTATGGGTCGGATCATGGCTCTGTACTATCTTACAGAGTACAAGGGCAGCTGAAAGTGAGTGGATACTTGATGTATCCTCTGTCCCTTCAATAGCCGACTTACATAAACACAGGCTGCCCCCTTATGTCAGGCCTGTAGGTAGTTGTGGATACTGGTGCTACTTCGGCATTTGCATGTGAATTAAATCCCACGCGCAAATTTGAATCTCAGGCTAAAGTTCCCAAAAGGGTAGTCGGTAGCCGATTCCCGAAGCTAAGGATAAACCTGGAACCAATGGTGGAGAGCGGAAGATCGGAAATGGTGACTGTGGGCCTGCTGATTGGCTTGCCGGGCTGAGAAGCACCCCTGCAGACCTAGTCAAATTAAATCAACCAGGAGCTTCGGGAAGAGTGGAGTCCAAGTTTTTCTGTAGACAGCGGGTCCAGCTTGGTGTGCCAGTGCCAGTGGGTTGTGGCGGTGTAACTCGGTCCAGAGTCTTTCGGTCTTTCGGTCTGGCTGAACTGGAGTGCTCTGGACTTGGACTCGGATTTGCACTGTGGACTTGGGGGCCAAGGCATACTACAGAGTACAAACTCTGTCTCTGTACGTAACCCTAGTAGTCTCCAGGGGGGAGAGGGGGTTTCCCGAAATCCCTTCATCAGCCCAAATAAACCCGCAGACTGCCATATCTCCCATCTCCCATCTCCCTATGCCGACAAGTCAAGTTGTGCACGTCGAGACACGGCAATGCTGATCCCTGGCGTATGTTGGTATTTGAACATCTGGTCAAGACTCCCTACCCAGAAGCATGAATCGTGCTGATATCTCGTCTCGACTATACCCAAAACGAAGCAGAATTGTCTTCGAAGCAGTAAGTGCGACTGAGACCGACCAAGACATATGAAAATGTTTGCATTTGTTGTGGTGGTGTAATCTGTTGTGGTTGGTAAGGTTGTTTGATATCGAGAGGCCCCCCTTGCCAACGCAGCCTCGCCGCCAAGCCATGAGTGTTCGTCGCGTCGCCAACATCGATCAAACACAACACAACACAACACAACACAACACAACACAACACAACACAACACAACAACACCAAGCGATGCGCACCGCACATTCTCCTATCCAATTTGGCAACAACCCAAAAACCAAAAAGTCCAAAAAGTCCAAAAAAGAATGGTTCCAAAGATTGGTCTTTGTATTTATAGGTATGGACTCCCAGCGCTATAGCATGTATGGAGGCGGCCCCTAAAGGAACAGGTGAACCACCCAAGGCAAAAGATCGAGATCCTTTAATTAGTGCTGTTTAGGCATCCCTGGGCTGTGGTCGTGCCACTAGGCCACCGAACCTACCACGATGGGCGACAGAAATCGGGAACTTATAAATCATATGTATTGAATTTCCGCGCAGGTCACGGGGTCACGGGGTCACGACTCACGGGGTCACGACTCACGGGGTCACGACTCACGGGGTCACGACTCACGGGGTCACGACTCACGGGATCGGGTTGCTACCTGTGTTACAAACATATCACGGGTCCATCATTGATGAAGAGGGAGAGAGATAGGTCTCTTCGGCTACGCGTTCGGTTGGAGGCAATGGATGGCATACTTGTTGGTTACTTTATCTATTGCTCATCATGTTCTGGTCAGACTCAAGAGAGAAACTGGCGAGCCTTTCACGGGAAGGATCATGGAGATTTCTTCAGATCTCGGCGGATTTCAGAGCTTTCAAATTCCACGGAAACCTATCAGCGTGTAAGTTCTGCCGGTGCTGTCGTCGGTGGGATGGGAAGGTCTGACTCCACGAGAAATCAGGCAGAACTCCGAAGTAGAAGTGAATGGCCTGTCACTGATAGGTCGACCACCCTCGAGGCAGAGCAATGTAGGTAATACAAACTCTTTTCGGTCACACTCGAGCCTTCATTTCTTCTTGTAGGACGTGCCTGGTACTACGGTCTACGGATCGAATTCTTCGCTGGACTGCAACCAGAAACCTAGTAACAGCTTAAACAGACGACAACCCCTATGGAGAAGCAGGTGGCCAATAATTCCTTGACTCTGATAAAATAGGTCAGTTCCAGCGGAATCGAATCGAATCGAATTGGATACAGAAAAAGTCATCACGACCTCGGACCTCTGGCACCTCAGAACGAAGGGCTAGACAGTGATAGGATAGTCACCTCCTGGAAGCGAAGATGAGTCGCTGCAAAAGAAAAAGAAAAACAGTCCCCAGCAACTTCCAAGCAGCAGCCTAGAATTGAAAGTTGACCGCATGATTACCTACCTACCTACCTACCTACCTAGGTATGCTAGGGTATGCCAGGGTACTGTATTGTATTCCAACTTGTGCCTGCCTCGCGAGAGAATTTCTCGGAGATCTCTGAAAGTACAATCTATTCCAGGGGAAGGGGGAGGTTGAGTCCGCACCTCCTCCTCCTCTCAATAGTATAGTCTGTCAGGAATACACAATGCGAACGCTGTCATCTTGTCACGACATTAACAAGATCTGGCACTGAACACCTTTTCCATCTCGACATGTTTAACTTACAAGCGATGGTTGGGATCAGAAGGTTGAAGCCAGGAATCCCGGGACCATCGCCATCACCATGGACATGGACATGATATATAGGACTCTGCAAGTGGCTGTAGAAAAGCTATCGAACACAGCCCTCACCTTGAATTGCAATAGTATCGCGTTGTTCGTTTGTCCGCTTGTTTAGAGAGTCGAGACTCTGGGTATATACTATATGGTACAGACATACTGCGTGAAGTTCAAGTACTTGTGACCGCATACTCACTTTCTCATTCCTGACCTTATGGATGATAGGTATGGCTTTCTGTCTTCTTACTAACATATCGTCCTTTTGAGCATAGAAAACTGTCATAATCTTCTCTTTCTTTTCCGTGAACAAAGTCAATAAGTAGTATTTGGCCTCTGATCTGACTCTCTGGGACTAACCATACTTTAGGTTGAGCTGAAGTTTGAACTGTCTAACATAGATAGATGGATGGATGAATGGATGGATGAATGGATGGATGAATGGATGGATGAATACACATATGGATAGGTATATATGTATCGTATCACACTATTGAACTCCAAGCGACAAACTTTTTTCGCCCTCGCTCGATGATAGATTGATCTTGTGACGACATTCAATTTCATCTTCCATCTTCCAACTTCATCACTGATCGTTACTCGCTGTGGTTGTCGTTGTCATTATCATTGTCATTGTCATTGTCGTTTTGAAACAAGATTTTCAGTTTCGTCAACGCATCGTCGCAATTGATTTCCATACCGGTCACGACCTCGACAGCCTCTTCTTTGTTCACGAGTGACTGGGCGACCAGCCAGAAGTTGAATCCGTTGCGAGACATACCCGCAGTTTTCATCGACTCGTCGGAGGATTGGGAGCAGACTGCCTGCCACAACTGGCGCCATCGGTCTAGTGCGAGTTTGATGTCGTGCTGCAAGGGCCCCGTGAGGTGGCTGGTGGGTTTGTGGCCATTGGTGTTGATGGTCCGATGGGGCAGAGATGTTGTGGGGAGATTGATGGATAGAGTCATTATACAGGTGTGGATGTATGTGTAGAGATCTGGACAATAAGTGTTTCAAGTTAGTTTGATGCTTGTAGCCAAGAAGATGTAGGTTGGACTCTTGGAAATCAGTGGTCCATGAAATGAAAGAAGAAAACGAACAGTTCGGTTCCTGAGGTGTGGCCAAGAAAGAGGCAATGCAGATGTGAATCGAGGGTACAGAAAACAGATATAACGTACGGTGAATCAGGATAAACAGATCAAATACCGTGAGGTCACAGTTGCTGGCGGATTCCAAAGCTTCCAAATCTGCCGCGGTATTGTTGCTGCTGCTGAGGGTCGGGTCAAGGGCAGATTTTGTTGAGGAGGGCTTGGATTTGTCAAAGAGCAGTGCAAATGCTTGAGCAATGGTAAGTCGTGGAGCGAAGATCGAGTCGTCTTGCATGAACGGATGGTGTGAGTTGAAAATGGCTTCTTTGCAAGGGAGATCCGTGTCGAGTTCGGCCAGGGTCATGCGGCATGGATAGTTGGAATAGATCTTCATTGCACAGTCGAGTAGTGCAATCACTGAGGTCGTCCTGCATGAATCAATTAGCAATATTCTCTTCAACGGGTCCCGATCGCTGTCGTACCGGATGCGAGATTCCTTCTGTAACCATGCGGTTTCTGAGATGCGGTCGGAGGGCTGGTGTCTGACACGGTGGAGGTTGTATTTGCGGACAAGCTGGAGGGACAGTCAGCCTTCTTCACCATTGATGTGCAAGTCCAGAGCTTGTTCAATTTCGTACCTTGACGACGTGTCCAAACCTAGATTCCATGGCGCGGCGTTTGGCAATGGTCGGCCCACTCCAGTATTGAGCCACAACCATCAAATAGCCGGCCTGGAGCTCCTGAAACAGTTCCCAATCTGGATCTTGTCGACTTGAACTCGTACTCGAACTCAAACTTGAAGCTGACCCTAGGTTGTGGCCATGGAGGGATCGGCTGACCTCCATTTCGAAAGAGAAGATGTCGGAATCGAAAACCACCAACTCCGCCACATCCAGCAATCTCTTCGCTGCATGCCGTTCCGTTTGATCTTTCGAATACATGGCTCCGATAAACATGACAGTCACCAGCAGAGCAAGAGGAACCTTCGCAGGGTCAAAAGACGGTCGGTGCAGAATGGGACAGTTCAAGTGCCAGTTTCGGAAGTACATGGAGATGAATTTGGAGACTTTGTCGCCCATCAGAAGGAAATTGAGACATCCAGTAAGTTCCTGGCGGGTCTTTTCGTCCAAAGCCAAACACCAGAGTTTGTTGTAGATGGCCAAATTCAGTGCTGAGACATGCTGCGGCTGATCTGGCAGTGTTGGAGTCGAGTCAGAAGGCGTGGGTCCAGGCAGAGCCTCCGAAGAGAGGATGATGGGATCGTATAATTCGATCTGCATGTCGGAGTAGGATGGTGACGGCATGAAGGCGAATGGACCGGTCCAAAAATCAAGATATTGATCGTCGACTTCCAATGTGGACTCGAATATGCTGGCGTAATCCATCGAATCGGGAGACGTATCGATGGGCTGTAAGGGGGTGTTTGCATCCGCTTCATCTGGCTCCTCGGTTCGCTGGTGGAATTGAAGGCTACGAACCCGGTCATCGCAAGGAGGAAGATTGAATCTTTCGGTGAAGGTATCGATCCCCCCATTTAAAAGCGCCTTGATGGATACTCGATCCTCGAGAGGCCCTAATGGTTCGGCTGCTGGGGGGTTAGCTCCCATGTACATAGATTCAAAAGGTATGGCGGGACCACCTTTCATTTCCTGCCGACCAGTCGATCTCTGGCGGCATTGCACTTTCTTCTTTTTGCATTGAGCGCAGGGAAGGCTCCCATCACATCGGATCTTGGAAGTGATGCACTAGAACACGTCGGCCGTTAATGTCTCGGCTGACTGGGGTTTGGGCCTTGGGAGTGGGATTTGTACGGGGTTTGGGCCTTGGGAGTAGAATTTGTTCATACTGTAATACAAGCATGTGGCCGTCGACCTTTGGGAATGGAACTCGGTGGTTCACGGTCTCCTCTTCGTTGACAAGAATAGTAATGGCTTTGTAAGCGGTCTCTAGCGATCATGTCAATGGTCACCTTCATACGCAGCAGATATCGGCAGCATCGTACTTGCGAGAGAAGTTCCGAGTGCAGAACACACAGGAGAACGGTTTGGCACCGGTATCTGGACGACTCATCAGTCAGGTCACGAGAGGCACAGCGTGTACACCATGGGGTCACACTTCACACTTACGTCTCGTTTGATGACGATTCAAGTGTTCGGCTCGGGAAAAGCTCTGCGAACAGGTCACACAACGGTAACGCTTATCGGGGCCGGTGGACGTCATTGTAGGACTGGTGGCCTGCTTGATAGCAACGGCGGAGGAGAGTAGGGCTTGACTGCGGATGAGGTCGTCGAATCTCTCCATCTTGAGCATATGAAGAGGAGACGATATGCTGCAGCCTGCAAGACTGAGTGGAGATAGAGAGGAAGGAATGTAAGGTGTACGAGAAGAAGGATTAGGATTGCGAGGTATAAGACAAGGAGAAGACTTCGGGTGATCCAGCTACAGTATAACCAGGACCAGGGTTTCGAAAAGTGCGGAATCAAAGCATCAAGCAGGAGGAAAGAAAAGAGAGAGGAAAAGAAGAGAGTCGGATGTGGGATGCGGGGATGGAAATGGAAGATGGAGAGAATAATTCAAAGGGACGGAGAACGGGGGATCGAGAGTGCGGGGGGTGGAATCGAGATTAGGCACTGTACGTACCCTCGGTACCTCTCTCAGGTACTTAAAGTGGGGGCTAGAAACTCGAAGTCATGTTCTTATAGGTGCGTGAGATCGAGTTTGGGGGCGACCGAGGCTGCAAGGGCCCCGGGGTGAGGTGCCCAACTGGCTGGATCTAGGTGCTGGGGTAAGGGGTAGGGGGGGTAAGGGGGTATAGGTGGCTGCTCATAGGCTTAAGTTCATAAGCTTAGGGGACCTAGGGAACCCTAAGGAACCCTAAGGCCGATAAGCTCCTTAAGCCATACAACTTCGAGGCAGCTCGGCTTAGGTGCCGTCTTCGGCCGAGGTGACTTGCCATTGGTAACTAAATCCCCGCTAGGTAGATTAAGGTACTAAGGTACCCCTAACGTACGTTGAGGCCTTGGACTGCTAGAGTCAGTACAGAGTATTAGAACATCCCTCAGCCTCGCCTGCCGAGTGTGCTTCGTACATACACATGTATAAATATTTATGGTAGGTCTCAAGTAGACTCAAGTCGTCTCAGCCTCTGTTTCTGCCGTCGTCGGCACAGGAGGAAAGTCGATCTGATCCTTGTTGAGATAATCAACCCTGACCCTCTTCTCCTTTTCCTCCAGTGTCCAGCCATTGCCCAGCCACCCACACGGGTTGTCATTCACGTACTCATACACAAAGTCTTCCCACCGTGGATGCGTCAGAACCCTCATTGCGTGCAGAGAAGATCCTATAATTCAACCGTCAGCCATGCACACATTAGACAGAAGGGCAGAAAATGTCGAGCTTACCTGGCCACAGCGCACTGACTCGACCATCCGATGTTCCACCTTTGTACCAGCTACGACAATCGAGACTGAAGACGGTGGTTTGGAAATATGCGTCGCAGTATTCGACGAATCCCTTGACCGCGTCCGGCCGAGGCGCCATGCTCCGGATGTTGTCTCTCTGCATCTTGGCCAAGCACAACGTGATGTAGTCGATGGCCTTCTCGATCAGCAGCAGCAGATTGCCGGTTCCCAACGCCGAGTTCGGGCCCAGGGAAATAAAGTAGTTGGGAAACTCGTCGGTGGCTAGCGAGAGATATGTCGAGGGTACTTGCTTCCACTTGTCTGCCAGATCGACGCCGCCTTTGCCGGTGATGGGAAACCGAGGACAAAATGTCGTATCAAAGCCCGTCGCGCAGATGATCGCGTCGACCGGCCGATGCTCTCCGTCGGTGGTGATGATCCCGTCGCTGACCACTTCGCGGATGCCGTTGGTGATGACGTCCACTTTGGGATCGGTGAGCGCTTCAAGGTACCCGGGTCCTGGCGTCAGCCGGCGACAGACGGGTGGGAACGATGGCAGGAGAGTATCTGCCAGCAACGGCTTTCCGGCCAGTCTTCGCTTCATGTTTTCGGTGAATATCTCGACCGCGCCCAATTGCTCGGGTGAGCCCTTAATGGTCACCGCGTGGACTGACTGGAGTTCGAGTTCGATGTCTGAGTAGGAGCTGGTCAATGCAGGGCTCCAGGCAGATGGTAGTATATGCATACCTTTTCGGAATTTCTCGTAGAAGTCTGGGTCTGTCTTGAAGCGGCTGATGTCTTCTGCTGAGAACGAAACTGTCCGTACGTTAGAATGCGTTTCAATCCTTGGGTGGCTTCACTGACAATTGTCCAATCCTTTCCCCATCTGATCCACCTTCTCGCGAGCAAACGTAGGAGCTAACCACGTTCGGCCCCGGATGTAATGGTCGATATGAGTTGATTTGGCGAGGACTGCTGGAACGATTTGAATCCCACTTGACCCGTTGCCAATCACTGCCAATCTTTTGCCCTGCGCGTCGTCAGTCATGATGGCAAGGACTGCGTTGAGGCCTCCTTACCGTCCAGTCGAACGTCTCATCCCATTTGGCGCTATGGAGTAACTTGCCCTTGAAATCCCGAAGGCCAGGAATCTGAGGCCACTTCCAGTCGTTCAGAGCCCCGGTGGCGGATACCAGCACATCGCAGACATCTGTGAATGTCTCTCCGGTTTCCAGATTTTGAACCTACAACTGGTAAGCAGGGATGACATGACTCTGCATCAACGGAGAAGCATACTTGAACCTCCCATTTGCCTCCCGCTTCATTCCAAGCGGCAGATGCAATCTTATGGTTGAGTTTGATGTGCCTCATACAGTTGTATTTCGCCACCACCTTTTTCCAATACCGATGGATTTCCTGGGCGCTCGCATAGAACTGGCTCCATTCGTGATTCGGCTCAAAGGTCGCCTGATATGTGTGTGCAGGGATGTCTGGATAGTTGATTAGCCACGAACAAGGACGTCTAACGATGTCGACATACCACATGCGCATCCAGGATATCTGTTTTCAAACCAGGTGCCTCCAACGTCCGGGTTCTTCTCGTAAATCTGCAGAGATAGACCTGGAACCCGCTGAGGAAGCCGGATAGACGCCAGGATTCCTGATATTCCTGCTCCAATCACCACCGCCCTCAGCGGCCTTGGTGCGTCTACACATCGGTCTTCAATCCAGAAATGTGGTGCCTCGCCCATGGTAATAATGCTGATGAGACAACAGTAGAATGGAGTGTATATGGGATTGACTGCTTCGTAGCACTGCCACTCTGCAACACTTTGGTCGATCCAGAGAGGGTGCCAGACAGTTCATATCAGAGACAGATGGATATACTTTTGACACTCCTTTCTCCGCGACCTGCCGATGGGTATCGTCAAAGGTGGTGGCGTCCACCTTCCAGGGGTTTGCGACCAATTGAATGCTTGCATCCCCATGACCACCAATCAACTTGTCATGTACCGATATCTTTGGGATCTGGGGTATGGGGAGGAAATGGAGGTGACCGCGGAGGCCTTCGGGAAAACCCCCAGTGTCCGGGTACAAGTCCGAGCCGGATACCAGCCTGGGGAAAAGTAGACTGGGCCAATCTCAAGTCGATCAACTGGTTTCGTGCTGTGATGATGCGGGATGCGGGATTTCCTGTCGACCGAACGGCATTCGAAAAACGTTATGTCGGATTGGAGCTCTTGTGAACCGGAGGGGGTTGGAGATTGAATTCGCAATCTATGATCCACCATCGACGTAGCGAAGGACCTTTGCGACACTCCTTGGACTGAACACTCAACCTGGTCACGAAGCAGGAGGAGCTGCTGTCCGATCCAACGTCGCCGCAAGACGTCCGAGTTGTTCTCGCCCCTGAATATCGGGTCTTGGGGTAAGCTACAGACCACCATCGAAAGGGTCTGGGAGAAGCAAGGCCTGAATATGATAGCCGTCGTTTCCATCTCCATATGCATCAACTTTGGAACCCTGCGGGCGATGTGGAGAGCCCGATCTTGAAGTACTTCTTTAGGCTGAAAAAGAGAGCCTCGGGAGTCTTTCATCTACGTTTCGTTAACAGCGCGGCAAAAACAGGAAGACTTTATAGCGACGTCGGCCGCCTTCAATGCCTTGTCCAACTGCGGCTTGACCCTCTCAGCCTCGGCAGTCCGACCTAGTCTCCTCAAACACTCTTCGTAGCCATGCAGCGCCCAGACATTGTTAGGATGCCGCAGGGCGCGTGGCAGTGTATCGTCGAACCCCAAATCAGCACTATACACCGCCAACGCCTGTTCAGCACGGCCCTGCTCGAGGAGAAGCGCACCATACGCATGACGGGGCGGCTGCATCCAGCCCCAGGGTTCATCATAGGGCAAGGAACCATCCAAAGCACTAGCCCGTTGGAGATGAGCGAAAGCGACCTCAACATTTCCACGGCGGTATTCCAGTTCACCGTCCAGCATCGAGTTCGCGATCGCCAGAATATCTACACAGGAATTGTTGAAAAGTGTGCGTGTTGACTTGACGCGCGTCAGAGCGTCTCGAAACTTGTTGCGCTCTTCTTCCGCTTCTTCCACTCTTCCCGTGGCAGCCCATGCGACGCCCTTGGCGTAGTGCATCAGTGCCGTGGTCACGCAGTACAGTTCTCGATCACGGGGCACCTTCAGGTCAAGGATATCCTGCCATCGACCAAAGCGGATCAACACGTGCACACGCATACCCAGAAACGCTTCCAGCCAGTCCGCCATTGGCGGCGATTGCACTCTGAGCAAGTCTTCGGGGATAGAGGCCTCCAGCCAGTCGACGGTCTCCAGGGCCACTTGGGATTCACCTGCAAACATGGCGGCGTAGAGACGGAAATGATAATCGTGCGATCGATAGAGGGTGTAGAACTTCAACGGACCGGCACGGGCCAGAAACCTCTCGTCTGCACGGATGGCGTCCATGTTGGACGATATGGCCCGGCTATAGTCGCCGCATAGTATGTCGAGGTGTGTAGGCATATGTTGTAGATGGCCGGCGTCTGGCACTAGTCCTCTTAGACGGTCTGCTATAGGAAGAGCCTTCTCAGGACAATCTGACATCTCCATCAAATGTATGTAAAGATGTAGGAGACCTGGGTGCTGCAGACCGCCAGGTTGGGCCAATGCTCGATCGAGGACAGCCTTTGCTTCAAGAGTGCGGGCCCCAGGAGCAGGCTGACCGGTGTGCAAATCCCACAGTTTCCAGGGCGTCAGGTTCATCAGCGCGTCGGCATAGAGAGTTGCCACATCGAGATCGTTTGGATAATGAGCATACACGGCGCCCATGGCGTCGGCGTATGGTTCGTTCCATATCGAGCAGTCGGTAGCTGCTTCTGCTTGCGGATACCGGAACTCGAGCGCGTCAACGAGTGCCTTCTCGACCGGTGTAGTTCTAGTCATAGCTCTCGATCTGGCTTGCTCGACGGCAGAATGGGTTCGAGATACCGTAGATTCGAGTTCCTCGCCGTCGAAGAATTCCCATGGCTTGTTATAGTTGGGTCCGAGAGCGTACGCGAGACCCCAGTAAGCCATGGCACAGTCAGGGTCGAGGACGCTGGCTTTTTGGAAGCATTCTGCCGCCTCTTCATGGTTGAAGCCATAGCTCCAGACAAGACCACGATTGAACCACACTTGAGCGTCCTTGCTTGTAGTGCTCACTGGACGATGGAAGGACCCGAGGTCATAGTATCCATCGGATGAAGGTTGGGTGCTCATGACGAACAGTGTCCCAGACTTTGCTTCCACTTTCACTACCCGAGCCTTCAGAAGGCTTTGACGAGGGAGAATTCACCGGAACCAGGAAACAATGATGAGCATTGCAGTGTTGTACAGACGATGGGCAGTCCAGTCGACGACGACGGCAATGGCATGAAACACGACGTATGATGCACCGTAACACCTACGCAGCATACGGTGGGGTGTTCGACTATCAAGAGCAGCTACAAGGCTGAATTATATAGGTCTCAACTGAAGACTAGGCACAGTACCTCGAGCCTTTACTCGGCAGGGAGGTGACTACGAGCCTAGTGTAGCCGTACCAAGTCTAGCAACACTCAGATTGGATCGTCGACGCCTTCAGCAAGATGGATCGAGATCTCACAGTCACTATCTGAGTCGATATGCGGCGTGAGGAGGGAACAAAGAGAATGGGAAGAGAGGGAGGCATTGTGCAGTCGGCGTGAAGGAAGGAAAGAAAAGGCCATATTATATATAGTAAACATCTACAGTAAGCTACCATCGCATTCACCAAGTCTGTTCAGCTATGCATCCGTCCCTGAACGATTATGAGGAGGATGTCCCGGTCCAAACCCAGCCCAATATCCCATCCGACCATCCAAGTCAGTGAGATTGCGACACTGCGGATTATCACGATCCTCAACAGCACCGAATGGCCAGATCGGAATAAAGCACACTTGACCGAGTGGACACTCAGGACATCTCTTCCACACTGTCCAGTCCAGATACTCGATCAAAGAGTGTAGACTGCTCACGGAGTCTGTGAAAGATGACTTGGCGTCCAGAGCGGCAAACAGAGTCGAACAGATAGCCGTCGTGACAGATCGAATGGATCTTGTTGAAACTGTTTCGAGCTCTCCGCTGTGAGGAATGAACTGTGTCGCACACCTACCAACTTCAGCAGTCGTGTTGCGTGCATCCGAGTCGACAAAGACGCGGAGGAACGAACTCAATTCATCAGATAGTTGCTGGGAAGTCGTGAATGCGCCGGACACCAGATATTTCAGCTGTTTGGCGTATCGTTCCACAACCATATCTGCGATGTTCTGCCAGTCAACCGAAGGAAATGCTAGAGAGGGATCCCAGTTGTGGACCATGGCGTCCACATCTCCACGGATCTTTTCTAGGACACCGACGGACGCGTTTCCGAGTCTAGGCAGACCGTCGTTCTGTGTGAAAAGTTCCAGGTTGTAATCATAGGCAGTGACGAAGTTGTCGTAATCCAGTTTGACTCGTCCTCCGCCGATTCCATCGTAGCGTGCTGTGATTGCCCGGATCCAATCCGACAAGTGCCATCGGGGAGGGGATTCATCGTCTGGATCTGAACTGTCCTTTCCGCCAGCGAAGGGGCCCGCCCTGACAGCCTGAATGAAATCCAGATCCTCGGCGAAGGAGCACAAGATGACTTCGAACCCGGACTCCATGCGAATGAAGCCTTTGATCTTGCCGTTCCATGTTTCGCTGGCCATGTGGCATAGTCGTTCAGCGCGCTCGTATTCCCAAAAGACGCCATCGCTTTCGTTTGTGGCATTCAAGAGCAGAATGTCTTGAGTGTCGAGGGTGCCTTTGTCGCATTTGCCGGCGGACATGCCGTCAATGTATAGCAGCGGTAAATCAGTCTTGGTTTTGTAGGTGTGCAGCCAGCCAGGCATTGTTGGACGAGGCCTTCTCCTGGGTGGTTCTGGTTCATGGTCAGGGTTTGCCCTGAAGGGGTGTTGGATGTCTCGGTGAGGGAGGTGTGCGACTTGAGTGTCTGCAGGAACGAGACGAGAGTCGAGTGGACGGTCTATTGGAGAAGAGGGAGACTCGACCCGTCTCTCTGCCGAAGAAGCAATCGAATCGCCGTGTTCTTCTTCAGACGAAGCGCGAGAATGTCTCCCCTCCGTCCCATCATATCTCGTTCTTCCAAAAGGTGTTCCGCCAGCCTTCCCCCCAAAACTCCTAGCAAAATTCACGGCATGTTCCGGCTCAAAGGCCAACCACTCCATGCCCCGAACCGGCTCAGCACGGCCTGTGCCATGATAGAACTGCGTGCCTGCAGGGACTTGAGCCAAAAACAAAGACATGCCATTATGATTCAGTGAAGAGCCCCACTGTCGCATGGACGAATGTATTGCATTGAAAATGTGGTTTGCATTTCGTAGACCCTCATCGGCGATTATAGGAGGTGAAGGGGGGACAGCGGCGGCTGTTGCATCCCCGATCAGGGCATAGACAACCAGTAACAGCCATGACCATACCAGCATCATGAGAGGGCAGGAAGAGAAAGAAAGGGAGAGAAAGGACAGGAGAGACGATGCGAGGGCCCTTTTGCAGGCGACCTGGCGAAGATAAGACTGCCTCAGGAGAGATAAATGGTGTATAGTATGTGGTATATGATATATGATATATGGGGGTCTGTTGATGGCTATATCTAATCATATCTGTATCGGGGGATCAGGAGCATGTGCTGTTTGAGTCTGTGAATCTGGAGTGGTCGCGTCGCTGACGTGGCATCTGTACGTGCCAGTGGGCCATGATAAGGCTCAGGCTTCTTAGGCTGCACCTGAGCTAATCCGGGCCGATCTCGCTCGTTGAACAGTAAAAGCAGTGGGGAAGAAGACACAAGTGCTGCTGTGTGATAAGGGCAGAAGAGCTCTCGTTTCTCATGCTGCATGTTGGTTTGTTCGCTAAGAGCAGGGCGGAAAAGTTGGCTTCGATCTGTGTTGATCTTTCAACCTTGCGTTTGATAGGCATCTCCGACGACGCTGGGCGGCACATACTTTCTTCTCAAGCACTTTGTCGAGACACCCATTCGGCTAAGGCAATAAATCAAGGTCGTAAGTCTTGGCGGAGGCTGAGAACATATATATATATATATATATATATATACATATACATATAAAGGAAAGGTCGCCGACTTTTGCTCCGATAATCTCTAGATAGGTAAGTCGATGTGTACTGTACGTCCTCAACGTCCCCTTCCCTAATTTCACTAACCGCATTATTAACCCCTTGATTCACCCCTGTGTCCCGTTGGAGGGTCAGAGCAGTCACCACCTGACCGTCGCCGCCATTTCCGTACCTCCAGGCCGACTCCTTCCCAGTCAGCGGCCGCTTGCTGTTCGCCCCATCGGCGGCTCCGTACAAGCAAGTCCTTTCTAGAAATTTGCGTCGGCTGGTTGCGATTGTGGTATCCTACAACCTTTTGCAGAGAGGGCTCTTTCCGGAGACATGGTGATCGAGCCACTTTGATGTCGTTGCGACGAGCCTGGAGGACAGCAACAGCAGGGTCGTCGTAGACGCACTGAGTCCTGCTAGGGAACACAGAATGTTGGACCGTGGTTTGTTGGGTTCATGCTCTCTCACACCGGCTTAAACCTCGACTTTTGCCGGATTCTCGCCCCGTATTTGTAGAAGAGGACAGGCACTGGGAAGAAGACGACACAGAGAAATGCCAGGAGAGAGGAAGCCCACGGGACGCCCAAGTTGTGATACATGGCTGGTGCAAATAGCGGAAACCCGGCGCCGGCAGTGGATCGCACGAAAGTGTTGATGGCGATCGCACTGTTTGCATAGAAGCCATAACAGTCGATGATATAGTTCATGCCTTGCCAAAACGTGAGCAGACACCCGCCTCCCATGACGGCGACGGAAAGAACTTGAGGCACCCAGATGATGTGTGGGTTAGAAGTCCTGCAAAAGTCAATCAATATCAGTGGCTGAGATGAGACCAGACAAGGTCGACAGGGCGAAAGGCAGGCAGTCACATACCATGCAAACCAGAACAAGCCGATGGGCAGCGCGGCGGCTCCCACCATCATCGGTGGCAGTCGTTCCTCCGGCACGATCTTCCCCTCCTTGTAGAATGCTCGGGTGAAATTGGTTCTTGTGGAATAGGCGATCAAGCCCGTCCCCATGGCGATGCCGACAATGAAGGATGCGAAGGGGAGGGCTCCCACCCCTGGATTCCAGCCTCGTTCCTCCTGGAAAGATATGGGAAACTGTGACAAACAGTCAGTACAAAGATCACCGCTGACATGGAGGCCGAGGGACAATGACTCACGGCTTCGAAGAAAAGATACAATATACTGTCAACACGTTAGCCTACTCACTCCACGAAAAGACTGGACGACGAATCCTTTACCCATAAATGAAGCTCATGTACGCCGTGACCAGAGCCAGGATCGGTTCCTGCACGAACATGAGGAATGGACGAACAAGATACACAGTCAGCATGGATTTGGCATCGACACGCCTTTCGTCAGCTTTGGCGTGCAAGGCCCAGTTTTGTGTTTCATACCGCAGCCGTTTCGCTTTGATCTGCAGAATCCTGGCCGCGGAGGTTTCGGGAATGACCAAGAGGCCGATGCTACCGAACAGGGCAGCCATGATGAGTGTGATCCACGCCGTCCACCGCCAGCCAAGATATGACTGAGTGATAAAGCCGCCCACGATCGGACCTGGCACGTGTGAGGTCAGTATGATCTGGTCCGAGTATCGCAGGTTGAAGCTTGATATAGCATACCGGCCACGGGACCAATAAAAGTCGCCCCTGCAAAGACGCAAACACCATATGCTCTCTCAAGGGGACCCCAGATATCGGCAAGCGCACCTCCGACCACGGCCAAGGGAGACGAGGCGGCGAATCCTCCAAAAAAACGGCCCAGCATGATTGTCTCGACATTGCGGGCCACGGCCACGGGGATTTGGAAGATGGCAAACACGAGATATCCCGCAAATAGCGGCACCCGTCGCCCAAAAACCTCGGACGCGGGCCCGAAAAAGATCGGTCCAAACACAAATCCCTAGGTAAATGATCAGCGGTGTCGCGCCAGAATTTCTCCACGTTCGTCGACTCACCAGCAGGAAGAGTGAGACCCCCAGAATAGAAACGACCTGTGAAATATGGTACTCATGGGCCACCGGTTTGATGGCCACACTCTGGGAGAGAAGAGTCAGCGACGGCCACTTGCCCAGAGGCGATCCTGGTCCCTACGCACATGGATTGAACTGGCAAAGGTGACGACAAATGCCATGCCTCCCATGGCAGCCGTGATGGCCCATTTCCTCTTCTTGGACCAGTTCTGTGGATTGTCGGGATCGTCTGGTCCATCGAACTCGACTAGATCTGGTCGCGACGTGCGCATAGCGGTGGCAGGCACCGATCGCTGGGACTCGGCATCTTTCTCAGGATCCAGCTGCGCTGGCTGGTCGTTCCCTGCATCGTTGGGCGCTTCTGCTTCTTCCGTGATCTCGGGCATGAAGTCAAGAGTAGACGAAGACGCTGAAGCCGCTGGGTTTGGAACAGCGTCGGTGTGGCGCACTGCCATGTCTATGCCAGGGGCTACTCAATCAATCGTCGAATTGAACCACCTCTTTCGTCACGCTGCTTCGCGAAAATGAAAGTGATATATAAGGGAACAGGAAAACCCCCCGATTGAGTTTGATCTTGAAGAATCTTGTGTACTATCCAAGAAGATTGAACGGTAGATTTGGTTAGGGGACGACAGATGGAGTTAAGTCAACAGACCCTAGGCCGGATATACGACTGCCATCTTGGGGAATGAATGGCATGGAGCATCGACTCGGACTCACAGTACGACATCCTCTGAGAGGGGAGGGTCATGGATCTGACAGACCCCCATGCTTGTTGCTTCCTTCGTACATTCATTGTTGGCTACTACGTAGTACTAGTCAACAACTACTAGTCAGCAGCAGTCCGTGAAAACCAGGGATACGCCACATAGTAGTAGTAGTAACAGGCGCAACGACCATGTAGATTATGTAGATTACTAACTCGTAACTTATACGCTCCCAAGGCTGTTGAATTGGTCATCCTGGTCCTCTACAACTCCACCTAGACCTCCACTGTTACAAGTACGCAGTTACAACTGGTGAGAAAGATCTACTAAGTACCAAGTCTAAGAGCAATTCGATACTACTCTTCACTAGCACTCTACGATCCGATCTCTCCTCGATCCAACACACTTGGTCATTATTGTTGACGACACCTACATACAGGCTATCTGTGCTATGATGAAATGAACCTTGTGCTTGGGAATGATCCCGCCCAGTGTCCGGAAGTCGGCACAGCCGGCGATAACAGGAGTTGACAATGTGGACGACTCCCAATGAAGCGGCCGCCTCGCCGCCCAGGGTCGGAGAGAGCAACCTTCGCGATGTAGATGATAACCTGGCCATTCTTAGAGCCATGGTCAAGATCTCTGTACCTGGCTGGATCGGTGGCCAGGATGAATCTGTAGACGTTCCTTGGTGACATCGTACAACTTCCCATCGACACGATGCCGCGTACCTCGTACAAAATGCTTAACTCCGCCAGCACAAGTTTGTTTCCAGATTGGGCCGTGTCCACTATCCACTATCTTTGCCTCGGCCGGCGATACGTTCATTCGAAAGTACGCACACCGCGCCCTCTGTTACCATCCTGACAGTCAGGACATGGTGACAGGGGCTACATCATTGACAGATTGCATAGCGCTGCACAGCCTTTCTACCACGGACTTGGGGCGTATCTCGGCCTTGTTTCATCCATTCAGATCCGAACTGGACAGATACATAGTAGCATATGCTCGTTCGCTATGCATGGCGGCTGGGGCGACGTCGATGTTCAGATTCACAATAGATTCCGTTCATGCCCGCGCGTTTCTTCATGTTGCGGAAGACAGGCCACCATCTCTTAGCTTGTGCCATATTGGTAATGCATGCGTATCAGAGAGGAACCGGTCGGAATATTCGGTTCCGCCGTAAGTTACGTAGGTTGGAAAGTCGCGATATAGTTTGGTCGTCGAGAAGGCCGGTGTGTATGGGCAGTCTCTTCAGGGGAACGAGCCATTATATATATTTATATTTCGGGATAGACGTCGGTTCGCCTCAGCAGGGGGATGCCTCTTCTGACTTCTTTCACCGCATCCAAATCGATGTCGACAGTGAGCAGATCTGGCTCACGCGCGTCTTCTTTCTCATCGTCCAAGTCCTCGACATGGTCCAGTCGTCCGACTATGCGGCCGTTGGGGGAGATGACGATAGTGTCACCATAACTGACACGCTTTTCATTGTGTCTGCCACATTGGGCGGCGGCTATAACCCAACTCTGCGTCTCAATTGCTCGGCACCGTAGGATGACCTCCCAGTGAAGCTTCCCGGTTGGGACGGTGAAAGCCGACGGGTACAGCAGGCCTTCTGCCCCTTGACGACGCAGTCGGAGCGCAGGTTCGGGAAACCGCATATCAAAGCATATCAAGCTACCGAACTTACCCAGGATGGTGGGATATGGTGGAACAGTCTCATGGCCAGGCTCCACGGCATCGCTCTCTTTGAGTTTCGGCCCGTTCGGACGGAGATCAATATCAAAAACATGTAGCTTCTGGTATCGATGGGCAATCTCCCCCTCTTTATCAATCCAGATCAGTGTGTTTTTGATCCGCTTGGACGGTGGATCGGTCGGCTCGTGGATGCCAACATTGATCAGCAAGGAATTGTCTCTTGCGGCTTTTTGAAGTCCGCGGACGAATAGGCTTTTGGAGGCATCCTGACAGAGCCCTACAGATTCCGCGGCGGAGGAAGCTATGTAGTCGGACGCTTCAGGGAGGAAGAGTGCCTAGAGAGGGCGGATGCTGGTGAGGACGGGGTCAATGTCGAGTACTACGAAGCCTGACACTGACAACGGACTGCAATAAATGCAGGCATAAAGTGAACTAACCTTTGCTCCAGCCTCGACAGCTCCTTTGACAAGCCTCTGACATTGTGCGAGGTTGTGGGACATGGATGCGGTCGAGCAAATCTGCCCGACAGCCTGAAAGGGAACAGCGAGTCAGCCAACAGGATCCCAGTGAGTATGGCATTCCTGAGTGTTGGCGAAACGTACGGCGAGGACCATCTTGTAGATGACGGATCTGATCCAGATAGACCCAGACGGTTCAAGCGCAGTAATCACAAGGGTATAGGATACACCCAGTTGTGATTAGTTGAACTACCCAAGCTCCGCTTGCCGTGGCGGGTGTGAAATGAATACCTGTAGTGACACACTTTGGTGTGTTCTGCTTGGAGAAGAAACGATTGACTGATCACGGACGCAGGACGAAGTTCACTTGGGGGGCAGGCTGCGCTATCCGGTGCTCGGATCACCTTCCTGTTGCAGCGGCTATGTACGTACTAGTACTATTAGTCTCTCTACTCTGTTAAGCTCTCTCTGTCTCTCTGTACATCTATCCGCCATCTCCTCTCCACCATCCACCATCTACCGTCCACCATCTACCACTGCATCTCCCCTCCACCTTCTCCCCCTCCACCATCAGTGGGTTTGCTTGATGCCTTGCTTGTTGTACCCCAGACTCCGGGCCGTGTCTCCATCCCCCCATACTGCTACCCCTCTGTATCTCCTTCCCTGCCTCGACTTGCCCGAGGCACGTCGAAATGAGGCTGCACCCGTCATGTCAGGTACATACTCGAAGCTGTCCTCTGGATTTCACATGCAGACAACGTCCTTATATGAACACCTGAGGCACTGTGCACGCTGGTGGAAGGAATACCGTTGCCGCGAGCCACATGCCGGAAAATACCGCCGTCGAGACTCCAGTCAGATCAGTATCGACCACTCTGCTGTGTCAGGTTAGATGCGGGCAGCTTTTGCTCGGTTCCATGTGTGCCTGTCTTTGATGCCATCACTCCACTAAAGCCGAACAGAACGGCTTGTATCTATCTAGCCATGCTCCGCACCCTGGTTTCCAGCGCCAGAGCATTCCCCAGATATCAACCCGCGAAAGAGAAAAGCACACAGCTGAAGCCGCCATTGGGACTTTTCGAGCGCTTCCGCCGGTTCCCCTGGACCGCGGATACCCCGCGTTTTCCAAGTCCTGGCCCAGCAGGTCCAGGAGTTGTCCCATGGGGTTCCAAGCTACCTTAGGTAGGTACCTATGTATCGTCTGTCGGTTCCGACAAAGGCGGGCTTGATGTATGACAGGTTACGGGGGGTACGGGGGAACAACAGTCCCTCCTCAATGGTAGGCAAGGTATATATTTGCGGCCGACCCTTGCTTCTCTTGTATTCTGCTCTTTTTGATAGAGGATCAATCACACGACTCCCTCCCTCCCCGCTCCATACATAGGTACATGTAAACATACATTTTCACAGACTTACAGACTTATATCCCCCCGACCATGGGTTCAGTCGATATCCCCAAGCTACAAAAAGCCGCCGTTAAGGTCGGCAGTGGAGATGAAGCCAGAGCGCCAGTGAAGGAGGTTGAGGTTCCCCAACCAGGCCCAGGACAGGTTCTGGTCAAGATCAATTGGTAAGTATTCAGGACCACTAAACCCAACATTTGTTCTCCTGCTGTTTGTGTCTAACATTTTGCAATCAGGACCGGTCTCTGTGGCTCCGACAAATCACTGCTCCACGATGAATGGTCGTCATTCGGCGTTGCCATGCAGCCGGCGACCAAAGGGATAGCTGGTCACGAGGGTGCCGGTACAATCGTCGCCGTCGGCGAGGGGATGGAACACAAGTGGAAGGTCGGCGACCGGGCCGGCATCAAATGGGTCTGGAGCACCTGTGGCGAATGCGAGTTCTGCACCAATGGCACCGACGAGTTGCATTGCCCTAAACAGATCAACGCCGGGTTCACTGCCGCCGGCACGTTCCAACAATACGCCGTGAGCGACGGCAGATATACCACGCGGATCCCAGACGGTGTGGCCGACGAAGAAGCCGGGCCGATCATGTGTGGTGGTGTCACGGCGTACACGGCTTGCAAGCGAAGCAATGTCCGCCCAGGACAATGGCTGGTGAGTTCTTGGATATCGACATCCTCACAGCCCCAACTGATCCATCTTGCTGACTGTCTCTCTTTGGCCAGGTCATCGGAGGCGCCGGTGGCGGTCTTGGTCATCTTGCTGTACAATATGCGAAAGCTATGGTATGTCAGAGAACGGAGAGCCCACATTTCGCCCGGACTCCGCACTAACTGTGTGTAGGGAATGCGAGTCATTGCCATCGACGGCGGCGACGCAAAGAAAGAACTATGCAAGAAACTCGGCGCCGAAGAATTCATCGACTTCACCCAGATCAAGGACACTGCTGCAGAGGTGACGCGGATCACCACATACGGCGCTCACGCCGTCATCGTCACAGCCGCCACCAGAGCGGCTTACGAGTCTGCCCCGACCTTGCTGCGACCGGGTGGCACCGTCGTCGCGGTCGGTCTGCCCAAGGACTCGACCGTCCTGGCGGGCGCGCCTCCGATGATGCTGTGCTTGAAAAGGCTGAGCATTGTCGGCAGTGTCGTTGGCACCTTGAAGGATGTTGAGGAAGCTCTTGACTTTACTGCCCGAGGGTTGGTCCACGTAAGTCAAATCCCAACCTCACCTCCTACATGGAGATAATCCATGGCTAACAGTGACTACCGCTAGCCAATCTTGTCCAAGGGGACGCTTGAGGATGTGGATAAGTATATCGAGCAGATGATCGCTGGCAAACTTGCTGGTAGAGCGGTGCTGAAGGTGTCATGATGGTCATGATAGCCTTTCAAAAGGTAGACCGGAAGTGATTAAATGGAATGATACCACACTGAATCATAATATTCCTAACATGTCGCCACCGAAGATGAATATTCCTCGCCATTCCTGGCCATTTGCTTCTTCAGTCTTCCCTTCAGTTAGTTGTACGTACCTTCGAGTCATTCCAGTACCATGCGCCTACGCTTTAGCCAGTAACATCTCCATGGCCGAGAAGACGAAGGAGTCCTGCCTCAAATCGAGGCTTCCTAATCCGCCACATGCTACCTTTTGGATGGAAGACAACACGAAAGATGAACAAACCCGAGTCCCTGCATGTCACAATTTGATCGTAAACATGCCCGGCAAGTGGCCATGAACCGAAACAACTTCATTCTATTATCACTCCCTAGTATTCCCGTCCAGCCCAATCCACCACCCAATATATATCGTTTGGCCATTTTATTCTGTCAAACGGATCCAATCCATTCCTTTCATCTATTCCCATCGCCGCCCACTTCTTCATGTTTACCAAGAAAAACCCATCAGCGCCGGGTTCAAGACAATGGGCAACAACAAATGACTCGCGGTGACGGTACTCATGGGCAAGATAGCGATGAAATCGCCAATGAGCCAATCGAAGGGAATCCAGCCACCGGGATTCGTGGCCAGGACGACCATGACGACAATAGCGACGACGGCAAAAGTGATACAGAACTTGAACTTGCGAATGACCTTTGGAACCTCGATGAAGAAATTGGAAAACTCGGCCTCCTTACTGGTCGCGCCCCAGGACATGTCGACCTCGAACATATGGGCCAGCAGAGCCTGCGAGACATGCAGCGACAGGCCGCCGAGAAAAATCGACAGCATGAGAATCCACTTGAAGTTCTCCAGCAGGGCAGCGACGAAGGATTTCTGGCCGATGCGATAGCGCATGACGGCCAGGGCGATGTTGCCGAGCCCGTTGAAGACAGTGACAATGCTGAACCACACCTTCCAGCTGTCGATGTAGTATCTGTCGAGGTAGCCATTGAACCAGCCGACGGCGAAGTAGTTGGCCAGGGTCAGGATCCAGGCGGCGCCGATGGCGTAGTAGGTGCCGATGTAGCTGACGATGGTGATCTTGGAGGTGAAGCGGATGTTGGAGAACAGAAAGCGACGGAACAGATCGGTAAAGGGGCCGCGGTACAGCCACTTGCGCATCGGGTGGAACAGCAGCTCGTTGCAGCCGTACGCGTACTTCTCCCAGCGCGCCAGCTCGTCGTACACGGTCAGGCTGACGCCCTCTTTGAAGCCGCCGTGCGCCCACGCCGCTAGCCGGATGATATACCCGTCGCACTGTAGGCGCAGCGACATGTCGAAGTCCTCGCTGACGTGCGCCTCGGACCAGAACTTCTCGTAGCCGTCCGAGTCGACGTACGATACCTGCTGGATCGCGCTCCAGCGCAGGATCGCGTTGTGGCCCACAAACGGCGCCACGTCGCCGTTGGCCACCGTGTACTCGATCGCCGTGTAGATCAGGTTCGTGAAGAACGTGATTCCGTTCTCGAAGAACGTGTGCACCACCTGCATCACCCCGGACGCGAACTGCATGATCCCCACGCTGGGCGACTGCTCCATCTCGCTCACCGCGTCGAGCAGACAGTCCGCCGGCACGCGCGTGTCGCTGTCAATCAACAGGATGTAGTCGCCGATCCGGATGTTGCCGTCGGCCCAGGCCCGGGGCGTCTCGGACAGCACTTCTTGTAGACATGTCTCGTAGGCTTGCGTTTCGTCGCTCGCGCCCCAGGTCGAGCCGCGGTGGATTTGTCGTAGTTTGTCCTCTACTTTGCACGACAGCATGAGCCCGTAGTTCATGTTGGACGCCTTCTTGAACTTGCCGCGCCGCACGAACCCGTCGCTGTTGTGCTTCGGTCGCGCCGTCCACCCGATGTTGTGGTCCTGGTAGAACTCGATGCGCGCTCGTCGCTCGTCTTCCTCCAGGATCTGCAGCCCGTCGTCGTTGATCAACATGTTGGCCGTTCCGCCTTGTAACTCGTACGTCGAAATCGCTTGCTTGATCGATCTGACGGTCGGCGCAATGACTGACTGCAGGCCCTCTTTGTACACGGGGCATTGGACCGTTACATGAGGCAGCTCGCTCGTCCGTAGCCGAGGCGAGCATTTGGCCGAAAAGTATTTCGAGTTCAACTGCATTTGTCGCACAGGGCCGATGCATTGTGATATGCATCCGACGATGACCTGGGCAAAGAACTGCATGGGACATAAGTATTCAACATGATGTGGCGAGTGGCGGTTGCTCGACTTACCAGTGTGAAGAAGATTTGCACCGGTAGCAACAAGAGGAAGGCCAATCGACCATATGCACCGTCAACAGCAATCTCCGTGGCTAAGGAGCGGCAGGCCAAGCCCAGTAGAACGACGACAATGATCAAGGTGAACGCAACCAGAACGGTGTTCATCAGGTTGGTGGCACGGCCCTCTGCGACAACCTCTCCCGATTCGGCATCTATCGTGCATTGGGAGCCGCCTTCTTTCTCATTTGGTACTTCATCGTCGTCTCCCGCCTCGCCGCTATGCCAGACGAGTTCCATTAACTGGGCCTCGATGGTGATTGCCCTTTTCACGACGTTGGATGGATCGTCGTCCCACACAACAAGGAGGGATTCGGACGCGATGAAGGCGGCAAACTGGTGTTTCCGGGCTCGAGGAAGGTGGCCGAGCGTGGGCAGAATCTGGACTCGCAACCCGTTCATCAGAGGCACATCCGTGGCATCGGGCGCCCAAGCGAGAAACGTCTTGACTACCCTCGAGTTGACGGTCATGGCCACCTAGCGCGGGCTCAGCATACTATAGCGGGAATGGTCATCAGATGTTCTCACCGGCACATTGAGTTGTATGCACACTTGCGCGAAGTGAGAATCCAGGAGTTCCGGCGGGCATGCCAGATAATGGCCCCTGGACTTGCGTACCAAGACGCCTTCGCATTCGCCGCAGCCGTCGCTGACCCAAAGGTGTGAGCATTGCTGTTGATAGAGATGGTTGACCATAATCTCGTGTTTGAGTTCTTCGATGAAACTGCTTTGCGCGCTGCGGGTTGACCTGCCACTAATCGATGCAGCACTGCTTTGGACGGGTGAGTCGTCCAGACTGAACATCCCAGATGTTGGAGAGCCCCTCTTGGGTGTGAAATGCTGCCTCGACATATCTTGAGGAGTGGTAGCTTTGCTTGAATCAATCGTTCGAGGCGTATATTGCTGATGGTCGTCCAGCGATGGCTTAATGTCCATTTCGTGGTGTTGTATATGGACCGCACGAATCCACAAGGTCAGAGCACTACGTGCAAGAGGACAGGATACCCACCATTGTCCGGGAGCTGCTGGGTCCCAATATGGACGCAAGGCAAGGCTCCCTTTGAGACATCTGAACACATCATATAGAGTCGTACTGCTTACCGTGGAGTGGCCAGAGACATCACAACGGCCTCACTGAGAGATCTCGGCATTGATCTGGGGCTGCAGCGACCTGCAGAACAAGAATATTGCAAATTGCAGGCACTACCTGGAAGTCGTCTCAGACGAAAGGGTGAAGACTGAACTTGACCATGATGATCCTTGGCTGTATCATGGACAAATTTCCGTACCATAGCTTTAGCATGTCTACTATAGCAGAAGGATATTAAAATCGGCCAGCAAGGGTAAGCTCATAGGCAAGGTCTTTCGCGGACAGATTGCCGAGCAGGGATAGTCAGTCTCCGCCACGATGGTTCTGTGATAAAGTAACAGGAATCGGGTTGCAGCTGGTTAGAAGCAAGGATGGAAGGAGGCTGATGGTGATGGAGGAACAAACAGAAAAGGAAGAGAATCAGGGGTAGAGGCAATGTAATTTGACAGGTCGCTCTCCTCTCAGACAGTCACCCCTGTTGTGGTTAGTTCAGCCTTTTCTGCAAGGGGAGAAACATTCATTTGCATCGTGACTGAACACCCACCTTGCTCGCCATCCACGCCGTATCACTCGCATCATGCTGTCATACGTCCGCCAGCCGATGCAAGGACTTTTATGGACGACGAGCTCTTCTTGCTTCGAGGATACTCCATGCTTGAGACCGCGACATGAGACCCCCTGGTCCACAAATCGGTAGAGGTGTTTTTGCCCTCATGTTTTGCGGATAAATGTCATGTATACTGAGGACCGATGGCTGGTATATTTTGGAAAGCATCGTGGCGACGTGCTTTGCCGTCGTTGTGCTTTTCCTGTTCCAATCATAAATTGATGTCTTGGAACATAAGAGCCACATCGAAAGTCGTATGCACAGAAGACATCCTTGCCTACCGTGCTATGTCGATTTCGTGCCTGAGACAAATACACAACCAGACCAAGACCGATTAAAGTGTTCAGCAAATAGTGGCTGATGCCCGATGCTCTCTCCGTCTTTCTACTCTTCATAGTTGCTTCTAAATACGCCATCGCCTCGTAGCGTCTGTCGTGGAATCGGACAGCTTCGTATCCGAGATGGAGCAGTGGAAAGCCTCAACCCTTGAATCCTGTTAGTTTCTGTTCTCGCAGTCAGTATTGAGGAGCACCTGTAGCTATCCACTACCCCCTACCATGGCACAATCATCCAGTTCTCGCTATTCTCTCCAAGTCGATTCGACGATGAATCTTGAAGCTACCCAGAGAGCCGGCTCACCAGACTCGGCCATGGCCAGTGGTGTTTCCCAACACGAGAAGCCCGCAAACCCTTTCTTAACACCTTATGCATCTGAATATCCTTCAAGAAATGCATCATCAGCCGCGCTGCACCAAAGTATGCTCACCCAGCGATACTTCCATTCCCGACGAGTCAAAAAGGGAGAGGTCGAGCGGCCATGGACCAAGGTGAAAGATCCCCGAGAAAAATGGGTGACCATAATTCCGATCATTGGACTTTTGGCGGGCCTGGGCATTGCTGGCTTCCTGGTCTGGGACGGTCTTCGAAGTGTCGTCAATCACACATATTGTCCGGTGTACCTGGAGGATTTTTCGAATGGTTTTGATTCGAAAGTCTGGACCAAGGAGGCCGAGGTTGGCGGGTTTGGCAACGGGCAGTTCGAACAGACCACCGTCACAGACGAGAACGTGTTTGTCAACGACGGAATGCTCCATATCAAGCCGACACTGCAGGATCCGAAGTTGATCGAGACGAACAATGTGATCAACCTAATAGGTGAGGGTATCTGCTCATCTTCGGTCTGGAGCGATTGTATCACGGGCACCAATACCACAAACGGCACCATTGTCAACCCTGTCAAGTCTGGACGGATCAACACCAAGAAAGGGGCGTCGATTAGATACGGCCGAATCGAAGTCGAAGCCAAACTGCCCGAAGGTGACTGGCTCTGGCCTGCGATATGGCTACTCCCGGTCGACAACAAATATGGACAGTGGCCACAATCTGGGGAAATCGATATTGTCGAGTCAAGAGGCAACAACCATACCTATCCTTCAGGGGGCAACAACATCGTTTCCAGCGCGTTACACTGGGGTCCCAACTCGGTCAACGACGGTTGGTGGAGGACCAACGTGAAGAGGAATGCCCTGCATACCACCTTCGCAAAGAAGTTCCATACTTTTGGCCTCGAGTGGTCGGAGAAATATATCTTCACTTACATCGACACTCGGCTGCTGCAGGTGCTGTATACCAATTTCAACGAGCCGTTGTGGAAACGCGGTCATTTCCCTTTGTCTGACAGCAATGGAACAAGACTTATAGATCCCTGGTCACAGACTGGGAATGCAGCGACACCTTTCGATCAAGACTTTTATCTCATTTTGAATGTCGCGGTGGGTGGAACGAACGGCTGGTTCGGAGATGGGAAAAATGGGAAGCCGTGGGTCGACGCAAGTCCAACGGCGAAAAAGGACTTTTGGAATGCCAAAGACACATGGTATCCAACCTGGAAAGATGGTGGTGAGATGGCGGTCAAAAGTGTCAAGATGTGGCAGCAACAGGGATACAACGGTTGTTAGTGATGGCCATTGATTCCACGGCGGTGTAGAGGATGCTGCGACCTGCAGGGACGACAACATCGATACTCCAGTGCGTGGTTTGCCATTCAGTGCAATCTCGGGAGGTAATGTGTGGTGTATGATATAAAGAGAAGATTGTACGATGAGAAGAGTTGATGGCATTGCGAGGGAGATGGGATCGTTGTTGTCGGAACATCGTTTTCCCCTTCCGCGGCTGACCCTCCCGCGCATCTTCTATCAAGAAGATATTTATACGTGCAAAGAGCAAAGAGCAAAGAGCTATTGTGTTTAGGACGATAGAAGTTTTCCATGGCAGACCTGCTATCTATACTTTTCAACCCTTATGAGACTCCATTGCTCCATATAAAACGTGCCGTTATGGAAGGGTTTAAACCAGCTTCAACAATCCATCCAGGTTGATGCTCTTGGGCCGCTCAATCGGCAAACCAAGAGCACGGTCCCAGATAAGTTGCGCCAATGGCCCCAGGCCTCTACTAACACCGAAAGTGACAGTGTAGTACAAGGGATCCTGGAAGCCATAATGGTGGAACAGAACGCCGGAAGCGCTGTCAACGTTGGGGTGAGGGTTCTTCGTCTTGCCATGCTCGGTCAAGACACCTGGTGCGATTTCACTGTTCTTCTTGACCAGGCGGTACACCGGGTTTTTGGCAATGTCCTCCCGGGAATCACCAAACTCGATCAATGCCTTGAAACGAGGATCAGGCTTCCGGAGGACACCATGACCATACCCCGGCACGACCTGGCCGGAGCGAAGAGTGGCCCACAGATAGTCCTTGACGTCTTGGTCCGAGGGGTTCTCTCCAATCTGAGACTGCATCTTCAAGATCCAACGTAGGACTTCTTGGGCGGCAAGGCCGTGCAGCGGCCCGGCCAAACCAAGCAGGCCGGCGGAATATGAGAGGAATGGGTCTGAAAGAGCCGATCCCACCAGGTGGGTCGCATGGGCAGACACGTTACCACCTTCATGGTCTCCATGGAGGGCCAGGTACAGACGGAGCAGGTCTTGGAAACCCTCGTTCTCCTTGCCTTCCTTCCCAAGCAGTTTAGCAAAGTTGTAAGCCCAGTCTTGGTCCTTGTCCACAGGTATATCTAGCGCAGCCTTGTCGAAGATGGCCGCGGCGACACGAGGCAGCTTGGCGAGAAGGTTGATGCTGTCTTCGAATGTGGGCTCCCAGTACTCAGCCTTGCTCAGTCCCTCGGCATACTTCTTTGCGAATTGGGACTCGGTGTTTAGTGCAGCCACAGCACATGACAACTGTGTCATTGGGTGAACGCTTTTGTCGAATGACCGCAGCATATTGACCACATGGGCCGGTAGGTCTGACTTTTCAGCCAACTCGCGGGAGAGAGCCCGCACTTGAGACGTTGAAGGGACTTGACCGGTCAAAAGGAGCCAGAACATAGCCTCGGGGAGCATCTCGGTGCCAGAAGTGCCCTTGGGTAGCTCGTTCTGGCATTCGGCGATGGTTCGACCATGAAAGCGGATGCCTTCGTTTGCATCCAAAACACTGCCTTCCCACACCATGGCCTTCATGGTCCTCATGCCACCAATGACCTGACCTACGGTGATGTCTCCAATTTTCTTGTCGGCATGGCCTTTGACTTCCTTCAGCAACTCTCGCTTCTCGGGAATGACGGACTGGAGAGTGGTTTTGAGGTCTGGTTCAGCTGCCGAAGCGTAGGTGCGGTAGGCAATACTAGTAGTTGTAGAACGTTGAGTTGAGGCACGGAGGGCCCTGAGGGCAGTTCGAGCTGTCCGTGTGCTAGTGGCCATTGCAACAGGCTTGCAGCAAAGTCGATATCTGTACGGGTTGGTGTTGATGTTGGCGTGGATGGGGACCCCGCACAAGTAAGAGAAGGAGGAGCAAGAAGGGTGACCTTGCAACTTTGAAAGGGGCTGAAAGCTGAAAGCTTTCGAGTTGGAGTACTACTAACTGACGACTTCGGTTTCGCAAAAGGAGATGAGGCTATCGTCCTCTGGTTCCTCTGCAAGGGAGGATGGTTGCGTAGTATAAGGAATCCAGGAGCGCAGTATTCTCGGCGAGACCCCAGAATCCCGCAACACCGAAGCATCCTTGACTAGCCGGGACCGAGGCTCATACTCCGTGGGGGGAACGGGGTCTCCCACAACTGTCTGACAGAAAGATATCTACGATGTCCGCCCAAATAGTATCCAGGCTGAGGCTGACAGCAACAATTTGGCAGTGTCAGACAGTTCACATATTTCCTGAAGAGACCTTCCAGCCTACAGCCCGGTCTGAACTCGGAGTCGCGGCCAGTGATCTCGCAGTTTGTATAGAGGGATTTTGTTCACAAAAAATGCTCACTGGCCTTTGCTTACCTCGATTCGCTTGTTGTGGCTGTTACAATTACTGCCAGAGTCCACAGTATCACAAGCCCTCCGCGGGAGCAGTTCACGTTCTGCTACAAAGTGGTGCTGGGTCGCCCGTTCGGTTCTTCTGCACACACTTCGGTCCTGCTTAACAAAAACGACGAAGGGATCCAGCCATGAGCACGTTGAGACAGGTGTCAAGGAGCCTTGGGAGGCCGGCCGCACGAAGCCTCCGGCGACCGACAGTATCGAGATCCCTGCTCGCAACAATGCCTCGCTACTTGTCGTCTTTGCCCCCGGTTGACCCTCCGGTGTCCACGACACTACATTCCGACTCCTTCCAACTACTGTCCACCGAAGAAAAGGCCGGAGATGCCGAAGACGTGCTGTTCAAAGAGCAGGTCGAGGATGTGAAGAAGTGGTGGGCGTCCCCTCGGTACGAGGGGATCAAGAGACCCTACACTGCGGAGGACGTTGTGAGCAAGAGAGGGACATTACAACAAATATATCCTAGTTCCACTATGGCCCGGAAACTGTTTGACCTTCTGAACGAAAGAGCAGCCGAAGGAAAGCCGGTTCACACCATGGGAGTGATCGATCCGGTGCAGATGACACAACAAGCCCCGAACCAAGAGATTCTGTACGTGTCTGGGTGGGCGTGCTCTTCAACCCTGACCACCACAAACGAGGTCTCCGCAGACTTCGGGGACTATCCCTACAATACCGTTCCCAACCAAGTCCAGAGATTGTTTAAGGCTCAGCAGTTACATGACCGTAAGCACTTCGATGCTCGGAGGAAGATGAGCGCGGAAGAGCGAAAGAAGACTCCTTATATTGACTACCTGAGGCCCATCGTCGCGGATGGTGACACAGGTCATGGCGGATTGTCCGCCGTCATCAAGCTGGCGAAGTTATTTGCTGAGAATGGTGCCGCTGCGGTGCACTTTGAAGATCAGCTCCACGGTGGTAAGAAGTGCGGCCATCTGGCTGGCAAAGTATTGGTGCCTGTGGGTGATCACATTAACCGCCTGGTGGCCGCCAGGTTTCAATGGGACATGATGGGCTCCGAGAATCTCGTGATCGCCCGTACCGACTCCGAGAGCGGCAAATTGATATCCAGCGCCGTCGACATACGAGATCATGAGTACATTCTTGGTGTGGCGGAAGAAACCGAGCCACTGTCCGAAGTTCTCCAAGAGATGGAAATGAAAGGTGCGAGCGGGCCTGAAATCGACAAGTTTGAGTCCGTCTGGGTCAAGGAACATAAGCTGGTAACGTTCGACGATGCTGTGGAAGCTCACATCAAAGCCGAGGGGGGAGACGCCTCCGAATATCTTGCCAAAACTAAGGAGAATCGCAACATGTCTCTTTCGAAACGCCGCAGTTTGTCCAATCAGTATACCAAGTCTCCCGTGGTCTGGTCTTGCGACATTCCCCGGACCCGCGAAGGATTCTATCATTATCGGGCAGGTCTCCCCGCCGCCACGAAACGAGCCATTGAATTCGCGCCGTACGCAGATCTTCTCTGGCTGGAGACTGCCGACCCCAGCGTTTCCAAAGGCGCAGGGTTCGCCCAAGAGATCCGCAAGGCATATCCTGGCAAGAAGTTGGTCTACAACCTGAGCCCCTCGTTCAACTGGATGGGACAAGGGTTTGATGATGCCTCGTTGAAATCGTTTGTTTGGGACCTCGCCAAGGAAGGATTCGTGCTTCAACTGATCTCTCTGGCTGGTCTTCATTCCACTGCCACCATCACTGCCGAGCTGTCACGGGGTTTCAAGGAAGACGGCATGTTGGCGTATGTCAATCTCGTCCAGAGTCGGGAAAAGGCACTCGGTGTTGATGTCCTGACCCATCAGAAATGGAGCGGTGCTCCGTATATCGATGGTATCATTGGAGCCATCCAGAGTGGTAGCAGCGGCAGCAAGAGTATGGGCGAGGGCAACACGGAGACAGGGTTTTGAACGCCCGTTGTGCATGTTTTGACGCAGCGGGCTCGTCGAACAAGGCTTGTCGTCGACTGGCCCAGAGAACCTGCGGCCAACAAGCGTCGTCATCTCGAAGAATGGACGTATTTCAGTGCATCCATTGTCGGGTCGTCCCCAAAACACCAAGGGAATGAAATCTCCCGGCGAGACAGTTGTGCCTCCGTGGTACTTGCTGCAGTGCCGTTGGCCTGCCTTACCATGCTGACGACCGCGGCTCACACATACTTACCACTATGCGGATCCGTTGTTCGCCAGGTCGATATAGAGTCGATGTTGGATGTCTGACGCACTCTCCTAGATGAGATGATTCGAACGGATGCCCATATGTGTATACATACCTAGTATGGTACTCCACATGTAAATCAGACGGATGGTCTTCCAACACGTGCTCTTAACAGAGGACCGGAGTGCATACGGTGGCGATGGCGAGTTATAACGACCCAAAATTCTTTTTCCACTGTAGAGATAACCCCACGGCTTACCATCGACAGTCCTAATCATCCCACGATTGATCTGGCTTCTGGATTGAATACCTTGTGTTCTCATGAACAATATTCCCAAGAAAAAACCGTCGAGACCCAGACCCAGACCCTTGAGACCCTGGTGGGAAGGCAGACGGGGACCTAAGGAACCCTGGAAGCAGAATCCGCTGCAGTGGCTCGCTCGTACCCACAAGGTCGCGGCCGCCGCCCGGGTCGCCTCCGTACAGCCCGCCGGCCACCCTTCAGGTCTGTGCTGCGGCGATTATTTTGCACGGTTCTGGGTTGTTGAAGAGATAAGGATAAGGAAGGATAAGGAAGGATACCTAAGGCAACAAATCATAACGCCGCTAATCATAAAATTTCACAGTATTTGGGGTCCAGGCTGAGAAAAAAGTGGCAGCGCCTCCGAGTCCCTTCGCTGTCGACGGAGCCCGCAGGCTGATTTTCCTTTAGTACGTAGTACTTCGTACCTAATCTACTAGTCCTCTTGATATTATTATTACTACTAGTCGTGAGATTTCTTTCTCTCCCCTCTGACAATTTCTGTTCTGTATTTTCTCACCAACTCTCCCCTCTTGATTTTTGTTCAAGGAGTCGAGGACGCTGAGATCGTTGCTGCGATCGATACAGCTGGTGGTCCTCTCTTCTGCTCTCCTCTCCGTCGCCGCATCGTCTCTCGTTGCGACGGTCTTTTCTCTCTCCTCTCCAGAATATGCCACATTTTGAAAGCCCTCCTTTGGCTCCCGCAATGGCTACTCCTGTGGTTCCGTCCAAGTCCAATGTCTCTGGAATCCCTCCTACTGCCGAAGAGGTCAACAGCCTTGTGAAGAAAATCCTCGAGACCGACAACGGTCAGACCGCACTCGATGCCTCCTATGCGCTGACCAATCTCCTGATTCAATCCGTTGGAATCCGAGCCTTGCTGGCTTACAACCTGATACCAGAGATCAAGAAGGCGGCGGTTGACAAGAAAAATGCGTCCAAGCGTGAGAGTGCCATGTACATCTTGGGGGCCATGTTCGAGAGATTTCCTCGTGAACAGCCCCTCAGCGAAGTCGTCTTTTTAGTGCAGGATGGGGGACTGTTCCATCTTGTCCTCGATGGCTTGGCCGACAAGGGCGCTTCGGTGCGAGAGTCGGCCCAGTATGCCGTCGATGAGCTGTTTAAAAACCTGGAGCCTGAAGCCTTGGTCGTGGGCCTCCTGCCCGCTCTACAACGATACCTGTCCAAGCCTACCGGCAAGTGGCAAGGAACTGTTGGAGCTTTCACCTTGCTCGGAAAGATGGCCGACAAGGCCCAAATTGGTGCAGGCTCGAAAGAGGAGGAACAGGCCAAGGACGTCTTGCGAGAGTCCATGGGTCGCACGCTGAAAGAGCTCATTCCGGTGGTGGAAGCAGGAATGCATGACTTGAAGTCCGAGGTCGCCAAAGCAGCAACCAAAGCCATGAACTCTCTCACCACTCTGCTGCAGAACGACGACGTTGCTCCTCGAATCCCTCTTCTTATCGAAACCATGAAGAACCCCTCGACACAGACCCTCCAGAAGGCCATCCACGCCCTTTCTCAAACCACATTCGTCGCCATCGTCACTTCGCCTGTCCTCGCCCTTCTCACTCCTCTGCTCGAGCGTTCTTTGAACTCGCCGAGTACGAGTCAGGAAGTGTTGAGACAGACCGTCGTTGTGGTGGAAAACTTGACAAAACTGGTTCACGACCCGGTTGAAGCACGAACGTTCCTGCCCAAGCTGCAGCCAGGTGTGCAAAAAGTGGGGGATAACGCTTCACTGCCGGAAGTCCGAGAACTGGCCACAAGAGCGGTAGCTGTCATGAAGAAAGCCATGGGTGACGACAAAGACGGAGTTACTGCTGGCCAGATCGCTCGCACCAGCACCGACGATGTTCTGAAAGTTTTGGACCAACAGATTCGAGCCCATGGCGGCATCCAGAAGGAAGATCAGGCCATCTGGAAACAGGGCCAGATTTACGTCTCCGACATGGTCAAAGAAGATGTCAACCTCAGGGTCTTCTCACGCGTCCCCGGCCGAGTTGGCCCCTACTTGAAGTATCTGTTGCCGGAAGACAAGTGTACAGCTGTTGCCGATGGGGTGCAGAAATTCTATGTCGACGAAGACCACAAAAGGTTTGGCGCCCCGGTGGTGGAAAATCCCGACGAGGTGGAGGTTGTCAACGCCGAATTCTCCCTGGCTTATGGTGGCATGTTGCTGCTCTCGCACACCAACCTTCGTCTGTTGAAAGGTCACAGATACGGACTTTGCGGACGCAACGGTGCCGGCAAGTCTACATTGATGCGGAGCATTGCAAGTGGCAAACTGGAGGGGTTCCCTCCGCAAGACGTACTCAAGACGTGTTTCGTCGAGCACAATCAAGGCGAAGATGCCGACATCAGCATCCTCGACTTTGTCTCCAAAGATCCCGAGATCGCCAAAGAGGGCCGCGAGCGTATTTCGGAAGTTCTCAGCGAAGTCGGCTTCACCGCCGGTCCTGAAGGCCGGCAGTCGCACAAGGTCGGCTCGTTGTCTGGAGGGTGGAAGATGAAGCTGGCTTTGGCGAGAGCTATGTTGATGCGCGCCGACGTCTTGCTTCTGGACGAGCCGACTAATCATCTCGATGTTGCCAACGTCAAGTGGCTTCAAGAATACTTGAAGACCCACAACGAGATTACATCCTTGATTGTGTCTCACGACTCCGGGTTCCTCGACGAGGTCTGCACGGACATCTACCACTACGAACAAAAGAAATTGGTTCACTATAAGGGTAACCTGGCGGACTTTGTCAAAGTCAACCCCGAAGGCAAGAGCTACTACACCCTGTCAGCGAGCCAGGTCCAGTTCAAATTCCCTCCTCCGGGTATTCTGTCGGGTGTGAAATCAAACACCAGATCGATTCTCCGTATGTCGAACGTCAGCTTCACCTATCCGGGGGCGACGAAGCCCAGCTTGCAGGACGTTTCCTGTTCATTGAGTCTGTCGTCTCGAGTTGCCATCATCGGCGCCAACGGTGCAGGAAAATCGACCTTGATCAAGCTGTTGACGGGTGAAACCATCCCGCAGACCGGAAAGGTCGAGAAACATCCCAACTTGCGAATCGGTTACATCAAGCAACACGCCCTCGAGCACGTGGAGATGCATCTTGAGAAGACCCCCAACCAGTATCTGCAATGGAGATACGCCAACGGCGACGATCGTGAAGTGTTGATGAAGGCCACTCGTGCGCTCACCCCCGAAGACAAGGCCCAGATGGACAAGTGGATTGACCTGGGAGACGGCAACCCGCCGCGACAGATTGAAAACTTGATGGGTCGACAGAAATACAAGAAGACGTTCCAGTACGAAGTCAAATGGAGACACATGCTCCCCAAGCAAAACACCCAGGTCTCCCGAGAGACGCTTCTGGAGTGGGGTTTCCAGAAGCTGGTGCAAGAATTCGACGATCACGAAGCCTCGCGAGAAGGCCTGGGCTACCGCATCCTCGAGCCCAAGGTGATCTCCAAGCACTTTGAAGATGTCGGCTTGGATCCCGAGATCGCCAACCACAACCAGATTTCCGGCCTGAGTGGTGGTCAGAAGGTCAAGGTCGTGCTGGCCGGTGCCATGTGGAACAACCCGCATCTGTTGGTTCTGGACGAACCGACCAATTTCTTGGACCGAGACTCTCTGGGTGGTCTGGCCGTCGCCATTCGAGAATACAAGGGTGGTGTCGTCATGATCAGTCACAACGAAGAGTTTGTCGGCGCGCTGTGTCCGGAACAGTGGCACGTTGCTGACGGGAGGGTGACGCACAAGGGTCATCTCGCCGTCGATCTCAACCGATTTGAAGACTCGCGCCCTGGCTCCAGCAATGTCAGCTCGGTCGTCTCGAGTGCCACTGCCTCGGCGGTCAATTCGGGTGTCGAGGACAACAGCGACATGAACTTCCGGGCCAAGAAGAAGAAGAAGTTGACCCGAGCCCAATTGAAGGAGAGAGAAGTCCGGCGCAGATTGCGACAGTAAGTTTTTTGTCTCTGTCCTTGGTCATGGAAACAGAATGCTAACATGTGTGTGTTTTTTTCAGTATCGAATGGTTGAACAGTCCCAAGGGGACCCCGCATCCGCCAGACACGGACGATGAATCATAAGACCAGAGAAACAGACATTGTCAACTAGAGTTTCCCTCCACATTGAGTCATAGCGTCGGCGTTGGAGTTGGGCGCGAGCATGAGCATTGAATCGAATTGAATTGATGGGGCTGCAACGGCTCGAAGCGCGAGCAGCGACGACGGGTCGGTACAAGTCATCGGACATAGACTGGGGTTGAACATGGCCTGCCACTGCAGAAGTGGCTTATGACAGATCGATAGAAAGGCCTATGCATGTATGCATTCTGAGGATTGCGGATCTGATCTGATCTGCTTTGAATGATCGATGGATGGATTGGGGGGTTTCTTTTGTATATTCTCATCACGACGAGAAGCATGTCAAGTGAATACGGATAGACAGGGCGTTAGTTGTTGGGTGAATGAATGTATGGTCTTGCTTTCCTTTCCACGATACAAAAATGGTATGATGATGATGGTGGCGGTCATCGTGATACTATACTAGTAGAGGTAGTATAGTTGTGTGAGGCATCTTTCATCTATGTGCTCTTCGTCTGGCCGTCTCCCTCCCTACAAGTAGTCATGGCGAAGAAAAATGCTATACTCTGTAAATGCCGGCTGATGCTATTCTTTGACATACTAGTAGTAGTAGTAGCTGATATCAAGCACTCTGCCACCATTGCAAGGTCCTGGAATTAGCTACCTGACGTCTCTGAGCGATTTACTACAGTACGTACTTTCTTTGTGTTGTTGTCAAATCCACTAATTATAGTTTAGATATATGATGAACATATAGATCATTTCTCCATCATTTCTAAGAGTACTCGTATCCCTCCCTCCCTCTTGTCCCTATTGCCCACCAACATGCTGCTAGGTAGTAGGTAGGTAGTAGGTAGGTAGATAGCCACCCAAGTAATTCCCCACCCACAGACAAGTAAATCAAGATCTTTCGTTACTATACGACCTTCGCATCCTTTTTCGCGGGCCTCTCCCCAAAAATCGTACTGCCAACCCTCACCTCCGCACTGCCCTGCCTGATAGCGCCCTCGAAATCCTCGCTCATGCCCATACTCAACTCCAGCTCTGCCGGCTCCACGCCCAGCGCGCGGGCCAGCCGGTCGCGCGTGTCGCGGAGACAGATGAAATCCTCGTTTTCGGTTTCCGCGGTGGTGGCTTTCGAGCGCGCGATGGCGCCGATGGTCATTAGTCCTTGGAGATGGAGGTTGGGGCAGGAGGAGCGGATGTGGGTTGCTAGATTTATTAATTCGCTGGTGGTGTCGGGTTGGGTTTCTGAAGAAGAAGAGTCAATAATGGGCGAGACGCCGGATTTGGAGTCTTCGCCGGAAGTGTTGACTTGGATGAAGACGCGGAGGGGGTCTGGATGGAGAACGGATTCTGATTCTGATTCTGATTCTGGTTCTGGTTTTGAGGATGACGATGACGATGAGGATGGATCTTGCTGCTGTGTTTCCGGGGGTTGTTGTTGTTTTTGGTCTTGTTGTTCTTGTTCTTGTTTTTGGTGTGGTTGTTTCTGTTTCTGTTTCTGTTGTTCTTCTTGTTTCTCTCTTATCCTCCCATTCCTCTCCCCTCGCCCTTTATCCAACAACGTCGCCTTTTTCACACTGTCCACGCTCTCGACGGCCCAAAGACTCTCCACTTCCCGCGCCAGCTGCGTGGCCTTGTTACTCTGCAAGCCGCCGATAAAGTGCCATTTAATCGTCTTGGGCAGGAGGCGCGCCTTCTCCAGCAGTTCCTGCACGTAGTTCTCGCCGAAATGGAGGTGGTGGGTCGGCGGGCTGTGGAGGGCGAGGATATCGCTTGCTGGTTTGAGTTTCGAGACGGCGACTAGACGAGGAGGAGGATGAGACGTCGAAGATGTCGAAGCCGAAGTAGAGGAAGAAGTAGATTGTGGTTGAGATTGCGATTGTGACGATAACACGGCCGAGATCCGTTGCTGGACAGATTGCAGATTCGATTGTAAGACGGCGGCGCGGGCTGGGTCGATCTTGATCATGGATCCGGAGGGCATGCTGTCGGTAGAGGTATGGTGGTTGTCGTTGTCGTCGTTGTCCTTGTCGTTGCTCATTCTGAAGGGGTTACGGAAAGAAAGGGAGGGGTCTATGGGAGACGGGGAGGACCACGGCGGAGACAATAGTTGTTCCGAGTCTGGTACACTCGTGAGCAAGTCGCTTAAAGTAGTACGTCGTTCGCGTTGTCGTTGTCGTTGTCAATACGTCAATTCGTTCGTCGGATGTCGTGTCTCGAGAATTGGAGAGAAAAGAAATCCACCGAAGTGTTTTGGTGTCCAGTGTCTGATCTTCGGTCGGCGTTCAAAAGACCGACGTCATTTACTATCATACTCTGTATATTCCACGCTGCGTGTACAGTACGTACTTTGTATACACGAACGTTATCACTTACCTGGGAGCTATATAGGTATGTATATGTAGATACACTTGAGAGCTCAACTGTCCGGGGCACATCCCGCCTGTTCATCTGGTGAAGTTTTGACTCTGACTTTGTGTGTGTGCATTGTGACTCTGGGGCGTTTTACAGTATGTAGTTGGTGCTAAGTCAATCAGGCTTGCGCAAGTGTTGGGAGAAAGACCTGACGGCAATCAATTGATACTGGATCACCCGCCACAGTCATGGCAGAACTGGTGAATGGTTGGCACTGGGAACAGTAGGTCTTGATTGCCTGGATAAACCTCAGTTCGACCGGACCTGACATTCAAGTTCTCTGCATTGATGTCTACCCTTCCAACACCTCTTTTTGCGGGAATGCCTGACCCATCCTTCGACATGACAATCACGACCTCGACATGGATAGGTTGATCATGGTCACGGCCCCCGAGCCAGCCGGTCTTGCATCATATTCAGCAGGATGCCGGGGACTTTTTCCTGTGTAGCTCGAATCGTGAGACGGAACATCTGCAATACACACAAGAAACAGGTCAGTCAGCATTTCTGGAATAACAAAAAGAAAAGCAACCCAATTTGAGTCAACGTAGACGCGCATCTCCAGAGAACACCCACACCCGCATCAACACCCACACTCTCATTCAAACTCCAAAACACACGCAAGACGGATAGAGAGACGAATATGACATACCTTCTGTTGATGATTCGGCTCCAACCTCAACAAACAGCCCGTCTTGCCCTTCTCCAACTGAAGCACCGCACAACCGACGACATTCTTCGGGTTTGGATCGACATTGTCGAGAATGCGCCAGCGGAACCCCTCCACGGTGTCGCGGATGTGGGCATCACTCATGTCCGTCGCCGGCCTGCGTAGGGCAAACGTGCTCTGCGCCTCGAGGGGGCCCGCGCCGATCTGTCGCCACCGTTTGAAGAAATCCTCGGCCGACAGCTCCGACGGATCCATGAACCGGTGTGGCAGGATGGGCAGTTTGAGAGTGTAGCCCTGCAACGCGCCCGCGAGATACGAGATCCGAATGGTCGGTGGTTCCGAGAAGGGCGCGACAGACGTACACACGATGGTCTGTTGGGCCTGGGAGTCGGCGTCGATGTGCGAGTCCGGTAAGCTCTTAGTGTCGATGCGCAAGTTCGGCGCGGATTTGTTGTCGATGGTCGTCGTGAACGAGCCGATGGGGAACGAGGCCTTGTTGGTGAAATACAGTTTGACCACACCCAGATGGCCGCGGTATTCAGCGCGGAGGCCGACTTGGATCTGCGGGTCTTCGTACAGAATGCCTTCGTTGGCGAAATACATCTGTTCGTAGCCAATTTCCCAGTCGGGAGAAAGGTGTGTGGTGCCAGCCATGTTTTCGGCGGCGGCGGTATGTCCATTCATGTCCAACCCTTCGAGGTCTTTCGACGCGGAACTGCTGTAACCGCCGTTCTGCGAGACACCGCTGACGCTCCTTGACCCTGTTACATTCCCGTTGCCGTTTGCCTTGGTCGGCGAGCTTGTTGCTCCGTTGACGATGGTGGTAAACGACCGTTTTAGACCGGTCGGTTGCTGCGCGAGCACGACCTCTTGCTTGTCGGCGTTGGCATCTTTGCCTCCTACCACCCAGGTCCTTCGCTCGCTCGTCCCCACACTCTTCTTGTGTAGTCTCTGGAGGAGGATCGATGCCCGTTCCGAGAATGGAGGCATTTCGTCACATATGGTTCTGAGCAGATCGTCGGACGGCAGCGTTGCAATGGTCAGATACTCGCAAGCCCGTTGTTGCAGCTCCGAATCTGGGGAATGACTGTAAAACTGGAACATCTGTAGGAGCTGCGGCTTGATTTCCGGGAACAGATTAACGAATTTGACAAAGGTCGACAACAGCAACGCCCTTGTCGGGTCCGGCGCCGAGATCATCTTCGTCTGCAGCATCATCAACTGCTCAATCGGACTGGAGCCTTTGTTGTCGGCGATCAGATGCCCAAACTCTCCAAGGATGTATCCGCCGATCTTGACCAGGCTGTCATGACAATCCTCCGTTTTGAGATAGTCAAAAATATGTTGCGCTGCATAAGCTTGCAGCTCCTCGTTGTTGGTGATGATCTGGACCACTCGTTGCCATACTTCATCACTGACATGGTCTCCGGCCATGGCGAGCAATCGCAACGAGATGTCTATGTACCATTGAGCATCCGTGGCATACTTCTCCGTCAGAATGGCGATCTTCAACGTCATCTCTTCTCGGATCGAAAAGTCGGCGGTCTGGAGGTACTTCAGCAGCTCGTTGACGATCGGCTGCGCATTGGTTGTGTCACACATGCTGTAGAGCAAGTCCAACCCCTTCCGTCGAACACTGATATCCCGATCTCGCAGAGAACCGATGATGATGTTCTGATGACGTTTGATGGGGTCAAGCGTGTCTGTTCGCGCGGCGAAATGGGTCATCGCATCCAGTCCCAGATACCGCACATTGGTCTCGCGTGACTGGATGAACCTGCCGAGTTTGGAAGATATCTGCATCATCAGTTGATGCTCAGTGTCGAGATGAATGAGGAGATTGATGGCTTCGAATAGGACGGCATTCTGGGCATTATTCTGTTGTACATTTTTCGGGGTTTCGGTCGCTGCTTGCATAATCGCCTGGAGTGCTTCGCGGATGATGTCGCGAACATGGGTGTCCTCTGTCAATTGAAACTGTTAGACAACGGTCGGCATGCTTTGCTCAAGTAGGGAACTTACCTGATGGCGGATAGTATTGGAGTAGCTTCAAAAATTTCACCTGGATCCAAGGGCATGGCACCTTGTAGTACAGGTAGTCGGGAGATATGTCGTTCTCGATGACAATCTTGTGTAGCCTTTGGGCGGCCTTCACATAGCTTCCTTTATAGGCATCTGGGTGGTCTTGAACCAGAGCCATGATCAAAGATGTGACCGATAGAACGACACCCATGTCGGGATCGTCCATCAGCGATATTATTCTCTCCGCCCATTCCGGCTGCAGGATGCCAGGGTATTTTCGGTAGAGTCGGAGGAGCGTCAGGGCGGCCTTCTTCTTGACGAAGGATTTCGAGGTAGGTGAGATCAGCAGTCGGTGGACGTCGGCACTGAGGGCCTCGCCCATTTCCCTCCCACCGACATTGGCGACCGCATGAAGGGCCAGACAATTGTTGATTTCGTTCTGATCCAACAAGTCCTTCCGAATGCTGTTGACCACCAAGTGCAGCAGTTCGTGTTCCTCGTGGAGGAAGAGGGTCACCGACAGGTATCCGATCTGTTTCTCCGAGTACTTCGTGGCGGAGATGAGATTGACCGCTTCCAGGTGTCCGAAATCGACATTGTATCCTTGGATGTAGATGTAGAGCAATTTGCAAGCATATTTCTTCTTCTGATACCCATCCAACTTCTCGTTCTTGAATTTCTGCCGAATATTGGCCAACTCTTTGTTGATGCGCTTCTCTTCAAGCTCCCGGGCTCTCGCGTTTCGGAGGTCGGCTATGAATTGGACGAGACCGCGCATAGACGACATGATTGAGGACCCGAGCAAGAGAAGCGTCCGGCGCCGGACCGCGTCGTGTGCGTATAGTTAGGCGGAAACTGCGGATGGAAATGAGGCCTCGAGGGCATTTGTCAGTGGTGCAGTGGTTCGAGGGTGTCGCACCCCATGGCTATCGGACAACTGGGATGCAGGTAGAAGCTAGCATCATTCGACGAAAAGAACGCTGATGGTCCGCGTCGATGAGCGAGGTTCAAGTTCGAGTGGCTGAGGGAAAGGAGGTTGCGGTGTCGGTGCAGTCAGTGTCTTGAATCCCTCTTTAATTCCCGCCCCCTGTCACCGACCGTATTACTGCTTCAAGGGTCCAGCGCCATCATCTCACCATCAAAACATGGAGAACTCGGAGGGATATAAGATACTAGTACTACATACTACCTAGGTATGGATCTACTACTTGTGGCAGGGGTCGTCATCATCATCATCCCTCACTCCCTCGTTGTCTGTCTCCCAGAGCTATCATCTCATCCAACAAGGCCACTGTCTCGGCCGGATTAGCAATCCACGCACAACAACACGCACTTCGCGCTTTGAAGTCATTCCCGCCGCCGCTCAAGAACTGGTCACCGACATGGAGAGTGCTAGACGGCGGGATCCCGCCAAACCACTTCTGGCACGACTGAACTCCCATCGATTTATCGCCGACATCGAGGAAAACATCCGCGCCTCCATTGAATACGGTAAACGGGATGTGCGCGTGAGGTGGCGGTTGCTCCGAGCCTCTTGTGGACAGGGAACTCACCACCATTTGCTGCACCACTAGAACCGTCTCTTCCAGTTGCTCGCGGGTGAGTTTCTTGGACTGGTCGGCGGCGTATATCCCCACCGCCCGTTCTTTCCGGAGCACCTTGGCTTGTAGATGTAGCGTGCGTATACAAGAGTGAAACGCCGCTTCCCCCACGTCGAGTAGTGACTGGATTGCCGGCTCAGACCAGTCCTTCATGGCATCCAGCACCCACTCCCGTCGATGGATATATCGTAGACAGTATTCGGCTTGCTCGTCAAAGACCAGGAGAAAGTTGGATTCGCCGCCCATGATGATGAGATTGGTCTTTTGGGCGGAGGTCAGCTGTGTCGATGATCGAATAGCGAGGAGCAGACCAGACAGTCGATCAAAGTAGTTTTTCGGCTGCGTATAGCCTGCAGCTGTGACGATGCCGATGCGCACATCTTGGGACAAGAAATGTAGCAGGCGGAGAATGACCGGATCCGACTCGGGCGAATGGAGGGATGCCCCGTCCTCATAAAGAGTCACATCACCATCGAAAGTGAGTAGCTCCAGCCCCGGACTGATCTTGGGTCTCAGAAAGCGATACGGCTTCGGTTGGATCATGGCCAGGATTTGCGCGGTATTGAGGATCAGCCTGACATCATTGAACGACGGGGCGACAAACCGTCTCGAAGAGATCGCCCGGATGGAGTCTTGATGGTAGAAGGCGTCTTCGAGAGCAAGAGGTGTGAAGAACGGTGAGATTGTAGGGACCAACATGTTGAGCTTGGAGTTGGGATGGGACGTGTATTGGCGATTGACTGTGATTCAAATCAGAGCCTGTCCCTGAGAACCAGGGGCACACTCACTGTGGTCCAGGATCAGATCCTCCACATCTCGAAAGATCTCAGCATATCTCTGACGGGCGGATCTCGCCATGGTGTCCAGGCTCTGCACGTTGTTGTCATCATAATCAACTGCGGGTTGCGAATTGAGCACAAAGGGGACAGCGAGAAGGCCCTGGAAGAGCGGTCAGTCCCCAACATCTCGCGGTCGCTGAACGTTGATGTGAAGGCTCACCTTGATCCACTCAATCAGTTGGTCTCTCCGATGACTCTATAGAGAGAATCGTGTCAGTACGCTGACTAGCATGGCAGGGCCTCGTGTCGACGAGCATCAACTTGCCTTGAGGGCATCTATCGTTCATTAGCAGGACTCCATATGTTTGGATGGTGCGGAAGAGCCTACACTCGACGCGATATCTGGTCGTCATGTTCGCCTTCACAGCTCTTACTTCCGCTCAATTGCAGACGCTCGACACCAAGGAATGTCTTGAGATGCAAGAGTCGGGCGGTATGAAAGCGAACAGCGTTGGAATTGCAAACACTCGGTTGCCCTTCTTGTAAGTCGCACCGAATCTGGTAACCCGCCCCTTGATACCAGGTACGATGCCATACTGTATTTATGTGATAATACGTGGGGTAATGGTGCCTTGCTGGCAGCAGATTCTGTGTATGGCACCTTCTCATGACGGGTTTTGTTCAGATTGACCGGATGGGCCAATCAGGATTCGTCTCAACTACCTACTACTATGGTCTCTTGTCCCAATTTCCAGAATGTGGTCTTTGAACATTTACTACCCAAGTATGTAGGTAGATAGTCATGGGAACTAACCTCGTACGTCTCACTCTCGTGTCTTGTCCTTGCCATCCTGTCGCTGCTCTCCTGCACTCATCCCCACAGAAGCGACCCCAGCACGTTCCTCCATCACCCAGAAGCCTGCGGGACATTCCAGGATAAGTCGTCGTCGTAGGACGTGATGGCACGCAAGAGCTAAAGGGCTCAGTCAATATGGGAAGCTACAGACTCCCCTTCATGATTTGATCTATCGCTTGGTCAAAGTCCGTATCCACCTGAGACGCAACCGCCGTTCCGTCTGCTTTGGTACACCCCCTGGCTGTCCATGTCCAGATGAGGTACTTCGAGGCAGATCCTTTGCCTGTGTTGCTCCACTTGATGCTGATGGACTCCGGCAGGACTGCAATCTTCATCTTACCTACTGCCTCGTCCGACTCACAGATGATGAACTCCCCATCGTGGGGGTGGGCTAGCTTCCAGTGCTTGGACGGTCCATGCTCTGACTCTGGGGGAATGTTGCGTTCTTTCACTAAAGTCTCGACGTGGGCGACCAAATCCAGTAACAGTATTCGTCGAATACAGGACACCGCCGCGCCCTCGGTCTCATGACGCAAGATTGGCATATGCGAGAATCCAAAATCAACCGGAGAGGTCTCATAGCGTGATCCATATAGTGGAGGCCCAAGAAAGGTTGCAAGACCGACTTGCATAGTTCTGCCTTCTGTTAGGCTGACTTTGCATCCTGCTTTCGCCGGGAGCATCATTTCAGAGAGCAACGTGGACGAGTGATCCACGCTTAGGGACTCGAATAGATTGCCAGTTGACTTCTGAGGCGTAATCGAGACTTGTATGCCGGCCTGTAGGAAAGGTTTGGCGAGATCTCGACAGCTTTTCCAGAATCTTGTCGCCTCAGCCTTGTGCCGGAGATGGGTCAGAATGAGTCGAATGAGAGCATATTCGGGAAGCGGACGAGATTTGAGAGTCATCGGCGGCGGTTTTTGGGATCTTCTGACCAAGTTTTGCTGGTGAGCAGCGTTCAATAACAAGCGAAGAGCCACGGCAACAAATTCGGCTACGATGTGGTCGTCGGAATCGGGAGTGGCATCCACATCAGAATCATGTTGTTCTGCAAACACGAGCGAGATTTGACATCCACCGGTGACCTCAAGATCTACCGAATCGGCACGAGTGGTGACGCCTTGGTTTGCCATTATGCGTGCCTCGCGACACACTTCGTAAAACAGCTCTTCTTCGAACAGTGAATCACGCATGTCGGTTAGCTGATCTCCAATGCTCTGGGGCTGCGCTTTCTGCACAGAGGTTCGAGCTTGAAAGAAAGCAGTTTTCGTGTTGTTTCGACTGACATAGACACCAAGGCGTTTACGCTTCCTCTGAATCGGGTGCTTGTCTAGGATGACAGCTCCGTCATCTGCTTGCCGAAGGAGGGCGAAACCTCGATCGCGAAACTGTGGTGCAGACTCGGGAAACCCGAAGTGTACGCCAATTGCTTTGCTGTCCCGCGGCAATCGTGACACCGCCCAGCCAGACGCAGTCAAATCAGCAATCTGTGCCCAGTATTCCGTTTCACGTTCCGCGTCAATTTTGAGTCGGGAGGAGGCAGTAGATAGCTTGATCGAGGTAGACCGAAAGCTTGCTAATCTCCTACCTTGAGAAGCGGATGCTAAACGTCGCTGCACAGACGATGACAGCGGCTTGGCTGGCAAAACTCGTGCAGCCAGAGTTCCAGCAGGGACAGCATCTTTGAGTGCTGGAGACATGGAATGTTGAGCTGGGACAGACTGTTTCGAGATCAGCAGCGACACGAAGTCCAGTGCGCACAGGATCTCATTCTGGGCGTAACTACAGGAAATGGTCAGCTCGTGCAACAGACCCCCAGCGGGCGCGGCCACCGCACTTACCTCAAGCGCTCCAGCATCTCCTCTCTGCTTTTCCACAGTCGTTCCTGACGTTTCTGGGGCGTTTCATCCTCTTCCGGCTCAACTTGACCGTCACCCTGAGGATCATTGTGCTTTGAGCCTGGAGCTTTGCCGCGAATTTGCGCCAGCAGCGACTGTTCGGTCACATGACGGAAGTGGCCCTTCTGAGCAACAATTTTCTGGATCTGGACTTGCAAATCTTGTGAGGTCGAATCTTGTTCAGGAGGAATGAGCAGGCTGATGGTCTTTGATTCAGACATTATTGCGCAAACGGCGTTGTTCACATTCAGTTGGTGGCAGCGCGTTCTCTAGTCTCCTGCGGCGAAATACGGTACAAAGCCAGATGGTAGTCGACTGTATCGTGCAGCAAATGAGCTGCAGATGATTTCACGCGGCAGATCGAGACATGACAGCTGGTATGGTACTGCCTTTCTGATTATGTAGGTACCTAGACAGGCATAAAGGAAAAGAATGTTCTGATTATTGGTGGACAAGACAGATGGGAGGTGAAGGAATTGGCGTGTCAGTCAGTAGTTGTTGGTATGAATGAAAAGAATGAGGAACTGAACTGACAGCGGCTGGTGAATGGAATGGCGCAGGCTCTCACACGCCATTCCGGTCCTGGAATCTTGAAGTCAATCGACCACACACTTTATCAGGCTATAATAATTCCTACTGTAAGATTAACGAGGCCTCTTCAACCTCAGCCTCTAGAATGCATATCCACATCGCAATACTACTAGTAGAAGATGCTCTTCAATACATTCCCACAAAGCCTTAATGGCTTGTCCATCCATACCAGATAGTCAATCCCATCATATGTTGTTGCCGTGCGCCGCGCTCGTTGTACATGGAAAAAGCAGATTCAAGTAAAAGCCAATGCCGGCATGTCCGTCACTGCCAGAATTTCCACTCCGGCCTCCTCTCGAGAAGACCGACTCCCACCAGCGCGTCAATATCTTCCGGCCCTTTGGCATTCAAAAACTTTTGCTGGTCGATCTCCTCCCCGCCCTCTTCATTGGTGCCATTGTGCAAGACCGCAGGATAAAGAATCCCCACGCCACTACCACCCAAGGTGGTCTTGTGTTCTTCGAACCCGGCGGCCTCGATCTTCTCTTGCAGATCGCGAAGTGCGGCCTCATCAACATTGCGCTTGAGTAAAGTGATGGCACATCCACCCCCTCCCGCGCCTGTCAGTTTGGTCCAGCCAATATCGGCATAATCCACTATTTCGCGGATATGTTCGAGCTTGGGGTGAGAAACCCCGAGTGAGACCAAGAGGCCGTGGTTGATACGAAAAAGGTCTCCAAGATATTCGATGTTCTGTTCGGATGATGGATCAAAGTTCTCCGAGGTAATCAAGGTGTAGGCCGACATCGTGACTTGATCGATCCCATCCAACGTAGCCCTCGTGACACCAGGATACTTCTTCTTGAGACTGGCTACTTTGGCCACTTCTACGGCCGTAGAGCGGGGTTGTTTGGTGTTGATCAATAACAAAGGAAGTTCTGGAAAGTTTTTCAGTGGTTCTGCATTCGGCGGCTTCGAGTAATCCTCCCTCTTGAAGAGCACAGCCCTGCCACGAGTCGAGACAGTATTGTCGACTCCGCTAGGATTACCGTGGATACATAATTCTCCCACAAACGCCCACCTGTTTATCCTTTCCAGTTGTTGTTCGACCTCTTCCTCTGGTTGATCATGATGTGGCCCTGACAGCACATGTATTTGTTTGAGGAGGGCGGCACTGATGCAAACGCATATACTGGCGCTGGATCCGAGTCCGGCGCCAATTGGGAGTGTTGAACGGAGGGTGTAAATGCAGGCCGGGGCGGTGGGAGTATTTAGAGAGAGAAACAGGTAAAGGAAGGAGGACGCGGCATTTTGGTGTATTCTCCTCGTGTCGCCAGTCAGATGTGTCGAGACTGCGTCGATATGAGGTTGCATGGCCTGGACCAGTTCGGGATCCAGGGACGTGACCATGTCATAGTAGCGAGGCCTTTGCGCGAGCTTTGTGAAGACGTGCCACGGTAGGTCGTCAATGTTCCATGTATGATCGAGGCCAACGTCGGGGAAAACTAGCTGAATCGTGCGCTGTGACTTGGAGAGGGTCGTAACAAGAAGGTAGGATCGCAGGGAGATCGAGGCAGCCATGGCGGCCTTTCCATGCACGACAGCATGTTCGCCAAACACGATGACCTTTCCCGGGGCGGACACCATAAACGCAGGCGCCATCGGTGAAGATGATTTGCGCGACATGTTCGGCGAGTGCGAGCGGTTATCTTTGGGGTGACCGTTGACGCCGTTGAGTCGAGGGGTTCCGTTCATGATTAACTCGACACGGTGGACCATCGCGCGGTGTCAACAGAGGAGAGAGTGCCAACGAGGCCTTGCTCAGTCGAGCTGGCACACGGATCTCAAGAACAGGTGAGGAGAGGAGGAGAGGGGAGGGGAACGAGTGGACTGTATCTGGTGCGGACTTCAATGTAGCCACCAAAAATTCATCGTTCTGGACCTGGGATGGATGATTGGTAGCGACGCACGCAGTTCAAGTTGGAGTTGAAATAACAGCGGGAACTTGGTCGTCTCTCCAGTAGCGATTATTACCTTAGGTAAGGTCCCCGGGGGTCAATGCAGGAACCAGACAGCTAAAGGTTCTGAGCCAGTCAGGCAATTTTAGGCGTTTGCTTATCACCATTTAGCTATGCTTAGCGGGCGGTCTCCCCGCTAAATACACCGGTGTGAACCTGGAACTTCCGGGTGGCACCATCGTCGCTTCTTCCAGCCAACTGCAACTGGCCTGATTACGAATGCCTGTCACTCAAAGATCCGGAATCCCACCTGGCTCGCTTAACAGCAGTATCAAACGTGGTGGACGCAGTGAAAATTCGCTACTCTGTAGGTAGGTAGAGAGCGTGCTGTATATCATTACGTGCGTGACGCACCACCGCCCACGGCTTCATTCACTGGCATCTGTGTCGGAGTCACCCAGCTCTTCGAATCGGCCTTCATCCCTGGCCTGCTCCAAAGGATTCTTAACATCGACAACCCCGGTCGACTTCAGCCTTTCGAAGAGGACAAACAGTCGCTCCGCCTCCCGCTCCTTTTCCTCTCGTGTCATCTTCGGTGAGTCGTCCGCTGGCTCCTTGTCTATCCGTTGGCCAGTGATAGGGTTCACTGGTGTGTTTGTGGATGGTTCGCCCGCATCCTGAGACTTTGCACTTTCCGGGACGGGAATGTTATGGGTCATCAAATATCCGGCTGCATATCCGTAGCCGACGTTCTTGACATACTGGTTGGCATCTTTGTCCGACAGCTCGAACATAAGTCCAGATATCACTTTGATCAAGTTGAGGAGTCCGTGGGAAGTGGTCAGCCGGAGCAATTTTGAGGCTAGAGAGGACGATTTCCCCAGAGGCAGATCCCGTTCCTTGTCCTCCGGGAGGAGACGCGCCTTCATGGTCTGCCGCATGGCCGGGCTTGCCTTCTCGTTGACATGCCTCAGCACAGTGAGTAGAGGAATTGCATTCGTATCCAGCTCATCGACCGAATACTCATCTATTGCTTGTTCAAGGATTGTAATCAATTTCGACACTCCGGGCTCAATCTCGCCGTCGTGTTTCATGGTGTCCTCATCAAGCTCTAGATTTGCTAGTGCATTGATCAGCAGATTCATTGGTGGCTGCAGCGGTGGTGAAGGATTATCCGAATCATTCACAATCCGAAATATTTCCACAGCGGCCGGACTGAATTCTGCGAGATGATCTGTCTTTGCACTGGTCACGTTGAAGAGCAGCTTGAGGGTCTCCTGAAGTGCTAGTGCAGACGGCTGACCGAGTTGGCCTTTCGATTTGCGAATGGTTTCTGCGTGCCGTGAAAGATGTTTGACAATAGTTCCGGCAAGATCATGCTCAGTGATAAGTGTTCTGAGGTCAATCCCAGGGTCGTAGGTCAGCAGAAAGAGGATGCGGGAGAGGAGGAATTCTTCATCTTGATTCGCCTCTCGTAGAGCATCCGACGCTTTTCTGTCAAGCTCAAGCTCGAGTGTGAAGCGTCGTGTCTGGGGTAGTAAGAGAAGGGCATTCGCAATGCATCTCAGGGCTTCCTGGCGGATACTAGCAGGATAGCTGCCGGTGGCATAACTTCCCAAGACTTTCATTCCAGCCTTGTCGTAGATTTGGGACACATTGCCCGCATCTCGCCCAAGGACCTTGAGCTTATTGAGGGATTCTTCCAGCTCTCTTAGATCATGCTTCTTGATTTCCAGGTCATCTCTGAGCAGGCCGAGCAATGCTCGGGCCTCATTCTGTTGAACTTGATTTGGCATGGGCCGAGCGTGGGGGAAGATACTTTGGTGGATAATATTCGTGGTTGAAATGTCCTTTTCAGACTTGCTTTGAATGCCGCTCTACGCTGTATTGAAAAAGCCACACAGTGATCCTGGTCCAGAAAAGTTATTGATGATATGAGCGACAATGATGCTACTGGCGTGGTGGAGGAAGTATTCTGTCGTTTGGATAATGTCGCAGAAATGTGTTTTGTCTGACGAGCATATGGGATGAAGTGCGAGTCATGACAGGCCCCGATATTGCGGGACTGGAGGATTTCTTTTTGTCAGTCAATAGACAATTTCTTAGCCATCAGATGCCACTGGCAGTACAGTGCCAGGCACTTGCGGGAGGCGGGTCTAAGCGTCCCCATCAAAAGCGGGTTGGCGCCTCATGTTCCAGGGTCAAAGGGTGAAAACCCGCGTACGCGTTGGAGAGACGCGTTGAGTGGCTGGTCGTGACATGGAATTGCTATACAACTACCATCACCACCACCACTATTCCATCGACCATCTTTCGCGCTCTTTTATGGACTGCACCTTCGAAATAAGGACGTTAGGAGACTGCTGGCAGCCCCGAAGAGCTCTCATCGTCTATTTTGTTTCCATCCTCCTGCCAATGACAGAAATCAACTTCATGATCTGATCTTTCCCAGCGAACATGTCTGTTCCTGGTGTCCTCCCTCCAAGCCCCCCTTCAACCTCCTCACGACGAAAGCTGTCTCTTCTAAGAGCTGCAGTGAACCACACGAACACGCCTGAATCTCCAGCATCCTTTCCGGGTTCCCCGGGTTCCTCAGGTTCCAGGACCAGAAAACGCGTCGAGTTCTCGCCCTGGACAAATACCCATGAACCATCGTCATGCAGCCAACCTATCTCGAGTCTTCCACCAGTGAAGTCCCTACCTCCTTCTTCGGAATGCCAATCCTCCTTGAAATCGATCCTCAAACCCGCTGCAGTGGAGGACAAGATGCCACAACCTGTAGATGAACAGCAAGGCGCGGACCGTTCAATTGGAGAAATGATGGGAAGTATCATTCAGCAACTCTCCCAGGATGACAGGTTCATATCCGTGGACGCATACGTGACACTTGCCTCGGTCATCAGGGAATATGATGAGGTACCGGAAGAGGCAGTGTTGAAGAACAAGATCAACACGATCCTCAAGTACATCAAACGGGATCTCCTCAGACTGGTCAAGCCTGATGAACCACAAATCGCCGATACCAATGTCATGACACAGGCATTGAAAGTTCTGGTAATCTTTGTATGGAAACGCGACTATGCTTCTTTGCTATCGGATGAATATCGCGCCTTTATTCTCGACCGCACAATCCAGGTCATTGCCGAGCATACTGCACCAAAAAGCGTCATCATTCACTATCTGCATCTCATGGCAACCCAAGATTTCCGCCCAGGTCTCATCACCTCGAACAACCGTGTCGGACGACTACTAGAGGCGTTGAAGACCCTCACAGAGTATGTCAAGGGCAATGGAGCAGTGTCGGAGAGACTATTGGTCTACCAGAAGCTATTAGATCAAGCAAGACCCGTCATGAAAGCAAAAGCAAGCCTTTGGGTGGAAGAACTGTTGACGGGCATGACAAGCTCGTTGAAAGATATTAGAACCAAGGCCATGATTTTGGGCATGAAGTCATGTTCTGCGTTCCCTGCTTCCTCGTCCATCTCAATGGCCGCCAGGTCTGTCCTGGGAAGAGAGCTGGAAGCCGACAGAACCTTCAGCTCGGTCATGTGTCGGAGACTCGAAAAAATGATCGCTTCGAAAGAGGAAGCCCCTCAAGTCCCTCAAATCTGGGCCATCGTGCTCCTGTTGAGTAATGGTTCTGATGCTCGGATTGAGAGTTGGTCGGACTTGAAAGATTGGTTGAAGGTCATTCAGAGGTGCTTCAATTGTAGCGAATCTGCCATCAGACAACAAGCCAACATGGCTTGGAATCGATTCGTCTACGCCGTTCGACCACATGAAGCGTCGGACACTTTGGTGGGAATGCTTGCAAAGCCTCTCACTGCTCAATTAGAGCGGCAAGGCACAGAAAAGACCGTCAAAAGCTCCAGAGGGACAGCGGTCTCGAGCTACTGCAACCTCTTGTATTATGCGTTCCGGCCGGCCGCCTCGCACAAGCAATACACCCGGGTCTGGAACGAGTACATCGTCAAAGTGATGAAGACTTCTTTCTTCGAGAAGAATAGTGCCAACTCCGACCTCTCTTGCCGGGTGTTCATCGCGCTTTTATGGAACGGTAACACGGGGACAAAAGTCTGGAATGAAAATCGTGCTCTCGAAAACACGCCAATTGAACCAGAAGAGCTTCCCACCATTGATTGCAAGTGGATCCGATCAAGAAGCTCTGCAATTATCGACATGTTTCGAGTTCTGCTTCGGTATAGCTCTTGGGGAGCTTCCGGCGAATCGGAAAGAGCATACATTGCAGTGGCCTGGACACACTTTCTGAAGGCTCTTCGTGACTCCAGCAGCAAAGAGATCAAGCCTTCTTCGGAGACCAAGCATGCAGTTACCGGTGTTGTCGATTTTCTCGGACAGCTATGGACAGAGTCTCAGCAAGACGTCAACGACGACGCTACCGGTCAATGTGTTAGCAGCGCCCAGATACGACAAATGACCCGTATTACTGTTCATGAGCTTGATAACATGCTCATTTTGACTGGAATTGAGAATGGCTCCGCAGCACTTCGCAAGGCGCCCGTTCTCTTGGAGATCTTCGACTCGATTGCTTACACTTTGAAGCAACTTCAAGGAGATGACGAGATGCGCTCGCACCAACAGACTTCAAGGAATACACTCCAAACGATTCTGGGTCAGTATGAGAAGTGCCTAAGACTAATCAACTCCATGGTGGTGCAGGACGTCCAAACAGGAATAACAAGCAGCCACTCCAGAACTCTCGAGGATGCTGAGATGCTTCATCATATACTCCAGAGAGCAACAGGCCAACAGCTGATGGACGCTCTTACTATACTGAGCCCGGCCCTGGCACTGTTGCTAAAGGATGAATCATGCCGATTCGACAGCTCAGATGACTCCGATTGGAGCCATGCCTATCGAAAGCTCAGCAGCACTGCTTTGCGGTCGCTAGCAAAAGTACCTCCTACAGCTGTGCCGCTGCTTGACTCCCTGTTTGCGGTTCCTTTCCACAGCTCTCATACCTTTGTGGTCAAGGATGCAGTCAACATGTGGACGAACCTTTTGGGTCAATACGAACAGCTTACCCCAGGGCCTTGTCTATCAGAGGCTCTCCTGAACCTGGAGGATTTGATGGATGGAGATGTTTCGATAATCTCACAGAGCGCAGATGGCCCAACGGACGCTACTAACCCCTTAGCAGCTCCGCTTGAGAAATCTACAACTCCTATGTCGTCCAGACTTGCACCAATCAACCTTGACCATGCCAACGGGTTAGGGGAGGCTTCGCCATTGCTGGGCAGCCAGCATGGCGGGTACGTGGCAGGCGAAGCTGCTGACGGCATTACTTTAAGCCCTGAAAGACCCGTCTCCAGGCCTAGGTCGCGACATGACGATTCCCAAGTCCACTTTGTGGCGATCGAATCGTCGCCTCCTTCTCGGAATGAACCAGACTCTCAGTGTCTTACCGCTCATCAGAAGGAGGTGCGCGATAGGCAAAGATCCGAACCAGCGGTGGTATTTCCGGATTTGAGATCGACGCCCAGGCAGCACGGCAAGCCACAAAGTCAAAGTGATTGTGAATTCGCCCGGAAAGCTGCGTCGCAGGAGGCTAGACCATCAACACCTACCTTGCCAACGCATCAGGATCAAGTAGATCCCGAGATAATGGCATCTCCAACTCCTCGTGCGCGACAATTCACAAAGCAAATTACGGATATCGAGGTACCTTCCTCGCCACCTTCTATACTGGACCATCAAGGCCGAGATGCTGGCAAACTTGAAATTCCGTCGTCCCCGCCACAACGGCCCACCGAGGAAGCTGAAATTGGCATTGACCTTGTCATCGCGCAGCCCGACGGTCTGTCAGATGACGCTGCTCTTGAGGAAGGGCAATCTGTTGGCGATGATGAACCTCAAGATATTTTCGATCACAAAGATGATGCCATGGACGCCGAAAACAATCAGGAGCAAGACTGCCAACAGACAAGGAAGTCTGCTGATGTGCTGCGAGATCCTGCAGAAACGAGTTTCGTCTCATCTGTGGTGGAGGGACCCATGTTGACGATAGACGAGAATAGGTCTTCGGACCATGGAAGCCAGGGTGGAAACCCCAAGAACGATAGTGACGAGATCGATATGCTCAGTGCCTCACAACTGTCTCAAGACCTCGATCGACATTTGAGTCAAACTGCAGATGATGCTCTATGTCAGGAACGAGAGAGTGACATCAATGTGCAGCGATTAAGCGAAGACACTGACCTGCAGCAACCCAGTCAAGTCTCGCGTAACTCACGCAAGCGGAAGTCGAGAAGTTCGATTGCATCGTCGAACAAGAGAAGAAGATCAAAAAGGACATCACAGTTATCCTCAACTTCATTGGATTCGGAAATATCGTACATGGGTGGCAGTCAGTTGGGTGAGATGCTCGACACTATCGAAGTCTTGGAGATGAAAGCGACTTCACCTGTGGCGATCCGGGACTTTGTAGAGGACGTACAATCGCCACCTGTCAGTCCAGCACAACCTCCCAAGCGCCGTCGGGGGAGACCCAGGAAACACGTTCGGAACTCCCAGTCACAGGAAAAGGCCAACTCAAAGGTTGAGGTTGTTATGAACAGCCGTGCCTTTGAAATCGCCTGTGCACAAGGGGAGATTGTTGTTCCGCATTTAGAGGTTGATGCTGGACTGCTAGGAAATGGGGACAACACCGTTGAACACAATATCGTCGAAAAGGAGCCGACACCACTGGCTGAGGCTGAGGTCCAGGCTCGAGATGCTATGGAAGGGACCCATGAACACGCGGCAATTGAGACTCCCGCTCCAATAAAAGTTACGGAAGGGATTACTGGACCTGACATCGTGTCGTCCCTACAAGCCATCCTTGACCGCCTGAAAACGTCGAGTCTCGAGACGGTTGACCTGCGGACAGTGGATGATTTGTGCTTCCAGATCCGATACCAGGCGCAAGTGGTTGCTCAACAACAAGCTGGATGAATAATGACGGGGAAAGAAGAGCATACCGGTAGAATGGCAAGAAGTGCATGCGGTTGGAAAGCAAAGATATATATGTGTCTATGTCCATGGAGAGAAGCATACTGGGCCGGAGTTCAGACATAGATTAGCTGTAGTGTTGGTTCCCACGCCAGAGAGGTCGAGAGACAAGGGAATCATTGGTGACGAACACAAACAATACTGGGCCTTTGAGTGTGCAAAGTTCGAGTCGTTGATACCACCGTTCACTATGGTCTAGGATTGTCCAGATGTGGGACGGTTGAAGAACAGTTGATAGCACGTGACCTAGTGCCGCGTTTTGCCGGTCGGAGATTATAGGGCACAAAATCCGAATGACTGCACAGTCACGTGCACTCTATCTCTCTGCATCTGTGCCTGCGCCCCCGAGTCATACCTGGTCTTCTCACCAATTTGACTCCATAGGTCGATCGATCCCCGTCGCCAGTCGCAACAACCGTCTGCATCACCCGACTCTCGATCGCCTGTTCTTGCTTCGCCGTTACCGAGTCTGTTGACTTGCCCTCTTTGACCTCCACTTCCGCTCGCTTTGAACTCGGAATCACTGCAGCAATGGCCGCCGCAATTAAAGCTATCAATGCGAAGATTCGCTCGAACAAAGTCCTCGACTATTTCTGCTCGACACGTATGTAACGATATTCCTCCTTTTCCCCTTGAACAGCTGTCCCAGAAAAGAGAGAGAAGGAAAAGAGAGCATAAGTTCTGTGCAAAAGGGCGATGGAGCCCAATACACCCGCCGAGTCGTGGTCTGTCTGTCTGTTGATGTGTGACTATTCGTCTGTGCCTGCGAGAAGCGCCTGTCCAATGCAAAAGGCGCTGTTGACGGTGCGCCAACTGAGGAGTCGCTGATTACCGGATACACCGTTGACAGACCAGGCGAGGCTGCGACAGATCAGGGCAGAGCAAGAAAATCTCATACACATGTCTCCATTGGGGCTGAAGGCTACAGAGAAGATGCATATACTGACGGTTGATGTACGGATTCTAGATTTCTGGGGCCCAGCTTCCAACTTCGGTATTCCAGTCGCAGCGGTTCTCGACACGAAGAAAGATCCTGAGATGTATGTTCCTTCCCTCGACGAGCCCGACTCTCTTCCTTGGTTGGGTTGAGCGAGACAAGATGGTTCTCAAATCCAATGCACTGCCGTCCAGCCTGAGCATATCCCTTTGACGTACTGGTCCTTGAGATTATCTGGGCGACGCTTTTTTCAAGCCACTGCCTACGCTTCCGACACACTCCCTCGAGCGAGAGTTTACCCTTTCTATATCCCGTCCATTCGTTTCTCTTTCGGATGAACACAAACACAAGATCTCAAAACTGATGGTTCGGTTCCTTGCAGCATCTCCGGTACTTTCACAGCAGCTCTGACCGTCTACTCGGCCACGTTCATGCGATATGCGCTCGCCGTGCAACCCAAAAATTACCTGCTGTTCGGCTGCCACTTTGTCAACTTCAATGCTCAATTAACCCAGATGTACCGCTGGTACGACTACTGGTAGTAAGTGAATCCCGAAACATTCTTTTCATCTGTTACATATCCCAGCGTTCAACGATGCGCGTCGTGCTCCGGTCTTCTGCTGTTGAGGTCTTCACGTCGTCTGCTCTGTTGCATTGTCGATATACTTTTGCTACTCCTTGTACCACCTTTACTATGCTGACCTACTGTGTCTTTCTTCAGTATGGGCGGCCAAGACAGATGGGCCAAGATCCGAGCCCAGGCGGCCAAACTCGAGGGCCAAGCATCCTCCGTAGCCGACCAGGCGAAAAGTCAAGTCGGTGCAGCCGTGAATGAGGTCAAGAAGACCGTTTCGTGAGTCTGACCTTCCGAGCGAGCGAACAAAGGGGCGGCAGTGGACGAGAGAAAAGCTCGTGAGTCTCTCAGTGGTGGTTGGTAGGTAGAGGAGAGGGTGCGTGCGAGGAGACGGAAGAACGGGGAGTTTCCATTCCAAATCTCACGAACGATGGCGGACAACGGCGAGCATATTGTACCCAGAGAAGATTGAGGTATCACCAGTCTTGATGAAAGGGCGCTCCCTCATCGGCCAAGAGGGTATTGATACACATATCTTAGTCGTACATCCAGAGATGAGGAGAGAGTCGCGGATGGGGGTGATGTGATGGGATTGGAGCTTCCCCAACACCCAGAAGCATCAAGTTAGAAAAAGCAAAGACTTTGCAGATACGAAACCAAGGAGACCTCTTGAGATTAGCATCTCTTTTGTCCCTCTGGCTTTTGACTCTCGAGTCTTGTCGTAGTTGGGTTGGCAGCTGGTCAACTTGACTTTCCAGTTAAAATAGTGCCTGACTTTCTACCCCGCGAGCCCGGGAGTAGTATTCGTTCGTGTTTCCTTCAAGTTGTTCAGACTGATCGAAGAAAGACTCAGTACCTATAAGCAGGTCTTGTTGTGTGATGTACAGAGGATATCCTTCCAGGGAATGTCAATCAATCAATCAATCATTGGGCAGTCTTAGGATCTGATCAACCTATTTTCGTTCGTTCACCTGCCTCTTTTTCTTCTATCGTCCTCATTTTCTTTCACCTGCTCCGTGTCCCGACGGGATGGGATGGTAGTGGGACAGGGGGCCTAAAGAGGAAGAAGGCGACCATCATCATCATTGTTGTCGTCGTTGTCGTCGTCATGCCATGTAGGGAGTAAGTAAGTAAGTGGTAAGTTAGTGTGTAGATAGTAACTAATACCTGAATAAATAAAGCACCGAAATTCCAAGAGCCAGAAAAGACAAAGACCAAACCAAGACAGTATAAACAGTACATCCAAGGTATATCCCCGTCCAGACACCTTACAAATAGAAGAAAGTCCAATCCTCTGCACACGCAGCTCAGTTTGATGATATATCCTCATCCTCATCCTCATCCTCATCGTCTCCCCCTTGATAAAATCAAAGTGAAGAGTCAAACAGTTGTCATCACCATCACCGTCACCATCACCGTCACCGTCGTTCACCACCATCTGTCATCATCCATCATCTGCTATCATCATTCACCCTTCATGAATCATTGATGTGTGATCACTTATTTCCCCTTTGTGAAACTGGCCCACATGCCGCCCAAAATGCCAGGCTGTCCGGGCTTCTGGTCTGCCCAGCCAGCGCGTCGTTCGTCCTGACCATTGCGATGGGCCGTCAAGCCTGCGAATTTGTCGGATCCAGCGGAAGCCTTGAAAAATAACAGTCAGTTAGAACCAGAATATGAAGAGCATATGAGGTTTCGGCTGTTCTCTCAGGAGAACACAACAGAACAGAACAGAGAAAGGAAAGGGAAAGGCAGCAACTCTTCACTTCACTCCACTTCTCTTCTTACCAACCCCAACCCAGCCCAGACCAGACCAGAACAAAAATCAAGATCGGAACCACAGGGATCATTGTGAGAACAGAATGAATCTCAACCTCTCCGAAAGATCAAAAACATGAAATTTATGAAATTCGAAAAAGAACGGGGCGAAGGCGAAAAAAGCGAAAAAAGAAAACAAAAACTCACCCGTCTTCGATCAGCTGCTCCAAAACTCGTGGTTTCACTGTTGGCATTATTCTGACCAGCCATCTTCGTCTCGTCCTTGGGCGGGCTGCCTGATGTGCTTGACGTCTGCGACGAGCTGCTTCCTGTCCGGGGACGGGGTTTGTAGCCTGATTGTTTGAAGAACATGGTTTCTGGTTGTTTTGGTTGGGTCTGTTCTGTTGAGTGAGAGCGAAGGTTCTTTTGTCAGGGCTCGGCTTCTGGTTAAGGACGCTGTGGATATGTTTCTTGAATAGAAGACGTCGAGTTCGGTAGCTCTGGATAGAAGCTGGCTTCCAACGATCTGGTTTTGTATTTGTATTTGGTTTCGTCCTTCTCCTTGTTCGCTTGTAGAGTTGTGAAGGCTTCGTCGATCAACAATTCTGGTGTATTAGTAGAGAATATATATGAGAGCGACGTTGGGATATTCTTTATATATACCCCGTAGTCATGACGTAGATGACAGAACGAGAGGGGATGGAATCGAAGAGGTCAGATGCGATGTTAGTGAATCAACAGAATTGGCTGGATAATCGATCAATCAATCATCACTAGACATAAATAGAGGGGTAAATGTGGAAGAAGAATGGTCCGTGAGCCGCGTCTTGAGCACCAGGCAGCCCCAGCACGTTCAGATGAGCTGTGTAGTCCTGTTCCTAGATATGAGGACTGGAATGGAACAAATCACAGTAGAGGAAATCGTGCCAGACCGGAAGAGGAGAGGATGCTGAGGTTAGATAACTCGTACTAGTACTTCCCCTCTCAGCATGAGTCAAGTAATGGTTCATGCTGAGAGACTAGAGACTAGGGAAGTTCCAGAGTCCAGACTCAGACCATTTTGTGTTATGTATGTATGGATGATGCTTTTCGCAGAGCCAGTTGAACTGCAGTGGGCGGCCTCGTCGGCTGTTAGAGCCTTCTCTGCCCTGCCCTGCTCTGCTCTGCCAGGTGGTTGGTGGGAAATGTCGTGTCGGCTTGATATAGTAGTAAGGCCTGCGACCGTAAAGCTTCTCTTCCAGACAGGGGAACAATTGACGAGGGGTGCTGAAGCCTTCCTGACCAATGTGTCCGTGCTGAGCGGCAATGGTGAATAGTGGAGGGATAGATGGCCGTTTAACGTCTGAGTTGGTGGATTCGTCCTCGTATATATAACAAGATGATGTGATGCCATACTGCGCCCGAGTCGATCTTGCAAGAAGACAAGCATGACTTCTTTTCCTTGGACTCCAAGCACTCGCACTCATAGGAGAGGGTATCGAGTGTCGATATCGCTCTTATGGCCATTGTCTTTGTTTCTTGTCAAATGGGTTGACAACTCACCTGCCAAAGTGCCTTATCGATACGTCTCCTCCTAGCTCACCTACAACTGGCTGCGTGCTCTGCATGTCATATCAGGGCCGCGATGCACAAGTAGTACCTTGGACGAAGACGCACGTCAAACCCTGGCTAGTCCTAGTCATAGGCCCAGTCCTGACCAGGCTGATTGAAACGTTCCCCAATGAGACTGAAAGCATTACAAGTCTGCTCCGTCACCCATGTCAATTTCACGTGTACCCCGCCTTCCCCGGACCCCCCGCAGACTTGTTCTCGCCTGGCCAGTTTCAGGGGCGTTCATGGAAGCGTATCGACGTAAAGCAGTTGATTGAGTAAAGAGGGAGCGGGCAGGGATATAGTAAGGGACACATAGGTACCTGACCCTTCATCGGAGACGTGCGAAATATGTATGACCTTGCCGGAGACATACCTACCCACCTATGCGCCTCTCTTCACGTCCAATATCCTCAATCTGTAATCGTACCGGCCTTCCTCAGCTTGCGGACATCGTCATTCGTGGCACCAACGACGTGGTGTTTGTCTCGAAGGGAGAAGAAGGAAACAAGCAAAGAGGAGCTGGAACAACAGCCATGAAAAAGATATGAGACCACGTGATATGCATGATTCCTTCCATCACGTGACAACGGGTAGAGTCACATGACGCCAATTTAACACGAAGTCGGATAGGAAGATAGAGAGATATAGATATACAGCTGGTTTCATTGTCACTGTCTCGTAAAGAGAAAAGAGACCGTCAATAAGATACTGATAACATGATCGATACAAGTTGCAGTCTAGGAAACCGTAGTACCTGATCCCTGTTCCCCCGGCCGACGAAGTCTCGAGTCAACTCAAGCTAGCGATGGATATCCTGGAGCAATCCCATCATGTATATCCAATTCCACTGCATGCCGCCCATGTTGTTAAATCATTTGCAACTGTCGTTCGCCGGCCTGCCCATCTATCAGTCCACCCAACAGTACCCATCATCATTTCCACTCTTGTTCCTGTTTCCTCTACGCCTTCTCAATCCTGCAGACCAAATCCGACCCGGCAACCGAATCTCCTTCTTTGACCTGGATGCTTCCAACCTTGCCCGAATGCGGTGCACTGATCACCATTTCCATCTTCATGGCACTCAAAACGGCAATCGGGTCACCCTTCTTGACTTCATTCCCTTCCTTGACTCGGACTTCCACCACCACTCCGGCCATCGGGGCACCCACTTGACTGCTATCGCTGGGATCTGCCTTGGGTCGGCTGGTGTTTTCCACCGCAGCCTTGGTGTCGTCGATGGTCACTTGACGGACCTCACCATTCATCTCATAAAACACTTCACGTTGACCCGTGGATTCCGACAGAGGCCCGATGGCCAACAGCTTCAGGATCAACACTTTGCCCTTTTCCAGTTCCACTTCGAATTCCTCGCCAATGTCGGGCTTGTTCAAGAAGTATTTGGTGGCCAACACCGACAGATCACCATACTTGTCCACGAATTTGCGGTAATCCTCAAAGACCTTGGGGTACATGACGTAACTGGCAACATCTGTCTCCGAGACCGTGTTGTACTTCTCCTTGAGTTCCTTCCTGACCTTGGCGAAATCAACCGGTTCCAGGTACAGACCAGGTCGCTTGTCCATCTTCCGGCGACCTCTCAAGGCATCCGTGCGAAGTGGTTCCGGGAACCCTCCATATGGCTGGCCCATGTAGCCTTCGAAGAATTCCAACACCGACTCCGGGAAGTCCAGTTCTTTGGCTTTGGCAATGACATCGTCGTAGTTCAGCTTGTTCGACACCATAAACTGAGCCAGATCACCCACCACCTTGGAAGTGGGCGTGACCTTGACAATGTCGCCCAACAAAGCATTGGCCTGTTCGTACGCCTTCTTGGTCTCGAGCCACTGAGCCCCTAGACCAAGTTGAGATGCTTGAAAGATCAAGTTGGTCAGCTGTCCTCCTGGTATCTCGTGTTCGTACACTTCTGCATCAGGCCCGGTCAAGCCAGCTTCGAAGGGAGAGTAGAGCAATCTTAGTTGAGACCAATACTGGTCAAGAGCTCGCACATTGTGGTCATTCAAGCCAGGATCGTAGGGCGTGCCTTCGAGGGACGCCAGGATGGCGCCAATACTGGGTTGAGAAGTCATGCCAGACATGCTGTCCGTGGCCGCATCGACCGCATCGGCACCAGCTTCGGCGCAAGCAACCATAGATGCCACACCGGTTCCAGCAGAGTCGTGGGTGTGCACATGGATGGGCAGGTCGGGATACTTCTTGCGGATGCTGCCAACCAAAAGACGGGCCGCCTTGGGTTTAAGCACACCGGCCATATCCTTGATTCCCAAGGTATGGGTACCGATTTTGACGATCTTGTCCACCAGTTCCAGATAGTACTCCAAGTTGTACTTCTTCTTCGGATTCTATACAGCTCACACTGTTAGTAAATGCTGCAGTACCGAAAGAACGCAAAACGAGCAAGATGATGAGAAGTGTCCAAGAAATCCAGAAATTCAGAAGTCTTGGGCTGAAGTCCAGCTAAGACCCCGGAACCGACTGAGACGATTCTGATACCTGCTCGAGGTCCTGTTGAGCTCTTCTTGTGATGGGTAGGCGTGGTTGCAATAGTTGCAAAAGATCTCCGTGTAGCAACATTTGTGTCGCTGCCTTTCTGTTGATGAAAATTGGGTGATACAGCAGCTTTGTGTTTGTCAAAGACCGCCACTGCTACCTTTTCTCAAAGCAGCATACGCGAGAGAGTGCCGGCCTTCATACATGAGCAGTACTATGTTCTCTCATGGAGGTCGCCACTCCCACATCTCCACAACAGTCCATCAAAGAGGTTGCCGCGCCTGATATCTTACCAGTACCAGGTTATGAAAGGAGGTGCCCACGGTTCAGAAAGCTGCAGACCAGAAGACGAAAGGACGGACTCCTGGAGGCAAAGTGCAAAAACAAGATGAAATAAAAGGATAAACATACCAACACTAAACACACTAGTCAGCACGAGAAAAGCAACAAGAAGGGTAGACTACTCACTGTCACCAGAATAACAGATGGTTCCCTCGACCACGCCTCCGGCTTCCTGAACAGCCCTCATGCCAACCTCCAGTTGGTCGATGTCGTTGAGGGCATCAAAGACTCGGAAGATATCCATGCCGTTCTTCTTGGCCTGCTTGCAGAAATGGTAGATGGCATTGTCCGGAAGTGATTTGTAGGCCACGCCGTTGGCACCTCGCAGCAACATCTGGAATGGGATGTTGGGTACCAACTTTCTCAACTTCCGCAATCGATCCCAAGGATCTTCGTAGAGGAACCTCATTGCGACATCGAAGGTGGCGCCACCCCAGCATTCCAAGGCGAAGGCGTTGTTGAGCGCATAGCTGGTCTCGCGAGCAATGTTGCAGAAATCGACTGTGCGAACACGCGTGGCCAACAGCGACTGATGTGCATCACGCCAGGTGGTGTCCATGATCAGACAACCCTTGTTCGCCCGGATCGCCTTGGCAAATCCATCGGGACCCTCTTTGTCAATGATGGATTTCCAGCCTTGAGTGCAAGGGACGGTCACATCGATCTCATTGCCCTGGTTGTCGAGCATCTTCGGCATGATGATCTCGCCCTTGAACTTCGACTCGCCAATTTGTCCCTTGATGCTGCTGCCATTGACGGCCAGATCGCCCAGGTATTGAAGCAATTTCTGAGCTCGGTTCTGGCTGCCGATCAACTTGAACAGTTCTGGGGTGTCATCGATGAAGGTGGTCCAGCAAGTTCCCGCAACGAACACAGGATGGGTCAGCAACGACCCCAAGAATGGAATGTTGGTCTTCACACCACGGATGCGGAACTCAACCAGGGCTCGCAGCATCTTACGACGAACAATCTCGTAAGTAGAGCCGTGGCAGGTACACTTGACCAACATGGAATCGTAGTGGGGCGTAATGATAGCACCGGCGAAACCGTTGCCACCGTCAAGTCGGACACCGTTTCCACCGGCGGATCGATAGACTTCGATTTTGCCCGTGTCTGGGGAAAAGTTGTTGGAGGGATCCTCGGTGGTGATACGGCACTGAATGGCGAAGCCCCGAGTGGAGATACGGTCTTGGGTGAGACCCAACTGCTCCAGAGTTGCTCCAGCAGCGATCTGGATCTGAGCCGCGACGATATCAATTCCCGTGATTTCTTCAGTGATGGTGTGTTCGACCTGGATTCGGGGGTTGATTTCAATGAAGTAATACCGGTTGTGTTGGTCCACCAAGAACTCGGCCGTTCCAGCATTGCGGTAGTTGACTGACTTGGCCAGCTTGACTGCGTCATTGAGGATGGCATCCCTGACTTCAGATGGGAGATCTTTGGCCGGGGCGATCTCAACAACTTTCTGATGCCGACGCTGGACACTGCAGTCTCGCTCGTACAGGTGAACCACGTTGCCGTGGTTGTCACCCAGCAACTGCACTTCAATGTGTTTGGGCTTGTCAAGGAAGCGCTCGACGAAGACAGTGCCGTTGCCGAAGGCGGATTTGGCCTCGGAGGTGGCGCGTTGGAACGAGTCCTTCAGACTTTCCTGGTCTCGTACAACTCTCATGCCACGGCCTCCACCTCCGAAAGCGGCTTTGATGATGATGGGAAAGCCGTACTGATCCGTGAAGGCCTTGACATCCTCATATGCCTCTACAGGGCCTTCGGTACCGGGGACGACAGGGACGTCGCATTTCATGGCAAGATTTCTAGCCGAGACCTTGTCACCAAGAGAGTCAATGACCTGATGTGTCGGGCCCACAAAGATAATGCCGGCTTCCTCGACCTTGCGAGCAAACTCGGCGTTCTCAGACAAGAAGCCATAGCCAGGATGGATCATCTGGACGTCATGGGCCAGTGCGATCTTGATGATCTCGTCACCAGCCAGGTAGGCGCCGACCGGGGTATATTGACCGCGTTTGCCAATCATGTAAGCTTCATCCGCCTTTTGTCTGTGCATGCCCAAACGGTCCTCGTAACTGTAGACAGCCACGGTCTGGAGAGAGAGTTCGTGGGCGGTTCGGAAGATTCGAATGGGGATTTCGCCTCGGTTGGCGACGAGGAGCTTCTTGAGCTGCATGATGGTGGAATTGGCCCTCATACGGTCATGGATGGAGTTCTTCAGCTGGTGTCCATCCTCCTGGTCTGGAGTGGCCGTGCCGTGGCTAGCCATGGTGAGGGGTGGGTTGTTGAGCCTCTGCTGCTCGCACAAGCAGCTGTCGGCAAGGGAGCTCCTGACGAGCAGGATTCGGTAGTTGCGACAGAGTCGGAGACAGATAGGGAGAGGAAAAGAGAAAAAGAGGAAAAGAGGACAAGAAGGTCAATATTAATGACTGGTATGGATGAATGGCCGAATTTGGTGCGATGCGGGAAGAAGGAATGGGAAAAGCAACGAGTGGGGAGCTGATCCTCCTGCTGGGCCGACCGGTCGTTCTGGTTTGCTGGTTACTGGTGGTATAATATCATGGTGGGGGGAGGATTGGAGGACTCTTTTGGTGGAATGCAGAGCGATGAGTACAGCGTACTCTACAGATGAATTTGTTGGGTAATAATGTCGACAAAAAGATGAAAGGTACCTGCGGTTGAGATCTCTATTTGGGATCTGTGGTCGACGCCTGGAAGTAGACACCACTGCACCGTGCAGAGGTTGGCAAAGGCAGTGAACGCAGCGCAGGCAAGACAGAGCTGATGACGGAGTGTGGTGTTTTTTCTGGGAGCTGTAGCAGTTAGTGCAGTGTGGTACCTCTCTAGTATGATGGGGAAGCTGATAGGACGATGATAAGGAGCTCTGCGAGATCATATAAGGGACCCTAGCTACTAGTTTATCCGTGGGGTGCTCGGTATTTTCTTATAGGTACCTATGTACGTAATTGTTTAGATACCTCCTAAGGTAAGGTACACAGCTTAGGTACCTAGTAGTACTACGGTACGTCCAGTGATGCCTTCAACTGTGATCGAATTATACCTAGGTCCCTAGGCACCTTTATTATCCTCACCGAGCGACCTTCCATCCACTCCTACATAGATTCATCCATCATGCCATGCCATGCAGTGTCTGTACTCATCAACATGACTTCAGGCTGCCCCCAGGGATACTGCTATCGTCGACGTCACTGACTCAACGACCTATCCCAGCGGCCATCTTTATCGTTCCTGAATGGAAGCATGTGTGGTTGTTCCGTTTGTCGTCTCTCTATCTCGCCATTGTCGTCCCAGCCCTTGTCTATTGGCGACCTTATCCAACCCTGTTTTCTATTAGCCACCAAGTCATTGGCAGGTCCCGGGGTCAGATAGGGTAAAGGACTCCAAAGTTGTATTTTTCATGGCCGTCAATTCACTCGTTCGGGCCTCATTGACAACTTGGTTCTGTTATGTTCCATGCGGGCTCATTTGAAAATACAGTCACAGTCGATCAGCCCATCCAGCCCATCGCCAGGCTGTGCCTCGGCTCTATTTCACTAACTACATCTCACAAGACCACCGGCCTCTAGAGTCCGGGTACATCACCCAGTCGCTTTCCCCCCAAAGCCTCGCGTCAAAAGACTCCGACAGCAAGGGTCCGGGGAGACTGACTATCAGCCCCGTAGTCTTCGCCGTTTATTCCCTACTACACGATACTGGACATGCTTTTACATGGCGCCTCCACCCGCCTCAACTCCGTCCGTTCCCCGGAAATACCCGAGCTGACATGTCCCCGCGAGACCCCCTTTTGATCTGATCGTTAAAAGGCCCGAGGAAACCCGCTGGGTTGTGGGGTGATGCCATTCGTGTGTCCGTAGCCCGTGGGTGTCGGGACCATTGGCGCAGGCCCTTGTGTCAGCATCAGTCGGCTTCCAATGATGGGAGTGTTATCATCCGTCTTCTGCTGGCTGGTCTCCTTGGCCTTGCGTTCTTCGTTGTCTTTGCGTAACTGCTCGATCGTCGCGGCCTGCTGGCTCATGTAGTTGATCATGAATGGCATGGTGAAGTCGTTGAGGCCATGACGCCACGAAATCTCCATCACCGTATGCAACGGGATCAGGTCATAGCAGGCATATAGCATGCCCACATAGCATTCGCGGCTACCGATGTCGACAAACTGCACCTCGCGTTAGCACAAATCCAGACTCGACCAGCAATGCGGCGCAACTTACATATCTCAACAGATCCTCCACCACTTCTGGCTTGCCAGACATCGCCGCCGTCTCAATGGCATCGCGGAACAGCTTGTCTTGTTTCGACAGAGCAATGGATTTCTCCCACCGCTTGTTCTTGCGATAGATCTGCGCGGCAATCTGTCGGAAGAACACAAGCTCATGCTTCTCCAGACGCTGAGCCAGTTCAACGGCATCGTAGTTGTCGTAGTTCTCCACCGAATCCCGCAGCGTCTTGTAGTCTTCCTCTTCGATGAGGAGGTCGTGGATCGCCTTGTTCACCACCCGCTTGTTCTGACCCTGTACACTAAGCAGGAACGGTTTGATGATGGGGATGTTGTCCGACTTCTCGAACATCCGGACCACTCGGTTCACATCAATCCGAGGTGTGAGCACCTGCAACAAATCGGTCAACAACAGCGGCTGCTCCTGCAAATAATGGTTGAGAGCCCGGTAGTAGATTTCCAGGTTGGCCACCTTGACAATGATGTCCTTGAATGAATGGTGCTCCCAAGCGTCCGCGGCCCGTTCCATCATCGCCAGTGCTGCGTTGTCCCACTCGTCGTAGTGGCAGTACAGGAAGATGAGCTCAGGCCAGAGATGCGCCTCCTCACAGGCTCGAATCATCTTGGGGATGTTGATTCTCGACCAGAAAAGCTTGAGATGCTCCATCACGCGCTCCGGATGGTATTTGGAAAGGGCAATGCCAAGTTCCGTGAACATGCCCATGTGCGCACGCTCCAGGCCCAAGCCCGCTTCGAGCAACGAGATGAGCTCGTCGAAGTAGCCTGCACGCTCGTACTGCTTGACGAGATCTTGCAACTCGTCCGCATGCACAATGAGGTTGAGACCGCAGATCTGCGCCAGGCGAAATTCTTTCTTTGCAACGCAGGCCTCGTTGACTTGCTTCCACACCTTGACGCTGTTCGCGCGCCGGGCACAATCCACGGCGTTTTGATACTCACCAAGGTGCACCAGAGTCGTAGCCAGTTTTGCCCAGTTGGAAATGTTGGTGTAAAAGATCTTGGCGGCCTGGTGATAGCCTTCCTCATACGCTTTGTCACCACATGCTTCGATGTCGGCCACATTGGGAGACCGCAAGAAATCTTCGAGCTCGGGCAATTGGTCGAGTCGAGCGTAGCAGAACGCGAGTGCAGTGTCGATGGCCGGCTCACGTAGGGTCTTACGTGCCATCTTGAGGAATTTGACAAGTTCCTCGTCTTTTCCTGCATGGGTAGCTGTCTCAATGACCTCATTGTAGTTGCTGGGGTCTTGAGCTTTGATGTACGACTCAATCGCATCGCTGACTCTCAATCCGTCAAGCTGGGCTTTGGCCACCTTGCTCCAGACCTCGGGCAGATCGACATTTTCGGCATATTCTTGAGCACGGTCAATGCTGACAATGTGATCCACGAGGACGTTGGCGGCAGAAAGATGATCATTGACCTTCTTGTAAATCTCGAGAGCCTCCTCATACAACCCCTGTTGGATACACATGTTTGCGATCTCCTCCGTGCTGAACTCGGAGAGTCGTTGGATGTAGTCCATAAGACGCGACTTGTCGGCCTTGGCTGCTGTGAGCATGAGCAAATTCTGTAGACTGGTGTTCTCGCTGAACGGCGAGGGCTCGAGGATGATCTTTTCGAGCAGTTCAATCAATTCAGCCGGGAGATCAGCGTCCAGGAATGCCTTGACTGCAATTGACACCTTGTCAGGTTCTGTCGATTCCGGAACAGCTGTCGCAATGACCTGGTCAATCAGCGATCTGCGATGAGGGTTATTTTCTGAGAGAACAAATCCCCAGATCTCGGGATCCGCGCGTTCCAGGAGGTAGCGGGCTTGAGCTCGGAACATCGAGTTCTCATTGGTGACGTTGATCAACTCCAGATCATTCTGGCCTTTGCGATATGCAATGTAGGCCAGGTTGGGGTCACGCTTCTCACAGTATTTACCAATCGTCAGAGTGTCGTACAGATCGTTCTCCTTGAGGAACTTCTCCGGTTCGGCGTTACTATCGATGTAAATCTTGGCCAGCGCGTTGTAGACCGCGGGCTCCTGAATGCCGTGTGCCAATGTCCGCTCAAGGAAGGGAAGCAAGAGTTTGAGACGGTTCTGGGTCTCCACCTCGCTGACAAGCTCATCCATGGGCACCGATGCAGGGTCAACGGATGTCAGAAGGTTCTTGATGACGGACTCGTCACAATCCAGTGCAAGCAAGGCTCCAACAACAGCCGGAGTGCGGGACGGGTTCACACGTTGAACGTACACCTCAATAGATTTGTACTGTTGATTGCGGTAGAGGTAGTTGACCAGGTCTTTGACGAAATTGAATCGATCACAGACGATGATCAAGGGGAGCTGCTCAGCCAGTCGTGCCTCTATGAGGAAGTTCTTGACCTTTTCCGGGTTATAATGGTTGTTCTCCCGACAGATTCTCTCCACCTCCTGGAACTGCTGCATGGCCACGGCTGCCTCCAGATATTTGAAGACCACATCTGGATCCTCGCTAAGGTTGACAATACTTCCAAGGTAGTAGTAGAGGCCTTCTGCCGTACGATGCTTTTCGAACAAGGCAATCAACCGGCTGGGACCCAACAAATCAGAGAACTTGGTGGCGATTTGGATCGCCGCAGCTAGGTTCTGGCGGATGTTGACCTTGAGCATTTCATCCAAGCAGTCAAGAGACTGCTCGACCGTCATACGCCCAAAGTATTGTTGTAGCCACTCGGGGTTGAGCTTGTCGGTTTGCACGATAATGCGCTTGATGGTCGCTGGATCGTCGGTATTCTCGAGCGCACGTTGAAGGAGGCCAGCCTGTTCGCAGAGACGAGCAATCCTAGGCTTGTCGTAATACGAGAACATTTCATTCCCGAGGATTGCATCGGCGACTTGTGGTGCGTTGAGCAGATTCATCTCCAAGAGGCGCGTCTGCAAATGGCCTTGCTCCGGACGGTTTTCCTTGAGAGCATCGAGAAGGAAGGCAGTTGCTTGCTGGATCATGTTTTGAGACATGAACACATCGACAACTCGGTCAATGTCAATCAAAGGACCACCTTCGTTGTTCGCAAGCTGAGTGGCGAATTCAGCTCCTTTATCGGGATTGGCTCGCACAATGTGTTGCAGCAGAGTCGTGAAATCAGGCTTGTAGTTAACCGATTGTGCGTACGGAAGGATCTCTTCCAATCGTCCGGTCTCTGCCAAAGCTGCCACCACCTTCGGTGGGACATTAGCTTCACGGTAAATTCTCAGAGCAAGCTCCAGGTCGTGCAACCGGACAATGTCACCAAGCTCTTCTGATGACTCCAGTTTGCCCTCGCTCATCCACTTGTCAAGGAGATTCTTTCGATTCTGCGCCAAAACAGGCTTAATGAGTTCCACACTCTCATACTTGTTCAATTTCCCTTTGTCAAGCAGCTTTCCGAAGTACTGAAGAATAACTGAAAGCTGGCCGGGCTGCTGTGGAGCAACTTTGAACCGGTTAATCGTCTCAGGAGTTCTCAGGAAGCCTCTGGGCGAGTCCGCGGCAATCTGGGCAGCTTCGGCGTAGTTTCCCTGAGCAAAGAGGGTTTCGAATTGCTGTTGATAGAGATTATCAGCGCCTGGTAGTCCAGCCCGTGATGCCAGCTTGATCGCGAGAGAGGAATTGGCCGGGTTCTGTAGCAGGTACGGGATAATGGTATTGTCGTCGACACTGACTGAGAGCACCTGGCCTTTCCGGTTGATCCCAACAATGCCAGCTGATTCGGAGTCCGGAACAGTGACAAAGATGGTCTCGCTGGAGATACGGTTCATGAAGATGCACGTGGCGGTTTCCAGGTCGTACAGGTGGATGAACCCATACTTGGTGATCATGTAGATGATACTGTACTTCTTCGAGATTTGCATAGCCACCGGGAAATCATTGACAGCTTCGTCGGGAAAATAGACATCGACTGCTCTCTTGGTGAACCGAGTATTGCTCTCGCTCGGGTCAATCTCCACAACGTGCAGCTTTCCTTGGCCAGCAGCGTTGCGCACAGCAAAGGTGAACAACTTGTGAGGCAGAGGATTCCCCTCCGCATGGAAAGTTCCAAACGCTGCGGCATGTCCTTCAATGTGTTGTGAAATGCCACGGTTACGAGAGTAGAGCTGCATGGTGCCAGCCACTCTGCCTTCTCGCTGCGATATGCCCACAATTACCATCCACTGCTCATCATCGCTCACACGATAATTGATGATCTGACAACCGCTCAAGTTTGGATTTCGTTCGAACAACTTGACAGGAGCCGATTGTGTGGGGTCGAAGACATCCCAATGGTACACCGATGTATCTGTGACCAGACCCAAGCTGCGCTCGCTGTACCATTTCCAGAACACCACGTCATCGCTCATGACCGTGGACTTCAGCTTGGCCTTGGCCGCAAGGTCGAAGACTTGGATTGTTTTGCCTTGTGCCTTGAGAGCGAGGATTTCGCGTGTCCAGTGCATGATCGCGCTGTCGGCGCTGATAGCACGCTTGGTGACTTCATTGTTGTTCTTGAGGTTGACGATTATGACTTGAGGCTTCTCTTGTTCATTAAGTTTCTGTCGTACGCAAACATAGTGGTCGGATTCTAGTGTCTGTAAAGCGTGTCAGACCAGGCCAAAAGGTGGACTGGAGGGGGTATGACTTACACAGGAGTTGAACGATATTGAAGCAGGCTGTTTTGGAAAGTGTCAGTTTGCTGCGCGTTACCCAAGTATGGTGGAGGCAGGCAGACAAGACCACCACCGGAACCTCGAGGACTTTGGGCTTACCGCAATATCAAGGTTCGTCAACTAGAGCACAAGTAGTCAGTACAAGGGCCACGACTGCGAAGAGGTTCATCAACAAACCTGAACCAGTTCAGTGAACTTGATGGGAAGCGCCATGATTGCGACCGGCCCCCCTGCGGCCCCAGGCACTTCCAAATGGGATTGACTGGCTGCTGGACGGCTTCAGGTTGCCAGGAGCAGAAGAGAACGTGGATTGAGGGAGAGACCGTATGAAGGCGAACTCCACAACAACCGCAGTGAGAAAGAAGAAAGGGGACGTGGAACGGATTGAGTGTTGATTATTGTGAGCTCCTGGAGACACCTTTATGAAAGTCAACGAACGGGCCGGGGATTACTCTGTAGCAGTAGTAGTGTCCTTTGGGAGATGCTCCTCAGCTGCCAGTGCAGTGTCGCTGCTTCCGCGCCAAGCGCAATCCAGAGCCACGCCCGCGCTTCCTTCCCTGTTGGGACAAGCGAAAAGGGGAGGATGAGAATCACGTGATCATCAAGTAATCAGCACAATTCAGAGCATGCCCGAAGATCCAATGGCATTGATGGCTGCACATTGTATAGTACGTAGTAGTATAGGTGCTGTGGGCGCTTTGCTGGTTTCGTCATGGTATTTTTCCATGTCCTCTAGGTATCTCTCCAAGAACAGTCCAGTAGCATATCTACCTTAAACATACCTACCTACGAAGTCACTCTCTACCACTCCTATTCTTACGAGGAATGACCCTGCGCCTATCGACAAGAGCTCTGAGTAGGCTTAGATTACCGCCCTCAAGCACTGGAGCCCTCCCATCGCTGCGCCGACCGTATTCCTCGCCAGGACCTGCAGACAAGTCTACTCCTCGTTCTCAGACCCCAAGCAATCACCAGCCTGGTGGCCAGGGTACCCGACTACGGTTTCTCCCCTTCTTACTCCTTTTCCTCCTCAGCAGTGGCAGCTACATTCTCCTTGTCAAGCGAAGAGTAGGCAATCAGGGCACGGTCACGAGCGAGAACCGCAGGAAAGCACACACTGAGAAATAGGCGCAAAGTCGTAGCTGGAAGCGACAATGCCTGCCATCGATCTTACGACGGGCACATCGCCTCTCGTCCAACCAGAGCCGTCTCTTAGTTCTGCCAACACTTTCCCTGTGTTTGACCCTCAAAAGGTCACTGTTGTCTACATCCTAGGGGGTCCCGGATCCGGCAAAGGAACGCAGTCTGCTTATCTGGTTCGAGACTACGGATTCGTCCACCTGTCGGCAGGAGACCTACTGAGGCAAGAACAAGACACCAAAGACAGCAAATACGGACAGCTCATCAAGGACTATATCAAGGATGGGAAGATCGTCCCGATGGAGATCACCGTCAAGCTGCTGGAAAATGCGATGCGCGCGAACCTTGACAGCGATGGAACCGGCAAATTTTTGATTGATGGCTTCCCCCGCAAGATGGACCAAGCAATGTTCTTCGAGCAGTCTGTCTGTCCGTCGAGATGTACGATATTCCTCGATTGTCCAGAGGATGTCATGCGTGAGCGGCTACTGGACAGGGGCAAGACAAGTGGAAGAGCAGATGACAATGAGGAAAGCATAATCAAGAGATTCAAAACCTTTGTCGAGACAAGCATGCCTGTGGTGGATCATTTTGCGGAGGAAGACAAAGTGGTTAGGGTTCCAGCAGTCGGCACGGTGCAAGGGGTGTATGAAGGCGTTGTCGAGGGTCTGGCCAAGAAGGGCATTGCTCCTTCCAAGTGAGAGGAGTCTTCGTGGCTCGCCGTCAGCCTCACGCAAGAACGGAGAGGCCACTCTCCGTCTCAGAGCAAGAGTCTCCTCAAGCAACAGCTACTGTTCTGGATGTGAGCGGTGCACAGAGGACTTAAGAGGTCAACAGCGCTGGCTCTTCTTTTCCCGGCGCGAGTGTTCGTGAAAGGCACCAAGTCTCGAGAAAGACCGCCTAGTAAGATAAAGGCATAGTGCATTGAATTATAATTTTCTGCTGAAGGCTACAATTCTGACAGCCAATTCTTCGACTCCCTTCTTGCGTTCACTCAATCGCTCTCACTTCCGCTTTCGCTCTCTGCCTTTGTTCCGTCAAATCCCTCGAAGTCATCATCTCCAGCTTCCGGGTCGACGCCGTTCTCAGACGGCGGCTGCATAACGAAAGCTTTCAGGCACGTAATACGGTTGCCCGTGTCGTATGAACCAATCACTGTACCTAAGTGTGCAGGCTTTTTCGATTTCGCAGCGGACAGAAGATCGGCCACTGGAAGTCGGAAGACACGGATCGTCCCATCACTGCTTGCCGTCACCATGGCGAGGTCCTGTTGATTTTCCCGCACCGGTGCCAGGAACAGGATCTCGAAGTCTTTGACACGACCGGTGACGCCCGCGGATTTTCCACCCACCGTTGCGCAAAGCGTAGCGCTGGGTATTGTCGGCGCTTCGTCGTTGGTTCCCCCAGTCGAGGTGAGACTGGTCGGGTTGTCGGTGTCGTAGAAAAGGACTCGACCATCCTCTGTCGACACGGCCAGCAAGGCCAATTCCTCATCGGCGGAGACGGGTATAGACACATAGGAAATCTGATGCACCTTGGTCAACGGCTCCGGCAGGACCTTGCACTTGGCCTTGGAATCCTCGCCGAAGACAACAACACCTCTTTCAAAAGCCACGGAAAATTCCGCCCCTACAGGATGCCATCTGATTTTCCTCCCTTCTCCGCTGCTGGCCTTGGCCTCTTTCACACTCTGCAGGATGTCCCGGCCGAAGTTAAGCACCCCAGCCTTTTTCCCAGTCACCAGGTTCCAGAGCCGCATGCATCTCTCACCTCGACCAACACTGAGCATGAGTTTGAGACTGGGATGCACGGCGAAGTCGTTGACCCCAGCAGGCGTTGCCCCAGGTGGTGCGGTATCGCCGCTGGGTTGCCCTTGTACTTTGGGCCGGGGAGCCTTGATCGTTGACACGACCGTGAGATCTTTCAGCCTGGTCACAGCGATGGTGTTGTCCTCTGAGGCGGAAAGCAGTTTGGATCGTGTCGGAAAGTGCAGGGCCGTGATCGTCGAGGAATGGTGTAGGAGCGTACCCAGCTCTCTGTTCCTGGGGTTCTCGGATATGGGATTGTTGCCCAACGACGGCATTGGGAGATTGTTGTCATTGAGAGCCACTGGCGATGCAGAGAGATTGTAGACATTGATCTTCTCATCCGAGCCTCCGGTGGCCAGATAAACGCCTTGGGCTTCCGAAGAATTCGGATCTGGCATAGGGGACAGTGCTAAACATCGCACCGCAGAAGCATGGGCGTTGAACAAGAAAGAATCTGCAAATTGAACGGATGGTGAAGCCTCTGATGATGTGAGATCTGAGATAGATGCGGTAATGCCATGCAGAACCCTTTCATATGAACCGGCAATGATCTGGATGACGGGACCAGCGGTCTTGACATCAATATGTCCATTGGTTTTGGCGACTTTCGAGGCCTCGTTCTTGCCGTCTGCAGTATTTGATGCAGATTTGGCATTGGTGCCGGTGTCTCGCTTTCTTTTTGCCATGATGGACGAGAAGCGAAAGAAAATGCGGCCGACGTTAATGGACAATCCAAGAGAGTGCACAACACTTGGCTTTGCAGAGTAACCCTTGCCCTAGGTTGACCGTGAACTTGTAGAGTGCAGTGGTCCGTGGTTGTCGATAGCACGCGAGTATCAAATCCGGAGATCTATTGTAAAGCGACGGAAAAAGTGCTAGTACCACTGGCAGCACGCAGCGACTTGATATGGCAAATTTTTTCCAATCTGCTACTAGTAGTAGCAAGAAGGTGGTGTCGGCGAAGAGGAGACAAATCTCCCCCTCCCCCTGCCAAACTACAGTAGTACCTGGGTCAGATAATTAATTATTGAGACGGCCTGCCGAACTGGGTGACGGGCACAGGCGCCCTCTCTCGCCTATCAATAATCTCCTAGGGATCCTAGTGGTTTACTTTAGTTATTAGGTCAGGCAGTTGGGCAACGCCAGTAGTGGCCAGTATGACCAGTAGTACCTGCGCCCTCCCGCCAGCAACGCCGCATCCCCCTTCTAACTTGCCCTCTACCACTCCTACATCCACTGCAAGTGCACTTTTACCTGCGCAGCCGAAATCTGGACATTTGCTCTGGCGGTCCGCCAACTTGATCAGTCTCAAATCAACCACAACGCGCCCAAACAATTCATTCTGAAGACCTAGGCCATCTCCATTTCTTTGGGTCGGTCAGTCTTCCAATTTTCAGCAATTGATTCGGATGTTTTCCGCCCAAAGCAGCCATCGATGAAATGCACGTCGAGCAGTTGCGCTCGAAGAAGTCGGAAGCACAGTGAGTTCTACTCTTTTTGAGCGACTTGGACACTTCTATCGACTGAGACCATCATGCTGATCAAATTTGGTGAATTACAGAAGTCGTTTGCTGTCGAGAAAGCGCAAACTGTCCGAACTGTTCTCAATCACCGCGTACCCTCTAACCACCGACGACCCGACCTACAAACAGAAGCTTCAAGCTTTCCAGGATGCAAACAGTCTCGAAAGGTGATAATCCCCTGTCGCCACGACTGCCCATCTGTGCATTGAATTGCAGCAATAAACGTCCCTGACTTGACATGGCTGGGCTGACTATTCTTCTTCAGTGGCCGTCTGTTCGACGAATCTACCCTACCGGCTCGATCACATATAACCTTACAACCACGCAAATCCCAGCCCTCACAATCACCTGTTACTTCATTACCACCGCAGCAATCATCGCACCCACCAGTACCTGCATTGGAGACGGACGCGGCGTCCTCCCAACCACCAACCCATGCAATCAAGTCGGTCTCACCAGAATCCAATGCAGTCGTTGAGCAGCGAATCAATGGGGTCGAACAACAGGCTGGTGATCGTATACTAGGGGGAACCAAGGAGAAGCCAGATCAGCCGGGATCTTCTATCAGTGATCTAGAGACGCGAGAGGGCGATCTCAATATCATCTCAAAATCCGAAGGCCCTCGTCGCGCGACTTCACCAGCATCTCCAGCTCCCCCAGCAAAGCATGCCGAAAAGCTCACGACGGTGCGTATAGAACCAGAGGTAGAGGCGCCTACGGCGACAGACTCTGTGGCTCCACTCTCTACTGGTCTCGGAGATGAGGTGAAGCAGGCTACGCCTGCACTCGCATCTGTCTCTGTGCCCGTCGAAACCCAGTCCTCCCCGTCATCTACAAACGGACGCGAGTCGGCAAATACGCCTGCGCCCACGGCCGGCTCTCCAGCAACGAGTCCTGGCGTCGATGCAGCCGTGAGCACACCTATAACGTCTCAGCAGAACAAGCGCGTGCATGATAGCCTGGCCAGCTCAGAACACCCACCAACCGCGGCGACTGCAGCAGGTCAACTCAACAAGCATGCGGTTCAGCCGCCTCCTGACGTTGAGATGACGGGGACCCAAGACGTGGACTCTGTGACGGCCACTTCGGATCTCAAGAAACAGTCGGCGGAGGCCAACCAAACCACAGTCCCTGAAAAGCCAAGCATGCGGATCGAGACGCAAACTGATACGGACTCGTACTTCAAACAGCATCCCAGCGGCGCCATGGTCGAAAGTCCAGCTCCATTAACAGCTGCTGCTACACCGAAAAGGAATGTCTCAACGACGCCCTCTACACAGGAGCCTGCAAAGCGCGCAACCAGGATTTCTTCGGGTGTTTTGCAGAAGAAGTCAGTCTCAGAAATCCTCGGCGAGACCCCAAAAGTGGTTACTCCCCTGGCGGAATCTCCTTCTTCTACGCCTAATCACGAATCATTCGCGACATCCCACAAGCGGGCTGGAGATCAGGATAGGCGTGATAGAGAGCGCAGCAGGTTGTCAACCGTTGTTTTTGCCAAACCGCAGAAAACAGCTACCGATGAAGAGACAGTGGAAGTTGCTCGGATGGACGATCGTGAAGCACAGCGGACAAAACCCGGACACAGAGATTATCTATACACTCTGTTTGAGAACAAGGCGCATTCCATGTCCCGGCAGACGTCGATGTCATATCTCATCCAGAATGCCCACAAGACATTGTCGACCTCAGATCATCTCGTTGAGTATGAACTCTCTGCCCAGTGCCGGATATTGAAACGTCTGTATCAGCTGCAGGAGAAGGGTCGTTGGCCACTGAGACAGTACAAGCGTGCGGACGAACCACCGAGGCCGACATCTCACTGGGATTTTCTGTTAGATCATTTGAAATGGATGCGTACTGACTTTAGGGAGGAGCGCAAGTGGAAGCTCGCTGCTGCTAGCAGCGTTGCAGAGTGGTGTGCAGAATGGGTTGCGGGCTCCCCGGAAGATCGAAAACGCCTGCAAGTTCGGGTTCGGCCTACGAAACATCTACCGAAGCCTACTGAGCCTCAGGATGCGAGCATGGATGATGGACCTGGGCCGGGTCTATCGTCACACCCCACGCCGGAGCTGATGCCTTCGAACGAAGATGATTCGATGAGTGATGACATTGCAGATCCTCGCGATATACAGATATCGAGCGCCCCGGCTGCCATCTTCTCACTTGGTGCTTCAGATTTCAGCTTCGCTGTTGACAAGACACCCGCGCTCGATAAACTTCTGAACGAGCTACCTCTCTACCAACCCGCTGCAATTGAACCGGATCTTTCCAAGTCCAATCTGGCGGAACGACTGGATTCAAGATGGAAGACTGACATTGTACATGTTTCCAAATGGGCTACGGAGAAGTTGCCAGTGAAAGACCATGCACCTCGCACGAAGCGCAGCCGGTACGAGTACGAGCTGGAGCCCGCGTCCAAGCAGAAATCAGCGCCCCTTCCCCCTGAGGAGACAAATGTGGCCTTGTTTATGCCTGAGAACAAGCACATTCGTGACAGAATACACCCTGGACACTCTTTCCGGCCACCGTCAGAACATCCTATGCCCACGCAGGCTTTCTTCGAGACCAGGTCTTCATCACAGTGGACCCCCGCAGAAGATGATGAACTCAGAAAGCTTGTCAAAGACTATTCCTATAACTGGTCCCTCATTTCCAGCTGCCTAACTCCTCGGAGCTCCTACACATCGGGAGCGGACAGGAGGACGCCTTGGGAATGCTTCGAGAGGTGGATCGGACTGGAGGGCCTACCTGCGGACATGTCCAAGACGGCTTATTTCAAGACGTACTCTGGTCGGATTGAAGCCGCAGGGAGGCATGTTGCTGCTCAGATCGAAGAAGCGCAACGCAGGGCAGGCGCTAATGTCCAGATCTCTGCGCGCAAGCGGACCACCCAGCCCATCCGAGTTGAACGTAAAAGAACGCAACGTCATCTTGCCATGCTTGACGCGATGCGGAAATTGGCGAAGAAGAGGGAGACTGCGCTTCAGAAACAGCAACACCAGGCCGATCTTGCTGCAATGCGCAAGGTCAATGACGCGAACGTGCCGAAGCCCGCGTACAAAACTCCTGCAGAGTTCTCTCAACTCAAACAGGAACGTGAGCAGAAGTTGGCGGAACGACAGGAGATCTATAGGCAACAGCTCATTGCCCACCAACGTGCCACAGCACAACAACAACGGGGGCAGAATGCTCAACCGAATGGCATGCCAAACGGCTTGCCTCCCGGTGCACCGGCAATGCGTGGACCTCCCACTGCTGGAGGTATGCCTGCAATGCCTAATGGAAATCTTCAGCTTCCCAACGGACACCCTCGTCATCCTGGCATGATGGCTATGCAGGGTAACGTGCAAATACCACCAGGCATGGTTGGTCCCAAGGGTCTTACGCCGCAAATGCAGGCACAGATGCAGGCACAAATGGCTGCTCGAGGCGCCGCTACTTCTCCACAACAGATGCGCATGCTGCAAGAGGCGAGTCGAGTTCAGCAAGAGCAGTTGATGCGGCAAGCACAGCAAGCCCAGAATGGGGCTCACTCGTCACCCAATAACGCGCATGCTGCGCTTGCTGTCGGCAAAGGAATGAACAATCCTGCATACATGTCGGCCATGGCCAATGCAAATGGGATCGGATCTCCTTCGGGTCCTGTGCATGGAAATTCCGCCTCGCCACGTCCGGCTACTGCCAATGCCGGCCAAGCTCTATCCAGCGGCCACATCCCTGTGCTCACTCAAATAGCCAACAAGATCCGAGAGCATCATCCCAACCTTTCGGAGGAGGATATACAGCGTCTAGCCTCGCAGCAGATCACCTCCTACCAGCAACAAGCGACGGCGGCGGCGGCAGGACAAACTCAAAAGCGACCTCAGCCTCATAACCAGGCCGCGTTAAACGCTGCGATAGGTGCCGTGAATGCCGGCAATCACGCTTCGAATGCGGCGGCGGCTGCGGCCGCTGCGGCTGCACAGTTTGGGCACCCTGGGATGATGACAAACGAGCAAGTTCAACAATACAATCAACGCATGAGAATGCAGCAAGCTCAGCAGCATGCTGTGCGGGGGATGCCAGGTCAGATGCAGCCGGGTGTCATGGGGCCAATCCCTAACGGCATGGCCAATTCACCTGTCATGAACATGGCGAGACCCGTGAGTCAACATGCAAATCAGGGACAACCCAGCCGGAGTGCGACGCCCAGAGAACAGAGGAGCGGTAGTCAAAACAACGTCAACGGCACTGGACCTGGACCTGGACCTGGGCAGCAAAGTAGCCCTCGGCCAGCACAGCAAAGCATGCAAACCCAGGCATGACCGACCTGTGTGTGATTGTATATATCTGAAGACACATCTTTATTCATTGGTGAACTTTCCTCCTTCGCCATTCGTGACCCCTGACACGCATTGTTTATGGTAGTAATCTGATCTTCCTCTCTATTTTGCTTTTGCTTTATTCGTGCATGATGACGGGGTCAGACAGAGAGGATAACAAGTATATTCTGCAACCGACTTTTGAGATATCACAAGCATCACAGGCAGACGACTTGTATCCGCTATCCCATTGAGCCTCAGTGTATTAGTAGGACAGTGCAATATTGGGTTTGCACATGTGAATCGTATATACCTGTATAAGCACTGACGACGTCGAAGTCGCAGTTCTTTTCTATCTTGCATCAGAATGCTTGGAGAGATTCGCCCATGAAAGCACTTTAGAACTACCTTAAGGTATGGCCAAAACTGCTGGGTGCTAGAACTGGCACTGAAATTTGTTCTTTTTATTCGTACAGGACGGTGTCTGCTTGGACTCTGTCAAGTCATGATCTGGCTAGAAGACTTCTCCTTCTCAATCTATGCAAGTAGTCGTAGGGCGATGAAGCCAGTATGCGATAGGGACATGAGTGTCAGGTATTCCTCCCCATTACCTGAAGTTCGAATCGGTTGGAGAGTCGCCATGAGCAAGTTGTTCTCCTTCCTCTCGTCAGCATTTTCATCACTTCCCCATCGCCATCGCACGGGGGTGATGCGAGAATCTGTTCTTGTGTCTTCTGCCACTGCATGCGTTTTCCTCCCGTCTCGCACGCCAACTCCGACCCCTGCAAAAACGCCTTTTCGAGTGCGGCAAACAAGGAGAATTGAAAGCAGAGAGAAAGGCTTCAAGACTACTAATCTCCACCACCGACAGCCTCGACCTCTCTGGGTCCCTGCTGCTCACGCTGCTCACGATGTTCACGGTACTGGCCACCACCGCCTCTCCGACCACCACCACCACCACCACCCTGTCGTCTCTGCCTGTCTCCACCATAATGACCTCTCTGGTTATCTCCACCGTCGCCCCAGCCGTTGACGCCGGCATCGGCATGAGTAGGACCTTCACGCAAGAAACGCTCGCGCTCGGCCTTGACGACGCTCAAGACGCTCTCCAGACTCCGACGCCAGACGAGCAGGCGGCCCTGGATCTCGGTCCACTGCTTCTCGCCGAAGACGCGGTAGGTGGCGCGCTGGACGAGGAACTCCTGCTTTAGCTGGCTCAGCTTGCCCTCGACCAGACCGGCGCGGATCGTGTCGATCACCCACATCTCCACGTCCTCACTGGGGACCTGCAGGGCCGAGGCGATGGTCGAGTACGAGACCGAGCGGGTCTGCGAAGTCGCGGCGATGCTGGCCAGAGTCAACAGTCGGATCTTGGTGCTGAGCACGTCGCCGCTCTCTTCCTGAATGCCCAACGACGACAGCTCGTTCGTCTCCAGGAAGTCGATGTACGACGAATAGTCGTCGGACGAGAAGATCTCGAGCAGGTCGAACAAGTTGCTGTCGGCGCGGCGGATGGCTTGGATCGCGTCGTTGGCCGTCAAGGCCGTGAAGTCGGTCACGGACGGGTTCGTCAGGGCCAGACGCAGCGTGCGCTTCGCTAGCTCTTGCGCCTCGCCGTCCGCGGCGCTCTCGGGTGGGATCGTCTCCAGTGCTTTCATGAGGTAGGCGTACGAGAGATCGTCGTTGCCGCTCACCGCAGCCACGTCGGCCACCGCGGTGTACAGGCTGCGCGCGTCTTCATCGTCGAGTTGCCACGCCGCCAGCCATTCTGGGATGTTGGTTTCCAGTTGTGGTATTAAAGCCTCAAACGCCTGTGACGAGGATGTCGCCTTGATGACCTTCAGGATGGCCAGGAACACGTGGTATCGCGCTTCGCTAGTCGGTGGGAGAACGTTGAACACGGTCGTCAGGCTCTGCAGGGCGAGCGAGGCACCGTAGACCGCCGACGAGGTCACCGGCTGCTCGCTGAGGTATTGGCATATCCGCGCAAAAAACTGTTCGTAGATCGGAGATTGCAGGGAGAGGCTGATCAGGAGGTTATATGCTGGCGTGAATTCTGTTTTTGAGGATAGGTCAGCATTTTTTGTCCATCGAGAAGAATCGACGTTTCTGCTCTTCCTCGTTCCTCACGTTGTTCGTAAAGATTTGGGAGTGTCTGGCGGTATCTCGCTTTGGGGGTGCGTACCTCGTTCGGGCGCCGAGTTGAGGATCGAGGCCTTGGTAACCAGCTTTTTCAACACCTCATCTTTCTGCGGCTGGATCGTGGATGCCTCGACTGCTTCTTCTCCCTGCTCGGCCTCTCGGATGATGTTCAACGGGTCTGCGATTTCTGCTTGCACGCCGGCGCCTTCTTCGGCTTTGGACAAGGCATCCAGGTACTGTGCGAATTCTTCTGCGAGCTCGGAAAACGTCCCTTCGATCAATAACGTATTCGTGGGGCCCGGCATGGCGGCGGTCTGTTTGGATGCAAAGGATTACACACGAGGTGGGATGGGTGTGTTTGAAAACGTTGTGATCTCGCCTTTCACCACAACCTGCGCCTCTCGTCGTCGCTCTGGATCTCGCTCTCGGTGTGGGAAGCGAATTTGGAGGGTTCGAAATCTTGGCGGAGATAAGATTAGATCTTGTTATTAGCAGTACTACTACCACTACTACTAGTACTAACTGAATCAACTAACAACTAAGAGCGTATAATCCTAGGACATCACAACCGGTCATGCACTGCAGAGTGAATCTAAGATTGCGAGGTGAATGGATTTTTTTCCTCTAGTATGTTAGATTTCGACTGACTCGTCTGATGGGCTTGATTGTCGTGGTTCGAAAAATTGCTTCATTTTGTACCTTATAACTCCAACCCAGCAAGTACCCATGACCACGCCTCTGCATATTCTTGTACATGAACAGGATGGATCCTGAAATATTCAACTCATGCTGCACCGGGAATCGGGATAGCGGTGTTATCTCTGGTGGACATCTCGTCCTCGATAAAGACTCCAAGCCCTGCAAACGCCCGCAGCAAACATTCGTCCATATATTCGGCAAAATCATACCCTCCAGCCAGCATGGCATCGGCCGGTTTGCCTCTGACCTTGCTGACATACTTGTCGTCGACTTGGTAGTAGTCTTTGGTCCGAGGCATACCCATGAATGGGTCATAGGGTGCCTTTGCTTTGGCAAGGACAATCTTCTTCAATCCCTTGATCAAGCCGCTAGGGTCCGCAGCATCGGGGGCAACGTCCTTCTTCTTGACAGCTTTCACTCCAGGCTCGCTGGTCGCCTCTGTGGGATCTGTCTTGATGCCGTTCGCCTGTGCGTATTCTTTAAGTTTGCGGTTCGTCGCAGCGACGTCAGTGCGAAAGACGAGATTCATGATCAACTCTTCTCGTAGTTCCAGAAAGTCGTCATAGTCGCGCTTCGTCTCAAACTCATCTTCCCGCCGATCAAGACTAAACACGTCAGACAGGGGAACAATAGAGAAGCAGACTCAGGGGACAGGCAACTTACATTTTGTTGACTCTTTTGCGAATCTCGATTTCGCGTTCGATCTTCAGGTCTTCAAATGTCTGCGTCCGCCATTCTCGTTTCCAGAGACTAACATGACAGCCTCCCACGGGACACTCTGCTTTGCCGCTGGAGAAGTGTCTATCGACACATCCTTCACATATCCGATGGTAACATTTCGTGTTGATCTTGAAGCGAAGTCCAGGATGGGTCCGAGGATCACTTCCACAGACAGGGCATTTATTGGCCCCTAAAGCAGCCGCGAGTCACTATAATGGCAAATGATGGCAGGGAAGGCCGTGAAAGCATACCGGTGGTGTCTTCTTCATCCATGATGGTGACGCTTCATCTGCTTAGTTGCGCGGTGTCACTGTTTCCAAGAGTTGGAGCTCTTCCGCGACTAAGAAGAGATGTCGTGAATGCTAAGAGTTAAATGCATCATCCTTGAAGCACTTATGTCAGTTTGCCTAGCTTTCGCTGTGGATGGATAGTAGAGATCCTCAGGTAATATGCAAAGTGAAGTTCAACAAAGAGGATGAATCCGTGGTGAGGCTGTGGCTGGTGAAGCAGTGAATGACTAAGCATTCCCTGGTGGCGTAAAATGGGGCGTTTTTAACATCCGCAAGATTTGCAGACAATTTTACAGTCAGTTCTTTCAGATTCTTTGAGTTCCAACACAAAGGCATTGCGTTTCCCATTATGGACAACTCGGCTCTTGCTCGAGTGGAAGAACAACGACTTGAGCTTGAAGCCAACATCGCCAAACTACGCAAATCGTTGCGTCACTGGCAGACACTTGAGCTCGATTATGAGGGTCTAAAGGAAGAATTTCTGGGCCTGCCAGATGATTCCTCCGCTGAAGAATGTCTGCAGGCGGCGAAGGATTTCAAGCCAGAGGTAGTCGATGACAAGGAGCTGAAAGAGCTACTTGTGGATGCCAGAGCACGGCCTCGACAACCTGCCCAACTGATAGACCTCTTGTCTAAGCGGGTTGATTATGTCTCGCGGAACATCGAGACAGTCCGAAAACAGCTCTCGGATGCCGAACGGAAGAGAAACGCTCTCCTGCTCGCTGGGGAGCCAGACCATCAGGAGGATGCGGGCCTTCCACTTGCAGAGATCACCGAGGAGCTGGACGAGTCGGGCCAAGTAATATCGGGCAAGGTGCAGACCCCCGGCTCGTCCGCACCTCAGCTGATAGACGTTTTAAAGAAGGCTGGCATTGAAGATCTGGAAGAAAAGGACGGCAAGATTACGAGGGTGGACTCTGCAACAGGAAGCAATGCGGAAACAGGTCCGTCCACCAAATCGGCTCAGCCAGAAGTCCCGACTGTTGCCCAATCCGACGGACAGTCCTCCATTGAGCCTGCCACAAAAGTCAACGACCATGTGGAAGATGTCCCTAGTAGTAATCCTACGGACACGGAGACTGAAGCCAGACTCCGTCGAGAGATGTGGGAATACTCAAGAGGCATGGATGAAGTTGGCGCCATCGTTGCGGAGCTTGATCTGGAAGACAATGCCTCTGATATTTCTTACGACGAGCAAGATGAGGCGTTTGAGCTGGATTCTGACTTTGAAGAAGACGATGTTCTCGACGAGGACGAGTCCGAGGACGAAACCGGAAAGAGTACTCATCGACTCACTATTCCACGCGGCTATCGAAAGAGAATGGAGGAACTGCAGGAGAAACTTGGTCTGAAGAACGTGGGTCCTCAAGCGGCCTCGGAGCTGGTCGAAGAGACACTGAAGCCGGAACAACGTCCGCCAGCGGCCGAAGCTGCGCGACAGGCTGCAATCGCCAGGGCAGAGAATGCCAGGAAGAGCAGTTTGAAGCCTGCGATGCAGCGATCGTCTTTGGGACAAGCGGGAGTGAAGCGTGGAAAGTCGAGCAAAAAGAAGGTTGCCTTCTCTTCCGACCTGGATATTGCTAGCGAACCTGCGATTGATAGAGCCAACACGGCCACTCCGACAACACCTCAGAAGACTTCAGACACGCCTAGAGTTCGACCGATCAACGAATCCATTGTTGAGAGGGAGGTCGTTTCCGTTGATGAGGAAGCTGTTGCACCGGCTCCGACAGCCACTGCCGGAAAACAGTCTCGTTTCAAAGCCGCACGACAGTCACAGCCACAAACGCCCATGTTCGCTCCTCCAATGACTTTGCCAGATGTTTCGTCCGGGCGCGTTCAAGGCCAACCGACTTCCCCGACTCCCCCCTCAAAGATTGTCTCTCCAAGTCTTGTCGAACGTCCGTCCACCACCGACGCTGCAGCCCCTGATCCCGATGATTTCTCTGAAGAGGCCCACCGTCGCGAGATAGCGTTAGAATACCAACGACAGCGTATGAAGCGCATTCATGCCCAGGAAAATGGGTTTCTGGGCAACGGGGAAGAGGACAATTACGGGGAAATGATCACCCCTGGCAGGGGGGGAGATGGCGAAGATGGGAATGAGAAGAAGATTAGCAGGTTCAAAGCCGCCAGGATCAATCGATAGACCAGGTGAAGATTTGGATACTCCACATCTTGACTTTGCAGTCTTATATTCAACCATTCGCTGCCTTGTGTCCCCGGTTGCCCTCTCCAGTCGCGTCCTCACTGATTCCACCCGTGAGTGTATGAGGTGTCCTTCCTTTTCCAATTCTATATTTGACATACAGGAACTCTCAAAACAGTATCCATGCTTCAATCACGAAATGGACATGCAGCCTTCCGGTCCTCTCGGAGGAAAGGAGATCAATCTGCGTTGTTCCATTAGTGGAGTTCCAAGATCGAAGTATAGGAGGTCGCTGGGGCTCTCTGACGCCTGATCCCTCAGTCCGGGCTTTGCGAGTCTGGAATGGGAACTGATGGATCCGGCGATTCGTTTCACCCAGTACATTTGCCAAACTTACTACTATGCTGGACTCCAAGCATGCCTAGGTACCTGATAGTTAGGTGTCCAGACAATGCATGCCCACAGGTAAGAATTTGTACGGCAACGTATACGTGCATATGCTGCAACACTACTGTCGAGCATTTTTGTTCTAATGGTAGACTCCACAATGAAAAATCCATGACTCAATTTCATTTGTAACCAAGTTCAGCTTTTGCTCCATCTTTCTCACTTCTCGCCTCTCTTTTCCCTCTCTCTGCCTCTTTCTATGCTACCTACTACGTACGTAGTATTTGGACATGCTAAACTTGAAAGGCGTTTCCACTATCACGATTGACCCCAGACTGACATTGGCCGGCTGATGATGATGACACTCGACCTAGCCATCAGCTAGCCATTTAGGTATATGTATGTGTCCCCCCCAGACTCTGCCCTTCAGGCTTTAGCCATTCTACAACTTCCCTCCTTTAGGGTCCTCCGCTTACATACATTCCTCAAGCTCAAGTCTCCTAACCTGTCGCCTTCTCACAGTCACAAGTATCAGTGTCAAGGGTTCCGACTCGCTTGATTGAGAAGTGCAACAACAGATGGATATAAAGCAACCTCCAGCTCCAGCCTCGCTGCCACCCCGGGAACTGGATGTCATCACTCCTTTCCACGAGCCGCAAGATGTACCAATTGACGATAGCAACTCGGGTATCTCTGGGCAGGGCGGGTCTATGTCACAGGTCAGAAGGAGGAGCAGGTTTCGAATCACCATGATCCTCATTGCGCTGTATCTGTCTCTCTTTATCGCCGCCCTCGATTCCACCATTGTGTCCACTGCGGTGCCCAAAATTACCGCCGATCTTCATTCAGCAGCAGGCTACATCTGGGTTGGTGGATCCTATCTGATCGCCAATGCTGCTGCAGCTCCGATTTGGGTCAAATTGTCCGACATCTGGGGGCGGAAGCCGATTTTACTCGCGGCGGTCGTTGTCTTCTTCGCCAGCTCCATCGTCTGTGCTGCCGCCGTTGATATGCAGATGCTCATCGTTGGTCGCAGCATACAGGGTGCTGCCGCTGGTGGCCTGATTTGTATGGTCAACGTCGCCATCTCTGATCTGTTCAGTGTGAGAGAAAGAAGCCTGTGGCTGGGCTTGTGTGAAGGCATTTGGGCTCTTAGCGGAGCTGTCGGTCCTCTTCTCGGCGGTGCCTTTGCTCAAGAAGTAACATGGCGGTGGTGTTTCTATTGCAATCTACCGATCGCAGGTACTGCCTTTGTGCTTCTTGTCCCTTTCCTGGACGTTCACAACCCACGCACTTCGGTGATGGATGGTGTTAAGGCCATCGATTGGTTTGGCTCTATTTCCATCCTGGGAGTAACCGTCATGTTACTCCTGGGCCTTGACCTGGGTGGATCGGTCTATCCCTGGGGTTCCGCAAAAGTCGTCTGTTTGATGGTCTTCGGTGCTCTGATGGTTATCATCTTCATTTACAGCGAGAAGAAGCTGGCGAAGTATCCCGTGATACCGCTGTCACTTTTCGGGACAAGGAACCTTGCCACACTAATGACGACATTTTTCCACGGCATGGTAAGCTGAGCTCTCCATATTCAGCCGCAGTTAGACTGACCCGTCGTACAGGTCTTCATTTCCGCAGAATATTATCTGCCCCTTTACTTTCAAAGTGTTAAGGAAGCTTCGCCACTTCGTTCGGGTGTACTTCTGGTACCGTTGATCGTGGCCACCGCCGGAACCGGTGTCATAAACGGCGTCATCATACACCGAACAGGCCAATATAGGCCTTCGATGTGGCTGGGCACAATCCTGATGACTTTGGGAACTGGCCTCTACATCATGCTGGACGTTGACACCTCCATTGGCACCATTGTCGGCCTCGAGATCGTCGAAGGGATCGGCTCGGGGCTTCTCTTCGAGCCACCTCTGATCGCCATCCAGCAGGATGTTGCCCAAGACGAGGTAGGCACAGCCACATCGACGCAAAGCTTCATGAGGAGCCTGGCTCTGTCATTGGGGGTCATTGTTGGTGGCATCGTCTTCCAGCAAAGCATGGACCTTCGCAGATCATCTCTAATTGAAGCTGGCTTGCCACCTTCGCTTGTGGAGCAGTTTTCCGGGAAAAATGCCGGTGCAAATGTCATGCTTGGCCACACGCTACCTCCGGCTCAAAAACTTGCCGTTAAGCAAGCCTTTGCATGGAGCATCCGGAACATGTTCATCATGTTCACCGCCCTAGGTGCTCTGGGGATCTTTGCGAGCCTGTTCATCAGCCACAAGAAGCTCTCGAAAGAGCACGAAGAGACCGTCACCGGCCTGAAAAAGGATGATCCATCGCCATAAGGTACTTCCTCTCACAGAGCTGTAGTCGCTGTCCAAAGACATCAGAGCGCGCAAGTTGCACTCGTGCCAATCCTTCTGTGGTCGATCTATATGATGAATGAGCAACGGCTGTGACGGTTATAGTCGGCATCTGCTTCTGAACAACTGACACATGCACACTTCAAGGTCGATTTCAACTACGCCACAACACTCCTCGACTCAGCCCCATAGCTGAACGGACTCGGTGATGCTTAAGCACCGTCAACAACAGCACTCCCTCTTTGGCTACTGTACATCCTGATATATAGATCGGTGATGCTCAAACACCGTCACCAACAGCACGCTATCAGTCTGGACACTGATACATATCTTTGTGGCAAACTTACTGCCGCAACCCTCCAACGGTGAGCTCCCCACCGTCAAAAAAACAGCACTTGTTGTCATATAGCATCACGTATCCTTCCGGTCACCGCATCAGGCTTGACTGGATATGGTGAGCTTCCCACCGAGAACAACAGCAATCCGTCACCTACACGGTGGTGTGAAAATGAAAATGCTTGAATCGAAACCGGTGAGCTTCCCACCGTCATCAACAGCACTGTGTATGAGTGTTCCACGCGTATGCGTGGCTATTGATGCTTGGACGACTTTGGTATTTTGGTGCACGCTAACCTCCCAGCACATCTCGGTTTTTCTGAGCCTGCTCCTGATGATATATCCTATTTATCCATTGCCTGAACGACAAGCTGACTAAAACTCCCGACTGACGACTGACCCAAGGAGAGTGCTTCCCCTCAAGGAGCGACCACTGAGCATATATTGGTTAGTCCTTGTTTCGAACAGCTCGGAGCGTGCAGTAACCGCTTCGGACCACTGAGAGGGAAGGACAACGATGCTGGAAACGCCTGCAATAGCCCTGTAGACTCCGAACGGTTGTAGCAACGTGAGACGTATGGCCAATACAGATACTGCCGATATAACACCGTCTGTACGCATCTTGGAGTTGTTTCGCAATCTAGTATGACCTATCTTCAACAATTCAGAGCAGATTCAATAGCCTGATCTGATCATTATATACATAAGTACCTCCCATATCATCTGTTGTCTATCTATGTTTGTCGTGGTGCTGTGCCTTTGGCTGGAGATCCTCCGGTCGCGTATCTCAGCAGCCCGGTGTGGAATTTGGCAGGTCCCCAAGGCGATCTTATCAACCTCGTCAGCCCGGGGCCAATATCAGGAAGAGGAGGATCCATTATCCTAGGGTATGGTATCATATATACTATCACAGCATCTAACGGCTCATTCCTCTGACTCACTTTACCTCTCTTATGACATCTGAGACCCTTTCTGCGTTCAAACCGTTCTATGAACAAGAAATCGGGCAACTCACTCGGATCACCAGCTGGAAACTTCCTTTGGTAGCCCTATCTACCAGCAACAGTCTCACTTCACGAACAGCCAGTTGTATACACATACAGACGTACACATGCTGGCTAGCCTGAGACCTGCATTCCTATTCCGACCCAGCATGACAGCAGCAATGCAAACCTCATCGAAGACTGTTGGGAGTCAGAAAAGTAAGTCTCAATTCGAGACCGAATACCTGAGATCAACCCAACCCAACCCAGAACAAGAAGACACAACCATACACATATATATCTCTCTGAGTGCCTATTTTCATCTATCTGATACTGAATTAACACTACTGCTACAGCAAAATGGAACCAACCCGTCGGCCACGCCGTCTCTTTCACAACACCACCGCCTCGCCCATCCAGAGTAACACTCCAAGGCCCGAGTGTCACCATCAAACCCTTACACCCCGACCACGCCAACGACCTCTACACCATCATCGAAGGAGAAGACAAAGCACATCTCTTCACCTATCTCTTCGATGAACCTTATACATCTGCAGAAAGCTTCCAGGCCGCAGTCACTGTTAAATCGCAATCCGAAGATCCCTTGTTCTTTGCCATTTCTATTCCTAACAACAGCAACAGCAACAGCAACAGCAACAGCACCACTTCCACCAACATCCAGACCGCAAACAACCAACCATCCGACCTCCTCGTCGTGGGCTGGTTGTCCCTAATGCGCATCAGCCCTGCCCATCGCGTCGTCGAAATCGGCAACATCCTATTCTCCCCGCTCCTGCAGCGCACCAAGGCCGCCACTGAAGCCATGTATCTGATGGCAAAGTACGTGTTTGAAACCCTGGGCTATCGCCGGTACGAGTGGAAATGCGACAACATGAACGCCCCGTCAAAAAGGGCCGCTTTACGGTTCGGATTCACGTTTGAGGGCGTGTTCAGACAGCATATGATATATAAAGGACGTTCGCGTGACACGGCTTGGTTCTCTATCGTCGATACAGATTGGCCTGTTGTCAAACGGGGGTTTGAGGCGTGGTTGGATGATGCGAATTTCGGGGCGGATGGTCTGCAGAAACAGAGGTTAGAGGTGATTAGGGAGCAGTTGGACAATCAGAGGAGTCCTATTATTCTGGAGGTATGAGGAACGGGTGGATGGATGTTGTAGGTGTGGTAGTATGGGGTATAGGTAGAATCTGGGTGGTCAATGGACATTGATGGCTTGGGAATGGAAAGAGGCCTTGCGATGAAACTAGACGACGTTATTTGGATCGAATTGTTGTCTATAGAGCTGGTTTTCCTTCGAGGATCGTCTCCCATAGAGAAGTTCTTTCTAGAGAGATGTGTTGTATATATTCGGCGGTTGTCGGGATGTCATTGATTTCTAGAGAAATGATCCAATCCTGAGTCCTCGGACCCGACTTTCTAGGGAACTTGCTCTTGGAATTGGACACGCTTAGCAAGTACATGTACTTGCATCTTGGCTTCTCATCTTATTTACTAGAGTTGATCAAGGGCAATAAAACTCGAGCCCTCAGTGGTCAAGAAGAACACTCATATATACCTAGCTGCGTATATTGAATCCAGTCAAAGGCTTGAGCTCTCTGTCCTTTCAGAGAGGAAGCTTCCGGTCAAGTAGAAGCACGTTTGCTGTCACCAAATTCCGTTCATGGACAGGGTAAGAGGTAGGTTAATTCAAGCAACAATAGAGACCCAATGAAGTAGACGGCAGTGAGTGTTGACTTTCTTTGCTCAAGAGGGTTTGGGCAATTGTTGATCAGCTCAACGGCCTGCTCTTCCGTCCATCTCTGTGAAGACAAATATATCTCAGGTACAGTGCTACTCACTGGACGTATGCCAGACAGTGGTACATCGTTGATGTTAGGTTGTTGTTCCGCGGTCAATGGCAGATCAGCATCGTCCTTTTCTTTGAGATGGTCTACCACTTCTTCAGGGACGTGTCCTAACCCAGAACCATCACAATATACTCGACGTACCATGCTCTAAGCCTTGCATCCAGCCTAGACCAATATTAGCTTGTCTCTTGTACTGGCTAGGAGTATCCGGTCCATGAATGGCTCCTCCCAGGGGAAGGGCAGAGGGCAGAAAACAATTGTCTGACTTCGAGTGGAAAATTGTGTATTGGACCGACCTGTGCTTATCGATCTGATCCACGTTGTGACTCTGGTATATGATAAGCCAGGTTCACATTACCTGTAAATGATGTCTGCGGATGAGGCGGTAATCAATCATCTCCTGATATCTCAACTGCGTTATTTATCGGCGGCTGAAAAGCAGTGCATCATATCATGCACCCCCCAGAAGGTGCTTCTCTTTCTAAGGCTCAAGCATCCCAATGACAGGTTCTCCTGGGGAACAGTCCACGCGAACGCACCATGCATCAATAGTGGCATCAAAACCTTGGTCTGACTCAAGACAGGGATGACGACTGTCTATGAGTGTTCAGAAAATCGTCCTGATTTTAGGAGAATTAGGATAGAGAGCAGTAATTCAAATTGAAGTCTACAGGAGATGGAAGAATGTACTCTACATATATCAGGTACTAAATACTACTATCGCGTCACTTGCCGCGCTGGGAACATAGAGAACACTAAAGTCTGTGTGATAACTGATAACAATATGCCGAGCCAGTCCCCAAGGATCCTGGACAGCCGGATTGTGGACAGTTTGCTTGGAATACCCTGCTTCACGAGAACACCTATGAGAAGGACTGGGTCTATCTCATGCACAGATGCACAAGACAGACTGTTATTATCGCTCGACAATATGGAGATTCATTCAGAGCTATAGAAGCATATTGTGAACGCTCTTGAGATGGATGAATAAACAGTGCGGGGCGGCCAGGGAAAGGCATCCAAGTCAAGCATATTGTCTTTAGCTACCTCACCGGGCATTGTTTGCTATTGTAGTCGATCGCCGCCTCGCCTAGCTTGACACAAATAGCAAGGCTCCTCTTCCATGTAAATAAAACAAAGAGCTGTGCGGGAGTATTGCCAGATATCCCAGGTAGCTACCGCTGAATAGGAAGCTCAACACTCTGGTGCTGCGCATGCCTCATCTGGCCCTTACATGAACCACTGTCTACAATAGACCGGGTGACATGACACAATAGAACAACGAACGCACACACGAACGCACCACAGAAGCCAGAAGCCCATGATTGAAGCGGTGGCGCTGCGTTCATTCTTCCATCTTGCGATCTTTTTCATGGGGGTCCAAAACCGGAGACACTAAGCCGCTTTGGGAAGGAAGGCGCACAACTGGAACTGGACCTGGCAAAGCGAGAGACAGGGACGGAGGGAGAGAGCCACCTCGCCTCGTTCTCTTCATCCACTGCCAGTCTATTGTTCATCATTGTCTGCTCCCCTGGTCACAGTCTGACACACGGCTCTATCATCGGCGTCGACCAGAATCTGCAAGCTACATCATCTCTTGACCCGACCAGGCTGTGGTGGACCATCCTTCTTCCCGGCCCGTCGCTCTCTGCGGCTGTGGCTTTGTTGATTCCAAACCGGCCATGTTCTCTGGTCGACTCCCACACCCACGGCGGCCAGGAAGCCCTCCTAGGACTTCACGAACCAACACTGACGGCAAGCGCCTCAAGGTTTCGTCTTCAACTGCAAGCTCGACAACCCCCAGTCCGACTTTGTCCACCAACGACAGTCACCCTTCTACGGATCTGACCACTTCCATCAGCGATCCTGATGATTCTCTAGTAGCTTCAGCTCCACCAACCGTACCATCCGCCACCATGGACTCCAAGTCTACATCTCACAAGTCCTCCTCTCCCGTAGACTCAGGAAGTCGACGATCATCTGGCCGCGTAAGAAAACCGACTGCCAAAGCTCAGGCGCTTGACGGCGGCAAACCCTACTCTCCGCCACTGTCAGATACGATCGTGGTCAGCTCACCATCGCCTCCCAAAAATCGTTCTCGTCGCAAGGATTCTTCAACCACGCCAGCTCCTACCATCGAAAGCTCCCAGGAAGCTTCAGTGGGACCTCACATCCCAGAGACCCCAGCAACCATTCAAGTCAATAACATCACTCCACCGCCCAAAACCGAGGAGGTCAACGATGAGGCTGAAACTCGAGCTACTGAATCCCCACCGCGCAGAGTATCTCAACGTGAGAGAAAACCTACTGCCAAAGCATTGTTGACCTCTCCGACTGCCCAGAAACGTCCACTGGGTGCTATCGATGCCCAGGATGCTCCTGTCCGCAAGTCTGCTAGGATTTCCTACGGCGGCGCCAGAGTCCCTTCCAAGCTCCGCTACTCGGTCTCGTCTACACATGACGAGCCGGATGAAGCTGACCAAGCCGTGACTGCGCAGACTCCACCTGACAAGAAATCCAAAGTGGTCGTGTTGAAGACGACGCCTACGAAAGAAGATGATGCGAGAGATGCAGAGATTCCAGAGACGCCAATCAATAACTCGAAAGTGGTTGTACTCAAGTCTAAGAGGTTCTCCGAGATTGTCGACCCAGCGAGCCAACACGACGAAGTGGGTGCTAAGAAGCCGCCCAGAAAGAAAGCGAAGCGCCAGCCTAAGGCAGATCAGACTATTACCGTACCAACTATCGTCGCACCTGAGGAGCCCAAAGCTCCAGCTCCAGCTACAGCTCCAGCTCGAGCTCAATCTTACGCACAAGCACCATGCAACCTCTCTTGCCTTCCTCCATGGTCCAGAATCGTGGCCTTTGCCGAGATTGTCAAGCAAATGCCCGATACAGATGACGCAGATGAAGAATTCGTCCCTGGTGGTCCACAAGACTGGCGTGCTTACGCAAACCAATTCTGTCAATGCATGCCCATCCCGCCGCTGCCCACCCATGAAACAAGCCCTACCGAACTCGCATGGGCGCTTCAGCCAAACACGGTTTTCCAAGGCACCGAGATCGATCCGATTGATTTGACCGAACCGGCCGCCGTCGCCGAGTCTGAACTGCTGTCACAGCCCGTCAATACTATTCTTCGCGCCACGGACGCCGAGAGACTGTCGCAGCTTTTTGCAAGTCCGAACAACATGGATGCAGTTCAGAGAACAAGACGATATACCACTCCGGCAGCAGGAAGTCTACTGAACTCGAACGTCACGGGTAATCTACACCATGCAAATGAATTGGCGACTCCGCTCACCAACGGATCCATGCAGCGTCGGGTGTCTTTCGTGGAGAATGGAAATGTCACGTTCGTGCAGCCAGCGCCGTCCTCTGAACCGACCCGAAAGAGAACCTACGAACATCGCCTTCGTGACGACCACATGGTATTGTCCCAGATCCGCAAACGAGCATCCGCAGTGGGAATCCAATGGAGTTTCAACATGACATTCGACGACATCCAGGCCTTGTTGGCGGAAGTCGAGGACCGTCAAGAAGGAGATGAATGGTATTATCATCAAGAGGGTGTTGGACCGGATCATGGCATGCCGGGCCATAGCTATCAGATCTCAGACGAGAATGGTGCTTCTCCTCGAGGGTTCGGTGTGCTGTATCCCACTCGACGAGCCTCATCGATCGTTTCGCAACCACAATACACTCAGCCATTCCAGCAACCACGTGAGAACTCACCATATCAGCCACTGTACGCTCAGCGTCAACAGTCGCTACCACCTCAGAAACAGAATCAATCCGAGAACACCGGTCGAAAACGACAACAAAAGGACACATGGATCAATTATTCCCCAGTGAACAGAACGCCGCCGGAGCTGCTCTCGCAGAGACTAGCGAGTCCAACCACTACCTCCTCCGTGACTTTCGTCGACGACTATGATCCGGTTACATCTACGTCCAACTCGACCTTGGAGGCACGACGGCTATCTTCTCCAAGTCGCTTGAAGAGTTCCCGCTTTCGAGTCGATCCCCGCGGTTTGCTGGGCGAGTCGCCGGGACCGGGAACGATCATCAATATCGACAAGAGAAAGACCAGCGGTCGTCGTGATAGTGGTGCCAGTGCCGGTACGGGGAGCGGAAGTGGTCGACCAGTGAGAAGATCGCGTAGCCGCAAGGACTGACGGATCTGAATGTGGTTGAAAGAGAGCGAGGAAGCAGTGGACCGAAGAAGCAGTGGACCAAGGAAGCGAAAGGGGGAAGGTGTGTGAGAGAGGGTCGAGACTGCGGGAGAGCGGAGGAGTGTCCTATTTTGAACATGGGTTGATGAGCAAGCAGACGAGCAATCAACAGCCGTGGGTTCCGAACGCATGATGAAAGGCAAAGCAGAGGTGAAAGAAGGGCTTGGTATGTGGTCAACGCCAGAGAACTGAGAGCGAAAGGGAAGTCGGGGCCAGAACGACATCAGCACCAACATCCACAGCAACAGCGACAGAGCGAGTTCTTTTTTTCTCCTGGGGGTCATGATGGTTTTTTCAGCAAGCCTGCCAGTTTGTGTTACGAGTTCAATGACCCTTTTTAGTCTGGCTCTGTATTGGTCTGCTCTTCCGTCTAGACTTTGGCAAAGAACGACCAACAGGGCCCGAAAAGCGGTTTCTCTCTTTTAGTTATCATTCCTTCAAGGGCATTCAATCATTTTGTTGGCTCCAATGGATTCCTGAGCAATAAGCCGGGATACCGCATATGTATATGGTGAATGATGACTGGTGTACACGATACCCCTGCCTAACTCTGTATTCTCTCAAAGACGCAGTACAGGCCGGACCAGTACCTACTGTGACATCTTTCGCCCCAAGAAGTGGAGTAGCAGGACCAGTCTACCACCATTCTTCAACACTTACTGGTCTGCCGACGTCAACTCCCTCTGTATAAATCTGCATTGTCTGCCTCTACCGTACGGACACCGTATGCTAGATCTTAGCGGGGGATAAATGAACGGAGACTTGTCGTGACATGAACATGACATGAGACAAGGTAAGTTCCTCTACTACTCGTTTGACAGGCCAGCAGTTAATTAGTTGGTTGATTGATCTTCTTTTCCGCCCCACAAGCCAAAAACAGCGAGAGCGAAATTGGTTTGGCGGCTCGATCTCGATCTCGACACTTCACTCGTAACAACTCGACAACCCCTGAAACGTTTTCACTGTTTAATCCTTTTCCTATTCCTCTCTCCACACGCGTCAAATCAATAACATTTGTCTATCTTGACGCGCTTCTTGGAGAAATACGTTCCCTCGTCCAGGGTCTACAAGGGTCTACATAATAGAAATCAAGAACGCCGGTTGTATTCGGAAGCCAGGGAGCTCGGGGTGTATTCTTTGTCGCAATAATGTCCGCAGAAATCATGCCAAAGAAAAGAGGTCGACCGCCGAAAAAGGCCGCGATCGCAGCGACCCCAACAGCAGAGGATGTCGTCGTGATTGAACCGGCGGTGCCGAAGAAACGAACGAGGACGATGGCTGGCTCGGCTGATAAGAAAATACCGTCGTCGGGGTCTTCAACTTCAACTTCAGCTTCAGCTCCAGAACTTGCAGATGCGGGCTCAAGCTCGGGTTCAACCACAGCGTCAGGCTTGGGTTCTGGTACGGCTTCTCGGACGGCTTCTCGGACGGCTTCGAAAGGGGCAGCAGCAGTGAAGGGGGTCAAGGATAGTAATGGTGTGGATGCAGCTGAAGCTGACGGAGTATTGGAGGTGAAAGCCTCGTCAGCAACGAAGAGAAGAACCGCAAAAAGTTCTTCTTCTTCGTTGACTTCGGTGGCTGATGGCACGTCTGCTGCACCGCCTACGTCTACATCTACATCTACATCTACATCTACATCTACATCTACATCTACATCCTCATCTGTTCCCGCAGAGACAGCCGAGCAATCTACGAGGACCCCCAAGGACAAGTCTGATCTGTCGCATGAAAAACAGTCAGTCCCGACCCCGACCTCGACCCCGACCTCGAGATCTAGAACACGCAAACCCTCTGCCGCTGCCGCTCCCGCTCCCGTCACTGTGAATGTTCCCGAAGATTCTGGTCTTGCATCGGTGGGTAAGAAGACGAAATCGACTCCTTCAACTTCTACGACGACAGCAGCGACAATTCAACAGGTCTCAGCGCCAGGACTTCTCCAGAACAATGACTCTCAGCCGAAGCAGGATCCAATGCTCGGAAAGTCTGTGTCTGCCAGTGCATCTGTATCCAAGATCTTGCAGCAGGCAAAAGCCTTTTCGAAAACTTCCAATCACTTGCACGATAGTGTTTCCCAGCTCGTGAAGGATCGGGAGGAAGCTGTGCATGCTTCTCGGCCACAGCAAACCATCTCGACGGTCCAAGGGGTGGCCATGAAACAATCAACCACAGGGACAGGTGTGACCGCAATCACCTCATCAGAGGCCATCCCTGACGCCACGATGGACACCAAGTCCTCCGCACCAGACAGTACCACTACAGCTACGACATCACAATCAAAACCGCACGACGCAGAGCCCACCACTACCGAACCAGCCACCAATATATCCTCGCCCCGTTCCGCGTTTGAAGCAATTCCAACCTCTTCAGCTTCAGCTAAGCCTGACCAAGTACCACCACCAGCACCGACATCTCCTACCACAACTTCTTCGCCCGCCAACGGAGCGTTCATCTCTTGGGCACCAATCCAGCCACCATCCAACTCTGCGATGGCAACACAGTCCATCTCTAGCTCCGGGACGTCTCGGTCTCCCCCGATCGCCATCGTATTTCCGAAATACGTCCTTCCCCCATCCACAGTCGCCGCCCTGGCTGCTCGCAACGTCCATTCCCAGCGCCCATCCGGGTTATCGCTGTTCTCGTCGTCGTCGTCGTCGTCGTCGTCATCGTCGTCGCAAGTGCCAAGCTTACCTCCCTCCTCATCGAGGAGGACTCAGCCACAACACCCCGACCAACAATCCCTCAGACCTGGACACGGTGGTGGAAGTGGAGGTGGACCACAGCGACCACGACCGACGCAGTTGCCGATGGAGGAGCTTAAGAAGGATCCCGAGTTCCGGGCCCTCTCGCGGCGCTGGACGGGGTTGGTTGTCGCTTTGCCGTTTGCTATTGTGACTAGTTATTTGTTGTGGCAGAGATGTAAGTTTCTGGGTTTTCCTTCTTTTTGTTTTGGGTTGTTGTTCACGCTTTGTTCTGGTTCTTCGTTCTTTTTGTTTTGGGTTGTTCTTCCCGCCTTGTTCTCCATACCACGTCTTCCTAAGTGCGTCTTGGTTTCGCGACTTGTGACGCATTCGGCGCATTTTCCCGTCTTGCTTCTTTTCTATGCCCACCATCACCATTACTTCGGCTATTTCATTTTATTTTCGGGGGCAGATCTTCGCCAACGAGAGCTATTGAAGCTGCTGATCCAGTTGTGGTGATCAATTGAAATTGCACAGGGGGGCCCTTTCCACAATGATCAATCTCTTCATGTCTTCATTGGACTATTGCTGACATCTGTTTCTCTCTCTCCCTCGACTGTAGACGAAGAACATCAAGCCCATCTCAGAGCTAGACATGCGAAGAAGATCCTGGCTGCCAAGGCACCGGAACCGGCTGTTTTGGGGACATCAATACCTGCGTCTGCGTCTGCGTCGATATCGACGCCATCTTCTCTTTCTTCTGGATCATCATCGTCGTCGTCACCAAGGGTGTAGAAACAGAGCAATTCTGGCCCTCCATCCTCAACATTGAGTCAGTCTCTTGTTGACGATCATGATGATCGATTCGATTCGGAGGTCCTGACATGTCGCGTCTGGTCGATTTGGAGGCTCCGCTCACAACCTGTCTATCTGCTACAACCTCAACACTTCAACCTCAGTCGACTTGGTTATGTGCAATGAAAATCCTCGGCGCCTTATTCGCATCTCTGGCAGCAGCAGCCCACACATCTTGTCATACTCGGGAGCATGCAGTTGAATGCCTCCCCTACCACGCAGGCCACGAATGTCGCGGGAATCATGACATTCTGTGAAAAAGAGGCCCTCATTCCAATCCAGTTCAGTCCCAACTTGACACCTCAACTCTCCTCCCGGCATTGAAGATCCCTCTCATGATATGATATGGAGCCTTTTCGACACCCTGACGATTTTGTAGTGCTTGTGGTCTCTCACTACGGGTACTTAATTGACGCGTTTCCCTACCTCGCCAGCTTACCCTCTAAGCGCCTTACAGTACAGATCTGCAACCACTGGCCAGTTCTGTACGATATCCGATATCCGATATCCGATTTTTCCTGAATATCACCAAGTGATTCATACCAAGTGACGATCTGCCGATGATTGATGGACCGTGATGACGATGACCGTAACGGCGCAGTGGCCGTTAGAACATGGCGATGCAGTACAAAGGCGAAACGACATGACGAGAGGAGAGGAGGATTGAGAAACGGAGACGTGGTGGTGTGATGGATAGAGGGGGTATGTTATGTAATGCATGTTGTACATGAATGTATCTACACCTATGGCTGTCTATATCTAGTCCAGTCCCGTACCACGAGGAGGATCACGTCAAAATCGGTGATGAATGAGCATGCATGGGAGTCAGCGCCATCCTCTCTAGGTACATATCAGGCAGGAAGCCAATATCTCCTTTCATTTCCGGAAATGCTTCGCTTCCTTCGGATCGGATGTCAGTCGGAGTCGTTGTACGGTGTGGACTGTTTCTGAGCTGGGAGCACTCCAAGAGGAGGTATTCAGTCATTCATGTTTGCATTCATGTTTGCATTCATGTTTACATTTTCGCTATGCTCTTGGTCTGAGAGACTAGACACCTGAAACTCTATCATTGGCAGGGCTCCACCATTCCTTTGAGGCTCGTGATCATTTATCTGATTCATCTGTTGACCGTCTGATCTTCGTCCATTTGACCGGGAGCGAAAGTGACTTGACGCCACGACTTCCTGACTCTCTTAACATCTTGAGCTTGTGGGTAGACTCGGTGTCCATCCCCTTTTCATGTTCCCGTGTCGTCTTCAATCAGGGACGGTGCAGCAACGGGACGGTGAGCAGACCTATCCCTCCAGCACCATGACAGAGTCACTCGAATGTTGGAAGCTCTCTGGCAATACTCCTTCGTAGTGGTAGCCTCATAGCTTGCTTTCGAACGCGCACGTGCCCTCCCAAGCATCTCCAGCCTCGAGTTTCGTCCACGAGCTGACCGAGCCAGGCTCAATACACAGATACCGCTTCCAGCCATCCTTGGGTTCAAAGTCGCCCATGGCCTTGATCTTGTCCTCCCACCCGTTCCACACCGTCACATCAGGCAGCCCGTCGCGCGTCACCACGAAACTGTCGGCCCCATCCTCCGTCACGACCAGAGGGACGAGTGTGTTGTCTTTCGAGGCTGGCGGCGTATACACCCGGTCCGTCTCGGACGAGAAGGTCAACTCGGGCGAGGATTCAGTGAAGGTCTGTGCGGAACGGACTTTGTCGACGTATGGCGACGACTGGAGGCCCTTGACTGCGGTTTTGCTAATGTCCTGTTCCCAACATGTCAGTCAGTCCAATGAGAAGCGGCTTGAGGGAAGGAAGGTAGGGGTTTCCGTTGTGGGGGGTTCTCTTTACCTTGACAGCCAAATACGCGTGGAATAGACATTGGAAGTCGAACGGCTGGTCACCCTTGTTCTGCACATTCATCTGACACTCCAAGCGGCCCTTCTCCAACGTGACACTGTAGACCAGTCCAAACTCATAGGGCCACTTGTTGCGCACGGCCTCGTCTAGCATCGAACTGCTCAGACCAAAGTCCAATTTGACGCTGTCGTCGGCTTTCCGACCTAAACTCTCGCTGCTGCTCTTGCCCAGAAACTCCCAGTAGCTGTTCCTGGCGAACCCGTGCTGTGGCAGTTGGCCCGTGGCATGGGATTTCGGCGGTGGTCCAAACACCGGGAACACCAGTGGGATGCCGCCGCGGATAGGTTTCGAGCCGTCCAGAACCGCCGCCTGGGATAGAAATAGATGTTCCGAGCCGTTCGAGGTCTTCCACGACGTCACCGTCGCTCCGTACAGATATACCGTCACCGAGTCGCCGCTGGGGAGTCGCGCCGTCAGCACGTTGTCGCTGAGGTCGACGGTCGGTTGTGCCATTTGGGGAGACACGGGTATTGTGGCTGGTTTGTGCTTGCGTTCCATGGTGGGAGGTGCGAGGTGGGAGATGGGAAACCGAAACCGAAACGAAGGTGGTGGACAGGAAGTGGAAGCGGTGGAGGCTGCGAGGCTGCTGCTCGTTACGTCTCGGTCTCGGTCGGAGGAAGCGGGGAGAGGATTCGTAGGACTGAAATGGAAAAGAGGCTTATGTCACGGTCGATGTCAATATCACAGATATACCAGTAGTGCAGGATTCACGGAAAGGGTAGCCGGCGCTGTTGAGGTGATTGAACGATCTTGTTAATGTCGTCCCAAGGGGGGAAATGCATGAATGCAGCGGGATTGTTTCTATTGGCCGAACATCATCTCTATTCTCTACATCATCGTTCTCCTCGCCGCCTTTTAGTCACCTATACCTACAAAGTCCGTACCTGTCTACAAACCTTCTATTCCCACAACCTCTCCTGTCGAGCTCGTACAGTCCAAACTGTGCCAATGGGATCCTCAAGTTCCAAAGTCGCAGGCAGAGCCGCCGGAGCAGCTCGTCGCCAGTACCCCTCAACCTCTTCCATCACGCAGAATGAACCGTCCACATCCAATGCACCTCCACAAGCCAAACCCAAACCCTCTGCTCCGGCACAAGTCCAGCCCAGTCCGCAAACCTCGCCTCCTGTAGACACTAGGTCTGATCTTATTGACCTGGACGGCCGAGATCCTCAATTCGACTCGGCACTCCGCAATCTCGGTCCTGCCCAACCCCCATCGTTAATGCAAGATCGCGGTCGTCCGGCCGAAGAGGCATTTCCTACGTCCACCCAACCTATGCAGCACGGGCGGAATATCTTCCCTACGTCTGCGCCCAATCCCGCCCTCATACTCGTCGAGTCACGCCAGAGGATCACCAGGCGCTGGGAGTCGGAATTGGACGATCAAGGAAGACGGGGCTTCGCTGGCAGGACGCTCGTCAGTGCGAGGGAGATCAAAGAAGCGTTGGTTATGCGAGATGAAAAGGGGAAGCCGTCTAGTGAGGTTGAAAAGCAGCTGGCATTGAAGCCGGGTATCTTGGACCAGTTGGTGCCCAAAAGAGTTATCGCGAATGCTTGACACCTCGTTATACTGTCCTGTCGCTGGCACCAAAGGCATGCAGTCATATACCCTGAATTCCAACTTTGCCTGCGGCAAGACGATGCGGAGCTGTTCGATACACTGCCAGTGGAATCGGGGCCTGCACATGTATCAAGTCACTTGGGCGGCATCACACAGCAAGTGCGCGAAGGAACCACTTGTGAAGCCAGTCAATGGGTTTTGCCATGGCCACCAAACTGGCGTTGACTGTTTAGCAGAGGATCAATGTCGTGACATATGGCCACGGCGATACAAATTGTCAACGATCTCTGCAAGGACACTGGCCTTCTGACAAAGTCGCCCGAGCTGCATTGGAGGCGAGATGACCTTGTCACTGCTTGCCGCTACACCCCTTAGGCACAGCGATCCTCCTACGGATTGGGTCACGTCAACACCAAAGTCGGCAATTGGCCCTCCATTAGCATCACCGGGTCTTTGACTGTCACGAAGGTGACTTCTTTCTTCCGCGAGATGCCTTCTTCGCCGCCCCGAATCCGCAATGCAATGCCTAAGCTGCCAACGTCCTCGCCGCCCATTGTCTGGCAGTCAGGAAGCCCGACTGAAGAACCGAGGCCATTATCTCAAGAAGCATTGTTGCCTATACTCTGCAAAGGCTTGAACAATCGGATCCTTTCATGACACGCCGCTTTGTCAGCTCTTTGTCCTCTCTCCTTCTGAAGATAGGTGCTTACGCAAAACAAAGTATATCAGTGACCTCTTTGTTCGTCACCTGTTTGTTGCTTCACAAGGCCATTGTCTCAAAGCGACAAAGCTGTCTGCAGGCCATTTAAGCTTCGTCAACATCCAGCCTCCATTATATATATCATATTCTACCTGACCTCCAGCACCGAGTAAGCAAGATCAATTCTGCAAGTGTCAATTTGAGTCTCGAGCAACAGCAATACCTATAACTCACTTCAACTAACTTGATCACAGCGACCGCCCGGATTGCAATTAGTCAGTCCGCCATGTCATCTTCACCTGAACAGTCGGGTAAATTGCCCTTTACTTTTGGTATCGAAATTGAGTTTCTCTTTGGTGTTGACAATGTACAGGTCTCTTCCGATCCGGCACATCGACATCTCCTTGTCGAGAACAGCATTATCCACGACGATGATCTGTACGATCCCGAATTCGAAGTCCTTCAGGTTGCCGACCTCGGGGATGTTGCAGGCCTTTTCCAAGCGGCTACAGTGCTTCGCCGCAACGGTGCCGACCTGCTGATCAGAACAGAAGCCAAGTCTGATGACGAAGACTTTAGCCGCTGGACCATGACTTTGGAAGCCATGGTGCCTCACCCCGAGTCAGATTCGCAGTTGGCGGCATTGACTGATGGCAAGTATCGACGAGTGGTAGACTGTTCTTTCGCCGGTCTCGAACTCATCAGTCCTATCTTGAAAGTGCCAGACATGACCAACCTTGAGCCCAATGGACTGGTGGAGGTCAATCAATTCCTTCAACTTATGGCTGGAGAACAGCCTGGGCCTTGCTTCTTCAGTGCTACGCCCAAAAACGCCAGCGTTCATGTACACATCGGTGTACCACCCACGCCCGAAGGCGATTCGGTTGACATTCCGTTGAATGCTTTGAGACACCTTGCATGGATCTGCATTGCTTTCGAAGACGTAATCACTCTTTTGCACCACCCAGAGCGACATGGATACGTCAACAGCAAGATCTGGCCGAATGCCCAGCCGAACCGCGTGTTTTTGGGACGAAACGATCCCTTGGAACCGCTCCACAACTGTGCGGAAAAAGGACGGCCATTCTATCCGCAAGAGGAATTCGCCAAGATCTTCAACTTTGAGTATTGCGACGAGGACATGGATAGGAAAGAGCTAAAGCACCTTTTGTGTTTTAGGATGGGCCCCCTCTCTGGCTATCCGACGGAAAGAACTTTTGTCAACTTCGCCAACATTGTCCCATTCCCCGGTGATCCTGCACATGCCAAGAAGACCATCGAGTTTCGCCAACACCATGGCACCCTCTCTGCCGAGGACATTAGTGAGTGGGTTTTGTTTGTTACCGCACTGGTGCGCGCCGCAGAACGTAAGGCCGACGAGAGCCCTAGCCAGACCGATTTGCCCGTCGAATTCATTGACAAGGTCATTGAAGCACAAGGCAATTATGCAAAGCAGTTACTGACTTTCCAACAGGCATGGAAATATGCCGACATCCTACACTGCAAGGAGCGTTCCATGAAGGAGCTGTTTGACCTGCTGGAGCTGCCACTCGAACGACGACAATACTGGTGGAATAGGGCTATGAAGTTCGCCTCGGAAGAGTTCTTGGAATATCGCCGCATGAGTACCTGCGACCCGCCATGCCAGAATCTTCCCATGAGGGACTGTGCAGGGTGGGAAGAGGGAGAATTGATCCCTCAGCCGTGGGACACAGTACAATCTTGTCGGTCTTGCAAGAGGTAAATCAACCAGCGGGCGGAGTTGAAGTCAAGAAGTCAAGAAGCGTTCCGAACCAACCAGAATACCAACAGAATTTTGATATATATCCATAATCATAACATATCACCAGGATCAACAAGTCATGCTTACTACAGCCATATAATATCTTTCCTTTTCTTTCCCCTTTCCACTCTTCTATGTCACAATTTCGCCGTAACTTTCACTGTTTGGCTGTTACTACTAGCAGTACCGACATTGTCATCGTTACCAGCCAACAAGTCCTCGATCTCAATCTCACTCGTGCACAAAATACACGTATCCTCCAACGCAGGGACGCGGTATTTTAGATTGACAGCCTGATAGTCCTCACTGGCCAACATATCCGCGAAATGCAATATCGACGGATACGACGCGAGGGCGAACTCATGCCAGGAGCTCCCGGATTTCGCATCTTCTTCTGCTTGCTGGTCTCTCTGGTCAATCACCACATTCCCCACCAGCTTTGCAACCCCTCCACGCCTCCTCCCAATCGACTCCCCGAACGCCTTCCCATACTTCAAATACGACTCCTTCATCCCCGCCTTGAACGCCAACAGATTCAGCATCGACAGCGGATTGCGGCCTGCACGGGTCTCAGCGAACGACTCGATCCACCGCGCCAACTCGGCGGATAGCTCGAGCGTCTGAGCGCTCTTGCCGATCCGTGGATTGTCCAGCGCTCCTGTCAAAGCTGGTACGGATGAGGGATCAGGATGCAGGAGTTGGGGGTTTGTGGATATGGCGAAGTCTCGGGTGAGGCGGGACGGGATTCCTGCTGTGGTGGACCAGTGCTGTGAGATTTGGGATCGTAGTGGGTTTTGAAGGAGTGGTGTCTTTGTCTTTGTCGATGTCGGTGTCGATGTCTTTGTCTTTATCTCTGTTTCAGGGTGGGCGGTAGTGTCGGCGAGGAGGATCACTAGTAAATCCCATGGCTGTGAGGTGTTGAGGAGTTCGCCGGTGTCGATTTTCGTAGGCGTGATGATCCAGCGGATGACTTTGCTGATGACCAGCGGATGGAGAGTTGTAGTGGCTTTGAGGGTTTGAAGGAAGGAGATGAGACTGGTTTCTTGGGTGAGGGAGATCAGGTGGATTGTTGCCAGAGGCATTGTTTTTGTCTGTTTGGTTGATATTGGGTGTTTGATCAAGGAGTATTGGCTGTCTGCTGGTAGTCCGCGGTTGAAGAGGCCTCAATAACAGATGATGTATGCGACGGGGCGGTGCGGATTGGGGACTCAAAGCAGATTGGGATTATATAGTAATGTAAGTATCGCTGAGATCACGTCGACCATGAAGGCGAGGCCGGGTTGAAGTATACGTTTATAGACTGATATAGCCCATGACAACTTCCCGGCCGCTCAGATACAGCCTCGGTACAAGGCTCGTCGACATAGTGATCCTCCTCCTACTTCACGCTGTACTCCGGATCAGATCCTGGATGTCGATGATGTGGAGTCGATTACTAACTCTGGACATAAGTGGAGTCGGAAATCCGAGTGGGGAAATCCGAGTGGGGAAATCCAACCCAAAGATCTAATCTTATCTCGTTACCGCCGCCAAACTTTACGATTCTTCAGTTCTCGGCAGCTTTTTTTCCTGGCGCTCTGCGATGCGACGACTAGACAGACAGACAACTAGACAGACATACCACTGTTATAACTTCCTTTCTCGCCATTGTAGATTGGTCTCACGGCACACACATTCTGTCCCATCCATCTACTACCTTCCTACACACTGTACTTCGCACAACGACCGATTCGAAAGTTATTCGTTCTTCCGCGTCAAGGAAGACCAGCGCCAGCATCAGCCTCGACGCCGACGAATTCGTTCCCAACGCGCACCACGCCGATCCCCTTTCCCTTCCTTTCGCTTGTCCAGAAGCAACTCCGAACATTTACACTCACATCTACGGCTGAGGTAAACTTGTCCAGACACAACAATGGCAGGCCTATCCCCACTACCCACACACCACCTCCACAGCTCTACGCGGCTCAGCCACCGCGAAGCACACACGTTCCTGTCCACCTTCCTCGAACGAGCCGACACCGACGCCGCATACCGGCCCGACTCGACGCTGACCGAGCGCGGACCGCAAGCTGTGTCGACGACCGCGAGTTCGAACTTGACGCTCCACCATCTGAAACGCATTCTTCTGGGCATGGAGGGAAAACGGGTCGGCGGAGATCTGGCTGGGTCGGGAGTTGCAGAAGGAGATGTCGTGACAGACGATAATACAGCGACACCCGCCACCGCCACAACCACAAATGCACGCACCAAACGAGGTCTCGAGAACGACGCAGAGTCACAGCATCAAAACTCCAAGAAATCGAAACGCAAGCTCTACAACGACGACGATTCAGCGGCAGCAGCGGCAGCAAACGATAGTGATGGGCCCGCTGTGGCTGCTGGCTTGGACGGCGAGGGGTGGCAGGATAAAGACGCCTTCGCGCTGGCGCAGACAGAGGAGGATCTGGAGGCTACGGCGGACGATCGGCATCCTGGGGCGGATCTGGACCAGCCGGCGGATGAGGCTGAGGAGGTGGAAATGATGCGCGTCCAAGTCGAAGGCGCCGGCGCGGGCAACCGAATAGACAAGGAAGAGAGGAAGAGATTGAAGAAACTGCGCAACAAGGAAAACCAGGTCAAAAAGGCCGAAGAGTCGAAAAAGAAGAGCAGGAAATGAAGATTTTTCGACACCTTTGGGCTGCCTTTGGGTCATGCGACCAAGGTTTGCTTTTGTACACCATGCCTTCTATCGTTGACATGTCAACATTCTACGGGCTGTTGCGATCGGGCCCTTCGCAAACCGGCGACTATTCTTTTCTGGCGGCCCTGTGTTGCCCACAGATTTGGATTCTGCTTCATGCAAGTCCGTTCATGGCTCGAGGCGACTATCGCAAACACCAAGGCCTGACAAAGGAACATGGACCCAAACAGAGGTGCTGCTGCACTTTTCTCCCGCCGTTCTGACCACCAGTAGTGACCTGGCAGTCTGCCGCGGTGGAGATCTCGGTCAAAGAAGCACAACACGTATTCCTCACAACTCTCGGTCGCTCGCCTTGACAACCTCTGCATCCACAACCTTTTCATCCAGCTCTACCCCCTTGCCGTTTGGAGCGGGCTTTGAGCTCTTCCATCCCAGTGCGGCCAACCTCTCCGCCAGGATAGGATGGCTGTAGTGATAGCTCGCATACATCCAGTCTGCATCCATGGTGCTCAGATTCTGCACTTGCAACTTGATCAGACTCCTGGCAAGTTCTTTCTGAAACCCGAGATTTCGGGCGAATTCGTCGGCCTCGAATTCGAATTTGCGAGAAAGAACGTTCATCAGGAGTTTGACAACGGCGTCCATGGGAGCCAGAGCGTCGGAGAATAGGATGAAGCCGATAATGATTGGGTGAGAGTTATGGAAGCCGAAAGATGAATAGAGCGAGTGATTGTCAATGAAGATGCTGAAGAGGGCAAAGATGTAGAACATATGGAACTAATAACCCTCGGTCAGTAAAGGGGCACAGGGACAGTACGGGGAGCAGCTATCCCCCAGCCAGACGACGTACCTGAGCAATTCCAAAAAGTTTGGTCGTATGCGAAAGACTCCAATGGCCGAGTTCATGTCCAAGAACCGCGACCACTTCTTGAGGCTCGCTCTTCTCAATCAATGTATCGTAGATGACAATGTGCTTCTTCCACGGCAGACCGAAAAAGTATGCATTGCTGTGAGCACTGCGTTTACTTCCGTCAATAACATACAGGGAGCTGAGAGGGAACTCGAGTTTCGCCGCCAGCGACTCTACTCCAGATTTCAGTTCTCCAGGTTCTAATGGTGACAGTTTGTTGAAGAGCGGAAGGATGAAGATCGGATAGATGGTGATGGCGAAGAGTTGGACCACAATGCCGAACAACCACAGATAGTAGAAGAATCTTGTACCCGTCACCTGAATGATCTTCAAGAAGGCGCTGAGCAATGGCGTTCCCAGCGCGACCATCAGAGCCTGGCCCTTGAGCATGTCCGTAAGCCATAATTTGACCGTTTGCTTGTTAAACCCAAACTTCTCTTCCAGGACGAAGGTGCCGTAGTATGAGAGCGGGAGTGACAGGATTTGCGAGATGAAGCTGAAAGCAAAGAAGAACAGAACCGAGTGCGAGATCTCGCCGGAGAATCGTTCAGGGAGGTAGCGGGACAGCCAAAAGCCAGTCAAGGACCAGAGCTTAGGGAGGATATCGTATTGAATGAACAGGACATTTTGGATCTGCGAATACAGGCCAGAGAGGAAACCGAACTTCATCTTTGCGCGTCCATATGCCTTCAAGCAATCAGTAAGGGAGACGATGTCCGACGGAATAGAGCGAGTGTCCTTACTTGACTCTGGTCATACACTTCTTGTGAGATCTCATCTTCCAGTGTCTTCGGGGGTTTGTTCCTCTGCAGAACCTTATACTGCCTCAAGGACAGAAACCCTTCCAAAGCGAATTGTCCCAGAGAAAATCCAAGGATCAGCTTCTTCCATGGAAATCCAGGTCGGTCGAGGAATGCTGCAAGGCGCTGCGGCAGGTTAGTCTGATGGTTCTTGACACGACTTGTGGCCGCAAGGAGTATACGCACTCGTGGGAAGTCGCCCAACATCTGCAACAGCGAAGCCATTTCCAAGACCCAAGAGTCAACTCAGGGTCGATGGAAAAACTTGAGAGGAAACGCAGATGACAGTATGAGACTGTCGACGAGGTGTGTTGCGGTCGACTGCCTGAGACAGCGCGACCCCCATACTGCATACCTACCTTATGTTTGAAGTGGAGGCCGAACAAGGCAGGTGCGGCGAGTGCGGTTGATCCTCTGGTAGAGCGACATTTTCGATGATGAACACTCAATTCATTGTCTTTCATACAACGCTAACCACAACTCACGGACCAACACTGGCACAGCACTCTGCCTTTGTCCATTGTTCTAGAACTCTTCCTCTACGTCTTCTTCAGATCCGCCTTCAAACTGAGCCAACATGTGCCGCATATGTGGGCGAGTAGTCAAATGTATCTTCGATACGATGCCTTCTCGAATCCACCACGTCCCTAGCCGAAGGTGAGCTTCGCCAATTGTGAAAGGTCTTGAGGACGACAGCGCTGACCAGCATGAACTTGAACAGAGCTTTCACCACGGTCCGACGGATGGCGGCGCCCTCTGCGGCCGTCTCGAGATATACATTATCTTCAACTACTTCTCTAGTTCGCGCATTTGGCGGACTGTCCCTCCAGACCACCACGGCCTCTCTCGCACCTACGAATCCTTTGTTGAGCACAAGGACCCTCCGTTCTTCGATATCCAGACCTTCCTCTCAACCCCAACTCTGTGCGTCCTCTCGTTCATTCTCGACCACTTCCGCTCTTTGCGGCTACCGACGGCGGATGGACACTTATAGCCCCTCGCGCAGGGTCCAGAAGCGCCGGCATGGATATCTGGCAAGGTTGAAATCCAAAGGTGGAAGGGCGGTCCTGATGCGCCGGAAATTGAAGGGTCGGAAGTATTTATCTTGGTAATTCGTGGAAGGTCGACGGGGGACGGAGTGGTCGGCTGCTATTTCTGGCGTACAAAGAGACCGCCTTTCAAACGTCTGTATATTGGTTATGCATAATAAGGTCAAGGTGCATCTAAATGCGATGTTCGGCCGGGTGCGTCGTTTACTTCTGGCTCTACACTACGAGATTGCTGTGCATTTTATGGAATCAAACATTTCTCATTTGAAATCTACACGTTTATGCCGCAACCTGAGGAGAAGTCTTGTTCTCGTCGCGCAAATGAGCAAAGCTCTGGGCCTCAAATTTGGGCTCCTCGACAATCTGGCTGGCCTCCGTCTGCATGGGTTCGAGGCCCCATCGTTGAAACATGGCCTTGTCCTCGTCCCAGCCATTGCACTCAGTCGTGAGCATTTTCTCTCCCGTGAAGATGGCATTGGCTCCCGCCATGAAGCATAGCATCTGCTCACTCTCGGGCATGGTGACTCTTCCTGCTGCAATCCGAATGATCGTCTGGGGCATGACCAGACGAGCGGTTGCGATGCAACGGACAATATCTTCTAGTTTCACTGGTTCTTGACCGAACATGGGCGTTCCCTTGATCGGGACAAGTTTGTTGACGGGAAATGATTCGGGATGTTCTGGCAACGTAGCCAGTGTGTGGATCAAGCCGACATGGTCTGTCTCAGGGGTCTCACCCAGGCCAAGGATGCCACCGCTGCAGACGTGGATGCCGGCCTCGCGGACATTCTCCAGAGTCTGCAATCGCTCATCGTAGGTGCGTGTAGTGATAACGTTGGGATAATGTTCGCGGGAGGTGTCGAGATTGTGGTTGTAGGCAGTCAGGCCGGCTTCTTTCAACTCTTTCGCTTGTTGCTTGTCTAGCATGCCGAGGGTAACGCAAGCTTCCATGCCCAGGCCTCGTACACCTTTGACCATTTCAACAATATTCTTCAGGCCTCTTGTCCGTCCACGCATATCACGCCAGGCGGCACCCATACAGAAGCGATTTGACCCATTGGCTTTGGCGATCTTGGCCGCCTCGATGACGGAGTCGACGGTGGAGAGTTTGGTGGTTTGGAGGTTAGTCTTGTATCGAGAAGATTGAGCACAATAGGAGCAGTCTTCTGTGCATCCCCCAGTCTTGATGTTCATCAATGTACACAATTGGACAGCTGACGGTTTGTGGAATCGGCGGTGGACGGTGCCCTGACAGATTTATGAGATGCCAGTCCGATCGTTTGACTGATTAACTCACTGCAGCAAAGGCCAGCTCCATGAGAGGAGTCTGGTGTATCTGTGAGATCTCATCTTTGGTCCAGTTGTTGCGAGGTCCGGTGGCATTGACGGCCTGCTCGAAGACAGACTGGCTCTGGGGTTGTGGTGGGGGAGGACTTTGGCTTAGACTGGCTGTCGTGCGAGGCACATCGTGGACGATGCTGTAGTAGCGGGCGTAGGACGTCGTTTTGATCACCCTGCGAGTCACTGTGCGACTCATGCTTGCCAGTTCCATGCTGACGGGCGTTTAAGAGGTCGATAAAGGTGTCTGGTGCTCGAGGATGATTACAAGATGAATATCCTCTGGGCCTTAAGAGGACATGGTGGGACCTTTGGGGGCCTCAAATCAAGCCTGCGGTATTGGAGAGTTGAGTCTGCCCCTCGGCCTCTAATAACATTGTTACTATTATTGACCTGCTGCAGGAACCAGCGACCCATCGGAAATCCCCAACCAAACCACCACAGATACCTATACATTATGATGTTTCCACCATTGCCAGCAGTTGTTGCTGTGATCGTCGCTCTCTGTACCAAACAGCTCTGCGGCCGCACAGGCTGATCACGCTGATGCGTGTCAAAGGATACCTAGGTAGGTTTGCTTTCTGTGATGCCTAACAAAGCCAATCGTGGCTGACCAGCTCCTATCCCAACGTATTTTGTGAGTCAGCGAAGTCCCATACAAGATGCTTGTAATATTCCAGGGTATCTGCAATGCCCTTTTGTCGCTCTGCTGGTTTACAAACCGGATATATGCATGTCAGTCCTACTGATGCCGGATACTTGGCCATCATCGCTACGCATTTGACGTTGCCACGCGAATTCACAGCGTGTTCAAGGTCCCGAATGTCTACGTCGAGGGCTCCTTAGATGGACCAAAGTTCAACCTCACGGGCATGTTCAACTGCTTTGAAACTCACAGACGATACAAATACTCAAAGGAGTAACGCAGATAAGGTTGTCGAACACCCCTCGGCAGCCTCAGGCAAACAGGGGTCAGAAGCATCCAGCAAGGTTCTGGCTTCCATGGAACGGTAAGAACTAATCTACAGGTTTATAGGCGGCGCGTTCACACCGCCAGCGTCCAAGCTTTAAACCACTGGGCTCAAAGACACCTTTCTCTGGCATAATCGCAGCGAAAGACCCTAAGCCGAGTTGATTGGCGATGATTTCAAAAAGAGTACCGGCAATCACAGACCCTAGCTGGGCTCAAAACAATCTGTGAGTTGATCATTCGAAGGTTTGGACCAACTAGTGGAAAGTTAGAGAGCGCATGATCTTCCAGAGAAGCGGTTTTTTCGTTGGATGAAAATTTATTGCAGCGCCTCTTGAGAGGTATATTATATCAACGGCAAGTCGTCAATGATCCTAGGCGCATTTGGTTTCACGGCTTGTTCTACATCAGCGAAGACCGTCACCCGGACAATGGTGTCAGCGCCTGCTCAGCGCCTGCTCACGTCCTCTGCAATGTGCATGGTTTCAAGTCTCCTCGAGTCAACGGTGCGTGTACACCAGAGTTGTTGGGGCTTTTAAATTTCGTTAGCTACCTGAAGACACCAGCACAAAAGGACAAGTTGAACTATTGCTTACACCATCACATACCAGACGCCTCGATTTGGAAACCTTTGCGGAATAACGCTTATTTTTTGCAGATCCCCCAATAAAAGTGCAATATGGGAAGCCCCGTTTCGCGCATGGAGAATCTACCTACGCGAAGTATCCAGCCAGAAGCAAGAAATTACGGCGCCATCTATAAGAAAACCTGGTCATGAAACCCAAAAATGCATTTCCTCAATATCTGAAGCAAGATTTATACCGCCACCTTCACCTATTGCTCTTCGGTAGACGAGCGGATTCGACGAGCAGTACTAGCAGCACACATGGCCCGTGTTGCCGTTCCGCTCCTGGAATGCCGTGCTTCCTCATGCATGCTTCTGTTGAGTCATGGGATGGAATGTCCATTACATACTTAAAGGCGTCTGTGCTGCCGTTATTGTGGTCATGTTCGAGCAGTCCTTGTTGTTACTGAGATATGTTATATTATCCCCATCTCTTGACACCAGCTATACATTAGGACGAGACGCTCAATCTGGATAACATGTCAGGCACTACGGTGAAAAATGGCAACCTTGCACCCACATCAACAAAATATACAGCTGGCAAAAGAAGCCCCAGTGCCGGTCGAAGCTCCAAGCAACCAGAGCCGAAGAAATCAAAACAAACTGCGACAAACGACTCGAAACACACACTACGAGCTCCAGTGCATGCTACCACGTTTGGCATCGAGTTTGAATTTACTGTCGCCTTCAAACAAGACCTGTTGGAGTCCACTTTGGCCCGGCACAATCTCAACGCAGATATTATCAAACACTTTACAGACAACGAGCACCGCAATCTTCTCGGGGAATTTGCGCAGCATTATGAAGGCAATCCATCACATAACTGCAGATTCCGGTATCCTTCTTGGGCACTACATGTCCCGCAAGAGGATATCGTATCCATGAACGGGTTGCACCACGGGAATTTCATCACCAAAATGACCCAAGAGAAGCAGTGGATGAGGAGATACGTTATGGAACCACTCCTCATGGTCAAGGAAAATCTACAACAGAAGAAACTCCCCTGCAACGTCGTTGGATGGGTCGAGCCAGACCCTGCCAATCCCAGCGACCCCAAGCTAGCAGAAATACCGTTTCCTGGGGAGGATGAGGCCATTATGATCCGAAAGAGCATTGTTGACTACACAGACTGGACATTGACAAACGATCACACTCTCGTTGGACCACTGCGAAGCCAGCTCAGAGAGCATCTCGAAAAGGAAGGAGTATCAAAAAAGGAGGTCGACAGCTGGGACAGCAGTGGAGTAGAACTGGTATCGCCCGTGTTTGAGTTGGAAAAGAAAACCGAAGCGTTTGAATCGGTTGGGAAATACCTTGATTCTCTCTCCGGAAAAGACACGTCAATCATGGAGTCTGTATGGGCCAGCACCCATGTTCACATAGGCCTTGTTTTTGAAAACCCAGAAGACATGCCCATGCTATTACTGCAGCACTTGGCATATATTCTCGTTCTACATGAAGACCTGCTCACCAAGTGCCATCCACGAAGTCGAAGTGGTGTCGAGCTCCAAACATCAAGCCCTTCCGAAGCTCCCTTGAAAGACTACGACGACGCCGAAGATGAAGATGAAGATGAAGAATTCGACCCCGACGCTCCCGTCGAACCCCCACCATCGCCAAGTGAGCAGGAAAAAGAACAAGAAAACGAAGCAAAGGTGCTAGCCTTCGAGGCCGAGTACACCGGAGTCGGTAATGTCGACTCCAATGCTCGGTATCTACGCCAACACCTGACCAGGCAGAATCCTCGCCACCAACTCCGCGAGATCAGAGACCAGATATTTCAGGAACAGGGAACAATATTCGATCTAGTCGAACTTCTACAACGACCGACAGATGCCTCTGATCGACATGGCAACAGACACCGCGGATATATGTACAACTTTGCCAATCTTTGGGCTTTGGCGAAAGGAGAGACGCCTTGGAAACCCATCAAACCCACCATCGAGTTTCGACAACACGCCTGCACTTTGGACAGCGAAGTGGTACGACACTGGGTGCCGCTGCTTGAAGCCATTGTCAACACCGCCGAAAGGAAAGCCGCACAAACCACTCAGTTCAACAATTCTACTCCTCTGGATGCAACCCGCACTTTTGCAGAACGAGAAGCGAGCAAATATCCTACCGCGTCAGGCACTTGGCCATACGAGACAATGCAAAGTTTCTGTGTACGATTTCTAGGTCTGGATGACGAAGAGGGGGATTACTGGCAAGGAAGATTTGAGACATATAAGGACGACAGGCCTGTCAAGGCATAATATTGTGATTATTTGGCGAGGGTGACCTCCTGGAGGACAATTTCTTAGGTCACAATCTTGGAAAGACGATCTACAGGGATAGAAAATGTTGACGGATGCACTTGGAAAGGGCGGCCCCGTCGAAGCCATTATTTAACAGAACATTTTGTGCGGGAAACACTCCTAGAATACAATCTTCGATACCATTTTTGGGAAGCAGACTATCCTGGACATCAACCGCTTAGAAGACGAAGCAGGATCATCTTGGGAGGTATATCGGCCGAAGGAATCCCCCCAGAGGATGACAGATGAAGACAATTCTTCAGGGTAGTATCTTGTAGATAGACTCCTGGTGCTCAGATAGCCTGACTGGATCGGTCAAGCATCGGAACAATTCAGACCTAGGGACTTCCTTTGCAAGGATCTAGGCGAGTGGAAACACATAGGTAGAGAGCAATCAGAACACGCAAACGACGTGTCGACACCTATCAGACAAGACCGAAACGAGATCGTAACACATGCGGTATGAGGGCTTCTGACTTGTTGTCCATCCATATCAGCCAGGTTCGATGCCTACACCTGGCTTCGCCTCAAACAGATGCGACACAACTGAGATGTACAGCGTGACTCCAACACAGGGCAGATAAAGAACAGAAGAAAATGGCGTGGTAAACAGTCCATGCATCGTATGCAGCCTTGTCACCACACCGTGATGGACTCAGCCTTGTCGGCAAACATACCCAAAACATCGACCCACCAGGTGGAATCTGCTAGTCCGGCGAACGGCCGACCCGCCGCTCAGCCTCGCCTCAGTAGCCAATAACAGAACAGAAATAGCCACCGGGCGACTTGCCGGATATCCGCTTTCGCTACTGGTCCTGAGGACCTCACTGTTCATTTTTCTTCCACCCGAACAGCCATTCCGATAACATGAATATATATATTGCCCAGGAGATGCCCAACAAGACTTCACTTACACAGATTGACGATTCGTTCGTTCACCGGTAGGGTAGTTCTCACTTTTCAAACTCTATAAGCACGAAAAATCTCTCCATGTCAGTCTTATAGACAACTTGAACCTGAGAAATTGAATCGAGATCCCACTCCAACGAATGCCATCACCGCCCTCGGGAATCCCACGGCAGTCCGAAAACCACGATAATGTAGCCGAAAGCAACAGCTCCTCTCCTGGATCTCCTCTGGAACCCAGCAGCAGAGAGGACTTACAAAAATCACTGGGCCAAAATGCAATATACGAAAATCCCCATCCCCATCCGCCTCGCTGGGCCAAACAGCCGCCCACCCGGCCCAGCCTGGCACCAGGCATCTCAGCCATGGCGCGGCGGCCGTCTTTCATCGACGAAGAAGAAGACTCGATCGCCACGGCGACAGCAGCGGACCGGTCTTCGAAGATATCTTCCAAGGAAACGTCGGTGACATGGATGTCGCTGCCCAAGAAGGGCCAGTTGGCCATCCTGACCATTGCGCGACTGTCGGAGCCTCTAACGGAGCGATCGTTGGCGGCATACATGTTTTATCAGCTTCGCTTCTTCGACTCGAGTCTGCCGGACAGCACGATCGCGAGCCAAGGCGGCATGCTCACAGCGTCGTTCGCCGCCGCGCAGTTCCTGACGGCCGTCTGGTGGGGGCGAGCGGCCGATACGCCGTGGATCGGTCGGAAGAGAGTCTTGCTCGTGGGACTGTTTGGGACGTGCGTGAGTTGTGTCGGGGTCGGGTTCTCGCGTTCTTTCGCCCAGGCGTTGTTCTTCCGCGCGTGCGCTGGATGTCTGAACGGGAACGTGGGGGTGATGAGAACGATGATTAGTGAGATCATTAAGGAGAAGAAGTATGGAGGTCCCGAAGTTCTTGGTTTGTGTTGACATCTCTCTAACGAACCTGACCAGATATCAGTCACGCGCGTTTCTTCTCCTTCCAATGTGTTTCAATATAGGTGAGTTCAGATCTTTGCTGGAATTGAAGAACAAACTTCCTTTCATGGAGAACTTCTCTAACAAAGTCAATCATTCATTCAGGCGTCGTCATCGGACCTATCCTAGGCGGGTTCCTCGCAGACCCCATCACCTCGTTTCCACATCTGTTTGGCCCGGATTCCGTGCTGGGCGGGAAGAAGGGCGTCAAATGGATGGAGGCCTTCCCCTACGCCCTCCCGAATGTCGTCAGCGCATGCTTCATCCTGGTCTCGGCGCTCTGCGTCGTTCTTGGTCTGGACGAAACACACCCGGCCCTCAGCAATAAACAAGACTACGGCCGCAAACTAGGGAACTGGATTTTCCGCTTCGTTGCGCGCTGCTTCCACCATAACAAAAGACCGTCCGGGTACGAATATACCCAACTCGACGACGACAACCAAGACCAAATCCAAGTCGAATTACAACCAACCAGCACCAGCACTAGCACCACCATACACAACCATGACCATGACCACGACCATGACAATAACAATGACAACGACAACGCCCATGACCAAGTATCTTCTCAACAAGACAGAGATATCGAATCATCGCCTTCACCCTTCCCACTTCGCGAAGCAGCAGCAGCCACAGCTGCAGCCCCAACCAACATCTCCCTCCTCGTCGTCAAACTGCCCTTCCGACAAATCTTCACCAAAAATGTCCTCCTCACCCTCCTCACGCACCACCTCCTAGCGCTACACCTAAGCGCCTTCAACGCCCTGATCTTCCTATTCCTCCCGGCCCCCCGCTCGCCAAACTCGCACGCCCACCTCCCATTCCAATTCACCGGCGGCCTGGGCCTGTCGTCGGAGCGCGTCGGCCTGGCGACCGCCATCATCGGCGTGCTCGGCTTCCCGCTGCAAATCCTACTATACCCGTCGGTCAATTCCAAACTGGGCACGCTGCGCAGCTACAAGGTGTTCCTGCCGTTCTCGGTGCTCGCGTACGCCATCATCCCGTATCTGGCGCTCGTGCCGGACCGGGCGGTGCTGGTGTGGCCCGCCCTGACACTGGTGCTGGCGCTGCAGGTGCTGTCGCGCACGTTCGCGCTGCCCAGCGGCACCATCCTCGTCAACAACTGTACGCCGCATCCGAGCGTGTTGGGGACCATCCATGGCGTCGCGCAGAGCGTGTCGTCTGGCGCGAGGACCGTCGGGCCAACCCTGGGTGGGTATTTGTTGGGGGTGGGTTTGGGTGGGAATTGCGTCGGTGCCGTTTGGTGGGCGGCTGCGGGGGTGGCGGTGTTGAACTGGGTGTTGCTTTGGTTTGTTTTTGAGGGTGATGCTGGGAGTTCGGTTGGGTAGGTCTCCTCTTGGTGGCAGATGATATTACGAAAAGAGAAGAAAACGAGGTGACAGGCGTCGAGGGAGATCAAGATGAAGATCAAGATGAATATGAATATGATTTTAGCGTGCTCGAGATTTAAAAAAGGTCTAGCTATGACATTAGATGCTTTTGTTTCGATGCGTCTCGTCTAAGCGTCCCACGTCCTGCTTCTGTTTTTCGTCATCCTGGTCTTTCTTTTCAATGCTCGCACGTCTCGTTTCCCTGCACCTAAATGCGAAAAACAAGAAGCCAAGGGGAATCAAGGGGTCTCGAGCCTCGGAAGGCCTCCGTTGCAATTCATTGCTTCAAGATGTTTGGGAGGGTCAAAGACCCAAGGCCAAGCTGATGAGACTTGATCAGATTCATCGTCGACACTGCGATTAATGGAAAGGAGGGGATTGGCATCTCGGACCTTTCGATTGTTCAAACATTAATAAGTTGTGGACTGACGGTTCCGAGAATAATGTATTAGTTAACCATGCTAGAGACAAACACATGCTTCTCGGTCTGGTCTGAATAATTGTATGTGCGGTGCGGTCCCTGCTCTAAAGTCCTATCTACGAATAGACGCTCCCTCACCGTATTCGGCGTGAAACTCGGGACCATCTTGACAAGGATTGAAAGTAGAAAAGAGAGTCCCATTAAAGATGAAGAAATCATAACCATCTACCAGCTTCAAAGTCTCCCGCAACGAAATCTCAAATGGAAGCAAACAAATCACAGAACATCAGACTCAAGTCTGCGCTGTACTGCGTCGAGTCTCAAATACCTCGCGATGTCCGACCCAGCGGGTTGCGCATCGGCCAGGGCATGGAGATCGTTCATCGTCGAACCACCTCTGGCGGCCACTCCAGTTATCCCGTCCATCATCACAGCCTCACGCTTTCTGACCCGGCTGAATAGACAGGCCCATAGATCTTCCTTGTCGACCATTTCGCCGCCGTTCTTGCCGGCAGTGAGAAGTCGGGAGAGATCTGCGGCCTGCAATTCCATTGAATTTGCAGCGTCGATGGCGGTTTCTTGTAGACCTCCGTTCGGGGTATGAGTGGTCGAAGTAGTGGCTGTATTGTCTGTGTCGCCCGAGGAGAGTGATGGCATCGTCGACTCCGAGCGCCCATAGATATCCATGATGGAGATTGGTCTTCTTGTCGGTTTGGCAGCCTTCTCTTGCCCTCGACTACTTTTGCCACGGAGGTGGGCTAGTCGACGAGTGACGCTGATGTCGTAGATGGCTTCCTCCACCGTGTCGGCAATCAGGTACATCCAAACAGTAGTTGGACGGCATTGGCCGATACGATGGACCCGTGCAATGGCTTGCAATTCGATGGCGGTGTTGATGAGCGGCTCACACAGAAAGACGTGGCTGGCGACAACAAGATTCAGTCCGGTCGAATGCGCCTTGGCGTGTAAGAGGAAACACTCGACGGCCGGATCGGACTTAAACTTCTCAATGCCGTTCTTAACGTCAATGCGGGTCGACGAAATCTTGTGCTCGGCAAAGGCGCGGCCCAGCACGTCAATGAACTCGCGATACTGAGAGAAGATGATGGCTTTAGACCCTGGATCGTGTTCACGGAGCCAGATCAGATGTCGGCACAGGAAGTCAATCTTGCTGCCGAAACTGGGGCCTCGCAGATCGATGTTCTTGATCTGGTTGAGCATCGCAGTGCTGATGTCGGAGTAGATCGACTGGTCATGACTCCGATCACCGCTACCAGATCCCGAACTTGACGGAGTCGAGCTGGTCGGCGACTCGGCTTGAACCGCGATCTCGGCCGGTTTGTACGTGATGTCGTGGAAGCTGCTGGGTTGCAACGTCGTCTTGCACACGGGACAATTGCGATGTTGACTCCACCACAGCAAGACGCAATCCTTGCAGAATTGATGCCCACAGGAGGTCATGGTCCCTACTTCGAAGTTGTCTGTACAGATTGTACATATCCTCGGCGCCGTCGATTTCGATTCGGTCTTCATGTGAATGAGGTACCGCAGTTTGGCAGCCATGGAGACTATCTTCTGCTGCCACTTTGCCTCCTCGGTCTCAAAAGCGCGGTATTCTCTCTGAGACAAAGGCTTGCCGACGTTCTCTTCTTGATAAGGGGCGACTGTGTCAGATATTTTCTGCAGCGCTCGGTAGTAGTCCAGTCGGCTGTTCATGGTGTCGCGAAACTGGTTGACCTCTTGTTCAAGCGCATTGAGGGCTTTGGTTTGGCCAGCCCCAAGCTGCTGAACGTGCTTGAGGATTCGCTCTAGGATAACGAGTTCCTGGCCAGCTCGCGTGTGGCCATTTCCTTCCTGCCATTGTAGAGACATGACCAATTGTCGGACCTCGGCTGTAATACCACGGAGACAACCATAGTCCTTGACCTTGACGCGTTTCAACTCACGATCCGCCAGCAGCTTCAACATCAATTCAGGCGCCGGCCCCTCACCCTCCTTTGCGGAGCGGAGGAATTGTTTCATCTCTTGTTTGATAAGCATGTTCTCCTGACCAGTAATGGCTTCACTGCGGTCGGCAAAGAGTGCTCTCAGCGCCTCCATGTAAGCATACATCTCATCTTGATGCTTGGTCGAACTTTCGTACTCGTCTCCTTGAAGCTCAACCCCTTCGTCCTCATCAATAAGCGCTTGCCTCAAAAAGTCGGCCATCTTCTCCCGTAGCTCGCGAAACTGTTTTGCTTGGACGTTCATAGCCTGGCAGTAGTCGGCAACTTTGTCGATGATCTTCCTGCTTTCAATCCCGGTATAGTCTCCAGGCTCTTCCATGTCGGGAATCGGTGTCAGTCCCGCCGCCACAACAGCTCTAACTGAACTGATTGACTTGTTCACATGGCGGAAGACTTCGGCAAGTAGCTCGGCACGGATGGCTTTGGCCTCTTCGTATGCCGCGGTTTCTTGTTTCTCCAACTCGATGTACTTCTCACTTTCCGGCTCCTCCAGCGATTTGAGTTGGAAGTAGGCATTTGCCATGAAGAAGATGGAGATGTGTTGGATCTCCAGGGCCGTCCGTAATCGTGCCCTCGAGGCTGTCAGCCGCGGGTTGGCTTCATCTTCGTCCTCCTTCTCTTTGCTCAGACTGGCGGCCACTTTTTCTTCTTCCAGTCGCTTCCGGCATTCTTGGACGACAATGACCGACTCGTCATATACACCCTTCCATATCTTCAGAGCTTCATCGGTGACTTTGGCATTCTCTTTCAATTGTCCTCTTCGAATTTGCGCCATCAGCTTGTTACGCTGGGCGGTGCGGAGTTGGCTCTCATGTTGATCAATCATCACCTCCAGAACCTGCTCGACTGTCCGAAGGGGACCGTTGGTGGAACGACCCAAAGCTCGACGATTTCGCCCACCTACTTCTGGGTGGAGACATGTCTGTCGCAGTCGTGTCAACCATGTCCGCATTTTCTCTATCAATACCGGAGAGTCCGGTTCCGAATCATCAGACCGATCATCAAAGACTGGAGCGCCTGTCCGATCAAAATCACAGTCTTCACAGAATTCTTGAAAAAGCTGGGTATAATGTTGCTCTTCGATAGGTGTGAATGGAATTGTGATAGTATGACGGCTTTGCGGTGGCAGTCGCAGGTCTTCACGAACGAAATCCTTGGTATGTCTCAGTGCGACTTCCTCCAACATGTCTTTAAACAGTGGCCGATGATAGTTGACAAGATAATCCCAAAGCCGAAGAGACTGACACCATGGGTTATACCGAAGGAAAAGTAACAAACCATAGAGGTCCCTGTGTCCTGACCGGAGCGGTGTACCGGTGACTGCCCAGGCATTGATGCGAGGAATCAGCCGAGCCACCGTGGCGGCCGAAGACACACCGCTTTCAACCATCTGAGCCTCGTCCAGGCAGACGCGCCACCATGAGATCTGAGTCAAAGGACTCTTCGGTGGTTCCACGCGCCGGCGGCTTCGTAGATTGCGCTCTGGCTTTTCCATCACGTAGTGGATTTCTTTGGCGATGACGTTGTAGGTTGTGAGCACCACGTCTTGCTCCAATAGCTCCTCGATGAGTTTGTCACCAGTCCGACGATAGCCGCTGAGGCCCTCGTAATGATGTATTCGCAATGCGGGGGCATGTTCCTTGATCTCCTGCCTCCATTGCTCCAGGATCGATGGGGGTGTAATGATCAGTGTTGCGGAAGATTGTCGCAAACCTGGAGGGCATTCAACATTCTCTGGTTTGCGATGTAGACAGATTAGGGAGATGACCTCCAAAGTCTTTCCGAGCCCCATTTCCTCCGCAAGGATCCCACCTTTTATGCTCGAGAAGTCTTTCAAGACCGCCGCCCGGTCTGTGGAGACTACACCCAACGTGTGATTGACGAAACACGTTTGTTTGCTGTCTGTCTGAAATACCTGGAATCCTTCGGGAAGAGGCCCATCGGAATCTTCATCAAGAGTCGTCACCTGTCCCGAATCGTGTAGAACTGCTCGTTCTCTTGCCAAGAGCCAGCGTACGGCACGTCTCTGGAAAGGGAACAATTGAGATTCCAGGTATGGAACTTTGATATCTGCCGAGTTCTCCTCCGTTTTCTCAGGTACATGGACATAGTCGTAGAACTGCCGAGGATTCCATGTCGCAAACTTCGCAGCCGGGGTTGTGTCACACGGTATATAGCGCCCTAGCATATCAAGGAGAAACGGGTCTATGCGATCCCTGATCTTTGTGGTATTCTCCCAAAGGATCGAGATAATGACGCATGGGCCATCCGGCGAAGGTTGAATCGTAGCGTATGCGCAGGCAAGAGGCAAGGCGGCGGGGGCCTTGTATTTGGCCGCCGAGTCCAGGCGTAAGGCATCCTCAAAGACCGGGTCGCCCGTCGACGGCTCATTCAGGATATGGACATACTGCGAGGCCTTGGCTCGACCGACAGAGAAGGTTATTCTATATTCTTGCCGTGGAGTCGGCGCCTCGAGTATATTGATCCCCACAGGGTTTCCGTCTGGGCAAAGCGTGGACAGATCTATGTCCCAGCGACGGACAGAGAACCTGGCGCTGGCGAGGAGGATATATTCGGAGAAAGGGGGAGGTGGAGAGGGCGGAGAATCGGTGCGATATTCAGAGCCATAGGAGACCCTACGCCTTTTTGACGCAGGCTCGCCCAACACCTCCATCGTCGCTCTGAAGATATGAATGAAGGTAGCGAGCGAGCGCAGTGTTGGAAGAGGCGAAAAAGGGCAGACTGCGCGCAGGCGAAGCGAACGAATATCAGGCGACGGAGCCTCGAACCTCGAGCCCCAGATGCGATAAGATAAGGCGGTCACGTGTGCGGGGATTTTTGCAGGCGGCGGTGAGAAGCCAATAGGAGTGGAGGAATAACAGCCGTAACAAGAACAAGTGCTTATGATATAAAAGATCTGAGTGACACACCTTCAAGATTCTATATGTTCCGAGGCAATACTTTAGTAGTAGAGGATACCTGGGTGGAACGAATCCACAACAGCCACAATGTGCAAGTCTCCCAGAAGTATCAAATCGCACCTTCTGGGTGAAACTGTAAGTCCCTTGGAAGGCGTGGCCCTGTTCTGGTTCCTCGGACTTTTAATAGAGTATCATATTTCATTATTCGTTCAAGATTCATCCTAAGTTCCGCACAGTAGTTGGAGTTACCTCGTAGGCACGAAGTTGTCTCATAATTCATACTGCCTGTAACATAGGCTGTAGAAGCAGTCCCGAGTCATCCCCCTGCCCAGTGTCTACAGCAGCTTCTCCTCTCCTATCTTTATCCCTGCCCTTTAGCTTCTCGACATGCTTCATCAACGACCGGTTGGTCTCTTTGAGTGACTCGATTTCTTCTGTCTGGGACTGGACCTTGATCCTGAGCTGCTCCAGCTTTGCTTCGCTCCGTAACCGGTGATTTCGCTGTGCTTTGCGATTCTGTTCCTTGCGTCGCTGCAGAAGTGAATCTCGTCAAGTTAGGGTTCCCAGATCTGCACAAGCGCAAAGAAAAAGTACAGAGAAATTTAGCACCACATGTAAAAGTGCTGGGGCCACTGACCTCTCTCTTGTCACGTTCGCAAACTTCACAGGAATGGTGGTGGCGGTGATGATGGCTGGGCGACGAATGTGTTGAACTCTCGAGCTCGGCCACGGGACTCCCATCAAGAGACAAGCCAAGCTGGGTTCGTTGAGGCGTCTCGATATCTGGGCTGCTGTTTAGTTCCAGTGGTAAGGACTCTAAAGATGGGTCAATCGTCGGCAACAACTCGTCGAGGGTGGGCAAAGTGTTGTGGTCAGTCGCGAAAGTCTGTGGTAGTTTGATGGACTGCAATGCCTGTTAAGGACATCTCCTCGTCGGAGGTGTATGACTTACTTCGGTTACTCCAGAGCAGACGTCCACGGCCATGTCATAGTAGTCAAACGTCTGCCAGTATTGTCCAGGTATGTAACAGTAGCCTGGGTTCGCTGAAGGTTGTGGTTGTTGTGGGTGAAGGCTATTGGCATGAAAGCATGATATGAAACTGTCCATGTTTGCAAGAGACCGACGATGTTTCCCGCCCATCGTTGGCAACTTTTCTTTCATATTCCAATATCTCAAGGTACTTCTATCGTTGGAGAAGGATAGAGACGAAGTCCAGTAGTGTCGAAAAAATTGAGACAAACACAAGCTTTGAGACCAGGCTTGGAATTTATGCGTCCAGGGTGATGCCAGACCATATGCTCAATAGCAGGGCCTCCACAGACGCTGTGAGGTCAAGAGCATGACCGGACTAGTGGTCGAGATGATTTTGCCGATAGAACCGGTGCCAGGATCTTTGCCAGAAAGTCAGATATCCAGCATGGAGAGCACGTGTAGACTCTGGGACTGGTAATTTCAGGACTTGAGAAGGGTAGTAAAGCTCAGAAAGTCAAGAAAAGAAGTGAAGTAGTTTCGACTTTAGGCATATTTCTTGGGATGGTTGAGGCCCAGCATCACACCCAAGCCCAGGTGCGACCGCCGACAAGCATCCACTTGCATAATGTTGATAGGGGCACCTCAAAGTACTGCTTATCAAAGTGACAGCCAGGGCGGCGCTGGAATGGCAGCGGATCGCCTCGGGGGAAGGAAACCGTCCCCGGATGGTGTGGAGCCACGTGGATGCGGGATGGGCAAATGTTGAATACACCGCTCCGAGCTCTCAGACTCCAGAGAGACTCGAGGGGATGGGACGGGGTATGAAGCAGTGGTATCTTGGATAAGGCGTCCAGTTGGACAGATGAGAGGAGTTTAAACCTTGATAATGGAAGCCGAGTATGAGCCAGTGGTCTGCAGGACGTTCGCAAAGCATGGGCGTTGTAGACCCTCAATCCCATCAACTGAAGAGTCGGGTAGCTCTTCTGGTAGGAATGCCTGCAGGGGTCCTCGCTGCCAGTACTGGGTTCTTGAATGTATGGCGAGAAAAAGGACCTTCAGCCCCAGCAGGCTGCAGCCGGCCACGACACTCAGTCATTGGACATGGACGGGGGAGGTGCAGAGGACTAGCAAGGGTGGCTGGCCAGACCCTGTAAACAAAGAGTTCGAGTAGAAGCGATCAACCTGGACTTCTGATTTATTCCTCCTCGCGAGAAAGACAATTCTGTTGGCTTCTCTTCGTCGGCCTGCTGTAACACAAGAATCGGGCGTGAAGCGGGATATTCGTCGACGACTGAGGAGGCAGGATGATGCCGTGGTCCGTGGATCGAAGTCAGTCGATGGTGTTCTCCTGTACCCCTCTTTTGCTCTGTGTCTGTTAACTTTCTTTGTCTGGAAAGTCTCCAAGGCGTTCTTTGTTGCTCCCTGGTGCTGGTGCAGACTCTGGGGCCGTTGTATTAGCTGGGTCAGAAATGAGAATACCCTTTGTCCCATTCAAGTTCCACACCTTCATATGGCATGTCTCTTGAGCATAGCCACGCCTTTAACTCCCCTCGAAAACGAGAATGGAGGTCTAGGCAGGCGCCCGAGGATGCCTGGCGTAGAAAAGGTCTTGTGCCCGAAGCATTGATTCGCTGCTCTCGCAAATGTGGTTCACCCACTGCATCAACGCCTCTGGGGGCGGAACTCCATCAAGCAACATACGTTGTTCGTTTCTCCGCTCGACAAGACGCCCGATCATTGAGTCAAAGTTGTTTCGCCGCGATCAATGTAGCATTCAAACCTCTGCACGAACCTCAGCTTCAGGATGTGGTGACATCATGAGGTCGTGGACAAGATATGAAAACGTCAGACAACGCAACTTGATAAGACATCTCGTCCACTCGTCCATCTCTGCGAGCAAGTGGTGCCCACCTGAAGACTGAATGGGTATCAGTGAACATTCTGGGCACATTGACGCTGTCCCTTCTTGGATAGCCGAATCTGCCGCCTGTGTTGTGTTGCTGAAACTCTTTCCTAGGGCATGCCTGGCAGGAACTCACGCTTGTTCGTGTTGAGATAACCGAGAGCCATTGGCCACCGACAACTGGAAACCTCCTGTGAGTCAGCCAGCGACATTAGACAAGTCAGCAAGGGATCGTAAAGTCTGATCTTTCGTAAGCACGGCTTGAGAACGTCGACCACCTGCTTACCAGAATCAAGAGCGGAACAGACCCCGTGGAACAAGATTCCGAGGTCTTAAGCCATCAAAAGGCGAAGCGTGCCCACAGTCAAGGATCACCGTGAGCTTGTTTGTCTTCATCTCACATCACATGCCGGCTTGGAGACCCGCGAGACCTGCCACCAGGATGGCTCGAAGTCAATAACACAGGAGATGTACTAGGAAGAGAGACATGAAAGCTTTCCTCGTACCAATGACTATCGGCCACTTGGCTGCTGATAAGTTTTATGAACCCGCAGAGCCTCCGACCGGGAGAACTGTTCATTGAGGAGATAACGTAGAATGTCCCATCGCGAGTTCAAGCCTTCGGCGAAACATTGGGAAATGTCCTTCCCGCCCCAGAATACACAGAATACACATGTGTTTTGATGCTACTCATACAGTCCGAGGTTCAAGCGGATCCGCGTGAACGACACCTTGGTGATGCACGTTCAGTCCATGTCCACGTCGCTTTCCTCTCCATCGCCGTCGCCGTCGTTTTCAACTGATTCGTCATCGCCCATGTCCTCATCGCTACGCTCGGCAAGCAGGTCTTGCGTGATTTCGTCGTTGAGATCCTGGTTTGAGGTTCGAGTCGCTTTTCCGCCTCGCCCACTGTCAACATTCTTCACGCGTACTGCTGATGCTCGTTTTTGTGGCTTCTTGCGTGTACCGTTGCCGGCGGCCCGCGCTGGAGGAGTGGCGGCAATTTGTTCTTCCATGACGAGCTGACGCCGCTGAGTGTGAGTGCGATCTCCTCCCCAGGCCTCCAGACGTCGAGATGCCCTCCTAAATGCTCTTGTCCAAGTGTCCGCTTCTTCGCCAAAATCATCAGGTTCGTAGCCAGGCGGCACGCCACCAGGCTGATTCTCGACATAGTCACCATACCATCTGTGAGCAAGCAAGCCGGGGAAGCCAACACCTCCGGCGGATTCTTCCTCCTCGCTGTCATATGTGGGGGGCAACTCTCCGATACGTCTGGCCGCCTTCAACAACCATCTACCTCCTTCCCGCATCTGTCGAGCTTCCTTCAGTGCTTGTCTTCGCCGTCGTCTCAAAGCCCATTCTACCCGACGTTGTCGATGTTCCTCCAGTTCACGTTGATATCCGGTCCTGGCGCGGGACTTTGTAACAGATCCACCCGCCGCTGGCTCGCCGGCTCTACCCATGACTGTGTCAATCTCATTCTTGCCACGGTATGCGCTCGAATGACTGCCGCCAGGCTGCAGAGGCTGGGGAGTCCCCCGATTCCGTTCAACGGTGTCAGGTGTGCCAGCATTGCGCCCCGATTTGAGCAGACTCCGTGGACCGTCACTCTGTCTGGCCGCGCGGGATCGTGTTGGCGTATTCTTTCCTTTGACACGTTTGTAGCGTCCACGTCCTGGATGTGGATCGACGGCTTCCCAATCGTCGTCAAGGCTGTCTGCTTGTCCACCAAGCGCCGTCATGACAGATCCATGATGACCGAGAATGTCGGGGGCTGGCGACCGTCCAATGCCCGGGCTTGCGCGCGAATCGGCATCGGATATCAGAGAATCGTCATCTCCGTACATGGCGCTCTTCTTGAGTCTCTTCAAGACCTTGTGGTCTGGGTTGCTTGGGTCGGCCATGGTGAGAGGGGGTTCGTTGGCCACTTCCAGAATGATACGTTGTCTTTCCCTGGTCATCTTGTCCGCAAAAGCTACTTCTTCAGGAGGATCCTCGTTCTCGGCATCTCCTTCCTCTTCTGTGATATTAACCAGTTTGGGGACGAGTTGTGGTACTGTATCCGGATCGTCAGGATCTTCGTCTTCTTTGTATTCGCCCGGTCCGTATGGATTTCGCAAAGCATCTTCTTTGGTGAAATTTGATTCCAGATACCACCACATCAGCCACAGGAATGCCCTGGCTCGACTCGCGGAGGAAATTGTTGGTCGCATGGCCAAGTCGAAGAAATCCACTTTGTCAGTGAAATGGGTTTCGCTGACAACGGGCGCATACTGCGACAAGACGAAGATGAGGTTCACAGGATTCGTCCGTGGCACCCCCTTGTCCTTCAGAGCGGCTATGGTCCGGGGCTCATCAGTGTCCTCGCTGGCGCCCTTGAGTATGCTCTTCAATCTGGGAGCATCCTGCAGTGACTTGTAATCTTTCTGACTTTTGTATGCCTGTAATGAAGGGATGGAATGGTAGGTCCTCAGTTGTGCCCTCATTTCCGGGAAGAAGTTCAGCGTCGTGTTCATCCTGCCGACGTTGACCAGGAGACAAATCATTGCCATATTCTGAGCGGCTTGTCGGTCGATCTGGAGTCTGTCCTTTAGGATCTTGCTTGTCTTGGAGCTTCGAGCCATGCAGTCGACATAGACCTCGGAAAAGGTACAGCCCTTCTGGCCGTCACTGACTCTTGTGAAGACCGGCTTATCATCCTCGGTGACGAGTTTCAAGAACTCGAATTGGATCTCTTTCCGCCATAGGGGAGTGCCGTCCGGTTTCTTGATGTGTCTGATCTTGCTCCCAGAGTAGACAGACCCGACGGTGCCGTTGGCTTGTCTCCTAGTCCCTACTGCCGTTCCGATCACCTTGGCTTCGGAGTCGGGACTGGCCTCTGACTTTTTCGTTCTCGTGGTAGATATCACGCTACCCTCATCTTCTGTGCCATCTTGAGGTTGCTCATGAATCCAGACTGCACTCCCCCTCGGTTTCGCCTTTCTGCTTGTAGACGTTCTAGCACGACCTGCCCGCCGCCCGCTCGCTGGTGTCAGTCTTGGAGAGTCGTAGACTCCAGTCTGAGATTGATCTGGGTCAAGGTCTGTCAAGTCAGGCTTGACCTCTTCTGCGTGGTCATCAATGGTGTCTCCTTCAGAGGCCGCTGGAGAGAGCGCTGGAGAGGGCACTGCGGAGGGCGCTGCGGAGGGCTCGCGAGAAGTCATGGTGACCGGTTATTAGAAAGGAACTGGAGCAGAGGATGCAGTCATTCTAGAGGGTTTCATGAACGACAACTTAGGAAGAGGGTTGTTGAGGCAGAGCTTGGTGATATGAACGCGACAGAAAGGACGACTCAAGGGTCTGCCTGCGCGAGGGTTATGTTCAAGTTGTCTCTTGTTCTCCCTGCGACACTTCAAGTTCCGTCACTTACAGGGCAAACGCGCCAAGTCGCGGCTCGGCAAACCTTCCACTCTAAATAGTACTAGTATTCAAAATGTACATGTACCTTAGTGACTCGACTCTATTCACTCTTACATTGTCTTTCAGCCCTGCCTGCCACTGAAGCCGTCTACAGTTCAGCTTGTCCATCTACTAGTAGTATCTGGTGAACGTCTGGTGAATGCTCGTGTCCGGCTCTCAAGCTGTGAATGCCACTGCCAAAGTGACCACTTGGACTGTCGGCGAGGGATTTGGCCAGCGTTGTCCTCATCTAAACCGAGTTGAAGGCACTGTGGGAGACAACTGGAAGATCCCTTGCCGCTTGAGTGTCCCCCCTTCTATGGTGGCAGACCTGGACTTGCGTACTATGCTTTGTGAGACTGATTCAAGGATGGTGTGAACGATCCTGGTTCAGACACCGAATACTCTTTGCCGACAGCAGAGAGATTCACCGAATACAGCACTCTCCACCCCAGCCGCGGAGCCTTACAAGCGGGCACCATGCATGTACCGTATCGCTCGATTGACCTCTGTCGACCCTCGTCCAGGGCTGAAGGGGCTAGATAACCAGGTATAAATATGAGGGGCGAGCTTATCTCCCCTTCAAAGAGATAGTAACTTCCCAGATGGCGACCCAAGGTGAGGAAGGTAGAGAACTACCGTCGTATGTCAGAGTACCTTCAACAACGACGAGGACGCGCAATTCACAGATGTATTGGACAGCTGTATTGCTGATCCCAGGACGTGACAGCTATCGACCAGACAACAATGGGATAAACAGGGGTGTCTGGTCCTGCCTCAGCAGACTAACTGGTCTATATAGCGTCTCACGAATTTATATCTTGTGGCTGGACATATGTGAATACGGAGATTGCAGACTGTCCTGTTGCACCTCAAGACCGAAAATCCCAGACAGGCATGTGTCGGAATATCGTCACAAAGACTGGGTAGAGTTCAATGGCAACACACAGAAAGACAAAAAGACATCAGCCTCATTGAGGGTGGGTTACTAAACCCGGCCATGCTGCAGTTTACTTCTTGTCAATGGCCCCTACCTATGATGGACTGATGCCAAGGTGTGGTAAATCTGCTCGCAGCTCACCCCGGATGCGGTGCATGGTGATGCCGCCCTGTACTCACCCCCGGCGCGCCCTGACTCGCGCGAGCCGGGGTGAGCGATCACCCGTGTCTCACCAAGGTTGCACGCAGTATTAGCTTTACGCTGCTACAAACTCAGGCGACAGGGTCAGTCGGCGTGCATGGGTGAGTCTGTTTCCGCATGACTGTTTTGCCTGCCATTGTATATTTACCTCCAAATATCCGCAAGGTGTTGTGATGCGATGTGCTATGACGAGGACGATCTAGCGCACTTGTTGTCGTCACTAAATTTGCCTCCTGGGTAATATTTCCGCCTTGAACGGATTTGCAACCATCGTGCTACAGAGGCTTGCAAAACCAGCTTCCCCCCAAATATATCGAAAAAAAACCACACCGCACAGCACCCCAACGAACGTATACTATACCGAATAGAGCTTGCTTGACGCCACAGCTTTCATCCAATCACTGGCGAGCCAAGCTTTCTCCGATTCCCCTGCTCGTATTATGGTTGTAATATACAGGGCTCAAGTTGCCCACTAGGCGTTATTGTGCCGTGGAAATGGCACGTCCGACTAACCCGATAAGGGCGAGCTATAAACTGCGTGGTGCCGCCTTTTGACTTATCATGCCACGGGTCTGACCGCTACTTTCCACCACCTCCGATCGTTGATGCAAAGACGGCACGAACGATTTCGAGTTGGATTCATTGACATTGACTTCGTTTCACGGCCCTGTTTCTCTATGCCATCTTTTCTCGCAGCTACAGCAAACTAGCAGCCCACACTTTACGCTATGGCAACTCCATCCAGTAGCTCGAATCTCAAACTCCTCAGTCTTGATGGGGGCGGCGTTCGAGGACTCTCTTCACTTATCATCCTCAAGAGGCTTATGGATATAGTCTCTCCCGATCCCCAAAACCCTGTCAAACCATGCGCGTGGTTTGACATGATCGGAGGTACAAGCACGGGCGGGTGAGTATCGAGCTATATTCAGATATCTGACAACTAACACGTACGAAGACTGATTGCTATCATGCTTGGGCGCCTGCAGATGAGCATTGACGAATGTATCGAGGCATACCTCTCTACCATGGACGACGTCTTCCGCCGGAATCACCTGGGCGTCTCAGTCAGTGGTAAAGTCCGTGGACGCTTCAGCACAAAAGCCTTGACCCGTCATATCGAATCTATTATAGAGAAGCAAAACTGCAAAGGTCAAACACTATATGTACCTAACGATGACCTGCCTTGCAAGGTCTTCGTTTGTGCAGGAGCTATCGAAGTCAGCTCTGCTACGACGTTCACAAGCTATCCTTCCCGTGATGGCCAGTCATCATTGCTCCTCAACACCAAGATCTGGGAGGCTGCTCGTGCTACCACCGCCGCGAGGTCCTTCTTCGATCCCATCGAAATTGGACCCATGAAACAGAAATTTGAGGACGCGGCTTTGTATCTTGTGAACAATCCAATCAACGAGATGATGAACGAAGCTCGTCAGGCTTGGGCGCGTGGCGGTGACATCAATCACCGGATTCAGTGTCTTGTCTCGATTGGTACCGGGCATCCTGGAGTTGGTCCAGCTGGCGATGGACTCTTGGCGGTAATGACAACGCTAAAAAACATTGCTACAGAGACGGAGCGTACCGCGAACCAGTTCATGGCAAACTGGAGAGATCAACTGGTGGACACGAAGAAGTATTTTCGCTTTAATGTTCCACATGGCTTGGAAAATGTGGGGCTTGAAAACAGTGGAAAACAGAACATCATTACTGCTTCTACGGAGTTATATCTTCGGGTTAACGCCGTTGACAGCTTACGACAGTTCGAGGCCAATGTGCTCCGTAAGTTCGTGACTGCCGTCTGAGCTATCCTCGAATTGAATGTTTGGCAGGAGGAGCCTCCGTGGCAGCACCTGACTTGCACAATGCAAATCTATTGATGGGCGCCACGCCTGTTATTCTCGAGGACCAGCCATCGAACAGATTATTCGATAGCTTAGACGATAGAAAAGAGTACATCAACCGGAAGGAGACTGAGCAATGGCGGAAATTGACAGTTCCGGCATGGCGAATATATGAAAGACTTTGGTACCAGATGCCCAAAGGCCAGCCAGGGAGAGTGACTCGTGAGTTGCCTATCTCGCAGAGATGATCTGACCATTACGGCCGCTCATTCACTGATCCTGCCAAACAGTCGCAGAATTTGCTACAGTTTTGACCAAGAACGAACTTGTGACTGAGACACACAAGTTCTGGCCTATGCTACTCCCACTCGACCGACCCGCCGATCCACTGCCTAAAGGTCTTGCCATGGCGCTCCTCTTCATGCTTCACCTTCGGAGGTGGATTGGCTGGCGTCCCGCAAGACCCAGTGCTCAGGCGCTCTTCATCCTCCGCAGGTTCGCAGAGTGGGTTGATTGCTCGTGCGGATGTAAGAGGAGGTGGAACTTTGCAAATGACATCGGGTTAGTGGACGAGCGCCACATGCTCGAGGCGGCACGCAAGTGTCCGGCAAAGACGTTTCTCGACACACAGGCTTACGGGATGAAAGCCGAATTGTTTCATCGACAGGGAATGGACATCAATGTCGACAATCGGAAGGCTTGGAAAGCCAGAAGGTGGGAGTGATTTGGGGGAGGAGAATGAAGAGGCTCATCAAGGCATATACATTACGGAGACGACGGCGATCTGTATTGACCATTAGATAAAGAATTGATCGGTTTGGCGGGCGAGGTAATTTCATCAGGGACTTTGCCATCGTAAAGGAGGCATCGCCATGGTAGTCAGTATTTGGATTTAGCTGGCTTCTATTAACCCCCGTACCTCCCACCGTATTGTCTGCCAGCCAGACCTCCGTTGACTGTCGAGAACCGAGGTTCATACCCATTTGCGACTTGACTTCGGTACACACCAGCCACCCCAGCCTGACTTGTGAGATTATCCATTGCGTATTCCGACCCACCATGATTCCGTGAATCGTGGACCCACCCAAAGGTCCCAGTCGTCGGTTGTCGGCCGCCCGCATCCGAAGCTGTGCCGTCCGTCTGCGACTGGTCCACCCAACCCTCGTGTGGTCTGTCGTGGGGGTGCGGGTTGTTCTGTTTCCGTATCTTCTTTTTATTGCGCCATTTTCTGAGCAAAGGCAAACAGCAGCGTATGAACCAAAGTACTCCGACAATGACGACGACGACCGGGACCACGGTGATGACGATGATGACGTCCTTGCCGAGACTGTTATGGGGGACGGGAGGGTTTGTGGGTTTGGTACTCGAGGCGGAGCTGGCTGCGGTGTTGGCGGTGTCCGAGGCTTCGGTTTGATCTGTGGTTGTGGTGGCCAGGACCATGACGGCAGCCGCATTTGTCCCACAAGCGTATGAGTACACGGTGGAAGAGTCATCGATACCTGTCGATCTTTCGTAGACGAAGCATGATGGTGCCGATTGAGGGCTGCCAGCAGAAAAAGTCGTTAGTTTCAGGGGAGCACGAAGGGTTCAGAGAGGATAGAGCAGCAGTGTATAGCTTACCAGGACAGGATTGATGTATAGATACTCAAACATTTGTCGTCACCAAGGCCCTGGCAGAGCTGTTCACCGGCATTGCGACAGGTTCTGTAGTCTTCGATGATATCGATCTGATTTGCACATGCCCAGCCCACGATGATGTTCAACACAGACGTGCACGAGTATCCACCTGGGCAGGTAAGTGGGCTGTCTATGATAGGAAGCGTCAGACAGACATCTGGGGAATAGATAGAAGATTCAGTGGCCAACGCACTTGCATTCCCGCTGACGAAGCCGCACGTGCTGACCGCGCCCTGTCGCTTGTGGAAGAGTCTCAGGTCAACGACCGGGCCTGGGGTTATGGTCGGAAGGACGGCGGACACCAGTTGGATCGTGGATGATTTCATCCTGCTAAACTGAGATTCGAACTGTTCAAGGCTATGCTACGTTTGACCATCACCGGGAGAGGCATAATTATCATCAATGAAAGCAAAGCCTCGAAAGTTTACCATTCCTCCTTCTTGGTAGCTACGGGTCGCATCGTGGCGACCAAGGCTGACCCCTATTAACGCTGCTTGGTGAAACGAAGGGGTCTACCAGGAGGCAAACATGAAACCGCTTTCTGGCAGAGAGGGGGCGCGGTACCGTAATCCTAAACATGTGACCGAGGCTAATTGATAGTGACGTTGCATGAGCGAGCGGTATTCCTCCTTTTTGCTGTGCAGTTCTTGCACTTTGGCCTCTCTGGTCCGAGTAGCCCTAAGAACAATATACATCCCGAAGGCGCTGATGTTCGGAGGACTGATTAAAGTATCTCACGGCAAAACAATCCGACCGTCCATAGTCTCGGAAGATAGATAGAAACGCGTAGTATATAACACGTCGACGGCTCTTAAGATATTCTTCGGCGTAAAGAAGTCGGTGTATCTATAACTTAAAAGGTAATAGTAAATATTAGACTACTTCGGGTGGAATACCGAGATCGTAGTCCTTAAGAAAGTCGTATAAATATATAGTAGACTATCACTGCACAACTTTCTGTCAACCTTGGAGATCTTGACTTTGTGCGTCTGATCACACGATTGATTGACTGCATCTCTGACGCGCTTCTGCCACTCGATTCGATTGCCACCCTTCAACCGTTTGCTCGAAGCGAGGCGACAGGATTTCTCGACGAAGCCACTGCGGCATCGTAGTCGAAGGTTGAGGCATTCGCACAGCAGTCGTCCACCACTTTGCTAGGATGCCTGCGTGATCTGATGGATTGCCCGAATGACAGTTCGAAGATGGAACTGCCCTTGCGCGTTCACTTTGTCCATTCCAAACTGGCTTCGTTTCCGGGCTGAACAGGATTTCCGGTTGCTGATATGCCCGGAAAGATCTAGATACGTGGCGCTGTAGATTGGATGGGGGATGTCCTTACAATGTTACGCCGTGGCAATGCAATGGACAGTGGACGGATTAGGCCGTACTGCAGCTTTCAAGCTTCCGGAACCTGGCGATGATGGCTGCATGTCCACGCTCCATAGACGATCTGCCACGTAGGAGCAATCAGGAGAGAGATGCGCCAAAGTTCCTGGCTCGACGACAGACCCGACGTCTATGGTCAACAAGTCTGCGGAATCATAGCACGTGCAGCGGATGTTCGGACCCAATATGATGGGCGATGTTGTCTTTCTAATCCAACAGCCATTGCGGGAACTCAGTGGAATTTGTCTGAATGCCGGTGCAGCTTGTCCCGGACGCTCAAGGAAGACACCACATCTTCCTCTTGCGAAGGACCCAGGATCGCTTCTTCTGAAAGACGGAATATAACCCCTTCCTTCAACATTGGTATGCGACACCTAAGAAGAAATCTTGGGCCTCTCCAGAGATTGGTGTGCAAAATAGGCAGACAGCTTTCCGACAGGAGTTTCGGACGAAAACGCCCAAACGTAGTGCTGCATGAATGCGGCGATTCTCTGGTCCATTGCCCTTGTCGCATATCGGGTCAGGCCAGAGGGGTCGGCCAGTTGCGGACGACAGGGAAGCACGTACACAATGTTGTCGGGGTCTCGGTTGTTTTTGACCCAACGCTAGCCGATCTTATACACGAGTCTCCAGCCACGGCTGTTGGCAGTGTCGTGGTCACGTTGCAAGATAGGCGTAACATCCCAGATCCGATCAAGGACCAAACAGCAAAGCAGACCTTGTACCGCAGTCCGTCGGCGAAGAATGCGTTGATACGCGCCCCGGTCCAGCAGTAGACGTGGATGAGGAAGGTTACCTGGATACGATATCGCTCCGGAATAAAGATCAGGTCGTCGAACGTCCACAGCGCGAGAAGGACACGGGAAAGGTCTCGGACTGTGAAATTGTGTTTCGGTCGGTGCTTGTTAACGACGACGCCTTCGAGGACCAGGGTGCGTCGAATCCAATGAAGCAAGATTAGTTGGGTCTGTCTCTAAGGAACAGGACAGCCTGATAGAAAGGCCCGCAACTTACATAGTACACCTCACTTCTATCATCCGCGTTAGTGTCGGTGCCGGTGGTTCGAGTAAAGCCCGCAAAAAACCACTCTGCAATGGTGCAGATAGAGTCGGCAGTAGGCTTCTGCTTATCGAGCTGAGATTTGCTCGTAGCGACATAGAACCGCAAGAAGTCCTTCACGGTCAACAGGTCCGGGGTAGGTACTCCTTCGCCCAAGTACCGGCTGCGCGCCGCATCTTCGTCGGGAGGTGGTAGTCCCTCTCGTTCGTGGTCCTCTCTCATCGATTTCAGGTGCCAGCTATAATCCTGCGTGTCAATAATCGAAGATTTTCTTCTTAACAAAGGCTCGGTAAGGCAAGGTGGTCTTACTGGACGAAGCGTTGTAAAGTTCGATCGTGGTCCTTCTTTGTCTTGGAGATGTATTTCTGGCCCCCGCGAACTTGGTCAACTTTTGTGCACGCTCCTCTCTGGTAGCCATTGGCCTCGGCCTGAGCCCACAAGTCGTCCGTGGTGGTCATCCGTCTGCCCATGGCGACGGCGGCCGAAGGAGAAGGAGGAGATCAAGGAAGCGTTGAGAAGCCGAAGGTGGAGGGTAGATGGGCGTGGGGACGAGACGATGGGTAGGTAAGGAAGACTGTGTGCGCAGCCGCGGACTGGGTTGGACATCATGTTATACTCCACGGGGCAGAAACTCGAGCGGCATTTCAGGAAGGGAGGGCAGAGCCACCCTGCTCTGTCCACAGGCAATCATCGGACGCAGGATTCGATTTCAGAGGGTCCCAGAAAATGGACCGCACCCATCGCGACGCAATGTGGATTCCCGATTCGGCGCCTAGAGGACGACTCGCAGGCTGCGCTGCAGGACGAGACGAGGACCATCCAGACAAGGCCGACGCGAAGGCGGAGCAGGTGAGTGGGAGGTGAGTGGAAGGTGAGGAAAGATGAGGGAAAGGTGAGTGGAAGGTGAGAGGGAGTGGTAGGAGGGTGAGTCGTGCGCAGGTGGGTTTTAAAAGCGGCATGGTCGGGGTGATCCCCAAGTGAGCTACGAGCAGATGTACCATTGCTTGTGCCGCCAATCGAAGATAATGTTCTATTGATGGGCCATGGACAGCCAATAGAAGCAAGCACGGCTTCTGATGCCGTGTTCCCCATGGACTCTCCACGGAATGTCCTCTTGCGGATGGGAGCATCTATCCTTGGATGGATTCAGCTACCTAGGTTTGCTGCTGGGCCATGATTTCGAGCAGATTACAACCGCCTATGACGACTTCATCATATATCGGGAGCATTTCTGGGAGTGATACCAGAAACCTTTCGATCTTAAAGCAAAGAGAACTCGATCGTCTCTGCGTCTGGCTTCTCCCGTTCCCAACCTTTCTTTCATGCCCGCTCACCTATGTGACTATTTCCATGCCGGACACATCGCTGCGCAACAGCCAAAAGAAGCAAGCACGGCTTCTGAGAACGTATTGGTATGAATGCATTGTTTCTAATGTTCTCCGTATCAATCATAGTCTTACATGGCTTGCCCCTACCGTTTCTCCCCCGCTTCGTCAAGCTCGCCCAGGCCGTCGAGTTTGAGGATATGTCTTCGCCCAAATCGACGTGGAGAAAGCGCCATGACTGCTATTTCGTGCGGTCATGGGCATTACAAGGTACATATGGGTAGGTCTAGAAAGAATTCCCACCGGAGCCAAGTCCCTCTACCCTAATCTGCGCATCATATCGTTCACGTTCAAATTTGTTGACCGGAGCAGTGGATGCCTCCCGGGCCGACAAGGCTGAACACCCCTTCCAGGATGTTGACACGGGCTGAGCGCCTCCTGCCCTCCTCCTGACCTTTTGAGTCCAGTCCTAGACCTCTTCGACGCCCTTTCCCGTTTCCCCTTCTCCCTTCCCCCATCTGCCCCCAACGAGCCCCTCCACGATCATTAGTAATTGCGCATTAATAATACTGAATGATGGAAGCATTGAGGTTGAATACCGGGCCGACAGTGGAGCCGTGATCCACTTCATATCACTTGCGTCAGATATCCAACTCGCCAACTACGAGTACCTGTACGTACGTACTGCTATACTAGTATACTGTGATAGATTATATCTCATCTATTCATACCGGCACAGTATCTATCTATCACAGATCTTGAAGTCTATATATTCAGACCCCAGCCGGGGCAGGAAGGTCCGAGAGTATCCAACAACCTCCCGCACTGCATCGGAGTTACATACTGTAGATACCCCGAGTACCTGGATCGCACTGACTGGGTCTCTCTCTCTCATATCCCTGCAGGTGGTTATACTCGAGGCTAGTACTAGTATACTTCACCCGCCTCAAGTTACACAATGTCACCGAACCCCTCCTCCCCCAATACGATGCTGGAAGCTCTAGTGCACCACCCTCTCCGAGTAAGCGTGCACCGGATCCGGATCCCGCAACCGGAGGCGCACGAAGTTCTGATCCAAGTGCACGTGTCCGGGACGAACCCGAAAGACTACAAACGGCCGGCCTGGAACGCCGAATACAACGGGAGCAACCAGGGCGACGACATCGCGGGGGTGGTCGCAGCCGTCGGCTCGTCCGTGACCCAATTCAAGCCGGGCGACCGCGTGGGCGCGTTCCACCGCATGCAGTCCCGAGGCGGGTCGTACGCGGAATACGCCATTGCGCCGGAATACTCGACGTTCCATATCCCGTCGACCACGAGCTTCGAAGAGGCCGCGACGATCCCGCTGGCCGCCATGACCGCCGCGCTGGGCTTGTTCGTCAGACTGGGCCTGCCTGAGCCGTGGCTCGCCAATGCCCACCCGGACACACTGCCCAAGGGCGGACTGGTGGTTTACGGCGCGGCGAGTGCCGTGGGCGCGTATGCGGTGCAGCTGGCCGTCAGGGCGAGCATTCATCCTATCATCGCCGTTGCGGGGAAAGGCATCCCGTTCGTCCAGAATATGTTGCATCCGAGTCAAGGTGATGTCGTGGTCGATTATCGCCAGGGCAATGAGAGTGTGGTCGACGCCATCAGGGCGGCGGTGCCGAAGGGCCAGAAGCTGGAATATGCCTTTGACGCCGTGAGCGAGAAGGAGAAGTCGTCGTATGCCAATATCTGTCAAGTGCTGGATCATGATGTAGGCCGGTTGACTCTGGTCCTGCCCGCCGCGAAGGATGATCCCGATATGCCGGGAACGGTGACCACGACTTTGACCATGGTCAACTCCGTGCATGCAGGTGGGCCGGATAGGGACTTTGGGTATGCGTGGCTCAGGCTGTTCGAGGCCGGCTTGAAGGATGGCTGGTTCAAACCCCATCCATATCAGGTCGTCCCCGGTGGTTTGGACGGTGTCGAGGAGGCGTTGAGAAACCTCAAGGAAGGCAAGGCCAGCGCCACCAAGTATGTATTGAGGATCGCCGAGACAAAGGAGCTGAAAGATACGACTTCGTAGGCTGGAGTGGAGGATTGGGGCATGCACGACTCTTGCTGTGTGCATACATATGGGTGACGATAGTCAGCATATATGAAGATATGACAAGCTGTAGGATGTGTTCCTGGAGCGTGAGACAAATGGCAACATACTAGTAGTAGATAAGGACCTAGTAAGTGCCTTAGGGACAATAGAAAACATTTGCTAATAGCAGTGGTGATGATATTTCGCGCCACTAGGTACGTGAGTTGTAAGTTCCATGCTGTGTCCATTCTGTTCATTTCATTTCAATCATAATGGTCGTCTGTCGAAGCTCGTTTTGCGCCTATTTTCATCGAGGAGGCTCCCCCTACCCTCGCCTCGCCTCGCCCTGCATGATCAAAGTCAAATCACATGGGCCATTCGTATCATCATCCCTTCCCATCAATATCAGTCTGTGCTCGATTCTCTCTCGTCGAGCTGTTCATTCTCATTCTCATCTTCATCATTCACCTCCGGAACATCGGCTAGATTCACCCCATTGCCCTCCGGTGGATGTCCCATTCCCACCTGAGCCGGGCCTGCTTCCTGTTCGTCGGAGACGAGGGGACCTGAAGGACCGTCCTCATCTTCGACTCGAATGTCTGGCAAGGCGAGGGCAGCCAACGACCCGGGCCGGAATTGTTCCCTCAATCGCTGAATCCGACGAATCAGGTCTCTTGCCAAAGCCCCCATGTCCTCCAATTCTTGAATGTCATGTTGATGCCCAGGCCCGGCCTGTGTTGCAGATTCTGAGCCAGATCCAATTGATGAACCCGCATCGTGCGGCTGACCTGCTCCGGGGTATTGTGTACTCAGGCTCGTGAAAAACTCCACCAATCCGTCGATTGCCTCTTCGGTCGTGGAAATGGTGCCGCGATTGGCGGATCCTGATCGTCTTTCAGCCACGGGTTTACGCATCTTGTCCTTTCGTCTTCTCCGTTGCTTTAACTTCTGGGAAGCCGATTGCGCGCGAAGAAACATTTCTGACTTCCTCTTGCATTTGCCCGTCAACATTCTGTGCCACCGACAATTTGGGCAGAAAAATGGGGGACCTTCCGCCGTCAAGGTGGTGTTGTGAGACGTGATTGTTAAAGTCACGGTGGTTCTGCCGCCTTCCGCCTGTGGAGCTTGACATCCTTTGCAGGGACACGGAGGATCGAGTGTGGTAATGCAGTCACCACAAACATTGATCTTGCATTCGACGCATTGCCTCATCGATGCGGTGCACCGTCTTCTGTGGTCTCCCGGGGCACGGATTGTGGGACAGAAGAAGGCATGGCAGCCTTGCCATTTGGGAATAGACGGTACGTCGGAAGAGTGGTGGTCATTGGGGTCAGCCTTTGATTCGACAACAGGTGGCACCGAATGTGTCGAAGGTGCGGGGGATGTTGGGCGGGACAGTGGCCCGGTACTGCTGGAAGCTGGAGAGAGAGGTCGACGAGGCAGATCTATCTCCGCCAAAGGAGCCCGCAAATTCCTCAAGAATTGTCCCACCTCGGTGTTCAAGAAAGCCGCCTCTCGTGCGGAGCCTTCGCTACTTCCTAGTTGATGTTGCGGCATGTGTTGTGGTGGCACTGATGTAGATGACGAAGGATGTGATATGGAAGTATCGCAAGTGTTTGTGCTTCCTTTCGAACTGCGCTCAGCCTTGACAGGCTTTCGCGGTAACATTTCCTTGCGCTGGCGCATGAGCGTCGTTAGCAATTTGAGCGCTTTTTGGCGGGACTTGTATTCTTGTTTCTCGACTGCCAGATCTTTATATCCGCAGATTCTTGCCCTAGCTCGGTCACCAATGTCATGTCTCAGACAAAGCGCCGTCGAACAAGCCTTGCATTTGACCTTCCATTGCTCCGAGTTATAACATTCATCGCACAGGACCCGGGGTACTGGGACGGAGTGATGGTCTCCCGCGTTCAAAGCAGCCACTGTCTGGAAAAGGCTATCAATCGAAGACCAACGGCCTCCGGGGCCTGCTTTGGTTTGGCTTTGCGGAGAACTGCCCAAGGTTGCGCCGGCAAACAATCCCATGTCTGGTCGGTGAGGGTCGAATTCAGGATCTTCCCACCCCTGTCCTCGGGGAAGTGGCGCTGCGCGAATGCGGTCGGTTTCTCGACTGGAACTGTTGCCAAACGTTATGCCCCCTCCACCCGAGAACACTGGCTCGGTGCAACACCATTTGAACTTGATGTTTGGAAGGACACTGATCATACCACCGTTGGCTCCGGCATTGTGAGGCAGATCCTGGTCCTGCATGGAGCAAGGGGAAACCGCACATCCAGGCGCCCACCAGAATTTGTTCTTCTCCTCTTCGGGTGCGTTCTTGTTACGCAAGTATGGACGGTCAAAAGCGCAACTGGCACAGAGCGTTTTCCTGCACCCCGAACAATGCATCATCACCGAGCACTGTTCACACCTCTCAAGTATCTCCGCCGAGCAATTGTGGCAGGTGATGTTCTCAACAAACATTTTGTGAGAATCACGGAGATGCGCAGGCGTGGCCTTGCCCTCAAGGCCGGTTCCGATGACCTCCCCATTGATCGCCTCTTCATCGAATTCCCAGCTTCTGCAATCACGTTTCCGTTTTCGCCCGGGAGCGTCACTCAATGCTTGGGACTGTTCAACGGGACCCAGCCAGTTTCGGCTTCTCCATAAGCGATCATAAACCACCCACACCTCACGTGGATCCTGCGGCATCCTCATCTTGACATAGCCTCGTCTGCGGTAACATCGTGCCCCTGGAGTAGTGCACCAGGCAGTATCTGTCCAGATTCCGAGTTTATGACAGGTCAGGACCAGTTCATGCGTAGGCTCACTGTCACTTTCCTTGCGCGCCAAGCTGCTTGGTAGATACGGTCGTCTCCTATGATGCCGGCACCTATAGGTATACAGACTCTGCAGCGCAAGCGTCTCGAAGCCAAGCGGGCCCCGGGAGGCTGTAGACTCTCTAGCCAGTGCATGCATCTGTAGCCATGGATTGATATGGTATTTCAACGATACGTTCTTGCAGCCCCGCACCGACACATGCAGTAGAGTATCTCTCCTCAAGATGAGAACCGTCGAGGTCAAGGTTGCGCCACTGACTGCGGTATTATCCAATTCCAGGCTGACCAGTCTTGTGCTGAAAGGGTTTATGATGTTGAGGAGTATTTGATCCAGTGCATAACTGCTTGTCTGGCGAATGCCGTTCGGGGCCCCTGCAGCGAGGGTCACCGGTAGCGGATTGGGTGCTGGTTGATACAGACGCCATGAGATGTACCGCCATGATGTCGGAGAATTGGAGAAGAAGGCCCGTAAGAAGGATGAGGTCTGGTAGAGTCGGAAGATGGTCTCCGTCGGCACTTGTGCGAGCAGCGACTCGAGGATTGGAGGGTTGCAAGTGATCAGGAGCTCGAAGGATGTAGGCATAGTACGCGTTGACCCTGGTGTGGCGGCCATACTGAGTACTGGAGCAGCGTTTGCCCGAATGTTGAGGCCGTCAATGACCGCGGACACATATTTCAGCCTCAAGAGATGTTGTCAAGAGAGTGCTAGAAAGTGTGGTCAATGGCATTGGGTGAAGCCATAGGTGGCTGGGAGGTGAAGGAGAATGCTGTGAATGTTCCTGGGCAGTTGTGTCATGGAAGTGAAATGAGACATAGGGTGATGCAGGTGTGCTGTGCCATGCCAGCAATGTACGCTGCAGACTGCAGGGCCACAGGAAAGTCAAAGGTCGTGGCTTTGTCATAGGCGGAGGACCACGCGGCACGTGACCCGGGCCGGAATCGTGGCAGCCTTGCGAGACCGCACAGTGACCATGGCCTCCTACTACGGCTCTTAGAGGCTACTAACCCTACTAGTAATGAGAGGTAATATCCAAACATTTATTTTATCAGAGTTTATAGGCGGCTATACTCTAGGAACTTCAAGTTGTCCCCTCCGACCCGTCGGTGTGTGAAGGATGCTCGAGGACTGATCGTGCTTCTTGAGAGGCATCCATCCCATGGAGCATCGGCTCTGAGGCCCTTATGCCAAACGGCAACCGAATGCACAACCGTTATCCAACACAACAACCTTCGCTCGCTCGTTGAAAGGCACCCTGGAAGAACTCCTCCATGGCAGTATAGTGAAACAGAATCCCACCAAGAACGGCAAGGTGCCAGATGTTATGACTGCCTCCAACGTAATCAAACAAGCCGGGGGACCACTTCTCGGGGATTCGACAGGCATAGATGATGGCACCAGTAAGGTATACCATCAGACTTTTCGTGACCGGGGCATAGAAGTAAAAGGTCCAAGCCATCCCTCGTGTATAGTTCAACTGCACAACTGGAGCAAACCCAGTCACTGCGAGAGTGACGAAGAATGCCACTCGTGCCCACGCCATATCGGCTCGGTTAAAGCTCTCTCGCCAGGGCAGGATCAGACCGGCGATTCCCAAAACGGTTGTGAGGGACATGTATATCGTTCGCGAGACGGGTTCACAGTAGAATGCCGTCCACTCAGTGCTCAAGATACTAGCAGCCACCAGAAATGAGATTCCGGTGTAGTCGACGCAAGCGAACCGTTCCATCAAGCATTTATCGGCAATGCTGTTCATGGTGTGCCACATGGTCGAGCAGATCAAACACTTGCATGCTGCAGCAAAAAAGCAGCCGGCCACCAGGACATCCCATTTGCTCGACAAGGGGAACGTTGCTGATGAGGGATAGTAGTAAAGGGCGACGGCAAGGACGACGATCAAGCCCAGACCATGAGTCCAAATATTGACGGTCTCGTTCGATGGCTGAAACATTGAAGTGAGACATTCGACTTTGGTCTTGTTGAACCGATATCCCCGGAGAATATGCGGGTTGTTTCTCCATGGATGCGGTAGGTCATCATAATGTATCAACCTGGTCTCTGCAGCGCGGCTCAAAGCATGACTGATCGAGTCCGCCATCAGATCTCGGGCACGCAGAGCCTTATCCAGGCCTTCCTCAAAAATCTCTCTGGTGGCATGAAACGAGTCGTCAACTTTCCTCCACCCAGAGACAAGAAGCTGCTTTTTGCGTGCGAGCGCACGAGACTCCAGCTCGAAGAGATAGGTCTCCATCAACCGCATGCCCTCTTGAGCCTTCTGTTCCAACGTCTCTCGGGTTGGCATAACATCATTGTATTGCGTTTCCAATGTTTCAACGAGCATGGTCGCACGCTGTCGGGCGGCTCCCCACAAAACCTCTCCCGAATGATATGGTGAACAGGAGTCTCGTACATCTCTCAAAGCTTGGTAGCCACGTTCGAGTTGGGCGTCAAAATGGAGCAGACTTTCTTGTCGGTATTTTTCTAACCGTTCCAGTCGGCTTTTGAGCTCGGTGAGAAAGAGGTCGACCCGGACGAAGACAGCATCAGCATTGCAGACGCTAGACTGTCGCCGGCTGGAAGTATCGTAGGAATGTCGCCGGCCTCTATAGAACAACGGACTGCGCTCATCTGCACCAGAGGGTCTCAACTCCCTGCCAGTAGCTGTGGACGTGGCCCCGACGACAGTTGACGTTGTGCAGGACATTTCGTCTTCTTAGGAAGTTCATGCGGGGGTTCGAAGGATGTGATTGAGAAAACCAGAAAACGACGTCTACGTTCAAGGGTCAACGGTGGCGGGAGTCGTCAAGGTTATGTTCGATCGAAGGGTGACACAAGGGGCAGACGAGTAGCAGACTGGGGTGGCGCAGTGAGCTCCAAGATTGTTGCAGCTTGCGTCGACCAACTTCGAGAGTAGCAAGGGCGGTAAGGACTGGCTCAAGAACGGGACTGATACATCACTTATTAGGTAGCAGTAGTACCTAGGAGGTAGAAGAACAAGAAGAGGGCGGGGCTTTGAACTGGCGCTTTGACAGTATGAGATGTCGTGGTGACAAGAAGTCTTGATTTGGAGATACCTTCAGTTGGGGCCCAACAAACGTCTGGGCGCAAGATGCAGGGTCCAAAGTGGTTCGGCGTCATTTGATCTCTGTTGACCCTAAATGACATAGATCGATGCAAATGACATCAAATGACCATGTACTACTACTAGCAACACTGCATTAGTAGGTAGGTACCTTAGGTACCTAACAGAGTACCTAGAAGTAGTACTGCTAGTCCTCAGGGTCAAGGTACAAAACCCCATTGCGCCGCTTGACAAATAGGCTGCGCCCGGCGCCAGAGTCTAGCCAGTACTCGACATGCTGCTGGCCCTATCTCTGTAGAGTGCAGATTTGCGCATTTCAGGGTCCAGTGGTCATCGAGTCGGGTCTTCACATGTGATGATCATAAGGTCTAATTGGCTGCATACTTTGCACACTCATTGTGTCTATCAGTCGGATGTGGACGATGTTGATATCCGAGTGAGTTTGAAATCATCTGCAGTGAGACCCTCCAAGGATACGTTCTTATCAGAAGATCCCCATCAACCCTCGAATCCCTAAAGCTCTCTGGCGCACGGGTATCATTCCACTTTAACTACCTACTACTTTACTATCTGGATACCGCTTGCGGAAGCGACCCTGTATCCAACATCTGTACATCTTGATCCTGCGTTGTCGATTGACGATCAATCGCCGGTCCACGTCCAGGTCCTCCACTTCGAACCCATCACCCCAAATCGATTCGAGCTCTTCTTTCTCAAAGAAATACACCCTGGTGCCATCACCTCGGACATAGAAATTGTCTTGCATCCATCTACCGGCCTTGAACCGCACCTGCGCAAGGTCCCCTCTACCGTAGTCTCGAAACAGTACCTCCCCACCAGGCTTCAAAATGCGCTGGATGTTGGCCACCGCCTGCTGCCATTGTGTCGGGTGAAGGGCCGAAAAGATGAATATCATGATCACAAGATCAACACTCTCCTCTTCGATGCCCACAGGCAAATCCTCGCCAGCAGCATCCCAGACATCAGCCTGCATAACTCCGTTGGAGGCCGCATACTCCTCGGCGTCTCTCATCGTCTCAACAGCCTTCTTGCTGAAGTCCACCGCAAACAGCTTTAGATCAGGATTCTCGTTCATCCTCAATATCGGGAATGCGGTGTTTCCTGCCCCTGCCCCGACTTCTAAGACCGTCTTTTTGCCTGCATCCTTGCTCGTAACTGCTTTGAGAACCGGGAATTCCTGGAACAACCACTTTCTATCTTTGAAGAACGTGCTTGTCTTTTGTTTGTAGAATAGGTCCCACCATTTTTCTGGGTGTTGATTAAACCGCGACTGGTCGAACTCTGAAACGGGGGCGGCACGCTGTGCGGCATACTGTGACTCGCAGTATTCCCAGTGACTCTCGTCAGGGACTACATGATCCCAAGCGTTGTACTCGAAGACGTCGTCCGATTCCGAGAGATATCGCTGCCCGAACTGGAATGGATTCGTTTGTTTTGCATTTGTGGCCGGGTCGTGAGAAAGGTGAGCAGGGAGTGAGTCTTTTGGGTGGGAAGAATCGATCGTGGTAGGGGAGGCACGCCCAGTAACGGTGTTTTCTTGCATCGAGAGTGCATCTAACCGCGCGTGAAGACCCGGAGCACTCGCAGTGTCTGTAGAGCCTCTGTCGGGTGCCAATTTGGACATGCCTTTGAAAGTAGACAAGTCTACAAGTGTCTGTCGAGTCTTGTTCTAGGCCGCTGGCCTGTGTAAATATTCCTTGCGGAGAATGCGAGCCTCCGATTGGTTGGCAGACACCTTCCCTTTCAGCCTTCCAACATCGCGACTCACTCACCGTCTCCCTCAATCTAGGCTGTGTCCGAGCCTCATCAAGCCAAAGTCTCGTGTGGAAGATGGCGATCGAGGAGCTCATCACCGATGCGACTCTACAACCCCTGCGTAATACCTCCGAAGCCACTCTAGCGCAGACTCTCTCGGTCCTTGCCTGGCTAGAGGACAAAGCCTCAACCTCCACACCATCTCTACAAGATAAACTTGATCTTGCCCAGCAACAAAAGATACTGAATGCATACCTGGCCAAGCTCCGTGGACTGCATCGTCAAGCCGCATTTGGTGCCAGATCAACGAAGCAAGAGACCGCAGAGGCTCGACAGCAAGTTGACAGATTGCTGTTACAACTACAAAATCTGTACTATGAGCAAAGACATCTGATGGGCGAGATCGCAGCGTGCGAAGGATATGAGTAGGTATCATGACACCCGTTATATGCATTCGCTGATCCATGTAGTCATGCCTATATGCATCTGCCATTACGACCACTCGATGAATATCTCGCCATATTTCCTGAACAGGCTGGATTACCGGAGCATGACTTGATGCCATTGAGGATCGAGCACGAAAAGCAAGAACGGGAGAGAATGGAACACGAACGGCTAGAGCTGGTGAAGATCAAAGATGGTCTGGTCAAGGAAAACACCAAAACGAAAGACGAGCTCAGAAAAATGGATGAGAGACTTGAAGCCATGATCGATGGATTCAAGTCCCTTGAAGAGGGCTTGCAGAAGGACCTATGAATGGCGTACGTTGGATCAAGTGTTTGCTTCAGTTGCTGAGCTGTCTGAACAAGTTTGATGGCCGGTCTGCCATTAGCCACTCTCAACACAGTCGGAGTCCTGGCGGACGCCCGTTGCAACAGGATGTTCCCCCTTATGACCCCGGGGGACCATCCACAGAGATATGCATAACTGGCTGTTGCCCCGGGCGGTTTTCACAAGGGGAGTCTTGCCTGTCTAGGCACAAGGTTCGATTCGAACCCTTTGTGCGCTGGATCAGTGGTCACTTTCAGCTCAAACACCCGCCATTTTACATAACCGTGTGGACTTCATTCATCGTGCGCGACTTGACCGTCCATCTTTCAGATCGAGAGTCCGCCGATCCCGACGACAACGGTATGGGAAACGAGCTACTGCCTTTCCCAGCATGCGCCGCTGTCCAGCCGCTCATGGCGACGCCCTCACGCACTGGTATACCTCCACCTAAGATCGACTGAGGTTGTTATCCCTCGAAACCGACTGAACAAGGGCCGCCTACTTTACTCACCCTGCTGCCGAAGGCGCGAAGTCAGATCTACAGATATATCATTCCTGCCGTGGGAAGCCAATCCTTGACAGTCTCCAAGAGTCCTGACAAACGCGATCTCCTATTCCCTCGGCCTCATTCATTCCATCGACCATGCACCAATAGATGCGCGGAGTACAGCAAGAAACATGAAGGGCCAGGATGCTTGTGAACCGTCAAATATGCGACGAGATTCGGGAAATCCTCGCAAGATCACTCGATTCAGCTTTTGAGTCTGCTTACAAGACCTTTGTCAAAGCCTGAGCCGGGAGCAGATCTCCCTTGTGGGCCAAGTCTCATGCATAGTAGATTCAACCTATGATTTCCCGTCTACAGAAAAGGCAAGCCGGGTACAAGACCCATCATGACAGACGCATCCGCAGCTGTCCAGAGGAAGAAATGTACAAGGAGGAGATGCAGGGAGTCTGCTAAAGTGGCATAACATGCTCTGGAACGCCCACGGAGGGTTGCAGGCCAATTTTGGCACACAGCATGCAGGTGGTTCGCAACAATGCCACAAAAGTAGTCGTTATTGAGCTTGATACAGTATCATAACCACCAAGAAGTATATTCGAGCGGACTGCCACCAATTCTTCTGCCCTTCCCTACCCTCGTTTTCGTTCTTGAATTCTTGTATGTGCGCGCCTTGAGTGATACTTCAGAAAATCACTATATAAACAAATCCCAATCGAGTTCTGTTCCGAAACTGGTGACGCGGATGTTACCGCCAGGCGTGATACTCGATGAGGCTGAGCCTCCTGAGACTTTATCCCTTGGCGGGCAGCCTTACCTTATGAGCCTCAGCCTTCCGCTTGCGTCAGCTTCACTCCACCAGTAACTCATGGTCAATTAGATCTGCCCTTGATGCCCGCCAGATGGCACTGAGGCTCTCATCTTTCGCACATCTAGGTTCCCCAGTACCACCCAGGACGCAAATATGACTTGGCTCAAGGGTGCCTTTGCCTGCTGTTCTGCCCACGACCGGCTAGAAGCGGACACCCGACATGCCCGCATCGTCGCAGTCACCAATGACTACCACTACAACGGACGACGGGCACAGAGCCACCACCACCACTACGACAATCCCCCGGCCTACCAAGACATTACGCCTCGACCACTGATACCTATAGACGAAAAAGATTCTGCATATCTCATCACAGACGCGCATGAATCATTACGGCCCTCATCGCCTCATTCCTCGGTCGTCTCGGTCCCCTCTACTCGAGTGACGGATCTGACTGCCTTGCCCACGGGAGACACCGCCGTAACGTTCACGTCCACGAGAGGAAGTCTGGAAGGAGCCGTGAATCGTGAGAGCCGACCGCCTTCATACTATTCGACGCTGAGGAGGAGTCCGACTCCCAACCTTATTGCGTCTGATGGTGGCTTGGCCGAAGAGGATGGAAGAGATGAGGTCTGGCAACATCCGGTCATGAGAAGTGATTGGTTAGGAGTGCTACGACGGGATGCGCGCAGACATGCTGCGTCGTCTGAGGCATATGGGGAGCATGTCGCTCACGACGCAAGACCAGCGGATCAGACGTGATATATGTTGATCCCTCGAACCGGGATGACTTTCTCAGAATCAGGGCCATTGGCAGAGAATGACATTCTCGCTGTCTTCAAAAATGGCATTGAAGTTCCACCTTCTTGCCACAACAGCTGGAGACCTACAAGGACATCTAAGGACACATAGACGGCAACTATGGCAGCTGGAGTCTACAGTCTACAGTCTACCTACCACTCGGTTACACCTTGAACATTGAAACCAAGTTGAGATTGGTGCTAGCAACAAAGCTGGAGATCTCTACACCACACCAACCCCAAGTGCTGGTGGACTTTCAACCACGACTTTCCACCCCAGCATGTCGCAGGCGAGACCGAGGCAATTGAGCCAGTCCATCGATCGCGGCCCTGACTTCTTACGTCCCTGTGACAAGAGCGGGAGACCAGATGATTGAAGTACCGGACATTCTTCGATTCTGACATAGTCTGCACCCTCCTTGACACACTGCCTCACGAACATGACTGCCTCATCTGGTGTGCAGGCATTCTCTAGCAGTGGTCTCTCGGCTGTCGGCCCGTGAGAACGATATGGGTGAGGCACCGGGGACACCAACTCCACATTTTTGGTCAGTTGGCCAGGATGACCATCTAATCATAACTCGTGTTACAGAGATCACACAGGTCGTCTCGCTCTGAGATTCCTTCTCCGCGGCTCGGCGGTCCAAGCCCATTCAGCTTCCACTGTACGAGCCCCGTGTGGACATGAGAGTCGATAAGGCCAGGTACCAGCGGATATCCTGTGTCATCCACAACCGCGGCTTTTTCAGGGATAGTCCATTCTACCCTGGTTATCGTGGTGCCGGATACTACTACCGTCGTGACTGATCGGCCCCAAACATCGACGGTCCGAAGGTTGATATTCCCGTCTGTCAGCCGAGACCGATGCCTCCGACAAATGATGGCGGAACTGCTCAACCACGCTCTGGCACTCCAGCGTGCTCACATGGAAAGACTAGAGGCTGCAGTTGTGACCCATGTAGCTGCATTGAACAAACTTGAAGAGCGCCGATATATGTTGGCACGAAACATGAAAACACTCTTCTAGGCGTTGACTTGGCAGGGTTTTGGGTCAAGAGATAGGTACATGTATCTTCGAGCGTTCTACCTTCTAAAATCGTTATAATATCACGTCTCGATCATCTTTGTATCCGCCTCATCGTAGATACGAAAGGCTTTTTCTTGCGGAATCATCCGACATCAGTGTGCCCCCGCATAAGATATTGACTATGTATCTAAAATACATGTTCCTCAGATCCAGGATTTCTGTGGACCAGTGCTTAGAATTCAAGTCTTTTTAGGGCGGCCCTTTAGCGAGCGTGGACCTCAGGCGGTTCGTGACAGGCTCGCTACTCTCAAGAAAGAGGGGCAACGGGAATTGTCCCGACTTTGAAGAGTGGGTGGTGACTTGAATAGTGGGTGCTGTCCAGTCCGAAGACCCTTTCGTTCGTGTCAGAGAATTCCTCGCTTGAAAGAATAGACGGCACTTCTTCCTTGGTGGAAAACGTTCTTTACAGGTCCAGGAGACGGCTCAGCAGGCCCTCAACAACACTCTTGACTCATCCGATGTCGTGGATATGGGAAACTCAATCTTTGGCGGCAGGAGCTTGTTTTCATTCGTCCAGGTGTGGTCGCTTAGCCAGGAGGAGGACACTGCCACTGGCATGTCCAAGCTCTGCGAGAGCGAGAGCCAGGCATGGATAGCTCGTCGTCAAATCACACCGCGTCATCGAGCTCGCCGTCCTCAGCGGGCCTGGGTATCACCGGCGGCTATGAGGGCGACAGCCTTGCGCTGAAGGTCATGATCGCATTTTTTCTTGGATTGTCCATGTACAATGTCGTCGAACTGCAGATATTGATATTCGGCACCTTCCACCGCTTCCGTGGTCTCTATTTCTGGAGTCTGGTGATCTCGAGCTTGGGCATCATCCCCTACTCGCTCGGCTTCATCTTCAAATACTTTTCCATTCTGACGGGTGGTGGGAAATGGTTCTCCATCTTTCTGCTCTCCATAGGATGGTATCCCATGGTGACCGGCCAGGCGATCGTCCTCTGGTCGCGACTCCATCTCATCGTCACCGGCGACAAGGGACGGAAGATTCTCAAATGGACGAAATGGATGATCATCGTCGACGCCATCGTCTTGCATATCCCCACCACCATCCTTACCTGTGGATCCAACGGCGACACCGACACGGAGGCTTTTGTCCGAGGCTACAATGTCATGGAGAAGATCCAGATGTGTGGCTTCTTCCTTCAAGAGGTCATCCTTTCATCCATCTATATCGGCGAGACCGTCCGCATCCTACGCACCTCGGTGCAGCAGAGTACGCAACGGCTCATGTATCAGCTGATGGCGGTCAACATCCTCATCATCATCATGGACTTAGGTCTGCTTGGCCTCGAATGCGCATCCCTCTACATCCTCGAGACGACCACGAAGCCCGTGTTCTACTCGATCAAACTCAAGCTCGAGTTTGCTATCTTGGGCCAGCTGGTGCAATTCGTGGGAGGTCCTCGACAGAATAGTCATCGCTCGTCCAGACCCCGTTCGCACAAGGAGCATCAGCTTGAAGACCGACCTTCGTCGGCCCTCGCTGCTGGAAATCGTGAGCATGATATCTCCGATTTCGTCGACCTCACCAAGGTGACAACTGATGTGACTCGCGCTTCTTTGGCCAATCGAAGGAGCGTCTCCATTCGACCAGATGGCCGAGATCTCAGTCTTGACTTGGAGATTGCCAGGATGGAGTATGTCGACACTCTTCCGTCGCAGCAGAGAATGTCCAATGGGGATTTGGCATCATCGAGGCAGCGAAGGTCTGACGTGTCGGAAAAGGACTATGGCCATGATTGAAGACAAGATATCTTTTCTAGCACAAAACGTGCATTTTCTCAGCTAATCATGCCTGCCGTTACTGAATCAGCTGCAAGCTCTTCAGCACGCGAGCGACGATACATCAATGTGCAACAATCAGCACATTGAACATTGATGTCGACCACCTCGAGCGCGGTCAAAGCCTCCAGAGTGTTCAGATACGTGATCATCTGCAACTGCGAGACGCCGGTGTGCTACGTCTCCGGCTCTGACTGTGGTCCCAATATATCCTGCATCCTGTGGAGCAACCGGAACAAAGCAGACTGTTTTCAAGCGAGGAGAAACCACTTGACAAGGACACTTGCAGCTCATACTCCGCTTGGAACAAATGTCTCGCAGGTTCACCTCCCCGGATAGCAAAACCCTCATTCAATCTCGGACCCTTAGCCGCAACTCTATTCCTCCTCCCTAGCGAAATATAGCGCGCCATGATCAAGGAAGGAGAAACTCATTTACTACCACTCCCTCTTCTTCCAAGGAGTAAGCTCTTCATGGAATCAGCCACGCTATTCCTTCGATCCAGCATACCAGTCTCACTCCCGCCGCCGCCACCACCACCAGCCAGACTCTCCCGTCGTTGACCGACACTGGCGATACTCTGCCGATGCATGCTCTGATTGTTGAGACGAGCTTCATCAACTTCCGCATCTGTGGGCTGATACCTATTCGCGGCGCCACCTTTTCACAGCAACGACGACAAATGCCAAATGGTCAGCATGAGCAGAAGCAATGGATTGTCCTTAAATTCCCTCTCTGAGGCACGAAGACGAACCCAACAACACTCGAAGCGGCAGTCGACGTACCTATGCCCGTATGGTATCCGTCATCAACCAGAACCACTCCAGGGGCCTGCATATCGTGCATGAGACTGGCCATCTCGTCGCCGTGGCTCTGGTGCTCGTCCTCGAGTTTCTTGGCCAGCCAGATATTGCCTGCTCCGCCGACGCCGGTGCTGAATCGCCGCGCGCCACCTGCCGTCGCCGTCACTCCCTCGTTGCGGGCAGTGGCCGCATCCCGAGCATGACTAGGTCGACGGGAGTCTTGGTGTGAAAAGGTGGTGATGTTTCCTTTTCCAGTGCAAAACGGACAGATTAGGTCGAGGACATTGACATTGACGATGACAAGTGAAGAAAGATGCAAGAGCAATATCAATAGGATGGATCCACAGTACCTGCACCTCCGCGGCCGAAGTGGATAGATACCTTGTCCCCAGCTCCCCACATTGTGTTGGAATGCTTGCAACGAATGCTCTGGCTCTGGGTTGTATCTATGGCTCTGGCGTTGGCTCTGTGAGGCTACGTAGAGTGGCCGATATGCGTATATCCTCACTCTCGCACTCTCGCAATTGTTGAAACAAAACACAGAGAGAAGCGTTTCACGCAAGCGTCGATCTGGCCGACCTGGAGACGGGCGAGGTCCCCCAGAGTTTAAAAGTCGTCCGTCCCGCACAGATAACAATTCCCCTGGAACGCACTTCCCTGAGATATCTATCTATCTATCTTAAATACCGGCATACCGTATCCACACCATTGGGCTCGATACGGATTACGTCTTCCCCTCCTCCAGGGCAAGGAAGAAGGGACTGAAAGAGACTGACCAGCGGATCATCACATCCCTTCCCCCTCCATCACTTACTATCGTTGACTTCCGTTCCTTTCCCATTTCCTTGCTCTCGACAAATGACGTGCGAAACTGGGACAAACGAGATAGAGAGCTCAAAAGACATAGTCGAATCTCATCGTTCCTATTGGCTTGGAACTCGCCCCAGATAAGAGAGACACAATGCGCTGCACTGCAAGGGAGGGATTGGCTTCGAGTGCGCACTCTGTTGGGCACTTACCCCGGATTTCCAGGCCCATCCAGAACAGCCACCAGGATTGAAGACGGGGGCGTGATTGGGCCTAACCCCGTGGGAAAGATAAGCTCGTAGGTTAAGATTCAGCAAGAGTTACCAAGCTTTCTGACCCTTGACAACTGAACTTCTGGTTACTGGCAGGGGAATTGAAAGCGGGGGGTGATGCATCTTCAGCTGGATCTACCCTAGTCAGAGACTCAGAGTTGACGGTCGGTCAGCTAATGTATCCGATCCATCAGGTGTCTAAAGGCCAGTAAGGGGCAATGCTGGACACTGGACACTGGACAGCGGGGTTTGCTGCGCTGCTTGCATCTGAACCCCAGAATGGTGGTGGCTTCGGCATACCAATGTACTGGGTCACTCTCCTCCTACAGGCATAGCTGTGGGTGGACGTGGACGTGGACATGAACATGGACATGGACCTAGTTATATGTTGCTGGTACTGCAAGGGTATTGTATTCTTTTGCAGTTCATACGGGCTGTTACAAGCGACGAGAGTGGCTCCGGTCGAGGAATGTGAGATGAGGAACGAACCTCACACCAGGAATTGCCCTTTCTCCTATACTATGAAAGCAAAGATTCTTTCAAGATCTCTTGAGAAACAATGCAGCAGACTGCCTGCCTGGCATCTGAGATGTCTAGATTCCTCAACCCTCAACCAGATCATTCAGAGTCTGGGAAGCAGGAGGTGTCTAATCAATAGAGATATCATATCATGAACTTCGGGATCCAATCGGCAGCTTTGTAGCAGGGAAAGGAGAAAAGAAAACAAGAGAGGATGATCCGCCATATATCACATTCCTGAAGGGCCACGTCCTAAAGGATCAATTCTCGGCAGGTCTGGCCATCAGCGCAGAAACTGAAGTATACCTTCCATCTACCTTATCTGGTCATATCCCGTCCGTTGCCTAGTCAGAATCAGGCTTTCCTTCCACTGCATGATATTCGGATGTGCAGAGAGAAATAACAACAACAACAAGAGACCTTTTACAGACGCACGATATTTGATGACCCATTGATGACCTTGGAGAGGAGAAGAGTCTTGCTATGCATTCATGTCTAGCCTCTAGGTATGCAGCACAGCTAATGCTAGATCAAACAGATAGCAGGCGCAATGTCAGATCCAAAACAAAATAAGACAAGGTATTCACGCCGTCAGCGTTGTATGAACGGATCGAACACCTCAAGCGCAGACTTCAGTGTCGCGAAGACTGTTCAACGCGAACTCAGCCAATCCTTCAATCCTTGGCTGCTCTCTCGTCAATCGAGAGTTGACACGCACACACACACTCTCTCTCTCGTGTACCAGGATCGCGTATGTTTCCGAAGCTGCTCCAGACCATTTCATGTCCAATGTCGCTAGCTGATGGACTTTTAGATATCCAAGAACAAAGTTCGGCGGGATGCTCGGGAATGAAGGATAGGTGGGAAAAAAAAGGGACATCGCTGAGCTGAAGAAAGGCAGGATTTCACCCGTCCAGCGCCAGCGCCTTCGCTAGTGCTAGGAATAGTGAACGATCGTGGTTGAAACCAAATGCAGCATCTCTTCAAGACTCCAAGGCCGGTCGATGCAATCATGTCTGTTCTATCACATACCAATGAAATCCAATCAGCATGGACGGGAATGTAGGATAATGTCGTCTACTGGCAATGTACACCAACGCAGGAGTCAAATTTCAAATGTGCATGGGCCAGGAACACCGTTGCAATGCCGATGCTTTTTTCTTTTGTGGTCGTGTTGGTCGTGGAATATTCGAGCGGGTACGGTCCATCGGTGAGGAGGGAATGTATGTTGATATCCCATTCGAGAATGGAAAGAGGCGTGTTGGGGTCACGGGTGCTCGCTCAAGACAGTAGGAGTTAGCAAGGTCGTCAAGGTTTCGTGGGGTTCCGGTTCCAGTGTGCTCGTGATATCGAGGACGGTGATGATGCTTCGAGTCTGTCAATATTCATCATCCAGCAACCTAGACAATGCCTTCACAACATTGTCGTCCAGTCCACGGCGCATCATGCTACCAGAGTCATCCATGAGACGACTTGTCGCTAGGCTACCAGGAAAAAGTTCCGGACCGGGGGTGAGGGGCTGTCAAGAGCCCTTCTTCTCGTAATGGCTTCGCTCGGGGTCATTCGACACCAACTGGCCCTGGTCCTCGGATTGCTGGACGTCGCGGGTAGATTTTCCTAGTTTCGACTTGACAGGACGCATTCGCACGTCTCTGCGCGTACGAGACGCCCGATGCAACGGCGGCAATTCGTTGGCTCGGGCATAGGCCAGAGGAACGCGCACTCCGTCCGAATCGACGTAGTAGTCCTGTTTCGACCTGGAAAAGTCTCCTGACAAGACCCCCGGGCAGGCTGCAGGAGAGATCTTGCGCTTGCTGGACCGAGGGCTCGGCGGTTCCGGGTTCATGAGCTGGTGGAGGGTCAGAAACGGACTTGAAGATTTGAGTGTTGGTGCTTGAAGAGACGGCGTCCGAGGCGCTGGGTCGAGTTCGGGTTCGGGTTCGGGTTCCGGTTCCGGTTCGTCCAGATCAGACATCTCCAGCCGAGAAGGCAGTGGTTCGAACGTGGTAGAGGGGAGATCAAGGTCAGACACTTCCTGGGCTCGAGGCACGCTTGGACGACAGGAGGGCTCCTCGAGATAATGAGAGGTGAAATAGTCTTTCGTCCTCTGGAAAGTATATTGGATTCGCGCCTTGTGCTCGGCCTCGAACCCAACACTGAGCGTGCCGAGCTGAGCCATGACAAATTGTCGTTCATGGGCCAGTTCGAGCATGGAGACGTTCATCTTCTCCTCCAAAGGCGAATGTCCTTCTTTGTCGGAGAAGTAGGATAGGTTGTGTTCATTGAGGTCGATGCGCCAGTCTGGTCGTAGCTCGCTGCAGATACACGATGATTATGACCATGGCCGGTGGGTTGGGGTCGAACGGACTCACCTCGAGTTGAAGGTCGACCATGGTATCATGGCTCAAGTCGATATAGGCTGGGATTGATTCATATGCTTGGATACTTTTTCTGTTTCGTTTTCAAGGGTGGATGTTCGACATTCGACATTCGACGGTCGACGGTCCACGGTCCACGGTCCACGATTCAAACGGCACAGAAGAAATACTCGACGGCCCAGGCTGGGCGTCAGGCCGACATTTTTGTACAGCACAACGACCACTGCACGGGAGCTCACTTCATTCGATGGACTGTCCGAATGTCAGGTTGGCTGGAGGCCGTTTCGTTTTCGCACCGCAGCGAGACGCCTGTCAGCCCTGTCGATGTCTGGGAGGGCGGCAGAGATGGAATCAAGGAGAGACGGCAATCCTCCTGTCAAATGGTTGGTATAGATGCTGGACCTTCGCCAATGTGTCGGCTCGGACATAGGAAATTCCTCAGCAACTGTTGCCGCAGATCAGCCGTGTGGTTGTTTGGCCCGTCGATCTTCAAACGTTGAATAATCCCGATAGGACAGGGCACGGAAGGGTCGGCGGGGAGGGTAATCCGCCGCCGTTCGTGTAACCGGGGAACCCGGCTGGCTGGCTGACAGCAAAATTCCAGACCAGGGCGACAGCGGGTGGATGAGGGATGAGGGATGAGGGATGAGAAAACGCTAAACTCTGCGAAGAATGTGAGCGGCAGAAGGTTGACAGGTGTCGGATTGTCCAAGGTCGGTTGGAATCAGGCTCGACCATCGACAAGACGAAAATAGCGAGCACGGCTACTTCGTAGGTAGATTGGTCCAGTGGAGAGGCGAGACGACGTTGAGATATGGGTGGAAGAAGATCATGCAATACTTGGATGAGGATTCTAAACCATGGATGATGATAACGGCCTTGGTGACTGAGGGAAACCAACAAGGTTAAGTAACTGCACAGCGAGCTAGAGAGCCAGACTTGCGAATCATGCAGCGGGAGAAGCTGGGCAAAGAGTCAAAGACAGGGTAGTAGGGGGAAAATAGGGTGCAGCGCCAGGGGAGGGACGGAAGACTGGGGATTCAACGCCAGAAGAATGATGATCTGTCAAACCTAAGGCCTGTCTATCCTCGACGTAGATCGAGATCCAAATGTCCTGTGGGTGGACTGATCATGGAAACGAGCGACAACAGAGCCATGTAATGACGACCAAGTTTGAAGGGTGATCAGCTTCAAGGGGAGGCAGCCGCTTGCTTCGGTGGTCGTTCACTTTGAGCGAGGTGCAGGGCGAGAGAGATCAAAAGAAGTCTGGTGTCTGGTAGGGTCTCCTAGGTCTCTTAGGTCTCTTAGGTCTCTTAGCTGCTGCGATCGTGTTCGGCCGTGGGGGGGCTGAAGTTAGTCTTGGATTTAGTCGACAAGGGACGCGTGCAAATGAAGCCCGGCGGATGATGTCCGGGGAGTATGGGGGGTTTGTGGAAAGGGGGAAAGGGGTCCATGATGTTCGAGTTGTTGAGGAGGTCCGGCGTCTATCGATCAGCGTGGGAGACAGTAAGGATTGGTACTGGTAGGATCAGACCACAACAACAGTCGATTTCAACGGCTCGGGAACAGCCATTTGACAGCCGTGAATGACAATTGACGGCGGCGGCGGAACGGCTTATAGCAAGCCCCAAAGCCCCACTGTGCTTTGATATCAGTATATATGCGAAGATGGATGACTCCGGGAGGTTGACTCGATTTGATGCATTCAAGCACCGGGATATGCCTGTCGGAGGATCCCCGAGACCAGACAACGACAACAAGTATGGCTGTTTCGTACACCCGGCTGGCTGGTCTTTGAAACCATCGATGAGCTAGTAAGGTGTTGTATGTCGTACCGAGGCGACTGTAGACCGTAGGCAGAGTCTGCTATCTTGTACCAGGAAACCGGGAGACCGCGAGAGAGACCAGGAGAGCTCTGTCTGCCTCTAAGCCGGAAGAACCCAACAAATGATGGTGAGAGACTGACAGGGACCGGGCTGTCGAGCTGCCTTAGCGAGACAAGGCCCTTATCTCTCAATGATCTTTTTCTCCTGTCAAAACGCACTCACTTAGGACTAAACAGTTAGCTCTCAGGCCATATCCTGGCGGGAACAAGGCACGACTCGACCCTGCGACCACCCACTGCAGCGAGGAGAGAAAACGACCAAGGGCTTAGAGGCCAAGACCCTGCCCGTATGCCATCTAGGATCTTGGAGGCTGTGTAAACATGGCGGCGAGTAGGCTTCGTCTCCATCCCTACGGCATGCCATGGCTGTTGGCCGTTGGCCGTTGGCTGTTGGTCTCTGGCAGCAGGGATATGGCATGTACACGTTGGGGATGCTCCTTGCTCAGGCGTCCTCAATCCGAGATCACCATTTACTGCCTTGACGATCAACCCTTCAGTCGCGAACGTGTCGTCCAATCGATTTGAGGGGCGTGCTGATCATCCATCGCAGCTTGGAGGGTGACAGACAGAACCACAGACATGAAATGGGTAGGATGAAGTGCCAGAGTCAGGGTCAGATCCTAACTCTCTTCTCGACACTGACACTGGGGGCGACTATGTCTTGGGTGGTCCCTTCTGATCCAGCACCCAATTTCCGGTCATGGTCTTTCACATCACTGATGTCTTGAATTCGGAAGAGGCCCGAAGCTCTAGAGTGAATGCGGGACATGAAGCCGTGCAGCAAGATGCAGGAAAAGAAAAAAAAAGGTCGGTATGGAAATGCAGCCTCAATGCTGTTCAGCTGCTCGCCTCCACGATCGCCCCATGATCCCCCCAGATGCATCATGTTAATGACAAGGGCATAAACGACCCTGCAGTCAGTCATCCATTTTCTCATTTCCCTGTCACTGCAAGCCACATTTAGCTATGTGCTGGACTGCAGAAGGCTGAGGGGGGACACCTCCCGACTGGTTCAGGAGCTTGTCCGGCAACCCATCATCTATGGAGAGCCCCTGTCCAGTGATGTCCTCGTCGTGGCGAATATACAGTACACCACACCTCTCCTCGGACGCCTGGTCAGCCAACGAAGCTCGATCAGCGAAAGGCAGAGGCTTCGGGATTTCCCTAACCGCCTCGACTGCACCGGGGGGTGCACGTCAATCTTCTTGGTGACCAGCTAGCCACGGTTACTGTGTCATGCGAGCCACAATGGTGGGAAGACACCATTCCGACCTGGCTTCACCGAACGTTACTCTTATCACCGGATTCGACAAGACCCCAGACGTGGATGTGGATGTGGACTTTCTAGGTCTCTACGTGACAACACACCACGGCTCTGATCAACCGAGACTTGCAGGCTGCATTCGGCGGTCCCCAATAGTGGGTAAACTCCTGCTGGAGTAAGACATTACGACGTTGATCTCGACTTGCCCTTCATTGCAGCCGACGATGGTCTAGCTGCAAAGAGTCACAGCCCCAGAGTCTGCACTCGTTCTACACCGTGAACGGCGTGCTAGTCAACGCATGCACTCATGGACATGCGATACACAGAACGGATGATTGACTTGCATGGACGCCTTGGAGATCTTCGGTTCGGAGAGGCATTGCTGTGTTGGACACAATTTGACAGACAGACTGCCAACCAGGCTGCGGCTAGTACATCAAAAATGATTGTTCGCCATCCTCCAGGACACTTGACATACTCCTACTGCAGGAGCTTGTTTCGCTGTGTAACCCGAATCCTCGGAATCCAATGCAGGCCCTCGCAGTGACGGTAGGGCCGTGACTGACTCAGGGTATGCGGCTGTGTCCTATCCAGGCCGATGCAGGCATGTCAGACTGATCCAGGCGCGAATCCCAGGCGACTTACCCTACTCTGGCGAGACCATTGAAATTGCGCTTCTACGCAAGCGAGAAGCCCGGCATGCTTCCATGATTTACCGTTTACCGAAGGTATCTGTACTTTTCTGGCGTCTTTCTCCTTCCGTTGCTTTACCACACCCAGACAGCCGCCGATGTCTCAAGATGTCAATCCTGCCAGGGCTCATGCGTTCCTCTGCAATATCGAGGTGAGTGCCCCTTGAAACCTAGACTATCTTTTCCCATAGCAGGTGACGTGGCCAGCCACAAGTGCAGATGAAGCCGTGATTGACTATCTGTGAAGGGCAAATACCACGTACCACAACACTAGGCTGGTCAAGAAGTCCTCCGCTGCACAAATATGCGACGCGGCAGAGAACGCAGCCCAAGGTCTAGACTGGGGTTGGCACGAGCTGCTGCAAATGCTTCAGGAGCTTTCCGTGGATCGACAGACACTCTGACAATCTGACCAAACTGATTCGCAACCCTGATCCTATGGGGCTTTATCGTCCCCGGATGCAGAAGGGGGATGCCGCAACGCATGGATCGGATGCTGGCTCAATTGGACAACACTGATGCAGAGCCATTGAGCAATCTCAGATCCTTTGCAAGCCGCCGGGCCTGCAGGCGCAATGGAGCCATTCTATCTTCCAGGCTCAGAGTGATATACCTCTTCTCTTTCCACTACCACACCGCATCTGGGGCTCCTTGATCCTATGACCAGCTCCTTCACCGCTGGCGTGAGGAAGGCAGCCCTGCAACAGGAGCTGATTTCTCGGTAGCACGGCAAGGGATGCATTTGAGCGACAAGGCTGAGCCGCTGAGTCAGCGCTGAGTCAGCATGTTTGGTAGACACATGAAAGTGGTGACACAACGTACTTTCGTAAGATGTAGCCAGAGAAAGCATCGAATTGAACATAATAGCAAGGTGACTTAACCTTGCACATTTGGGACAATAAACTACGACCAACATCTCATTGCTCGTTTCCATATGGCTGCCGAGAGCCGTATGCCCAAGTGAGAGACTTCAATCTCGATCGAGTCCCCATATCAGTTCAACATCTTCCACGACTTGCCGCTGGCAACGAGGCTGAAGATCCAACCCGCCGGTGACCCTACGCCATGCTTCGGCCATGGCCCAAGATACTCTACAAACCCTCCAGCGCATAGTCTGGGAAGCGCGCATGCCGTTGGAGATCAGGCTGGCCGCTTCGGAGTGTCGCTCCTTCGATGAAGCTGATCCCTATCTGGTAGGTTTCACGTATCTCCAGTAGCCAGACACTTGAGGCCATGTTATGGATTGCTTCACAAGTCAGGACTTCACAGCTGACCAGTCACCACCCTCACATCTAGATTGCTTATCCACGCCTATCCTATCTTCCATTGCTGCTCCCAAGGCTCCATGCCTTCTTCTCAGCCGCGCTGATTGCGGATGCGGACACGGTGTCTCCCTACGCCGGCTATTTCACCTACGACGATGTTCCCTTAAAGTGGCATCTGCCTGTGGGGCTGCTCTACGACATCTATGTCTTGTCGACGCGGGATACCGGCACGGACAACGCGTCTCCAAGCTCGTTGCCGTTCAAATTGACGTTGCATTTCGCGCTCGATCCGCAAAAGCCAGCGATGCCTGCAACGCCTGTCGTCTTGCATGACTCCTTCATCAACTCGGTCAAGGAGGCAGACTTTTTGAGGTCGGGGACGGCGAAACCTATCATGACGCTGGGCGCACAGGAAAGCAAGGCTCTCTGGACCTCGACCCAGGACAATGACCTGTCGACGTTCGCCAAAATCCATACCAGTCTCATGCCGTCTCCGGGGCAGCTGAGGAACATCCCTCTGCGGGTTTATCTGCCTTCCCCGCCCGACCAGGATCCGAGTAAAGCCCAGATCAAAGTGTTACAGTCGCGCATCCCTCCTACAGTGGCTAGTGCTGGGCAGAGTACGCCAGCTGCTTTACGTGGTGGTGGTGGACAGGCACAGACACTGGGGACAGCCTTGCATCAGCTGATCCCTAGTCTCTTTCCGTCTCGGAGGACTCCGATTCTTGCCACGCCTTTGTTGCATGGAGCGCCGGTACCCATGAATGCGCATTTGGAGGAACTGCTTCGATGGGGGTGTTATGCGGATGGGTGGCTGTCGGTGGTGGTGGCCATGCGTGGATAGATAGAGACTCGCCGAGGTAGCTGCACAAGATCAACCAGCTTGAGAGGTGTATGCAGCAACAGTATCATACCAGAAGGTTGATATTCTTCTACTATAGAGACTGAATGAGTGGTTGGTGACTGAGTAGTAGTACGTAGTAGGACTGTGTACTGTGTACTCACGACTGCGGTTCTGGCCCCGCATCACCATTGTAGCGCAGCCTGATGAGGATGATGAGGAGCCTGATGTTAACCGCCGACGTTCCTACATCCAGTCCCAGCCGACATTCCTCCTCGTCAGCCTGCCGCAGGCTTACACAACATCTCAAAGCGGCTATGGGTTTAACACAAGCCTCAGGATCCTGTTGTTATCAACCTTTCTGATGTCTGAGGTTCCGAAAGTGTCGTGTACAGCGTCGGGCGTCCACCGCTCTCACTCGACCTGAATCATCAATCGACATGCCGCCGTTTCCAGGAGAAGAGACGTTGACAACAGTGTGAGATTCGAGTCGTGCAAAGCACATTGTCATTCTGCGTCTCCTAGTCAGCCTTATACTGACTGCGCATCTGCCTGCTAGATATGCCGACGCTCACACATACTTCAACGCTCCCACTCCGCGGCCCATCCTCCATCGATTCGACAAGTCCTCTTACTTTTACATCTACTACAACTCGACCCGCCAGACAAGTCGAGTCGAAGTGGCCCTTCACCCGGGCACTGCCGACCAGGCCGCTTTCAACGGATACCTGGACAATGTCAAGATCATCAACTCTCACACTTTCCCAACCAGAGTCACGCTTGTGGTGGATGGCGTCGATCCGCCCAACGCTTCACCTGCCACTGCTCGAGCAGGGAAAGATCCAGATGAATGGCGTCTAGCCAGCGCAGACCCAAGAGATCCAGGCACCACCAAATACCGGATGCATACGGTTGACTTCTACTTCTGGGTCCAGGAAGACGCGAGGCTGGTGGTTGACATCTTCCAAAGGCTGTTAGAGCCGCACCAACTTGATATTGACGAGGCACCCGAAACCCACCAGGCGCACGACGTGCTCCACGACTCAGAGCACCATGACATGGTCAGCCCTGTTGTCCAAAACTTGGAACAAGTGGCTATATCTGATCCGGCATATCACAAGGACAACCGCCATGGATCTCCTCCTGACGCTAGGGTCGAGGCTGCTCACGTAGCTTCTCCTCCACCGCCACCTCAAGACTCTGCTCACGCACAAGCAACAAATCCTCCTTCGCCCGCCCCGGCTCCTTTGAATGTCGACCGGACCCCATCATCAATGACCGCTCAAGCACCATCGGCCTCCTCCAGCTATGCTCCGCTCGCATACAATCCAGCCGCTCCGGCCGCACCAGAACCGATCGCCCATCGGGAAGACACGCCGCCGCCAGTGGATGCTGTCGACGGGACAGGGCTCGCGACGGCAGCAAAGCACGATAGTACTTACGGCCATCATCAATCGCATCAGCAGGCCTACAGCGCCGCACTTGGACCGCAGCCCATTTCAACGGGCCAGCATGGACATTACGGATCTCCTCCTCCACCGCCCTCCTTTGGACCACATGCGGCCACGATCCCACACCCGGCATCGGATTCCCCACACGCAACATCTTCACCGCAGCCGTCATTTGGTCCGCAAGCGCCTGGGTCTTCATATCCAACTTCACCGAGGACATCAGTGTCCACCCATTACGGCATACCAACAGCAACGAATGCCACCAGCCCTGACGGCAGCCGACATCCTTCCGTGGCTCCCCAACCTCAACCCCAACTCCATCCCGGACACCAGCCGTACCAGCCTACCACTCAAGACCCAAACGCACATATCTTCGGCCAAGCTGCACCGGTGCAGACCCCCGGCACGCAATTCTACTCGTCTCTCAACGGCCAGCCGCATAAGCCGTTGCAGCACGTCCAGCCTCAGTACCCCGACTACTTGGCCGCAGGACATCAAGCCGCTCCTCTAGGCGGCTATTCCGCGTATCAATATGGCCACCCGCAGCCGCAGCCACAGCAAACTACTGCGACGGCCGGTAACCCGTACGACGTCCATAATCAAGTCTACCGTCCCACCGAGGAGGAACATCATACGCATCATCACTCCAAACCTGCGCGGCCGTCGAGTACACAGCATAAGCCGTCTCAAGCGGAGCGACTGGAAAAGGGGGTGGGCAAGCTGTTCAAGAAGATCGAAAAGAAGATTGGATGACCGACCGAATGGTACGAACGACAAGTTTATGAGAAACGTGGTAATGATGTTTGGCCTTTTGTTCTTATTCAGATCTCATCAAATTGCAATTGGCGCGGTTAGGGTTCAGCAAGCGTTGATGTAGGTGTTCAATGTCATCTCCAAGAGCTGGAATCGTTATCTATCCATCTACTCATACGAGAAGAATATTTTTTGCTGTTGGACCTTACTGTCAAGCATTCGGGATTTGTCAATCCTGGAATGTGGACGACATCTATGCTTTTCTATCCCTCCATTCTCTTGCTGCTTGCAAATTGACGCGACATTAACTTCCTGTCATTCTACGCCATAGAAGTTCTCTGGGCAATGACATGATACATGATTACAGTCCGTCGACGTGCTGTCCCACAACTGTTCGCTCTAACAGTCAATATCTTCTGCTCTCGTCATGCTTCAGAAGCTCAACCGGCGGCAGCGGCGGCCCCCGAGTCTGGAAATATGACGTGCTGTATGCTGCTCGCATATATCCTTTCAAGAGGAAGGACTATGCCAAGACGCTCTGTTAAATGTCGGTCATGATATGGATTGCAGGATACTAGGAGAAGAGGAGAAGACTGGTAACGCTACATCTTGATCTTCCAGTTAAGTTGGAACTTGGAACAATTCTCTATCAGAGGAATGCTGGGCTGCTGAGGTGTTTGTTCCTGCCTTCAAAAACACACCCCTATCACCGCCCTTCCCAGTTTTGTACCACCCACCATACTTGCGGACCGGACCACATGCTCCCAACCCTCACCAACTATCACAATTAGGTCCTTCACTGTTGCCCCTTCTCATTTACAACCCTGCAGGCAACCCTTTCTGAAGAACGAGACGGTCAACTCTCGCTACATGGGACGTGTCGCCCATGGGTCCAAGATCGGATCAATACGACTCCGGGGCGTGATCAAAGACATCCACATGTCCAGCCGCTCCACGGCGTCCTTGCCCTCACGTTGACCCTCATTCTGGACAGGAGCGGTGCCCTTGAGGAGTCGATCCTCCAAGCGCTCAGTGTTGAGGAACTCCGTCATGGCTTTGGCCTGAGGAAGTTTCTTGAGGGCGTCGCCGGAGAGACGGGTGGAAACGCTGCAATGACGACGGTTAGATATATCTTCGTCCCCGCCAGCCGTGAACCGTGGAACGTGGTATAACCAAGGAGATCGTGCAGGCAACAGCTCCAACTCACCATATTGGTTGATCCATTTCCACAGGGGGTCAGGTGCAAGCAGACTACAGCGCGTTAGGGAGGTCGTCTTCAAGGCTCTTTCTTGGAACGTCTGAGTGGTTTTCTTTTTGGTCGGGGATTTGAGCTCCAGGTCTGGTGGACATTGAAGAAACCGTTGCCCTTATATACATGTCCACGTGCATATATATGTGTGTATATGTATACAGTGTCCTGGACAGACATCGGCCAGATGTAACCAGCCCAAAACGTCTGGTAACCGCAGCGATAGCGGGCGCGGCTTTCTTGCTGCCGCGATTTTAATGCAAGCAGACATTCTGTGAGCGAAGCGATGAGGAATTTCGACATGTTGCAGCATTGCCCAAGACTGAAAGGCCCGCCAGCGTGCCACCCCCCAACCAGGGTTGGAGCCTGCAGGAAGTTCGATTCTCACATCCGTCGACACAGGTGTGCCGAAGTCCAATAGTCTAGAATGCATGGCGTGTCTGAAGACCGGAATGCGGAAGGACTGAGAACGGTGTCACTGTCAGCCAAAGACTTGAGAACCCTTGTCTTGTTGCCTCCATGGTCTGTCTCTCTGCAAGTGCAAGTCAGCTTGACCAGGCGATCGGCTCGAGCATGGCGCCGAAGGTCCCAGTAAGCCGCTGGCCATCGGTACTAGTAGAGGTTTGGTCAAGGAACATAGGTAGCCACATACCTAGGTCCTACAGCATCCCCGGGGATGTATAGAGGGACAGCAGCTGGAGGATGCAGCACAAGTGATGAGTGATGGCACGTTTTTGGACATTTTTTCTAGCACCGTCTGATGTTTGTCGAAAGTATTGCATATGCAGTACGGCGTCCTGTCCAATGAATGGAACCCTCCTCCTCCTCCTCCTCAGATCCTGGCTCTTTTTCGCTCTTGTAATGTCGGCCTGGTGGTCCGGTGGATTGCAGGGATTGTGGATATTGGGACCTCGGAGTGCACCCGAGCTTTTCTTCAGTTGATTCCTGTCGGGCCCCGTTATCGAAGAGGTATCTATCTACCTTACATAGACAGGCGTAACGGCGCTGGCTGTTGCTGAGGGGCGCAATGTGCCTCTCTGGATCCAATCATGAATGAATCTGAGCTTCAAGTTGTGTGATGGGGGGGTCAGTCTTTGGAGACTAGCTGGGACTTCCTAAGTCAATCACTCGAAACAATCCACTGGTGATCGGTCGCCTGTCCGTCTGTCGCCTGTCGCCATGAGGATGGAAAAAGCGAGCGGCGTCAGTTCCGACCCGGCGGGGATGCGGGATGCCCCTTTCCGCGGCGGGCGATGGATGGATCTAGGACGCAAGATGACGCCTACTAGGGTATGCTTGACTCGGCGATTCGCAGTTCATACACAGTACTAGTAGTTCTCTGACAAGCGCAGCAACATGCAAGTGATGGGAGACCCGAGTGCTAGTGGCGTTCGAGGACATGGTTAGGCTAGCAGGGAATACTCGCACGGGGGACGAAGAAAAGCTCGTCAGCCGGTAGAGTATGTCATGAACATGGGTGTGGATGTGGGTTGGCTTCCTACCTCTGGCAGAAGGCGCAGGGAATGGAATGGACAAAATGCGCCGTTGCTGGCTGACATAGCACCCCGATCTGATCCTACCTTACCAAACGGTTGGGGACCGGGGTAAGGTTGTTGACCTCAGTGGTAGTGTTGTTGGTCACACAGCATGACTTGACTACCGCCCCTCGACGCCACGTCCAGCCTCACCGTCAACTTGAGCCCTGGTACCACCTTGAGCTAAGGGTTCAGTTCTGTGCACCGGGGCTTCTGTGCACCGGGGCTTCTGGAATGGACAGAATGGTCGAAATGGACACATTCCCCGGTCTCCATCTCGTCGCCATCGAACATGGGCCAGTGTCTGCATGACATCCGCCATTCCCCGGGTCACAGCCTGACACGAGTTGACACCTTTTTATCGTCGAGTCGAGGAAGGGGAAAGGGCAAGGAGGCTTCGAGAGCAGTACAGAGTCCACGACGTCGCCTTAGCTGCAGCATATGTCGGGTTCTTTAATCTCGGCGGTCAGGGACCAGTGCATTCCAACTCGGGAGTCGCATGGGTGTCAAGCAGTCGACCAGGACAACAATATCCTCCAGACAGCCTGAAGCTCGCATGCCGCGGGTGTATACCCGCGAGAAAGATATCCACAATCCAGGGTCGCCGCTTGCGACTATTCGGTTCAATGTCGCAGAATGTGCCCCGAAATCAGGCGCGGTGCCAAAACTCGATCCAGTGGGCTGCGTCCGCCACGCCAGTGTTGACCCTGGATCTAGAACACGGAGAGTTTGGCTTGAGTCGCAAAATTGGTTAGTGAAGCTGTTGGTGAGTTCAATGCTCTCGACAGTGTCGCTTTTAAGACTTGGGAAACTCAGACTGCTTTGCAAGTAACCACTTTGGAAGACGTTTGCGTTGCACTTCTCCAAGCATACTATCGTCCAGGTCAGGGTAGACTTGGAACGTAAGTCCGTACGCCAGGTACGATGATGTTGCTCAGCTTTTGGGTACTCTCAGGCATAAATAAGGTATAGCATAGTTTGGCTGACTGCTCTTCCACCGGTGACTGACTTACTTTCACGTGGATTGGCCAGACGTCGCTTTGCTCATGTTGTTGTTCAATGCTTACACTCAGATATTGCTTTGATGGGCTAGCCTCTTTCTTACCTTCTCTGGGCCCGTCATTCAGGTATCAAATCCTGAGAAGGTGTAGAAACAAATATAATATCTGCCATGGCCCGTCATAAACTGCGACAATAGGCAAGGATTACCCTCGACGCGACAGTCATGATGACAACTCCAAGAGTGGTTGAAAGCTTTATCAATGCAGGGATCAATTCCGGCAATGCAGAGGTCATGGTGGGCTTATTTGCTCCGGATGCCAAAATCACCGATGTCAGGAGAAGCTTCAAGGGCGATGCCATAAGGATCTTCTGTGACCAAGGCATAGTCGGCCACCGTGCGCGAGTCAAAGCATCCAAGCAAGAACTCCAGGCTGATGACAGGGTACCTCCACACCATAATGGATGGAGACTTTGCGGAAGGATTTTGTGTTCACGAGCCTTTCAATATATTCCTGTTGTTCAGGATCACGGCTGACAAGATCCAGCACCTGTGCATGGGTGATGTTGACCCGAAGAGGCCGACCATGCGCACAGTCTATAGTGCATCTGGGAACGCCGTCGACCTATTGTCATCAGTCCGCATCAACAGACGGGAATATACCAGAAGCCAAGGAGGGCTGGGTCCGGGTGAAGATGCAGGCGGTAGGGCTCAAGTTTCAACTACCACGACATCTTCACATTGCGTGGCATGGGAGTGCACCCAATTTGCTACCCCATGATACTTGGTGACGAACGCGCCAGAATCCTCGACGATGACACCGCCGTCGCGTTGTATCCCAACATTGGAGACGCTGACTTCAAGGGCGATGAGACCGTTGATCTAATGAGACATGTCCTTGGAGAGCTGGTTCAAGGAACTCTGGCTGAGAACACCATAGTTCCCCAACGCAATGCTGTAGCCCGGCCCAAAGGTCTGGATGCAAGTTCTGCAAGTGTGATGGGGATCGCCTGGCTGCCTGCCTACCGAATGATGTTCACCAAGGCAAACTTGCGAGCTGATCAGACTGTTCTGGTGCAAGGCTCTTCGGGAGGTAGATCAACGCTGCAAGGCTGTCGAGTCATGCATGTTATTCGAGAATTGACTGGCTGACATTTTGCCCAGAGGTGTCACAACAGCTTTGATCCAGATGATGTCTGCTGCAGGCAGACCAAGGGCTCCAGGATCTTTTGGAGAGTAGGTCCGAAGGCAAGACCGATGTTACGCCTTAGGAGAAGAAACAACGCTCATAACGGTGACCTGCGGAAATAAGAATATTTGTCCGTGATATTTAAACAACTCACCCTTGTTACGGAGCATCTGAATCGCACGGTAACCAATGGAGGTGTGTCATTCGAAGCCAGGATAAAGATTCCCTGAATCTTCCGGCTTGAAGTCAATCTCGGTGCTCTCCACGAAAAGGATGCGATCTTGTTTGTTGTGCCATTCATTGTCGGAAGTGTGATGTCCGACAACTTGGAACACGCCCAATATAGCTGGACGGTGATACGTCGTGATGGACAAGCCATTTGTAGAACCCACGGGCTTCTGCGTGGTATCTGACAGGAACGAGATGGTCTGAGCTCCTTGTTGGGGCTGGACCCATGAACTCTAGATGACTTTTAGATCGATCGAGAGTCATTTTAAGACGGAACCACACCACCACTTTGGACACTTTGGGCTGGTAATGCCTCATCAGGTGATTTGCAGGGTGGCTTGATGTTCGGAAAAGATTCGGCAAGCTCCGGACACTCCCGCGATAGCAAATATAGTGGATACGCTAGACCGCTTGCGGCTTATCGGACGGTTAAAGAGTGGTGAATGCCCCAATGCTCTATTTAGATCCGCTATGACCTAATCTCGAGGGCATAGACCCCCTTATCTCCCATATCTCGTCAATGGACCCGTGGTATATATGACGATCCAAGGGATGTGACATGTTACACCCGTCTTTTCCTCTTCCCCCCGCGTTATTGTCTCGGTCTACAACCTGCTCCATCCTCCTTCCCACGCTTCGGAGTGGATATCAGGTTTCATTGACTCCCGATCGCATCGTCCCCGACATTTAATGACTCTTCAGCTGGGATGAGTATATAAAGACTATCCCACAAATCCACCGATCAGTGGAGGCAGCATCCTCATAAGGAACAACGACCTCAACACAAACACAACCAACAACAACAATCTTGGGTGGTAATAGAAGTCATGTCTCTCTGGACCGGCTTTCCCGCCGGAGTGGGAATGGGAGTAAATCCCAAGCCCCAAACCTGGTCACCACCACGACACCCATTGAAATGCCGGGCGACGAGCCAGGACTTTGAAAGAAAGCTATCGCCTCGATTCACCGTCGCGGAGAAGGTATGATCATTCTCCTTGTTTTGTTTTGCTTTGGTCGGCCTGCACGCCGTTATATGCGTATTCTGACAGACAGTCAATCCAGATGATTGAAGATGTCCCTGAAGATTACGAGGGCGATTCAATTCTCCTCAGGATGCCGTATGAGATCCTCCTCACAATCTACGACAGTGTCGACCATGCACCATCACAAGTCGCCCTAGCGCTGACCTGCAAGCGCATGGCTCTTGTTGCCCGGGACGTTCATCTGTCTCTGGCGACCATCTCCGCCAGATACGCCGGATTCCTGCCCAAACGGATTTTCGATGTTCCGGAGCTCATGGCCCAACTCAAACCGTGGATGCCGGCCGGTCTACGCCTCTGTAACCATTGCTTGACCAACCGACCTCTGCGCGATGAGTACTGGGACACGGTCGAGGGGTGCGAGGTCAGCAATTTCTGGATCCAGAAGACCGGTTGGAATTTCCATGACGGGAACTGGCATAAACAGGTCCACGACATCTGTCCTGCTTGTCATGTCTCTTGCACTTTGAGTGATTATGTCGATTGCGATGGCTGTCGAGCTTTGGGGCGATTGGGCGATATTGATTGGTCTCGTGTGTTGGATCCGTGGCGGCGCAGAATGGCGGTAACTTGAGGTGGGAGGAGAGACTTGTAATGAAAACTATCCCTATATTCGGTTGCATGACCACAGAGGAGGTGTCAGCCGATGGTCAGCCAATGGCTAGCCGATTGTTGACTCTTCTGACTCCCTTTTGAAGTGGTACCTGCTAGCTCTTGCCGTTGCAGATGGTGGAATTTCAACCAACCAAGCAATGACCAAACTGAACGATCGTCGGCATTGAGCTGTCCTGCCGCCAGGGACGGTATTTTCGAGCGAGGAGACCGATCGTTGGTTCGCCCGACAGTCTGACCCATTCACGCAGGTTGAGCACTTGACCCGCACTACGCTCTGCTCCTTGACGAGCAACTCCTCGAGTTGCAGTCTCGTTGGAGGTGCCGTGTATCACGCGGCGCATTAACCTTAGGGCTGCAGCCGCTGCGAGCGGAAGAACCGAGAGGAAAGGCCGTGACTGCCGGCTGAGAGACTAGCCTTATTCCTCAACGGAGGACGTCAGCTGAGATACCAAGTGAGGCACTATTGGTGAATGCCTGGTGCTGAGAGCGTGCTATTTGCGCCAGCGTTGTTGCCATGTCATCCGCCCGACGGGCCTCGTGTCCAACCCAGTTACGGTGGGCGAGGACCTCAAAATGGGAAGACGTGGGGGTTGAGATTGCTCGTCATCGTCGAAGGACAGTGCTGTTTACTCGGCGCATCTTCTCTCGACATCCGTACAACAGACACTTGTATGCCTAATGCTTAATCTCAATTCAAAAGTCCATGAGCTCATCATGCATGTTGCCAGCGAGACATGCAGGAGCGATCGATTGGGAACTCAAGCTGTCACCAGTCACAGAATGTGTAGTTCTGTCGCAAAATGAAAACCGTATTTTTCAACGACCTCTGCCAGATGAAAGGGTTGCAATAGGTTATACATTGCAAGGCTCCAGTGCAGCCTCGTTAGTGCCAATGTCTTATCTTATCTTATCGGAGCCGGCTAGAAGTTTCTCCTAGTAAGCGGCACTCTCCGTACTACGTATCATAATATGTAGATAGTGCTATAGGCACGGATGCTGCCTCGGCTTTTGAGGATTGCTCATCGCCTCACACTGCAAATGTAAAGAACATTTCCACAATCATGTACAATCCCTCCTAGGCCACTATATTCCGCAAGTGTGCTGGGCGTCTCCCGACGGTTTCCTCTTGTCCTTCACCTTGGTCAAGTCTTGATCTCTTCCCACCAGGGTCGCTTGATTGTGAACACTCTCACAATGGCGGACGCCCTCTGTGGCCCCTCCAATCCGCTCCAGAACCTCCAGAAACACAGCCAGGCCGATCGAACCCTGCAACAAGACCGTCTGGTCGGACTCAGACAGTCTCCTGGACAGGTACAGTAATGCCAACATCTAATTGAGTCGGCCCCATTGTGGTGCTGACACGATTCGCGCATTCTAGGGCTTTCGTACCGCCGACCCCAGAGCAGGCTCGCTTGATGCCGAATTCCATGCCTTCGAAAATGCAGCACCCAGCCCGTTCCAACTCCAGCAGCCCGAGTTTTCTGCGCCCCAGCAACCCGTCTTCCATCCGCAAGCATCGGGAGCAGCGCCAGGATGGGCTGCGGACTTCAAGCGGTTGAGTCTCAACAATTCACCTGTGCCGGCAGGACAATTTCGAACCGAAGCTCCTCTGGTCAGGTCAGCCCCGGGAGGATGGCAGAATGAATTCATGCGGCAGAGATCAGGCGCCGGCACGCCAGTGGCCCAGGGAAAGCAGGTGGTCCGAGATCTGCCGCCGCAGCAGATGATGAACATGAACACGAATACCAGCATGTTCGCCAGCCAGTCATCGATGATGAACTACTCGCAACCGATGTATCAAGGCACGGGGGCATATGGTGCGAGTTCAATGGCAGGACTAGGACAGCAACAATACACGCAGACGTCGATGACGATCGAGGAACAGTATGCCGAAGGGCAAATGTCGCATGAGGATTACGAAGCTGCATTTGCTGAGGCCGTGGCGCATGCGCAAGAGATGGACCAGCAGCAATTGCCCCAGCAGGAAGAGACAGCACAAAGCCTAGAACAGCTGGCGGAGATGAACCAGACGGAGTTGCCCAGAATCGGCTCGGACGCCATCAACTACCGAGAACAGGTGGAGCGGACAGCGGACCAGGACACCCGTGACGCCGACGAGCTGGCTCGTACGGCTGGGCTGCTGTTGAACAGTGTCCAGCACGACATGAGCACGAAGTTCCAGAACTCACAGTTCCTAGACCTGATGCGTCGCATCCGCGACCGTGAAGTGAAGGTTCAGGATAACGACTTACAGACAGTGGGCCAGGGTCAGGGTCAGGGTCAGGGTCAGGCGTCAACAAGCACTATGTCTACGTCCCAGTCGCAGCCGACAACGGCAGAAGCCTTCTCGTCTATGGATGGGCAGAACAGGCAGCAGCAGACCTCACAATTCCAGTTCCCAGACATGGACAATGTCTATGCCCCGGACTCGAACACGCAAATGACAGACGACGAAGCCTTGGATTCGAATCTAACTGCCGCCGCCGCAGCAAGATTTCGCTCGCCATATACAACTTACGGCTTCGAGGATGATCAGTACCCAGCCATGCAGCCGCAGAACCAGATGGACGCTCTTCACCCGGGCGGTAAATGGTATCCGGACCAAAGCCCTCGGCTGCAGCGAGTCGAGATGGAGACGGAGATGTCTGGAGCCATTCCCAGCGGGCAAGCCGATGGTGATGACGGAGCAGGATTAGAGAGGATGATCTCCGCAAGTGATTTTGATTATCTTGATGAAAGTGCCGGTCTCTCTAGACGGTTTGTCCGAGGAGGTGAGACGGGTGCTTGAGTCAGATACATTGAAGACTGGGACTGAAGATTGAAAATTAAAGATTGAAGATTGAAGGCTGAGGATTAAAGATCAAAGATTAGAGACTGAAGACTGGCGAGACAGCTATCGTCACTCAGCGATGGGGAAGGCGTATAGATTGCAATTTGCGATACGCTTGAGTAGGTCATAGCGAAATATTCCCTACCTTTCGCAGTCCAAAATGCATAGTAAGGCAGAGCATAGCAGTCTGTAGCAATGAAATAGACCTTTGTTGCTCTTTGTCACCATGGTCGTGATTGACGAGGATACTAAGACACTGACCGGCATTGGTTTGTCAATTCCGGCTACAATTTTCAAGGTGTTCCTATTCCTAATTCCTAATGTTCGTTCTGCTCTAGCACACTTTCCAGCCGAATCCTTGTCTTGTTTTGCTATTGGAGACTATGAGGAGCGAGCGAGATGCGTAGCCAGTCCTGCCAACATGATTCCTCACTCTTGATGTGGTTGTTGGTGCTGCTCTGAGTTTCCTGGGTTTCCCACGAAATGGATAGGAGAGGACGCCCGTTGGACACAAACAATAAGATGGGACTCGAGGCGCCGCCCTTCCTGTGGAGAGGGTTTGTCGTCGATCCAGGCAGGTCAGGGGGAAAGAAAGGAGGTACAAGCCCAAGCCCAAACCCAAACCTAAGCCCAAGCCCAAGCACTCCTTCGATGGAATCAGTGACCAGCGACCAGGAGATCACAATGAAAGAATGATCATGAAGACGTGGTTTCAGTGTTTCTCTTTCTTTCTCCCAACGGTCACGTAGCGTGGTCCAGCGATTCAGCCAGCCAATGAGCCATGAGCCATAAGCCATAAGCCATAAGCCATTGTCATCCCAGCACAGCACAGCACAGCACAGCGTGAGACAAGAAGGCGAGAGCGAGAGAATTTCGAAAGATCTCTGTCTGCGTCTGTGTCTGCGGATCAGCACCAGAAGATGAACGGCCCTCTTTCCAACTTCTGGCCGCGGACGCCCCAAGTATCTTGATGTGCTGGATGCGCTGCACTGCCGCCGCCTGCGTCCGGCGAATCCGTATCCGAAGAATATTCGTCCGTAGTGTTGAGATCACTGCTGTCAGACTGATCTCCGTCGACGGCCCCGACTCCTCCAGCTGCCTCATCCAAGATCTGATCAACCGGCCTGCCATCCGCATACAACTCCATCCCGTCTCCGGAACCCAGCATCCCGCATCTCCACCAGCGGCCCATCATGATCTTGCCGCCGGGCAGAACCACTCCCTCGTACGCGTAGGCATAGTCCATATCGTTCCAGTCGAGGTATTCGCTGAGGCGGAATCGCTCTTCAATGTCTTCGATCACGGCTCTGTCCATGCGCGCTGGGTCGCGCCAGTCCGGGTTGGACATGAGTTTCTGGTGCAGGTACATTTCGAGGTGGGCTTCGAGGTCAGCGGCATCGAGATCGGCAGGGGGTTGGTTGTTAATGTTGATATTGTTGTTCCCAAAATTCCATGCCTGTTGTTGTTGTTGTTGTTGTTGTTGCTGCTGCTGTTGAGTATTCTGTCCCTGTCCCTGTCCAGTCTGAAGTAGTTGGCTAGTCACCACAGGACCGAATTGACCTCCAAATTCCTCCTCGGCGTGTTCCAGGACTTGAATCAGATACCGTTTCGAGGGCTTGTACATGACCATGGCGATGCGACTCCAGCCGGGAATACCGCCGAGCGGGCGAGCGTCAGGACTGAGTTGATCCATGTTGGGTGGCGTGACCAGCGGACCTGGAATGGAGTGGACGATCCCGCGCAGCCGCAGTGCAAGGTAGGGATGGTATTTAGGCAGTTTGGGAACCGTCAGCATCGCTCGCGATACGGCCGATGGGGTCGACCCATAGATTTTAGGCTCGAGGGACTCGGAAGAAGGAAGCTCGACGAAAGGCGCCAGACCGCGGATATACAGACAGGAAGCTCCGTCTGCTGCGCTTGGAATGGTCTTTTCGAACGCCGGGATCGCACTGAAGATGGGCGACCAGAACCCGAACAGCTCGTTGTCCGTGGTCACGGAGAAATCGAGTTTCATGGGGTCGACGGTCTCCCAGTCTTCGGCGCAGCTCTGCATTTCCTCCAGGCCCTGGCGGTCCCTCGGCCACGGAAAGACGCAGCTGTAATGGCCATACCACTGCGTCGCGAGCGGCGGCAGTCCTTCTTTCAGCGGCTTGTCCCATTTCTTAGCTGTGCTGCCTACGCTCAGGAGGTCTTTGGCCATTTTGGCATATGTGTTTTCTCCCACCATGGTCCTTGTTCGGAGCCCAAAGGTCACATACCTCGTGCTGGCCTCGATCAGGTGTCGATGCCAGAAGTTGCGGATATGCAGCAGAGCGTGGGTGTTTAGTTCGTAGCGGGCCTTGAGAGGTTTCGGTTTGGGAGCGATAAATGTTCTGCGCGTGCGCAAGTTGAAGAACAGTGTCGGTTGGCTGGCCTGCGCCGTCTCCTCGGGTCTGTTCTCTGGCTCGGGATTGCGACGGAATAATGTGCTGAACGCCTTCTCCCAGTTGTACACGATGGCCAGATTGTAGTTCTCGCGCGACGAGTCGACCGCACGCGCCATCTGCGACTCAGGCGATAAAAGGAGGTGCGAGAGAACGAGCTGCAGCGCGTCGAAAAGTGGGTGTGCTTGTCCATATCTGCGACCGGGTTTGGGGTAGAACCAGCAGGACAGAAAGATCCGCATCCATGACGAGGTGCTCAGAGAAGCGAACACTGCGAGATTGCGCGATGTTGATGGCGGAGGTAGATGTGGTAGAGGTTGATGATAGGCTTCTGGGAATGAGGTCAGTATAAGCACCAAGGAGAACAGAGATGTCGCGTCGCCCGTGTCCATGCACTACCTTACTTACCGAGCACCATGTCCTTTATGACCTCCAGTTCCGCCAGCAGTCGTTCGTCGTTCGGGAATGTGAATCGGACGAAATGCTCAAGCACATACCGCCTCACTTGATATGCATAGGCATATTCGCTCACATCTTTCACAAACGCGTGATCGTACTGTGAGAGAAACCTCTCTTTCCAAATCGCCGATGACGCCGGTGCAATAGCGTTGGCGAAGTTGCTTGAAGTCTCAATCAGGTTGGCTAGGTCACGGTCGGTCGCGAGGTGTGCAACGATATGGTTCAACGTCTGTCGTCGTCGTCAGTCAGTCACAATATCCACGAGCAAGGCTGCGTGGCGCAGGACGCACCTCGACGGGGATCTTCTCGAACGTGCTGAGCGCAAACTCAGCCTGCTTTGGTCGCTTTGATATCCGCTTTGATGTTCTCTTTGGCGGGGTTGGACTGTAGTCTTCATTGTCTGTAGAATCATCACTGGTCATGTCATCTTCAAGGTCGGAGAGGGTGGTTGACTTTCTCTTGAGCGACGTCCCTGAGATACGACCGACAGCAGGCGGGGTAGTAAGTGAGATTTGGCCGAATCCTGATTCAAGAGAGAAGTCCATGGCACCCAGGTCTTCAGGAGGCTCAGATAGATCAGAGTCAGGGTCCGACAAAGTATCAAAGAAGTCTGGCAGTGAGGGAGACATGGCGACTAGCTGAGGCTTCAAGAGCCCTGGTCGGCGAGGTATCTTGTCAACAGCATGTAAGGGTGGTGCACCACACAAAGTAGAGGATCAAGTCAATGCAGGTTGTAGCGTTGTGGGAAGGGGATTGTTGCAAGTCAAAATGGTGAAGCATAGCAACACAAATTAGAGATCGGCTGGCAGTGAAGTGAGAACATGAGCAGTGAAGTTGAGTGACATTTGGCCCGATTATCTGTAGCATACTGAGCCCAGAATCCATTACGCCCTTTCGCCGATACGCTTGTTGGCCAAGAGACCTCTTCCTCTGGCAGATATTGCTGCAATCATCATAAACCGGGGGTCTTCCTCATTTGCATCATTCATGGCGTCGTGCTCGTGGCGTCTAGAACATCAGTCCGAGTAGAGCGACGAGGTAAGACAGTATTCCGGCTCCCGTAAAGACATGAGGGTTGACATTGCTAGCAACATTGCTAGCTGACGATGAAGCAGACGCTGACGAAGTAGGCGTACCAGGGATACTCGCGCCGGAGGCTTTCGAAATCAGATAAATCTCACCAGACGCATCCGAGGACACGTATATCCGGCCCTGGGGATCGAAGGCCAGACCGACAGGACGGAAACAGTTGTCTGGACACCCTGAGTTGTCCTCATTGGCAAAGACATCTCGAGCTGCGGTGGTACTCTGGAGGTTATCCACAGGGTCCCCATTCCTGTCAAAGGCGACGACAGAGACCTTGTAGCCCACAGGGTCTGTCCGGTCCCAGCTGCCGTGGAAGGCAACCCAGGCTTCTTGACCACTGTTGTTGAACTTGATATCCAGAGGGGCCATGTGTGCTTGGAACACCAGACGCGCAGGCTCTTGAACAGCGCAGTATGCGTCCGTTCTGTTCTCGTTGTTTGAGGCCGAACTAGCGTCTACGGCATATTGACTGCCCACAGACAGGTTGCCGTTGTCGGGCAAGTCGTCGACGCTCCAGGCAGAGAAGCACCAGGGGTAGCCGAAATTCCGACCTTGAGAAGCATACTCGGTACCGTTCAGGTAGCCTAGGAAGTTCAACTCCTCGGCCGGATTGTCCTCATGGATATCGACACCCATGCGGGTCATCTGGTCCGCCGAGTTCTCAACTGACCAGATTCCTCCGCTGGAGGGATGTTCTGCGATTCCGACGTCGTTCCTTAATCCCCAGCCTAGTCGCAATCCGTCTGAAGCGAAGTCATAGGCGGTATCGGTACGGTTCCGCAAGTTGAAGGCCTTGACCTGAGAATGGCCCGATGCCAGGCTTGCAGCATCAAAGTCGATGTTGGAAGTACTTCCTCTGGTGACCACGAGCATGTCTGGTGCGCTCTCCGGCAGCAACAGAGTCCGCGTTGTGTGGTCACTTCCAGACATGTTGGTCACGAGGTTGGTACGGTCCGAAACGGTCCTCGAGGAGCTATCATAATTCCAGGAATACACATCTTGCGACGAGGATGCATACAGAGTCCTGCCATCGCTTGACAGTTCTATCCCGTGGTTAAGCTGGACGATGTCAATGACCCGGAGAGACAGCCAGCTTATGGGTACCTACGTTCAGCGCCGAAGTAACGTCAGAAGATGTTCCAACAGAAACACAGCCGTTGTCTTCATTGATTGTATGGGCTGAAATAACACCTCTTCCTTGTTCCACCACCAACAAGTTTCCTGCTTGATCGAGGAGAATTCCACGAGGTTTTGACAAGCCCGTCGCAACCACCTGCATATGAAACCCCGATGCGAGAGAGGGTCGAATGGAACCTGACGGGGAGGGACCGCAGCTCGCGGATGACTGAGCAAGGCACTGCGAGGGAAGGATCGCGATCAGAGCCGCGATCCAGGTAAAGCGGGCCATGATTGTTCTTAAGGATCTAAAGCTACCGACAGCTGGTGCGAGGGACAGACGGTTCAAGGAGGACGTGCAGAGTAGAGTCTGCAGTTCTTCTTGCGACAGGCAACAAAGAATGGAGACATGATGCGAAGCACGAAGCAGATTATCGGCCAACGTTTATACCAGCACAGCAGTAGATAGAGTGTGAGTGATGAGGGTTCCATTTCCACTATTGCCAGGACCAACTCTGGGACGATGCCGAGAGACAAAGGCATCAATGATCTCATAGCTCTTCATAGCCTGACCAAGAGACAAGGCTTGTCGTCCATTCAGCCACATGACAAGCCATACTAGTAGTATTAATATGGGCCACACAATCGCCGCTGCCGCGACAAGCCGTCAACTTGAAGACCGTGTCCCAGTCAGTCCACTTATCTCGCCGCTATATCCGCCAAGACTGCCACACCACCACAGTTCTTATAGAGATCTAAGGTATCCATCAACACTGCAGTACGTAAAATGGTAAGAATGCCCATGATTTGCAGGACGGACAATGGCAGGGCTCAGTCAGTATGTCAATGTGTTCATATGGAGGAATTGTAATACCAGCTCGTACCAGGACTGCTTCTATTGAGATGTCTATCTTCAACTCACAGCAGTATCGTTATCGTGAGCGATTAATGGGCTTGCACAACGCCCGCCTCATTTGCTTGCGCAGTGATCTTCTTCTTGTATGCATTGACATCGCCGGGGAACTTCTCGACTGTGCCCTTGTCACACACCCACAGACTGGTGCACACGTTCTGCAGCATGGTCACATCGTGGCTGACCATCAATACACCTCCCTGGAACTGCTGCAAAGCCGTCGACAGGGCATCCATTGCCTCAATATCCAAGTGATTGGACGGTTCATCAAGCACCAGGATATGTGGATTGGTCAATGACAAACAGGCAAACGCAACCCGGGACTTTTGACCTCCAGACAGCAATTCGAGCTTTTGCAGGCCCGTCATCCCCGTGATGCCGAAAGCACCCAGGTGGCGACGATATTCTTCGTCCGTCCTGCCAGGATAGTTCTTTTGCATGAAGCCCACCGCCGATGTATTCATGTCCAGCGCATCCACATGGTGCTGCGCAAAGAACCCAATCCGGAGACGAGGATTTTGACTGATCAATCCCGACGAGGGCTGAAGCTGTCCGATCAGCAGCTTCAAGACGGTAGTCTTACCGGCTCCGTTGGGACCCACAATCCCGATCCTCGAGTCCAGCTGGACATCCAGGTCGACGTTCCGTAGCAGAGGTTTATCTGGGGTGTAGCCAAATGCAACATTGGACATTTGGATGATGGGAGGCGATAGCTTCTCCACGTCGGGAAATTTGAACTGAACGGTATACTCGGCCTCGGGTGCCTCGAGGATTGGCATCTTCTCGAGCTTCTTGATCCGAGATTGCGCCTCGGACGATTTGGCGGCATTGTATCTGAATTTGTCGATAAAAGCCTGGAGATGGGCTCGCTGGACCATTTGGTTCTCGTATTCACGTTTGGCAGTCTTCTTTCGCTCTTCTTTGGTGGCGTAGAATGAATCGAAGTTGGCTCCCTTGTAATAATCCAGCCGTTCAGAATGTTGATGAATGATGTCTGTGGCAACCTCGTTGAGGAATGCACGATCGTGGGAGACGACCAGGACCGTACTGGGATAGGTTTGCAGATAGTTGGCCAAGAAGGTGATCGACGGCACATCCAACATGTTGGAAGGTTCATCGAGCAGCAGCAGATCGGGCTCACAGAACAACGCCCTAGCCAGGGCCAATCGCATTCTCCAACCACCGGAGAATGTCTTGGTGGCATATTGTTGGCGCTCAGGCGAGAATCCCAAGCCGGCCAAGATGCTCGCGGCGCGGGATTCTGCCTTGTCAGATTCCATTTCACTGAGTTTGGCCTGGATGTCTCCCAAGGTCGTGTCAAGGCCGTCCTTTTCCAGATCGATGCGAGCTGCATCCTGAGATGTGTCTGCCAACTTCGATCGTTCCGCCTCCAACGCAGTGAGCTGTTTGCTTATCTTTTCCTGTTCGGCTAGAAGATGCTTTCGCCAAACGTCTGCATCAAGGACTGCCTGCAAAGCCGGTGTGTCGTCTCCCATGATCTCCTGTTCCACGTGAAGAATGGATATGTGAGTTGGGATCGCCACTTCACGCCGACTCAACGCACGCAGTAGCGTTGATTTACCGATACCGTTCCGACCGACAAGACCGTACCTTCGACCATAGGCAAGCGTGAGAGATGCGTCGGTGAGAATGCGTTGTCCACCAATAGCAATGTCAATGCCGTCGATCTTGATGTCTTTGCTCTTTGATTGGGCATCGGCTCCTAATTGAAGAGGGTTGATTGCCATGAAGAACTCCTCATAAGACTGAGTGCTGTCTGGCTGCTCCAGTAACCGCGAGGCCTCATATTCGACATTTTTCATGGTCTTCTTATCTTGCTTTGCACGGATCTTCCGCTCGGCCTTTTCGAGTTTCTTCTTGTCCACCTTGGATTCCACCTTTCGAGAATTGGCAGCCTCCAGGTCGACTCCTCCACTGGTCAAACCCAGAGTAGAAGAGATGTTCCGCTGCGAGCTCACCTGGATCGTTTGCTCAAGCTTCTTCGCTGTGAAAGGCATCTGCTGTCTCTCCGGGTCAACGCCATTTGCGTCATTTAACCTCGAGAGGAATTTCTCCACCAGATTTCTGATAGAGGCTTCATTCTGCTCGGAAAAGTCCCCTGAGGCGGACACTAGTAGAGCAGTTATGGTATCAAGCGCTTCCGCTTGGGGAGACTGGCCAGAAGGCTCGTCTTCAGAGAAGTAGAGCTTCGAAGCATGATTGAGATATCCCTGTAGGGGTCATTAGCAACTTGACTTAGTTGTATGCATAGGAATACTGGACGGAGCAAAGCCCATCAAGATAGAACGTCGAGGGATGCCCATGAATCGCCGGTAGATAAGGGGACTGGGTTGCCAACATACCACAGAGTATTCTGAAAGGACAGGGTCAATGTGAGGAATTTGAGCCTGAATTTCGGCTTCCATCTTGAGCGTTGTTTTAAATTCGAGCTTACAGATCGTCCAGTTGGAAACGCTGCTAGGGGCGGCCGGTATATGAGTGACAAGTGGCTGCCACGTCTTCAGGGAGACCTTGTCCTAGTACCTTAAGGTAGGTAGTTGATGAAACGTGCGTATCTAAGGTAACCAGCTCGGCAAGACTTTGATATGCACAAGTATATAGGCTCAAGGAAGAATCTAGACAAGGAATGATCGAGAGGCGCTAGACGAGATGTGGCGTGGCGAGACTCGCTCAATTTCAAATGGTCAGCTTTCGATTCTCCATACTAAAAGTGGTCGCCACCATAATCGTAGTTTACTTGAAATCCTCCCGAAATTTCTTCCCAAATTGGCAGGTCGCTTAGCTCAGGTTAGTTGGCGCAACGTGCATTGCGAGTCTAGCTTTAACAGTTACTAACATCTCGTCCAGTTGGTTAGAGCGTAAGCTTGTACTTCTACATCCGTCACCAACCAAAATACTTACGATAGTCATAGGTGGTGCTAATATCACTCGATCTGAGTGTCGAGCTGTGGTATACGCCAAGGTAAGACTGAGCAGTGTATACTAGTGGTGGTTTATCCGTTGTCTAACACCTTTCAGGTCGCGAGTTCGACCCTCGTAGTGACCATCACTGTCTTTTTTGTCATTTTACAATAAAAGTGGCTTACCTAAGCTTCTTGGCGTGACCGAGATCAATCCGCGTTATGTTTTTGTCTATCATGGTTTCAAGGCCAAGTAGGCCACCTTTTGGTATGTAGGTAGTCGTTCACAAGAGCAATATCTTCTTGTCGTCGCCTATACGGTGATCTACTACCTACTCCCGGATTCTCTGCGTACTTGAGTCAAGATGAACTTGCCCATCTCTCTTCCCTAGAGCCATTCTTATTCGATTTGGAGACGCGTCGATCATGGGGACGTCAATCGCTGTGTCAGTCTATTTTATTATATCCGTTACCAGATTCTATCGGACTAAATCAAATTTACAAGAGAGGAATACCTTCATCAGTTCGCATCTTTCTAGGTCGTGGTAAGAACAGTTGCAGTGGCTTCCATCCTTTCGGTGACTCTCACCCTTCCATGACCCCTATATATGGTCGTCGAGCCGTCAAGTTATACGGCATAAGCCGCCTTACAACACGTCGGGCCCCAACAGCGTCTCCTCAACAGTACCTAAATTACATGACCATGATTCCTCCGGTCAGAGGCCCTGCAGTGAAAAGACAGGAGGTTGTGCGAATCCTGCGTAGGTACCTATGCTGGCCTATCCCACGTTGCTACCAGGGGTTTGCGGGTTGAAAGATGCAAATAATCATACAGGCATATCCTCGCCAAACCGCCCGTCTCTGCATTAGTTGATTGCGCGGATGACTGTCGCCGCTTCTGCGAGAACTTGAAGGCTTGCGAGAGACTGACATCTCCCGGTCACCTTCTTATATTACCGTCCAGACCCAGCTGATACAGCGACTAAGGAACGAGCCAGATATACGTGCGAATGAAGAGCTGCTGGCTGGCTCCTCAGCGTGGTCAGTCCGGTATATAATCGATGCTTTGCTCGGTCCCGTCTACTTCGATCGGCGACTAGATTGGAAAGATGGAAAGATGGGCCAGCGAGACGCATACCACTCCCGAGATTGATGCAGCAGCTCTCGACGCAGGAAACGCATGCATGTTGCCACCCAGCTCCATGCCTCCGACGTCGACTCTGATAGGAGTTGTCTCGCAAGCACGGACGGATTCCTTGGTACCGTCCGGCCTCGCTTATATATATATGATGCGGCGCTGCGGACTCTGGAAGTCTGCGCCTTGCAACCCGCATACGCATTGCAGTGCTGCAGTCATGAAACTGGGGGATTTTTGCCCCCGGCATGTATTTATCAGTAACGGCTGGTTTTGTAAAGCACGTTGGCCCTCTTACCCTTGGTCAATGATACAGAGTGTATGCCTGTGCAGCGATTACAAGCTTGAAAGCACGGCTTTGCTTCCCCGCAGTTCTTCGTCAGTCAGAAGTTATACAAAAAGCTGAGAAAGCAGGCGGCTCATCGATGGATCACATCATCCACTTTTACCGTGGATGAGAAGTTTCTCCATGCACAGCTAGTCAAGCTGCCATCGAATTGAGATCGAGTGTACATATCTCGGACTTGACCACTACGAGATACTCACGCAGAACCGATTTTTGAACCCAAAATGGCACCGCCAGTCTGGCTACTGGCAGGTCATGGCTGAACTGTTGTGCAGGTCAGATCCATCATCCCACGACTAACCTGGATTGGTGGACGCGTCCTGACCATGGGTCCTGCACCACATTACACAATCGAACGAACAGTCAATCAGCGGCCACCACTTTCCAGAAGACCCAATGGGCCCTGTCTGACAAGTGTCACGTCGCCCGAGGCTGATGTGTGTTGATGTGTGACACACGAACGCCGCCTTGTTGTTTACTGACTAGTCTGATTGACAGCGGATTGAGATTCTTACGTGTCAAATCAGTCTGGCACAGAGAGATGCGCCTGGTGTCTGAAGTGCCGATGAAAACAACGACCAGGAGCTTCACCACCAAGTGCCGAACCAGCGTTTGAGGCTAGATCCAGAGACCAAAACACGCGACGCGGGATCTGACTTTGGGCGTATCGTATCGCCATCAGGCCAATCTGCGTGCCGTCAACCGCTCGTCATCCCAAGCCTCGGCGTGTATCGTGGCGTCGCGATGAACCCCTGCTGACAACAACCTGGCCAGTGGGAACGACGGCGCCAGGAACCTCTCTGGAGTCTGTACACCCAGATGGACCCGCTCCCTCTCCGCAGCCAGTGAGCGCCAGTGGCATGCAAGATATGTCAAGCGAGGCTTTTTATCGTCCCCGCCCGTCTCCATCGGCTCTACGCGACCGCGCGAGAAAAACAAAGACGCAACGTGCCGGAGGGATTGCAAAACTTGATTTCTTTATGCTGTTATTGGCAACGCGGCGTCCGCGAACGGGCTTATGGGGGATGCTGCTAGCAAAATCCCAAAGCGAGTACTCCAAAGGTAGTAGAAAGTATGGCATCCAGTTCTATGTTCCAGTGCTCCTATCAAGCTCCTCTTCACCAGCCTGCTCATCCGATTGACCGGGCTCTTTACGTACATCCGACATGGGTCTTCCAGGTTCACCTCCCAGTTCATCGAACTGCTAACGCACCCTCGCTACTGCAAGACGCCCGCTCTCTTTTTCAGCTCTGAGGGGGCAGGTTTTCGTCTGGCCTATATCATATACCTCACCGCAGTCTCCGGCGTATGTTGACATACACGGATCCTGTCACTCTAGCTGCACCCAGGCGGCGGGGCACAGGCACACCGTTGGCCCGAGAAGAGTCGATCCTCTCCATCTGGCTTGCAGGTTGTTGATGATGCGATCCCGTTTGAGTGCGCTCAGCCCAACAGAAGCCATACCAAATTCAAGCGACCGGGATGATCCCAGTCGTCGCGAGAAGTGGCTGACTGATCTCTAGACATTCACTTCGGCGTTCGTTCCAGGGTGCTTCGCTGCTAGGCGAGGCGCTTTCTCTTTTCTTTGGCGAGGAGCAATCTGGCAGCATTTATAGACAAGACAGTACGTACTACGTAGTACGATCGCTCTGTGCCCATTCCTGAGCGCGTTTTTTTCGGCATCGGATAGGTCTGGAGAGCCGATATCAGAACACACTCCACAGCCGCCTGCAGCCCAGCCCAGGGAGCCTTTTCCATCAAATCGCCTCTAGCTTCAATCATGATCAGCATCAACACTACATTATTTCGAATGTTACCCGGAAATCGCTGGGCACACAGTAACGAGAGGGCAAGCAGGCTCAAAACAGGCCTGGGGAGGAAACACTCCTCTCTTCTGGCCGCCAAATCCTTGCTCGCGTATGAGACCGTTGGTATAAGTAACGGGTACGGGCCTGCTTGAGAGGTTACAAAGTGTAGCACGACATCTGGTTGAGTGGACGTTGAGGCACCCAGCCTGGAAATAATGGTGACATTGTAGTCACAATATCTGTACCTGGCCGTGGAATGATTTGTGAAGCGGTAGGCGGCAGTGTAGTCACAGATCCTCAGTCCACTTCAACGTCTTCTTTTGGACGCTGAGGTCGACGGCAAGGGACGATGCCAATCTGGACGCCTCCGCCTCCACCTCATTCATTTACGGATATTCCTGTTCTGTGCTGGCTTGACGGCCGGCCGGGGATCCCTAGAGATATGTCACTCTGGACATGATACCCTGCGAGCTAATAAGACTTTGACAGGACGACCAAACATCTACCCGCCGGTATGGCTTCGATTAGCTGCTCAATGAAGGCTGCCAGGAGGAGGCAGCTAGTAGTGTCACAAGGATATTCTCATGCTTATGTATTCGGTGGCTGCTGGGATTAGATGCCGCGTATGGACAGTTCAGCACGGGAAGTGGAGGATGTCAAAATGATGGTCTTGATTTGAGGACGGAGCACTCTGTAGTAGTGACTCTTGCCGTGCAGAGCAATGCCAGTGCCTTGTCCAACAGCATCAATCACGAGAACAATAACAATTGATTCATACGAGATGCAGTGCTGCTATAGTCAAGAGTACGTACCTTATTGGTATCAGCAGCCGTAGTGGAAGTGTTGGGGTGTAGAGCCTGCCGTAGTACGCCTAGAGGGCTCCCTAGACTTGGATCCCCGCCTATGCTGCTGCTAATTTGCTGCCTAAGGCGGCTATGATCTGTACCTTTAGTTATTCGGTAGTGCCCTGTGGCTTGCCCTGCGGCCCAGGAACTGCGAGTTGCAAGAGGGTCGTGTTATAGGTATGTCAAGCTTAGGTATGCTATTAGGTACAGGTACCATGCCTAGTAGTAGCTAGTAGTAGTACTATGCAATGCACCTCCGCTGCCCTGCCTGCCCTACAGATACCCACCTGCGCACCCCATGTCCTGTCTGCGTGCCTACGTGCCTGAGTGCCTGAATGCCTGCGGTCACTCACCATTCACTCCTCACTAAACATTACTGCTACTCCTCCTACTAAACAACTTCCAGTGCCATTCGAGCAATCTCAGCTCTACCTCTTAACATTCAACTCTCTCCCCAGCCCTCCATTCTTCCCGATCACCGTCTCTTTTCTCGTCTCTTGTCCTGTCTTGTTAATTAGGGATCCTCCTCTCCGCCGTCCCCTCCACCTGCCCTTCCGAAGTCGAGCCTCACTGCATCGCGTCTCCTGCCCTGTTTCCCGCCGATCTAGCATCTAGCTGCCGCGTCTATTCGGAAGAAAACAACCACAACCCTTACATCAGCACGTCTTCTAGAACAGCCACACCGTTGACGACAAACATTCTGCTCCCGAAGAACCTTTTGGCCCTGATGGTGAACCCGCCATGAGGACGTCCCATCCCAACGCCATCCAGACATCCTGGGCTGCGGCGACTCGAGGGCATTTGGCGTATCAAGCATAATGGAACATAGTCAAGAACACGTTGCCACGGTACAGACCCCCCCTGGTACCACTTCATGGTTTGCTTGTTTGCACTGCTGACTGTCGTGTCTAGCTTTGTGCTGTGGGCACTGTCGCGATTGCAGCCGCAGGGTTGGCTTTAGGTACATCTGACGGAGACTCATACTTGATCAAGCCTGGCAAACGAAAGGCTCCTGGATCCAATGCTGCACCACGCGCCCCGATCTCTCCAGACTCTCAGCGTCCACGCAGTCCTCCAACATCTCATTCTGTGAGCACGCCCCCACCACAAGCTGAGAGGTCTGAGCGTCGATTGTCTTTGTCCATACTGCGAAGGAAAACAGTCCGTGGAACCGCCTCCTCCACAACCGAAAGTACTGGCACAGAGTCTCGGGAGAGTTCCGTGAGCCGGCATGGCATCTTAAGACCTTGGTCATCAGAAAAAGAGCCATCCGATCTAAAAGAGCAAAGACCCACATCATCATGGCTCAGAAGAATATCAAGCATCTCTCGTGGGGACTATAGCAGCCCGGCCTCCTCATCTTCCCGGCTAGATGACTCTCCAGGCACTTCACGACCTTCTTTGACTGAGGTAGACCAGCCCAACAAGCTGGTCAAACGGTCCAATTCCAGCCGTCTCCTCCACTCGGATCGTGAGCCCCCGTCGTTGTTAAGACGTCCAGCCACCAGCCATCAGAGATCCGCGACGCTATCTGGCCTGCCATACACGAGACCACTCACAACGGAATCCGCAATGTCCATGGAACCATCGCGTTACGTTTCCCAGTCGTCCCCCTGGAGGCCTTTCTTCGAGCCCGGTTATGCCAGGAAGCGGCACTCGTCAACAGGGTATCGCGAGTCGTTCGCCCGGACGATCTCAATGTCCCCGAACTGTCCTCCAACCCTACTGATGGGTGGTTCAGTTGAGCCTAGAGAGTCTCCAGATCTCGAGGAACGGCCACAGTTCTCCGAACCTCCAGTGGGTCAGACTAGTCGCAGGCATAAGATGCGTCGAACGTTGGGGTCTGTCCGTAGAGGAGTTCCTCCACGAAACTTCACTGATCCAATAGTCCGAGTTAACAAGGATGAAGCTTACGGCAGCATCGTACCCTCGACCGCCTTCTCCAATTTGTCGCCATTGTCGAACGTATCTGCTTTTGAAGTGGACGGTGCTCCTACCTTCAACTCCAGTCCTCTCATTTACACTGGCCCTCAACATCGCTTCACTGTGCCCAAACGAGTATCTGTTGCCCCTTCGGATCCAGCGACAACAAGTTCCGACAATGACCCCAGAGTGTTCACCGACGACGACTCTATGGACTTCCAGAGTGACACTGCATATGATTCATTAGCTACGCGAGCCACGGCGAGCAGTCATTCTGGGTTCCGGCCGCCCAAAATAGAGACCATTTTCGACGAAGTGTCTGTGGTCCAGCAACATGCCGAGGCATCAGTTATAGAAGACCTGATGCAACGCACCACGCTGGATGATTTTGGCACAACCCGGGGGGAAGGAAAGGAATCGTCCACAGATATTGGCAAGGGCATCAGCACAGTTGCAGACAATGTCCGTGCAAGAGACGTGAGTCCGAACCAGGCGTCCACACCGGCCAAAAGCCCCATGTTGGAGGGGGAGGATTTTATTTCAACACCAGTACCGAGAAAAGGGCCTTGTAACGGCCCCATTCTAGGGTCCTCGCCTCCATCCATGCGTCCGACCGCACGCAGCCACTATGAAGAGCCCGAACTACCTCGACTAATGGACCTGGACAATGACGAAGACATAGACTGGTCTCCAAAGGATGGCCACGATCATGCGGTGTTAGCAGAGCGCTCTCTAGTCGTCCCGGCGCCGCAACTTCGTTTCGAGCAAGACGGCGAGGACGATTTTGAGGAACAAGCTTCCACCAAGAGATCTTCGATCTTCGATTGGTCGGAACAAATCCACTTTGGGAGTGATCAGTCGAACGGAGTGAGCCCTCGACCGAAGACAGTTCATGGCAAACAAAACACCAATGCCAGTCGCAGTCGACCGTCGGGACGTAAAAGCAACGCCACGATGCACCTTCGCAGTCAGAGCGTACCGGTCAATCGAGAAAGTCTGACGGAAGGCGAGTTGGCATCATCGGCATCGAAATTTGGGACGTGGGCGCTCGGCACCAAGCCGGTGAGTGAGGAATGGAGTGATGACTTCGAGTTTGATGACGCGGATGAGGTGCAGAGTATGGGCAATGTCGTCAACAACGCAAGGGCGATGAAACATGAATCGGTTCGGAGTGTCAAGGTGCCGCAATCCATCATCGACCGGCAGCAGAGCGTCCACATCCAATTCGGCCAAGTCAAGGAGTTTATGCTTCTGGTTGAAGAGCTTAAGCGACTCCGAGCAAGAGGTGTCGGTCTCGGCTTAATTGAAAGCAACTCGAGACAGCTCTGGGAAGATGCAGAAAGCATTATTGATCTGGCGACGCTTAATGATGATGATGAGACCGGACCCCGACCGTCCTCGCCAGTGTCGTCTGATATTTTCGGCGAGGAAACACCTCCATCCAAACGAGGGGAAGAGGAAGACGCTGGCAAGGGTGGCGAAGGAGTGAGAGCAGTTAATCGACGCTCGATCTCCAGCCCAGGCACGCCTCCATCCGGACGACCCCGAGGGGAGAGTTTGCAGACCAAAACATTCCTGCAGACCATACAACAGAGTCGGAATGGAATAGAATCCTCACCAGTGGAGTGGTACACACATCCTCGGGAGAAATTGCCATTCGACACACAAGACCTACGAAATCTCGTCGTGAGAGCAGGGGTCATCACGCGAGCATTGAAGGAGATAATCCGCAAAGCCGAGGGTGTTTCGCTCAGCCCCGAACCGCCTGTAAACGCTTTACAAGACCCGGTCTTTCGGCAAATATTCGATCCCCCGGGTTCATCCCCGAGTCCAGGAGTGAGAAAGCCTGGACTGCCGAAGAGCAGAAGCGCTAATAGCTACCTTGACGGGGCAGACCCCAACAATGATCACGACCTTCCGCAGCCATTGAGTTTGACCAAGGTGGTGGAGGCGGTTTGAAGATGGATTGAGGGTCCTTCGTTTCTTTCTCTCCGGCATGTACAGTACGACGGAACGGCATTATGAATCACGGCCTCACTTACTCGGGGCGCTCACTGCATGGAACGGTGCCTCCTGGGTTCAGCATTTTCAGGATTGCTTTGCAGCTTGGGGGCACATTGGAAAAGACCAAAAGGAAAGAGCGAGCCAAAAAGCCTTGTAACACTGGAAATGCACGATACGGGGCCGGCTTTAATCTTGAATGTTTCACGATTTCTCTTGGGAGGAAGGATATGACGGGATGGAAGGCAGCGTGCTTTACCACCAAGTCAAGCCATGGGAGGTTTCTGTCATTATTTCTTTTCGGTACACACAAGAGCCCAAGACATAAGCAAACAAACACACAGACAGTCAGTCAGCCACAAGGCGAATATTCTTGTCCAAAAGGCGCAAGCAACCAATGCAACCATTAGCATCAGACTGTTCTTTATGCTCCAGTGACTGGGAGACGGCGACGCTCGCTACTAGTATCCTTATAACAAAGCTGATACTCTGTGATAGATGGATAGCTTAGAGGCCTATGGCAGTCAATCGGTATAGCGCACTGCAGTTGAAGTTGATAGGTATGCAGAGTAGTATGTAGATGCTTATATTCGTGACAGGTGTCTCCCCATTGGTCCAACTGCCGGAGCTTGCCCGAAACGGCTTGGCGCGATTCAACCTCGACTTCAAGTTCATCGACCTCCAACAACATCTCATGGTCTCGTCGTCTCGTCGTCTCATCATCCGCCCGCCGCGATCAGAGAGCTCCGGCACCCTTTCGCAACCACCACCGCCGCCACTCCCCGCCAGCCTGCCTCTCGCACAACCGACACCGCTCGAGGCATACTTGTGTGAAGCTCCTGGAGACCGCTTCGACCCGAACTTCCGCCCTCCTCATTTGGGGTCTGCTGCGAGCCAGAGTACCTACCTACCTACCTCTCCTCTCCTCTCCTCTCCTCTTTTCTGTCTTGTCGAATCGAGCCGTCGAATCAGCCACACTAGCACCCTGGTAGCACTGCACTGCACGTTCGAGAAGGACAGATCAGACCGCAGACTGCAGACCGAAACCAGCACAACTACAACTACAAGCACAAGAGCCGGCATAGCTACCTACCAAGCAATCATGTTCCACCGACTCCCTCGCGTAGCGGTGCTCTCGCGGCTCTCGCAACCGCTTGTCCAGTCCTCCTCCTTTTCCGCCGCGACTCGCGCGCCCCTTTCAATTATTCGATCACGCACCCCTCTCCGTCTGGCGAGTACGCATTCAGCAACTCACGGCGCTGCGAAGCATGACGACCACGGCCATGGCGGACATGATGACCACTTCGATCCTCCTGGTGGTTGGCTCTGGGGTGAGCGGCCGGGAGACAAATATGAGAAGGAAGGATGGGAGCCGTTTGCGTATTTCTTTGTGGCGGCCTGGGTGGTTGCCGTGGCTGCTTATACCATGAAAGAAGATACTACGTACGTATTGCCCTTTTCTTGCTTTGTCGTCCTGCAGCTTGTTCCCCTTGTTGTGTTCCTTACGGTCGCTCTCTACATTTTCCTGTCACGGAAGCTCGGTTGTCTCTCGTCATTCCCATTTAGCTGCGACAAAGGAGTTGCTGTATCTGTGTGTGCGTAAGCTTTGGAGAATGAAGAGCGATATATATCCAGACCGTTGTGCTTCAACAGCCCCAATCTCGAACGACGCAGCTCTGTTCGTACATTTTACTAACATGACATAATATCCAGGATACAAACGTGGGCATTGGAAGAAGCCAGACGACGACTCGAGAAAGAAGGGTTCTTCGAAGAATCGAAATAGGAAAATAGATTTTTTTTCTACTTTCCCAAGTCCGCGGTAGACAAAAGGAAAGGTGGTCACCTAGGTCTCTTGTCATGAAGATGGAAGAACCGCCTCTCCCCAGAACAGGTTCATCTATGAAATTCTTTAAATTGCGTATTGGCTCCTTTTCCTATTTCTCTTCTCTCTCTCTCTCTCTCTCTCTCTCTCTCTCTCTCTCTCTCTCTCTCTCTCTCTCTCTCTCTGTCTCCAGCTTGCTTTGCTTGCTTTGCTCGGGATACTTCGTCTCTCTCGCAGTTCGTCTTGAAACATCGGCATCGTGAGTGATTGTGGTGTGGTGTGGGCACTCGACTCAACCTCTAGAAAAGACATCGGAACTCTTGGGAAGTTGTTTGACCCGACAAGAAATGGGAAAAGACAAGACATGCAGTGACATTCAACCAAGCGGGCCATCTGAATTGGGGCCTCCACTGCACTGCACTGCACTGCACTAGCTGTTGAACCATCCGGGAAGATCTGCTACGCATGGCAGGCCAGAAAATGAGGAACCAGGGGGAAAGGTCAACGTGAAGAGGAGTGGGAACTCGAAACTCGAAACTCGTCCTTGAGACTTGAGACTTGAGATCTTGTCTTTTGACCTTTTCTTTTTCAGCTCCGTGGTCTTACGAATGTCTCGGGTTCTGCTGGAGAGAGATGTCTATCATATCATATTATACTGGTACGATGTGGGAGGCTCTGAGTCGCATACCTTATGTTGACAGACACTTACTTAACTAGGCACCTACGTATCCTACCTAACTACCTACCCCGTGTACTGAAGTTTTGAAGGGCTAGGGAGGCATCCCTACTACAATCTGGCGGTACCACTTACTAGTATTTTGTACTTATATGATGGCTTGCCCGCTCACCCGTTACTACGTAGTACGTACTTCCGGAGATACTCTTTGCCCACCTACCATTTGATAAGTAAATAAATACGTACCAGTAAGTAAGTAAATAAATAAACCCCATCATCTTGCAACGGCTGGGCCTACAGAATACACACTGCGATGGCTGCTACATACCACCATGGCGATGAAGAGAAGATAATTGGAGGCTGCACATTGGAGGTTGAGATTGAGATTGAGACTGAGACCACAAGTTGAGAGAGGACTGCATAGAGCCAAAACAATAACAATAGATGATGATTATACCTATATATATAATATGAGGTACTATAGAGGGTGGAATGTATGCGCGCGGCCTCTGAATGGCAGCAAGGTTTACACGAATAACGATGACGATTGGATCTCACTCGCGGCAGAGGAAGATAGGAGAGGATGTCGATATCGGCGTTCGAGATTCAGAAGGAAAAGAAGACATGATTCTGCACTGTATTTCATAATCCCAGTCTCTCTCTCATTGCTTCTGGTCGCGATCCCCAAGGTTGGGCTGATGGCCTTTATCATATAATCATGTTCATGATGAACCATCTCTCTCTCTCTCTCTCTCTCCCTGCTCGATCGGCTAATGCACAAAAATGTCGACTCCCACCTCGTTATTCCAGCCATGCTGTAATTCCATCTCAATCCATGCTGCACCAACATCAATTTCAAGCACACCACTCTCACCTGGAGCACCCTCCGTGTTCAACTTCACCACATGTTCGGGCACTGGTTTGCCCTGGATCAACACCATCAAATCCTCCACCTTGCGCGCGCTCGACTGGACGTCGGAAAGCCAGATACCAAGTACTCCAAGGGCTTTTAATTGGACGTGTATCTTCAGGCGAGACCCCGATTGTGCATGTGTCCCAAATTTCGATCCTGACTCTGACTCCGAATCTGACTCCAACTCGGCAGCATTGAAGGTTGCCTGGATTATGGCACATGCGCCGCTGAATTTCCCCAGAAGACCGAGGACGGCGAGCTCAAGAGCTGTGCCCAGGACCGGCAAAGAGAAGCTGTGCACAGGCACGGCGGTCCACACATCGTAGCCACGGATCGGCAGAGTGCATTGAAGTAGGCTGTCTGGTCGGATAGGGTCTGAAGGATGGATCGGTGAAGTTATACGTTTGGAGATGTGTGAACGGACAATCCACTTCTTTTTCGAGATGCCGGCGTCATTGGAGGTGGAAGTTGGGGCATTGACGCCTGGGAATTTGGTAATGGGGAGGATGAAGCTGGTGTCAGATTCGGCGATATTGAACACGCCCAGCAGGCCGGCTCCCACATCTGACTTGCCGTCGTAAGCGCCGACCTTGAGAACGCCTTTTTCCTCATATTTGTCGTAGACACCCATGGTCTTGCCCACACAACTAGGACGAAGGATGACCGTCTGTCCCCTCGGATTCATGGCCGTCATTTGGTGTATTAAATCCACGTCGTGCTCACCAGGAGTGTCGGTGATGTAAATAGGTCCACCCGACAAGCAGCGTGCTGCGGCATGGAATCCGCTATATGGATGGCTGGTTTGAAACATATCCCAGTCTGGCAGCACATTGAGATGCTGAACAAACAAGGCGTTATGGGCGTTCACGAAAACGTGCCAGGCATGAGAGCTGGGGACGTCAGGGAAGAAGTCGTCACTGTTTCGTAGCATTATCTGAGGGGTCGTCGTGGGAAGGAAGCTGTGGTAGAGGATTTGCGGGATCATTGACATGCAGGATATCGCTTTACCCGCAAGGTGGCGTAGATGGGCTTGGGTCCATGCCGATTGGTAGGTATTCGTGAAGGACCGGCGGTCCGATGTGTCTGCGAGGAGGTCGAGCGCGAATTGGACATCTGTCTTCACCGATGTCACGCCGGCATTCGATAGGAAACGGTAGAAATCGTCATAGAGCTTGTTAATGTCATCCGGGTGGACAACTAGTTTGCGGCCGGCCATGGGGGTCCCCTCCCGGAAGTTTACTTCAACTGTCTTGTGAGTCTTCGCAATCTCCCCGTCCGGAGATATGCCACCCCAGTATCCCATCAGCGCGTGCCAAACAGCAACGTCGTGGATTGCAGGGTGAGTGTCCCGGATTTTCGAAACAGCTGCCTTCAACCCCTCGGGAAAGCCAACGGGATTGGCCTCAAAGGCCTTCCAACCACGTTGAAATTGGTTTGTTTCGCCCTGAGTGCCGTCAAGAGATTGCCAGTTGTCGTCAATGATGAGTGTTGAAATGTAAATCTTATTCCTAGCCAGTGAGTCTAGACCATCCATGATCTTCTCGGCATTGAGGTCTTGACCCAGAGAGTTCCACGTGCAGTACGCAAGGCTGTCATACCAGGATTCCAACCATTGAGGCTCTGGTAGAGCATCCTCGTCTGCATTCTTCGAATGGTTGACCAAGACCGTGTCTGAATCGACCGAGTCGGCTCGGATACTCTTTGGCAATTGTTCGAGCTGTTCAGTTACCTGTTGGAAGGCCGCTGATTGTCGGACCAGCTTCCGAGCCTCATACATAACAGCTGCGTTCGCAACCTCGAACTTCCATGCAGACGCTGCCAGGACCTTGAACCTTTGGTCTTTACCGGAGTCATTTCGAGCCTGGACCACAATATCACCGTTTGGAGTTGACCGAAACTGTGTAAGGACGTCATCCACGCCGTTGACAGCCAGTAGCACAACGTGTAGACCGTCGGATCTTAAGAACGAAAGTAGAATGGCCGGCTCGGATAAATGCAGTTGGGTTTCGCCGTGGCGAGGTGCCAACCAAGGTTCCCATATCCTCACAAGACCGAACCATCTGCAGGTTTGAGTGACACGGCCAAGAGTGAGGGACTCAAGTTGCGCGTTTCCTTCTTCCGGGGTCGGGATAGGATGAGCAGATTCGATGGTGTAAAGGCGGGCTTCCGGCGCGTCACTTGGGGTTTTCCTGATTGTCCATCCGTCTAAGATCTCAACAGGGTACGCGCCGAGGAAGTTCGGGTCAATAGGGGGCTGTAACACCAATGCGCCATCTCTGATGCCAAAGTTGTGATACACCCACATCCATTCGGAATTGGAGTCTATGCGATAACGGACGGTGAAAGGTACTCTTCGGCCCTTGTAAGTCTTATCTGGAGAGACATACGGGCTAGACAGATCCCCAGAGAATGTATAACGATATGTGGAAGTTTGTGTATCGTCGTAGAGAATTTCCGGGGTGTGGTCCACGAGTTGCAGGTCGAGCGCCTGCCATGGAGATTTGGTTCCCGAATAGCTGCCATAGTCATACCATATCGAAACCTCCCAAGGCCTCTCAGGTAAAGATTTCGATGACTCGAGAATAACTGTAAAGTTGAACTGTGATGGGTTAGCGAGGACGTGCTGGAGATGGGGGCACGTTGTCCAAACGTCATTTTGGGGCGGACGCATGTGGCATGGAGAATCTGCGGTCTAGAAACCCGCCGCATTGCTTCACCTATCGATCAAATACCATGATCTGTACTTACTTTGTCTCGTGTGGGCGACACCACGGTGACCTGGCCAAGAGGAGGATAAGTGGCTAGCTTCGCAAACAGAGCCATCTGTGCAGGTCGAAAGAACTTTATCTGCGACGGCTTTAACGGAGGGCCGTAGGAGTGACCATCAGGCGTGGAATGAACGGTGAACGACATGCGTAGAGAAGATGCATAACAGTGGTCGCCGTGGGTGCTTGGGGGTGGCGTAGCGACTCTTTCTCCGGTGTCCAAATTGGCGGAACAGGATGCCGGTATGACAGAAGAAGGTGAGATGGATAGAGACGGGCTGGATAGAACTCGAGGTTTCGATGGCGGAGCCAATGATGGTCCGACGGCTGTAGACGATGGTATATGGGCGAGATGGGATGTTAGTAGACGGCGCCACAGAGTTTGATGGACACTTGGAGTCCGTATCTCGAGCTTTTGGTTGGGTGGTTGGGCCTTCTCAATCGGTAGACATCGCGCAAGGGGCCGTCGCTCTGGAGAAGCCCAAGGAGCCGATCGACGGCATCCAACCCATCATGACCTATGTTCCCGCTGCGGGCACCTGGCGGGTGTGGATAGGGAGGACTCCGGCTCAGGCTCTCGGTGGCTGGAGGAGAATCAAATATGGGACGGCTTGATGGAGGATTCGGGGGCCCGGTGGCCCAGTCAGACACTAGGTACGTAGGTAGTTGATGCTGGGGACTCGGAGGAAGATGGTGGCTTGTGCTGGTCGTTCCGAACTCCGGATTTTATCAGTCAGACGTTTCAAGAAGCCCAGACCACTATGTGATGAGAAACACTAGGAGGCCTATTGGAGCTGAATAGATGTGTTACTGGTTGTGACAAGGAGCAAGAGAGGAAATCATGAGAGTACGAATTTCGCCAGACCGCAGGCAGCAGGCAGCAGGCCGCAGGCACACAGTAGAGTCACGTGCCCGTCACTACTCTGTATAGCGTAGTAGGGATCAGACGGATCAGACCATGAAATGAGACCGTGGTATTTTATTTTATCACATCCACCCACTGGCATGCCTCATGGCCAGCAGAACCCTCATCATGCCTGTATCTGCCGAACTGGGTCCTTTGAGACCCAAGTCCACCAGTGGTAGCGGTACTCTGCACACGGGATCTTGGAAAGCTGCCGGCTTCACCCAACCGACGCATGCTAAAATTGACGATCGCCTACCCCAGTTGGTATTCATACTCCATACACGTCCTTCAATTCGTCGTCTTCTGAGTAGGACTCGTTGCCCAACTCCACGCCACTGTCCACAAATGTGGTCGTCTCCGGTTCGGCCCCAGCATTTTGGCTCCCTTCTCGGGGCAATTGATACGCCAAATATTCCACCGGCGCCCTTTCCTTCTTCTCCATGACCTCTTTCATGTAGCCTTGCACAATTGGAAGAGGTTTGGCAGCCCGAGCAATCGTCTCGATGGTGCGGTGATTCACCGCTTTGATGGTCATCGTCACTGGCTGGTAATATTCCTGCTCCGCCTTCCATTTCATAGGCATGGTGTTATCATCTTCTCCGGTAGACCCCACCCCTTGGCGTGATAGAATATCGGAGCCCTTGCGTTCCACGAGAAACGAACAGACCATCTCGAGGCCTCCATAGCGGATTTCAAGGACGGCGTGTTCCGGAAAAAGCCATCGGTCTTGACATGGGGATTGGTTGCTTGATGGTGTACTTGTCAACTCCAAAACAATATGCTTGATGATGGGTTCCGGTCGTGGTGGTGGTGGTTGAGGAGGAGGAGGATAGCCCATAAACCCGCCCAGTGGTGTACCTGGCCCATGAGGGGGTCGCATTGTTTGCGGAGAAAACGTGTGCATTACTCCAGGCAAGGTTCCTGGTGCTGACGGAGGAGGCGGCTGTCGTGGCGGAGCTTGTGCGGGATTGCTTATCGACGGAGGTGCTGTAGCCGGCGCAGGAGGTGGATGCGGCAGCTGCAGGGGAACCGTTGGGGTGGGTTCAGGTTTCGCTTCTTTTGACACATCCGTGGGCGTAGGTCCTGGAGGTTTCGTCGGCGGAGCATTCTGCAGTCGTTCTTGACTCTTGGCAACACGCTCCGCTTCCTGTCTTCGCACCACCTCGTTGAACTCGTCAATATGAGCCTGAAACTCTTTCAGCTGCTCCGCAGACGCTTTCGAAGTGGCCACTATCTTCATCAGCTCTTTCAGCTGAGGGTCTGATGCGGCACGCGCCGCTAGCATTTGGATGACTGGATCGGTCGTACTCCCTCTCCCTCCTGGGGGCTGGCTCGGCTTCTGGTTCGGAACCGGCGTCTGAGCAGGTTCTGGCGGGGTCGGTGCGGAAGATCTGGGTTGAGACGCGGCCAGCGGCGCAGATGTTGATTGGCGAACTGAGGTTATTACCGGCTGAGGAATCTCCTCTTGTTTAATGGGAGCAGGAGAAATGCCAGCCTGGGCAGGTTGCGGCTGCGGCGGTATGGCCTGAGGGGCAATATGCTGAGGTGGCGTGTTCGATTGGGGCGGCGTAGGCTGGGGAAGCGGGCCCATGTGAGACGCAGTTAATTGTGAATGTGAGTTCGGTTGAGACAAGTGATCTGGCGCCTTCGCCTTCGCCTTCGCCTGGGCTGCTGGTGCTGGATGCTGAGGCGCAGACGGAGCAGGTGTATGTGATCCCGGACGAGGAAACGGACTTGGAGAATGATACATGCCGTAGGGAGATGGTGATGGTATCATGTTCTTCGTCGTGTGCTGATTGGCATGGCGATGATGAGGTTGAGGTGTTGACGGGTCACGAACGGTGTAGAAAACGGCATCAAAGATATGAGGCTCGATAGTAACGGTGGCATTGCCTAGTTTGTGCATCGACTTGACGTCTGGATTGTTTGCAGGAGCTTCAACGACACCCTTCCTCTTGACCGGTTTGACCCAGTATTTTTTGAATACACCATCGACCAACCATTGCATGCGAGATCGATACAGCGACACCGAAAGTACAGCGCTCTCCGCGATGGACTGATATTCATTTAAAGACAAGTCGGTCGGTTGTTTGTGCTTGAGAGTGGGCAGTGGCTTATTGGCAACGAGTCGGGTAGGTAACGTTTCTTCGACGGCCGGAGTAGATGGGGAGGAGATGGAAGCAGGAGTTGAAACCCTGACCAGGCTGGCGCGTTTAGTATATTTGCGCTTCTGACGAGGCTCGACAGACTGGGTCGGCGTGGACTGTTTTGGAGCGCTTGGATTGGAAACCGGGGTCTGTCCAGGGGACGATGGTTTCCGCTTGGCCGCACCATCTCGACGATCGCGAGCTGGTAGCTTCCGCTTTTGTGGCGTCGCGTCGACCATAGTCTGTCGGGCAGATGAGCATATGTCGATTGTTGTTCCCACTGCGTGAAAAGAAGCACGTCTCTTGGTGCCTACAGAGTAAGTAAGTAATACGTAGTAAAGAGAAAGTGAGAGGACGCGGGCGTGAAGGGCAGGTTAGCCGACAGAGTTATGTCACTTATCACTACGTGCATCCTGATCCTATCACATACACTGTCTAGATGCTATTGAATCAGCCTCATCAATGCCATTCTTGTCTATGTGAACTCTGCTGAACTCACTTCTCGTCATTTGGGCCATCGAGAATGGCTAGATTACTTCTTTGCCCTTAGAACTCTATGGTTTGCAAGACTTCCGCGCGGACATCCATCGAGTTGCTTTCCACAACATTTCTGGCAAGCTCATTCTGATGGCGCTAGATAGCTTTCTCCGAAAGGCCTACTGGACTCTCGCTGCGTGTGGTCTGGTATATGCCCTGATCCTTGGAGCTTTGACGCATCCTGCAGTCCAGCGAAATGCAACATACGCGCATAACATCAATCCCTCCTATTTCCAGGATTTGAGCAATGTCGAGCAATTCGGCTTTCTACAACATCAGATTCAACCCTTCACGATTACTACGCCGGATAACGTGACCTTGTTTGCCTGGCATATCTTGCCACTACCCCTGTACCGTCAGCATGAGCAGGCGTTGAAGGAGCAGGCTGAGTTTGGTGTGAAGCCGTATGACAGCGCGGCAAAGAGCGTTGGCCTCCAGCTGCTCCTCAATGACCCTGATGCCATCGCTGTGGTGAACTTCCATGGCAATGCTGCTCACCTCGCTTCCGCTCACAGGCCGGTGACGTATCAGCAGTTGCTCGCCCTCTCGACGCGCGAGAAGCCTGTCCATGTGATTGCCTTTGACTATCGTGGCTTCGGGTTAAGCACAGGCAGTCCGACAGAGGAGGGGGTCATACAAGACTCAGTATCGCTGTTGTCTGCATTGACAGGGCAACCGGCAAGCATGAAAAGTCCTAGCAACGAACCTGCAGAAGCCCTCCAGCCCTCCCAGATCATCCTTGTGGGTCAGTCTTTTGGAACATTTGTGTCGACGGCAGTCTACCACGAATGGACCTTGAATCTGGGCAGAGCACCGTTCAAAGCGTTGGTATTGTATGCCAGTTTCACTTCATTGCCCACCTTGCTCGAGTCCTATTCGATCAAAGGTCTCACTCCTCCCCTGCTGTCTCCGTTGCTGGCATACCCTCGCCTACAAAAATGGCTGGTCTCCAAGCTCGTGGACAAATGGGAGACGAACAACAGATTGGTGGACTTGGTCCAGAACCCAGCGGTGCAGCTGGACTTGGTTATGATGCACGCTCGGGATGATTGGGAGATCCCTTGGAGAGAAGCCCGGGCTGGCTGGGATCGGGTACTGCACGCGGCATTAAAGGACCAGGTCGATTTCCCTCGCAACCTCGATCTTGAAGAGTGGCAGAGTGACGATGGAAGAAAGCGCTTACGATGGGAAAGGGTTCGGCATGGGGGCCACAACAGGGTTGTGTCGAGTGAGCACGCCAAACTGTCGATAATGCGACTCATAGACTGAGGCCGTACAGGAGCTGGCTGCGGTTGTCGGGCGGCACTGTTGACGAGAAGACTAGAGGTGATAGATTCGTGTAAAATGCGATCCTGGAGCAAATCTGGATCTTTGGAGTATGTGGAGACGGGAGATGGGAGATGTGCGTACAGCGCGTATTGGGATGTTTCTGAATGATTGTAGCATTGTACAGAGGTAGAGAGCATTAATATTGCAAGTGATATGGTGGATTGATTCCAATCATCTTAGTAGTGGTAGTACTGAGTATTGCATGAAAAAGTGGCGGGCGAGGTCGTTGTCTCCTGCGCCTTGACTGCTCATCCACCATCCACCATCCACTCTTCAATCGAGTCTGGAGACTACTACTGACTGCAGCGCCGACTTGTCGCTTGGTCATCGCCAACCTAGCCTTCCCTTTCTTCGCGGTCCAACTCTAGCATTCTACGTCGAGCTTCCAACAGTTGTCCAACGCAGCAACCCAGCGAGACAGTTAATCTCCAAGAGAGGCATATCACCAGTCCTGCCCAGACAAGCTGCCTACTAGCAATCGCCCTCCTTGACACTTCCGCTCTTAAGATCCAACCCTCGATCAATCTGCCCTTCCCCGGATTTGCCTCCGCAACGTTGCAACTCCTGGTTATCCCTCGCTGCCATGATCACATCGCGGCATTCACGCAGAAGGCTGCGATAGCCCCTCTACGCACCTGCGCTCATGGAAGGTGGCTGAATGTCTACTTCTACTCCTCGAGATGGCCCCGATGCCAGCGAAGACCTCGGAACCCTCCCTGCGGACCATCACCTGTCGCTTCCCACTTTTCATTCCGTCCACGATGACTCAAGAGGAGGAGACTCGAGAAACAATTCGGTTGCCTCTGGCTCCGTCAGCCATCAAAGTGGGAGTGACCATGCAGAACCGCAACGAGCACATCTCTTAGAGCGGCTGTCATTTACCAACCGACCACAGGGTGATAATGACTCTCGGGGCAAGGACAACGAAAGAGAAGACGGTGCGCACCGCCATCATTCAACCCGCGGCGCGGGCGGCTTCCTCTTGGAACCAGTCACTAGCTCTAAGCGTCTCTCCGTCGCATCGTCGGCGCCATCTGGAAGGAGTTCGAAGACGAATAGAGCAGGTGAGGGATCTGAATTGTTGGTTTCAAAGAGAAGGAAACGAGACAATGGCCACGCCAACTCTTCGTTCAGAAGCTCTCCTCTCTCTTGTGAAGTCCAACAAGATCCCATCATGCAGAGTCACAGGAACTCCGATATATCCGTTTCCGGTGCGGGCATGCGCGGGTCACCTTCGTCTTCCCGAATTGACTCTCGGCTTGATCACAACGTGGGTTCGGCCTCTGTCAACACAGATACAGAACGATCAACAGCGGCAAAGATTGGCTATGATCAAGATCCTGCACAGATTGTGAGTATGGCTTTGACTTTGAGTGAAGGCCGACGTCGGCTGGCATCTGGCAGAAGGTATGCTTCAGGGGAGCAAGGCGAACGTCGGGTTATCTCCACGGCCTCGACTGCCAGTCCGCGTAGTGCGGCTAGGAGGAGTATTGCTCCATTTCTGGGATCGAACCGCCCGTCTTCGAGGACGGGCTCGCCGAAGCCAAGATTCTCGACTGTCTTTCAAGAACCACGGACAGCAAGTCAGACAGTTGCCATCGATAATGCTGCTGCTGCTGTAGGGCCAGAGAATGGTTCTGATGTCGACATTGATTTGGCCGACGAGATATCACCCGCTACTGCAGCCCGGGTAAAGAGGGCAGAGGCGTACTTCGAGCTTGCTTACGAACACCGTCGTCTGCTGCCACATCTACCCCCAGTTCGCAGACCTGGTAGTCAGCCACACTCTTCGGGGCCTGAAGTCTTTCAGAAGGCGTATAACCCACTACAATATGTTCGAAACCGCAAGCTTCGCATTTGGGAGAAGACTCCCATCGATAGTGAGGCAGATGGCTGGCATGACGTACCAAAGGTCCGGACATGGGTAGATGCTGTGATTTCAAGTCATCCAGAAACCCATCATGACCCTGTCGAGTGTGTCCGGCTACCTCCCTTTGGCCAACGTCCGAAGAATTCGGATGAGGATGTTTCTGGCCAATTGTCAAAGGAATTAAAGAGCACAGTGACCTCCAGACTACCAGACCAGTTCCATGCCAAACCGATCCGTCCCAGATCGGATTGGGTCACTCATCCGGCTGATCTGCTGGCCGATGCGTACTGGTTGGAACAAGGGATGAACAAGACCAAGATCCAAGATCGAGACAACAATCTGATCTATCCTCCCTACACGCATTTCAAGTTTTCGGGCTGGCGAAACGCCGCACCAGTCGATGTCCCCCCAACAACACAACAGCCTTCGCCTCCTCCCGAACAAGACGACGATATAATCCCAGAACCGCCTCCTTCAGCCTTGCCTGAATTGCCCACTTTCACATCCGCCCTTCACTCGCACCAACATCTCCGTCACGGTCGGCGACGGGACAGACTTAAGGACACCCTTCAGATTGGAGACACGAGCAGCTCAAGAGAACGTTCACGACTACGACAGAAGCTATTTCAGGATAGTAGCGGATCGGAGGATTCTGGTTCAATATCATCTGGCGACGACCTTTTGGAGCGTGGTCGTAAACGATTGCGGCGCAAAAGATATCTGTCACCTGGCAAGGGAGGTCAAGAAAGCCATTCTCACTCCAGGAAATCACCTCATGTCTTTGGTGGCTCTCGCGGTGATTCGAGTCAAGGCTCATCAGCACCAAATTCGAAACGGTCATCGGTCGACCTTGGGACCTTGAATAAATTGTTTAGTGTGGACAGTCTCAAAAGGGCCTCCCCGCTGAACAGGTCACGGACCAGACAGGATTCTACCCATGCTGGGGCGACGAAGGTTGCCACACGATCAAGCCTCGATTACGAGGCAATGCCACGTGCCTCTATGGACTATGATACAACCACGGCTCCAAACTCACCCAACGGAGTGGAATGGCCGAGTATTGCCATTAATCTCTCGCCACCTCCCAGCAGAACCACATCCCCTAAACGCAAAACTCGGTCTGCCGTGCTACACCCGTTCCATCGGAAACATCACAAAGCCCCGGAGCAAGTCAGCACGACTGATTTTGCTCATGTACCCCCGGTGCAGGTGATGCCACCTCAGGGCAGTGAAGTGGACACCCAGGCCGACCATTCCAAGTCTCGCGGCACAAGTCCGATGACGAAGGGATTGAGCCCGTTCTCTGCAAAAGAAGCATACGCAACGCAATCAGCACAGCAAGACCGCCTGGAGTCACAATCGCCCCCTGATACTGGTCTGAATCATGCTAGCAAGGTCAGCACCCGCTCTACAGCCACTACAGGTAGCGACCATTCCAAAGTCCGGGGCATTTTCAAAGGGGGAAGAATTGCGGCAATCGTTGGCAACGAAGTGTCCCGAGTGGGCGACTTTATCTGGAAACGTGACCCGCCGCCGCTATATGAACATCGGGGTTCGGTGTCGACTGGTAGTCTTCGTCTACATTACGGATCGGAATCGGAGAAAGAGGCTCCTCAGAACAAATCCAACCCCCAGACACCAGCGACCAACTTACTATCAAGGTCGTCCACTGTTTCTAGCACAAGGAGTGAACGTCTTTCGCCAGTCTCCACGAGGGGCAGCCCTCCAGCTAACGGTCGGCCTCGGTACAACAACCCCAACCTTCCCAGCTTCACATCTCCCTTTCAGAAAGATCGACAAGAACAAGAAAAGAAGCAGGCATTATTGACAGCCGACAATGACGGGGAACTGTCCGAGTCCGGGGACCATATCTCACGCCTTGCCGCCCAGCACCGCTCGGCGTCTCACTCCTCACGACTGGACCGTCTAGCTTTGCCAAAGTTAGATACAGGAGGGCTGAAGCCTCCCAACGGCGTCGACCGAACGAAAAACTATGGGTTTGGGGCACCCCTCGATTTGAGCAGGTCTCGCGATGCGTCCGACCTCCTGAACACGGCGCTTGGCCCCGCCAGTCGTCCGCCTCTCCGCGTCAGCAAATCCACCGGCGACGTTGCACAGCCGGATGGAACTGACGGCGGCCCGGAAAACACCGAACCAGCAGATGTATCGTGGCGAGACATCAGCCGAGCCGAAGCACTGCTTTACAGCTCGACAGTGAAAGCAAGGGAGATCGGACGACGGGCCGACGAGGAACAATCGGACCTACCCAAGTTCTTGGTCGAAACTCTCACGCCCGAAAACCGCCGATTGCACGCTGCGAATCAGCTCCGCGTCAAGAAACGCGAACGCCACATCGTTGCCGCGCGAAACATCATGCACACTCTGGACAGACACTCGTCGACCTTCAACGAGAAACTGCAGTCCTTCAACATCTCCATGGCCCCGAGTCTGCATACCCAACTGCAGACACTCGAGGACAGGGTGGAGAACACCATGACGCCCAAGGTGCGCATCACGGCCGACAAAGCCGGCGAGCTGAGCATGAAACTCACCACGACGAGTACCCTGGCGGTCAAGCAGTTGAATGATTCGGTTGACGCTGCTTTCCGAAGGAGACGCAGAGGTCCAGTCAGGCTCGTCCGTCGGGTCTGGTTCGCTGGGATCGAGTGGACTGTTGTCGGTCTGCTATGGTTCATCTGGGCCGTTGTGTCGATGGTCCAGTTTGTGTTGGGAGTTTCGAGGGCGGGTATGAATATGCTGAAATGGCTCTTGTGGATTTCTTAGTGCGAGGAAGGCATGGATCCAGCCATGATATGGATATGCGATTTGCTGTTCCAGATAGGAAGGCGATGTGAGTGGTTCTGAATCGGCGACTCGGCGATTCAGTATGGGCTTTTTAGCGACAGCGACAGCGTTCTTCTGTTCATTTTTCCGCTTTTGCTTTTCCTTTTTCCTTCGAGTCCGCTGGGCGATCATATTGAGTATAGCGTATACATACCATATCTGCGAGTGAAGTTTTGATGCCTGTTTTCTCTACCTCGTCGCTCGAACTAAGACAGTTTATGTGTAGCAAACATCCGCCTGCGGCTCATGGTAGAGGGGTTTCACGCTTGACTACGGCCGTCATTCATCCGATGTATAGCTGTAAGGAAGTTAGGCAGCTGGTAGGCAGGCAGACAGGTGGGTGGGTAGGTATTTGTCTACCGCTCTCAACGTGTGCATGTTTCTGTACAAGACCAAAGTTGCATGCCCATACTGGAAGGACTTTTTCTACCGAATTCGCGCTCGCATTGTCAAGTGTACATTTTCTACAGCACTCCACCGGCAGGTTACCATCAACAGGCCATGGACGGGAGCGACAAAAGCAGATGATGTCGCCCTTCCCCCCTTCTCTACCCTTATGGATATCCTTGTTCTCGCGTTCCCCAGTCGCGGTGTGCTCTATTCCACACGGAGACACTGCAGTCTGGCCTCGGTCTCGATGACATCCAACGCCTGTCTGACTTCCAGGACTTTGCGCACATCGGCCAACCAGTCCCGGCTCAGCAGCTTAGCCCAGCCGGACAGAGAATTCATTTCGCGCGCGGCGTCATCCAGATCTCCTTCCTCCAACAGGGCCTCTGTGCGAGTGAGCACGCTCTCGACGTCGTCACCGGTGGGATGGCCCTGCTTCTTGAACAGGACTTTCGACAGGACCAGACTGGCTGCGTGGGAGGCGACGCCCGCGTTCTCCGGCAGCAGACTGGCCTTGCGGACTTCGTTGGCCACGCGCCGGAACCGGTCGATCAGCTGGGACTGGTTGGGGATCCCGCGCTGGTATGCTGCCGGGTTGATCGAGGCGATGGCGGCGTCGACGACCGGGTCGCCGTCGGCCACGAGTTTGAGCGCGGCCATTTCACGCACGAATGCTCTCGGCTTCGCCTCGGATGCGGCGGACTGGTCGAGAGCCGCGCGGACCGCGTCAACTGCGACCTGGAGTTTCTGGGTCGCCAGATTCGCGTCAATCACTCCGTTCCAGTTGGCCGTCAGCTCGGTGAGATTCTCGACGTTGGAGCTAAGGTCGGACAGTTTGGCAAGGCGGCCTTCGCGTTCTGACTCAACGAGCTCTTTGATCTCCTTGACAAACTGGTGTTTCAGCTCGATTGCTTGCTCCGCGAGCTCGTTCTTGAGGCGTTGTTCTGCCAGTTCCTTGCTGCGTTGGATCTCCGTCCTCATCCGCTCCTCGTAGATCTGTGCCAGACGAGCCCGTTCGCTCTCAAATTCTTCTCGGTACCGAGCGTCGTCTTCGGCTTGGGCGGTCTCGATGCGTTTGAGAAGTTGTCTGGCGCCTTCGTCGAACTCCTTGTGCGCTTGCTCAATCTGCTCTTCCGCCGCTTTGCGTTCAGCTTCGCGGAGAGAAGAAATCTTGCTGGCGACCGACTCAAGGGCTTCCTTGGCCTTGGCCATTGGGGCGGAGTACTGGTTGGCGGCGTCGGGCGAGTCCGCGTTCACGACGGTGATGAGGTCGTTAACGATCTTGACGAGTTCTTGTACCACAGGTTCCTCGGCATTGGGGACTGCCAAAGGTGAAATTTGGGTGACTGGCGAGATAGCTGGTGGTCTCGAATCACTCTTCGCAGGTGACTCGGTCGTTAGACTCGATGCTTTCGCGGAGCTATCATGCGGCGCGGGGCTCTCCGTCGTGACACTGGAGTCCTTCTTTACGGATTCAACAGCGGCACTTCTCTCCTTCGGTGTAGCGCCATTCGGATCATCTTTCGCATCAGTGGTGTCCTTTTTGGAAGCCGGCTCGTTGGCATCCAATGCACTCATATGCTTGCCCTTTTGAGAAGCATCACTGCTCGACGGTTGCTCGTCTGCTACTCGCCAGGAGATGCCGGACTTCGTTGGGATCGTGGTAACCTTGCCCTCATCTTGTCTGTCGGGTCGAGGAAGTCTAACCACGTTGTGTCTCGTGTGGGGAAACCTCTTCTGAAAGGATCGCTCCTCGAAATATAACACTGCCTCTTCACCAAAAGGAATATACTCCGTAAAGAAATCATGGAAGTTGTCATTTCCCAGGGCGTAAAAAACGGCTCCGCCGTAAGTCACAGCGCTGAAGAAGAGAAGGTAAAACAGCAACCGAAGGCGTCTGAACCGCTTACGGGATGGAGGAGTCGGTTTCTGAGATGGCGGAGGTGGTGGAGGCGGCTCTGCTGGGCTGACAGAGGACGGACTGGTGGGAGGTGCGGTTTGAACTTTGGTCGGGCTAGGGGGAGTCAGAGGCACGCTCTCAGGAGGTATTGTCGACGAGGATGACGGCGCCGCAGGACTGGGAGCTGACGGTGCCGGGCTTCCTGGGCCTCCAGGTCCCAATGGGACTTCTGTCTTGACGTGAACTGCAGAGCTTTGGCTGCCTGGCATGAAAGCCGGGTCAGAGCTCAAGATTGACTCTTTCTTCTCGGCAAAGGTTCGTCTCTAGAAGTTCGCTGGTCAGTCGCACGAGCTCAACATGGGGTTGGAGGGTTTGACGCACCTGGGGTATAGATTGCGCGAGCATACGCCTGCGCAATGTAACGCCCAGAGGTCTGGTGAGTCGCAGCATGGCGGGCCGAGCTGCCATTCCCAGGCCGTGAGAAACGAGTGTGAGATATTTGTCTGGCAAGTGAACAGGATCCTGGAGGTCTCGAAGAATTCCGAGGTGAAGCTTGCGAAAAGCTCTCGATTCGGTTGCACGCGATGCTGCTGTTACAGCATGAGAGAAATCGTATGTCATGTGACTAAGTCAATACAAAAGCGGCGTGACTATTTACGATCGATATGTCTTCTCTCAAGACACAACACGGCGACATCAAATAGGGTCCATTACGATTTCTACCGACATTTCTCTATGGGTCGTGCAATGAACTTTTCCTGCCGTTCCGCGCCCTCGGACGCCTTGCTAAACCTGACATGATAGAAGAATCCTGCGTGTCCATGCCGCAGAGTTTCAAGCCTTCGTCTTTCCCGCCTTCTCGAGCTTCCTGCGCTTTGCCCGCAGTTTCTCGGCCTCAGAATCACGCTTGTTGTTCGAATGCTGCATCTTCTCGAATAGCTTCCTCTTCTTGTTGCTCATCATCATCTTTTGGCGCTCAATCTCTTCCTCTTTCTTCGACTGCGCAGTCTGCCTAGCTTTGATGGCTTTGGCTTTCCTAGCTTCTTCCTTGGAATGAGCAACAGGAACCGGTCGCCCCGAAGCCTCAGCTTCGAGCTCCTTCTGATGCTGAGCCTCATCGTCGAGGTCCGAAGATACGTCAGAGGCATCCTCCGCATCGTCGAAGCCGGAGAACCCATCCACTTCTTCCTCTGCCGATTCGTCCTCTGAGCCGGCAACGTCCATGTCCCCGGCATCGACTGCCTCGTCTTCCTCCCCAGACTCATCTTCTTCATCTTCTCCCTCAGACGCGCTCACCTCACCCTCCGCTTCATCATCCCCGGCATCTTCATCAGCTTCGCCTGCAGGCTCTTGTTCCTCTAGCGTCGCCCTCGGATCGTACTGCCCACTGGTAGGTCTGATCCAAGGACTGAGATGCGGCGGAAGAGTGGCTCCAGGGGCATATAGATCAGTCCTGAGCAGCTTACCCTCATTGACGCAGTCCCAGATCCACTGTGGCTGGACATAAACCCGGCCTGGTATAATATAACCAGGTTTGACGACTTGGAGCTTTTGATCATTCGGGGTTTCTTGGCCTTGCACGGCAGGTAACGCTTGCGCCAGTGCGGGCCGATCCACAACCTGGTGGGTGATTCTAGGGTCAGTCTCATCATGGGTGAACGCACCATCTCCGAGGACTGGATCCCACCCGATGCGTTTGCATCCAAATGCGCGGAGTAGAAACTCGATTGGATGGCGGGGCGCTTCCCGGGAGATGAAGAAGGTGAAGTTGGAGAAAAGAGTGCCGGCTTCGTCACCAGAGAGGTCGGGTTGCGGCAGTGTGTCACCTTCGGGCGCCGCAGGAACGAAAGTGTCGATGGTGCCACTGTCGGCCTGCTCCTCGGGGACTTCGTCTTGCTTGGTATCATCCTCCACATCGGCTTCCTGAGCGATCTTGTTGATCTGCGCTTGAAGTGTCTCAGAATTCTGCACCTGTCCATCCCCATTGGTCAGTGTTTTCTGTTCGTCCTCCTTCTGCTCGATGGCTCCAGCGACACGATGGCCTTCAAGAGTGAATGCCGAGAGCTCAGCTCCTCGCTCGTCACTAGCGACATCGAACTTGGGCGGGTACACCAAACCAATCGAGGTGTAAAGTCTGTAGTTGACGAAACCCAGCAACGTGCAGTAGAATTCGACAAATGTGCCCATGATTCTATAGTCCACATCTTGTGTAATTCTCTGCACAAATTTATATGGCACCAACCACATGATGTCTTGCCCCTGGATCGTGGCCTGGTAGTAGATACCCTTTATAGACAAGAAAGACTTTCGGAGGGAGTGCGTGGTGATGAGATAGTGTTCGAACTCGTGGCACAGACGTTGGCAGCGGGCGATGACTTTCGCGGGGACGGCGGAGGTCGATGGCAGGTTCGCAAAGAGGAACAACAGGGAAAGTGCATCGTCAAGGTCTCTCAGGGCGTCGACAAAGGTCGGGTATCTTTCTCGGACGATGTGATCGAGTTTGATCTTGGGCATGGCATATTTCTCCAGCCTGACCGCATCTTGGACTTCATTGCGGCCCAGTGATCTTGCAATTTTCTTCGACAGCGCATTCTGTTCCCGGAACTTTTGCAGGAGGGGCTCATGAAGCAGGTACTGAATGTCTTTTGTGTAGTAAAACGTGGTCGAATGAGTGGCCGATTTACTTGCTTTCTTGATATTTCGAGGCTCCCGCGGATAGATTCCTTTGAAGATGCATAGTCGGCGAAAGTCAGGTAGGGAGATTTGCAGCTTGCGCACGGCTTGGGTGCGAGTGATGTAGTTCTTTGCCTGGCCGGCCTGGCCCTTCTTCTTCTGTTTAGCCATGTTCTAGGGTTATGGGAATGCAGAAACTCGAATGGGCGCAGTGGTTGAATTCTACAAAATGGCAGAATGCGCGAGAGGGAAAAAAGTTTCGATATGCATTAATCGGGGAAGGTTTGCCGACTCCGCAAAAAGGGATCTCGTCGCGTATCTCGTATCCAGCAGAGCAAAACGGCCACTTTGGCAGCCTCGACTCCTTTTCATTTCTCTTGTATACGCGCCGATGAACGGGTTGGGGCGGATGTGTAGCCAGACACAGTGATGGCAATATCGCTGGACCGCCAGACGGTGTCTATATACGCAGGAGCGGCTCTTCTGAGGCTGCTTGTCTTCGTGGCCTTCCCAGATCTGTCCGACTTTTTGGGCAGTCAAGTCGAGATCTCAACGCCGATATCCAGCTTCAAAAGATTACAAGAAGGCCTGTTCTTATATCAACATGGCCTATCGCCCTACGATGGCGGGGTGTACCATCAAGCACCGTTACTTCTGGTCATCTTCGAGATCCTGCCCTCGGCGCTGGTCTTTGTTGCATTGGACATCCTGAACGCCGTCTCCCTGCATACGATTGCGAACAACCTGGATATTCCGTCGCGGCGGTTCAGAAAGCTCGACGGCACCCTGATTGCCGCAGCTTATCTTTTCAACCCCTTCACAATTTTATCCTGCCTAGGGAAGAGTACCAGCATCTTCACGAATACCGCCATCATTCAAGCGGTCTTCAACGCTCAATCGGGCAACCCGCTTCGAGCAATGTTCAGCCTCGCCATAGGGACATATCTGTCCATGTACCCCGGTCTACTTTTACCGCCAACGCTCCTCATGATCCTCAAGAACAAGGATCAGCCTGCATCGCTGGCCTCACTGGTCATGTCATACATCGGAGCCCTTGCAGCACTACTCTCCACGACTATTATCTTGACCGACGGCTTCTGGGACTTCCTTTCGTCCTGTTACGGAGCACAGCTTACAGTCACGGATCTGACGCCGAACGTCGGATTGTGGTGGTACTTCTTCATTGAGATATTCGATTCCTTCCGAGACTTTTTCATCGGAGTTTTCTGGTTACATCTGGTGGGATACGTGGGAGGCTTGACCTTCCGACTTCAGAGCCAACCACTCTTTGTCATCACCAGTCTTTTGGGGTTATTCGCCATTTTCAAGCCGTACCCAAGTATAGCGGATGTCTCGTTGTACCTTGGCTTCCTGCCCATGTACTCGCACATTCTACCTTGTAAGTGTGCTTCTGTCTTTTTCTCTGTACCGCCAGCTAACCCTCATAGTGACGCGGTACACGTTCATCGCAGCTTCAGTCCTGTTGTATTCGACGCTCCTTGGCCCGGCCTTCTACCATTTATGGATTTATGCTGGGTCTGGCAATGCCAATTTCTTCTATGCCATCACTCTGGTCTGGAGTTTAGGGCTCACCATTCTCGTCGGAGACACGCTGTTCGCTGTTTTGCGTGATGAATGGGAAATAGAGAGGCCGGAAATGAAGGGCAAAAGCGTCCGCCAAATATAAACTGCAATAGCTCTAATCGTTCAATCTCTTCGAGAGGATGACATAACTTGGTTCCTTGACCGTGCCGTTTCGCAGGGTCCGTGGACCTGGAGAAAACTCGTCTTCTGAGTAGCCCAGCTTGTGGTACCAGTTGACAGCTCGCTCATTTGCTGTGAATACGGTCAACATGGATTTGCCCACGCCCACGCTCTGGCCAATTGCTTCCACGGCTCTCATCAGCTTTTTCCCCAACCCTTTCCCTTGCCACGCTGGAGCGAAGTGGATCTCGTAGATGTAAACGACCTCATAGCCATCTTCGTAGGTGATCATGAAGGAGATGAAGCCTGCGAGATTCGAGGTATTCCTTTCGACGAGAATGATATATTTCATGTCCGGGAGCCTCATCTCTTTCCTTTTTTTGGACGGAGACCATTTCAGCTCGGAGTTCTGGTAGTCTTGCGCGCTGGTCAGCTCAATCAACTTCAGGCATTGTTCGAGCAATGCCGGAGGGATATGTGAAGCATCATCCTGGCAATGGTGCAGCTCCGAGTGGCCGTCCAATAGAGAAGCTGTCGAGCTCCATGTCTTGCCGTACTTTTCGAAGAAATTAGACGCTGACAGAGAGTTGGCTGTTTCCACAATCTTCACCTCAGGAACGGCTTTTACCCGAGTCTTGCCTCTCAAGGTTCGCGGTGCCGAACCTGAGTTCAGATTTGACATTGTGGCTTAGGGAAGACATCGTTGCCATGGCCAAACATGAAGCACCAGGGAAAACAGCAGAGACGCGTCGAGGCGCGTTGGGTACTCCACCGTATACGGCTCAGGGCGGCGGTGTTCTGCCGTACTCGTATGACGTCAATCGGACGCAGTTCTCCGACATTGCAGTCTGTTCCAGCGATAGAGAGAGCCTTAGTAGAGAGGGCATCAGGAACGATTACAGAGTTAATCAATTGAAAGTATAGATAGTAGGTATTACAGATAGTACCGATAAGTACTCAGCTAACTGCAGTGCTAACAGGAAATACTTGCACACTCACTAAGCTGGAAACATTAACCACTTTGGTGATACCGCGGCAGCTTATCATCCTCCGGACTCCACCTTCTCCAGTCTCTCTGGAGACTCAACCACATACATACACAGTACGCCCTGCGACAGGAGATCCCCAAAATTCTTAGCCCTTGAGACTGGGGACTTGGAACTTATCATCTTGAAACTAATACTGACACCTTTTTCTCCGTCCTGAGATTGTTACGAGCTAAAACATTTCTCGGGTACTTTGGAGCCCGGCTGGCTGCATTCTCCAACGTGGAATACGCAACTCCAACAGCCCTCCGAGTCCTTCGCTTCCATCCCCACCTACGAACCCTCCCTCTTTTCATGCTCTCACATCAATGGCATCACCAGCAGCTTCATACCTTCGCACGCTCCTGACCTCATCTCGTCCTCGTCTCCCATCGGCCTTCACTCGCACCGCACACCCGTCGTACCGAATCATCTCCACCGCGAACATGCATACCGTCCCCAAGCTCAAGGACCCGTCGTTGCTGATCTCCAAGGCGTTCGTCAACGGCGAGTTCGTGGACGCAGTGTCGAAGGAGACTTTTGACGTTGTCGACCCTGCTACGGGCAAGACGATCGCCTCATGTCCCGAATTCACCAAGGAGGACACGGAGAAGGCCATTGTGGCCGCCACCGAGGCGTTCCCCGCGTTTCGCAAGACCCTGGCGCGCGAAAGAGCAGGCATGCTGATGAAATGGTACGAACTGATGCAAGAGAATGCCGATGACCTGGCGACGTTGATTACATGGGAAAACGGCAAGCCGTTGGCCGACGCAAAGGGTGAAGTCGGCTACGCCGCGAAATTCTTCCAATGGTTCAGCGAAGAGGCTCCCCGTGTCTACGGCGACACTATCCCTTCGTCCGTCCCAGGAAACCGAATCCTGACGTGGAAACAGCCAATTGGTGTCTGTGGCTTCATTACTCCTTGGAACTTCCCTGCTGCGATGATCACACGCAAGATCGGGCCCGCTTTGGCCGCCGGATGTACCGTCGTTGCCAAATCGCCCGGAGAGACGCCCCTCACGGCAAACGCTCTTGCCGAGCTGGCGCGTCGCGCGGGCATTCCTAAGGGGGTAGTCAACATTGTGACGGCGATGAAGAACACGGCGGAAGTCGGCGAACTGCTTACAACGGACCCGCGGATCAAGAAGGTGTCCTTCACGGGGTCCACGAACGTGGGTAAACTCCTGATGAAGCAGGCCTCGGGGACGTTGAAGAAACTGTCGTTCGAACTCGGCGGCAATGCGCCCTTCATCGTCTTCGACGACTGTGCCGACCTCGACGCCGCCGTGGCCGGCGCCATTGCCTGCAAATTCCGCAGTTCGGGCCAGACCTGCGTCTGCGCCAACCGGATCTACGTGCAGAAGGGCATCTACGACGAATTCGCCAACAAGTTCGCCGAAAAGGTCAAGAACTTCAAGCTCGGCTACGGCTTCGACGACAGCGTCACGCACGGCCCCGTCATTCACGACCGAGCCGTCAGCAAGGTCGCCGCGCACGTGCAGGACGCGAAGAAGAAGGGCGCCAAGGTCATTGTCGGTGGTGAGCCGCGGCCTGACCTGGGTCCCAACTTCTACGCCCCGACCGTGATCACGGGCGTGACCAACGAAATGGCCATCGCTCACGAGGAGACCTTCGGCCCCGTGGCGGGATTGTTCCCCTTCGCCACGGAGAAGGAGGTGGTCGAGCTGGCCAACGACTCCCCCGTCGGCTTGGCCGGCTACTTCTACTCGCGCGACATCGGGCGTATCTACCGAGTCGCCGAGGCCCTCGAGGTCGGCATGGTCGGCGTCAACACCGGCTTGATCTCCGATGCGGCCAGTCCGTTCGGCGGTGTCAAGGAGAGCGGCTTTGGCCGTGAAGGCTCCAAGTACGGGATCGACGAGTTTCTCGTCATCAAGAGCGTTACTATCGGTGGTATCAGCAACGACCTCGAAGGCTAGATGTTGACACATTACGCGAAACAAAGATGGTCAGGGAGGGGGGCCGCCGAGGGGGTGGAGTGCCGACATGAGGCGAGCAAAAGCGACGACGTGATGCCGGCGTCAAGCGACAGAGAAAAAGTTTGATTGTATGTATTCAGAGAGAACATGAGCACGGAACGTGGATATGGATGTGGTGGCTTGAGATATATTTGAAACGTGGACATGGACATGCACGTCGTGGCTTTGACATATATACTTCGAATCTGAACATGAAGCAATAGGCACGATGCCCCTATATGTATGCTGGACAGTGGCTTCGAGGAGCGGCTAAGAATATTCATCGAGATTGATAACCCCCAAATACGTATATAAACCACGACTGAAGCCTACATACAGTCTTGACACCAGCTAGGTAAGCTGGGGCGAGAAGCCATCACGCATCAATATCAATGCTGAAAGACTCAAGTAGGTATCTCAGCCCAAATCCCGGCAATGACGGTGGGCTCCGGCAACGGCAACTTGAATACTAGTGGCAAGAGAATCACTGCATTAGCAGCCAGCTTGCCGCCAATTGAGCCATGAGTCCCCAAGATGTCCCGAGGTGGAGGTGGAGGAGGAGGAGTAACCCGGTTCACAAGTCCAATAATCAATTCAACACAACGTCCCGTCACCAGTTCAGAGTTCAGGATTCTACTAAGTGCCCTCACTGCAGAAGCGGCCACCTAAGGCCTGGTACGTATAGACAACCTACCTGTGAAAAGAGAGCTGCAATGCGAGAGTGAGGCAATGGCATGATCGTGTCAAATCATGTTTTCATTGAGCGAGCAGAGGGATGAAAGTGTGTACGTAGCCACGGCTATACGCAAAAAGGGGGATTCGACGCCCGCGGCCCGAGTGATGAACTGTAGTAATACCGCAAACGGCAAACGGCAAACGGCAAACGGCAAACGGCAAACGGCCAGCTCAGCAAAAAGAAACCTGCCAGTGCCCTTGCTGCATCTGATGTACCAATTGGCTCTGCTTCGCTGGGCACAGCTTCTCTGCGTGCCTTGTCCAACCATTCCCAGTCTCCAGTCCGGCCCTGATACTGACCCATCCAGCAGCTCAATTGTTTCAGCTCCGATGTCTTCTGCTCGCCTTTGTGCTTTTCACTCAGCTCATGCTCCTCATGCTCTTCATCCAGCCACAGCAAGCCTTGATCCATCGCATCGACCGTATCTTCCAGCTTCACTCTCCGTGATCCAATCTCAGCTGGGACATAATGTCGAATGTCTCTGTTCTCGGTGCCTCCGGGCAGCATTCTTGTTATAGCCGTGGCCTGGAGTGCAAAGCAGATCAGACTGGTCTGTTGTCTGGTGAGGCTAGAGCATATTGCTTTTGGGCCATCTCTCTGGCCGGAGCAGCAAGATTGTTCATATCGTCGACCAATTTCTCGATTGCGGCCTTCACCCCATGAAGCTGGGCCACGCTTTTCCAATGATTTTCGTAGTAGGTCTCATAGAACTCGGACCGTTGTTTCTTCTGCATGAGGTCGACATCGCTTCGGAGGGCCCCGAATTCGCGGCCAAGCCTATCTGAGATGGCTTGTGAGGTCTCTGTGATCAGCTCGTCGAAGTCTCCGGAAAGACGGGATCGGAAGTCGTCGACGAACGCCTCGCTTGAAACACGGCTGTGTAGTGTTTTGACGCGTCTCGCGTGGGACCCTTTCCCTGTCTTGGAGTTAGCCCAAAACGAAAAGAAAACAGCAAGAAGGACCAAAGACACAACAGGTCCTATCCATATCAGCTTACCAAATTGTCTGTGCGCCTCATCGTATGTCTCCAGCATACAGTCGACTATGTACGAAGAAGAACCGGCTGCACTTGTAAGAAAGTACGATTCTCGACATCCCTTTGCGGTATGCATTGATTGCAGAAGCCACGTTCAGGATCAAAATATGGATCCTTGCTGCCAACGTAGTGAGAAAGTTGACAGGGGCTTCCAGCTTGCGGCACTGGTGTTCATATGCTTCCCAGGGGCTGATGATGTTGGTCTCTAGGGCCTTGAAGATACGTTCTGTCTGGCCATGAAAGACTTGCCAGTTTCGGGATGTAACTTCATAGAAGGATCGTAGAAGATCTGTGTTCCAGCATCTCCTGCCACGAATACTGGTGTAATGACTGCCCTGGTGCCTCACCCATGCAGCCACCGATGGATGAGGCCAAACCCACCAACGATTGGCCACCTTTGCGCATTGGCGATTGATCTCCTCAGTGTTGTGCTCGAGGGGATGATCGATGTTCTTCTCAAAAGCTGCGTGCATCGCGTCAGCCCACGTAGTGACGGAATGGCGGAGTTCGAGCTCATGGGCATCTGGAAGCTGCCGCCGCTCTTCAGGGGCACCCTCGTTCTTTTTGGATTCCATCCAAGCCATGAACGAGCCAATCAATGCTGGAATCCTGGTGGTGATGAAGTGGTCTCTCTCCTTGAAAATTGTTTCGCCCTGAAGATCTTGAAGGTGTTGTCGTAGCTGTGGTATTCCACTAAGTTCTCGCTCTTTGTCTGTGCTGCCTTCCAGGTGGTACATCACACTGTCAACATAGAATACATGAAGCTCTCTGTCCCCGATCAGATGCTGGTACTTGCGAAGCAACTGTGCTCGCACTTTCTCGTTCCTGCTGTTTATCAGCAATGCGTCCAGTCTACGCTGGGCTTTCCTCAACGCAGTGAGATAGCTCTCGGAGGTCGCGTAGTCCTTGAAGTGTTCCTCGACGTTGAAAATCTGCCGCCGTGCTTCCCGAAGCTCGGCCTGGTCCCTGGTTAACCTGCTTTTCGATTGGCTTCTTGTCCCAAAGTACCGCTGAATGGGTACAGATGACAGTGACTTTTTGTGGCGATGCACCTGCGAAGTTGCTTGCCACCTGAAGACCCTCCAGGGTCTGCTGAACGATAGCATTGTCGACCGCCCTTGATATGTTGACAACGATGAATATGTTATCGCACTTCGCTTGTGCTCTCCGAGAAGCTTTCACTCTGGCGAGATTTGTGTCTTGAAGGCCGGGCAAGTCAACGAGTGTGAGACCGCACTTAGGATGCCGAAGTCAGAGTGGACGCTCAAGCGTTTCAGAAAAGGCCACAGCCCTCGTTCTTGAAGCATGGATTGCTGCTCCTGGCATTTTTCTGCATTCTCTGCTCCTCTGGTCCATGTCCCGTCATCGTTCATCTCCTCCGGAATTCCAGTCTAGCAGCGTAACTCTTCAGAAGTGCCACGGCGATCTCTCTGCTTTTATCGTCGTCGTCGTGTTCAAGCATGGCCAAGTCGAAACCGTCCATCTTGCCAAAAGCAATCTCGAAGACCTGTCGTGCTGTTAGGCTGTCAGCTTCGAGTCCCTCGAGATCTGCCGTCCGCTCCTGCGGATCCGCCAAGTCGATTTGACGAAAGTCTTCCAACAGCCTTCCGAGGTATGTCCCGAGCTCTGCCCCAAACATCAGAGCGCAGTCCACAGTAAATGCTGAGGAATGCTGCGGCTGGCGAAGTCGATACTCGACAGAAAAAAGAGTGACGGCTGAACCACATGCCGCTGTGCACGCAATGCCTTCCTCATCGAGCACAGAATTGATAGTACTGCTCTTGCCATCGCCGCAATTGCCGAGGAATCTGAGGACAGTCTCGGTAGGAAGCCGGTATTCTGCTAGCTCCTCTGCTTCTCGCAAAAGATTCTCAGGCAAGCCTTTCGTGTCTGCAATGGTCTTTGCAATGCTTTTGCCCCTCTCTATCGCAACCTCAAAAGGAGGTTCGCGGTATGGGGGATAGTTTGGTTGACTTGGTGGGCATGTTGTGCCTTGTAGGCCCGGCCGAGACGATGCCATCATCACCTCGGTACTAAGAATTTTGATGAATTGTCCTCTGATAAATCAGTGACCTCGAATTTGGGGGGATGTGTTCACGTAATATATGACGAGTTGGGACCGCTGATCTCGAAGGATTGAAGGGGCCGTGAGTAGAAGAAATGCAGTGAGCCTCCGTGAGCGGGCTTTCAGGCTTTGGGGGCTTTGATAGATGGAAGGAGAACAGCAATATGCAGCTTGACCAAGACTGAATTGAGAGAGAGCGTAATCCGAACGGGAGGACTTGATTTCGGTTCCAGGTTGAAGTGAGCTGAGCTGGATACTTATGAGCCTGTGTTAGTATCAGCCTGCTGTGCAATAGCGAGAATGACATACCCTGAGAGCTTCTTCGCCCAAAGTCAGGACGAGTCAGGCTGAAGCCCGTATGAAGGAAGAAGCGATAGCGAGCCACTGATGCGAAGAGATATGGGAGACACCAAGATGCAAGGAGAGCCATAGACACATTGGGGGGTGGTGAATAAATATATGTCGGCTGCTGACTACTGACTCGGGCATCAGGAAATGTGTGTGTTAGCCAGCAGCATGTGCAAACGGGTGACGTGCAAAGTGAGATGATCTTGAAATAAGTAGAATGAGCCTCAGAGACAGATCATAGCTGCCAGCTCGTTAGACGTGCATGTTTTAAGCCAGGTGCCAAAGACAAAAGAGACATGTTTCGGCTCTGCATGGCCCATCTGCGCATTGCCGCTGTTGGATGTGCAGTGATCCAAGACACCTGCATACCTTAAACCGCAATTCTATCAGACCGACCTTTTCTAACAGGCGGCCTGCTGGAGAATACTTGGGTTTACTCTTGATGGCCTTGAATAGATGCGCACATCTGCCCGTGGCCCATGGGAGATGTTGAGGTCCAGACCATGACCATGAGCTCAGCAGTGCGGCGTCCATACGTTTCACTTGGGCGCGACTGGCGCATGGCATTAGTGTGGGAATGCAGACACAGCCTTGATCGATAGCGGATAGTAAGGCATGCTCGCAATGCTGAGACTGTACGGGAGAAGGACAAAGAGAGATGGTCGATGGTTGTTGATGTTGAAATACAGTCGAAGCTGCCAAGCGAAATGCCAAACAGGGAAAGAAAGAAGAAGGAAAGAACTTGCACCTATGTACCTGCCATCAACACAGGTCTCTATCTGATGGGGTTGATCCAGCCAGATCTACCAACCCCCTAATTTATCTCAGAAGAGGAGCTGTTCCAACTCTCTCCAAGGAGAAAGAAGAGGCACAAGTAGCCGGCTTGCCGGTTCCGTGTCTACCCTGCCTTGCCTGTGCACACTCCCGCCTTCGACCCGATCGGGTCAGGACTCAGGAGCACTGTTCAAGGATACATACACAAGCCAGTGTTGAGGTGGACAGTAACAATGATTCAATGTTTGCAGAGTTAAGAATCAAATGTCTTGTTCTAGTAACTACCAACCACCCCTAACCGACCAGCAATCCCCAAAAGTTCATCTCAATGTCTCATCTCCTCATGGAAGGAGACGGAGCCAGACTTCTCTCCCCAGCCTCACTACAATGACCTGCCGACCCACAGATCCAGTGTCTCACGAAATCTTTGCTTCGGTGGTTGTTTCTCCCGCCACCTTCTCCTCCAGCCCCGGAATCATGTCCTCCTCACGAGAAGCGACGATGACGGCTTCAGCGGGAGCATCGACAAACAATCCCTGAGCCTCATAGGCTTCCTCCCAGCCCATACTTCGCTCGCGCTTGGCGAAGCCATTGTACTGACAGAGCGCCCAGTACAGAACACTGCTGAACGTGCATCCAAATACCCAACCAATGTCGTACAGATGCACCCAGCCGGTTCCGACATCATTGCCAAACTGGGCCGCGAACCCGGGGACCAGGACGACAACCGTGATAGTGAAGGCCACCACGCAGCGCCAGCTGACGCCGTAATGGTACCAATAGGCGGAGCCGGGACGCGGGTCGAAAAGATCCTTGGCCCAGAAATTGCCCTTGCGCACCACATAGTAGTCTGTGATGAAGATGCCGCACAAGGGCGCGAGGAAGATACTGTACCCGCCGAGGAAGCGGAGGAACGTGTTGGACGTCTTGAGGATCTTCCAGGGGAAAACGATAAACCCGAGAATATAGCAGAGGTACATGCCGCGACGGATGTTGAGGAAGCGGGGACAGAAGGCCATGACGTCGGCGCCGAACGGAATCACGTTGACGCCGATGTTGGAGGCAAACATGGACAGCATGAAGCCGAGACAGACGACGGCAATGAACGTTCGATACCCCGCGGTCCAGTGCCGGTCGAGGATCTCGGTGCAGAGGTCCCATGGGTTCCAGATCGTCGTGCCCCACGCTTGCTGGGTCGCCGAGGTCGCGAAGATGCCGAGAGTCGCGCACAGAGTGTTGCCGATCGGCAGGGCAAGCAGTTGAGACCAGAACGGCGAGCTGGGGGTGCGTGCATACCTCGCCAGATCCGTTTGGTTGACCGTCTGGGTGGACGTCTTGCCCATGCACGAGTTGATGGCGGACAGCATCGCCCAGGCCAGTTTCGAGCCACTCATGTACTTCGTGCTTGCAAACTTGCCGCTGGAGGAGCCCACTGCATTTCCCTGAACGATGCAAAAGGCGAACAGGCCGATGGCAATAGGCGGGAGGACCACCGATTTGAGGGTATAGACGCGCCGCATTTTGGAGACAGGAATGGACAGCAGAGGTGCCGTGATCACCACGAACAAAATGAAACCTGAGCATGTTTGTCAGTCACATACTCTTGCGCTTCGGTAAGGGCATCGACATCGACATCCCTGTCTTTGTCAGGTGAAGGGTTATAGTCACGCACCAACCAGTTCTTGGACGGTAATGTCGGCGCTCGCCGGGATGGAACTCGTCAAATTATTCCACTTATGGCCGAAGAGGCATCGCAGGAAGATGGAGGTGAAATAGCCGCCTTCGAGCGTATTGACCGCGTTCCAGATACAGCCGACCAGCAGACGGACAAAGACGGGGAAATAGCTAGCATACATGCCCCAGCTAACTCGGCATTCGACGGGGAAGCCACAGTGCCATCTGGCGCCGGTTCGAGAGTGGTACGCAATACCAATGGCTCCGAGAGTGTGCGAGATGAAAACGCAGATGATGGCTACCGATACGGACAATCCAGTCTGTCAGCGCATGATCCTCCAGCGAAAGAAACAAACATTGATCTCGCAGCGCTTACCTTCATACCAAGTGAGTCCCAATGCAACCATGGACGAGCCGACGCTCCAAACCCCCACGGAGAAGCCTGGAGACAAGACCTGTCAGCGACGGTCTCTGGTACCGAACAAGACTTTTCGTTCTCACATACCATATGACCACCAGAAGGCAGCAAAGTCATACCAGGCCCAAGTCCACTGCGAAGGGGGCGTCAAATCCAGATCTTCATTCCTGAAGAACGTCCGCTCCTCCGTGTGGCCGTAGGCGGTTTCCTTGGTCTCCAGCGCCTTGACGAACGCCTGGGGGCTCTCAAAGGCTCGAAGAGCGGACTTGTACTTGTCGTGCGACCGCTCCTTGAGAGCAGCAATAGAATTCATCTTGAACGGTACTCTCTACCTGTCCTGAACCTCGGGCAACGGGCTCGAGGACGTCTGGAGAAGAGAACTGCTTGACGTTCTGCCTCTGCCTCTGCCTCTTAAGCATGGATCTTTGAAAACAGCCGATACCAGGCGGTCTCGAGATAAAAGAGATACGTAGCTCGATATCCGCGATACCGAGTGTTCTCGCTAGACCACAGCGATGGGTCACCGTCTCGCCATGGGTATTCGAATCACCATATACCCACCGCAGATATCAGATAGACTATCTCGTTGACAGTCCCTCAAGACTCAAATCCCTGCCATCAAAAACGGCAGGTGAGAGCGGAGGTCGTTGAGGGGTATCCACTTTATACGAAGCCCAGAACGACTATTCTCCTCGTCAGCCAACTGTATTCAACTCTCTAGCCTAGAACGGAGAAGAGAGAATGACTTACCAAGGCCAGGTGGGACTCAGCTTATCTTTTCTATATCATCAGACCATAGGTAGAGAGTATCACTTCTTGGCCAGGCCTTCATTCCCTCTCGTCTCCTTGTTGAATATACTTTCAGTGCCGACTTACCGGAGCTGCCCTTTGGAAAGATTGGTATTTATTGCGAAAACACCCAACCAAGCGTTGATATCATCTTCTGTGCATACTCTGTTCAGGATATACCCGATACCCTGACATGCGTATAGGACCCACTTAGGTAGGGAGTCGGATACAGGCCACTGCAGTGTCTACCCTTAATCTTTGGGTCTCGCATACTACTAACTAGTTTGCAACCGGACAGCTTGTGGCTTGCGCATATCACCTTGGCTTCTGGGCATTCTTTGGCAGTTCTCCTTCGGCCAGGAAGAAGTCTTTTCCATCTTCATCGGCCAGTCAGCCGAACAAATGTCAAAAGTAGCTTTGCAGAGTGAAGCATTGCCCCTCGAGACCTACAGAAGGAGCCCATCCATCAATGCCCCAAAGCCGGAGTCAGAATGTGAATGGTGTGATATATTGCCTTTACTGTGTAGACCCTTTATCGACAAGTGTAAACTATCGAGTAAACATGTTACGACCACGTGAGGAAAAGGCGCTCATAGAGACACGCCAGTGGGCAGTCAGCACCCAGACCATATCAGACCACATCACGAGGAGCATGATGTGGTCTGTCACAGACATCGGTCAAGAACTGACTTTCATAGTGTCCAACCACGCCAGCGCGCCTCAAACCATATCGTAGATCTATCTATCTAGAGGTCCAGAGTCCAGAACCCAGACCGGAATCCAGACCAGAAACCTTACTCAACAACATCCATGTTTGTTGACTTTGTCCACATCTATTTCGCCTCCTCAGGCTCCTTCTCCTTCGCCTTCGCCGCCCTCCACAGGTAATACTCGCCACTAGTCATGATGGGATACTTGAACGGATTGTCCTCGGAGACACAGCTAGCAACCGGCTCGAGCAGTTTAGCCCGGTCGAAGCCGAAGAAGAAGGGACACGAATACCGCTCGGCGCCGCTCTTGTTGATGACGCGATGCACCGTCGACACGAAGAAGTCGTTGGTCTGGCGCATGAAGCAGTCGCCGATATTGACCACGAGACTGTTAGGGATCGGCTTCGCTTTGACCCAGTACCCCGACTTGGACAGCACCTCCAGGCCGCCCTGTTGGTCTTGGGAGACGAACGTGAAGCATTCAAAGTCGGTGTGTGCTCCGATGCCGTGCTGGTCGTCGACGGATTGCTAAATCGCAAGAGAAAAATGTCAGCCACACTGTACACTGCTGTAAAGTCCGAACTCGTTTTCAGTATTCATTGGTTTCCATTTCCCAATTTCCAACTCACCTCTTGAATCGGGTAATGGACGATCCGCTGCGCAGCTTCCGGATGCACCACAAAGTCGTCGAAGAAGTCTTCCGGCATGTGAAGAGCCAGTGCGAACGTGCGCATGAGCCGACGAGCCAGACCGAGCAGCGTGGTGTGGTGGGCGTGTAATGTCTCCTTGAAGCCCGGGACGTCGGTAGGCCAGAGATTCTTGTGTGGGATGTCTTTATCCTTGTCCGTGGCCATGGGGTCGTACTTTGCGTCGTAGCCCCAGTTGAAGGCTTCCATCAAGTCTGGATGAAACCATATCATCAGAGTCAGAAACTTGTAGCATGAGCGTATAAAAAAAGGAAAATTGAAAAGGTCAATGTAAATGTAAATGTAAAGAAAAAGAAGGGAAGGGTGTATAGGAAATAGAAGTATCGTCTAGGCTCTCCTTACCGGAGTATTTCTTGTTGTTTCGATTGTACAAACTCATGGGGAAATACCCGAAATACTCCTCCGGCTGGAGGTCGGTGCATACTTCCATCTTCTTCTCTTCCGGCAGGTTGAAGAAGCGTTTTGCTTGCTCGAACACTCCTTCTGTGAGGGATGGATCGACTCCCTAAGAGATTTCCAGCCGTGTTAGTAGGGATGTCTTGTTTGAAATACTTTCTGGGGGGTTCCGTTAAGAAATAAAAGCCCCCAAGGTCTTCTTTCTTTGTTCTCCCTCTCTTGTACTGACATGATTGATGGCATAGAAGAAGCCGATTCGATGGCATGCTTCTCTGATCTTTTCTGCAACGGCCTTGCGGTCTTCAAAGTTCTCGCTGTATATACCGCTGATATCGATGATGGGGATCTCGTCTGCTTCAATGGAAATGTTGGACTTGAAACTGATTGTCTGGCCGTTATTCATCGTCAGAGTCAACGGCTCCTGAGCGGCCTCCATCACCTCTGTGGCGGACATGGTGACGGTCAACTTGTGTGGGATAAAAGAAGACGAGAGTCGAGACTATGACAGTCGGATGTACATGGACGTCGGAAACACCAAAGGCAACGACAGGATGGGTGAGTTGATCAGTATTCTTCTTTTCGTTTCAAAGTCTACAGTGTACAGTTCTAGATAGGCTGTATAACCGTCACACGACAAGAAGGGGCACTATTATGAATTCCAGCCTCTTTCTAGTCCACGGCATTGATAAGACGACTTGCTTGGTCCTGCCTTTGATAAGGAGGCAAGTTGCTCGATCATGTCCCCATACTCCGACTCAGGCTCGGACTTGGGCGCTGACTCCGACGCCGGCATAAGGGCCGCTCTTCATCCAGTTTCCTACACCCGTTTTGCGCAACACGGGATGGCGGTCGATATGCTGCCATTGGTACTCCTGTATGCATATATGCACGTTGAGATGCAATGGCGGCATATTGCCGCAACTATCTGCACTGTGTAGTTGCGCCTGACGAATGCGGCAGGCATCTAACTGTTGATATTGGGAGAGTGAGCAGACCAGCAGAAAAGCATCGTCAAACCCTAACCGATATTAACCCAACCCTAACCCCAACCCTAACCCCCCCTCCCAGACAAGACCGACAAGACCTCCTCCAAACCCCTAGGGTGGGTGATCTGTCTCCATGGATCGCCGTATATGCTTCGTCGCCCTGAGTTGCTCTACAATTTGTATTGGTTGGCCGGTTGTGCTCTGTTTGCGCATTCACTCGTGGTTTGACGACCACACATAGACACATAGAATTAGGATTGCAGGAAGGATTGTCCATTCTAGTCCTGTCTGCCCGCAACGGCTCTGCTGACGGAGAATTTGCTGTCCCAAGTATCTGATCTCGTTGCTTAAATTGAGAGAATGGATCTGCCGCAAAGAAAGTTATCGCTTTGTTTTCCTTCGTTCATGTCCTCATACACAAAACTTGCTGCTCCGATGCTCAACCCAGCAAACGCTCTAGGCAGATTCCTGCACCCTCTCCGGAGCAGTTCGAACCATCGCAGCAGCAGCAGCAGAATCAACGCCTTGGACAACCAGCACTTTCTTTTGTGTCCTTGAAATGTCAGACTTTTGGTAGATGATGCCACCGACACCGCTGGCATATACGTCGTTCAAGCATAGTCACCTAGTAGGAGACGGACGGAAACAACGAGAAACTCGAATTGTAGTTAATTCGCAGGATCTTCCATTGGCCCGACTTGCTGGAGATCCAGGCTAGATCCCCAAAACGAGGCGGCTCTAGCTCACGGTCGTTTCCTCCGGTCGATTGTGTTGCTCAACTGGTTGTTTCGAATTCTGGAAAATGTATCCAGCCAGCTCGTCGCATGCCACAACGTGATATTTTCCGGTCTTGGCCACCTTGAGATAAGGGTTGGACGCCTTGCTGCAGATGATGCTGATGTCTTGAAGGGTTTCAATGGCCTGTTTATCCGCATCGTCAATGTCAACGGACATTTCAAGGTTGCAATCCTGCCATCAAGCATTAGTACTTAAAGCTCGGATATTAGTTGCTCGCTGGTACGTACGCATTTCCAAGTCAATCGTCGATGGGTCTTAGGCGGCTTCGGCCGGATCAGTTGGTTTATAAGATCCTCAAGCCGGTCGCCGCTCCCGGCCTCGGTTTCACCTGCAGGAGCAGACGATTGCCTAGTCTTCTGTAAGGGCGGAGGCGCAAGATTATAGCCTCGGCCAGGAGGAGTCGGAGGCGGTTGGGGTTGCACTTGGCTGGCCCTAGGTGATGGGGCGGGTGCCAAATTTGGTGCTGCCGCAGAGCTGGATGGAGAGGGCGCGATGGCTTGTCCAGCTGCCGAAGGTGCAGGAGCGGGCTGCAGCAGAGGCGCGGAGGGTGCACGAGGTGTGCCATTCGTGCTCGGAGGCAAAGCATTGCTCAGGCGACGCGGTTCTCGAGGACTGTCTAATTTCTGGTAATAGTCTCCCCTCTCAGACTCTGGTCGTCTAGAAGTCGCACTCAGTGACGGAGACTGTTCAAGGTCGCGTGAAACGCCATCAGAGCTTGGAGCATCTGCCATGAGAACGTCCCGATCTCCTCTCGTCAGATAGGGCCTCTCACCAGCGATGGGCGGTTGGTCAATGAGAACATGACGACCATTGCCGGCGTCTTTGATGATGCCTTCCTGTATGGCCCACAATGTCAAATCCTCGTCTTCTCGCTCTTCCTTTGCCTCGACTATGTCGCGCGAAAAGTGACCTCCGACATGCTCCATGCGTTCATTCCAACTGCCTTCACCTTCGAACACTCGGCCACAGAAGCCGCAAGTGCTTCGCTGAGGGGGTTTTCTTTTTTCTACCCAACAGCGGTTCCGGACATCTTCAAGGCTGTCCTCGAATGCTCTCCAATCCTTGGGATCGGCGTTGGTGGGGGCATATGGGGTGGTACCAGGCCCACCGTCAGGCTTGTGCATACGCCGATGGTGCTGAGTGAAGAGATCCTTACGGTTGAAGTCATTATAGACACGTTTGTGACCGGGGACGTTGGGGTTCAGGTCGGGGTTGCATGATCCAACATCACAACGATAGAAGCCCAGCTGCAGATGTTGAATGGAGACATGGCGCTTCCATTCGTTCTTGGAGCTCAAGGCGACGTCGCAACCATAGTGGGAGAACGAACAGATGAACTTTCGCTTGGCCGGTTCGGATCTCTTGGCTCCGGAGCCGGGGGACTTTCGAGCGCGAGGCTTCACCACTCGACCCGGATGAGTATCGGAACCAGAGATGGACTGCAGTGAATCTTTGCGGGGTCGTGGTTTGATGATGCGGTCTGATGGACTGCCTCTCAAAGATGTGGGGGTGCTGGTAGCGATTTTGATGTTGGGTTCAGCGGCCATGGTGGGCGGATAATCGTTGAGTGGCGCTTAGGCGTAATGCTGATGGGGGATGGGTGGCTGAGTTGAGCGGAGTTAGGCGTGGGCGAGGCCAGGCTGCACCCCGGGGGACAAGGCTTTCGAGCTCGAGTAGCCAAGGCTCTTCAGATGGGTTGCAACATCGTTTCCTTCGAAAGCGGCTGTCAACGCGGAGAGCTAGGTATTTGCTGATAATATGGCGTCTTTAATAGTGCGCAGTCGCCGGCAGTTCGCTGGTCGCCAGCTGTGCGACGACAAGGCTTCGCGTTGGATGCTGTGCGGGACCTTCTTCAAGAGGAAGGCAGTAAAAAGGATGACCCTTGATTTGGGGGTCGATCGAACGCAAGAAGGGAAAGAAAGAAGAATCGAAGTCGAAGAATCGAAGTCGACAGCCGGCGATAAATGCAAGAGATAGGCCTAGTGGATTGCGCGTGTGAAGGCTGTGTGTGTGGAGGCTGACCGAAGTGGAATAGCAAGAAAGGTGGCGATAAGAACGGTGAGGTTGGCGGCGAGCTTACGAGGGGTGAGGCTGGCTTGTTATTCGCGACCGTCTTGACGCGGAATTAATGTCAACCTTTTGGGAGAGGAAGAAGACGGGGAAGGAGAAGGAGAGAGAGAAGAAGAAGAAGAAGAAGAAGAAGAAGAAGAAGAAGAAGAAGAAGAGAAAAGAAGGGGGGTTGAGATGGGATGGAATGAGTTTTACAGAATGCGTGGTAGGTTTGGAGCAAGAGGGAAGTGAAGGAAGGGAACGAACGGTGGACAAGGCTTTTAGCCTGTAAGGCTGCGGAGGGGAAGAGCATCCTGCGCTTTTTCGAGTCCTACGTACTACTAGTACCACAGCTCCCAACCGAGAGGCTGCATCGGCGAGGCGCCGCCGGTCAAGGCTCTCAGGCTTTGCTAGAGCCTTCAGGCTTCAAGCATCGAGCCACTGGATCCCACTGGCTACCTACTGGCCACTGGCCGTCGAGAAACCTTGCTGTCCTCACTACCTTATCCACTGCCAGTTAAGTGGCATCGAACTTGCTTTTCTGTCTCTCGCACGTGTCCAGGGCCTCGCACTGCATTCAACATCTCAAGGTTGCAACCCAACATGCCTCAGCGCCCATCGCCTCGATCACATCAATCAGAATCCACAGCCACAGCCATCGACATCGTGCCTCCCCGACCTCCCACCTTCCGCAGGAATCCTTATCGGTCAGGAATTTGGACCACATGAGAAGAGTCAGGGTGCAGCGTGTGGCAAGGCCAGCCCGCATCGAGGCACGACTGCAATTGGCCAGCCATCTGCCGAGGCTGCACAAGGGGTGAGAAAGGCCGAGTCAACAGGGGGACCACAAGGCCCAAGGGGAGCCTTAGGGGCCCAAGAGAGAGGCTAAAATCCCGCGGGTGACTTTGACAGGACGAGGCTTGCAAGAGAAGGCCAGCTAATGGCATGCCACCGCCAGATTCAACGTTGCCCCCGAGTTGGCGAGGTGCGCACCAATCGCAGGCGCCACCCACGACCAATGTGGCCCTCCAGCCTGCCGTCGGTGGTATCAGCGCAGTCCGCCTTCAGCCCATCGGCACCTGCAGTCAATCCACTGGCATGATACGAGAAGCAGAGGAGAGACGGGAGAGGGAGGAGACAACAGGAATTTCGCCATCTACCCATCCAGCTGCGCCATCCACGATCAGCCTCACTTGGACATGGGAATCCTGCCTGATCATTCATACCAACTTGGAGCGTGCCACAGAACTCTCTGCACTGCGGTCCCTGAAGATCTACTAGCATGGCTTCTTTAAGCTTCCATCTGTCTTGGGGCACTAAATCTCATCCCAAAGATGCCTTTCTGACCCAGCCTGACACATTTCATTATTATCGTGGTCGGCCCCATTTCCGATTCGCACCAGCCTCGAAGCCTTATTGCGGCCCAACGAGGCATAACGGTCAAGGCTGATGCTGACTGGCTATTCGACCCAATTCAATCTCGACAAGTACACCGTCTGGAGGAGTACTCTGTAGTGTGCAAGACTTTTCTTATCGAGGTGAGGGAGCAACGATGGTATCAATGGTGGGACTCTCCCGTCTGATCCGGTTCTCTTCCCGCGCCCTCTTGTCGAGGACCTACCTGTATGATAACCACCCTCGAGATGGCCACAGCGGTTCTGCATGTGATCCGCACCGATGGCGGCTCACCGCATCTGCAGAGAACTGGGTTCTTTTTCTCCAACTGGAGATCCTGGTACCTGCGTGAGAGTGACAGTTGTTGTATCTCACTTGCGCAGTATTGTGACGACGTTACCTTACTCAGGTCCCTACAAGATACCTAACCTAATACTCCCAGCCTCTTTTCTGGCAATAGTGAAGTCCCTGAGGTCTAAGTATCATTCCACACATACCGGCGCCTGCCTACCTACCTAGACAGCCACCAGATTCGCGCATGGCATTACGACACGTTCCGCCTCTATTTGGTATCATACATAGGGACCTACCACAATCCTTATCATCTCCACCACACTCGGTCCAATGTCGTGGCAGAGTACAGAGTAACATGCCTCCATCATCACCAGATACAACCCTGCCACCCAACACGGGACTCCATCAACTGGCAACCTTGTCTCGCTGCAGCCTGGCGCATCACTCGATGTGTTCTACTAGCTGAGTACCTACCTACCTAAGATACTACAGAGTAATCCATTCCTCTTTCTCCCCTTCCGCCTTCCTGTACTAGCTTAGCCTTACCCCGCAGTGCAGTGTCTGACGGATGTCATGGAATTGACGCTTGAGATGGTTGATGATTCAAGTTGATGGTTGAGATGGAACGTTCAGAGTTTTCCATGGTGCCTCAATCATCCCTGATCATCCCTTGCACTGCACTGGCTTCACTTATTCATACATTACTAGGTACCTAAAGGTACCTAAGATTTCCCCATCATTATTGTCAGCTCCACCTCCCCCAACTGCCATTCAAAATCTGCAGGTGGCTATCGGATTTCCAGTTGATCACCAAAGTTTCTTGTAGGCGCCACACTCACTCTCTGTACTGTTGCCTAGCATCCCACAAAAATGAACGCCTTGTTCCCCCGGAGGAATAGTTCTACCTCCCCATGCGGTCGTCACCCAGGCTGTGCTTCAGCCTTCCACTCTGACCAACTTACCCGTCCACCTTCGTGCATCTCATGACACACGGTCTCCAGCTCGCCAGCTTTCGCCATTCGATCCGTTACGCTCGCTCTTGCCATTATCCTCTCTGCTGATGTCCCCCGGGAAGTCCATTGCTGCTTCAGATGCTCATGATTCGGTGGAACTGGGCTTGTTCGCTTGTTCGTCGAGCCCCAAGCCCCAAGCCCTGAGGGGATGGCTGACAGGCTGTACACTGTCTAGACGCGCACCCCTGCATTTATTTCCCCGGCAGGGCCATCATTAAGGACTTTCTGCCGCACAAAACAGACCGGCTACTCCAGAAGAAGCTATATTGCACCAGAAACACTAGCCTCGAGTGCCTGCGCAGCTCTCACAGCAATGTCTCCTGGGTAGGGCCGGGAACAACGCACATCCGCCTGTTGGTACCACCGTTGCAAGCATTGATGATGGTTAACCACTTCGACATGGGAATCTCCAAGCAGATCTTGAGTTCAGAAACTTGAAGGAGAATCCAAGATCTCCGAGGAGAAGGACTTGGCATCCCCCACGCTGCCATCACGCTTGAAGTTGGTGTCTTGCCCTTCCTGTATCTTTCTTTCTTCTACATCGTCCACCTCGATAAGCACCTCCTTGTCCTGGCCAACCCACTCTCCTCGGACTACACCTCCCAGGGCACTGAGACCGACTGCATGCAACCGATCATTCCCTTCCATGGATGGTTCGGTATTTTGCAGACTGCGCCGCCGTGGCTGGCCGCAGTTCGAGGTCTGATATGTAAGCCAAGACCAGGTAGACACACTTGAAGGATGGGCATCATGCGTTACGTGACTACGTACTTGAATGTGAGCGACGTGCCTCGGTATCTACGGGGGACTGGCCATGACGGTGAAAGATGAAGAAAAGGCACCTGGATGTTCTGGAGCGCGATGTGATCGGCCTGTGGAGGCGTCCTGGATATGGCTGGAACCTTTCTTACGCATGAGGCGCCTATTGTTTTGGACATTTCCGTTGCTCTCCGAACGCGTGAAGAAACATGATGTTTCTTGGTCTGTTGGTCCAGCTGTTGAGCTTATCACTCTGCCTCGCCAGAATCGCGGTCTGCATCGTCGGGGCGCCCCTGGTCTGACTGGGGATCCACGACATCAGTCATCTCTGCATCTTCAACCTCTTCAGCTGTCCTCTCCTTATCCTGGCCGCTCGACTCATTCGTAAGCTCTGGTACTGTGGACTGTGGCTCATCCTTGACCTGGATTTGGTCTCCAGCTTCGGTGCCAGGCTGTTCGTCGCCCTGGTCTTGCATGTCGCCTTTGGCATCCCCTTCATCCGTCTTCTCTTCTGCCTTCTCAGTATCATTTTTTCTCCCCTTATCCTCGTCTGTTTTTTCCTCGGTCTCATTATCACCTTCAATAAGCGGCTTCAGGTTCCCACCGTACTGGACCTTCTCACACAGCGTGAATCGCCGCTCACTTGACCGTAGCGCCCGCCACAGCTTACCAGCCTTGCGCTCCTCAATCTCCGCTTTCTCCTCCTCCGTCGCCGCAAAGTCCATGTCGAGCTCATCCGTTTCAATTGCACGGTAGTACTCTTCCAAGGTAGGGATCTTGTGTCGGGTCGATGGCTTTTTCAGCGCTTCCAACGGCTCAACCTTTGACAAGAAGGCAAGATCCGCCGCGCCCGGAGGGTTGGGCAGCGGAGCCTTGTGCGCATTCGTCAGCTTGGTCAGGGTCTCCTTCGCCTCGAGATAAGCTTGCGGAGAGACAGGGTCACGCGATATCGAAGGGCAATTTTCGGCTTTCCATCGGACCCAGTTCTTGTCTCGGGACAAGACTGTGTCAACCATCCGATAATAGAATTTGCCCTCGTTGCCGTTGCCCTGCTGCAGATAGCTCGCGATGGCGGCGCGGGTGGACTGGACCCATTTCGTGTCTTCATCAGACATGGTGTACGAATACAACACAGACTTATTCGTGAGTCCTTCGAACTTCGCCTTGGCAGTCGGGGTGAGGCTGAGGAGGAAGTCGATCATGATCAGGGCCTGGACCAAGATGTGACGCCGGAAGTCGATGTCGTGGACCTCCAGGTCAAAGAGGTCCCGGTTTGTCAGATACTTTGGGTTGAATGTCGATGCTGGGTGGGACACATTGTCCGTGTCGGTGTCGGTACGTTTTCGCTTGAGTCCGCGTCGCGCGTCGGAAGGAGTCGTGCTGGGTGCGGAAGTGTTGGACACGGATTTGAAGCATGAGAGCGTCAGAGCTAGGCCTTCTTTGAAGTTGGCCATATTGGGCAGTTCAAACAGCTTGGTCGGCGAGGAGAATAGAGACTGGAGAGACCAGAACTTTGGATATAGGGCGTCGAGGTCAGGTGGTGGTTGCGCTTGATCTTTGGCTTCCGATTTCATCGGTCTGGGAATGGACGTTCCTCTTACTGTCTTGGACGTGGTCTCTTGATCCTGTAACTGGCTGCCTGATGCTGGTGTCTGAGCTCCCGAAGTCGCTTGCGGTGTTCCTGCTCCTGTATCCAAATCCATCGGCTTGATCGCATCTTCAGATTTCTTGGGCGAAGGGTCAAACGCGGTGACATTCTCAACGTGGAACTCTCCTCGCAGGTTCACTGAGCTCTTATCGCCTAGCGGGAAACTCTGGAACAGGAAAATGAAGACGCGGCCGCAGAAGACCGTGTCTTCTGCGCGCGACAGGCGTCTCAATAACTCGTTGCAACATCTCAGTATCACCAAGCTCTTGTGCTTAAAATTCTTGGCCGTAATCTTCTCCCTCCGAGAATCGAGATAGTCAAACACTCTCCGGCACCCTTCAATCGTCTGACTATCAAGCAACTCTTCCACGAGCCAGAACCCCAAACCCGCCTCGCAGAGGTCGTTGTCCGACAGCACTGTTATGATGTCCAGCAGAACCCAGACCTGAGCAAACAATGGTTCGGAGATGTCGACGGTCGCCACTATGCGCACGAAAATCTCGCGAAACACGGTTTCCAGCGCAGCATTGTGCAGTTGAGGCAAGTCGGCGCCGACGCTTTGGCTTCGAATGGATCGGATTTCATTGAGAAGTTCGATGCAATCCGATTCGACGATGGGCGAGTCAACGTCGGTATCTTGCCTCGCGTCACTTAGACGGCGTATATGGCTTTCCACCAGAGGCTTGTACACCTTGACTGAGGGCACGTCGGTAGTGGACATCGTTCCAAAAGCGACGCTGGCGAAGGTTGCAGGGAGGGATGATGTCCGAACGCCAGCCGCATCGAAAAGGGAAGAGACGCGCTCGTAACAGGTTATTTCGATGTCATCGCATTATATCGGAAGGGACTAGGGGATTGAGTGTAGTAGGTTAAGGCCAAGTGCCCTCCGATGGCGTCGTTAATACAAGAAGAGTGCGTCAAGTCACCAGAAACCGCATGCGAGCTGCGCTGTGAAAGGTAAACTTGAAGACTGCTCACGGCTCATCCCCAATCGGGACGAGAGTGATGCCGCCCTGTGCTCACCCTTGACTCGCGCGAGGTTACAACTTACAATCACCTTGACACACGCTTCGCATTCCTTTAGGCTCGCACACGATGGCAAATTATGTAAGAACGGAGGAGGCAGAAGTGCAGGCAGAAGTGCAGGCAGAGACGTAAGTGTTTTTCTCAGTATCTTCTGTGATGGATGGCGATGTCTCGGTTAGGAACCCCTTTATCTACGACTGCATTGACCTGAATGACATTGTACTCTTCAACTGTTAGATATAAAGGCTGGCTGTAAGATATTTGTCTTATACGGAGCTGAACACATCTCATTCACTTTATATCCCGTTGGACCCTTGTAGCATGCCGCTGCACATCTCAGAATCTCGAGTCTTGCCAATCCACCTGGCCTTGAGTCCTTGACCATGTACAACAACAAACCTCAGTCTCCCTCGCTGCTCTCCAATCATGCGAGCTGAAGAGGATGTGCCTCGAAGTACTCTTCAAGAGTGGTGAGTCTGCCCCGGGCTTGTTGAGCAGCCCAAGCAACCAACTCCTTGGTATTTGGGCCATAGTAGCCGAACTCCTCTCCGTAGCCAAAACCTTCCACGAATATATCCGCAGCGAATGGTGGTAAGCTCTTCCTGAAGTCCTCGGCCGGAATCTGCTTGTAGACGACGGTCTTGCCCGTGGCCTTGGACATGGTGCCGACTATTTCCTCCAAGGTATATAGTCCGACGGCGGCACAGAAGGTTTCGCCTTCGTACTTGTCCGGCTCGGCAAGGATGGCGCCAATAAATTTGCCCGTGTCCCCGACGGCGTCGATCAAGGGCACTTGTGTCTTCGGAGAGGTGTGGCGGGTCATAACCCAGGTGCCATCAGGAGCCTGTCGCGGAGCCAAGAAGGTTTGGAGCTGAAAATTCTCCATGAACGATCCCAGGGAGACGAAGGCGCTTTTGATGGGAAGACCTCGAATATACTGCTCGGCGTTTGCCTTGGCGTCGAAGGGGGTCACATTGGTGTACTTGCCGCCCGAGATCTCTCGGACATTGGGCAAAGTGCTGAAGATAAAGTACTGAGCACCTTTCTCCAGCGCGACATCGGCAATCCTCTTGGCATTGTTATACTCGATTTCCAAGCGGTTGGGTTCGAAGGAAGGTGCGGTCATGGCGAAGACGGTGTGAGTCCCGGTCAGAGCCTTCTCCAGGGAAGCTCGGTCAGACACATCCCCCTGGACAACTTCAACCTTCTCTTTGAGTTGCTTGGCTTTCTCAGAGTTGACATCACGTGTGATGGCGCGGACCTTGTACTCTTGCGAGAGCTCCGGATCGTTGAGGACGTATTTAACCACTGATCCACCCTGTTGGCCGGTTGCGCCGAAAACGGCAAGGATTTTGGCCATGATGCTTCTGTCTTGTGATGCCTGGCTGCTCCAGATGGTTTGTTTCAAGTGTGATCATAGCCTTGAGGAAGCAGAAGTAGCCACGATTTAATATACCGGTCTGAGCGGCCAGATGAGAAGTCCGTCCCATGCTTCTCGGATAGTCTATTTCACCGATATGGAGCAGCTAGACCCTCAAATACCCCGAAGCCGTGCCATGACGGGACTGCGACCGTTGAGCCTATACGTAGGTGGTTCGCACATAAGCCGAGTCCCAATTTCGTCACGGACAATCGCGGACTACTCACGGACGAAATGTAAGCCAGTACATTCCGTGAAAAACAATCATCCATCGTAGGAATAGTGGTTGTGAGAGCCAGGATGCGGTGATAAGTTCCTAGGGGTCTGAAGCTGTGCTGCATAAGCTTGTGATCTCAGGTTGACGGCCAGACAAGATAGTAAGATACCTTACCATGAGGTCCAAGGTCTCGCTAGTGATTAGCTAGTTTCTGTTATCTTACCTGGCCAATGCCTGAGGACCCAACGGTCTTGCCTAGCCTTGTTGCCTTGGAACTTTGTCTTTAGATCAACTAGTAGGAAAGGTTTACTGAATCTCGCTTGATGATTAACCAGCCTGCGAGCTTGAATATTGAGAGTCTGGGTCAAGACGAGGCTGAGCCGAGTTGCATGTTACCGCGATATGGCGTCAAAGCGGCAAGGCAGGCAGGGAGATAGATAAGATACTACGCATATACCTAGTAGTAGTGTTGGACTTTAATCTGAGCGTTATTGAGAGACACTGGCATGTTATCTTTGCCCAAGCGGCATCCCTACGACACCTACCGTAGAAGGAAGACTGGAGTTTCATTGGTCTACCTACGGTAGACCGTGTTTAGGATAACGGGTGAGTATAGGGTACCTCTAAATGAGTAGGAGCGTGTGTCGTAAAAGCGGCGCTGCGGAGAAATTTTGATACTGCGGAGTTCAAGCGCGAGTCAGGCTGCTTTGGACTTTTGATACAGCAAATTTCCGACTTCTTTGTCACGCAGGACCTTGTCAAGAAAAGCGCGGCGGACTTGATAATGGATCTTCAATTACGTCCTGCTTTGGCGCCGGCCCAGGATGTTACGGCCAGCTCGCCCAACGCCGCCGGAACGCCTTGGGAAGAGCTGGCACACAAGTACTGGCTAGACACCACACCTACCAAAGTCAAGCCAGAGTTGATCAAGACTGCGATCTGGGACCCCTTGGAACAAGACTCTTTCGCTCTACGACCGCTTGCACTCTTGGAGAACCTACAGATCCTCGAGCGATTCCTCTGGCCTACCTTCTCAGCCGACGCGTCCAACCACCACGTCCTCCTCATCGCGATCTTCTTCAATGTCAAACAAAGGGCACATCTCCAAGATTGGACCCTATTCTCGAACCGACCCGAGGACTTCTCGCAGCTATTTCGACGAATTCTTTCTTCAAACCTCGACTCCTCGCTCTCCATATTCTGTCGGCTGTCACTCCTACATTTTGTCATTGGCGCGTTTCAGTCGCTGGAGGAGGAACACGTGCGCAAAGAATGCGCCCCTCTGGTCTCAATCTCAATATGGCACAATCTACACGACGAAACTACTAGAAACAGGCTGCTGGATGCAAACACTGGTAGGAAGAAGGCATGGCGAGCTGCGCAGAGACGATACGATGGCGCCGATCAAGAGGGCCAAAGCCGGATACGATTTGATCGAGCATGGCTGTATGCGATGCTGATTGATTTCTTGACACGGCTCAACGTGGAGAAGCTGAGCAATACGCAAGAGATGGTGTACTGTGAACGCTTCGTGGAGTTCCTGATCGATCTGATCAGTCAATTACCCACCAGACGATACACGAATCCTCTCTTACAAGACCTCAACATTCTAGCCATCATCCGGACATCCAAAATGTACGACAGAGAGGATGCGGTTATTTTGCGGGACTTGACAGATCTGTTCGAGCACTTTCAAGGGTTTCCTGTGGACGACCTAGGCAACAGTGAGTCTAATCCCGAGGGACTGCGCAAGACATATTACGAATCGCTGCAAAGGCTTCAACGAGTTGCCCTCCAGCATTTCGAGGACAAATTGAAGGTTCTTGCCTTGTCGAATTTCGGGGCAATTGACAAACGAAGCGACCTCGAGTCCCATTTCTCGACCCTGTCCGACTCGGAGTTACAGGACTTATGTACCCACCTCAATATTCGCACCACGTACCCACAGACCGCCGGAATTACTGCGAATCGAGCTGTCATGATGGAGAGTCTTTTATCCTTGTTTTCGAAACCACCGGATTTCAAGGAGACGATCGCAAAGCTTTCTGTCTTTCCCACGGCTGAATCGATCTACGATCCTAAATTGCTGAGGAATGAATCATACGACGGCTCGCGGCCGCTTGGAATCCCCAAGTTGAATCTTCAGTATTTGACTCTCGGCGATTTTATGTGGAGGTCCTTCCAGCTCTATCAAGCCGAAGCATTCTATGGGATTCGAAAGGATCTCGAAAGCATTGTCAAGCGAATGAAGCCGAAGTCGGGAAGGGAACGGGGCAGCACAGCATTTGAAGGGTTTTCTAAAATGGCTCTACCAATCTCTGAGCCCGCAATCATCGAGATCGGTCCAACCAGAGTTGGCCATCTCAAGCCCAGCTATGTGCGAGCGGAAGTGATACTCGATGTGAGCCGCCTTAATGATGGCATCAGACGGGAATGGGAAAGTCTAAGACCCCACGACGTTGTATTTCTGATGGCTGTGAAAGCAGCAGAAACTTCCACTTCCAAATTACTCACCAATGGCCATGCTCGGGAGCAGGAAGGTGAAGAATGCCTGTTCACTGCACTGAGAGCTGCGGAAGTTGTCCAAGTCCTGGATGATAATGGCCGACCCCTGAGAGATGTTCAGACGAATGGTCACACGTCAAGACCACGGAGGAGACGCCTTTTGCTTGATATGGACCCCACGTTCCATACCGCGGACAAGACCAAACTTCTGAACGGTTCAGACGTCAACGCAAGTTTCAATGTCATTGCTCGGAGACAAGGCCGCGAGAACAATTTCAAGCCAGTCCTGGAAACAATTCAAAAACTGGTGTCGTCCCAAACCACACTACCCTCTTGGCTTCAAGAAGTGTATTTGGGCTATGGTGATCCCCGAAGCGCTTTCTTCACCTCACTTCAGAACCGTATTGAATCTCTCGACTACCTCGACACCTTTCTTGATTGGCAGCATCTGTTGGACAGCTTCCCTGGCAAGACGGTGGAGCCTGCTTCTGAACAGAGTACGCCTCTCAACCCTCCGTTTGTCCTTCGGAGCGCCACCAATGCAAACGATGATCCTCCGGTGAATCCGAAAAAGCGACGGCGGGAACAAATGGAGCAAGATTCCTCTGTGATCACTGTTTCCACCTACAAACCTCCGAACACTGGACCATATCCTATGGACGCCAGGAAAACGAACTCTGTCCGCTTTACACCGAAGCAAGTGGAAGCCATAGTGTCTGGTACCCAGCCGGGTCTCACTGTTGTTGTGGGACCCCCTGGCACGGGAAAGACAGATGTGGCCACGCAGACGATCAACCTCCTGTACCATAACTTTCCATCCGAGCGTGTCTTATTGATTGCGCATAGCAACCAAGCACTGAATCAGTTGTTCCAGAAAATCATTGCCTTGGATATCGATCCACGACATCTACTCCGGCTGGGTCATGGAGAAGAAGAACTGGAAACTGAGGGGTCATACAGTAAATATGGCCGTGTAGAGTCATTCCTGGAAAACCGGCAGCTGTACCTTTCCGAGGTCAATCGACTTGCAGCATCCATCGGCGCCGAGGGAGCTCACGGAGGATCTTGCGAGACGGCAGAGTATTTCAACCAAGTCTTTGTGAAGCCGTCTTGGGCGCGATTCTGGGATGTTGCGAACGCCGACGATGCCACAGTTGAAGATATTCTGGCTGCTTTTCCTTTTTATAATTACTTCAGCAATGCCCCTATGCCGACGCTGTTCCCTGAAAATGTCTCCTTGGAAGAGGCTCATGATATCGCTTCTGGGTGTCAATACCATATCGACAAGATCTTCTCGGAGCTCGAATCCATTCGACCTTTCGAGATTCTGCGAAGCAATCGAGACCAAGCAAATCATCTGCTTGTGAAAGAGGCACGCATCATTGCCATGACGTCCACGCACGCAGCAATGAGAAGGACGGAGATTGCTGAACTAGGGTTTCACTACGACACATTGATCATGGAAGAAGCAGCACAGATCACCGAGGTTGAATCTTTCATCCCCTGTGCCATGCAGAACCCTGATGTGAGGTCGGGAGAGTTGCCCTTGAAGCGGATCGTCCTTGTGGGCGATCATTTACAAAACTCGCCCGTCATCCAAAATCTTGCTTTGCGTCAATATTCCAATTTCGAACAATCGCTCTTCCTCCGCTTGGTTCGGCTAGGTGTACCCACCGTCCACTTGGACCAACAAGGTCGCTGCCGTCCGTCGATCGCGGAACTCTTCAAATGGCGATACAACAATCTGGGCAATCTGGCGATTCTTGATCAGCAGGCCGAATTTACTCGCGCCAACGCGGGGTTCCGCTACGACTATCAATTCATCGATGTGCCCGACTACCAAGATCAAGGCGAGCGCGAGCCGACCCCTCATTTCATCCAGAACCTGGGCGAGGCGGAGTACGCCGTGGCGTTGTACCAATACATGCGGCTCCTAGGGTACCCTGCGCGCAGCATCTCCATTTTAGCCACGTACGCCGGCCAACGAGCGTTGATCCGAGACGTGCTTGACCATCGCTGCAAGAACAACAAGCTGTTCGGGCTGCCTCGCATCGTGACGACGGTGGATAAATACCAGGGCGAGCAGAACGATTACGTGATCGTGTCCATGACGCGGACCCGGTCCGTGGGGTATTTGCGAGACGTGCGCAGATTGACGGTCGCGCTCTCGCGCGCCAGGCTGGGGCTGTATATTCTCGGACGCCGGGAGTTGTTCGAGTCTTGTTTCGAGATGAAGCCCGCCATGGATCTGTTGTTGCAGAGACCAGATAAATTGGTCCTGACTACGGGCGAAATGTTCCCCACGGATCGCCCCGTAGATGCTGAGGATGTGGCTGGGACGGAAATGGAAGGCGTCGAACATCTGGGTCAGTATGTCTATGAGATGACCCAGGCCAAGGTCAAAGCTATGGGTGGCCAAGTCGCTGTTGCCGCTGGATCCCAGGCCCAGGCCGAGGAAGTGTATGCGGGTGGAGATGTCGAGGGCGAACTCGACGATGTTGCAGAAGAAGACCCTCTCCATGAGGTTGTATAGTTTTAGGTGGTTTGTAGACTGCAGCTGTGTGCATGCGATACCCGTTGATTCTGGTTTTTCATGAAAAGATTTCCATAATAGGGGTCTTGTCTGCCTACGCCTATCTATTTCTGTGTTCTATGGTCTGCGTCCATCAATTGAAAGATGAGACCGTTGATACCATGAACCATGGAGTAAGCGGAAGAGATCTCAATCCTATTCATTCAGCCCCTTTGTACAAGGATTGTTGGTTGGTCACAGACTGTCTCACAATATGTCTTACGTCTCCAGTATGGTACTGTACTAGAAGTGCGCCGAGGCTGCGCTGAGTCATCCATCCCCCTTTTTCTCAGCCTCACTTGATACTATTAGTATTAATCGGAGTCAGATGAATTTATCTACTATCTTACATTGTCCCATCTATCTCATCACTCACTCTACATCCTCACCTTCTCATCCTAGCGAGACCAGGGGAAGCATCTCCGTCTGACTTTGAATTTTGTGGTTTAGCGCATGATAACAAAAGCTAGATTCGGTGTCCCACCCCGGGCAACTGCACTGCACTGCACTTCATTGCCATTACACTCCAACCGGCCTGGACTTTGGAAACGTGGACTTTCTAACACCTGAACGCCAAAGTCCCCGACTCTTGTGGCGTCAGCCACGATGTGACTTGACTTGACTTGAGGACAGAATACCCTAGATGAGGTATTCATCGAGCCCATCTGAGTTCTCCGAGTCAATCACGAGATAGCACAGGCACGCATGGGTACTCCTGGCAGAAAGTGATGAAATGGGGAAACATACGGTAGAACAGTAGAACCAAAAAAGAGGTGGGTTTCCAGTTCTGGCTTTTCTCACAGCAGCTAACAAAGAATCAAAGATTGGTCACAGTGTATTGGACAACCCGTGCAAGAACGTTGTACGACACAAATACAGACACGAATTTCATCGCTATTAACCACTCCCTGAATGAGGTACAGTAGTTTGACCTGCTATGCGCAACGACACAAACACAAATCCCCACAAAAGGAGGAATTCAGTGTGCATGAGCATTTCGATGAACCACTGAGCGTGAAAACATCCAAGAGATGGAGGCAAACAAACGACAAACGCAATAGGGGTGAATATCATCCCCTTCACTTCAGTTACTAGACGCCTTTTTGTCCTTTGTCTGACGTTGTTTTACCTGGTATCAGATCTATCGAGCTTCCTCTTCTACGATATCAGATCCAGCCTACCGAAAACGGAGAACATAGTCAGGACCCCAGGAGGGCACTCGCTTCTGTCAAACCAGAAACCCGTCTATCGTTTCACTTCTTGTGGCACTCAGTTGTTCAATCTTCACGTGTCACTCAACTCTTCCTCTTCACCACCGCGCGTCTTCTCTTCTCGATCTCACGGACTGAATCGACCTTGACCGAAGGACAGACCTAGTCGGAACAACGTCCATCAACTCCCACAGAGACGAAATGCAGTCCCCGCTGTCTTATTCTAAATGTGACGAGAGTTAGTTCATTCAAGAGCCACGCCGACCATAGAGTACTTAGTAAAGTACCCAGTAAGGCGACCAGGCAACCACCACCAAGATGGGAGGGTCGGCATTTGCCCCAGAAAAGCTGTCCACACCACGCATGCCTCCCGACGTGTACAATTCCACCCTTGCACGCGTGGAAGCACTACTGAGACCGCATTTCAAACACGTCGGCCACGCCATCGAGGCGCCCGCCAAGACTTCCTATGGCGATATCGACGTCCTGGTTGCGGAGCCAGTTTCGGCGATGGAATCTGTGACAGGAGACTTTCTGGCAGAGGTGCTGGGCGCAGAGAAATGGAAACGCACGGGTGGGAGTAGCACGTTCAATCTTGCTTTGAGGTGGCCGCGGCCGCACGAGTTGGACTCTGAGAGAGTTGACCACGATGCGGTCCAGATGGTCGTGGGGTCTGGTGCCACGGTCACTCACAGGAGTGAACTTGGAGTCAAGGTCGAAGCAGCAAGAACAACTTCGATTGAACCCAACACCGCAAGCGAAGACAACATTCTGCACATGGAAGGAAATAGCAAATCAGTCTACGGCTCACATAACCAGACGGCAGACCCGAACTGCGACACTCTCACGACTACCACCGCAAAAAGCGACAAATACGTCCAAATCGACATCACGGTATGTCCGACGGCATCGTATCTCAGATGGCACCTGTTCTTCCAGGCCCACGGCGACCTGTGGAACATTCTGGGCAGCATCATCCGTCGACACGGATTGACTTGTACGTCCAAGGGCCTTTGTCTGCGTATCGCTGAAGTCGAAGCACACAACAAAGAACATTCGCGTGTCAAGATGACGGACGACCCCAGCACGGTATTGGAGTACTTGGGGCTGGATGTTGAGCGGTTCTGGAACCCGTTTGCGAGCTGGGACGAGATGATGGCGTACGCGGCTTCATGTCGGTTCCATTATCCTGGACGGTGGAAGGAGAAGGAGAAGGAGAAGGAGAAGGAGAAGGGGAAGGAGACGAATGAGAAAGAGAAAGAGAAACAGAATCAAAGCAACACTCCCACTGAGATCGAGACGGAAGAGAAGACAAAGCTGGCTGGATCGCAACACAAGGCCCCCACGACCAACGCGACGGCCGAGAAGGGTCTATATCTCAAAGCCAACGATCGACAGAGAGCAGCCAAGAGACCCGTGTTCGGATACTGGATCAGCGAATACCTGCCCAAACATCGCGACGATCCGTCCAGCAAGGACGCGCATTTGTCGAGAGACCAAGTCGTGGACGACGTGAAGAGGTATTTCGGGCCTGAGTTCGCGCGTACGTTCGACGACCGCAGAAACAAGTGGGTGAGACAGATCGGCGTGGATCAGTTGTGGGCGGATATCAGGAGTCTGCCGGTCGAGGGCGTCGAGATCGGGTATGTCATTAAAGGCATGAAGCGAGAGATTGCGTGCTGCGTCGAGGACAATCCCGGCCTCGATGACTCGGCGGATGTGCGGATAGCATTTCTCCAGGGACGGTTTCAGGATGTCTTGAGCTGGGCGAAGACGAATTGTAGAGAGGTCGGGGAGAGGCAGAAGATGCTGGATAGGGTGAAGAGCCGTGCGCATCTGATTGAGAAGCGGAAGCAGGATGAAGAGAAGGCGAAGGAGGAGGGGAAAGAAGTCAACGATCAGAATTCGAGTCAGAGTGGGCCGGATGGCTCGAAGAAGCAGTGACCATATCAGCCAGGCCTTCCAGGTTTCTTTCTTGCGTTCATGGACGGGAGTGATACACAAGCACGGCGCAACCAGGTCAATGGGATGCCGAACCTCCACAGACGCGTTGACCAGTCTGAGAAGAGGGAAATAGATTATGAAATAGTGATTCATGATCATTTGTCTGAAAGCATCTACCGCAGAGTAGTGTTGTTCAGCAATCAGTATTGATTCACGCGGGTTGCCCATAACCCGAGGACTTGTTATGAGTTCCTTCGCCAGCCCAAACGCCTTTCGTGCATGCATGGTATCATGTCCAACAAGCCAACCTGTCCCACGCCCGTTCCTGTCTTAGGAAGATGAGAATCGTACAAATGGTATCTTTTGAGGGTGTTTTTCGAACCCAGACCACCCAGGATGTCATGGACCATCATGCATCATGATGATGCCCTGCCGCATCCTACCTAGGTAATCAGGCAGATAGCATGAGGCAGGCCTTTGGGTATGGATCAACTGTTCGTTGTGGCCATATCACTTCCCTCCATACTTTGGAGGACTTCAGCTGTACCCGTAGACAACCAATTATGACTGGGTAGTAAAGTCAACCTCGCCAGGCAACAGACCACCATCAGCGGCCTTTTCGCAAGTACAGCTACCGGCAGTGCGTTTGCCGCAGGCGCAAGTCGATCCGGCAGGGGCAGTGTTCTCGGTCGAGGCGCGGTCGCAGGTACATTCGCCGGCAGGACGGGCTCCTAGAAGAGAGAGATGGTCAGCATATATGTATGAGACAGAATTGATCTAAGGGAAGAACCAAAGTCTCATTCAGGCGTATAGTCAAATCAAAAAAAGTAAGGGACCAAACATACTGCATGAACATCTGGCACCCTGGACGGTGTTCTCGCTGGACGACTTGTCGCAGGTGCAGTGCATGGCGGACTGCTTGCCACAGGAGCAGGTGGCTTTCTGGGCGCAGACGCAGGCGTCAGAGGCGCGACCGCAGCAGGTTGTTGGTTTGACCATTTTCAAGGTATGGGTTTGAGAAGGTCTGAGAGGGTTGTTGTAGAGATGGAAGAATGGTTGGAGAGACCGAGATAAGATAAAGACGATGGACTCGCTTCTTGTGGTATGTATCTGGTAGGAGACTGTTGTTGCAGGTGGTTTGATTGTATGGGTGTAGTATGAAGAGGCGACCTGTCTCTATCTGACAATTCGTGAATAGAAGAAAATGTGTCACTGTTCTGTTCTGCTCAGTTGCTGTTCTTTGAATTCGATGGCATGGCCACCAGTTTATATGGACTGCGATATTTCCCCTCATGACTTGACGTCGAGACTGGGCTGACAATCAGCTAAACGGCGATTGGTCGGCATCGCCTGGCAGAATCAATCAACCAATCATACTTCTCGTATTGACAATTGTATTTACTCAGTACAACTCGATTACCATCTGCTTACCATTATTCTCTCCCCAGCCACAATCAGAAGACACCAGAGGAAGCAGTGGTATGACACGCCACCGGTTCCCCATCAGCACCATTATTTGTCTGGACATTGACTGGTCTGCGAGTGCATCAACCGAGTCTCCGTCAGTGTCAGGCACATTTCTGCATGAGATCTGTCGCCTTATGGCTTGTCCATTGTTCGCACTCCTTGCTTGGCATAAGGTGATATTCATTTAGGAACGATCAACTGCCTATCATGAAGGATGTGGTTATATGTTATGTAGGTAAAGAGTGAGGCAGAAGAGAATTAGGATCATTGATCTATGAATGTTATGCGCTGTCGCTCATCACCTCTTCCCTCCCGTAAACGCCAGCCGCTCATAGGTATATACACATCCAGGCCTCACTTCGCGTCCTTACTATGGATTCAATGGTCCTTGTCCATGTACGTTTTCGGACCCATGGACCTCAGCATATTCCCAGACAGTGGCTTCCCACACTCCGGGCAACAATCGCTCAGCTTCGGTCGGCCACTGAGAACATCCACGGTATCCTTCATTGACATCCAGAACTCGTCCTTAGGTCTCCGGTCCACCCAGTCAGTCCCTTGGGCCTCCAGCCCGGTCTCTCCACCCATAGGAGTGAAGACGACTTCGGAGCCTTGAATGCCAATCACGGAGACGGACAAGGGATCGTTGGCAATGTCTGCTCGGGACTTGCCGCCATACCTGTCCTCAATGTGTTGTATACACTTGATTGCCATCCGGAGGGCTCTGATTCGATCCATAGGCGAAGGTTTGCCCCCCTGTTGATAATGACCAGGGACCGCCGATCGAGATTCAAATCGTCCCTTGGCTTCTTCCTTGATCATATCGGCAATTACTTGAGTGGTGTAGGTACTACTGGCGCGTTCGTTTCGAAGAATGATTTTCCCGGCTCGGGACGCTCCTTGGTCATTCTGGAAGTTCTCTCGCAAGAAATCTATGTCTCGAGCAATCATGTGAATGTTGATGCCTTCTTCCGGAATGTACACGGCCAGCGCGCCCACCGAAAGACCTGCCATCGTGGCCAGGTAGCCCGACCGACCACCTTGTGTTTCGATGACAAACACCCGTCTTCTCGATGAAGAGGCCGATTGTCTAATGGCGTCGCAGAAGTTGATCAAAGTGTTCAGGCAGGTGTCACTGCCCAGCGAATATTCAGTGCCCGGGACATTGTTCGAGACGGTGGCAGGCAAGACGACCAGGGGGATCTGGAACACCGGATATTGTTCCCGTTCCTTTCGAAGTTCACTTGCCGCGGTGAAAGCTTCAAACCCGCCTATCAAAAACAAGGCGTCGAACTTGTAAAGTTCGAAACATTCCGCCGTCTTTTTCATGTCGGCGCTGGGAAGACCACGATTGGTCCCAATTTCCGAACCACCCTCATTTACCAGATGGTCGACGTCGATCCATTTGATCTCCTGCACCGACCCAACGGGCTTGTCGGCGTGATGGCGTTGCAACCCAGGGAATCCGTTGTGGATGGCGATTGGGGTGTGACCTCTGCTCAAGCAATAGGCCACTGCAGCTCGAGTGGCCGGGTTCATACCACCTGCAGGAGCTCCAACATGGACGATGGCAATACGCAGTCTCTTTTCCTCCGGCAGAAGCATTTCGGGGCGATCGGTGGATGTGGTGATCCTGTAGCTGCTATAGTACTCCTTGAATTCGACATCCCGCAGTTGCATGGCTTTGTCAAAGTCTTTGGCTTGAATGGCCGCCGTCACGGACTTCGTCAATGCCACCGTCTCCATCAGGTCGGATCTCTCAATCTTGTTTTCCCGAATCGTGATGACCGGAGTCGGGGTCTCCGGGGTGGCGTCGAGCACTGCGTTGACAGCCTCGACACCCTGAAGCGTCGACAGCCATCGATCATAGAAGCAGGCCTGTCCTCCTCGTTGTATGTGCCCCAGAATCGTGACCCGGGTGTCCAATTTGAGTTTCTTGTTTAAGAGCTCCTTGACTTGATAGGCAGTGATTTTGTTCAACTCGACATCATGGGCGCCTTCTGCAATGATGACGATGGACCTTCTCTTGCCTCGAGACCTATGTTTGGAGATGATACCGCACATCTCATCCTCCCAACCAGTACTTGGGGGTCTTTCTGGGATGAAGACATAGTCGGCACCGGTGGCTATGGCGGCCATGAGGGCCAACCAACCACAGTGTCGACCCATGACCTCAATGACGAAGCCTCTCTGATGTGAAGAGGCGGTATCGAAGACATCGTCGACGGCGGAGCATATACGTTCGAGGGAGGAGTAGCACCCGATGGTGGCGTCGGTACCAGACATGTCGTTGTCGATAGAGCCCACGAGGCCGACGATGTTGAGGTGCTTGAATGGTTCGATTTCCTCTGGCGTCAGCTCTTTCGTGTCGACAAGTTCTCTGATCAGACTCGGCCACTCGGCTCGGAATCTGTCTGCACCAGTCAAACTGCCATCACCACCACAGATAATCAGAGCATCGATGCCCCTCTTGATCATGTTCTTGGCCGCCTTCAATCTCCCCCATCTTTCCATGAAAGCCATACATCTGGCGGTGCCAATGAGAGTTCCACCGCGAGACAGGTATCCTCGAACATCATCCCACTTCATCTCTTTGATCAGATCTCCACCTTGCACCAAACCCTCGTAACCTTCGTAGACTGCGTACGCCTCGCAGCCCCGATAGATGGCCATGCGTACGACCGCTCGCACAGCTCCATTCATGCCAGGAGCGTCCCCTCCACTGGTCATGACACCAATCCTTCGTTTCCGGGCCGGCTGCCCCGCCTCCTTTTCGGCCATTTTGTGGGATATCCGGGGGAATTGGGAGACGTCGGCGGTAGGACCAAGCTAGGTAGAGGGTGTTCCTCGTCGTTATATGTAGGTCATGCGGGCAGGGCAGGCTGCGGATCGGATGAGCAGAAGAAAAAAAAGGACACGTGGACGTCGGAAGAGGATGGAAGAGAACGATCCTGGAGTGTGTAACGGCGACAAAAGCAATCAAGCGCGGAGTAAGAAGAAAATAATATGCTGGGGATAAAGTGGGCGGGATGTTAGTTACTACTGCGGTACACAGGTGAAGATCAAGTAAAGTGTATGGAGCACTTCATCCCCACGATAGGTGACAGGCACAACTTTGGGTGAGGTACCAGTAGAACCCTCAGCTTCAGTACCGCAGGAGAGCTCTACAAATCTGCTGTCTGCAGTAACTTCCTTATGTCATAGTAACAGCAAGATGTGGGGGGAGCTTAGGTCGTGATTGGCAGTAGCAGCTAGCGCCCAGGCTTAACGAGGGAGGCTAAAGAGCTGGTCGTAGGCATCTAAGGCGGCGCTGGTTTAACGAACGACCATCTCCTTGTTACCCCCGTGCTATCTATTAGGCGAGGTAGATACGAACTTAGGTGCTTTCAAGTTATAATTCAGAGGTATCTAGGTACCTACTAACCTACCTATAATTCTTATGCGAGTCACGTGCAGACCTCGGATGATACCGACTTCCGTAGCAAGACTTTCGATTCCTATTGTTGTCACATTCCACTCGAGCCTTGCATGGCCAGCATCTAATGTGGTCTTATCCTAACTATCTCGCTTCTGCCTTCGCCCACCAAGATCTTATGTTCCCAACCCAGGACGACTACGTGATTATGGAGTAGCAATTGCAGATATCGCTTTTTCTTGGTGGCCGTCCGACACCAGGATGACCAACCCTTGAGACCCTTTTCCCTTTCCCACAAATCTAGCCAGGAGATACCTGTATCCACCCGTTCGCTGTTCTTGTACCACCAGGGTCGCCAATTTCAAATTCAAAATCAATTCCACAATCATGGCGGACAAGACATCTTCTACCGGCCCCAGCAGGCCGAAGAGCAAATCGTCTAAGAAGAGAGAACCGTTCTACGCCGTGTCTCCTCAATGGAGGGACGTCACGCCTATCCCTCTGCTTGACGGACCGCCAGGGCAGAAAGATCCTGGTCCCGCTCTGGCCACCATCGCCTATGCACCACGGTACAGCGAAGCCATGTCGTATTTGCGAGCCGTGATGGCGGTGAACGAGTTCAGCCGTCGCGCGCTCGAATTGACGGAAGACATCATCAGCATGAATCCGGCGCATTACACGGTGTGGCTGTACCGCGCGAAGATCCTACAAGCCTTGTGGGCAGCCGAGGGCACCCAGACGGAGGAAGGGGTCCTGGCAGAGCTGGAGTGGTTGGAGGGAATCAGTGAGCGGAATCTCAAGAACTATCAAATATGGTAAGGGGGATCCAGAGGTCCTTACGATACTCTCTTTCCTTACTAACTTCTCTGGATCCAGGCATCATCGACAACTGCTAGTATCACTTCTTTCCAAACTACCAAGCACAGAAACCGAATTCCTCGCCCACATCCTCTCCTTCGACTCCAAGAACTACCACGTCTGGACGTACCGACAGTGGCTATGCCGCCGGTTCCCAGACCCCTTACTCACCACAGACATGGAACTACGCGCAGTAGACGCGCTGATCAATGAAGACGTGCGCAACAATTCGGCCTGGAACCATCGCTATTTCGTATCGTTCGGCGCCGACGAGCTCCAAGCCATCGAATCCCAGGGCGGCAACCGCAAAGAGATCTTGAGTCAGGGCAGGCTGGTGGTCGACGAAGACGTCGTCGAGCGCGAGATCAATTACGCCAAAGACCATATCGCTTGGGCCCCGCAGAACCCGAGTCCCTGGAACTACTTGAAGGGGGTGCTCCGGCGGGCGGCTATCCCACTGACGGACATGCAGGTCTTCTGCGAGGGCTTTGTCGGTGGCAAGCATGCCGATCTCATGAGCGACTCTGTGCGGAGCAGTCATGCCGTGGACTGGCTTGCAGAGATCTATCGCTTGGACGGCAATCTCGAGAAGAGTAAATCGTGTCTGGACGCCCTAGGCAAGAAGTGGGATCCGATTCGACGCAAATACTGGGAGTTTCGGGCCAAGCAGCTCGATGAGGACCTGGGAAATGAAGCATAAGAACACGTTACAACCAAAGGGATCATCCGATGCGACCGTCGATATGAAGCATTTGAAGAAGGAAAGAAAAGAGATCCCGTGAACGAAGATCCAACCAGGCCATTGAGTCTTCTCGCGTTTGCGCTCCCCGGGATGATGGATGTGTTTGGAAGCTCATACATTGTTTGATCGATGAGATCACTGTCAGAGCACTCCATACTACTCATACCCCCGGTCGACGAGGCTGAAGAGAGCTCAGCTGATGGACCGAACTGAAACAACAGCGCTCTACGCAAATAATGGTCCACCTAAACCTTCGCTATAGGTTTGACTGCTCCGCTGTAGGCCGGAGGCATCGGTTAAATGCATTTTCGGTCGGGTTTCGGCTACATGCCTTTTCTTCTCTCACTGAAACTCCACTCCGCTCGCTATAGTAGTTGGAACAGGAAAGTCAAAGCCGGTGGCCTATGACCACAATGGTAGGACGACTATCACAGGTACCTACCTACCTAGGTAGGCATGTCACTCAAATTTACCACCTCATCATTCCTTGTCGGCTTTATGGCTTCAACTGCAATCATAACCTATAGAGCGGGACGCTTTCCCCGGTATCCTGATGCATCTTGGATGCCTTGAGGGGCTAGTCTCGACAAGACGCCGTCGGCAACATGCATTGGAAGCAGCTCAACGCACCGGTCCAAGGTTTCTCGACATGTGTAGAAGGTGATCTCCGGCATTCTGACCCTGCTCAATCGCTGTGGGGAGCAGTAGAAGTATTAGCTTTCACATATATGCCCTCCTTGCCCCAGAGAAAGTTGGTACAAGTCACCTGTTTCCTCCTTTCCCCTTCCCAGATATCCCTGCAAGCTAGGACCACCAAAGACAGATAGATCGTTTGACGGAGTCAGACACGCTGACATAAGATGTCTTCTCCAACGCTCAACATGACAAGGCGCCTTGTCTCCAGGAAATGCCGGCTGAACATGCAGCGCCGGTGGGCTTCGACACGTCCGCAGTTCAACTGGGAGGACCCTCTCGGAGCCCAGAGCCTGCTGACTGAAGAAGAAGTCGGGATCCAAGACACAGCGCGCGCGTACTGCCAGGAACGACTTCTTCCGCGGGTCTTGAACGCCTACAGAACCGAGTCCTACGATCGTGAGATCTTGCGGGAGATGGGTGAGCTCGGTCTTCTCGGCGCGACCATCAAAGGCTACGGGTGCGCGGGGGTCAGCAGCGTGGCGAGCGGTCTGATCACGCGCGAAGTTGAGCGGGTGGATTCAGGCTACCGCTCCAGCATGTCGGTGCAGAGCTCGCTGGTGATGGGCCCGATCGAGCAGTTCGGCAGTGCCGAGCAGAAGGACAGATGGCTCGAGAAACTGGCGCAGGGGGAGCTAGTCGGCTGTTTCGGACTGACTGAGCCTAACCATGGCTCGGACCCGGGGTCGATGGAGACCACGGCAAAACCACATCCAACGAAGGAGGGTTACTACTCGCTCTCGGGCGCGAAGACGTGGATCACAAATTCCCCGATCGCAGACTTGTTCGTCGTCTGGGCCAAACTGGACGGCGTGATCAAAGGCTTCGTCATTGAGCGCGACGCATGTCCGCCCGGCACGCTCGAGACTCCGGCGCTCAAGAACAAGACTGGCCTGCGTGCCTCGATCACGGGCATGATTCAGCTCGACAACTGCCCGGTGCCGGAGGAGAACATGCTCAATAGCGTGTCGGGTCTCAAAGGCCCATTTAGCTGCTTGAACTCCGCCCGCTACGGCATTGCATGGGGCGTGATGGGTGCATTGGAAGATTGTATTGCTCGCGCGCGCACCTACGCACTCGAGAGGAAGCAGTTCAACCAGCCACTAGCCAGGTTTCAGCTCGTTCAGAAGAAACTGGCCGATGCCATGACCGATGCCACATACGGCATTCTCGCCGCACATCAAGTTGGGCGGCTGAAGGACGCCCCTGCCGATGCTGCGCAACAGGCCACTCCGGAAATGATCTCTCTCATCAAGCGGCAGAACTGCGATCGTGCCTTGGTTCATGCCCGCACGCTGCAGGAAATCTTCGGCGGGAACGCCGCTAGTGATGAGTATCATATCGGCCGGCATGTCGCAAACCTCTTCGTCACGCAGACGTACGAGGGCCAGAGTGATATTCACGCCCTGATCCTGGGGAGGGCGATGACCGGTGTGCAAGCTTTCGCTTGAGACGATTGCCGGGCTCATTTTTGATCTAACTATCTGAAGACTTGTCATGTTTCTCGGACCCTCATCTGCTTGGTATATGGAGTTCGGATTTGTATTGCGTCACAGGCAGGTTTGGTACATAGGTTCTGATCTGACAGGGTCACCATTGAGATGGGTCCAATGTGTATTCTGATGTTCCGAGAGAGGTTGGCATCAGAAAGTAATTGTCCGGATCCAAAAAGCGGTCATATAGTTGCGTCTGCAAAGTCATGTCAAGCTGTCTCTGTTGAGCAGCATTCTGAAAATTGTGGATAGCCGAGCCCATTTCGAATGTATTCTGCAGCGCGTAGTATTCTGGAGTTGACATAATGTTCTCAACTCTTTGGTTGTTCACGAGCCCTTCCATGGCAGACTGGCTAGTCGGGGATTCAGCGGTGGCGGTCGCCTCATCGGACGCCTTGTTCTTTTTGATCCCGGCTTGGAGAAATTCGAAAATTTGCAGGCCCCAGAACGCAGGGTCCCAACAATCTCGAACTTCGTTCAAGACAATCTGACAATTGTCAAGGGCTGCTTGGCCTAATTGTGCGATGAGAGGTGATGATCTGCGGATAAATCTGTAAAAGACGATTCCTGCGACGAAGAAGGCCGGAAACACTTCTTGTGGCATAGAATGAACCATTGACTTCGTCATAAGGTAAAGGGCTGTTGACGAGATCGTCTGGGCAGCGGACTCCGCTATTTCACAGGTCGCGGCTTCTGGACCTAGTCCCGGCGTGCCATCATGAGACAAAATATCTCGACGAGCAAGATAGATGAAGATGACATGGTGGTGAAATAAGATTTTGAGGCTTTCGGCAAACATTGACGTCGATGGTCCCGAGTCTGACCAGTTGATTTCAGTTGGCAGGTCACTTCGCCAGTGATCGAGCATCTCGTGCAGAGTCTGGGGAGTCGACGAAAACCCTGGGTTGGAACGCGCGTTCGTGATGTGGCGCAAGATGAGGGATAGTTTGGCGAGCTGGATCTGATACAAGGCGGAAAGACGACGATCATCCATGAGCACATTCTGTCCCTGCTCGGTGGTGAAATCATCCATGGTTAACATCGGAGTATCGCAATGGCTCATATTAACTCTGAAAGGTCGGCCTAGGAGGGTCCCGCAATATGCATCCCGAACCGCAATCGTCCACCACATTCGCCTCAGTAAGCCTTTGTCTTGGTGAGATGGCAAGGAGGCGGTCGAGCGATGGATCCCCAGGGATTCAGCAATCGTCACAGCGACACCGACCCAAGAGCATGGATTCCAGTAACTCTTCATGTCAGGGCCCCAGAACGTCAGTATTATAATGGCTTGTAACAGCACCACACTGTTGGTCTCGTAGCCCACATCATAGAGCACCTTGGCCTTATCGTAGAAGAACCGCCGTGCGCTTTGGCGGGTCTTGAATCCTGCACTTTTGATGACTGTCAGATCACAGTAAGCGGCACCAATCAGACTTGCTGCATGCAACAAGATCCAGGGGATCGTGCCTGACCGATGCTGTTCGAGGAAATCGGCCTTGTTCACAATCGAATACAGGGGATAGAACTTGCCGATGAAAGCATCGACCAAAGCACGTAGGCATTCTGGGTTGGGTGAATGGAAGGCCCCCTTGGCCTGTAGGTAAGCAATATCTGCTGGGGATAAATGTGACGGGTGGGCGGACCGTTCGTGAGACCTCGCTACCTCGCCGTCGCCCATCGCTCGTTGTTCTGAGCGGATTCCATCTCGCTTTTCAGGCATGAATTCTTTCAGGGCAAACGTCAGTGGAGAGGAGTCTCCCAACAGGACGAAGCCGTGTTTGCCCACAAGTCCTTCCGCATCACGACCTTGCTGTCTCAGGAAGTTTTCGAACATCAAGGCGAGAGAATTGCTCCTGGCCTCTTCCGGTTCCCCAATGCCCTGTGACCGAGTACTATCTTGACCCTGACCCGAGGACGGAATGACTGAGGCCAGAGCCGAAGCAGGATCTGGCTCAGATGCTGCCGAAGTGCTAGGTCTGTCTTCTGCGGCTGGAGACTCCCCAGTGATAGGATCGTCTGCAGGGTGACTCATGGATGAGTCGCCTGTAGGAGCGTTTGATTGCGACCGCCCGCGATCATAGGTACCTCGGCGAGAGGTGATGAAGGCGCATCCTTCGACGCCGTCGACGCGGCATCTGGTGCACGGCAGACCTGTCCGCGCGGCGTCACATTTCACCTTGCGGCTGTTGCATCTCTGGCACGCCTTGAATGCTCTTTTCCGCGCAGAGAGAGTGCCACCGACGCCATTTGGCATCGTTCCTACAGACCTGACGCGAGTTGCATCCAGGACAGACGACGTGGAATCAATGGAACCAAGTTGGGAGCCGAAAATGCAGTTCAAGTTGCCGATGTTGCCGATGCCGAGAAAACTTCTTCGCTTATGTCAGCATGCAACCGCAAGTCACGTGCCGACCTGATGCCCTTGAGATGAAGGGGGCGAGTTCAAGTCTAGTATCATTTTGACTGTGGTGATATCTACTGATCAACAGTCTCAGGCGATCTTCAAAGCATCATAGCCTTCGGGACTGTCCCAGGGTAATCATAATACAGCACCGAGCCACAATCTAGCGCGCGAAACCCCCGAGGATAGGCGCCCTCCGTTTCGTTCAGCCACACTCAGTGGTGGAAGAGACGAGTCCTTTGCTCAATGAAGGTAATACCCAAGTTCTCTGCTGTATCAAAGACTGCGCCATCATTTTGCGAGCCGGTGGGAGCAGCAATATACTTGACGCCACTGCGAGCTGCACGATACACGTTGTCGACGAACGGGAACTGCGAAGAGTTAGAACAATGCAATGATCAGGCACATGCGTAAGGATGTCCACAGTACGATGCCTGCGGGAAGAAAAGGTGAGAGAGATGTTCACTTACGAAGGCGTCGCTCGAAACCGCAACCTCACTCAACTTCGACAGCCACTCTCGCCTCTCCTCGGGAGAGAACGGCTTTGGCACACTGCCCTCCGCGAAACTGCGCTCGTAGTCCTTGGTCTCGAATTCGCTCTGGGGCGGCACTTGGCCCGAACATAGCATATCGATGGCATTTGACTTCTCCGGTCGCTTGACACCTTTGGCCCATGATATGGAAAGCGTTCGCTCATGGAAGCGCATCCACCAGTTATCAGCCTTGTCTCCCGCGAGTCGGGTACAGTGAATGCGACTTTGTTGGCCAGCGCCCAGGCCAATGATTTGCCCATTTAGAGCATAGCAGACGGAATTCGACTGGGTATATTTGACGGCAATTGTTGCCACAGTGAGGTCACGCAATGCGGAATCAGACAGTTGTGGCGAGTTCTTCGGGCGAATGACGGTATTGAACGACTCGGTGGGCGATATTTTGACATCGTTGCGCCCTTGAGTGAGGGTGACGCCATAGACAGTCCTCGATTCTTGAGAAGGGGGCTCGTACGTCTCGTCCATCTGCAGAACAAGATACTTGCCCCCCTTCTTCTTCTTCAGGATCTCCAGTGCCTCTGGTTCATACCCGGGTGCAATAACGCCGTCAGATACCTCTCGAGAGATGATCTTTGCCGTAGCAACATCACAAACATCGGAGAGCGCGATAGCATCACCAAAGCTTGACATGCGATCGGCCCCGCGAGCTCGAGCGTATGCCTGGGCGAGAGCGGAGGTCTCAATACCCGCAATATCATCAACCATGTATACCTTGCGTTCTGTCTCGGTCAGTGGTACACCAATGGCGGCGCCGGCTGGGGAGACATGTTTGAAGCTAGCTGCTGCGGGCAAGCCAAGCGCCTCTTTGAGCTCCTTGACCAGTGGCCAAGCATTGAGACAGTCAAGCAGGTTGATATATCCTGGAGACCCTCCCAGAACTTTGAAAGGAAGGTTGCGGTTGCGAACAAAAGCGGCCGCAGGCTTTTGGTGCGGGTTTGCGCCATAGCGTAGAGAAAGCTGTTGGACTCCGTTACCGGCATATTGCTTGCGGAAGAAATCCGCGATGGCCGCATCGTAGTCGGCGGTATGCTCAAATGCCTTTAGAGCGTACCTCTGACGGGTCTCTACCGGGATATCTCCCTTCTCGAGCTCCTGTAGGAAGCTGGGGTAGTCCTGAGGGTCGCTGAGAATGGTGACTCGAGAATGGTTTTTGGCGGCAGCTCTGATCAAGGTGACACCTCCAATGTCGATTTCTTCTACCGCTTCAGGGATGGTGACGTTGACCTTAGCAACGGTGTCCTTGAAGGGGTACAGGTTGCACACAACATAGTCGACTTTATTGATGTTCTGGTCGGCGAGGTCTTTCTCGTCCGAAGCCAGGTTCCGTGCCAAGATACCAGCGTGCACTGCCGGATGGAGGGTCTTGACACGGCCTGAAAGCATCTCAGGGGCGTTGGTGATTGCGGAGACATCCCTACGGAGGGTTCAGTAAGAAATCCATATACTATTGAGGAGGAGGACCAGGTTCGTACTCGACATCAAAACCAGCCTCGCGAATCAGTTTTGCTGTGCCTCCAGATGCTAGAAGACGGACATTGTTCTTAATGAGACCTTTGGCTAGGTCGAGCAGACCCGTCTTGTCATAGACAGACAAGATAGCTGGAAATGCTGGTCAGCGAATCTGTTGTCTTGATTTGGCGGGGAAAGAAACGGGCGCCTGGCTCCTGACTACGGCGAGAATGACATACCTATCTTTTGAGAGGCCATGGTTGATATCACTGGACGACTGCACTGCGAAGATTGATATGGTTGCAGTAGAGATATGTCAGTCGACCGAGCAGCACAGGGGGGGTTTATGACCGGATTCGGGCGACTGGATAGGGAGTCTTCATGGAGCAGACGACCCGTTCAAGTTTCTCTTGCAAACAAAAATTGGAATCGTAAATCTCAATGTGCTGAGTGGAATTGAAGCTTGATAGGTTGAACAGCGTCGCTGGTGGGGGACGCGGATCGATGCAGGACTACGTATAAAATGCCACACGCAAATTCCTCAGGCAAAAACTACGTCACGGAAGAATCAAACTCCGGACCCGGAGTCACTAGTAGCCATTAGAGACTAGCGTCCCATCTAATCACGTGACTGCATTAACCCGAACACAGTCTAGCGGCGGTGAGCTGCGTCACTGCAGTTGGCGAGCTTCGAGAGATGCAGATGCAGCTGCAGACGCCAGCCTTGCAGTCCCTGAAGAAGTGTTACCCTGGTGTCACCATGTCCCCAGTACACGCTGCAGCGGCTGCAGTTGGAAAGATGGTGGCATGCGGTAGACAATCCGGCTACTGTATTGTGGTCTACGTCGGACATTCATGGAATGGGTAGTGATAAAAGAGTAAGACTGGTGGTGGTGGTTGGTGTCTGCGTTTCTACAATTCGGACGGCAGACATGTTCCCTGCGGCACTGCTGTATAGGGCGCAGTTCTGTGCACAATCAGGTACCTACTACGAAAGTAGTAGTAGGTCAGAGCCAGTTCGCACCCTCAGCCGAGAGTGCACAGCGGTGCCTCAGCACAGCGAGTCGTCCCAACTCGCTGCAGCCTGGAAGTACCGTCCAAGGCCACAAATTAAGAACTCGATCTTCTCTAACGGCCCGCGCCGAGTTGGACAGACCCCTCAGCTACTAGCATTTAGTAGTACAGCTTACCACTAGTAGTTGGTTGCACGTCAACGGCTGTGAGTAGTAACGATCTCGAACGTCACCTTCTCTTCACCTACCACTCACTCTCACTCTCACTCGACCTAATTCACTACTCTTGTGTGAATGTCCTCTCTACCGGTGTTGCGGAGAACCTCAACTTGAACCGTGCAAGGACCGTCAATAGGAAGTGGGCCTGGTATTGTTCCTCTCGACCGGCACTCCTCTATTCATGACTTCTTCCTGAAGCCAGTATGTGACTTCTGCCTAACTACCTGTATCTTTCAACTTCGACTTCCTTTTTCTCTTCTCTTCGCTTCTCTCCTCTCCTCTCCTCTCCTCTTTCATCATCATCTTCATCATACCTCTACCCGTTGATATCTTCTTCGACTGGCTCCGACGGCTTTTGGTTTAGAAGGTAGCCTTCATTACTTTTCACCGGGTTGCCGACTCCAAGCAGCATCCATTAGTTCAAACCGAGACTTCCCTCACCTCTGATACACTCGACTCTCTATCTCTCGAAGCCAGAAAACGACATCATGTCTTCGCCGAAGAAAAACCTGTCGCCAAAGAGCGATCGTATACTCCCTCATCGCAATCGCCAACATATCCTTCGCCCTATTCCCCAACCCCGAACCCAGGCGCATACTCTCCTTCAGCCCGAACATAGCAATGCATCCAAAGTCTCCGTGACATCACCCACTCCCACGGCATTCTCCCCACCCTCCAAGCCGTTTCCTTTCTTCGACCTACCGGGTGAGATCCGAAACAAGATATATGATCTTGTCATCCCAGAGACAAGGGTGGTCATCTCGGGCACTCATCCTCAGAAGGAACTCGAGAAGCTCAAGGCAAAGGCGCCAACCAAGAAGCACAAGCGGCCGCGGCATCGACTGTTGGGAGAGTTCACTGGCGACGTGGTTTCGACGTCTTTCCTACTCACATGTCGTCAGATGAATGAGGAAGCGATCCAAATCATCTATGCTCGGACCATCTTCTGTTTCGACCGATTTGTTGTGATCAACAAGTTCCTCGACACCATTCCCAGTGCTGCAGCCAAGAGCATTGGAAGGCTGGAGATCACTCACACCGGATACGCCGAACCAGAATGGACGGACGACCGTGTATGGAAACTCCGGCATGACGAGAAGTGGAGCATGACATCGGAGCGTATCAAACGAGGGATGACTTGCTTGGAGAGTCTCAAACTCGCCCTGACCGTTTTCGACTGGCCTTGCCGATTGGAGCTGGACGAGAGTTGGGCCAAACCTCTACTCAATCTCGCAGGAGACGGACTCGATTGGGTGGAAGTCAAGTTGATGCATGACCGGTTCCATCCTAACAAGGTTGCCGCAACCGCGAAAGAACTGGAGACCAAAATGATGTCAGCCGACGGCAAGAAGAAGAAATTGCGAGAGGCACAATTGCAAGCAGCACAAGAGAAGAAACGAAGAGAAGAGGCGCGAAAGAAAGCGACCAAAGCCTTGAGGATTCGACTTCCGTTGGGCGACAAGACCATGCTCAGCAACACTCCGGTCAAAAAGGTGGTGAAGTCTAGAGGGCTTGAGCAATACGCCAGGTACCAGCCTGCCGTGGCATTTTGCCAGTAAGGGGCCGATCGATATGGTGGTTCTGAGTGACCAGATTATTACACCGCGGGCTATCTGATGGACGGACTGGTCATGATTCCGGTCTAGGTCCTGGGCGAAGGCAGAGTCAGCATCATCAGCCAAAATGGCGATGCACCTATGAGCGTGCACACATGATGCAGCATACAGCATACAGTATTCTTCTTCACGAGCAACGATGACGGGCATTGCGATGGCACTTGGAAAACCAAATGAATCCAGCTAGCAATTCGAGAATGCCTGCATAGGGTTGATAGTTCAGTATTCCAAACATAGGAAATTGAACAACTGACTTGCATCTATCTGTATGGACGAGTAGCGATAGACTCGAGTGATTTGATGGACAGGCTGCATTGCATGACACGATCCAAAAATAGGGGCGGGCGAGTCGGGGAACTGAAGTTGAAGGGCAAAGATGAGAGGGGAAGATGGACGGTAGTGGCACCTGGAGCCTACTAGTTAGGCATCGAGACCCTCCCTGAGTGAAAGGCGGGGGACCCCTAAATACCACACTTTGTGGGTTCTTAAAGTGCCCTGAATGGCTTGTAGTAATCAAGATACGGTGCATCCGGCACCCAGCATGACACGGCTTGCCATCATGGCATGGATTAGGTAACTAAGGTAATATTGTATCTCAACGGGTTCTCTTCCTCCCCTCGTGAAAACACCAGAGTCGTTTCCTTCACCTGAGAGATGAATGCACGGTACAGTTGACCCCTGGTGCCAACATCCGCCATGGCAAATCTAGTGAGATCTAATGCAAGCTGCGACAAGGCGCTACAAGCTGCCAGGGAGTCATGTCGAGTCCTTCGGCTGCTGATTCGTTGTGGTCGGGCGCGTATAGAGACGCCGTCGACCAATCAAGCCCCTGCACCGCATCTCGTCACCCGCCTGCTGTCCATCTTCATCCATGTTTCCCTCCAACTGCGCTGCGTCTTCGTTCTATCTTCCTGCATCTCTTCACGCCGCTCATTCTCCTTCACTCTCGTCCAACCGCCCGACCAGCATCCATCATGCAAGCTCTATACCTCTCAAGCGCCCGGCAAGTCCCCATCTCGCAAGTCGAGATTCCCAATTCCACCACGGTTCGATCTAGTCGCTACACAGTTCAAGCTGCTTCAATTGCATTACTATCATGCTCGTCCTCCCAACTCGCTCGATCCTTTTTCTCTTCTACTTCAGCATCTCTGTTTATGTTCGTTTGGCAGCTCGCGCAGGCTTCGCTGAGTCGTCCTTTGCCTTTGACTATACCAGTCCCCTTTGACACGAAGGTTGTCTACACTGCCACATTGCCTCTCATCTCGTACTGCCCAATACCCTGCATTTTTGGCCTGAAAGCAAAGCCAGAGACCACCCTCCCGACCTCAGGGCGCCTATTTGCCACAAGAGCTGTTCCATCTCTCTCTGGGCCACGAATACCAAAGTCCAGAGGCCCCATCCGTCGGACGTTACCTGTGTAAGGTGATCAATCTGCCGGACTGCCAATAACCAAATCACATTTCCCAAGCGCTCCTCTTCGGGAGATCCTCAAGCGGTTACCTATTACTCGACCCTCTTCCCTCGTCTCTGCTTTCTTCTACAATATCCTTCCCATCGTTGACATTGAGATGATCAAGAGCTGGTTCTCGACAACATAATAGCGAACTCTGAGAGAGAAGAATATATACACATTCGTATATATTGCAAGCCAAGCTGCAGGTGTCGTTTCCGTCTCACGTCAGCATTGGCCGCCTTAGTTGGGATCGCAAACTTGCTCTGGAGAACCCTTGTCCTACTCTGAGCCACAAGCCTACACTGCAATAAGAAGTCATCATACAGCCATGTCGCCATCCGGCTTCGCACCAGTTTCGCCTATCGATATCACTGCCGATTCGAGACGCTATCGTACGGTCGACTTCGACGAGAAATCAGATATCAAGGCAACGACTCGGTCCCTTCGAACAAATTCAACGGCTTCCAGTACTCGGTCTGCCAACCCGGTGCGGAGGACCCGCTTCGCTGAAGCGACCTCCGTCCTGTCCCCCGCCTCTGGTCCCGGTGAACATCAGTCGCCATTTGCAGATCCCAAGATGGATACCAGCAATATTGACGGGCCCAAACCGTCGGATGTGGGCTTTGGGTATATCACAGACAATCAACCTGTCGAACAGCATGCTACCATCAGAGGAGATCTCAACGGCGCGGCTGGTGCTCCACTCAAATCAGCCTTGAAGACTCCCGGTACTGCTAGTCGAATGTTGAATCCCCTGAGCCCAACGTTCCGCGAAGAGCAGACGTTGGAGAAAGAAGAAGAGAAGACGGATGTCCAGCAGGCAAAGGATCTGGTAAGTTCCTTCATGACAGTTACAAAATCTCGACCACTGACAGTGTGATTATAGACGGTCAAGAAACGGGTCCGAATCGCCAAGATGGTCCTTCGTGGCATCAACTTCTCCTGCTCGTTGATCGTGCTAGCCATGCTCAGCACAGTCCTTACCATTTTCCATGCGACCAAGTCGCTTCCGCCGCGCAACAATCTACCCGCATGGGCACCAAAGCAGCAAATATGGCCGCAGATAGTGGTCTTGACCATCGCTTGCATCTCTTTGCTGTTCTCCATCATCGTCATCCTGGCCTACTGCCGAGGTGGTCACCGGCGGGCCGAGAAAGTAGCGGTCTACTATACTATGTTTGCTGTGGGATGGTTCATGTTTAGCATTGTCATGTGGCTTGTGGGCGCCGGCATCTTTCACGGTAGCAAAGCCAATGGCGGCGGGACAGATCTTTGGGGTTGGAGTTGCAAGGACAACAAGCGACGACAACTGTTCGAAGATGATGTCCACTACGCCCTTGTCTGCCGCTTGCAAGACTGGAGCTTGATCTGCTGCATCATTGAAGTCATAGTCGAGGTCCTTGTGATCGCAATCTACGGCATCGTCTTCTACCGATTCTGGTCGAAGAACCGTCTTCGAAAATCCATGGACGCCCGTGATCGAGCTCGGACCGACCTATACCTCGCTCAATTACGCTCGCAATCGGCGCCCAACACGCCCGGCTTTGCCCAAACCCCCAGAACGCCAGGATTTCCCAGTCACAAGTCCTTGGACGTCTCGCATCTTGCAGAGCAAGGGTATTCGTCGACACAGTATGTGGCTGCATCTCCGCAGTCGAATACAACTGCCTCACCTTTCAAGCTCCAAGCTCCTCCCATTCGAGTGCAGCACGCCTCACCCAGGCCGGCGGCCGGGGCAGGGTTTGAGAGACAGACAACGGCCAGTCCACCTCCTCAGCCACCAATGTCCCCTCCTCCGGAGGAGAGGGTGCACGAACACGTATCCGCAGCGCCTGGCGAGCAGACTTATGCGTCTGTCCCCATCCCAGGGGCATATGCACCACATTCCAACGGTCCAGCACTAGGGCAGGCATATTAGTGAATACAAGATGAAAAGGAAAAGACAAAAAAAGATTCGAAGCCGCCGTTCCCGAAATAACTTGGGAGATGGGCATCTATCGCGATACAGTGTTGACACGAGCGGGACGTCAGCGGACTGAGGACATGCTATGGGGCTAATAAGCAGATCCAAACATACACTTTGTATCTACCATCTAGGAGTTCAGGATGGGAGTTGGAGTGGGAGTAGGAGTGGGGGCGACGATCATGTGTACCAAGCTGTGAAGGGGTTCGATCCGTTGAATCATCAAGCATCAGGTGGTCACTGGTCACCGGGGGAATAGTGTTGGGACCCAAGCCAACCAGACCTCTTCTTCTTGTCTTTCTTTCTCTCCTTTGCACAGCTCAGTGAGGTTGATACTATTCGGTGTGAAGTACGGATCAATGAAGATATCTACCAAACTCGTATCGAAAAAGCAATGGCACTGGTAGTCATAACTAGGTAGGCATACCGCAGCCTGGTGAGGAGTTATTCTCTCATATGTCTCGAACCGTCAATAACATGGCAGTTATAGCCTTGACTTGTTTGTGCTGACGTACATTCTCTTAAGGCTATAGAGTAGTAGTATGGGATGGGATAGGATGGGATGAGATGGGATGGGATGGGATAGGATAGTAGGATAATCCTTATACTAGTCTATATATTCTACTTGGCCTAAATGTTATAATCATATTCTCACACGCTAAAAAAGGGACTGGCTACAACAGCGAATAGAAGATAAACCGAAGAAGGAGCCTTAATGTTGATGTATCTGAATACAGAGTCATGAAGTTGTAAGATTGTTCTCCAATTCCAATTTTCTTTTTCTTCTTCCTTCTCTACATCAATCCCCCATACGGATCATCCTGTCTCTCGAAACTCCATTTCTGCCGCATCGATCTCGTCTTATTACGGCTGTTACTGTTGTCGTCAAGTCCGTGACACGCGTTGGGGGATGAGGAGATGCGCAGGCCGAGGAAAGACTTATACCGGCCTGAACGTAGTGCTGGTGTGGGGTCCTTTCTGGATTTGGATTTGGATTTAGAGCGAGTGGCGGCGATGCTATTGCTATTGCTATTGCTATTGCTGTTATTTGTGTTATTGCTGTTGGGGGTCGCGAACGGTGTCGCGCCTGGCGCAGAGACCTGACTCGGTTCTGGCACTGGAACAGGAATAGGAGCAGGCCAATTGCGGTGTGTCGGATCTGGTGGATTGGAGAGGGTATATGCTGGAGGAGGCTCGTCTGGTGGAATTATGGAAGCGTATGATTGAGCTTGTGATTGTGGTTGTGGTTCTGGTTGTGGCTGTGGCTGTAGTTGATGTGATTGCTGTTGAGGTTGCGACTGAGGTTGTTCAGAACCAGGGGTTGGAGTCGGAACTGCCACTGCAGCTGGAGTTACAGCTGGAGTTGTAACTGGAGCTGAAGAAGTTTGAACAGCTGGATCAGAACCACCCACAATCTGTTCTTGAAGATGTGTCTGCGACTGTGTGCGTGGCGTGGACGTCGGCGACGAACGCAGAGACGCCGAGGACCGAGTGGACCGACGTGAAAAGGAATTGTTGTGGTTGTGGTGTGGTTGTACAAACGTTGCTTTCACGCCGGCTGTCCGGGCCATGTCTGCTGCGTAATCTAGTTCCAAGACCGGACTGGTAGTGGATCTGAGATTGGGGTTCTCATCTTCATGCTGAGCGGTGGCTTCTCTAGCTGCCTCACATGCAAAATCGAGGATCCGACCAGTGTCGTAACTCCAACTTGGAACAGCGAGATTGTTGCTGCTAGTCGAGGTAGTCGAGGTAGTCCCGGTGGTGGTGGTGGTGATATGGTTGGTGTCGAGAATCCCAGATCCAGTCAGCATGTCGAGCACCGCTCGAAGCCAGTCGTCTTCGGGCCCGTATGTGGGTGTATCGTAGAGTAAGGACGACAGTTTCTGCGCCAGCTTCGGAGGAGACGAACGGTGTGTTCCGAGTTTGATGCGTAGGTAGAGTGGGAGGGGTTGGTTGGTTGGGGAGGTGATGCTTGTGGTTGTGGCTGTTGAAGTGCTGGAAGATGGAGATGGAGACAATACTGGCTCCTGTATCCCATTGGACCAGTTCATATTCGAGTCGTTGTCTTGTATATGCTCGGCTGATGGTGATGATGATGATATTGACGACGATATCGATGTCGACGATGAAGATTCCCCAGCAGCCTTGACCGGCACAGGATACTTTTGTTGTCGGGGTCGATGGTCGTGCATGTCGAAGAGTTGCGATTCGCATTCTTGAGAGTGGCCGCTCGACTTTGAATATCTGTGCGAGAAGAATCGCGGTTTTGATTTCGACGCTTCGCCCCCGTTGGTCGTCGCGGGAGATACTAGGACGGCCCAGTGGACAGTATCAGTGTCTGACGATTGGGAAGAGGGCTTGAAGCCCAGAACGCTGATCTCAGACATGTTGGTCGGTGTGCTTGACCACGTCGATGTTGTGATCTTTGATGAAGGTTTGATTGATCGTTCCGTGGATGTGATCGTCTCAAGTACAGAGGAGTTGTCGGTGTTGATATACCCGCCAGTCTCTCACGGTGGGCAATACCACGAATCTCTGCACGAAAGCGCGAATATCTCTTTCAAACAGCTGTCGATGGAAGGGATGATGGATGGTGACTGATAGATGGTCTTGATGAGTGATCACTCCGCCGCGGGCCGGCCGTACGGGGTGATGGTTGCTCTTAGAAATGATGATCGCCGTTGAGGTTGAGTCGACACAGTCAGACCTTACCCCAGATCCTGGGCTCGGATCAGTAATGATACCAGGGATGTGTCGTCTTGTTCTCAGGACCCAATTCCAGTATATGCCCGAGTGACGGCTGTGGACAACTGTAGATGAAATAACTTTGTCAGGCTTCCAGGTAGCCTGATTCGGTGCGCCTAATCAGACACACGACGCAACTGATGGATTTTTCTACAGCGAAAATGCTGGAGGTCTGACTACACGCTAGATGATCAAGTAAACGCAGGGATCTGTCGAGGATCGTGGGGTTGTAGTGCTTGGGCGTAACGAGTGTAATCAGCTGTGGAAAGGTGTTGACCCAGAGACACAACACTGACTTTGGTATAGTACTGGCTCTGGTATAGTAGTACAGTGTGCTGATCAGTGTCGAGGCCTTCGGTGGTGGTACGAGAACAGTCGATGATCACGCCACAGATCGGAAGATGGAGAGGGAAATGGTTATATAAACACAAGACATCTTCGTATTCGGTCATGATGAGCAAGCCATGGTATTTACCTATATATTGTCCAGGTGGCCCCCTGCAACTTTTCATCAGGCTCAAGAATGTAACGAATGAGATGACGCACGGGTAAGTTGGGAGAAAAGGTTTGTTTCCCGACTGTTGTGACGTTGGATGTCGCTCGAAGCGGTCAAATCGCTCAGAAGGATTCTAGAAGGAGAGACGATGGAAAAGAATTGAGCGGAGTCGAAGCGGATATGTAAAGCCGGCCACTTGCGCGCGACTACAGAGTAGTAATGGCGGATGATCTTTTTCGCAGTAATGAGCACTGAGCTCTAGATATCGCCATTATTGGTGGAAAATATCAGAGTAGAGTGGTCCTTGTTATCCGTCAGAGCAATGCCCCTTGCCAGTTGTCAGCGATCGAGGCTCCGAGAGTTCGCCGAAAAGGCTGTGACGTGAATATCAAGGTTGTTGCAGCCTTGCCGGGGGTGATCAGCGTGCCCAACAAGAACCATGTTGACCGAATTATGTCCATGAGCAATAAAGGTGGTGACTGCATGTGGGAACTCATCAACGATGGCTCACGACGATGCTGAAAACGGTACGCGTCTCATCGAAATCTGTCCGGCGGTTCGTGGTTCTGCAGCCCGGGTTGACAGTCGAGGACGGCTATTGTTTTCAGAGAGGCGACGAGAGAGCCAACATATTGTCGAACAACGATGCAGCAACAGGATACCCGAAGTCTTTGGACAGTGAGCATGACACACTTCGACCCGGTCATATCAAAGTGTAAATTGTTGTACAGCGAAGGTGATGCCGGTGGTATTACATACAAACACTTGCTCTTCCGCTACCTGAACAATGCGCCGCAGAGAGGACGATCTCGAAAGCCCCTGGTAATATGTACATGGCCTGCATTTGATGTAAAGAGACTCGGCCACCGAATTGTGGATTTCATTGCGAAGGGTCTCCATGGCGATATGGATATGGATATGCCAATGTGGAATATCTGATTCAATCGCCGTCGGTTGCGCAGGTCCGCGACCCTCATACATCTACACCGTCGAAGGATACTTTCCTCCCCTCTTCCGATTGAAAGCTCTTTGATCTTTTAACCACCGTCGGTATCCGGCCACGCTGTTCACCTTCTCGCCGTAGAAGTCGGGCACCGGGTTGTTGGTGCTGGCTCCGGTGGGGTTGACTCTGTGTTTCTTTATCCTATCGAAAAAGGCTCGCTCTTTGATGGTGAATTCCGGCAGACGACTGCGGTGCAGCACCCGCCAGACACCGTTGCCAAAAGCAGGACCGATGAGCCATCCCAAGAACGTCGCTCCAAAGGTCGCCACTCCCATGCTAATAAAGGGATCCGTGGGGATGATCTTGGTGATGTTGTCGGCGATATCGGGTACTTCAGAGAATGTAATCACTGCCGCGGCGGTAGCGCCAACCGAGGTCAGGATGGACGAAGTGAGAGCGTATCGTCGCCGAGAAGTACGAAGACGGAAGAATGTGTTCCAGTCCATTGCATTTGAGGAGGAGCTTGGGGTGGCCGCGGTGGTCGATGCATTGCGAGTTCGGCACAAGGATGGGGTGAAGAAGGATGATGGGTTGTTGGTGGTGGAGGACGGGTTGGCTGCTATCCGCGTGCGTGTAGACGCCGGTAGGCGTTGTCGACTTTGCGGAATGAGAGCTGCTGTTGAAACGTTGCATCGTGAATACGGCGAGACATTTTTGGAAGCAGTCAAGACTGGACGAGTCTGGATGAGCTGCAGACCCAACCTGGTCGACTTGGATGACATGGTGAGGTTCAGCTGATGGCGCAGGAAGGGAAACAGATGCCTAATGAGGCAGCTAGACTGAGAGACGGCGCAGGGTGTTGCTAAATTGTGTCTCTTCTGCTGTTTGAGTCGCGTCGTGTGGATGTGGGAAAGTTGTGACTGTTGCTGAGCTGCGTTGCAATAATGGCGATCGAGAGTTAACGATGCGATGATTCAAGTTTGGAGTTTGGAGTTTGGAGTCGTACGAGGAATTTCTTGAGAAGCAGTTGCTAGCACGTGACATCACTCACGGGGCCGGGCGCAGGCGGGCAACAAATCATAACAATTATAACGGGAGTCAGCCGCTTCGAGCCTCTAGACACGCCTAAAGTACCAAGTACCTTGACCTCCCTAACCCTCCCACCCGGACCTAGGGAGCCCTAGCCTCCCTAGCCCCTCCATGGACTCGTCTCCAGCGGCATATGTAAAGGCACCTGTAAAGATGTCTGGGTATTCCATCCTGGTTTCAACGCACATCTAGTATCTATAAGAGTTCTTTTGAGGCGGTTGCAGTGATAACAGACCCATGAGGCTTGGGACCTCAGGCTTGAATGCGGCAAAAGACAGGCTGATCCTCTACTAGCTAGCTGACAGTCCAGCTCGCGCTGAGGCTTCTTCAGCTTCTCACCTGAGTGGCCTAGGCTTAGGAGGCTTAGGAGGCTAGGGATACCATCCCGCCGATAAGCAGCCTACCTGTAGATAGCCACATAGCTATCCTTTTAGTGGTCTGCTTGCAAACAACCTCATCGCCTACCAGCTACAGAGTACTTACTACTGCCGCCAGTGTGAGTTTAGTAGCAGAAGTGCACGAATAGTGCCATCCCTCAATCGACCATGCAAAGGAGGAGGTAGGTAGATATCCTCTGCCGGGCTGTATCCGGCTACACTTACTCCTCCATGGTGTTCGGTGTGTCCCCGCCTTCATGTTCTCGGTCCCTCGAATCTGGACTCGGTCTTTTACTGTCCGCGGCGGGTGCTTATCTTTCCCTCATGACTTTTTATTGTCTTTGACATGCGGTCTGTGAAAACCTGCCTCACTCATCCTCCGATGTCTTGTCCCTCTCTCTGGCGCTGATGTCGTTTGTCCTGTGGTCCTCGGTCCCAATCCCTCCGACGCCATGCCGCGCCCCAAGAGACCCGATCAGGATGGAAAAGAGGTCAAGAAACGCTCCAGGAACGGCTGTTGGTAGGTGGTTCAATAAAAGTCGCATAGGTCGACACTGACATACAGATTCACAGGCCTTGCAAGTCCCGGAAAGTGAAATGGTACGACCACTTGTTCCCCGACCAGCAGCGGTCGACTCTGTATGTATGATATGCTGACGGACGACAGTGGAGAGGAGAAGCCGACATGCACCAATTGTCAACGACAAGGCGAAACCTGCGACTATAGTATTCGATTGAACTGGGATGGTCGGAGTAAGAAGAAAGACGATGGCAAGCTGGGCGTGCAGGTGATATCCTTCGGCGGCCCGCAACCTATATCGCAGCCTGTGTCGAACGGTCACTCCAACGGTCACCACGAGCAGAGTCGCAACGGTCAGATCTCTCCTCCTAGAGCGTCCTACCATCAACCACGCCCTCCATCAATCTACAACACCCATCCGCCTGCGCTCGAGTTGGCGCCCGCCCCGGCTGTCAATTATGCAAACAATATCATTCTATCATCGTCCGATTTCAATCCCGCCATACTGCCCCCTCCGCCTATACTAAATACTCCGCATTGGGGCGACAATGGACACCACTCCTCCCTTCAGGAGCAGATCTCGATGCCTCCCTTGCGACATAACCTGTCTGTTCCGCCATACCCTTCCCCTTCGGAGTCGGCCTTTGGCAGTCCCAACCTCAACAACGGGATGTACAACCTCGGGAATGGACCGCCTACACAAATGCCTCCACCCATGCCAACGTCAAATCCTATGAGCTATCATGAATCCGTGGATTCACCGTACAACAGTGCAAAGAGAATGAAATTAAGTCCGCGGACAGATGGGTTTGGAAGGACTTTGAATTACCAGAGGGCGGGCTCCTACGGTCCCAACGATGCAGAGGAGCCAACACGAGTTCACTTCAACCCCAACACCCCTACATTCTTCCCGTCTTATCTAAGCAATCCATTGACCCCGGCGACCTCCGCGACATCACAACTTTCACAGGACACCGAGGACCGGCGCATCTCTGTGAGCTCTTTGCTGTCAGAGGATCCCGAGCCGGAAGATCTGAAACCTCCCCACCAGAAAGACCGAAACTATCATGAAGAGGAACAAATTCCCAGACGGGGGTCGCTTCATCAGAGGATGGTATCGTATTCCGAGACCGAGACATATGGTCATGATCGGGGTAATGTTGACCTGGATATTCCTCGAAACAATGACACCATGGCCATTTCCGGTATGTCTCCATTGTCGGAGCACAGTGCTTTTGAGTCGTGGTTGCACGACTCTGATCTCGGAGTACCCGAGTTTGGGTTCGGTCTTGCAAGTCGAGACACTGTCTTTGCGAAAGGGGGATACTACGCTGCCCCGGTCCCGATCAAAATTCCCCGGAAGTTGGAACCATTACCGCGCACGCTGTCCGAGAACCCGATGAATCTACTGTATTTCCACCATTTTCTCAACCATACCGCTAGGATTCTTGTCCCGCATGATTGTCCGGAGAACCCGTTCAAAACAATCCTGCCCAAGAGTAAGTTGGAGTGATGAACTATGGCATGTCTGAAGCTGACGGCGCAACAGTGGCGGTGGACAATCCGAATCTTCTCAATCTGCTACTCGCCTACTCAGCATGTCACCGAGCGAGACTGTTGAATCACCCGGAACCGGCCAATCGCATCGCTCTATGGGTGCGCGACGTCTTTCCCTCACTGCGGCAGACCCTGGACAACGTGTCCAGCAGCGAGGTTTCCGAGGCGAATCTGGCCACTGCCATCCTGCTAGCCTCTCTCGAGATCATTTCTCCCTCCAGCTTTGGGGTGTCGATACCGTGGCAGAACCATCTGAGTATTGCCCGGAGCATTATTCGATCTCGAGGCGGGCCCAACTCGATTTCGCGCAAAGATCCAGTCATGTATTTTCTGACCCGGTGGCTGGCCTACCTCGACGTGATGGGGTCATTATCTGGCCGACGTAACGAAGAGCCTCTTTTTGCTGGCAACTACTGGTCGAGTTCTCACGAGGAGGGCACTTCGGCCAAGGAGTTGTCGCTGACGGATGAAGATGGCGACGATGACGACGACTACACGATCGATTGTTTACTCGGGTTCACCACCCGATGTGTTTCGATCCTCGCGCAAGTGGCTCTGTTAGCTCGACAGTGCGAGATTGGTGGCAGGATCGACCCGGAGACAGGACGCATCAACGAATCCTGGAGACCGTCGATGGAGACACTGAAAAAGGCGGAGAAACTGCGTCTTGACCTCGAACAGGCGCGCAACCATGAGCAAATCCAATGTTCACACCATAGCCCCGAACTCACCAAGGCGCAGTTGGTGGGTTCTCGGCGGAACTCGGCCTACCTCGAAATGTCGGAGAAAGACGCAGAAGAATCGCTGGCGACCAATTCTGCATTTCACTGGGCCGGGCTGGTGCATTTGCTGCGCCGAATCCACAATCTGCCTCGCACGGATCCGGACGTGCAGAAGGCCGTCCATGAGATTATCAAGATTCTGCAGACAATCCGGGAGGGCGGTAGCGCTGAAGCTTGTCTGCTGTTCCCCATGTTCACGGCTGGTGTCGAAGCGGAAGACCCCATGGACCGAGCGGAAGTGTTGAGCCACATCAAGGGCGCCGAAGGATTGGGGTTGTGTCAAGTCAGTCGAGCTCGCAAGATCATGGAAGAAGTGTGGAGGACAGGAGTGAGCTGGGAGACACTGGTCACTGGAGAGTTTTTGGGCTGACCTCGGGTCTATCATGCGTCATGTATGCTGCGGCCCCGGTGGTGGTGGTTGCATCTCACGAAGTCGTCGACCTATGTTTCTGAGAGTCGTTGTCGCGGGCAACATTGAGCATTTCTTGAGCGTTGGAGTTGTGGTGTGATCACATGAAAAGGGTTGATCGGGTCATTCTCGTGGACATATGGTACTATGGTGGTAGGGACAAACAGACTTGCGCTTCTTCCATAACACGATCTTTTATGAACTTGGATCATCACGTACTAGCAGAACCGGGTGTCATTTCTCTCAGAATAGAATGCACAGTATGTACAGTATCTTATGTCATGTCATGTCAATAGGGTTCTGCTCTGGAGTGAATCGATGGGGATATACTGTCAAGCTGTGTAATAAATGGATCACTGTACAGCATGATGGGGCCGATTCTACGTCAGCATCGCCGGATCTGACGAGGCTGGCATCCGAGATGCCGCGTAGTAAGATTTCTTCGACCTTCTACCTACCACCTTGACTTCATCTTACAATTGCTTACTACTGTGTTACCATCTGGTACTCGCCATTATTGGACTTATAGCATCTATTTTTGCATTCTATATACAGCATTGCATTGCATTCATAGTTTTCGACTTGAATCCCCTCGACGGCAAGAGAGGCTTTACCAAACCATGGCCGATTCCACATCTCCTTCGAGATCAACACCAACACCGACATCGATATCTCCTTCAGCGACATCTCGCCAAATGAACACCCTCATCCGAAAACATCCTCTCCAACGCCTCCCCTCCCCATCCCGCACCACCTCGGCCGCCATCCACATCATCGGCCTCTCCAGCTTCCTCTACTCATTCAGCTATCTCAGCACGCACCCAAACCACATCAACCAAGCCTACGGCTGGCATTTCCAGTACCTGACGATCATCGGCCTAGCGCTAGCGACGGCGACCTTCACGCTCGGCCTCCTCGCAGACCTGACGCTCTCGGCTCGCCTGTTCGCCGCGAAGAATGTGCTGTCCATGTGTTCCGCGCCCATGGAGGTCCTGATCACCCTGCTGTACTGGGGCCTCCGGGCGATCGATCCGCAGCTGGTGGTGCCGAAGGAACTGGAGCTGCCGTTCGGCGTCGACGCGAGTTTCCACCTGGCCCCCGGGGTGTTTTTGCTGTCGGATCTGCTGCTGCTCAGTCCGCCCTGGACGATCGGTGTGTTGCCGGCCGTAGCGCTGAGTGGTGCGATCGCTTGCGTCTACTGGTATTGGATCGAGATGTGTTACCAGGTTAACGGGTTCTATCCGTATCCGCTGTTCGAGGTGTTGTTGCCGGCGCAGAGGGTCGTGTTGTTTGCGGGCAGTGCGGTGTTGATGGCGGCGAGTACGGCGGTGTTGAAGTCGCTTCAGGGAAGAATCAATCGTGGCTTGGAGGGGAGGAAGGAAAGGGAAGGGAAGGACGGAAGGGGGGTGGAGAGGCCGGGGAATGTTAGTTAAGAGGGAAGATTGATGGTCGATGAGCTATGTATATACATGTATAGAAGGAGAAAGAGATAGTCAAAGTAGTTGAAGAGATGAAGGGTGCATTGGACTCTCGATACCGACCAGCTCCCCCCTATCTGTCATACCTGTAGAAATGGGATGTATTGTTACTTGATGGGGAGGAAATAGTAGTGTTGGGTGCTGGAGATCGTCCGTCAAGGTTGATGGTGTCTTTGCACCCACATCCACATCCTCATGCGCATCCATGGTCTCTTCGCCGTTGTCTGTTTGCCTCGGCGCCGTCGTGAATCAGTGACCGTGCTATGTCCATGTCGTCTGTTCCAGGGAGGGAGGGCCGACGGAAATGGAAGCTGCGAGCTCGTCCACGTATATATCACTCTACGTAGCCTCCGTACCACTTAGCTAGTACCTTAGTAGTAGTCCGTTCAACATCCTGAAGGCAGAAGTCACGACGGCAGAGGAGGAGGGGTTCCTGCCGAATTTGGCCTACTATTTGAGAAGTATAAATACGTAAATAGCACATCTCGCAGCTTCAACATCACCACAACAGACACAACCACCGCCAAACATTCAAATCACCACCACGACTATAGCAGACGCAAACAATCAGCCTCACCAACTCGATCTTGTCCTACTTGGTCGATGATTGAGAAGTTACCCAACCTACCTGCCATTGCTGGCAGCGACGCCATTCTCGCGGCGATCTTAGAAATCCGACAAGATATCCAACAAGTTCGCCATGATGTCCAACAATTCAGGATTGAAACTCGAGAAGAGTTTGCACGCATCGACAATACGATCACGACCACTCATCGGACCGTTCTTTCTGCAATCAGAACATCGTTGCATCGTCCTTACTGTCTCCAGTACTATTAAGCTGATTTCCTATAGTGAACCCAACAACTCTGCACGCACCCAGAATACCTACCTTTCCAGCTCCGCAGAAAACATCTCGCCATTTCTGAATCCCTTAACCGGAAATCTGATACCTGGCTTCCCTACCACGTCGGCGGCAATTGGCCGAATGGGAGAGCTCGAACTGGATTCTGTTCTGCAACAGCTTGGCATCCTCCCAGCGGTGGCCACAAGTCTAGTTACGAAAACCCGTATGCTACGAGTACATATTGGTCTGCGATCCCAGATCGAAAGAACCGGATAGACACAAACAGACTCGGTACACCTCGGACTCCAACAGACATAGGACTCACTGCATGCGAATGGCCACAGCTAGAAGGGTCCCGTTTGCAAGGCTATTCCGGCTCATTCGCTTCATGTGAACAGGATGCTCATGCCTTGGTGAATTTTGTTTCGATTATCTGGTCTTTCTTTGGACCTCGGACTTCATGCAATGTACTCCAAGAAGACAGGATGACAGAGTCGGGTGATTGGCCCGTCAGCGAAAATGAGTAAGAGCTGCTGTAGAAGTCAGCAACACAGAGATGACCTCCGGTGCCGCGCAGAACAATTTCACCATGGCTACCCTCTACATCGTCCTGCGCGAAGGGGATGTCGATTTGGTGAAACAGGTAGTCAATCGTATCCGTTCCGGGTTTGGTAAACCAAACACTGATGGTGAGAGCCTCGTCCGCCTGCTTGAGACGCCAGATATATTTCCGCGAAAAGGGCAATTTGAGAGGCGCCGGCTGGCCTGGAGCGGCCGCGGCCATCTCGAAATCCCCCTGTTCATGGTAGAGGAGTTCCGAGTCGGCGAGTTGTAGCTTACCGTCGGAGTCGACGATGGGAGAAGGCTGGGTGGGCGTGAATGTAGCCTTGCCTGAGCATCGACCTGACGGGGCTGAGGGGTCCGCGCTTTGTAGCTTCCGGTCGAGAGACCAGGTGCCTTGAAGGGTGTGGAAGAGATTGGTGATGAGAGCCGTGCCGGAGGGTTTCGGATACATCAACTCTCGCATTTTCGGAGAGGCGTTATGGTCAGATCAAACTCGTGCATGTTGTTATTAGACGAGTACTGGTATGAGGTTGGTAGATTTCATCGAGCCACATCAAGGGACAGACAGATGTGACTTGGATGCCAGGTTGGAACTTGGGGGAAGGTTGTCTAGAAGCCACGGCGAATCACAGGATCAGAGGGGCTTGATCACCTAAGGTTTAGGTGGGACAAGCCTAAGGAGCCCTAACGTCCTTCACGATTTGGCAGCGTTGGAGCATCTTTTGGCTCCATTTCCAGGGGCTTGCCGCCATGAAGCCACCGTCGCTTAACTGGAAATTCAATGCTGGAATGGCCTTTTGTTGACCAATGGACGACTATCTCAGCATGCGCAGAACATGGGAGACTCAGCGCAAGCGGCGCTCAACTTCTGCTGGCGCGAGGCAAGAGATCAATTCATCTCTCTTGTGCCATGCAGACAGGCTTGAAAGCGAGCCGTTGGAAAATGTGGCAGCCCGATCTTCGTTCGACAGCCGTGTGCAATTTTCCAACTTGCCTTGACGGCGTTCCCCTGTGCTCCTAAGGCTGGCTTGCACCTATCAGATTGCCCGAGAGGTCAAAGACTAGCACCTTAGGCACTGTAGCACGCAAGCCACTACTAACAGCATGCGGTACCTGGGCTGCCTGTCACTCGCCTAAGGAACCCCGTCAATCAATGTCTCTAAGGTACTAGTACCTTAGGACTAAAGATACGTCCCTGGCCCCTACTATTCCTAGACTCCCATACCATCCCCCGCCTGCCTGTCCCCCATTCCTACCCCCCTTCAAGTTCCACTGCATTCCTAGGAACATCCCGTCCATCCAAGCATCCAAGCATCCAACTAGTAGTATAGAGCAATCATGTTACCACCAAAAGTCACGACTTCCTACCCATTCCAACCTCCCAGTTTCTCTTCTTCTCCCTCCCCTCCAGGACTACTCCTCTACAAAGTGGTATACTCGCTCGTTTGAACTAGGACAATGCGCCTCAACCTGTCCTCGGTTTTCTCTCACTAGCGTTCATCCTCTCGATCCACTCCAACCCAAATACGCTCATTAGCTGGATCAGTCCCATTGCGCCGAGTGCAATTGCGATATCTGCACGCGATCACTGGTCTAGGCTACAACATGCCTTCGCAGATATCCATGCGCCTATCTTTCTGGACGCTGGCAGTCTGCCTGCTCAACGTCACCCGTTGTGTCTCGGCCCAGAACATCGTCCCAACCTCCTCCTCGAGCAGTTTCCCGGGCTGCGCGCTCTCGTGTACCGCCCTCCTACAAGCACAGTCCCTCTGTGTACCCCCGAATGTCGCAACCACCAGTCAAATCACCTATGAGAACTGCTTTTGCCAGAGCAGTTCGTTACAAGCCCTCTACAGTACCCCCGATGCCATCTGCGCTGGCGAATGCACCATCGAAGCCGATCGCCAGCAATTACAGACATGGTTCACGGGGTTTTGCGCACAAGTGGGCCAAGGCATTGATCCGCTCACCTCCACAGCGTCTACATCTCCTACTGCTACAACAGTCGTGACTATCACGAGTTCCACGTCTCCGTCACAAGCAACCGGCGCTGGCACTGGCACAGGGAGCTCATCCGCCTCGGCTTCATCCTCTCACCAGTCATGGTACGTATAGAAGGGGAGTTTCTGCCGCAACTGCTGATGAATGTTGTAGGATCGAGGGGCATTGGCGGTGGATCCTGATGCTAGGTATTCTAGCCATCGGTTTCGCCCTGCTCACATGGCTTGCTATATGGTTGAAGCGTCGCCACCGGAGAAGAATTGAGGAGCGACGGGCTGCTATCTCTGGCTTCCCAACTCCTACGGAGAAAAAAGATGGAGCTCGTTCTGCCACCCCGGATCTTTGGGGCCCACATCAGGTGGGCGATCTCCCGTCTCCGTATTTGGCTCCATACTGACTCGCAACCCAAGCACATGCATTATACCAAGGGATGGGAATATGCGGAAGGCAATGGCACCATGGGCAGCGGCGCCCTAGGCGCTGCCACCGCTGACAGACGATCGAAAAGACTCTCGTCGTCCAAGGACAAACGTCGCAGCAACCGTGTCGAAGTAGCCGAAGTCAATGATCCTTACCCGCCACCTACATCGAGGCGACTAGCGTCAAAGGGCAAGGCTAGGGTTGCCGCTGATGCAGTGGAACTAGATCCCGAGATCGGTAGGGTGGATAGGAGCCGGAGCCGGAGCCAACGACGACAAGAGCATGACAGCGAGCTTGAGAGGGACAGCGAACAGGACCATCAAAGGCGACTCCGCGAAGTCAGGGGCAGTCGTCGGAGGACTGGTGAGTTTCTCTGATTTCACAACGCACGAATCATACGAAACAATTCCGCCTTGGATATTGGATGCACCCACGAGTTGAATTTTGCTCTTCCCAGACCAGTATGTCCGTTCTTTGGTCTCATGGTTCGAAGCTATAAGTTGTCCATGCAGATGCCCAAAGCAAATTTCAATGCACTCGAGAGAAAGTTCTGGTGTTCTCAATGCCTGGACTATGGCTCCCCGATGCTTCCGCGCAAAACAAGTCTGCACTACAGATGGGACTTGGGACGACTAATTGGCGGACTCGGTGGATCAGTTTCAGGTTTGACTGCGTTGAACGTTTCCTCTCGTATTTATATTCAACACAAGCAACTGAATGACTGCGTCTGGATATCGAGGATCCAATACGCCAGCTTTCAAGGGCAGACATGTGTTGTGACATACATCGTGTGACTACCAAACCTTCGCCTGACCGACGACTGCATCAGTCAGAGCTGTATGCATAGTCGTCCTGATTATCACAACCATCATTAAAGTCCTGATCGTCATCATATCCTTCTTCACCTCCGTTAGACTCGAATCCCACATCATACTGGTCACCGCCATATGCTGCCTCAATCAGATCGTCGCCAGCTCCACCTCCCGAGAATGACATTCATATCTTTCCTCGGTTTCGACATATCCATAAGCTGGTTCACTGTGATGGTGGTTATACCATGCGTCATCCAGCGAGTAATCATCCCCATCGTCGGTTCTGTGAGCCTGGTGGCTGTGACCCTGTCCAGCTCCCAGATCTTCATGGTAGTTGTGAGATGCGCAGGCCAACGGAGCATGTGCCGATGACTGCACGTCACGACCGTCATATGCGGTGTTGAAAGCGCCATCTTTCTCACTGCCTTCCGAATCTGACCGGACATAGGAATAGGAGCCCACATTGGTTCCAGCAACGTGTTCATACGAGATTGCGTTCGAGGAGGAGGACATCTCACGACGATCGACGTATTGGGTAGTTTGCTCATCAGAGCTGGGACTTGACAACTCATAGTCACTGTCTGCGCCCGTGTCTCTGGCCAGGTCAGCCCGATTCCTAACAAGTGCGTCAGCATCATGAGAAGGCCGGTGGAGGTGTTGGGACGCACTCCGATTCGAGACGCTCGATCCGTTCATCCCAGCGTCTCGACTCTTCACGTCGCAGTCGGACTTGCTCAGCGACCCTGTGATGTTCACCTCCATACCATCTGTTGTTCCAGGCTTCGCGGCGGTTCGCTTCATTGGTATTTGGAAAGGGTTGCATATTAGCGATCCTGAGCATTCATTGACAAGAGAGAGAAAAAAATACGGCGGGACGATTCAGGTCAGATGTGAATGCATACTCTTGGATCCAATCTCTCGCCTCGCGAGCATTCTGGAGCGAGGAACCGGCATTGCTGCTTGTCAAGTACCTTCTTCTTGCGGTGGCCGCGTTGTCCTGTGAAATCTTGTAATTGGTGTGTTCGTGATGCTGGAGACGACCGAGTTCGCGGTCTACCCCCGTGGGTATGGGTTGTCGAGTGGACATTGCGCGAGGTCTTTCCAGTTTGAACTCGAGACACTGCAGGGCAAGGCAAGGAAGGACGGTGCAGTCAGATGCAGTCAGAGTGTGCAGTGCAGCAGAGGGAAGGGAGCAGAGGTAGGTGCGTGACGAAACTGATACCAGAGGTTGTCAACAACGCTTTCCTTGAACCGATTGAGGCTGGCCTGTCTTCACTGAGAGTCTGCACTTCCATGTTTTCCGCCACGTTATGTGCTTTCTGCAGTGAATGATGGTAGAGTGAAGACACATCACAGTTACCGGGGTTGCTTATCAACATCTAACATGGAAACACTGATACATGCCAGCAGCACAGCAGGGTCCTTGCATGCCACCGAGAACGGACTGACGCATCATTGGCTTAGCATGATCTCAAGAGAGAAAGTTCCTGCAGGGTTTGGATGCGCAAATATCGTGCTCGATTCACCTGCCAGAAAGACCATCTCAGGTAGCTTTTCGATGCTTTAGACGTGATGTTCAATGCTTCAGCGTTGGGGGTATATGTGCATCCTTTCCCGCAGCCCGGCGATGGTCGCACATCAACTGTTGCTTGCTGCTTCCCATGTAGCACTAAGCCATTGAGTGACAAATCTACAGAATCTCTCAGATACGTAAGTAGGAGCTCTTTTAAGCCCTGAAATGCTAGAGGGATTCAAGAGAAAGAGTTGACGGGCAACTTGAAGGGTGGTTCCCGGTCTCGGCTAAGTTGCCTGCTCTCCACGCAAGGCTGCGGGCCTTAGGAGCCTCGCTCTTATCGTTTGGGCAACGGGAGTAACCACATACATACCTTACCTTAGGTATCACCTCCAGACTACTAGTATGTCAATTGCAAGCACGCCGGATGCCTCTGCCACCGCATTGATTCGGTGATGATGGAGCTCGTCTTCTCGAAAGTGGCAATGACAGCAGACAGCTGCTGACTTGCTTAACCAATCGATCCTCATCTTCTCCATGCAGCAAGCTGGCAAGCCTTCACGTGGCATCGGCATTCATGTCTCTCCCCAAAGCAAACTTCTCATTTATCATTCCTAGCATCCATGACGACCTGGAACTCAAGTGCCGGCTCTACTATCCTCGGAGAACAGAACAAAATGCTGCTCAGCTCTTTGGCAAGGCCTTCGCCATAATGGCCCACCCTTACGCACCTTTGGGTGGTTCATATGATGATCCTGTGGTGGGTATGGCCGGGAGTGTGCTGCTCCAGAATGGCTGCTTCTTGGTGACCTTCAACTTCAGGTACCGTTTGTGCGCTCTTACTACTATTGGGCTGCGGCTAATTGTGGTTAGGGGGGCTTCCGGTTCGGCAGGCCGAACGTCTTGGTCTGGCAAGGCAGAGTTGGCAGACTATGTCTCCGTGTATGGATTTGTTTTGTGTTACATTGATGCGATCTGCCGGACAGCGCCCGGCGATGGCCGTGTCTCGACCAAGGAATCACCTCTCCTGATTCTGGGTGGATATTCGTATGGCGCCATGATCACTTCCCACCTGCCACCAGTCGACGTGGTAGCCAGCTTGTTCGAGTCTCTAATTCCGGGGTCTGCTCAGAGCGAGATCAAGCTACGCGCTATGGACCTATCTCGAGACGGCACAGCTTACGTGGACTTGTACATGTCTCGAATGACACTGTCTCTACCTGGGATTCGGGGTGATCCGGGAGAAGACGTCAAAAAGTCCCGTCTTGGTGTCACGGTGGGAGGCTACGAGTCAGATGCAGCCAGCCGACGGGCCAGTCGTGAATCGACAAGGAAAAGCATTGACGGGGAAAGGGTCAGACAGAGCATCGAGCGAGTTCGTCGGAAGATCCATCCTCGCGGCGGCCGTAGTCCAGACTCGGAAACAGAACGGCACAGGACAGAATCTGCGGGACTGCTGGTGCCGGCAGTAGCTTACGTCCTGATTTCACCACTGTTACCACCGGTCGCTGGCTTTACGACGATGTTTTCGAAGTTGCAATTCACCCGCAAAGGACGGGAAATCGACACACCGCAAGAGGAATATCATGAGCTTACCGCTCATCCGTGCTGCTGTCTGTTTGGAAGCAGAGATGTCTTCACCTCGGATCGAAAACTGCAACGGTGGGCAGCAGACTTGAGTTCACGACCCGGTTCTCAATTCACTGCCGTCAGAGTCGATACCGGGCATTTTTGGCACGAGGATGAAGGGTCGGTCCAGCTGCGACAGGGTCTGGCGGAGTGGCTGAAGAAGCTAACTCCCAAGAGCTTGAGCAAGGATGCCCAAGGGCCGGAGAAGTCATCTCAGTCCACCTCCAATGACGGGATATGAATCCAGCCGCCTCCAGTAAATGTGCCAGGGCGGTGAGAAGCGATGAGGGAGAGATATGAGTCGTTCTCGTTATTGTTACCTTGGCTGATCAACCAAAACACCCACTGCAAGCCACAAATACGTCCGTGTTGACTTTTGCGATGGTAGACAACCACTCAAAAGGAGTGTGTGTCAACATCCCTTGCCGCGATGCAGCGTGGGTATATATTGATCTGATAGATGAACCGTGCGAGAACACGTCAAATCGGCTGCATCCGATCTCGCATAAACTCAGGCTGTCTTCAGCTTCAGGTTGGAGAAAGTCTTGTGACACCATGTTCCCTGCACGCATCCTTGATGATAGAGTCCAATCTGCCGAGGAACCTGGTCAGGCGGGTCAGGCCTCGTCAAAAGCCTGCACTGCATCACGCGCCTCCGCATGGCAAAAGGACTAGAATCCTGTTTGACGACAGCGACCGAGTGGCTCCCAATCGCCTGTGATGGAGGGTCAGTCCTGCAATGCAGTCATGCTTAGGTATGCAGCCCTGTTCTTAATCAGGAATACTCGTCGCGTGCATGCACCGACATGGATGAAGGACTCGAGACGATCAGCCGGACTTCTCTAATTTCCCCAAGGTTGGAAGAAGATACCGAGATCGATGTGCCACACGGGCCTCTGGCACGGGGAATCTGGGGGAGAATACGTAGCATGCCGTCAATATTGATTGTTATATATTGTTATTATTCATTGTCCTCGTAGTATTGCAGTGACCGTGGTACCCTCGGTGCAAGTACCGTGTTTGACAGTGTGTGTACTATGACGATATCAATGCCGACCGCCATCTCCGTTTCCTTCTTCACCTTCGCATCTTGAACTCGTCTCGGCCTCCTACCAGTTGTTCATTGTTCGTGCTGCACATCAAATCCTGTCATCTGCCATTCCTCCCACTGTCTGGTCGATTGGTCCTTGGTGTGTTGTTCTACCATTCGCTCTCTCTAAAAGCGCCACGCAAACCATGGTCACGCACGCCGGTGGCCGTACGGATCATTGAGTGACACACCCCTTCTTCAACGCAACTATAGAGACAACTGTCTTGCTCGGATACCTTTCACTATATCTTGCGCTCTCTCCGAGCAGACCTTTAGACCTGCACGCATTGTCAAATGGCCACTGTCAACCTCCGGTCATGGCCATCCTCCTCTCCCTCGTTCCTCCGCACACCCGGCTCTTTTGGTCATGCGTGGGGATCTACGCCGATGTCGTCAAGCTGTGTTCGCCCAGCAAGAGACTGCGGCTGCTGGCGGAAGACATAGCAAGATTCAGTCGAAAGCCTCCCGAAACCGCCGTCGAATCGTTATTGAGATGCATGGACGAAGCCACCTCCCTCGCCGAGTACGAAAAATGCACGATTGCGCTGGACAAGGTCCAAGGCCACGAGGCATGGAAGGAAGAAAGAGAATCCATAGAACCCGGCTACAACCCCGATGTGATCGAGGCCCAGATGGTCATGCTACGAAGAGCGATCGCTACCTCCGACCTGAGCGCCGTGCAACACCTGCTAAGAACGGGTCTCAGCCGGGACCTGGGAGGCATGAACATGCTACGACTATACAAGCATTCTTGGTTTGGTACAAAATACCTTATAGATGAGTACATCAACACGGTACTGGAGACCATCGACACCTTCGCTGATTTGACGGTGCGGTACAATGTCCCAACCGCCGAAGTTCGCTTTTATCAGCAGTCGTTGGAAGATGCGCTCAAATATTTCGGCCGGTCAGCCTTGACGCTTTCCGGTGGCGCAGTGCTTGGTATGAAGCACATTGGCGTGGTCAAGACTTTGTGGGAAGCAGAATTGTTACCCGAGATCATTTCAGGGGCATCAGCTGGGAGCATCGTGGCAGGCATCGTGGGGACTTGGACCGATGAACGGATGCCCGAGGTCCTCGAAAGCTTTCCATTCTCCGATCTGGCCGTTTTCGATCCTCCCGGGACTGGGAGGGTAGGATGGCTGGTAAACCGGCTGCGGACGTTCATGTATTCTTCTGCCTTTTTCGACATGGGACACCTCAAAAGGGTCATGAAGTTGTGGCTGGGCGACATCACCTTCCGTGAAGCGCACTACAAGACTGGTCGCATCCTCAACATCTGCGTTTCCAGTGCAACCAGCGCAGAGCCACGGCTTCTTAACTATGTTACGGCTCCGGACGTCCTCGTTTGGTCTGCTGTCTGCGCCTCGTGCGCCGTCCCCAACGTCTTCTCGCCGGCGAACATCTACGAGAAAGATCCGAACACCAAAGAAGCAAAACTTTGGATGCAGAATGCGCAGCAAACATTTGTGGATGGATCCCTTGACCACGACATTCCGATGAGAAAACTGTCTGAAATGTTTAACGTCAATTTCTTCATTGTGTCTCAGGTCAACCCACATGTTCGGGCCTTCCTCGAACCCGAAGAGGACTTCCAAGGGAGACAGCCCTCGACGCCTGTACCGCATCACAGTCCACTTCAAGCTGCAAAGAGTGTGCTTCGACGGGAAATCATCCATCGTGCACAGCAAGTGGCAGACTTCGGACTTCCTCAGAAATGGTATCGCTGGGCCTCTGTTTTTAACCAACAATACACCGGAGACATCAACATCCTACCGGAGATCAAGCCTGGTGAATACCTGCGTATGATGATGAACCCGACTCCCGAATTCATGATTGAAGCCAGCATTGCTGGGGAGCGGGCGACGTGGCCCAGAATGTGTCGGATCAAGAACTGCGTTGCCATCGAACTCGCTCTGATTCAGGCAATCCACAAATTGCGAGACAGGGTCAACTTTGGACCAGAGGCGAGAGCAGCTCGTGAGTCGAAACGATCAAGCAGTCGAGGACGTCCCAGCCGTGGTCGGTCTGCACTTCCGGCGTTCTTGAGAAGGCGTAGCCTCAGCATCGAATCTGCCATTGACGACGAGAACGGTGTCAGGCCAACCTCGCTCCGAGTCCGTCGCAATGTCAGCCTGGGAAGCATCCCTTTGAAACCAGCTATGTCTCTCGCGCACACTTCTCCTCGCACAACGCCCTTTCTGTCACCGCAAGTGGGAGTGGATCTTGATTTTCTAGGAGAAGCGTTGGTCATGACAACGACAAAGGATACTGTATAGTGTGTCTATGGCTCGGTCTCGGTCTCTGAGCTTCCTGCCCAGCACATCCGATACGAGAATTCACGTGATTCTCCCCCTTCTACCCTTTTATGCCACTGCACCCATACAAAATGCTTAAGACGTGATACCCTTTTTGGCGGATGAAAGATACCTTATATAGCAACAAGTAATAGATACTACGAGAATGAAATTCGAGAATGAATCATCCTAGGGGCCAAGCCTGATATGTGTAACGTGTGTATAGCTATGTACATGTAGGGTTCGTGGTCGTCGACATGTTGCAGCAGAGACAGAGACAGAGGTGCAAATGCGGAGAGGTGGCATCCGCATTGGCGTCGCGCGGTCGCAGTTCTGCCTTCTTCTGCAGAAGCGTGTCTGTGCGATGCCAGACCTCATCAACAAGCCCGCCATGGACGACTAATCCACCCTCCAGACCACCCTGTTGATGGCAGCCTCGAAACGCCGTTACACAGCTGCACGCCATATGGTGCTTTTGGTCCGACTGTGGCAGCCATGGATCTGAAATCGATGCTGAATGACTCTTCCTCGCAACGACAGCCGCCTCCTCGTCTGCACACAGCTCAGTCCTTCGATCGAACCACAGCTTCTACGCCTTCCCATGAATCCTATCCCGACCGATCGCAGTCGCATCCGCAGCCTGCATCCGCGACCGAATACCGATCACCTGCCAATGGCTCCTATTTCGCGCTTCAATCACCGCTCCAGCAGAATTCTCCGCCAGCGGTCACCCCAGGCGTAACGGGACTCCCGGTATATGCGCAGAGCCCTGGGCCTCATGGACAATCACACACGCCTCGTGAAGGGATCCCGTCTTCATATCCATACCAGTCGTCGTTTGTCCCCTCGCCGTCGCTTGCGCAGCCGCCAACGCCTGGATCAGCCCACCATTATCAAACACCATCTTCCGCTGCTACTTATCATCATCCGGGAGCGCATCCTGCTTTCACGACGCAGTCACCCAGAGAAGACGCGTCGTCCTCGAATGGCAGCGCACAGCCGGGCTCTCGACATTTGTCTCCGCAAGCTCCATTTCACCCTCCCCCTGCGCCAGTGACACCCTTGGGACCTCCAGTCTTGTATCCTCGTCCTTCTCCTTACCAGCATAGACCACTATCGCAGGGCCAGGAGGGCTTCAGGAGATTGTCTGCGAGCTCTGTTGGCTCTACGCAGAGCAGGGAATACAATCACTTGGTCCATGGGCAGTCGGATCATTCCCGAAGCGGAAGCGTACAAAGAACCTATTCCGGCGAAATACGGGAGCGAGAACGAAGCATAGAAAGCGTCAGCCCAAAAACAATCCCGCGACCCTCTCCACAACGTCGAGAGAGTGCGTCGCTGGCAGAAGACATAAGGTCGGGGTTCCATTCTACACCGCAGGCTCCGTCTGATCAAGGTTCGAACATCATGCCTCACGACGCGCCTGAGCGAACTGGCGAGGAAAATCGCCACACTATGACTCCAAAGTCGGCCTCGACACTAGCGGAAGTGAGAGCCACTTCGCTTCCTCAAATGTTACGACCAAGTCCGGATACAGCAGCGGTGGACAATATGACGCCGCAGTCCACACACACCCCTTTCTCCGCTCACGCAAGTCCTCCAGCAACAGTTCAACCTACGCTGAAGCGGAGTGCGAGCCGCATATCTAGTGCTAATGCTACTCCACAGCCACCGAGGAAGCGATTGAGACGGGATGAGATTCCGATTTTTGCTCGCAGCGCACGAACTAGACCTTTGAAGTTCATCAAGGCACCGGCAGTGATCTCATCACTGAGGAATCAGACCCCTGTCAAGAAGGAAGCGGTAGGGCACCAAACCCCGAATGGTCAGGCCCAAAATGAACCCCAAGGCGTGGCTCAAGATTCAGCTCCAGGCCCGGCTCCGGCTGCAGCAGCCACATCTCAAGACGAACTCCCGTGGGAGCCATGCATCACTAACGTCATTCCCTACGAGGATCTGTCGCGCAAAGTCTCTGATTGGATTTTCAAGACAATTGGGATGGCCAATTCACCCGTGGGCGGCGCAATGTTCGAGATTGAGGCAAAGGTTGGCTCTATTGTTGACGAACAAACTGGGTACCGCTTGAGTCTACCAGTCGAGACGGAAGCGCTCTTCAATCGTGACAAGTTTAGGGGCAGGACCAGCTTTCAGAGTTCGATGGACATGGTAAGCAGGAACCCTTTTTCATCACAGTCCATGCTAATGGGTTGTAATAGGCCCAACACCGACTTCTCAACACCTTCCTCAACTCTCTAGTTGAGGAGTCGATGCGTGAATCACAGATATCCGGTCGTCAGGTGATTGGTTACGATCATCCTCACGAATACGACGAGTTTTATGAGTTGACCGACGAAGGCCGAAGAAACCTGGCACCTAGCATACTAACGTGGCTCAACCCGCGACACAAGCCGCGTGTGCGCAGAACAATTGACGAAACAACCGGCGGGGTCAAGGCACAGATCATCAAGTCCCGGATTGCAGACATCGATATTTATAACCCAGGATCAGATTTCGACTACAGGATCTCCATCTCCATCGAAAGTCCATGGGAAGGAGAGCCGCACTGGCTGTCGGAGATGACAGATGGCGGGCGTGACCGAAAGAAAGATCGGATGAGCTATAGGCATATGGCGTATCAGATTGACCTCACTCAAGTGAGCTATCCGAACAGACCAGAGAAGGAACATGAATTGGAGGTTGAAATCAGCACGGAGCAGATCCGCATCCAGCTTGCAAACTTGCGAGAGGGTCGACCTAGTAGGTATGAGGATCTCGTTCGAGGGTTTCTGGACAACGTGAGGATCTTGTGCCGAAAGGGCACCGTCAACAAGGTCCGTTGATGGTCATCTCGAATTCGCAGTGATAAGGAGGGTATGTCGTTCGAGAGGCATCAGGCTTGAGTAGTATTCTTCGTGAAGCAGAGTCGCTTCTGCTCCAATGCCCTTGTAATAATAGTACTTATGTTAACTCCGACAGGAGTCTGAAACTCAACGTTGCTGTCTTGCTGTCGTGATCTTTATTATACAGAGTATACTGTACAGGCAGCGGTGTTGATTACATGGACCCTAAAACCCCCTATTAGACTTAGTGAAACTCAACTACTCAAGTGGACTAGATCTCGTGGTAGTCAGAGATAGTGTGTTCATGCCAAGATTTGGCCAGCAGGCTCCCAGCGGCTGATGTAAACTGCCCTGCGCTCGAACTGCGCTGACAGACTGACGCATCGCCCGCAGGGAGTCAGTCAGTCCATCGCAATCGTCCGCCCGAACACGTTTTGATTGTCATTGTCTCTACGCTCTCTTCATCCTCTTGCTCTCCATCTCATCGCCAATCTTTTACTCTTCTCTCGACTCTGTTTCTGTACACTAGACCTTCTTCTCTATTGTCCGTTGTTCTACCTCCGGATTTAGGTCCAGGCCATTCCCGTTGGCGCTGTGCCATTTTGCCCCTTCTGGCCCCAGAGAGATCAACAAAGCTCAGGGCGACGTTCACCAGATCACCTCTGACTTCCCCTTCCGCAATACTACCCAGAAAGCATGGTTGGGTTGGTGTCAGCAGCTGGTCTCGTCGGCTTCTTGTCCGAGCCAGATCCGGAGCTACGAAGCTTCGCGTTGAAGCAGCTAGACAGCCAGGTTGATTTGCTATGGACCGAAATCGCCAACTCGGTGGGTGAGATGTACGTACCCATCCACGCTACCTTCTTGCTGCGAATTGAAACTGACTGCCACCGTGAAGAGAGGCCCTGTACGAAGATGAATCCTTCCCGGAGCGCGAGCTCGCCGCGATCGTCGCATCCAAAGTGTACTACCACCTCCAAGAATATAATGAAAGTATGGCCTTTGCTCTCGGTGCCGGCAAGCATTTCAGGTTGGATCAGCCTGGGGAGTATGAAGATACCATCATCTCCAAATGTGTAGATACCTTCATCGCCCTATCCGCAACCCACGATCCCACGCTGGCCGCTGCCAGTGCCGGAGCACAGCCTCAGCTCGATACCGCCTTTGGCCAGGGAGGAGACGGTGCTGCCAGCACGTCAGCAAGCCAGATCTCTCCTGTCACGCCGTTCTCGCAGTCCGTTCTACCTTCAAAATCCCTCTTGTCGAGACAAAATACCACCGCCTTCGACCCTACTGAAGCCGGTGCTGAAGTCGGGCAAACGGGTACTCCTGAAGCTGTGATCCAACAACGTGGTCTTCAGAAAGCATTGACTCGTATCATCGAAACTCTTTTCGAGAGATGCTTCCAGGAGAAGCGATACCGTCAAGTCGTGGGCATCGCTTTGGAAGCCCGAAACCTTGACATTCTGCGTCGCGTCATCAAACGGGCATCCGAAGACGAACGTAAGGAGAATGGCGAGGCCACCAAGCAGGGCGAAGAGTTGATGGAATACATTCTCGACATCTGCATGAGCGTCGTCCAAGAGCGAGGCTTACGCAACGAAATTCTCAAACTCATCTTGGAACTGCTCAATGAAATCCCATCACCGGACTACTTTGCCATTGCAAAATGCGTGGTATACTTGGATCAACATTCTATGGCTTCAAACATGCTTCGGCAATTGGTTGAGAAGGGTGATGATCGCTCTTTGGCCGTCGCCTATCAAGTCTCGTTCGATTTGTACGACAATAGCACGCAAGAATTCCTCCAAAAAGTACGAGAAGAGCTCTCTGAAATCATTCCGCAGGAGGCAAACGCCGGAGCAGATGCCCAAGATGCCGACACCATGGAAGCCGACGCGCAAGGTAAAGCGGAAGACCAACTACAGCAGGAGTTACAAGATTCTGCCGGTGCCCCTGCGCCTTCAGGGAGTTCGAAGTTGTCCAAACCTGAAGAACAGCAAGCAGTGAGGAAGATCATGAGCATACTCGATGGACTCACCTCGACACATCTGAACATCGAATTCCTCCACAAATCCAACCGGGTCGACCACACCATCCTGAACAAAGTGAAGGAGAGTCTGGAGCCACGGTATTCCATCTACCATACAGCCGTCACGCTTTCCGCGGGTTTCATGCACGCTAAAACGGCCAACGACACCTTTTTCAGACAGAATTTGGAATGGTTGGGCAAGGCGGTCAATTGGTCCAAATTCACTGCAACTGCGGTTTTCGGTGTGATCCACCAGGGTAACATCAATCAAGTGCAAAGACTGTTGAGCCCGTATCTACCCAAAGCCGGCGGCGTTGGCTCTCATGATTCTCCTTACAGCCAAGGAGGATCTTTGTTTGCGTATGGACTGCTTTGTGCCAATCACAAGGGCAAGGCTGTGGACTTCATACGAGAAAAATTCAAGGAGGCAACCGAGGAAGTCGTCCAACACGGTGGTGCACTTGGTTTGGGTGTGGCTGGAATGGCTTCCGGCGATGAAGCTGTCTTCGAAGATCTTCGAAACGTCCTTTGGAGCGATTCCGCAATCAATGGCGAAGCCGTCGGTTTGGCCATGGGTCTCGTCATGCTTGGTTCCGGGAACACCAAGGTCTTGTCGGACATGATCCAGCACGCACATGACACTCAACACGAGAAGATTGTCCGAGGCCTTGCCGTCGGTATGGCTTTGATCATGTATGGCCGCCAAGAAGGTGCCGACGAACTTATTCAAGGTTTATTGAACGACACCGACCCGACCATGCGATACGGCGGCATTTTGACCATTGCCATGGCGTATGTTGGCACCGGAAGCAACAAAGCCGTTCGGAAACTCCTACACGTTGCTGTCAGCGATGTCAGCGACGACGTTCGCCGCATTGCTGTGCTCAGCTTGGGCTTCATACTATTCCGAAAACACAGTAGTGTACCAAGGATGGTGGAGCTTCTCGCAGAATCTTACAATCCTCATGTTAGATATGGTGCGGCCATGGCATTGGGTATCTCTTGTGCGGGAACCGGTCTTGACGAGGCCATTGACCTCCTCGAGCCCATGTTGAAGGACCCTACTGACTTTGTCCGTCAAGGAGCGCTGATTGCCCTTGCCATGGTTTTGATACAGCAGACGGAAGCCATGAACCCAAAGGTCGGCACCATTCGCAAGCAGATGCTCAAGATCATTGCGGATCGTCATGAGGACGCCATGTGCAAGTTCGGTTGTGCTCTGGCCATGGGTATCCTTGATGCTGGTGGTCGGAATTGCACAATCAGTCTGCAGACCCAAACGGGTAACCTGAACATGCTCGGTATTGTGGGTGTTGTCGTCTTCACCCAATACTGGTACTGGTTCCCTCTTGCCCATTTCTTTTCATTGTCGTTGACACCTACCGCTGTCATCGGCATTGACCAGAAGTTGGAGGCGCCAGTGTTCAAATTCCACTGCAACACCCGGCCAAGCCTGTTTGACTATCCTCCCGAACAGCAGGTCAAAGCAGATGAGGCTCCTGAGAAGGTCAAGACTGCCGTGTTGAGTACCACTGCCCAAGCGAAGAGACGAGCCGCTCGAAAAGAGAAGCAACAGCGACGGGACAGCATGGACGTCGATACAGTCACCCCTGTAACCCCGAAGATCGACAAGGGTGATAAGATGGACACCGATGAGGCGGTCGCCAAAGAAGACGATGGCAAGAAGAAGGAAGAAGGAGACAAGAAAGAAGGCGAAGCTCCCGAGGTCAAGAAGAAGGGAGAGAAGGAGAAGGTCGGATACGACATCAGCAACATGTCCCGAGTACTGCCAGCACAACTCAAGTACCTGACCTTCCCGGACCGACGGTACCAACCTGTCAAGAAACCGACCGGTGGTGTTATGGTGGTTCTCGATACCGAACCGGACAAGGAGCGCGAAACCATCCCTCTGACCGTCAGCAAGGTCGAACCTGTGGCCGCGGCTGCGACGTCAGCGGGCAATGCCCTCGGATCTGGGGCGCAACAAGCACCACAAACCCCGGCGGGACAGACGATGGCAGCAACCGGAGCTGGAGCTGCCGCCGCGGCTGGCGTGTTGACTGCCATTGACGAGGATGAAGAGGGTGCCGAGGAAGCGCCAGTGCCGCATGAGTTCGACTATGAGACTGACACGGAGGCAGAGGGTGGAGACAACAACGAGTAGACTCGCGTCTTCTGCTTTTCTTTGGAAAGTTGGGGTCCTGTCCTCTGAAAACTTCACGCAAGGAAATGGCAGTGACAGCCTTATGGAATGGGGTCATAAAACACTACATAAGCTTCCGGAGCGGCGAGGAGGAAGGCCTTCGATGTATTAAAAGGACATGCCGTACCGTGCTGTGCCAGTAAGTGGCCAGTCCTCTTTGCTGGATCCCTTAGATACGCGCAGGTACAATGCACTGCCCAACAGTGCTTGCTACCTGGTAGTGCTAATCGTATCGACCCAATTCTCAGAGTCAAGTCGCTACTGGTATTGAATCTGATAATAATGTACACTATCCACTATAGTAGAAGAATCGGAAGGGGGTCGTGGTGGTTTGCCCGTTGGCCTTGCTGCTGGATCGAAATCCTGTGCTTGAGTCTCGCTCTTCCTACTCTCGCCCCAACTCCTTCTCGCGCCCATTTCTCTCTTTTCTCTCCGTCACCGTCCTTGAGTTCCAATTGCGGCTCCGGCGAACGACTTTGCCATGCCGGATCACAGATGATGTTGTTCTGTTTGGCCTTTCTTTGTTCTGGAGGATAAGTTGCTAGAAGCAATATAGACGAAAGATTGTGGGGGCGGTTGTTCTTGGATCCAAATAGAAACCCATAGTGTGCATTTTGGCCTTTTGTGAGGTCTCTTCGAGGTACGCTCGATTCTTCTTCCTTTCTCTTCGTGACTCAACCTCTTCTCCGTGGTAGGGGTGATGTTGCGGTGAATCGTGCGCTTGTTCGCCTCCGCCTTCGTTGCTCCTGGTGGAAGAATCTCTGAGTAACCTCAGATTAACATTTGAAAAGGGGCGAGCTTAGTCAATGTTCTCCCCGGCTCGAAGGAGTGCGGCTCCTCTTGTCGCTCCGGCCACAGAGTGCTTGGTCTGCCGGTTTCTTCGCAGGCAAATCTTCCTTTTCCATAATGCCCAACTCTTTGGAACTCCTCCCACAAGGTATATATTGACTCGATGGCTTTATCCGACTCGACAGATCAACATCCCGCCCATCTTCCGTTCCACACACTCCCTGGCTTCCAGAATCCCTCTGTCGGTGCTCACGTAGATGCACTCGCCAGGCTTCCTGAGTCCCTTGACGTAGCCTGCATCCTTGCCCAACACCAGCTGCTTCAGGCCTGTGACGTCCATCCAGATCCTCCTGGTGGGTTTGCTGATCAGACTCATCTTCTCCAACACGGGCGAGCTGTTCCAGTATTTCAGCCCCAGCCACAGCCGCCGCGTAGAGATGTTGCGTTGTGTCACGGGCTCAATGGGCGCCGTGGGATCAGTGGACGTCGGGTGCGTCAGCAAGCTGTGCGGCGGAGGAGGAGTAGGCCCGCCGCGGACCACGGTGGAAATGAAGCCCGAGTTCTGCAGGGCAAGCATGAGTCTGAGGTGGAACTTGGTGTCGGGCACCGATGTGAGGCCCAGCCGGGCGCGCGAGGCGTTCTGCAGATGCGAGCATGTGTTTGCCAAATGGACTAAAGACATGGTGAGGGAAGTAGATGCCCACACTGGGCCGTGCAGGGTCGGGCAACGTGTCGACGGAAGGCTCTTTTCTTTCCGAGAATCTGCAAGGATGAGGAATGTCGGTTCTTTGGTACTTTGGGAGAGCTTGGAAACTTATATCCGACGACGCCCTAGGAGTGCGTAAAAAGGGGGACTGTCCGTGGGTGGTGGTCGATCTCGACGGGCTGAGCTACGTTCCGCGGATTCTTGTAGCAGTTTGAAGAAGATGAAAGCCCTGGAGTATGTTGTCCAATGTAGCGAAGGTGAAAGTTGAATGTCCGACTCTCTTCAGAAAAACCGCGACGGGGCGCCAAGGCCGGATGCAGCTAGCGCTGATGTGATTGGTGGATTTGATTGACCAAAATACAGTATTGGCAGAGCTGTCGTTACATTAGGAACTGCATATCAACTTCGACTATATACACTCCTGATCCATGTCTTGTTCATTCTGACTTGGGTATTCGTACGAGTGAGACTGCGCTCTATCTGGTTTGGGTGTGGCCACGGACGAGCTTTCAGCATCAATGTTTCCAAAAAGGGAATCCCATTGAGGAGCACTCCACTCGGGGCTCTCGTAGTATCCTGCTGCTGCAACGCTTATGTTCCCGATATGCCAGGATGACCATGCGCCTCTGCACCACGCTGGAGCCGAGCTTGGGTCTGGCGGGACGGATAATGCTGTCGAAATGGTCAAGTAGATATTGCAGGGTATCCAGAGAGCTGGCTCTAGACTCTAGTTGATGGTGTAGCCACCGTCGACTACCATGGCGTGGCCTTGCACAAACGATGCTTTTGGAGAGCACAAGAAGAGCACTGCATCAGCCACTTCTTCTGGTAGACCCATCCGCTGCATAGGAGCTATTCTGACCGCGGGAGCGAGTCTTTCGGTGACCTCTTCTGTCCCTGTGGTCATGGCGGTTTTGATCACGCCGGGACAGACACAGTTGATCCTGATGTCGTCCTTGGAGTAGTCGATTGCGTCTGCCCTCGTCATCCCTATCACTGCCGACTTGGAGGCGCAATACGCCGCTGTAGGAAACGTCAGTAACGTGTGGTCAAGGGCGAAGGTGAACACTGAAGATCACTTACGTGCTTGCGGGCGACCCACGATTCCAAGCTGGCTGGCAATGTTGACGATGGCGCCTCGCTGGGCCGGTCGAGATGGGCTTGCACCGGGTAACGGTTCTTGCTTTAACATGGCTTGCAGTTCGGCTCTCGACGAGAGCCAGCAGCCACGATAATTCACATTGTTGACGGCATCAAACGAGGCCAGGTCCATCTCGTCGGATCTCTCGTCCTTGCCCAGGATTCCGGCACAGTTGACTCCGTAGTCGATCCTGCCGAATCTCTCCACAACTTTCTTCATGAAGGAGCTGACGAAGTCGGCATTTGTGATGTCGCCTGACTCAGAAAACACCTCGACGCCTGGCTTTGTGGCCTTGATCTTTTGGACCGTCTGCTCCAGCAAATCGCCTCGGAGATCTGTGATGGCTATCCTTGAGCAGCCTTCGGCTGCAAGTGCAACAGCAACATGTGCCCCAATGCCTGTTCATCTTCAGCTACTGTGGAAGGTTGACGCTCTGGAGAAAGAACATACCGACACCGCCAGCACCAGTAACCACCGCAACTCCAGGGAACAATGTCGCCGGCGCCATACCTCACGTTCAGGCGGTGGTCTTGTGACCTTTAGGCTGCACCAACTTACAGATAAGCGTGGTTGGCAGCTTTCTTTCACGACGGCCTCAACCACTTCTATGGTAGGGTAGGGGTAAGTCAAGCGTGTCAGTCAGTTCATTGTAAGTGGACCGACAATTACCCCAATTGCCAAGGACTCCTCTGGCTTTGACTTATCAACGTGCTACTAGTACGTACTACTACTACTAACTACTATTAATTGAGCGTGTAGGTACCGGGATCACCCGATCGCAATTGCTGTCATGAAGAATCCTAATCCAACCACAGCTTCCAGCGATTCGCCAATGCCAGCCTTATCCCTTCAATTAAGTCATGGATGCATTTGAAGAAGAGCAACGATGTCTATTTCTCCGAGAAACTAGGGTCTGCAGCAGCAGAACTCCTTCATCTCTCGTCATCGAGCAGGATGAACGAAAAAGAATGTTATGACGGGCCCCCGTCAAGATGGGAGTTCGGGACCAGGGCTCCAAGCGACGGGCCATCTGTCGGTCCCGTCCATCAAGATCTGGAGTCATAAAGCGATAGACCAGGATATGGCCACAACCAGGTCGGTGCTGCATTGCCATGTGGTAGTCCACGTCTTTGATGGGTGGTCCAGCTGTGTATTTGAAGCTACAATCACAAGTGCTGCATTGACCATCGTCCTCAATCATGAGAGAAGACATTCGACCCTAGTCCAGGAGCAGCCATTTGAGGTCTCCAACTCCTCCGTCTGTACATTTGGCTCCAGTGATCCGAAGAAAGCCGAATCTGGAACCTTTACAGAGCAGCTTATCACTGCATGGAGTTTCATGCGTACATATCCGCATCTGGCCGGGGTTTCCCTCAGAGTGGATCCCAACAGGTCCGGTGTGGATTTCCCATTGGTGCGGCGCCATTGTCCAGCCCTACAGAGCAAGCAGATCATAATATCATTCACAAATAATCTCTGTCGATAACAGGAAAGGTCCAGCCTTATCGTCGATGATCCTCCTCCCTCAATTGGGGCATCTCCTCCCCTCCACAGGGGATGAGAATCTGTGTACCATACAGTAAAGGCAATGGGGACATGTTTATCTTTGGCCAATACTAACATAGCTTACCACTTTGATGGCGTTCCACCCCCGATTCGAGCCAAGTGGTCTGCGGTCTCCAATTGTCACGATACTCTAGCCCGTTGGTGATATCTTGTCAGAGAGAGATATATATCCTTCTCCCTCGAGGACCATTCCAGTCTCCTACACCCTTCAGCAGAGGCATTTTGTGAACAACGAGTTGGCTCGTTCCAGGCTTCTACCACCACCACAAGAACAGCAAACATGGATCAATCCAAGATGTCTGGGGAACATGTCAGACCTGTCATGTCTGAGGAGAACATCGGCACGATCGAGAAGGCCGACCTTGCCGACAATGGATTCGAGGTGTTCAAGAAGGGAGAGGGTATCGTCGACTTTCGTACAGTCACCTGGTACCATGCGGCCATGATTTTCCTGAAGAGTGAGTCGAGGACCATGGCCACAAAAAAGGGAAGAGTCACCCTGTACTGACGAGGCAAACCAGTCATCTTCGCAACCGGGGTGCTTTCCATCCCCACGTCCATGTACACTCTTGGTGCCTTTCCCGGAGCCATGAACATCCTCGGCTGGACTGTGCTCAACGCCTACCTGGCCATTGTCCAAGGCAACTTCCGCAACCGCCATGCAGGATGCCACAGCATTGCGGACATGGCCTACCTTGTCGGCGGGCCCATTGTGAGAGAAATCGTCGGATTCCTCTTCATTGCCGCATACGTGATCTGTGCCGGCTCCGGCATCATCGGGGTGTCAGCAGCGTTCAACGCGCTGTCCAACCATTCCCTCTGCACACAATGGTTCTCATTCATTGCGACCGTCATTGTCGCCATCTTCGCCAGTGTGCGCAAGTTCGAGAAGATCGCCTGGCTCACCTGGGTCGGCTTCATCTCTGTCTTCACGGCAGTCATGATCATCGTCATCGGCGTCACCACTCGCGACCGGCCCGCGATCGCGCCCCAGACCGGTCCATTCGACCTCGGCTACCATGTCATCGGCCACCCCAACTTCGTGGCCGGCATGACGGCCGTTTCCAACATCTTCGTCTCCAGCGCCGCCACCGCGGCCTTCCTCCCCGTCATCTCGGAGATGAAGAGACCCCAAGACTACAACAAGGCCGTCATCGTGTCCATGTCCATCGTCACCGCGGCCTACCTGTCCTTCTCTCTGGTCTTGTACAAGTGGTGTGGTAAATGGGTGGCCACGCCCTCGCTGGGCTCCGCCGGGCCCATGCTCAAGAAGGTCGGCTACGGCATCGGCATCATCGGTCTGGCCGTCTCGGCGTGTCTCTACGTCCACATAGGAGCAAAATACATGTTTGTGCGCATGCTACGGAACACTCGCCACTTGCAGAGCAACAGCGCCATCCATTGGGGCACTTGGCTTTTCTGCACAATCGCAATCTCCATTGCCGGCTTTCTCATCGCCTCGGGGGTCCCCATCTTCAGCTATCTTCTGGGTCTGGCCGGCACCTTCTGCTTCGCCCCGGTGGCCATCTCGCTCCCAGGCTGGCTGTGGTGCTACGACCACCCTGACTACTGGAGAGGATCACTGTGGCAGAAGACTATGTACGCTCTACATGTGCTTTTGATTCTGATTGGAATCTTCGTCACCATCGGAGGCACCTACGCTGTCATTCAGTCAATCGTGGACGCGTATGCCTCGGGCACCATTGGCGCAGCCTTCGACTGTGCTGACAACAGTGGCACCGTGCTGAATTAGACGTCCGTTCGGTGATGGTGGCCTTTGGTTTGGACTGTGTGAATGACTCTTAGAGAGGAGTCGTTTTTAGATATCTGCTCCCAATCACATGTGTTTTTGGAATCTGATTCTTCCTCCCAAGCGACCATGGGCCTGTGTGTGACATTGTTCCAAGCAGTCTTCGTACATGGATCCTGATCAGCGGTCCCTCTAGGTGGTAACTTGGTAAGAACGACCAGTACGTGAGAACTCAGGTGGCGTCCTAATGAGAGATCACGCCTCGAGGACAAGTCGCTTCGAGGATGAGATCACAGTTAAGTTGCACATGGGCTTTCCTGGCGTCTACCAAGATATTAACTACAGGTCCAGACACCCCTTCCTAAGCACAAATGCTTTTGTTTTAAGTTTTTGCTAGGATGTACCGCCGAGCGACCGAGACACTCGATCGCAATCAAGGTCCTGACTCCTGATTGTTAGACCTTGGTTTGTGGTCTGACAGATCACCCCTCTCGGGAAAAGACAAATGATCCATCATTGATCTCGGGACGATTGCTCCGGTGGATCGATGCAAGTGCCATGATCCATTCGAACTTGCGGAATGCTGGTAGTGTGATAAGCAGCATACAGTGAATGAATCAATGGATGTTGCCGGCGACAGACAGCCAGCATCCCAAATGTTTCTTGAACCCTTACCCACATTTCCACTCCGAATTTCCGTATTGGGATATTTGGAGGTATTTTGGAGTGGGGCAGTCCACATTGGGCAGGTCCAGAGTACATGCCTTAATGGGACCGAAAAGTGATTCCCTTCCGTGGTTTCCTTCAAGATCCCCGTTTCCAGACTCGAACATCCACGGTCGACCTGGGCCTTGGGCCATGGGTCCATGGGTCCATGGGTCCATGACAGCCATTGATTGTGTATGGCATTCATTGCCACCTGGAGGACATGACTATGACTTGGGCCTTGCCAATAATTGCAAATCCTGACCGAGGGCGTGGGCGTGGGCGTGGGCGTGGGCGTGGGCGTGGGCATGATATCTGTCTCCCCGGGACATTGTCCTGTCTTCTGGGATGATTGCTCTGCATGCTTATGAACAGGACACGGAAGAGGAATCTCGAAGGTATGGTATGGATACTGCTTCAGAACATGTGGTAGTCGCCATGTTGCCGCATTGTCCCAACACATCAAGCTCTCTCGGTCTTTTAAAGCAGTAGCTTAGATGATAGATCTCATTTCCATCGACTCTTCGTTCCTTTTGGTATTCCATTCAACAAATCTACCCAACGAGCCACCAGTCTTTCCTCGAATGGAAAGCATTCCAGCTGGACTTAACATTCGGTTATTCATGAACAGCATTGCAGTGTTGTCTGCGCAAACCAGCAGTAGCTCGCTCTCAAAGCCAATTTCTCTGATCTGGCAGTATTGATTCAAGGTTACTTCGGTGGTTCAAAGTCCATACGTTCTTGGTTATTTGCGTTGATCCTGAGGAATCGTTCCCCTTTCACACCCTTCATCATATCTGTGCACCTACCGTTTAGTGTGAGTGGCCAGTGTTCCGTGCATTCGATACTATGTAGACAGTGGAGTCAGCGGCGGTGGAATCTGTCGATGGGCCCTGCGAGACTTGACCCCAAGGGATCCATCTTCGCGGAGCTCCGACACCGAACAATTTCGGTGTCGGGAGGCCGGCTATCGCAAGACTCCCCTTATCATCGCAGATAGGAATCGCTTGCATGTTTCTTGTCTTCTACGAAACATCTGTCTTGATTGTTTTGTCTTGGGTGGTGTTTCTTTCGAACTTTGGCATCTTACTTCGTCAGCGTAAATCCCAATAGACTACAATGTCGACAGTTGCGTTGCCAAATAGTGATTTCCTGTAAGTCTTATTGTAACCTTTCCATATCTCATTTGGCGTATGGTGGCTGGCAAGTTGGTTAACAATCAACAGATCACAGATCACCATTGACGATTTGAAGTCTCTGGCGGCAAGGTTCAATATCCAGTTCGAACAAGGTCAGGATGAAGAAGCCTACCTCAAGCTTTTGCAGGCAGCAGAAGCGATTTACGAGTATTTCGAGACTGTCGATGACTACATTCACCCAGCTCTGATCCCTGTACCGACAGTGTCAGAGAGAAGGTATTGGAAGCCGCGCCCGGAGGACAATGTTTTGAATGCTTGGAGTCATCGGTGTGAACTGAAAGCAGCCAAACCAGAAACCGATTTGCTTGCTGGGCGCTCTGTTGCTTTCAAAGACAACATTTGCGTAGGCGGTCTGCCTACCACCATTGGAACACGGCCCACCCTGCTCTCCAAAGAGGGCAAGAATTACCCTTTGTCGACCATTGACGCTATCGTTGTGTCCAGGATCTTGAACGCCGGCGCCACTGTCAAGGGCACCACGACGTGCGAGACCTATTCGGCTTCGACACTCTCGTCAACGTCTTTCAGCGGGCCGGTCCAGAATCCTTGGGCAAACGGCTACAATGCTAGCGGCAGCAGCAGTGGCAGTGGTGCGCTGATGGGATCCAATGTAGTTTCGAAGCTCCGGGGCACCAACTTTGGTGACAGCGTCGATATGGCCATTGGCGGCGACCAAGGCGGCAGTATTCGACTGCCAGCCGCCTACAACGGGTGCTACGGCATGAAAGCCACTCATGGCCTGATCCCCTATACCGGCGTCATGTCTCTTTCACCGATGCTAGACAACGTCGGCCCCATGGCCAGCAACCTCCAAGACATTGCACTCTTGCTGCAAGTGTTGGCAGGGTACGACGGCATGGACGCCAGAATGACAGCCGAATCGCCATTGAGGGACAATGTGCTCGACTATCCCGCTTTCGTTCGAGAATCTTTCGCCGAGGCCCAGTCAACAGCATCGCAACGGCGGTCTTCATTTAGAGTAGGGCTTCTCAAGGAGTCCTTCCACATGCCAGGCATGGATCCAGCCGTGGCCAAACAGGTGTACGAAACGGCCAAGCAATCCTTCGAAAACATGGGAGTGGATGTGGTCGAGGTCTCCGTGCCGCTGCACGCCGATGGACCTTTGATTTGGACGGCGTCAACTCGGGCCACGATGGCAGATTGGGCAATCGCTTCGAAGACGCCAGGTTATCTCAGCTACCAGCCTCCTCATATGAATTTGCAATGGCCACCCACCCAGGACATGTACGAAACGCTGACGGACACCAATCCCACGATCATGAACCTCATCTTCAGCAGTGTCTTCCTCAAGGAGAAGTACGGCCCAGGCGTCGAGGCCAAAGCCCACCGGAAGGTGTTCCAACTGCGTCAGGCATACGATGAAGCCTTGCGCCAGGTTGATGTCCTGATCACTCCGACAAACCTCGGACTGGCTGCGCCGCATCCGGAACTCAAACGAGATGGCAAGCGGACCGCGATCATGGAGAGAATCAATCCCGCCATCGGTCTCAGCAGCAACACTTGTCCGTTCAACGCCACTGGTCATCCAGCCATGAGTGTGCCCTGTGGTTTCGGAAAAGATGACAAGACGGGGCATTCTTTGCCAGTGGGCATGCAGATTGTGGGCAGGAGGTGGGACGAGAAGATGGTCTTGAAAGCAGCTGCTTTCTTCGAAGTTGGTCAGCAGTGCAAGGATCAGACATCTTCCCCGTCTTCAGGCCAACCCCGCCTGTAAATGGGCGGTTTCTTATCACCTCCAAAAGCGATAGAGAACTTAGATTACCTTTGTCTTCAAGCAAGCTGCAAGTCTGATAATGTTATCCTGGTTCCGACCTAGGTTCATGTGGTGTTCGTTTAGTACGGGCTGTCCTCATAGGATGGGAATCATGTTGCTTATCGCGTTTGCTTGTCCACATCTTCGCCTCCGTCTAGGGTCCAGGGCTATTTCCAGGGTATCATGAATTTCATCGACTGGCTCTGGGAGGGAGGAAGTCTTGGATCGCGGTCATCGTGACGTTACGAGACGAGGCCGAAGCTGCTCGTCTCGTTTCGGAGGCTAATCCACCGGTGCTAATATCCGTTGATAAGAGATCGGGGTAGAGATATTCCTGAAAGGGAAATTAGGGGTGATATTATCAGCGAGCATCACGGTCCTGTCCCTGAGACTCCAAAGGGCGCTTACGACGACGGTGAACACCCACGGATCATTTTCGCCTCCAGCAAAGCAGACTACTCTGACTGTGGAGGGTCTTGATGGAACAGAACCCTTCTGAGAACGGTACCTTTGTATGGCCCGGTCTGACGGCTAGCCAACATCACCCCACTCCTACAGCGGTATGCAAAGGGGGACGTACGGTTTGTTACAAGTGGAATTGCGTTGCCTCTATCATCAACTAGGCCTGATTCTACCGTAACAGTCATTAAGTGAGCGTCTTGTGGTCATGTTGCTGGACCAGACAACCGTTTCATTTCGACAGTGGTTCTCGATTCAAAACTTCCGTTGGGTCCTGAGGAAGGTAGGCGCCTTCAGGGTACTTGTTCTTCCGCTTAAACTCATTCGACACCTCGACCATGGGCACAAACTCGACACCTTCGTGCTTTTTGAAGTGTTCGATCAGTCTGTGCAAAAACAACGTCTATTAGCCTTGGACATGAGCATATTGATATCTCTATCAACGCTTACCTTTCATGCATAAGTAGCACGTGAGGTCGTCCAGAGACGTCCGGATGGATTGTGATTGGGAAGATGAAATCATCGTACTCTCGGTACATATAATCGAAGTGGTCCCGCCAAATATCTTCGACGTCACGAGGGTTGACGAATCCATGACTGTTAGGAGCTGCCTTGATGAACATCATGGGTGGCAGGTCATCGATATACCAGTTGGCCGGGATCTCGACCAGACCTGTCTCCCGGCCCTTGACCAGAGGCTTCATCCAGTGATCCGGGTGTTTGCTGTAGTCGATCTTGGTCCAGGTGTCGCCTGTGCGTAGCCAGTATGCCTGGCAGTCCTGGTGTGAAAGACTGTGGTCATACTCAATGCCGTAGTCGAGGAGTAATTGAGCACCGTCGGCACTGGTCTCCCACCTGTTTTATTTGACAGCTGCGTCAGTGTTGATCGTATTGAAGACAGGCTGACTCGATAGAGCAATAAAAAAGCTCTTACCAAGGTGCCACGCTTCCCTTGGGCGGCTTTCCACAAAACTCAGTTAAAAGCCGGAACGTCTTGTCCAAGACGACCTTTTGCTGCTCAAGAGTCATATCGGACGGGTTCTCGTGCGAGTAGCCGTGTAAACCGATCTCATGGCCCGCATCACGCACGGCGGCCATGTCTTCAGGAAAAGACTCGAGCGAATGGCCTGGAATGAACCATGTCGTCTTGATGTCGTGCTTCTTGAACATGGCCAACAGTCGCTGTGTGCCCACAGTGGCAGCCCATACACCTGTAGACGATCACACAGGCTCAGAAGTGTTTTGTGAAGAAGCTTGACTCTTGCTCACCTCGACTAATGTCGCTCACAGAATCCTCTCCTCCATATGAGCCCAACCAGCCGGCAACGGCATCGACATCAATCCCGTAGCTAATCAAGACACGCTTCTTGCCCATGTTGTCAGCAGGAATGAATTTCGGTGATCTTCAAGAGTGATTGGGTGATGTCGGTAACCAGATTTTCTAGGGGGCGCTGGCATTCCAGAAACATGGAGCCGAGGCCGGCTCACCAAGGCAGCACTTATATCTTCGTTAGATAGGAATCTGTTGGACCCGGTCTCGACCCCAATGCCTAGCGTCCTCTCCACTCTGCCTAAGACTTGGGTGCCGTTTAGACAAAGCCCTGCTCAGGCAACGGGTGGACAAGTCCACACCGGCATGTTCTTATCTTCTAATTCCGCGTATAATTGGCGAATGCTCTGTGTTCCCGGTTTAGGGACCCGATAAGATCAGATAAGATCCCAAAGGATCCTGATTGGCACGCGACGACTCGGAGGCGGATCCCTCGGCCTTGGCAGATGATACTTCGGGAACTTGAACCCTGGAGATTCCTTGATCTACCTATATCCATTCATCTCACCGTCGACGACCTGCGACAATTGCCATGGCATCTCTTATGCTCTATAATAACCTACGCTAACATGTCCCAGGCTCTCTTTTCAACATGGTCTGCCCGGGACAGTCTTGTCGATGTTGGCGGCCGGGGACAGTTCCCGGTCAAGGACCACACCTGCCACCGATGTGGCAGAGCGTTCAAGCGTTCTGAGCATCTCAATCGACACTTGAGAACACGTCAGTCGCTTTATATGCTTTGTTACGAACCAGCATCGCTGACTTGGCTGAGCAGATACGAAGGAAAAGCCTTTTCGCTGTCATTGTGGTGCTCCGTTTGCGCGGCAGGACCTCCTCAAGCGACATATCCGCTTATCGCATCCGGAGAGATATATGTCGACGAGACAGTCCATCGACGGACCTCCTCCCGACCAGGCAAATGACGGGGCTATGAATGCTCATGCCATACAGCCTGCCCTACAGCCAGAACAACATCATGCCTCGGATCATGCCACAGTCAACCCAAGCTTTCTCGCGCCCTACCCGACAACCCACCGACCGCAGCTCACGCATGAACATACGATGCCCATGTCATCGCCTCAAACGTCGCTCATGATGGATAGCTCACTGCAGGATCTGGGTAGGTGCAGCCAGACCCCTTGCAGTTAGCAGTTACCGAGATCTAATGTCTGGACCAGAATTTGATGCCCTTCTCAACACTTCTCCGGGTGAACAAGCCCATCTGCAACAGCTGGCGAACTTTATGGATAGCATGGGTCTCTTGACAGACTTTGTCACATTCGACCAGGTACCAAATGAGCCGTCCGTAGAAGCAGAGGCTCAAACAACACCGACTCAGACTAACGTGGCCGACGATACTGCTGATGACAGTACGCATAACGACTCTAGAAGTCGTCCCCTTTCTCCGTTCCGATCATGGCTGCCGTCGCCTCCGCCCACCGATCACAACATGAGAGACGTCGATGATCCCAGTGAGTCAAAGACCTGACCGTTTGGTGGTAGCCGTCCCAGGCACTTTCTCTGGTGGAAATTAAACCAGAAGCTTACAGTCCTTTGCAGTATCCTCGGGTCACCGGCATACTCCCCAGACGCCCTTCTACGACGTTACGAGAGAACATCGAGCCTGGCTCGAGACCAAGCTGGCCGAGTTTAGAGACGTCCTACCGGGATTCTATCTGCCCTCACATCACAGCCTGACCAGATATCTGACATCCTTTATTGACGGCTTCCACAGTCACCTCCCACATATCCATGTTCCGACAGCAACCATTGAGGATTTCACGCCTGATGCGATTCTCGCTTTCGCGGCCACGGGGGCACAGTACGTCTTCGAGCATCGCAATGCCGACAGACTATTCTATGCCGGCAAAGCGATCCTGATGGAACGCATGCGACAGCAAAGAGCGGCCAGGTTCCAGCATGCTGATACATCTCCCAAATCTGTTGTTGCTCAGGGACTTGACTGCGGTCGCGCTCGGCGGTTCAAATGGGTTTCTGCCGTGCTGGGCCCAGCTGAGGGCGGCCCACAAAGTTCACCAGAGGACGGGAGAGCCGTACACCAGTGCCTAGAAGCCGCCGTCACGCTCATGGGCTACAGCGCATGGGAGGGTGTGAACCTGGTGCGCGAAAGTCTCCAGCTTGCGAGCGTGGTAGTGGAATGTCTCCGAGATATTGGACTGTCAACCTCTGCCCGTGAAGCCGACAACAGTCTGAACTGGAAGGCGTGGGCGCAGGCCGAAAGCGAGAGGCGCGCCCAGCTGGTCGCGTTTACTTTCTTGGAAACGCTCAGCATCGCCTACAACGTCCCTCCGTATCTCATGAGTAGCCAGTTCAATATCCGCCTGCCGTGCACCACAGCGGAATGGAAGGCCAGAACGGAAGAGGAATGGAAGGCCGCGCGCGCCAACATTGTCGCGGAGCAAATGTACTATCAACCAGCGCTGGCGGTGCTTTTCGACACATCCAAATCGGATAGCCCGCCATCGCCGATGACCACCCCGTTTGGGAACTATATTCTTCTACACGGCTTGCTGCAGAGGATATCGCTGGCGTCCGAAATCTCCAATCCCACGGACGAGCAAATCACCACCATGTCCCGCAGCGACTTTGACCATATCGAGTAAGTGCTGCTGCAGCACTTCCGGGCCTTTTCTCTCTCTTCTCGAGCGAGGCCTTTGGGGATTGGGGATTGTTGCAAGGATCATACGCTGACACGATAAATGCAACAGGTACGCCCTTCGCTCCTGGACCGTTGTATGGCAGAAAACCCCTGAGTCCAGTCTCGACCCTCGAAACGCCAACGGGCCGATTCCATTCACCTCGAGCGCACTCCTCGGCCTGGCATATGTTCGTCTCCACCTCCGTCTCGGCCCGCACCGCAGCCTCGAGAGTCGGGACAAGTATCGCATCGCGTCGAGTCTTCTCAAATCCCCTCCCGTGCGACGTGGACATCGCATCCTACCGGCCATTCTGTACGCCGTGCACGCATTGAGTCTGCCTGTCCGGTTGGGCATCGAGTCGGTGGGGCGAAGTCAAGCTTTCTTCTGGAGCATTCGACACGGACTGTCCAGCTTGGAATGTGCGGTTCTGCTGGCGAAATGGCTGATTGCTGTCCACGAGACTGAGGCCGAGACCGAAATCAGCAGTAAGACATTTCCCTCCAAAAGATCCCGTATTTCGTTCATCACCCTTGCGCCAATGCGCTCTTCCTTGTGACAGTTTTCTTGCACGAAGCTTTGTTTTTCGTCGGACTTACCCGGACGTCTTTGAGGCTGATTGACTTATGTAGAGAACGAACATCGCATGATTCGCTGGGTCCGACATATTGTCAAGGAAGCTCTCGAGTCCTGCGACAGCGAGGACTCGCCCGAGGAAGCAGACCTGAGCGTGGACAAGACCGAACATGTCAATGCGCTGCCGATCCGGGCGTTGGCCCTGCATGTCCTTTGGATCTGGTCGAGGATGTTCCGATGCAATGTGCAATGGCCGTTTCTGAACATCATCGGCCTCAGCCTGCATGAGTACTCACACTTGCTGGAGGCCGAGTTTGTCTCCGCTGGGGACCAGAGCCATGAAGCTACCCAGACTCCAAGCACGGAGCTCAGGAGCTTCTCTAGTTTTGGCCAGGTAGGCCAGGGATGACCGGGACGGGAGGTCAACCAATTCCATATCTTGACCGTAAGAGCGGGCGTAGGCTGGGAGCGCTTTGTTGTTACTATCTACCTTTATATACCCCCATATTACTACTGCTACCACGTAGTATTTATTACTTAAACAGAAGGGGGAATCGTGGGGTCTTGGGGTGTTTAACTGGATCCTTCAATTGGGGCCGCCCCCAATCCTTTCCGGGGGTTGCATTCGGGGCTTAGGGACTTTTCAAGGCCTGACACCGCCCATGTAGCCCCTAAACAGCGCCCCAAACCTTGGCTTCACAGGCGTTGCACGTGTCATTCGAGCCCCGGGTCGTCCACAAATCGATGAGTTCTACTCCGAATTGCCGTTCGAAGAGAATCCTGCTACGTAGTTGAGCCGACGTTTTTATTACTAACGATGCGACTCTCCATCTTCTTTGATGGTTGGCTTGAAGTGCTATTGAGTCGGGCCGCAGAGCAGAAGGAGTACAAGCAGCTCCATCTCGCAAGTCTCTAGGCAGCAGCAAGAGCATGAACTCATGGTTCAGCAACCGTCAAGATCAACTTTCTCGCTGCGATGCACGACAGTCGAATCTCCCCAGGAACAGCGATACGTCACGTATTGGAGAGTGAGCCACCTCGGGACTGTCCTTGACGAGGTACTTGGTTGTCTCTTGGATGTGCTGGCCAAAATGACAATGTCATATTCGGGTGGCCTGCTCCATGGATGCCACCCTGATTCAACACCTTGGAGTTGGCCTACAAAGGTAGTGTGCCGTTGAATAACCAGATCCCTGGTGAAATCGACTTCTCTTCATGTCATACCAATGCTCTTCGATAGCATCGAAAAATGTCAGCGACTGGTAGGGTTCTCATGGTATGGTTTTCCCGCCGTTGGATAGCCCTACGTACTGGTGGTCGGCGTCAATCGAGCGTCCCGCTTGTGCAAATCGCAACCGAATCTGCGCGTTCACACTTTGTTGAAGAGAAACACCGCAGTCCATCGTCGAAGGAGCACGAATCAAGTTGGTGAAGCTTTGCGCTCTTGGATATATCACAGGTCACGCGGCGGCGGCTGCTCAGAAGCAGAAGCGTACTGACCAAGACACGAACTTTATTGGATCATGGATTCAATCCTCCCGAGACAAAGCGCTCTTGGTTTCCCAATGATGATCTTGTTCAAGTCTTATGGTTCAGGAAGAATGGCGCGCGCTCGGCCGGGACAAGGCTCATGCGAGCAGGGTGAAGGACCGGACAACTGTAGAATTCCTTGTCCACTCAGTCAATCAAGAAGCAAGAGCGTCGAGTTTGTCAAGTGGTATGGCGCAAGGCGTGGTGCAATTTAGTGCCGCGCGCTCAAGGCTGGATTGACTTCCGACGCCGTATCTGGCCAGTCAGCCTGGCGCTGTACACTGATGCTGCAACAAATCACAGGAGACTGACGGCAGATAGCGCCCGATACTGTGTCATAAGCAAACAAGACCAGATCAACGAGGACGGCCAGCTGGCCAGCGGCTTGCCGGGCTGGTAGATAAAATCGCAGCTGCCACATAGGGCTGGACATGGAACTTGGACAGTCATGCTCCCACACCTCTCTTTGCACCCTGGTTCTCTCGTTTGCTGACTTGGTCACCCCTCGCCAGAGCGAGTCGAGATGCTGTTCTGAAAGCAGTGCAAGGCGCAACAACACCGTCTCGAACGGCAGGCGCAGTCTGCAGGCATCGACTGGGCGCATCGTACCACCTGGTTCGCCTATCGAAGCTTACCACGACGGGCTGACCGCCACACCGGCCAAGGCGAACAAAGAACAACGCCGCAGCAGTTGGAGGGAGGGCGTCAGGCGAGAAGTCCAAGCACCCGCTTCATCTGGATCAACAACAGAGAGACAGCAAGAAGGGCGAGTGAGGACAGGCGGCAGCGAACCATCAGTCGTGCCTGCCCCCCTTGTCAGCGGCCCCACGAACCCCATTTCTTGTTTTGCCGCCGGCGGCAACAGGAAAGCCAACGGACCAATTGCAGCAGCCAGGAGGCCCGCTCTTAGGGATCCCGCTGTTTTAACGCCCACCCCCGGTGCAGCACCCTCCCTCCTCCATCCCATGCTTTCGACCTGAAGGAACCGTCACGACCACTACTACTACTCCTCCCCTACTACTACTACTACTACTACACCACGGCATTACTGTCCGGTGGCATTGATACGACTCCCGACGTCTCTTCCTCCTCTACTACCTTTCCTGCACCTCTCCCATCCACCAACCATTCATCATCCGACTGAACTCGCTTCCCCCAGTCCCTGCTCAACCATCCTCTGCCAGGTTCGGCGCCTCAGTCATCCACTCTCCTTGTTGCAACCCTTCGCCGTTCGCCTGCTCTTCCCTCTACGCGCCATCGTACTTCCAGTCATAGCGTCTCTGCTATCTTACGTCTCTGACGAGTCTACTGCAACTTGCATGCACACCAGTGACTTGAGCTGGCCTCATCCTGGTCAAGATTGTTGTGCTCACGTAGGAAGCCTGTGCTGCTGCTGCTGCCGCTCCTGCTCCTGCTGTTGCGCGCTGTGCGCCCTCCCAGAAATAGACCAGGCATCTCTCCCGCTGTCAGTCCCTTCCACCACGTCTCTCTCTTCACGGAACGATCCTCTCCTCCCTTCGCCAGTATCCGTCACGCCTCTCCCATCATCTGTGGTCTTCGCCCGTCGACATCAATCTTGAAGATCGATTCACTCGTTGTCGACCGTCAAGATGCCTGCGGCGACCAGACCAGTCCTTCCACCTCTCCAGACTCCTAAGACGGCCTCCTTTCCCTCCGAAATCATCAACACTCCGGTCTCGTGCGTATCGGCGGTGATCAAGCAAGAAAGTCTAGGGACACCCATCACGCCTCCAGTGGCCTACACCGAATTCCTGAAGGCTCTGACTCCTGTCCTGGTTAGTCCTCCTGAGACGGGAGCCCTCCAGAGGACAATGTCGGACGAATCTACCGCTACAAGAGACTCCATGACTTCAAACGCCTCTACAAGTTCGTCTTTCGAGTCCGCCACCAAGAGTGAGAACTATAAATCTCCATCCAGCTCCATTCCACCCACGCCCTACACACGCAAGAATCCCAGCGCTCTGCGACGGCTTCGAATTCCGCACTCACCCGCCTTTTCTCCCAGCACCTGTGGACCTTCGCCACGCACCGCCGTTAGCGGGATGAGCACCGGCAGCATGCTCTATTCACCTTTCTCTCCAGCAGACTGGAACCTTGACAGTGCCACTCGGCGTTACTTTGATGCACCGAGAAGCGCCTGTCCCAAGCCGGTGAGTGTACGATCTGTGGTGACAAGAACGGTTACATATAAGAGATCACCGCCTTTGGATCCCGCGCCAAAAGGCAAGAAACGCAAAATTGAAGACTCGGCAATGCCTCCCCCTTCAACCACGAAAGACGCCGGTACCGTCTCGGTGACCAGCCTCCCCTCACAACTCATCGAAACCTCCTCGACGGTCGCTAGTCCACCTCTGGAACTACCCGCCACCTCCTCGGCGGCCGTTGCTACTCCTCCAACAGCTGTTGTATGAATCGATGGCTATCTCATCTTGAAAGGCAGTCCTTACGAATTGCGGGCAATTTTGATTACGAAGCACACGCCCCTGGATGTCATAGTTCAGGGGCTTTACGACATAACTCACGGCTATTGTTGTACATGATACCACATTATCACTATTTGGCGGTGGCGCTCGGCGTACTGGTACGGCGAGACGATTATACAAGCAAGGGTCATCTGACTGGATCTCGGAGACTTCAACCTTGCATTTGCTGCGTCGCATTGTGGAGGAACGTTAACGAAGTCCGCATTCCTGCGCAGTTACAGTCTGAACCTGGGTGGAATTCTTGAAAAGCATTTGAAGCAGGAACATTGTTCCCAGTTGGATGATCTGGGGAACCGCGGTCGGGTCGGATGAAAGCAAATATATCCGGGTTCGTGGAAGTTCTGGAAGAAGTGGTTACGTTGAGCAGGACTACGCCAGATTTCATAATGGCAGAAAGATATTTTGAATATGTACCGGTCCGTAATAAATGTTGGTGTATCTATGCCAATACAGTTTCTGCCTCGACCTATGGGGCGAAGGTCTGAAATGGCGTTGCTCCAGAAGAGATGGGTGAGGAGAGTTCTACTGGCGTGCAGCGTCTTGAGATCAGAGATGCTTGATAGGAGTGCGGGCTTCAATGGCTGTGCAGGGATTCAAACTCAATTACCAACCGATTGACGCATCTTATAAGGCCCTTGGAAGGGCAGTTTGCTTACAGCGGTCAGTCAGAGAAGAATGTTCTCAGGAGGGTCGGCATAAAAGCAGCAAGAGTTTCCTGACCTTCAGCCCCCTCGCGGGCCCCTTTCTCCGGGGCTGCCTCGTGGGAAGCCAACGCAGAGATACAAGGATCAGCAAGGCCAAACCCAATCTTGTCAGCTCCTGAGTTGCGGCACGCATTTGCCTCGATGAATCATTGGCCGCTGGGAGTCCTACCATGACAGGGCGTCTCCGCCGTACCGCATCGCTGGAACCGTGACTGACACAATGGTCCTCATGCATCCCTGCGGCCGAAGACAGGGGAATTGATGATTGGACCAGAGCACCAAGTGGAGAGGCTCAGAGGAAGTGGGTCCGGCGCTTCCTCGAGCATCCACAGCCAGTCGTCTCAGAATGACATAACTCCTTGTACCCGAGCACGTGTGACCGGTATCAAGTCGCGAAGTAGTGATTGGGAGATACTTCTGTGAGTATTTGGTGCTTGAGCCTCCTCCAGCTGGACGCGCCCAACGAGGAATCTATTTTTGATTTTAGCTTTGGATCTTTGGATCGATCGTCCCAGTCTGGTTGTTTTGGTACACTCGGTTCTCCCTTTCGCGAATAGAAATGGAGGAAGACCTGGATTGGTGGGTACATATGTATCCCATGACACTCGGCTGTAGGAGTGTATTGTGAGAAGTGTCCTTGGGAGGAGGGGCTCGGCGCCTACGTTTTTGATGGCCTTGCTTCCCCTCAAGATTGTGGTCTCGTCGACATGCTACGTAAGGGAGAACATGAACTGTACTGCAGATCTGGCTCTGGCGCTTTCAGAGAGACCGAAAAGGGTTGACTGCAGAGACTGGAGAAATCCGGTAGAGCTGCGGTACCGAATCAATTGGTAACTCGGTGATACAGTAACGGTTCGTCTCCTGCTGCCTAGCTTTCTTCTCCTTTGGGGTCATGGATGATGAGGCTGTCTGCTGGCGGTCCGCCCTGTGACATGGCTGATATAATGCAGTAGTTTACTCCCTTAGTGAACAGCGCATCGTGGTGGCCGCCGTAGATTACCTACCGAAAAGGGGATACTCCGAACGCCGGGGTATGAGGTACATTGGGCCCCTTAATAATGCAGGGTCACGGGGATCGTTGATCAAGGTATACAGTACATGAGGGTCGAATGGTTCTCGCACGTCCTGAGACAGACAGGGTGGACGACCGAACCCCGGCACAGCCGACATTTGAGGTGATCAGGTCGCTCAGGTAATTGATGGATGTTGTTTTCCTTGCTGCTGAGAGGGTCAGCTACTTTGTAGTTGGGTAGCGAGTGCTTTTCAGGTCCAAGAAATCCAACGTGTATTGTAGAGATCTTCCCAAATGCATCGAGAACGACATCGTGTTGTCTCTGGTATGAGAGTCTCCTATCGGCGGTGGAGAGAACGCACAACTCTAGGGTTGATGCTTTCATGAATAGCTATGCTTCACAATCTGCTTACACTCGTCAATGAGAACAACTCAGCCCCATCGTCAGGGGTCGACATTTGGTGCTGCCACATGGTGCCGGTTGAGAACAATTGGTACAGCACATGAAGATGAAGATGAAGATGAAGATGAGAAATGAAGGACAGCGAAAAGTGAACTTCAAGTTGGGGACTCGGCGAGTCGGACACCGGATAAAGAGATGCTCCGTTTCCGTTCTGGCCTTATCGATCGTTATCGCCAATCTCTTGAAGGTTCAAAGTTGGTGGAGAAATGTAACATCAGAACATTGAACAACTTGAACTAACTGCAGTGCGTTCAAGCTCCTCAGGCTGGGCATCAACCACTGCACTGCAGCCCGCAATTCTCCGTCTGATTATGCTGCCTGCTTCGAAAGAAATCTGTTCTCATCTCTGCTCTGCATCTTGGGTCGCTTCAATTTCCTCCAGCCTCTGTTACCGTGTACATTGAGATCTGCGCTTTCGACTGATTCGCACACGACCTTCCGCGACTACTTGATCTGAGAGACACCATCAGGGTTGCCAGCACCACCAGTAGTTCTTAAGCTGTGATCCAATCGCAGCTCCAACTATCGTTGAATCATCGCCGACCTTTGGCATCGTTGCGCTCCCTTTCATCACCGGCGCTTCAAGCCAAACGCTTGCACAACCAAACCAAAATGCCGTCTGTTCCATTCGCGACATTTCTCATCATTTGCCGTAAGAAAAAGCACCTCTTGTCCGCGGCAGCATGATACATATGCGCTGACATACTCTCTCTTCCCACAGCCGTCTCCTTCTTCCTAGGCATCATCTTCTCGCTCTTTCCCTACGACTATCCGCTCCTGTGGTCCTCGCTGCCAACGCCCGATTCGCATTTCGACGCGGTCGAGACCCATTTAAAGCTGTTGCACAATGCGCCGAACTTGATTGTAAGGATCCTACACATCATGCTCAGCATGGGTATTCTGGGCCTTGTGATCAAGCTCTACAAGCCGAGCGAGTCTAACATGCTGTTCGACGGCGGCAGTCTGGTCCTCTACATGGTTGCGGTAATCGTGTACATTGCCAACATCATCAAGGGCCTGAGGATTGTCGATGTAGGGACGTACGGCTTGGGTTTGCAGGACCTGACCGAGGATCAGCGCGATAACGTGGATTTGTCCGGCTATGATGCGGACACCGGCGATAGTGTGCTGGGAAGAGAGGACAATCTCAAAGTCCTGGCCGCGAGCAACACCATCCTTGCGTTGGTGCTCGTTGGAGTCTTGGTCTTGCAGATTGGCCAATGGTACGCTGAGCGCAGCGAGGAGCGGGCCAACAAGGATTCCAAAGCCAGGAAGAAGGCGGAGCGGGAGAAGAAGGAAAGCGAGGCTGCTGCGGCACCTGTCAAGAGACAAAGCAGTGCGCGGGAGGGGAAGAAGACAAAATGAGCGAGACTGGGAGATTTGAGGTAAAAGAAGCTGGGCACTACAGGTGTCTTTTTGTCTCTGTGGACCGAATGTCGTGTCGTCGGATCTCCAGCGTGGTATGAAGCTTTTCTCAACCGGTTGGCAGACAAGGGACAAGGGCTCCGGTGTCAACCTGAGTGGCTGGTGTTGTAACAAGGGTGTTCACCACTCGGTATCTTCCCCTTAGAATGGACCTTCGGTTCAGAGACTGCAAGTGGGATTCTCTGCAAGGATTTATTGTGCGGGCTGGAATCAAAATAGTCTCCCAGAAGGCGACTTTGCTTGTACATTAGTGTACCAGCCCGCTCAGATAGCAGTCTGACCGCAGACCAGATCATCAGTGAAAGCAATCCCTCCCCGTCTGATACCGGCATTGCTGTTCAAGACCCTGAGATGTCGTATATCTCATGATATGGCGTATGGTCACGGACTCATCATTTGAGGCTCGCAGCGGAGATGTCAGAAGACGTCAATCAGAGTGTCGGCAATGGACCATCGACGTTGTATGGTCACGAAGATGCAGGGATGACATGCAGTGAGGAAAGATCGTGGCACAGAATAAGAGGCCAAAACCGGGGAAGTAGGACAATATGATTGGTCCAAAGACGAGTCCGCGGAGCATTCAAGAGTATTTGCAAGATTTGTCCCGGTTCCTGTCAGCCTGCTACGAACCTATATTCTCCGACCCTAAACCGTGACTACCTAGGTATTCTCTTCCTTCGCCCAAGGTATATCGTTGCATTAGTATTGTTCGCCCTCTCCTCCCTGCTCGACAAGATATTTCAAGCCTCTGCGTCTTCCTGACATGGCGAACTCGAAACAAGTGGCAGAATTGCCACGCTTCCTCCTCCCTCGCTTGACTTGGACCACGACTTCGTTTGCGCAGGTTGCGCCGCAGACCGTTCACATTTTCCCTGCGATCGAACGGAAACCCACCGTAACATCATTTCAGACGGCCTCCAAGCCTAGAACGGTACATACCAGCGCTGTCAAGAGCTCGGCTGCGTCGAGCGCTTCTTATGCCCCCCGTTCTACGAGAAGACCTCGCTCCTATGCCCAGCCGCTGCCGGCAAACTCGGCTCCAATTCGACATAATGGCGTCTACGTTGCCACTTATAAATCCGCACGGAAAGCCTTCTCGACGACTGCTGTGCAAAGGAAAGAACACCACTTTGACACATTGAAGTTTGTGCAAAGGCTAAAGGGAGAGGGGTTCAGCGAGGAGCAGGCAGTGGCTATGATGCGCGTGCTCAACGACGTGATAGAAGAGTCCATTCAGAATCTCACCCGGACCATGGTTTTGAAAGAAGATGCCGAGAGAACGACCTACACCCAGAAAGTGGACTTTGCCAAACTGAGAAGCGAGCTGTCCAACGCTGACAGCACCGAAGCACAACTCACCCGGTCGAGCCACGACCGGTTGTCTAGTGACCTGGCTAAACTGAACGCTCGTTTGCGTGACGAGATCGGTCGCACGCAGGCCAGCGTCCGCTTAGACCTGAATCTCGAGAAGGGGAGGATACGAGAAGAAGCGAACGGCCAAGAAATGCGGATCAAGGAAACCGAAGCCAGAATTGAGCAGGAGGTCGCCGGACTTCGGGAACGCGTCGAGGCAGTCAAGTTCTCGACCCTGCAGTGGCTCATGTACGTTCAAATCCCGGTCTCTGGTTGCTGGAGAATAATATGCTAACTCTTATGGCAGGGGTGTCTGTACTGGTACCGCAGCTCTGATCCTCGGTGCCTGGCGTCTGTTGATGTGAACGGGACACCGACTATTCTGTCCTGATTGGAAATGCCTGCGCACAATATCGCCAACTCATCTCTCTCTTGTCCAGTTGCTTTGAGGCGGCTGTCCGTGAACGTCCAGCAGCAGACTCAAGTCATGAGGCTGAAGTGTGCGTCAGCTGTCAGCTTTGGATGGCCTCATCGTCGAGCTCAATGGAACAAATATATTCTACAAGGTCATGGAGATGATTCCAATCATCAGTTCTGCGGTGGCCTTCACCAGTGGCAATGATGGACGGATGCTTCGCTCGGCTAATGCGGCTCCACCCGTTCGCTCTCTTGCTCCGAATCCCAGTGGCGCAGAATACAACCCAACAGAACTCGACAGAATCAACACCTCGAATTGATCGGAAATGTTGTACATATGACAGTATTCTTCCAAACATATACTGTTCGCACTCATATCCGCGCTTTGCTTCCTAGATACCCCACCATCCCCTTACGCAGTTACGAGGCATTTGACAGCATCGGCTTCTCTGGGTTCACTCTAGGTACCACTCATTGCAGCGTTCGCAGATTATCTATTGGAACATGCCTGAGACAACGCGCGTTAAGTCATGGATATACTCAAAACCCTCCTATCCAGATACTCTTGTCCTGTCGACGACAGATGTTCCTTCCACACCTTCTCCTGGCCACATTCTCGTACAAGTTCAAGCCACCTCATTGAACCCGGTGGACATTCAACTGATGAATCTGCCATTACACTCGTTGCCCTATCTTAACGGACCGAAGGTGCCTACGCGAGACTTTGCTGGCACGGTACTGGCTGCTGGCCAGGGCACTGAATTTGCAAAGGGTGACGAAGTCTACGGCATTACGGTGGCTCTGGATGGCACCGGGTTCCTGACCGAGGTCGCTCACATTGACACCAAGAAGGCCTGCATCATCAGAAAACCAAAGCATCTTTCTTGGATACAAGCCGCTAGCCTTCCCTTGGTTTATCTAACGGCACGGACTGTTATCGAAAAGTGCAAACCCTTCATGAAGTCCTCCATTCCGTCCGAGAACAAACTAGCTGTGCTCGGCGGCTCTTCTTCCACGGGCATATATACCATCCAGATTGCGAAGTCTCTGGGTTGGACGGTGTTGGCCAGCTGCAGCGGCCGGAATGTCGAATATGTGAAGGGCATGGGTGCCACCGAAACCGTCGACTACACCACCTCTCCCACCGCGGTCGTGGATGCTGTCAAGAAATTCTCGCCGCACGCTATTGCCGATTGTGTCGGTGGCACAGACTGTATTGGACTCGCGCCCCAATATGTGACCATCGTGGGAGACAAGACTTCTCGATCAAGTGTGGGCGGTAGTGCGTTGTACCTGACGCACCCCCGGATGGTCCTCAGGTGGCTTTTGGGCCGCCTGGGGCTCGGCAACTCATACGAATGCATCCTACTTGATGCCAGGAAGGAGTGGCTGGAGGAAACAACGAAGCTTGATCCGGAGAAAGATATCGTTATCGACAGTGTGTTTGACTTTGGGAGGGCAAAAGAAGCCTTCGAACGGTTGAATACCGGACATGCGAAGGGCAAAGTCGTAGTTGAGATACGACAATCATGAAGCCCAGGGGCAGTGTAGATGATGCAGAATGTATGAAGTAGCAGTATTTACTATGTTTGGGTAGGAGAACAATTCACAACGACTGTTGCGTGAGATGAGTTCACTTGGAAATTGTGATACCATGGGTGGCAGCCTTGCGTTGACGTAGACGTTGACGCCAGTGTGCTTGGTTGTTTGCATACTGAGATGAGCGGGTTGCAAGTATAGAGACATAACATGTGATGACAAACAGTTCTCGTCTTTGCCTCACAATCAAGGACGTCCTTGATTCTTTACCAGGGTTGCTGATCACGCGTCGACGACTTCGACTTCGGTATCTGTCAAACTAACGCAATGGCACATGAATGTAACTGACTGTGTTGGACATATGACAAGTCTGTCTGCCACAATTCAAGTTGTGCGACCCTTGTTCAATCCGGCAGCCTGTCTTCGTTTACTGTCTGCACTTCCTTCTACTACAATGACCTGAACCGTCCTGTATATACTGGGTGTCTCCCTCGTCTTGGTCCTGTCGCCTCCACACCTCCTCTGTCGTTATCGTTGTTGTCGGCGCCATGAAGAAGTCCTTCATTGAGCGCATCTTCCCCCATTCCCCCGGCGACGTCCTTCCACAGTACGACAACAACTTGCCTGCGTCGTCGCAGACTACTCCTCCGTCTCCGCCGCGGATCCTCCTGCGAGAGTCATTGGCAGCCTCTTCGCACAGCGCCGATACTTCGTCCGCCCTGTCTACCCGTCGAACCACTCAACCGCAACCGCTGGCGGCGTCCTCCTTGGTGGTGCGCCACGATGACCCCTTCCTCCCTGTCGAAAGAGCGGCTCGAGCTCTCGAACGGACTCTCCAAAGCCTCCTCGATGCGCAATCCGAAGGGCTGCTTGCCGGCGTAGGAGCAGGCGACACGAACGATACCTCTTCGGCAGGCAGTCTTACACCCACGCCCTCCACTGGCATAGCTACTGCGCCCAAGCGACAGACACGAGCGAAGACGATACCTGTACGGCAACCGCAAGACAGGAAACTCACATTGCGCGAAGCTCGACGGGGACTAGTGAAATCTATGGCCCAATTCGCCCGCCTGAAGGACTGGGAACTGAGTCTGATCGACCAGGAGGTCGCGGCGCGAGAAGATGCATTGAGGCAGGCGTCCAATCTGAAGGGCCAGAAGAAGCTGTTGGAGGACGAGATACAGAGCATGAATGTCGAGAACGAAGCGGCTAGTCTACGGTCGGAGGCGCAGAAGGTGGAACAGGAAATCGACGAGTTGGAGGCACGCCTGCTGGAAATGAAGGCTCGCTATAGACAACTGGTCATCCGGGCGCGTGAGATCGAAAGCTCGCGAGATTCAAGACTTAGTTCGTTCACGGACTCACTGCGTCTGAACGACAACAAGGTCAAGGCCTTCCTCCACAACCCCCCTGTTTCGCAGAGCTTGGGCACCGCTCGCGATCCTGGCATGTACGCGCTGAACCCGGAGCGGCGGACTCTCCAGATGGCCGAGGAGCAATGGACGTCGGAGGTTGAGATGCTGAATGCTCGGAAAGCGGACGTTGAGAAGGAAAAGCAAGCACTGGAAGAAGGCTCGGGGCTGTGGCAGGACGTGGTGCTTCGCGTGAGGGATTTTGAGGAGAACCTTCGAACCCAGACGATGGACTTGTCTCAATCTCAGCTTCGTGCGTTGGATGTGGGCGGCGATGCTCTGTCCCCGGGTTTCGGGACGACAGCGGAAGACGCCTCGCTGCGGATCGTTCTGGACAAGCTAGACGCGCTCATTGCCTTTCTTCAGGAGGCTCTCACTCAAGCCGAGGTGAAGAATTGGAATCTCCTTATTTGCTCGATTGGTGCTGAACTCGCCGCTTTTGAACAAGCCCGTGACTTGCTCCAAGAGACGGCCGGCCTGGAAAATAGTGAGTCGGCTCACCCTTCAGGTAGGGGCAAGGGCAACCTGGTTGACGACGGGCATGAAGATGCTCCGCATGAGGACCTCTTGAGCGGCGGCCTCGTCGAGGCGAATGGACGCGGGCCGCGGAGTCCAGGAGAAAGCAGCAACCACAGTCTGGAGGATACACTGCGAGAGTTTGGTCAGGGCTCAGAAAGGGCCAAACAGAACGAGCTTGATGGCGGTTCGACATTCATGGCTTCTAGGCCGGAGCTGGACACCCTTAATGTCAGCTCCGGGTCACGGCCCAGAGCTGGCCACGGCCATACGTCTGAAAGCGAGGACGACGAACCAGGCCCGGAGTTCTTGCTTTCCCATACCTGAAGCTGGCTGTACGACCGGGTATGAGAGTCATTGTTAGTTTGAGCGTTACACAGCGTCACACAGCGTCGCGACATCAATGGCAGCTGAGGGCACAGTTTCTTATGACTTGGGACCTGGCAAGTATTGTCATTTGTCCTCGTTACTATCCAGCAGCACTTGCTCTCGTCGTCTCCAGCAGCCTTCTTCTGATGTCGGTGCTACTGATCTTGCCTTGGAAGCTTTCTTGCTTCTTCCGTCCATCTCCTTCGTCCTTGTCCATCGCGACACTTGCGTCGAGGACGTCGACCTCGAAAATCTCCAACTCTTTCCAGCCCTTCTCTTTGCGCTTGTCGTTGACGGCATTTCCGCCGGCCCTGGTCTCGCCCGAGATCACCAGGGCACTGATCCCTTCGTCTGTAATGGTCGGGCCGAAGGGGTCGGATATCTCTGTATAATTGATGCTAATGTCAGCGCCGTAAGTGACACGGACAATTTTTCCGTTCGGCCCGGGCTGGTCGATATGTTCGGTTTTGGTTATGGAGGAAACGTCTGGATGGAAGACCAGTATGGACTCAATGAACTCTGCGGTGCGTTGTTGGCGCACCGACCATGGTTCAACGACAGATCCGTACTTTTTGTTCACGAGTAAGGCGTCACCCGTGATCCCAACGGTGACGAGCCGCGGGGCCTCTGTCGGCGATGAAGGGTTCGACGGCTCAGCAGCCAGGACGGTAGCCGTTAATAGAAGTTTATGGCCAATGTGCAGATGGTCGAATGTGCCCCCTACAGCGACTGACTTGTGCGACGTCACTGGGCCGTCTTCATGGACGGCGGTCTGGGAGGCTGAAGGCTGGACTATGGCAGGCCCGCTGGGAAGCCGCTGAACAGGCGGGGCGCTTCTGCTCTTCTTGGATTGCCATGCCGTAATGAGTGACCTGAGAAGGCCTTCGCCAACCTCCCCCTCGACGGAGTATATGGTCGTGTATGGACGCGCGGCTAGTGCAAAAGTCTGAATATCAACGACGGGACCGGAGAGGACTTGCGTGCCGCTAAGCCCTCGAGGAAGCTCGTCCACCCGAGTCTCCAGGAGGAATATCCGGACGTCTAGACCGCCCGGGAAGTCTAGATCGACTTTGGTCTCGGCGGCCACGGCACAGATCAGACTGTATGTCTCAGCCAGTAGTCGCTGGATTGGAATGAAGAGCGCGGAACGGGGAATGTTGGGCGAAGGTGGGTAGGATGGAGACAGGGCAATGGCAACATCTAGTCGCGAAATCGCCTGAGTGTTGGGTTGGACCAGTCTAGGGAAGAGAGTTTCGAATGTCTTTTTATATGCTGATATCAAAGATGCCGTTGTAGACCCGAGCACAAGCGCCGGCAGGAGAAGCAGCGAGACTGGTTCCTGGGACAGAGGGGCCATCTCGGTCGGTGCCTAGGATGGAATTGTCCAAATAGTGGATGATGGAAGGAGGGTGAATGGCAACAGGAGTACAAAGGATAAGAGATGGACGTCAAGCAACTGCCTGTGACGAGGCTGCTGAAGGCTTAACGGTCTTGTATAGGCAGATGTAGTTCTTAGACTGCAACCTTGTCAGGAATATGCGATCTCCTGCGATGAGCCTTGATCAGTTGTAGTCTGTTCCTCCCTCTTTCATGGTCGATGGTAGCAGCATTGTAGACCCCGGACGATTAAACCCCCAGATGATATACCGATCGAACACGAGGGACTTTGGTAGGAGGAAGACAAACTGCTGCGGGCGGAATCGTGTTCAGGTCGTGCAGAGGTTCAGGTTGTTGGTTGGTTCCTTGACGAACGCAGTCGTTGAAGCGCAGACGAGACCAGACAAGACAAGACGCAGACGTAGACGCAGCCACAGACGCAGTCAGATCTTCCCGGCGGCTGTCAAGTCGACAACAAGTCGAGAATCACCCACTCACCTGTAACTGACTGACTACTCACATGGGCCGGCGATAACAACATCGACTTTTTGTTGTTCTTCTTCTTGATTATGCCCTTTCACATTCCCCATCACCAGCACCAGCACCAGCACCATCTCTCCGACCCTCACCACGACCACGGCCACGCGTACGTCCACGACAATTACTACAGTGCTGCCAACGCCATCTACTCGGCCGGCCAGACCCTGAGCTCTGTTGGCGCTCCAATCCCTCAGTGGAACGACTCTCCTAGTACCCAGACCGAATCGCCCACCACGGCTCCCGAAAATAGATCCTACCAACCTCATTCTCCACCTGACACCAACGGCAATGGCAATGCCCGTGGGAATGGCACCGTGATCCCCTATCGACCTGGCCCGACTGCGTATTCTGGAGGGCAGCCAACTGAGCCTGCGGACTCGCAGCCCGGTCAATATCAACATCAATCAGCCTTGACGCGGTCTCTCACAGGAGCTCGCCGGGGAGACGAATCCCACATGAGCCAACATAACCAGCAGGAAACGGCCATGAGCGGCGTGCATCACTATGGTGCACCGCCAGCCTACGGTGGTGAAGGGTTGTCCATCAAAATCGAACCCTCGACTCCTCAACATCCCAACAGCGTCGCGAGCAACCCGGTTCCTGGAACACTGCAACCCGGTCTTTCCAGTCGACCTCCTCCTCTCGCGGCCAGCAACACTGCGCCCACTCTTCCCACTCTCCCTCAGATCTCGACTCAGATGCAGCAAACTCCGCTCTCGGCCAGACCGATGCTCAGTCACACGCACAGCTATTCGAGGTCCAGTCCTGGAGCAATGGACCAGCCAAAATACAAGCCCTTCTCCAACACTCCCGAACAACCGAGATACTCCTCTGCTTCCAGCGCATATGTACCGCATACTCCTTCAGCGCCGTCTTCCTATTCCCCCTTGGGCCTGGCAGACATCAGGCCTCGAACCGACCCAGGGCTGCCCGAGATCCCTATGAGCCCCAACGTGGCGCAGGAAAATGATTCTGAACAATACCCGCAGAACAGCCATTACGCTGCACCTTGGCCTGTATACGCGGTGGATTGGTGCAAATGGACGCCGCGGTCGAACAATGGTTCCGCGGGTAAAGTCGCCATTGGCAGTTACCTGGAAGATAATCACAACCACGTGAGGAGCAATTGAAATGGCTTTAAGGAAGAACAAAGCGGCTGACGAGATTGAGCAGATTCAAATCTTAGATACCCAGCGGACACAAATAGACCCGGACAACCCCCATGGTGAGCGAGGGCTGGAGTTTGTCAAGACGGCAGAAGCCACGCACGCATATCCCGTAACGCGGATACTTTGGGAGCCGCCCTCCTCGAACAAACAGACGACTGATTTATTAGCTACATCCGGCGACCACCTGCGGTTATGGTCGCTTCCAAACGACCAACTTGCATATGCATCGAGTTCCATTACTCGTTCGGCGACCTCAAAACCCGCTCCTTTGGCGAAGCTCTCCCCGTTGGCTTTGTTGTCGAACTCGAAATCACCTGAACATACAGCTCCCATCACGTCGTTGGATTGGAACGTCGTGCAGCCCTCACTAATCATCACTTCGTCCATAGACACGACGTGCACAATCTGGGATATTCCAACTCTAACGGCCAAGACACAACTCATCGCGCACGACAAAGAGGTGTACGATGTTCGATTCTGCGCCAATAGTGTTGACGTCTTTGTGTCTTGCGGTGCGGATGGCAGTGTCAGGATGTTTGATTTAAGGAGTCTTGAACATAGCACCATCATATACGAACCATCGGAGAAGCAGCAGGACAGAAATTGTAAGTCATCCAGGTGCAGCACGGTTGGTCCGTTCCAAGGTTGCCGGTCTAATATACATTTTCTAGCACAACTCCCGGATTCTCTATCGACCTCACCGACACGCACCTCCGGGTCCGGTGTGCAGACGCTTTCGTTCCCACCTCCGCTGCTCCGTATCGCAGCCTCGCCGCACGATGGCCATCTTCTGGCAACCTTCTCTCAGGACTCCAATATCATCCGCGTTCTCGACGTCCGGCAACCAGGGCAAGCTCTTCTCGAACTCAAAGGTCACGCCGCATCAGTCAACTGCATCGATTGGAGTCACACCCAGCGCGGCTTACTCGCGTCCGGTGGTGACGATTGCTGTGTCTTGCTTTGGGATCTGATGGGTTCGACGGGGAATCTGCCCACCCCTGCAGGAGGAGCCGCAGGTGGCCTTGGTACCACTCAGGAAAGAGGCCCTTCTGCCGCTTGGGATTGTAGGTACGAAGTAAGCAACCTGAGTTGGGCGCCGAATATGGGCACATTGGGCGTTTGTGGCGGCAAAGGCTTCTGGGGTGTGCAGTTATGATGTGGTTCAAGCTTGCTTCTTTGTCTCCCTCCCTGTCTGTGTCTTGTCACAGGATGGGTGGCAGCGCATAGCAGAGCATGGCGCAGCGCAGCGTGTGAGATGGCTTGGGTGGTTGTGGTTCTCAATGCATATGGGCGTGTTCAAGCGAGATAGCGATGTGTGATGCTGCATTCTGGAATGTGTAGACTACTTCACCAGGCCTTGACAACAGGATGCCTCAACGAGCCCAACCTGAGAATTGAATGTCAGGGAGTCTACCACGTACAAATTTGATCTGGTGATCCTTCAAGATGGCGTGGGATGATTCTCGTCGACATGGCAGCTGCAACAATGAGATGAGCTGCGAGCAGACACCCTGTTGAGTATGTCTTGTCGCCTTTGGACATGAATATTGTCTGTAAATCATGGCCCAGGGAGCCTTGACCGTTCTTCATGGCCTCAATCACCCTGAGCCACAGTCCTTAGGTTCTTTGACAAGCATATTGCTCAGCCAGGACAACCTTGTAGCAAGGTTTCTGACGCCATCATCCTCATCCTCATCCTCATCCTCGTCCTCGTCAGCGGGCCCCCGTTTTTCTGGCCCTTCCCCCCTTCTCTCACACCACATTCTTCAACGCAGCGTCCATAGCCTCATCAAACGACTTTGTCGGCAAGCCCAACAAACGATTCGCAAACTCCTCTCTATCCTCCCACCGACTACCAGGCACGACAGTGGCAAAAGTCAATTTCGGCAGGGCGCTCTCATCGCCCCTCCTCACCAAGTTCTTGACCTCCTCCAACCAGGGCGCATACTGGACGTGCCGAACCCCCCACTTCTCCCTGGTCCTCTGCTCAATCGCATCCAAGATCTCACGCTGACTCGTCCGAAAGTCCTGGACCAGCAACAACCGGTTCTTCGTGACCTCGGGCTTCTCGAGGGCTCTCACCACGGCCAGCGCCACAGTGTCCAGCGTCGTGACGACCCATTTCGCGTCGCCGCCATCGATCAACGTCGCCGTTCGACTCGACCAGTCAAACTGGAAGAAGCCCGACATCACGCCCATTTCGAAAAACACATTACATACGATCTCCGTCCACTCCAGACCCTGTTGGCCTTTCTCTGCATATTTGGCCGCCAGGTAGTCGCGGACATCATGCTTGATGCGGAACATCGGCCTCAACTCGACCAGCCAGTCGGGCAGGTCGTCTAGGCCGAATTCGGTGGGGAAATACCGCTTGACGCCCGCGGCGATGGCCGCGTCGATGAATTTGTACTGTTGGTGCATTCCGGCCATGGAGATCGCGGAGATGACGGCGTCGGCATCGCGGAATGCCGCTTGCAGGCCGTCGGGAGGGTAGTCGTCGCCCACGCGGCGGATTTCTAGCCTTTTGTCTTGTGGGAATGTGGCTTTGGAGGACTCGCGGGACAGGACGATCACTTGGAACCCAGACGGAGAGGAGATGAGGTGGTTCAGGATTAGGCTGCCTAGGTTTCCTGAGGCGCCGATCAGGAGGATTCGGTTTAGAGACATTGTGTGGGTGTGTGTGTGTGTGTGTGTGTGTGTGTCCTGTTGAGTCGGAAGAGGTGTTGTGTAAGATATGTCTTGAGATATAGCCGTGCCTGGCACGCGATCCTCAGGCTTGTTCAGATAGTAGGGCGAGGCTCTGTGGCTTGGAGTTCTTACAGAGGTAGGTGTAGATCGTTGTCGAAGGGTAGTCGATGGAGGCCTGGTAAAGAAGGAGAGTGGGCGAGTCCGGGAAGAAGCTGCTTCAGAAAGGACGGCCACAGACGGTGTGGATTGCAGTCACAGAAACAAGCTGAGGCTATGTTCTCAGGACGATGAACCATGAACGACACTGTCTGATACTTGATGTCGTTCCCCGCCATATGCTTTGCTGATGGACAGGATAGAAAGATGCTGTAACTATCGATTCGGGGTACCCGTGGGGTCTGCACAGAGCCTTGTTGATATGAATGATAGAGGGCGTGTTCGGCAACATGTGGGGTTCGTCCGAATGCTACTTCTGGACAGAAGCATTTCTGGCAGGGCAATGACAAAGATGCCATCCTCTGCAGACTGAGCAGAGAGGGAAGGATTATGGGAGACTATAATGTGACAGATTACGACTGTTGGAAGCGTTCACATAATTCAATTTTCTTCGCTCAAAATGCATCTCTATATACAAGGACTGCCGTCTATAGTTCTAATGCTGGGAATGTCTCTTGCTATCCAGTACAGGCGGTCGATATCTTGATCAACTCGCCTTGACCTTTCCATTGGCAACGTGCCCGTTCCCCTCCCCCTTGCTCTGGACCGCTGTACGAGGTGCCTGTGTGGTACTCAAGAAGACCAACCGTTCCACGAACTTCAGCACTTCATCAATCAGGATAACCGGTGCCGAAATGCACAGCACGGCCATCCACTCGGTGTAATTGAGTGGTTCGATGGAGAACAAGGCCTGGAGGAATGGAGTGTAGAGAATGGCGAAATGAAGCACCATAGACAGGCAGATGGCGTAGATCAGCTTCATGTTCTTCCAGAGTGGCATGGTGACAAGCGACTCCGAGGAGGACAGGGCGTTCATGGCGTTGAACATTTCGATGACTACCAGAATCGAGAGCGACATGGTCGAGGCTGTGCGCGTATAGATGGAGGTGGGCGCAAACACCGAGCAGTCCAGGTTGGCGTAGAGTGGGTTCAGAGTCGAGCATTGGTGGAAGTTGCGCAACTGGCTGAATGTGATCTGGGGACCGGCTTCATAGAGCATGAACCACCACACATAGCCAAAGACTGTGGCGGCGCCGACGTACGTGCCGACGACCATGTATCGGAAGAAGAGCCATCCGCTGACCAGAGGTTCGTCGCGCTTTCGAGGTGTCCGTCGCATCACATCATTATCCGCTGGATTGAATGAGAGTGCAGTGGCTGGGAGACCATCAGTCACCAGGTTCACCCACAACAGTTGGACAGGGATCAGTGCTTCAGGCAGACCGAGTGCCGCCGTCAGGAAAATGGACACCACCTCGCCGATGTTAGATGAGATGAGGTAGCGGATGAATTGTTGGGTGTTGCTGTAGATGGTGCGGCCCTCTTCGATGGCAATCTCAATTGTGGCAAAGTTGTCATCGGCAAGAACCATGTCAGCGGCCAGTTTGGCAACGTCGGTGCCGGAGCCCATAGCAACTCCTATATCGGCCTTCTTCAGTGCAGGAGCATCGTTGACACCATCGCCTGTCATGGCCACCACTTCATTGGCGGCTTGCAACAGGTCCACCAACTTGGACTTGTGCGTGGGCTCGACACGGGAAAACAGAGACGCTCTCTTGACGGCCTGGACCTTTTCGCTATCGTTCAGCGCGTCGAACTCTCGGCCAGTAAAGCTCTTTCCGGTCAAGTCTTCGTCCTGCCCGAACACCCCGATTTGTTTGCAGATGGTCTCGGCGGTGTTCTGGTTGTCGCCAGTAATAACAATGACTCTGATTCCAGCGTCTCGACATTTCCGGATGGAGGCTGCGACTTCAGGACGAGGTGGGTCCAGCATACCGACAAGACCGATCAGAGTCATTCCTTGCTCGAGCTGAGCATATTCCTTTGTGCTTTCGGCTTTTCCAAGTAGTGCGTTGCCGTTGATATTCTCCACACTCGCCAAAGCAAGAACTCGAAGCCCCTTCCGCCCGTAACCGACCACTTCCTCCCCGAGGAGAGCCAAGTGCTTTTTCGTCATAGGGACTTTCTTTCCGTTTGAGCCAAGCACTATGTGAGAACATCTCTCAAGAACGGACTCAGGTGCACCCTTGACAAGCAGCTTCTGCCCCTCGCCGGTACCGGCTAACACAGACATGCTCTTCCGGTCTCTGGAGAACTCGTACATAGCCTGCAACGGCAGTTTCTCCTCGTAGTATTTGCTGGCAAAATGCACCCGCTCAGCTCCGGAGAGATTCCTCATAGCGTTGTTGGTTGATATGTCGTCCGTGCCAATCTTTTCAACGAGGACTCGAAGGGCTCCCTCTGTAGGCTCGCCGATGCTCGAAAATGTGTTGGTTTTGGCGTCATATGCTAGGCGAGATTCATTGCATAGGGCGAGGACTTCCGACATCTGCTTCAAGGTATTCGAGCTTGCAGCAGGATGTTCGAGTTTTTTGCCCTGGTAGAGAAGGTCCCCGACGGGAGCGAAGGTGGTCCCTTTGACCTCCACTTCTTCCAGATCAGTGCCAGATTCGTTGAGGTAGACAATCTTTTCAACGCTCATCTGATTTGTGGTCAGAGTACCCGTCTTGTCGGAGCAGATAACGCTGCAGCTTCCCAATGTCTCAACAGACGGCAGGCTCCTGACGATGGCATTCTTTGCTGCCATCCTCCTGGTTCCTAAGGCGAGACATGTCGTAATGACTACGGCGAGACCTTCTGGGATGGCGGCGACGCCCAATGACACGGCGATCTTCAAGTAATATATGGCGCCCTTAGCCCAGCTACCACCGTGCGATGGGTCGTTGAAATGCTGGATATTGATGAGCCAGACCAGAATACAGATGACGGTGATGACTTTGGCAAGGCTATCCCCAAAGTCGTTCAGTTTTTCCTTGAGCGGCGTAGGATCCGAGATCTGGGATGTGATGCTTTCGTGGATATCACCGATCGCAGTAGAACTGCCAGTCAGAACAACAATTGCAACAGCATGCCCGGTGACCACAGTCGTTCCAGAGAAAAGCATATTAACCTGGTCTTGCTTCACAGCTTGCGGATCGTTGACAGGCTTGCAGTCTTTGCTGACGCTTTCGCTCTCGCCAGTCAAAATAGCTTGATCGACTCTGAATGTGTTGCTCTGTATGGACAGTAACCGACAGTCGGCTGGAATCCGGTCTCCAATCGAAACCGTTACAATGTCTCCCGGAACCAGCTCTTCTGCCTTGACCTTTTGGACTTTTCCATCTCGAACAACCTTCGCTTCATTTGCAGAGTATTCTTGCAGGGCTGCAATTGCCTTTTCCGCGCTGCTTTCCTGAGTGACGCCAACAACTGCGTTCAAAATGAGGATCGTCAGGATCTGGCCAGATGTCAGTCGCAGTCCACGTCGGACTAGAGTCATTGTAACATACCACTACTGGGTCCACGAATGCGGTCCAGTCTTCGGACTCTTCAAACAAGGCCAGCACAAACGATATGGCCGCCGAACCAAGTAATATCAGAACCAACTGGTCTTTGAACTGTTCCAGTACCAGTTGCCAAAGCGGTGTCGGAGGATCTTCGGGGAGTGCTGAAAGAAGGTCAACATATGCCACAGGGGATTTAGGTGTTGGGGCTCACAATTGCTTCCATATCTTCTCCTCGCTTCTGCAACTTGCACAGAGGACAGACCGGCTTCTTCACTAACTTTGAAATGTTGCAAGACCTCGGCGGTCGACCGCACATAGGCCTGATCCATGATGGACGGACTTAGGCAAGTTCAAGAGAGTGGCTTGATTGACAAATGGATCGAACTGGGAGAACTGTGAAGGTCCTCTGGATATCCATGCACACCGTAAGCCTCAAATAGTTTATCCGTCTAATCTGCGATCTAGAGATATACGTCAAAAGAGTGAATGCGACAGGAAACGCCCCACGCGGAGAACTTGAATTGGACACGGTGGTGTTTGGCGTTTTTTCGAAAATTCCAGACGGCGCCGCGGACTGGCGCAGCCAAGGGAAAGATGAATCTCAGACCAAGGGCGGGTCTACAGAGGACAACTTTTAACCCAGCACTCTCTATACCGCGTAGTACTACTTTGCTACCTAATCGTCTAGAGCAAGTGTACAGAAGTTACATTGTACACGAGTAGTACTTTCATCATCGTATCATTCGTGAGGCGGATTTGGCGTTTGAGGGCTCCGCTGCAGAACACCGATCCAAAAAGCAGGATGTTACAGTAACTCCGAGTCCTGCTACTATGACGACGATTTGGCCGGAATAGAGTAAGTCTGCTACTGCTTGCTTGTAAAATTACCTACCTTATACGTGCCTACGAGCGCTACAAAAAGGGTATCTGTCAGGAGGTACTATAGGTACCTTAGGGTGCGTATAAGGAGGGTGTCTGCCTAGAAGCAGGGTCTTAGTACCTACCTAATCTTGGTGGTAGATGCACTAGACCACTAGAATACACTAAATGTGGGTGATAAACAGCTCCGGCAAGCATCTCCAAAAAGCGGTGGCAGATAGCGTGCCTTCGGACACGGGTCTCTTCATATTCGAGGGCACATGGCATGTATATTCGGGGCCCCAATGGGCTTGGAGAGACACGGGTGACAGAGATATTCGTCCAAGTGAGTTAAGGGCACGGGGTCATGTCGTTGTTTATCAGTTGTACGCATCAGGTCAACGAGTTGACAACAGAGCCTAGCAGGAAAGTTGGCTGACTTGTCGAAGAATGCGGTACTGAAAAGCAAGCAAGAGCAGAAGCAGAGCAGCCTGATTTTAATACCAGTAGTAGATGAGTCAGATCATCTGCGGCGGTTCTTCTGCTGGTCAAAGTAGTTGGCAGACACAAACATAAGCAACTGATGGCAGTCAAGTAGCAGAGGACACGTACCGCAGCGCCGCGCAGTTCAAGGTTAATGCAAACCAAGTGAATTGTGATGTGAGGCGCTTGTGTACCACTCAGGATCCAAAGATAGCCTAGTCATATTAGTGCTGGCTGCCAGTGGCTCTCATCAGCTTTAAGCACTTGCTGTTCCTAAGCCTGCGCGACCCCATTCTAAATCCCATCACCGCAAGACACAAACACTGCGCTGTTCCCATCACCAGTCTCAGTTTCTTCCTTCATTTCCATCCACCGTCGTCCAAACTTCCACTCTACCTGGATTCTCAGTTCAACCACACTCTCTTCCTCTCTGTCAAGTCCTTCAGCAATCGATACAATGGCTAGCGCTACTGATGTAAGTCCCTTCTTATCCCCGCCGGGAAGTCTGGGCTCAGCTCGTCCACACCCCGACCTTCTTCTTGATAAGACCCCTTGCTGACTTGACTGCCACTCACAGCGCGAAAGGTATTAGTGTCTCCCTATTTGTCAACTCAGCCGTCCTCTGACCATTGAACCAGCAAAACCTTCCTCGCGAGGCTCTGCGAGCAGGCCGAACGCTACGATGAAATGGTTAACTACATGAAAGATGTAGCCAATGTGCGTTCAATATCATCCGAATCAAACACGATGGTTCAACGATCTGATGTGTTCTAGATGGGCGGAGAGCTGTCTGTTGACGAACGAAACCTACTGTCCGTGGCGTACAAGAACGTGGTTGGCACTCGACGTGCCTCCTGGCGCATCATCTCTTCGATCGAACAGAAGGAAGAATCCAAGGGCTCGGAGAAGCACGTTGGCATCATCCGCGAATACCGTCAGAAGATCGAGACCGAGCTCGAGAAAGTCTGCCAGGATGTCCTCGACGTCTTGGATCAAGCCCTTATCCCAAAGGCCGAGTCTGGAGAGTCCAAGGTCTTCTACCACAAGATGTAAGCGTGCGCCACTGTATGTCCCAGCACCTTGATTGACACAATCGACAGGAAGGGAGACTATCACCGTTATCTCGCCGAATTTGCCTCGGGAGAGAAGCGCAAGGTTGCTGCCACCGCTGCCCATGAGGCTTACAAGGTAGGACAGCTGCCTTCCGCGCCATTTGAAACATCATAACTGATCCACATGTTAGACTGCCACCGACGTTGCACAGACTGAATTGACTCCAACGCACCCAATCCGTCTGGGCCTCGCACTCAACTTTAGTGTCTTCTACTATGAGATCCTCAACTCTCCCGACCGTGCCTGCCATCTTGCCAAGCAAGCGTTCGATGATGCGATCGCCGAACTCGACTCGCTCTCCGAGGAGTCCTACCGTGACAGCACCCTGATTATGCAGTTGCTCCGAGACAACTTGACATTGTGGACGTCGTCTGACGGCGGTGAAGGTGAGGCCGGTCCCGCTGGCGAAGCCTCCAAGGACGAGAAACCTGCCGACGCTGCTGCACCTGCCGAGCCAGAGGACAAGACTGAAGCTGCTCCTGCTTCCTAGAAAGATTCATGACCGCTAGGCAGTTGTGCATTATCCACCACTTTGATGATTCCCGCCTACGAGCATCTATGTTCTGTGGCAAGGTGATTGTTCAAGAGGCAGATCCTTTGCACCGCTTGTCCTTTCGAGCACGAATTCTAGTGATTGCAGCGGTTGGCATGGGTCAAGTGATTTGTTCAGGGGAGAGATAAAGGCAGAGAGAGAGAGAGAGAGAGAGACAACCCTGCGAAGAGTTTAGGCCAGGGCACATTCCCCAAGTTTCTCCTCTTATGTCAAATGCTATTGAGAGCAACACTGGGTTTCCCCTTTAGTCTCCTGCGATACCACATAGCTTTAGCTTTGATGGACGGATGAGTGGAGTTAGCAAGCGTGCGAAAGGTCCACAATCACACTTTGTCGTTTGGACATTCTTGAAGAGCTTTCCTCCTGTGAGGCTGTTGTCGAGGCTGTTTTGTCCTCGAAGATGACAGGATTGTGGCTGGCCTGAAACATGCCGAAATCGAGGGTCAGGTGGCAGCTTAAGTCATCACTCTAGTAGTAGTAGTACACTAAGTACCCATTAGTGAACAGTGGCTACTAAATCTGTGGTAAGCTCTAAGCTATGTGAATTGGCGAATCAGGCCGTAGTATGGTGTTTAGTGCCCTGATTGGCATTGGACGGAAGTCGTGATATCATGTTTCCGCCTCCAGGACAACAACTTGAACTTGTTGCTTTGCAAAACATCATCGTATCCGAAGTTAGCATGACTACCAAGGTACCCAAGGTACTTCAGATCAGGTACGTCCTTCCTAGACAGTTTACAGTGCGTAATGCGTCGGAAGATGCCAGTCATGATGGCTAGGTTGATTTGGCCCACTGCACGGAGACGTGCTCCTTGGACTGCAGTGCGTCATAATGTAGGTATCAATGCTTCACTTGTTCCTGCCTCGAGCTATTTCTATTTGAATGAGGCCGCCGCGTCTCTCAACCTAGTACTAGGATCTCATCTTACTTCCGTCACTTCCTCTTTTCAAACTCCCATTGCAGTCTGCAGGTCGATTGGCGTTACCCTCAAAAGCTACTATCGAGACAACAGTCCTCCCTTCATCCATCCACCCTGGGAGACTGGAGGTGTACTTTACCCTCGAACCCACCTTCTACTCACGCTGCCTACCATGTCTGCTGGAGGCCCAGGTGACGCTCCTCCGAACCCCAGCCAAGGAAGACACAAACCCGGCGTTCCTCGAGGGTCTGGTTCACTTGGCCGCAGACTGGCCCTCGGCGGTCTTACGCTTGGATTGGTGTACGCAGTATGGCCAAAGAGTTCACCACAGCCGGGCGGAACTCCTTCGAACGCTTTCAAGACGCAAGGGGTCCGAAACGTAGAGAATGCCTACGAAAACGCAGGTGCCACAGCCACAGGTACCAAGGCATATGGAGGCACAATTCAGGGAAAGAAGGAATCCGGAGCGTATCGGGAGGGTGGGAGCACGGGCAACCCAAAAGGATATGATCAGGAGGGCATTGGAGAAGATCAACGTCCCAGTTCTCCCACAAAAATCGGCGAATCATTCAATGAGTTCAAATACGGATCTCCCAAGGGCAAATGAGTGTTGATGCCATATGTACCAAGCATCGAAGATGGTGGGCCCCAACGACATGCTGTGGAGGATAGGTGCGAGTCCGACGTTGGCCAGCGGCGAGATGGTGAGCAGGCGTGACAAGAGGTGCAGTCTCGTGTTGCATACCACTGTACATACGGCAGAGCTGGCGTCAAGAGGATCTGCCTTCGAGGGCTCGGCCGAAGAGTCTTTGAACAATTCTTGATTTTCCTAAGAGTCCTATTAGAACTCTTTGCATTACCAAATCTCCCAATGGTTGCCCGATCCAGCTTTCAGGAAAGGACTTGGGAGAAAACTGCCGAATCGGAGCATATCATGTCACATTGGTATTGAAACAAAAAGCCTTGACATGCAACTGGTAAGGCAGTGCCTGTGGCTCTAATTCTCTTCCAAATGTACAAAAATGTAGGATCCTGATGGTGGAAGGTGGGTAGGTTGGTTGTATTATTTCAAGTTGTAGGGTGTAGTGCTGTCTCTTGTCCAGGGTCCGAAATCCCAGGTCCGAAATCCTAGGTCCGGGCCGAAGTCGAAAGGACCCATGGCATGCGATCCTCAATGTGGACGCCCCAGTCCTAGTGGCACTCTGCTACTACTTTTATCTACTATCAATAGTACTGGCCGGGGGGCAGTACTGGGGCTTGGCCGCAGATCGCTAGGTATATCCTGCCAGTGTATCTCGTCAAGAGCTCATGGACAGGCGTTTGTCAAGTGCATGTTGTCCATGCCATGAGACTTCCAAGTTCAATATAGGAAGCAAGTGAGTGGCGACTGGTCTCATCAATCCAAAGTTTCACAACGATGGCTCTCGGCATCCTCGAACCACCGGTGGAACATGTCCCTGGTACGGTATACGTCTACGATGCGGACCAGCGACACGCTCAGCTTTTGGAGACTGCGCAGAACCTGAAGAGGGACAAAGGCGGCCGTATGATCTTGGTGCCTCAGCCATCTAACGATCCAAATGATCCCTTGGTGAGCCCGTCATGACCTCCCTTCGGCGGCACTGAAGCTGATGAGCCCAGAACTGGCCTTTATGGAAGCGCGACCTGATTCTCGGTATCCTCTGCTTCGTATCATGTATCGCGACTACTGCCTCTCCTCTTCTTGCGGCTGATTCGGTCACCCTTGCCATCCTCTTCAAGCGGACCTTTCAAGATGCCGCGCTCCTCACCGCCTACCATCTGTGCGGTGTCGGCGTGGCTGGTTGGCTTTTTGTGGCATCTGCGAGAGTATGGGGCAAGAGACATCTCTTCTTGTTTGGGGCCCTTCTGATGGTGGCTACCTCTGCTTGGGGCGGTTCGACGCACTTCAAACACAACTACGCCAGTCTTCTGTGGAGTCGAGTGTTCCAAGGTGTTGCTTTGGCGCCATTCGAAACACTTGTGAATGCCTGCGTAGGCGACTTGTACTTTGTGCATGAGCGTGGGCCGAGAATGGCGGTTACAAATACCTGCCTGTTCGGAGGGGCATTTTTGACTCCAGTGTTTGTGGGTATGATCGCGGCCCACATCGGATGGCAATGGAGTGTGAGTGTTGTCCTTTCTGTTCCATTCGTATGACTCTACTCCGTGTCCAGTCATCGGGCAGTGCGTCGCACACTCAAGGACACTCGGCTGGCTAGAGGAAAAAATGCTAATCTGTGCCAACAGTTCTATCTTCTGGCCATCTTCATGGCACTAGGCTTTCTCCTGCTCTTCTTTTTTGTGCCCGAGACTGCCTACCGCCGCGCACACTCCCTTGATCTGGATCTCCTCTCCGAAGATTCGTCGGAGGTTTCCTTGCCTCAGGATTCTAAATTGAGCACTGGGGATTTGGACAAGAAACCGCTGCCTTCGATGAGTGTTTCTGAAACAGAACTACCAAAGGTGTCTTGGGTGAGGATGTTGATGCCTTTCAACGGACGCAAGACCGACGAACCCTTCTTCAAGCTGCTCTTTCGGCCCTTCCCACTATTTCTCCATCCGGCAGTCGCGTGGGCATGTTTGATCCAAGGTGTGATTATTGGGTGGACGGTCATGGTCGGCGTCATACTCTCGATGATCTTCCTGGGCCCGCCACTGTTCTTCAACGAAGAGCAGGCTGGCAAAATGTACACCAGCGCGTTTATTGGCAGCATCCTTGGCCTTCTCCTGGCTGGCCTGTACAGCGAGCTGATGACGAAGTTTATGATCCGACTAAACAAAGGGAAATATGAGCCTGAGTTCCGAATACTACTGGTCATCCCAACGCTGGCCTTTTCGGCGATCGGCCTCTACGGGTTTGGAATCACCGCTCAAGATGTCGCGCGGTACGGGTGGATTGTCCCGGATGTCTTCCTTGCCTTCATCATCATCAGCATGGTCATGGGCGCCATTGCTTCGGCGCAATATCTTCTCGACGCCCATCGTGACATCGCCGTGGAAGCCTTCACTAATCTGCTGATTTTCAAGAACATCTTCTCATTCATCCTGGCCTACAATGCCTACAACTGGGTATTTGCGATCCGGATCCGACATCTGTTCATCATATTCGGGAGCATCGAGATTGTCATCTGTTTATTGAGTGTTCCAATGTATGTGTACGGCAAACGAAGCCGGGAGTTCTTCCATCGACATGACATTCTGAGCATGACGAAGCTGAGATAAAACGTCCACCTTATAATATAATCTATTTAGAATCCAGAAGGATCGTCGCTGTTGATATTGACCAGTGTGATAGATAGCATACGGACCCTCTCCACAAATTGACCCCTGATTGAACCGCGGATATGTGACAGGCTTGGGTGTGAACGCTGGGCGACGCCAAACACACAGCGTGCACGAAAAGTGTTGCCATTAGAGATCAGAGACTCCAGCTGTGATGTGATGCAGTTTTTATAAGGCGTCCTAGGCGCGTATCACTGGCGAGGATTTCTGGGCCTTGAAACGCTTGGATCGCGTGGCGTCCGTCTCGCCCGCATTCGGAAATTGGATCTGGCGGTGTTGATCGCCGGCGACGTCTTAGAACTCTGAACTTAGGGCTCAGGAGAACCCATCTGTTTGTCTGATGACCCCAGACCTCAGTCGTCACAAGGTCCAAGTACCCTTTGTCAACATGACTTATCAGCACTACAGATCCAAAAACCAACTTCGACATGTGTGGGAGGCTGTGGTGACAGCGAAATGAAGACTGAGTTGACCACGAGTAACTTGTGCGTGGCATGTCAGGCGATTTTCCAGTCAGGCACTCCCAGGAGTGATTCTGGCGAGGTTGTCCACCATGGCCTCGAGGCACTGGCCGTCCGGGCGGGCAAATGCCACCTCTGCCTGACTGTTTTCATGTCCATCGACCCTGAGGCTTACAGCAGCTTTCGCCGAGGGTCAACAGCCGACTCGATGGGATTTGCATGGATCTCTCCCATCGCACGCGACCAGGCACGATTGAAGTTTCGATATGTGAAGCCTACAACGGCGGACAGAGCCACTCCAAGCACCAATAGCTCGAAGACAAGTCTGGGTTGGCTCGAATCGGAGCTGGGTTTGGTGGTGGAGTTGATATTGATGCATCCCAAATGTAAGCGAGCACGAGCCTACCCCCACAGATGTCTCTGGCTTACTTCCATTCCAGATGCTGTTGAGCCGGGGGTGAGAACCATTGATCCAAGATCTGTCAGTACTGCGTCGAAGGAAAGTTTCGATCTTGCGAAGCAGTGGATCCAGGATTGTACCTTCAACCATATGAAATGCTCTGTTGCGGAGACCAACGCCACATGGAAGCCGACGCACCTGCTGGATGTGACTGTACGCGGTCCGAGGGGTTCTCCCGGGGTGAAGCTTGTTGACGGCATCTTCGTCGATCGGCTGAGCGATTATGTGACTCTCAGTCACTGCTGGGGTAAGTCTAAGACAGTTCAACTGCATAAAGGCACTCTGGCGGCGTTGCGGCAAGGAGTGGGCGTTGCGAGTCTGCCAAAGACCTTTGCGGATGCCGCGATCACGGCGGAGCGACTAGGATTTCGGTACCTCTGGATTGATGCTCTTTGCATCATGCACGACAATGAGCAGGCCGTCCTGAAGGAGATTGCTCAAATGCACCGCGTCTACTCCGAAGCCGCACTCAACCTTGCTGCCGACGCGTCGAGGGAAGATACCGGCGGCTTAATATGTTCACGCAATGTGTCAGCATTGCAGCCTTGTACCGTGGAAATCAACGGTCTGGGTATTGACGACGGCATGTACAAAATCCTTCGATGCACCCTCTGGCACGATCTCGTCGATTCATCCCCCCTGAGCAAGCGAGCGTGGGCTTTCCAGGAACGATGTCTTGCCAAGCGGACATTACATTTCACGAGGAACGAGGTGCTGTGGGAATGTCAACAGATGTGTTGTTCAGAAGTGTTTCCTAAAGGACTGCCTGCCACCATGGGCACCCCTTCCACCCAAGAGTCAGCAGAGACGTTCAGCAAACGCGCCCACCATCAGCGGCACGGGACCTGGCATCAGCTAATCAAGATGTACAGCACCAAGCAACTCACCTTCAGTTCGGACAAGCTGCTCGCCATTGCTGGTCTCGCAAATCAATACATGGCGCGGAACCGTTTACACGACTACGACTACCTTGTGGGGCTGTGGAAGCCCCAACTGCCGCATGCCCTTTTATGGCGAGTCGAACAGGGTCGCAGGCCAACCAAATACCGAGCGCCGACCTGGACGTGGGCGTCGATCGACGGAGAAGTCACATACCCCGAACCGGCCCAATCGGCACGGGAGACTTGTATAGAAGTGATCGATTTGGACATGAAGTATAAACCCAACAATTTCGGGATGGTGGAAGGCGGGAAGATGAAGGTCCGAGGATTCATGGCTCGGGGACTCCTATGCAGAACACAGGACTACTGGGGCCAGACGCCCTGCGTGGTGCAATGCACCAAGGCCCAGGTCGAGCTTGAATCGGCATCCTTCGACGATCGGCTGCCCAAACTCTCCGATGCATCGGGGATGTTGACGGAGATGCTGGAAATATACCTGTTGCCCGTGATTGACGTGGTGGACCGGGTGGAAGGCCTGCTCCTCTGTGCCACCATGAAGAAGGGCGAGTTCCGACGGATTGGCGCATTCGACGTGTCAAGGTACGACCAGGTCAACTGGGATCGATTGCGAAGTGTGATGAAAGGAGATGCCGACATGCACAATTACGAAGAGCGACTGGATCACACGAACGGGTATTGGTTTGCCAGCGACTACACATACACGATCAACATCGTCTGAGGGGCGGGATCAATTGCAGCCAGCCCATCTCATCAATGCTCATTCAACGGCATTGAACTCAACGGTGTGACCTTTGTGGATGCGATGACAGCAAGAAGACCCAGACGCCGTTATCAGGGCTACGGCATGCGGGCACATACAGACACATGTAACGATATTGTCAAGAACAGAACGACTGGATGATGTGATGGAAGGCATCGAGTCATCGAGCCATGTCGTAATGATGGGATAGTGTAATGGTGACCACGATCACAGCCCTCCCTCTTGTCTGCATTCCATACCACCGTGTAGAGAGCCTTGTGTTCCCAATGCTTCTTTTCATGTTCCTCAAACCACTGCAGTGCATCAACAGCAGCAGCTTCGGAGCTCCCGATCGAATGGTTCACGCTCATGGCGAAAAGTAACCGGGGGATCCTGTCAAGTACCTGGCGGTCCTGTCTTCAATCAGCTTCAAACTTTGCAGCAAGTCACCATCCCGCGTCTGGATTCATCGATATCGGCTCGGTTGAGGACAAATTGAACAGCCTCTCACAACAGCCGTAAACCGAAGTTGGCCCCTCGCTGGGATCCATAGCGGCACGGCTCAGCTCGTCTTTCCCTGGCGCCACCAGGCCCCAGCCGAGAGGATCCTTAGGACGGGTAGGGCCCTAGTTCTGGAACTGTTGCACGGAGCAGCTCTCGTGGTAGAGTGTCATCTCTCTCGGCGTGGGTAGCCTTTGTGTGAAATGATCTCTTCTCAACTTGACGTGGAGCCTACTACCTACCTATCTTTAGCTCTTGAGGCTGAAATACATGGGGCAGCTGATACCTTAGAGACGGGAGTCAACATCAAGAAGCTGCTATTGAATCTTGGCTTTGAGCCTAGGGAGGGGGAGAGGGGGTTTTCCCTACCAACAACTCCTTTACTCGGGATCGCAGTCGCTTTGAAGTCCTCATTTAGTACTGTGGTACTTTTACTAGTAGTAGTAGTAGGATTCAGGCTGCGCGAACCCCTGGCGCAATGACCACGCCGCCACAAATTAAGCGAGAACGCTGTTGGGTAGGTACCTTACAGGGTAAGTATATCTTGGGCGTCCTTCAAGCTTGCAGACTCTATTGCTTGTTCAGTCTTGTCTCTCGAAAATTCTTCCTAAGCTGCTCCATCCTGTTCCAACCTTCTTCGCCTTTCCTATAACAGCACCTACACGGAGTATCATTTAAAGTCGATTGCGCCGTGCCAGTATCAACAATGCTGCATCTCCGTGTCCTGGCCGTTTCCGCTGTCCTTGCTGGCATCAGCTCCGCGCAGTCACTGGCCGGGCTTCCAAGCTGTATGTAGTAGCTCCTTGCAAAAGCTCCAAAGGCTGGGCCATGGCCTTACAGAGTGAATCAATTGGATTGCTAACACTCTGCTCCCGGATACTAGGTGCTACCACTTGCGTGACCGACTCCCTGCCAGCGTCTTGCAACCTCGACCCATCATGTTAGTCTCCCTCCTCTCCCTCTCCGAATCAAGCAGTGGGAAGTAGGAAAGACAGACAAAAGGATCTCATGATCCCAAGTCATCACCTGAAGAGGAGGCTGACGTGCGTGAACGAGGACACAACAGGCATCTGCGCATCTGACTCTTTCATCAACGGCATCGCCTGTTGCGTCTTCAACGCCTGCGATACCAGTGATCAACAAGCTGCTCTGACCTATGCGCACGGCATCTGCGATCCTGTCGGTGCATCATCCCGCCTGGTACGTTCTGTTCGAAGCTGTGATATTATGATATTTTTGCCGTATCTTTTTGTTATCTTTCTTGCGGGGTGCACATTGTGGAGAGGATGGGTGGAACACTGTACCTCTCTCCATACCCACCAGGAGTTGACATAATCATGCCCGGGAGAAGGACTGGCTCCGCCGAGCTGGAGTTTTGGTTCGCGTCCAGATGTGAAAGATCTGTTCCTGTTCAAGTTTCCACACCACTCTTGCCAGCTCTATCGACCACCGAATTGCCCGAGACGACAACCCGTTCAAGTACCACCCGCTAATCATATCTCCGTATAGCCCACTTCGGCAGGCTGCTCTAGCACCTCTGGCAGCGCCAGTGCTACTGGCAGCTCCGCGGCTGCGAGCACTACCGGCAGCAGCTCCGCTAGTGCAACAGGTGCAGCGGCCTCATCGGCCTCATCGGCTTCAGAGTCGTCCTCTTCAGCTGTTGCGTCTGCTTCCTCCGCCCTCAGCAGCTTGTCCTCGTCCGTGAGTGCGTCGGCATCCAGTGCCAGCGCCAGCGCCAGCAGCGCAGCTTCCACTGCCTCGGCCGCTGTATCCAGCGCTGCTCCTGCGAGCGCTTCGTCCAGCGGTCTGGCTGGAGACCGTTTGGGCGTTCAAGGTGCCGGCATGAGTGCCGTCGGTGCTGCTTTGATGGGGTTGGCTGCCTTTTTGTAAAGGATGTTGCTCCTGGGAAAAGAGATGGGCTGAAAATATGTCAAATATTGCAGACCATTTTGCGGATGTTCTACCATCCTAAGTAACATATTGTGCAAAATTGGGATACTTAATGCCAAAGACATTGACTGGGATCCTAGAAGCAAGAGTAACTTGTCTGATGCTTTACCCCCGTTCCGCCTATGCGTAGGAGCCTTTAGTGTCAGCTTCATCTTCAGAGACGGTCATGTTATTGGACTATACTTCATATAATACCTCCGTTCCAGTTGTGTCTACGTACCCTGTATATTCTGCGTGGGGATCAAGTATACAAACTTTTGCAGGGACCTTGCTCTCCCTTTAGAAAAGACAAGGATATAGCGGCTCTTTCACGCTCCACGTCTTCCGTGGACATTGCTCATTCATCGTCCCCCTCCTGTTGCTGCTGCACCTCCCTCCTCCTGGCCAGCGCTTTCGCCACTTCCCGTCCTTCTTCCTTGAGCACCGTCCACAGATAACCCCAAAACAACATATCCAGAAACGCAGCCGTAAAAGTAGCGCGATTGGCCAGCCTAGCGAGACCGAGGAAAGACGCAGCCACACTCGCCTGCAGCTGCGACTGCGACTGCGCCGCCGAAGTCGAATAGAACACATAGATCCAGACAGCCAATACCGCCGAGCCCAGTACATGAAGACCGGTGAGTGTCAGCCAGCGCGACTGGGCGTTATAAATAGTGCTCAGTTCCTCAGCAAGACGAGAAGAAGAGGCAGAAGAAGAGCTAGAATTGGTGTTTGTATTGTCTCTCTTTGACGATGATGATGATGACGACGACGACGCCGACGCAAACCCAACAGAAGCCAGACTCAGATCTCCAGCGAACAGGAATTGCGTGACTGCATACACGACGAACATCAGCGCCAGAAGCGCGAAGAGTTCCAGTTCCGACTCCGAGTGTCCTCCAGCCCGCGCCGACGTGGTTCGCAGTAGAGACGGAGCTCGGAAACCTTTCGAGCCAGAGCTAGGACTGGCCGCGGCGTCGTCGGGGTCGTCCAGGGCGAAAGCCGCGGGGCGCACGTGCATGCTTTCGCCGAGAAGCCATATCGGCGTCGAGGAGAGGAGTTGGGCCGGCGAGGTCAGGAGGTAGTAGGATAGCGTCACGAGCGAGAGGGCATGCGTTCGGAGCAGAAGCGTCGAGGAGAGGAGTGGCATTTTTTGGGGCGGGGGAGTGGTCCAAGATCAAGAAGTGAGAGAACAAAATGTCGTGAAGTTCCGAGTTCAAGTTTGAAGTTGGAGTAAATATTTTGGTCAATACTAAGCTTCGACGAGGCTGCGGTTGGGAATCACTATTATTTTCGGTTTGGTGTTATTATTCCTTGAGACCCTTTATTAGGTTTTTCTCGATAGGTACCTGACGCAGGGAAAGCTAAGGGTACCTGGGTTAGGAATATATGTCATCGTGGATGAGAGACAGGAGGGTTTCGTCTGGAAATATGGGGTAAGGTCACTTTAATCGTTACTCTGTACAGAGTATATGATGAGCGATCCTCACTGGGATGCTGGTCCCCTTGATTTTTCCGCCGCGACTGTTCTACACTGCAGAGTAACTTATACTAATTATTGTTTGGCTACTGTGTATTGATGTACGTGGCGAGCTGCTTGGACGGAAGTGATGGAAAAGTCCTTGGCCGTCAAACGCGCGTCGCGCAATACTCACTCCGAGGTTGGCGTTAGGAGCCTCCATAGCCCCCCACCTAACTAAGTAACACATGCCTAAGGTACCTAAGGTAGGTATGATCGAAACCGACCGGAAACAACATGCGTTCGTGGCTAATTAATCACCAGGCATTGTAGGTGAGATGGCATCCGAGATCTTCCCATTCGGAACTACTAGTTTATATCAGACAGCGGACCCTCTGCTCGAAGGGACCGAAGCTATGAACATTTCAAGTTTGCCAAGGGCTCATGTGAATGGTGGTACGTCTCCCGTCTATATACGGACATACGGTAGGTACCTACCTTGGCCTCCTACCTCAGGCATCTGTTACTTGAAAAAGATGGAAGATCGGGGGCTTCCGCAATAATTCCTGGGTCCTCTTGGAAGGTACAACGCCTGGAAGAACCAGAGTCTAGACCTGCATCGTCCCACTGGCACTGGCACTGCGTCTTACAGAGCTTGTTCAGCTTGGCCGAGAGGTGCAGGTGCAGATACCACTGCAGTGCTAAGTTGCTGCACGCTGCTTGAAAGGCAGATACCAAGTATCAATGTGATGTTGGATACATTTTGTATCTTATACATGTAAACATCAATCGAGTGGCACCAACACCACTGCAAGAGCCTCAAATGGTGCCTGGTGCAGTGCTTGGTGCACGGCGTAGGATTGGCGTGTATCTTGATTGCGTGGACTTTGATGGGGGCGGTCGAGAGGACGCGCGGCGGGCGGGCTCAACACTACTGTAAACAGGCACAAGAACAAGAGGCCGATGGAGCGTTTTCTCCGCTACACTCAGTAGGCGGCCGTCGTCGTCAGCCTCAAGCAAAGGAGATGGAGAATTTGAAGCAGAGAGGATACCACTGTAGGTAGCTGTGGTAGCAGGAGTGATCAAGTAGTACGTAAGGACTACCACACTTGCTATGCCTGGACTTCAAGTACCAGGCAATAAATAATGCCCCTCAGGCAGCAAATTCCCAGCTATGGCCCTGAAACCTAGGCTTCTAGGTACAACTAGCCCTTAAGAGCTCAGACTTACGCCTCCGAGGGATCTCCTCTGCTGCCTAGACCGTACTCTGTAATACTATGATGAGCACCAAAGACACATGCTGTACAGGCTGATGGATGCTTACCTACCTATTTGGCAGGTGCAATTGACTTTAGTCTCCCTAAAACTCCGTAGTACGGTGCTGGCTTTACTAGTACAGTACGTACCTCTTCTTGACTCGCTCCCCCATACGCACCTAGTAATCGAACCACCGGACCGACAGCTCTGCAGGCGGTGGGTGCAAAGTGGCTCATACAATCCCCGTCCACGTCCACGTAGTCAATTCACTTGGGTTGCGTCTCTCATCACACTGGCACTGGCAAGTCCTCCTCGTCGCCGCCTCGTCTTTTCCACCACGCACACGCACACGCACGCCCAGACCTCTACTCGACATTGTTCCTTCCTTCTACACACCTCTTGACGACTCGGCTGCTGCGACGACTCGACAGTCTTTTGTTCATATGCCTTCAAACACCCTCTCCATAATGCTCCCGTGAATGGGCTGTCCCTTGAATCTCTCTTTGCGGCCGCATTGTGGCAAGGCACTCGACTTGGGCTGTGCTCCGCAAATTGCGCCAATCGTCACTTCCACCGCAACCGCAACCGCAAACCGCAGTTGCGATTCCATCAACGGCCACAATCCGTCCCTTGGACCGACCTGCAGTGTCGATTCTTCTTCTGTCCAGTCTGTCCGACTCCCTCCTCCTCTGGTTGACGGCGAGGAGTCAATCTCGCAGTCATGGCGGATCACTCACGGCCGCGCATTCTCGACGACGAGTTCGACTTTGACGCAGGCGACCTTACCAAACAATTCGAGCAGTTGCTGCGGACAAGAAGACTGAATGAACTCGAGGAACAAGCACGAACACCGCGCTCTGCTTCACCTCGGCTGGCACCTCAATCATCCTCGCAACAGCCCGCCTCGCCGTACCCTCCGACCCCGAACTCCACGCGCTCTTCGCGACCTTCTCAGCAACAGCCGCCCACATATACATCCTTCCGGAGCCATCCCATTGTTCCATCGCCTCCACAAGATGCTGCTTCTCTCAAATTCCGAAATCTCCTCCTCACTTTGTCCATGACGCCCACCAAATACGAAAACCCGGGCCTCCTGGACGAGGCATTGACCCATGTTCCCATCGACCGGATATACACTGAAGCCGAAGAAGAACATAATCTTATGAAGGCCATGGCGGCTTCAAAGGGTGATAATGTGAAGCCTGAATGGGGCTATCAAGACTGCGTTATCCGATCACTGCTAAGGTAGGAACTCCTCACTACTCTGGCCGTCGCGGGTTGCGTTTCTGACAATGACACTGCAGGTGGTTCAAAAGGTCCTTTTTCACCTTCGTCAATAATCCTCCATGCTCAAGATGTAATGGCGCAACTGTCCCACAGGGCCAAACTCCTCCAACCCCAGATGAGGTCGCTCGGGGAGCCACAAGAGTAGAACTTTACAGATGCACAGCTCCTGGCTGTCAGGGCTTCGAAAGGTTCCCTCGGTACTCTGATGTCTGGACGCTGCTCGAAACCCGAAGGGGTCGGGCGGGAGAATTCGCCAATTGCTTTAGCATGCTGTGTCGTGCTGCCGGTGCCAGGGTCCGCTGGGTCTGGAACAGTGAAGACCATGTGTGGACCGAAGTCTACAGCGAACATCAGCGCAGGTGGATTCACGTTGATCCATGTGAAGAGATGTGGGATAACCCCAGGGTCTACACCGAAGGTGAGCCATTTGTTAAGTGGTCTTTTGCCTTTTACAATACTGACGTCTGTTTAGGCTGGAATCGAAAGATTGCCTATTGCATTGCCTTCTCCAACGACGGCGCAACCGACGTCACTCGCCGGTATGTGCGAAATCACCGCTACAGCCTGCCTCGGACCCGGTGTTCCGAGGAAGTGCTCTTATGGATCATGCACGAGATCCGCAAAATTCGAAGAGAAAACACGGATAAATCTGTGAGACAAAAGTTGATGAGGGAGGACGAGCGAGAGGAACGAGAGCTGCGAGGCTACGTCGCCCAGTCTTTGGCAAGCGACATGCTCAGCTCCATCCCCGGTTCCGTTAATACCCAGCGGAGCGACGAGATTAAGTCTCCCGCCGACAGGCAACAGGAGGCCGCCGTTCAGTGGGCTAATCAACAGCACATGGATTTACCGCGTCGTTGACGAGAAGCTCGGTGCTTTCTTCCCACAAAACGGGGAGCAACCTCCGAAGCCGGCCGGGATTGCTCTCCGCTCTCCGACCTCTCCCTGCGCTTGCTAAACCTTGATATGTTTTGACGATACCATCTTACGAGCAATTATTTTTACATTTTGGCGCACTGCATGGCCTCAGGCGCAAAGCGAGGTTACTATGCATTTTGTATGGAGTCCAGACGACTTGAATGTGTGTGGGAACTGGAATTGGAACAAGACCTCGGATCTGGTGGGAGGCTTTCCGCACGCATGTCGGGCGTTAGTTTAGGATTGTGTTTACATGGCTGGTACTCATACGCACGTTCTACGATGGAAGTACTGTTATGCAGCAGGCAGAAGGGCACAGATCGGTCTATCACCCGCAGCAGAGACCAAGGAGGGTCGGTTGCATTTGCGGAGCAAGAGGGATTCACTGCCGCTTTCAGAGGAAGAACAAGGACGGCGGCTAGCTTGCATGCTACTGCTCGGAGACGGGCATTATATCTATTACTTGGTTGCCACGATGGAACGAGTCCATCTTGGGATTCTCGAATGGTGGTGTCGAGCATTGGATGTCATGAAGTACCTTACGTTGTTGAGATGTACGATGGGTGTTTCAGAATATCTATCCCAGAAATGATGAGATCTGTGAACAATTGACTTTCTTGGATATGCCTTTGATGTCTCTGGGACGTGATATACGCCTCCCAGTGTCAAAGTTGGTCGATCATCGTGATGCTAGATCGTCTCAAATAAGATTCGCCTCGGTCCTTCTCCTGGCGCATGATCAGGCGCAAGATGTAAGTACTGAAAGGCTATAAAGCAGAGGATATCACTTTTCGCGCGGAGAAAGCAGAAACATACGGTCCTTTAGCACACTAGCATAGCATTACTATCCATTTGGTCCACTCTCTTCGCCTGCTAGTGAGCGGGCGCAGTGGTGATCGGAAAGGTCCACGTAACGCGGTGACGGGCCGCCCGACGATGCTTACGTCGTCCTCTGGATCTCCTTCCCTGTCTGGCTCTTTTCCCCCTCGGACTATTCCACCTCGACAAACCCGTCTTGTTTCATTGGATAGTAGTCCCATGTCCATGGTGTGTAGCACCGATTAGTGACGAACTATACGATACGGTCAAATCTTCTTGAAGAAGCTGACGAGGAGCCTCTGCCGGAGTTGAGGTCGTTGTCGTCAGTCTGCCAGACCAGCGTGGCAGCGCGCCGGTCCAACGGTGCAAGGAGGCAGAAGACACGGATTGTGGCGGCAAACCCAAGATTGATGTCAACGTCAACATGACAAAGCAGGAGCTCCAGTTCGAGACCATGGTCACAATCAAGTCTCCCATTCCTGGCCCCCGTCAAATCTGGGGAGCTGGGCGACGTCGTACATGGAGCGCTCCACGATGACGACTTCGACGTTCTCGTCCGGCGATGACGGCGACGCCGAGTTTCCCAGTTTTTCAGATGGACCCGTAGATGGTGTTGTTTCATCGCGATCTGAGATGGGAGTGGGCCCAATGACGGATATACCCAGGATCGAACGATACGCGAACGTGTGCCAGTGCGAGGGTCGCGAATTGGACGCCGTCGACAGGGCAGGCTCTGTTGAGCTCAGAGCTCGAGCGTCGGTTGCGTCCGCATTGCGGCGCATGAGGGCTAGAACATCGTCGTCATTGGTCTCGTCGAGGTCCGCGTCCATCTCACTGTCACGATCGACTCCGTCGGTGTCGATGTCGATCATGTGAACGTCGTCGCCGTCGGGCTTGAATTTGAGCATTGCGCTGCCGACCCCACTCTGTCGCTCGCGTTCCGGGATCGTGTCGCCCGCTCCAGTATTACGTTTGCGCTTCTTGTTGGTCTTGTCTTTCGTGTGATCTGTCAGGAGGGAAATCTGCCCCGGCGGCTTCTCCTCCGAGCTGGACTGATCATTGGTGCCAAGGACATTCTGGTCAACCGGCTGTAACACGTCGTAGCGGCCCAGTCTTCCTGTCTTCTCGCCTGTCGCTGGCCCGTCGATGGAGTTCCTTGATACCGGTTGTAGATCTTGAGAAACGTCGAACATGAAGAGCCAGGGGGTCCCATACAGCCACAGCCTCTCCCCTCTCTTTGCTCGGTTCCGATAGTCCCAGAAATGGCCCACGACGCGATCTTTGAGCCGGGTAAAGTCGTGCGGGAGATATTTGGAGGGATTCCGTCGCGACCAATCGCTCAATTTGCAACTCAGGACATCGAATTCCACGAGCTGATGAGTGGCGGTGACGGCGATCACCTTGTGATCAGTGGCAGGAAACTCGGGTGAGACGGGGTGCGGAGTGTGGCGTGTGGCATGGAGACCCAGATTGCCGCTCGCGGGATTCGATGTCGATGTCACAGGTGAAGGGCGGAATGTCAGAATCAAGATGGAGGAGTCAAGTTGCGGGAACTCTGACCCGACCGGGTTACGAATCCATTTCTGCCCGTATATAACAGGCGAGTCGTCTTCATCTTCGTCCTCGTCTGAGGATGAAGAAGAGGATGATGACGAGCCCGTCGACTTGTCTGAGCTGTCTGATGCAGCTTCAACGTAGCCCAGATCTTCGTGACCTTCGAGAATCCATGCGTCGACTGCGCCGGACAGGTCGCCTACTGCAAGAACCCGGCTATCGTTTGAGAACGCAACCTGCGTTATGGTTTGATCATAAGCCCCGAGTGAGGACGGCGCTCTCTTTCGAGATGTGCGATACAGCTTCGCGATCTTCTCGTGGATTGAAGGGCGTTCTTTTTGATCCTCCGATACCAGAACTCTCGCAAGGGCGACCGTGTGGTCTTTCCTGATCATGTATAGCCATTTGCCATCAGGGGAGAATCCCACTCGCCTCGCGCCCAGACGAGCCATTGACGGGGCTAGGTCGACCTGTCTGGTTCGAAGGCAGAGGCGTCCAGATACCTGGGCTTTTCGCAACTGGAACAATTTGACGCTGTTGCTCGTGGCTGCCACAACAAACCTTCCGTCGTCCGAAAGTGTGGCATCCTGAAGGTTCTCGTCGTCTTGCATGACCAGTCTGGCAAGAGTCTCGTAGGACGAATCCGCAGAAGGATCGTCGTTGAAATCGTCGTCGATGCTCCTCTGTCTCCGCACATGGTAAACCACAATCTCGCGATCCCACCAGGAAATAAAGAGCCTGGCTGCTGGAGAAGAAGAGATAGGAGGCCTTTGTGACAGATGTGGCAGAGTTCGATGCAGTTCGCTTTGTGATTTGCGTATTGGGAGGACGACTGGTCTGGCATCCATGCCGCCTGAAACCAAAACACTCAATTCCTTGCTCTCGAAGCTTGCGGAGCATTTGACATCATGTTGATGGAACCTTCTGTGAGAGACCTCGGCCCATCTCATTTTCTTGGAGCCGGGGTGTGCGGCAACCGTCTTGTAAGTCACGGTTCGTCTGTCAACGCCCAGCGAGAAGATCATGTCTCCGGAAGGGCTGGTAGCAATATCGAGGATATCAGCCTTGTGGCTCTTGAGTCTTTGCACCAAAGAAAAGTTCTTCGAGTCCCATATCTTCAGTTCGCCTGAAGAATCGCCAGACACTATGGTACCATCAGGAAGGCACTTCACAGTCCATACCACAGAGTGGTTGCCGTCGACGGGTTTTCCCAGACTCATGTTGCGGAGAATTCTCCGGCTTGGGACATCGATGACTCGAATAATGCTGTCCTCATAACCAACGACCACTGTATTGCGGTCTCGCCAGGCGATGCTCAAGGCCTTCGGCTTCCTGACGGGCGGTGCTAGGAGAGTTCGTGAATAGCGCAGATCATCATCATCTGTAGAGAATAGAACGACTGTGCCATTGGAGCATCCTGCAGCCAGAAGCTGAGAAGGCGCACCATCTGCGAGTCCTTCCCCGTTATCAACATTCTCCAATTGTGGTTGTGCAGCAAAACACCAGATGTCCCCGAAATTTCCCTCCGCCCGTCTCTTGGGGGATCCTGTAGACAGGTCCCATTCAGTCACAGAGCTCGTGCCTGCTGTGCTGAATAGACGCAGTGGTCCTTGTGAATCTTTAGGGACCGGAGCATCATCGTTGAAAAGTGTGTCCTGCGTCCATGCTAATTGCTCGATCGTAGTATCTTTGCTCCCTCTGAGAGTCGTCTCCTGTACCCACAGACCGTTTCTAGGATTCCACAATTCGATGTCGCCGTTGTTGCGACCGATGGCGAGACGAAGGTCTGAAGGCGCCTTGTGCTTTGAATCGGAAGAATGAGAGAAGGCGAGTGCATTAATAGAGTGCGGCGGGTATTGCACGAAGCGGCATCGGTGAATATCCATAATGTCGGGATGAAATAGGACACACAAGCTAATTGATCATTGCCAGATACTCTTGCCGTCCATTGTCGGGATCGCGAAATCAAGGATCTTCTTCTTCTTGTGGACAGTGAGTGAGTGAGTGAGTGCCTGGTGGAAACAAACTTATGGTGCCGCCAGTTTTGCAGGCGCAGGAAAAAAAGTTACAGCCCTCGGGGTTTAGCTCTGCCAATAATAATGTCCGACCCGCCTCATTGTCGTTATCGATAAGACTCTGACTTCTGTCTGATAAAGGGCGCGGGGAGAAGAACTAACTGACTTGAACTGCCTGCGCCCCTTTTGGCTGCGATCTGCCTCGTCTGAAGAGTCAATCTACTAATCTACCTCTGCTCGGACCAGCACTGATCACGAACGACTTGGTCTCATGGCACGGCATCTCGATTACACAATCATGTTGCATGGTCTCGGCGATCTGACCCTCCCTGATCTCTCGGTCCTTCTCACTGCATGGTTTTCCAAGTAGCGACCTGCTTGTCACCTTACCCTTTCTTGCCTCTAGTCTTCTCACTCGGAGCTCGAAGGTGCACTGCACGACTGATTGCAATAGCAAGGCCCAGGCGCTTTACCGCTCTGGGATGCCTAGTGCTGGCAATAGACTACACGATAGACTCATCTGTCATCTTCGCCTCTGTCCGCATCGCCGTTGCTGTGGCCCCTCCTACCGCTTATATACCAAGAAGTGATGCGCCTTCGACACAGGAGACTCCTTGGTCTTGTGCCTCTGGTGCCTAAGGCGCCGGTCGCAAATCGGGCAGCTATCTGAAGGCTTCATTGAGGCGGTGTCATCCTCCACGGCTCATGAAATCACGGAGCCAACCTGCACATCCCACCACGACATCTCTGCCAAATAGTGAATACCTTCTGGTTTTACCTTCTAGCAGGCCTGACACGAATCATTCCAGACCTTACGGTTTGGGATGACGAAAATTGGCTAGGTACAATCATGGCTACATTAATCAATTACAATCTGTCAACTTTCAGAGACAATCCCCAACCCAACAAGCGTCGGCTTCAGGAACTGCAGCATTCAGAGGCCAGAGCTCATGCCGCCCGCGTTTCCTACTGGAGAAAACGAAAGGGTGAAGTATCCAATGGAGCCGAGAAGAAGGTAGTGAGTAGGGCAGGCGAAGAGGACGAAAATCTGAGGCCACTTTCGACAGCCTTACTTCTGACAAGGCCGCTGTCTGGTAATGGCGGTTGGGCCTTGGCTCCTCAGAGAAACTGTGTGACAGACGAGCAGAGTGCAGCCTCGGGACCTGCTTTTCTCGAGGGTCTTAGATCAGGAGTTCCGTTCAGCATTCAGTCAACCTCGACGGGCACAAGCGCGCATGAAAGCCCAATCAGCAACAGCGAGAGAAGCGCTTCCAGCTCCTACGATAGCTGGGATACCGGTGGCAAGGATGTCGATTGTCGCGATGATTCCCCCCCGTATGTGAGGCTTACTCGAGCACCAAGCTCTAGGCTTTTTGACCCACTGGATTCCTTTCCCGTCCGGCAAGGCGACGAGGTTTCCGCGGCCATGAATCATTGTACAGTCTCATATCCCTTTCCCTTGACCAAGACTGCTCTAATATTTGGCAGACGTCACTCATTGGGCTCCGTCACAGCGGCCTGGATTGAAAGACCAGACAAGAGACAACCCTCTGATCAGAGAGACGCTATCATCGGCGCTCCAGAACGTGGAGCTCTTTGAAGCCATCGTTGCGCTATGTTTGAGCTTCAAAGCAGCCGGTCAAGACTTCCACATCCGCCTGTCAAATGCTGCTTTACATCACAAAGTTCAAACACTAGCTGCAATTAGACGCAAATTGGCCTCGGGGATTGTGGACGAGGCCATCATCATGGCGACCGTCTTTCTGATGATTATTGATGTGAGTCTTGCTACTGGAGTTATCGCGGTTGTAATTAATAAGTACAGAATGTCTTCTTGGATGAACAAGCATATCAAGCACACCTCGAAGGTCTCCGCAAGATGGTCGCGGCAGGGATTTCAAGGCACGGGAGGGCGCCTGCGGCGTCTGTTCTGTCCTTTGTATCTTGGTGAGTCAAGCCCACGCATCTGCGGGCCGGTATTTAACAGCAGTGAAAAGGGCTGAATGCAATGCGCTGCTCATCTTCGAGGCCAGTATCGCCTCAAGTGACTCCACTGTCGACAGCTCAAGGTTGCAATATCCCCAAAAGCCCTTCTCGCCTTTAGTCCTCAACATGACCAAAGCCCTTACGCCTGGCTTCCAAATGATCGCCATGGATGGGCATCTATCGATACAAGCCTTACGTGCTCTTGGTAATACTGTCCGGTGGACGACTTGTGTTGATGACTTGTACGGACAGACGCCCTCACATGAGAAACAAGCGTTTCTAACAGACTTCGACCCTCGGGCAAACAATGCTAAACTCATGAGACTCTGCCGAGCTTCCCGCCACAGTCACCCCATGGAGGAAGCGACCTGCAAGGTTCTTTTCATATACCAGGCAAATCTCCTGAATTGGACCTGTCGTTGTTCGGGATACCGTCGTATTGTTGCCGAGCTTGTGGAGGCTGTTCGGTTCTGTGATACCCAAGAGGCGGGGAGTGGAGACTTTTGGAGTTGGGTAGCCCTGATCACAGCGAATGCAGCAAGGCGAGGCGGCATGTATGAACTCCAGATGGATGCCATGACCAGCTTCATGACCCTGAGAGGAGAAGCACATTCTTGGGAGCCTATTCAAGGGCTTTTGAGGCACTTTCTCATACACAGCGCTTTGGAGCGGGAATGCAGACTGTGCTGGGAAACGGCAACAGTTTCTCCCACACGGCCGCTTTGATACCGAGGATTTGCGCCATACCAAGGAGAGTGGGGAGGTCGAACATGACTCGTCGCATGTGACAGGCCATGGCTTGATACCGGGAAGTCCCTCCCGGTTAGCTCTACGATCCCGTCCGATCCGTCAAGCTTGCACTTCGCATCTTCGCCCGGCTCAAGAGCGCGCTTGCACGCCGTGTGTGCTCTGTCCGCTCTCATCGGGCGCGTATTCTGGTATCTTGGTTATAGGGATCGAACAGAACACCGGCCGAGAGGCTGGAGAGACTGGTCTCCCATCGGAAGAGCCAAGACAGGGACTAATGCATGCAAAGATGGTGTCTGGGGATACAGCTGGTCGCCTCTACGATGTACTCATCCGTCATCAATGTGCACCAAGCAGTACAGGGAAGATGAGCGTGGATCCCAGATCCTTCGACATATACGTCTTGTACTCTATATATCAGATTCAATTGATAATGACTTCTCCGCGTCTCCTCCCCGTCGGCTGCTCGGTTAATCCGACCCGAGCCAAGCCCTCTCGGTAAACCTGCCCTCCTGAAGGGCGGAGGCAGCGACCGTCGGACTTGCCCAATTCGAACGCGTTGCGGCGCGGACTCCCCAGCCGCATTTACAAGGCTCAGCACGACTCCCTTCTTCCATCACCTCTCTCCTTTCCTCGCCCTTTCCCTGTCCTCCTCGTCGTCGACAAGACCGGGCTGCTCCACTGCTGCTCTCCCAAGTTGCCGATTCCAAGACTGTATGTCATGAATCTCAACATCATTTGCCTGTAGACTCAACCGTGCACGGAAGATGAGCGAAGTCCCTAGTCCCCAGTCAGTGGCGATCCCGCCCCTCGGTTCGGCCAATACGAGGCTAACATAGAGCACAGTACTGGGGAGAAGCAGGCCAAGCGGGCATGCACAGAATGTCGGCAACAGAAAGTGCGTTCTTTGAAGTGCTCCTGGATGGGGTCTGTCCGTCAGGATATTGACACCATCACTGACTGGCCCATAGGCGAAATGCGATGCATACCTGAATCCAGGCAGTCCTTGCTCAAGATGCCGGAAGATGAATAGGGGATGCACCATCTCCGAGCCTTTCAAGCGCGAACACAAACGCAAGTATGCAGCCCTCTCTTTACTACCCCTGGTAGGAATAGGCTTTGACAAATTTCGCCTCGTATAGGCGGATGTCTGAGTTGGAGCACCAGACCGATGAACTCCAGGAGCGACTCAGGTCTTCTAGCCAGCCCGTTGCCCCGGCTTTACCAGAACATGCGTGGACTGCAGTTAACGACCATCGGACCGCTGAATCGGAAAGCCGGCTGGCCTCGGTGGCCCCGTTCTTCAGAGATGCGGCTATCGCTCCAGTCTCGTTTCGGTCGTTCTCCCAAGCACCCGAGTCCTTGCAGACTCCAGAAAGCCTCCCACATGACCAGCAGACTTCCAGGACTCTGCCTCGCAGCTTAGAGGGTTATACGATCGATGCGAAGGACATTGACGCCATGTTTCAAACGTTTGTCCTTTCTCGTCAACGCAGTTCCGTACGAGTGCTAAGCGTCCCACAGATACTTCCGCGATTATGCGAGTCTCGTGCCCGTACTTGATCCTTCCATGACCCCAAACGCGTATTATGCGCTCTCTCCCTTCCTGTTCTGGGCCATTATCGGCGTCGGCTGTCGGACCTATTACAGAAATCCGACGTTGCTAGGGGTTCTCCCTTCCAAGATCAAGAGCCTTGCACTCCTCACCATGGATTGCGTTATCACCCTTCCGATTGTGCAAGGCTATCTCCTGCTTCTATACTGGCCATTTCCCAAGTCGAACAATACGCCGGATTTTACCTTTCCTTTCAGCGCTGCCGTCTTACACATGGCAATCGCAATGGGGCTCCATTTGCCAGTGTCATCCCAAGAATTCAGCAAGGTCAGAATCCGATTGAGTGAAGACGAGAGCAAGAAACGTGCCGAGACTTGGGGCTATTGTATGCTGGCCTACCAACGGTGAGTCTAGGCTACTGTCAATTTGATACTCTTGCTGATGTCCTCGTTTAAGCTCGTGCCTCTGCAAAGGGAGTCCGGCAATACCAATCTTCGACATTCCACACGATCTTGAGCAGAGACGCACACTATTCCAGAAAATGACATCAAAGCTGAAATTCGAGCTGAAGCTACAGGACGTTGTGACGCGGAGCTGTATAGCCTTCTCGCAAAATGGACTACGCATCATGTCACCAGAACAGGAGAGATCGCTGGACGCTTTGCTCAACCTCTTTCAATCTCAGATTGCCAGTGTGGGCCTGGAATATGCATCAGGTAACGCTGGAACACCCATGTCCCCTTCGGCGGCTAACCTTTCCGAAGACATCGAACATCTTTATGTTCAGATTGCAACGCTGCACATACAATCTTTCAACCTGTACAAGTCTCCAGCCGCTCAGGATCCTACGTCGCTGTACGATCTTTGTGCATCATGCTGTCAGGTCATTGAGTCCTTTGACAATCTCGACAAGGCTGGGCAAATTTCGCTCCCTTCGTCTGGAGTGTATTTCAATTTCAGCCTAATACTACCCTGTCACATCCTCCTTCGGCTGTTGAAGACCTCCTTCTCACGATATGTTCACGTCGAGCGAGCCAAAAGCGCATTGTTCCTTGGCATCAGTCTCCACAAGCGCATGTCATTACAAAACGACGACCTACCGGCCCGGAACGGGGTAGCCTTGACCCAACTGTGGAATAGTACGAGGGTTTTCCGGAAACCTAACGGGACAGAAGCAGTTGCGCTCCGTATTCGAAGTCGCCTATGTGGGAGCATCCTCCTCGACGGGATAGTGTGGTGGAGGGAAGAATTTGGGGGTTTCATGGGGGTTTATCCACCGCCCTTAGTGGAGGGACGCAATGGTAAGAGACGTGTGAGCAGTGAATCAATGCAAAATAGACTGACGATAGCAGAAAACCCAGACGAAGGCCCGGTCAGCGGGACGGCGACTGCACTCAATGACACTGCGATGCAGACCATGGTGAAACCCGACTACACCAGTTTTCTCGACGATCCCATGTTGGCTGAATTCGGCTTCCCCATCGGCGACGAGATCTTTTCGTCAATGTGGACCGACACCACGGCTGAGACGGTGTGATGGAAAAGTTTGTACGATTGATTAATATTCCAAGTAATGACACGACACGGTCAGGGGAGCTGCCGGTGAAAGCGTATACGAGCGACGTCACAACAAAAATCGATTCTCGATCTACCAACATTGGTGGAACTCCCGACGACTAGGGTATCAATTCCTCCTTCTCATTAGCCCCTATGACCACTTGTTCTCGTATCTCCCGACCCAGACTCCCCAGCCGATGATTTTACCCCTGATCTGCTGCATCACTTCCCCCTTTGTCGCCAACGGGCTCATCTCCGCAGTATTGATTTTTTCCTTCAAGGCCACCACCTCGAAGAAGTACCGGTGCTCGCCGTGCCCGAGGACAGGCCTGGGGCCGGTATACAGCGTACCTCTTAAATTCTTCCCGAGTCGGAAGCCGCCCTTCAGCCATTTCTCTCCGCCCGCACCTTTGCCCTGGCTGGTGTCAGAATCAATGTCCTCAGGCCTAATTTCCATCTTGGTGGGCGGGATCGCGTAATACACGGCATGGGTGCCTGGTGTGGGAATAGGTGCGTCCGGATCCTCCACGAACAGAAGGTATTCCTTGATGTCGGACTGGGAAATGCCGGCGTCGCTCGCCAGCGTCCATTTCAGGTGCGGGAACTTGTTGTCGCCGAGCAAGGAGTGCTTCAGAGTCATGTGCGAGCCTGACGGTCCGACTTCGGGGGAGTCGACGTGGATGTTCTGCGGGACGTCTGTGAACAGGTCGCTTTTCGTGACGAGTTTGTCGTCGTGGCCTCGGACCCCGGAGAAGAGTTGCCCTAGACTCCATTCTATATACTTTGCGACACCCATATTGTGTTGGTCGGTTGTTGCTCGTCGATTTGCGGTTGCTGTCGAGCCGGAATTGATCGTCTCTCTTGGACTGGTTAAAGATAATCAGATCAGATTTGTTGGTTCCCACGAGACTTCTAGGTCCGGCTGTGCTGAATGAAGCTTCGATTACAATGCCCAGGAATATATGAGTTGTGGGATATCAGCTCCGATATCCTCTGTATGTGTTCTACTGCCAGTTGAAGAGTGCGCAAGAGGCCAGAGATGGGGGATGAAAAATAGATTGATGGCAGGGAGGGAGACTCGACGGCGGGGTCTGGAGTCAGGAGTATTAATTTAAACCATGTGCACTACAGAGAGGGAACCTTCCAACCCTGCTGGATAGAAATCTTATGCTATGCATCTTTTCACCTCGACCCGGGCTTTAAATCCGTCCGAAGTGCAGAATTCGTCCAACGGAGAAGAAAGCGTGGTCGGACTTTGGGGAAGGAAATACGTAGTAGGAGAAAACAAGAAGAGCCGGGACGCCCAAAACCGGCCCGTATCGAGACCGCGTGTGTGATTACCTACCTAGGTACCTACAGATAAAGGGTTTTGTTTTAAGGTGCGTACAAGCAAGTACTCTGTAGTATAGCGCCTGTTTTAATCAAGCACGTGCCGTGACCGGACCGGTCGTTGCTGATCGGTCGGGTATTATTGGTCGGTGGGCCACAGCTCAGGCCCGTTCAGGCCGGACCGGGTATCATGGCCAACGGCCATGGAACGAATGGATCACTGGCAGGATTGTTGGCTGCCGCAGGCAAACACAACAGTGTGAAATCACATAGATCGGAAGATCAAAGGTCGCTGCCATTCAGAGTACTATCTATCTATCTATCTATCTATCTACTTACCTGCCTGCCTGCCTGTCTAGGGCCAGTGACTCCCCCTGCTCATCGATCCCTCATGTCTCTCCGTTTCGAGTTCCTTCTTCGTCCCGTGGTTGGACGCTGGTAGATGTGAATGTGGATCGACCGGCGTGGCAGGGAGCGATAGTTTGATGCCCTCGTGCCGTCCGAACGACGATCCAGCTGGCACAGTGACGCTACGGACACCGATGACCGGGAGCCTTACAATGAGGCCCCCTGCGCAGATGACATAAAAATCAACGGGCGTGATTTCTGGTAGCAACACTAGTCATATATAGTTGATAGGGGCGCATCCCTCTCACTCAACATCGAGAATCTGGCACCACCGCACGTCTGAAACCGCGAAACATCGAGGCTTTTTACGAAGCAAACAAAAGTCTGAACAATCATTCTGTCCACACGACCAGAGGCACAGGTGCTGCACACTGTCAAGAAGAAAAACCACGTCCGTCCGAAAACCGAGCCATTAGGGTCGGCGGCGGTATGAGTGAAGAAGATGAAAGAAGAGGTGTAGGCGAAGTCCCCACGGAGCAGGAACCGACCCCGAGTGATGGCTCATCAACAAAGTATGAGCAACCAGACGATAACCAAGGTAGTCAAGACACCGACAGTCCGGTCGACGTCGAGCGGCAGGACAATACCGTCGCAGGGATGGCCGGGAAGGTAGAGCCTGCGGTGCCACCCAAGGCCTTTTCGGTGTGGAGTAAGAACGAAAAGAGACTCATCATTGCAACCGGCTCGCTTGCAGGATTCTTCTCGCCGCTCTCGAGCTCAATATACTTCCCGGCGCTGAACACGATAGCCGTCGCCTTGGGCGTGTCGGGATCCCAAATCAACCTGACGGTCACAACATACCTGATCTTGCAGGGGGCGGCGCCGATGGTGATCGCCGGTTTCTCGGACAGCATGGGCCGCCGGCCTGCATATGTGCTCTGCTTCACCATTTATCTGGCGGCAAACCTTGGCCTTTCGCTGCAGAACAGCTATGCGGCGTTGCTCGTTCTGCGGTGTCTGCAGAGTGCTGGGAGCAGTGGCACGGTCGCCCTGGCCAACGGGCTGGTCGGCGACACCGTGACGTCGGACGAGCGAGGTCAATATATCGCCTTTGCGTCGCTGGGAGGACTTCTGGGTCCTTCTGTGTCGCCCATCATCGGCGGTGCCATCAGCCAGTCCCTGGATTGGCACTGGATCTTTTGGTTCCTGCTCATCTTTTCGGGCGTGTTTTGCGTGCCACTGTTCCTGTTCCTTCCGGAGACATGCCGCAAAATCGTTGGCGATGGCTCCATACCTCCTCCTCCCTTGAACTGGTCTCTGACCGATGTTATCCGTCACAGGCGCCGGGAAAGACAAGGGGTGACCTACGACCCCGAGGATAGAGCAGCCTTGCTGCAGAATTACAAGTTTCGGTTTCCCAACCCCCTGCCTACCATCATGATCCTTCTCGATCCGGAATCGCTGATGATCTTGGTCGCCACTGGGTTAGCACTTGCTTGCTTCTATGCTATATCCACGGGGGCTTCTTCGTCGTTCAGGGACATCTATGGGTTCAACAACATGGAAGTCGCCCTTATGTTCATTCCGATCGGTGTGGGTGGCATAGTATCAGCGTTCTCGACGGGACGGATGATCGACTGGAATTACCGGAGGTATGCACGGAAAAAGGGTATCACAATCGTCAAGGGCGTGAGGCAAGACTTGACCGATTTCCCCATCGAAAGAGCACGTATGGAAATAGCCTTACCGTTGGTGGTTTTGTGTTCGGCGTTCGTGATAGGTTATGGGTGGACGATGGATCACAAAGTGAGCATAGCAGGTCCGGTGATCCTGCTCTTCTGTATAGGGTACACGGCGACGGCCACGTATCAAACCCTCAACGTGTTGATGACGGACATCTGGCCAGGAAACGCGGCCGCAGCGACGGCTGCCAACAACTTTGTGCGATGCGAGCTCGGTGCAGCAGCATCGGCGGCGATCGATCCCATGACCAAGGCGATGGGTCGAGGGTGGACGTATACAACGCTCGCACTGATCTACCTCGCGGCTACGCCGACCTTGCTCATTCTGATGCGTCGTGGCATCCAGATGCGCAAGGCCAAGACGGAGCGACAAGAGCGACGAAGGCTTCGGAAGAAGGAGAAGGCTGGGCAAGAGACCTGACGGGGATCGCTCAATCAAATCTTGACATAGGCGTAGAGGTTCACGAACGACAGCAGAGTATGTCACTTACCGCAGTCACACAAGCACCCAACGAATCTCCTTGACGGTGTTCCCAGATTCAAGATATTCAAATATTTGTTACTCGAGGCACCCTCCTCTTTCTTGGTCAATTCCCGTAGTGTAGCCTATACGATCTGCTCCGGAATCCTCCTGGATCACAGCACAAGTTCCACAGCACGTAGTAAGATGCGTGAGTTCCAGACAGGCGTACGCCCAATGGCCGAGAGCGCTCTCACAGGGCGTCTTTCATTTTCTTGGGCGCCGTCGTGCCATTTGCATCCTGGGGCGAGTGTCCGTTTGACACGGATGTGGTGTCTGCATATTATGATCGGTTTATCATGCCTCATAGCCGGCGTGAAAAGGTTGCTGCTAAAGGACGCGAGGAATTATCCCTCCATCCGCAGGGCGCAGAGGATCCGTCTTATTAGGTCTATTTGACCCAGAGACTTGCATTGCTTCGGTTGAACAGGACTCGTTTGAGGGACAGGTTGGCGAGGAGAATGAAGCACAGCAATGGCAGGTCATGCCTGGGTTGAGTGGGAAGGGTAGAGGGAGTGATGGCAGGGCAAAGATAGAAGAAGATAGGCGCAGGTGGACATCACGAGAAGCTAAAGGCGCAGTCTGTGACTATTGGACAAAACGCCGCAGTTTACGAATAATGCAAACTGCAGACTGCAAACTGCGCATTGCAAACTGCGCATTCATTCATTATTCACTCACGGACCTCTGCCACTGCTAGTACTCAGCGACTGTCCTCTACTGTTTAAACTGTGTTGTGATTGTGGATTATACTATCAGAAGTTCTTTAACTACGATTATGTACGTATGTGGCCTACAGAAACTACTAGGTACGTGTCTAGGTATGACCGAAGCTGGCCCGTGGCGCCTTATAGCCACCCACAACATCTGTGGGTTGTGGGTTGACGGTCACGTAAGAGGCTGCGGGCGACACTCATCACTCATCTCTCATCACTCATCATTCATCATTCATCGTGGAGGACCCTTGTCCCCTTGTCCTTTTATCGTTCATCCTGACCTTATTCTTCCTTAGTTCCATCTTCCAACCGGTTCGCTCTCGATCCGCACCCATCTTGTTCCTTTCAACCTTTCTAAACAACGGTTAAGGAGGTCCTCATGGCCATGGTCATGGCAATGGCAATGGCATAAAGCAGCTGTCAAACCTGCCGCAGTTCTCACACCCTTCATACTCTTCTCCAACAACCACCAACAACTTTGCCATCCTTGTCACCCTACAAGCTCCGACCACCTCGATTTTTGACGTCCAAGCTTACCTAATAACCGCCCTGCTTGAGCCACTGCACCAGACATTGATCTTGACTTTGTGCACACATCGTGCGCGCCCGCACCAGCCGACTCATCCGTGCCGCCAGCGTCAGACAATCTTCCAGCCTCACTTAAAAATAACGACCATCATCAGGCCAGCCGGACAACTGACGCGGCGGGAGTGACGAAGCATGGCAGAGTCCTTTTATTCTTCTTGACACTGCCTGGATCCTGCTTCTAAAACCCGCACAATGCCGTCAAGGATGCGTCCGAACCTGCTTAAGCGGGCACAAAGTTCGAACGCTCGCCAAGGGCTCAGCAATCTATTACATTCCAGAGGCAACTCGCCGCACCCGCAACCCGATACTATTTCGGGCCTGAAGGTCATCGAAGAGGAGACATTGCCCAGGTACAATGCCGAAAGCTTCTATCCTGCACGTCTGGGAGAGGTCCTGAACGACCGCTACAAACTCCTCGTAAAACTGGGCTATGGCATGACTGCCACAGTCTGGCTGGCCCACGATCTACAAGCGTAAGTATCCCCGCCTACTCGGGCAAGATGGCGCCAATCGCTTACATGTGCCACCAACAGTGCCGCAGATGCTGGGAATCGGAAATACGTGACAGTCAAAATCAACGTGAATAATTTGTCCGATGAGTTTCTCCAGGGTCGTCGTGAAATCGCGGAAAGGCTCCAGACAGCGAATCCGAACCACCCCGGCTATAACCATGTTCGATTCATGCTCGACACGTTTCGCATCAAAGGCAGACAGGGCGAGCATCTGTGTATCGTCTACGATGTTCTGCGTGAACCCATCGACATGTGCATGGAGAAATTCCCCGGGCGACGGTTCAATTCCGAGAAGCTTCGAAAGCTGTTGCCCGCCCTTCTCCTGGGCCTTGATTACATGCACAGCGAAGCACGGGTCGTGCATACTGATCTGAAAGCCGACAACATTATGATGGGGCTTGGGGACCCGTCAGTTCTCGACCGGTTTGTACAGCATGAGCTCGAGCATCCCTCGCCGCGCAAGATGCCGGACCACCACGGCCGCATCATCTATACCTCCTGCAGCGACTTTGGTGAGGCTCCTTCAGACGCGGTCATCGAGTCGGCCAAGATCACCGACATTGGCCTGGCTCAATGGGGAGACGTGAAAAACACGAGACCCATCCAGTCGAACGCGTTCATGGCCCCCGAAGTCATCCTACAGTGTGGCTGGTCCTATCCGGCCGACATCTGGAATTTGGGAGTCATGCTGTGGGACTTGTTCGAAAACTTCGGCTTATTTGACGGTATCGACACGCGGCCTGGGCATTATCGACCGGAAAAGCATCTAGGTCTCATGATCGCCCTGCTTGGGCCACCCCCCATGGAACTCCTGAAGCGGGGCGCGAAGACGTCAAACTACTTCGATGCTCAGGGACAGTTCAAGTACCCTGACTATATATCCAACGACGACCTCACCTTTGAAAGCTCCATTGTGCGCTTCAGGGGAGAAGAAAAGGAGCTGTTCATCGACTTCGCCAAGAAAATGATCACTTGGCTACCGGAGGACCGGTGGACCGCGAAGCAACTGCTCCAGCACCCCTACCTGACCAAAGAGCGGGAATATATCCCCACCCCGGCCTTGAGCCGAGCGTCAACAGAGACATTCGGCTCCCTGATGCCGTCACGCGTCGGAACCCCTGGGCCTTCAGCACATCCGTTATCGTCATGCATCCAAGTGTCAACTCCCCCGGAGGAGCCGCCTGCTCACACCTCTCCGACCGACCCGCGCGGTGCTCCGCTGCAGAAAGCCGTTTCCATCCCCCGTTCCCATATGACGACCTTGCCGTATCAGCTGAAGAAAACAGACTCGGTTCTGAGCGAGAGCGCAAAGTCTACTGTTCCACAGTCGAACAAGTCTTCGCAGGACCTTATCGACTCGATCCTTAAAAGGGGAAAAGCAAATCAACCTAAGCCCGCGGAGCCGAATTGAGAGTCCGCGTGAAGCATTTAGCATCTCAGGGCAGTACCGCCGTACAAGGGTTACTGGGCTTGGGTCTTGGGTCTCATTTGCTTTCAGCTGTGCATTATGATCCGCGCATGGAGTCCGTGGAATTGGCCAAAATGGTTATTTGGGGCCAGGCTTCTCTGTCGACAGCCACTATGGGAAGGGTTATGGGCCAGAGAAAATGGGAGGTGCCGGCCTCATGCTCGTTCGCAGGCAGATACGATGCCATAATTCAGTTTCTTCACCTTTCGCTCGATGATTGCCTTTCTTCTCTTACTTCCTGACCGACTAATCATGTTCTCCCAGTCGTGTTCTATATTGACATCGATGTTCTCCCTCTCCTCATCTCCTCTACTCCCTGGACCTTGGTCTTTCGTTTTCTACTAACGCGCCCTAGTCGTCAAACTCTGCCTAGTCATATTCTAACTGGAACCCAAACGATCAAAATGACTGCCTTACTCACTATTCAAACAGTTCGAGTTCGCTTTCTCTCCTCAAGAGTCTGTGCACAGGCAACATATCGAAGCGTTTCTTTGCCGCCGGGGGTTGAATGGAAGGCACCTTTTTACGAACAGCCTCGAGCTCTGCACCACGGTCCTGCAATTGGTATATCTCCAGCAACTGCTCGTAGATGATACCCGCGCGAGGACTATCCGGGTCAATGATCTTCTTGCATTCGACATCATCGACCAGCGCAAGACAGTCTCGCTCCGCCTCTGCAAGCTTGCCCATACGGATCTTCACATGGACAAGTCCTGACCGATTGTGAATGGAGTCGGGGTGCCGTGGAGGGATAACGTCGACCAAGCCAGTCAGCAGGGTCTCTGCTTCAGCCCATCGCTCGCAGAGGACGTAGGCACGGGCAAGATTTGATTTGGTCATGGTCATACCGACGTGCTTTTCACCCAACGTGCGTACGACTACGGGAATGATGGCCTCGAGGTTGTCGACGGCCTGTGTCGCCTTCTGTCGTTCACACAAGACTTTGGCCAAGTCGTTGATCGACCACAGAGTGTATGCATGCTCTTCTCCCAATATTTGTTTTCGGGATTCGACGACATTTGCGACCAGCCTTTCTGCAACGGCTAGCCTCATTTTCTGCGCACAGATATTCATCCCCAGTTCATTCCTTGTCATGAGCGTATCGGGGTGGTTCATCCCGAAAAGCTTCTTGCGCTTGACCAACACTCGTACGAGCAACTTGTGACTGATTTGGTGCTGGCCCATGTGTAAATAAGTCCGAGCAAGGTTGAACATTGCATTCAAGGTTCGCGGATCGTCAGGCCCCAGGATCTTGATGAGACCTCGAACCGCCCGCTCTCCGGTTCGCTTGGACAATTCCCGCAAACCGGCTAGCCACAATGTGAGGGTCAGGTCATCCAAAGCCAGACAGTATTCGATATGGGTTGGCTTCCAAGGAGGCCATAGAAGCCAATGCTTCAGAGATGGCCGCAGCCACCATCGAGTGATCAAGACGGCCCTCTGTATTGAAATAGCAGATTCCACCTCAAAGAGGTTCCAATCTGTGTGGGCCAGGCTCTGCTGGATCCTGAGCGTTTCCTCATGCCATCTGCCCAGCCTTTTCCTCCTGAGGTCCAACACGCTTTGTTGCAGAGCTCGGGCATGTTTCCATCTCCCGTTCTCGGCGTACACAGACGCGAATCTCTCAACCTCAGCAGCTCTTGACAGAGTATCTGGCAGCGTCTGACAGTGGAAGCGAAGCTCCCGTAAACAAGCGTCGATGTGAGGCAAGAGAGACCTACGAAATTGCTGTCCTGAAGCCTCTAGGTGAGGGGAGACGCAGTGGGACAAGATGGCACTTGTACAAGTTAGCCATTTCATTTGATCTGTCTCAGCCATTCTCTCTTGAGCCCATTGATGCACGACGGGATGTAGGGAACAAGTCTCGCTGTCTGGATCGTGATCGATAATAGAGTGATCATACAGTATTCGTATCGCACGCCGGAACCTAGCTTGGGCCTCTTCATCCCACGGCCCGTCCATCTGAAGAAGCCGAGGGTATGACATCTTCGTTGACGAAACGCTAGGCAAGTCGTGCCATGATCTCCGGAAAATCTTTTCTGGGATAGACTCGAAATGTAAAAAAGCGAAGATGTGCACCAACTCCACAGCATCTTGATACTCGGTGGACTGTCGTGCAGCAATTTTCTGGAAGGGTATTTCCCACGTTGTGATGGTGTCCGCATGGACAGTCCCAGACGTGTTGTGTCTACTTGTGATCAGTTTGCGATGGCCCAGGTAATGATGAAGATAGACTTCTAGTGTATAGATCTTGTTGCGAATTGTAGCTCCGGCTTGGGCCAGGGCAATAGCTAGGTAGCCCAAGCGCTGGGCGATCGCCTGTGCGAGACCTCGTCTGGTCGGATCCAGAGTCTGTGGTTCAGGTTCTGGGTACGCGGCACGCAGGAGCAGCGTGATGGCTTCCTCCGGGTCCATGCCGCTCAGTCTCATGCAACCCACGGTAGCGTACACATTGGCTCCTGGATTTCGCGTAGTTACCATAATATGGCCATTTCCTCCCGGTGGGAAGTATCGAGATATGTCCATGTCCAGCTCGTCTGCATTGTCGAAGACTAGTAACCAGGGTTTCAGACACGTCGACAGCCAATGGACGGCACTGGGTGGCGTCGACCCCTTGCCATACATCATTGCCAAAGAAGCGAGTCCAGAGTCCAATGCCTCAATGCTTGATGCGTCGATCCAAAAGACGCCCCAATAGACAGATCGGGCTTCCTCCGCGTATCTGAGGACGAATTGGGTCTTTCCGGCACCACCAAGTCCGCAGACAACAAGCACTTTGGGTTTGCGCCATGCGGGTCCTTCTTCGACTGGTCCAAGGGCCTCCCTTGCCTCCTTCGCATGCACATGTCTTCCAATGAAGAAGTTCGTTGACGCATGAGGGACGACGTACTCTCGACGTTCGGTTGCTCCACAGCCCATTGCCAGCTTTTGAGCAGGACTGCTCTGACGTTGGTTCTGCATCCTGAGCTCAGTTGCCTGTTGCTCTCTTTCAGCGGAGCGCTGAGAAAGCTCATCCCTCCACCGCGACTGAATCAAAGAGAGCGCGTCGCGCTGATACCGGATCAAGGCCGCGTGCACGACTCGATAGCCACTGTCATGCTTGCTCTTGAACTTGACCATTCCAGAATGTGTGGCCTGTATACCGCAGCGCTCGTCAATGTCCCAGGCGGGTGCCGCAGAGTCTTCATGAACAACGAAGGTTCTAATATTGCCCACAGTGGTCATGATCTCCTCCCAGAAGTTAAAAATGGTGAACCTTTTCATGACAGGTGCAAACTGGTCTGTGACTTCGGTGAGAAAGGGTGAATCTCTAAGTAGACTGTTGAGGAAGCGTCGATTGACTGTGGAGATCAGGTTGTTCGGCGCGAATAAGAAAGATTTCTCCATTCCTCGATGAGGAGTTCCCATGAACAGGATCGCAAATGTTGAGGTGTAGATTGAGCTTTCCATTTCCTTCGAACGATGTGCTGAAGCATGCACCAACGCTTTCTTAATCAGCAATCCACCGAAGCCGTGCCCTATGAAGATGAGGGGGCGCTCCATTCCATTGTCATGCCAGCGGTAGGCTGCAAGTTCCGCAACCAGGCTGGTGGCAAGTGGGAGGAGTTGGGACGCAGAGCCTTCTCCGGAAGAGATCAAACTCTGGACTGGGTAGTCGTATGCCAGTATCCTGGCGTTCTGTGCCCGGTGAGGGAACAAGTCGCGTAGCCATAATGTTCCGCTGGCTGGGTCTGTCCAGGTCTCACGGGCTTGTTCGTGGAGACCGTGGACCGCTACAATGCTGTATCACGTATTAGTTGTCTTGATCTTACGAGGCACAACACCGCCCGCTGATCTTGAGACTCACTCAACGGTAGCCTGAGCATGACTTGGCTCACTGTCGTGAGAACTAGACTCTGTGAGCTCCAAGATGCTCATGGTCTTCACTCACCGCAGTCATGGTGTTGAGCTGAGCTGAGCTGAGGTAGTAACGAAGGAGGAACAATCTCCATCTAACGCAGGATATGGACGAGTTCGAGGAGGCTCAGTAGGGTCGCCTACACATGTACTAGTACTGCACACCATGCAGCAGGCCTGGTGTGGTGGAAAGGCCGCCTAGGGTAGCCCCTGCGCCCTCGCCTATCCTTGCAAGCGACATCTTTCACCATCGCCGCATCGCGACACCCTGAGTGTGAAGGAGGCTGCGGGTTTCCAAGCTGGGCAGTTCCTGCCCAACTAGCCAGTGGTTGGTGGCAGGTAGTAGCTGATGCGTGACGAGGGATGACATTGTGACCAAACCCGTTGCTGGTTTGGAGGGTAGACAGGAAGATAAGAAAGCAGGAGATATGTCGCCCAATATTGTCCAGGTGGCCGCCCCCAACAAGATCCAGTGAATGCTGGCGTCTCTTGGGCCCTCCTGAAAGGATTATGGACGTCGCTGTATGATGCTGCCTCTCTGTGCAGGGCGTGCTGTAGGATTCCCCGACAAGAGCGTCTAAGCGTGACTGATGCACGTAAAATTAGGCTCATCCGGGTTCAACCTTAAGGTAAAAAAAAAAAGGCAGGACAGGTTTCTATCGTTCCTTCCCGCTCTCGTTATCGGGGAAGCGCCTGGCCCCTGCATCCCCGGGCGCCTAATGTCTTGTCTGTGCCTCTATGAAACTCCCTAAAATCCCTAAAATCCCTGGAAGTCCCTAACTGGCCATTTGACTCGCTTCTTGATGCAAGCCAGACTTCAATAAAGGTACGTTATCGCGAGCTATTCTTCTCGGCTTGAGAAGATGGCAAAGACGTGTTTGGTTGGGTTACATCGATGCTGGTGTCTAGAAACACCACCAGCAGTTCTTCCCATTCCGCTCTCTTTCGATGTGATTGCTTTTCAAAACCGACAACGTTGTTACCATGGAGCGCCCTCATGCCTTACTGGCAGTCTTTGTGCTAATGATCGTGATCTATATCCACGGTAGGATTGTTAAGTACCAAGAGTCTCTAGTATATCACCCCAGAGTGGAAGAGTCCGAGGGTATTAACGGGTTACCAGGAGTACAAGCAACTTGCAGATCAGCATGGCTGTCTTCCACCGCCGAGGCTGCAGAATCAACGGCCCTGGGGCATCGACCGCCTCGAGCAGATATTCCGGGCGAACGCGGAGTCCAGGCTCATGGAACTTTTCCTGTTTCATTTCCAGCAAACTGGGAATCCTCTCGAGCAGGTGTTTCTAGGAACCAAAGCTTTTGGAACCATTGAACCGGCTAATCTGGAAGCGATGCTGGCCACCAACTTCAAAGGTGACCCGGTTTCCCCCTATCGTGCAATTCCAATTGACTGGAGCCCTAGATTACAGTATGGGACCAAGGCGGGACATTACGCTCCCCATGTTTGGAGATGGCATCTTTACCCAGGAGGGTGCGGCCTGGAAACATTCGCGGGATCTGCTCAGGCCACAGTTCGTCCACAAGCAGTACGAGGATCTGACGGTGTTTCGCGAGGCGGTGGATGACCTCCTAGATGCTATCCCTCACTCGGAAGGTGTCGTTGATCTCCAGCCCTTATTCTTTCGGTTGACCCTCGACACCACTACCGCATTTCTCTTCGGTGAATCTGTGCGAAGCCTGAGAGCACCCGATAAGGTTGGCGAGCAGACATTTGCCGATGCCTTCAATATCGCGCAAGAATATGTGGCGAAACGATTTCGACTCCTGGATCTCTACTGGCTAATTGGAGGGAGGAAGTTCCAGGAAGCATGCGATAATGTACACAAATTTGCAGACCAAATCATCGAGCGGAAGCTCCAGACGAAGGAAAACGGCGCGGGTCATGAAGGAGGATACACGTTCTTGGGCGCCGTTTCCAAGGAGATCCCGGATCGACATGCTCTTCGAAGCCAGATCATAAACATCCTGGTTGCTGGTCGAGATACTACGGCTTGCCTCCTCTCCTGGACATTGTATGTTCCCTTAAGGTGCCTCAAATCCTCCATTCTCAGCTGACGATGCTATGCAGCTTCACTTTGGTCCGGTATCCTAGAGTCCTTGCCAAATTGCGCGAAGAGATCGCCTTGGCTTGTGAAGGGAAGTCGCAGCTCAATAGGAACGATCTGCGAAACATGGCCTATCTTCAAAATGTGATCCGAGAGAGTAAGCTCGCAGGCCTTATCCTCCAGGGCCAGCACCGAGGCCACCAAAAAGCCACTGAGCTGACCTATTGTAGCTCTGCGGCTTTACCCATCGGTCCCATTCAATACCCGCACAGCGACAAAGACGACCATCTTACCCACTGGTGGTGGGCCGGACCGCACATCTCCCGTTCTCATTCCCAATGGCTCGGCTGTGGCGTACAGTGTCTATTCAATGCACCGTCGTCCGGATCTCTAAGGAATGGACGCAGAGATCTTCCGTCCTGAAAGATGGGACGAGGAGATGCCATTATATCACGATTCAACAAATGCCAAATGGGGCTATCTACCTTTCAACGGTGGCCCCAGGATATGTTTGGGCAGTATGGTCTTGCCCCTACTCTGGATTGAATCTGTACAAGCCGTATTGCTAACCATCTTCAAAGTGGACTTTGCTCTAACTGAAGCCGCATACACCATCGTTCGAATCATCCAACGATATCCCAGTCTCGGGCTGCCCAAGAGCGAAGTAGTCGAGCTGACTGGGGTTGAGAAACAGACAATGACGCTAGTAATGTTTATTGCCGAAGGATGTAAAGTTGACTTGTACTCTTGAACATCACCCACCAAACCACAACCTGGAACCGTTTCGTACTGGAAAGTCCTTCTAGGTTCCTCCGACGGGCTCTTCTCTGCTAAGTACCTATAAACAATTCAGCAGCCTCATTTGTCCGCATCGACCTCAACAACGAGTCTGTGTGGATCCATCTCTGCGCGACAACATATGACGCTTCTTCGGAATAGCGCATCAGGGCCGCAACGACGACTCGATATCCGGGGGATGTTCGGGATTCGAATCTGCACAGATTGCGATGATCATACGGTAGTCCACAGCGCTCCGTACCGTCAAGAATGGGAGCAGCGGAAGACTCGGTGACAATCTGCCCAGGGTTATTGACCTGCAGGTGGCGACACGAAAGGAAACGATTCAAAAGGTGGTTTCGTACATACATAATCATTCGTGACATGCAGATCTGTCTTCTCCTGCTCCCAGAAGAAGTAAATGCGGAACTTCTTCATCAGGGGTACAAACAAGTCGGTGATGTTTTTCAATGCCTCAGAGCCGGGCTTCAGGGCTTCTAGAAGTTGGCCATCGGTGTCACAGAGCTTAGAAGGAACCATCACGTCCACGATCCGGCGGGTGGAAGAAGCGATACCGGCTTTGGTGCTTCCATCGTGTGGGGTTCCCAGAAACAACAGGCCGAAAGTGGAAACGTAGATGGAATGCATATTCTGAATGGACTTTGCTGTCCGACTCTGTGAGAGGATGATGGCCTATTTTTTCGCCATTCAACCAATGTTCAGATGGATCAAAGAGGAAAGGACAGACACACTCGCTTCACAATGATTCCGCCCAATGAGTGGCAGACGAAAATCAGTGGGCGCCGGCTAGCATTTTCCAACTAGACGCCGGCAACATTTTTTGTTAATGACGGTTGGCCTTGGAACCAGTTGTTTGGCTGTACCGAACTCACCTGACGATCGGCGATCAGCTCTGCGACGAGAGTATGGGCATGCTCCAAGATGCGATCGGACGAGGTTCTGCCGAAGAGCTCAGTCACGGAGGCATTATAGCTGTACGTCAGAACACGGGCTTGGGGCAGGTTGGATGGTAACATGTCAGGTTCTCGTAGCCAACACCGCCCCGTCTTTGAGGTCGTCCAAGACATGAGAGCGTCGCCGTTCAGTCCATGTACTGCGACGATACTGTAGGCACGTTAGCGGACGGCAGGACGGCAGCATGCAAAGCATGGGAGCCTCACTCCACGATGGGGTTTTCTCCCCTGTAGAGTTCAGTCAGCGCTGGATGTCGTGACATGTTGGAGTCCTCGTAGATCCGGTGACTCGAATCAGGCTTCTTCCAAGGCATCTGTCATAAAGAATCGGCAACAGCAGACAGAAAAGAAAAGGATCTCAAAAAAGGGTCAAAGACTCGTCCTGCAAAATGGCGAGCAAAGACACAGAAATCATGGGAGAGAGGAGAGAGGAGAGAGGAGGGAAGACATAGGCCTGTCCTAGCCTTTCGAACACGCCCAGGTAGAGGCGGCCCAAGAGATAACCCACAGCCACGCCCGAGGCTGAGCATGGCCATCTGCAGTCTCCGGCGCTTACTAGGAAGTACAGACCGTCGAATATGGGCTCAGTCTGCGCGTTTCGTCTGGCGGTGTCTGTGGACATGGCTGCATCACAATATCTGTGAGAGGCGTGATTCCTGTCAAGCGCTTGCTGGAGCCTAGAGAGCCTTGCCGCCGTAGACCACATCCATCATAAGCTTCTTCAACAAAACCGCTTAAAGCATCGGCAAATGTCTGCTCGCCGACCATGTTGGGTGCTTCTTAGATAAGGGCGTGAAGCACCATGTAGTCCCATTGCTGGTGGGACCAATAGCCTTCCTGGGAAATTCTTCACCTATAAGACTCCCTTTCAGACCTAGATCATAGGTGCCTATGTAATTGAAGACGCCGGGCCTCAGAAGCGGTGGTCAGGGGTTTCCACGCACAACTTGTGTAAGGATGGAGAGTGCCGATAGGCACGATGGGAATTCCAGTCTCATGTGCCTGAAAATTTAACCTACTGTTGATCTTGTTTTATCATGCCGCGACGCCTGCAGTACAGGGAAGGGCATATGGTCAAGGCCGGGTGCCAAAACAAATGGCGGTTATCTCACCCGGGTGTTTCTGGTCAGGACTCGTCGTCCAGGTTCCTAACCATTCGAAGGGCGATGCCGAACAGGTCCAAGGGATCTGATAATATAAGTAGGCAGGTAGCTAGTCAGATATTGATGCCGGTGGGTTGAACGTTGTGGCAGCCAGCCAGTGAGTGAGTGAGTGACGGACGGGAGGTGCCGCCTCCACTCGTACATCATGACCCTTCGTACAACCAGCTTGGCCCACTAGTGACAGCCGATCATGATCAAAGTTCGACGTCTTGCTTCTTCGTATCAACCTCTCATCAATCCATGTTCGATCTGTTCCTCTTCCTCTCCATCCCACTCGGCCTACGCCGGGTCTCATCCGGCTGTGCAATTGGCCAGAGTCTGCGACGGAGATCCAGTCGCACATGGACCCTGTCCTCTACGCGTGTCACAGCCTCGATTTGATGTTTTCATACTAGGGAGTCCCCGCCACCGCTGCCTACATAATGTACGAGGCTGCTATGATGGCCGGTTAACACCAAGGTTGAGATATTCCTCGTCTAGATGCTATAAAGCCTGCCTTCGTCCCCAGATCAAATGTCCAGTTATCATTCTTCATCATCAGAACACAGCCGAAGCCAACACAACCCATCTTCCTTGCGAAAAGCATCCCTTATCAGTCTTGATCCCTTTCCTGATTCATTCGATTCCAACGCAAACTACCCATCTTCACAGACATCAAGAGCAAGATGTCCGGCATCATCGTCGAACCCGTTAACGCCTCCCAGCCTGATCTGGGAGCAGTGCTGAGCAACATCGACCTGGACAACCTGTCTGACGCCGGCTTCAAAGTCCTCCGAGATGCGCTGTACACTCACAACGTGATCTGCCTCAAAGGACAATCCAAGCTCACACCCCAAGCGCAAGCCGAGCTGACCCGGCGCTTCGACCCGGAAGCCATGTCCTACGGCCACGGCAAGACGATTGACGCGAAGCGGTCGATTCTGCACCCGGACCTGAAGACGATCCCGCACCAGCCAGAAGTTCAGGTGATCGGCAACGGCTTCGTCGCCGAGTACGAAGGGCTGAAGAACATCACGCTGCGCCACCCGCACCACCGGACGTTCCACAAGACCGTGATCCCCGACGACCAGGATCTCGACCACACGCGCTTCTACCGCTGGCACATCGACGCCGCGCTGTACGGCAAGCTGCACCCGCCGCTGGTGACGTCGTTGCTGGCCGTCAAGGTCCCCGGCGGCCGGACCCAGACTCTCCTCTACGACGATGGGAGCAACGACACGCTCCAGGTCCCGCTGGGCACGACGGCCTTTGTGTCGGGCTACACCATGTTCGACCGCCTCAGCCCCGAGCAGAAGGAGTTCGTGTTGACCTCCAAGATCGAGTACGCGCCGCATCCGTACGTCTGGATCTCGACGGCAAAGTCGCGCCCAGACGGGCTCGGCATGGTCTCCGAGGGCAAGGAGGTGCCTCTACAGTCGCTCCCTCCCATCGAAAATTCCGCCGACATCCAGATCCTGCCTATGGTCTGGCAGAACCCCGTCACCGGCCGCTTTGCGCTGCAGATCCACCCTTCCGTCGTGCGCAAGATCCATCTCCGCGATGGCCGCGTCATTGACGACCTCGCCGAGGTCCGCGAAATTGTGCACTCCTTGCAGCGACCTGGCATCGCTCCGGACCTGGTCTACGCTCATGACTGGCAGGAAGGCGATCTGGTGCTATTCAACAACCATGGCGTCTTGCATAGCGTCGTCGGCGCTTTCGCCGAAGACGAGGTCCGGCTCTTCCGTCAGTGCAACCTGGCTGCGAGTCGACCGCCGATTGGGCCCGGAAGCGAAGTGCTGGTCAACTAAGAGGCTTGTTCCTCGGACCATCGAGCACCACTGTCGCATTCGAGAAGTCGAGGCTACGACTGCATTTGTGCAATCAATCTCGCTGCCACCATTGGTGAGCCTTTCATTATGCGAGGCACGCGGATATGACATCTTATGAACTCTACGTTGTCTATTGGAATTGGGCGTCACTTCTTATATCTTGCTTTTGTTTGTTTGATTATCATGTATTATGGGCGAAAATATTACTGAGTTGGAAGGCAAATGGGATAAGCTAGTGGTTTGGACCGCCAAAAAAGTACTTAGACAGCAGGCGACAAAATATAGCGGAATTTCCAGACAAAGATCAATGCTACAAAAGACAAGTAAACGGGATGACTCGTAAATCTCCTGCTTATATCTGAACCATTCAAGACCCAGACATTCGACCTTCTCCCAAGATCCTATACCTGCCAACACTGTCTCCAAAAAGGTTAAGACAGTTCGTATGTTGAAATGGCAAGCTGCCTGCTACATGCAGATCAGTAAATCGGCCACAAAGAATACAATAATCCCCTTTCCTATGTCCCCGTTTTGCAGACTAGTGGGTGGGTCGGTAACGCTCCGCTCATCAGTTCAAAACTTGTACACCCCGGGAGCCCACTCTCCCTCTCCTTTCTCCTCAGCCTCGATGCTCTCCATGATTCTCTTCTTGATGACCTCTGTCGAAGGAGGGCCTGCGCCAGCTGGGGTCTTGCTGGTATCGGCGACGAAAAATGGCACCGCCTTGACAGCCTCAACGGCGGCGCGGATCCGTTGGAACTCCTCTGGCGAGTAACCCCCGCCTACTATGATCAAGCCCACGTCCGATCTGTTGGAGCCTTCGGCATTGGTACCGAGTCCGGAAGAAGGCGCGCTCACGCTGCCTTTGAGAAGGGCTGGTATCTCCATCACGGCGGCATCGACCGTGGTGCAAGCAAGAACAACTGTTGCCCCAAGTCAGTGGGCACAGAGAATGGACAAGGAAAATATCCCTTGCAACATCATAGGGCAAAAGAAGACGATTTTGTGGAAAATGAGGCTCACCTTCGATCTTTGGCAACAGGTTTTTGACCATATACTCGACATGGTGAGGCACTCTGCCACAAAGAACGGCAGCAACAGGGGCCATTGTGACTGTCAGATCTGTGATCGTCCAAAGCGGATCTGTCCGAGGGTTTGAGGCTAAACTAGTGCAGACGATGGTTAGTACGGGGTTCCGGGAAGAGAGGTATCGCGGACTACCTGGATTTCGATCTTGTGGTTACCGATTTGAGCTGTTGGATAGAGATCTTGTGCGTTGGATAGTCCTAGTCCAGATATATGGGAGGAATTGCAACAAACAAAGGAAGACTCTTTGGGCTTTCGGGTCAACAGTGGAGTGCGGCAGGAATCAAGCGACTGGTGGTTGGCGGGGAAGCAAGAGAAATGTCGACGCGGGTCGGCGAAACCCTCAGGAGGTTCCGTGTTTCAGTAGAGTATCCGGGGAAACTCTATCCTCGAATGGCTGGGAAGAAGTTCGGGAGCAGGGTCAATTGAAGCCTGCGGGTGTTAGACGGACAACAGGCATTATATGACAGAATTTCCCCCAAGCACAGTCTGTCGTGGGCAACCAGAGTGAGACAAGAAGCTCTTCAACCTTGTTGCTTGTACCAGACCTGCCGCGTCATGCACAAGAGCGGCTGATTGCATCCCGATTGCACGTTTAACAGCGGGGGAATGGGCCGTATTTAATACAGGGCTTGATTGTCTCCAGGGAGACCGGGCGTGAGGAGCGCATCTTACCAAACGCAAACCTCCTCCATACCCACGAAGTCGCAGGTTGCCCGTGGAGAAAACCCCGGGGCATAGAACAGTTATGGCCAGGCATGTCTGTTATTAGCCAGATGGACCTCATCCAAACTCACTCTGGCTTCAGCTCCAAAGATACCTGGGGGCAGAGAACTGAACCTGGCAGCAGCCATAAGAGATACTTTTGGCACAGAAAGTGGTCTCCCGCAGAGCAATCGCCCTGGGTAGAAAGAAGTAAGGGAATCCACTGCAGAAGCTTGAGGCACAAAGCCGAAGCATATGCGGTACGGTCGAGGGATAACGCTCTCCAACCTGTGGCCGCGTGGGAACGTATGTGTTGCTTCCTTCTGCATGACTTTCCCGGAGCGATAGGGAGCAACAGTTGTTGTTAGATCTCCTTCTCTTGGCCTTATCTTGGGATGAAGCCATCCGGAGAGAGGGTGGCAGCTTCAGTCTTCTGGTATGAAAATAGTATTTGACATCGCAAAAATGCGGCGGTGGCTGGGAAGGCGGAAAGTACGCCGATATCCATCGAACTCAAGGTAGGAACCTCGAGGAGAATCTGGTCACAATGGCGGTCGATCTGACGGCCCTGCAGGACAGCCTATAGACACCTAAATGTCGGTGTACTCAAGTAGGCATCACCACCACTGCTGCAAGGGCCCTTCGCTTCGAGACCGATGAATGACTGTTTGTCAGTACGTGGCGAGTCGGAGAACTCTCATGCATGGTACTTCAGGGATGGCACCCGTGGCTGTACGTACGTGATCTGTGACGGACATCGTCCGGCGTTACGACAAGGGCGCGGCTTCAGCATGTCGTTGCTATAGGATGCATCAGACAATGCCAGCTGCGTGGCAGCTACCTTTTCAAGGTGAAAGGGTCAGATGTGGGTGTGGGAAGGAGGCAGTCGCCACAGTAAGTGCCGGCCTGCGCTCCCTGCAATAAACACGCTACCGGCCTGCAGTCCGCCAAGGTGATCTTCCAATGGAGAATATTTTCAGGTATGTAGTGGCACAGATGGGAAGACCTAGATGGATAAGGAGCTTCATGGTCAAAAGTCTCTCTCTACCTAAGGTACCTACCTTCCCTAAGGTGGTCACCGGCTCGTTGCTCGATGCCTTGCGGCTCCATCTTTTCTGCCGGGGCGCGCCAGCTAAATAAACGGCAACGTACAGTAGCTGGCAGTTAAGCCGTCGCCTCACCCGCCATCCTTGATTGGAGTAGTGGGCAGTGCAGATCGCACTGGGGTGCAGGCAGTCAATCATTGGTCGCTTCGCAGGATGATCTTGATGCCTTGAGATGTTCCGGGCCGGATGATGATCATCAGGTTGCTCGAGGTCAACGTGAAGCTGAAGGAATTCTAGTAGTAGTGAAATGCCACATCTATCTGTACGTACGGAAGAAGCACTTCGAGAAGTCTGCACGATTAGCTGGAGAGGAAAAGGCAACGATCGAAATGTTCATCGGACGGAGGCATAGATGCAGAGATCCACTTCAGGGATATTCCTTCATTGTTCTATCGATAGGCTGATGATAACCACGATAAGACACACCTGGCAAGCTGGATACCTAAGTTCCGCAAGAACGCCAGAAGCTCGTATCAGGTACACCACGCAAGACTTGCATCCTCCTCTTCTGTCTCATCATGTTGTGACAATGCCAGTGATGATGGCTTCGGGGTAGGTGGTGTGTGAGAGTAGCCAGCACCCCGAACACAGATAGTACAAAGTTCCCAGAACCACTCCGACGGGTTCATAACAACCAAGATAACCAAGCGAGTGCCGGTCGTCCTTGCTCTTCAATAGTCGCGGAGATTTCTTCGTTTGTCCCAGATATGATAACAACCGTGATCGAACTCCATGCAAAGTCATTGATATCTATTCCCTAAAACTCCAAAATTGGGTATCATAATTCCTAGCTCCATTGCCCATGTTCAAAATCATACAGATGTCCACGTTGTCGTTCACTTCCACCTGTTGGAGGCCATGCCAGATGTGCGTACAGGATCATCTCGAGTGGTAGTGTGGTGGTGGATGATGACAACTTCACGCTTTGGTGCCGGTCGAGGGTCTTTGCGGTTGCGTTCCTCTCGCCGTGAGTCGTGGTATACTCTCTCTGCGCCGCTGCTGGAGCCAGAGGAGCTGTGATAGTGAGGCATGCTGGTGATCGTGGAGCGGTGTTAAAGGGAAGACGGGGCTTTGCGAGGGCTGGTGTATATCGTCCGAGTATAGTTTGTTCGGTGAATTGTTCCAAGCAGCCTTGCTGTCGGACAGAAGGATCTTATAGTCAGAGTGTCCAAAGTGAAACGTGTGATGACCCCCCAGAAGCAAGGCTTAGGGTGCTGTGGCGATGTTCTAAAAGTGGTGATGGCAATGATAGGATGGTGGGGGCGGCTTCCGAAGAATGTTACAAAGGGATTGAGGGATTTTGTCACCGATGTGATGATGTATGGCGTGTGAGCTGTGTCTTGGATTGATAGTGTTCTCTGTTGAATGCTGTAGAGCAGTAGGAAGTGAATTGAAAAGGGAACCGGACTGCTTTATAGAGTACAATGAGGGATGGTCAACGTGGTAGAAGTCAGGCTCAGCAGATGGAAGCCTGGTAAGGCATCAGGCAGATGGGAGGCTAGCACCAGGCAACTGGAACTAAGGCTCGGATGTGACTCAGATGACGAGTGAGAGAAACGAAATAGGGCCAGGTAACTGTGAAGCGTGTGCGGGAGCCCTACGACGCCCAGCATCGGCAGTCAGGGCGCGGTGGAATGGGTTCAAGTTGTTGAAGGGTGGAAACAGAGGAAGGCTGTGGGATTGCAATACGGGCGAATGCCAGTGGGGAATGTCAGGCAGCAAAAACCATCCCCCTGGAACCGTAGCAGGAATTCACCAGAGTCATCGTAGTTAGGAGTGTGGAATCATCATTGGGCAGACGATGATTGATCATCGTAGCCTGTAGTCGTAGTGACAGTCGCAGGAGCCGCGATCATGCCTTGGTAAGAGTAGCAAAGCCGGCCTGAAGAAAGGAGAAAAGGTAAAAGATTCAAAGAAAAGGGGATGACGTGAACGCGCAGGCCAGACGAATAGAAAGCCTGATATTAATACGACCACTGCATCCAGGCGCGGAATTGGGCATGTTGAGTCAACAAGCAACCTGAACCGTGACCACCTGCAGTGGCAGTTACAGAGTCAGGAACGCTTCATGGTAGGCGTTCTTTCCAGGCGTTGTCTGAGCAAAAGGTACGCGTCAAACCCACCACATCGAGCACTCCACGATCAACCCTCATCAGCTCGCCAAAGCCTATCATAGAGCTCCTGTTCCTGCAGCAGACTGCTATGTTTACTGCCGTGTCCTACGTGCCTCTAGTTCGCCCGCTGCCTCTCCACTCTGGCTCTGCCTTCCAGGTGCAGGTGGTCCATCCGCCCTGCCTTGTATCTTAGCCGAAGCATTGCTGTTCTTTTGCCACCGTCGCATCGTCAACACGAACACAATCATTTGTCTCTACTTGACCGTGACAATTGCGACTTACCTACCTTAGCTACCTGACCTGCTGCGATATGACCTCCCAAGCTGCAACCACCAATTGCAATCCGCCTTGCTTTTCATGTTGGCGCCCCAGGGGAGATTGCTCAGATGACCACAGCCCATGAATCGGGGGCTGAGATTCCTCTCTGAAACCTGGCCTGGCAGTCTCCGGCTTTCTTTTACCGAACCATGCAACCCTTCCAACCCTCCCAAACGCACCGCAAACAGACGAAGCTGACCAGCCTGACAGGTGTCGCCGGTGCGACCATCCTCCAGCTGAGCCACGTTTTGAGGCCTCCTACGCACCCAACCCATCCACAGTTGACTTCCACTGGCACCAGTTAAACTCTAGCAGCGCCCCATTCTTCCTGCGCCTGCTCCTGCGCCACATCTGCTGTTATTCTCTCTGCTGTTCACTTCATCCCAGCGTCGTCTATCACTTCTTGTTAGTCAAGGCCGGTAACATGTAGCCGCAGAATATGGACCAAACAGTCAAGATACTGATTATCCGAGCAGCAATCTCAAAGCGCTCATGTCGCTTGCAGTTTGACACGCAAGTCGATGTCCAATTGCGGATGCTGACCCGTCGCAGAGTCCACCATTCTATACCGTATCCTTCACTTCAAGGCTTTTTGTGAAGTGATGCATCCTTGGAGCCACGACTCTGCAGAAGCCCTTCTGCTGTGTCGATCATCCACGGGTGGGCAAAAATGAGGCGAAACACTGGAGCTCAACTGCAGCTGGGCGTCTCAAGGTCTATACGATCACGTGGATATATTCAACCCTCGACAAGGCCAGAGAGCCGGATGTAGCCGTGGCAAATGTGCCCTCAATGGGTCAGAAGAGCAAGTCGGACTAAACATGCGGCTACCCATGTCCCCTTGGTCCAACATCGTGATTGACTGCGATCGACGAGTACTGAAATCGCTTTCGTGCCCAACGAGAGTGCAGATCATCTTCGGCGTCTGTCTGGATCGCAAACCATTTCCCCCGAGCATTGCCTCATGTGGAGTACTTCAACCTCAGCAGGCTGGCATGAAGTACTACTGTATCCATAGGCAGCTTTGAAGGGGTCCGGTGTCTGCAAGAAGCCTGAGAGAGTGATGAAAGCCACTTAGGAGGCTTCGCTATCATGTCAGATCGCCGGTTTGATGTCTTTCCCATGGTTGGCAAGCAATCTGCGATTCCCGTGACCTAGCACCGAAGGATGGAAGCTCTCGGCAGCATGCATGGTGGGAGACCAGGGCGCATCATTGTACGTGCCTAGGTAGTGTGATGATTGTCCTTGGTGCCCCGGAGGGTTGCCTCCCGCGTGAAACAAGATGAGGCGAGGTGGGTCAGCTGCCGATAGAAGACGCACCTACAATATTCTGCCATACCTTGTTCTTCCGGATTGAAAAGAGCATGCACTGTTTGCCTTTGGTTGCCTTTTTCAGTTTTGAGAGCAGGCGGACGACTCTCTCTCATTTAGGTCGCGAGGACAAAAGGGATTCATTAGCAGAGCAGAAAGACCTCACGTACATAGAACTGAATCCCCTTTTGCCATTCGTTTTGCAGAACCCATTTTAAGTTGATGGTTCTATTGATTACAATCTTGTAGTAACTACGGACAGCACCCGAAAAGTGTCCCTCGGGTAAATGACCCTGCCGCCCCATGCATTGAGATCAAAAGAATGAATGGCGAAGAGCTCGAGGGAGAATAACCTGAGCCCTATCCGGTTTGCGTACAGTTTTGATGCTTCCCCAACGCCCTTATGCATGCGACTTATCCCGTTGCTACCATAATATGCCGTACAAAGCCCTCTGGGGCACCCGAATCATTCGCGCTTCCCGTTAAACAACCAGACATGCTCAGAGGAGAGCGACCACGCCCAGCAACAGGCTGCCCATGACTCCGGCTGCGGGAACAACATAACCAGTAGCGACTCCATTCCCACTTGCACTGGTGGCGGCGGCGGATGCACTGCTTGCGGCGGACGAGGTGACACTTCCAAGTGTACCAGTGGCAGAAGTGTAGAAGGAGGTTGCTGCTGCGCCGGCACTGCTCGCGATGCTGGTTTCACGCGAGCTGGCACTGGCCAGGACACTGCTGATGCGGCTTGAGAGACTGCTCTGGGCGGAGGGAGCGGCGGTGGCGGCCTCGGATGACAGACTGGAAACCACGGAACCGGCATCGGAAGCGACGGAGGCGGCGTCCGAGGTCACCTGGGAGACGATGGAGCTCACGCCCGAGGGGACAGCGCTGGCGATGGACGTGGCTAATGAGGCGGCGGATGTAGCGACCGAAGCTCCGAACGAGGTGGCATCTGAAGCAATGGAGCCAGCCACCGAAGTTGCGTCCCCTCCGACCGAGGTCACGTCTGACGCGATCGAGGCTGCCACCGACGTTACGTCGCCAGCGACCGAAGTGGCACCGGAGATGGCGGAATCAATGGCAGAGCCGACGTCCTGGGCGGAGACGGCAGCGACGAGAGCCAGGAGGAGGGACTTGGAGAAATGCATCGTGAGTGAGGGTGGTGTCAACGAAGTGTGAATGAGCGATGTGTGTGTGTGTGTGTGTGTGTGTGTGTGTGTGTGTGTGTTTCGAGGTTGAGGATACTAGTAGGTGAGAGAGGTTGCGTCGTCGATCGTATGTACGTCTTGGAGTGAGTGTGTTGGCTGGATGGAGAGAAGAGTCGAGAGACGATCGAGGCTTTTAGGATCGAAGAGCGGTGGGTAAGTGGAATGAGAGAGAAACAGAGAGAGAGAGTAAGCTGGTGGAAAACGACGGAAGAGACTTGTTTTATGTCTTTTTGCAGCTGCCTAATATGCCGGGCTGGGAGGAAGGTGAAACTTCGATCGTCAGTGCCAATAACAACAACAACGATGATGATGATGATGCACGATGGATGCACAAGAACCAGACGCAGAACCTTGGATAATGTTAAAAAGGGGGCGATGATCCTCCAAACGCTACAGTAGTACAGTGGCAGGCTAATCATCAGCCACGATCACGACGTGCGACAGTGGCGGCTTCCCAGCGTCCAAGCCTTGCGGCGGGTACATGTACCTTCAGGTACTACTACTGTGTTTGCTAGGCACCAAGTGCTACCAGTAATGTACCCCGGAGGACCACGGAAGTACCGAAACTGGTGGCAGGGCTTCTAGGGCCGCCCAGCACTGCAAGTCATCATGGAACGACATAACCAGTGGCCCAGCCTTGCCTGGATGTGACTGCTACTACGTATAGTTTGGTACGTACACCCGATCTTCGTGGCTGGGATCAAAGACCAAATGTACCGAAAACTGGTACGTGTCAAAGACTAAGCTTTGACCACTGACACCAACACAGCCACAGCCACATCCAATGCAGTGCAGGCATTTATTCACGTCAGTTAGGTAAGTTTTTGTGCCTTCAGGTACCCAACACTAGTACAGTACGCTGAAAATGTACCCTAAGGACCCCGCGGCAGTGCCGTGGAACCCCTAAACCTTCCCTATAAGCATGGCTGGCAGCAGCAGCAGCCACAGGCCGCGCAAGCCGCCGCGCAAGTCCGGCATCTATTTCTGGAGCAGGAACATCAACATGAACAGGTACCTGAGGTACTTTATGACCAACTTGAACATAAGAACAGCCCCATCTCCGATCTTGCTATTGTGATATATTCTTCAAAAATTGATGATGCCATGCTGTTGGCATGCCTTTCGGAAGTACTAGTACTACAGTGACAGAGATCCTCAGATGAAAATGATTTCATGTTTGATGAGGCCGCTGTCATCACCTGATTCTCCCTCTACCACTACAGAGTACTCGACCTACTACTAGTACCAGTACCTGGGTGTCCAAAGGTAGCACTGTCGTGATTGAGCTGACTTGGTGTGCATGACTGTACCTTATTCAACGCCATCTCTCTGTTGTTTCTTTCCTTTATTCTTGGTGCAGATAACCGATCATTAAAGCAGACACCCACTGGCATCTTCTCAAGATAAGAACAGCCACCAGCCACCGGCCATTAACCACGTTGGAACCAGCTGCTAAAATTAAAGACGCACCGAGCAATCCGAGTCTTCCAGAAAACCCGCTTGCATCCACTGGCATGTAGGAAAGCTTTCCTTCTAAAAAGCTTCGCTCACGCTCCAGTCATCTCTTACAAACACTAGATTGTGTCAGCCAAAGTACGTAGCACTACTATGTGCTGTGGTACTGGATAGCTGGAAGAACTTTGTTCACGTTTCCGTTCCCGCTGTCGGATTCCGTCGCCTCGAGTCTCTATCCCTCCGCTTCACAGCGCACATCCAACGCCGGAAAGCGTCTGCAGGAATTCCATCGTTAGCCAACTGACTAACCGCGACGTTACGCCAGCCAACATTCCAGCTGTCCTCGGATCCAATGGCGGGCTTAAGCGACCCGGAGTGACTGACCGATCGCCATCAACATAACACAGCCTTATGGGTGCCCGCAGCCTATACGATGCGGATACGCGGAGCGACTCTCGACATGGGTCGCAGGAGGGAGGCAGTGAGCGGACCGAATCAAGAGCCCCTTCGCACGTACACGTACACGGACATGGACACGGCTCCAAGACCAGCCATGTGCTCGTGCCCACCATACTCGACTCGCATCGCCGCGACCTTTTCGCTTCCTACCCGGCCATGGGGGGACGGCACTCCATGCAAAGCGTGGACGAGTGTAAGGCTGCGCCCGACCCCTTTCCACGTCTCGCAATTCTCCCCCATTCACACTTGGCACAGATGTGTATATCCAGCGGAACGAAGAGCTCCTGCTCAAGATCCGCCCTGACGTCCAGCATCCCGTGCTGTCGGTCCTCTTCCCAATGTCGATGCAGGACCCCGGCCTGTTCAAGTGTTTCCTGGTCGGAGCCCAGAGTCTGTACGAGTGGCGGCGCTTCCCACAGCAGGCGAAACCGTCCCAGACCATGATGCGCCTCCAGAGCGAAGCAATCTCGTCGCTGCAGAAACGTCTGACCTTGCCCGCCGCCCATTTGGACGACGGTCTGGTGATATCAGTCCTGCACCTCATGGTTGCCGACGTGAGTTCTCTCCAAAAGTCCTCCCTCCAAATATCCCGTGTCTGTCTGACAGCATCCCCAGGCATGTCTACGCGACCTTCCGTCGTTGAAGTCTCATCTAGGGGGTATAAGACAGATAATAGCTCTGCGCGGTGGACTCGGGAGTTCCCCTTCACACCTTGCAATACGCGCTCTCCTTACGACGTAAGTCTCCCATCTCCTGGTCCGGAATCTGTTCTGTCACAATCACCCCCCGTCTAAACACCCATTCAGAGTCGAATTCTACATTGCCCTAGGCCAGTATCTGCGGGTCAGTCCCGACGACCCGGTCGCTGTGCCGAGCGTGCGCATCCAATACGTCCCGCACCCTTTCCCACCAGACGTATGTCGCTACATCTCCAAGCTCCCCGTCGGGCTCGCGGAAGCCGCGCTCTCCGGTCGGCTGAGCGTGCAATGCATCAAACTGCTCACGTCAGTCGCAGACTGGGCACCCTTGGTCGATGACCCGCAGTCGTCGTCCGAGCCCGACTGCGACCCGCAGATCAGATACTGCCGGCTGTTCTGTGAGCCGCGGGAATACTCCCGCAACGCCGTCATTCTGCTGCTGTCGCTGCAGCGATCCGGGATCCCGCCTGGGCTCGAACACGTCATCTGCCTCGGCCTGGCCATCACGGTGCGCCATTTGAGCGGCGAGAACCGCACCAACTTCTTCGACGGGACCACGCTGGACGCCCTGATCAGCAACGTCAAGGCCATCGACACCCCGACGCTGCCGGAGTCCGAAGTCATCATCTGGCTAGCCCTCGTCGTCAACTGGAGGACCCAGTTGGCCGGCCCGCTGGCCAACGCCGACGACCTGCTCGACTATGTCATCGACTCGTTCCCCGCCGCGCGCACCTGGAAGGCCGTCTCCGTCATCGCCCGCAAGTTCTTCTGGTTCGACCGCTTCCGTCTCGACTGGGAGAAATGCTGGCAGTGCGGCATCCAGAGGTTTCGCCAGCGTCTGATTGCTGGCAAGTGATGTTTTTGATCTCGTCAGACTATTTACAAATAAGGACGATCTACTGCCCATCGCCCGGGGCCGGGGGTCGGGAAGTCGGTGATCTCGCCTTCAACAGCGCCAACAAAGGCCGGCCAGAATTATTAACCAGTCTTGGCAATACCCAGCATGTCGGTTGAGATCGAGCTGCCCCTTGCCCTTGAACCGTGCTTCTCCTGCTCCACTAGTTGCGGACAGGGAAGTGGAAACAGAGCCTCGCGTTCGGATCGACCTTCTTCGCAATAGCTTCTCCTTCGACGGCCCGGTGTTAACACTCGATGCTGACCGGAAGGCCGGAGGATCAGTGTCACTTCGCAAGCGAGCTAATCCTCGTTCACTAGAAAGGTGGTCGATTCTGTCCTGTTTCAACCACAGTATTGCTCTGATAGCAGGTTCGCACATGGGTCATGGATCCTACGGTCCATCGTCCCTCTCCAGCTCAGAATCAAGAGCTACTGTGCTGACTGACTTATCTACGCTCTATGAGCTTGGCCTGCCGTGGTCCAGTGATTTGCCTCAAAACACCCTTGCCATACCTTTTTTTCGAGCAGATGCTCCATCGCAACTATCACGGCCGTTGCTGGCAGTTTGCTTTGCCATTAAGTGAACTGGGCATCAAAAAGTTCAGAGCCACGAGGCTGCGGAGCTTGGGCTGAGTTCTCATTCTGTCGCCTCTGGATTCAGAGGCGACGGCTATTTAAATCATATCAAAGCTAGCCCTAGCTATAGTTTGCTATACCTTCCCACCAGGACTCTTGTGCACAGACACAAGAACGCGCCGCGATCATTCAATGCGCCAAAGGCTGACTACCCCTGCATGATAGCCCGATGGCAGTCCGGCACAGCACCCTTCCATCTCTGCCGTCGTACATGAACACGACGTGGAGTGAGGTGGAAGATAAACAACAATAGTGGTATCTCAGCACAATCAACAAGACCGAAATCAAACTCAAATCCAAACTCCACCAGGGTTGGAAACCCTACAGCAAACCCTAATCATAGCCCGATGGGTCCTGCACCTTGCTCCAGCGCTAAAATGCATTGGTTAGTTTCGTGGGTATTGTGATGAAGGAGATGGTGAAGATCAGAACTCGCGGCACAATCATGCCAGCTGATTCAGATCGTTATCCAATGCCGCAATTGAGGAAGTTTCATCAGGGGCTCCATTTTGGATATTATATTTTGCGCCGGCAGAGTAAAGAAACTTGCCGTGAGGCAACATCTTGAGGAGGAAATGCGTAGGAGAGTCGTGTCGTTTTTGGCTCCATTGAGAACCGATCTGTATGTACAACGCCAGAGGCATCGACGGCCGGCTCAAATTGGACGGGCGTCGTTCTTCTTCATGGCCTTGGCAAGCATCAGCTTCCTCATCCATTCGACACGCTCCTTGGAGCTGTCCACGGCAAAGTGGTGGGACTTGCTCTTGTCAAAGAGCTTCCGACTCGGGGCCGGTTTCTCGTCGGGAAGCAGGGAAAAAGCGAACGTCTGCTCCCTGGATGGCATTTTGTTCTGACCAAGGAGGCTCTTCTTGAACGCGGCGCTCAGCTTCGAACCTGAAGCCTGGGAGTAGGCGTGCAGGGTATACTCATCCACATCGATGGCCTCGATCGGGGTGGCGTTGGCGTAGTGTGTCTCGTGCATAGTGAGCTTAGTGCCGACCAAGGTGCAATAATTGTCCTGCCACTCGTGGCGGAACATGCGAGTTGTCCGACGCTTGCGCAGCCATCCCTGGTGGTTGTCGAGGTCAAACTCGGTCACTCTCCTAGAATCTCGCTCAATGGCTTGAGAGTCGTTCTCCTTGACCGGCGCCACCGATGGAGTGAAGGAGACTTGTCGGAAGTGCCGCCGAGAATGGCATGGTGCCGATGGAGGAGGGGAGTGCTGAGCGGATTTACAACGTTGAATGGGTTCAGTGTTGGTCGTATCGGCTGCAACGCCGTAGCGCATCTCCGGAGGGACTGACTGGGAGACATCCCGTTGACAAGGATCGATGGCCACCACGGTCACGGGTAGATCTGTGGCGGACATGGGAGTGTCAATCCGGTAAATGTCGGCTGGGGAGGCGACGCCGCCATAGTGATATGGGTCCCGTTGCAGTTGCGTTTTGAGATGTGCCTGTATTTGAGTGGGCTGCTGGAGAGCAGAAATGGGTGTTCTTAACGGGCTGTCCTCCTGACTTTCGCACACGGGGATCGTGAGCCTGGGTAGTTCACGAAGGTGCTCGGCAAGATGGGCAGACTTGGCGGCAAAGGAGGCCGATGACGCTGGAGGAGGGGATGGATTGGATGGCTGAGATGGAGACTGGACGTGCTGGAAGCTCAGGAATTGTCTTACGCCCTCCTGGGCATCACGGGGCTGAAGTTCGCTCAAAGTCTCGGCAGTGATCTTCAGAGCCGATGGGCCAAGGATATCTGACGATCCAACGACGGAGGGAAGGGCTTCGGAAGGTGCTTCAGATATCGGTCGGCGGGCATCTTCCTCAAATGCCCTTTGCATTCGAAGGATCCTTCGTTGTTGCTTCTGCCACTTGGGGCAGTCTTCGCCCTTGGAGCATTTGTGCTCTTTGGGAAGGACTTGCTCGATGCCCACAATGGACACGGACTCGGCAGGAGTGACAGTGTCGGGCTGACGAGCTCGGCGGCGAGAGCGAGACCGATCCACAGCCACGACTTGGCACTCATCCGAACGAGGAGTGCGTTGGAGCATGCGCGGACTTCTGGTGCGTCTTGAGGGTGTTCGAGACGGAAGGGACTCAAGCGACATGATGCTGCTGTTGCGAAGCTGATGGATGGAGCTCATGACTCGATGCCGTTTGCCAAATGAGCTGATGTCGAGTTCCTTCAGATCTTCAAATTGCAGGTCTATCAGAACGCTGCCAGAGATGTCGTGGATCAGGAACTTTTCAACTACACCAGCTTCGAAGCCGGCTTCGGCCATCCAGTCGGCAACCTGCCGGGGAGTCCAGTCCCGGACCTGAGACTCGTCGAGTTCTGCAACGGCAGTATTCAGGGCCCTGATGGACTTCGTGGCACTCTTTGGTTCTCGAACAGGGGCCAGACTGAGGAAGACGTCGTCATCGGAATTGCTGAGGAGTTCTGGGGTATGGCGGAAGAGGTGAGGCCCCTGGGGACCTACGACCGCCGACTTGTTGTCGAAGTGGAACTCGAAGCCGCCCAACCCCCCAGAACTTGGAGGCGTGAGAAGTTCTCCCTGGCTTGATAACGTGGACTGGCTGTCGTCGTCTTGGGTCCCCCATGGAGAGCCAGCCGAATCAGAGTCATCCTCATTGTCGGTATCGAATATCTCGGTAGCTTCTGACAAAGGCCGAGGAACGATTATGCGAGGTCCGAGGAACGGGAGCTTGGAAGGCTTCTCGAGCATCTCGACAGACTGTGCCTGCAGCTCTTGCAAGCGTGAAGCCCAGTCCATGATATGGCAGAAGCACAGTGTGGTTCCAAAGAGCAAAGGGCCGACGGGATGGAGAGGCAAACATGGTGGAGACGGAGGCTCGAGCGGGAACGAGGTATGTATAGAGCGTGCTGAAGGAAAACGGACGCCGGCGGTTACAAGGGACGAGGCCAGTGTGACAAGTGGAGGAGACGCAACCAGGATACGTGCATGAGGTGGCCGCAGGAAAATGGAATCGACTAGTTGTTGTCGGTATGCGTGCTGGAGATGTGAAACGCGGGCTGGACAGCCACTGAGTGTACGCAGCAGAAATGCAGGCTGGTAGAGACCGGTATAGGCTGGCGGTAAGAGAGAAGAGCATCCAATGGAGGGACATTCTATGAAAAGTACGCGCTGAGGAGGAGAAAAGACAACGATCACGACCCCGGTCAGCAGGCAGGAGTTGCAGGCAACGGCCGCCCACAGGGCAAGCGCACACTAGGACCGAAGTCAAACTTAGTCACAGGCCAAGCATCGTCAAGGACCCCTTATCCCCCGCATCTCCACCAATGATCGCTCAAGATAAGAGGATTCCAAAAATATCCTGCACTAATTCTGAGCAAGCCTAACCACAAAAGGAATAACCTGTGCCTCGGAATAGCATCCAGCGCTTCTGACTCGCTCTTTCCTGCCTGGCTCGAGCCGAGTTCCTTGCGGAAGGCCCTCCCTTCCACCCACTATCCTTCTCGCTGACCCTTGTCCGTCCCGAGCCGCTTAACTCACGAGTCCTTCTCTTACAATTGCCCTCTCACTCATTCTCTACCCAACCTCCTTGTCATCTCTGCCGTGTTTTTCTAGCTGTTCGATTTTTCTATTGGTTGAATGAAGCAACAAACCGCTCGTGTGGTGCTATTGGTAGCTCTACCTGAATTCGATTGTGAACCCTGTCGGAGATATCCCCTCCTTCCCCTGTTGATCTCATTTCCTACCTACCTACCGAGTCGCACTTCCTGCATGTGACCAAAGCTACAGTCTCCCCACAGCACTATCACAACATGAACAGGATCGGCGCAGGAATGCTATCCGCGTGTATGACTAGCACACATTGCCTAGCCCGTCTCCATCTGCAGGCGACAGTTAACGGCGACAAGCAACAAGCTTCAAGAACGAAAGCTTTTCGACTTTGCTTCCACAGCTGCGAGCTGTGCTCGCTTTCCCGTACGGCGTATTGATGCGGGGGAATTGGCAAAGATATGGCACAGCTGGACCCTGAGATATGGGCTGTCTACTTCAATTCTAGACTCGTACAGACTGCCACCACGAGTCGAGATTCGGCGGGTGGACGAAGTAGAAAGAAAGTTTCAGGGTATCAGAGTTCAAGGGAAGAACACTAGTGAGTCTCCCCTTCGCTGTATAGACTTCGGGTCGAACTTCAATGGGTCCCTCTCAGAGACGGACGCTCAACGACAGAATGTCCCACCATTGGCTACATATCAAAGGACTACAAGATGTTAGTGTGGGGAACGGGTTCATTTTTCTTGCAGTAGAGGGTGTCGAAAAGACCCTGGACTACCTTATCTAGTGCCTGCCAAGCGTGACTGAGAGTCTTGTTGATCATGATCTCTCTGTTGCCCATCAGCTAGGTGCGTCCTTCCCAAGCCAGTCGGACTCTCGCTTCTTCTCGATCTCTTTCGACTCGACTGTGATCTCGTTGTCTACCTGCATTTGCGGACCAATGTGGGAATATCAAGATGGATGTCTGAAGTCATCTGTGACGATTGCCCGTCCTCCGTCGGTTACATTGTCATGTAAAAACTACGGGCCCGATGTACTACTATGTTCATTTCGTTCCCATGTCGTACAGCATATTGACGAAAATGAAATGGCCGGAGGGTAGTTCTACTGGTGGAAGGATACAATTCTGCACATGGTGGTTACAACTTACCTCCACACATTGCTTGTCCTCACAGCGGTGAGCCCACCGCTACTCGCCGGTACCATGGTACGAGGCTGGAAGGTTACGTGGTTGTGGTACCATCGAGTCACACAACAACGAAGGTCACGAGGTATATTGTCCGATCATTGTAGAGTGGCCTGCATGGTGAGAGAAAAAGACATGTGCGAATGCGATGCAGCCCAGGTCTATCCTGGTGTCGGCTACCAGATCCAGACAATGAGGAACATGACGGGGTTGGACAACCTCACTTTACGCATAAGAGCCTGTGATAAGACCATTAAGCTAGAGACAAGTTGATTGAGAATTTGACGCTCAGCATATAAGGTCTATCACCAACGAACCGGCTCTCAAAACAGCGGCATGTAGGTTTCCGAAGAGAGGGACCGCTGGTCAGCCAGATTGGAAATGACAGCAGCGTGGCATCTGGGGTGTCGCGTGTCATGGAGACAAGTGCCTGTCACATTGATGGAGAGGAGGAAGTGATTCTCGAAATGCGTAGAATGATCACCTTTGTGACGAGAGGAAAGAATAAATGAGGAGGTTGGACCTGATGTGACGGAAACGCATTGCCCGCATAAAGACATGGTAGGGGCTCCCAGGAACGCCCATCACGTGGGACGAAGGGGGACGAAGGGAGACAGCACCTTCTTCCGGGGAGTACAATAGTGTCATGCCTCGGCAGGGTCACCATGATCGAAGTTGTGTGATAAGCGGATTCCGGTGAGGTAGGCCACTTGCCTCAAATGCACCGAGTGAGCTCCGAGCGCGGACACAGCAGTATCTTCCTGTGCTGCGTTCTTTATGTTGAGATCGGTAAGCCATCGGCCTAGACTATAGCGAGACCCATAGCGCTGTACTTCGTATGTAAGCGGGTGTTTTCAGCAGGGTCCAGCAGCATGAATGACTACCGTTCAGTGCGCCAGAAACAATGTGGTTCATCAGTTCGAGAGAGCGTTTCTATTAAAAGACCAAGTACAGTACAGAGACAAACAAGCAGTTGATGAATGCAATGCGCGCAGGGTGTGTAGAAATGTAGGCAGGTAGCTACAGCGTCAACAAGTAGTAGTAGTAGACAAGTCGAGAGAAATGAGGGGAAGTGGTGATAGAGGATACTAGAGGGTCGATAAGTGATGGTGGAGCCAGTCTGCCCGCAGTGGGACCTGGATGAGCCGCTAGTCATTCTAGTGAGTCTCCACCCAGGCTACACCCGTCCTTGGTTAGACTCTCGGAATCTTGGCGGTGCGGTTGGTGCCTGTTGCTTCCGCACCTCTCGACAAGCCAGATTGAACTTCACTCGAGCAGGGAAAGACTGGTATGCAACACTGTTCTCGACCAGGGTAGCTCGAGCACTAACCTGCCGCTCGAGACGGGCTCAACCCTGCTCCTCCAATAGACAGTCCTCCCTTCCTATCTTCTACTGCACACCATCGGTTATACCAACCCTCTCCCGACGTCCGTGATGGCCAGAACTGCTCCCCGTCCACCTGCTACCCAGGCACCCAAGCTGTCATCGTACGAAGGACAAACGTGGGCCGCGATGACAGAAGGTACAGAAGAGAGAGGAGACATTCCAGACCGTTACACCGTCGCAAGCTTCAAAATTACCGAGAAGAAATGTACAGGTCTAGGGTAACTGGTTCAACTTATGGGGAGTCGTCAACGAGTAGCAGCAAAGGGCAAGGAATTCCCCTTTTGGTGACTCGATATGTTGAGAGACCGACTACTGCATCAGACCGTCCGGTTGCCGACCAGCAGACTTCTAGGGATGCGGGCAAGCGAGACGACGAGACGGCGAGATGCCCCTCTTCGACTATCCCCTCCTCTGTCGCCATTGTCTTCGGAATTCCCAAACGAACACTGTCCCAGAAATGTACATTCAAGATTGCGTGGCTAACCGCATGGCAGTGTCAATGCGCAGACCACGCTCATGGTCAGTGGCTCCAGTGACGGTGTGCTGGTTCTTCCTTGGCAGTGGTACGTACCCAGTACAACCGCAGCCCGTTTCGTGACAAAGAAAACCAGTTGTAGCTCTCCAGTGCCACAGCATGGCTTGCACCATGACCTTAACACCACATGACCTCTCACCACGGGGGAGTTCCACCTCGGGACCATCTTGTGACAACTATGGCTTGATGTGTGATGCTGATACGCCTCAACAATATTCCCGCCCACCCTTCCGACTTGAGCAGAAAATGGCTAACTAGACCAGCCTGAACGCCGGCGGTCGTCGGGGGTTGGCAACTGATCTCCAATCGACCAGAAACAGATTCGGCCATGGCAGGAAAATCGCATGACCAGGGTATACAAAGGGACAGGGGTCGCATGCAGCCATGGGGACGGCAGCGCTAACTGACCTGCCTCCAGGACTCGTTGAAGCTCTCGAGGTCTAATCTTAGCCCCGAAGCGCCATCTCATCCCCATCCCTCCAATCACTGTCTTGACCTCCCACACTTCATGCCGATTCCTTCTGGCTTGCTGCACACTATCGATCGACCCCAATCGACCGAGAATTCGTTACCTGCCTCGAGAATAAGCCATTCGACCAACCTGCTCATTGCTCAATCATGCAATTCCCCCTCCTCGACCTTGTCGTCCACCAATGCCTGATGGGCGTTTCCAGACACACGAGATGATATTCATAGATACAACTACACCAGCATGTGCCGACCCTCCCTCTCATTCGTCCCTGAAGGCAAGAGTTGTTTCCTCCCATCTGTTCCTTTACCAAACCCAACACGGAGCCTCAATCGAGCCGCATGACATTGCTCTTCTGCAATCCAAATATAGCTCATAACGCAGACTCAAACTCTCTCATATACATCGTCCTTGGCCAATGTCGCCGTGACTTTCTTCAAGGCAGACCGTTGCCCTCGCTGTTGTCCCTCCACCTCGTCGACAAACCCTCCCCATAGACGTGCGAACACTGCTGGCCAGTATTCGCGACCACTCCCTCGTAATAGTTAACAACAGCGCGGTTCACGGGTTTCTCCTTGTTATTGTCGGGCTTGGTGTATTTGCTTTTGTCCTTGGGTTCTATGCGACAGAGAGATACTTTACATTGCGGCGTCAGACATGGTTTCTACAAACGAGAAGAAGGTTGCACCAGCCAGCAAGGACTCACCGTCGACAAAGTCCTCGAAGATGCACAGAAGGTCTAGATCTGGTAAGTCTTCGTCCCCAAGACCCCAGGACCTCCTTGTTCTGCCATCATATGTCACTGATCAACTATAAGGCTGCTTCACATGTCGCCTGAGACGCAAGAAGTGTGACGAAGGCAAACCGAAATGCAAGGCTTGCCGACATCTGGGTCTTGAGTGCGAATATAAGAGGCCGCATTGGTGGGGCAACAACGACAACCGAAGAAAGCACAAGGAACACATCAAGACTGTCATCAAGAGGACCAAGACGAGCGAGAAGAGCTTGGCTTCGCAAAGTCAATGTAAGACCAAAGCCCAAATATATCCCACCAAATCAGCGTTTGAACAGTTGTGTCTAACATCCAACCTAGATACCTTTGGCAGCACGACCCGGGACACCTCAGAGGATTCGCCGGATGACTACGACGGTGATACTGCTTTTGACCCATCGTTTGCAACCACACCTGGCATATATGACCCTTATATTGCGAATCTCTACGTGCCGCACCCAGACCACTGCCCCCAAGGCTACCCGTGGGAAGTTGACGTCAAGACTGAACGTCACACCTATGTCAACGACGAACTCACTCGTCGAGACTCGTCGATATCAACCTTTAGTACCTTCGTCCCGCCACCTGCCCAGACCACACTGCCGTCTTACACTGGAGATGACTGGGTGCAACATGACTTTTACGAGAGCCGACAGGATTCGTTCAGTGGTGAGGAGAACCTAGACTTCAACTTCTTCGACTTTTCCTCCCTCGCACAACAGCCTCGACCTCAATCTTCAACTGTCCAACTCGAAGACTGTGACCGTCCGCTTTTCGACCACTTGTTGGAAGACGTGCTGCCTCTCCTGTTTCCCGTTCTCGAGGCCAATCAACACGGCTCCGTCCGCGCAGATGTGATCCTTCCCGCCCTCGAAGACAACAAGGCATACCTACACTCTTGCCTGCTCGCTGCCGCCACACACTTGAAGGCAACTCAGCCATACTCAAGCTCCAGTACGGCCGACGACGATGCCATGCGCCACAAACTTGCCTTTGTGTCAATTGTTGTCGACGCTCTCAATAACGACACCCATCACGCAGCAATGCTAGATGCCCTACTAGGTATGATCTCGTTGCAGGGTTGCGTCGGCTCGGCCACGGATCTCGAAAAGGAGTTTCAGATTCCCTGGCACCAGCACTTCCAGGCTGCCACCGACATTGTCCAGAAGCTCGACCTGCCAACGATACTGGAAAGTCTCTGTCAGACAGGAGGTCACCCGCCGTTCAACATGACCTTGACGGCCTGGATTGATATCCTTGGAGCGACCATGCTGGGCAAAGCACCCAAGTTCTCCAACACCTACAGGAATTTGTTCTTTGCCGGCGCCACCACGGGACTGGAACAGCTGATGGGCTGCAACGACCTAGTGATGTATCTCCTGTCCGAGGTCGCCTGTCTGGACTCTCTCAAGCTCGAAGGGAAGCTGGACGACATTGGAATGTGCAGCCACATCACCTCTCTCGCCCAGACCTTGGATCAGATCGAACCCACCGAACCTCCGCAGATACCCTACTCCAAATCGGGTGCTCTTCGACCGAAGCAACTTTCGAAGAACATCACGGCGCTGTTCCGCAAAGCCGCTCGTATATACCTTTGCTCCCTGGTCCCAGACCATAGTCGCTACCAACCAGCCACGGTCAATCTCGTTGCACAAATGGCCGAGCTTCTTCAGTATATCCCCTCCGGACCCACTGGCTTTGACCGATGTCTCGTCTGGCCCCTGCTGATTGGTGGTGCGAACTCGATTCCCGCATCGCCCTTCCGCAGGGCTCTTTCGGAGCGTTGCGACATGCTAGGCGACGCGGCCGACCATGGAGCCTTTGGCCGCATGGTGCGCCTGTTGCACGAAGTCTGGAGGAGGAACGACGACATGGTCATCTCGGCTAGTGTATGTGAAGCCACACCCGTGACGGCCGGAAGCCCTGGAGGGTCGATTTCAACGCCGATCGCCGCGGGCGCAGCCACAGCTACAACCGGAGCCTCCTTGGGCAACACAGCCTCTTCGACGACGACAGTACCGAGGAACCAGAACGTCCACTGGCGGGACGTGATGCAGCAAAACGGATGGGATTTCCTCCTGATATGATGGAAGACGTTGCCAATTCATGGGAACCCGATCTCTTGACGCGTAGGTCGGTCTCGACGATCGATCTACCGAGATGGGTTTCCCTTGAATCATAACAGCAACTCCTTTGTCGGGACAAACCACACTCATTACAATCATGCTTCGTTCCTTTATCAAGGACGATTCTTTGGGTGCTTTTGGCCACCCACTTGACATTATGATATCCTACCATCTGTCCTAATCTTTTCTGGCAAAGGATTAATATCACTTTCTGCATCCTGGTCTGGACAACACAAAAATCATTTTCCTCGGAATTACCTGGCGTTTTCTAGAAGAGGCTTGAGTCACCCATTGCGGCGGTAGCAAAAGCATTGGCGACGGCGACGGCGAAGGGCGCAAAACTTGGGCATAGCAACACCAGCAGACAACGGCCACATGCCATGGTACATCAGGGATTCCGATGAACAGGCTACAACAGGGTAAGGGGCCTTTTGCCTTGGGATGAGACGACCCCTGCTCGATCAGAAAGAGGAGGATGTTATGCTCGAATCTCGATACCCAGAGCAGGAGTCCATATTCAGACTTTGTTGACGAATTTCCTTTCCACTCTCTGGATGTTGTCCCTGACACTTTTGGTAGGTGGCTCTGGGTCGGGTCTGAAGGAAGGGCGGGCCTGAACATAACTGCTTCTCTGATCTTAGCAAAGGGAGAATATGGGTCGACCGGAGCGATGAACGACGATATCCATTGCAGTTCAGAAGCTGGTTGAGTTGGTGGTGAGGTCAAGAGTAACTCCATGGACAACGGTCCCCAGTGGAACTGGCGGACGAACCTTAGTGGATATATGCTATCCACACACCGCTGTAGAAAGAAGGGTGGGAGAAACGAGTAAGAGAACCCACAGTTTGGCGCTGGAGCAAAGCGGACGAAGATAAAGACCCACGCGAAGGTGGAACATTAATTGCTTCATGACCTGAGACGAAATGCAACCAATGGGAGCGGACATAGGAGCATCGGGAGCTGAAGAATCAGAAGGATGCAAAGCGAAACTCCACGACACGAAATGCTGAGAAAACCAACAAACACACTTTCCCGCCTGGTCTCTCGGACTGTTTGGAGACCCATTGTCTTGTTCCGAAGGTTTCCTAAGCTGGCAGCTTGATGTTCTTTTGTCTTTTCTGTTCCACATCCAGGCGAGTGAGCATCATCATCCCGGATCCCTAGTTCCTGGTTTCGTCAGCTATACAACACCAGTGGCCAGCATCAGCATCAGTTAGCCTGGCCTTGGCCCAAATCGTGTTCGTGCATCTGAGGAGCTCCGTCCACAGCGGCACAAGTCCGGATCTCGGCCGTGTTAGACGGAAGCACAAGATTCCAGTATGCTATCTCAGGAAGGTGCTCCATGACATCGTAGTACGTCCTTGCCAGTGTTCCTCAGAAGTCTCTAGACTCGCCTGAACAGAACAATACAGCACAGCCATTGCGCCGGGGGACAGAGGAAGACAATGGGATGATTGACGACTTGAAAGGCAACTATGGAAATCGAGGTGGTGTTGAAATGCTCTGTGGGACAAGGCGGAGTTCGGATCGGGGGATAGCTTACCCACCCAATAACTCCCACTTGTTGAGGAATAGTGGTTTATCAGACTGTAAGAATGAAACGCGAGGTCCGAAAACGTGTGGCTTGATCAAGTCTCGAGAGAGTATCAGGGTCGTGCTTGTCTCTGACCCTACTCACACTGATGGCAGGGAAAGGCCAAGATCTGTTTGTGAGATAGCGCCCTGGGCCTGTGATCATGATCGATGACGCTGGTCCTGTTCTAGACGACAAGGCTAATCTGCACTGTCGCGGAAGACACATGACCACGAAGAGATCCGAGGGGTTGATCCTGTACCGGTATGGCGGTGGTAGACAGGGACCGGCGACTATGCTCTGCAAGAGCGGCTAGGAGCCTCAGTGAGGCGGTAGCCAGGTGTGGGTTGAGAACGGTCTTGCCAATGATTAGAGTCGACGTACTTGTTTCCCGTAAAGGTTGCTTCGATGCTGTGGCCTTGGGCCCGGTGCGCGTAGGCGATGACAGGGTGACAGTAAGCCTTCTCTGGCACGGGAGCGATTCCGCTAAGCGAAGAGACATGGATGCGATGTTCTGTCCCGTTGTGGCATGTCGGGTGAAACCGGTTTAGAGGAACGCCCAAGTCAGTTTTGTGGTGTTCATTGCGTTGGCGAAGGGCATCTTCTAATATGCGCGATCCGAGGAGGAAACACTCAGGATCGTGTCAGGTCAGAGGAGAACAACGCTGTTCTTCGACTCTCCGAGAATGTCAGATTTCCGATCACCAGAGTTGCTTGAGGTTAGCGGTTGCGGATCCGGAGGGCAATATCAGTCAGGCTAGCAAGTCGCAAAAGAGAAGCGTCTCAGGTCGTCCCGCGCCCCGACGCCACATAGATGTAGCGGCGATAGAATTATACGAGCACCGCCGTACTTGGAGGATTGACCTATAGGTGTCGTAGATTTTCCATTACTTTGCGGAGGTGCTGGTCTGGATGTGACCTCGTATACGCTGCTGTCTCAAGCGTGATGAACGACTACGTACTTCCCTGGCATATTTCCTTGAGCACCGCCGTGGTTTGACAAGGACAGCAGCCATTCGAAAAGGCAGGACTTCGTGACAGACAAATCACAGAGAGAGCAAGCTCCGCAGAGGATGTCATCGTCGTAATCACGAGCCAGCCTTTTCCCCAGCAAGGCTTCGCCACCGAGCGTGGGGTTACTGCCGCCCCGTTCGCTTCATGTTTAGAATTCCCACAACACGGGACGGGGAACCGTATTCCAACCCGGACATAGGTCAACATGCACCATAGTGAAAGGCGTCGAAGGGCCGTGAAAAATTTGATCGTACGATCAAACAATGTTCTTAAGTATCTGCTTCAGTCCAGCGTCTTTGGTTCTTCCAAGAAATGGTAGTCTGACATGCCTGACCCGATCAGATGCAGAACACCCGGATTGAGTCCTGTGTCCAGAAAACCACGCTAGGAGATTTCGAGCACTCATGGCCCAAACACTCAAGTAGGCATTTGGCTCGAGAGTCAATCAGTTCTGACGATGTGCAGGACAATCGGAGTTCAAATCGAAGGCCGCCGACCACGACGAACAGAGGAGAGTGGCATGTTGAATGTATTCGTCTATGGCGGGCAAAGCGTGCTTGATTTGATCATCCTGGAAAATGACAGGAATGGCCGAGCTGGGAAGGGGAGACTTTCCTCAGCCGGTGGAGACGAGCATCGCACGCAGGTTCAAATGGAGGATGATCTGGTTGTGGCATTAACAGAGGTCATGGACGCCCTTACCGATTCGAACATCGTACAAGACGCATTACCGTACAGAGCCCTACTGGTAGGCTGAGGGAACGACCGAGCAGAGCATGAAAAAAGCAGCATGAAGGCTTCAATGCCAATGAAAGTGGCTGAGAGTCACCCTGAGGATCAGACGGCGCGAGAGGACAAGGACCAGGAGAAAAGGAAAGGACGCGCCAAGTTGAAGTTCGTTCAAAGAAGAAGTTGAAGTTGGAAGACGAACTTGAAACTTGGAAGACAAAAGTACCGCCAAGATCCGCTAAGCAGCTAGCAACGAAGTTAAGCACATCCTAGTACGTAGTATGACAATTGCAGAAGGTACGCCGGGGACGACCGCAGCAGAAACGACGATGCCTGGTACAAATATACTACCTACTAATGTACCTAGGTACAAGGGGATCAGGAAGATAGCATTTACAGACCAGAGTCGTAGAAGACTAGAAGACTAGAAGACTACAGATCGTACAATCTTTGAAATCAAAGTCACTATACAAGCCTATCTAGGTAGATATGGCGTCTATCTTCTATTTCAGCGCGCTGTGCAACACGCAGCAATATATGCTCAACCCGGCCTTCGCTTAGGGGAAGTCTGTCCGCCTCCAAAAGTCCACGAGATGTTCGACAATCTGATCCGGCTTCGTGATAGGCACGTCATGTCTAGCGTCCAGGACGACGAATTCCACGTTACCGGAGAGCACCTCTGTCGCATCCTCCTCCAGCTCCCATCTAATAATGATCGGATCGGTCGCACCACAGACGATCAGAACTTTCTTCTGCGTGCCCTTCTCTTGATTCTGTCGACTAAGCCGATCTCCAATGATTCGCCATCGATCGTGCTGGGACCGGACTGGCCCGTATCGCATACTTGACACGTAGGCGGGGACGAAACCCGGATGAACAGTCAACTGGTCTAGGACCGCGGCTTCCACAGTGACGTGAGGACGGATCTTTGAGAGGGCGGCTTGGGAGTTGGATTCGAGGTTGACTTCGGCATGCACTGCTTCGGTTGCGTCCCCCTTCTGGCCCTTGGAGTCTCCCGCGTTGGCCGGTGTCGCCAGCGGCTGTCGAAGTCGCCTCCTGATCAAGCGCTGCAGGATCGGTTCAGGGATGATGCCTTCGGAATAGATGATTCGGCTGGTCCTGCTGATGTGGGCGGGTCTGATCAATCCTGCTGGCGCGACGAGGACCAGACTGTCCACCAGATCCGGGAAGTAAGATGTGAATGCGGCCGAGATACCTCCTCCCAGGGAATAGCCCATCAGCGAGAATTTGCCCGAGTCTTTCCCGGTCCAAGAGAGCGGCGACGATGCCAGTGCCAGCAAGATCTGCGTGGTGAAGAGCCTGGCGTCCTGCGGAAGGTCCACCGGATTGTCCGAGTAGCCTCGTCCAAACAGGTCGAAGAGCATGACGCGGCATCCGTGGTCCACGAGCCCATGGGCCACGCCGCCCAGCGAGATGGCCGGCGTGCTGATGCCATGCACGAGGAGCACCTTCCGGCCGTCTTCCGGACCGAACTCGTAGACTTTGATCGTGCCGTACGGAGTGTCGACATCCCTCGCTCCGGGAAGCACGTCCGGAGGGTACGGCAGCTGCGATTTCTCCTCCTCGGACAGTTTGGGGAGTCGAGTGGTCCGCGGCGACGGGATGATGGTTGCTTTCTTCGGTCTGCCAGCGACAACACTGCCGATGAGAGCGCCGGCCGTGAAAAGACAGCCTCCTGCGAGCAGAGCTTTCCACTCGAGGCTGCTCAAGAATACGCTGGGTTTCGAAGCCATCTTGTCTGCCGACGCCTTACCTCCTGAGCGCAAAGAGTCCCCCCAGAACTGCCTGGAAAGGCCGAAGATAACACTTCTCAACAACAGCACGCTCTTATCAAGTACTAGTGTTACGAATGACGAATCCACAATTGACTCACTGTGTTTATTAGGGCTATCGCCGGTGCCTCGGCTGACCGGGCCGAACGCCGAAGAAGCATTGATTAATCTGTCGGGCTGCCATGTCCGAGGTCAGCCTCGTCATATGTGTCCCATCTTCATAATTGATATATTGAGTTGCATAGTTCCAGACATTCATTCAGTGGCTCGATCGACTCAATTGGCAACTTTTAATGTACTTCACGGAGAACGCAAGGCCGCTGTCCTACGTGACTGAGCCAGGCCGTAACCTCACTGTCCACAGCAAACCGGCCCTTGACCAGGTCGAATGCTGCCCTGCCAGCTATTTTGAAAACACGCCTATATGTAAACCAGGGTATCAATGTACATCCATGATAAAACCACGATTGCTTTTCTGTACACCGGTAATGCATTAAAGGGAAAAGTCCAATGCTTTTCCTCCCGACTTGTCCTTCCCTTTGTTCCTCTTGCGCTTCTTCCGTTTTGATTTGGGCTTGTCCTCTTCATCGCTACTGTCTGGCACATCAGAGTCATCGCTGGCCTCATCCGAGGAGATATCGTGCTTTGCTGCTGCATTGCGACCACCTCCAGGGAGGCCCTTGGCTTCTGTCCATACCTTGACGGTTTGACCTCCTCCACTGATCATACGTCCTTCAACATCGAATCCCAGCGCCACGACTCCATCGACCTCGTCATGTTTGCCGTCCATGTCGGGCATCACTCCATTCCGGCCGACCCGCATGAAACGAACTCGGCCATCCTCGAGACCAGCAGCCACAAGTTTCTCGTTCATCTTCAGCTTCCCGCTTCCGAATCCGAAGGGCACCTCCGCCAAAGCATCGATGCTGAGGCCTCCTCGATCAACCACCAGACGCTCATCCAGGTCACCCCATACACCTCTCTCCCACAAGCTGACCACGCCGTCGCTTTGGCCGACCAGGACCTTCTCACCGACGCTGGTGCCGCCCCTCTTCAAGCCTTGGACCATGACCACACTTGTCAACTCCACTTCCTGATCCTCGCTCGTCGCAATGGTTCCCTTGCGCAGATCAGTCACTGCGAGCGTGGTGCCACCGACGCTGACCCACTGTTTTGGGAAGCCGCTGGTGCTTGTCTCACTGGCTGGCAGGGGAACAAGAGCATTGATATGTTCATTGCCATGAGGCGTCCAGGTCTGACTAGCTCTTGACACGATCTCACTACCACCCTGCCTCAAATCTTGTAGATACAGCTTCCCGGAGTCCGTGCCGAGTAGAAGCGCTTGCGGTGAGAGGGCATGTAACACCGTCGGCCCATCGAAGCCGGCCCCTTCATCGCTCGGTGGAATCACTATCTTGCTCACGACTCGGCCGCTTTCAGCAGTAAACGCCTTCACGAGACCGTCGGTCCCTGCCGAATAGCATGTTTGTCCGTCATGGCTGAATGTCAGACATCTACAGGAGCCCTTGTGTCTCCTTGTGGCCCAGACGGTGTCTATAGACCCAAGGCCGCTTTCCGAGGCGCTCGTGGTGGAGGATCTGCGCAGCAAGGCGGGCAGTCCAGTTGATTCGGTGCCATTGGTAGTGTTTGTCGACGTGGGTGGAGAGGCAGAACTGTCTTGAGATGAATCGTCCACGACATCGGTGTCAGAAGGAAGCTTGTACGCTTGCACATGCCCCGAGGATAGGCCTACTGCGAAGAGAGGTTCGGAGGGATGGATCGCTTGAGCAAAGAGGTCGGATTTGAGGGGTAAGGTGCAGATGATGTCGAGCATGGCTGAGGGAGGGCGAGGACGAGGCCTCAAGGCATGATAGTATGATGTCCGACGAGGTGCAACGTCAAGTAAGTCTCAAAGGTCGAGAGTGGTAGTGCTGGGAGCAGCAAGAATACACTGTACATGTGTGTTGCAAGGGACCATGTCATTTACTGTAATCCTGGAAAAGAAAAAAAGCCATTGTACCCTGATCATTTTTGGCGGAAGATCATTGGGGAAGCTGCAAGCAATAGTAGCGGAGGTGCTTAAGGAGCCTGCCAATCGCCGCCTGGACCGTTCAAGTTTGTGGGTGCAAACCACCGGTGGTAAGTACCTGCAGGTGGGCATATATAGGCCCCTAGGCTTATCGTTATAACTGGAAGCTTGACCTGACGCCTCGCCAGGCTAAGGCTCCTTATTAGCCCCCAAGGGTTAAGTTTCTGAGGTCTTTATCCCCCGAACCATACCGATTCATGGCTGGTGGATGCCTAACGCCAGGCACCGTCTGCTCTGTCTCGATATCTAAAGCAACCTATTCTGATGTAAGACGAACATTTTATCACAATGGCCCGTTTGCTGCCTACCGTATCGTCACTCTACATTACTTGAGTCACTCCAGCACATATCTCAAGCTCACGTTCCATCTCACAGTGATCGACCTCCTCCAGATGAAACAGCTAGAGTCTCTTCAAGATGACCTCTGCAGATATATCCGAGAGCACCACCGACCCTCACGTCGATGAGACGACGGCCTTGCTCGCTCCGCCGGCCAACGTATCAGCAGACCAGCTTGACGACAATGAACATGGAGAATTGAACAGCAAGCATGCCGACGAGGACAAGCCGCTGCCGAAGGACCAGATCTTCTTCCTTTGCTTCGCGCGTGTCGTCGAGCCCATTGCCTTTTTCTGCATCTTCCCCTTCATCAACCAGATGATCTGGGAAACGGGCGATGTTGCACAGACAGATGTTGGGTTCTACAGTGGGCTGATTGTGAGTCGTTCTGTTGATCCTTGCTACTCCAGTTCTCGTCGTTGCGCAGTCTGATCGTTCATGGGCCAGGAATCCCTCTTCTCGCTGACTCAAATGCTGCTCATGATCCCTTGGGGCCGAGCAGCGGACTACTGGGGACGAAAGCCCGTGCTGGTGTTCTCCTTGAGCGGTGTCGCCGTTGCTACTGCCGTCTTCGGCCTCAGCAAGACGATATGGCAGATGATCCTCTTCCGCTGCTTTGCGGGCACATTTGCGGGCACTATTGTGTGAGTTCCCTCAGCCTCGTCCGGCACGCCACTCTGCGACCCCGGCCCTCCCACGGCTGACACGACGGGAACCTGTCTAGGACAATACGAACGATGATCACAGAACATAGCACGCAAAAGACTCAGGCCCGAGCATTCAGCTTCTTCGCGTTCAGCGGTAACATCGGGATCTTTCTAGGCCCATTACTCGGTACGCCTTCTTTCATCCTGCCCACCTCAACATCGACTCCAGGGTCGGGGGAATGCTCAATGTATCTGACTGGAGATGATCCAATCCACAGGTGGTGCGCTTGCCAACCCGACCACGGTATACCCGCGCGTCTTTGGCCATATCAGATTCTTTCACGACTATCCGTACGCATTGCCGACGTTTGTGACGGGCTCAATTGGGGCTATTGCCACCGTAACCAGCGCGATGTTCATCAAAGAAGTACTGCTTTCCTTGCCCCCTACCACTTTCCGACTCTCCATCATACAAACTTGAACAGCAGAAGAAGCTAACGACAGAAAATGTACCAGACACTGGTCCGTAACCCCAAGTCTTCATCCGCCCATGATCCGCCGCCCATGACGACTCTCGAACTGCTGAGGTCCCCCAACGTCCCAATCACGCTATACATCTATGCACACGTCATGATGCTGGCGTTCGCCTACACAGCCATCATCCCAGTTTTCTACTTCACGCCCGTGTCGCTGGGCGGGCTCGGCTTCTCGCCGTTCCTGATCTCCATATTCATGGGCGTTGGCGGGTTCAGCCAGGCATTGTGGCTTCTGCTCATATTCCCCTGGCTCCAAGCGCGCATTGGCACGGGAGGCGTCATGCGTCTCTGTGCCACGGCGTATCCGTTCTTCTTTGCCGTCTTACCGCTGAGCAACATCCTCCTTCGGAACCACCTGACCGCCGTCTTCTGGGTCGTGGCCCCGGTCAGCGTGGTCGTCGGCAGCGGCGTCAGCATGTCGTTCACCGCCATCCAGCTCGTTCTTAACGATGTCACTCCCAGCCCTCAGGTGCTCGGGACGCTCAATGCTATCGCCCTCACATTGGTGTCTGGAATTCGTGCCTTTTCGCCTGCCCTGTTTGCCAGCCTGTTCGCCGCCAGCGTGAGGAGCCGTATCTGGGGTGGCCATCTTATTTGGATTCCCATGCTCGCTCTGGCTTTTGGCTTTACCGTGGTCAGCCGCTGGGTGCCGGAGAAGGACAAGATTAGCAAGGATGGTGTCGAGGTGGACGACGAGTGATATTAGGCGAGTCCGCTAGTACTGCAGTCCTTGATGATGCGATTTCGACTGGGATTATCTAGATCATGCATTTCGCATAAGGCATTTGTGGCATATAGCAAGTGACATATAGAGAAATAGGCGACGCTTGCAAAGCCACTGCAACAGGTTTCTCCAGCGTTGACTCGCTAGCAGAGTACAGTACATTCAAGGATGCAGACAGTCTTGAAAAGAAGGACCTGCTTGTCTATTGTGCTCTCCTCTACCAAGGCCACTCAATTTACATGTATTTTCTATCATTGACTACAATAGGAAGAGCCAGTCTATAGGTCAGCCCGTGCAGGCTCTCCTGCCCAGGCTCTGCGGATCAGCTCACGGATGGGGCCCTTCTCCACCTTCCTTGGGTTCGGATACTGGTTGCTCACGGCAATCTCGGCGGCCTTGTCGATATCCTCTTCCTTCATGCCAAAGTCCTTCAAGGCACGCTTGACCTGGAGTTTCTCCAGCAGCAGGTTAAGCCCCTTGGTGGCATCGCCGTCACTGCCGGGCAGCACGGACGCGAGCTTGGCCATGGCATCTGGGATCGCGGGGGCATTATAGGACAGTGCATGGGGCAGCACGATGGTATGGGTCTCGGCGTGCGGCAGGTTGAACGAACCGCCCAGCGTGTGGCATAGTTTATGGTGCAGGGCCATCGACGAGGAGCCGAGGCAGACGCCGCACAGCCAGGCGCCATACTGGGCTTTCTCACGGGCGGGCTGGGAGTGCGCATCCTTGATGATCTCTGGCAGTGACTCCGCCAGAGCCTTGGTGCCCTCGAGTGCCAGCAGGGAGATGATCGGGTTCTTATTCTTCGCGTACAACGCCTCCACGGCGTGGGCGATGGCGTTGACGCCAGACGTGGCACTCAACGAGGCCGGGAGCGTCATGGTCAGGTTGACATCGTAGATGACTGTGCCTGGAAGGATCTTGGGGTCTGACCGCGTCGTCTTGCGGCCGTCCTGCGTCTCGCCGAGAATGGGCGTCATTTCACTTCCGGCGTAGGTGGTTGGAATGCAGATATGCGGCAAGCCCGTCCGGATGGAGATGGCCTTCCCCAAGCCTATTGTGGACCCTCCTCCTATTGAAACGACACAATCTGCAGATTTCTCGCGGAGGTACAACATGGCTTCCTCGGTGATGTGGGACGGGGTGTGCATGGTCGCGTTGGTGTAGGTCCCGGCCGGTTCGAGGGATGCGCCGGTCAGGATCTTCGCCAGCTCGTCCGCCTGACCAACTTGCTGAGGGGTGGACAGTAGGAGCGGTGACTTCAGGCCTAGCCGCTTGATCTCGTCGGGGAGTTTCTGGATGCTCCCTGGCCCGAAGACCACTCGGCCGGGGTTGGCGTTGTACTCGAACGGCTCCATTCCGACTAGTGGGACGACTGGGGGCGTCTTCAGGGTATATACGGACCGTAGAGATTTCTGGGGACTGCTGAAGCTGCAAGGAGCACGAAGAGAACGTTTATGAATGTCTGGTAGAACTCGAGGATGGAAGAATGGTTTCCAGCAAGCCCGGACAATGGAGGGATGGTCAAGCATTATGACCGAGGGCCCCGCATCAAGTGCCGCGACCCCCAGAAGTCGTCGGAAGCGGGTGTATTCCCGGGAATTGCACCACATGAAAACCCCCGTTTGTATCTCTGCAGTGGGTTGGTTACTTTATAGGTGTTTTTCTTCCATCAGGTTGCACTCCTTTTCTTTCCGATGCTCGGGATAACTTAAGTACTGGGTGTCCACTGAGCCTTCGACCTGTCCGTACCCTCCACAGACGCGCACGTCACTTGGCCAGCAGCAGCCAGAGATGGACCCCACTCGAGATAATCCAACTGACTGCCAACACTCCCAATGTTTGTAGCAACTGGTTCGACGCGGAGACACCATCATTATAATCTGTTAGAAATGGGACTTTGGCTTTGCCACGCCAGAAATTCCGGAGGTGCCTGCCTGCAAGTCCCAGCCCGATGGCATTGGCAGTGCTTAGCAGGAATGGAATCGAACTTTGGCCTTCAGAGGAAGAGATGACGGCGAGAGCCACGGAGGAGATGACACTGGAGATTACCTGGCCATGCGCGTCAGTTGCTTGTGATTATTGCTAATAACAATGCGTAGACTTCGTCCGGAAAGACATTGTTCGCGCGTGGTCACCTACTGCTAGAGCCCCACTAGTTTCTGTCGTCCGCGTCTTATGGAGTTGATGTTCGGCTGTATTGGAATACTGAGCTGCGTGTTCAGCTTGTTCCTCGCGTTGCTGGAGGTTGTAGATGGCCGTGGCGGAGAGCAAGCCAGCGTAGACGCTGCCGGCGCCCTGGATGGCGTGAAACAAGGTCAAACCCACAGACATGACCAACAGGGCCGGCGACAAGCCGCAGTCTCTGTCAATATAAAAGCGACTTGACTTGGCCTTCGGTCTAGAAGTCGGAGAGTATGAAGTACAACAGTATAATCGTCTCTTTTCACCTTGGTCATCGAATACCAGTAGTGATCTACCAGTTATAAACGGACTGCGTTCATTACTCGCTTCCTACATCGCATGACGTACTACATTTGGTGAAAGATTAGATTAGATCTGCAAGCCACGGCAGCCTCGTCGGCAAGCATCAGCCAATCATGATTTATCTTCCTGTGCTGAATCAGCATTTTCCCCGGCCTGCCAAGATATCCCAGTGCCATACCAAAAATTTCCGCTACGTTCGTCGCCTTAAATAGTAGTAGTACATTTGCCTCAGTGAGGCTCTGCAGCCGCTATTGTCGTCTTTCATGGTTAGAAAAGCCTGATCAGACCACTGACCGCATCATGGTGGAAGAACTTACTGCACCGCCTGTTCTGTCCACTCCTGATACTCACGTTCTAGACGAAGAACTCTCGGCCGCTGCACACCATCCAGTGGAAGCCTTGTCAGATGACCAAATCAAGACCAGATATGAAATCAACAGAACCATCGCCGAGATCAAGCAACGGAGATGGAGGCGGGTGGCGCTGCAATTCCCAGATCAGATGCTGCCCCATTCGGCTCGGGTCTATCAACTCCTGGCCAGAGGATTGCGAGAGACTACAGCCTCGCAGGACGATGCCAGAGAAGGCTCGGCGACGCTGGCAGCCGGAGTCGCTAGTCTCGCTGTCGAGGACGATAAGCCGGTGAGGCTGACCATTCTGGGCGACACCTCGTATGGCTCGTGCTGCGTGGATGAGATTGCAGCAGAACATGTCGAGGCAGACGCTGTTGTCCACTATGGCCGCGCATGCTTGTCTCCAACGGCGAGATTACCGGTTTTGCACATATTTACTACCATGGAGCTGGATCACGAGGCCGTGGTTAAGTCTTTTCGAGAATCTTTCCCGGACCTCGATGCAAAGGTGGTCTTGACTGCCGACGTACCTTACTCGGCGCATGTTGAGTCAGTCATTAAAATACTCCAGCAGCTGGGCTATACGAATGTGTTTGCAGCATCTATCGTCCACGACCCTTCATCTTCAATTCCCAACCGCACGGTGCCCGAGTCCGTGACCGATGATCCTTCGTCTCTTTCGCAATGGAGCCTGTTCCATATCTCTGAACCGCCGACATCCCTCCTCCTCACTTTGACCTCTCGTATGGCCAGTGTGAGAGTCTACCCTACCGACGCCATCAACACTGCGACCGCGGCCTCGGCCTCATCTGCACTCGAGACGTCCACGAGGTTCCTTCTCCGCCGACGCTACGCCACTGTGACTTCGCTCACCACTGTTCCTGTCTGGGGGATCCTGATCAACACGCTAAGTGTCAAGAACTACATGGACATCCTGTCCCACATACAGCGTCAGGTTGCTGCCGCAGGCAAGAAATCCTACCTCTTTGTCGTGGGCAAACTTAACCCGGCCAAGGTTGCGAATTTTTCCGAGATCGGTGGATGGATTGTCATCGGGTGTTGGGAGAGCTCTCTGGTGGACAGCAAGGAATTCTACAAGCCGATCATCACTCCATTTGAACTGGAACTGGCTTTGCAAAGCGACGACAGTCGGCTGTGGACAGGCCAGTGGCGAGCAGACTTCCAAAATGTGCTGGAAGATGCTGCAAAGCGGGCGGAACAGACAGCCACGGACCTGGAATCGAGGCCTGCGGGAGATGGATTACGGGGGATGTCTGGCGCGGAGGACCACGAGACCGAAACCCACACGGATTCCGAATCGGAGTCTGAACCGCCCGAGTTCGACCTCCGGACAGGACGCTACGTCTCGCGCTCGAGGCCGATGCAGCGCAATCGAGCGGTTTATGGTACGAATCAGCAATCAGTGCCGAGTGGCTCGGCTCCTCAATCCGGCACTCTCACCAGGCGCGGCAAGGGCGATATGATTGCTGTCAACGGCGTCGTCTCACCCGGTGCGGAGTATCTGGCGCAAAAACGCACCTGGCGTGGCCTGGGCACGGATTTCGAGGTCAGATATGAGGAAGAGGAACAGGGAGATGTTGTCGAAGAAGGTAGGACAGGCGTTGCGAGAGGATATACCGTGGGAGACTCTGTCCGGTCGTGAGGCGCTGCCTCTGGAAGAGAGCACGTCCTTGCCAGTATGAGCGATCTTGGAGAGCGTCTTCGAGCCACTGAGTGCTGGCCTCACTGGTAGCGAGAAGTCCAAATCAAAGACCAAAGCCACCACTTGGAACGGAATGTCCATCCTGCTGCTTGGGAACCCGTGCCAACCTCCACTGCCTGTGCCTGAACCCGCCGAGCCACCCTACAAAATAAGTGGCACCGCAAAATGATATAGGTACCTGCCTGGTATTTAAGCAGTCCGTAAGGTTAATACAACAGGCGTTCTCCTTCAACGTAGGTGTACCTACCGCCTATTGAATGTTTGAAGGGCGCCCCTACCAAGATCTGGCGGTGCCACTTATTTTGCAGGGTGGCTTGCCCCTTCTGTGAGAGCCGACTCTGTATAACGAGGAACTCCCTTCCTATGTTTGGGACATCCTATGGCGCGGGGTTTCACGACTTGTCGATATACTGTGGTCCAGAAGATCGAAATCTCGGTCTGCCATCCCTTCCAGCCGAGACCGGGACTTTTCCCATAGTAGTAGTTGTGCTCTGGTAGATCAAAGCACGATGCAGTGAAGAGCAAGGTTGGCGTCCAGCGTGGATGACGGGCCGGATATCGTTTGCCGGTTACGGTGCGGGGAAGGCCCAAATCCAACAGCATGATTGGCCACTGGTATTTACGTTGGGCTGACTTAGGGATTTCTCCACGTTTATGACTTCAGTTGTACTGTGCACTGCAGTGGTAGTACACGGTGTGGTAGGTAGGTACCCTGTCCTCCGTACATCATACTACCGTATGCAGGACTGCAAGTGGGATCATCAGTGATGGGAACTTCAAGACGGAGCAGATCATCAACTGAGCACGCAGCCGTCTGACGTCACGGAGCCTTGCGATGGATTCACGATTGCCGGCCCCTCCTAGTACTTATGGTCTGGGGTCAAACAGCAAAATCGAGAAGGATATCTTCTTCATAGGTACACCTCTTCATCAAGTCTTCACTGGCCCCCTCCTTACTGTCTCCTTGCCAGATCCAGAAACATTGCTCTCCAATATGGCAGCACGAAGCGCTACCAACTTACTCACCAAAGCAGTGCGACCAACCGGTCTATTGAAGTCACAACAAGGACAAGCACACCGGTTTTTGTCTACAAGTCCAATTCAGAGCCAGGCAAAGACACTGCTCGAGGACAAAGAGAATGGATTTGGGTTCATTCGGAACAACCCGCGCACACCCAAGCCTCGTACCAAAGGCGTGACCGAGATCCGGGGCCCCTATTACTCTGTATATGGGAAACGGCACCTACAAGACGTGCTGGAAACCATGGGACACCACGTTGACGGGCTCAAATTTGCCGGGGGCAGTTTCTCTCTGATGCCCGAGAGTGCGGTGCGAGAACTTGTCGATCTTGCCCATGAATATGATGTCTATGTCAGCACTGGAGGGTGGATGGAACATATCTTGACTCAACCGGACGCCAACACTGTGGTGGAGAAGTATCTGCGCAAGTGCAAAGACATCGGGTTCGACGTGATCGAGCTGTCTTCCGGGTTCTTGTCATTCCCACCAGACGACTGGCTCCGACTGGTGGACAAGGTGCACAGTATGGGCTTGAAAGCCAAACCTGAGTTGGGCATCCAGTTCGGCGCGGGTGGTGACACGGCAGCGGAAGATTTGGAAGCCGCGGGTACCTCAGACCCAAGCAAGGTGATTAACCTGGGCAAGAAGTTCATTGAAGCTGGAGTGGAACGAATGATGATTGAGAGCGAAGGGATCACCGAGAACGTCAAGAGCTGGCGGACAGACGTGATCCAAGCCATTCTGCGAGACCTACCGCAGGAGAAGGTCATGTTCGAGGCAGCCGATCCGCCCGTGTTCAACTGGTATGTGCGAGAGTTCGGCATCGACGTCAATCTGTTCGTGGACCATTCGCAGATTGTGCAACTGACCTGTCTCCGGAGCGGTATTTGGGGGATGGCTGACACGTTCGGGAAGATTGTGAGCTACAGGGATTAATATTGATTTGGGTCCTGTACGCATGTGGCGTTCCACGGTCCCTGGTGGCCTGTACACAGAGTTTAGCCGTCCCTGATGACCTTAATGTAGCAGCGGCCTCCGCCCCAAAGATAGCAAAAGGGTACTGGTCTTCCTATTTTCATTGTGTAGTCCATCTCTTGGTACGAAGGAGATCCAGGTTCCCGCGGACAACGGCGTTGTTGCTCTCATGCTGACAAGGAGACGGTACCTGCGTAAGGCGTAGGTTGCTTTGTGGTGACACAAGCGAAGGAGCAGCATCGTAGCCAGATCGAATACGAACCACACTTGTCAGATCGCAGGCGGGCGGAACGGCCACATCGACAACCGAAGGCAGGGTCCGCGGACGTAGAAGTTGGTGTTGAGAGGATGAACGAGCTGCAACCCATTATTGCCGACAGGGAATATCGAGGGATCTCAGTAACGTACTCGTATGTTACTATGCTGAATGCATCCTAGTAGAGCCACGTAAGGGTCAGATCAGTCAAATGGTAACGCGGACAACAAGTGTGTTAGTTAGTAGTACTAATAGTATGACAGGGTTTAAAATCTGTTATGCACAAATGCAGAATTGTGCCACGCTACCAATTCCCAGTTATGTCCTCGTCGTTGCTCCCCTCGCTACTTTGTACCTCTGTCCTGTGTACTACTACTTCATGTTTATGGCGGACTGACTCGGAGGCCCCTTGAAACCAACATCGGTCAAATTGTACCCGGATCTGCCGGAAAGGCTGATGGTCATGGCAAAACTCAGCCTCCCTTTGCCTCCTGCTGACGAGTCAGTTCCCGTATAGACTGCGGATTGTGGATCAATGATTGACATCATCTCGCCATTCCACTTACTGCACTGGCTGAATTGCTTCGCAGCTGCTCCGTGTTGTGAATAATGGAGACCCGATCGATACTCTATGCTCCAGTGTCATCTCAGGCGTTGCAACCCACCTCACTATACCGTGAATAGTGTCGAGCAAATATGACTGTCAATCAATAAGTGTATCCTCTCTTTTTATGTTTTCCTCATCTTCTCTGCGTGCTGCGAATCCCCATCCCCCTTGTCCCAGAGCATCACTAAGACACCGTCAACCATGAAAATCGCTCTCCTGGCTGGGACGGCCGGTGCTCTCGCAACCGGCGCGAACGGTAAGCAAGTCTGCGGTGTTGTCAAGTACGCTGTGTTCGAAGAGCCATGACTGACCTCATATAGCGTATACAATCTCCGCTCAAGATGCCTACCCCGATGTGACGACAGATGTTGGTCACCTGCGTCGAGCGCTACCCAACGCTCCGGATGGTTACACCCCCGTCCACGTCCAGTGTCCTTCCAATCGTCCTTCCGTAAGAAGCGCCTCTTCGCTGTCGGCGAACGAGACGGCGTGGTTGGAGGTGAGAAGAAACAATACCATTGATCCGATGCGAACATTTCTGAACCGATTGAATATCACTGGGTTCGACGCCGGCGGATACATCGACCAGGTTTCCAACAACGCCTCAGCTTTGCCAAATATCGGCATTGCGGTGTCTGGCGGTGGCTGGCGAGCGCTGATGAACGGCGCGGGCGCCCTCAAGGCTTTCGATAATCGCACGGACAACAATACTGGCTCAGGACATCTAGGTGGCCTGCTACAGTCGGCAACCTATCTTGCCGGCCTTAGTGGAGGCAGCTGGTTGGTTGGCTCTCTGATGATGAACAACTGGACGACTGTGGAAGCACTACAAGCAGACGATACAGGCTCGGTGTGGGAATTTGGAAACTCCATCCTTGAGGGGCCAGACACTGGCGGTGTGCAGATTTTCGACACGGCCGAATACTACGCGCACCTTCTAAGCGATATTGACGGTAAAGAGGATGCCGGGTTTGACCTTTCCCTGACCGACATCTGGGGTCGGGCGCTTTCGTTCCAGTTGATTAACGCCACAGATGGCGGGCCGGACTTTACCTGGTCTTCAATTGCGCAGTCCCAAGGCTTTCAGAATGGAGATTACCCCTTTCCCATCATTGTTGCCGATGGACGAGCGCCCGGTGAGTTGGCGATACCGACAAACACGACGGTCTTTGAATTCAATGCATTCGAGATGGGCACCTGGGATGCTACGATCTATGGCTTCGTTCCCACGCAATACCTGGGCACGAATTTCACCGCCGGCGAAGTTCCAGACAGTGACCGATGTGTGGTGGGCTTCGACAACGCCGGATTTATCATGGGAACCTCCTCCACTCTTTTCAACCAGTTCATCCTGCAACTCAATTCAACCGACATATCTTCCACCTTGAAGGACCTCATTGGGGACGTACTGGACAAGTTAGGTCGCGACAACGACGACATTGCCGACTACACACCCAACCCGTTCTTTCAATACCGCCCGGAGACCGACCCTGGATATAATTCGACTCGACTCACCCTGGTCGATGGCGGAGAGGATCTCGAGAATATCCCTCTTCACCCTTTGATTCAGCCAATTCGGAACGTCGATGTCATCTTTGCCGTGGACTCTTCCGCAGACACGGACTACAACTGGCCCAACGCCACCGCTCTTGTCGCAAGCTATGAGCGATCCTTGAGCTTGAAGTCAAACAACACTCTCTTCCCGAGCGTGCCGGACCAGAATACCATCGTCAACCTTGGTCTCAACACTCGCCCGACATTTTTTGGCTGCAATAGCTCCAACTTCACCGAAGGCGCGCACATCCCGCCACTGGTCGTCTATATCCCCAACTCTCCGTACTCGGCGTTCAGCAACGAGTCTACATTTACACTGTCGACGAACGACTCGTACCGTGACGCCATCATTCTGAATGGACTCAATGTGGCCAGCATGGGCAATGGCACCGTCGACGACAGTTGGCCAACCTGCGTTGGTTGTGCTATTCTCAGCCGCAGTCTTGAGCGCACCGGCACAGATATCCCCGAGGTCTGCACTAGCTGCTTCAACCGTTTCTGCTGGAATGGCACGGTTGACTCGTCAACTCCACAATCTTACGAGCCGACTCCTATTATCCAGTCTGCGGATACAAAGAGCGGTGCCACAACCATAGTGGTGGGTCGCTGGGCTGCGCTGGCCGCTGCAGCTGTAGCAGTTGCCTCGATTCTATGATTTTTCTGTGATGATGTCCCTATGGTTGGACATCAGTCGGACACCTTCGGAACGAAGCAAAGCAGCAGCATCGGGATGACCTCTGAGAGGTGTACCATACTGTTTATATATGGATGCTGGCATATATGTTCAAGCGTTGGTGGGCTGGATGTTGGTTAGATTTTCCAGCAATGCTTTCTGTTGCGACACCCCCGTTTGGCGGCAAGCTGGGAATAGACAAAAGGATATACAAGGAGAGGAGTTTGCATTGAGAGACTGATTTCTTCTGGATGGCTCTCGAACATTGCTTTACCGGATAGCACCACGGGCGTAGTTGCGCGGCTGTTTGGACCTTCCAGCGGATGCGTGTATAGAATGATAAAGACAACTTTGTTCAAAGCGCTTTCTTGGGACCTCGCTTGAGAGCAACAAACGACGTTTGGCTTACAGTGTGTCGCTGACATGATTCTTGTGGTTTTGGTCCAGTATCGCCGCAGAGCAAAGGATTGCCTCGGCTTCGTTGCTGGAGGTTACAGCCGTCTATTGAAGCTATGACTGTTCTTTCTATTCCCTCCTTGTTCAGCGGACGTATCTCGGAGCCCGGGGACTCGCCGTGGGGATTGCCAGTGGTTGCTGACCCGGGGTCCGAGGTGACTCTGTACTTGACGGAGACCGTGGAGGGAGGAAGCCAATGTCATAGCGTGCTGTTGGCCCATCAATTAGTAATATGTGCTCTCCAAGTAAGATACCCCAGTCACTCTACCAGATGAGATGGCGTTGCCGTTGCCGTTGCCGAGTTCCGTGCCCACCGCTCGCTCGTTGTGGGGAGAAAAGCGTATTGAATTGGGGTGCAAGTCGCCGTCGTGGAGATCTTCTCCACTACTCGTATTTGTGCGATGATTGATGTTGTGGGTTTTTTACTTGGGGTCCTGCGACGTGGAAATGGATGGTGGTAAATTTGCACATATACCTGTCGACGGTTGAACCTTGGGTTGCTTGGTTGTCTTTCTTGATCTCCAGTCCCTGACGTGAATTCCTTGCCCAAAATGGCCCAAGGCGCCGAGAAAGACGTGATGTCATCGCCGTCGCCATCGCCGTCTGAAGAGACACTAAGACAACCACAACGAGATCAACACCAACACCAACACCAACACCAGCATCAACTCCAAGTACAGCATGGAGATGAACACTCAGACAACCATATAGACATCGAGAGCATCAGATCCAGCGAAGAGCCTGTTCCGGTGCTGGAACCACCTCCTCACCATCACCACCACCACCTCCACAAGAAAAACAACCAATATGACGACGTCGCAGAAAATGGCATTCGCTACGAGTACCTCACCTTCGAAACCGAGATTGTGTTTGACGAGATATGCGCGACAAGCAATATCCCTCCGCCGAACTTGAAGAAATACCAATCACCACTGACCTGGTCAGCGACGCACAAAACGATCATATTGATCCTGTCATGCTATTGCACCTTCATGGCCGCATACAGCGCGGGCGCCTATTCGATCGCATCGGCACCCCAGCGGGCCAAATGGCACGTATCCGAAGTCGTCTTCAACACGGGCGTTACGACATGGTGTCTCGGGTTCGCGACGTCGCCCATGATCCTGGCGCCCTTCTCTGAAATCAACGGGCGCCGGCCCGTCTTCATCGGCTCGGCCGTCATGTTCATGGCCGGGCTGATCGCGTGCGCGACCACCCCGTCGTTCGCGGGCATGTTGGTCGCCCGCTTCTTCGTTGGCGCCGGCGCAAGCACCTTTGCCACCATGGTCGGTGGCGTTGTGTCGGACCTGTACGACGCTCGGCACCGCAATACCCCGATGGCCGTGTACAGCGGCTCAGCGCTCGTCGGTACAGGCCTTGGCCCGCTCTGCTCTGGCTTCATTGTCGGACGGGCCAATTTCCGCTGGGTGTACTACCATCAGATCATCTCGCTCGGCATCATGCTCGTCGTGGTATATCTGTTCTTCAAAGAGACGCGAGGCTCGGTCCTGCTCAGCCGCAAGGCGAAAGTGCTCAACGACTACCTCGACAAAGTGCACAGGAGCAACGGCGACAACAACGGCAAAGGTAATAGCACACTGGCACCGCTGGGCGACAAACCAGACACCCATACCGCAATCCACCACCACAGCCATGTCCGTCTGGACCAGGATTCTACCACCATCCAAGACGAAAAGCACATGGCTGGTATCGACAATGACACCTCCAACAACCACCATCCACCCACCCGCACGCGGTACAAAGTCGCGGCAGACGATTCGCGCTCCTCACTGGCCCACATGCTGTATCTGTCACTCACGATCCCGTTCAAACTGCTGGCGACCGAACCTGTGGTGTTCTTCTTTTCGCTCTGGATCTCTTTCGCCTGGGCACTGCTGTACATGACTTTTTCCGTGCTGCCGCTGGTCTTCTCCACCCGCCACGGCTTCACGACCGAACAGAACGGCGCCGTCTTTGCCGCCATCACCATCGGCACGGTGGTGGCGACCGTCGTCTCCATCTTCCAGCCCATCCTGACCAATCGCCGCTGGCCCAAACTGACCACCAGCCCCGAGGGCCGGCTGTACTTTGTCTGTCTCGAGTCCGCTCTGCTGCCCGTCGGTCTGTTCTGGTTCGGCTGGACCACGTCCGCGTCGGTGCACTGGATCTCGCCCGTGCTCGCCATCGGCGTCGCCGAGATGGGCATCTTCGTCATCTACCTCGCCGTCTTCAACTACTTGGCCGACGTCTACCATCGCTACGCCTCGTCCGCGCTGGCCGCCCAGAGCTTTATGCGCAACACCCTGGCCGCCGTCTTTCCGCTATTCACCGACCAGATGTTTCGCACCCTGGGCTATCCCGCCGCCAGTAGTCTGTTGGGTGGTATCAGTGCTGTCTTGACCCTGGTCCCTTGGGTTTTGTTGTTCAACGGCGAGAAAATCCGCGCCAGGAGCAAAATCGCGAGGCAGATCATGGCGCATGCTACGTGAAGATCGGAGAGAAGATAGGACAGTTCAGATTGAAAATAGAAGTCCAAACACATCCCTCCCTAGATTACAAACTGTTTGGCGTGTCTTCCAGACCATCCTTCAATATGGGAGGGTCTTCTAGTCTCCGGAAATGCGGAATATGTCGTCAAGTATGTTTCAGGAAGAAGAAACACGTACAGTATCTTTCTGCAACACGTTTGAAGGCCCGCTTGTGCTCATTTTCTGCCTCGCAGATCATGGACATAGCTGGAAGACGAAGTATGTCCAACATGGGAAAACAGCTTTGATTACTTTCCCTTTTTTGACCTCTATAGCCCCAACCACTCTATCATACAAAATCAAGAATGTTAACTTTTCCCGTTCGGTATCGTTTCATCGCAGTCCAGCCAACCGACGTTCCTGGACTTCTGTGAGCGCCCTGCTTCCTGAAAGGAAGGCCACAACACCCAAAGCCAACAACACCGGAAGTGTCTTGAAAAGATTCCAAACAGTGTAGTAGAGAAAGAAGACTCCTTCGATGCCCACAATCGAGCCAAGGAATAATGTATGGGAAACTGGTGCGCTGGATAGTGCTTTGCCGAGGTGGTTGATATTGCCGCCAAGGTACAGGAACTGTGTCAGAGAGATTAGCATACATAATCGGATACACCGAGGGACCAGAAGATATCTTGGCCCCGGGTAATCATCGACTTACAGCTCCAAGCAGGGCAGGCACTGTAGCCAGCACCGCACCGAGGAAGACCAGGCTGATGACGACGTTTGGGCTCTGCGGGTCTGGTCGGAAGATATGGTGTATCTCGGGCAGTTTTCCGTAGCGGAGTGGTTTCTCTGCAACGGGGATAGGGACATTCGGATCGAGCTCAATCGTCAAGGGAAAGGCTTTGCTGTTGTACCCCTCCGCGGAGCCAAAGGAGGCAATGACGATAGACGCACTCAAAGGATATGATGAGCGGAGCAACTGGAGCGGCAGGTCCTTATGGGACTGTGGTGATCAAAGTAAGAGGTCTATATTCAGGATCTTCCACCCTCGGAACAGGGTGCGTGGTAAACTTACCAGCTCGACCTTTGCCTTTCCCGACTCTTTGATGCTGAAGGGATAGGAGACGTCAAGTTTCTTGGCTGGGTCTTGCAAGAGCAGGAATGCTTGATGGGGCCGTTTCGCCGACTGGCCCTCCTGCGTCGTCAAGATCACCTTGAGTGTGTCGGCTGAGCCCAGCTTCACTGGCGTGGTGAGAGGTTTCGAAGGAGTAAGCCTAGTCGCAAGAAAAGATCAGTCAAGTTCCCATAAGCTGGCGTTCTGGATGAGGATGTCCAGGTGCGCTGGCTCCAGGGAATGTGGAATGGTTCAGACATACGTTTCCTTGAAGCCACCTCCAACTCCTGCGCCTTTGGCCGCGACACTGATGGAGCCATCTGCAAAGGTCCACGAAGCTGCAACAGCACCGGATTGCAGGGCTGAAAGAAGCAGACACACCTGCGGCAACAATGATTGTAGCCTCATGTTCACGACCACACAAGCAATCACAACCGGGAGTTCAATTGGCCTTGGTCAGTAGTAGCAATTGTTACTACGTCGCCAGATGTAATGTACATACCTACCTACTAGTACTAGTGGTTAGCAGGTCTGGAGGAGCGAGATGCAAACATGCCAAGAGGCTCAGAACAGCCGCTGCTTTAGGTGGAAATTGATGCTGCTATTCATGTCCTGGGAGTCCTCCATCGATATAGAATTGGCGCCTCCACAAAACTAAGGTATCTACAGAGTACCAACAGTGGCAACTGGTGTGCAGAGCTTAGGCTTTGAGGTTGGTGCGAAGAGAGCCATGCATCCCTCCACGGATGGCGCAATATCTGGTCCCTCATCAGGCTCAGGCACTTTGGTTGCCCTTGCAGAGAGCGCTGTCTGACGTCCCCATTGTATCATAGCCGCTTATACCAGGGCAGGGTGATGTCTTCTCCCTGTCGCAGAGGAGACATGTCCACTATCTTGAAGTTGCGTGGCTGAAAAGATGGCGGGCCTGCGGTTATGCAACCACGCTCAGCCAGAAGGTGCCCATGCTTGCCACCTTCTTACTTACCTCTTCAACGATACAGCAAGTGCCCGAACCATCCCCTTAGGTTCGTGAAAAGAAAGACCGTGAAAAGCTAAGGCTTTTTTGCATAGAACGCAGTTGACAGGGTTGCAGTGCAGATATTAGCGACTGAGAAGGAGACCACCGACTGGTACAGGTAGCAATGCTGGACAGTTTTATGACAAGCTAGTTCTCCGTCTCACTAGCCGAATGATAACGACCAGATATATGCTTAACCTAGCCCTCTCGTGGGACAGACTGTGCATATCCTCCCTCATCAATTCGAGTTCAGCTCCTGCAACATCTCCCGAACCTCAGCCAGGTTTCCGGGTCTCTCGTTGTATATCGCGGCGATCAAACTGCTGTCAATGTTCGGGAACTCTTTCTGCAATTCTGCCTGAATTTTATCACCTTCGCTCTGTTGCGCGTTTGCCTCGTATTGCTGCATGTGTTCGACCTGTGCTGCTTTGTCTGCTTGCTGCTCGAGTATTTGCTCGGTTTCTGAGCGACGGATACCCTGCGAAGGAGCGCCTGGCTGCTGCCACTGCTGCTGCTGAGAGAAGGAGGGGTTTTGGGACTGGGGTTGTGACAGGTTGGTCTGATAGTAAGACTGCGCCGTATTCTGGATGGGATGAGCCGTATTTGACTCGTTTCGGCTTGGAGCATCAGACCAGGGGTTGTTGGACTCCATAGCGCGTTGTCGAGGATTCTGCTGTTGGGGGAGGATTTGTTGAACGCGTCCGACACGGCCGTCGGTGAGTTTGACTTTAATGCCTCGTGGATGGTTGTGGCGGGTGAGCAGTTGGGAAACCGTGCCTTGGACTTGCCGACCGGTTCTTTGATCTGCCTTCAATACTATGGAAACCAGGAGGCCCGGCTTGATCTGAGTATATTGGGTAACGGGCATTAAAGATAAGCCAGATCAAAGAAGTGCAATACACCTGCAGGTGGTTTGAGAAGAACTCGAGAATGCGAAAGGGCGGTAACAGGCAGCGCGATTCTGGTGGAAGCAAGCAGGATGATGATATCGTGGCTGGCGGTTGAGTGGCACTGTGGCAGATGTCACAAGTGTGGCTGAACATTCGATGACGTAGCATGCATATAAGTGCCTCAATCCTTTCCGCTTGCATCGACGCTGTCTACCTGATCGTCTACATTAGGGATACTAGGTATATATGATAGGTATCAATGGGATCTCTTCCAGCACTAAGCGCCTCGAGGTACTGTGGACACGGAAGGAATGCAGACAACTAACGACGGCGACCAGAAATACAGCATCGACTGCATATACAATTGTTCAACACGTATGGACATAATGGTAACGGCCCCCTCCCTTCTCACGGGAATTTGTGAAGCCGGCAACGAGTTGTTGAACACTCATTTCAACGTCTTTCACTTGGAAGTATCCGTCATCTTATGGTGCCACCGGCCAAACTCCTCCCTCTTGTCATCCTGTCCAAAATCGTGGGTATGGCCGAGCGTAGTGTGATCGAGCTCATCCACGAACTCGGCAGCAATGCGGATGCCGCCCGCCTTCTCAAGCTCCTTCACCTTCGAGTCGGCACTCTTGGGAAATGTGATGGTCATAGTACTTCTGTACCAGTCGGCGAAGTAAATGAGGTTGAGCATGACTCGGACTTCGTCGGCGGTGCGGTTAGGCATGCCGGCGTGCCACAGCCTCATATCGCGAATGATGATGCCACCTTTCTTCACTATCGGCTGGATGGGTTGTCCGTGGGTCTTGACTCTTTCATCCAACAGATGTTGATGGATACCATTCATGCCATTCTGATCTGAGAATTTTGTGGTCGTATGGGTCCCCGGCCAACATTCTGTCGAGCCATTCTCGGGTGAGCAGTCGATCAGCACGATGTTAACCGCCAAGCTGAAACATGCACGTGGATGGTCGTAGTGCACGTCGCTATGAACCGGTTGACGGCTCTCGCCCGGGAAGTTGGTGTTGGCCTTATGATAACGGAGGACAGGGTTGGGGCCGATCATTGTCTTGCAGACATCGGTCGCGAAGGGGTTTGCATGCACGTCTGGTAAGAGGTAATCTGGCTCTGGAATCATATGTTGCAGAATATTCTGAGCTTTCGTGCTGTAATTGAACCAGGTTGACGGCCCTTCACGGAGAGCCTTTGCCTCTTCGACCATCCGCGGGTTCAGGAAGTCGAGGCTCTCTTGTGAGACGGCTCCGTCCAGGACGACGACCCCATCTTCAGAAAGCGCCACGACAGCTTTCTCCAAATTTTGTTTGGATATTGTGTTTGAGGCTCGCTCTTCTGGCGAGATCTGGACGTGGACCACCTCGGGCTTTTGTTCGACAGGAGCAATCATTTTGAGGGCGAAGGATATCAGGAAACGGTGATGGTGTGAGCTGGAAGAGCGAAGCAAGTGCCAGGTGCCCCTGTGCAGCTTCGCCACTCTGGTAGGAAGAACAACTCGGATGACTTATATGCCTATATGGAGATTCCAATGAGGGATCGACAACAGCTTCACGATGCTGGCCGAACTGAGACGCTGTTGAACAGTAGGATCTCCGATAACGCGACAAAATGGTAGGATAGCCTTCTGGGATAGAATCATGAAGCCCTCTGAGTTTCGTCCTAGGCTCACTTAAGTTATCACAACTGTTCGAATTGCCCTCTCTGGCTTGGCTGACCACCGAAAGGCATTAAAGCTGGAGCTTGATAACAAACTGATGATCTAGTTGAGCCAAACCAGGAGTACCAGAGCAAGAACGGCAGCTCGAACAGTCCCTGCCACCATAATCGGCGCCGAGCAGCCTTGATAGACCTCTATACACCCAAACCGTCGTCTACCCGCTCTCAAAAAGACCATGCTACAGACGATTACCGACGATATATGGAGAGCGGGAGGCTTATCCGACGTGAAGCTGTCAACATGAGGGTTGTCAATCTACGCCCTTTACTACAATCGGCAAGTCGAACAGTCCCACATTATAAAGCCCCGTGCTACAGGGTAAAGCCTTGCCGCCTTGACACATTGACACTCGGCGGTCTAACCATCTTACAATCTTCGGCATTCGTTGAAGAGCCATGATTCCTCTCGCTAGGACGGCGATATCTTGTCACCATGTGTTGTTCCCAAAGACACTCGCCTCTTGCCAGTAGCTGGTGATAGCTTCGTGTACGTCTATTGGCGGTACTGGTGTGAGCCAGATATGCTAGTTCTGCCACCTCCTCGAACCTCATGATAGCCCGTTTGGTCTCTTCGGACGAATGGCTGGTCTCTGATCTCCCGTTGGACATATAACATCTTGTTCCTCTTCCCTGCACGCTGACCCGATTTGCCCCTTTACGAAAGTATCCAAGGGTTCTGTATTTGGCTTCGTGACATCAAACCTCATGACTGTTGTCCAAGACGTTAAGGAAGCAACAGACCAGTCGACCATGGCTATGGAAGGTGTGTTATATGTTCAATTCTGTTGTTGTACATGGAAGGTGCTGACATAGACTGAAGCAGTTGATCCTGAACACCAGGGTGTTGTCCCGTCATCTGGCAGCATACGCATCTTTGGATACAAGATCCCAAGCTATTCAGCTCCCATGGTCCAGATTGTGATTGTTGGCTTCATTCTGTTCCTCAATCCTGGGTATGACCCCAGTATGCTACGCCTGCTTCGAGGCAAGGAACTGATGCAGGAATAGCATGTATAATGCCTTGGCTGGGCTTGGAGGTGCTGGACAAGTCGATCCCACTGCTCAGAACAATGCAGGTATTGCTCTACACACGACCTTTGCAGTGATCGGCTTTGTGGTGGGAATCGCACACAACTTCCTGTGAGTCGAGTGTCGCTTGAGAACGGCGACGTCAACTGATGGTTTCAGTGGTACAAAGTGGACCATGGCAATAGGCGGAATCGGTTACTGCGTCTATTCAGCCGCTTTCTTGTGTTACAACCATACTCAGAATGAGGGATTCGTCATATTTTCCGGCGCTCTGCTTGGATTTTGTGCTTCGTTCCTCTGGTGCGCACAAGGTGTGGTGATGATGGTGAGTGTACCCTGGCCACTAACGACGTACATGTATCCATTTAGGTAAAGGACAAAACTGACCAAGCATCGCTATGTATCTAGTCGTACCCTACTGAGTCGCAGCGAGGCCGAGCCATCTCCATCACTTGGTTATTGTTCAATCTTGGGGCCGTTATAGGGGCAGCCGTCTCGTTGGGTCAAAATTGGAAGGTCAAGGCTGGTCATGTCACAGACGGCACTTACGTCGGCTTCATCGTGCTCGAGGCCGCCGGTGCTCTCCTCTGCTGCTTCCTCGTACCCAGTGAAAGGATCATTCGAAGCGACGGGACAAAAGTGCAGAGGGTCATTCATCCGGGTCTCAAATCCGACATTCTGGGCCTATACACCACCCTCGTCTCAGATCCGTGGGTTCTGTTACTTTTCCCCATGTTCTTTGCCTCTAATTACTTCTACACGTATCAGTTCAACGGCAAGTGAACATCCAGGCAGCCAGCTGCCCTCTGTTGGCTAATGAGAATCACAGATGTCAACGCCTACTATTTCTCCACGAGGACGAGAGCCTTCAACAACATCTTCTACTGGATATCGCAAATCATTGGCGCTGCTGCTTTTGGTGCCTTCCTTGACTGGACCCGTCTCAGCCGTCGCGTTCGGACGCTTACGGCGTGGAGCATCATATTTACGTTGGTTATGGTCATCTGGGGCGGTGGATTTGTATTCCTGCAAAAGACGAATCGTGCCGTGAAGGGACCTGAGATGGATCTATTCGACACTGATTACGTCTGGTATCTTTTCGTAAGTCTCTCCGCGGAGCTGGACGACGGTGTATTGACTCATGATACTAGCTCTACATGGCATATGGTCTGCTGGACTCCCTTTGGCAGGTTTTCTGCTACTACACCATGGGAGCCATGTCCAATGATCCGCGCAAGCTTGCCTACTATGCGGGCTTCTACAAGTCCATTCAAGCCGTTGGCGCCACTACCATCTCGAAGCTCGATGCAGTAAGGGTCTTCATCCTCTCATACTCAATGACAGAGCGCTCATAAATTTCTGCTACAGGAAAAAGCACCGTTCAGTGTCAATTTCGGCACCAGCTGGGGATTGATGGCCGGTGGATTAGTGATTGCACTGCCTCTCTATGTTTGGCGTCTGCATGATACGGAAATTACAACTGAAGATTTCGTCGATGGCAAAGAGTTCGACGCCACCGTTGTGATCCCCGCAATTACCGTGGGTGAACACAAAAATGACGAGAAGACTGTTGTCAGCGAGAAGGGTGCTGCTCGTTGAGGTAGATGCTGGATAGCAGCGAATGGGTAGACGGCTTGAGATGCTCGACTACGCCTCTTGCAATGAAAAAACGAGATGACTGCATCCAGACTCTAAACCGATTCGGTAAACTGAAGTCCGGCTCTTCATCTGGGGGACTGGCGATTGAGAATTTGCGATTCAGACTGAGACAGATGACGGAATACGCATCTTGCAGGCGCTTAGGTACGTCCATTGACGAGTCTAGACCGTCTTTCTCGTATACTCTGTACAAGGGACCCCGGCCTTGGGACATGTGGTCGGATAGCCCGGATGACACTTCCCTTCGACTTGTAGGCGCTGATATTTGTGACTTGACACAGCAGGTAACAATGATGTCGTGATAGATTGCGGAGGTGGCTTGAGGCTGAATTTTCGATCCGTTGATTCCATCGATGTTATCGCTGAATCGGTGGACAGTACATATCATGGATCTGTCTGTCATTTCTGTTGTAGAGGCTTCCATTGGCCCGGATACTGGTCCTGAAGGATACTGCCAGACTCCCTAGCATCGCACTAGGAGCATCGGTCATCAGAACTGACCAATATGAGGCTGGAATTCCTCCTTATCACGACGCCGGTGGTTGACCGCTTATCATTGGGCGAGAATCCAACGGGAACAAGGGCCAGATCGCTCCATGACCCGGCTTCAACCGTCGCCCTCTTCTCTCCTCTTATTCTCACCAGCTTTCCATCTCCACTCCACTACAGACGTCGTGCCATCCAGACGCGAACGCAGAAGCAGCCGGCCTTCACTACATATCAAAAAGGACACAAATACGCTTGATGGTGTCGCTGGTCCTGCCTTCCACGCGCCCAGTATAAGAATTCTTCGAATACTGCGACAAGTCTGAACATCCAAATTGACGCTGTTGGGACACATCGCGCTTCCCACTATGCCCCCGCCGTGATGCCATCTGGCAGCATTAAGCGCGTTAGGACAGGTGCAACAAGATTCCATCCTCTGCATACCATGCAACGTATGCTCTCGCAGAGACTAACTTCTGGGCAGGGTGTTGGACCTGTCGGCAACGTGGCTATCGATGCGATGAGGGCAAACCTGTGTGCGCGGCATGCACTCGCCTAGGCATAGAGTGTCAGGGCTACGACATCCGCCTCACCTGGATGCAATCAGTGTCGCGAACCAAGGGCCCAAAGAAGACTTTCAAACGTAAAGATGCTGGCGCTGCTCCGGATCAGCCTTCGACCGCCCTGGCTGCACCCACTCGGAGCCGTGTAGCAGAGCCAGCATCTTCCTCGGGCGACGGATCTGAAGTGTCCAGATTACCCGCGGCGCCTTCTTCCATCATGTCATCGAAAGAGCAATTTCTCCTTCAGCATTATTTCTATACCGTTTCAGGGATCCTCTCCAGCACACATGACCGCACTATCAATACATACTGCCGGGTTGTCCTGCCGATGGCCATGTCTTCGAATATGCTCATGGACACCCTCTTACTGGTATCCACGTCCCATCTGGCATCCAGATACGAGCAATTTGCAGTCGACTTGCCGCACTATCGAAGCCGCGTCCTCCCGCGTCTGATCGGGCGCATCAATTCGTGGGATGGCTTTGATCCCACCATGTTGGCTACTATCATTATGATGGCTATCAATGAGGTGAGCATATGCCCTGGTTTCAAGGAATTCCTTCCGCCCAACACAACCGAGATTTTCGTCTGATAGGCATTGCTTCAGATATTCGAAGCCAACCCCAAGAATTGGTCCGAACACTTAAGGGCGGCCGGAAGGATCATCTCAGACTACGTGGCTCAATGTAAGGAGCCAGACCACGACACCAGAATGCTGCTCGATATGTAAGTCTTTGAAGCGGCATCTACGCCCCTTTTTGTCTATTCGTATTTCTTCCTTGTGCTTCGTGCTTATAGCTGGCTCAACAGATTTGCATACCATAATGTTCTGGCCAGTGTCGGTGCAAACCATGCATCCCTCGTCATGGACTATTGTACCAGAGACACTTGGTCCGCTCTGGCCGGCCACTCGAACGCTTTCCTCGCCTCGGTAGACCGTCTTCTCTCCCTGGTCGCCAAACTTTCGATGCTTTCTTCGCAGTCAACCGACGATGCCGGGGCCCGCTATATCAAACCATCTCAACTACCGGCCGCCAATCATCTCAAAGCCGAGCTAGAAAACTGGCAGCCGCCGAAAGCCATCCCCAACGATGCCTGCAACACTGCCGAAGCGATGCGCCATGCCGGGCTGTTGTTCTTCTACAAGTTGACCTCGGCACCTTCGCCGGGCGATGACCGAAGCGGCATTCTCAGAAGCTGCGATGAGATTGTTCGGCACATTGGTTACGTCTCAATCGACAGCCCTGCTGCTGCTAGCCACCTGTGGCCGCTTTACATGGCGGGCTGTTTCCTGAACAAATCGAACGATGACGGATCTATCCACTGGCAGAGTCAGGAATTCATCCGTTCTCGCCTGTCGGCGCTCAAGTCCAAACGAGGGGTCAAGACGGTGGACAGGGTTCGTGAACGACTTGAGCAGATCTGGGATTGTGACGACACTGAAATGGTGGATGTCAACGCGCCCTTGATCTTGGTCTGATTCGTTCACCTGGCACGGTGCAACTAGACACCCTTGAGCTGTGCCCACGAAAGAAATGCGAAATGGAAGATAATACTATCTTATGGGTTTCTATCCCAGACTTTTCAATACACTTGGGACTTGACAACCGGGCCGGTTGCTCTTGTGCAGATGTTCTACAACGTTTCGAGTTTCGAGGTCTACTTCAAAGCCGTCTGCTTCCTGACGGCCCACATTCCATCTCTATCCGAGACCAGGAAGCACGGTCGCCGGGATCTATGCTAGGATTCAACAAGGATGACATCCCGAACATCACCGCCATCCAAAAAGCTTGAATGTGCTCCCGCTTTGGCGCTCAGTGATGTCGGTCTAGGCGCGGCATGATGGACTACCCTGCCCAGCTGGGAATATAGTCTCCTACGTTATGCCATCGTTTCGACTGTGGTGACGAGGATCAGGAAAGCGTTGCATAACTGGTCAGCCAGCTGAGCTATTTCGTTGCTTGACATGACCATTTTCCAAGAAATCAGCAGCTCTCACAGCCGGATGTGTCTATTATTAAACATGGTGGCTCAGCACGCAGAACGAGTGATTCTCGGGTCTGCTCACATTATTTCTGATTCCGTCGTGGCTGATTGGTTTCTGGTTTACACGTACATTGCAACCTACCTACAAGTAGGTTGGAGCTGGCTGGGAGGGACCTTCTTCCCTTCAGATGCGTTTGTCAAGTGTTTCCTTCCCAAGCCTGTAAACAAAAGGCAGACACGTACATTTGATTGGGTCTTTCTAGCCAGGTGTTTGCTTGGAACGATCAGGGCATATGCAATCATCAACACAGCTTGAGCAATGAATGGCACACTCATGGGGTGACGTGGAAGAGAACAAAGAACATCTACGAGGTAGTGAACAGCAGTTGCTACCAGCCGTCAAACAAGATGAATCTAAATGGAAAGAAGGATGCTGGTGCAGCGGGCAGCCGCCCGTGTCAACGGTCCAAATCCAAACCTGCAAGTCAAGGGATTCATATTTGCGCATCAGGATTCAGGACAATCGTTTACTCTCTTCCTTTCACTCAATCCAATGCTTTAATCGTTGTACCATCTATGTTTGCATCTTAGCCCATGGGCAATCATATCAAGACAGACCGACTCTTTTCATCACTCCTTCAAAACCTCTACTTCCTGACGCTCATCTCATCTCAGCTCAGCTCAGCCATCTCCTCACTTCACAACTCACAACTCGCCTCACAGTCCATCGCACATGGTCATGATGCTCTGAAGTGACGAAGTCAGTCTTTGAGCAAGAGGTATCACATGCTATTGCATGGTCGTCTTCACTTCCTAGTACTGACCCTTTTCTATTTAAGGCTCTTCTCTTGTCGACCCTTCTCTTCTAATTTCACTCTTCCTCCTCGTCTTTCGAAAGAGCCGTGCGATCCAATCAAGTCCAACAAGCTACCGAGCTGGCAATTCCCAAGCCTCTCTACACACTTCTCATCTCAGTCGTCGTTCTGCCTTGGACAGCGAGGCTGGGCGGTAGCTGGCTGTACACTCAGAGCATCAAACAACGACGTTTACGAGGGCGCAGCAAAGCCACTTCATGCTCCGCCAAGAATTGATGCCTTTTAGTCACTGACTGAGCCACTACTGCAAGATGTTTGGCAATAGCAACCGTGGTGGACGTGGCAGATGTGGTGGAGACATCCCTTTCCGTACCTCACGAGGAGGTGGACAAGGTGCTGGCCAGTCCGGCCAAGGCGCTCGTGGTAGTGGGGGAGGTGGAGGTCGTGGTCGTGGTGGTTCAGCTCACGGAGGCAATGCTGGTCAAAACACAACATCCAAAGTCTTTGCGTGAGACATGACTCCAATCCTCGTTCATTTCAATCGAGTCTACAGGCTAACTGTTCATCTTTTCACACTCCAGTCATTCACCTGGCCCCCCTGCTCGATTCGATCCGGCAGTCAAAAAGATCGAAGACGAGACTGCGATAACCCTAGTCTCCACAAAGAATCAAGCAAGACTTCCGTTCAGACCAGGATATGGAACTCGAGGGACAGAGGTGCTTCTATGGGCAAACTATTTCAAAGTTTCCGCCGACAGAGAAATACCGCTTCATCGGTACAGCATTGAAGTTCGCCCAGATAATGACGGCAAGGTACTGACGGGAAAAAAATTAAGACGGGTTATTGAGCTGCTGTTGGAGGAACACTTTGCTGAGCACCGCAGCAACATAGCCACAGACTTCAAGCTATATCTCATCAGCACCACCAACATCGCCATTTCTCGGCCTGTCTACGATATCACTTACCGAGAGGGTGGTCAAGTCCAGACCCAGAGCAACGCCAAACACTACCATGTCCGAATCACCCACAATGGCTCAGTGACCTTGGCGAATTTATTGGATTATTTGACATCCAGCAATGCCAGTGCCATATTAAGCAACAGAGAGGCTCTTCTCCAAGCACTGAACATTATCGTGGGATACACACCAAAGACGGCGGCGCCAGTCTCTTCCCTTGGAATGAAACACTTTGATACCACTTCTCCCGAAAAGAAGAGTCTCGATGTTAGACTCGCAGCTCTCCGTGGTTTCTTCTGTTCCATCCGGGCAGCCACTGGTGGCCTACTTGTCAATGTCCAGGTCAAGCACACTGCCTTCTACAATGGAGGAAATCTGGCACAAGCGATAGCCAGCTTTACGAAACAGACCACGAACATGTTCGAGCTTGCGAGGTTCCTACGAAAGCTCTCGGTGACCGCTACTCACGTCACGCCCCCAAAGGTGAAGACTATCTCCGGACTGGCAATAGTCCAGGACGGCATGAACCTACCACATCCACCACGTGTTCCCAAATTCGGAGCTTCAGCACAGGAAGTGATGTTCTGGCTGCCCAGGGAGAGCGCTGGCGTCACAAGTGGCTCACCTTCCGCAGGACGATATATCAGTGTGCACGATTTCTTCAAGGAGACGTATAACCGGATTCTGAAGTACAAGCTGCCAGTTGTCAACGTTGGTACGACCGGGAATCCTATCTATCTTCCTGCCGAAGTGTGCGAGATCATTCCCGGGCAGCCGTTCAGAGGTATCTTGAGTGACAAGCAACTTCAAGAGATGAACAGCTTCGCCATTCGCTCGCCCAAAGAAAATGCTCTTTCCATCACGACCGGAGGAGCGCAACTTCTTGGATTTGGCATCCCTAATTGCCCGACTCTGGTAAGTGGTGAACTCCTTCAAGACTCAAGTTGCGGCGTTATACTGATATTGTCCCAGCAAGCCTTCAAAATCCGTGTCACTCCACATCTTGTCGCGGTTCCCGGTCGCATTCTGAACGCCCCACCTGTCAAATATAGTCAAGGGCGTCAGCAAGTGGCTCGTTACGGGAGCTGGAATTTAGTGAACGTCCATTTTGCAAACGCTTCAAGGCTCCCGACGTGGACATATTGTTGGATCAAGTGGAGATCCTCCAACGGTGGCTATTGGAGAGATACGCAACAACTTCAAACTACCCTGACTGCCTTTACAACAGCGCTCCGGAGTGTAGGCATCCAGTGCACAGAGCCTGTCGATGGCCAAGTTGCTGAAGTCGACTCGAATAACCTGGACGCCATCGACACGACTTTGGCCAGATTCACCAGACCCAGCACTCGTGGCATACCAGGCCTGGTGCTTGTCATTCTCCCCTCCAAGCATACAGAGATCTACAACAGGGTCAAATATGCATGTGACATCAAGGAAGGTCTGGTCAATGTCTGCATTGTAGCAGAACAGTTGGCTAAGAAGAGCCGTCAAACTCTTGCCAACGTGGCTCTCAAGGTCAACCTCAAGTTGGGCGGCCGAAATCACGAATTGGACTCGTCAAAGCTTGGTGTCTTGTCTGAAGGCAAGACCATGGTCGTCGGCCTCGACGTTACACATCCATCGCCAGGTTCAGCACCCGACGCCCCCAGCGTGGTAGGCATTGTGGCATCGGTCGACGAGCTTCTTGGCCAGTGGCCGGCACAACTTGCTGTTCAGCAGGGGCGAAAAGAGATGGTCTCGGAACTCAAAGGCTTGATGAAGTCACGACTGTGTCTTTGGAGAGACCATAACAAAGGAGAGTTGCCAAGCCAGATACTTCTTTACCGCGACGGTGTTTCTGAAGGACAATATCACCAGGTCTTGGAATTAGAACTTCCGCAGATTCGGGCCGCATGCAGCGAGATATATCCTGCAAATCAGTTCGAGCGGGGCACACCGCGTATCACAATCATTGTTGTGGGGAAAAGACATCATACTCGCTTCTATCCGACCACAGAGAGTCAATGCGATCGGACAGGAAACCCACAGAACGGCACAGTAGTCGACCGAGGGGTCACGGAGGCACGCAACTGGGACTTTTTCATGCAAGCCCACACTGCCATCAAAGGCACCGCCAGGCCCGCGCACTACTTTGTGGCCTATGACGAGATCTTCCAAGACCGCGCTGTTCAGAAGCCTTTGAAAAATGCGGCCGACTGTGTTGAGGATTTGACGCACAACATGTGCTATCTCTTCGGCAGGGCTACCAAAGCGGTGAGTATCTGCCCACCGGCTTACTACTCAGATCTCGTTTGCGACCGCGCGAGAAAGTATCTCTACGACTACTATGTGCCCTCAGCCAGGAGTACAAATGCAAATGCCGCTGCCGCTGCCGGAGCTGGAGCTGGTGGATCGAGACTGTCAATGCAAGACAGAGTGTCAATCCACGAAAGAGTCGAAAACACGATGTTTTACATCTAAGCCAGCCATGAGATAGAGCAAGAGAAAACGGGATGTTGAAGGGGTGCGACTCAATCAGCACTTCGCCGGGTGATGAGACGTTCAACACGGACGAATCTGTGGGAAATGCTTGACACGATTTCAACCGAGAATGGCGATCGATTTTGGAGCAGAGCTGGACATGAGGACAGAGATTCTTGCTGTGTGTGTGACGATGGAACGGACAGAAGGGACGTCTTTCAACAAGCATCTTTTGCGCTGAGCCATGGGGGTGGCTTTCTGTTATGTACGATCAGCAATTCCAGGGGTTCACTTTGACTCTTTTCGTCCAGCTTCATTCCAGAGCCGTAAAGAGCCCCTTAGGCCTGCACCGCCACCTCCAGGACCGAACTTGGTGATCACGTAAGAAACCCTTAGTCATCGGTGTGGCTGAATGTACCTTGGCGAGGGCTCCACCGCGTTTCCCCTTTGGGATGTTGTTGTTGCAGCCTTCACGTACAGGGTGAATTTGGTTCCTCGACTTTACCCCTGACTCCAATCTGCAAGCTCCCACCTACCCGAGACCATCCGTCGATTGACAATACGAGTTGTGTGAGTACGTAGGTAGGGGAAGTTGCCCGTGTTCAAGGCAAGTACGTAGTCAATCACTGACCTCAGGTACGCACGACCCTTCTGTTCCCCAGGTTTGTCAATGTCACTGTCAATCTCACGGCCCATGGGTTTGGCAGACGCGCTCCTCCCGATCCGACGCGCTGTCTCCTGTGTCTCACTCAAGCTTGGCGATGGCTAGGTTCATCCCCTAGCTAGAGTCTTATATTGTCTTATTCACAATCTCCACGATCCTCTTGCATCGGCACATGAGCCGGACAAGCACTGGGGCCGTTTCGAAATGAATCAAGCGATCATTGCTTGGCTACTCCTATGTTTACCGCCGGCCTAATCTCCACCATCGAAGGTTGCATAAGGTCTGGCTAAACAGGTGATGAGCTGCCGAATCCTCCAGCCCCGCAGGCTTACAGTCACAAGTTGGCTGATTCGAGGTCGACTTTGGACTCGCGAATCCCCACAAGATCCCAATAGGCTGCGAGCTACATCAAGCTCGCCACGATGGCTTGCCGTAAGCGAGTCTATCGAGACGGCCAAGCCGAAAGGAGGAGGGAGACAGATTTAGTATGTCACTACGCTACGTACAAAACCCAAAGAACCAGCACTTGTCGTCTGGATTGAACTTTGGCTTGGTCTTTCTCTCTTCACACTCATTCCCATTGTTTGTTTGGTCACTCCTTTGAAGGCATTTTTGCTTTCGTCCCTTCGTTATTGATATCTTTTTGTCGCTCTCTTCCCCCCAGCATTTCGTGATGAGATCGCTCAAGTATTGGGCGGCAGTTCTGCCGGTGCATTTCCTGGCTGTTCTTGGAGGAGGAGAATGGGAAGAATGGGGAACAGCACCAGAGGTGGATGTCATCGTGACGGAGGTCGTGACGAGGACCATCACCATCTGTCCTCTCACCGCGCTGTTTACTTGTGACGCCGACCTTCCTACCAGCGCGACCACTCTCGACTCGGCGTCTGAGACCGGATCGACAACGGTGGTTGCAACCACTACTTCCGAGGGAAGTGGTACGGGTTCTGGTTCTTCTGGTTCTGCTACGACGACCGGGACACCAGAACAACCCGAGTCCACCACCTCCGGGTTTGGCGGCGGATGGGGAGAGTCTTCCAGTTCCAGCTCCAGCTCCAGCCTGACGACGACCACGACACCAGAACAACCCGAGTCCACCACCTCCGGTTTTGGCGGTGGATGGGGAGAGTCTTCCAGTTCCAGCTCCAGCTCCAGCCTGACGACGACCACAAGCTTGCACTACGGCAACGGAACCACCAGTTCGCTTTCTGGCAGCATGTCGAGTGGCATTTCAAGCACCATCTCGTCCGGCACGCTCTCGACCACCACCTCGTCTGGCATCTCAAGCACCATCACATCCGGATCGCTCTCGACTAGCGCATCGGGTAGTATCTCAAGCACCATCTCGTCCGGCACGCTCTCGACCACCACCTCGTCTGGCATCTCAAGCACCATCACATCCGGCAAGCCCTCAACCAGCGCCTCGGGTAGCACCTTGAGTGGCATCTCCAGCACCATCTCGTCAGGCACGGTCTCGACCACCATCTCGAATGGCACCTCGAGTAGCACCTCGAGTACAATCTCATCTGGCACATCGAGCACAATCTCGTCTAGCACGCTCTCGTCTAGCACCTCGTCCGGCAACTCAAGCACGATCTCAACTAGTACGCTCTCGACCATCACCTCGTCCAGCAGTACCACCACAAGCTCTCTCTCGCAGACAACCTCGAGTTTCTCGACGACTTCTAGCTGCGCCAGCACTCAGACGGTGAGCAGCATCTCCCAACCCTCCTGCAATGACGCCAGCAGCCGTAGCCAATGGCTGTGCGGAGACAAGTCGGTTGACGATGACACCGACAATCTCTTTTTCTCTGGAGAGACGAAGCAGTACAGCCTGACCATCCACGCCCAAGACATTGACTTTGACGGCACACCACAACCTGCCTTTGCCATCAACGGGAAGTCCCCCGGTGATCCGATTGTGGCCAACTGGGGTGACATGGTCGAGATCACTGTCTTCAACGGACTGGCTGATAATGCCACCACCATCCATTGGCACGGTGTCCGACAGTACGGCACCAACGACCAAGACGGTGTCCCTGGGATCACTGAGTGTGCCATCGCCCCAGGCACTTCTCGAGTCTACAAGTGGCATGCGTCCACGTACGGGACCTCATGGTACCACTCTCACACCTTGGCACAGTATGGCGGCGGTATCCGAGGTCCCATCATCATTCACGGCCCTGCCACTGCCAACTACGATCTCGACATGGGTTCCGTCATGATCCATGAGGCTTTCGGCCAGACGATCTTCCAGATGGCTTACAACATCGCCAGAGTCCGCGGTGCGCTGCCACCGTCGACCAATTACCTCCTCAACGGTAAGAACCAGTCTCCGGATGGCACCACGGGTGAGAACGCGAAATGGGTTGTCAAGAAGGGCAAGAAACATCTCTTCCGCATCATCAACAGGTACGTGACATGCTCATCTAGGAGCTCATTGCTGGTCTCCCAATACTGACTGCACGTCAGCTCCGCTCAATCCGCCTATGCTGTGCACTTCGACAACCACCAGATGACGGTCATCAGCGCTGACTTCACCCCGATCGAACCGTACACGACTGATGTCCTGTACATCCAAAGTGGTCAGCGATACAACGTGATCGTCGAGATGGACCAGGTCAGTAGTTCCCTTAGGGGTGGTTTACCCGCTCACTTGACTGACACCCGAGCAGCCCGAAGGAGCATACTACCTCCGAGCAGTCATCCAAACCGGCTGCGGCGAAACCAGCCTGAACACCGGACTCGGCACATCCAACGGCATCTTCACCTACGAAGGATCATGCGCCACTCCCACTTCGGGCAATTTCACCCTCAGCACCGCCGGCGACTGCAAGGACGAACCGCTGGCCAGCCTTGCGCCCCGCGTCAAGAAGGACGGCGGCTCGACCAGCGCGTTCCAGGACACGGTCAAGCTCCTCCCCGGCGGCAACGCAGGAAGCCAGACCTTCGAGGGCTACGGGTCCGTGGTGCGATGGTTCCTGGGCCCGCTCGGCGACCTGGCCTCGAACAGCGCCACTCCCGCCGCCAGCAAGGCCATCAACGTGACCTTCAACCAGCCGACGCTGAAGACGCTCGCGACCCTGCCGACCCTGGACTACAACAGCTCGTTATACTCGAACGCCGCGGTCCTGGACGGCCCGGCCGACGAATGGGTGTACTTTGTGATCCAGAACAACTTCCAGACCTCGCACCCGATGCATCTGCACGGCCACGACTTCGCCGTGCTCGGCCAAGGCCGCGGCGTCTTCACCGCCGACATGGTCGACCAGCTCAACTTCGACAACCCGATCCGCCGCGACACGGTGCTGCTCTTCGGCAGTGGCACCCCCGTGGCCTTCACTTCGGGATGGACCGTCATCGGATTCCCCACCGACAACCCGGGCGCCTGGCTCATGCACTGCCACATCATCTGGCACGTCGACGGCGGCATGGGCCTGCAGTTCCTCGAGCGGCCGGACGACATCGATGCCGCCACATACTACAACTCCGCCGGATTCCAGGACGAGTGTTCGGCCTATTCGTCCTACGAGGCCTCCGGGGGCCCCCTCAAGGCCCCCTACGAGGCGGGCGTCAAGAGACGCCACGTCGCGGATCGTGCGTTCCGCGCTCATCTCCATGGGAACTCTATTCGTCGTTTCTGATGCAGAGAGCGGAGAGCCGGTGCACAGTAGCCCGCCCCCTGAACACCTGAACAGCAGGGTGTGGGTGTCTTTGGGCTCTCTCTGGCATGACGGAAAACGAGAGGGGTGGAAGTGGATTTGGGATGTCGTTGGTTTTCGTGCATGTCTGGCGGCGGGCTGTTAACACAACCGAGGGATATGTCTTGATCGCCAGAACGTCTGAACAGGAGTCCTGTATGCAATGTATTTATCATGCTAATATCATGTTCATGGCGTGTGTTTTGTCTTTTTTCTTCTTACTGCTAGTTTCGACTAGATATTGATCTTATAATGATAACATGTTGCTTCCAGCTGGGAGCTCTACTCTGGGTGTATATTTACCATGTACGTACATGGATTCAAGAGCACTCCGGAGTTGGCAATGACCGTGATTATCGCTCCTCCTCCGTAGGTCAGCAACGATTGTATGGGACAAGGTGCGGTGGACCCTTGAAGGCAACGGGCAGAGAGCAAGAGTGGTAAGATGTTTGGGCATGGAGACTTAGGAAGTCCCCTGAATGATGCATGGGCTCGTTTACTCTATGCTTTAGCGGGACACCAGGAAGAGACTCCCTTTCCCCCTCAGAAGCCCCTTCCCCATGCTGCAAGTACCCAAGTGAGTACGTATCTACCGAAGGAGCTGAGCGGTAACTGGACCGCATCTACATTTCAGGGGCTGTGAGGTCAACTACGTATTTAGCACCCCTGAAGCATGGTCAAATCCGGTCCCCCACCCAACCGTGGCCAGAAAGCAAAACGTCGACGTACTTTGCAGGATATCAATATATGTATACTATCCCCCCCAACCTCTGATACTGGGTCAAGAGTGGGAGTGCGTTGAAGAAGGCTCGGCTACCGTGGGTCAATACTGCAGACAGGTAGGCTACAAGGCTGGGAGGATTGGTGGACAATGGACATGTCCGCTGGACGGACTTCAAACCCCCTATGACATATCTAGGGAGGTACCTACAGTAAGCATGTCAAGGTCACCTCTTCCCTTTCAGCGCCAGACTCATTTGATTCATCACGCTTGAATCAGCCCCATCATCTACACGACTCGATGCTACTTGGACATTTGAAAGATCCACTCTTCTTTCTGGGCTTGGCTTATTCATCCAGCCTCTGTGATATCCAGACACCACCATGACTTTAGAAAGAAACCTCAAAGCAGAAGCAGGAGCAGAAGCAGGAACAGAAACAAAACCAGAAACAGAAACAGACGGCAAGAAAGTGTTCATCATCGGCCCCGGCTTCATCGGGTGGAACATTCTCGAGCTCCTGGTCGACCAAGGCTACCAGGTCACCGCGCTGACTCGGCGAGCCGAACATGCCTCAGGCATCACCCAATCTGGGGCCCGGGCCTTGATGGGCACCCTGGACGACCTGGAGCTGATCACGTCGCAAGCCGCATCCAGCGACATCACCATCCAATGCGCCACCGGCGACAACCTAGCACTGGCGCAGGCGATCCTGGACGGCGCCCGCCGCCGCGCCCAGCAAGGCAAAAACACAATCTACATCCACACCAGCGGGGCGAAAGTATTTGACGACGGCGCCAAAGGCATGTTCCGGTCGGACCGAATCTACCACGACGACTGGCGCGACGAGATGGACAGCGTGCCTGATCACGCGCCGCACCGCGACGTCGATCTGGCGTTGACGAGGGCCCAAGAAGAGGACTTGCTGCGCGACCACTTGCGCCTGGCCATCGTCTTGCCGCCCGAGGTGTACGGCTACGATGCCAAGCATGGACGGCTGTCGATGATGATCCCGAACCTGACGCGGTTCGCGCTGAGACACGGGCATCCGCCGGTCATTGGGGCCGGGAGGGCCGTGGAGACGCAGGTGCATTATCGAGACCTGGTGCGTGGATATGTGGCCGTGCTGCATTTCCTGGAACACGCGACCCCCGAGGCCGTGAGGGAGAATCCGTACTGGCTGTGTGAGAACGGAGAGGAGTTTTCGTGGATGGAAGCCGCCACAGTCATTGGAGACTCCCTGTGCAAGGCTGGCAAGATTGCGGATCCTACGCCGAAGCAGCCGCCCAGGGAGCTGTATAAGGAGTTATGTGGCGAGAGGACGGAGAGCTATATGGGCCTCAATTGTCGCGCGAAGGCCGTGAGGCTGCGCCAGTTGGGCTGGGAGCCGACGGAGAAGGGGATTTGGGAATCCTACCTTGAGGATGAGCTGCCTGTTATACTGAGCGAGAATGAGAATGGAAAAGAAGGATGACACTTCAGTGAGGTTTGTTTTCCCTGGTGTGGGTTGATTAGACAAGGAAGTATTTGTTGGTATACATACTGAGCTATAGATGAGCCTGTATAGACACCTCAGTCTTGTGCGTTGCCTCGGTACAAACACCGCTATCAGCTAGTGCACCCCCCGCAATTGAATCAGATCTCGGATCAAGCCAATCGGCTTCTCAACGTTACGTTGGACAGGCTTGACTAAAAGGACGAGGGCTTTGCTGCTCGCTGCTGATAATGTAGTATATGAAAGGATAACGAGACTCAAGGTATTGTGCGACTAAAGGCACTCGCCCTGAGACAGCAAGAAAATGGTGGACACCAAAGACTATGAGACACGGCAGCTCGATTTCGAAAGGCACCTCGAGCTGAAGGAAATCGCGCCAGTAGGTGAACACCATCCATCCCGTGACACATACAGTCGTGGCTGTTGCCTCGTTTGCCATGTCTGATGGTGTACACGCGGATAGGATGTCTTCAGCAACATCCATCAACCATGGCTGTTCCACATCACCAACACGGTCCCCGGGCCCGTGATGATGGCTCAGGCCGCCGCGGCCGCCTACAAAACTGTCCCCGAAGGTTTCGCGCTCGACTCGCTGCAAACGCATTTCATGCTGGCTCCTGACGCGACCAAGCCTTTGGTCTATCGGGTCCAGAGACTCAGTTACGGTCGAAGATTCGCGGTCCGGCTCGTGACCATCGAGCAAGACCAGAAGGCATGCGTGACGATAACGACCAGTTTTATGAACAACGTTTCTTGGACGGGTCAGGCCATGAAGTATGAGGTGGCCGTGAAGATGAAGCAACGGATCGACGAAATGGATATCACCTTGGACGATTTCGAGGCGACACGCACTTCGCTTGGACCGTTCATGAAGTCCGAGAGACTTCCACTCATGTACGAGGGTATAGTACCCAGCGATGTGTTCTTGTTCTTGGATTCACCCTTGCCATCCAGTGATACGACAACGCAATGCAGAGCTGACATGGTGTATCGATCTGATAGAACCGCGAGACCCAAGCACGACCATTGCACCTGTAATCGCTCAGATCGATCCGCCGATCAAATCATCAACCGGGTCGCCAGGCCACATCTTAGCAATCATCCATCTGTCAGACTACCATGTCATGGACTGCCCGTTGTCCATCCACGGGGTCGAGTTCGGGCTCTGGAAGATTGGCGACCACACGAAGACGCCCACAACGGCAGGCATGAAGATCATGACGAGTCTTAACCACACCGTCCACTTCCACGTCCATGACGACTTCCGGGCTGACGAGTTGGTCTATATTGAAGTGACTTCACCTTGGGCGAGGGATGGTAGAGCCATGATCCATTCCCGAATCTATAGTAAACGCGGGTTGCTGATTGCAACGTGTGTCCAAGAAGTATGTACCGACGTTACCTTCCAAGATTGCCTTTATGACCATATATGCGTGGGACGCTGCTGATGTGTGTCAGGCATTCTATGTGTTCAAGGACAACGCTAAGCTATAGCATAGCGTTGCCTATTCGACGAACCCTGAAGCTGTCTTCCCGGAGTTTGAGATTCTGGGACCTCGGCCGGCAGAGCTTTACAAGGCTGGGCAAATGGCAATTCTGCGCGTCATGCCTGGGGCTTGAGGTGTCTATCGTTTCTAATACCGATAGACATCTTCAAACCTGTAGACAAACTATTGGAAGGAGAAGGTGGAGAATCGAAGGAAGATGGTGACCATGATTAATTTATATACGAACCTGCCAAGCCTGTGGTGTAGTCGGCTGTATGATGCACCGTAGACTTTCTGGCCTTCGTTACTGCGGACCTTAGAATCTGTGAGATGCGGAATCAATCCTCGAACCAACAACAGTCACTCTTTTGAGCGCGAGCCTTGTTCAATTCTTCACGAGCCCACCTAAGAGCCTTCTTCTTGAATTACTCAATGCCATAACCGAGTGTTCCCAAAGACGTTTCTCACACTTCTGGGACGATACACAAGGTTCGGAATTTCCATAACTCTACTGTCCCCAGTTCTGTCTAAGGACTGCAAAAAATGCAATTGAAGATATATCCTCTACCTTGGGCGCGGTGCTCATAGAACTCGCCATGGCCGAGTCTCTGAACGTGATCGCCCTGATATCAGGCGGCAAAGATTCCCTTTACAGCATCCTTCATTGTCTTGAGAACGGGCACAAGGTCGTGGCATTAGCCAACTTATATCCTCCTCCCCGGCCAGCTTCTCAGAGTCAGAATGGCCGGAAAGCTTCCCATTCTCACGGTTCCGAGCACGAAATCGAGGGCAAGGACGAAGACGAGGACGAAGACGAAGATCTCAACAGCTTCATGTACCAGACCGTCGGGTACTCCATCATCCCTCTGTACGCCGAATGTCTCGGTCTTCCACTGTACAGGCGTGAGATCCACGGGTCTGCATTGCAAACAGGCCGCTACTACGATGCGAGTAATCTAGTGACAAATTCTGGATCCGAGTCCTCACCGGATGAAACGGAAGATTTGGTACCCCTGCTTCAGGACATCATGGAACGCCACCCCAAAGCCAACGCTCTCTGTTCTGGCGCCATCTTGTCAACTTATCAGCGCACGAGGGTCGAATCTATAGCTTTCCGGCTGGGATTGACTCCGCTGGCCTATCTGTGGCAATACCCGGCGCTCCCTCCGCCTGTTGGTCGCGATGACTCCCTCACCGGTCTCCTGGATGATATGGCCGCAGCTGGATGCGATGCTAGAATAATCAAGATTGCAAGCGGCGGCATCAAGGAGAGCTTGTTATGGGCCAATGTCGCCGACCCCAAAACACGGTCGAGGCTAGTCGCGGGCTTAAACCCGTTCTTTCCAGATCACGAGTTTTGGCTTCGTGGCGCCGTGCTCGGTGAGGGGGGAGAATACGAGACGTTGGCGATCCGCGGACCTAACAGACTTTGGAAGAAGAGGATTGAAATCCCGCAAGGCACGAGGCCAGCCGTTGCTGGAGATGGTGGCGTCAGCTATATCCGATTAGCAGGTGCAAAAACTGTGCAGAATGAACCAGACTCGTCTGAACAGGAGGAGGAGGGTGTCCGAGTGCCGCGTGCCTTAGATCCTCAATTCGAGGCTGTGAGGACACAGATCCAAGGTGTTGGGTCAGACTCCTCGGCAGTCGAAGGTGAAAAAGAGCGTGGTCTTGAGCAGAAGCCATCCGAGGATACTCCGTCGGCGGTGGTGTTGCAGCTATCTCAGAACGTGACGGCGACGTGCCTTGCGATATCTAATATTACCGCAACATCAACAGTGGGTGCGGACGTTACTGGAACGCCCACTGATCAGATGAGGCAAATCTGCAAAATCCTGAATTCTTTACTGGCCGACCTCCCCAGCTCCAACGGCTTGGATTGCAGACCAACCACCTCGAACATTGTCTTCTCGACCCTACTGCTCAGAGAGGTTTCTCATTTCGGTGCGGTCAACAGCGTATATGCGACGCTATTCCGCTCTGGAGAGCCCAACCCGCCCGCTCGGGTGACATTTGCGTGCGATCTGCCTGAGGGAGTTGAGGTCAGTCTGAGCATAATCCTCGATTTCAGACCCCGTCAGGCCCGACGTGGCCTTCATGTCCAAAGTCGCAGTTATTGGGCACCTGCCAACATAGGCCCATACAGTCAGGCGATATGCGTGCCGTTGAACGACTCGCAGGATTTCTCCGTGAATGTGCACGATGCAGGCCTGGTGGAACTCGTACATATTGCCGGCCAGATTCCTCTCATTCCACATAGCATGAAAGTCTCGGACGGAAGTTTTCTGGACCAAGCTGTGCTCAGTCTCCAACATCTCTGGCGCATCGGCCAGGAACGGGGAGTGGATCTCTGGCCCTGGGGAGTGGCATTGGTCAAAAAGAGCATAAACATATCCGCTCAAGCGCTTGAAGCGAGCCAGGTCTGGCAACAAGTGAACTTGATTGGAACAAGACCAGAACAAGACTCCTCCAGCGATGAGACCGGTGAGGATGAAGACGGTCCAGACGCGTGGGACAGACAATATAATCGATTCTCCCAGTATGGGGCGACAGTGGCCCAGACGACGGTGGGAGAGCATCTCCATATGCTACCCAACCCGCGAGTCTTGAGGGAGGCATCGTCAAAATCAAGATTTGTCCCTCCTTTCATTGCAGCCGAGGTTGTCTCCCTACCTCGAGATGCAACCGTGGAATGGTGGAGTTTGGGGGTTGCCAACTTGCCCAAGCTTCCTGAATCAGTGCCTCGGATATCCACGAGTCGGCAGGACTATACCTGGGGCTCCATTTGCAGGGTGTCTGTCCATCCTCCGAAGAAGGAGCGTAACCAGGAACATGACCGGAAGCAAGATCAAGATCAATCGGCGTCAAATACCACAGACACAACCATCAATTTGATGACGGTCTTGATTCACTCACCACTACATCATCCCACAAGCAGCATTCGGGAGGGTATCGATGTAGTCGAGCAGGATCTCGCCGCTTTTCTCTCTGGTCGGACAGACAGCGGGACATCATCATCACTCGAAGTCGTCCATGGCACAGCGTTCGTCTCCGCCGAATACCAGACACCATGGTCCAAGAAGCAGAAGCAGAAACAAGATCAGGACTGGGACCAGTCACTCTTTGCCAACCTGACAGTCATCCCATGCAAGTCAGTGCACGGCAGGGCCTCTTCCAGCAGCTCCAACTCCGGCCTTGCCGACCAAGGCAACGAAGACAAGAGCAGCGAGAATTTCCAACCTGCCGTGCAAGCCGGCTCGGACTCACCACCGAGGGTGTCAAAAAAGTCAGTGGCACAAGAGGCGTCGTCGACGTCCACAGCCTTCAAAAACAACGCCGCTCAGTCATGCCAACCTCAACCTCTCGCGGCAGCATTGACCATGCGCATCGACGGTCACAATTCTTCTTCCAGCCAGTACAGGTTGGCAATCAGATGAGTCTGTGTCAGGATCATTCGAACTTTGCATGACTCTTTTGTGTCGTGTTCAATGGTCAGTGACTCTCGGCGGCTTGACGCAGTTGTCCCTGTCCCCGCTTTTCACCTCAGACACAAGTTGGCAGATACGTAGGATACCTAGGGTACGTCTCTGGACTCTGTATCAGCGTATCTTGACTGTATCTATATAACAGCTGTCAAACCGATACACCAACCACGCCTGTCCACCTGTGCACCTGCCCACAGATCACGGACACAGACCATAGAACCAAAGACCGGAGGCCCAGCCCACCTTTTCAACTCATGGGTCTCGTGTGGACGGTCCCCTGGGGCCCGTCCGATTCGAGGTTTGGCACCAAGGCTGCATCTCCACAGCGGCAACGAGCACAGACATCCGAAGAAAAACTGGGATGCCTCGTCAAAAGGTGTGACCCCGTCCCGACTTTGCTCGATCCGGTTAATTCTCCTTCCGTGCCTCTTCTTCCAAGTCCAAGTTCCCAGTTCCCCATAAAAAGAAACGCGAAGGTCCAAGCTTGACACTTCCCGTTCCGCGTCTGGAGCGTGAACTCAGACCCTGCCAGCAAAAACAAGACTTCAGAAGCGGATCTTACTATCTAGTCAGTATCCATTCTGTGGCCCGCAAAAACGCGGGCAAGAAAGCGGAGACGCCACACAGACAACACTTGAACATAGACGGTGGTTGAACTGTGTAGAACGCGTCACTTCGAGTCGCGAAACGCGTCCTTCAACACGCGTCTTGAAGAGACAGCTAGCACAACATATCAACAGACTTGAATGTTATTCACGCCATGTTTTGACAGTTGGACGCCACTACCTAAGGTACACTGCACATCACTGCACTGTGTATGTCAAGCATGTTTTGAGGTGTCAACACAACACAGGACAGAATGGCACCACCTGTAGGTACAGCTGGTACTTACGTACTCGATGGACTGGTTGGACGACACGAGCAGAGTTTTCTTTCTGAACCTCGAGCCGACTTCTTCGAGATGCAAATACTCATTTTGCCATCTAGTACTGGTATGACAGTCAGAGAAGTCTTGTGAGAAGAAAGGCGGTTCCCTGTGCTTTGTGGGTTGCAATGACTTGCCGACGTCACTGCTGGTCCAGGCTTTTGTTACAGCTATCAGCCAACAGTGAACAACTCAGCTATCAACACTGCATCCTTCTATCCATCTTACAGGTAGTTAGGTACGCAGTCATAGTCATCGACAATGCTGCACCTACCTTACCTACTAGGTACCTTACCTGTAACTCACATGTTGTTGCGATGATCTTGCAAGTACCCTTACGTACTTCACATCGGCTGGAGACACCTCAAAGGCTCCAGTGTGTACCTACCTTACCTATGCGTATATCCATAAAAAAGTAAGACGCTATTACACATGAAACATGGAGAGGTAGAGAGGCACCCACCTCATACCTACAGAGTAGGGATACCGGATACCTTACCTCACCCAAGTATTTTCTAGGTATTGTCATCATCAACAACATGAACAACAAAACAAACGCGTCGCTTTCTTTCGCGCGTCGATTGAAGAATTTTTCTCGTTTTTCTCTCTGACACTCACGCTCTTACTTCGCTTTGCAACCTCTCGCTACTACTACTACGTAGTATCTCTCTTGCCTTCAAGACCCTTCCGAAGGCATTCAGACCGTCGACTCGCCCCGAGACCTGGATCATGTTTATACCTCTGCCTCCCCTATTAGTACCTAGGTACCCAGGTAATCAAAGAATCAGAACAAAAAGTCCACTTTCATAGGCCTCATGTTCCTTATCTACTAGTCCCTGAAGTTCCTATCATCGTGCTATCAATTCTCCTATCTAGATCTGCCGGCACCGGTGGGGTGATCACTGCCACTGATCAGAGTAAGTTTCCTTATCAACCTTATCGACCTCTATCGATACCGACGAAAAATGACGACGGGGGCGATACTGTGTGCCCCCACAAACTTGTAGGAAGATACCTGAGATACCTTAGGTACGTACCTAGGTAGTATTGCAATATTCTCCCCAAGTCAAAAAATCATGAATCAATGCTGAAAGTTACAGTCACAGAGCTCCTTGGGAGAAATGGAAAAGCCATTGATTGATATTTGTAGCAAAAGGTAGCAAGTAACGTCGAGCAACGGTTCTTCTAATAGTACAGTTCTGTCGGGTACGAATACATAAATACAGCGCAAGACGGGCGGTGGTGGTATGCGGTCGGTGATGAGGGCAAGATGGCAAGATGGCAAGAGGGCAAGATAGCCAACTGAGGACCACTCAACTCACTACCAGCCGCGTACCACCGCTGCCACTGCTGCTGACACAAATCTCTGCTCATGTCTTTCCTTCTCTCCTCAGTCTTGTGTGCGTCGGACAAGAGGAAAAGTCCATGATGAGAAACAGAAAAAAAGGATTGTCAATGGAAAGAATGAAAAAAAGGAAATATGAGGTCTTGGCTCTCAGTCCTCGAAGCCCCTTCTTCAGGCTTGCACTCCTTCTCCCAGTTCCCTGTTCCAATACCCGTTCCCTCCCATACACACACACATAGGGTCGCGAAGACCTTCTTAGAATACAAGTTGGTTTGAAACAGCGGCGGCGAGAGAAAAAGAAGGCGAGCAGGGGCTCGATTCCCAAAGCACTTTTGACCGTCTCCAGTACACATACACAGTTCTTCAAGCTCCTACACTGTTCCGTCCCATGACCCCTTGAATCCCGTGTCCCGAGATCGAGAGAAGATTGTCGAGCGAGCTTTCACCCCCCTTTCTGAGAGATATGGCGTTTTCTTCTGCTGGTTGGCTTGGGTCCTGGTTCACATCATACATGATCATTCCGTCGTGGATGGAGGGGGTTTTTTTGTCGCTTGGTTGAATGTTCGAATTGATTTGGATGTTCATGATCGTCTTTTCTCGTGAGGAATACATTTGCGGGGGGTGATAATTTACAAGGACTCGTCTCGCTTTCTCTTCTTCAGGGCACGCTTGCTGTCACTGGACGAAGAGCTCTCGGAACCACTGCTGCTGGAGGAAGTGGCCATGGCAGCGCGTTGGGCCGCCTCATAGAGTACATGACCCATCTCCTCGTTGTACGGTTGATGGGGCTGCAGCTCACCGTTCTCCAGGACACCCATGACAATGGCACCACTGCCGTGGGTGCGGGCGTGTTGAGCAAGGTTGTCGGAACGAGAGAACTTCTTGCCACATTCGTTGCACTCGAACGGCTTGTCGTGAGTGTGGAGAGAGCGGTAATGACGCTTGAGATGTTCTTGACGACGGAAGCGACGAGAGCAGAGCGTGCAGACAAAGGTCTTGGACGGATCTTCGGTCAAGGATTGCTTGCGTCCGCGGCGGCTGGTAGGGGTGGCATGTGATTGAGCAGAGCCATCGGCATTCATCGAGACGTTGTTATCGTCGGTCGAGCTTTGCTGATCCTGCGAGTTGGCCGAGGAGTTGGTTTGACCTTCATTGTTCATGGCGGCATCGGCCTCGGCCTCAGCCATATGTTGGAACTCGAAGTCGCTGTCCATGGAATCGTTGCGCTTCATCTTGCGGTGAGAGGATGACCTCTTCTTGGTGGCACAGCAGGAGCCTGCGTCGGAGAACGAGGATGCAGGAGGAGAGGGCAGACCGACGTGGGCGGCGTGCTCGTCCTCATCAAAGCTGCCGAAGCTGTGGACGCTCAAGAAGTCTTCCTCTTCCACCAACGACAACTTTAGTCTCTTATCGCCGTTGTATGCAATCTCAGCCTCGGTGAAGTTGACAAAGCTGAACTCGTCTTCGGAATCTAGCTCGCTGCAGAACGAAGACTCGAAGGATGGATTCTGAGGGAGGGTGAACGGGTCGGCCGTATCATGCTCAGGGGTGATGGGGAACGAAGTGGAACCCAGGGCAAACTTGTGCTCGTCGTCCTCTGCGGACAGAGTAGGCAAGGGAGGGAAACTCTGGGCGGCAGTAGACTGGACGGACTCGAAGGAGGTCGCACTCAGTTCTCGCAGGTTGACAAACTCGGCTACAGGGTACGCGGCCGACGGAGAGACCTGAGACTGAGGTGAGGCAGGGGTCAACAAAGGCGACGTGCAGCCGGAGCCGCAAGAGGCAAAGGAAGTCGAGGTGGTGAAAGAGCCGCAGTTGGAGTTCAAGGTCAAGTTGGAGGCGGGATGGAAGTTGCTGGGCAAGAGCTTGGCATCGCCAGGATGCGGGAACAGGTGAACTTCTGTTTTCCTCACCAACTGCAATCAGCGTCTGGATTCATACACAACGCAACGCAATTGCGCAATCAGGGTTGAATGTACTCACGTCCGCTCTCCATCCATTCCTCCATAAACGGCAATGGCTGCATTTCCTCCTTCGACACCTCCAGAGGCAGGTGATGGAAGTATCCGGCCCCGTGCACCGGCGTCTGGTGGACGCTGCTGGCCGGCGGGCTGCTGGCAGTGCTGGGACACACCGAGAGACCTGGGGTCGGTGGTGAAGAGTGTCGGCTCCCGTGGTAGTGGCCATGCTCCATCGGGCCATTGTGCTCGACCATGAACTTGGGCATCGGCATGGCCAGCGTCAAAGGAGAGGCCTTGGGAGTCATGACCTGCTGTGGCATAAAATGGGCTCGAGCAAAGTGAGCTGGCGCTTGCCAGTATTGAGGAGCCATATAATGCTGGGGAGGGTATGCGGCCATGGGGCTGAACATCGGCTGCTCGCCGGGCATGGGCGTGAACACAGCATTATGCCGTGCGTCCGAGTCTGGCCGGTATTGGTAGAACTGAATCTGTTGAGCAGCCATTGGATATGGTGCTTCCATTGTGGAAATGGTTTTTCTGGGGTTTGTTCTTTTTGGTGTTCTTGTTGCCTCGCTCTTGATGCTAGGCGAGTCTCAAGTCAGTCGATAGCTGGTGGCTAGATTCGAGGTAGTACAATTTGATGCAAGGAAATGTTGGTCCAATGAATGGCAGAATGTCGTCTCAGATGTCGCTTCTCCTTTCGTACATATAGATACAGAGGATGTTGGTAACCGTCGAGGTGGTGGTCTTGTCCCTGGACGTATGTGGTATGTATGTAGGCAAAGAGATGGAGAGGGAGGGCGATTATGATATGGTACAAATGTTGGCACAGGTTTGTTAAGGAAGGACTGGATACTTGTTCACAGGTACCCTGGTGTTGTACAAGAGTTGGAACAAGATCCGGGAAAGGGCCTGGTCAACGAGAAGAGATATAACAAAAGTAAAAGAGAGCGTGAGATCGCGGGGAAGAAAAGAGCGACTGTCTTCGATATGAGAAACTGAGGAGGGAGGATCGAGCAAGGTGCAAGGACGAGCCATAAAGAGTGATCGCTATGTGCCCTGAGGGTTCTGAACGGCCGACCCATCCATCGACCAGTGACTTGGGCCACCGCTCGATAAGGAATAGTAGAGAGGCCTGCAGGAAGCGGGCGCTGCGTTCGGGACCGTCGTCGCGACCCATGCAAGTTGGCTAAAGGATGGTGGAGCGTCAAGGTCTCACCACCACCCCCGTCCGTCTCAAAGACTATCACCCACTAACTTGGCCCACCCATGCCAGCCGCATCTCCATCTCTTTGGACTTCTTTAGAGCGGCGACCTGTGTATGGCGAAGAGAAGATCGGAAGGGACCTTTCAGGGACCCTCTTTTGGGTATGTCTGGCCGTGTCTGCCAGTCTGCCTGCCAGTTTGTCCGTCTGGGCTGTGCTGGGTGACGCTCTCTCACTGCCTGTCACACATCACTCATATGCACAGGAAATTGCACACACTGCTGAGGACATCCATCCCATCCGTCTCTTGCTGCCGATGACGCACTGCGACTTGACTTTTTTCGGTGGCCCTTGCCCCAGGCTCTTCGCTGTGGCCTGACTGGCATGGGCTTCACCTGTGACAGCATCGTCTCTTGAAGAGGCGAGTAGTCCTGTAGAGGTGGGAAAACATGCCGAGTGATACCTTCGCCTTCGTCATTGGCGGGAGGCAAACACGCATGTCACAGAGGAGCGCTTGATCAACAGACATTGAGTGGTGGAAAACGGTCATGGTATTGGTACGAATATAGGATCTTGGCCGAGGCTGGTCTATAGGTACCTGAGTCGCATCGTCGCCTCTGAAGGCTCGACTGCAGAGGTGCAAAAGACTGCATCCACGCCGATTCGAGTGATATCATTCGTCTGCGACACGTATCATGACATGGACGAGACAAGTCCCAAACGGCAAATGATCTGCCTCGATACGTTCTGCTCTGTCGTCGTGCACAAAGGGCACACACGAATAACGCTGCTTGAATCGATAGCCTCCCGCGAGTCCACGAGGTTTCCGGCGTGCACAGGTACAGAGAGGTGTGGGCATCCATCCACAGGCAGCCCGCGATGCTCCAGCCCGACGCGTTCAGTGACTGGGCGAGGCGCTGGGATATCGGACGCCAATCAGGGGCGTGACGTGGGAGCGCCGTAGGTGATAAGCTGCATCTTCTCAGGCCCAGAGCGAATCGCTGTTTGACCTATTCTTGGACCCGGCCACAAACCTGAAATTATTTTGGCCATATCACATCTTTGGAAACCCTCAACAGTTTGTGCACTCGGGGTGGACGGCCTTCGTAAACGCTCATAGCTGATCATGGGACAGAGGACAAGCCAGATCTCTCGTCACGGTTGTCCTCCAGATCGGGCGTCCTTCCTCGACGCGAACACATGTGGTCTGTTCTCAGCATTGACAAGTGCTTGACAGCATGTGTCTTCTGTTTGACTGACCCCTCCAACGTTGGCGTGAGTGAGGTCAGTTCGGAAGTGGTGGCAAGCCGGCTCCGGCTGTACCGTGATACTGTACTATCACGAGTCGATGGACTAAAGCAAAGAGCACAGAGCACAGAGCTGCCGAGGGTAAGAGGATTTGTGTTGGTTGTGCAGAATGGCGCGTGTGTCTCAGACACTGCCAAAGCCACTGCCGCAGCTCCATACCTGCTACTAGGTACCTAGGGATCTAGTAGTATGCAGGTACACCTCCGTACCCGCGTAAACGCGTGCTTTCGAGCCAGTACACACGGTGGCGAGTGTTCACACCGTGTCAGAAGAGGGCTGGAAACCTCTCAGAGCGTGATAGCAGTCCATCAAGATCGCATGAGGGGTCTTCTTGACGCGACACCATGTCCAGCATTTGCTGCTTTAGACTTTTGTTTCCTTTTCCCGCTTGGAGGGCGCGTCTTCGCGTCGACGACAGCATCAACAGTCCAAGTGGTCTGGCGAGGCTAGAAGATGCAGAAGATGCACATGCCATCTGCAGCACTGAGGCAATAACAAACCACCAGCATCGTGGCAAGTGGCCGCCTCTACCTGGGTATGTACTGGCCGGCATCCATGGAGTCCCAGGTTTGCTGAATTCTCGACTTCGGATGAAGGCCTCCCTAGGCCCTGGGTTTCTTTCCCCGCCATTCTTTAGGGGCACCCAAAAGTTGATCGCGTGTTTCATCTTCTTCCAACACCGTGGTGGAAACGCGAAGTCGGTTTCTCGTAGGCTCGCCAGTGGGTTTGGGCTCGCGAGAGCGGGTCAAGGGTTTCTCTGTCTGTTGACAAGTCAGCCAGCAGGATTTGAGACCGTGCCAGCATCAAGTCCGTCCTCTGTAGCATCGAGTTATTGTCGACCCGCAAACCGGTTGATCCTTGGGCCCAGAGCTGGGTTGCGGAAAGACCCATGAAAGGGTAAGGTGGCGACCCGCCAGGGTCCCTGAGAACGCCCCTCAACACATACCAGGTACAAGCCTGTAACAGAGTGAATTTTATGAAGGCAGGTGGGTTCTGCTCCCACCGAACTCGGACAGATATCGATAGCCATCGGGTTACGGCTGGGAGGATAGGCCAGTTCGATAGCTCCAGCCAGGAGCTATCACTTCCTACCCCATCTCTGAGTTTTTCTTCTTGTGTCCCATGTCCATCCAAAAGTGACAACTTGAAGGTGGCTTAACATCATGCTGCGCTCAACAGGTGCTGATCACTGGGTAATGTGATAGTTGTACTCAGTAGGGGGTGGTGAGGTAGGGTTTGTTCGCCGGAAGGGTTAATGCCGACTTGATTCCTTCTTCTCACTGCCACCTGTGCTATCTCCTTTAGCGAGCTCGAACTATGAACACGTGTGATTGCACTTTTGGTCCAAGGATGTCGACGTGCTTTTCCCGGTCTCCAAGTACGTACAGGAAGCGGTCGAAGGGCCTGGCTGTCTGCGAATATCGGCAGCTCCCGCGTCTCGATGCAATTGGTGGTATGAGGTAGCAATGAATGGATCAGCACCAAGCACTGTAGCAGTGTGCAATGTGCAATGTGCAGTGAGTACTACTGAGCAGTGCCTCACTGCTCAGTGCCGTCTCCAGCCAACCCTCAGGGGATGAAATGGGTACCACCAGGTTGAGCAGATCCCTCAAGGCTCGAAGTGGCTCTGTGCAGAAACCATGACCTCTTCGTCAGGTACCCGAGCACGCTGACTCGCTCACAAGAACACCAAGGTTTGGTGTTCCGCGCCCCGCGGCGCCCACTGTGGGATTGTGGACACACGACCCTGGCCTCGGTGCCTCGAGCCAACAGCTCCAGCCCGCTTGCTTAAACGCGCCGTCGGTGGTAGCGCGCGGGCCATCCTGTTGGCGCTCCCGCCAGTGTCTCCAGCCACTTATGCCGAAGGGGAGTAGAGGGTTTCCAGAAGACCGTTGCTGATTCGATTGCAAAGGAAACCCCACGGCTTTGGGACCAGAGAAGGTGGTACCCAGTATCCTGCGCTCATCCTCACCTAACCCAGCTCGCGAAAGTCGCTAAAAGACACCGTGAAGGGGCCCGCTCTATGGCAGCACCCTAACGCAGGAACACTGCCCATCTCATGCAACTTGTACGTACCTGTCTGCTTTTGGATGGGCCTGCCTTTACTCGGTCCAGGGAAACTCGCCGTCGGATAATGAGCCAATAATGGTCCCAACGGAACTGATGCAGATACAGATACAGAGAACACTTCTTGAGTCCTCACCCATCAGCACCAAGGCTTTGGTCGTCTGCTCGACCCAGAGCTGCAGGTGTTGTTTCATGTTCGAGGCGAAGCGGAACAATGCCATGTGCTTCGTTCAGCATCACAATCTTTACCATCGCCTGCATCTGCTCTCGACTTGCTTTTGTTTCGACCTTACTCGGCACAGTCCCAACGCTCTCGCGGGCGTCTTTTTTCATAATCATGGCATAATAATGTGGTGGCAACGCCTGGGCTACTCTGTTCTCCTGGACCATGCTCGATTTTTCTTATCTTAGTGCTGGTAGGCTGTGTGGGCTAGGATTTCGCTCCAAGGTTGGTGCTGCTACCCAACAAGTGCCATGGAACTCGCCTACTGGCAATAAAGGCACTAGAAACAAGTAAGGTCCGACTTCAACTCGCGGCTTCGGGATGCCGAAGTGAGCATCATCACGCCTTTACTTCTGGGTGGCAGAACCGCTCAGAGCTGTCTGCGGAGGCCGACGTAGTGCTTCCGGGGAAATTGAGGTTCCACACTTCTATCTTTCTTATCAGACCTGGCGTCGGGGAAGGGTGAGATGCCAGGATGTGTAGGTTCTTTAGCTTGACGCCGAATGTCACGTTCTTGCTTCCATCGGCTTCGTCGAAATCTTTCGCTCCTCGACTCGTGAGCCATCTGTCCAGGTCGGGTTTGACCAAGTGCCCTCAAGTTCTGCCGGAGGTATTTTGTAGTCTCTTGGATGGAGCTGGCGCACTGGATCTTTGCACCGCTGCCCTCTGGGTGCTACCATCATGTCAAGTGCTAGTCATGCCCAGTCAGAAGATCGGCCAGCACCTTGGACGCTCGGGAAGCCCTAGAACTTTGTTCTCGAGGTCCATTGTGCGACTCGTCTAACCCGCTTGGATAATAGTGAACTGAGTGGACTCTTTCGTCGGCTGAGTCTTTGGCGACCACGGGCGATCAACAAGATGTAGCCGATCATCCAATTATGCCTACCTACTAGGAGTGTTGCTCTAGGGAAACGCTCGGCAATCAAATTGTTGCTACGAAGAGTATGAGTTCTTCAAGCCGTTGATCAGTATTATCAACCTTCTTTGATTTTGCAGCAAAGGCTCCCAAGTGTGTAGGGCCTGATGGTAGCACTGAAAGGCTGTTGGATGTGCACCTCAGTGATGCGGCCGAGCAGTGACACAGTACGTACGAGCATTTTTTCTGTCGAGGATGGCGGCACCTTGGATCGAAGCCACCTCGCCGATCTCGCAATGCCGGCCCAAGAGGGTCTTCCTCTTCATGATCGGAGTTTCCCTCAACAGAGTTAGGTCTTATCGATCACGGAGCGCCACTTCTTCAACAACCTCGAAAAGGAATGGTATGTTAGACTGACAGGAGGTACGGACTTGACGCATAGCGGCAACGGCAATCGCACAGATCGAAGGGGGAAACTCTCATGTGCTCTCAGGACCGATTCTACCGGTGATCGAGCGAGGTCTGTGACACTCGAAGCCTTTGAGAGCTTCCACCTCGAATTTGCTCCGGGACGAGAAGTAATCGGCAAAGCAGGCGGCGAGGACGGGCAAACCCAGCCATCCACGCTGGTACGAGACGGTGTGGTGATGCTCGCTCGCGTTCTGTCAAAGTCAAAGCACGTCTTTCACACGCCCAAAGCGCCGTCAGGCGAGTCAACCGAGGCGACTATTCGAGCGCTGTGCATCCGAACCTGCCATTTTTCCCAACATCCCCATCCAAGACGATGGACGATTTATGAATGCGTATACGCACGTATGCTGGACCCTGAAACCGTGAAGGTGAGACTGACGGCTGTACGATCCTGCAATTTCTACCTCCTCCATGTCTCTTCGTGTACTACGTTGTTGAAGGACGTCTTGTCGGTCCAGATGCATGGACCATTTGCCGTCGTCAAGAGTCCCCACGCAGCACGCCTATAAGCCTCGGATTGCTTGTTCCTGTGAAGGTATGCAAACCACTCGGGTAAGGGCCACCTGCGGATTGAATTGCCACTCGGCGGGAATGACGCTGCTGTACCAAGGTGTTATCGTTGATCGGGCGTGCATCTCGTTTGCAACTCAGCCAGATATGCTGTCCCAATTCAACATCTCTACGATAATGCTTACTAGCAGGGGAGACGTCAGACTGCCACTACGAATCTGATGGCAACAACTTGATGCTGGGATGCTTCTCTTGCCTCTCGTTCAATAACAGCCACGGCGGACGAAAACACAACTGGATCTTGGTGGAGAGTCGAAACCAGCACACGTACTGGTCCGCGATAGCTGAGGTTGATCCAACGTGGATGAAGCTGCCAGGTCCAAACGCACTGGCACAGCACAGCCAGAGAAGGAGCTGATGACGTCAAGCTCGAATAAGCCTCTTCAGCCTCGCCCATGAATCCCTCCATTGAAGGTGCACAGGATATCGCGAGGAGGATCCGAGAGACCCCCGCCTTGTAGCAAATATTCGTTATTGAATTTCACTTACCGCCTCACCCGGGCATTAGTGACTTGCTGTTTCCGTAATCCTGTTCGACGGGATGTTGACTTTTCAAAAAGAAATCCACCTGTCGTCGGAATATGTCCTGCCTCAGACACGAGAACCCGACACGGTCAGGTTGGTCAAGAACGCAATGCACGGGAATCATCAGTCCACAGCCGTCACGGCAGGGCACACCGGAACCAGATTCCAACCCTTGAGACGTACCTTTCCGAGCCTGAGGGGCAGCAGTCTCTTGCCATTCGAACTTGAACCAGATCCCACCCCTTGAGACGTACCTTACCCAAGCTGAGGCTGAGGAGCAGCAGTCTCTAGCCATTCGAACTGATTTCCCAAAGAGCAGACGTCCGTGAACTGAAAGCTGCATCAGCGGACTCCTGGCAACATTCTCAACCCCAGCAGCGTGGCGGCCCTTCAGGCCCTTCAGGCTTCCGGGTCGAAAATGCACACCCTATTTTTATCATCATATCTCTCAACTGCTGAGATAGAGATGACGGTTGGCTTCAGAGTTTCAGTCAATGTTTGAGATCAAGCTCGGATTTCCCCGAGCATTCATTCTCTTCCTATCGTATTTTGATGCTTTTAGCAGTTCATCACAAGCCTTACCATAAGGTAGAACCTTAGTAGGTAGATTGGGAAAATCTCGTTTTTGCGCTGCCAGGGCAAGCGAGGGATAAATGCCAAGCTTTACAAACCAAACACTAAACCCAAACAAGCTAGTCTCGCTCGAGCACCGGACTGCGGTCTATCTTCATTCCAATTTTCGTGACTTCTTCCTTCCTTCTCTTTTTTTCCTTTCTTCGTGCGGCGCTGCCACCATTATTTACCCCTGTGTTGCTTGGCCGAATCCTCATGTCTTCGTACGAAGGTGTGTTTCTCATGACGGGTCCAAGTGTCAGTGGCAGCACAGATTAATATCAATTGCAAGCTGATCTCCGCGACGGATTTTCAATAGCTCGTTCTCCGTCATGGAGGCGGGCCCGTCGTGTGTTTCTGCGCTCGTTTATGCGTGGGGTCGGACATAATGACTTTGAAGGTTCCAATGGTTTGGCCAGGAGTGGCAAAGAGAGAGGGAGAGAGCAGAGAGGACGAATCGATGCTGCAAGAATGCTGAAGAGCGTGGGTTTTTCGTATACTCGGTCGTGATTATTGTCTGGCAGCCTCTGAACAAGAACATGGCGCAGTCTACAGTACAGAATACATGATGTATTACTGTATGGCAAATGCGTGCCAATTGTATCGGCCAGATGTCTGCTGGGAATGGACGTACGAAAAGTGGCTTCATTCTCCTCTTGCCTTCATTCTCCTCTTGCCTTCATTCTCCTCTTGCCTTCATTCTCCTCTTGCCTTCATTCTCCTCTTGCCTTCATTCTCCTCTTGCGATATACTATCAGTCTCAAGACATTTGTTCATGATTGTGCGGGATGCAATGCTTCATTCCTATCAACCTGTAGACGTCGAAGGCCTTGCAGCCGACTTCACGGGTTCAATCTCCATGCTCTAACGTTCCTGCTTTGGCAGCCTGCGCTCGCTCTGATCTATGACTTTTACCCGTCTGAATGCCGTCGTGTCTCGTCTCTCGTCAAGGATGCCTGTCAACAGTATCGCAGTATCAGTCATCCGAAGCGACCTTTTCGATCTTGCCGTCCCTTTTCTCGCCTGTCTCTCCAATGATTCTAATCCGATCGAGGCGGACTTTCTCATTGTCCCCTTCACTCTCGACGATGAACAAGACCAAACTGGACACGTTCTGGAACTTGACCAAGCGCAGATCTATCTTAGCGGTGCCGGTTTTCGGGTCCCAATCCTTCTCCGATAGAGTGATCTCTTGAGTCGGCTGTGTGTCCTCCGCCTCGTCGAACCCGAGAACTCGTGGCCGGTTGGTGTAGAGCTTGATCAACTTGGGTCTGCTGGGCGATTCGTCGTCGTCGTCATCGGAACTGCCGGGCAGGGAAGTGAGGTGTATCGAGTGGATCTTCAAGGCGCACTGGAAGGGGAGGTAGAACATGAGTTGCTCGTCCGTATCACTTTGAACCCAGTCGGTTGGGGCATCTGCTTGACCTATAACTTCTTGTCAGAAACATACTGTGGACATAGTGTGTAGTTAACTACATCTCAAGCAATGAGAGCGCAGCCTAGCCTTACCTTTCGGTTTGCCACCACTGATCAAGGTCCTGGCGTTGCCATGGTCCGAGTCCCAGTTCAGCAGTTCCATGCCCAAGACATCGGCTTGAGAGGTCACATCACTGTAGCCGCGTGGAAGCTCTGCTCCGAGCCAGGTGCCGTTGCTCGAGGTCCCGCCGGCCTCGTCGGTTTCCATCTTGTTCGCCTCGGTGGCCAGTTGCTTGACGGCGTTGGACAGTCGGCGCGGGTCTGCGCCTTCGATGAACTCAACACGCCGCGCGTTCTTGAAGATCATGAACGTGGGCATGGCCTTGACTCCGTAGGATCGGGCAAGGTCGACCTGTTCATCCGTGTTGATCTTTGCGAATGTGATTTTGTTGGGTCGCGACAGCTGTGCCGACAGTTGCTCGTAGATGGGGGCGATCTGACGACATGGCCCGCACCAGTCGGCATAGAAGTCGGCGACGACAATGGCTGAGGAGGACAGGAGGGTGGAAAACTGCGAGGTCGACTCGATATGGATCGTTTTAGACATGACGGCGGATGGAGGGGGTTAGGTTGGGCGTGTTCAGTTCTCCCGGTCCGTGGCGGACGTGGTGAGGTTGCGCTGGAGGCCCCACGATCGAGAGGCTCTATCACAGAGGGACAAGCTGGTGCAGTCGATAAATAGGATGAGATACTTGCGAGTCAAAAACAACAACTTGAAGTAGACGGGGTCAAGGCGACGAGCATATCATGTGCAGAGTGAGAGTGATACATGCAAGTGGCGTCTGAGTCCGCCTGAGTAGTAACTGACTAGTCTTGGCCAGGCTGCGCTTCAGACTTCAGTAGAACATCGTTTCACCAAACTTGAACCACAGCCGCTTCTCTTGCCCATCGATCGCTCTCACTGTGCTTCTTGATCTGGACTCTTCCGGATCGCATCACCTCAGAGCAGATACTTTAGAGATGTTCCTTTGTCTGTGGTGGAAATACAAGATCGATGAGCTTATATGATTGAAGAGTTCCATCCTTCGTTTCCTTTCCAGAAGAGAAGATATACACAGTATAGTAGTATTCAGTCCACTTTCTGTATTCTTACACACCTAGACAGATAAATATACAATGACAGGTAGTTAGTCAGTCATCTATCTCCTCTCAGTAGCCAGTACTTTTTTCATACCCGCTATAGCAATGCCTTGATGCGAAGAAACACCAGCAAACCCACGAGGAGCACCACGGTTTCTTATGATTCCCATCTCCGGAGTCCCTATTATAATGTTCCATTCCCATATATGCAATGTCCAACAGCATGCTTTCCGCAATGTTGATGATAGTCCAAGTCCTCCCTCATCCATACGCCGTCCATGCCCGGATATGAAAGACGCCAGTAAAACCGTCCCAGTTGAAAACGTACTTACTGTAGGCACACCCTTTACACTTCAGTCTCGACTCCTCCGCTCTTCTTGTCTTCGTTATGCTCAAAAACCTGCCCGATCCGACCTTTGCCACGCTTGACTTTGCCAGCCATCCAATCCATCGTCCTGACCCCTTTCCACTGCATGACACCGCGGTGTTTGCGATGCAGCTGGCGACGGTGGTCCTTGTAGTCTCTAACCTGGGCTCTGAGCCCGCGCGAGCCGTTGTCTGGGTCGTTATGGCCATCGACATCCAGCATGGCTGCGGCGATGTCTTTGACCTTGGTGAGGGGCTTCTGGGCCAGCTGGGTGGGGTCGAGCTTCGATGTCGGTGACGACGTCTCGCCCATGTCGCTGTCCGAATTGGACGAGTCGTCGTTGACGTGGGTGCGCAGTTTCTTGTGGCGGCGACTTCTCTTCTTCCCCTTTCTCTCCTTCGCAGCCGAGGGCACTCCGGCTTCTGATCTTGATGACGAAGGTGTGCCTGCCCCTGAATCCGAGTTCGAATCCGAATCCGATCCGGAGTCTGAATCTGTGCTGGACCGGTCGCCCGCATAATCGTCTTCTTCGTCTTCTTCTTCGTCCACTTGGCCCTCGTCGTTGGCGGTGTCCAAAACCTCCATGACATTTTTCAATTCGCTGTGCTTGCCTTTACTTGCAAAACTCTTGTGATAACCGCTCAAGCCGCGCCAGAATTTGAGCGTGAGTTCAATTTCACCCAGCGGCTGTTCGCCTTCTTCCATGCCGTTGTACCCGTAGCTCGTCGTCATGCGGTGTGCGTTTTGCTTGCCGCCTTTCCACACTGGGATTGAAATGGTCCTCTCTTCGTCGTCCGGGATATCTCTGAGCCAGAAGACACCCAACGCGGGCGTCGAGTCTGGACCGAAGACCGACTTGCGGAACTCCACTATCAACGGACTGGAATAGCGTTTGCGGACAGCCAGGAAAACGCACTCTCTCTCGTGCTTCGGTCTCCATTCGACTTTGCCATCCCCGGTCGGCGACATCTTCGCTCTCATGAGGTTGGTCCTTAACTTCATGCGATGTTGAGTGAACGAGCTGCCATTGTCACCACTGGACTTCAGCTTGACAGGACACTTGATCTCCAGCGTGCCGTAGTTCCAACCCAGCAACTCTGTGGGCAGCTTTAGCTGCACGCTGCGCCATACCATGCTAATCCTCACCCTGCCATATCCTATCCCACCTACCAGTGGATAGGTCTCCATGACCTGACTAGATTTCTCAAAAACCCGGCGGAGAGGCAAGTAGACGATTCCGAGCAAAGGGTCGTCTTCCCTTTCGCGATCATCACGCACAGAGACCATGATCTCAGCCGTCTTCCAGTCTCCAATGAACCGCTCCGTGCCAGCGTTGAAGAACGGTTTCGAGTTCTTCGGCTTTGTCCGGGTGCGATATACCTTCTGATGGTTGAGGATGATGGTGGCGTAACTACTTGGTAGGTCATCATTCTGCTCGGCCTCGTCCTCCCGGTCACCGTCTTTATGTTTCGAGTCTCTCTTCTGTAAACTCTCCACTTCCAAGCCCGTAATATTGTGAATTTGAATGCTGAAGATTCCACTGGGATAGTCTGTTGGAGGAGGGCTGGAAATGATCAGCGCGTCTTCCCGTTCCTTGTAGTCTTCTTGTTGTTGATGCTTGATCTCCTTGCTTTCATTGTGAGCAGTGGCTTCCCGCAGCTTGCTCTTTGCCGACTCGGTCACCTTCGCACGAAGATCTTCAATGGACCGGATATTTGGATCTTGCGTCTGCTCGGCAAGTTGTTCTTCTGTTATCTCCGTCTTAGCAAAATATCCAACTCGCCATTGCACCGTGCCGGGCATATCTTCGTCTGGGTCTTCGCCTCTAAAACGGTCCTCCCGATCGCACATTTTATTCTTGGTTTTCGGACTGTGCATGAGGTTGTGCAGGTCGACTTCGACCCGTCCAAGGTCGTCATCCGCCGTGTATTTGTCCGAGTCCCAGATTTGGAGTCGGAGTTTCTCATCTGCGTTCACCTCTTCAGGCGTGACCAAAATAGACGCCCACTCATGCCAAGCTGGGGCCTGGTCATCGACGATGACTCTTGTAGACGCCACAGGCTTTCCAAACTTACCCCATGAGACAGTCATGTAACCATCGCTCGAGCCGCCAAATGGACCAATCCTACCGTCACCTTCTTTAAAGCCTTGGGCAGACTTGATATAGATCATCACCACGCCCCTGGCAGTTGTGTCTTTCTTGAAATCATCCCCAACAAGCATGTCTTTAAGATCTAACGTCAGACTCTTGGGTGCAACATACTCCGCCAGAGCGGCGTCGATTGCAGATTGGACAAACGACGATATCAAAGGCACATCCATCAGATTGAGGGCGTGTCTAGACACAGGTATACAGGACATATCGGCCTGCGGTTGTCCCATGAATGTCAATGTACAGAGACTGAAGAACGGGGGATCCGGCGTCAGTTGTAGTCTCAACCTCAACGTGCCGATGAGGCCTCGTAACTCTACCCAAACAGGAACCGCAATACCTCCTGGAAGGTAGAATTTGAGGTAGAGATGAGGATTTTTGGCCTTGGCTTGTAGCGATTTTCCGGAGGATCGAGCTCGATAGGCGAAGGCCAATTCCAGATTGACAAAGTCACCTTGTTCAGCCTCCATACCTTCACGAATGGCTTGCTGTTCTTGTTCGTCTTCTTTCCGGCCAGGGCCCTTGTCGTCGGACTCCCCGTCGTCGCTTTTCTTACCCTCGATGTCATCGTCTTCGATCTGTCCTTGGCCAGGAGAGGCTCGGTCACTCTTTTCCTCATCTTCGGCTGGCTTAAGCTTGCCGCCTGCGCCTACACTTCGACTAGCAGCACCTGTCGGCAGCCAATTCACGCCCAGGATTCGGAAAGCCTCGCTTCCCTGACCGAGGTCATCGACGCTGACCATGCGGATGACTTTAGGCAGGGAAGCTTGCATGACATCCTCCAACATATCGGCGACGGAGGTGAACAGGTCCGGGTTGATAAGTGGCCAAACTGCGGCCAGGAGCTTATTCAACCAAGTCACGGACTCGGGGATAATGTCCTCTGAGTCGGGCGCTTCGAGTTGCTGTTTGCGAGCCGCATCCCACACTTCATCGCTCCAGATCGCCTCCACCTTCTTCCCTAGCCAGCCACGCATTGCAAAGATGGCTGCGAATCCAATGGCCGCGGGGATAGTGGAGATGGCGACCACGGAGACGAAAGATAACCAATTAGAGTGACCAGGCTTGTGCAATCGGGGAGAGTCAGAGTTCAGATCAAGGAGTCGAGAGACAGCGATTGATAATGACACCGACAGCACAACACTTCCCAGCCCAACCGTCAAGGCAAATTGATATGTCCTAGTCATCTCAGCTCTCACCTCTCCAAACATCGGGGGTGGGAACAATTTCTGCATCCCATCATGACTCTTTTGCAAGTAGTCTTGCTCCGAAACAATGTCGGACTTTGACTTTCTCGCACCACTAACTCCTGTCATGGTGCTGGGCTCGCTTCCCGAGGTAGAGATGTTCTCCGGCGCGGCCTTGAGGTCCTTGCGGGTTGAGTCTCTGATGATGATGGGGAGATGGGTCACAGGATCGGTGACTTCCCTACCACCAGCGTTGCGCTTCTTGTGTTTCATGGCCTTCCTCTTCTGCCGGGGATCTGTTTCCGCTGCGACGGCCTCGGTGGCCGACTGGCCCTGCTCATCGACCTGGTCATCCTTCTCGTCAGAGGAAGACGCCTGCGTCTGTCCATCCTGGCCATCCGTGTCTGACTGCTGCTGGGCATCAGGTTGCGACTGTCCCGGACGCTCCACGTTTCTGTTCTCTGTCTTGTACGGGTCATGCGCTGGCTTGGAACCGTCTTCGCCCTTCAGTACACCTTTTACAGCATGGAATGCTCTTTTCACCGTGCCGCCGTCGTCATCCGCGTCGTGCTGTGCATCTTCGGCCTGCTGTTGCTGGTCCTTCAACCCGCCTCGGTGCTCTCTATATCTTTGGATGGTAGGAATCGGATGTCGCGAGGTATAAGGTCCTTTGTGTGCCCTCCGGTTACTGTCTGGGTTGAAGTCGTTTGATGAAGACATTGTAGGAGGGCGTCTCTGGTAGGGTAGAGTAGAAGTAGAAGCAACTCGACGAGGTAGAGACAAGGGACAAGTGAAAGAGACCTGCCTACCTCGAGGTGCCGTGCGAGGCAAACAAGTATCAGCATCAAATTACCCAGGTGACGGAGATTACCAGGAGTATTCGACTCAGACCGTGAACGTGTCTTTCTAGGGATGAGAATAGGGGAAATTCTACTGCGGAAAACATCATTCATTACCGCACAGGGTCTGTTTTGAACGACTTGGACCAAGGCGAAGAAGTCAGAAGCAGGAAGCAGGCATTGCGAGAAATGGGCCAAACATGACGTCGTTACCCACGCGGCAAGAATCAAGCGAGAACTTGAAGCCCACAAATGCCTAGAACTACTTAGTAGGGCCTAGGGAGCCTTGCAGCTTGGGTCAATTTCAGGCTTTGCCGTGTCTTTGGCCTGCACTCCGCATTTTCACCTCAGTGCTACAGAATTATTATTACAAGAGCAGCAGTATACAGGGCAGCAGAGTAGCAGGGGGCATTGCCTCGACCGGGATTCTGCAAGGATAAGGAGAAGACAAAGAACTTGATCGGGCCTCCCTCCCCTGTCAAGGGGTATGTAATGCCTGCATTTGCCCGCCCAATTCAGCACCTGACCCCGGATGTGATCACCCGCCAACGGTAGTAGGGATTGTGGCGCCACTATGACGCCTAATTGTCTAGACTATACCAACAAATACGGCGGTGGAAATCTTACCATCGCAGACAGACACACACCATCCTCATCTTGAGAACAACTGCTCCCCTGATATACCAGTTTTGACCCTGCACGTATCTATGCCTCTGACCAGATCAGAAGATCGTCCGTGTATTGATGTCCAATAACAACACCCCGAGTGCTCAAGGATCGCAACACACCCACTACGACGTACTTCAGCTCCCCCGACACGGAGACGGACAACGGTTGTCGAAAGATGAGGTCAAAGCCGCATATCGCCGTGCATTGCTCCTCCACCATCCCGACAAGGTCCAAAGCGGTGCGTTGAAGCACTCTACTGGACCTACCACATCTCTGTACTCGGTCGACGAGATTGTTGTTGCCTATGAAGTCCTCGCCGATCCTGAAAAGCGTCATGCATACGATCGAGCGCTCGACCAGAATGACAGATCTGGGCTGAAAGGAGCCGATGGGGGTAAAGGCACACATATCGGAGTCGAGCTATACGACTTGGAAGATCTGGTATATGATGAAGTTCGGAATATCTGGTCCAAAAGCTGCCGTTGTGGTGACGAGCAGGGATACACTTTGACAGAGACGGACCTGGAGAGGGAGAGTCAGCATGGAGAAATCTATGTTGGCTGTCGAGGCTGTAGTCTGTTTATCAAAGTCTTGTTTGGACTGGTTGAAACGTGAACTGTAAACCACAGTCCCACCTTCGAGCATGTCTCAACTGTGTTCGTGCTGCCTTCATTGTGCTTTGACGTCCATCAGTTCCCGAGTTGCTTTTTCCTCCAGCGCGTTGAGAGCACCGAGGGCCTCTTTCACATCGCCTAAGCGACCCTGCAAGACTGCCTCCAACTCGGCTTTCATCGCATCATACGCGTCCGCGAGTTCTACAGCTTCCTTGATGATGTTGCTCTCAATATCGGCTTTTTTCCGCGACAGGTCAAGCAGACGTGCTAGCTGGGCGTCTTGAATACGCATACTGTGGCCATGCAGAGCGTCAGCTTCAAGGTGACAACGAAGGCATCAAGCAAAAAAGGAGGTCGGGCAGCGACTCGTGTGTGAAGGATGAATGGATTTCCCTGGAAGGGCACTTGGCAGAATGAGAACTCCGGAGCGGTGAATGAGTCAAGTTGATGAAGCAACGACGATGATTGACAAACAAAGAAAGACTAGAACATACCGCTCTCGTCGATACTCCTCGACTCGCTGATCAATGCGATCCTCAAGTGCCTGTGTTTGTTCTTCAAACCGCGCTTCGAGATGCTGCTGCTTCTGCGCTTTGCGTAGTCCGGCCTGTATGTCGAGCAGCCAATGTCAGTGTTTTAGGTCACGTTGTGTTGGACAACGAGGGATGTGATGGGTAGTATGATGTCTCAGGTTTGAGAGAGAGGGAAGAACAGCAGAACTGACATCTACTGCCATACTCCTCTTAATGCTCTCCTCCATCTCCCTCATGTCACCTCCGCTTGCACTCGCACTCGCACTTGGACTTCCACCTGTCACCGAGTCACCATCTACATCCGTATTCACGTCCAGGTCCACGTCTCCAGCTCCATACAAATCACCATCCTCAGCCTCGTCTACAACTGTACGGCCTTGGCCTTTGTGACTGTTTCGACTGACTTCCGACGCACCGAGAGACCGAGATGGTAGCGGCGCCGACCTTCTCGCTGGCCGTTTCGGAGGCATTTTGACTTTGTGCACAAGTGTGGCTTGAGCGATTTGTAGTGGACTTTGGTGGTGCGGAAAATCAGCAGTGGATAGAGGACCGTCGAAATACGAATTCTACCAGACAGGTCCAGCAAGAGTCAGGTCAGGTCACCTGGAGGGAATGGCGCAGGGATTGAAACCCCGAATGAAGAAATAGCAGGTACGAGACTGGCATTACAGTCTTTGGTAGTATCGAGCTCGTCACTCGTGGTCACCCCTTGGCAAGAAGAACGATGCTTCTGGTATGGGAAAATGCAGTTGGTGATAAGACAAATGAACTGGAGAACATGGGAGCACAACGAAGCAGTGTGAACAATTGCCCCCAAAACAAGTACTTCATTGTATGGTGATGACCACACTCGGACTGCGGACCAGCTGCAGTGGTCTCTATTCCAGTGTTTCCCGCTCCAACTCTGCTTCCACCGCCGTGGACGCAGCTGGAGTACCCGGCCACTATTAATGACTGCTCATGCCGCAGTTCAGGATACGACACCATACTAACCGTAAGGCAGATATGCAAATGATCCAGGTCCAGGCCTTTCCAACTCGAGCCCTACTATCTTGATCTCTAGGGCGGCTGTCCGAGCAGCCCTACCCTTTTCTCTCCTTTTCGTTCCAGTTCGTGCCTCACTCAACGATTTCTAGCTCCCCCTGTCGGTCTTTGGCGAAGACATCCTTGTAGGCGTCCCACAACCGGACCAATTCCTCCACATATCGTGCATGGACCTGATCCAAGTACTCCTCGTCCACTTTGTTGTTCTTGGTGCCTTGCTGCACAACTTCGATCGGTCGTCCCACGACAATATTGACGGCGCGTCGATATGGCATGAGGCCGACATCATAGTTGAAGATCCCCCGCGCGTGAAACAGCGGGACAGTGAACCCCATCAGCTTCTTGATCAGCATCTGGCTCTTGTGGATCAACGGGTGCTGAACGCTGTCGATTTGGTCGTACAAGTCGTTCTCCCCGAAAGCCAGGACAGGCACAAGGTCTGCACCCTGGCGAATCGCCAGCTTGACAAAGCCTTTCCTGCTCTTCAAAACGAGTCGAAGCGTTCCAGGTCGAGCATCTAGACTCTCCCGAGCACCGCCAATGACAATTGTCACAGCACGACCCATGCCTTCGCCGTTGTGGCCGCCTTTGGAGAGAATGTTCTCAATGGACTCGCGTGAGACTGAAGCGACGCCCATCGCCAAAGCATAGTCTCGATACAGTGGGACACGGAAGTTGGCCTCGAGTGTTAACAGAGTGTTCGTAATCCCCGGATAGAGCTCTGAAAACCCAAGTGCTTCCGTGGCGAAAGCGGCAAATGCTCCATGGGAGACAATTCCGTGTGGATGGTATCCAAAAATGTACTTTCTGGTGGGCTCCAGCTCGACCGTGCGATGCAATCTGGCGGGAAAGTAGGATGCAAATGCAGACCAGACTTTCGATCTGCGTAAACGCTCCGACCGCCTCGCGAGGGTGCCGTTGGTGGCTTCCTCGCTGATGAGGAGCGTATATATCAGGTATGGAATGAGAAGCGGCCACGTCAGTGGGATGGCGCACAGCACGAAGAACAGTGATAGGAATATAGGAATGGTAACGGTATGCCACAAGACCGCCAGGGTCTGAAGGCGTCGTTGCAATGGTACGTTGAGAGGTGCCCAGTGTATCCTGCGAAAGGTCAATTAGCAGAACTCGATGCACGGTGATAGGTTCTGACGTACGCCGACTTTTCCCAGCCTGCACCCGCCCGTCGGCCACTGGCAAGCTGCGCATTTGGGATATCCTGTCTTTTGGACGGCCTGTTCGACTTTTTCTCTCGCGGAGTACTCTCCGTGCTTTTCTGGAGGCTCTCCTCATGGCGGTCGACCGGCTTAATGCTTGTCAAGGGCACCTGTCCGTGGGAATCGGTATGCTTTTCATAGAAAAGTCTGTCCTTGTCAAGCTGTTTTCTCTGACCGTTAACCTTGACCGTATGACCGTTGGCACTTCCGTTAGCTGCACCATTTTGAGCCGTAGCATTCACAGACTCGTTGGGCTTTGCATTCTCCTCGACCGGTTCGCTGACCGCAGCCGCGTATGACTTGGGAAGATGGCTGTCCCCTGTAGTATCTTGTGGCTCCACAGGTTTGGGGATTGATTGATCGGTGTGTTTAACTGTGCCATTACTCTTGCCGCCCATTGTCCCATTCTGTGAGGCTGCAGAACTGTCGTGTCTTGCCTCTTTATCGTGGATCTTGCTCTCATTCGGGTCTTCGCTGGCCGCAGCGGCGTAGGACTTAGGAGGAAGGTTATGTTCTGCACGATCCTGCGGCTGCGACGGCTCCGAGTTCAATTGGCCGGTGCCAGCAGTGGCATACGTTGACGCCATTTCAGAGTAGTCGGACAAGGAACCACTCTGCAGCGACTGAGCACGCTCACCGAACCATGCAAAGTCGGAGTTGCCACGCTCAAGCATGAATCAGCAACTCTGCGACATGGCGAAGAGACAATAGAAAGAATGCTTGTGGCTTGTAATGTTGCACAGGAGGGGCTTTGGGGGCTTCTTCTGTATGTAGAGAAGCTTGTGTAGGTAGTCAGGTACGTCCTAGATGAGCAACATTGTCTCCATGGTCATGGTCACGATTGTGGAAATCAAGGTGAGCACTGCAGTCGTTGCTTGCACAGCTTGCACAGCCCTGATGACGTCAAAGCATAGTAGAACATCGTATAACCACTAGTAGCACATAACTACCGACTAATTGTGCTAGTAGATATTCAACACCTACTAGTAGTAAAGCGGTGGTGGGATGAATGTACATCAGTACAATTACCTCGTACGACATGTAGTCAAGAATCATATGCTAGATGAAAATACCTTTATGTATACAGAGATACGTATACGCATGCATGTCGACCAGACACGATCCTAGGACGCCCACCCCACTCCTCATGCAACCCGTGCCATATATCTCATTGCCATTGTTCGGAAGTGAAGCATCACTAGTATAAACAATACTCGACGCCGCCCGTCGAAGCATTGCAAAGACGCTCAGTGTAAAAGTCAGGTTGCAGCATATTCCGTTTTCACAAAGCTTTCGGGGCAAAGCCAACCTGAGTGTTGTCGCTGTCGAACACGGCAAAGACGGCTTTGAGGAAGACATCTCCGTAGATGGAGAAGCCGAGGCCTTGGTTGCTCTGGATTCCTCCATAGCATGCTGCAATTAGTTCAATCAGTCCCGTGAGTTGACATGGTCAAAACGAATGACTTACTTGAGCCGGTGGCAGGCGCAAAGTTGATGAATGAGCCTGGGACGACAGCATGGTAGTCTTCAATGCCGACCACGAAGTCCGGAAGGCTGGCTGAGCAGGGGAATATATAGCCACCTTGAGTGTTGTCGTATCTGGCGCTGCTGACTTGGCTGTAATAGTCGCTGACAATAGAATCATCCAGGAGAAGAAGAGTCGTGCCGGTGTCGGCGATAGCATCGATGCTGATCTGCTGGAAGGATCCGTCCCCAACGCCGTAGCCAGTACCTGTGAATTCCCAGAACCCGTTGGCCGTATTGACTGGAGTGTAGGTGATGGCCCCGGTGTGCTTGCTGCCGTCGATGAATCCGAAGTTGTAAGTCCCTGGAGCGCCCTTCTTCAAGTCGGCGGTGAAAACATTTTGGTCAAGGGCTCCTTCGTTGATTGCGGTATCAAAGAATGTGGTCTGTTGGGTAGGCTGGACTGAATAAAAGTCAGCTTGATCCCAGATCTCGACGTACTAGTAGGCAGGGTCCAGCACCGACCTGTGTTGATAGAGCTGAAGGCCAGACCGAGCAAGCCATCGTTGTCTTCGTCTTGCTGAAACTCGGCGCTAATCTGCGAAGCCAGTTCGACAGCTTGGCCGGTGACTGTCGTGCCCCCAACATTGACTGTGTCCGTGTAGACGTTGCCACTGGCACCAGAGCCATCACCGTAGCTGATGTTCCACGTCGCACCAGAAAGCATTCTGCTGGTGTTGGACTTGGAAGCATCATAGTAGCTGTGTCCAGATCGCTGAGAGGCAGGTAACTCTGACGAGAAGACCCATCTATGCATGATAAGCATCCACTCATTCAAGGTCTGAGGTGTCTGAGCCGCCTACAGATCTGCAGATCCCGTGTCAAAGTCCAAGTTCAATGTCTGGCCACCCACGGTCACAGGGCAAAGATATTCTGCATCGTACTCCTCGGGGGTTGCGGTGACGGAACCATCAGCTGCAGCTGCCTTGACGTCTGCGGGGATAGCCTTGTTAAATTTGTTATAGGCCTTTTGCAAGACGACTGGACCGGCTTGGAATGGCTTCGCAACGGCTTGAACAATCGTGAAGCCCTTCTTGGTCGTCACCTGAGGGGCAGGAATAGGTTTTGCATGGGTAAAGGAAGCAAGGGCGGAGATGGCCAACAGAACTGAAAAGGAAGGCATGTTCAGGATGCAAACGAGGGACTGAGCTGAAAATTAATGATAAGGGAGCCAATACCTCGCGAATGGTCAATGAAAGAGTGCCTTGTTCCAGAAGACAGATGTCAAAGAGGAGCTTCTCGTCGAGGCTTTATACATCTCGACATGATCCATCAGTTGTTGCCGGTAGCGCTTGCCGTTGCGAATATACAGCGAATCCATGGTCTGCTCAGAGCCTTGCGCTATGTGGCCCCAAAACAGACAAACCCACATCACAACGCGATGGTACTCTATACCTGGCAGAACGAGGATCTTCCATCCTGAATGACTCCAGTCGATGATGACACATTGGAGCAATGTACGATTGGAGACGGTCGAGAAGTGATCTAAGCCTCGAAGCTAGACGCAGACATGTTGGATGCCTCTTGTGATTCGAGAAGGTATTTGAGCACGTCAAGCATCCGAAAGAAGCTTGACGGTTTTAATCTGACGACAGAGAGCGTGTGAGATACTCGATTGGATGCTGTTGCAAGTGAAGGCGGCTGATGTACTCCCCACCGTCCCCCTACCTTGCATCATCAAGAGTGACATGGGTTGCAGATAAGGACATCTCCAAGCTGCATGGAACAATCGAATCATGCATGGAAGAAAAGTTGGACTGGGGGAGAACTTGAAGGGATAGCCATGTTTGAGGAAAGAAGATTAAGATGAAGTTGGAAGTTGGAAGCAGAAGTGCCTGTTGCTGATGCTGATTGGTTGCCAGACAAGGCACGCTATGCCATTCTATACAGAGGCGAAACCCCCTTTGGTGTTGGATGTATTTCCCACTTCCACAAACCACAGTCGTCCTCGGCTCCTCTTATCAACCCCTGGCAAGGTGGTAGCCAGGTCCGCTGAAGCCAGTGAGTGCACTCGAGCCGGTTCTCACGGGTTTGTATACCTGCTGTGAATCTCTATTTGTAAAGGTTGAAATGAGTTCCTCCACTACTAGTCATCCGGTTTTCCAGATGAGGATCCCTGGCAGACCTGTTATGGGCCAATGTACGCAACTTACTGCTTCCTGACGCAGATCAACCCGGAAATGACGGAGTATTTGTGATTTGACGGCTATGCCAGACACGGTCCGGCTGGCAAATACGGTGCAGACCTTGTCTTCTTTTCGCCATGATTGCATGCAGAACGCAGCGAACGCGTCGAGGGTAAACGCCTTCCGAAACGTGTCATATCCTTTTTGAACCATTGAGATGCATGTCATCGGCAGAACTAATGCAAACCTGAGATTGTAACCTAACAATCACCTCTTGCTACAGGGGGGCAGGGTCCAACGACAGGCCTCCTGACTGCAACCCAGATTCAAGCATTCGCCGGGGTACTAAAGCGTACCATTACCCAAACAAGAAAGGATACAGCAGAAGCCCGGGCTGTGAACAACGCACGCCATGGGCAGTAGTCCTAGTGAGATCGACGGTCAAAGATATGAATGTCGAATTCGTGCTGTGCATCCTGCTGATCTAACACTCTCAGAAGTAATGCTTGTTGAAAAATAAACATATCACATCCAGCTCACGAGCCATGTGAGGTATTATAGCGCCTTTTTATTGTTTATGTTCTGTTCGTGTCGTCATGTAGAAGTTGCATTGGAGCTGTGCCTCGCGTCAGCTAAGGCGCAGTTCGGGGAGGTGGTGGATAGTCGAACGGCCTGTCCGTGTCCAGGCGGGAGATGGGTGTGGCGGCCAATCCAGCTAGGGTGCTGGCCGCATCGCTTTCGGACCGCTCCAGTACAGGATGAGAGTCCTCCAGCCCCGGCCTGCGGAACGCCAACGGATTCGTTGGCGCCGGCGAACCACTCTCTCCCGGTGCTGTACCCACGGTCGACCGACTTCGAGGAGGTGGAAGGGTCCTTAAATAGGGCCCGTGAGAGAATTCGGGGACACGGTCTGGCGGGAAAGGTGGTGGCAGTTGGGGAGGATGTGGTTGCTGCATCCCGACCGGCCCATATGGCAGAGAAGAATGACCACCTGCTGGTTGGTCTGCGTATCCGCGGATATCAACCGGGCGGCTTCCCCATGGTCTCTCTTGCATGGTCGGGGAGGAGAAGTTTGGCGGGAAAGCCGCGCTTGGTGGAGGCGCGCCACTGATACCAGACGCGGCAGAAAAGCTTGAACGCTGCTGTTGGTATTGAGGCGATTGGTGCTGCGGCGGATGCAAAGGCTGCTGCTGCATTCCGTACAAAAGCCTCTGCCGTGCAGGTACATCAGGGGATCCCATCGAATCCACGAGCAACGCGCTTGAAGCCTGCGGCTGAAGAGGTGGTGTGGCCGCCGACGGAGGAATCCCAAGTGACAGAGTTGCCGTGCGCATCAACGGCTCCGGTAGATCACTGCGTACTGTGGATGACTCGTCTGAGATTGAGCTGTGACGCGAGGGCACACCAGGACGGAAGTAGTCTCGACTTTGCTGGAGCGCCGGAGGCGAGCCGCTACGCGAGGAGGGCAGCGGTGGCCGCGACGTAGGTTGCGTCCCACCACCGATGAAAGGCGACGATGCCACAGACCCGACTGAACCTCCCCTGGCATGGCCGGAAAGCTGTGAGACAATGTCAGGATTGGTCTCCAGTGACTTCGCGGAAATGATGCTGCCGCTGGATTCGGCGTCGAGCTTAGGCCTCTTTGGCTCCGACGTCTGCCCATGCTTGCTCTTGAAGTCCGCGAGATACTGCATATACTCCTTGTACGCCTCGGTCTTTCTATATGTGGACAATTGGATATTATATCTTTCTTTAGCGGCGTTGGCCTGGCTCTCAAATGGCTCCTTGCCGGCAGGATCCAGTTTCTGCCATCGGTCGCCCACGAGTTTGGCAATCTGTGTGAACGACAGGTTCTGGTCCTTCACCTCTTCACGCACCTTGTTCGAGAATATCACGTAGGCGGAAGGAGGGCGCTCGGGAGCATTTTCATCGGGCTTGGGATGACGCCTATACTTCCTCTTGGTCTCGGGAGGCGGCCCCGACGCCCGTTCCGTACCCAGGGCAGGGGGTGCACTGCTCTCAGGAGCTCTGCCACTGTCCGTCAGCGTTTCCTGCGCGGGTGACCCAACGAGGCGTTCGTAGGAGATGCCTCGGTATTCAGCGATCGCGCGCTGCAGTTTCTTCACCAGATGTCAGCGACCCTGCTCGGAAACCGTGGGTTCATAGAAACTCACCCGGCGGTGGCCAAGTTTGACATTAAGGGCATCACTAGAGCCTTGTGAGCATGTGCCAACTTTGCTTAATGGACAGACTAGACTTACAAGTCACTCTCTTGAATGTCTGTTAGGGTCTCCCAGCTATCGAAGCCCTCGCCTATGAAGGCATCGAGGTACTGCTCAAGGCCCAGACGCTCGAGATGGGGGGCGAGATCGGTCATTCAAGCGCACCAGGTCTATCATCGAGAGCAGAGTGTGGCCCGTGGCGTGAAGCAGTCTCAAGCGGAAGGCCGATCAACCAGGACGATCTGCCACGCAAGCTATACGATCGATCGCAGAGCAGATCGACTGTTGTCGCATGTGGGAGCAAAGGGGACTGACGTGACCGTGTCTCGGTCAAGCAAGCATTCGTCGACAAGTTGTATGAGTGTCGACACGATCCTGACAGTGGCAGTGGTCTTATATGGATAGCCCTGGCGATATCATCAACCACAGGTAGGAAGCTTGGGCATTCAAGTTCGACCAGAGATGTTGTAAACGACACAACGAGTTTTGCACGGCTTGAATCTCAACGCCCAGCGCAAATTGCTTTTCTAAAAGGAGGATGAGGGCTCCCTTGAGCTCGCCCACTTCGATACGATCACCCACCTGGGATGGGCACGTATCAGGAGTTAAGTATTCAGGGTCCCCAGGATCTGCCTCAAGCCTGCAAGCCCACAGCAGCGTGGTGGTGGGGTCGAGGCAAATGAGAAGCAATGCTGATCAGGCCCCTGCGATGGTAAGTTACAGAGTAGACTCTGCGGTTCAACTCCGTGTCGACAAGGTGGGTTTGGTCGATGTGAGAAGGGGGTATTTCGATCGCGACCTGGGGCAGTATGCAAAAATTTGATGGCGATAAGACAGCCGACCACGCGTCGAGCGGATCGATTGTGTAGAAATTGCTGTATATGTCGCAAAGATGGATTTCGCACAATATAGCCACCACCGGATCTGCGTGAAAATGATCTGACAAGGAAAATGGCGGCAAGCGCCTGTGTACGGAAAGTATGGGAAAAGGGATCGAAAAAGATCGAGAAATGGTCGGCGATATGCAAGTCTATAGGCTCTTCACGCCCAGGAGGAAAGCGATATTTGGAAAAAGAAGCCAAGTCAGGTGTCAATTTGGACGTGGAGACGCCGATGGTGAGGTGATGCAAGGAGCGTCTCCATCCGCCTGGTGTGCCGTCATTCGCCGGCTAGCGAGGAGCGAAAACAGAGAAAGCTCTCGTCGGTTTTCGATGGATGTGGATGATGGATGGGGTTCAGACCAGGGGAGCATGTCCTAGGCTTCTTGAGGCCGGCTGCAGTGGGTTAAGCTGCCGACCCATATTGAGGGCTCCCCCCTTTAACAAGCGGTAACATGGTCCAAAGGTCCATCCTTAGTTCCCAACCGCGTAACCGAGCCATACGAGCCACGCATTACTCTGTATTCATTGGCGTACCTCTCCAGGTGGTGGTGTTGTAGCCTCATGGTTGAGCCCATGTAGGCTATGAGTGGAGAGACCGTCTCGTCCTACCCGCAACATGGTGGCTGCGTGGCCGGACTGACTGGTGAGACCATCATTTACTGATGTGTTCGCTTCCTGGTGAAATATATGTACCAACGTCTAGGCCAGGGCGGCAGTCTCAAGCGTAACACCTGAAGCTCAAACGTGTATATAAGGTGGCCAGCTCCCGTGGCATTTGACGCCTCGCTCTTGGAACTACTTGGGCCTCTCTGGCGTACAGCAGGTGGCTCCTCTACGAAAGGAGAAGCACTGGGTTTCTTTGGCCCCTGCTTTGTCTCCAGCAGATGGAGGAGTTCCAAAAAACAAATTTTGTCGCAGCTCGATCCCGAGCCACGCTGATCCAGGGTCCTGTGGGCGTAAGGCAATGATGGTCATGAAGTCTTGTTGGCCTTGCGAATCCTCAATTCATGATATACAGAGCCGATGCAGGGGCTCAAAGAGAGTTTATCGAGAGGAGCCTGCTCTCCGTCAGTAAGTTGCACCAAAGCAGTAGTGTGGTGGACGAGGCGTGACAGGAATGCAGCCGGTCGATCTGGCGCCGACTTAGGAGCAAAGAGGCATTCGGAGAAGTCGTGAGTGGTCGAATTGGGGCCCTGGAGCTGTCTTGCAGGCCCCGAAGCCCGGAACATTATTCTCCATCTCGCTTTTCCATCACCATCGCTGACGTCGATTGCAGCCCAAGAACACGATCTCGGCACGCGGCAGAGTCCCTAGAAAACTGGGGAGCGGTACCGGCCAAGGTGAGATTTCCTGCAAACTTCCGATCTCTCGGGTCACAAACTAGTTGAGGACCAAGTCGACGTCGTTTCCAGGTCCATGCACACCGGCGACGACGCGGACTATGACCCCTCCCTCAACCTTCGGCAGCAACGGCGACGGGTGCCAGAAGAGAGTGATATGGAGTCGTCGTGCGGTTGTCCTGAAAAGAAAGGGTTTGACTGTACGGAAACTGCTTAAAGACCCTGAAAGCTCGCAACTGACAGGGTTAGGAGGGGGCTAAGGCCAGCAACAAGCGTTCGAACCGTGCTTTTTCTTGTCAAGTGCTGTTCTCCAGGGGCAGACGGAAGCGATCGTCTACGTATTTCGCACGATGATGGTTTGATGCGTGCATGCTAGGCGAGCCTTCCACGGGACCGCGGGAGCTTTAGGGCGTCAACGCTTCTTAGCCGCATTTTCTGATCCAATAGGGGTGATTGGCTTCTGCTAAACACTCTTGAGATGCCGATGGTTCTGTTCCTCTGGCTAAACTCATATCACATGCGGAAATATAAACCCGAACAACAGTATACGAATTCTGCGCAGGACTGTGGCTACCAAGGCATCCATCCAGTTGAAGCGATATCAGTATGAAGTCGGGAGGAAGAGATGAGGATTCCGGGAGAATCCTGCTCTTTGGACCTTCTTTCTGTTGCTGATATAGACGGTCGATCTTGAGCGGGAGAGCGGTGGGAGATCAGCAGGTCGTGAACTTGTTTTGCTCCTGGACTGTGATCAGCAATAGAATAAGCCGTAGTGGCCGCGTGGGAGCTCCTGGCATCCATTGCCTGCACAGCTCAACTTCCTGCCGAAGACCACTCTCTCAGGAAAGATCCAGTATTTCTGTCAAATGCAACTTCATTCCTGTAAGCGAAGCCCATCAAGACATTTGCATTACTAGTAGGAGGTGAAAGCGACGGTGGGTATGGTTGGCGGAGCACTGGCAAGCGGGACCTCAAAGCACCATCCACTGCCACACAGTAAGAAGAGACATAATCTCGGGCACAACACTCTCAACGTTCAAGAATCGGACTCTAAAATTGGCCTCAGGTCAACGCCCACTGGTGACTGCACGGCTTCAGACGCAGGGCCAGCCAACGCGATGACAGGCCGTTGTGCTCCATCGTCGAATGGTGGAGTTGGGAATATGCCGCCCAACCAGTGCACGCCATACAGTAAAGCACATGGACGGGAGTAATCTGAGGTGATGTGGACCACACTTACTCATCGTGGGACTTTGCAGCTCTTGTATGGGAATCTTTTGGCAATATTGATCCCGTCACCCTGGGTTGTGGTCACTGTCGTTATTTTAATGGCATAGATTCATCAGGTAGCAGTAGTAGTACACAGTCAGGTACCTAGACACCTAACCACATTACTACAACCATGAAGTATCTAGTAGTACCTAGACCTCTTTGGTTTGGCTGTCATAGTAGCATACCAGTTCAATAGGACACTGCATACCTTAGGTAGTAGAAAATTTCCTTCCCACTCAGGCATCCTCCGTCCCAAAGTTATCTAAAACAGGCTATTTAATCACCGACTTAGGCTCGACTAAACGCAAAGCTTGTTCCCCATAACTGCGTACTCTTGTAGATTTCTAGTCGGCTAGCACGGAAGGTTAAAGGTTATTACTGCACTAGAAACCTACCTACTCTCAAGTAGGTAGTAGGTATAGGTACCTTAGGTACGTGTAGTAGTGGCACAGTGGCTCTTGCCAGGTCGGCAGGTCCAGTTTAAGATCAAGGACTAAAACTTCAATTGGGCCCCGCCTGCCCGTTTAGCCTGGAGGTCCGTTGATTTGACTGTCCCATAGCACGGAACCGACCTCAGTGTCTTCCACCGCTTTCTCCTGTCTTCTATCTTGTCCCGTTCCAACATTCCCACATACCCGGCATCTTCCATCCAAAAAGCCCTCTGCATTATTCATTTCTAACCGCAGTGTCTTGAAGGCGGCGGCATCCGGCATCCGGCATCCCAGATTCATCGCCTCCCTAGCCCCCCTCTCGCGCAATGGCGCAACGCAAATCTGACTCCCAGGATGTGGATGCCCAATCAGACCTTCTTCAAGACAGCTCCAATCCGCAGCTGCTGAACTCTGAGATGACAATGGTGCGTAAAGGCCGGCCTTACTGCCGTTTTCGTCCTCCTCGCTGTGGGCTGACAATCTCGTGCAAAGGCCTTTCAAGAACTCGCACGGTATACAAGTATCCCTCTTTACCATTCAATGCTCTAACCATCGACCGTTCAGTGGCGAGAGGACCGCTTCGGCGCTGGAGTCGAAGCTCGACAGCATCGAACGCAGAATTGAAGAGTTGCTGGCCAGCATCGAGGAAAGTCCAAGCCCAACACAACAACAGAAAGCTCCTTCATCCGACATGGCAAAGCCAAAATAGCGCTCTTCAGGATTTAGCCGAGCAATCGCGATTGCCTGGTGGAGCAAGGCCCAAGGTGGGCCAGACTAATAACCGGTCATGAAGCATTGCAGAGCCCAGTCTCAAACCCCAAGATCAAGATTGGCCTCAGCCGTATGCCGTGCACTACTGTGTAATGGACCGACCGTTTGGGCTACCCCAACCGACGAGATCACGTTGTTCTTGGGAGTCCTCCCTGACCTCCGGCTGTTCCACGCAAACATCAGGAGAGCCTTGCAGCTCGCACACTCGAGGGCCCCCGGAAAGCATGGCACTGCCACGGGACATCTCGTTGCCATCTTCGATCAAGAGGGTCGTTGGAATATCGTGCCAAAGTCAAATCTGCCGTCCACCTTCTCCACCACACCCACTTCGGTGATTATGCCATCGATCAATTCGGCGGGAGTCACGTCGAAAGCAGGGTTCCATACATCAATTCCAGTTGCGGCAATGGAAATGATCTCGGCAGCCTCATCAACCTGTATCTTCCCTTCCGCCGTGACTTTGGGACCCTTGATTCTCGTAACTTCTTCGGGCGCCCGTTCTTCGATCACAATATCGTTCCCCGATGCCGTGGTCAGGTCAATGGTGGTTCTTGGCGCGGCAACAAGGAACTTGACGCCGTGATGCCGAGCGAGCACCGCAAGGGAGTATGTCCCGATCTTGTTCGCAGTATCCCCATTGGCAGCCACCCGGTCGGCTCCCACCACAACGGCTGCCAGGCCGTCTCCTTCTCTTGCTAGCAACGCACAAGCCATCGAATCGGTGATCAGAGTCGCCGGTATCGCATCGTGGACCAGTTCGTACGCCGTCAATCGTGATCCTTGGTTATATGGCCGAGTCTCTGTACAATAGGCGCGGGTGAGCATATCGGCGGCTCTGAGGGATCTGATAACACCCAACGCGGTGCCATAGCCTGCCGTTGCCAATGACCTGCCCATGTATTAGCGATGTGGAGTCGATGCACAAGCAGTCCGCAGGCAGGCAGACATACCCTGTATTGCAGTGCGTAAGGACTTGCAAAGCGTGACTCTTGTCTGCTTTCCTCTGTCTTCCTGCGGCCGTGTTCTCTTCGATCCACCGAGCTCCATGCTCACCGATGGCTTTGTTGTCTGACACATCGTCGACTAGCATCCGTTCTGCGGCCTCGATGTACGCCTGCGCAACTGATTCCGCAGTTGCTCCGGACTGCAGCGCAGCCTTTTTCGCCACGACTTTAAGCTTGCCAACCGCATCTCCGAGATTGACTGCTGTCGGTCGACTCGTCTTGAGGTAATCTAACCTATCACCTATTCTCTCTTTGACCTCGTCCGCCGACGAGGGTAATTTACCTGCCACCGCCGCTGCGCCGATCTCGACAGCCAGAGCGAGAGCTGCCACAATCGCAATCGCTGGTGCCCCGCGCACTTTCATCTGCTTAATCGCGGCATGGGCCTCCTGACACCCGGCAATTGCTTCATATACTGTTCTGTGCGGTAGAAGAAGTTGGTCGAGGATGCGTAGGGCAGGAGGCGAAGAGGCGGACGCCGGTTCATACTGTATGGCTTGCAACACCATTATGCCGCAGCGATCGAGGGTGAATTGTGGGTGATCGATGTCCGAAAGATAAGTAGATGGCAAAATTCAATGTTTAGACACACAACCTTGTCTTTCCCCCGGCAAAGACAAATGCGGTCAATTGAGAGTATTCGTTGACCGCGTTCTGAGAACTTTTTTTTCCCATGTCGGCCGATGCGGGGAAACAGGATGGACGAGCTCGTCCAGTCAGTTATAAACCCCGCACTGGTACCGACTGATTCGTGAATTGATGGATGGCGTGCAGTGTATCTTCAACTATCTCGTCCAACCGTCGCTAGAAAGTTCAGATGCGTATAGAAAAGTCTCAGAACTTCTTCAACTCCTGGGGAGGGGTTCCTGTCTCATCTTCTAAACCGCCATGCAAGGTCCTCACATTGCTCTGCCTGCCCAGGCAGGATTTGCCTCTGCCAGTGCCTACGATGCCCATCGACCATCATATCCAGCGGAGGCCGTAGATAGACTGCTCGAGAGCCTTGGGATGGCCGGCGTCAAAGGTGCCAAAATTGCAGACCTTGCCGCTGGGACGGGTAAATTTACCGAGATCCTCGCCAGGAGACCCGAAGAGTACGACATCGTAGCCATTGAACCTCACGATGCGATGCGCGAACAATTACAAAGAAAAGCCCTTCCTCGAGTCCGAGTGGTCAAGGGGACGGCGGACAACATGTCAGACATTCCAAAGGAGAGCGTGGCGTGCGTGATAACAGCGCAGGTGAGTCTAGTTCGGGGTCCATTTGATAGTCAGCTTTCTGATCTGCTGTAGTCCTTCCACTGGTAGGCAAGAAACACTTGACGACGAACTAGCACAAACCCTGACATTCTTGCCCCAAAGGTTCGCCAACGCGGACGCAGTGAAGGAGATTGCCCGTATATCGCAATCATCGGGGGCTTTTGGTCTCATTTGGAACATAGAAGACTGTAGGCTGCAGCACATAAGACGCCGAGAATGATACTCTGACGAGAAATACAAAAACAGATAATGCACCGAAATCTTGGAACATCCATCCGGGCTGGGAGTTCACGATGCGCGACATAATATGGTCATTTGACGATAACTCTCCACGGTTTCGGCATGAGAAATGGCGCCAGGTCTTTGACGATCAAGCAGAGAGTACCACATTGTTTCGTATGCCTTTGGCGGAAGACTCGGTCAACTTTGAGACGTGCCTGCAGAAGGATGCTGTCTGGAGCAGATTGAGGACATTAAGCCAGCTGGCGGTCCTTGAGGGCGAAGCTTTGGAGGAAGTGAGAAAGCAGTTCTTCGAGAGTGTCAACTCTGCGAATACAGAGACTGACGAATCCGGCCGCATTGTTGTGCATGGCCGTACTGTATTCTTCTGGACGAGTAAGGTATCTCCTCAACCATCCACGAAGGACAATTAGACCCTTCGATATCGACCAGCTTTCTCTGCTGAGGACTTTCCAGCCCTCACGACACCCTTCCGGAAGAGCCTCTTCTCCTCGACGATCTGTAGCTACCAGGCGTCCGCGAGCAGTTCAACCAGCAGACACTTCTTTTCCTAGTATGAGGATTCAATGCTGGATCGATCGGCCATCTCCTCAAATCATCCATTCTCCCTTACCCAGGTCGATGGCATACCGCATCTGGCTATCCCTTTGTGGCCTATTCCTGGGCCAGGACTGGACATTCGTCTTCCGGCTTTCATTGCGAACTTGGATCTTTTGTCCTCCCGCCGTTCCTCACTCGCTTGAAATATACAGCACTGTTTTCACACCAAGATGTCAGCATGTACCCAATGACCTCGTTCCCACAACTCCCAGCGATTGTCCATATAGAGAAACAGAAGATCGCAATCTCTTACCATTGTTCCCTCTCACAAAGGCATCGCCATAATTCCTTCGCAATTGCCCATTCACGTATTCGGTGCACTTTTCCAGCGCGATATTCATGTAGCCATCCACAGACTGCAACTCGCCCTTATAGACCACACCAGAATTGAGCTTGACGGTGACCGGCACACCGATAATCGAGGACAAGAAACTCGCAGGGTCCTTCGAATCGGTCGAATCGTGATTCTCCATTTTCGGCGCGCACGACGGGATTGGGCTAGGTGGAAGGACGTTGGCTGGTGGGCGTAAAGAACTGACGCGACTAGTAAAGTTCACCGCGGCTTTGATATATCTTCCACTCAAAGACAGGAATTGAGGCTTTCGGTCTACTGAGTTTGTTGTTCGCTCGGTCACTTGGATGGTGATTGTGAGTTGTTGGTCGGATGGAGCGAGCCTGAAATGAGCGACCTGGGGCAGCTCCCCAAGTAATGCAGTACGTGCACAGCGCCGAATCCATAATAATTTGTACCTCTATTATTATCATCGCAAGTACGTACCACCAACCGCGCCTTTGCGCGGCAACTCCCCCTCCATTTCACCATCACCAGTCGTCCTCGAGACCCAACGATCATGCCTAGTACGACGAGCACCCATATCCGACTACTCTATCAGCCATGAACAAAGGTGTCAAGCGGTCGCTTTTCACGAAGCCCGCATGGGCCGCGCCTGCTACGGCATCGTCCTCGTCCAAGACCACACTCGAAGACGATGCCTCTGTCTTCGGCCGCAACGTAGCCTACAACGACCTCGTGCAAGCCGAGCAGGCGAAGCGGGAGCGAAAAGCAGCCAGAGCCAGACTACTACATGCAGAAAAAGTCAGGAGTGTCAGCCCATCGTCTACGAAGAGACGGAGGATCTCTGTGGACCAAGATGTTGAAGAGGGTATAGACGGTGGAGTGAATGGTGGGGGAAGAAGGGGCACAACTAAGAGGAATAGAAAGAGGGAGTCAAGTGAGGAGAGCAGTTATGAGCCAGACAGGCCGGCGACGCGCAGGACGCCTCAGAAAGACCAGACACTCCGGAAAGGGCTGGAACGACAATCCCCTTCGCCTAATACAAGGAGTCCTCGTTCGCTGCGGACAGGACACCGCGGCGACGATGCTTCCGAGGTTAACGATGCAATTGGTCTTCACAGATACGAGGACGAGGACGGAGACGACTTGGTGATGTTGACTCCAGGGAAACGGAACTCCAAGCGACATCCGCAGCAGAAGAAACAGACGTCTCCCACCAAGTCGGCAACGACAACGCGATCTCTTCCCATTGAAGATGAGGACAATGTCTCGGATGAAGATGATCCATATCTACTCGAACTGAAACAGAAAGCACGCGAGAACAGCCGACTACAGCGACGAGACCTAGGCCATCAGCTTGATCCAGAACGGACACAAAGTCCGTTTGCACCCTCGTCCCATAGTACTGCTACTGCTACTGCTATCACGGCTGCTACGACTCCGTCCATCAACACTACCCTCCCGAGGTCTTTGTCGTCGATTGAGATTCAACACAATCAGAGTCAGAGCCAAAGCAGGCCAGTCTCCGCGAGTTCCGGGCTCACCGATTTTGGAAGCAGAGCCGCGCCGGCGTCCGCGCCGGCGTCCGTATCGGCATCGGAACAAGAACGAGAAAGGGAAAAGGCAGAAGACGATCCTCGAGTCATGATCCTCATCCACTCGGACATACCTGACACGGGTCCGCTGATAGTCAAACGCGCCGCGTCGCAATCACTCCGCACAGTCAGGCAATACTGGTGCGAGAGATGGCAACTCGACGAACCTCTCCGGAGGAAAGTCTTCTTCACATGGCGGGGGACCAGGTTGTTCGACTCGACGACCATGCGCGGTATCATCAACAAACTGAAAACCGATCACCGGCGACAACAGAGTACTGGGTTGGACGAGAGTGAAGGAGACGGATACGGAAGTGGAGCGGATGATCATGATCCAAGTCATGGGAATATCATGCTCGAAGCGACGACGCCGGAGATCTATGAGGAGAAAATGAGGTTGAAGGAGCAGCGGCAGCAACAGCGGCAGAATCAGAGATTCCTGGCCGAAGAAGGAGATCCAGATGCTAGCCAGGAAGCGGCAGCAGCAGGTGGTTCTTCTACTTCGCATGGTCACGACGCCGCTACTGCTGCTGCTGCTAGCAGCGCTATTGTCATTCGGCTGGTCAGTCGGGTTTATGATCCAATGGCATTGCGTGTAAGGCCGCATACCACCGTTGGCAAGATCATGCGCGGCTACGCGGCCACGAAGAAAATGGACGATGGGAAGACTCCTTGGCTCATTTTTGATGGGGAGCGGCTTGATGTGGATGCTACAGTGGAACAGGTTGGATTGGAAGACGAGGATGAGGTCGAGGTTAGTATTAGATAGTCTTGTGTGGTGTGAGTCGATTGGACCCTGGCAGCACTGCAGGCGTTCTGGAATGGAAGAAGGTCTGTGGAATCGAAAACACTTGGGCACGAAGCTGGAGATGCAAAAGGCGGTCTGGTATTGAAAGAGGCAAAAGGAAAAATGATAGCTACGAGTAACGAGAGCAAATGACCGAAATAACAAAAGACCAGAGCATGGAAGAGACTTCTTTTTGATTCAATTCGTTTGATTCATCTTTGTCAAAGTCGCAGCCGCACGATGGGTATGATCAGCAGACCGGCCAACTCAATGGTTGTCCTTGTCGTGAGGTATCAAGGCTGGAGAAGATGCCCTCTACTCCATTCTCTGTCATCTTCCACCGTTGATCCCTTAAGTGCAATAAAGCCAGTCGTTGGATTGACGATCGATTTCGAACCTCGACGTCGCAATCCTCAACAAGCTATGCACGCCATCGACAAGTCATGCCGTACCGGGCGGACAGTTCTTCCAGTTCCATCTCCCGTAACCTTTTTCTCCTCGATCCCATAAACAAAGCAAGAGATGTTATCGAAACGTAGCGTGGAGCATCGGAGAAAAAGTCGTTTAATGGGCACCAGTTCGTCTCGACTCGGCAATGACGCGTTGCAGTTCGTCGACCTTTGACTTCGCACGGCCGAAAGTTCCGAGCTATAGAGAAAATAATGTCAGATGACACTATCAAGAAAGATATCGTGTGGATGTGTAAGGGTGGGCAAGATATAAAGACGGTACGGTACATACCCGCTTCTTCGCCAGCTTTCTGGCACGCTTGTCCTTTGAGTTGCGCAGCAATTCAATGACACGGCGCTCGTAGGGTGCGAGACCGGCGACTTCCTTGACGATTTCGCGGACGAAAGCAGTGCGCTTGCTCAAGTGGCCCTTGGTGCGGCTGATGCGTGGCTTCGGGGTGATGGCGGTGACTTGCTAAACGTTGCAAAATCGATTAGCATATGTTGTATACTTTCGCTATTTTCCCTGCAGAAGAGAATCGAAGAGGAGGTGGTAGAGAGGGAGGCGGAGGACGGTAGATCGAGTCCTGCCAAAGACCTGGTTCTTTTTCTGAGATCTCGAATAATCACACTTGTCTCTTGTCCCTTTCTCTCAATCCCCTCTTTCTCTTCTCTTCAAGTGTGGGATGGTTTGATGGGGCGTTTCGCAAAACTCACATGGCCCTTGTTCAAGCCGACGGCGAGGCCGGACTTCTGAGTCGCTTCCTTCGCCATTGTTGGACGTTGTTGGCGGAATCCGAAGGGTGGTGTCGACGATGGAAGGACTCTGCTTGAAGGTTGTTCAGAGCCAAACCGAATGCGCAGTGCGAATGTTCCCGCCAAGCCTCCAAGTTTCAGAGGTTTTCGCCCGGCAGAAGTGGGGGAAGGTCTGCCGATTTGTGGGCTCCAAATAAGGTAAGGCGTGGCATGGTGTCTTGGCGCCACCCTTCTCGCTGTCACTGCCAGCTGAGGGCAGCTCGCAGTCGGCCTTGTCGCTTAGTAAGGACCATATGGGACGAGGCTCTTTTGAAGCCTTACGCACAACTCGAGTAAGGGAGTAAGTACGATGCCTACTTTACTGTGATGTTGTGGTGTTGAGTCCGGATACCTCACAAGTGGCCTATGCGATGGATGCTGCTGCTGGCAATCCATGTGCTCTGTCGTACAAGTACTGTTCCGACGACTCTGCAATCGACTATACTGGGTATATATTCACTTCTACGCCTGCAAGGAATGCTTGACCAGCTTCTTATATCCTTCCAAAGCCTCTTCCAGTTCTCCCACCGTCAATCCCTCATTCTTGCCATGCGCCACGAGAATGCTTCCCGGCCCGTACAAGTACTTTTTCACCCCTTCCGCAAGCTCAAGATTTGGCACATCAGTGCCATAATTGACAGTGATGGTGCCAAAGCCATCGACATCGGCATCCAAAGGCACCGGACCATATCCTTGACTGAATTCCAACTCCAGCAACTCATCTGGGTCAACAGCTCGAATGGCGTCCGTGACGATCTTCTGCACCTGCTCAACCGTGCCTCCGGCAAGTCTGAACGTGACATCGGCCATGGCGTACTCAGGGACGACATTTCCAGCCACGCCGCCCTGCATGAGGCCGACATTGACCGTGCTTTTTCCGTATTTCTCGCTGCGTGGCAAGCCGCCCTCCTCTTCGGGGAGATCGCCCAGCTTATCTAGCACATTCAATGCCGGGAGGATCATGCTGTTCGCGCTGCGTCCGAGCCAGGGATATCCGGAGTGCGCGGCCTTGCCGTGAGCCTTGATTGAGACCATCATGATGCCCTTGTGCCCTGCGGCGAGTTTGCCTTCTGTAGGTTCGCCGAACAAAACCGCCTTGTAGTCTGCGCTGGTGCTTTTGTACAAGTCTGATGCGGAAAAGTGTTTCATTCCGTCGCCGCGCTTCTCTTCGCCCACGACGAACAGCAGCGCCAGGTCAGACGGACTGGTCCTGCTGCTGCTGGTGTCGGTATCGATGTCGGTGGCACTGGCGGCGGCGAGCAAGTCCAGGGCCGTCTGGATCTGGACCGCTACACATGCTTTGTCGTCAACCGTGCCGCGGCCGGAAATTAAGATGTCTTTGCGACTAGTTGAGCTGATGCTGCTCCCAACAATATCATGTTTATTTTTGCCGGGCAGGGATAGTGAGTATGGAATGTGAGGCGGCACCGTGTCGATATGCGAACTCAGCAGCACCTTGGGCTTTGATGGCTTCGCAGAGCTGCCTGACAGAAGAGCGCCTCCGTATTTCGAGATGTCCGGATATGCGTAGATGTTGAGGCGCTCTTGGGTCTCATTTGTCGCGCCTGGCGGGGGCACGCTCTGTGTCTCAACGGTGAAGTTGTGTGCTTCGAGGATCGAGATGACCAGCTTGCCCACAGACAGCTCGTCGTCGGTGATGGACTCGACCTCGCAAATTGCTCTGTGCAGTGACAGCAGAGGCGATGAGGCTATCACATCAGACAAGCTGTCATGGTCTAAGCCGTTTGAAGTTGGGAGCTGTTGGAGCGGTCGTTGCTCGTTGGCGACCTCGGCTGTGCAGATGCATGTTGACAGCAGCGCTGCTGCTGCGCCGCTCCAGACGAGCTTCATGGAAGGCTTACAGTATAGAGAACTTCGATGCTTTCACTCGCAGGGAACAGGACAGGAGGAGCATTGCCCAAAATAATATGGCGAGACGTAGCACCGTTGTTACCTGGTCATTATTTGTATGCTACTCGTCGCCCAAGTCCGAGACCATGAAGCCATTTACTGTTACAACAGAGAATAGAACCAACAACTTGAGCAGAGAAGGCGTCAAAGGGCGTGCATGCCATACTGTATCACCTAACACAGGTTTCGAGGTTGTATTATCTGGCTACGCTTTGCTTTTACCTTTGTCTGCTCCGTTGGCCATCTTGGGCTTCTCCTTTCGCCGCTCCCACACCATAAGGTAACTCTCTCTTGTGAAGAGGGTTTCCGCCTCGGCTCGGTCGACGAAGAGATCTTGAATTTCCAGCCACTCAGGCAGATCTGTTCGTTGAGCGTGCGCAGCAGCTTTGTCTCTGAGTTGGACTTTCCAAGCCACCTTTTGACCCTCCGTCGCTCCCACAGCCTTGTTCGCCGCATCGGCTGCATTCGAATCCTCCCCGCCCCCGGTAGACACAGAAGTCGTGTCGAGGATGATGTTGGCCACCATTTCGTAGTATATAGGTTCTCCCGGTGGGTGGACGGCCGGGTTGGGTTCGACATAAGGCGACATGTCTAGCCCACGAGGAGAGGGAAATGTCACGATGGTCGGATTTCTCTCCGACACGAACTTGTTGACGCTGAATCGTTTCACGTGGAACAACAAATATGGCGGAAGCGGGTGCAGCAGCCGATGTCGAACCCGATGCGACTGTCTTTCCAGAGCATTCAAACCATTGTATTTCTGTAACAAGGATGTCAGAGGGACCTGCGGAATAATGTTCTTGGACTCGACTGCGTCACGGAAGAGCGGCACGGGCGGTAGATCGAGCGTGAGGATGAGGTACGGGGTGATATTTGTGTTGATGGTGGACGATTCCTCGAATCTGAGACGATCTCCTGTCGTATCGGATTTCGCTGTGATGGCTTGCGACTCCACCCGCAGCTTTCCCTGGAAGGTCTTCTGAATGATCGACGAAAACGCTCTCGTCTTGGACCCTCCTAGACTCAGGTGTAGGTTGTTAAGGAACCAGGACAAGAACTCCACCGGGTCTGACTGATGCGTCAGGGTAAATCTCTTCGATGACCGCAACGCGATTTCTTGCAGTAGCTCATGCGGCGACACATGCGACTTGAACGCCTTCGGGTTCCATAATTTTCGCACGAGCGTGCTGAGCCGGACGGGAAGCTGCGGCGCCGTGTGAGGAAAGGAGTGTAGCAGGAAGAAGTTTCTCAGCGGAGCCACGTGCGCCAATGTCTGCACCACCACATTCAGGTAGTCGTTGGCCTTGATGTTGTTCATGCCCATGAATCCAGGCCTGTACTTTCTCTTGGCCAGATCTAACGATTCCTTGGGCTCTTTGTCCAGCTTTCTGACGTCCTCCTCAGTGAATTTGGGGTCGACCACGTATTTGATATCCTCCAGGCTCTTATTGTGCACTTCGTAACCTTCAGGTAGGACGTAGACCTTCTTCGTTTCCATGTTGATATACACATGATGGTCGACTTCGAGGGCGTGGAAATAGGCATGGGACTTCGGACCCCGCCCTTGGAAATACTTTCCGCATACTAGGCAGGCGTAGACGTTGATGTTCGAGAGGGTGATGGAACAGAGCTTCTCAAAGTCGAAATCGAGCAAGGATCGATTGACCGTGTCTAGGTACAAATCACTATAGCCTTCGGTTGGAGCACTCTGTCGCAACGGCGCGACTGGGGCATTGTCATCTTCAAGGTCCTCAGCATCCGATTCATCTTCATCGACAATCTGCTCGGATTGCGCCGCGTCTAATGTAGTCCTGCCTTCTGTGGCGTTGTGGTCGCCGTTTGCGACGGGTTCTTCTTCAGGGACATCGTCAATGCGCACTCTTTTGTTCGGTGGAGACGAATCGACTAGGACCTTTTCCAAGGGTTCCTCGGACTTTCGTTTCGACATGTTGTATAGGTTCGAGCAGTCTTGCTGGGAATTCTGTCACAGTTGAAGAGTTGCGAGACACGACCAAAAGACCCCAAATAATTTCCTCCGCATGAGACGACAGCCTTGCCATCGCCGATTGGCTCGAGGTGCCCAGCCTCGTCAGCGTCTACAGGGACCTCCTACTAGTACCTGGAACAGTTACACTTGCCTCCAACACATCTATATCTGCACTACCATGCCCCCCTAAACAGGAGAATTTTTGGATACGACTGTATTATACATCGTCAAGGGACCGCGTAACATAGCGATCATCAATGACCCTACTAATTTTCCACCGTCTGGGCCTGGTGCTGCCCTCTCAGATCTTTCCCCAACCATACCGGCTGCCCCTCCACAGGGTAAAGTGTGCACTGGCGCTCCAAACTGCAATATTCATCAATGCTTGAATGCCAAGGGTCATGGATAAGTTCACAAAGAAATGTAAGCGTTGGGATCCATCAAGACTGCGAACTCCAAACCAAGAGCCAAGTGGCCACACGTCCGCAAGCGGTCGTGGTGGCCCGGACACCTGCAGGTCTGCCCACCGATTCATCAGAAAGCTGCGAGCAAGCGATCTTAGAAACAACATTTCAAAGGGAAGTAACATGGTGGACTCGACAATGGAGGCTCCAATCTGGGCCAATGTTTCAGCTGGGTGGTTCGATAACAGAGTGACCCGATACATTGGTTCATCCACATGGCGTGGCTTTCTTGACTCGTGCCGCCGATAGAAAAAGTCTTCTCTTATAGGCCGATCATCTTCGTCAATATCTGTTGGCCGACGGACAGGTCTCGGAATCGTGTTCGGCAGGGTGGCCGCTCGAGAAATGCCCAGTACCGGGGAACTAGGAGCAGGAGAACTTGCGGCTTCAGATTCAGGAATCGCGATATCAGGACCTGTCACATGGTCGCTCGGTGGCGGATTACTTCCTGCATTCGAGGGTACAGGGGAACGTGGGGTCTCCAGAGGAACAGCAGGCCGAGGAGAAGGCTCTCCCTGGACGGCGTTCTCTGTGCCACTCTCAAGAGCACCATTCGCGCTGCCGTCGTGATTGTCTGTCAACGAGGGCGGTGCCCCAGGTACATCGGTGTGATGTGACGGCTCCGGGACCGCTTCAACAGGGTCAGAAGTTCCCTCGGCGGCGGCATGGTTCACCGGGTCATCTTCGCTTCGTAGTGGTGCCTCGTCCTCCATCATTGGTGACGGCTCTAGCGGTTCAGGAGTTGCCGTCGACGCATCACTAGGAACGTGAAAGTTCATTTCCTCGGCTAGTTCGAAGATATCCACCATCGCATGGTCCGGATCTAGGTTATAATCGCCGAAAGCAGATCGAATGGCCATGATTCGAAGCGTCCGCGGAGCACGCCTGAACTGGACGTCGACCTCCCGATCTTGGCGCAACAGATCTCGATAGTGAACGATGCTTCGATGCATCAACTCCTCCTCGATGTCCGGACTCAACTCAACGGTAAGGGGTGTCCGCTGTGTCTGCAAGACCTTGTCCCAAAACCAAAACACTGCCGGAAACAATGTTCTGACAATCTCCGTTACACCCTCTATTCTCCAAGAGCCACGATCCTCTTGCCGGTCCATCCCCATATCGGGAATCGTGGCATCGGGACTGATGTTCAGACCGTCTTTGGCGCTCTGTAGTGATAGTCGATCTGGTCGGTCCGGCTTCACCATGAACTGGCGAGCCACTAGATAAACTCGGGTGAAAATGTGTTTCGCGACTTGGTCCAAGATGTAGGCAAGAACGAAGGGGTGGGAGGCGGCCTTTACTGCATACGATGCAATTGACAATAAGGATGCCTCCGGCCATGGCTTTGGTAACTGAATGGGCGATAAGGCGGTGAAAGGGATTAAGGATGATAAGGGCGGAGTGGCATCTGCAGGAACAAGGTGGAGGGACTGCAGAACGGCAAAGGCATGAAGTGGATATTCCGCCGCGTACCAGACAATCCGTAGGCTGGTAATAGTCAGCTTCTATCAGACAAGACAAGGAATATCTTCTTACCTGTGACAGCGAATCAATCGGACAAGGTCCGACCAATGAAGCCTGCTGGACGGGTGGGAAAGATTTGAGACTCTTTCATCCTCTAACAACGTGTCTCTCAATGCCTGACTGACACTGGTGACGGCGGCGAGCGGTAGACCACTAAAGAGGAATGCCCAGGGTCCCGAGGAGCGCCATTCAGCCATGATTATTTCCGGCATCGACAGCCCCAGGTACGACCTATAGGTCTTCAAAAGTTAGAAGCTTGACACACAACTTGGGGCTTACTTACGAGCAGTCGACGGCGAAAGCAGACTATCCATCTCGTGGATATCTTCTGAACAAGGTCCACAATGAGGCCCCAGTTGGCTCCTGCCACATTTTCTTCAAGAAGGAGCATATGCTTCTGCTTCTCGCTCATGGTTTGCCATGGTGAGCGATTCATCTTCGCTTTGCGAACCACAACGCCAACAGTCGAAAGTGCATCGTTCTCGGCTCGAATGAGCCTTCTCCTCGAAGCTTCAGAGGCCAGATTCTGTGGATGCCCTCGGAGATCGAAATGCTGGATGTAGTTGCGAGCAGTGTCATGTTGGACATTGGGTCCGAGGATGAAGTTCCCACTGTCATCCTGCAACGGTGCCTCGAAGGGTGACCTCCCCTATGAGCGGACATTTGTCAGTCTATATACACTAATAGGTTTCCCGCGTCTTGATTGCAGATAGATTGATAAATCTGATATCGAACGCCTGGGCAGGGCCCTGCTTAGAGCAGGATTAGGCTGGGACTGTGTTCGCGAAGGGTATGTTGGGACAGGCAGCCTACCAGAGCCAGCCGAGTGATATGAGCATGACGGCCCATCTTGCTTCACAGCGGGACACAGACCAGCAAGGAGCACTTGTATCAGCGTTGTTCTCGCACGGGAGGTCGTTTGGTGCATTGCGAGCACTCCCTGTCACTCAAAACCCAGTCCCACGGCGCAGGGAATAAGAATCAGGCTGACAGGTCTTAGCACTTGGGACCATAGCACTGCTTGCACCAGGCTAGAAAGCGGTCATTAAATACAGCTCTCAGACCAGAGTTCTGTCCTTGATTGGGTTTCCCAGCATTTTACAGCCTCATGAGACCCATGCAAGCAACTTGAACAGTCGAAAAGACTCGGAGGACGTCGAGGATATCAATATGTTAAAGCATCTAGCGTGCCAAGATCTGGCCACTTAGAGTGCGCTAACATACACCTTAAAATGCCAGCACCAATCAGCATTGATCATGTCTATGGTTTTTCCCCTAAGAAATTTTACGACGGCGACGAGGACTCGGACTACCACAAGCAACCGTACATTCCGCTGAAGGTGCTCTTCCTTGACCAACATTGCTCAGCTTCAAGGATAGACAGTCGACGACCAGACTATCAATGGCACCCAGCTAGATACCACCAAATTTCACCCATGGCTACGAAGGTTAATTTCAAAACCACGTTCGAGGCGGCCAAGACTATCGAGCCCATTTATACCGGCGGCGATGTTTCTCACACTTCGGATGGCGCGCTCCTGGCAACATGCGTCGAGGACAGCGTCCTGGTCGTTGAGGTGAAGACAAGCAGAGTACTATGTCGCATAGAAGGAGATGGGGAGGCCGTAACCAGCTTATGTCTTGCTCCGAATGCCTCCCATCTGGTTGTTTGTTCTCGAGCACTCTCACTACGAATATACACTCTCAAGCCGTTGGAAACCCCTCTCACTTTGTCCGCAATCCTCTTACGAACTCTCAAGCCCCATGATACTCCCGTCGTGTCTTCTGCAATCGATGCCACCGGGTCGCTGCTCGCAACTGGAGGGGCGGACGGAACCGTCAAAGTATGGGACATCAGAGGCGGCTATGCATCCCACACATTTCATGGCCATGGAGGGGTCATTTCAGCTCTGGAGTTCTTCGAGTCAGCCTCTGCCGACCCGACTTCGAAACCGAGTCGGAAACGGAAGAGTCGCGACGCCACTCAAATGGACGTCGATGACGGCCCCGCAAGTCGGTCCATTTACCTCGCATCTGGTGGCGAAGACGGCAAGATTCGGATTTGGAATCTACCAACGCGAAAATCTGTCGCGACGCTTGACTCCCATGTCAGTGTGGTCCGAAGTCTAGACTACTCTGATGATCAACATCTGCTTTTATCAGCCAGTCGTGACAGAACAATAATCCTTTGGGATGCCCAAACATGGGAGCAGCAAAGAGTCATTCCAGCGCTCGAGGTTTTGGAAGCCGCCCAGTTTCTTCCCTCCGGCCGGTTCTGCTATGCAGGAGGCGAGAACGGAGCTGTGAGAATATGGGAAACATCCACCGGTCGCGAGATCACGGCGAAACAGACGGCGGGCTTGGAAAACGATGCAATCACAGCACTTGTCCATGTCACAGCAGATGATGCGCTTCTCTCCATTCATCAGGATCAGACCATGCGGCTGCGGAGCATATCTGGCCTTCGCAATATCAAGCATACACAGTCACTGGATGTATTGCCACTGATTCGAACGATCTCCGGGAATCTCGACGAAGTCATTGATATGGCATGTGCCGGACCCGAGAGAACACTCTTGGCCCTTGCCACGAACACAGAAAGCCTCAAATTGATATCCGTTGCAGACAAAGATGACAGTTCTTTTGGCGGCGATGTCGCTCTACTTGAGGGACATCAAGACATCATAATCTGCTTGGACGTCGACTGGTCGGGGTACTGGCTAGCAACAGGTGCGAAGGATAATACCGCTAGACTCTGGAGGCTCGACCCGTCTTCTTCTTCATACACATGCTTTGCCATCTTTGCCGGACACGCAGAGTCACTAGGGGCCATTGCCCTCCCACGAAGCCCACCCGCTGACGGCGCCGCTGCGAGAGACCCAGCCCAACATCCTCCGGCGTTCCTACTCACAGGATCGCAGGACAAGACTGTCAAGCGCTGGGACACTGCAAAGCTGAAGTACACCTCCTCACAAGCAGAGCCTTTGTCAGCGGCAAAGGCCATGTTCACCAGAGTTGCGCACGAAAAGGACATCAACGCAATTGACGTGTCTCCAACAGCTCCGCTATTTGCTTCTGCCTCCCAAGACCGCACAATCAAGATCTGGTCTCTGGAAGACGGGTCTGTGACTGGCATTCTCCGCGGCCATAAGCGAGGCGTTTGGTCCGTCCGGTTCTCTCCCGCGGGAACACCTCCTCTGGCCCTGCCGGATGGAGGCTCGAGCGGCTCGCGTGGACTGCTGGTCAGTGGCTCTGGCGATCGGACGGTCAAGGTGTGGTCCTTGTCGACATATACCTGCCTGCAAACGTTCGAGGGCCACAGCAATTCTGTACTAAAGGTCATCTGGATCCCTCCGCCTACCATGCCATCCCCAGATGCCGAGTCCTCCCCAGACTCGCGTCAGCCACAATCAAATCAACCGATGATTGCGTCCGCATCCTCGGATACCCTCGTCAAGCTCTGGTCGCCTTACTCGGCGGCCGATTCTGACCACCTCCTAACCACACTCGACAACCACACCGACCGGGTATGGGCCCTGGCGGCGCCAAACGCCTACCACACAGCAGGATCGAAGGCTCGCACATATCCATATTCCCTAATATCGGGCGCCGCGGACGCCACATTGACTTTCTGGCGCGACACCACGGTACAGACGGCCACATTGGCCTCGAAACGCGCGACCGAACGTATCGAGCAGGATCAGCAACTTCAGAACCACATTTTCTCTAAGAACTACCGTGAGGCCATCACGCTGTCGTTGGCGCTTAATCACCCAGGCCGCTTGCTCCGCGTATTCCAAGATGTAGTGAACCTTCCTGATGCCGAGAAGGACAGCTCGAGTATCATGGGCTTGAAGGCCGTCGACGATGTCCTCGCAGCACTCGATCACCAGCAGGTCTTCACTTTGCTTGAGCGTGTTCGTGATTGGAACACAAACGCACGCACCGCTACGGTTGCCCAGAGGATTCTCAATTGTCTGTTCAAGAGCTATCCAGCAAGCATGTTCGTGGATATGGCCAAGAACCGCAAATTCAGCTCAAACGGAAAAGGAATGAAGGAATTGCTCCGCGCGTTGGAGGTCTACACCGAGCGGCATTACAAACGAATGGAGGATCTCGTAGACGAGAGCTACTTGGTCGACTATACGCTGAGAGAAATGGACGAGGTTGCAGGCGTTGCGGTGGGTAGTGAGGGACCATTGGCCCTCGAAAATGGCAATTCCGGCAGCGAGGATGTCATAATGGTGTAATACTATTACAGGGGACCAAAGTAGGAGAATGCCCCATGTCTGTTCTCAGATCATCTTCTATCTCGATGGCGCCGGTCGCCATTCCTGTCCTGGTCTCTGTCGCGATCTCTGTGACTGCGATGGGATGAGCCTGAATCGTACCTGTCGTCGTCTAGGTGGCGCTCTCGATGCTTGTCCCGGTGACGGTCGTCGTAATCTTCATCATTTCGCCTTCTTCGATCTTTTGACCTCTCATCGTCCTTTCTCGAGCGTGAGGTGTCGTAGTCGTGATCATCTTTGTCTCTCCTTGACCGAGAATATCCTCGATCGTCTTGGTCTCGCTTTGATGAGCCCGACCGGGGAAAACCGTTCATTTCATTGCGATAATCGTCCTTCCCTTTTCTCGGAGAGTCGCGATCTCCGTCTCGATCTCGACCACTGTTCTCCAGGTTGCGGTCTCTTCGCTTCCTCCAATCCTCCTCGGCCTTCCCTCCTTTCGACTCATTGAGTCGTTTCTGGAATTCTTCCTCCGAGATTCGCTCTCCTGTGACCTTGTTCTCGCGCATGAGTGGCGTGAAGAACCCTTGTCCTTTGGCGTTCTTGCGCATGTCTGCCTTCCCCCATGCGCCCAGCTCGATGTCTGTCCCGGCCACGGGTTTTGCTCCAATTCCAAGGAATCCTTCCTGCTTTCGGAGCTTGCGAGGATTGTCCTCCGTTTTGGGGTTCAAGTTGATCACTTCTCCGTTAGCCCGTCGCTTCTGACCCATCCCCCTCAGCATAGCCAGTCCGAATTCTTCCACGGGCATCGCAGCGTACTCTTCAAGAGTGCTCGGGTCCGGTCTTGCGGCTACATCGTCCTTGAAGTCTTCAACTTCATCTCGAGCCGAAAGCTGTATGTTGCCCCGCTGGGTTATAACGGCATTCGATCTCGGTTTGCCAGAGTTGTCGTCCAATAGCGCGTGTAGCGCCTCTTCATCCGCGGTCAACTCTTTTGGAGGGGATTCTGTTCCATTCTGTTGAGGCATGCTCGGCTGCTCAGCAGCTGGATCTGACTCTTCCGCCTGCTCTGTCTTGTCAACAAGCTGTAAGCCACTAGCTTTGCTGACTTCATCTTGTTCCACCGTGACAACATTGCCGCCTTGTTGTTTGGCTTGCACTTCGCTCGGCAGTAGAATTTTTTGCCCTCGTCGTCGCCAGTCGCTGTTCCCAGCATTCTTTATGACCAATTCCGTCCGTTCCTGCGTAGGCTGACTTAGAATAGCACCACTTGACGTGAAGCCAGTGACTGACTCGTGCCTAGGCTCTTCCTCTTCTTCGTTGTCTGAATCATGGCGAAGCGCGGCGCGGGAGCGGCCTTTGGGCGCTGCCAGTTTGCGCGAGGGTATATTTGAAGTCTGAACAGCTGGGGAGGACTTTGGCTTGCCGAAGCCAAAAGAAATCGGTTTCGACATGATTGTCAGAGGCGCTCCGGCAATGCATCTATACGCAACCTCTATCCAAGGCTGCGACTTCAATTTACATGGAAATCCGAGTCGGCAAAGTTTCCAGTGGCGCGTACATTTGAGGCGTGAATGAAGTACTAGTACGGTGAAGCACAGCCAAGAATTTCTTGTACGCGCAGGCGGCCGGTCTTCAAGTTCCTCGACCTGGCCACCACAGCCATACGCGTTGGCAAACTTCCTGTGTACAGCACCATTCTGGCCATCGCACGATCCTCGTGTGATCGTGAGGTATCGATTCGAACAGACAAGTGAGAGTCGCAGGTCAATGTGTCCTACCTCCTCTGTGAATCTCCAACGCGCCTTGGTCGATTCCGCTTGATAGATCCCGAGACCATTGAGCCTTCTCTCGCCGACCATGGCGACCACCGATATTTCGCTTCTGTCGACGTTTCAGAAACATATCGAGGATATGCGCAACCTGTCGCTCTGCAAGATCTGCATCAAGCCTTTCTACGAGCCATTTATCCTCCCATGTGGCCACACCTACTGCTACTCGTGCCTCGCCAGCTGGTTTGGTGGGTCGCATAGCAGGAAGAGAAAGAAAAATTGTCCAGACTGCCGGGCTGAGGTGAAGGTGCAACCGAGTCCGAATTATCTTCTGCGAGATCTCGTCCACATGTTCATCAGCCGAGCCGAACTGCTTCCGGAAGATGAGACCGTCCAGGAACATCAGCAGGCGAAAGAGGATGAGGCTGTCATGCTTGCCGCAGATCGCACTGGAGTCGGCCTGTTCAAGGGAGCGTTCGTGCAGCCGCGCCACCACCATCACATTGTGTCATGGGGACAAGGTATCATGGATTATGAGGATGGTGTTGTTCGCTGTCCCGAGTGCCACTGGGAGTTGGAAGATGGGCAGTGCCTCCAATGTGGATTTCTCCAATACGAGCCTGGAGACTCGGAGAGCGACTCGGAGGAAGAGTCTATAGGGTCACAGAGCCTTCATACCGTTGACACAGACTTCGATGTCGACGGTGATGACTTCGACCACGAGTTTGGCAGCAGTATGGATCCCCGCTACTATGAGCCTTACGAGGACTATGAGTCGCCTACAGACGCAAGTCAGAGTGACCTTGGCGAATACTATGGAGAAGGGTTTGTGAACGGGTTTCTCGACGACGACGATGATGATGCCAGTAGCGAGTCAACAATGACCATGTATGACCGGCAGCGGCGCACTGGCCCTCCAACAGGTCCATTTGGACAACTGGACCAGATCCGCTCCGAGAATTCTGAGCCTGGGCCTGAGCCAGGGCATGGAAGAACTGCACACTCACCCACCAACGGTGAGATATCCGATGCGCCTACCAATTACGACGAGGAATCAGAAGCATCTGAACAAGCGAACACCTATATCCCTGCTAGGACGAGGCCTAGACGGATCGTCGTAAGCGATGACTCGGAGGAAGGTTCAGAGGCAAGCAATGGCGGTGAATCGGCAAGCGAGGAAGCTACGGGGTTTTCAGATGTTGGACAAGACGAGCAAGATATAGAGTCTGAAGACTCAGATATTCGACCCCCGCAGCCATCGGCATTGCGAAGACAGCGTCTACAAGGCCAGCGAGCCAGACGAACCAACCACAGTCAGCAAACGCATACGCGAGCGCCTGGAATTCAGAGCAACCATGCCCAGGAGAATGAGAGGCAGCAGTCCCGTGGCAGTTGGCGGCCTGGTGGTCCGATCGTGAGAATCTCTGCCCCCAGAGTGATTTTCCCGCGCCGTCGGAACCGGTAAATAGACGATTTGCGCCACGATACGGTCGTAACGCGATTCTGAGCATAATGCGAAACGAAATACTGATTGGTCAATACGCGGGCTGTATCTGGGTGCCAACTCAAAATCGGGCGTACATTCTGAGATTGACAGGACGACAGGCACGATAAACTGGTTTTCGGGTTTGTAGAGAGACGATTACTCGCAGCGATGCAAAAGTTTAGATGAGACATCAATCAACCCATTGATACCCACATGATTAAACATCCCAAAGACGCCGCGCTATGCATGTGTCCCTTTGTAGCATTTCCTTTTCGAAACCTAGCCGCATCTAGGCCGCCAGAACTTGTTTGCTGGTATCGTATTCCATGTCCACAATGCCGTCCTTCTTTATCACTTTGACCGTCATTCCCTTGAAGTCGATGGGTAGTCTGCGCTGGAGCTCGTCGGTGCACATGCGGAGGATTTTCATGCCCTGCTCAAATGAAATGTCGGGATGATGATGTTTGTCGAGGATCGAAAGGCAGTAATATCTGTAGAAGTGATCAGGAACAGTCTTGTGCAATGGTGTTTTACGTTGCTTACTGAGCATAGCCATGAGCAGCATACGGAAGCTTTGCGCTGCTGGCAAGGTAGTCTAACCAGTAAAGGCTCGGCTGCTTGGTGATGGGATCCATGCCACCCAGCAGTAAATTGACGTTGTATGGCTTCCTGCTTCGTAGACTCCTGGCCAGCTCGCTACGGATGAAGCTTGCGACTGCGCTTGGGCCCAGGTCTGTCTCATTTCTCATGGTGTACAGGGCGATATTTGCTTGAATGAATTCGGTAAATTGGATCGTGTCGCCTGCTTCACCGGAAAAGGCAAGAAGAGTGTGTTTGTTCAGTTGTCTTGTCTTATCATCCGAGGACTTCAATATCGTTGCACCACGCATGGCTGCTTTCGAGGCTGCGATGATGGTGAAATCACGGCCAGTGATACCAAGGAGAACTTCCCTAGAGTTTCATGTTAGGAGGATTACTGGCAGTAGGCTTATCAGTTCGGGCTCACATTTTGAAGAGTAGAGTGCGTCAGTTGCTACAGTGGGATAGGGACCCCTCTTTGTGACGAAAGGGTTGATGCGAAGTAGAGTGAGAGTGTGCTGTTGTCGATATTGGAGGTCGGTGTCAGTATTGGGAGCCAGACACGCACGCGAAGCTCTGCCTTGCCTGGCATTTCCACTGGGGGAGGGTTGGTTCCCATCTAGGAAGGTGCGGCGAAGCCTTCCATCCGCGAGGCTGCATGTCTGTCCGCCGCCCAAAATTTTTAGAGAAAACCCAACTAACCTGAACAATGCCTCTGCGTCACTAGAAACCTCAACTCGGGGCCACAAGAGCTCCTGCGAGTGCACCATGTCTTCCTTCTTTACTACTCCAGCTTCGCAACGAAAGCGTAAAAGACCGAGCGAAAGTGCAGGCAAAGTAGCCAGAAAACGGCGTGAGGTGGACAAGCACGAACTCCGGAACGAAGGAGACCAGCGTTCACGCCGCAGACAACCCAACCCCCGAGACGCGGACGCAGACACAAACGCTGATCGTGATGGAGATGAGTCGATCTCTGGGAGTGAATCAGAGGAAGAAGTCGCACCCGAAAGTGATGATGAGTCCGTGGCTACTTCCGAAGAAGGCGAGACCGCCGCCGAACGGCGTGTGAGACTCGCACAAAGATATCTGGACAATATCAGGCAGGAGGTGGACGAAGTTGGTTTCGACGCCGAAGACCTGGACAGAGATTTGATTGCACAGAGATTGAAAGAGGATGTGGACGAAGCGAAAGGCAGACAACATAGATTGATCGCTTCGAATCTGGATTTCGCCAACGCAACTCACACGGTCTTCCGAGCAGATACAAACACCACCACCGGCGTTGCAGTGTGTCGGCCTTATGTCTACACGGTGAGCAAAGACAAGACCTTGATCAAGTGGCAGCTTCAGCCTCCGCCTTCACAATCCGGTGGAAAGGGCACCACAGCTTCACGACGACGCCGGCCAAAGCAGCTTGCATATGTTCGAGGCATCAGGGTTAGAGCGTCGGCTTCTCAACAACATGGCCATACTGGTGCCATTCTAGCGGTTGCAGCTTCACCAGATGGCAAATATGTCGCTACAGGTGGCGCAGACAAGAAGCTCATCATCTGGTCTGCTGAAGACCTGCGGCCACTAAAGACATTCACCACGCACCGAGATGGAGTCACTGCACTTGCCTTCGCTCCAGATTCATCTCAGTCTGGATTCGGAGCACAGCTTTTCAGCGGCAGCATGGACCGATCCTTGAAAACCTACAGTCTGGCTGGCGAGGACAGCCTTGCCTATGTGGAAACGCTCTTTGGCCATCAAGATCACGTCGTCGATGTCTCTGCAATTGCTGCCGATCAGTGTGTTACGGTTGGGGCACGAGACCGAAAGGCTTTGTGGTGGAAGGTCGTGGATGAATCGCTTACCAAATTCCTCGGCGACAGTTCCAAACATGACACATATCAGACTGGAAGCCTTGACTGCGTGGCGGCTCTACCTCCAAATCACTTTGTGACCGGCTCTGACTCGGGTGCTATCAGTCTGTGGAGTGTCCATAGGAAGAAGCCGCTGTTCACTATCCAGACTGCCCACGGGGTGGATGAGCCTCCTCCTCTAGAAGAAGTGACTTCCGAGACAGATCCAAAAGTGATCGAGAGGCTCAAACAGGCTGACAAGCGAAGGCCGATTGCTCGAGCGATCACTGCTTTAGCGGCTCTTCCCGGGACAGATGTTGTCCTGAGTGGAAGCTGGGAGGGATGCCTACGGGTGTGGAAGCTCAGTGACGACAAGCGAACGCTATTGCCTCTCGGTGCGGTCGGATCTGGCGCTGACAGTGACATTGCCTTGAACGGCTACACCAATGGGGACGGGGAGGGGGAGTCGACCAGTGCCTCGCCCACAGCTCCTACGCCCGTTGAGACGAAGAAACCCGAGACGGTTCGTGGAATTGTGAATTCAATAGCTGTCTTCGAACGAAGGAAAGAGATCACCAGCGAGTTTGGAGGCAAGAAAGAGGGCGAGTGTCAGGGACTCTGTATTGTCGCAGGAACCGGCAAGGAGATGAGACTCGGGAGGTGGATGAAGTTACCTCACGGGAAGAATGGTGCTGTCCTGTTTGAGGTACCGCTGCGGCAGGAGACCAAGTAGACATTCTAATACCACATTTTGACTGGAAAACTGAGGTGATCAATAACGTGTCAAGGCATTTCAGCTGCAAATCTATATAGTAGCACCTCGTCAAATCTGTCGGTCCATCAATGAGGCTCTGCAACAGCAGGTGGCCTTACGTAAGCAGCACTGAGCAGTCATATCACGTGGTCTTGCAGGCCGTGGGCTTGGCATTCCTCTTCCTGCAAAACTTCGTCTCTCAACTCTCCAGCTTTTTCTTCTCTTCTCTTCAGATCAAAAAAAGCAACAGAGCCAGCCACGACCGTCGTTTCGTCTTTTCTACAGCGACGTGTTGCCATGGGTTCTTCCGAATCCGATGGCTCTGGAGAACAACGCCTTTCCTTGTAGGAAGTTTCTCTCCCGTTGGGTCCTCTTCAGTGAGGGCGATGGGCCTGAAATGTCGATTAATAGGATACATCTACCTCCCCTTACCCAAGATTTATATATCAAGGGCAGCTCTTCTCTTCTTTCTGCAATTTCCTGCAAGACGTCGCATCAGATCCGGAAGTGAAAGAATTAGAATGAAAGAACCAGAGAAGAGTCTGGGCGTCAAGAGAGGCAGGCTCAAATGATCCAGCCTTTTCGCAGCCTCCTCGACCGATTCTCTGATGTATGTACGCCGAATCTTTGCCAGCGTGTCAGTGCAACACAGGGATGGACCACTCTTCGAAGGAGTTTCCAAGTATGTTATGGAGCGTGCACGCATTCCATCAACTGGACTCTCTTCCTGAACAGGTGGTTGTTGTCATGGTCTGTTTTGCATTCCTCAAGAGTTGTTATGTGGATCTCCTCTGGCCTGCACGGTGATCGATCACCCAAGGTAAATATCATTGATTACTCGGTACAAAACTCTCTGCATTTTCCTTTCTTCCAGCTCAGATCTTTGAGACTCGTACATTCGTTTGAAGTGCTTTCCAACACTCGGTCACTCATTTGAACCCATACTCTTGCTTTCGCCTTTCTTTCTTAACCACTTCAGCAAAGCTACAGAACTACTAGTATCTGTCTACTGCCAGTCCAAAATGAAGCCCTCAACAAGGACTGTGCCCCTCGCGGCGCTTCTGGTTGCGAGTGCGAGTGCGCAGACCAGCACCATGGTCAACGACCCACTCGACACCTCCGTCACTACTGTTTACTACTCTGTCTGCCCGACGGCTCTCACCACCACTACAACCTTGTCGAGCACGATCACCTACTGCCCCGGACCCAATTGCCACGGAGGCGGTCCCCAGATCACCGCACCACCTCAAGGCCCTTACTATGGCTCCGAGATTCTTGCATTCACTACTACTGGTCCGGATGGGAAGGTTTCCGAATACCATGAATTTCTCACTGTCTATGATCAGATCTGCTCGGATGGCACTGGCATGGAACAAGCTACCTATACCATCACCGAGGCTTGCCCATGCCATATGACCAAGAATCCCATGACCCTTCCCGAAGGCTTCACCACTACCGTCGTGGCTTGTACCGCTTGTGGTGAAAATGGTGCAGCTGCTACAGTCACTCTTACAACTCCTTGCGCTACCGGTCCCTACGCAACAGTCACCCCGGTTGTTGGCTCCGATACAGGCACTGGCTCTGGTTCAGGGTCCGGATCTGGCTCAGGGGCAGGCTCTGGTTCTGGTGCAGGCTCTGGTGCAGGCTCCGGTTCAGGTGCCGGCTCTGGCTCTGGGGCTGGTTCTGGCTCGGGCTCCGGCGCTGAATCAGGCTCTGGTGCTGGATCAGGCTCTGGCGCTGGGTCTGGTGCAGGCTCTGGTGCAGGATCGGGCTCCGGTGCTGGTTCGGGCTTCGGCTCTAGCACTGGGTCTGGTGCTGGTGCTGGTGCAGGCTCCGGTTCAGGCTCGAGCTCTGGCAGCAGCTCAAGTCCTGAAGCAGATACAGGCGCTGATTCGAACTCTGGTGCACGAGGTGGGGCCGGTGCAAGTGCAGGCGTAGGAATGGGCAGTGGAGCAAATAACAGCACTATCTCACCACCAATCACTCCTGTTGTCGGAAGCGGTCCTTCAGGCACAGGACCCAAGAGTTCAGCATATACGGGTGGCGCCGACAGGACGGCTTTTGCATTATCGGGGATTATGGCTGCTGTTGTCGGATGTCTGGCTTGGATGCTGTGATATGTGGTGAAGCTTTGGTTGCCTTCATTGAATTTGTGTTGGGAAAGAGGTTTATCTTTACATCATCTGGGACACATGGCTTCCATCATGCGTTGCAGAGCTCGATGATGCGTGTATGTTGTTCCGCTGGTCAAACTGCTAGCATATCCTCTTGATGGTGTAGTTTGCAAAGGTCGCGATCCTATTCATTCAATCTTTCTTCCATCAGACCCCCAACTGGCGCCAGGCACAATATAGAGCTAATGGATGGCAAGGCATGCGTGGTTCGTGTCAGTCAAGGCTCGCAGAGCAGTCAACGTTAACGGCTGGTGTATAGAATCGCGTCCTCGGCTCGTCCCTGTCAATCTCCAATCTACTACCGTATGTTTAGTCACTACTAGTGGTAACGATGCGAGACCATCGACCCCTGACTAGCGCGACATCGAAGAAGTCGGGTTCTCATGAGACCCTGGTTCTGGCGTCTCCGAAGGAACTGGTTCAAGGCAGGCCGGTGGATGGTGAAGCCAATCAAAGCATGAAGGCGTGAGTTGACGCCCGACTACGTGGGGCAACGCTGCGATGGACGAGTCGAACAGCGCTTCGATGGGCGCCTACAGTCGTCGAGGTGCTCTTGGAATCGGACAGCAATAAAGCAGGCCCAAGGTGCGGCCATGGCTTGAGAACAGCTAGATTCCATTCTGTTGTTTTCAAGTTGGCTCTTGCAAGCAGAGAACAGGAACAAGGAGCGCAAGTGAGAAGAGAGAGGACAAGTGCCTGTAGTGGTGCTGTTACAGCGTGCAGTGAGCGAACACTCAAGACTGCAGACGCATCCTCCCCCCGGCCTCGTCTGCCAGGATTCATTGTTACAGTTGCCGTTGCCGTTGCCTATACCTGTCTTACACTTCCTCAGCGCTCCCTTTTCACCCTCAGTCGTGCAGTACTTGTCTCGCCTGCTGCCTGCTAGGCCGGCCTTCAGGTCTCTACCACGATTTCCTTCCAACCTAAGGCCCGACCCCAGGTCTACGGCTGTACCCTCCCCCGGCACCCCACCGAGCCCACCACACGAGTCCGTGACATCCCCCAAGCCCCTCCACTTCGAAGACAAGAAGTGACCGGCGAGTCAACTGCCCGTCATGAGCGCCACAGGGCATCATGGCAAGCCAGATGGCGAAATGTTCTTGAACCATCCTCCAGGCCGCGGGTCGCCCACGATTGTCGAGCCTCTGCGCATCAACAAGAGGAATTCCCGCGCCCACTCAGTCGCCGGCAAACAAAGTCCAGCTCCTCAGCAGCCTGCCTCGAATACAACAGTTTATCCTGCGCCATCCCTGCCATACCCCGATGACCAGTCCAGGCAACAACATCAAGCCTCACAAGCAAATGGGTTGCCTGCGCCGTATCCGTATCCAGATGTGAGAAGGGTAACCTCTCCAGAACGGGCGGGAAGCGCTGGAAGTGGGCCACAACAAGAGGCGAAGAGAACAACGTCAGGAGATGGACAGCCTATACAAACTCTTGCTGAACGCCGTGGGAATATGCCAAAACCTTTGCCCGAGTCCCCAGGACCGGATGCTCCAGACAAGGAGGGACTCTTCCAGCGACCACCTCAACGCGGGGATGGTCCTTTGACAGCGCCTTTGCCAGGTGCCCAGAAGCAGGGCAGCCAACAGCAATACTGGCCGCCCCCCACGGTCTCGTCTGCAGCAGATGCTCTGAGCCGGTTGAGAATTCGAGACCCCTCCTCGATTAATCGGATCAGCTCCACTGCCTCGACATCGACCACAAGGGCTCAGCGGGGATCGCCTCCTCCGCCCGAGACCCCGATCGTGGGTCCTGGTGCACGGCCCCAGACCGACATCGAGGCTCGTTATGCGGCTTCTGGCATCGCCGGCACTGCAACATTAACAAGCTTGCAGGCGCAAAGCGTAGCCGCTCAACAAAGAGCGGCCCAGTACAGCACTCCTTCTCAGCCCGGCCAGCCACAAGCGAATGAACCACCGAGACGGCCATGGACACCCACCGAAGCACCCGGGAGCACTTCACATCCTGTTCCCACAGTCTACCAAGGAACCAGTGAGGTAAGCTCCTCGCCCCCAGCGGGTACCAGATCTCCGGTAGCGACTCAACCAGCCGCTTCTTTGCACTCACCACAGCGAGTCCGGCATCCCATTGAAAACGAGCTCTCAAGATTGCAACCCCATGACGAGCCTCCGCCCGCTTACTCTCAGGTCTTGGGGGGAGCGAACGCTGGCCGTCATGCTAATGAGAAGGAGAGGCGAAGCATTGTCGGGGCCGGCGTTCCTGCAACTGGGACAACGGCCACGACAGTAGCCACTGCAAATACAATGCCGGGAGCGCAAGTGCCAAACCAGTTGGATCATCCAGCATTTGCCAATGATCCTCGGCAGCAAAGCCAGAGTCATGCAGCTCAGCCCAATGCCAATGGCCAAATGCATCCAGTGCAGCCGGTAATGCCACACACACCTTCGCAGATACCCCCTGCGTCGCCTCCACCGCTTCCGGAGGGCTGGATTGCGCACATGGACCCAAACTCTGGACAGTATTACTACATTCATTTGCCGACGCAATCCACGCAGTGGGAGTTTCCAAAGGGCCCAACGCCTCTGAACTTGAATGACACCCCGTTGTCGCCCGTGGGTAGTATCTACCAAAACCCGTTGGCCTCTCCGGCGGGACTGTCTTTCACTCAAAAGCCGCTGGCCTCGCCTGGCCTCCCGTTGACCCCAGGATACGATCAACAGAGTGTTATGGGACTAGCAAGTCCTGCTGCCTTCACGGGGCCCCCGCCGAGCAGTGGGGTTGATCTCTATAAAGTGGTCGCGACCAATGGCGTCTACTTTGGTCCTTACCTGCGTTATGCCAACATGGATATTGACAATGGCATCTGGTATGGCTCCATCCTTTTGGTTACAGACGCGCCGCAACCTCCCACTATCCACATACACCAAAGCCTCGATCTGTCGCCCAACCCTCGCCAGCTGAAACCTGCCAACATTGCCACTCATCAGCGTTGGACATTCTTCAAGTATGACGTTGACCTTCCTATGGAGGAGTCCGAAGCTGCCAAATGGACATACGCGATCACGTCCCACCTTGGCTGCACACGCTATGAGTTCCTGGTTGCCGGCAAACACGAGACGAACTGGCGGTTTATCGCCACATCCGGGAACGACTTTTCCTTGAATGTCAACGCCAATGAACGCGCGAGGCTGGGGGGTGTCGGTTTCATGTGGAAGGATATCATGCAGAAACATGCCGAATGTGGAGGCTTCCATTGCCAATTGGGTCTGGGAGGCCAAATCTTCGCCGACAGACTTTGGAAGGAGATCCCTCTGCTTAAACAGTGGTTAGCGATGAGTGGGAAGGAAAATAGGAAGAGTGCTGTCTGGACGGCATCTCACGAAGAGGACGTGACGCATGCATACTTCCACTATTATACCAGCCATTTCGACCAGCCATACTTACGCGAAGCCTTTGCCCAGATTCCTCACGTGCTGACACTTGACGACCACGACATGTGAGTAGCGTCATTCCTCTTTTGTGGTGGTCATTGCTGACGTGAACAGTTTTGATGGATTTGGATCTTACCCGGAATATATGCAGTTCAGCAATATGTTCAAGAACATCGGGCGTATCGGCATTGAGATGTACCTGCTGTTTCAACATCACACCACCTTAGAACTCCTCCGTAACGTGGCTGACGACCGAGACTTGTTCACCATTACAGGTACTGGCTGGCATTTTGTCAAGTTTCTTGGTCCGGCGGTCGCGGTTGTAGGTCCAGATACGCGAAGCGAAAGAAACCCCCATCAGGTCATGGCTGGTCCGACTTACCAAGGCCTCTTTCCCAAGATTGCATTGCTTCCGCCGACCATTCAACATTGCATCTTGATGATCCCAGTCCCTCTCATCTATCCTAGACTTGAGGCTGCAGAGCAAATTGCTCACACCGTGGCCACGGGCAAGAAGGCGGTTACAGGAGCCTATAATGTTTTGGGGAAGGTCACAAGCTCGGTCGCTGGTGTCGTTGGGGCCAAAGGAGCAGTGGGCTCAGGATTTGACTCCGTGAAACGCGCCGTTGGCAAGTCCGGGCTAATGGGAGGCATTCTGAGTCCCTTCGGGGATATCGACGTCCTCGACGAATTGAAGGACCAATGGACACATGAGTCCAAGGTGAGTCACAACCGCATCGCTACCCTGGCTCCGACTGACTCGCGCAGGACCTGGAGCGCACCTATCTCATTCGTACGCTGCAAGGCATTTCTCATCAAAGATCGATTCGCTTCAGCTTGCTCTCCGGCGCGGTGAACACATGTGGAGCCGGCCTCGTTCATGACCCTTCACATCCTTCGGACCACAAAACAATGTATCAGCTCATCACGTCGTCGGTCGTGAACACTCCTCCGCCGGCATATCTCATGAAGTTGCTCAACAACAACAAACCACTCTACGTACCGGCCAATGGCCAAAAGTCGACGCCGTCGCAGCCGACGGACACGAAAGAGGACATGATGGAGATATTCACCCACGATGTCACCGGGCAGCCCATCACCAATCGCAAGTTGATGCCTCGGCGCAATTATCTTGCGGTGGTGGTGTATGATCCTGAGGTGGTCAACGGGACTTTTGGGCAAACAGGCATGCACCGCGGTTCGGGCAAACTGAGTCTTGCAGCCGACTTCCTGGTCCAGGGTGAGGGTGCGTATGGCAACGTGGTGAAATATGGACCTGTTGTAGTTCCAAGCCTCGAATATGGACGGTGAAGAAGCATGATTGCTGATCGGTTGCCCGAGGCTTGACGGATGTTTGAAAGGTCGGATCTAGCTCTGGATATGGTCTTTGAACGAACATAATGAGCCGACGAGCATAGCGGGCGGCGTCATGGAGATTTTTTGGGTACTCTCCGAGCTCTTCGGCGCTGGGTATTGTGATATCTAAGTGCAGATATGGTCAGTTGAATGAAGAACTTGAGGCATTCAATACCCGATCCATCATATTAATGACCTGGTATCAACAAATACGTAGGTATTTGATAGAGCCACATCTATTACTTCAACATTGTCAGTCTTGTGGTCGGTTGTTTGCAGGGGAGTTGAAGCACGGCTATTTTTCGGGGGTAAATATATCGAGTCCACCAATCCACTACGTGGTACCAGAACTGTTTCTAATTTCCAACTTTTACCTCTCTCGATCCTCCACGCCATCATTTCACTCGAAGAGCTTGCACGCAAGCCTCATCATGCGGCGGTCCGGCCTACAACGAGAAGTGCTCAAACTGTACCGTCAGTGCCTGCGCGCGGCGGGCAAGAAACCTGAGGTTAGTGAACGTCCAGCTGCGCTCGCCATCCAGCTAATGACCTCTTCCTTCAGGCTACGCGAGACAATTTTCGCATGGTGGCACGGTAAGTTGGACTGCGTTCGGGCCATGAGAAGCAAAACAAATCTGATAGCTAGACCTCCAGCCGAGAATTTCGCAAGAACCAGATGGTCGACAAGAAAGATTTCGCCGCCGTCGAGACTCTGCTCCGCATGGGGTCTCGCAAACTCGAGCTCTATTCGTCGGAAGGGGTCAAGGACATCCATTGATCCAGAGTGCTCATGCATCCCTCTAGACCTTTCTCTGTGCTGCTGTCCTGTCCATGGCTACAGTGACGGCAGGGCAAGGGAGGCTTCCCTGATGCCTGATGAGAGGGCCGTCGACGCCGTCACGTGACCATACAGAAACATATGGTAACTCGCAGACACACGACGCCACTTCCGGCAGATTCCAGCAACAGGCATATACTGCTTGCGTCCCCCCCAGAAGCATCTAGCTGATGGCGACATAGACTGCTTGTTCATGCATGCTCGACTGTCTAGTTGTCCAGTATCTTCCATCAGGCGACGATGAACGGCTATAAATCCTGGCTGGACGCCCTTCTTCCTGCAGTTCGACAAGCAACAAGAACAAGTCCTATGAATTCAGCACGAACAAGAATCATTCCTCGAGCATCCAAAATCCTCAAACCACAACCTCTCCGCACAACCACTAGAAACATGTCTCTCTTCCCAAGAATCGCATTTGGCCCAGTCCGCGTCGGTCCCAACCGCCGTGGCGCGGAACTCGCCCCCATCCTCAACCTGCTGGACGACTCGCTGGGTGAAGTCGAGAAGGCCACCCGCCAGACGTTGAACCACTTCAAGCCTGCCTTCGACGTCAAAGAGACCCAAGAGGGCTACACGCTGGAAGGCGAGCTGCCTGGCGTCGATCAAAAGGACATCAACATCGAATTCACCGACGAGTATACCTTGACCGTCCGGGGTCGGGTGGAACGCCACTCCGAATCCGGCCGTCCCAGTCAAGCCGCCATCGAGGGCGAGAAGAAGGGAAAGAAGCCTCTCAAGCCAACTGTTGAAGACGAGGAATCTGCCAACGCCAGCGAGAGCAAGGAGGTCTCACAATCACAACCCACGCAAGCGTCGGAGCCCGCCCAACCACAAGATCACTACTGGATCTCGGAGCGGTCGGTTGGAGAGTTCTCTCGCACCTTCACCTTCCCAGCCCGCGTGAACCAAGATGCGGTCAAGGCGTCGTTGAAGAACGGCGTCCTCACCATCTACGTGCCGAAAGCCCCAGCCCCTCAAACTCGACGCATCGCCGTTGAGTAAAGCAATGGCTGGGGATTCTTGAAGTCAGAAGGAACTTTTTCTGCAGCATACACAAAGCCTATCGTACCATTCAATTCACGACTGCATGACCTGGCGTTCTGCGTGGGATTTAGTTGCATACTGCATACTGCATACTACGAGGCATGGATAGCGATTTGAAGAGATGATCAGGGAGGGACGTGGCTGGTCTCTCCGCCACGGGATCTCGATTCAACCCTTCCTGAGAGTCCTGTAATAATACATGAATGATCATGATGCTCCTCAACAAATTGTCCCTGAACATTTCATTCTGTTTCTGTATCCATGTTCACTTCACTGCTCTTACGTCGTCTTTCAACTTGCCTTGTGTTCTGCTTCTCTCTTGGATATTCGTAAATCTTGGACAAGCTGTATACGTACTGCGGGTACACAAGGCACAGACTTTAGGCGGCGTGGGGGCAACGTCCGGGCCCAACCGCAGCAAATCATCATGTCAAAGGTCAATGCAGCCATGGATCCAAGAAGTGGCTGTGCACGTCTTGACTTCTTCGCCGTTTCCCGAGTAGGGATAGACACATCTCGTAGGTGTACGAGCAAGTGTGTCTCGTATGTCTGTATACGTAATGGAGCTGTGGCGGTGTTTCTTTGCCGTCACGTCGTCCTATCTTTTACCTTGCTTGTCTCGACATGTCCGATGACTACGGAAATGTCAAACCTGTCCCGCGTCCCATCGTCGACCGGCCAGCTCTTTTCCATTTTTACTCTCTCTCCTCTATCCTTCCCTCAACCATGACCTGCAGAGATCGTCGTACCGGCAGGACGTGGATTCGAATTTGGCAGATGCCAGTAAGAGAAAGATCGACGGTGATTGTACGGGGAAGTCGGGACTGCATCTGGCTCTCTTCACAATAGTATGCGAATTTCATGGAAGGGGTACGGCATGTCGTAGCAACGGTTTCATCGGACTTCGTAGAATCCCCTGCCACCCTCCTCGCTAGCAGGCATCGTGTGTAGCAGGATTGTGGCGTGAAGCCGGGCGAGCCTGTCAGAGGAATCCGCCCGCTCGCTTGCGCGTCGATTGAGACTTAGCGGTGGCTGAGGCTTGATTTGAGGGGACACAAACCTGGATTTCGAGACAGAGTGAAAGGTGTTGTGGTTGGTTGGGAGCGTGCGAAAAGGCGGGAAGTGGAAGTGGCTTGCAGTGGGTTGTTCGCTCCCCGGGCTACGCAATTGTTTATCTGTTGGGCTACAGCCAATGAACTGGATCAGAATCCAAGGCATCTCTTCTGCCAACTACTACAGTAGGTAGTATCTACGTACTGCGTAGGTACCTAGGTATCTACCTACTGCGAAGCCTGCTCACGATCCACGATCCATGATCTGAATCAATGCAGTGCAGTGATTGTCCTCCCCTTCCTCCTTCAACTTGCTAGCATACAGGTACTGACCGTTTGGCATCTGCTACTTCTCCTCCTGATACGTCTGCCTGCCTGCTTTCTCATTATGCATTGACCACTGCTGCCACCGACCTCTCCCGCCGCACCCTCCTGCTCCTCCTTCCCGCCGCACCTCGCCCTGATGTTGCTACTCTTAGCAACTTTCTCAAACTCTCCTCATCCCCTGCGGGCTGTTGGTTCAATCGTTGTCCCTGCCGCAGCCAGTTTCTATCCACTTTAGCCAGCCTTCCGTCGCTCGTTTCGGTCGGCAGAGATCTTGAATTCAAAGCCCTTCGTTCTGAACCTCAGGCTCACAGGGCCGCGGACTATTTACCCTCGTTTCCACTCCACTTCCAGGTTCTCGCCGGATCTGGTGCGGTAAAGCTGACCTCACCTGGCCTTGTCACTGCAGACTGACAGGTGCTCAGACCATCAAGTCGGTGGGCTTCACCCTTCTCCGGTGCTTCGGTGCTCGACGGCCCATACGTAGCTCCCGCAGCTGTCGTCCAAGACACCACGCAGTTCTCCCTCGCACGTACCTCCAAGTTGTCCGTCGCCGAACACTAGAAGCCATGAAGCAGCGCCTAGCATCTTAAATCCCCGCCTTCACCGAGCCCGAGCAGGACCACTCTTCTTTTTGAGTAACTCCTCTTCTCTCACCACGGAAACGGAGCACGCTCCATACAACAAAAACATCTCTAATATGGGCTTTGGCCGACGCAAGTTAAGCGTGGCAGAAGAGCTTTCTTGTGGTGATCCTGAGGCTCGTCGAAGAAACCGCCTGTCGAAGCCTTTAACCAACAAGCTCTCCGCCACTATATCGACAACCAGTATCCCAGAGACAGTGATATACAACAACGATGCGAGCAGCAAAGAAGCCGTGGTGGGAGGTCCGCTAACCTCTCACCCAAGCAATGCCGCTCTGGGAGGGCAGATACGGAGCCCCATCTCTGTGGAGGATAAGTCTTCGCCAAATCAATCGCTAAAGAGCGACTCGACCTGGAGCGTGGCTTATATGGTCAAGGAGCTTGACGAGAACAAGGCCAAACCTGAACGAGTGCAAGAACCACAGCCTCTTGGTTCGCCTCGCAACCCGAGAAAAAGAAAGTCTTTCGTGTTCCGGCCTTTGTCGACAAGACGGTCCACTAGTCTGTCCCGGCTCAACAGTATCAAACAGACCAATCTATCGGCCAGTGTTGTTGCCGCTGCTTCTACTCCGACGTCGTCTCTTGATCAAACTGTGGATTCACACGCCGTTCCTCCCACTCGCCGAGCCTCTTTCACTCCAGGCACGGCCACGAGGAAGCCATCTATCACCTTGCCCAAGGACGAAATTCTGCAGGAGCACCCAGCTGAAGACCCAGAGGAAAGCAATCTGGTCGAGTCCGACGACTCTGACTGGCGGCCTCCTCCGCCGAGAATGGGAGGACGAGCTGGGACACCGGCAGACCTGGACTACTCACAACTGGGTGTTCTTAGACTTGGTTCACTGCAGATCGTCAACGGACGGGCGTCGCCTGCCTTTAGCGAGATGTCCAAGGCCTCCAAACAGATCCTGGCAGTACCCCAACTGCATCGGGACGTTTCGAGCGACTATGGCGAAGAAGACGAGGACTTCCACGATCTGATTATCCCTTCGCGACGATTGTCCTCGCGCACTCCGCCCACCGAGGACTCTGACCGACGTCTCTTCAGTTGGGATTATAACGATGAGGAGTCTTTGGGGGCCCTTTACCTTCAAAACGCCATGTCCGTGTCCGCCTTCGGCGAAATCGACAGTGGGGATGATCAGACCTCGTTGATGGCCAGGGAGTACATGGCCGAGCTACCAGCCAGTCCATTCTCGAAACCAAAGCCAAGTTCCTCTTCCCAATCTTTGAGAAGAAGCACGTCGGAAGGATCATTGCGGGAGTCATCGTCATTTTCATCATTGCAAAAGTCTCCGTTGCTTGACCGGTATCCAGGCAGCAGCTCCCCTGTACCTGCGTCGCAACAATGTCCCTCCCCCACAGGATCTGTCGTATGTAGGCCGAGGAAGGAAGAAGCCGGCCTACAAAGCCAACAGATGTTTCCCGTGAATTTTGTTGACGATGAAAATCAACCTAGCGAAACAATGGGGTGGCACTCTCGTGTTCAGCCAAGCTCCCCTCGAGGGGGCGCATTCCGACGAACCCTTGACTTTCAAACCCAACCGTATCAGGCGTCCCCAGCCCCTTCAACCTATCTCCAGCCTCCTCATTCGTTTGAGAAATCCGACAGTGGTTACAGTTCGACCAACTCATTGAGCTCTCTCCAAATGGCAAAGTGTCCACCGGCCACAGACGGTCAATTCTTGCGTGATGCCTCTGCGGCACAGTCGAACGCCATACCGCAACCATCAGGAAGCAGATATTCCATGCTCGGGACCACGGCATCTACCTTGAAGCCAAACAGCACGGAGCCGACTTTGGCCCAGTTTTCCAACCTCCGTCCTGCTGCAGTATCCGCAAATTCGGCACCAGCCGTCCCTACCCCGGACTCTACAGCTGTCAAGCAAGTCAAACCGCGGAAGAAGTTGCAGAAGAAGCGACGGCAGAGTCAACCTCCGAAGGAGCTTCGCATTTCACGCACGCATTCCTTCGAGGGAGACTCTATCCCACGCATTCCCAGTGACGCGGAAGAAAACCTTCGCATACGCTCACAGGAACTGCCTGAGCTCGAGAGAACGTATCTCTCCTTGAACGGGACCAGCGATCATGCCGGTATGTCGAGCATAGAATTTCCCACAGCCGAGCTTCGGTTTCCCTCGCCAGCGCCGGAGCAATCTAGCCGAGGGAGGCGGTCGCGATCACTGAGTCGACCGCGCTCATGGGTTTCTCGATCCAAAGAAGACAAGATGGATTCCAGACGGAATTCTGGAGTTAGCCCTGCCGAAACCATGGCCCTGGTCCATGAGTATGGGGCTGCCTATTCGATGGGAGGCGGACCTTACGATCTTGCACACGAGAACATCGCATATGGGCAATCTACGAACCGTCACGACGTCCCGATCGTCGCTCCCCGAACGCGGCCAATGATGGACGACAAGACCGCTGTGGAATTTGCCAGACGCCGCAGTCGGTCTATCCAAGAGCGCGACAATATGTTAGCAGATCGAAAGTCGGGGTTCAATGATAGGGGAGGGATTCCCGGAAAGAACTTAAGACCGGCAAGTTTCGCTGCCGATGCACCTCCGATCACTCCTGAAATGCTACAGAAGGCTTATAGAACTTCATCGGAGCACAGGCAGGCCTCGTTTGGGAATGGATTTGCACCACCACCGCCACCACACTCGCCACGACCAGCTTATGTGGAATACGAAGAGGACTATACAGACCCGTCAATCGCTCCTCCTCCTCCTCCTCCTCCTCCTCCTCCCCCTCCTCCGCCGTCCCATTCACCAAGGCCTGTCGACCTGACTCCCGATTCATGGGCAGCCCAGTCTGCAGCCTGGCGAGCTCGCCGAGAATGTGCTGGGCGTAATAGCCCATATCGGCCCCCTATGGATTATGACGACTATCATGCCACTGTCGCAGATGAACCTTTGTATCCGGACATCCCTCCTCGAGGCGGACGGCAGGATTTCCCGGTGCATCAGTCGTCTCAGGATTATTACTACTTCTCTGAACAACAATACCACGACGGAGATTATGATCATCCGCAGTATGAACAACAAGGCTTTTCGACTTATGAGGACCCCTACCGATACCCAGACCACCGCGAGTCTGGGTACAGGCGACATTCACGACAAAATTCCGTCTTGCAGGAAATTCAGCAACCTCGAGGGCCGGCTGTTCAGTCCCGCGGCCCGCCTCAACATCGGCCTTTGCCGTCTCCGAGGACGTCAGGCATGGCCAGTCCTGGTCCTCGTCCTCATTCACAGGCGACTAGCATCCGCAGTTTTGCGTCCTCTCTAGCCGAGGAGCTTCATCCCAGCGACCTGGAGAGACCATGTCCACCGCCGGACTTCGGGCGCTATTCAGGCGGGATGGGTTGGGGGTATGAACGGGAAAACGGGTTTGGAGGTTCGGCTGGCACAAGGTCTGTCAGTGGGAAAGCCCAAGCAAGTAGGAAAGGGGTTGCATTGAGAGCCAGTTTCGGAGTCGACTTGAGCGACGTGCCTGTCATGATGGCGGTGGTCAGGGCGTGAAACCCCTCGGTCGTACTACAGTCGACTTGCAGGGGAAACGGAGTCCAAGCATATTCTTTGCATACATACTTGGTGGAAGACAAGGTGATGTGTCTTCGTGGAAGGGGGTAGGGGCTTTGTGACATTCAACTTCTAAAGCCCGCGTTCGAGAGACCAGTCTCGATCTTGCATACAGGACTTCTGGGCAGTCAGTGTTTGGATGGGGTCTTAATGGCAAGCATTTCATGTTTCAGAATTATGAAGAGAACGCATCTCATCTCGCCTGGAAGGAAAGAAAGCTGATAGAAAGACAAAAAGGATGCGTTGTATATACATACCCCTTTTTGACCAGGACAGGATACGGTACCTAGTTTTGAGCTTGGGGTGCGTGGATTATGGCTTCGACTTTCGACTTTCGACTTTATTACAGGTGCCTAATGAATGGATGGACAGAACAGGACAGAACAGGACAGAACAGGACAGAACAGGACAGAACAGGACAGAACAGGACAGAACAGGACAGAACAGGACAGAACAGAACTGTGTAAGAAAGCTCTCTGATGGAATATAATAGTATGCATAACCTGACCTGACCTGACCTGATCTGGTCTGAATATGTCGAATATGGTGATTTGCGTCGTGTGGACTACGTACCTAGTATTTCATGTTTGTGTTTTGAATTGTATATACCCACTCATACCTATGTAGGTATATGAGTCCGATGCTACCTACCTACTACTACCTACCTTAGGTAAGTATTCATCAGTCCCAACTGCAGTTGATAGATATCTCCTAGCCTTAGTCACCCCCTTTATCAGCGACCGAGGTGTTTAAAAACTTGAATACCTACCTAGGTATGTGGAGGTATGTTGGACATCTGATATAATATACCTAGACTTGGTAGTAGGTATCATCATATCACGTCACGTACGTACAGTACCTGGGTCAGTATATCTATGTCAGGAGGTACATTACACCTAGATGTCCTAAATTCTACAGAACATAAAGGTATATACACACTGGCCCATTTTTCGTCATTGGTCGGATCGACCTTATATACAAACTGAACAGTGTAAACTATTCAGACGGGGAATATGTAACAAAACACCAAAGAAGAAAAGAGTCTTAGATCGTTCTTGTCTAAGGTATTCGTCTTCTTTCTATTTCTGTCCTGGCCAGACGCTCTATTCAAACACCATCAGGATTTTGCCGAGGATCCCCTTCCGGATCTTGATGGGCTGTTCGGCGTCCATGACCTCCTGCATGCCGGTGTGCATGTCGATCTCGCTCGGGTCCCAGGCCCATTTGTCGCGCCAGAAAACAATTCGGTGGCCAAAGTACATGACCAGGAAGATGGGGATACCGATGTAGGCGGTCAAAAAGCCGGACGCGGACCACTCCGACGGCCAGAAGACGGTGAACCCGTTGATCAGCAGCAACAGGCTGAACATGGCCATTGCGATCCAGGCGCCGTAGGGTTGGATCCAGTTGCGATAAGGCGACTGGATGTCCTGTGCCTCGCAAGCCTTCCTGAAACGCAAAAAGATGATCATACAACATACCCATGACGTCATCCCCCACGTGTTCGTAAGGCTGACAAACCAGTTGAAGACGACGGACCCGCTAGACGCAACGTTCAGGTACGCCAGGGCGGAAAACAGCGAAGAGACGGCGACAGCCATGTAGGGCACGCCCCATTTGTTGCAGCGTTTGAAAATGCGTGGGGCGGACCCTTGCACGGCCAAGCTGTACAGGGCGCGCGAGGAGATGTAGAGGAAGGAGTTGCCCGACGACCACGCGGAGATGATGATGACGGCGTTGATGATGGACGGCAGGGCAGGGATGCCGGCGTTGGCGATGGCCACGACGAAGGGCGACGATCCCGCCCCGGCACCGCCGTCGGTCAGGCGCGGATCGTTGCTTGGGCAGATGACGCCAATGGCCAGCACGCTGAGGCAGTAGAAGATGACCAGACGGTAGAAGTAGCGCTTGGCCGCGATGGGCAGATTGCGTCGGGGCGATTGCATCTCGCCTCCCGTCACGACCAGAAGCTCCGGTGCGAAGGTAAAGGGGAAGACGGACAGGACGAAGGTTTCCCAAAAGGCCACGAAACGGCCGGTGTCGCCGCCCACCATGTACGTGTTGGCGGCGCCTGGATGATTCCAATATCTGAAGCCGAGTCGGTCATGGCTGGGACCGCCTCCCCAGAAAAGAATGAAGGACAGGATCAGCAGACCGATCATCATAATGACCTTGGTCCCGGCGAACCAGAACTCGGTCTCGCCGTAGAACCTGACGGGTAAGAAGTTGAGGGCGATAATAACGACCAGCATGATGGTGATCCACACCGCAATGTTGATGTCGTTGGGCCAATAGTTGATGACCAGGCCGGCCGCGGTGATTTCGTAGGGCACCAGAATCCCCAGGGCGTACCAGTACAGATAACCGAGAGCGAACCCCATCGAGCGAGAGACGTAACGGTAGCCGTAGTAAGACATGGTGCCGCCGTGCACCGGCATGTATGTGGCCACTTCTGTCATGGCCGTCACCACGCAGTAGACGAGGAAGGTCATGAGGAGGTAGGACACCAGGATGAACGCGGGGCCTCCCACTGAGAGAGTCTGACCGGATCCGACGAAAAGACTGGTTTGGCACAGATGACTTGTTAGTGATTTGGTGCTTTTGTGGAATGAGGCGTGTTAGGGATAGATGGATGTTGCACATACCCAGTACCAATTGTTCCACCGAGGGCAATCATTTGAGCATGTCTGCTGGACAGACCACGCTGGGTGGTTCTATATCGCTCGTCGAGCAGCTCTGCGGCGATGACAGACTCGGCAATCGACGACTTGCGCCCTACGATGAAAGAGTGCTTGCGAGGTTCCTCGCCGGTCTCGTGGCCGACAGGCTCAATGCCCTTTTCGGGATCGTGGGCCTCATGACTGGCCATGGTGGATGGAGGGAATGAAGCACACTCAAAAACAACTATTCGGTGTAGTTGTTCTGGGGAGGTGTGTCTGACTGACGGGACCGTCCTCCTTGATGTAGTCTCCCAATGGAGGGAAAGTGTTGTTGGCCAGGGCAGAGTAAGCCAGGGTGGAGGAGAGTCTCGAATTGGCGGAGGGAGAAAGGCTGAGCCATGGCTCACAGAGGGTCCGGGGGGTTGAGTATTGTTTTATAGCTTTTGAAGCGATGGGATAGGACCGGACTGGACTGGATTCGACTACTGGACTGGAGTCTGAGAGGCGGCGACATATGATGATACAATACCACGGAGACCAATATCAAAAGTGGTAGTCGCATGGACGACTCGATGGCAGGGGAAGGAGTGGAGTACACAAGCCTCGACAAGGTACCACTACTACTACCACTACCACCACAACTGCAGGCGCAGTCGCAGTTGAGCGACTGAGACTCGGAGGGAGAATTGATAAGGACGAACAAGCGTCTTGGCTGCGCTTTTTCCCGCCTCAGACTGCGCTTGATGTAAACTCGAAATCCCTAGCAAGCAGGCAGTCCAGTACAGAGTAGCAGTGAGCGACCATCTGTCAATACGCCAATCTGCCAATCTTCCACCCTCTGCATCCATCCATCTCGCCATCTGGCCACCCTTGTCCACCCTTGTCCACCCCCATCCGTCGCCCGTCCATCTCCCGACACGATAGGCTGTCGTCTACCACTCCCATTGGACCGCCCTGATTCTCCAGCGCCCACGGCGGGACTCAATGCCCATTCTGGGGCTATCAAAACGAAACGTGAGAAGATGGGGCAGATAAGCACCCATCGAAGACGACCCTGACAAAATCTATGTGGTTTGTACCTCTTGGCTGTATGATGCTGATACTGGAGACTGACCTCTACTGACTGCTATCTGTGATCAGCCAACCCAGCTAGTCCCGGGGCAATGCAGATTTCCAGCCTCATGCATATTGCTTGCTTCTTTCAGACCCTGCTTGGCCCGATCGCGAATCAAGCATCCTTCTCACCGTCGCCTGGCCTTGCTCAATTGCCGTAGATAACGAAGTTACGCTGGCTGCATGCAACGTCGGTCTATCCCCTCCAGTGCTTCACTACTCTGGCGGCAACGTTATTCTAGAACCTCCAGCCTTTACGGCCAAGCGAGGGTTTGCGAATCCAATGTGATGCAAGATTCGATGCTCCATGGAGATGTGCTAGTGTACATTCCTAACGATGGTAGTCCATACACACCATGTGGCGGAACCGATCATTATGATAGCTGGTTTCTAGTCCCTCCGCACTGGTTCAAAACAGAGAAATCGAGACCGTGACAAGGCTCTCGAGAGGCAACAATGATGAGGCCGTCGATGGCCACTGATATACAAGGCAGACGCTCTCGTCTTCCACACGACTCACCAGATGCTCCATAGTACGTGGGGTGTAAATGCTCCGGGCGCTCAAAAGGACATCGAGTGAGGCGACCGGTTGTGAGCGGCGGGCACTTGCTCTTCCCCTACCAACAGCCCCAGGGTCCATCACCACCCTCGTCAACATTTCATCCTGTGATCCTATCAACATCAACACCAATATCGTCTTGACAAGGAGAAGGCCGCCAGCACCATCACCCCCAAGTTTTTAAGATAACGGCCGGTTGTGGCTTGCTTCTGAGCGCACAACTCCACAGAGCTTATCTGTGTCTAGATCAGTCTCCGCTGACGCCCCTATCATGATTCAGGTATTGGTGTGGCTCGAGCACCCCCCAGCGCCAAGGGTCATGGAAGGACTCAGCGAGGCAATCGGAGTCAGGCTGCTTTCTGCATCATCTGACTGCACTGGCGAGCAACACACACCTGTTTTGGCGTTTTCGGAAGCAGCGAGTGAGGCTGTTGGGACCATCTCCTAAGCATAGCGCTCTTTGGCTCCTGAGAGACAACGAGGCAGTCCTGACCACTTACCCAAGTCTGTTATACGGATTGGTTCAACTAAGTATACATGTCGTCCAGGTGAAACAGGTCATCGAAACACGGATATGACCGCCGGCAATGGGATCTCGACGAGAAACAGCTTCGTCAAGTGCCTGGGCCAGCTGACACCGAAACAACCCGACTCACTGTGGTCAGGTCAAGCAAATCTTCTATAGACGGTCCTGTAAGCACGAGGTGAGAAAGGAAGGAGACGGCTACATCACAATGCTGCTGGCAGAAGGTGAGCCATGCCGTCACCGCTAGTCGAAGCCTTGGGTCCGAATGCTGACATAGAGATAGGCTCGACCATCCTTGGGCTGCCAATCAGTCTATGGATCGCGCTTGCCATCATCTCGTTATATGGGCTTTCTCGATCAGGCCCAAATGCCGCAAAGCTCAGAAGGATCCCTGGCCCGTGGCTGTACGCAGCGACGGGGTTCAGACTCGCTTTCGATGCGTGGCAAGCACGGTCAGTCCATGCCATTCTGAACTTGCACAGACGGTATGGCCCAGTGGTTCGCATTGGTCCCAATGAGGTGTCCTTCAACAGTCTGTCTGCCTTAAGGGCCATCTATGGTGCTGGGAGCGGATTCGAACGGACCGATTTCTACCGCATGTTCGACGTCTACGGTCGCCCAAACCTTTTCACCTTTGGATCCGGAAAGCTGCACCGCGACCGGAAGAAACTGCTCAGCCACATCTATGCGAACCAAACCGTGCTCGGTCCAGAGTTCTCTCGCTTGGTGCAGGAGAAAGTCGATGGCTTTCTCGCTCTCGTGGAACGAGAACCCGAACATGCTAGCGAGATCTTCGGGAGTCTGCATTACTTCTCCCTCGACGCGATTTCGGAATTCGTATACGGGCCAGAGCATGGAGGGACAAGGGCATTGTCTGGCTCTAAACAATCCCGAGACTTGATCCAGGACATTCTCAATCCCGCTCGGAGGCGTTTGGCATGGTTCGCCGTGCATTTTCCCGCATACACCAAGTGGATCACGACACGCACCGGGTTGCTGGAAAGGGTCCTGACGTCTCTTGGATTGATACCCATGCGAAAACCCTTCACATATACTGGTATCCGCCAGCATGCCCTCACGGCTTTTCACAGCTTCAAAAATGCTCCCCCGGTTGTTCGTGCAGGTGCCGCCGAAAACACCGTGATTGGCCGTCTGTTCAAAGTGCAAGAGGCCGCATCACTGACAGACATGGATATCGCCTCAGAGTGTGCTGACCACCTCCTAGCTGGTATTGATACCACAGCGGATTCGTTGATGTTCATGATCTGGGCACTGTCGCTACCTCAGCATGAGGAATACCAGGAGAAGTTGAGGGCAGAGGTGTTAAGAAGCCCGATAGATCACAAGGGGCTTCCTATCCCCAAGGAGTTGACTCATTTGCCCTACCTGAACGCAGTTGTTCGCGAGTCCTTGCGGTTGTACTCACCTTTGCCCACATTTGAGCCTCGATCGTCACCAGTCGACACTGTCATTGACGGCTACGAGGTTCCTGCAGGGACCATTGTAGGCATGTCTCCATTTTGTCTCCACAGAGACGAGGATGTCTTCCCCTCCCCGTCGAGTTTCAGGCCAGAGAGATGGTTGACATCTTCCGGGACCCTGATCACTGAGTCGGATCAGCAAAATCGTTATTTCTGGGCCTTCTCCAGTGGTGCTCGCATGTGCATCGGAATGCATCTGGCCAATGCGGAAATGTTCACGCTGATTGCTGCATTGTACCGGAAGTACAGGACGTCGGCACGTCACCCGGACACGTCGCCAGGTATCACAAGTAGGTTTGAGGTTTTCAGCGACCAGACCATGCCGAAGATGGTGGAACATGAATGTTGGATCGACTTCGTCAAGCTCAAAGAGGGCAGCTGAGCGGTTGGCAGAAGTCTTAAGGGCAGGCTGGGGTATACCACCGAGCTTGGATTCGGCAGACTAATTGACGAAGCGAGGTTCGACGCGTCAAGGACACGGACAACATCACTGTTATCATCTGCCTCTCACAAGATTGCGCACACGAGGCGGTACGCGTTGCAGGTGAGAATCTAATCTGCATGCACGCAGCCGCACAATTGCTACACGTTTGCGAGGCCAGCGCTATCAGGCACGAATCACAACAATGAATGTCACACGAACGTCTATCCGTTGACCGCGATTTTCCTACTTATTTATACTGTTGTTCGCCTGCAAATTACAGATCGTCTGGCACAGAACATCAACCTCGAATTTGACGTGCGCTTCCGCCTTCCCGCGGTCAAAGCGTTTGACAGCTTAATCTCGAAAGGCATCGCGAAGAATGTCATAACCCTATGCGGGGAGCGAGTTCCATAATTCTTTTGGTCCTTCATCTCTTCCATCTCTCGCTCTCTCCAGGGCTCGTCCCCTGCCCGAAGATGTGCGTGACTGAGAAATGGGTTTACCGTGAATGTGGTTGTCACTACAACCACAACATCCTATGCAGTACGTATCGGCGGAATCGAGGACCCAATTTCTCCCCGAATATCCAACAGTCCGTGGATCAATGGCTCGAAGAGACGGGGACCGATACCGACACGGCCGCGAAGCAGCTGAGAAGACGCGCGCGCCCTGCCGATCCGCAGGAATGTCCTCAGCATACCACGGTTGAGAAGTCGTTCCTGAATCAGATATGCGAGGACTGTCTTCTGGCAGAGCTCGATCCAAAACCGCCTGACTTGCAGGATCCTACTGCACCCGCCAGCCCGGTACCTACTCCCGACAACGGCGAAGGTCTTATCTGGGACAGCGAAGTCAAAGTCGAAATTCAGAGTGAAGACAACGGACCAATTCCCAGGCCGACGACCCCAGATGTCGGCTTGTCGGACGTTGACTCCCACTCAGACGACCAAAGGATACTCGAGAGTCACATCGAGGTCAAGATCGAAGTCGACTGCTACAGTAACCCTGTGGAAGTTCCTTCGTCTCCGTTGTCCCTGACTGCCGACGATGAGGCCAGCTCGCAGTCTTGTTCCATACCGACATCTCCCACCAGCCCAGCTGCGGCAGACAATTATAGTCCTGTGTCTTCACTGTTTCACAATAAGCGTTACGGTCTGACTTTCCACAGCCCCGTGGTTGCGGACCTCAACGATGCCGACGATGAGTTTGACTCCTCACCGGAGCGATACTATCATTTCCCGGCACCGCCATCTCGAGGAAGGTCCTTCTCGCCCCGAAATCTGAACAGGATCGAGCACTATGCACCTAGTGCGGAGTCATCTCCTCTGCCAGTCGAGGGCAGTTCCAATGGCAGCGCGCTCTTAAGAGTTCCAACCTTTAGGTCTTCCTCAAACAATATCACTCCCATGTCCAAGACAGCCGACAAGAGTCAACTATTCGCCAATCATTCATCCACAAGCCTGCCTCTCTCCTCGGTGTCGACGAAATTGAGGTCGAGAAATCCATTTCGGGGCTTTGGAACTCGAAAGGCCTCCCCTCTCATTACAGACACGATCGAGTGCAGACCAGTTCTACTGGCTCACGGATGTGTTGACACCAGTGATGTGCCGATCTCACGCCAGAGGTCCGGCCGGACGTCGCCTTTGCCGCCTCGCAAATCGAGCCTGAAGAACTGGACATTCTTCAAGCTTCATCACGATAAGCAAGGTGCCCACCCTCGGTCTCAGAGTCGGCTAAGAAGCCTCGCTCCTAGCCCGACAGGTTCTTGGTCACGCAATCAGCTTGAGCATGACGAGAAGATGTACTCACAGTTGAGTGATTCGGGTTCCGAATTCGGTTCCGAAATTGGGATGCAAGAAGACCACAGACAGGTCAACGTCCTCGAGGAGCCGACTCCCCTGCCAGTGGCAACCGTTTCCAAGCCACCCGCTAGGCAGACAGGGCTTGCCATAATAGACAGCGGTATGACCTTGGACGCGGGTCTTGAGGAGGGAGCGAGAATACAAATGCAATCCCACCTCGAGCTTGCATACGGGATTGTATACGACAGTGACATATTCCAGCATGATTCTCTTCCGGCCTGGCCAGTGTATCCGCAATTACGGCGAACAGAGCTAGAGCGACCAGATTCGTGGCCTCTTCGATCAGAGATCAAGCAGGAAGACCAGGCCCGACCTCAACCTTCTGTCCATCCTATGAGGCCTCGTGCCGTGGTGGAAGAGTATACGGAAGAACTCTCACCTATGGACGCTTCCATGGCAGAAGAGAGCGTACAGCCTGACAGAGCGTTGATGCCCTTACTCCGGCCTGAGCAGGTGCGAGCAGAAAGAGAGGCCAAGAGACCGACCTTCCCTCCACGCAAGAGCTCGCTTAGAACGCGATTTGAGTTGCGTAGATCCAAGCGACTCTCAGAATTCGAGGTGCCGGTGCCGGCTCTCACTACAGCTTCCTGAAGAGAATCACGACGTTACAAGACGAAACTGGGAGGCGTACCAAAATTGAGGGCTTGTTTGTTCGGTGACCTCCTTCAGAAGGCTGGGGTTCGTCCACAGTGGGCAGATATACCAGCTTGTAATGATTTAAGATGTCCCGTTTTCCTTTCTTATATATTAGAGCCTAAACAGGCGACATCGCCAGTTGTGTGTGATGGAATCTCATCCGCAAAGCACACCTCCACGTATCAAGTCATCAATGGCAGCGGTGGAATCGAGGTATGAGGTGCAAGGTGCGTGACCTAGATTGAGCCGTTATCCAGTAAAGGAAGGTTCGCAGTGACAGAGGCCAGAGGCCAGAGGTCATAAGCCAGACGCCACGCTGGCATCAATGTGCATATGAAACCAAGTATGGCGCAAGGGGGGAGAGCGACAGGGTGAGATGACAGGAAGAACAACATTGAGCAGTGAACGTGTTGTACTCTGAATGAATTCGCAGGCGACGGAAATACTTACTAGGGCGGAGCATCACGTGACAGGTCCAGATGCCGCAGTCGCAGTCACAGTCGCAGTCGCAGTGGCTCGAGCGGGACTCAACTTTCTGTTCGGTCTCGTCGCCCGCTGAAATATTTTGCTGGAGAAACACGGGCGTAACTAAACCAAACATTGATTGATTGATTGACAGAAGGCCCAACTCCCAGAAAATATCACCTGTTCCTGTTCCTGTCCTTGTCTTGTCCCCGGACTTTCACCTAGTTACCGCCAGTTGTTTCCTTTGACAGAAAACGAGGAATTCGTGGTCAGTCAATTTATCTGCATTATCCCTGTTGCCTTCTCCGCTGTTATTATTCCCAGACATTGTGGACGAACAGTGTCGCTGACTGGACTTGGGGTCTCAGTGCAATTGCCGTCTCTCTCTCCGGCCATTTTCTGTGCGTCGACGACGACCTCTTTGTGGCGCTCGTCCTCCGTCGAAGCCGATTCATCCCTCCACAAAACCTGACAGAAGCCTGCCTGCGCGGCGCACACATTCCAGTTCATCCCTCAATCGACGACCGGTACTGCTATTCTGCTTGGATGCAATAGGAGAAAATCATCAGGATGTCTGTTCTCCCTGCCGAGGTGCAGGGAGCCTTGAGCCAACTCCTTCAAGCCCTCGCTTCTCCGGACAACAGCCTCCGCGCGCAAGCGGAGGACCAGTTGAACAATGACTGGACTCCCAACCGGCCCGACATGCTGTTGATGGGCTTGGTGGAACAGTTGCAAGCGGCCCAAGATCCAGCGGTGCGTGGTTGAATGTCGAGATTCAACGGGGCGACACTTGCTGACCGTATGACAGACACGATCCTTCGCGGCGGTGCTGTTTCGCAAGCAAGCCTCCAAAACGCGCAAAAGTCCTTCCACTGGCGAGTCCAAAGAACTTTTCCTCACACTAAGCACCGAGGCCAAACTCGCCATCCGGTCGAAACTGTTGGAATGCCTGGCTAGGGAACAGGTCAACCCAGTCAGGAATAAGATTGGAGATGCGATCGCCGAAATCGGGAGACAATATGTCGATGCTGGTATGTGAACGACTGTTGGCGACGCATTGTCACCGGTTGACTGACACTGTCCGCACAGGCGAAATGTGGATGGAACTGCTCGCAGCTTTGTTCCAAGCAAGCCAATCCGACGACGCCGGACTGAGGGAATGCGCCTTCCGAATATTCTCTACCACACCTGGCATCATTGAAAGACAGCATGAGAGTGCGGTCCAGGAGGTCTTTGGGAAAGGCTTCAAAGACAGCAGTGTTGAAGTAAGAAGACGGGCGCCTAGCACTGTTGGATGCCCTTCATTGACAATGTTCTTAGGTCCGACTGGCTTCCATTGAGGCGTTCGCATCTTTCTTTCACTCGGTCACCAAAAAGACACAACCGAAGTACTATTCTCTGATTCCCGAAATCCTCAACATCCTACCACCTCTCAAGGAAGCCGGAGATACCGACAACCTCTCCAAGGCCTTTGTCTCGCTTATTGAGCTGGCAGAGGCGGCGCCCAAAATGTTCAAAAGCCTTTTCTCTACTCTTGTCAAATTCAGCATTTCTGTCATTCAAGACAAGGAGCTGGGTGATCAGACACGACAAAATGCTCTGGAACTGATGGCCACTTTTGCCGAATGGGCGCCTGCCATGTGCAAGAAAGATGCTTCGTATGTGAGCGACATGGTCACGCAGTGTCTTAGTTTGATGACAGATATCGGAGTGGATGACGATGATGCGTCGGAGTGGAATGCAAACGAGGACCTCGACATGGAAGAAAGTGACATGAACCACGTCGCAGGAGAGCAATGCATGGATCGATTAGCAAACAAGCTTGGGGGGGAAGTCATGCTTCCGGCTACTTTTACCTGGTTGCCCAGAATGATGCACTCGGCGTCGTGGAGGGACAGACACGCTGCTCTCATGGCCATCTCCGCCATCTCCGAAGGATGTCGGGATCTTATGATCGGCGAACTTGACAAGGTGCTGGAGTTGGTCGTCCCGTCCTTGAGAGACCCCCATCCTCGGGTCAGATTTGCTGGCTGTAACGCGCTTGGACAGATGAGTACCGACTTCGCCGGACCGATGCAAGAGAAATACCATCAGGTGGTCCTGACCAACATCATACCTGTGCTGGAAGCTCCGGAGCCTCGTGTGCAAGCTCACGCTGCGGCTGCACTGGTCAACTTTTGCGAGGAGGCGGAGAAATCGGTATTGGAACCATACCTTGACCAACTCCTTGGGCATCTGCTACAGCTCTTGCAGTCGCCAAAACGTTACGTCCAAGAACAAGCATTGTCCACGATTGCCACGATTGCAGACTCTGCCGAAAGCGCTTTCGTTCGCTACTACGACACCCTGATGCCTCTTCTCTTCGGAGTCCTACAGTCTGAACAATCCAAAGAGTACCGATTACTTCGGGCCAAGGCCATGGAGTGCGCGACCCTCATTGCTCTGGCCGTGGGTAAGGAAAAGATGGGTCAGGATGGCATCACGCTTGTGCAGACTCTGGGCAACATTCAGCAAAATATCACCGACGACGACGATCCTCAGGCGCAATATCTGCTGCATTGCTGGGGCCGCATGTGTCGAGTTCTGGGGAGTGATTTTGTTCCATATCTCCCAGGGGTCATGCCACCTTTGCTGGAGCTCGCCTCAGCCAAAGCCGACATTCAGTTGATCGACAGTGAGGACGACATCCTGGACCAGGAAGATGGATGGGAGTTGGTTCCTTTGAAAGGCAAAGTCATTGGCATCAAGACATCGACGCTGGAGGACAAAAACACGGCGATTGAGTTGATCACCATCTACGCGCAGATTTTGGAGGCGGACTTTGCACCCTATGTGGCTGACATTGCAGAGCGTATTGCCTTGCCTGGCCTCGCTTTCTTCTTCCATGACCCTGTCAGAGTGGCATCCGCGAAGTTGATTCCTCAACTGCTCAATTCGTACAAGAAACGATATGGGGAACAGTCCCCTCAACTCATGGAACTATGGGCCAAATGCTGTGACAAGGAAATTGAAATCCTCAGCGCAGAACCGGCCGTCGACACCTTGGCCGAAATGTACCAATGCTTCTATGAGAGTGTCGAAGTGGTTGGTAAGAACTGTCTGACGCAAGAACACATGGAGCAGTTTATTCAATCGGTCAAGTCAACCTTAGAAGAGTTCCAGAAACGGGTCCAAGAGCGTGCGGATGAGAGGGCCGAATCTGCCCAGCAGGGCGCGGACGAGGACGACGACTCGTTGTCTGTGCAGTATGCGATCGAGGACGACCAGACACTGTTGTCCGACATGAACAAGGCGTTTCACACGATCTTCAAGAACATGGGTGTGAATTTCTTAGGTTCATGGCAGAGGTTGATGCCCTTCTACGACGCCTTCATCACCAGCAGTGACCCGATGCAGCGGCAATGGGCGATCTGCATCATGGACGATGTACTGGAATTCTGCGGCCCTCAATCATGGCAATACAACGACCATATCATCCAGCCGCTGATCAACGGCATGAGGGACGAGAACGCGGCCAACCGACAAGCCGCCGCGTACGGAGTGGGCATCGCCGCACAGAAGGGTGGTGAGCAATGGTCGAATTTCGTGGCGGCCAGTCTGGAAATGCTTTTCCAAATCACCAGAGTCCCGAACGCTCGAGGGGAGGATGAAGTCTTCGCGACCGAAAACGCATGCGCCGCCATCGCCAAAGTCCTCCACTACAATTCCTCCAAAGTGCCCAACCCGCAGCAGATCGTGGAGCAATGGCTCGACACGCTCCCGGTCGTCAATGACGAGGAAGCCGCCCCTTATGCCTACTCTTTCGTCGCCCAGCTCATTGACCAGTAAGTCAACCCCAGCCAAGCTAATAGCCTTTTTATTACTTTTGCGGACGTTTGTTCTCGTGGTTTTTTTTTTGGTTCCTGCTGGTGAGAACCAGACATTTTTCAAAGGAATGAGGCATCTGACGTTTTTTCTTGGCTTTTGATAGGCAAAACCCCGCCGTATTCGCCAAAGCGCAACAAGTCTTCCATCATATCGCGGTCGCGCTCGAGGCCGAGACGATCCAAGGGCAGACGGCCAAAAAGGTCGCCGAGAGCGCGAAGCAGATGGTCGCCCAGACCGGCATCAACGCCGACCAGATCTTGCAGTCCCTCTCGGTGGACGGACAGGCGACGGTGCGGAGTTATTTCTCGTGATTTATCTGTTTTTCACGGCCATTACTTGTATTTGGGATGGCGGGCGCGGAAGAAAAACGGAAACGGACACGGACACGGAAACGGGCGCCCGTCGATTCTCTTTCCATCAAGTCCTCTCAGCACGGGCCGGCTGCCTGGGCTTTTCTCCTCTTCTGGCTAGATGGCTGTCCGACCTACCTAAGGAGGATGGTTTGGTTTGGTTTGGCCTAACCCACCTGCGTGGAGAGAGGCAACGGCAGGGAGAGAATGAAGGCATGGTCTGGCCTAGGACGCTATCGTATGGCATGGCACGACATGGTACGGACGGGCCGATATTCGCCGCATCTCAATTGAGGTACCGAGAACCGGGTCTTCTTGAAACTCCAATGGTGGTGGAGGTGGATGTTCGAACGACTTACCCACCGACCTTTTTCTTCGAATCCAAAGCAAAGAGCGACAGAGCGAAAGATCTAGGGCAAGCCCACAAGGAGAGTAAGAGGGTGACAAACAGAGTTGTGTAGCAGAGTACAGATGAGGTGACTACTAGGTAGTTGATGATTGATTGATCTGTTTGTGATCTGTGGGTGATCTACAAGTCCCTACCTTCCTACTTACCTGCTTGTCTGGCTGGCTGGGTGTCTTATAGACATCCAGGTACTCTTTTGGCATGATGGTCTGGTCGTGGTCGTGGTCGTGGTAAAATATCCCCCTGGATCCATCATGTTGCAGGCAATAAATAGTACCTACATTACCTACTAGGTAGGTAGATAACTAGCTAGCTTGAGGCCAATGTTGGTAGACAGAGACAGACGAGAGCCGTCCATCTTCAATCCATGCTCTCCTCTTATTCAGCCTCGTCAGCACGTGTTCGACGCTTTTCTCGCCTTCTACGCAAGTTTAGACGGCGAAAGCTTCGACAGGCTAATCAAATATATACCTTACTCAGGGTGATCCTACAAACGCGTCTCTCGAAGATTCATTTATTCGTTCATGAAACATTTGATGATATTTACATTCTCTTGGCTACCACTCTCCACAACAACCAACTTTCTCATACTCAAACTCACTCTTCATTTCCACCTTTTCCTGGACTCGTGTGGGTTGCTGGGGTATGTCGTCCAGGAGCGCGGGTGGGCTTTTGGCTTTTGGCTTTACAGACTTTCAGGACTCATCATGCTGGTCTCACCGTCCAAGGCGCCATTGTCGCTGACTTTGGCCACGCCGTTCACATTCGCATTGACATTCGCATTCGCTTTGGGAGTGCCGTTGCCATCCATGTTCCCATCCAAGTTGACATCACCTGAACCATTCTCTCTCGGCGGCGGTCCTGCGGCCGGATTGCTGGAACCCTTGTGATCGGACGTTGAAGCCGTCACTGTCGCTTTCGCTTTGAGGCCGTTGGCAGCTTGTTTCTTTCCGGGACTGCCGTCGCCTCCTGGGCCGGGACTAGTCGGGTTGATGCCGTTGACCATCGACGTGTCTTCACCCGCCGCACCACCACCGATACCGTTGATCACGACCGACTTCTTCTTCCCTTTGTCTGCTGGAGTGGTTGTGGTGGGTTTGGCAGCAGCAGGAGGAATCTTGGCTGGGGCCTTTTTCTGAGGACTGGCGTTGCTCTTCAGTGTCCCATCTCCGATCTTCCCACTTGCCGGGACTCTCGCTCTGCCATGACCAGGTCGTTGTTTGGGCGGGAGGTCCAAGTCTTCAGTCAATGGCCGATCATTGTTCTCGCGCAGACGTTTCTTGAAGAATTCCCTGACCAATCCAATCTGGTCGTCGACGTTTTCGGCAGTGATCCGAGGCCAGCGAGGCGGTTCTTTGAACATCTTCTCCGCCGCATCTTCCGGACTGATTTGTGGATTGACCATACCCAGACGGTTCTGGAGGATGTGGAACGGCACCGTCAGACTCGCCATTCCGAATTCCTTGTCGAGACCCAATTCGCGGAACCCGAAGAAGTCTTCGTCCAGGTCTTCGGCGAAATCACCTCCCACGTATTGCTCGCCTCCATCGACAAACGACCCTTGACCGTGGGCGGTATCTTCCGTCAGAGCAGGCCGGAGGAGGTCCGCGAGATGACCCTTCATGCGCTCATGCATGATGACGAGACGAGCGCCCAGGCGATCGACATCTTCACGGGCATATATGTCCAGATCGTTGAGTGACATTCCGCTGGAATGGAGGGTGTGCAGAATGGCTTCTTCGTTGGTGTTGGGAGTCTTGTAGACCGTGCTCGTCTCAGATTTGATTCCTTGGACGACGGAGACAGGTGCCGTCACCGGAATCTTGTAGTCCTCCTTGTAGTTCACCAGAGTGGTGCAAAGCCGCTGGAAGAAGTCGGCCGCCAAATCGGTCATGGTGTCCAGCGCCGAAGGTTGAAACTCTTCGAATCCCGCGTGGAAGAAGATCTTGCCAATGGCCCGCTGAAACGCGGCCCTACATACCCATGGTGCCATCAAGGGGCCGTTATCCGACATGACGTGGTTTTCTATGTCCGCTTCGACAAACGGCTCCGGCTGATACTTCTGAAACTGGTTCTGATAAGTCTGAGACTGTAGTTGCATCTGTTTGACCACGCCGATTTTGGACACCACCTTCCGTGTTTCTTGCATCTGTTTAATGTTGGAATCGATCTTCTTGCTGAGCTTGCTCTCGGGGGCTGTGAATTGTTTCGGTGGGTACAATCGTAGAAATTCCTCAAAATGTTCGATGACTTGCCCTTCACTATCCTGCTCCCATCTCAGTCGCGGCTCCAAATCCGGGATGGCCGAGAGCGGGTCGTAGTAATCAGGAAGCAGGCTCTCTTCTTCCGCCTCCATACCCTCAGCCAATGTCTGCCCGGCTTGCTCACGCTCGGGACCGTCCCCATGAAACTCAAACACATCCTTACCGGCAGCCTCCTGCTGGAGGCGCTGCCAACGACGCATCCCCGCCTTACTCCGCAGCAAGGCAGTCTCTTCAGCATTCAATTTATCTCCACGAAAAAGCTTGTGTCGGGCGGCGGCGATCATGGCTCGATCCTTCTTGGTCTTCTGTTTCCAAAGCTTGTATTCTTCATCCTCGTACTCGGGTATCGGTGTCTGCGATGGCAGCCCAGGCACGTCCATGTCCATGGCCTCACTGCCCGTTCCAGCCACACTTCCTGGACCGGGGGCTCCAAGTGGCGTCAATATTCCCGGCGGCGGAGTCGACTGACCTTGACTTCCTTCAGCCTCGGATTCCGCTCGAAGGCCGTTCTGAACAGAGCTGAGCGATTGCAACACCGGCTTGGTTTCGGGTATAGGCGTGGCCTGGGGTGGCGCTTTCCGTGACGTCGAACCGCCGCCCTTCTTCGCACTTTTCTTAGGTGCTTTGCGGCCACGGGATGACATGATCGGCTCATCGTCACTCTCCTCAGCACCGTCGTCGAGTTCCCCGTTGGCAATCTGTTGTCTTCTCTCTTCGGCCTCCACCTCTGCCCGGTCCCGGATCACGATGTCTGGGATCAAAGGGACAAGCTTGTCGGTCTCCTTTTGCATGAAAAGAGCATGCTTTCGGAAGATATGGTCAGGGTTGCTGTTGAACTTCAAACAGTTCTTCCAGATCTGATTCAGATCATCGACGAATTCTTTCTTCGATTTGTATGCCAACTGCTTAAGTTTCTTGGTCATCGTCCCCAGGTCCATCGGGTGCTTGATAATGAGATAATAGTCCGGGGCGTCCTTCTTCTTGACAGGATTGAGGAAAGGAAAAGAGTGCTCGGTGTGAGCCTTCAACTCGGTCAAGACTTTCTCCGCCGACTCGTAGAGTTCTTCTTGCCCAATCTTGTCCTCACTCGCCCATTTGCTCCGGTTCTTGCGCACTTCACTCATCAGCGCACGCAACTCCGACTCGGTCGCGTGTACCATCGACCGATGTTCGTCTAGAAGCGCGATCAGGTTCTTCAACGTCAGACTAGATGCCCCGAGATTGGCTTTGCTCAAACTGCCCTGCTGGTTGGAAGCATTCTGGCGACTGGCGTGGCCCTCTGCTTCAGCCTCGGCGCGGCGTTCGGCCTCCTCAAGACGTTGTTGGTCCAACATGGCATCCCGGTCATTCTCCAGCGTAAAGAACATTGTTCGAGACAAGGTCTTTACTGTCTCGATCTCCTTCCGCTTGGTCTCTTCCAGCTTCTTGCGAGCATCTTCGGCATCGCCACTCTGTTTGGAAACTCCAGCCTTGGACAAAGCCTTTGTAGAATCGGAGGGACCCCTCGATGGGGTTGCAGGCCTGGGGACCGGCGACGATGTGCTATCGGCGACGATGTGGACTTTATTGGGCTTATCCTTGAGAGGAGATGCCCGTACAGCATCATTCTCTTGTTCTTCATCCTCCTCATCGTCGTCGTAGTCATCGTAGTCATCATCGTCCAACTTGCGCTTCTTGGATATAGGAGCAGGGTCCGTATGCGGCTCGACAATGTCTGGTGCGGATCCTAACGCAGGCGCATCGGGAATTGTGCGCCTCTCCGGCACTATGACCTCGCCAACATCGTTGAAGAGGTTGGCGAGTCTGCTTTCCGTCTCTTGGAATAAAGCGCGGAAGCGAACCACCTGCGGGTCCTCCTCAACATTGGGTTCGGGTTCTGCAGCTTGGCCGGATAGGGAGCCACCACCGAGACTGCGCAGTTTGAAGGCATTGGGGGTATGCGGTCGAGAAGGCGCTCGAAGGAGTCCATTCAGGGTATCTCTGTGGAGGGAATGCAGCAAAGGTTCATCGTCCGGTGGTTTCTGGCTGTTTGGGGGCGGCCATGTTAGGGACATGGCCGTGCCAACCCCCGACCCGCGGCGAGCGAGGGGTGCAGATACTCCAGTTTGGACGGCGTCCTGCGACGGCAAGACAAGGCGTTGGGCACGTCGGAAAACGTGTACAGATGGTAAACCGATGTCGCAGAATCCGAATCCGATGAAATCGAGACGAAAAAGGATGAATGCGCGGTGCTGGATGATGGACAAGTTGGGTGATTCTGACGTGTAATGCGCGCAGAATGGGAGGCTTGAGGTTGAAAGAAACGTGTGGCCGATCGGGCGTAGTGCATCGACTGCAGCGCGCCTGCCGAGCCTCAGCGCTGCCAGCGTCCACTGGCATTGGCAGTGCCGGCGGCTTGCTTGTAATAATATAAGCCATCTACAGTGGGCAGCTATTAATTAAGGTAGAGAGAAACCCTGTACAGAGAGAGTTGTTTCTTGCTACGTTATACTCCAATTGTCTGTCCATGAGCTTCTGATCGCTTTACGCCTGAGACCTTCTTCGAACGTTTACCGGATCCTCCCCCTTTTCCTTTCGGCACCCGGGTGATGCTGGTGTTCTACTGAAGCTGGCACCAAGCCGCCAGCCATTTTGCACCCGCACCCGCCAAAAAGGACAGACGTCCACAATATCATCCAGCCGGTAAACCTCTGGGAATCCGATCAACCATGCGAATCCGCTTTCCCTTTGCAAGCAAGTCCCCCGTCTCTGCTACCAGGAGAAGAAGCTGCTAACGCTGTCGTGGCAGTCGCCTTCGTGGTTCTCTTGCTCATCTCCTCATCGATCGGCCTGCTTCCGTATTCGTCTCTGCCCTCCACACCTGCGGCCGCGCAACCATATATTCCGCGCCAGTCCGACAAGGTGCTGCATTTTATATTCTTTTTCGGCCTCACAGCGACCTTCTACTTCATCCTCGATACCACTCGAAGACGGGTCATTCACTTTACCTTGGTGGTTTGCACACTATGTCTTGCCGTGGGAAGCGAAGTGGCCCAGCATCTACTGCCAAATGATCGCGAGTTCGACCCTTGGGATGTCCTCGCCAATGTAGTGGGGAGCCTTACAGCTTTGGGACTGGCCAGTGCATACCATCGACGTGCGGCCGAAAGACGAAGAAGAGCGAAGTTTTCGGCTCTCACGGGTGACGCTCTCGAAGGAGAAGATTTGGAGCTAGGGGAGGGTGCGAATAGGGTGCTTGGAGGATCCAGCGTCGACGGCCAAGAAACCGGCGTTGTGCAACGGTCTCTCGACGAAGAGCTAGATAACTGGAACGAGAATGTTCCCGACGACGCCTGGGACGAAGACGAAGATATAACGACGAGTGGTCAGAACACCAAAGTGACCCCCTCGACAAGCTCGGTGGGAAGCGAAGAGCCTCCCAAGAAAATGGCCGTGGATTAATACTGTATATTCCAGTGTCCTGGCTACTAATTGAGCGAGACTGAGATTCAAGCATGTGCGGCCATTCGAGCTTTCAACGCAATGAAACTTATGAGAACCTTGCAATCATCACCAAAATTGGTCTGACGATAGTGGTTGGAAGCGTTGCTTGTTTCTGGATAGAGGGTATCATTGCATTAATTGTTAACATCATAAGCATTGTTTTGCCGCTGGAGCAGAACTCTCGCCTGGGCAAGGCGCTCGGCCTATACTCAAAATCCATGTAGTCACACCCAGCGCTTGATTCCTCGTAACTCCTTCCCAGCGCCATAAGACAAAAGAATTGTTTGTCGGTTCTCTGTGGCGCATGCTTCATATCATGCTCTCCCAGGAAGCATCCCTTCAACCCTCATCAATCGCCGCGACACGAGCACGACCGAGCATTGAAGCGCTCATGTCCACCCCTGAAGCCGCTGCTCATTTATCTGAAGCAGCTGAACCGGCCGAAGGAGATTCTGAACGGATTCCTCTTGACACCGCGACGACTGACGTTGACCCCGCCGCCAACATGTCGACCACCCCAGTTCTTCGTGTAGAATAGAGGCATTTTGAGTTGACGAGAAGTTGTTAGACCGCCTTGAAGAGTCCTTGGGCAGAGGGGACACGGCTCGTGAGCGACGATGTTGGTAGGGTGCAGATAGGAGTCGGTGCCGACCGAAACGCGTGCGAGGTTGAGGTGGAAGTTGAGAATGCGACTGGAAGTGATGGGCCCGTGTCGTAGTTCGTGTGTATGCAAGGGGAAAAGGCGTCAGTCACTTATGGAGGACAACAGGAAGAAGACCAGGTCAGGAAGTCAAGTCTGGCCGCCAGGTCGGATATGTTAGGTGGTAGGTGAGGTGCTAGTAGATGAAGGTAGGAAGACTTGGGCTGTTCGGAGTCGGCGTCCTTGTTTGGTAGGCGGAGATGCAGAGTCAGGTGTGAGTGAGAGTATTGAGTATGCAGTCCGGGAGGAAACTGCGATCTGGACGGATAGTAGATGTGGGTGAAACGACTTCTTTATGAGGAAGATGGGAGGGTGTTTGCTGATAAGTTAAATGGTGTGATACTCGTCCTGCGCTACCTGAAACCCAGCCCCGTTCAGAGATAGGTACCTACATTGCTATGACGATTCACATTAATCTAGTTGCATTGCAAACGAGTCGAGGGATGAGTCCTAGGTTTGCCAAGTAGCTCGGCGGATGCTGGCAGGTCGAGAAATCAGGCTTGATCGACTTGTGTCTTGAATTACAGATGGAGTACAGTCAAACGTAAGGTAAGGTACATAGTACTAGGACACTGCACCTATTGGAGTCGAGGGATTATTGGCATTGTGCCACCCACGTATTGTTTGGTCGATCGAGATCCAGTATCACAGAACAAGCCCAACCTTGAAGCCCAGCCTCAGCTTGACCTTCGAACACTGCAGGGCTACACTGGCAGTGAGAAGCACGACTTCTTGAACGGTTCCCGGACAACTCGGATGACGTAGAGGTGGAGCCTGATCGTGGCTGTGAGCGCTAAGCCTAAATCAGATCTGGGGCTGGCTGATTGTGGCGCATGCAAATTGCCATGCTCTTGAACTTGAAGCACTGCATAGCACACATACATGTAGGTATGCACTTAACCTCACCACCATGTGCCTCCAAGGTACCGACTATATCCCATGCCTCCACCACCTGTGAAGATGGACCAACGCATCCAAGGTGCTGAGGTGAATTCGCGACGGCTTCGGAATAAGTGGACGCTGTTGACGCGCCAATCTCGGGTGGCAGCTCTTCACGGACAGGCCCTTACGAAGAGATATGGAGTTTGCTCACGATCATCAAGCGTTCATTCATATAGGAATATTCAAAGCGAGCCAGCAGCATCGTCATCATCTATCAGCTCTGCTCAGACTGCGTAATACGCCGCCTAGATCTTTGGGCGGTGTGCCCTGCGCTGCAGGCAGCGCCCTCTTCCGCCCGTCGTGCTCCCGTTGCGCCAGTTTTTGGGCGCACATGGATAGCACCCTGCCCGCGACGTTATCTGCAGACTGGCGATATTGGCCTATTGCGTGTACCCCGTCTGCGAAAGTGTCAATTGTCGGACCTACCGACTGATAAAGTCTGTTTAGTCGAGACGATATCTGGTCGAAAGAAGTCGTGTCTGCAGCAGCTGATACTTCAAGAGCTGCTACATCAGCGTCAGACAGTAGTGTTCTATCCGGGAGGCCGCCTCCAAGGCTTGTTGGCGTATCCAGCTCGCTCAGGCGTGGAATTTGAGGTGGCTGCAGTAAAGATTCCATGGCATCTTTCTCTGCTCGAAGTCTGCGAACGGTTAGTCACGGCTTGCAAGTAACGTCGCGTCGCGAGAGACTTACCGCTTGATCTGTTCCTCGAGTTCGGCAATCTTCTCGATGTTCTGAAGATTCTTGGGATTCGGTCGTTCGGGAAGTGGCCTTTTAGGGACAGGCACATCCTCGCGGTTAAACCAATCAGACAGTTCCGACTTGTTCGACAACTCCTTGAGCAGCTCCTCTTCGACGACGCGAGCTGTGACACTGTTAGCATTGTCTCTCCCATACGCTCCCTTGGCACCACTGACCGGCTGCTGGTGCACTGGCGTCCTCAAAATCCGTCCCCATTGGCTTCTCGTCGAGAGCGCGTGTGGCACACCACGTGAGCAGTTGCCTCATTCGTCGCGGTTCCGGAAGACCTTCGCTTTCGATATGCTTATAGAAATCCGATATCTCGACTTCTTTGTGTGGAAGAGCTGCAACATATTAGTACATTGGCCTGAGATGGTGTCTGCTCTCCTTACCGTTGGAATTCCCCGTTTCGATGAGAGAGCTGGCTCTCCGGCCCCGGAGACCTAAACTACTTCTTCTCTCGTTTTTTCCAACCTTGCCTTCGCGCATGGCTTTGTTTCTCTTGATGACCGGTGTGTCGGCGAAGGGCAGCGCAATCTTCGTGGCAGAATGATCCTCCCTGTGCGTAGGGACATTCTCTTTTGTGTCGCCCTCTTCTATATTGCCATTCTCCAGCTTATTGACAGGCTCAGGCTGATGAGATGACTCTTTCTCATCGACTGTCTCGGTTGTCTCGGGAGGGTGCTCGTCAGGGTGCTGCCGCCGACGTTTGTGCTTGTCGTCGCGCGGCACCTTTTCCGCCGGACTTCCATCTTTCTGCTCATTATCGCGCGAAAGGCGCTTCGAGCGGCGCATTGGTGCACCTTCTTTCGGTTTCGGGGTAGAAAATGATAGCCTCTTCCGTCTCTTCTTGGGTTCTGATGGGGATTCGACCTCCTCCTCCGGTGCTTTTGACCTTTCCGTGGTTTCTGGGGGTTTCAACGTGTTTACTTGAGGCGGTACACTGCTTCGGGGCTGCTGTATCTTGGTGGTCTCTTGTTCCTTCTGCTTGACGCGTTTAAAGAGGAACCCATCGTCTTCCTCATCGTAAGCTAATTTCCATGTCAGAATGCTCCGTATCTCTAATTCGTCCGCCCTTCTCGGGGTAGCCTACTCATTTTCCTCTTCTTTTCATTGAAGCTTTTGGATGTTTGCGCGCGCCTTGCATCTTGTGTGCTTCCTTGCGCATCGACAATCCCATTGACTGACGGCCGAGTCGCGACTCCCGGCGCGTCGCCTTTCACCTGTAGCCGTGCGCTGAGACGTCTGTTTGGCCGTTGGGTCGATGACATTGGCAATGGGTGCAACGGCTGGCGGACGACGAGCATACTTGTCGGGACGTGGGTGAAGGGTGAGGGCGTGTGTGCTTCGCGTTTCCCTGCGACCTTTGCAGCATGCGCATGGGTTTGCGTTAAATGTGGTATCTCATTCTAAGGATGCTTCCGCTAACGAGTGATCAAACTGGGCGCAAATGCAGACTATGCCGACGCGGGCAGGAGAGCTTGCTCGTGAGTTGTTCGACTTTTGGTGGATGGCTGTCGCTAGGACCGCGGGCTCGCTCCCCGGCTGGAGGGCAGTGTTTACATTTGGCGATTGACGGCGACCTGCCAAGCAACTATGTGTTGCCGCTTTTAGCCGCCTTTCCTGCGTTGATACTGAAATCGATACCAAAATTGATACCAGCTGCAGTGTTCAGCGGCTCTACCGGCTGTATGTCCCCGGTCTACATTCATAGCAAAGCATGCAATGGTGCCGTCGTGCGTGGCACAGGTGGGCGCCAAACGACTCGTCTTATTGCATGCATTCACCGACGACGTAGCAGATAAACAACCGGGGTCTCTGAGGAGCTTCACTGGCCCTGGACGCCTCATGCAATGCATCGAGATGCCTCCAACTATATACCTAGGTAATGATCATAAACACGATTGAGTACCTATTTGTGCCGGGCTGTTTGGATTGGTCAAATAGAGTCTTTATCAATTATGCGCCATGCGATATTAGTCGATAAGGAACCTTATACGCAGTATCTTAGGTGTATACAGCTGTGACAGTACAGGATTTACAGGATACACGGATAGACTCCGCCGACTTTCCTAACAAGTCATCTGGGGTGGCAGTGTCAGTGATGTCGCCAGGGGTGTTACGCATGCACTTTGGGCGGCAAAACGATAACGACCTCTAGCTTGCCTTAAGGTACTAGTACTGCATGGTAGTACAGCGAGGGGTCGTCACTTGTCCTAGTAGGTACTATGGCATCATAAAGTGTGAAACCCTTCCAACTCCCGATAGCACAAGTACCTACGTACCTACGTACATCTGACCGCCATCCACCTCATTGCGCTTGCATCGCAGGCAATGACTCTCGACCTGAATAGGTCCTATCTACACCACTTGTTTCACATTCCCAAACCTTTCTTCGCCCCTTTGAGACGCTGGGGTTGCTGAAGCGAGGTCCCTACACTCGTTTGAGCCGCATGCTCGTCTGGCCCTGGCTGGAATTACGTAGCTCTACTCTAGCCTCTCATCCTGATCCTGCGGCTCTCCCTTCCACAACGCAGCCCAAGTCAAGAGACGCGGAGGACACAATTTCCTGATCAGTGACCTGACTGAACCTGCTACGACTCCTTCCTCCCTCGTCGCCCCAGTGGCCCTTCGGACAGATCACAGCATGGTGCACCTACCTCTACCCCGAGGTATGGGCCATCTTGGCCTCAAGAAACAGGATCAAGGTGCAGCATCCTCCGGCGATAGTAGTCGAAGACCCAGTCCCCCCAACAATGGGAGTAACCACAGCTTGAACACACAGCCCGAGCAGAAACCGCTGATTCTCAAGGTCTATGTCATCAAGGTACGGACGGAGTCTGTAGATGGTCTGCACTGCGCAGGGTCCTAACAACCTCTACAGGCACGTAACCTGGCTGCAAAAGACAAGTCCGGCACTTCTGATCCTGTAAGTGACTGGTCACCACAACATAGCGGATCTCTCTAACCTCCTAGTACCTTGTTGTGACCCTGGGGACTGCTAAGCAGTCGACCCCGTCAATCCCCAAAACCCTCAACCCGGAATGGAAGATATGCTTTGATATGCCTCTCACGGGCGTCCCTCTCCTCGAATGCATCTGTTGGGACAAAGATCGATTTGGCAAAGACTATATGGGAGAGTTCGACATTCCGATCGAAGACATCTTCGCCAATGGTCAAATCCAACAAGAGCCGAAATGGTACACACTCAAATCAAGCAGGTCTACAAAGAAAGAGACTACAGTTTCGGGCGAGGTGCTCATGCAGTTCTCCATTGTGGACTCTGCAAACCCTTCGGCCAGTCCCGAAGAAATCCGGAAAAAGTTCCAAGCGTATATTGGAGCTGAAGGAGAGGATGACGAGCTCTCTCGCGTGTCTACAAATGTAGACAACGAGATCGGTGATGATGAGGTAGACGATTTCGACGAAGACCCGGAATCGGTCACCGAGAACGAATCCCCGCCAAAACCTGACACGGCGGAGAAGAAAGCCAAGAAGAAAAGATTGGCTCGCCTTCGCCGCAAGTCCATCGCTGCAAGAGCATACAACCTTCTTGGAGTTGACAACGACGGGAATGGGGTCGTCTTCTTGGAGGTGATCAAGATCACAGATCTGCCCCCAGAGCGCAACATGACTCGAACTTCTTTTGATATGGATCCTTTCGTGGTCATAGCATTGGGTAAGAAGGTCTTTCGGACGAAGGTTATCCGGCACAATTTGAATCCCGTCTTCAACGAGAAGATGGTATTTCAAGTCATGCGCCAGGAGACCGGCTACTCCTTGACCTTCACTGTCATCGACAGGGACAAACTGTCCGGGAATGACTTCGTGGCATCCACCACTTTACCCATTCAGACAATCATTCAATCTGGACCAGAAGCCGATCCGGAAACTGGTCTATACGACCTTCCAGAACCCCCTGAATATTCACCGGCCATGGCTCCGAAGGAGAATAGATCCAGATTCCGTCTTCCATTATCTCGCACATCCTCGGCAAGCAGCTTGTCCAAGTTGGCACGTCCCGGCTACAAACGAGATGACTCCCAGACGTCACTGACGAGCGTTAACGAAGGAGCACGCCCTCCGGCGCCCACAAGCATTCCATCCGACGGCAGCGGAAGCACATTGAAGCTGCCAGGAGGCGCTGAAACTCCCGTTGCTCAACCGGCCGAGGATCCCGCAATGCCCTCATACGTCATACCCTTGGAGTTGAAGAACAAAGAAAGATGGGAAACGAAACATACCCCGGAGCTGCATCTTCGGGGGAAATATTTGCCTTACAAGGCACTCAGACAGCAATTTTGGAGAGCTATGCTGAAACAATACGACACGGATGATAGCAAAAGAATCAGCAAGATCGAATTCATGGCGATGCTCGACACGCTGGGCTCGACCCTGAAGGAGTCAACAATTGACAAGTTCTTTGAGAGATTCGCCCCCGAAAATGGAGACACTGGCGAGCCTGATCTGACATTTGACCAAGCCGTCATCTGCCTTGAAGAGCAACTTCAAAGAGTCAGTACGAAAAAGTCCTTGTCTGATAAAATCAAGGACAGCTTAAGCTCGAGTGGCCAGACACCGCAGGCGACTTCGACCTCAAACAAAAGCGATAGCGGCGCTGGCGTGGCTACCATTGAGCAGGGACAAACTGGTGCGGCAGGAGAAGAGGGTAAGCTACTGTCCAACGACCTAATAGACGAAGGCGACGAAGAAGAACATGTCATCGCAATCCGAGAATGCCCCATCTGCCACCAGCCAGACCTGAACCGGCGGACAGAAGCCGAAATAATCACCCACCTTGCCACCTGTGCCAGCTCGGATTGGCGACAAGTCAACAACCTGGTGATGGGTGGGTTTGTGACCTCAAGCCAGGCGCAGCGCAAGTGGTACTCGAAAGTCATCACCAAGATCAGCTATGGTGGTTACAAGCTGGGCGCTAACAGCGCGAATATCCTTGTGCAGGACCGTATCACCGGCCAAATCAACGAGGAGCGCATGTCTGTTTATGTCCGCATCGGCATTCGGCTGCTGTACAAGGCGTTGGGTGCTCGGGAAATGGAGAAGAAACGAATCAAGAAGTTACTGCGATCCCTGTCCATCAAGCAGGGCAGAAAGTTTGACGATCCTGCTTCGGTGGCTCAGATTGAACCATTTATTTCATTCCATCGACTTGATATGTCCGAGGTTCTTTTGCCTGTCGAGCAGTTCAAGAATTTCAACGAATTCTTCTATCGAGCCTTGAAACCAGGTGCTCGGCCGTGCAGTGCGCCGGACAGACCGGAAGTCGTCGTGTCTCCTGCAGACAGTCGAACGGTGGTCTTCAATAGAATCGAGGATGCGATCCGAATCTGGGTCAAGGGCAGAGATTACAGCCTGGAAAAACTATTCGGCGACGCCTACCCATTGGAGTCAAAACGCTACAAGAGTGGTAGTATGGCCATTTTCCGGCTGGCGCCGCAAGACTATCATCGGTTCCATATCCCCGTTGATGGTATCTTGGGTACACCCAAACCCATTGAAGGAGAATATTATACTGTCAACCCCATGGCCATTAGATCGGCGCTGGACGTGTACGGTGAGAACGTCCGAGTCCTGGTCCCCATCGATTCTGTGGCCCACGGCAGAGTGATGGTGGTCTGTATCGGAGCCATGATGGTCGGCTCCACGATCATCACACGGAAGCCCGGGGAACGAGTCAAGCGCGCGGAAGAGCTGGGCTATTTCAAATTTGGCGGAAGCACGATACTTGTGTTTTTCGAGCCTGGGAAGATGGTTTTCGACGACGATTTGGTGGAGAACAGCAATGGAGCTTTAGAGACATTGGTAAGTCTGCCTGACTGAAGCGACAACACTTACATTCCGTGCGAGACTGACAACTCTCGACCAGGTCCGCGTGGGCATGTCCGTTGGCCACTCGCCACATGTCGAGGCGCATAAACCAGACATGAAGAAACATGACAGCGACATCACCCATGCAGATAGACAGGAAGCTAGACGACGCATTGAGGGGAGCATCGCCCCGGAAAAAGACAGCAGGTCGGGCTGGATGCCTGGATCATCAGGAAAAGCTGGGGGTCTCAGCTCCCTCAACCCGGCTAATATACATTGAGACTTGATGAGATCAAAAAAGAAGGCTGAACGTGCCTTGCAGATTCTGTCGCTGAAGCATATCAGCTCGACACTCCACAATGCGGAAAGTGATTGAAAAGGAGGCGCACGCCTGTATGATGTGATGTTGACATGGGGGACAGAAAAGTGCTTCATTCGCCTGTTGAAACTCCGAGAAACATGGACCGCCAGGATGAACACACTTGACATGGACTTGGACATGAACATGGTAGGGTTTCTTTGTAAGGTTGGCAACATTCTAGGGTATCCAGGTATTTCTTGAGTATACACGGTATATCTGTCATCTGAGTCCTCATATCCTGTGGATGGGGTAGACGATCGCTTATCTGGTTGCAAACTTGATCGACGAAGTTTGGGAGCGTACGGAGAGCCATGTCTTAGGTACCTGTAGGTTCCTACCCGGCCTTGGGTAAAGTGTCGAGTGCCTATACTGGTAGGCGGGAGGCGCAACGCCCTGCATGGAGTAGACGGGTGGTGGACTGTTTGCGAGACAATTGCAAGGCGCGTATCGTTTCGGTGATGGTTCAGGTTTCGCCCTGTTCCAGACCCCGGATTCTCGCCCCTGGGGCTTAGGGATCCTTGCCTTTACTGGGGAGATCGGGCTGCAGCCACCCGAGGATCAGGTCCGTTACGTTACGTACCTGCAGACATCGATTCTGATGCAGGGGAGATGAACCAGATAGTACTACTAGCTAGGTATGTACTACTACTGCATGATATTAGCGCAGGCATCATTAGGTGCTGCAGGTGGTAGTATGATTGTGCCTATCCTTCTACTTGTTGCAGGGCTTATTAGGGGCTTATTAGGGGTTTAGGGGGCTACTAGTAAGGGCCTGTCGCTTATCTTATCGTTGAACTAGGTACTTAAGCGCCCAAAGCTCGGTCAAGCTCCCTTGGGAGTCACAGGCAGGCAGGTTTGGAGCTTAGCAACTTTTAAGCATTACTTGAATGCTTGAGCAGTTCTTGGTGACAGGGTGGGGTGACTGGAAGAATTGTCTTGAGAAGGCTTGAATTGATCGCTCACTCAACATTGCACGACAACTACTACACCTACAATTACAACCTCCTACGACTAGTATCTCTCTAGCTCCTGTATCGGAGACAAATACTCACTAGGTACACAGGACAGCACATACGCATCTATCCCTCAAGCTCCCTCCCATCGCCATCAGGCTACGACCGGTGCCACAAATGCTGGCCGCCCTTCCCGGCATGTCAGTGCCAGCGCCAGTGGGTTTCCGAACAGACAATCGTTGGAGACTGGGAGATTGATGATTTGCTGTTCCGACGTCACCCACGCGCAAAAATTCTAAGACAAGTGGACGGCCTAAAAAGAAAGAGGCCTTTCTTAGCCCATCAGATCCGATCAAATCATATCTGGTGGAGAGCGGAACGCGTGTTGTGTTCGCTTGCAGCTTTCACCTTGCCATTCATTGCGCTTCGCTGCGCTGCCCTGCGTCGTTTCATTCGACAACCGCCATGGGGATCCGACGCTTTTTGACGCACAATCCTTTTCCATCCACGCCCAACTCAGGAGCCATACGGTCGGAGGCTGTGCAACCGATTCAGGTAATTTGCAGAGGCCGAATCCTTCGCTACAATGGCCGGCAAATAGCGGGGAGCTTCCACACGCGCTCCCGCTCTCTCTCCCATCTCTCTCCCGTCAAATCTGACCATCACTGAAACGTCGACTACAGCAAACACAGCTGTCACCAAACGTCGTCTGGTCGTCTTTTCTTCCCCAATTTATGTTCATTAGTAACGGCTGATGTGCCGAGTCTGATCTGTCACGACTCCTCACGGACGGTAGTTGGCCTTTCTCTCGTTTCTGTTCCTCAACTCTCTCGCATACTTTCTTTTTCGTCGCCAAATTCACCATTTCTTTCATTTAGCGGCGGATATTCTCGAGACTCGGAGGAAAGGTTCCTGCCCATCCTCTCGCTGCTCAACGTCTCACCTTGGCCGATGGTCGCGTCCTCCACACAGGATCGCGGTCAAGATCATCCAGTCTCAATTCTCGAGACAGTAGAACACCACACTCGTTCCTTCCGGTTCCATTTCACCAACAATGAGATTTCCTTTTCTTCTATTCGCGCCCTTGGTGGCCGCCATTACTCTCGATGTCAGCTCCGTCGGCTCGATCGAATCGGCCGCTTCAACCGTTGCCTACGACATGATGACTTACTACACGGGCAATGAGACCGGCCAAATCCCCGGTCTGCTCCCGGGCTCTTTGAGCTGCAATCCCAATAATCCCGAGGTCTACTGCTGGTGGGAAGCAGGTGCGATGTGGGGGCAATTGATCAATTACTGGCAATACACGAACGATACCACGTACAATGCGGTCACAACTCAGGCGCTTCAATTCCAGAGAGGTCCGGACAACAACTACAACCCTCCCAACCAGTCAAGGAGCATGGGCATAGACGACCAGGCTTTTTGGGCCTTCTCTGTCTTAGATGCCGTCGAGGCTAAGTTTCCCGAGGCGGGTGGTGACAACCCTTCTTGGTTGTCGTTGGCTCAGGCCGTGTTCAACTTTCAACGAGAGCTATGGGATCCGAAAACCTGCGGAGGCGGCTTTCGGTGGCAGGTGTTCTCCTTCAACGCGGGTTACAACCTAAAAAACACAGTCTCCAACGGCGGTAACTTTCAGCTGGCGGCGCGGTTGGCGTACATTACCGGAAACCAAAGCTATGGAGACTGGGCCACCCAGGTCTGGGATTGGATGGAAGGGAGTCCGCTGCTGCAAAACGACACCGACACTGGCATGTTCTATATATGGGATAATACCGACAGCAACAACAACTGCACCACCGTCGCGAATTTCGTCTGGACCTACAATTACGGAACCATGCTCTCTGGCGCGGCGTACATGTACAACTACACCAACGGAAGCGACCTCTGGCTTGGCCGTGTCAACTCAATCCTCAACACGACGTACTCACTCTTTTTCCCCCAGAAGTATGGAGGTAACATCATGTACGAATTGGAATGTGAAGAATCCAAGAACTGCAACCAGGACGAAAAGTCTTTCAAATCGTATCTGGCGAGATGGATGGCTGTGACAAGTTTGATTGTTCCCAGCACCGCAGAATCTATCAAGCCCAAGCTGGCCGGCAGTGCTGCCGCTGCTGCAGGCCAATGCGACGGCGGTGACAATGGGCGGGAATGTGGCATGCAGTGGTGGACAACAACTTGGGACGGCACTGCAGGTGTTGGTCAACAGGTGAGTTTGCAATTAGCGAAGGAAAACAACACAGCGAATATCGTTGCTGACGCTCTTTTAGATGTGCGCACTGTCCGTGATCGGCGCAAATTTGATCGACGAAAGAATGGCACCTCTCAGTCTCACGACAGGCGCAACGTCGAAAAGCGATCCCAATGCCGGCGCGTCGGCCTCTACCACTCCCTCCATACATATGTCTCCAATCACCACCAAGGATAAGGCTGGTGCTAGCATCTTGACCATCCTGGCGGTAGTATTTGTCGTCGGCGGTACCGTGTGGATGGTGATCTGAGGCCCAATGCTTGTTATCCGAACCTCGTCTTTCCGTTCCTTTCCAGCAAGCCTGTCAATGCTGGGTATGACACCGTGGTCGATTGTGTCCGTTGCAGCACAGCAGCTGATTCCACGGGGTCTACGACGGTCAGGTCATGAAAAGACCTAACAGTCGTGCTCTGAAAACTGGTAACAGCAACGCCGCCAAGGGACATACCAAAAGAAGCATGCTTGTTTCGGTTCTATCCCGAGCCCTGCCTTAACCTGGCAGCATTCCTGTCGCACTCAGTCTCAAGCGCAATACGAGCAAGCCATGCCAAGCCCGACAACAACAACAACAACAACAACAACAACTACTACTACTACTACTACTACTTATTAGCCTGCTTACAAGCATTCAGAGCGCAACCTTTCGTCGAGAATATTACTCTGCTGAACACCGTCAAGCCGATTCAGACTGTTCCGCGTCATGCACGAAAGCACCTCTCGAAGAACCGCGGCCGGAGGCCAATTTGTTGATTCTTGAGGCGGTGTTTCACCACATCCGAAGTGGTATCTCGCTGTCTTCCCCGGGCTTTCGAACCGGAATCGTTCCCTCCAGCGTCCCATCACCCCAAAAACGCAAACTGGCCACTGCAGCTTCCCTCGCCATTGGGGCGCTTGATTGGGACTCCAGTCAATCTCTACGCGAGTCGGATGGTACACATAGCTGCGTCGTCAGATCATCCAACGACTTTACCCACCAACAAGAAAATGGGCAGGAACTATGCTTTCAAAAGCAGCGATTGAGACCTACCGGGTTTGGTCAACGCAAATATGACCTATTGTTCCGTCGCTTGCGTGGGAGACTGAGATGTTTGGCTTGCTTGGGATCATCGCATGTGGACACAGAGATCCGAGGTCCGTGAGTTCCATGTGAGGCAGCAGCATGGATGGAGATGGGAGATAGAGTTGGAATGGTGCTTCCTGGTCTCCAGGCAGTGTATGCCAGCCTGGCTGGCTGGCTTGCACATTGGATGAGGTGAAGACAGCTTTAAGGCTGGTTGGTTGTTTCTGGGCGATCCCCAAAGTTCGCACTCCTGGCGCAACGGACATTGCTGTTCCTCGATTGCTGTTGTCTTGAGGGGTTTGCTTGCTCTTCCTTTTGCCAGTGAAGAGGCGCCCATTGCGAATAGAAGAACCAAATAAATGACACTTGCTACATTCAGTTCCTTGCTTTGTATCTGTATGCCCTTTTTAGCCTTCTTTCGCGGTGCTGTTTGCCCTGATTGTCTCTCATTCTCTGACTCAGTCTCCTTGCAAAGACGTTAGACCATAGGTACAGAACGGAATAGATATTGGGTCGCGACCTGTGCGGGTTTGGATAACCATAAAAAGGGGGTGAAATGAATCAATGTCTGATTGTTCAACACCTGATAAGACAAGAAGCGATCGGTTGGACTATTGCGGTACTTCAGCGAGCATGTATTTGACTACCTTGACCCGACATGACCTGACCTGACCTGCTTTATCTAGTTTTCATTGAAACAAACCCCATAGATTGAAACCCGGAAGACATGCACACGTGTATACGACTAGCATGCTAGCGGAGTTCAAGGCCAGCCGGTGCAGTCGTCAAGCCATTCGGTGGTCGAGCAAGCAATGAACTCGACCTGTCTCTTTGCTTTTGCTCCTGCCTCTCCAGACCTCTTGACCATCGGCTCAGCTTCCGGCTCCGGTTGTGGTTCTGGGTCCGGTTCTGCCTCCGGCTCTGCAGATCTCTTCTTGACAACAGGCTCAGGAGCTGCAACATCAGCATCAGCCTCGACATGACGCTTGACCACCGGTTCCGCAGCGGGCCAACCCGTGCAAGTATCGATCCATTCAGAAGTGGAACATGGGATGATGGCGCGCTTCTCCATCTCCACGTCTCTCTTCACCTTGAGATCTCTCATCTGGGAGTCCGGCTCGGCGAGGCCGCCGTCGGGATTGGTCAAGGCGCCGCCGAAGCCGAGCAGTGTGTTCCAGGTGTCGGCGGTCGACTTGTCGCGGGTGCCCAGTGTGCGGATCTTCGCTTGGGCCTGTCGACACAGCGTCTGGGCTGCCTGGTTGGCTGCGCACACAGTGCTGAGTTGATCGCAGATGCGGTTTGTGATGATGTCTGATGATCGTTAGATGATCCGGCATGGAAGATGAAACGTAACATGAGACAAGAAAGGGAAACTTGGGTGAACGAACTGATATTCAATGCCTCTTGTTGACCTTTGCTGCACAATGGATCCGCAGGCAGAAAACTAAATTCCAGGGCTGGTCGGCCTCTGATGCCGCCTTCGAACTTCATGGTTGGAATGCAAAGACCATAGTCGGGATCTGCCTTGACGACTGCTTCGGCGCCATATTGCTTTGCGTTGATGAGAGCGGCCGCTGAGGCTGAACCTGCAACAAGCAGAGCAACGGCAGTGGCTTTGACGATCATGTTTGTTGGAGGAGATTGGTGAACTTGACAACAATGCGGAAAGGAGTGTAATGCTAGACTTTATGGATCTTGAGAAACGAGAGACTCTGCTGGCAGAAAAGAATGATTGAATGAGGCCCGACCAGCGAGCGATGCTACAAGAAACAGAAAACAAGAGACCGTGAAGATTGGAAATGAATGTGTATGGGTGGTAATGATGGACAGAAGAGCCAACAGAGTCTAGTTTGGAGGCCTTGCATGTTTCTTATACCGAACCCACGCAGATTGAACGGATGAGGGAGTCCCCGAGCGTGGATTTCGAAGTTGAGGCAGAGCCTGTCGGATGTCTCGTTTCACATGGTCGACTAGGGGTCGTCCCTCTGACTTCTGGCGTCTCGGCCTCCAAGTGCACGCACCTTTCGTTTCGCAGGCCATCATACATGTCATTGAAATGCGTAGGACTGTAATGTATTCTTGAAGGACCTTGACGGCAATGGGATGCATCGCACGAGGGGTTGGGAATCAATAGAAGCCGAACTGCAACGGCAGGGACTCCCTCGCTGCACATGGAATCATGGAATCTACGTGTGGAATTGGCTATTCACGATGTTTGAGATGTTTGCCAGCAGCCTGCATCTTGCACCTAGATGGTCATTGACATGCAATCTCGAAGCAAAGACCGCGTTCGTATTGCGCAGTCCAGTATGAGGCTCCAGGTTGGCGTCCCTCAATTTGCTTCGCTCCGGGTCCAGGGTCGGAGATCGTCAAGCGACGTGTGTTCGATGACATGTCTATAGGAGGATGAGACGAAAGAAGCAGCATCGATCAGATCCGACCCCAGGGAAGGTCGATTCGGGTAGATGGAGGGACTGAAGGGATTCAAGGGGAGAATCCTGAAGCAGGAAATGCAACGGAAGGAAACATTCTGACCAAAAACGGACTAGCGAGTTACCACCAAAAGCACGTGATAAGGCTCGCGATCTTGGGTCACGTGGTCAGGGGCAGTGACGTCATCGAAATTCGACAGCAGAAAACATGAGTTTGAACGTGAATTGAAACAAGATCCTCCACTAACGGATGTGTTCAGATGGGTAGACTACCTGTAGCTGGGAGCCGCTATTTGCGAAGTTCCTTGCTCCGTACCAAGTGCGTACGACATCCCAGTTGATCGCTTCTGGCCGCCTACCGCTATGCATTGCCGGCAAAAGGTGCCTCCAGGAATCAGAAGTAAGAGACTGGGAGGGCACACCACGTCCTCGAAGGGCGCGTTTGCTTTCTCTCAAAATATCCAAGAGTGTAAAGCTAAGGACCCGCACCTAACCAGGGTCAGGACTCCTCGGGATCTGAAACACAACTCAACACCTGTACCATCAGGCCCGAACGTCTATGGACTGTGCGACAGGCAAGAAGGAATGCAGGAAATACAAGGCAGGGCAGAGCATACCGCTGCAATCTCCCAAACTTCCCACATTTTGGTCGGAGAGCAAAAACTTTTCTCACAAACCCTCGATGCGGGGTTGTGAGTAAGTGAAATCCTGAGTCGAGTACAGGATTCTTTCGAAGTCGAAATCCAGGGATCCACGGATCAAGATATTTGGGCCATCGGGTTCGGGTGCGATCGATATTTCGGCGTCGTCAGAAAGGGCCAATATCCATATGGTCAGAGTGCGGTTCGAACAGGAGGCTTTCGCCTAGGAGCACGCCTTCCACTTAGCTGTCGACTTCCCAACTCTTCTTCTACCGAATTGAAAGGTTGAGCTATCACTGCTGATCTCCTCACTAAGTGACGCGCTTCGAACTCCTAGGTGTCTTTGCGTATTTGAACGAGTTTTCTGCCTTTCGAATATATCAGGACCAAATATCGACGGGCGGCGTGCTTGTCGTGATCGCCAAGCTTCGATGCAGGGAGCACTTCACTGCACCACTGATCGGCGATTGTCCTGGTCCGCAGGTGTGTCCATCTCGTCATGTTCATTCCGCGAATTCCTGACGGTCCAGGTTCAAAGAACTGCTCAATCCCTTGCAGCATAATCCATGGTGAGGACCGTGCCAGCAATGGCGATCTTTGAGTTCTTCAAAGTGTCTTAGCAAGTCACCCTACGGTTCTTCCAACGAGGGATTCCGCAAGCAGGCATGTCAGCTGCGTAAGAGGTAAAGTCCGGCAAGAACCCTCCTTCACCAAGCGGTGTTGCGCCCGAAGAACACGACTGCCCACGCCTTCCACTTCAGGTGCTGTCTTGCCCGGATTATGAGCCGTCCGTTGGGCTGATCTAACGTCCTCGCAGGGCAAAATGAAGTTCTAACTTGAGTAAGTACATAAATGGCTCACCTCACAGTTTTGATATCAACACAATACTTGGTCATGTCATTGGACGAAGCAAAGCACACATGGCAGACCATCGAGTGATGGTGTCGTTGGCCAGTGATCGCATCTTCCGAGCATCGGCCTCAGCACTAAACACGAGAATCGACTGATAAGCTCGTTTCGATACTGGGCTAAAAGTGGTGGCCACCTGGGATGCTACCTCTGTAAACAAGCAAAACAGATCCCAGATATGTCCTGGCCACGGTTTATCTCGCTTCTGCCTCGTTTTCGAAGATCCACATGCGCGCTAAAACGGGCATCGACTTGAGGGCTTGCATCCATCGTCGACGAGTTATTGCCAATAAATGGACACTTCAGATGCGATCATGCAATATGTGGTGGGAGAAGCAAGGTCTCTCTCTACAAGTACCAGAATCTTCTGCGACGACCAGAGCCTCATTGAATGGTTGTATCTGGCGGAATTGTCCTAAGACGGTGGATGTCGTGGGCAACGAGCCAATGGGAATTCAAGACGCAACATCCGAATCGGTTCGCATCCGCCCCATCCACCCGATCTATCAACTGCTATTGGCCCGGTGCGAGGTGCTATCTTTACCGCCAGATTCGATGAATTCTTTTACCTTCCTTGGCCTGAGACCAGAGTGCATCGGCTTCCATCGGAGCCTCCCAACAACACGCTCAGATCTCAGATGTTGTAACAACAATATCTTCTTGGACACTTCGCTATGGCCACCGACAATACCTATCCGGGAGAGCCATTATAGCACCATGGCCCCAAGTGGAGCAGTCACAAATATTTCTCCGCGCGGGCTGGTGTGCGAGAATCGGCGATGCATACATTTTGCACTGTCTTTAGCAACGCATCGAAAACACACCCGTGGCCTAATCCGTCATGCTCCAGAAATACACCGAATCTTCCATTCATGAAACCAACATGTCTCTAGAGACAACCAATCCAGTCTGGTCGCAAATGGCAGCAGGGACAAAGGTGAGATAGTCGTCCAACATCCTGAAGATAAGATATGTAGGGAATTCCCCCTTTTCACCAACAGTGTTACTCTCTCTCCATCCATACCTTCACCCAAGTCAAGCCTTCACGTTACAGTCCCCCAGTTAAGCTCCGCCTGCCGCAAATCATCTCCAAGTCCACATCCCTCCACGGTTGATCCCTCCCGTCCAAAGCAGTAAGAATGCGTGTTTTCCTATTCCAGACGGCCAAAGGCCTGTTCAGCTCCTCTGGCGGCTACCGATCGAATCTGATGCTACTGAAATACCTAGCATCTCGCGGCCACCAAGCCGCGCAGCTGTGTTATGTCTGGGACCGCGAGGTCGAGAACTACTGCGAAGAGATGGTAGCGAACGGACTGAACCCCGAACTAGAATCCGAGAAGATAACCGTACCAGCGGACCAAGACACCAGCGTCGACCTGAGAACATACTCATTCATCGACGCCGACGGCGTGAGGAACCTCGCAGTCAGCGTGACTGATTTCATGAAGATCCTCCCCGACCACGAGCTCGCCAAGGAAGCCGCCCGATGGATTGAGGTATGTTCACCCCTGATTCTTCTCAAGCTGTCTATGGCGGCACAGGGACAAGCGTACTGACTGTTGTTGCTTTGCTGTATACAGCACGATCTAGTGTGCACTCGACTGCAAGTCTTTCTGATGTTCCTAGATGGGTACCTTCGACGGTTCCAGCCAACGCACGTAATCTTCAACGATGGCATGTCCATGAAGGCCACGTCAGTCATGCCCTCGCTGCGCGACGTCTGCCGGATCTGCATCGTCCACACGGCCGAGCAGCTACCGTTCGGGCCCTACGCAGGTGGGATTTCCGGATCCGCCTATTCGGCCGGCGAACACAAACTGCTGTTAGGACTCGACGGCATCTGGTCCGTGTCGCAGGCGCTCAAGAACTACGCGCGACAATACGGTCAACTCAACACCACCTTCCACGTCCATCATCCTTGGACATATCTCGACCCCAAGACCCACGGCCTGCCCATGCGACGGCGGAACTGGGACAAACAGATCGTAGGCATCGTCAACCCGTGTCCCGTCAAGGGCAGTTCCATTCTTCAGGGGCTAGCCAAGCGATGTCCACAATTCAAGTTTGCAGCATGGTCCAGCTGGGGCATGGACAATAAATTGCAGAAATCACTCGGTGAACTGAAGAATGTTGAGTATGTTGCCCATCATCATATCTCTCTCTCTCCTCACAGACAAAGAACTAGTGGCTAACTTTCTATGAACCAGTCTCCGTCCAACAGCTCGAGACATGGAAGAAGCGTGGTCCGAGATCAAAGTGCTCCTGGTGCCCTCGCTGTGGTTCGAAGCATGGGGCATCGTCGTGGTCGAGGCCCAAGCCCGCGGTATCCCCGTGATCGCGTCGGACGCGGGTGCCATCCCCGAGGCGAAACTCGGCATCCCGCCCATCGTCCACGTCAACATGTTGACCGGCGAGCGCGACGACGACGGCTACATCGTCCCTGACCAGGACATCCAGCCCTGGGTCGACGAACTGACCAAGCTGATGACCGACAAGGAATACTACGAGGAGGTCTCCGAGCGCGCCCGCTCCGAAACCGCCTTGTGGCTAGCCGGTCTGGACGAGACCGCCTTGGAGAGGTGGTTGCTTGAATGTGCCAAGCAGAAGGCCCTCTACGACGGACCCATGCCCGCGAGTGTTTCCGCCCGGGCCATTTGCGATCAAGCATAGTAAGTCGGTGGGAGAGCGCGCGCCGACGTTTCTTTTTTTTCTCTTTCTTGAGTTTTTGACATCAACAAACAACAAGTAATCGAGTGAGCGATGCAAGCGTGGAGTTTGGAGAATGGCTTCTTTTCTGTTCGGGTTTTCATCGATTTTACGACACGTATAGACATGACAAGGGTTCGGTTATCATAAAGGTGTCTCTTTTTGGGGGGGACTTGGAAATATATGTGATACAGGCATCGCTCTGGATGGGGGGTTTGGATATTCTATATAGGACCAGCAACAAGGGTGGATGGTACAGGTAAAGGTACAAGGACTGCCTATTAAGTTACCCGCCAGATTAATGACTTTAATCAAATGGATTGTTCTTTCATATACACACACATCTGTGCCCGATTTCCTGTGGCAGTCGCTTCCGGCTCCTCGACGCTTCTATCAACAACTGTTACCAATCAGTGCATCCCGGTCCCATCTTCCGCGCCTTGTTCTTCTCGGTACTTCATCAAGCTTGAATTCTTCGTGCCCGCTCCACCGCGTTCGGCCCAATACAGGAAACCGCTGACCAGAACGGTTGATGGGAAGTGGTGAGACAGATGGAGAGACAGCTAGACGAACAGCCAGCAAGGGGGAAAGCGAGATCCCATATTTAAAGGACACACGCAAGACCAAGAGACAAGGTACTGAGACAAGAATGGCAGGATGAAGTGGTCACCTTAGGGACGGGGCTTGAGGCTACTCCTAGTTCGCTATCCATGCTTGTCTGGTAACCCAAAGAACCTGGATCGACGCATTCCCGACAACGCTGGGTACCTTCCATACAACGCCAACCTGATCGAGTGTGTTCGTATCCTATTGCAACATTGAAAGTGGCCGCTCGCTACCTCAAGCTCGGCAGAGAGCAGAGACAGCAGGCTGGGTATGACTAGGTCTGGCGTGCTGAGGAGGTTTTATGCCCCTTTGCTTGCCACATGCAATGCAGTGCCACCATGCCCGGATCACCAGGATGCTCAGGCATGCATTTCATAACCCGTAGACTCATTTCACCTCATGATCACGTACCTCGTCTTGCTCCTGCTTCCTCTGCCCTTCGCGGATTGTTTCCGGTGCCACAGCCGCATAAGGATCTGGCGCATCGGTCGCCGCCTCTAAGGCACTTTGAGGATCGCCGTCTTGCTTGCCTTTCTCCATGATCTCGGTCTCCGCCTCGGACTCTAGACCAGCCTCGGATACTGTGTCCTCGTCTCCCTGAACCTGACCAACATGGGTATCTTCAAACATGCCGCCAAAAGGTGCACCTTTCCTGGCAATTTTTGGACTGGGTTCCAAGACTCCAGCGACCATGGGGCCAGTCTCCTTCTGGGCATATTTCTCAATGAATGCTTCCTTGAGGGCTTCGTACAAGAAGCTGTACTGCAACTCGTTCATCACCATCATCATGCGCTGCTCACGCAGTGCATTGACCGTTTCAAATATGGCATCTTCCTCGTCTTTAGAATCGGGTGTGGTTGGTTTGGAAGGGCCGCTCTTCCCCCATGTTGCATTGGAAGAGGATCTCGATGGGGGTTGGTGGTTGGCGAAATATGATGAGGACTCGATCAATACACCTGCTTCAAGTTCTTGTAGGAGGAAGTCCAGGGCTATCCAAGTCCCTGTCCGTCCCACTCCAGCAGAGCAGTGAACGACACGGGGAGAATCTCCGGCAACTTCCTTGGTCACTTTGGTGAGTTCCATAAGAGCCTTTCGATCTTCCGCCTCGGGCTTTCCAAAATCAGGCCAATTCTTGTAGAAGTAATGGTAAATTTCCTTGGACTCCCCGTCGATTGTCAGCTTCAATCTTCGCACCTCACATCCAAGTTTGATATCCTCATGGAGGGACATCAACGTAACCGTCCCACATTGACCTTGGTTTGCCTGGTCCGATTGGGATGCCGGGTTGTCAGAATGGGAATCTGTGCCTACACCATCAGCATCGGCGATCATTGCGGGGGCGTCGAGGAAAGGATCACCATCGTCCGTACTCCTAGCACTCTCATTTCCATTTCCATCCTCATGGGCCGCAAGAGCAATCGTTGGGTTGTCGAAGTTGGGGGGATAATACTGCGCGCATTTCTCCTTGTTTCCCTCATACAGCTGGGTAAGCATCACAATCACTCCAACCTCTCCCGTCGTCTCTTGCATGACCATGTGCCAGAAGTGAGAAAATTGCCCCTCCTTCGGTCCTTGACTGGCAATGTACCTGCACTCAACCTGCGCTGCTGACGCTGAGGCCGAGGAATCACTGCGTTGATATTGATGCACATTGCGGCTACTGAGTGTAATGGGTGACGCGTTCACATAGTCCGAACCGCCAATTGGTTTCCGAAGCTTCACTCTTGCTGACTCCCAAGGTTGAACATTGCCATATCGGTTCCGGCTAACGACTGCTGGAGATCGGTCAACTCGAAATGGGGATGTCTCTGGATTCTGAAAGGCGTGCTGGAGGCGGTATCGCTGCTTCCATTCTAGATCTTGGAATGCCGTGGTGATTTCTGGAGAGATGTCAGCCAGCCGTCAAGTCAGGGGGTCTAGAACAAGCGTCATGGCCTTCATCTCCAATGATACCTACCCTGCCTTGTCTTTTTCAAATACGATGGGAGCTTGAGAGCAACCTGTCTTGCTGAGTCATCAATCTCATTAGTTGATCTCGTTGATGGAGTTGTTCCAGACGAGGCTGGCCTTGACGACTCAGGCCCTATCTCCTGGGACCGCTGCCTCTTGACCGAATGCGAGGGGGGAGTGCTGATAATCAAAGACTGCGGCATGATTTGATTGATCTCGGCGATCGTCGCGTCATCGGAATGAGAGGAGCCAGCTCGACTCACATTGGTTGCGATGGGTGGCAGAGAAGAAGGACTGGCTGGTGGGATGGTCAGGCTCGGAGCCGCCTTGGGTCGCTTTCCCGGCGAGTGAATATGCAGCCGCTGTAAGAGTGAGGGACGTTTGGAGGTACCAGAAGTAGAGGAGTCCTCAGAAGAGTGATCCTGAGGAGTGGCGCCTGCTTTGTCGGTGAAGAACCTAGAGACGGTCGTCGTGGCTCGTGGTGAATATTTCCAAGGGAGTGACAATGTAAGAGGTTACTAGAGGATGAACAAAGAGCCAATGTTGTCGTACCAGGACAAACGTTCGCGAAGGACTGCCGTGACAGTGGAAACGGCGAAAGAAGTTGGTAGGATACTTTGAGGATTGCTCTTGCTTCCGCTTCCGCTTCCGCTTCCGCTCTTGCTCTTGCTCTTGCTCTTGCTCTTTCTTGCTTACCAGCACCGCGGTAGAAGGGGGTTCGTTGGATTTCGCGACACCAGCCTGAGGGGGGGGATGTTCTGCTTTTGAGACGTGAGGATACTTCCAATAGTGCAGACACCTATCACAATGTACAGCGCCAGCGCCAGCGACCGCCGAAATAGTGGGTTGTTCTGGAATGAGAATAGAGAGGACTAAGGGGCTGATCTTGACGGGCAGGAGGCGCTGGATTGCGGTGAGCACGAGAGGCAGGTTCCTTGGGTGTTGAAACTTGAGACCTGGATGCAGCCCTATGCTACCGGAGATGGAATGTTCGAATTGATCTTAAGCGACCATGCATCTTCCAATCAACAAGATATGTAGAGAACGGGACTGATGAGGCTGAATAATGGCGATGCACAAGATGCACCATTGACCTCATTTTGCAGAAGCGGCTTGAGCCGGGATCTATGTATCGAACTTGAAATGTCCACGCACACTGGATAATATGTCCCAGTATTCTTTGTATTTAATGAGTATTTTGTTCAAATGACGTTCTCCCCGTTTGCCGCAGTCTACCTCCACACAAGCGAGCATTCATTCCTAGGTACCTTTTGGTAGTAGTATACTGACATAGGTACCTAAGGTACTCTGTAGTAGTGCCTTTTGTATACCTAGTACGTACTATGTACCTACGTCTCTCTCGTCGCCATCCAACTCGCCATCAACTTTTCCATTCCTCGCTCCAGCACACGTCCTGCCCATACCCGACAGCGCGTCGTCTTGCTATATCTCAACGACACTGATCATCCCGCCCTCTCATCGACGAGCAAAACCTCAGTCACAGGAGTCTTGAGGACAACCTCAACGATGGTTTGGTGGCTGTGGCACTTCGAGGTTTGCTTCCACCCTGTAGCCTCCTCTATTATCGTCTGGGCTTCGTTGCTGACAATTGCACAGAAACGTTTAATTGACGTGGTATCTATCCCATCCCTCCAAGCCTCCGCCTTGATTGCACTTTTCTTCTGACCATCTATCTGCCCTCAGCTACTTCGAAGTCCGTCCTTCCATCGAGGCGTACAAAAAGTCCACAAGACAGTTCACCACTTACAACATGGCAAACCGCCCGAATACTATGGTGGAACACACATTGACTGTATGTCACACAACCCTCCCTCCCAATCCCCAACGACACGAGCCTCGTTGTCCACCCTTGCAGCCTCTTTTCGTCGCCCATGCAACATGATAAGAACAATATAAACTCATTTGTCTCTGCGGGCCAAACAGCCGAGCATGAAGCAAAACAGGGCATCGGGCATTTCGTCAAGTTGTTTTGGGAGGAGTTGAAATCAGGACACAAGCCAGAACGACCGACGAAAAAGTGAATTCCGGGATTTCGATGCCATTACGGCCGAATGATGTTGGAAACGATTTTTGTCTTTAGCGAGGCGTTTCGGTACATTGGAAATATTAAATGGTCAACCGCGAAGATGTGCCTACAGGCACTCTGTGCGCAACGACATAAGCGCCCCCTTCGATCAAAGGTGAAGTGGTTAGTCATGTGGAAATTGACGACCCGTCCTAATCATTCCATACTCGTGGCTGAGCATTCTTTCTTCACAAATATTCGATTGTACGGATAAGATTGGGTTGGCTTTTCCTTCTGACATGGAAGCTTGACCCTCATTCCATCCGGAGAGCACACTACTGCCAGATGCGATCCATCTATATCGTCGTTTCATTCTTCATGGATCAAGATCGCCTCCAAGCATGGTTGATGGCAGACATTGGGATCGGGTGCAGTGATCTGCCGTGTCACTTGTGATGGTCCCCATCATTCGTCCCAAGATTTCATACCATTTGAGACGGACAATATGCACGTGCCGCCATTCATCTCTCCAACCCCCTACATCAGATCAACAGCAACGGAAATGATCTCACTACATCACCTGGAGATAGCTCGCACTGACATGGCTAGGAACAATCAATGAGGTGACTCGCCGATATTAGGCGACGAAATGCATCGAAAGCAAGGTATTCCACACCCTTGCCGATCGGTTGGCCTTTAAACGAGCCACCCTTTTGCCAAAGGGACTGATTACATGCTGTGCGACGTAATGTGGCCGAGTACGAGGCAAGAATCCCGACATTTCGCGGATTGCTGCCCAACGCAAGCTCTTTACGAGGAGAGATCTGACTCCCTGCCAGGGCTCCCAGTGGGCCTCAGTCGCGATTCCAAGAATGGCTGTCAATCGGAGGCCGAAGGTTTTGTCGACGAGCGACACAATTGTTGGTCGAACTGGTGATCGACATGGAAGGCTCTAGGCTAATGAGTTTTGAGAGAAAAGCAGCCTGGCAAGAAGTGGCCTCCCGCTGTCATATGCATGTCAAATGGCCTTCCCGGGGTTGAGCAGGCTTCATTTGCCGTACAAAACGAAACCCTTTGGAAGTGGATGGACGACAAGCAGGAGCCCCAACCAGCCGAAGGGTAGGGGGCAGGAGAACGCCAGATTGGGCAATTTTCCCAATCTGCTAGGATGTAGTGTCACCCTCCAGGAGGGCCACAGCGCAACCAGTGACCCAGGGAATGTGATACAAGTTGTGGCGACGCCTGGAGCAGAGTTTCGTAAGTTCAGCACGGGCAGGTAGGCAAACCTGCAATGGACCTGATCACACCTCGACGCATGTGAAGGCAAAAACGTACATCTGCAGTGCTGTCGACTTCGTCAATCGGCACACTCCGGTACGGGGCTGGAACATGACAATTGTTCATCAACCTCTGGGTGTTTCGTCTCTTGTACTCACCAGTGCTGTGTGACAGCGTACCAGGCGTGAATGGAAGCAGTGGGGGTGCCGCTTGACCTCGAAGTCTTACTGTCGAATCCATCTCTTCAACAGGACAGCTCTCGTTGGCGAAGTCAAGCCCTTGATACTTGCACGAGTGGGAGGTGAGGACCTTGATTGTGAGCTGCGAGACAGGATACGGCCAACGGTCACAACCGCTTTCAGTTGCTTGCTCAAGTGTTCTCCCAGGTCAGTGTTTGTACGGGTATTACTTGAACCCCTGTGAGGACGGTGGGCCTTAGCTGCAACTTCGTCATTGTAGGAGTATGATGCGGATCAGCCTCATTTCTTTGGTTGAGGATTCGCCGATCCATGCAAGCCAATGGCATTGTCCAGATGGGCCAGAGCCTCGAGGCCGACGCAGATCGAGCAGAGCTAGAACGGCAGGGTATATACGTGGAGAATGAGGTTAAGAGCCCGATGGCAATGCAGGCCTCCATCCTCGATGCACATAAATGAGGGTGTAGGGAATCAATGCGCCCGACCTGGGCGTAGTGCAGAGATTTTCCCAGTTTTGGCAACGCCCATTGGAGATCAGTATGCTGGCACTCCCCTTCAGCTGCAAGGTTGGGCGCAGTTGGCGTCCCATTTGCAGTTTTGATGCTGTGACCGGGGTCGCAGAATCTCCTGCACAGACGTTGAAAATCGTCTCGTGGCTGCATGTCCGAAGCTTGCGCAGCAGGAGGAATTCCAATAGCCGGAGCGCATCGACGGCCTCCGGCCAGTCAACAAAACATGAAGCAGACTGCTGCGGTGCGCGCATCCTAACATATCTATTGTGTATGGTGGGCTTCACACGGTTCTTGTGCAACGTCGGTTGCACAGATTCCTCCGAAATAGGACGGACCCTGGCTATACCTGAGGGCAAGGTTTACCGGTGGCTGACGCTAAGACGTGCAGGAGATCAATGATCTTTCGATCGGGGGAGGATCCACGACTCAGATTGACTGCCGTAGCGGCGTAGCGGCGCCTCTGGAGGATCAGACCACCGACCGACGCCCAATCGCAGCGAACAGACAGACTCCCACAGGTCGTTGTGGTGGAGCATCCTCCCCAGCGTCACCGATCGTGATTCGGACGGGTTGGAATCGGTGGGCCACGTGTTGGTGGCGTCCACTCGGTGAGCGGGCAGAAGGTAGATATCTGAATGTCCACCTCCATACCGAGAGGCATATCCGTATTCGCGTGTCTCTTTCTGGTGTTGCCCGTGTCAAAGCTGTCAGCACTAGCTGTTTCGAAAACCATGCCCTTTCGTGCCAGGAGCCTGATCGTCAACACCGGCTGAGAGTTGTTGAAATCAGGGATTTAGATATACCGCACCAGTACGATGCCTTGTTTGTGCCAACGTCGAGCCATATGTTCAGAACTTCCGTCCGTATCAACAATAGGTAATTCTGATAGTCGCAGGGCGGTCTCTATCTCGGAGGTTCGCCTAGACAAAGATTGCTTGGTCCTCGGATCCACGGTTATCGTGGGTGCAGGTTCACTTCAATTACTCATCGCTGGTCGATGAATTCCATTGGGCAGGTTTGTATGGCGGTGGCCATGCGACAAGGATAAAGTTCTGTGGCGCTGAAGCTCGGTTGAAGGGAGCAACTCTATCTCAGGTGCCACGATGTTCTTGTGGAACGGCGACATGAATCGGAAGCTCAGGTGAACATTCCAAATGAAAAGAGCCATTCCCAGTTTGCGAAATCACAGTGTCCGGCCGGGTTGTCTCGAAGTTCATTGCTGTTGATCACTCGTCCCTACTGAACAGTCTCGATTCGGTCGAGTTTCACAGCGCCCCAAAGAACAGGGTTAGGAGCCCGATGCGAAAGCGAAGATGCGAGATTCCTGACAGCTGTCAACATGCGACTGTCCGGTTCGCGCAACCCCCAGGTTGCATATATTGACTCGCACCCTATCCATATCGGTGCCGCCGAAAGCATTCCACGGAATCAATCGCTCCATGACGGTCATGATGACGAAAGTATGCAGGGTGCTGCTGCGAACTTGCCAACTCCACCTCGGCCGTACTTGGGTCATCACGCCATTCTTGTCGACAGCATCCAAGTTTGACGCTTCCAGTGCCCCATCGCACATGAATTCAACTCACCAGTATCGCTGTGGCTCTCAGGTGGACTTCAAGTTTCTCGGACGACAATGTAGCAGGGCTCCGGGTCGCCTTGGTTGTATGAGCATACGGTCTATTGCCTCGGTACGCGTGAGACTGGGACAAGATTCAAGCAGTACATCAGGCGAGATTCTTGCGATAGTTTGGGTTAGAGTCAGATAGACGGGGCAAGATCCCGGATCTGGGTATGTTCTGGCCGGAAGACTCCCATGTGGTTGGACACAGGGGCGGGCTCTTGAGTCCCTTCATAGCACCTTAATTATATGCTGGAGAGTAATGACCAGTCGATTCGAAGTCAAATTGAGTTTTGCTTTCTAGGGCGTGAAGATCAGGTTGCGATGATGCGCCACATGAGCGATCTGTACGATGCCCCCGTGAACGCAGAGGAGTCCGGTTAGGACTTAGGATGACTTCCCAGCACGTGTAGCGGCACAACGGTGCTTACTGCCCACTCCTCGTGGGCTTGCTTTTGAAGAGTTGCCACGCTTTAAATCAGCCGTGCAAGATATCCGATCGTTGCCTGATCCAATCGATAGGCCCGCTGTTGCTGCGCTGATGCTCCCCTCCTGTTCAAGGTATTGTTTTCAGACTCAAGAGAAGCAGCTTGAAAGCAGCGTCAGTGCATTGTGGACCAGATACCCGATCTTGAAGCGAGCAATGCATTGGGGAATGAAGCGGCGATTTCGGAAAAGGTTCGCCGGAGGCAGGATCTGGACGATGTTTGTACTACTAGTAGTACAAAGTAGTGAGCACAGATTCGGGACAGCAAGATGGCTAGGTTGCTAGGTCCATGGGGCGACATCGACCGGAACACACTTGATTGCCAATGATGGCGGCGCTCCAGTCCCAGGGAATCGATACAACGACAAGGACGCAGAGGAACTGACAGCTAGACCCAGAATTGAATGTCAGCAGGGAGTTCAAAGAAAGCCTAGCACGTGCAGGTCTAACAGCGATTCGACGAAGGGCTGAAGGAGGCGGCTGAGGCGTCCTCGCTTAGCCGGGGGCAAAGCAGGGCGATGGAGGTATTCTCTATTGGTGCAAGAGCCTGCAAGTCGAGCAGGTCGACTCGACCGACGCGAGGGTCCGAGCGAAGGGACGTCCCCTTGATGCAGTCAGGGTGATAATGCTGCCAGCTGGAGCAGAATCTGCATCCGGAAGTTGGTACAAAAATCTGTAACGCATGCCCGAGTAGTAGGACCAATCTGAGGCACGGCAGGATAGAAGAGGACACCACTGGCAGTGGGAGATCGGGCGATGGTGGTTTGTTCAATCGCAGCTGCGGCAGATGGAGCATGGAACCGGAAACGATTGTTAATTGATGGGAAGTTCCTTGGTATGAGATCTATCCGGTTTAGGTGGATTATTCTCGAGTAAGTAATTGCGGCTATAGAGACCTGAACATATGGTAGGTAAGGCCTAGACAAGCACCCGTAGGAGGTACCTGTAGGTAGGTACCGCCTATAAATGTAACAGTTTAGGCGGTGGACACGAGTTATCAAGGCATCTAAGTCCGATCTGATGGTGCCGGGACATACCATTATTACACCGTCTTAGCCTCCTAGCTGGCACCTAGTAGTATTTGCCTACTAGTACCCGGTTGGGTCCTTAGTTTTTACCTGACCTCGGTGTCCCGGTGCAAACCGTACCTTAGGACTTAGGCCATCATTAGTGCTGTACCATCAGTATCTGAATTCAAGTTCCGTAATGTTAGGTCTACGATCAACTTTCATGGCCAACTTGAAGTAGTAGTAGGTATCTTAGATATCTACCTTAGGTGGGGAGGGTAGTCAATTAGGAAGTAGGCGACGGTGAGCGGTCGACCCATGCGAAGATACCTTACTGCATGCCAGCTGCTATCATGTCGGTAACTACTCGCTAACATACTAGTACTCTAGGTACATGTAGGAACTTCACCTCCTCTCTCCCTGTCTGGCTGTTGTCCCGGGATATGTTACGGTATGCGGCCCTGCTCCCTTGGTACGCATCATTCCACATCCACTACTACCAAGTGGCTGCAGGAGCCTCTACGGCTGTGTAGAGTAAGGTATGGTAGACCGGTAGGCTGGTAGTGCAATCCCTGGAAACATCCCAACATCATGAGCATCATCACCGCCCGACACACACTGCATCGAAACTCCCCATCCACATCAGCCCGGTGCCAGGTGCCAGGTGCCCACTGCCCACTGCTCCCCCTCTCTCCGGCTCCCTACCTAGTTAAGTACTAGTATCATCGCCCATGGATTGCATGATCACCCGCCAACCAGCTAGCCAGGAGCCAGCCCGCAGGCTCCAGGCAACCCTGCCCCTGGGCCCCTGCCTGTTGTTTCTCAAGATCAAGCAAAGCACAACTCCACCCGCTTGTCCTGTCCGGGCGAGGGGATCCAAACGCTATCTGCCTCCAGAGAAAAGAGAGCCAGACGTGCACCCCCCAGCGAAACCTTTTGAACCCACCCTGGTGTTGCTTCTCAAAGATTCCTGGCCCGTGGCGTCCTCACCACTGGCATTGACGCCCTCCATAACTCCATCCTAGCAAGACCCCCGTCACACTTAGCTCGGTGGCATCTCTGACTCGTCGGGCCATCGTCCACTGCCCACCGCGACAGCCAGAGTGCCCACCGCCCATGCTAGTGCGATCTCTCGATCTTTTCTCCGCCCATCTCGCTCTCTAAGACTTGCTCATCTTCTCATCCTCACTACCGTCACCATCCTCTCGACCCGAGCCCGTCCAATCCCGCGACTTACTTTCGAGATCATCTCATCTGACCTTATTTACCTCATTTCTAGATTTGCTTCCACTCCTGACGTCCTCCGCTACCCTTCTGTCTACGCATCACCGCTCTATACGACCCCTTTGCGAGTTCGCTGGTCAGAAGTTGGGCTATCGTAGCGCCGTCGAGTTGGTGCGCCGGAAAGAGTCCCGCACTCTCGCCATTGAACGATCTCCTTGTACCATCCATCACCCTTAATCATCTCGAGACCCCGGAGCACTTCAGCACCTTTCTCGTGGCAACGAGAGGGAAGACGCCAATATCAATTGCATCGAATCCGGCTGCTTCGCCGCGGAGTACATCTCGAACCACTCGTGCATCGAATCCAATTCATTGCGTTTGGCTATCACCAAACCGTGCTGAGATCCTCACAGGATTGTACGTGGAGACGAAGAGATTGCACGTTGGATAGCCCACATGGTTGACGCAGGAGCTCTTGAGGCATAAAGTAACCACCTGCTCAGAGGGACTCTGCATATTGATGGAAACCATGGCCACCATGGACGCTGGCACCAGGCTTAGGTTTGTCTGACCCTTTCACATCCTTCCTGCATTTTTGACCGTGGCATTGACTCGATTCACAGAGACACTCTACCGCCCATTAGTCACCTCGACTTGAGCAAGATCAATGGCGAAAAGCATGACCATTCCAGGTTCTCGATGATGAATGGCCTCAGCATCTCTACGGCGCCGCTAGTCAGTCCAACAACAACCATGTACCCCGGCCCTCCTCCGCCATACTCGTGCGCGCCTCCAGCCACTGGATCTACTGCTGGACTATCTGGGTATATCTCTCCTCCCGAATCTACCACCCGACGCTCAACACGGGACGAGGGTGTTTCGCCTGCTTTGCCTAAGTCGCTGCCTTCCATTCACGAAGCCCTCGGGAGCGACAAGCCTATTGCCTTCCCGGGGCCGCTGCCCACCTCGTCACAACACCAGTCCCTTTCTAATCCCTCAAATGCGGGCCACCAGTCCTTCTCAGAAGGGCCCAAAGGCCCTTCAAACCCATTTTCACAACCACCCACCGGTCCACCAGTCCTGAGAGATGTTTTCTCTGGCACCCCAAGTAATGGTCCTGCGCCAGCAGAAACTCCGAATGCCACGCCATCTTACCCTCCTACGACTACCGCCGATCCACGCCAGGCGGTCTCTCAGCATTTTGGCTATCCTGGATCACCACGCTCGAACCCGGCAAACACCTTCCGGTCCTCATCGCTCGCGAATACCTCATTCAACAACCACAACGATCATCCGCCGGCCACCTCCCCTCAGTCCTTTGAGCCTTCACGACAGCCTCAATCTTTCTTGCCATATGGCGCCAACGCCACGCCCTCAGCCGCACCCGCTTCACATGAGTCCTTTCACAAATTCTCCGCAGTACCCAAGCCCTCCGATCCTCGAGCAACGTATCAGAAGGCCGCAAACGATGTCCAATATAGCGAGACCGTCAAAAGACATCTGGATGTGTACGATGCTGAGTTAGGCTTCAATGAAGTGTGTCTGCCCATCTGCCCAAGACGAGGCCCCGCTAACGCTACACAGATCAGTGAGGCTTGTGCCCGTACCCTTGACTTCTCACGCACGTGGGCTCTCCGCTACCATCAAGGAAGCCGCTCGGGCTACTTTCACGAGTCACTGCCTGGGCTGCCTGAGGTTGACGAGATCCTGCGACACTCACATCGTATCCTGGAAAACATGACCCATCTGCGGGAATTAGTTGTTGCCCAACAAACTGCCTTGTCAGAACAGCGTGCTCGGCAAACAAGCCGCAACCATCCCGAAGACGAATACGCTGTTCTGTCGGAAGAGTTTCGGGGCGGAGGATTTACGGGAGCCGATGCTAAGAAACGTCGTGGGGTGAGTTCATTTTGCTAAGGCGGAAGATGGTCACTAACGTTCTTAGCAGAAGGCTGCACCGCCGGGCCGATGCCACAGTTGTAACCGTGCCGAGACACCGGAATGGAGGCGAGGTCCTGATGGTGCTCGCACATTGTGCAATGCGTGTGGCTTACACTACGCGAAACTGACACGGAAGATGGGTCACAACAAGGCTGCAGCCCTGGCTGGTTCGACTCTGCGGCCGAAAAATCTCGATTCCACAAGGCCATGATGACCGGAAAGCTGCTATGGGGGCTGGCGACACCGGCAGGGGAACTCGATGAAGATAACGACGAATCTAATTCTTGGTATATACACTATCTCTTTCAGGGGATGATGATTACGATTACATGGGTGAAAGACATGAGAACTCTCTTCGGACGAAATTGTCTCAACAGGAGTTTTTGGGCAGAATGTCAACTTTCTTTGGCACAGTGTTGATATCCTTACGAAAGTGGCTCGTTCGTCGGGGGTTGTACAGAGGCAAACCTCGTCGAGGGAAACGACCAAAAAGCTTGCTGGGAAAGAAATGGCGTATGGGAGCAATCGGATGCCTTTTTAGAGGCGTCATGGGAGCACAGGCGAGAGTTCCGCCCAAGGCACATGGGATTGTTTCTGATACCCCGAATGGAGTCTTATTAGAGGCACATGGAGCATTCTGGTTAACCCAAAACATGTTTTATGTTGTTGTTGTAGCCTTTGAGGGGCGTGCAAAGGGGCGAATGGAGGGCGCTGCAGGAAAACGCAAAAGGCCTGTCACTACTGGGAGGATGGACGTGCTTTCAACTGATCTTCATGTCTCTGATATGCCAGAAAGCTCGAGAACGGATGGACCGCGCTGGCGTTGGGACGGATTGTCCAGTCGTCAGTTCTCTTGACGCGCTGGCCAGTTGCGGCCAACTGTCCTCAATGGGGTGCTAGGTTCTGTTTTTGGCATAGGAGCGAGTGGCGGGCAACAAGGAGCGCAGCATGAGCAATGAGCAATAAGACCATTCCCACTATCCACGCGCCAGTTCCCGTAAGGCCCCTGATTCACCATATCTGGTGCTCAAGTTGGTGCTGTTACTTCTGCTTTTCCGGCCAGTGTTCCTCCCAACAGGGCAAAACACCGGAGTCGAGTGCAATGCGGTCAAGTAACAGTTCATTTGGATCATTGCGAGATGCCCATCATTCTGTCTCCCGCATGAAGCCGAACGCTGGGTGGCTGCTCACGTGCCCAGTTGCCAGCTGGGGGGAAGGAGGAGCCTAGGAGCCTGAGGTGCGATGACAGTGATGGCAACGATGGGCCGGACAGCCGACAGAGCCACAGCCAAACTTGAAGCGAACGTGTTCCCCAATCCACTGCCAGCGTAGATGACGGATCGAGATTGTCGGTGCTAGCATGTAGTGGCAGACTGGCAGGGAGCGCTCCACCTCTCTGTTCGTCGACAACATGATGTGAACAATAATATTAACGCAGTCAACCCCTAGTCGATGGATGGCACTCTGGCATGCGCCGTGGTGATTGTGTTTCAGCACGCTGAATGGTCCAGCAGGAGGCCCATGATGGGCAACAAAGAGGGTCAGCAAACTAGTTACCTAGTATATGTGGTATGACTTTGTAGCGCTCGCACAGCGCAGCAACACGGTGTGTCAGGCCACTTGGCCAGCCCTCGATACCACGGATACGACGATACACGACACGATACACGGAGGGCATTTCATGTGAAGTGAAGTGGCTCGCGCTACTGCTTCTTTCTTCTCACCCTGCGGCATCCTCGACGTGAGGTCGACGCCATTCTCGTCCTCGGACCCCGTGATGCTTAAACCTATCCATCGAACCGTTGTTGTCCGCACCTCTCAGCTTTGAAATCGTCGGAGCTCGGGGCACAACAGGATCAGCCGTGATCAACACCCGCCGTTGGAATACAGCCCACCCTATCGTTGATCAGCACTCTACCTGGCACTGTCTAACCCTGTTTATGCTCTACGGGACGAGCGTGCCTTGTTTTCCATCTACGAACGCCATTCTGAGGATCCCTGTGAATTGCGGAAGTGGGAGGAGAAGTGGTGAATGTTTCGGATCGTTGTTCTGGCATATCAACAAAAGTCCACCGAGTCTGGACAAGATTGTGTGATCTGCGGACGGGAGAGGACGGGGCTCGAGGACAAGGATGCGACGCGGCAACCATTGAGGGGTGCCGTCGTCCCGGTCAATGGGACCGTGTGCCAGAAAAAGGGTTTCACGGGAAGGTTCGTCTACGGTTTGTCTAGGGCTCTGGTGTTGCAAACATACGGACGGGAGGCATAAGAAACGATATATCCGTTACGATTACTGTCAGATCAGCAGTCAGTCTCTGCAGAGGCCAACAGGCAGCTGGCAAAAATAGCTCGACACTGGTCCTGACCACTGCACTACAGGCCCGACTGCGTATCTATCTGATAGCGAGTCTAGGTGGTCATCGCTCCTCAGCTTGTAGCCATGCACCAGGGGCACTCCCTGACAGTGTCAGAATAGCAGCTGCTGGGCGTAGGATCTCCGGAGTAGTCCGCTGTGATCTGCTTCTGATCTGCTCGGAAAGATCCCTTTGTGCATGAGAGGAGCTCGGTCCAGCTGGGGCACAAGATGAGAGGACGGTTACTACTAGATGCTAGTTAGTAGAGACTCGCGAGAGCAGGTTGTACCGTTGTACCGTTGTACTACTGTAGTCGAGATGCCAACGGTTTGCCACCCAACGACCTTGGGAGTAAAGGTAAGCGACAGAGAGGTCGTACCTGACTCTATTCGGTTATATTGCTACTACTGCTAGTAGTAGGTATGCAACCCGTTCCAAACGAAGGTGCCTGAGCTCCCCTCCCGCAGGACGTTCAGGCGGTGCAGTGGTGCTCTTAGAGACCCTGCGTAAGCACCACCTAATTACGTCAGGAGGGCCAAAGTTCAAAGGGGGTTCAACGCAGGCGCAGGCGCAGGCAGTCTCCAGCGAAGAGATAACTTTACCTGGTATACAGAGCCTTCTGATCCAAGGCCACTCCTCTCAACACTGCTCTTCCGTGGTTCACGTTGATCTAACTCATATCCGGTCCTTCTTTTCTTTTTGCAAGTTCTTTTTCCATCGTTACTAGGCCTGTCACTACTCTGCCTCTCCCACTGCACGTCAGTGAGAATCTCGCCACAGCTCCCCATCACAGTGATGTCTCGAGTTGACACAATCTCCCAATCAAAGTATAGCCAAAGAGGACGTTCGGGGGCTTCAAACCTTGTCTTTCCGTGAGCGTACACTCCCTCTCTCTACCAGGCGATTGTCTTGCATCAAAGTCAAAAGAGCATCTTGGAAGGGGCTGGACTCGTTCATGGACGCTTCCAGATGCAAGCCCCCAACACCCATACGCAGCATCGGTAAGGCAGGGCGCCGAGTCACAAACAGTTGATCAGCCTGACCCCTGTCCCAGCAGCCTGTTTGTTGCGTCGGCGCCATCAAGCGGCGTCCGATCCTTCGCGGCGAGTTGCCTCCCGAGGCTCCCAACCCCAGCCAAACAAAAGATCCGGCTAAAATGCACCACCATGCCTCGATCCGAAACATTGCTTGCTCGGCCTAAAATGACTTGCTACATGCAGAGTACTCGCCAATATACGTTGCCCACACCGGGTCCTGACTGCAGGCGAGTCGTATAGCCAAAGGAACAAGAACTATCACACTAATGCTGACTGCCCGTTGGCTGGTTGTTTGACAAGACTTTGTTGGTCCTCGCGGAGTTCTCTTCTAGTACCTCGCCCTAGGGCAGCTAACGGAGACGATGGCAACCCACCACACGGGCCCCAAACGTCAAAGTCCAACGATGTGTAGCTTCAATTATGATTGGCGCCGTCGCGAATCCTCTTTGTCATTTATTTGCCGACTGACCCATCACCCCGTCCACGATTCCACTCATCTCTGGCTTCTAAAACAGTATCCACGTTAACACGATTGGGGTCAGGCGTGATCGGGGATCGCCCTCTTCAACCTGCCTCCTCGCCTCAACTTGTCGTGCATGGGCCATATCAGCTCCAACCGAGATGAGATGCGCAGCAAGCGTCTCGAAACGGAAACTCCTCCTGGCTCCACCGAGCTTTTTCAGAACGGCGTGCCTGGGCGTGTGGTCTTTGCCATACTACCGACACTGTTCATGCTCAAACGTGTCAAAATACGTCCTACCAGCACTAACTACCACACTACTCAGAGTCCACGGGCACCTATCACTTTCGGGATTCGCCAGGAAGCTGGAAACCCCCCTGGGACCGGGTTCTTTTCCTGTCTGAACAGCTTTGTGCGTAGGTCTTGTCAAGGCCACTCTCAGGAGCAATTTTGGCCGCACTAAATGTCAATCAATCCCGGGCAACGATTGCATTGTTTACATATGCGTGATCAGATTCTACTGGAGAGCCTTATTATTAGCCTATCAGTCATCTGTATGTCTGCGGGGTTGTCTCTCGCCGCATCAGAAGCCCCTTGATGCAGTCGCTGCCGACACGGCACTGTGACGAGGCTAGAACAGAAGGAGGTGGCTCAGAAGCTTTCCCACCGCCTGACGTTGTCCAAGAAAACGATCTTATGTTGGATGAAGATGTTGTGTCTCTCACGCTCTGCACCAGGCACTATCGACCAGGGTGACTGTGGTGAACAATATGCGGATTTACTCACCTCTTGAATGGCTTGACCCTCTGCTTCGTATTTCATACTCAGACGCGCCAGGGTTGGAACGAATAGTAAGTCTGTTACGCCTATGTGTTTCCAAATTGTCCGGACATTATCGGTGCGTGAATCAACCCTTGCAATCGCTCTAAAGCGTAGCAAGCAGTGTCCAGCTTGTCGCACCATGCAGTATGTACTATTGTTCGCTGGCAATATCGATTCGACCTCCAAGGCCCTGGCCCCTGGGAGGTCTGCCTATCCGCGAAGACTACGAAAAGAGGCAACGCCAAACCCTAGATCGCATGCGCTTGGGGGCAAGGATAGCCGGTCAGATGGCCTGAAAGAGAAGTGCCTCCAATGCTTGCGTACGTCGCTGGGCCAGCTACTTGCGGGCCTAGGTAAGCAGGATATGCCGAAACCTGATCTACCATCTCGGAGCCAGGGGCAATGGCCCTAGGCTTCCAAGGCCCATGCCGCCTGCACTCCAAGTCTTCTACATATTTGAATCTCTATACGAATATACGAAACCTCTCATATGAGGCCTGGACAGAGTGTGGCATCATGATTCCCGACCGATCTCATCGATACAGCTCGTCGAGCCTGACAAGGTCAACGGTTGCAACCGCCAAGGTGGGAGTGCAGTATAGCGATCGCGGAAGCGATACCCGGCACCTGCGCTTTGACAAAGTCAATAGTCACGGCTGCTTGGTAGCGGTATCCATTATCCCCTGGTCATTGACCAACCCCTAACGGATCATATGACACATCCAGAACCTCAACCTCGCTATCCTGGGGAGGAGAAGAATGGATACTTCATAAGCTGGCTGCATCATCGAGAAAATCAATCCTGGAACATGAGTCCACAGCACCAGCACCTGACGAGTCGAGCAAGCGTTTACTGGATTCGTTGATGCGCATGTCCATTGCACGAAATCGGCGATCCTAAGGGTGCGAAGCCTGGATAAACCGGTGCACTAGCGATGAGGAGTCCATGCAACGTTCAACGACTTCATGGGTACACACAGATGGACAGTTAGGTGCTTGTCCTAAAGATTAGCTCTTGAGTGGACGACCTTTGACCAGTCAACGGGGGAGAGACGCCATCGGAAATGGGGAATATGTATGCCGGGAGTTCTCCTCATTACCGTCTGGTAAGATGGAGCATGGAAAATTCCGGCTTCTCCGTTGTTGTTGCGTCTGTTATGCGTTCGTCATGTTCTAGCTCTGATTACGAACCCATACCCGTGGAATATGTCTGATGAAGATACAGGACAGTGGCCACCCAGTCCTTTGTGGTGGGACATTCCCGAGTATATGCCTCTGCGACGTAGAGTAGTCGGGCCTCTGTTCTCCCAAGGGGGCCGAATTACACATGACTATCTTCGTAAGGTAGGTTCAGGGGTTGTCTGCGACTCTGCGGATCCCACTGCGATGTCTTGGTTGGGTATCCGGCATCTTTCCTACAACGGTAGACGCCAAGTCTAGGGCGATCATTGTGCACAAATGCATGGACTCCCTAGTCCTCGTGGTACGCTACCGCCGGGGACGAGTATCAGCGGTGGTGTGGATGTTGGATGCCTCTTCCCAAACAGTGCGTTTCTTGAGTGATTTGTGATGCATAGAGACTAGCGGGAGTACCTAGAAAAGTCTTCTCTTCTTCTCTGCCGTCTGGTAAAGCATCATTCTTGAGACATGTTTTGTATACAAGTTGATCTTGGGCTTCGTCGCTTTTCATATCTCGAGGCCGGTGAACAGCAAGGCCTCCAGCAATAGGGGTTTTGCTCCGTTGCAGAACATCCTCATCAACCGTTACAACTTATGCCAGCGGGAGTGAAGCCGATATGGGTTGTAACTTGTTGCGAATCTGAACTTCAGAAAGGAGACGTCCCACTTCCTCCAGACATTCATGAAACTCACGATCTGTCCTCGAAACCATAACTGCGCCGTCTTGCCCCTTCATGCTATGGCATGTTTACAGTTGAGAACACACCTACATCTCTCTATCCGCCTGCTCAGACAAGTTATCTATCGAAACTTGGTACGAAACGGAACTGTGTTGAAAGTTGATGCCAAATGTTTGGTGGTTCAAGGTTGTCGTCGGTTCTGTTTTGCTCTGTAGAATCATTCCTTCCTGATATTGTGCATTTCCTCCCGAGCTGTCTCCAATCAAGAGTCTTGCGATGAGAGGCCTCGGGCTTTCTCATTCATCGCAACTGTGTGAAAGGTAATTCTCAAGTTATCAGACTCGACTGTGAAGACTGTGGGTGAGATATGCGAGCTTCTGAGGTATTAGAAGACTAGAAGTGCGAGTCTGGACTCAGCATACACAGTACCTACATCCTGCTATCCTAATGTGCGACATCGTGTTCATATGAAGTAGACTCCAGTGCGGTAAGTCAGGCTCGTGCTGCTGTATGTGCATGGCTTCGGCATCGCAAATTAGCACATTTCGACTTGACGTCTCTGATTCATTACGACCGACCTTCGCTCGCTTCTTAGCAATGCCGTGATAGATGATCTTGAGACATGCTCTGGTCTTAGCTCGTGTAGCATGCAATCAGCTTCGGAGAGGGGTTGAAAGGAAATGCCTGTAGGCTGTTACTCTGTCCCCACATCTGGAGCGTCGTTGTACTTAATCTGTATCATTACCTACTTGTTTAGGGGAGCGGCGAGGCTGTGAGCCAGCCTTGCCATTGTATACTGGGACTCAATTGGCTGGTTGGGATCTTCCAAAAGGGGGCAGCCTTGTCAACCCAGCTTGAATGATGAGTCACATTTAAGAGATGGACAGGGCAATCTCTACCAACCACTCATCTCGTATGGTGTGTTCTGATGTCATGCTTATATCATGGTTCCTCGGTTCCTTGATTCTGGGACAATCTGAGTTGCAGGACATAGTATCCCGGTACTTTCAAAAAGGGTGAGGTTGGACCTACTAGCAACCTTGGATCTTAGTCACAGAAGAGACACCGCCCACTGCCCTTCCAGATTGATCTGCCTAGATTATATGAACTTCAGCAAAGAGAGAAGGACATGATGAATGTTCCCATCACCACTGGCGCCAACATCTCAGTCAGCTCTCTGGCCATTGGCGACCAAGGCTCCGGCCCTGGCTCTTCTGAACTATCCACACCGTCGCCGTCATCATTACCCAAGGTGACGGCCTCGCAATCGCCCGAACACGCACACCGACTAGCCGAAGTGACGTCCCGAGCCACTCTCACCGACCCACTGAACATTCTGTTCCAGCAAGACAAAACGGGCTCTGCGACGCCTCCGACACCCAATCTGCTCTACAAGGCAGCCAAAGGGCGCATGGACACCAAGATCGCCGCCGGCTCGTTCATCGTCGAAGCGGGCGACTTCGCCGCCGTCGCGTGCTGGGAGCCTCCGTCTGCAACTCCGCCGCCGTTGACTGGCGAACAGTTAGACCGGCTGGAGCACGAGAAGCCTATCTTTGGGCAGTTCATTCGAGACGTCGAGCGAATTCGGCAGGCATGTTTGGGTCCGGATCAACAACAGTATTGGACTCTTTCGTTGATGGCTCGGGATCCCGAGCGGAAGACGAAAGGCGCCGTCAGGGCGGTGATTCAGCCGTACGTTGCCCGGGCGAAGCAGGAAAAGATGCCCATCTGGCTGGTGGCGGGGAATGCGAGGGCGAGAGATGTCTATGCGTATTTCGGCTTTCGTGTCGTTGACACGATCTGGTCGTATTCGAAGGAAAAGGGTGATGGGGATGAGAGGGCTGAAGGGGTCCCGAGTTGGTGTATGGTGTGTAATTGGCCGCCAGAGTAGGGAGGGGATAGGATGTGTCTGGTTTACGGAGGGATATCTCCATTTTGCGACAGTGTAGATGGAAAGTTAGAAGTCAGAAACTAGCATATCAGCAGTAGAGCTGGTTGGCTTGATGGGTGTTGCGGTTGCTGCGAGGCTGCGCTGCGACACTGCCACTCCCATTTCTGCCTGTTCTGACTACGACGTCACACATAGCAGGCATAACCTTCTTGGTTTTGCTGGAGATATGGCACTTACACCGATACATCACTACCTGTTCCATTCGCTATCGTCGAGTTTGCTGCAGTCAGCACAGCACGTCCAGGAGGATTGGGGAGGAAGAGGAGAGGAGGAGAGGAGAGGAGAAGAGGAGAAGAGGCGGTCAATGCTGAACTACGCCTTACCAACATCCTCGGCTTCTTTCTTGCCAACGTCCACACCTCATTTTCTCCTCCCGAACGACGCTTGATCCTGGTCAACAATGTCTTCCACGATTTCTCATCATCATGCTAGCTTGATGAGCAGGAGGGCATTCGTTTCCTGCCACCCTCAACGTCTCTATGGGGCCGACGGCCGAAGTATCTGCGGACGATGGGGATACTCACCGTGCTGTCAAGAAACGAGCATCTCAAGCCTGCCACAACTGTCGCACCCGCAAGGTCAAATGTGATCTGATCACCTTCGGCAGCCCCTGCTCCAACTGCGTATCCGACGATGTCGAATGCCTCGTTGTCGAGTCAAGGCGGAGCCGCAAATATCGTCTACAAAAGCGTCGATTGAATGGCCTGGTCTCACTGCCGCCACTTAGTCAAGCTCCGCCCAAATTCACGACAGCTTCCTCGCTCGCTTCCTCTACTGTCTCATCGGATGCTACGATCACTCTGGATCCTATCCCGCAGTTGAGTCAAGGTACACTACTACTCCCCGATTTCATTTCTCTCGGAGAATCGTAGACTAATTGACCTTGCGAATGTCAAAGACACTCCAGAGGGCCCCTCGACTACAAGTACTCATCTCCAGAGTCCTCCTTCTGTCACCACCTCGGCCGCCAGTTTCAGTGTACAAAGCAATGGAGGTCTAACCGGGAGTGCTTCAATTAATCCTCAGTTGCGGCCGCTGCCGGGCATCTTTCCATCCTACATCCGGCCTCCACGGCCTGACATTCGACCTGACGATGTCGAGTTCTTGATTCGCCGTGGCGCCCTCTTGGTACCTCAACCCGAGCTGCGAGATCAACTTCTTCGATGCTTTGTCCTCTTCGTCTACCCCTACATGCCCACCATAGAACTTGCGGACTTCCTAGGTGCCATCGACGGCCATGACGGCTCATCCAAAATCAGTCTCGTGGTGTTCCAGGCCGTCATGTTCGCTGGCACCGCTTATGTTGATCTGGACCTGCTTCAACAAGCAGGCTACTCAAATCGAAGAGCAGCCAGAAGCGACTTTTACCAGAAAGTCAAGGTGAGCGCATCCCATCATTTCCGATCTCACACATATGTTGACTGGCTTCCCACAAGCTGCTTTACGATTTCGATTGGGATGTGGACCGAGTTGCCTTGATCCAGTCACTCCTGCTCATGAACTACTGGTATGTCTCGGAGAACGATCAAAAAGATCCGTGGCATTGGCTAGGAGTCTGCGTCTCGTTGGCCACTAGTATCGGGATGAACTCATCCGATACCTCCTCAAGAAATAGCCCGCAAACCCGTCGACTATGGAGACGCATATGGTGGACCTGTGTCATGCGGGATAGAATCATAGCCGTCAGCATGCGAAGACCGATACGTATCGCAGATGAGGACATCAACCTACCCCCCTTGACTGCGGAAGACTTTGACCTCCATCCAATATCGACCTCGCTGCTGTCACTTCGGCAATGTCGTCTTATGGCGGACAGTACGTCTCAGAGAATGTTGGCTGAAATGTGTGTGGCCAAGGTACAGTTGCTGCTGTCCCTCGGCCGCATTCTCCACAACTGCTATACCTTGCGAAGCTTCGGTGGCTCCACGTCGGAAGTGACTATGCTCTACACACCCAAAAGATCCGGAACAATCAACGACAATGACTTTGCGATGCTACAAGACGAACTAAGCCAGTGGTCCAACAACCTGCCCATGAGCTGCTGGCTGGATTCAGCCGCCGAGCCTAGCAGCAACAAGGGTGACGGTGTTACAGATGGCAATGACCCGACCGATAAAGTCCTATTCCTGCATCGCAGTGTCTTGAAAATGCTGTTTCTGGTGGCCACAGAAGCCCTCGATCGGCCGCAGACTCTCTCTGCGTCCAAGTCTCGCTCGGCTGCCTCGTCAGCGAAAGCGGCTCAAGCATCCACGATGCAATTGGCCTCAACATCAAAGGTCAAAGAGGCTGCGGACAGAATGGCGGAGATGATCCAGAGTCTCCATGACCGCGACCTAGTCAGATACCTCCCACCGCTTTCCGTCACTTTCATGCTCCTCGCCATCGCGGCGTTCATGGTCGAGATCAAGAAGCAGGGGTTGGAGCAGACGGATCTTCAGGGGACAGGGAAGCAGTGCCATGTCCACCGTTGTCTCAGAGCACTCTTGGGCTTGCGTGACATATGGCCCATTGCTGACTCGGCCTGCGTGCTGGTGGGCCAGATGATCAATAGATGTCAAGTCGAGGCGACTTTGGGAATTTCGATTCTGGGGATAAAAGCCACCAGATCTATATCAGCAACGGCTCTTCCGACCACAAGAGTCCAGAAGGACAAGCAGAAGCGCTCAGCGGAGCCATCTGCTGGTCGAGTCCGGGAACAGGTGACGGTTGAAGTCGCCCAAGACATTGCTGAAATTCAAAACTACAAGCCCCGGACTGACGCCACGAATAAGGCAAATCCAACTCCTGTGGTGGGCAATACCATAGCAAGGCCTGGGCCAGAGTTCGCAGTGTCCTCGTTGTCAAACGGCAAAGAATTAGCGATTGCAGGCCATGATCAACCGAGCTCAACACCAGCAACTACCATTCCAGGTTCAGCCGCCCGGTATAACCCAGCAGGTGCAGAGGCAGGCATAGGCCCGGAAGAGACAATGTTGTTAGACTTTAACTTTGACTTTGACTTCAATGATTTCGACCAAGCCGGAACCACGACTCAGGGAGGACATCATATGCAGCTCGGACACGGACCTGGCCACATCTCAAACGGTCATGCCCTGCACATGGACATTGCCCTGGCCGAGTGTTATCCTCTAGGTCATTTGGGCGAGTTTGACAACAGTGTTTTGGACTTCGACTTCGACTTCGCCTCGGCCGGAAGTGGTCATGGATTTGAGCCTGCGGAACACACTTCGTACGCCTCAAGCCAGTCGACGAGGTCAATGGATCCATGGACGACGACGACAACGACGACGACGACTACTTCTGCTGCACTTCCCAATCTGCGTGGTGTACACTGAACGAGGGCCCCAGCTTTGAGTCATCAAAACCTTTTGCCCATTGGTGTCTACTTACGGTGGTCTAGTGATCACTTGCACGAAACAAAACCCCTATACGAAGCAGGAACGACATGTCGCCATTTACACTGGAGCTCCGCTCCCTTGAGGAAAGAACCATGCAACAAATTACGAATTGTGGATATGCAGCATGCCCTGACAGAGGGTCTCCGGGCAGACTCGATATGCCGATCATGTACTGTCTAGAATCTGGACTCGAGCTTTGGTTCAATGTCAGAACAGAACAGAACATGCCAGGGACGAAGGACGAAGGACAATGAGCAAGGAAGCATGCAAGACCGAGGCCGAGACCGAGGCTGGCCAAAGCCGTTCGGCGCTATGAGTAGGATTGTCAATGTCACCAAGAGAGGCCGACAAGACAATGAAATGCACTATCGGGCTTGAAGACTCTTCTGCACTTGTTCCTTCTTCGCCGGTTCCCTCCCACCTTCTCGGTGCAGCGTTGATGGGTCAGGGGGAGATGGCCCGCGAGATGTGAACGAGAACAGAAGTGTAGAAATCCCACTTGGCCGAGTCAGTCTGCATCTACGTTCGATGAATGTATTTGTGACTGAGACTGCGACCGCGAATCAACAGGGTCACACACCTGTGTCACTGTGTGTGTATATATGTATATATGGATCTGTACATATATCTCAGATATCTCAAATATCTCGATCAAGGCCCGTTGGTAGGAAACAGGGGCATAACATATCACAGGGATTGGTAATCACAGTCAAGTATCTAGGAGTGAACAGAAGAGATTGTGATCTTATATTGATATTGTTTGGAAAAGGCGTCTTTTTCATGGTGGATGGCAGCGCTGGACTACTTGTGCTTGTACTTGTACTTGATCTAAACCGTCGTTCCATGCTACCTAGTAGGTGACTTGAATCCCACCAAGGGCCCTCGCGATCCATAGCCTCCTCGCTCCTCGTGTAGGCCGGATTCGAAACTTGCTTGGGTCCTCCAACGAGCAGGCTGGGGGTTTCGTATTACGAGACCTTGAGCTCTTCCGGTCCTCCCTCTGAAACGCCCATGAAAATCTACTGTCTGTTCCATGTCATGGGGGAAGCGGAAGCCATTTGAGATCCCACACCACACCTGCCTGTTCCCTTGTTCGGAGTAAGCAATTGCATTGGATTGAAGGCCAGACCACGATGCCTTGAACAGAACAGGGTGGTGCCTTTTGCGAGAGCCCTTTTGGAATTGTTAAGTGGCACAGACGAGACCAGGTTGCCGACTCGACGGGCAGTCCAGATGACGCAGCAACTCGATCCACGACGGGTCTATTTTGTTTTTTTCGGTTTACCTGGGCCCCAACTTCTCCAGGATTCTCGGCCCCTGTTCCTGCCACTCTTGCTTGGAAATCCACATGTTCTCCTTGTCTGCCATGATATTGGCGAGGACGGCGCCGCCCAAAAACACCATGTGGCGCCGGCGGGGGGGATCTTCGATGCGGACTTTGAATTTATTCAGGCGTTCCGGGTTGCCGCCCAGCACGCGCGTCAGCCACAACTGCTTCAGCTCCTTCTCCAGCCGCGACGGGAGACCGGGGTACATGCTGCTGCCGCCGGAAAGGACGATGGCCTTGTACAGCGACGAGCGCACATCCACGTCGGCGGCCTGGATGGTGTTGAACAGAAACTCGGCAATGCCTGGCTGTTCGACGTCCACTAGATGCGGCTGGAAAAGACATTCGGGGGCCTCGAAACGTTCGCTGCCGACGCGGATGACGCGGCCGTCGGGGAGCGTGTATGATTCCACCAGGACGGTGGTGTCTTCGGACAAGCGCTGGTCGAGGCCCAGATCGTAGGAGACATAGCACAGTTTCTCCTTGATCTGGCGGACGGTTTCGAAATCGGCCGTCCGGTTGAGCGCGTAGCCTCGGCGCAGGAGCAGGGCGATCAGGTTGCGGGTGACGTCGCGGCCGGCGACGTCGAGACGGCGCGTGAGGTGGTTGAGGACCGTCGACTCGTAGACGGGGACGATATGGGTCACGCCGTCGCCGGAATCGACCACCACGCCCGAGGACAGGCCTTGGGCGTACAGGGCCAGCACGGCCTGGATGGCCACGTAGACTCCGCCAAAGTTGTATCTCTCGAACATGACCTCGCACATCTGCTCGCGGTTCTTGAGCGGGTTCATCGGCGGTTCGGTCAGCAGGATCTTGCGCCCAGACGGGTCGATCCGGAGTTTCTCGTAGAAGGTAAAGTCCCAGAGGTGTTGCATGTCGTCCCATTTCTTCACAATGCCGTTCTCCATCTACCCAGCGAGCTCCTTGTCAGCATTCCAAACATGATGCGCACACACGGAGAGAGCTGCGCGAGACGTGCGCAGCCGTAGTCCACGGTCGGGGTCCAACGTACAGGATAACTGATTTGTAGCATGGATCTTGCAGCGGCGGCTTCATCTCCGCACATGATGTCCTTGACCACAATGTCGCCTGCTCGCTCTTCGGAACGGAGGATCGGCCGGCCGACTATGGAGGGGTATTGGTGTTCAGGGAAGTTCTGCGGACACAGGGAGTGTCAGTGACCTGCTCTTTCGTCCAAGGCATTCTAAAGTTGAAGCGTACCTGACCGGCATAGCCGACCTTGAGGAACCCGGTCCCTCCATCGAGAACTGTGGTGACTGCGTCAGCGTTGCATGGACTGAAGGGGTTCTGGAACGAGGGTTACCAATGGGTGGTTCGGCCATTCTGACGGTGTTCTGCAGTTATATGCGGCCAGAACTCTACGACATGCGGGAGGAGTGGGTGCAAGCGAGAAGGATGAGAAATCAAAAGACCTCGAAGGTGGTTCTGCTAAGGTTGAAGCAATGCGCTGTGAGGTGTTGTACCTGCTCAGTGGTATATAATATGTCTGTTCTTGTACTGGTAGGCGGCCGCATATTGGTCCAACCGGCAGGCGGCGTAGCAATGGCGGAGCCAAGCTTACAACTACTGCAGAGCATTCGCATCACCCCGCAATACTTCAGCCTTGCGGGAGACATAAAACACCTCAATCTGCTCTACCAGATTGAGGAGAAGGATTGTCAAGTTGGTTGGAGCTATATCTATCGCAGCCATGTCATGATCTTCGTAAGTCGTTCACATCTCATCTCTGTATTGCAATCGGCGTGGTCTTCTTGTTTTCCACGTAACGCTCTAAGTTCAGTGCAATGCATCGCCAATGGTCCTTCAAAATGCACAAACCCTATGCCTCGGCAGCGCCATCCTAAACGAAAACGGTCGCTGTATGCAGAGCACAAGATGAAAGCTCGTCGTTATACATTCATCACTTCATCAAGGGTATCGACCGCGAGATTGCCCATAGTGTGGCGGGTCTTTTCCGCACCGTTGGGAAGGCTAAGAGAGGAGTCTGTTCTACTGGTCTTTTCCAGTCAATATCACTTGTCAGCCATTGCGCCTCAAGGTCTTCGTGACAGGAGTGCCCTCCAGCGACTGCTGAACAGGACTGAAACTGAAACCATAAAGAATCAGTAGTCGTCCGAACGACTCCGACTCACCGCGCGCCGAGGCCTGTACCGTCTATCATGATCGTCCTCGTCTTCGATCCTTCTTCGTTCGCGACCGGATTCTTTGACCAAGTTTGAGTCAGCATAGCGGCCTCCTGGTCCATTTCCTCCACGATGACTGGAGCTGCTCTGGGGGACGGCCCCATCATAATACCAATGGCCGTCTCGTCCTTTGTAATAACCACCCCTTTCCCTGGCTCGTTGCCGCCGCTCCCGCTCCAATCGCTTTTTATGATGTTCTTCTCTATCCAACAGCATCTGTTTGTGTTGAGCGTGCTCTTCAGTCACCTCGTTCCATTCGCCCACCGCGCCTTTGATACCCAATGCTGCGATACCGATGGCTGCGGCATCCTGCCAGCGCGAAGCTCGCTGCTGCTTATGGGCGTCTTCGGGGGATAAGGTACCTTCTCTGACCTTTTCCATGCGTTTGTCGTGGGCTTCGATCGAGGAATATACTTTCGATGCAGCGTGGATGGTGGCGACGCTGGCCAATGCAGCTGTGACCCATTTTTTGCGTTTTAACTTGCGACAATTCTTTTCTTCCTCGGTGGACGAGGGCAATGAGGAAGAGGACGAAGACGAAGAACCGGACGACTTACGGCCCCGTCGAGATCGACCCGAGGCGGATTTCGCTCGTACCCGGGATCGAGGTGGTACGGACCCCTCCGAATCGTCGTAGTAAGAGTCTCGTCGATCTCGGTAATGGCCGTATGCTCCAGCTCCAGCTCCAGCCGCTGCGCCGCCGACCAGTGCACGATCGTTGTTCATGGAGCTGGCCCTCCGTCGCTGCCCTGGTCGCCGAGGGAGAACTTCGCCCCTGTGCCGGACCACCTCTACGATTTTCTCGTCCGGGGCGACGTCGCGCCGACGCCGCAGGACAAGCCCCTTCTCTTCCATGGTGCGCTGCTCGTAGATATCCTCGTCTTCCTTTGGCAGTTGCCCGCGCATCTTCTTGTATCGGTGGTGTATGGGATCCCAGACCTTCTCGTGGTGCTTGATGGCAACGGGAACGGCGGTCAGGCCGAGCCCGAGGGCTTGTTCCGCCATTTGGAGCCTAGTTTGGTGTTACCCGATTTCTTGTGAGAGGTTCGTTCAGTGAACCAGCGACCGTGCTAGGGCTTGTGCTCGGTGGCCTTGCAGCACCAAACAAACCGGGCGCCGGACGATCGAATAGCTGCAGGTGGGAAGTAGATGGCCTATTGGCAGCTTGTCCCTCAAACTCTCCGTATGATTGGAAGACAACTCGATGGTTTGGCAGAAGCAAACATCATCATCCAAGCAAGAGCATGGCTGATCTCTAAAGGTTGTGTACGGGAAGGTCGTCTCGCAAAAGGCAGTGAAGCTTAGGTAGGTACTACTAGAGTCGACGGACGTCCTGGGTGTCGGTGATACTTGCTGGCAAGTGATAGAGCCGGGAGATGGAGGAATTGATAAGCAATAAGTAAAGAGGCAGAGTCTAACTGAAAACAACCATCGAACGTCATTGTGTGGCAGCAACTAGTTCACCGACATTTATTATAGAGTCCAATTGGGCGACTTTTGAGAAAAAAAGATGTCGACTTTCCCACTGGACGGAAGATACGGGAGACAGATGAGTAGAGTCGTCCAGTCACTTGGGTCATGTGCCCCAAGCAATACGGGGAGGACACGAACGAGCGATCTCGAACGAAGCAATTCGGGATGCATGAATGGGTAGATCTCTTGGAAATGCTTGTGCTGGGGGGATGGGAATTCGACCGATGGACAGCGCAGGGATCAGTGTCGCTCATGGCGCCGTTGATCTGTCAGGAACCGAGAGGAGCGGGAGGCAGCCGAAAGTTCCAGACGGTGGTCGGGGGTTGCTGGTTGCTGGTTGCTGGTTGCTTGTCGCTGGTCTGCCGAGAACTGCCGACGATACTAAGAGAGAGGCTGGGGAGGAGTTGGTTGGAGGAGAGGGAGAATCAAGGATCGAGGCGTCTTGAGGTGTTTTCCTTGTGGCGGCAGTTTTCTGGTGGTGGGTTCGAGGTCGGGCAGCAAAGAAGTTGGAGAGCGAGCAAGCAAGCAGGGGATTGAGGACGGCAGGAGATGTATGACGTCGCCTAGAGTCACAATACCTGTACACAGAGGAGGAACGATGCGTGTTCTCTCCCTGTCCACCTCGATCGAATACTTTGTACCTCGATTTGCAGCCTCTCGACCTGTCTAATCACTGGCAATGTTTTGTCCATCCATCCAAACTCCATCCGCGTCAGGCGAGTCCGCAAATCTTATACAGCGTGTGGTTCGACCATCCGCAATTCGGGCCTGGCCTGCGGGCTCGGGCCGCGCAGAGCACTGGCAATGCGCTACTAACCACAAGATGGAAACCGTCCAATGCCAGAGGATTGATTCTTTCAGGCTGAACCACACAGACCGTCCGACTGACACCCTGAACTTCCTCTCCGCATATTCTCCTAGATCTCTCATCCTCTGTTATGCAAGCAGTGGCCGGCGTCAGTCTCCTTTTGTTGATGGAGCGGATAAAAGTTGGATTTCATTGTGTCACTACATTCAACGCTGTGTGTTGCCTGCAAGGTGACGTCCTGTTTGTGACACAACATCTACTCTTCTGTACACGATTAGGTTGATGCTACTACAATATGCTGGCGCAGCTGCTGCAATGCCAGGGAAGCTCCTCGCCCTCCGTAACCCATCTGGGAGGTTTCGAACATATGGCAGTCAGCGCTACTGCAGAGCGTCGATGATAACAAATGAGTGCTGCCGCTTTCAAGAAGGGAAAGCAGGTTTAAAAAACGAGAGCAGTAGAGTGTATGCTCGAAAGTAACAAGACACTTCACAGAGGCTCCTCTCAGGCCTGTCAATTGTCAGTTTCGAGCATCATAAGGGTCAATTTCAGCACATCTTCGGCACAACAACAGTCAATGAGAGAGGCTGAGTTGCAATTTGACATCCGTGCTTGATTCAAGAGGGACATAAGGCAAAAGGCAATTCTGGAACGGCGGCGCTTCTCACAGCAAGTCCGTCTGCAGCGATTGTTTGTGGCGACAGCCAACACATGTGGTCTGATTGGCATTACTATACAGATTTTCGAAGCGCCATATTATGATATCGAGATCGCCATGTTATAGCTCACCATGGCCACTGGAATGCGGTGCAGGTTGCGTCGGACCCGATGCTTGAAGAAAAGTTCCGTTGGTCAACAGACTCCAGGTCTTTTTCAGCTCTTCAAGGCCCACATCGAATCGAGCCCCCAGGAGCCAAGCAAGGAATAGCTGCGTCTTGTTAGTGTCATGCTCTGACTAGGAGGACTGTGGTGCTCACCATAGACCCTGACATGACCAACATCATCAACAATACTGCAGCAAATAAGAACAGGGTGTCTTTTCTGTTGTTGTCCGCTTCTCTCGCCGTCTCCCCCTTTGCTGCAATAGCTGCAAGAGCTGCACGACTCTCGTCAGCCCGAGCCTTGGCCAGGATCTCGTCCACCTTCTGGGATGGGAATATGGTTTCAATAAACTTTTCCACCTTTCCACACACGATGCTGATCTTCAAGAAATTGGGATCTTGTGGTCGGTTCTTCTTGCGGATGGAATGTAAATGTTTCCGAAACACCTGCGTTACCACCTGCAGATTCTGTGTCGATTCGATCATGAGTTGGCATGCTTCGCCCTTGGTGATCTTGATGTTGCGTTGGAACATGGCGTAATTCCTGAAGCAAAGATCCAGTGTGGCAATAGCCATGGATTGTGGGATGGCACAGAAATTGAACACACTCTGCTCCTTCAGCCCAGCCAGGTAGAAGAGGCAGTCGTCGGCATGTTCAAGCGCATTGAGGATCATATGCGTCTGGCAGCTCAGCGCCTTCTCTTTGTTTTCCGGCTTGAACAAGTCTTCGAACCGGTCGACGTATTTCGACCAGATCTCTCTAGGCCAGAATTTGCGCTTGTCGTCAAAGTCTTCGCGGATGTCTCGGATGATATTGACCTTTTGCAGGAAGAGCCCCATCGATTTGTGCAGCTGAGGTCTCTCCAGAAGGCCCGGATTGGCGAATTTGCTTTCCACAAAGATTCGGGTCAATCCTTCCCCAACAAGACCCGCCACATAATAGCAATAAAGGTCGTATTCTGCCACGGTGTTGACTCCGACTTCATTAAATTCAGCATTCAAGCAATAGTCCGCCATTCCATTTCCCATCTTCTGCGTGATATCTTTTATGACTTCTCTGTACGCAGGCTTTGTTTTTTTGAATTCTTCGATAATGTATCTGAAATTCACCAACAGATCACGGTCCTTTTCTTCAGGCCTGTTACCATCGAAATGCCAGCCATCGACTTCGAGGTTCGCATGGAAATTCCGCAGCAGGGGCTCTTTGGTCGTCGCAGGAATCGAGGTGTCATCTTCAATGGTGTCCAGGCCGCGAAGCACTAAATAGAAGAGGCAGATCGGTAACAGGAGTTCGGGGTGTAGTTCTTTAATGACAGCACTGAAACTCCGACTGGTCTTGTCTAGATACTCGAAACAGATCTTAGCAGCCTCCGTCTCCGTCGACTCGTTTCGCTCATGGACAGGGTTGTGCCACACTTTCCTGCAAGGCGTGAGCTGATGGTCGTCATCTGTATCCCGCCCGGACTGGACTCACCATTGAACAATTGAGCGCAACTCCTGAAAATGCACCAAATAGTACAGAATCTCCGTGGCTTTGGGCATTGTGAAGGTGATTCAAGCGGTATTCGAAATGATTTATATGGCGTTTGGGCGGTACCGAGGCTATTCAGCCGGGGCGAGGAATGAACGAATGATCTGGAGTGAATTTGACAGAATGAATGGCAAGAGAAGGTACAGTTGAAGGTGAGCGACTCCCTTCTCAGTTCATTGTCGCAGCGTGCAAGAGTCAGGAAGTTGTGTGGACGTGTGGAGATTGGAGCAACCGGGTGGCACGATTAATTCGAGTTCATGTTCCTCGGATTCTCGGCCAAGCTTGGAAGGAAGCAAGAGAAATAAATCCCTGGCTGCTGCAGAGTCCTAGGGACTACCCAGAGGCTAAGGAGGCAGCAGAAGGGGGCCCGATAAGCCCAAGTTCATACCTAGGGTGCCTAGGGGATGCCTAGAAGATCCTCTTGGAGCAGCCTAATCCGTAGTCCGCCGCCTATTCGCCGCCCATAGTTTTCGGCTGTTTGTTGAATGGTTGCAATTGGCTGCCGAGTAGTACTATACTAGTACAGAGCACACAGTACAGGTTACGTGTAAACCGAGTACCTAGCAGACAGCAATTTAGGCTCTTCAAGTTGGTAAATCGCAGTGTGGCTGGTGGTGGCTGTGATAAAAATAAATCCCTTGGACACATGAAAAAAGCGCAAACTCCACGATTTGCCTGCGGCCTATGACTTCACCGTGTCGATTGAGATTACTATATGACATTATTCCCCTGCAACGGGCGCACGCGGCTCAAGGCTGCCACAAATCTTCATCACCCACCACGCTCGCATCTCACCCGCTTCGACATTGATACTCTCGTCTGACCATTTTCCAAGCCAACCCCTCTATATTTCCATCTTCTCCCCCGGCCGCGAGTGCCAGTGTGAGCTTCCACGGTATCCGATCCGTCCACGAATCCATTCAAGAATCGTGGGATTGGCGTCAGCTTGACCCCGTCACCCAAAACCCAAAACAACGGTATCCTTTCCAATCGACGCGCGGGTTTCTAAGCAGCTACTTTAAGAAGAGCAGAGGGTTGTTCGTGGCACGATCACGTTCTCGAGCAAGCGAGGGAACGACACGGACGTAGCCGGAGATTTGTTGATTCCAGTTGGACCGCTCCGATCATGGTCGTCGACACATCATACTACGACATTCTGGGCGTCAAGCCCGACGCGTCAGAGCTGGAGATCAAAAAGGCCTACAGAAAGTTGGCCATCACCACGCATCCCGACAAAAACCCCGGCGATGAGACCGCGCACGCCCGGTTCCAGGCCGTCGGCGAGGCATACCAAGTGTTATCGAACAAGGAAACGCGGGCAGCCTACGACAAATATGGCAAGGACAAAGCCATGCCCAGTCAAGGGTTTGAGGATCCATCGGAGTTCTTCAGCATGATCTTTGGCGGGGACGCGTTCGTCGACCTGATTGGCGAACTGACACTGCTGAAGGATCTGACGCACACGATGGATGTCACGATGGAGCAGATGGAGGAGGAAGAGCTGGCCCGGAACGCCGAGGAGAAGCTGAACATCCACGACGAAAAGGAGAAGGAGGCCACAGCGGCGACCGCGGAGGGTCTCAGCGCGAAGGCGGCAGAGCCGGGACCCGGGCGATCAACTAGTTCTGCTACAGCAGAAACACGCACCGGCTCAACCACAACCTCACCTCATCCACCATCACCGTATGTTGCAGGAGAAGATGCATCCACATCCACATCCGCCGCCGCCACCGCCAGGTCTTCAGGGACCAGCACTCCGCAAAGAAGATATCTCGGCCAACAAGCCATCATGGATCGATCCGAGGAAGATGCTCGCATGGACGCGGCCGGATTGACGCAGGAGGAGAAGGACCTGCAGAAGAAGAAAAAGAAGGGCGGGCTGACCAAAGAACAGCGCGAGAAGCTCGAGGCGTATGAGCGGGAAAGGCGGAAACAGCGAGAAGAACGAGTCAACACCCTTGCGAAGAAGCTGATCGACCGCATCAGCGTATGGACCGAAACGGACAAGAACCCGGACGTGACCCGGGCGTTCCAAGAAAAGACGAAACTCGAGGTCGAGAACCTCAAGATGGAATCGTTCGGAATTGAAATCCTGCACGCCGTCGGCCAGACGTACCTCCAGAAAGCCACGTCGTTCCTCAAGTCCCAGAAGTTCCTCGGCATCTCCGGCTTCTTCTCGCGCCTGAAGGACAAGGGCACCCTGGCCAAGGAGACGTGGACCACGATCTCGACCGCCATCGACGCGCAGCTGACGATGGAAGAGATGGCCAAAATGGAAGAGAAGGGCGGCGCCGACTGGACGGACGAGAAGAAGGCCGAGTACGAGCGCAAAGTGACGGGCAAGATCCTGGCCGCCGCGTGGAGAGGCTCCAAGTTCGAGATCCAGAGTGTGCTGCGCGACGTCTGCGACAAGATCTTGAACGATAAGACCGTCAAGCTCGAGAAGCGGATCGAGCGTGCCCAGGCCCTGGTGCTGATGGGCACGATTTTCCAACAGGTGAGTTGCCAGTGCGACTCTTCACTCTTCTCCCCCGAAGAGCCATCTCCAACATCATACTTTAAAGAGAAATGTTCAGAGAACTAACGTGTTTGCCATCTCTAGGCCCAACGTGACCCAGACGAAGAAGGCGACTTTATGGCCTTTGAGCAGCTCATGGCCGAATCCATGAAGAAGCAGGAGAAGAAGAAGGACAAGGAGAAAAATAAGGACCACAAACACCACCATGGCCTCGGCCACGATCACAAGCGCAAAGAGTCTCCCTCGGCGACACCGGCCTCCTAGAGTCAGTCCCTCCTCTATTCCGGCAAAGGGCAAGGGCTTTTTGCTTTGGGTGCGTACCCGGTCGGTCAGCTGTGGCTTTCATGGCCATGCCGTCTCGTCTCTGTTCCTTCTAGCACGTAATCATCTCCACAACTACGACAGCGCGATCGGGCTCATAAGTTGGGAATTTGCACTTGGGAAGGGAGGGGCACGATACAGCGTTTGTTCAAGAGTTCTCTTTTTTTTTTGTTTGATACCAAGTCGAGATTCTTGCCAATGTAGTCTTGCTCTTCAAGATTTCCATTTCCACGCGCGGGAAGCTCGTCCATTGTTCAAGCTGTACAAATAGATGTGTGCTGGTGTGTCTCGCCCAGCATCTGCCTTTCTTCTCTATGAACCAACCACTTCGTGCCCAAGTCACCGTATAACAATCTACTCTTTCTCTGTTCCTGGCCTTTGGTAAAGACCACCAACCAACTGACAGCCAAGTATCTCTTCTCGGAATCTCCTTTCCGCCCCGAGTCCTGGTGCGGCAGAACCAAATAACATCCTCGCTATTATGGGTATCATGTGCACAAAACAAGAACATATGAAACCAAAGACAAGTCGGTAGGTGACATTCTCGAAGAGACGTTCCGATGCCGAATATCACGCAGACTCTCGGTTCGCCAACGCCGAGCATATCCGACTGTACCAGAAAAACAAAAAAACCCCCAATTGGGGTGTTTCTTCTTTCGCCAACCAATGCACCTTGGTCATAACATCGTAAAGGGGAGGGGTGACTAGTGTCGAGACTGCAGTCAAAAAGGCCGACCCCAGGAGAGAGCTCTAATCCGCTTCCCTGCCGTCAACGGCGGGATCCATCTTGTCTGTAATCTCTTGCAGAAGAGCAAGGCCTTTCGACTCGCTCGTGGGCAGGCCTATAGGGTCAACAAGGTCTTGAGCCATGTCAAGGTTGGCCTTGGCCAGGCCTGGGCTCAGAAGTCCCTGCCTACCGCCTTGTTCTCCGGCCCCATGCTCAAAGCCTCGTTCATCGAGTTCCTCGTCATGCAAGACTCGTCCTCCCAATTTGACATCGCCAATCCCTACCTTATAATCCAGCGCTCGGTTGCCGTCGCGGATGAGCTCTTCAGTACAGGTGAGGCAACGCTTGATACTCTGGCTGAGTTTCTGGGAATCGAGGAGGATCTGTTGATGTTTGGAAAGATCAAGCAGTAATCGCTTCTCGTCTCTGGCACGTTGTCTTGCTCGAGACGTCGGGCTTGCGAAAGAACTGGAGTCATTGGACACGAGCGATTCATCCTCGTCATCGAGATCATCCATGTCACTCTCTGGCTCGAGGTCGGAGAGCCCTGGTTCCTCCCCGTCGAGCTCGGCGACAGTGTCGAGGCTGTAGGCAGACTGGCCTGAGGCTGTCCTTGTGGTTGACGCCAGAGACAACCGTCCGGACCGGGACAGACGTCGATATCTCCGAAGCTCACCGCTTTGCTTTCGCAGTTCGCGCTCCAAGGTCTTATTGATGGCCAACAAAGATGAGTTCGATATCTCCAGATCGAGAACTTTCCGGTCGCGACGTGCATTGGCAGCATCATCGTTTTGGGGCTGGTTGGGAGATATTGCTTGGTCTGCGGCAGTATTCGAAGCGCTGGCCGACGCGATCATCGATTTCGTAGTTTCGGAGCAATCCACATCACTCGTGATGGATGTCGGCACGGTATTGGTGGAAGCCAAACTCGCAGACCTAGGGCTTACTATGTCAGAAGAGAGCAGGGTGGTGGCAATCCGCGGAGAGCCTGAGGGTGCAAGCCGGAGCTCCAGAGGCTGCGGACGTTCTGTCTGCTGGCCACTCATTCTTCTGACAGGCGCGCCATTCAGTGAGGCTGAGCTGATAGACTTCCTATGTCCTCCTTGGTGACTAGAGACAGGAGACACCGACGAGCCTGCTGCGCTCTTTGGTCGGTCTGGGGTCGGTCTGGGCGGTGCTGGAGGAGACGTGTTTTGACCTGGTTGAAGCTTTCGTGGCGATGATGGCGTCGCAACAAGCGGTCTGCGGATACGGTTTGGAGACTGAGGCGGACTCGGATGATCTGACCGATTTTCCACTTCTTGAGGATATCCTTTTGATATAGCTGGCCGACTTCCTGCTCCTGTTGTCGATATTTGAGGCAGTGTGGAAGGTTTCGGGGCAGCATGTTGTGGAATGTCGTCGGCCCGGAAGAATTTATCATCACGATTCGTATCCTCGCTTGCAGTGTTCGGTCCTGTCAATGACAGACCGGCCTCGCTATTTAGCAACGTCGGCGAGTCGACGAAAAAGTAGCCTCGACCGGGCGGAAAGCGAGGCCCTCCATCCATGCTCGGAGACCCGACGGAGGATTTGGCATCGTTGGCATGGAAGAACTTCGCAGATGTGCCTTTGTCGCTCTCTACCATGCTCTTTGTAGCGGAGATTCTCCTGTGAACCGTCACCACCGGTGTCCCTGCACTAGCCATCGTCTTTGCAGTGCTAATGCCCAGTCCTTGTGATTGACCCGTACCAGGTTTGAGAGCCTCTTTTCGAGCGCCTCCGCTTGAGGGTGCGCCATTGTTGGCATCTTTTAACGAAACCGGAGTCGAGGGGGACTCGGTACCGATCCGTGATAGCCTCGCTCCTGAGCGAGGCGTGATATTAACATTCAAAGGGGTTGTCGGTTGATCGGACTTCCCTGGGGATTTGGACCTCACGAAAGGCTCCCGGCGTGTAGACAAGGTGGGCGATGAGTGGGCAGAGCCCAGTACTCTCGGGGTCAACGGGGGTCTGACATGGCGGAAATTCGAACTCAGGGCAGGCGTGAGTGGTTTGGAGGGGTGTGTTTTCGGTTGTTTATCTGTCGGCATAGTCGGGAGCGGTGATCTTCGAGATCGAGCTGGAGGTTGTTGTGGCGGATTTCGCTCTCGCATGACAGCGACGGGTAGTGAATCGGTGCCAGGAGACTACCATTGTCGACGGCGGCGGGCAGCTGGCGAGGTGATGAGGGTGATCATATTCGGGGGGGAGGGGGAGGGGATGGGAGAAGTAGAGAAGTCCAAGACTAGGTAGAATTGTGGGATGTCAACAAGAAGATGTTCGAGAAGCCGGGGTGCACGGGCTGCGATGAGTGAGTGAGTGAGTGAGTGAGTGAGTGGTAGGGACCTCGATGTTTGCATCACCATCTGGTATCAACTACTGTGTACAGCTAATTAAAAGCAGACTGCCTCACTGGGATTAGTTGTAACCACTTATTAGTACCTACTACTATCTACCACTGTCCCTCTAAACACGAGATAACTGACACTACTCGATGACCCGTATAACGGCTTCTTTGACGCGTCCAACCGCGCTCATTACGGTTTCAAAACGGCTCCCCGCGTCATTCCATCTTCCATCAACTCACCATCCCACAACTCCCACACTAGTCATGTGTGTAAAGGCACCATGTTGACCGCCATATCCCTGCTGCGATGACCGTGAGTGATGCAGACGATATCTTGCTTCAAGATGTCGAACACACAGCTGCCAGCGGAGTCGCAGAAACGCCAAACAATGCCGAAGCGGCCGGTCCCCAGGCATCCCAACATCATTCCCTCAAACATCACCTCCTCGGTCCGTCCTTGACGAAAGCCGGGCAAGATGCAGTGGATCAAAAGAAGGTGTCTGAGATAATCTACGAAGCCTCCAAGGGCTCGAAATTCTTCAGCAATGAAGAGGCCAAGGACAAGAATTTGACAACAAAGATTGAACGGATTCTGCGACAGAAGGCTCAACTGGAGAAAATCGACTTGAGGGCTGACCTTCGTCGTGCGGACGATTACATTGCATCCCTTGAATTGTCACGAGACCTTTCACAGTATGTCGTCCACATTGACTGCGATGCGTTCTATGCCGCGGTGGAAGAAATCGATCGACCAGAACTCAAAAACGTTCCCATGGCCGTGGGGGTCGGTGTCTTGACCACCTGCAACTATGAGGCTCGGAAATACGGTTGTCGCAGTGCCATGGCCGGCTTTGTGGCGAAGAAGCTCTGTCCGCAGTTGATCTGTCTACCCATGAATTTCGACAAGTACACGGCCAAGGCGAAAGAGGTGAGGGCGATCCTGGCCGAATATGATCCTCGCTTCGAAAGCGCCAGTATCGACGAGGCATACTTGAATATCACCGAATATTGCATCTCCCACGATATCGACCCAGAGGCCGCCGTAGAGCAGCTCCGGAGAGAGGTTCACGAGAAGTGCCAGATCACAATATCCGCCGGCATCGCACCGAACGCAAAGCTGGCCAAGATATGCTCGAACAAGAACAAACCGAACGGGCAGTTCCGCATCCCGAACGATCGCAACGCCGTCATGTCCTTCATATCGGCACTGCCAGTGCGGAAAGTCAACGGCGTAGGACGCGTGTTCGAGCGAGAACTGGATGCGATCGGGATCAAGACCTGTGGAGACATCTATGCGTATCGTGGATACCTCCAGAGGCTGTTCGGCGAGAAGGCATTCCAATTTCTGATGCAAACTTCTCTAGGCCTCGGGCGGACAGCTGTACAGCCAGCGGATGAATACGAGCGGAAAAGCGTCGGCACCGAATCCACGTTCCGCGACATCAGCAGTAAACAAGAACTCCGGGAGAAACTGCGACATACGGCCGAAGAGTTGGAGAAAGACATGGCGCGTGTGAATGTGAAGGGGAGGACTCTGGTCTTGAAAGTGAAACTGCACACGTACGAGGTTTTCACTCGGCAAGTCGTGCCGCCAAAGGCGGTGCATCGTGCAGAAGACCTGTACAACTACAGTCTACCGATGCTGACCAAACTTGAAAAGGAGATACCAGAGTTCCGACTGCGGCTGCTGGGCCTGCGGTGCACCCATCTCGTCAGTACGAAGAAAGAGAGCACCGACTTCTTCCGCCGCAGGTTGACCAACAGCTCTTCCGGTGAGAAGTCCACCGACACCGACACCGATGCTGGACAGTGGGAGGTTTGGCCAGACTCCGAATTCGAAGAGGCCGCTCGCCAGGAGAGGCAAGAAGAAATGAACGAGATGGAACGTCTCAGTCAGGAACAACAAACCCAAGACCAATCCTCGTTCGACCAGGTCGCGGCACAGACCTCAACGGTGGACTGGCACGAGCCCTTTGGCCGATACAAGTACGGCAGCGAACCCAACTCTCCCGCAAAACTTTCGCGGCCGCGCAGCCAAGGCACCACGCCACCTAGAAAAGACGTGTCAGAGCAGCGGTGGGATTGTCCTATCTGCCAGCTCCCTCAACCGGCCAACGACCGCGACTTCAACAGCCACATTGACCTCTGCCTCTCGCGACAGACCATCAAGGAGGCTGTAGCGGAAGTTGAGGCGTCGACGGACCCCGGTCGCATCTCTCCCGAGATTACTGGAGCTGGAGGCGGAGCTGCTATTGGACACGGGTTGCCGACGAGGCCTCACTCCGCAAGTGGCACGAAGGTCAAAAGGAAGGCTGCTGCCATGAGCAGCATGTCTGCCAATTGTGATGCTGTCGGTGGCCGGAAGCAGAAGAGATTGTTCTTTACGTGAGCGGTTCGTTGCACCTCAACATGGCGTAGCTTAGCGACAACTTCTTCTATTGGATTGAAGAAGGTACGAAATATAGAGTAACGTCAAGTGGAGGAAGGAAATGTCTTTCTTTCCACAATGAGAAACGGTGAATGTACAGCATATAAAGTTGTGTCCTTTCTTTCATCGGTGGCTGGGCATAGATCTGCCCTCGATGCCTCCCCCGAAATAAGTGTTTTGACTGTATTACTCTATACAGCCAATGCCCACATTGTGATACCTACCGTAGGTATATAAACATCCTCCTAGACTCCCTGAACAGGGTCTGTTCCAAGACAATCAACAAAATCCTTGATTCTATGCACTTCGGCCGCAAATCACCTTCCTCATATATTGCGCCACGCAATGCACTCAAACAATCTCCCGAAGCCTCAGGGTAACCACCATGCAAGATTTCCCCTGTTCCATACAATCAATCATCGCTCGCTCTTCGCTTGGGTCGCCCGAGCTCATCATCCTCATTGCCCGGGACGAAGTCGTCCTCGTCGTCCTCGAACACTTTGTCCGAGTCCTCTTCCCGCTTGACTTGCTCTTCCTTCATCTCCCGGTACGTGGCAAAGCTCAACATGCAGAAAGCGACAATGATCAGCGCACCGCCTGCTAGTGCGGCCGAGCTGAGCGGCTTGCCCGTGATCAGCCAGTCCGTGATCCCGACGAGGAAAATCGTCAAGAGCGACGCAACGGAGCTGAGTACAGGAGACGTGAGAGACATGAGGACGAGGAAGGAGCCAGAGAAGACGGCGTTGGAAAGCGTGGAGATGGCAAGCAGGCCTGCAGTCCGGCCGGTGGGCAGCTCAAATCGTTCCAGACCTGTAATGTGCAGAATCGGCAGAGGGATCCAGAGAACTAGAAGCGTGAAAAGCCCGACCATGCTGCCGAAGGTGTTGGCGAAGATCATGCCTCGGCCCGGAGAAGTGCCTTCCGGCGGACATGCGAAGCGCTTGTAGAGGACCTCGTAGAGGCCGTAAGCGACAGACCCGAGGCCAATTATGATATTGCCGAGGAGTTTGGTGCTGAAGCCCTGCTCTGCGCCTGGGTTCGAAGTCCCAGGGCCCGGCGTCGAATCATCTTTGTCGCCGTACGCGACAATCAGAACCCCGATGATAGCCAGGCCGACAGAAAAGGCCTTGTCGAAGCGCAGTCTATCGTTCAGAAGCATAATTGAAAAGACGTAGGCGAAGAAGGCTGAGCAGTTGTAGATGGCCGTCAAATCGGAAGGAGACGTCAAATTGACAGCCACGTACCATGAGCCGCCGGCCATGGTGAGGAAGGTCGTGATGAAGGCTGTCGCCTTGATCATATAGGGCCAGGGCGAAACCGACGCGGCGGCAGGCGACAGATAGAGTTCTTGGGACTGGACCATCTGAGCAGTAGACTTCAGGAGGTACTTATGGCGACGCCAGAACGCAGGCCAGGAGATCTTCCGCTTTTGAATTCGAATGACAAGAAGCTGGAAAGGCCACAGAAACACCCAGGAGCCATGCGTGAAATACATCATGCAGTACGCCTTGTCCCATTTCAATTCGTGCTGGATATAGACCGCGGTCTCGGTCTGCACCACAAACGTGATCAGAGAGAGAACCAGAAAGAAGGAGGCATAGATATATTTCCGCCGCACCACGTCCTCGGGTTGCGCATATGTCGGTGATCTGGACCGGAACGTGCTTCTTCGTGACGCGAATGGAGATCTGCTCGACCCAGCAAGCCTGGGACTCTGTGGCCGTCCCCGAATGAGCGATTTGTCTTCTCCCAGTAACGGTAAATGTGCCTGTGGCCCGGAGGGCCGATGCATCGAAGGCTTCACCGCCATCTCGTCGTCTGAAGGATCCAGATCCTGCTCTTCATCGAAAAGGAGGCGGTCTTGGTGCCGTCTTGCATGGGACTCGTCCTTGACGGTGGGCTGTAACGAGGAGATACGCAAGGGGCTTCGAGCACGGCCGGAGGGTTTGTGGGCGCCTGTAAACGGAGGGAGAGGCGACTCGGTGCCGGAAGGGGTAAAGACAATGTCGCCAACATTCGAGTCGCTGCTATCTGAAGTTGTCATCCACGCGGTCAAGGAGGGAAGCGTCACCAGGCGTGGTCTGGTCAGGCGTGGGGGCTTGGGGGAAGAAAAGGACAGAGTCCAGCACCGTCAACGCGAACACGAATAGATGATCGGCCTGGGGTGTGTCGGTGGAGCCCGGTGCTTCTTTAGTCGTGCAAAAGCAGAGACGGCGTGAATGTCATCTGCGAGTATATCATCAGAGTTGTAGCCCAGGTTCTGACAGCCGGCTAATAACGAACGAGCATTTGTGAACGGGTTTGGCAATGATGCCGAGCAAATGAAGATTGCAGCGTCCGCGTAACGAGCCTCAACTTGGACACCACGAACCCAGTCGAACCCATGCACATTGTGGCATGCATCATTGCATCAATTACATCGCGTCTGTCTGATGGCCGCACCCTGAGATTGCGGGATGACAGTAGCGCTTCGCAGTAACAAACCCGCGGGGACATTCACGGCGGAGCATTGATTGCAATGTGGCAATTTGCGTCTTGTCTCGAAGCCTCGAAGCCTCAGCCTTGTCCAATGCTAGAGGTCTACTATTGAGGAGTGCAACTGCTGTACCATCTCTGCAAGTCGATACTCCTCCTCGATATACCCTGACCGTTGCAAGGTCTTCCCGTAAACAAGATGAACTGCTCGGCATGTTGTGCGATGCCATATCTCTCTTTCGGACTACTGCGTACCAACCGAACCACCGCTAGCACTCGACCACCACTGGAGTGGCGTCATCTAAACATTGGACCATATTTCGACCGTTATAGTGGACAAGGCGGAGACTTGCCGGAGGGGCACTGCAGTGATTGATGAAATGTCCAGATACTAGGCGTTTTCTCCGGGCTTTGAGTCCACAACAAGAATCCTTTATCTATAGAGGACTAGAACGCTGGAAGTGTTGTAATTCTTCTGTTCTTCTGTTCTATGCTTCGACACAGTACTACGACGCTTTCGAGTACTCAGTACCTAGCACCCTCCCAATCTCCCGCCTATCCTCTTTAACGCACCAGATTCCTCATCCTCGGCCGTCGCGATGCCCCTCATCCCGTCAACGATGACGATGGGTTCGAAGCCACGCGTGATCCTGGGGTTGATGACCTTCGGGCCCCCAGGCACGGAAGCCAAGGGCGCCCGGATCACCTCGCTGGACGAGTTCAACAAGAGCCTCGACTACCTACAATCGCAGGGCTACAACGAAGTAGACACCGCGCGGATGTATGTTGGCGGCGACCAGGAAGGCTTCACGCGCGAAGCAAAGTGGAAAGAGCGCGGGCTGACGCTGGCGACAAAGTGCTACCCCGCGGAGCCCGGTGGCCATAAGCCCGCGCAGCTGCGCGCCACGTTGGAGAAGAGCCTGAAGGAGCTGGGCACCGACACGGTGGATATCTTCTATCTGCATGCGCCGGACCGGAGCGTGCCTTTTGTGGAAACGTTGGGGGAGTGCGACGCCTTGTTCAAGGAGGGCAAGTTCGTCCAGCTGGGTCTGAGCAACTATGCCGCCTGGGAGGTCGCCGAGATCTGGAACATCGCCAATGAAAGAGGCTGGGTCAAGCCGACCATCTACCAGGCCATGTATAATGCGCTCACTAGGTCCATTGAGGTCGAGTTGCTCCCGTGCTGCAGGAAGTGAGTGCACTCTGGACTGTGCCGTCAAGGCGTTCGCAGCCTTGCGAGCCACTGCCGCTGTGGGGATATCCTGCTGACATTGAGTACAGATACGGTCTGGATGTGGTGATCTACAATCCGGTATGTCTATCTCCAATGCCAACCATGCTCCTGACACATTGCTAACCCTCTCACCAGCTTGCCGGTGGCGTCTTCAGTGGAAAGTACAAGTCGAAATCCGAAATACCTGCGGAAGGACGATTCGCCAATGTCAACGAACGGCAAGGCAAGGTACGTACAGCGCATCGTGCCGCAAAGCCACACCTCTTGATAGCACCTGTTGCGCCTTAATTGCCACTCAAACACTGCCTCAAAGAGTGACGCAAGAGTTGGCAGGGTAAATAGAGCGTGCTTCTCTTCTTCTACATCTCGATCAATCCCACCATCCAGTCAGATTGGCTTGTCGACTTTTTACACTCCAACCAAAGAAAGCTAACAGTATCCCTTCCTGAACAGATGTACAGAGAACGCTATTTCCATGACACGACGTTCTCGGCTCTCCAGCACCTTGAACCCGTGGTCAAGCAACACAACCTCACACTCGTGGAAACCGCGCTGCGATGGTGCGTGCACCACTCCCTCCTGAAATTGGCCAGCCAGGGCGGCAACGACGGCATCATCATCGGCGTCAGCAGTCTGAGCCAGTTGCAGCAGAACCTGGCGGACCTGGAGAAAGGGCCATTGCCGGACGAGGTGGTGAAGGTGTTGGATGAGGCTTGGGAGCTTTATCTCAAGGGAAAAGAGCCCACTTATTGGCGGTGATAGGTCCACCAAGAAAAGTTCCACTGCCCTCATGCCTCGGTCACCAGAGCAAGGCGTGAAGCCTAGCAACAGGTGGCTGTCCTCGCTGTGGATGCAGTGTGGAACAACCTCCATTGAACCGAAAGAGGGGATCGCGAACATGTCTGCCCGAGCCCATGGAGGGAGGACTACGGCCGCAGATTGTGGACGTAGTGTACCAACGACACTTGAGGGCATAGACTATGCCAGAACTGGGTACATAGCATAAAATTACGGCGGGAGACGAGTTTAGGAAGGTGTGTCTTCGCCCAATGTTTACCAAGGTAGTCCATGCTAGGAAGTCGAATCAAACGCCTACTTCTCAATAACCCACTCTGGGTTCAGGGGTCGGGTTTTGGATCCAGGGGCTACAGCCTTGTCCGCCTGGCACCGAACAGTGTGACATTTCCCGCCTTGAAGCCCATGTATTCGTTACAACTAATGCACACAATTCTGTGTTTCCCCCGCCCTGGAACTTTCTGTCGTTGAGTCGCCATGGTCATATCTGAGCAAGAAGACAGACAGCCCTCTACAACCCTATCTAGCGCTACGGCCATTAACTCATTTTATTACTGCCCTCTGCCACGCGCACCCCTGCCTCTGCGGGCCTTCGAGCCAAACCGGAACTTCAGATCATCGCTGTCATCATCGTCACTATCTTTCTCGTGGATGACGGTGACAGGCAGCGTCTTCTGCCGTTTCGCCTCCCTAGTACTTGTGAGCGAACCCGCAGCTCTCTTCCCGAACGTCGAAGCAGTGTTGGCGGTCGATGCTGCCACCTGAGATCGCCTCTGCGATGTGGGGTGGTCGGCTCCTGCTCGTACAGTAGACGCCTGACTCCTGTCATCGGCACGCGTCCTTCTGGGCGTGTCTGGGTCGATATCGTAGTGCACAATCTCAGCTGCCTCACGCCGAAGTCGGGTCATGGTTGGGCTCGTTGAAGCGGGATGGTCTGGAGCTCCGCCAAAACTGCCATCGTCGTCGTCGTTGTCCTCCTCATCATCATCAGAAACGGCCCTCATTCCTGACGATCTGGTTCCACTTGAGCGCTGCGTCTGACTTTGGGTTCTTTGACTCCGGGCTTCTTCTTTCTTTTTTCGTTCCTTCTCTCGCTCCTTTTCTTCCTGCGTTTTCTCCCAGTACTGCTCACCAAGCCCATACGTATTGCCCTTGACCTCGACAAGCGGTATAATGACCTTTCTGGCATGGCCCCTTCGTTGTGGCGCCTCGCCCTTTCTGCGGAAACCTTTGAAATTCTTTCGGCCGTTCCATCTCGGGTCCCAGTTCTCACCGTGCTCGCCGTTGGTTCTGATAGTCTGTTTGGATTTGTTTCGTACGGGAAGCTCCATTGTGACAATTGTAACGAGATTCGCCGGCGCCCTATCCTCAATGGAGGTCGGCCCAGTTTCCAGCTCCTCTTCCTCTCTCCGCGCAGCTTTTTCCTTTTCTTCCCTTTGCGCCTTGACAATCTCGCGCACATCAATCTCTGGATCTTTCTTCACTCTCTCCACTGCAGCTCGCCGTGAGCTAGCGTTGCCCGCATCTCCAACTGTACCATTCGCTTCCGCTTCGGCAACCTTTCGTCGCTTGAAGGCCGTGGCTGCTGGAAGGAGATCATTGATTTCTTCAGCAAATGTATCTCTCGGCTCTTCAGATGGAGAACGTAAACGTTTCCTCGCGGTCGGCTCCGGTTCTTCTTTTACCGTCGATGACTGCACGCGCATCGTCGGTTCGGGGTCACTTTCCGGGTCAGACGCCTCCTGTTCTTCGTCATCATCATAATCACCGATGGCATCAGGATCGAAGCCGTCATCAAAGTTCTTGAATCGGCTAGCTTGTGTAAAGCGAGGGCCTGAAAACGGGCGTGTCGACCTCTGTTCGGTAGTGCTGGTTTGAGACGCACCCTGGGCGGGAGGTTGAGAAGACACAGGATCTGAAACAGAGTTGACTCTTGGTTGCGGTCCCGAACCTGCCCGTGACTGTCCATTCTCCAGTCTCTGAGATGGGCGGCCAACAGCCTCGCGGGCTTCGGAGGACTTTTGTGTAGCAATCGGGTTTACCACCGAAGCCGGGGGAGCTCTTATCCCATCAGTGGTGCTCTCAAAAGGGATGCTCTGCTGCAGTAAACTGGCATCGTTCGCCAATATCGCGTCTAGAAACTCCGATTGGTCGATTGCTCGTTGATCCATCTTCAAGGCAATCTCATTGATCAGGGTGTTTGTCCAGTCATGCATCTCGTCTTTCCCCTGCCATCGCACCAGAATGACTCTAACGTTCGCCCAACCATTGTTATCATCTGGTCGCTTGTTGCCGGCAGCATGTTGTAGAAATTCCATCAGTTCTGCTGCTGTCGTTTCGCCGTTGTTCACTTTAAATAACAGTGCTTTACCATGACCACTGCTGATGACAGGGAGAAGATTGTCGTACTGAGTTTGGTCACCAAAGACGAATGTGTAGCCTTCAAAAACGGTCTCACGTGATGGATCAGGCTGGTATGCTTCCGCTGGTCGGATGGTGGGCTCTCTCCCCGGAGGAGGCAAGTGATCTTTCGGATCAGGCCATGCACTATCAAAGTCGGTCTCCAGCAGGGAAAGGTTCTCTTCCTGGCTCAAGTTCGTGGGCGTGGCCGCATATTCCAAGGCGTCAAGGTACGACTCCGCCACCAAGAATTTTCCTGTGACCAATGCCAGCAAGCCCTTTGCGGTGTTCCTCTTGTTTGCCACCACGTGTGTTGTATGCTCAGGAACAAAGTCGCCAATGGCCTTGATGTCCAGACCTTGAACCTTGGTTTGTTTGGCTTTAAGGATGCCAGACTTGATCTCCTTCTTGAGGAGGTTGAACGTGAGCACACATGGTTGCCATCTTATAATGATTTCATGAGGACAGGTTCCAGGCCGGATCGAGTTCTCTTCGCTCTTCAATTCCTTCGAAGTTCCCTTGATGATTTCCCCGTTGATGGCAGTACCACTCTTGGATTTCTGATCCAGGATTCTGATCGTCGTCCGGGCATGTATGTGTGCCACATCTCCTTCTTTGACCGCATCTACCTCTATGATAAAATGCTTCCTTGAAACAGTCTTGTGGTCGATGGCAAACTGGACTCCTTCTCTCTTTACCCGACCAAAGAGGTATTTCTGCCCAGGCTTGAGCCACATACGTTTTCCTTGGAGGAAGTCGTCATTAGATTCGAGGATCCACATTGCAAGGACATGGCAGACGATAGAAGTCGATCGTATCTCATGTTTTGGGGCAACAGGAGTTGGAAGGCGGAGTGCGAATGCACTTGAGGATGTACTGTATCAGAAGAGCAGGCGCAGGCAAGTTTCAATTATCTGGAATTGTGACGCGCGACGCGCTCTAGTAAGGCTTGCGTTAAACTTGAAGGCGGTTAGGCGGCAGTGATGCCTAAAAGGCTTGATCCCGCAGTTGGCGCGGGCGGGATGGGAGCTAAATGGGGTGTGGGAGCCAGTGCTAGATAACGGCGCAGTCTAGCAACAGGGTTGCTCTGGTGCAGTGCGGGGCATTAGCATTACAGTGGCACAGGTGAGTTGGAGCCTAAAGAGTGATCAGCAGGGCCTGGGCTCCCTAGGCTTTATAGACTCTTTTTGGCGTGCCAGTGGGCAAGATCCCAACTACAAATCGTCATTGGCAACGGGGGCTTCATCCCTGGGGACAAAGCGCTGCGACGTCAGTCAGACAGGAGGACCTGCAACCCTTCTCAGCGTCTTTGTAGCTCACACCCTCTCATCGATCATTTGCACCATTTGTTCCTTGACTGTACGCGAAAGTCTCGGACTCACCCTTGCAATGTCCAACACGCTGAACGAAGACAACACTCCCGACCTCAAGGTCGACGAGGCGTCAATTTCCCCGATCGAACGTCGCAACTCGCTCGAGAAGCACCTGCAGGAGCGACCAGATGTCCAAGATCTGAAGAGCCGCAATATTTTACTTGACACAAATGCTGCTCCGTGAGTTGACTAAGTGCGGTGTGTTTCTGCCTAGATGCAACCTAACTTGTCACCAGGGCCCTCCAGGCAAAGCAACACGAACTGGACCGTCAGAAGCAGTCTGACAACCTGAAGAAGCAACTTGAGAAGCGTCCGGAGCGGGAGGAGCTGATTGAGCGTAAGAAGCCCCAACTACTAGATATTGAGTGATCGGCCCGTCCTTACAATGTGACAGGAAACATTCTCCCCGATTCCAGTGCCGCACCTGCGTTGCAAGCGACTCAGCGCAGTCTTGATAAAAACATGAGGGCAGATAGTTTGGAGCAGAAGATTCAGCAACGACCAAAGCCCAACGAACTGGTCAAAGAGGGCATCTTGGAAGCTGACGAGGATCCTCTTAAAGACCAAGCATAGCAGGGCACTGTGGACAACTCTACAGGACATAGTTGGTTGTACTCCTCGAAGGGGAAAAAAGAATGCTTCCGGGGGCTCTCAACATAGCCAGCACTTGACACAACATGAACTGACACAGTCCAGGAATTGACTGGAGAAGCAACCGCTTCAATAACTCTCCACTTGGTCTGCCTCCCTCGGCCCATCCGTGAGAGACACGTCTGGTCTCCATCCCTTGGGTCTCTCCTTGCCTCTCACGATCATGCTGTACACCCCGTTTTCCACCTTCTCGATCGAGGCTCTGGTCGTCCGAAGCTTTTGCCAAAAGTCTTTCGAAAGTCCATAACTTCCACCGACATCCAGAGCTTCTAATTCACTCCGAAGCAACTGCATGTCTGTGAGGATGTTGGACTTGGACCCCATCTCTGAGCCGGGTAGTCGTCCATTGGTGGCCATGTACGTGATAGCAAACCTCATGAGCTCGCCCGTCGTGTCGAACAAGCCCAGCACATAGTCCTCGTAAGTGAGCGTAAGCCCTTCTGGCAGCTGGGCGGCCGCCTCCTCGAAAGTCATCACTCGCTGGGTGGTCAGATAGTGCTGAAAGATCACAGCTTCCATGAACTCCTGGATGCCGCCGGTTATGTTGTTCCGATAGCGGTAGGCATTGATGCCCTGCAGGTCTGGCACAATGGTCTGCAGCAAGTCTTGGATGGTGGAGTGCATCGGTGTAATCTGCTTGGAGATGGATGCTTGAATTGGTCGGCCCAGCTCCCGTACTCTGCAGCGGACGCAATCAATCAGACATCATCTTTAGCCCTGTCCAATTGAGCATGGACATACCTTTGAAGAGCGAATATTCTGAAGCATCGGTTAGCACGGTGGTCGACATGTTGTCGCTGCATACCAGGCACACTTACATCTTCTTACTCTGAGCAGTGACATCCCGTGATACTTTGATAATCCGTTCTCTTCGATCGTGATGCTCGTCCAGCTCTGAGCGAAAGAACTCAAAAACGGGGATGAAGGGAGAGGTTTGCTCAGATGTGGGTTCTGATTTGGAAGAAGGACGATTGACCTCCATTCCGTCATGCGATCTTTTGGTCCCTGCCATGTCACTCAAAGATGGTAAGACGATGGAGTCTATAATGCGACAAGTAGAATGGACATCAAAATGAGAGGGAAGGATGTATGGCCTTGCCGCTTTTGCCCAGCCTGGGGAAATACGCACTTATTATACCACGCTGCTTTGACAACGACCGCAGCCCTTGGAACTCGATGTGACAACTTCAGCAGCTTTCCACCATTATTGCAGCCTTGCTCCTTGACCTCCTTTACGCAGTACACCATTGAGTTTGTTTCTGTGGCTATATAAGGCGTGAAGATTAGTTGGTCACGGCCTCCGTAGGCTAAGTCTCTTCCAACAGGAGACATACCAACGCCATGCGGTCGGCAACATGCCGTCTCTCCTAGCATATGTGTTCTCCTCCCGCACCGCCGTCTTCTTCTCAGCCTTGCTCCTACGCGCCGTCCTGCTCGTCTACGGAATATACCAGGACTCGGTGTCCGCCATAAAATACACCGACATCGACTACTATGTCTTCACAGACGCAGCGCGAGCCGTGGCAAGACATTCTTCTCCTTACGATCGGGCAACGTACCGTTACACGCCTCTCCTTGCTTGGATTCTCCTTCCTACCAGCTGGGGAGGACTCTGGTTCCATTTCGGCAAGGTGCTGTTCGCTCTGTCTGATCTGATTGCTGGATGGCTCATCCTCATGGTTCTGAAGAGGAGGGGTATGCGAGAGCCAGAGGCGTTGAAATATGCCAGTGTATGGCTTGTGAACCCAATGGTTGCAAACATCAGCACTCGTGGAAGCAGTGAGGGTCTCCTTTGTGTGCTGGTCATGACGCTTCTGTGGGCTTTTGAGACACGACGCGTCACATTGTCAGGCATTCTGCTGGGATTATGTGTTCATTCCAAGATATACCCTTTCATCTACGGGGCCAGCATGCTGTGGGCGCTTGAAACCAGATCATCTGGATCAATGAACACTAAAGCTCAAAGTGTGTTCAAATTCTTCAATGCAGACCGCATCCTTCTGGTGTCGACATCGCTTCTCACGTTCACCGCTCTGAATGTTCTCATGTACAATAACTACGGCCTACCGTTCCTTCAGCACACCTTTCTTCATCATCTTACCCGGATCGACCACCGCCACAACTTCTCTCCATACAACACGCTGTTGTATCTCTCGTCTGCCCAAACGACGGTCCCTTCATTCTCCGGTTCATCCCTCCGATTCTCCTTTGAGTCTCTGGCATTCATTCCACAGCTGCTCCTTTCCGCGGTTCTCCTTCCGGTCGGCCTGGCCAAGCGTCATCTTCCAGCAACCATGCTTGCGCAGACTCTCGCCTTCGTCACGTTCAACAAAGTCTGCACGTCTCAGTACTTTCTGTGGTACCTTATCTTTCTGCCATTGTATCTTGCCGATTCATCGCTCACTGCCCGGCCTGCACTGGGAGTTACAGCACTAGCGCTCTGGGTCTTGGGTCAGGCCGCGTGGTTACAGCAGGGCTATCAATTGGAATTCTTGGGCAGAAGCACCTTTGTGCCCGGCTTGTTTGCGGCCAGTCTGGCCTTCTTCGCCATCAATTGCTGGATCCTGGGGATTGTGGTGCAAGACGTGGTCGAGAAGCCAATCGAAGCTCCTAATACCAGCCGTCTAACTGGAGCACGAGCTCCGATATCCGCATCCACACCAACTCCTGAGGTAAAGAGAACTGCCTCAGAAAGGGTTATAGGTACGGTTGGGCCAACCTCCACAAGACCGCGAGGCAACAGCACCCTCGACATCAGCGACATCACCAATGTTCATCTAGGGCCACGGAACAGGGTATTGAAAAGCAATTGATTTCATCGCGCATGGATTAGCCGGCTATGGAGCTTCTGTCAAGTCTAGACAGATCATTCTTCTATTCAGATGAGGGTTATGGAAGGTTGCAACTGGTCTCTATAGAGAATCAGACCTTCTGGGATGGGATTTGCAGGTACTGTGCCTTGTGCCCACCAGCCGGGGTCGAGCTTGCCATTAGAACCGTCACCTCGATCGAATGGAAATATCATGCAATCTCCAAGCCTCTGCCGGCGTTGTCTCTTTGTTCGGCTACGTCCAGACGAAACACAAGACCCTCTAAATGTCTGAACCGGCTTGTGGCAAGCTATGCCCGCGCGATATCTACGACTGCCACTGGGAAACTTCGAAAGTCCATATAGCAAAGCACGAAAATCGAAGATTGGACTGACTTGACTTGATTTTCGGCGCATATTCAACATCTAAACCATCCTGCAATTCAGACTCGTTGAGACCGCATGATCATTATGGCTTGTAGAGAGACTTTTTCCGGTGCCACAATCCGCGCAGTCGTGGCTTCAGTAACGAATTACGTCCCCCCTGCCACAGATTCGCGCAATACAGTGGTTCAATCCAGTAGAAGACGACATGTTTCCCACCCGCGTTGTGGCTGTCGAATAAAATGGTGCCCCTGGTCATGAGTTGGACCTTCTTCAGAATTCTGAGATAGGCTGTCGTGGACATTGACATAAGCAACACACGTCCATGCGCCGAGGAAATCACTGTGCAATCCAGCCCTTCCGTTCCCAAACTTGCTGAGCATCAACACCTTCCAGAGCGAACCCATTAATTTGTGACCGGTGACCGGTGAACAAGAAAAGCTGCGCTCAGAAGTCGTGCAAATCAACCTGAGTTTCCATCTGGGCATCATTTTCATTTTCATTTTCATTTTCATTTTCGTTGTCGTTGTCATGCATAAATGCATCCCATTCAGGGACTCCATCCAGTCAACTGCCCCTCGCGTCAGCGACGACCTTGTAACTAGTCGTCTTGATACTGCGCGGTTTCCACTTCGGATAGAGACTGCATCCAGAGCCCATGCCGAGTCCGGTCACCGCCGACGCATTGGGACTGGCCGTCGCACTGGTAATAGTCGGGCCCAGAGTGTCCGTGCGACCACTGTTGCTATTGGCACCGATGCCAGTGACGCCAGGAGAAGCAGAAGTGGATTTGCGGCGGTGTCCAGCGTACTCGATGCCATCGCCCAGCTCATCATACTCGACATCGGGTTTCACCTCGCTGAGACGCTCGACGATCTCTTCGTTCCATATCCCATATACTTTGCCGTTCTCGAGCTGCCAGTACGGATTGAGTAGCGTACAAGGGGAATCCAGATCGATGAAACGAATGCGAACGTAGTTGAGATGAGGAAACCGCGCGAGTGCTTCGACGGTATGCAGAACCAAGCGCTCAAAGGCCCGGATGAAGACTAAGTTAGTAATCCCTGCGCCGTCGGCCATGACACCGCCGAGTTCGTGGACGATGGTCTCGCCTGTCTCCGGGTCGATGTCGGAGACGCGCTGGCGACAGCACGCTTTCACAACGAGTTCGAGAGCCTTGAGCCGCGGCTCCTCCTTTAGACCGGAGAGCGCCGAGAAGGCAGACGTCCACAGACATTCGCAGACCTTGCCTGTAAAGGTCAAGGACTCGAGATGGGGCAGGACTCGACCTAGTCGTTCGCAGAGATGTGGTTGGCCTGGTGTGTAGCTGGAGCCGACTGTCAGCGGATCTTTGCTGTACATTCCGTCAAGAGATATATTGACATGGCGCAGTTGCGATGGTAGATGTTGCAGAATCTTGTTGATCGTGGCGTCTGCTTCAATCCGTGGCTTAGCATAGCCGCAGTGCCATTCTTCCACGTTTGGCAGTGCCGACTCGATCGTCTTCCAGTGACTGTAGTTCCGCATGATATTCCATGCTCCGCGCATCGCAAATGTTCGAATATTAGGCAATTTTTCCAGGCTTTGGTTCGGGTCGGGGAACAGGGTCTGTGGGAAATGTCGGATCATGTTGGATTTCTTGCAGTGGCCGCCTTCGAGAGTGAAGACACGCGAGTTGGGAAAGAAACAATTGACGTGGTTGAAGATTTCGGACAGTGTTGCTGAATAGGCGCATAGCTTGAAGCCGAAGCCTAGAAAGTCGTTCGCTGGAATCAGACTTTCGTTCGCCGTGTTTGCGAGGTGGAAATATCCTGGCCGTTCAGGTCCATGCATGACCGGCCCGAAGGTCCGATTGTCTGAGGATGCCTTGTCTCCCCAAACAGGAACCCAGAACTCGATATGGCGCACGAATTTGGTCAGGTGCAGATGAGTGACGAAGAACTCCTCCGACTCGGCAAGCCCTGCTCGGGTGCCTTTGACCTTGATGTGTCTGTATATCCGCTCTTGAACCAGGTCGCGCCATGCAGGCGACACCAACGCCAGATCCGAGACTGCTTTCCTCCGAGGATGTCGCATTAGGGAAGACACGCTCTTGCCTCGTAATGATGTGCTCGCAGCATATACAGAGTGCATGTCACCAAAGATGAAGTCGAGCACTTTGCCCTGCACTTCTGATGGAAGATCGTGCAGCGACAACTTGGGCTCGCCAGGAGTCGCGTCAACGTCAGGATCACGGCATATCGTCTGATCGGAAGTTTTGTCTGCTCCGCGAAGTGGAGAGTCCGTCGCTTTGATTGTGAGGACACCCACCGACTGTCCATCCTGTTCCGCTAGGTCTGCGATCGAGGCTACTGAAGGCGCACGTTTTCGAGGGGTGGCCAGGGGGAATGGGACGTCCGACTTAGACGACTTCATGGGTGCAAAGTGCCGTTCGTAGATATCTTGGGATTGGTTGGAGTCGTTGTTGAGGACCATCTCTTGTACCAGCATGTTGACGGACGACTGCGCCGGCCCGCAGCCCGCAGATTTGGGCATGTGGACTGCCGTTGGGAGCCCGGCTCCAACGTATCCGTTGAGAGACCGTTGTGTGTAGTTCACTCTTTCTCAGTCTGTCCCTAATGGCCTGTGTCTTTTTGCGCCTGAGCCAGACCGACTAGAGGGGTGCGGCTGTGGAATGTTCTTGTGGTCGTGTTGTCACCCGCAGACAAAGAATTCGCAGGAGGCGCTGTTCTGAGATGATAGAGTCAAGATCAGACAGTCGTGGAGGTATGTGTTGTCGAGCGGCGCACATGGAGAAGCATGCCCTGGAGAGAGGAGAGACGTACGCAAGCAAAGGGGCTGGATGACTGTCGTGTGTTTGATGGTCCAGAGTCCAAGTGGAGGTGAATTGGATTGGACTAGGCGCATCATCAAGCGCTTTGAATGCCATGCACTTTTCGCTCCACTCGAAACCCTTCACTTCAAAAGCTGGAGGTCAACCTCCGATGGGGAACTGCGATTGGACAGTGAGATGCACAGCCTTATCCAGCCACAGAACGGCGTATTTACCCTTGTTTCACGTGATATGCGACAACTAATACATGAAATGCGGTATTTCGGATTCTCCTATTAGATATTTCGTAACGATATTCAAAAGAAGACAACTCCGAGTGTTTGGATCCAAACAGTAAGGCATGTATCGTGGAGAGCTGTCGCAAGGTTGGGAAATGGCGTAGGAACCCGAATGTAGCAAATCGCATTCCCAATCCGGTAGGTCGGTGACACTTTTGCTCCGCCGACAACGACTTTTGCGTTTAGGTCAGAGTTAGGGTTGGATATTAAGCTTAAAGTCACTCTGACCGTCCTTAATTTGCCATGTCTACCCTCAGCTTCACACCACCGGCCAAATCTACTCAAACCAATTCCTCTAATTGGCACCTTTCGTATCTCTACTTCTCCGTGCAAGATGTGTCATGACACGGACGGATGCCCAGGTATACATGGTATCAACTTGCCATCCAGGTGCGATAAACCCGAGGCGATGGGCATCAGTATTGTTACCAGCACGCTGTACGGAATTGACCCTTTGATGCGAGTCAAATTGACCCAACAGTCCCAAAATACCCTGCGGCTGATGGAAAGATTTTGCAATCCTCGAGATGCTAGGATTATCCATCCAGTCCAAATCCTTGAACGCGCATGCTCATGAATGTATCAATGAACAGCGCGAAGGTAATAGCTGGCACCCGTAGTAGCCTGAAGAACTCGCAACCTCATGCAGACCATGACTCTCCTCTTTGCAAGCTCAGAAATGCTCAATCAGAGAATCAGTCGAATAGGGAACAGAGTGCGCCCAGGAGAAGCTCTGATCGCCGCCGTTCAAAGCCGCAAGTGAGAGCGAGGAGCAGGACAGCATTTTGTAAGTGAAACGGCCAAAGTCCAAGACCGAATTGAGGTAAGATGGATGATGACTAGAGCGGGGGTGTTGAATGGTGGGACATGAACCGGCAATTTTACGCCCCCTAAGCAAAGCTAGGGTAGAGGCTGTTGAGCATTAGACCAGTCACCCTGATCCAGCTGTGGACATCGTTACCGAGTTTTGCTGTTGGTAACCAGACTCCTTTGAGCGTGGCAGAGAATGTTTTATAGTCTGTCCACCCTCTATCGCGGCATCTGCTGGTCTGGACCGTCGAGTTCGATTGATTGAGCAGTTCCCTGACTTCCAGGGCACATGAAGGCTTGAGACTTCTGAGATTTTATACACCCGCTTGTATGTCCCTGGTATTCCCTTCGCGCCTGACACCGAGTGTAACTCTGGATGCGATATTTTGGGGCAGCGCGTATGATAACCGTATACCTGACAACCCTGGGAGCGGGCCGACGGGAACTGTTGCCTGGATGGAGCCGAGTGCGGATGAGCCAAAGGGGTCTCAAGGTCAAGGAAGGATCGGGACATCCAGCACAGGAGGCGACAGGCTCTTCTGGGCACTTATGACCCGCCGAAAGATATTCCGTTTCTCAGTCGAAAGAGATGGTCATTTTGGGGCTTGGATGCAGCTCAACTGAGGGTCTCGTTAGGATAATAGTAATGAGGAAAGTGCCTCCGTATGAAGGTTCGATGTGATGCCGCTTCAGGTTGCCTGTTGATCCTTGTCGGTCGCTTGTTTCCATTCAAATTCTGCGCTTGTCAGCACTTGAAACATATTTGCAAAGAAGGAGGAAGCCTACTTTGACGGCACATGGGACATAGCCCCTTCGAAGACTCTTGCTGAATCCAAGTCAGAAGACAGTGCTATCAAGTGTTAGCTTTCTTTTGCTCTGCGCAGCCAGACCAGTATACCGACCATATGGAACGAGTGGCCACATTTGCCGATCAACAACGTGCAGTCGTCACCTGGGAATTTGCATGTAGGGCAGGTCCCGTCGAATTGCACCCGGCAGATTCCACAGACTTCATCCTCGGGCATATCCCATCGCCAGGTAGCAACCGCATGCCATTTCTTTATTTTGACCTTCATTTTGGAGACTCTTGACGGGACGAGGGCAGCGTTCGGTGCTTGGACTCGGTAGGCTTGATCGCTGCGGATAAAGCGTGCGACTTCAGGGCATCTTGCAGGGTGAGGTATTCAAGTTGAAGTTCTGGGATAGACTTGAAAGTCCGGTAATGGTCGTTGGACGTCCTTCACAAGCCGTGTTGCTGCATCAGTTTTGTTTGGCCTCCCGAAAGCGGGCAAGAGGCGGCAACTTAAAAAGTCCCCACTACGTCAACATCAAGTCCCGTGGGGGAAAGGGCGCTTCGTCAAGAGCTTCAGATCCTGAGTTTACACAGCTCTTGAACTATTCCTACTTCACGAGTAGTAGTATCGAAGACTCTCGTCACGTCTTGAAATAATGTACGTTGTGAGCTAGTACTACGATGAACTATACTGAATTGATCTAGACATCAACGTGGCACGGTTGCAACTTACCTCCATGACCGGCTGACCACCTCCAAAAAAAATGCCAATCAGCACGTCCACGTCGCCGCTTTGGCGTCGTGGAGCTCTTCGTCCCTCCGCTCTACAATACTACAGGACCTCCATACTGCAGCGCCACGCCTTCTCTTCCTACTTCGTCACGCCGAAGGAGCTTAACGATGCTATCAGCACAAACGCGCCGACAGCAATCTCGACCGCCCCAAAAGTCGTACCCATTTGTGCCGCATGGTTCATGCCCAACGATCCCGAGAAGAGAACGGGACTGGAAGTCTTCAAGAAGAAGCGAATACCGACGGCAAGGTTCTTCGACATCGATGAGATAAAAGACAGTGAATCCCCTTATCCCCATATGCTGCCCACATGTGAAGCATTTGCAGATGCCATGTCCAAACTTGGTGTGAAAAGAGATGATGATCTGGTGGTATATGATACTGAAGAGCTGGGATTGTTCTCTGCTCCACGAGTCGCCTGGACAATGAGAGTATACGGTCATCCCAAGGTACACGTGCTGAACAACTTCCGGCTTTGGGTAAAAGAAGGTTATCCTGTTGAGACGGGCCCTCCAGTGGTCCCTAACATTACGAAATACTCGGTTCCAAGCTACAACACGGATATGGTGGTCAAGTTTCCGGAGATGAAGACAATCGGATATGACTATGGCAAGGAAGGCTCTGAAGAAATCCAGATACTTGACGCACGATCCAAAGGCCGTTGGGAGGGCGTTGAGCCCGAACCAAGACCGGGCTTGAAGTCTGGTCATATGCCCGGATCAACTAGCTTGCCATTCCAAGAGCTGCTTGACCCTGAAACAAAGGCTCTCAAGCCTCGCGAAGAACTGCGCAAGATCTTCGAGGAGAGACACCTCGACCCGAACAAGCCCTTTATTACCACTTGTGGTACCGGTGTTACGGCGGCCATCATCGAGGCTGCTCTCAAAGAGGCGGACTATGGCTCCGAAGATGATCGAAGACTATATGACGGCAGCTGGACGTGAGTATTACCACGCTGTGAGGCTGCATAGAAGCTAACTTCAATAGGGAATGGGCATCCAGAGTGTCCCCGACGAGCGGCTTGATAGTGACCAGCGCCCCTACTCAGTGAACATTCAGTGCCTGCGGACGGTTATTTGTGAGGGTACCTCAAGCGTCGTTTTTGTTCTGTTGACAATTAGCGACGGCGCATTGGCTTTGATAGCATTTCCTCTACTCCTGAAAAGTACCTAGGTATCATAGGAGATTCGACTGTTATGGAATGGCCTTATTGTGACAATTCATACTTTGGGCTCCATCAGACCCTCGTAGCCGTATTCAAAGATTGTGATGCAGCAATTTCTTACCTGTCGCTATGCCGCCAGCGCATTGAGATGGTGTCGGTGTCCTCATGGTGGAAGATGCTCCGGCAGGCGGAGTATCCACCAATTATTGAGCTCCGGATTTCGAGCAATAAAATGAACCGCGATAGAATTTGTTACCTCTTCCCTACGAAGAACATTATACACCGCCCTCAGTTGACTTTTTGTGCCGTGGCCAATCCTGCCCTGATACCTGGGGTGCGTATTGGGGAATAGTGAGCCGTGGCATGGTGGTGCGCCGCTCGTGAGATGACACAGGCCGCGAAAGATGCCGGCAAATTCCTGAAGAGCACACTTCGCCTACCGTCGTCGACGTTCCCTCCGCGGCCGAAGCCCGCAGACATTGCCCGCTACCTCCCAAGATGCACAGATGACCTGTATGCCTGGCAGCGCCGGGAACGGCCTACAGCGAACACGTTCGTCCTGCACGATGGACCGCCGTATGCGAACGGGGAGCTGCACGTCGGCCACGCACTGAACAAGATCATCAAGGACATGATCTGCCGCTCCAGGCTTGCGGAGGGGAGACGGGTCGACTATGTGCCCGGCTGGGACTGCCACGGGCTGCCGATCGAGCTGAAGGCGTTGGAACAGCACGGCTGGGAACGTGGGCAAGGCGTCGACCCGGTCGCGATCCGGAAAGCCGCGAGGAAATTCGCCTACAAGACGGTGGAGAAGCAGATGGCGGGCTTCCGGTCATGGGGCGTCATGGGCGACTGGAAGAACCACTGGAAGACGATGGACAAGAGCTTTGAGATGCGCCAGTTGGCCGTGTTCCAGGCAATGGCGCAGCACGGGTTGATCTACCGCAAGCACAAGCCGGTGTATTGGTCGCCCTCGTCCGGGACTGCTTTGGCGGAGGCAGAGCTCGAATACCAGGACGACCACGTCTCGACGGCGGCGCTGGTCAAGTTCCCCTTGGACGCTTCGAGTTTCCTCTCGGCCGATGAGCCGGTCAGTGCTCTCATCTGGACTACTACGCCGTGGACGCTGCCTGCGAACCAAGCCATAGCAGTTCACTCCTCACTACAGTACAGTCTCGTGAGGTCAGACACGTTCGGACTGCTCATCGTCGCGGCTGCTAGAGTACCCTACCTGGCGGAAACCATTGGAGAGCAGGTAAAGGTCGTTGTGGAGTCTCTACCGATCGACAAGCTTCTGCGAAGCACTTATTCGGGTCTGAGCGAGTTTGGGGAAGGCGCTGCAAACAGACCGATCGTCCACGCGGACTTTGTGTCTGCCCAGAGCGGTACGGGTCTTGTCCACTGTGCTCCTGGTCATGGTATGGAAGACTACGAAGCTCTGCAGCCTTTGATCCAAGCCTCCAAGGTGTCCGTGAGAGCGCCGCTGGATAATCTAGGTCGTTTCGATGACACGGCCTCTCCCTGCAACCCCGGCCTGCTGGCTGGGAAATATGTGTTCAAAGAAGGAAACCGGGCGGTTCTGGAGCTGTTGCAGGAAAACGGGCTTCTCGTCCACCAGCATGAGTACAAGCACAAATACCCCATTGATTGGAGAACCAAGGAGCCTGTCATCATCCGCGCCACAGCGCAGTGGTTCGCCGATATCTCCAAGATCAAGAATGACACCATGCACGCCCTGGACGCGGTTCACTTCCTGCCGGAAACAGGAAAAAGCCGCCTAAGGAGCTTCGTGGAGAACAGAAGTGAGTGGTGCATCTCACGGCAGCGAGCCTGGGGAGTTCCCATTCCAGCGATCTACCACAAGGTTACTGGCGAAGCTGTGCTGACGCCAGAGAGTATTGGGCATATCATCAGAGTCATTAATGAAAGGGGAATCGATGCCTGGTGGTCTGACGTACCGGACGATCCACGATGGGTGCATCCTGGGTTGTCTCCCAACTCCTCCGATTATGTCCGTGGCATGGACACGATGGACGTGTGGTTCGATAGTGGTACGAGCTGGACATTCATGCGTCGCGATAAGGAAGGGTTGCTCGACCATCGCGCTCAATCAGCACCTCTGGCAGATGTTTATGTGGAGGGAACCGATCAGCACAGAGGCTGGTTCCAGTCGAGCCTTCTTACCAATGTAGCTTACCAGAAGTCATCGCAACCGAGTACGGCCTCGGACTCGCCGTCTTGTCATGCCCCGTTCCGGACCCTCGCTACGCACGGCTTCACATTGGACGCGCACGGCAAGAAGATGAGCAAATCTCTGGGCAACGTGATTGCCCCTGCGGAGATCATTGCCGGCATCCAGCCGGCTTCCAAGACAGTCTCGGCTCCAGCGAAGGCGCCACAACAGACCAAGGGCAAGAGGGAGCATCATCCGCTAGGACCCGACGCGCTGAGAATGTGGGTTGCAAGCAGCGAATGGACTAAGGACGTCGTGATCAGTGACAAGGTCGTCAGTTCTGTCCACAATGCTCTCGACAAGTACCGTCTTACGATGAAGATGTTGCTGGGCATGTTGGGAGATTTCGATCCACAAAGGCTCGTCCCATATGACAAGATGTCTCGCCTTGACCAGATTGCGATGCTGCAGCTCTACATCTCCTGTCACTCTGTGCGAAAGGCATATCCTGATCTGGAATTTCACAAAGCCGCTTCCGCCATCTATCGATGGGTAGCCACCGATTTGTCAAGTTTCTACTTCGAGGCAATCAAGGATATCATCTATTGTGAGAAGCCCGGAAGTGACAGGCGGCTGAGTGCTCAGACAGCGCTACATCATATTCTATGTCAGTTGCAAAACATGCTCGGACCGATCACGCCGCTTCTGGTGGAGGAAAGCTGGGAACACAGCTCGGAGAAATATAAAGCTGTGCTCGACCACCCCCTGAAGCGGATGTGGGCCTACCCGCCAGAAGAATGGTATGATGAGGCACTGGAGCAGGTCATGCCAACAGTCATGGCTATCAACTCAAGCGTCAAAGCCGCTCAAGAAACGGCTCGCAAGGAGAAGCTCATGGGACAGTCGCTTGCGTCGGATGTCAAGATCCACCTAGAGACAGGCATTGACCTGTCCAGCATTCCCAAAGAGACCTTGAAAGAGATCTTGGTGGTGTCTGAAGTAGAAATACTTATGGGGGAAGATGTCGACAATGCCGATGATCGGACGAGCGCCGACTTAGGCCAAGAGTGGACACGCTCGAGTGAGATTGTGTCGTCCGAAGGGAAGAGACTTGGGATAGTCCACGTTACCAACGCTCGTGGTGCAAAGTGTGCTCGATGCTGGAAGTATGTGGTCCCCCGTGAGACATTGTCCAAGCCTGGGGCGCAGGATATCGAAAACCCCCACCTGTGTGGACGTTGTACAGAGGCTGTGGCGGAATATCAAAAGTAGGCATCGCGTCTGTGTGCAAACGAGATACCCCTGTACCAATAATATGTTGTACACTCAACAGTATATGTTGCTCTTTCGGCGTTGAAGCTGGAGCACCTGCAAATCGACTGAGTCTGAGCCACAGGGGGCAGAAGGGACAGGGTACGAGCGGGAGGAAGGGCTCCCTACCGAGGCAAGGCGAGACCAGATTTTGCCGTGGACGATCACAAAGTCATCACAATTTGCGCTGATCATGGGATCTCTGCTGCTTGACGGGCAATCCTGCGAAGAACTCGTTAGCTGCGTCTGACCATACATAGCATCTGCCTTAAGTAGGCGATCGATGCGGGGGTTCCTTCAAGCGCAGTGCAGTGACTCGCATCAACGTGAACCGAGACTTGACTCGTAACAAATAGCTGTCGACACCGAGGATCTGCTGAGCCCAGACCTGTGTACAAGACACACACTGCACATGTCGTGTTGTTGATGTCCTGACTGATGGCCGTACGAGCTATCTGGCGTTCTGCCATGGTCGCGGTCGAAGTGAAGGCCTGAGGCCTGAGGCCCGCATACCCAGGGATGTCTCCATATATCCAACGTCATGAGTGACGTTCTGTGGCGGTAGCTGTGCTGCCTAGTAGTAGCCTGCAGACAACAAGCTGGAAGTACCAACCTCCAGTGGCCCATGGCCAGCTCCATCGAAAATGTGCCCGACATCGCAATGTCGTCGACGGCCGGGTAGCGCTTGCTGAGACTGGCGGAAACCAGTTACTGAAGCGTCTCGTGATGGATCTGGATTTTATCGTTGGGTGAGACATCAAACTGCGATAAAGAGATGTCAACGAGGAGCATTAGTTGGTGACGGCAAGAGCCGCAGCTAGCATGTCGTTTGGTGCATTCTGGTGTTCCTAGCAGGGGAGATGTTCTGCTACTTGTCCCGTCCACCGTGGCTGGTGTTTCGAGGTCACGATATCAGTGGCCAGTCGAAATTGGATGCGGCGCAGGCTGTAGCTAAAGAAAAAGGGCGCAGGATGGAAACATGGGGTCCCCTGTTAGACTCCTTGCCCCGCAATTTGTTAAGGAGTACGATCATCCAAGACTGCATCTCGCACCGCAATTCAAACAGGAATTGATACTCACAGAAACAAACAAACGACGGTGAGGATGAGGGGAGTTTTCGCCCATTGCACCACTCAGGATTCGGACTGGCCGGGTCAAGGCGGCAGCGGTCATGTGAGAAAGGATGATGGCAGCACACCACGATGGATCACTGCAACTTGAATGCTATTTGACGCACTGCAGGCCGGGGAAGCTGTGCAGAGTAGCAGCAACTTCGTCATCACTTGTTGATGCTCACAGCTCTCACCCGCTCTCACCTACTACTACTACTACTACTAACAACTACCCTTGTACCACTGCCTCTTTTTGACTGCTGCCTTCTTCATCTTCTTCTCTTCATCCTGCCTCCTGTCTCCTGGCAACCTCAATATCTACAGTGCAAGGCTTCCTGCTTATTTGCCATACCTATTGTTGCAATCGTACTCACGAGGCAGCCGTCTATTCCCGTTCTCTACTCTTGGAACCCATAACTGCTCAGGTTACGTTCTCGGCCGTCACCATGATCGTTCATCCAGATATGTTCAAGACTATCTTGCCCATTGCCACCTCCTCGGTGGCTCCCATTCCCACTGTCATCCCAGATCCTGTCATCGATGTCAAGGCCGGCGATGTAGGGCACCGGACTCTTTGGTACAGCCACCTTCCCTCATATTTACATGCCGTTACTCACACACTCCCAGGGTTGTCGTGGTCCTAATGGCCATTTCCTCGCTCGCTTTCTACGGGATGGCCTTCCGTGTGCCGGTGGTATGTTCCAGGCTCCACACATATTGAGCTACCTTTCTGATGGTTACAGCAAAAACGGCTTTTCCATATCCTCACTGCCTTCATCACTACTTTCGCCTTCTTGTCCTACTTCGCTATGGCTACGGGAGATGGCATCTCGATCAAGCAATACACAGTGACCGAACATCACAAGAATGTACCAGCCACACACCAAAGCTACGACCGTGAGATCTACTGGGCAAGATATGTTGACTGGAGCATCACAACTCCACTTCTCCTGTTGGACCTGGCCCTTCTGGCTGGACTTAGTGGTGCCAACATCTTGGTTGCCGTCATTGCCGATCTCATCATGATTTTGACGGGTTTGTTTGCGGCCTTGGGCAAAAAGGACAGCCAGACGTGGGGCTGGTATGCCTGGGCCTGCATCGCCTACCTGGTCATCGTCTATCAACTTGCCTTCAATGGCCGAAAGGCTGTCGCAGGTAAAGACAGCAAGACTAAGGCTTTCTATGGATCAATCGCTGGTTTCACTCTGATCCTGTGGACCATCTATCCAATGTGAGTTGTTAACGAAGTCCCAAACATAGTACTTGGTATTGACACCGCATAGCATTTGGGGCCTTTCTGAGGGTGCCCATGTTATTAACGTCAATTCCGAGATCGTGGCATATGCTGTACTGGATATTCTTGCCAAACCAGTAAGTGCATGCACCTCCCAAGAGAAGAATTCTGGGGAAGCTAATACAGCGCAGGTTTTCGGCTTCTGGCTTCTGTTCACGCACGATAGCATGGCGAGCACGTAAGTTGAACCTGGCACCGCCTTTCTGTGTCCAACTGACAGTTCTAGCACTCCGTCACTCGAGGGATTCTGGTCCCAAGGCTTTGGCAATCAAGGAGCTCTCCGAATCGGTGACGACGACGAAGCGTAAGCGCCTAGGTCGACCGCTTCCTCTTGACAGCGAGTGTACCATTCTATGGAACTCGTCAAAAATCGTCAACCTTAGTGCCGCTGGATGGGCGACTGGACGAAGAGGCTGTCGTGATTTGAGAAAACCGGTGGAGATGAGCAGTGGTGAAAAGGGGTGACATTGGTGCATAATTCAATGAAGCGGGACCACGTTGAAGTGAGGTACAAAGCACTTGCTTTCTCAGGGCTGGGAGTGTTCTTTGTGCAGCAGGCGGAGACCATCAAGCTTGTTGGGCTTGTGGTACAGTAACAGCATTGATTTCTTGCATGACAAAACCCAGGCTCAAGGGTGCATGGTACAACCATGACAATTGATTTGAGAACATGCCATCGCCATCTTGTTGACTGCCGACATCTCGATTTCTCACACTTGCAGACCCTCCTCAATGTTGTTGAAACGGTGCGCTGCCACCCAAGGCATGGGCATTCATTTCAGAATGATCCAAAGATACGTCTCATACCCAAGAGGCAAGTGGCAACCAAGCACACCATCAGGATCATTATTTTCAGGCTCCCAGAACGCCTGATATCACCCAGAAGACTGGCACCACTGCGTCCTCGATCGACCTTTCTTTATATCTTGTCTCTTGTCTCTGCAATCCTCTCCATGGACGGAAAATCTGCTTTGTTGCATCGCCATGCTAAACAGATGCTCATTGTACTTCGTTGACAACTTGAAGCACTAACAATGCTGCTCTCAATCACCTGGTCGTTGTCGGTGATGGCACTGGCTGTCACCAAGGCTCAATGCTTAGTATTCCCAGGACCAAGGTACTCTCATCTTACCTGGAACGCTTCCTGCGGTTGTAACTGACCATTGTTGCACCTGTTGAGTAGCTTTACTGCGCAGTCCGATGTCGATACTTCGACTGCCAGCGCAAACTGCACCCATACAATATACACCCAGCCGAAGCTTGTGTTCGGACCAACCAGCACATCCTATTCCATCACCACCTACACTTCGAAACTATATGATTGCTTCGGTTGCAGCAATATCGACCTCCTTCCCATAGGTCATATCCTTGTGGTAAGACTTTTTGTGACGGGGGTGTCTCTTTCGGTCAACTCTCGAGCGTGTTTTGACAACATTCGACATCCAGGAAGTCCACTATACCACCACGGTGACGGCGACAACTGCGACCACGATCACAGCACCGAAATGCAGCTCCAACGCTACTACACAGGAGGAGGATGATACACGTTAGGGACAAACAGGATCTCCAGCCTGCAAATACTGAAGAGTTGTTCAGCATCATACATTCATTGTTCGGATCGGTGAGAATTAGCAGCATAAACCAGGACGATGTTCATCGGCAGGGCGGGCGGTTCGGGGCGTTCCCATAGTACAAGGAATATGTCCACTTGGTTATTCGTTCCTAACCTATATTGGAGATCTTGGCCGTCTCAATCAAAGGATTCAGCCTCACCTCTTCCCTCAGATTAGTGACCACTGACCTTCTTCTTCAGGCAATTTCACGAACGACGACTGCGACCATAGCAAGTGAGTATCTTGGCCTTGTCTGATTGCATCGCAACGACATAACGACGACCGGAACCATCTCGGATGTTTGGTTACATTCAAAGAGGGCATCCCTGACACCCTCTCGGTGCATCAATCCTCAACCACAGCAGGCATGTGCGGGCCAACAGCCTCCGAGAATGGCACAACTACCAGAATGGGACATACAGCGGCAGTTCCCCTCGCTGGCATCGACAGGCTCGCTTGCTTTATAGTGGCGTAGCCCATCATTTGTCCTCTGTCGATCACAAAGGGAGAGCCTAGGACCCCGCAAAGCACAGGAGTGCCAATTGTGGCTCCTCCACCCCGGCTTTTCTAGTTCTGGGGGCATCGTTTTGCGTGCTGATCATGAGGTTCCCCAGGTTGCTATGTTCTTTGCTAACACTCAGCTCGGTCGTATCTTCACCGAGTGCTTCTGGACATTCAATGGCTCCATCATTCCACCAGCCATGACCGTCGTCCCACAGATTCCTCCGGGATTGCGGAGTCTCCAGTTTGATGCCGTATGCCTCTCCGACCGGTTCTTGCTGTATCCATGGAGCCGCTGATGTATGTATCCCTTCTTATACTCCAAGCTCATGGGAGTATATATCTAGCAGGGCCTGAACGTTGAGTCAACGTCTCCACCCATCAGAATTCTCCCTCCCCTCCGTTCCTCATCTGTGGTCCAAGATGCCGCTATACAAACGCAAAGTCACCGTGTCTGATGGGGAGATCACCAACGCAGCCCATCTCACATTGAGACAGTCTTTGTTGCCAAATTGCCTGGGTAAGTAGTTCGCTGGCATCTCAATCAGCCCCTGGACCGTCATGGGAGTGGAAAGTGTTTTGTCAATGCATCAGCTGCTTTAGCATCTTCCAATGATCTCGACAACTCATACACAGACACTGACCGGTTCTAGTGACGATCCTCTTCTTCCTTTGGGGTTTCGCGTACGGTCTCTTGGATGTCTTGAACAGCCACTTCCAAACCACGCTGAACATCACCGCTTCGCGGTCTTCTGGCCTCCAAGCCGCGTATTTTGGCGCATACTTCCTCTGCCCTCTGACGATTTCGGGATGGATCTTGCGACGCTTTGGCTTCCGGTAAGAATAAGGTCATAGAACAAGGAGGTTCAGCAACACTTGTTGACTATTTTTGCTCGGCAGGGTCACGTTCATGACCGGACTCGCAGTCCTTACCGTCGGATGTCTTCTCTTCTGGCCCAGCGGCGTCAAGAAGTCCTTCGGCGGCTTCTGCGGTAGCATGTTCGTGGTTGGGATGGGACTTTCGACGTTGGAGACGGCCGCCGACCCATTTCTTGCAATCTGCGGACCTCCACGATACAGTGAAATCCGCTTGAATCTGGCTCAGGCCGTCCAGGGTGTCGGCAGCTTCGTCGCCCCATTGTTGGCCAGCAGGGTGTTCTTCGCCCATACCGGTGAGACCCGTTCCCGCAGACGTGTCCTCGTGGACGCTGAAGACTGATGTGTATGGTGACAGTCGATACCGACCAGGGATTGAAAAACGTTCAATGGACGTATCTTGGCGTGGCATGCTTTGTCGCCTTGCTTATCATCCTTTTCATCCTGGCTCCCTTCCCTGAGATCACTGTAAGCATGCCCCTGAGTTCAACCTGGATTGGCTTACACCTTGCAGGACGCGGATATGCAGAACCAAGAACATGTCATTGCAGAATACAATCCTGGACCACTCCGGAAGCAATACACGCTCTTTCTTGGTGTCTGGTGTCAGTTCTGCTATGTCGGTGCCCAAGTCGCTGTGGCGGGTTACTTCATGTGAGTATTTCCCGCCGTTGACAGAAATGTCAGGGATCATGCAGCCAAGACTAACCAGTTCCTTCTTTGATAGAAACTTTGTAAAAGAGACTGGCCGATCCGCAGCTAAGGCGTCCGACCTTCTGGCTGCGGCCCAAGGAATCTATGCGGCAAACCGTTTCATTGCCGGCTTTCTCCTGATGATCCCTGCTGTCAAGCCCCGGTACATGCTGATCGGGTACCTGGGAATGTGCTGCGTACTGGCACTCGTCGCGGCGCTGACCCGTGGGACCACATCCGTGGCGTTCCTGATGTTGGTGTTCATTTTCGAGTCGTCTTGTTTCGCCAACATCTTCACATTAGCACTGCGCGGACTCGGCAGGCACACCAAGCGCGGAGGCAGCTGGCTTGTCGCTGCCATTTCAGGTGGGACAGTCTGGCCCAGCATGACGGGAGCCGTGGTCACGGCACACAATGCTCACATGGCCATGCTCATCCCGATGACCGGTTACATTGTCGGCATGGTGTTTCCGATCTATATCAATCTTATCCAGCGGGAGAGAATGGATATGCATCGCGCCACGACGGTCGGTATTGTAGCGGCGAATGAAAAGGAAGTTGAGCTTGAGAGGAACCCAAGTCTCGCGGATAAGCCCCAGGCTGTAGAAATCCAAGAGGCAGATTTGAAGTGACCCAGGGGATGGGGGACTTTCGGTGTACTTGGGGAGATAAATAAAGACCTTGGTGTTACGTGTATGCCAGATGAAGAAGGGGATTTTGAGAAGAGACAATTCTATTACTGGGGGTTCAACCTCCGCGCCTTGCTGTATGCTTTTGTCGTGAGGCAAGCTTTCCTGCCATCTTCCCGGATCTCCTTTCGACATTCTCAGCACACGCAAGCCGTACTTGGAGCGTACTCGTTCACAATGGGAGGGTTCTGGATCCTGCGCGACACTCGTGCGTGATACTCGTACGCAGTCTTCCCCTTCCAACCACCCGTTAGCGTGGGGATAGAGTCATACCTCGAGAAAGACTGTGATGATAGTAAGGCAATCTAGCATAGCTCACGCGTTGGAACCATGGGGAACCATGGCTGACTACCTTGTTGTGGGCTCTGTCAATGTGGTAAGTTCTGGGATAGGCACAGTTCTGCTTGTTGAGTATGTTCCTCGACAACTTAGTTGGAGCATTTTGATGACTTCCGTCTGCAGCATTGGATATTAGAGTGCAGCACCGCAATCATGAGATGACATGATACTTCTTTCCGCGTAATACCGCGTCTTCCCAAAGGACCCGTTCGGGCAGAGCCTCTTCGACGGTAAATCGGCAAGAGAGGCGGATCAGGCTGAGGGAGATGATTATTAAAGCGGCGTGACCTCAAAACGGCTTGTTCGAAAAGTTGTCTGCTTTCAAGTTCAAGTTGCTTGGGCGCCGCCGAGTAAACATGAACAATTCCTCTCGTGGTCTCTCTACTCGGTCCGTCTTCAGCGAGTTGAACAACTTCACCTAGCCGTGTCACCGAACGCAGGTTCGGCTCGTCCGCAGAGAAACTACACTATATAGTATCCGCCGTAGCTGCTATACCGGTCCTGGCCTCGATCCACACCTCAACCTCGTTGTCGGAGAATTGAGCAGTATTTTCTCCCGCAACCCTTTAAACGATTCTACAGATCAACCTGCAAACATGGACCAAGCAGCCGCCCAACCCCGGAAGTGTCCGGGCCTGAATTGCGAAAACGATGCGTCGACATTACAATGTCCGAAATGCAAGGAGATGGGAGTTGACAGTTTCTTTTGTTCGCAAGACTGCTTCAAGCGAAGTTGGGTAGGTGGTGCCCTGTCTGTTTGAGAGTTGAACATGAACACGGCCAAGGGGACTGACTTGTGAACCAGGCCGAGCATAAAACAGTACATAAGAGTACGAACCCGCTCCGCAACATTTTCCCCCCGAGTGTCGTATCTAAAGTTGATCCAGAAACCGGCCACTACAACCCGTTCCCTACCTATCCGTTCACCGGCTCTCTCAGACCTGTCTATCCTCTGTCCCAGAAGCGCGAAGTTCCCAAATCGATACCGCACCCGGAATGGTGGCAAGATGGCATGCCCCGATACCCGTACGTGAGGAAAAACAACATCCAAACATTAGACGAGAAAGGGATTGCGGGCATGCGCAAGGTGTGCAGATTAGCCAGAGAGGTTCTCGACATTGCAGCGGCTGCTGCAAAACCGGGCGTCACGACCGACTACATCGACGAGATTGTCCACAAGGCCTGTATAGAACGAAACGTGAGTGCGCGCGCGACTCCTTCCTTTCCTGATTGTATGTCCACCCTCTGACTCTCTGGTCTAGTCATACCCTTCACCCTTGAACTACAACCATTTCCCAAAGTCTGTATGTACGTCGGTCAACGAAGTCATCTGCCACGGCATTCCGGACCAGCGAGTCCTCCTCGACGGCGACATTCTCAACATCGACGTCACCCTCTACCATGGAGGCTACCACGGTGATCTCAACGAGACATACTATATCGGCGACCAGTCCAAGGCGGACCCTGACAATGTCCGACTGGTCGAAACCACGCGACAGTGTCTCGACAAGGCGATCGAGCATGTCAAGCCGGGTGTGAAGATCAGCGAATTCGGCGACATCATCGAGAAGCACGCCAAATCCCAGAATCTCAGCGTCGTCAAAACCTACTGTGGCCACGGCATCAACTCGTTGTTCCACTGCGCGCCTAATGTGCCGCACTATGCGAAGAACAAGGCCGTGGGGAAGTGCAAGGCCGGCATGACTTTCACTATCGAGCCCATGATCTGTTTGGGCAGCTACCGCGACAAGACGTGGCCGGATGACTGGACAGCCGTCACTTCTGATGGCAGTCGCTCGGCCCAGTTCGAACACACCATGCTTGTCACCGACGACGGCGTCGAGGTCCTGACTGCGCGGTTACCGGATTCGCCTGGGGGGCCGATCCCAATCCCGGTAGCCACGAACGGCGAGGCCACAAATGGCGAGACTGCAAAGGCTTGAAGTGGGACGATGTGTTTTGGACTACTAGTCGGCCCATCCCATCACGGGCTGGCGGATCTACAGATTATGTATCAATGATACCCCTGTGACAATAGTGACTATGGGAAATATATTGTAGTCTCTGGCCAGGTCAAGATTCGATGATCTGACGACTATTTCAGCCCAATGGAGGTCATGACTCTATTGTCTTCTTCACACGGCTGTCGTCCCTTGATAAGTGTCTTCCGGAGAAGCTAGACACGCAGTGAGTGCCCTGTACACGCCATAAACCGCCAATATGTAGCCTCACAGAGTCCAATCCATAGTAGTATACTAGTGGTCTGGGAACTGTATCCATGATATAATGGTAGTAGTAGACATAGAATTGATTATTTTCGGTATTGACTGCCGATATACTTTTCTCCAGCAATTTTCCGTCTGGTGGGATCTAGTATTCCACTCAGATACATGTGCAGCGGCGGCGGCGATGCAACTAGGTAATCACTTTCTGCCCCAGGTCCGGACGCGGAAGAGGTAATACAATGAGAGGGCGGCGAAGACATTAAAGCCAATAAAGGCCCAGACGATGCCAAAGTCCCTCCAGCCATCACCGGCATAGATGTCCCTCTGGCCCAGAAACTGATCAGTCACTCTCAACGCACAGTAGCGACAATCGGCGGTGGCATCGGGATTGACCAACGCGCCGCCCGCGGGGCCAGCAGCCTCGAGATAGCGAGCCATGTACTGGCCACAGGTGGAGCCCGGGGACGGCTGAAAGAGACTGAGTTCGTTGCGGGCACAGCGCACCTCGCGGCCACTGATGACCGTGACGATGCCGTTGACGATATAGGTCATGGGACTGACGCGGTACATGAAGATCCAGAAGCCCGGCAGCGAGACGCTGGGCAGCAGCACGCCGTTGAAGGTCAGGGTCAGGTAGAACAGCAGCGTGGCGATCTCGCCGGCCGTCTCGGCGTCCGGGAGCGCGGCAACCACCATGTGTGCGAACGTGGAGCCGAAGACGAAAAACTGGATGCACAGGAGCAGTACTAGTCCTTGCTTCTCCGACGACGCGATGCCGAAGACCGGGTAGTTGAAGGCCGCGAAGACCATGATGCCCAGCAGCACCGCGTACGGCATTTCCACCAGGATGTTCGACACCATGAACGCCGCCCAGTGGTACGTGCGGGACGGCCGCTCGCGCACTTCGTACAGGTCGCGCTGGAAGATGAATTGAGGCATGATCTGCTGTACTAGCGCCACGAAGATGGCTGTCATCATGAATACCGCGAAGATCATCGATTGGATCGCTTGGATCGATCGCCCGGGGATGTAGAATGAGAAGCCGATGAAGACTGGTGAGAAATGGTTAGTCTCTCAAACACACACTCTCCCTCTCTTTCTCTCTTTTTCTCGGGTATACCGCAACGGAGAAGGTCATGGATGGAATGGGTGGATAGATGGGACGAAAGGGGATAGTATGAGGTGGATGGCTTGTCTATGGAAAGAAGACCAAGTCGGAATCGTGCTGTGCTTGGTGCTGTGCTGGGTGCTGTGCTGTACTGTGCTGGGTATCTGGGTGTCAGAAGAACAAGACTTACGTGCAGCGGCAATGCCCAAGGTATATTTACCACCAATGTACGTCGGGGTGCGCCAGTACTGCTGGAACACGCGGATCGAGACCGCCACCAGCTGATCCCACAGCGGCATGGCGAATTCGGCGTGGTCTCCTGGCGCGTCGACGTCCTGGGCGTGTTTCTCCTGCAGGCGACGCTGGAGACCGTCCAGTTCGGCGTTGAGGGCGGCGGCTTCGTTGCTCTCACGCCAGATGGCCGGCCAGTCCACTTTGGACTCGTTCGAGCCGGCACCGGCTAGCTCGAGGATATATTCGGCCGGGTTCTCGGTGTCGCCGCATTTGCGTGCGCCGTTTCGGTGGAAGTAGTCGAGCAAGAGCGACGAATCTTGGCCGATGTCGCCGAAGTAGACGGTTCGACCTCCCTGGGCGAGGAACAAAAGGCGGTCGAATTCCTCGAACAGCGTGCCTGACGGCTGATGGATCGTCGACAGCACCGCTTGACCGTTGTCCGCCAGCTTGCGCAGAAAAGACACGATCGACCAGCTGGACTGGCTGTCGAGGCCGGACGTCGGCTCGTCCAAGAACAGAAGCAGTGTAGGCTTAGCCGCCAGCTCGACGCCGATGGTCAGCAGCTTCCTCTGTTCCACGTTCAGTCCTTCTCCTGGCACGCCGATCACTGCGTCGGCGAAATCGGTCATGTTGAGCATTCGAATCACTAGCACAGGATTGTCAGTATGGAAATATAAATAGGTGCTCTCCTAAGAGCTAGATTCATAGGAATTGGAGACAGACTTACCCTTCTCGACGTAGGCATACTTCTCCTCCACGGACGTGGATTTCGGCTGACGCAACAGGGCAGAGAAGCGCAAAGCCTCGCGCACAGTCGACGTGTGCAGATGGAGATCCTGCTGCTGCACGTACCCTGTCCTGCGTGGGAAACTGGCGTTCAAAGGGTTACCGTTCACCAACATGTCTCCGGTAACCACGCCGACCGAGACTCGTTGAGCCAGGACATTCAGGAGAGTGGTCTTGCCGGCGCCAGACACGCCCATCAGAGCCGTCAGCGTGCCTGGTTTGACCCAGCCGCTGACGCGATCCAGCAGCCGTTTCTGATCGTTGCGATACTTGATGTCGTAGCAGACGTTGCGCCACATGAACACGTCGCCTTGCTTGGGCAGGGCGTCGAGCTCTTCGTCCTGCTGGTCCTGACTCGGACTCGGTTCTTCCACGACCGTCTTGGACTCCTTTTCTGACATGCCCTGCTGGATGGATTTGGGAACATGGCCCGGTCGGAAGACCAACGTCTCGGCGGTCGACGTGGAATGCGAGTTCAACTCCGTCACGGTCAGGTAAAGCACCAGGAAAAAGAAGAGGAAGGCCAACAGGATGCCGAAGTTCCGCCACAGATGGGAATGTCGATATCCGAAACTCGCATCCAAATATCGGTCGCCGTTCACATACAGTTGGCCGGGGATGGCGCCTTTCTCGCCACACACAAATAACTCGCTGGTGCCGCTCGTGAAGCCCGGGTACGCCGGGATCACGTCCGAACAGGGGAAATTCCGGCCATGGAACTCGTTGACCATCAACGCCTCGAACGCGTAGGCTAACGGGTCGATCCAGGTCAGCCATTTGAACCAGGGATGCATGTTGGGCCGTGGGATGACGAAGCCGGTGTAGATGACCACAGCGAGCAGAATGACGCCTGCCGCCGCGAGGGCTTGGGCGATGGTCTTGGACGCGGCCGCCACGGTCCGGAAGATACTACTCATGGAGAGCAGCGCGGCGAAATTGACGATGAAGAAGATGAAGAACGGGCCTGGCTCGTACCGCAGCCCGCCGAGGAAATAGATGATGGTGTTGAAGACGATACTGGCCGCGATCTTGATCGTGAGGTCCGACACCACGCCCGCCAGAGCCTCTGCGAAGGGATGGTAGAATGCGTATGAAGCGTGCTTCTCGACAATTGGTCGTTGGGCGTAAAGCGCGTTGATCTCGGTGACGGTGAGCAAAGAGTTGAGCAGGACGGTGAAGAACAGTAACGAGCTTTTGGAGAAGAATGCCTGTGTGCCGAAGGGAGTGCCGTAGAATAAAGACGCGATGATCAGTGCCATGACGGTATTGCCTCCGATAGTGGTCGCCGTCGATGCTATGTCGTTCCAGATGCGCTGATATGCCCGCTTCGTGCACAGCATGACCTGCATCCTGTTGTTGATCGTGTAGGGTGACTTGGGCCGCGTGTGTTTCGCCTGCCGTTGCCGTTTACTCTCGATGAATTCCTCCGCCGTCGTGCCCTCCCGGTCGAACTTCTCCAGGTTGGCGGCAATCTCGGCCTGAAGAGCGCGAAACTCGGGGCTCGCTCTCCAGTATCTCTCAAACTCTTCGGCTGTCCTGGGCACCCGATCTTCGAAGCCCTCCTTGGCTTCTCTCTCCCGAGGACTCGTCAACCCGGTCAGAAAATCACCGGTGCTTTTTCGTGATGGACACTTCCATCCCATCTGCTCGAAGAACTGCTTCGCGTGCGAGGTGGAGCCGAAGAAGATCTCGCGGCCCTCGTAGAGGAGAATGACCTTGTCGAACCGGTCGTACATAGCTTGAGAGGCCTGGTATGCGGCCACGAGATGCGTCGTGCCGAAGATGCGCGAGCTCAGCTCCAGGGCCTTGACGAATTCGAATGCCGACGCCGAGTCGAGCCCTCGCGTGGCATTGTCCCAACAACATAGAGGCGAGCCGGCCAAAGCCATTTCCGCAATCGACACCCGCTTCCTCTCGCCTCCACTGACGCCCCGGATGTAGTCGTCGCCGACTTTGGTGTGCACGGCATGGGACAGTCCGAACACGGCCAACACCACATCCCGGACCTGGTTGATGTAGTCCTTGCGCGACATGCCCGGCTCACGACTCCGCGGAGCCCTTGCGGCCGCTGCAAACGTGAGTGTCTGGCCTACCGTCAATTGTGGGAAGTCTGTGCACTGCGTCAGCTCAGTACTTAAACCAAAGGGTAACACTTACGCTTCTCGGTTTCGCCGTTGTACAAGATATCGCCTCTGAATTGCTGCTTCATCATCTTCTGCGGGATCCCGTCGTAGCTGACACAGCTTCCTTCTCCCACACTGAGTCCGTCGTAGTTGGCCGCCATGGACTTGAGAAACGTCGAACACCCCGATCCAGGCCGGCCTAGGACAATCAGCATCTCGCCGCGCTTGAGGATGCCATCGAAGTTCTGCAGGATGGCCTTATGCCGTTTCCGACCGTGGACCATTTGCTTGAGGTGCAACGGCGTGGTTAGAATCGAGCCCACGGATTTCTGGAGCTTGATCTCGGCCGCGGATCCATGGACGGACAGATCCTTGAAGATGACACCCGTGTGTCTTCGTTTGATGGCCCCGGTTGAGAACTGCTCGACTTTGAATCTCATCCACTCGCTGAGATCGAATTTATCGCTGGCCGGATCGATTTCCGGTCGCTTGTACCCAGCTGGTTGGCTGCCAGCTGATCGCGCCGACTCGTTGGTTGCTATACGCTGTAAATGCTCCCGCTCCGCCTCCGACCACATGGGCTCATATTGCGCCGTGTCGTGGATTGGCTGGTGTGGCCCATCTTTGGAAGCATGATCATCGTGCTGTTGTCCAGATCCTTTCAGTGTAGACTCCGACATGGCCGTGACGGCAGGCTGGCTGGCTCATGCGCTGTAGGTCGATGTCAAGGAGTTGGGAGCGCACGGGTAGTGTCGTGCGGCCATCGAAGGTGAAGTTGAAGAAGTTCCATACAGAGAACCGGGGCAATCTAGGACCCTCTAAGTACTAGTATCTCACAAACAACAATGCGAGATCGAGGACAGATCCCAAGCCACTAACCAAGTCGACCGCGTGTAGTGGACCGCACGGTGGTCTGACCGTATGTGGCTTCGTATCTCGTATTCTCTGTATACAAGTCCGTCCGGACTTTTTGTACCCTGGGACTCTCTCGTCCGGACATGCGCATGCGCTTTGGTGAGATATACCCTGTATGGTAGAACATGGTAGATGGATGTAGTCCAGATAGATCACCGGTGCCTGAGCTAGTCGTCGTCATGCAGAACGTTGTCACATTGTTTCTGCCCATGAAGCTTGTTTGCTAGCCTGGCATCTGGTCTCTGGGCATCGGGATTCGTCCCTCATCTCTAATCCAGAGTATAAAATTGAGTTGGTCGAGACTGATGAGTAGACCTGTACAGACTCGCTTTAATCCGTGCCATAAGGTCGGGCCTGAGTCATCGTCATCGTCGTCGTTGCTGTTCGCTCTTCTGCCCTTTATCTTGCTATCTTCGCTTTCGCAATGGCACAGGACGGTGCACATGTTACGTTGGTGGCAGCCAGGCATGCTCTCTGGACCTGGATCGAATCCGAGACCCAACTGTCCGGCCGTCCTAAGTTGCATAAAACGATGGATCCATGGCCATGGGGAACATCCGCTGGGCCCAGTCGACTAGAGAGGATAAGGGACCCATTCATTTCCTTATAGGGTCGTGCTTCAATTAGCAATTTTCATCGACGGCATGTGTTATTTCTCTCCTCTCCCTGAACAAGCGGTGTTCCTGTGGCCTGCACTTGCGCATGTTGAAGCTGTCTACAAGTTTGTTTCAGTCTCTTGCATTGTAGCCCTCGCGCATTGATTTGACACTCATGGTAGCCGGCTGGAAATAATGTGTTCCGTACAAGCGTTGTTGATATCGAGTAATCGAGCTGCGACATTTTCTTCAGCCGAGGTTCAAACAGCCTGGTATCCATCCTCGCCATCTTCTTTCTGTCACATGCGCGAGGCTATGTTTGCGTTTTGCCAATCAGGACTTGCGAGGCTGTGGAGCTTCGGACGTATGTATGGAGTGGATGAATGATAGATAGCCTTTGACGGCCGGCGACTGTGCTATTGTCGCCGGGGGTCGTGTTGCGTATATGATTGTCGTACAGACCCTCATATAACAGTGGCTTATTCCGTAGGAGAGCGGCTGAACACGTAAGCCTGCTACTGCCGAGATTTACAAGAATCTTGGAAGTGCAGTGGGAGACATAACGGTAGGTATGTAGGTACGTACTGTGTGGTACTGCAGTGCTGCTAACCCCGTGATTTACAGCCTGATCACGTGCACGCGTTGTTCTCCCTGAACTATTCGAAGACTCGGATGCCACAGGCTGCCGACTTCACACATCCTACATACAGTACGTGCATGGCTGTGTATCACAATGGAAATCTAAGCGGTAACCGAATAGGGATCCGCGAGTCGTTGACGGTACAGAGATGGGGCGTGGAACAACAGAAAACTAGGGAGTCGCTGATTCATTTCAGAACATTTTCATTTTCTGTGGTGGTGTCTTTGCTGTCGTAGCTCAACAAATGCCGTATGTGTCTGCGTCTGCGTCTGGTTCGGGTTGGAGTATTGCCAGTGCAGGGCACCCGATAGCGCCGGTCGGTCCTCTGTGTTCCGCGGCATGCCTCCGTGACGCCCATCGACCACTCATCAACACAGCGACAAAAGCTCGAATGTTCTTGTCCTCTCAGCCCACTGTTCTCCCAGCACTGCACATTACCTCTGCAACCTCATCCCAACCTACAAGCCTTCTTCAAGTGGGCGGCGATGCCTGTGGCCTCTGTACACAGCCTGCGCTACTTCGGATCGATCGCACAAAATGACCCTGTGCAACAATCAGCTCTAGCTTGTGATAGACCCTCTTCGACAACTTACCACTTGCGAATGACTGCACATACTTGGATATTTGATGCTAACGGCGTTTTGGGGTGCGGTACGAAGCTAGGCCTCGCGCGATATCCAGTGCCTCCCATTCCTCATCCGTGATATTGTTCGCCAACTTATTTTCAGCGGTCGGAGCTTGCGGTCTAGGTTCGACGGTCACGACAGATGGCTGCCGAAATGGGTCTGGAACTGGTCGGTTCGGAGCGGGATTATATGCGGAAACGTCAATCGGGGTCGGGGTGACGAATTTGAGCTCACGGGGTCCGATGATGCAGTGTGTGTCGAGAGGATCGACGGCGCCGCGGCATTGAGGCCGACCACACCAGGGATGAGTTCCGCACCTCGCACACCACAAGCCTCGCGAACGTCGAACGTCCTCAGGGAAGCTCTCACAGGCATGGCCGCAGAAAAGACAGGGGTTTGCTTGGAGGATTTTGCCGACCTTCTTCAGCTTCTCCAATTCTGCTTTCTCACCCACTTCCAATTTCTCTGTTTCGAAATACTCGAGATACTCTTCCAGGCAGAGGATTCTTTCCTTGATGTGGTCCTTGATCGCGAATCGCTCGATCTTCCATTCCTTGCTTCCCGGCTCGCAAACCCATTCCCAGTTCTGTTTGCTCACGATGGTGTGACGTTGGGGGAGGTTGTCCACGCCAAACGCAGCGAACCCTTGGTGTGGAATACCAAAGGCGTGGTTGTCTGGGTCACAGTTCACACAATGTTTGACCGCGATCTCGAGACGTGGTCGTGGTCCGAGCCACTCCCGCGCGTTGCCTAAGGTCTCCGAGATCGAGTATTGGTGCTCGCAATTGTAGATAGAGACATGGATGGTGATTCGGTCGAGTTGAGGGGCGTTTCTGAGACAGACTATCGATCGGAAGACACAGACATCATTTCCAAGATGACGTCTCGCAGTTGGGTCGTTGATACCGCTGTATTCAAACTGTTGGAAGTACTTCAGAATAGTGACAGCTCTGATGGAGCTGGAAATGGTGGGTGCGATATCCCAGAGGAAGACGGTGTCGCTAAACAATAGCTCTGCGTTGTGCCAGAACTGTCGTCCTTGGTTTTCGTAACGGGTCTTGCGACAGAGGCCGAACAATGCACGGTCGATCTGGACTTGTTCCACACGCTTCAGAGCATCGTCGCCCTCGGCTTTGTAGATCCATGCCTTGGTACACCAGGGGTTTGCACGACTCTCTGGCTCAACCAAGACGTCGGCAGGGAAGTCAGGGAGGACATAGTCGTAGATCTTGTTGATGACCTCTGGGGGGAACTTCAATAGATTCATAGCCTCCATCGCCGCGCCGATCAGAAAGTGAGTGGCCTAGAATGCTTGTTGATGAGATGGAAAGGTCGCTCAGGAAAGTCATTGCAGGTTTAGTGAGGTTCACGAAGGCAGTATAACACAGGCATTGACAACCTCATGTTGCCGCACCCTGTGTTTGCGCACCTACTAAGGGTAGACTGCGCCGCCATCTTTGTCTCTTTGTCAAGCAGCTGCATACACTCACAGACCGATGCAACAAGGAATGGTGGTAGTCACAGATGGACGGAGAAGATACGAAATGAGCCGAGTGGAAAGAAAGGGGTCGCTTTATGGGTTCTGACTCTGTTGGAATGTCGATATCAATATGTGCAGCAACGCACATCTGATCCCCCGTAACAAACATACGGCGGACCATGACATCACTGCAACAATTCTGTGATGGTGACTCGGAGCCTGCGCAAGTGCGACGACGGCCTTATTACTACTATTATTACCTTCTCTGCTCTCATGAAGACTGAGACAATATGAAATTCCCTCTCGACAAACGTCCATCAAATATGTCTGTATCTGCATCCAGTGCATTATGGCTGAGCAGAACTATCGGAAACCATTGCTCGTGGCTCTGGCCGGCACAGTAGTCCTCACTGCGGCTTTCTATGCCTTTGATCATTACTCCAGTCGATCGACGAAGGTGCAGCCTGATCACTCGGGTGCCCTTCATCGTAGCAACGCCATCCGGAGACCCAGGCACCCAAGACGCTGGCGTCAGGGGTTCGAACAGGCTCCCCTCGATTACGACCCTACCGAGCGAGCCATCAATCGTCTGGAAGAACGAAACGAGCGAAGACAAGGCTATGGAGAATATCAGAACAAGTGGTTTTTCCCAACACCAGAGGACGCTCAGGGAGTGGACTTGATTTTAATTCCTTGCAACCTGAGGTCGATCTATGTCTACCTGCTGCAGCACTCGCCGGCACCACTGTCCCCGTACCAACAAGACTGTCTGCGATTACACGTTCACGGAGTATTCACCCAGAATTTCCTACGCGAAGAGTATCCCGAAGGTTACATCATCGGTGATGACGCCTACATCGTGGCGCGAGGGCTGGAGTTGCTCGATGTCGCGGAAGAGATTGTCTACGAAGTGGTCAAGGCTTTCGATGATGGTGTATTTCATCTGAGCGAGGAGTGGAGCCCTCTTGATGCGCCCATCCAGAGCCCTAGGATGCCCCCTGTGCAGACTGACGGCATGGTGGACGGTCTCGGCCCTCAAGACGCTCTCGAGGCGTTGGCCAACCCAACGAGAGAGGACGAGGAAGACAGCGAGATCTCATACAGTAACAATGATGAAGATCCCGAGGGAAGTCAGAACATGCTCGATCTCCTCTATCATATCGCTGGCGAGCAAGCGCGGCGGGAAGGATACATTCACCGTGGCGTCGAATGCAATAGCTGCGGCATTCACCCAATCCAAGGCATCCGGTATCACTGTGCAAATTGCTTTGATTATGATCTGTGCGAGAGCTGCGAGGCTAGCTCCGGCCACATCAAGAGTCATGTGTTCTTCAAAATAAGGATACCAGCTCCGTCCCGAGGGAACATTAAGCAGGTCATTCCGAAGTGGTATCCTGGGAACCCCAATGCATTTCCAACTTCTTTGCCAGCAGAAATCTCAAGACACTTGTTGGATCAGACTGGCATGGATCGCACCGAAATGGATGCCTTGTACGAACAGTTCAAGTGCCTCGCTGATCATTACTGGGTCAATGATCCGACGGGACTGGGGATGGCTATTGATCGAAAAGCCTTCGACGCTTACTTTATCCCTACCACGGCCGACAGACCCTCTCCTGCCAACCTAATCTACGATCGTATATTTTCTTTCTACGATACCAATAACGATGGCCTTATCGGCTTCGATGAATATATCCGTGGCCTGGCACAGCTGCAGGATAAATCACGTCTTGCCAGGCTCCAGCGAACATTTGATGGCTATGACCTCGATTCCGATGGTTATGTCGACCGGAAGGACTTCCTTCGCATTTTCCGCGCTTACTATGCCTTGAACAAGGAGCTGAGTCGAGAGATGATCAATGGCCAGGAAGACTTTGGCTACGTGGATGAAGAGATTCGAGAGGTTGTTCGCGGGAGTCAACCCATCAGTGCTGCATTTGGCGGAGGCATGCTCTACGGACATGAGTCCAGAACGGGCCAGGATAAACAGCGCGAAGCCAACGGTGATCTGCAGTTAAACGTCGGATCCAACGGGGTGTTACAGGGCGACACCGACGCGCGAGGAGATCGTGCTCGTGCGATTGGCAATGTCGCCATGAACAACCGCACCCGAAACCATCCTTTCCGGTCCTTTAGGACAGCCCCGGTCGAGGACGAGGCTTTGATGCTCCTCCCGATTGGAAGTAACTTCAACCATTCTGGTTTGCATGACCCTGATGAAGTAACCGAGGAAGAGCTTGCGGGTCCCGATCCTCCACTACAGACATATGGCTGGCCTCCAGTGCGCACCCCGGAGCCTCAGGATATTGTTGATGCTCTAGGACAGGAGGTCCCACTCGACGACATTACGGATCCGGTGGACCGGACACGAGTCTTATTTGCACAATCCCGACGCCTCGACAACGAGGGTGACGAGGCTGAAAGGCGTATCAGGGCCAAAGCTGTGGAACAGCGATGGCGACGGAGGCAATTCTATCTAGATGAAGAGGAAGGGTTGACCCGACCGCCCGGTTATACAGAGCCGGATAGTTCTGACGAGGAGCCGACGACATCGCGGCCCAAGAAGAACAGTCGCGTGACGACGAAAAGCCCACGGCGGCCGTCCATACAGTCAAGGTCCTCGTCCAAAGTGCGATTCGATGACAGTGCTATCGACACCGACTATGAAACACGCTCAAATGCCTCGTCACGCAGCATCCCTATCAATGAAAGATGGGGTGGTTATGAACTTGGACAGGCTGAAGCAGACATTGGCAAGGATATTCTGTATCAGGCTGTTCAGGAAGGCTTCAATAAATTGTTAGATGCTCTGTTCAAGGAAAAGGAGGACGAGTGGGTGATTGCACACTCTACCCGGAGTGACCGCCATCGATTTCGTAAAGAAATGGAACAATTTCGAGAGAAGCTCGAAGCGGCCGAACAACAACATGACGAAGCTTTGAAAGAGGCCGACAGGCTGCGGACAGAGGAATTGTTGGGGAGCGCGCAGTTGGAAGACCAGGCTGAGAGTACTGGCGTTGAAGTCTCGCCAGGAACGAAGTCTGACCACAAAGAGTCTTCCGAGCCTGATCCCGAAGATCACATAGAGTTGATGTTCGGGGAAGGGGCTGTAACTGAGAGCATGACCGCCGAGAAGCCAAACGACTCGACTGGGTCATACTGTGACCCTACCCTTCCGCAGTTCCGACCGGACGAACCTGAAACCGCCAGCATAGCGACTGAACTTGATCCCTTTTCCGGCGATCCAGTTCAAGCACGAGCCATCCACGACCTCTGGGTTCGCCATGATGCGATTGACGCCGAGGCACGACAACGCGGAGGATATGGTAAGCTCAATTTCGCCGAATTCCGACGAAAAATGGTGGCCGAAGACGAGGTGGGTAGGGTGCTGGGAGTGAAACAAAAAGAGGACGGGAAAGACTCAGACCAGGAGACATGGGAGAGCAGTGCCGACCTGGGAAGGTTGGCTTTTGTCGGCACATGGCTGGAGATGGCCAGCTTCTAGCATGTCGTGGATTTGAGCTTTGCGAAGCTCGGCTTGTCTGAGCAGGGTTGATTGTATCAATCAAAAACTCCTCACTGGATGTTATATCCGAGAGTATTGTGTACAAGGGGCCAAAGGCATTTCGAATCCACTTCTTCCTCTTCTTAACGCTGCTTGCCCCTTTGGTATGCTGGAGCTGAGCGAGCTCGCTTATCTTACTACAATTCCAGCCCATCTCTTTGCTGGTCTGGCGTGTAGCAATAAAATTTCTGCTTTTTGTGCTAGCTGCAGAGGGTGTGCCCTCCTGATATTCTCTCAATGTGCATTCTTCTCGGACAGGCATCAATATTCTCCAAGCCCGCGAAAGAGATTCTTTGGGCGTACCTGTTCAGATGTTCTTTTGGAGGATCCAGTTGCACTGATTCCAACTGTGGACTGGAGCACCTTTTGCACTGCAAGCAAGTTCGAAACGGCCGACCATCCCGACGAAGCAAAGCGTAGTTCATAGGCATGTTGGCAAAAAGTCATCAGCGTCAATAAGCCATGGTTGCATACAGAACTTGCCATCCATAACCCACACCTATACCAACCAGCCGAAGTCCCATGGGTAATGCCGTTCTTGTTGTGCAGAAGGTGGCCTCAGAGGTGTCCGTACCTCAAAGTGCTGTAAGCTGTGAATTCGATAGCATAGCAGGAGTGATACCAGGGAGTAACAGTATAGAGATGGCCCGGCCCATGCAAGGCTGAAGCACAAGGCTGTGTACCAAATGCCGAGGATTTGCCGTCCTTCCGCGTCATCCTGCGATTGGAGGCTGCTTCGCACTCACCACTACAACTACAACCTTGATTCTTTCATTCATTGATTCTCCCAGCCAACTTCTACCACGACCCCCCCCTTCAGCTCCTACTTCTGTCGCGATAGTAGAGAGCTACTCCTATCGCCCACCATGTCCGGACCCGAAGTTCACCACCTATTCCACCATCCCATTGCCGACCATTCCTTCTCCTCCGACCGTCAGACCCTCGCAGTCGCCCGAGACAGCAACGTCGAACTGTACCACCGGTCTGGCCCCAAGTTCGCACTGAAAGATGAGCTCAAGGGCCACGACAAGACCGTCACCGGGGTGGACATTGCGCCCAACAGCGGCATGATTGTGACTTGTTCTCAAGGTGAGTAAGACCAGACATCTTCGATCTACCTACCTGCCATCTACCTCCCTTCACCCACCTTTAGCTTGCCCTGACAAGCTACACTAACGTTCGTGTCATGCACACTGCGTAAGGGACATGTTACTAACACCTCCCCTCCCACCTTTCTAGACCGAAATGCCTACGTATGGGAACCCTCGCCGACGGGCTGGAAACCGACGCTGGTGCTCCTCCGGATCAACCGCGCGGCGACATTCGTGCGGTGGTCGCCGTCGGAGAAGAAATTCGCCGTCGGGTCCGGCGCGCGGGTGATTGCAGTGTGCTACTTTGAAGAAGAAAACGACTGGTGGGTGTCGAAGCACCTGAAGAAGCCGATCCGCAGCACGATCACAACCGTGGCCTGGCATCCGAACTCGGTCCTGCTGGCCGCGGGGTCGACGGACTCGCACGCCCGCGTCTTCTCGGGCTTCATCAAGGGCATCGACGACCGGCCGGAGCCCAGCGTCTGGGGCGAGCGGCTGCCCTTCAACACCGTGTGCGGCGAATACCTCAACGACTCGGCCGGCTGGGTCCACGCCGTGTCGTTCTCGCCGAGCGGCGACGCCCTGGCCTTCGCCGCCCACGACAGCAGCATCACTGTCGTCTACCCGGCCGGCCCGGACCAGCCGCCGCGCGCCATGGTCAACATCTCCGTCCAGACCCTGCCGTTCACCAGCTTGATCTGGTCCGGCGAGGCCGAGATCATTGCCGCCGGTTACGACTGCGAGCCTTTCCGCTTCCGTGGCGGTGAGGCTGGTTGGGAACTCGCTGGGAGTGTCGAGACGAAACATCGCCCCGGCCTGGCCGCCGCCAGGGAAGAGTCCGCCTTGCATATGTTCCGCCAGATGGATCTCAAGGGCAAAGTCAAGGACGATACACAGCTCAATACTACCCATCAGAACACTGTCAATACCGTCCGTGTCTATGAACAGGCCGGTGGCGCTGTGAAGAAATTCAGCACTAGCGGCGTGGATGGCAGAGTTGTCGTCTGGTCGCTATAGCGAGATGATTGAATGTCAGGCCAGGCAGGGTAGGGCAAGTCACGTCCCGTTATGCTCTAAGATGTCTGAAAGTAGAAAAGAAAACATATCATTGAACACTGATTTCTGGCTCACGTTGTATCATGTCGTGAGTGCTTTCTGATCTAGACAACTCTATCGACGCATCGCATCGGTGGAATCCCCTTTTCAATAGTCAAGCCATGAGCGAGTATGCAACCTCCCTCCATCCTTTCATGTCCCATCCATGTCCGGGTCCAACGTACTCCGCACCTCTTCAATCTCGTCGTTGTCGTCGTCATGCGCTTCCGCCCCCTCCTCCACCTGGCTCGTAGTCTCGCTCTGGTCGAGGTCGGCTTCGGCGTCAAGGGCTGTCATCCTGACCGAAAACTCAACCTGCAGTCTTGCCAGCCAGGCCCGCAATTCTCCCACCTCAGAGGCAGTGCCACGGCAACTTTCCCTCGCCTGGAATAGCTGCTCGCGCAGGTTCAACAGCAGCTTGGTCCGTCTCGCGGTTGCAAGGGTCCTCGTGTTCCGCTTGCCCGCTTCATTCCGCTCATGTAGGGCGTGAGAGACACGGGTGGCAGTATCAATGACCCTCTCCGGCAGATTGATGACGCGGGCGAGCGCGAGTCCGTAGAACTTCTCTTCCTCGTACCCCTCGGCGATTTTATAACTCATTTTCATCTTGGAGGCGTCGGCATTGATATCGACCGCTAGATGCAGATTGACTACGCCGGCCCGTTCGGCCAGGATGCGCGGTACGTCGCGGAAGTGCGTGACGAACCAGACCAACGCCTTGGCTTTGATCAGCTCTTCGGCGATGGCGATGGCGATCGCAAGTCCGTCTGTCGTGCTGGTTCCGCGGCCGAGCTCGTCGATGAGCACGATGCTGTGGGGCGAGATGTTGCGCAGAATGAATGCCACCTCTCGCATCTCCGAGGCAAAGGTCGACACGTTGGCTTCGATGCTGTCGTCGGTTGAAACTCGCGCGAAGAGCTGGTATGTCATGGGAACCGAGGCGTAAGCGGCCGGCACGAAGCAGCCGATTTGCGCCATGATGGCTATTAGAGCGATGGAGCGGATATATGTGCTTTTGCCGCTCATGTTGCAGCCGGTGATGATCTGGAAGCGTTTCTGCTCGGTTGCGTAAACGTCGTTGGGCACGTACTTGTCAGTTTGCGTCTTCTCGCGGATTGGATGGCGCCCGGCCTTGATGGCCAAGGTGTCAAGCAGCTCCGGTCGCACGTAATCATTCGTGATAGCTAGATGGGCAAAGCTCGCCAGCATGTCGAGCATGGCGATAGCTTCGCTGATCTTGAAAAGCGGGTGGATCTTCGATCGGACAGCTTCGATGAGCTCTTGAACCGCGTGGTCGCTCAGGCTGATGACTTCGTTGTGAGCATCTTTGATTTTCTGATTCATTTTGATGAGCTCTAGTGTCTGGCATTCGATGAACGTGTTTCGGCGGTAGATGTTCACGAAGGAATCTGGAATTGGCTTGTCCTCCAGCTGAATGGCAGGAATACGGATGTAGAATTGTCTAGGGGCGTCGAACTTCAAATCCAGGTCCAGTTCTTGCGCATCTACTTTGATTAGCTGATGACATACAATCGATTGTAGGCACACTTTTGAGCTCTTCGACCATGTCAAAAACATCCTGGTTTATCTCCTTGTACGTTTGGCGTGCGACATCGAGGAATTCGTTGACTCCAGCCTAGGGAAGGTCAACACAGAAAGTCAAGGCTCGGTGGGATATCAGCACCTGCACAGCGTAGACCCGTTGGTTGCGAAGCTCGGTCGGTTTGGTCGAATACCTCACATCGGGGTTGAGACTGTTTCTGATGATACTATCGACCTCTGCATAGTTTGCTGGATCACAAAGCTGATTGAGGTCAGTTTGAGTGGAATGGATAGACCATAGTAGTCTTGCCTGGCGTATCTCGTGCAATTCCTCACTGCTAGCACCGGTGAGTGCTTGCCAGAGTGGCTTGATGGAGTCCACAAAGGTCTTGAGCATCAGCACCTGGTTGACGGCTTGTTCAGCGTACTGAATCCCAATCTTGGTTTGAATCACAACGAGCTGTATTGATCAGCATATGCAAGACAATTGAACAACGGCACCAGACGAACAACTGTCAGAACCCGATCAGTGTCTACAAAAGATTTCAAGGCTACTTCAGGTCAGCATGTTCTTCCGCTTTGGGAAGGTTAGTACCGGAGCGAGCTGCGAATAGCATGTCCTGTCTCGAGACAAGTTCTTCTAGAGCTTCATGCCTCTTGGCAATCTTTTCAGCATCGGTCGATGGCTGCAGTATGTTGCTTCTGAGGAATCGTGCGCCCATTGGCGTGAATGTCTCATTCAGCAGCCCTAACAAGCACTCTTTGGACTTGATATGTTGAAGGTTCTGGACCAGTTCTAGTGAAGCGATTGTGGAGAGATCAATCATCATGGAGCCTTCTGCAGTCTCGAACTTTATACGTAACGTCTGAGGAGCAAAAGTCTTTTGCAGACCCATGTCGACGAATTGTAGAACCTACCAACATCAGTCATTGACAGCGTAGTCCAACTGTTTCATACTGCGGAGAAACAGGATGTGGCAAAGTGATTGCCTGCTAGAGCCAGCTTCAAAGACTCCAGGTCGTCCGGAAAGGCGAGGCGTTGGACATAGTCTTGACCACTACTCTCAGACCAATACCTGCGATCAAGTTTGGTGCCTATGGGGCCACCATTGTCCACGTCCAGATTCTCGGACACAACTGATACTAGCTTTGATTCGGCGGCACTGGCCATGTAGAGGATCTCAGTGGGCTCGTAGACCTTCAACTTGTGGCATGTACGAGCATAGGTCTGAGTGTCTGTGAACTGGCAGAGAATGGCTTCGGACGTGTAGACATTGACAAAGGAGAGGCCGACGGTAGGAGAGATTCCTCGAGATTCGCTGATCGCACAAATTATCTCACTATTGCTATAGTCAGTGGATGTCTTCGCTGTTCTAGGACGCCATCGACTGGAATCCGGAACTGAGGATGTCGCAGGCGTAGTGCTGGATCTGGCAGAGGTTCCGGTGACACTCGATATGCTCCGAGACGGCATAGCGACAGATAGCTGACGTGCCTTCGGGTGCATAAGACGATGTCAGCTCTCAAATCGAAGAGCGGAGATGTAGAGGATGAGAAGGAGGGCGCTGGTTTATGTTGGGAGTCCGAATAGAAACCAAGTCCAGTTACTAATGAAGAAGGTCTGCCGACGAGGCTTCCCCGCACGAGGCTGACAATTGTCCATGATTTTTTCGAGCCCGCTGCTGGCAGAGTGAGTTTTGCCTGGACTTCATAAACACCCAACCTAAGAGGCTGCAGCAGTCATGGCCACAGTGGTACCTCCCCCAAGTAAGCGGCAGAAGATAATCGCCGCCGAAAAAGCAGAAAAGGCGCTTGAAGATGCCAGGATACCGGACGACCTAGGAAGTGTGAGGGTGCAATTTGTCGACCAGAGCACGGGGAAGTCGACAGGGCCAGTGGTTGCTGTGCCTATCAAGGATGCGACTGTCCGGAATCTCGAGACACTTCTGAATACGATACAGGGAAATGTAAGGACTGGAGCCCAGTCGGGATCTTACAATTCGGGCGCTGACATGCTGCAAGGAACCTGGAGAGCGTCTTCCCTACAGATTCTTCTTCCGCAACGATCGATCTACAATATCAGAATTCGAGCTCCTCGATGTGCAGACCGATCTGTACAATTCAGTCCTGCGACCCGGATTCAAAACCACCGAAGATAATATCGTTCTCCAGTTCATTCCTCAAGCCGTCTTCCGCGTGCGTGCAGTGTCAAGATGTTCTGCGTCAATATCTGGACACGGCGAAGCTATACTCGCAACAGCCTTTTCTCCAGAGTCATCTGCCAGAATGGCCACAGGAAGTGGAGACAATACGGCACGGATATGGGACTGCGACACGGGGACACCGCTACACACTTTGAAAGGACATACGAGTTGGGTCTTGGCCGTGTCGTGGTCTCCCGACGGCAAGATTCTCGCAACCGGCAGCATGGATAATACAATACGGCTTTGGGACCCGAAGACCGGAGAGGCGTTAGGGGGCCCGCTGAAGGGCCATACGAAATGGATTACAAGTCTTGCTTGGGAGCCTTATCATACCCAGGCGCCAGGAAAGCCTCGACTAGCATCGGCCTCCAAGGACGGCACAGTCAGGATATGGGATGTTGTGCTTCGACGCATTGATCAGAGCCTTTCGGGACATAAGAGCTCAGTCACCTGTGTGCGATGGGGCGGACTTAATCGAATGTTTACCTCGTCGCAGGACAAGACGATTAAAATCTGGAACACGAAAACCTGGAACTGCCTTCACACCTTGTCCTCGCACACGCACTGGGTGAACCATCTGGCTCTGTCTACAGATTTTGTGCTGCGTACAGCCTACCATGATCACACAGGCAAAGTTCCAGACACAGTTGAGGAGCGGATCAAGAAAGCAAAATCCAGATTCCAAGAGGCCGCCACGCAGGAAGGGAGGTTGGTTGAGAAGCTCATATCCGCTTCGGACGATAACACAATCTTCCTGTGGGATCCCTCAGCCATTCCTGCCGACTCGAACGCGGCTGTGAAACCCATCGCGCGACTACTCGGGCATCAGAAACAGGTCTTGCATGTTTCGTTTTCCCCGGACGGTCTGTACATCGCTTCGGCATCCTTCGACAACAGCGTGAAGCTCTGGAACGCTCGCGATGGGAAGTTCATCACTACCCTGCGTGGGCATGTCGGTGCTGTGTATATGGTTGCATGGTCCAGCGATTCCCGGCTTCTTGCTAGCGCTTCAAAGGATACGACTGTGAAAGTATGGGATGTCAAGACTGGCAAACTAAAAGAGGACTTACCAGGCCACAAGGACGAGGTCTTTGCCTTGGATTGGAGTCAAGATGGGAAATGTGTGGCTAGTGGCGGCAAAGACAAGCAGGTGAAACTTTGGAAGCATTGATCGCTGTGTGTTGATGGGTCGCATGACGGTATTTGACGATTGAGAATTGTGAGAGAACTCTAGATACCCCGTATTTGATGGCTGGAAATCAACATGAACGCATTCAACCGGCTTCAGGAAAAGTACACATTTTAAATTTTCAATGAACTTTGTATGTCTTGATTGTTTACAGACAGCAACCAGTTGTGTCATCACCGGGAACACAATGAGCTCTTGCCAACCCGCCGACCCAACTCCCCTCATCTCCTATCGCAACCTTCCCATTAAGGTCTTGGTGGGCTGCCTCGGCCAATGGGGGGGTTATAGACCAACTTCCGGTTCTTCAGAGGAGACCACTTGTATCGCTTGACCCAACCGCTCAATGCCAGTAGTACAGTACCGATGATCAGAACCTTGATGCCCATTTTCTTGCGGTCGTCCATCTCCGGCTCTGCCGTCCAGTTCAAGAACTCAACCACGTCCTTGGCCATTTGCGACGTTGTTGCGGGGGTACCATCTTCATATTCAACAAGACCGTCGTACAAAACTCGAGCCATTGCAATGCCAGTGCCAGGGAAGTAGGGGTTGAAGTTCAAGCCGGACTGCACGGTGGCGCCAGCAGGTGGTTCCTCGGGATATCCGGTAAGCAAACTGAAAATGTAGTTGCAGCCGCCGTGTCGGGCCTTGACCATGAGCGATAGATCCGGGGGCAAAGCACCATTGTTGGCAGCACGAGCAGCCTCGTCGTTCTTGTATGGGGATGGGAGGTAATCGGACAGTTTTCCTGGTCGCTTCTCGATCTCGCCCTCATCGTTGGGTTCGGTGTCATATTCGTTCTCTTCCGCCAGAGCCTTGGCCTCATCGACTGTCATGAACGTTCCAACCAAACCTCGATACGGGATACGCTTGAGAGAGTGGCATGCGGCGCAAACTTCTCGGTAGACCTGGAAACCTCTTCGAAGACTAGCCAACGTCAATTTTATATCCTGTAGTCTCCGACTGATACATACGCTGCGTGATCGAATGTTTTTGTCCACTTTACGTGTTCCCATGGGTACTGTGTCGGATGCAGACTAAATCCTGTCATTAGCTGCTTGATCGCCCCAACTCGTCCTGCAAAGCTCACCCTTCTTCGGCCGGCGTCATGGCGAAGACATCTCGGCCATAGAGATGGTAATACCAAGCAATTGAACCGATTGAAGCAAGGGTCGCGGCAGAGGCGCCTGCTGTGAGGTAGAAGGGAGAGGAGGCGGCCTCGGAGGAGCTCGACGATGCGGCACGCTGCAACCGACGTTAGCAGAAGCTCTGGTCATCATTCTTCGCTCACTGTGGAAGAAAGCGCATAGGGCGAAAACTGACAGTGGTTGTCTTGCGGACAATATTTCGTGCAGCTGCCCTCAACGGGGTACCACGGATTGCCGACGTGGCCAGCATCGTGTCCAAAAGACGTACGCGCCCTCGACAGATGTTGGATTTGTCGTACAATGGAGTGAAGAGGTGAACGACGCTCGTTTGTTGAGCTGGAAAAGAGTGTTGAAGTCCACAATTGCAGCAGAGGGACTGAAGTTGCAAGCTTGAAGAAGCTCAGATGCACATTCTACCCGACTTGTATTGAGCCACTTGTGATTGGCTGCGACCTCACCACGACCTTGTCATCCACCTCACAGTACACAGTATTAGCAGTATTATTATTAGACAGTATTAGGCACAAGGCTGAAATTACCTACTTAGGTAAGGTAGGTAATAAAGCTGCTATGCTCTAAAACACTGTCTGGGATCAGCCACCATCTGGCTGCGTCTGCGTCAACAGTTGAAGCGCAGGCCATTTCAAGATCGTTGTACAGCATCACTTGCGAGATCAGCTCCTTGTCTCGCATCTCTTCTCCCTTCTGCAGCAGTGGAGGTGGTGATGTCGCCAAATGGCCCCAAGAATCCCTCTTGGAACGACCAATTCAAGAGCACGAACCAGCGTGACTTCAAGGTTCAACTTGTCATCTCAGTCGTCTTCGGCTTGAGCGCATTCCTGTCCTTCTGTGTACGCATCTGGTCTTACAAACACCTGAGTTCATTCATGCTGATCCGGCGCAGATACTCCGACCAAAATGGACCAGCCTATATCATGCCCGAAAGAAGCAGTCTGGCGCTGCCTCAAGGTTACCCGAACTGCCGAATACCCTGTTTGGATGGATTCCAGTCCTATACAGCATCTCGCGCGAAGAAGTTTTGGCGTCTGCAGGCCTTGATGCATTTGCCTTCCTTACCTTCTTTCGCTATGCGATCAAATACCTCTCGGTTACGTTGTTCTTCTCTCTTACGATAATTCTACCGGTGAACTGGAAATTTACCGGGCAGCCGCCATTATTCTACCCTCCGATCAATGGGACCGACCCTGACAACGGACTTGATATCTTCTTCGACGACAAGTCCAAGAAGCCCAAAAGCCCTACGCTGGAGAAAGACAACAGCTATCTGTGGATGTACGTTGTCTTCGCTTACTTCTTCACCTTCGTAGCGATATATCTCCTCATCGTCGAGACGGCCGCCCTCATTCGCATCCGACAGGCTTATCTCGGTAGTCAATCCACCATTACCGACAGGACCCTCCGCTTGTCGGGAATTCCTGAGGAGATGAGATCTGAAGAAGCAATAAAAGCTTTCATCGAAGGCTTAGAGATTGGGAAAGTGGACAGTGTCATGCTTTGCAAAAATTGGCGAACGCTCGATAACCTGATGTCGAAGCGCATGGCATGCTTGAGGAAACTTGAAGAGGCATGGGCTGCACACCTGGGCCATCAACATGCATTCCGCCAACCTCGTGGCCGCAATCGACGAGCTAACCCACTTGGAGACGATCGAGAAAACGGTGCTCTACTTTCGAGATCTGAGATTGAGGAGGTGCATGCCACAGCCGCGGATCGGCCTCGTCCCACCATCACCTTACGCTATGGATTCCTGAATATGTACACCAAGAAGATTGACGCAATCGACTATTGGGAGGAAAAGTTAAGGATGCTAGACGAAAGGATTCACACTCTAAGGGAGGCCGACTTCAAGCCAACACCGCTTGCATTTGTCACAATGGAATCTACGGCGTCCTGTCAAATGGCTGTTCAGGCAATACTCGACCCCATCCCAGGCCAACTCCTGGCTAGCCTGGCACCACCACCAGCGGATGTCGTCTGGAAGAACACGTATCTCTCTCGCAATCATCGAATGATACGGTCCTGGACGATCATGATCCTGATCGGCCTGTTAACAATTTTCTGGGCGGCGGCGCTGGCCCCTCTGGCTGGTTTGCTGAGTATCGAGGTCATCGATAAAGTTCTTCCGGGGCTGGCTGCGGCTCTTGAGGAACACGAGATCATTCGATCACTTGTACAAACAGGTCTGCCAACGTTGTTGTTCTCGCTGTTGGCTCTGGCTGTTCCATACCTGTACGATTGGCTCGCAAACCAGCAAGGCATGGTGTCGCAAGGAGATGTCGAATTATCTGTCATTTCGAAGAACTTCTTCTTCACTTTCTTCAACCTTTTCATCGTCTTTACCATCTGGGGCTCGGCTTCCACATTCTACGAATTCTGGCAAGACCTTCAAGACATACTTCGCGACACCGCCGGGATCGCCTATGCTGTGGCAAAAGCGCTAGAACAGTTGTCGCCTTTCTACATCAACCTCATTGTTCTCCAAGGATTCGGCTTGTTCCCTTTCAGACTTCTGGAATTCGGCTCCGTGGCTCTGTATCCCTTCTACCTCATCACCGCAAAGACACCTCGGGATTATGCAGAGTTGGCCAAGCCCCCGATCTTCAGCTACGGGTTCTATCTCCCACAGACGATGCTCATCTTCATCATTTGTATCGTTTACAGCGTACTTCCGTCGTCATGGATGATCACGTTATTCGGCTTAATCTATTTTCTTATTGGTGGCTTCATCTACAAGTACCAATTGCTTTACGCCATGGAACACCGCCAACATTCCACCGGTCGGGCATGGCCCATGATTTGCGACCGGATCGTTACTGGCTTGATCCTCTTCCAGGTCGCGATGACCGGTATCCTGGCATTGCGAGGGGCCTTGACTGCGTCCTTGCTTCTTTCGCCCCTACTCGCCATCACTGTCTGGTTCACCTTGTATTTCCATCGGACTTATGTTCCTTTGATGAAATTCATAGCGCTTCGAAGCATTGATCGCGGGAATATCCTAGATCTTCCAACGCCTCCGGAGTCGACATGGGACAGAGATACCGACTATGGAAGACACGTTGATACGGACCCCGAGACTGGACTTCGATATATCAACCCAAACCTCGTGCGACCTCTAGAGCCCTTGTGGGTAAGGCAGCCTGCTCACGGCGGCTCTCAGAGTCGGTAGGGGTTGACAACCTCGACAATCATACCTTTGAACCTTCGATCTGTCATCGTTTCGAGCATAGCAAGCAGTGCAATTGCTTTTCTGCCTTACTAGATACCCATGTACACCTTTGTCATCATTAATCCTTCTGGACACGTCAGTGCCGTTGAGCAGTACAAAAATTGGTCCATTCTGCATTCATAGGACAATACATCAACCGCATGTTTTGAATCTCCTCCGAGTCTGCGAGAATGCTCAGCAGCGAAAAGCAGACCGCTTTTTCTGTCCTTATCATTCTCTGCTGATGCTGGTCATTCTTGTTGGCAATCACTTCCTGGAAAGTGCCTGCCACTCACGATATTTGTCGTTATACAGCAGTGGCGATGTGACTGCCCCGGTGCTCTCACACGATGTGGTCCTCTTCTCAAACGCGCAGTGTTTCTTTCTTGTTTCACTCCCTTTTTGGCAATCCTAGTTCGTTACCTCAGTCTCTTTCGTCTCTCATTTCGTCTCTACTCATTGATAAACTGTCTAGCTTGTCGGCACCGTGGCTTTCGAAATCCTCGTATCTCGAGGAATTGCGTCAGTCCACGAGTTCGAACCGATAATGCTCCATTCCATTCCTTGTTCGCTCGTCGAACAGCGGTGCTTACCATTCCACGACACCCATCAGCCACTGGCCGATGCTTCTTGCAGTCTGACGCAAGATACCGAATATCTCGGAGGAAGAGCAGGCTGCCAGATAAAGAAACCTGCAGCATCCGAACAGTCGAGGAAGGGAGTGTGCAATCATTGTCGTGCACTATTCAAGCTTCATGAGCAGATGTCCCATCGGCCTTCAGCTGCAAAGAGAAACCTACCTTTCATACAATATCGCCAAAGCGAGGAAGGTTCCACTTGTTCCACTCAGGTCTGCTGCGGGCCTTCATGTCCTTTTCAACAATTGTCTTTCAGTAACGGCCTAGACAGGAACGGCTCTCACTACTTGTGCCTCCGGATCGGGTCGGAAACGTCGAGGAACATGGCTGTTTGCCTTTCTGCCGACGCAGCCGGCAGCAATTGCAAATTAAACATGATGGATGGTGCATGTGATGCTCCGGATGAAACGCCGCCGGTGACTCTGGGCCGAAGTTCTAATCTACTCCCATTGCAGCCTCAGCCCGCTCGACTGTCAAGAGTACGATTCCTCTCCGACGACAATATAAGTTCACGGCAAAACTCCGTCCAATCTTCTGCCGAAATGACTTCTCGACAAGCAAGGAATGCTTTTACCAACCCGTTCTCTGATGAAGGAAGTACTGGCTCCAGAAGAACATCAAGCTCTTCTGATACAACAGATTATTTCCGCCCCAACGCCTTTGCAGGTCATCGAGATACGTTGGCGAGGTTGCCGCTTGCCGTTTCACTTCATAAGTGCGGCGGCATAATTTGGGAAGAGGAGTCAACTTCTGATGATTCCGACGTGATGGACCGCCCATACCCATACCCGTTGCGTGTTTCTCGGAATGGCAGCGTTATGGGTCCTATTTTCCCTCGACAAGTTATCGATCGGCTGTTGAGGGATATGTCCTTCGAGGACTATAAAAGCCTGCGTTTGGTATGTCGTCGATGGAACCGCGAACTTCCTCGGCCCAACTTCCCGGCCTTCTACCGTCTGCCACAAGAGCTAGTGCAGCAGATCTATACCTATCTGACTCCCTCCGACTATGATGCCGCACGACATGCTTGCAAAGCCTGGTATCTCGCCAGCCTTGATCGAAACGTCCAAGAGCTTATGCTTCGACGTCAAGGAAGCCACAATGCTCTGGCTGCGGATCTCCAGCGATTGGGAGGAGTTTCCGATGACGGAGCTCGAGGTCGCAGTAGCCAGAGAACACTGGCAGAGTTTTCCGGTGACTACATTTTTGATCAGGAATGGGTCTGCTCGAAAAGACTTGCCACGGAAAGCAGACTCTCGGCTGACTGGCATGGTCCCTCCTCTGGCGGGGACCCTACTATGTCAAGGCTCTTTGTCATCGAGGAAGTAGTCTTTTCAAAAGCTTTGTACGGCGAAAAGACACCAAGGAGGCGCGTCTTCACCGTCTCCGCTTGCGGGAACTTTGTCCTCCTTGTTGCCGGTGGCGAAATCTTGGTTTACAGACTTTGGGACGCGGAACATTCCATGCTGCCAGTGGTTCGGCTTGCCCCTGGCATCGATGTTTTGGGGGTAAGTATGGACTCGAGCTCGGGAAGATACTCCGTAGCAGCCCTCCTTGAAGGCCGCAAAGGTATGCTTTGGGACATCAGCTCAAGTCCACCAGAGGCGCAGCATGACAATGGTCCCGGTGATACGGGTGAACCGCTCGATTTAGGGTTGCAGACTGATGTTCAGAGCTCATCCAGCATCCCGGTATCACAAACTCTCACCTTCGGTTTGCCTATGCGGTTCCATGAATGGCTTGCAGCTAATGCCGAGGGCCACGAGTCATCGCCGCTTGCCATATTAAACGGGACTCCTTCGACGGGCTTCGTGCCTAACGCACAATTCTTGTAGGACGAGCAATTGCGTGGAGAGAGCAGTACACCACGTAGCAGCTCGGCAGACGACTCGAGTGACGAGTATGATGGTGTGAAGATACCGGTTCAGACTCGACCAACGGCCGTCTATAGCCAACTTGGCAGCTCGGACGATCTTCCTCGAAGCGTTGCGATTTGCCCTAACCGAAAGTGCGTCGCATTCGGTTGCCGACTGGGCATCGAGCTTCACTGGGTTAACGCCCTGACTGGAGGAGATCTCAATCGCTGGTTTCCACTCGCCGCCCCGAGCGACTATCTTTACTTCCTGCCTCAGCGACCTGGGATCGACTCAAGGAAGAAGTTGAGGCTGATCTCCAGCGCTGCCGGCCCTGCGCCGATGCAGTCATACAGGAGCGACGGTCTCCCTGTAAGATGGCAGTACTGGCCTACTTCCGTGGCGCACGGTCGTCGGCAGAGCACGACAAGGTTATTCTTTGGAAATCTGCCCTTTCCAGCATCAGCTGTCCCGTCCGGGAACTTGTCCGATTCGGAGACACCGGCAGAGGGAGACGATGTACAGGGTATCCTGAGAACGGTTGATTGCGACCACTTCCGTGCAGTTCCAATCAGTGATGGTTGTCACTTACTCTTTACCGATCCGTTGACTGGGTTACTTTGCCTAGGCAGCGATGCGCCGTTCGGAGGACCAACAAAGCTCACCCGCAAAGTGGTGTTTGTACCTCCAACAATCCAAAAGGAACAACGAAGCCCGCCATTGCTCTACTCTGCCGGCCAGGCTCTCGAATGGGGCTTGCGTGTAGTCGCCTTCCACGCTGACGGATGCGTTGTGCTTTACAGTGTCCCAGCCGACATATTACAACGCGTTCAAGCATCGAATACCACTACCGATGCTTGGGTCGACAATCCGGATGTCCCAGGCGGCAGTGCTTCAAGTAGGGACTCACAGATGAATGCGACTCCAGCCGCATCGATGGACTCAGACCAAGCCTCGGGGAACAGTCAAGTCATATCAGACAGATCGATCAGGATCCCTGGTGCTCTCATTGCCCGCGTCGAGGAAGACTCCGTCGACGACCTTGCTATCAAGTCAGATGGTGGTGACTTTTCGCTCTGGATTTTCTACCGAAGTGGCCGTTCTGAGCTATATCGTATTTATTCCGCCCGCGATGTTGGAAAGAGAATCCGTCGCGTGGGAGACAACGGTCTTGTCTATGATGTCCAGAACGACAACGAAGAAGAGTCACCCTGGGAAGATGAAGCCACATCGAAGGGCAAAAGTTCATTAAGCCATGTCAAATGGGCAGACACGGATGGGTCTTCCAAGGTACCACTCCCCTGAAGCAGCTGATGGAGAGACACCATTGCAATGGCATCAAGCCAGGAGTCATGCGCTTTTTCTGCATAGGGCCTCGCAATCTTGAATTGGCCACTCCGACTGAAGCATTGAGTCGCTTCTCCTCCTTGAGTAGGTGTCGGGCTACGCCTTTATTTGTTGATGGTTGGAATGTGGACCTGTGAATGATGCTAGCGGTAAACACCAGTGCGTGATGGGTGCTATGGAGCTGCTTCTTGTGCAGGAGCTTCTATTCGGTTCGGCTGCCTTGCTGACTATATCAATAACAGCCTATGTATCGAAACTCTCTTCGGTCCAATTCTATTTACAACGCTCCTTTTTCGTCTGTCGTTCTTTGAAGAACGTACATTATAGACTAATCGTTCTAAATACGTGTGTCTGAATGGATAGGTTCACCGCTCATCCAAAGCTTGCAAGATAGTCTTGGACAATCTTTCGACTTGTTCGGGGGACGTGGTCAGACTTGTCATGAAGTAGATGATATCACCCAGCACGCGAGAATGGATGCCACAACCTTCGTTATCGAGGAGCGTGAGTAGACGTGACTGCAACGACGACGAGGCTGTCGAGGTATAACCCGAGCCCCCGGAATCAGCAGCGACCTTGAGAACCAGGACGGTGCCAAGTGCGAAACAACCGTCGAGTCTGGGGTGATGCGAGAGAGTCGTGACGAAATGTAGAGGCCAGAAGGAATATGTGTTGGTCGCGGGAGATATAGTCCCAGAGAGTGGCGGGGAGGATGTTGACGATGACTCGGAGGATGGGGATGAGATAGCAGAGATAGACGACCTGGTTGTGGTGGTGTTGGCAGCGGATGATGACGCCGACCAAGACTGTTTAAACCCGTCCCATGTCCCATCGGTGTCCATACGTCGATATTCGGCCAGTGCTTTGTTCGCGACCATACATCCGATAGGATGGGCCGTGTAGCTGTGGCCGTGCAGTAAGGCGTCTGTCTTGGAAGAGGACAGGAAAGTCTGGAAGATGGCTTCGCTGGCGGTTGTTAATGCGAGTGGGAGAAGACCTGCGGTTAGGAGCTTGGCGTGGACGGAAATGTCGGGTGCGATTGCTGTTGAGAGTGAGGCAGGTAGAGAAGATTGAACTTGGGATTGAGGCTGGTGAGAAGGTAGAGTATCTGTTGAGGAAGAAAGGAAAGAAGACGAGCTGGCCCGTCCGAGGCGGTAGAGGCCGGTAAAAACCTCGTCTGCAACCACAGGGAGACCGGACCAGTCTTGAGAGTTGGTGCTTGCTTCGATTCCGCCGGTCGAACCGTCGACGACCCCTGACTCGTTTGCCGAATTGACCCTCGAACCGATGAGCTCCGGGTTCGACCTGATAACAGTAATCAAGGTCCGTTGAAACAAGGGATCTACGAAAATCATACCCCCGGCGCCCATCAGCAGCGGCTCCAGGATCAACGCACCGAATCGTCTCCCTTGCTGACGAACGAGACTGTCCAACGTGGTCTTGATGTGCTCTTCATACCGCGCCGCGTCGTCTCGACGAGCGTCGAAATCGAAGATCGCACCGAGAGAGTCGAATTTCTGCACGGTTCCGCCACCACGCGCCATCTCGTCGGGAAGCGAGAGTTCCCACATCCCCTTCCGCAGCAGCAGGGAAGGAGGCTCGAGCCAATGGCCCCACGGCTGATGCCAGTCGACTTTCTCATTGAAGACGCTCGGCTCGGAGCAGTTCATCACGCCGATCGTGTCGCCGTGGTAGCTGCCCTTCAGACCGAGAATAGAGACAGGGGTGTGTCCGTCGTTATCGTGATCGTTCTTGTTCCATCCGTATCGCTGGCACGAGGCGCGCAGGGCCATCTTCACGGCGACTTCCATACCGGTGCTGCCGTTGTCGGAGAAGAAGATGCGGTTGAGGCGTGGGTTCTGCAATGTCGATAAGAGATTATACGAGAGATCTAGGGCCGGTTCGTGCACTGCGTGGGCGAACATCACATGTCCGTACCGTCCGGCGGCGTGGGCTGCTGTGAGTGCGATCTCGGGATTGCCGTGGCCCAGACCTTGAGTCCACCACGACGCTGAAGCGTCGAATAGAGGTGTCAAGAGGGGTTTGGTTGGAGGTAGAGCTGCGAGTGGAGTAAGGCCTGTCGTGGGTGAAGAAGCTGAAATGCTCAACGCCGGGTCGGATTCTGGGTTGTAGGCCTGGAAGTAGTCTCCATAGGCGGAGTCGATGGCGATGATGTTATGCGGGATGCCGTGTTGGCGGAATGGATGCCAGATTACCGCTTCAGCTTGAGACGGCATCGAAGTGAGTTTCGACACGCGAGAAAAGTGCTTTTGCTGTAACAGATCAATCAGATTCGTGACAGTCGTTGACTCGGAACATTCTCGGTAGTAGTCTGCAAGTACAGCCTCGTCTTCGTTGGGGTCGTCCCGTCTTGCAGGAGGCATGGGGAGAGCTAGCGTCGAGATGCCGTGCTTCGAGAAATGCTCCTGGAGATATCCGTGATTTCCCCATTCCGGGTCGTCGAACAGGATGACCGAGTCGAGATCGTAGCCGCGCAAATGCAGCGATTCGAAGGCGGAGATGGTCGTGCTGATTCCACCGAGCTTGCTGTCTCCGATCAGAAGCGTAGGCAGTCTTAGTGGGCGGTATAGATCTGCTTGGACCGATCCCGATGGGCCGGGGGACAGGACTCCGCCCGCGGTTTCCAGAATAGCATACCGTCCACCAGCTTGGCTGTGTTGCGATAGTAGCTTTTTGATCTGGGCGACTATGGAAGCATCGGACGTGGGTATCTGCTTATCAAGTCAGGCTCTGTGAGGCCGGAGACAACGTGTTATGGCGCAGGGCTGGTTACCGAACTATCCCCGTCCAGTTTTGCTGCTAGATGGGGACTCAATGGCCGCGAGAACTGTGAAATGCATTTCGAATTGATTCCTGGCACGTATTGTCTTATATGTCTGTTCTCGGATCTTAGTACATGCCACGCAGGCAGACTAGAAGGTTGGGCCTACCTGTCGTCAGCCTCAGCTTGAGGCCCCGTAGAGACAGGCTTGAGGTAGAGAAGGCCATTGGGCGAGGCTCGGCGTTGGAGAGCTCGACATAAAATGGTAGAGACGATCGTCTTACCAACGTCGGTGTTGGCGCCGTAGACCTGCCATGCCTTCAGGTCTCGCCACAACATCCCGCCAGCTCTTGAACGACGAGAGTGAGAGGAAGGTAATCACATTCAGAAAAGGGAGTTGCAGAGCCTCACCGTGGTCTCTGGTTGAAGCTGACGTTGAAGTCCAAGTCCGCCCCAGCGGTTTTTGTTCCTGCCAAGCCACTAACCCCCTGATCTCCGCTTAGTATCAGCTTCCTATTGGATGATGCGCCGAGGTACCTCGCTTGAGTTTCCGTTCTGGATATTTCTTTTGTTCTATCTCGTTTAGCTTCTTGTTACGTTGCTTCCCCACCACGTTTCTCAACTTTCAGGTCGTTGACTCAACGACTTTGTCGTTCCAGTTTACCATGACCTCTATTGGGCTTGAAAACTAACAGGAGGACGACTATGATTTCAGACTCTCGCTAACTTGCTCTCTTTTCCACCGATATGCCCTGAATGTGTCCTTCGTTCCTGCTTCAAAAGTTGGTATCATCGAACCAAAATGTCACCAAGTCCACTGGAACAACGACTGGCTGCATTGCTTGAGAAACGACGAGCTCAGTCGAAGCTGCGAAGCTTGAAGTCTAGTCCTCCCGGCTCGGTGGACTTCTCGTCCAATGATTTCCTTTCGTTGTCCACCAATACAAAATTCCAGGAAGATTACCTGACAACCCTCAACGAGAACCGAAGACCACTAGGGTCGACAGGTTCAAGACTGCTGGACGGCAATTCTGATTATGCAGAGAACCTGGAACGGGAGATCGCAAACTTCCATGGAGCTGAGACTGGACTGTTGACCAACTCGGGCTTCGATGCTAATGTCAGCATCTTCACCTTCATACCGCGGATGGGAGATGTCGTCGTCTACGACGAATTGATCCATGCCAGCGTCCACGATGGTCTGAAGCAATGCAGAGCGAAGAATCGGATTCCATTCAAACATAATGACGTGGGAGACCTAAGGCGGATACTGGAGCAGATAGACTCTACCAGCACACATCGGACAGTCTTCGTGGCAGTGGAGACAGTATACAGCATGGATGGCGACCTGGCTCCTTTGACCGAGATCGTCCAGCTGATGGAGTCAATGTTTCCCAACAACACCGCACATCTAATCGTCGACGAGGCTCATGCGACGGGTATATACGGACCGAATGGATCCGGCAGAGTCTGTGAGCTGGGACTTGAAAAAAGAGTCTCCATCCGTCTCCATACCTTTGGCAAGGCTCTTGCATCCAACGGCGGTATGTTCAAAAAGTGCAGATTCCTGGTTTAGATCGCGCTGATCTTTAATAGCTGTCATCCTATGCTCTCCTGTCATCCGTCTCTATCTCATCAATTACGCTCGACCTCTGATCTATACGACGTTCATGTCATACCCTAATCTCGTTGCCATCAGGACATCGTACACCTGGCTTCGAACAGGCAAAGCAAATATTGTAAGCCTTCGTCTGCAGAGAAGCTGCTGGAAAAGCTGACATTCTGTTTGTTCCCAGCTTGCCGCCAATCTGTATAACCTTATCGATCACCTCTACACTCAACTCCACACATTATCAGTACTGGCGTCAGAAGCAACTGATGCAGTCGGGGTGCCGCTAGCTACTCTTCCCACGACATGTCCAGAATCTCCTATTTTCGCCTTACTGAGCCCCCACCCTCGGGCTCTAGCTTCTCATTGTCAGGCGGCAGGGTTCATTGTGCGCCCGGTCGTTCCTCCAACCGTACCCGAGGGTACCGAACGAGTGAGAGTATGTCTGCACTCAGGAAACACCGTGGAGCAAATCGACAGCTTCGTCGCATGCGTCAAGGCATGGATCATGAAAGAAAGCAAGAAACCGTCCCAGCAGGACGAAGGACAGTTGCTGGCTAAGATATAGATATGAGCTCTCATGACTCGAATGAAGGACTGCCACCGAGTCATGTCTCAGCCATCAACTGGCTACACTAGTGCCTTTGCCATACCACAAGATGACAAACTATGCAATGGGAATTTGTCATACGGGGGCACCGACATCTTTGCGCCTATGAGATGATCATCGACCTCTGGCCGGCCAGACAGCATTTTGCTCCCATAGTGGAAATGCTGGCTGCCGCCTCAATACCTACCTGGAAGCCCCCATTGGCTGGTCTGAAAACACAGTCTGGCGATCTTATCGACTATGTTTGGTGGGAGTTGGATTTCCCAGACATGCAGAACTCTTCCTGTGTTAGGGGTAGTGGATTTGTCACTGGGATGAATATGTTCATTTAACGCAGAACAGCCGATCCATGCTAGCGCAGTGTTGGCTCTCACCTGGATCACCGTAATTATAACTCGAGATGCCTGTGACGGCAGGAGCAGACGCATTCTGCATCTACCACTCCAATCTAGTGGTTGCTACGGTCAGGGTATAGAATGGAACTCATATGCAGAGTGCTATCCATACTGGCGGGCATGGAAAGGGTAAGGGCGTTGGCTTGGCAAGGCTGACGAAAAAGGGGTAATTTCCATTATTGGTGCGTGGGGGCACTCCAGTATTACAAGATAGTGCACACGATATTGCAGCTCTATGCTGCTGGTGTACGCCTGAGCCATAAATAAAGGGTTCTATCACTTTAGTGATGGTGCCTGTCATTATAACAACACATACTATGCATCACTGCGCGACATGCTGCAATTCTTCTCCTAGGATCGGATTATAATGTGTCGCGGCGACCGCCGTGATATCAGCACTGCAACACTACTTGGCACTGCACGCGACAACTTCTGCTCTGAATTTTAATAATCATAGTCCCGGACGACCGCTGTGTCACCAGAAAGTACGTAAAACAATATGGAAAGAATCTGCTTGAAAGGCACTCGATGCCTTGTCTTTGCATTGTTGCTATGCTAATGCCCTTATGTGACCCACTTGAGCCCTGAAAAGGCTCGGCCTCGCCTGATTTCAGCTCGATTGCAGCCTATGGCACCTGTCACGGCCCGAAAAGAGAGCAGCTATCTGATCAAAATATGCCATTTGGGAGCTCCTCATCGTTCTCAAATGAGATACTGTCGTCCGACGAAGAGTCATTCCCGCCCATGATTTGGAGCCACCTGGCCGCAGTCCGCTTGAAGTCCTCCTTCGAGAAACTATCTGGCCATCCGTGGTCCATGGCCGCTGATTTGACCAGAACGTATCTGGTGTCCGTCACGTATTCCTACCAAGAGAAGGGGGCAAAAGATCAGCAAGCCATTCTCGTTCAGTGGTAACTTGTGGGTGGTGCTTACCGCTGGTTCATCCAGAATGCCGTAGACAAGGTGCTGGGTTGGCTGGAGGATGTCGAGCTCGTACGGGATCTCGGCGAGGCTGAGGTACCCGTGGTAGATCTCATCCAGGACGGCGCTGGCGTCTCTCTCCTCCGCGTCCAGGAGGCGGTCGCTGCCGTCCCACTTGCGGATGGTGCCTAGGTTGAGGAGTCAGTCTTGCTTTGCCCCGTTTAAATAAGATAGGGAGTGGTAGGGAACTGGGATTGAAGAGTCACTTTGACACTTCGAGTTGTCACTTACCTCGAACAGTGTCAACCACTAGCGCATGTCCAGTCTGTCCACAGAAGGTCAATGACAACATCGCTCCGTCCAGGCCTTCTCGTGATGTTTGATTGCCAGCTGCTAGGCCTTGGTGGTGAATGTTTCGGGCAGCCATGGGGTCTCGAGCAGCCATGAGACAGTGTGGTTCCGAGAAATCGATCATCTCAGAGTCCTTGATCAGGTCTCCACAGCCGGCAGAAGCCCAGGGGATGCTTTCGAGAAAGAAGATTGCTGAATCGGCCATTCCGAGTTGGCGGCACAGATCGGTGTCTAGTTCTTCAGGACCATGAGGCGCGACTTTCAGGACACTTTCGGAAATGTAGTCGATCTCGATGAACAGTTGGTAGATGCGAGTCAAGCTCTCCACGATCTCGTCGGTTGAACTCATGTTGACGGTTGGTTGTGACTTGTTCGCGGTTTCCGATCTTCGAAGGGATGGAAGCAGAGAAGAGAGTTGTAGAGGTGCTGAGAAAGGGAAGGGACGACGAGTACAGACACCCTTATATAGATAGATCCAAGGGTAGCCATCGTCACCAAACACTGGCGTTCAGCAATAGCAACGCAGATGAATAGGGTCGGCGATGGGTATTCAAACAATAGATGCGTGTTGGGAACACAACGCTGGTGAACAGTATTGCGTTTCTGCACGGGCAAAGACTTTGCGCTGTCTCAATGGAGCCTTTGGCCTTGTGGTTTGAATAGCAGTTCAGCTGCAGGTGTTTACTTTGTGATAGGCTTAATGGTAGAGCGGTTCTGATAGGCACAGTGACGATAGGAGGATACCGACAGGTTCCTTTGGTTTCTGCATATTGAGTCTCCAAGGCGGAATCTGGCTGACTCTCTTGGAAGTGCACTTTTCACAGGCATTCTTCGGCATTGTTGTTTTCCTGTTGCATAAAGCCGGTTGACATTGTTCCCTCGAAGGTAACCCTCCTATCCAGCCTTGCCGGCTCGCTTGTAGACTTCTCTCTTGCTGCATAAGCCATTATTACCTTACCAGGATGCTATGGTCAACCCTTTTCTCCACCCTGACTCTTTGCTTGCTGATCCCTAGGAGGCTTGAGAGCTTTACCAGGAGATACAGTCCAGAACTGCAATGTAATATATGATCAAGCGATAGGTAGACTGTGAGAAAAGCAATACTGGTATCCTTGGTTCCATCCGGTTCGACCAGTAGTTGGGCCAAACAAATGCTGTCAACTTAGGGACGTCGAGACCATATTAAACAAGAGAATGCATTGTTCACCAGGAGAAAGCGGTTGTCGGCTCTGTATACCTTTTCCAAGCAAGCCAAACCCAAATTTTGTAATGTTCATGGCAAGACGATTGATTGATACTGCAGGAAAGGAATGATGTCGTCAGAACCTACTACGGGCAAGGCTGCGCTAACCCATTTCAGGATTAGTGGGACTGCGATTGGAAAGGCCGCAGACCTTATTTCCTCCTTCAACAGTTTAAACTGACCTCCGATATCAAAAATACGTTCTCTCAAGTAGTTGGCACACTGTTCTCTTCGTCCATTGTCACTGTGCCTTACAGGGAACCACTGACCTTACTTCCATATGGGCAAAGAAGAAATCTGCGCTAATTTTGCCAAGATTACTTCACCGTAGACATAGTCCGGAGTGAATACTTGGGCTATGCAAAGCGCACACAGCTAGTAGGTCATGCTTTTTGCCACTGCAAAATTGTTTACCTACAAAAAAGGCTCGGATTGAACAGCTGGCAATAGTAGACCAGTAGTTATCACTTCTGAGCGAACAATAACAGAACTATAACAGAGCAAAAAACTTGAAGTACTCTTTGAGAAGCGTGTCATCCTTAGTGCAGGGGCCATGCTAATCTTCTCTGTATCGTTTCAAATTGACCAAATGTAATCCGTGAGGATTACGATAGTATTATACACAAAAGTAATATATATACCTGACAATTTTCATGCACCTTAGCGCAACTCTAACAGCCACTAGCTCCTACTAGTAGTCTACTAGCGTATAACTATTTTTTGTCTTATGCTACGTACGTCCTTTACTAGAGGCTGGAAGGTGTAGTGTAAAAAGGCGTCCTACCTATGCAACAAAGATCCTATTTCTTAATTACCTACTTACCTAGTACACATAGATTGCAGAGACCCTCGAGCCGTGTTCTGGAATATCCTCCACGGAATGGTGCGGCGAGCTCCATACACTGTTCCGCAACATCGAAGCCGAGCACATTCTGTTTAAAAGAATCTGATCAACGCTGACACTTCAGAATACGGAATCGCGAACGCTATAACCTTGTTATGGCAAAATCTGCTAATTAGAATACTTTTTCTATCTTGACATGGCACAATGAGCAGCGTCCTCTCCTGGGTGATTATGAAAGAAACTGCCAGGTATATATGTTCTTGCTGTGTATGGATCTAATTGTAATCCTCACGGATTACATTTGGTCAATTTGAACAGCTGGCTCCGGAGATCCGTCAGGTATGTCGGATCTTAAGGCACTCCTTCTTTCGGCCTCTGGCAGCAGCTAGGAGCTCTCGATTGAGGTTGGCCAGGAGATCCTACGGCAATCGGAAGTTACGAAACAAGTCTAGTTCGCCGTGATGGGAACTTCGAAGAAAGATGCAGCATGACAAACATTGAACTTCAACGAACCAACGAACAGGCCGAAGTCTGTAAGAACATCGGTCAATCCAGGGAGGACCGCCTGCAGGAGCTTAGCAAAGCAGGTGCTCAGCGAGACCAATAACCAATACCGCCAAGAAACGGAAGCCGTTCTCCCTGCGGGACGGACGGCTAATACTGTGAAGGAAGGGAGCAATGTTCCATGGATGAGACGTGAGGCTCGGAGAGGTGCGCTGATAGGAGCTCAGCGTAAGGAGGCAGAGGAGGTGGTCGCGCTATCGGTGCGAGCGCAGGGAGGGAAAAAGGATGGTAGATTGACTCTGGTGATGAAGGAGGAGAGGAAGAGAGAGGAAGAGAGAGGAAGAGAGAGGAAGGAGAAACGAGGGCGAAGATCTTAATGACCTTGAGAAAACCGCCAAGACCGACGACAACTTCACAGGTCAACTGCCTTCAAAGTTGTGTTGTTGCTTGGCGGTGAATCTTACTATAACACAACTCGGTTACGAACAATCATTACGCCTCACCTTGCAGACGGGTCTAACAAGGACTGTTCGATCCTCCGAGTATGCCTCCTCTACGTCAGATCATTTTGCTACACTGAGAACGGCACTACGTGCAAGTCGAAGGAATGAGGCGTGACAGTCAGCACGTCCGAATCTGTTTACAGAATACTTACGGCTGGAACGGTGGCATCTTATTCTTATTCCTCTAAGCGATTATTGTTTACCAAGTACCTTAGGTAGAGAGGAAGCATGGCGATCTGAACAAACACTGGCTTCTATGCAGCTGATTCTGAGCTGTGCACCAGATATGTCGGATCATACCCGTAGACCGGCAGTTGAATGTTCTTCTGCCTCCTTCAATAATCCAGTATCAGAAGGCAACTCGTCTGGCCATTCAGACTGCAGTATGACGGTCTCACTGCTGTGCTCGGCTGGCAGCTGGTGACAATTTACTAGCAAGCTCGTCCCAGGCACCAGCTGCGGTCCCTGAACGGAGAGACTTTCGCTGCTTCATGACGTCGCAGTCGCAGAGCATCTTGAATATCAGCATCGATAATCTCTCCAGTAATCTCGAACATGTGTCCTGCTCTTGAGATAAACATTAGGAAGTCTTGGGTACCGACATTTGCCCGTCATGCTTTCTGCTTCTTTGCAGCTTGCCCAGTTCCATCACCGGCGGACTCTGATAGTCTTGACTGCTCCGATTGAGCCATGGTGTAGAGACTCGTCGCCAGATCGTGGACGGCGGTTCTGCAGTCTTGTTTGTATTTTTCGAAGACCTCTTCCACCTCTTCTCTCTTGGATTCGACCGCTTTGAGGTCTGCAAACAGCTTCGCGAAGCTTGTATCCATGTTCTGGACAAACCAGCGTTCCCATTCGGAGTAGATCTCAGGGCTGCAGATCTCGAGTGTCCAGGCGACCCAATCGTGTATGTTTGTAAGTCTCTGGAGTCTGTGGGATTGGGTTCTTGCTCTTGTATTTGTTGTCGATTAGTAGCTACTCGCGCTCCAGAGAGGTGCACACGTTTTGCCTGAGGCTGAACTGGGAGCCCCTGTACGGATGTTGCTTGAATAGAATTCGAAGTGGGCAACCGAGACTGTAGCGGCTGTCCAATCACAACAGCTGGTTGTGCTGGAATTTGTGCCTGAGGCACTGAAGTAGCAGATGCTTGGCCATTGATGGTCCCGGCAGCTCTGGTCAGAGTGTGATGGTCAGCACTACTAATAGGTGGTATAGTCCATGATGGACGGGTGCTGTAGGGTAGGGGTAGGGGATGTCCCGAGCCAGGGTACTGGACATGTGAACCAAGGGTGCTTGTTGTATGTTGGTCTTGGACCTTATTTCTTGACTGCGCCTGTCCCACACGATCCATGTAAGGCGAATCATACAGGTATGGTGTAACATGAGTGCTTAGCATCAGCGGGTTTGCCTGAGGCATTGATTCGAGTGCTCGTCGTCGTGCTCTGATGCCAATAATAGGCACAGAGGGGTCAGCAGACTGCGCCTGTCCATGAGACTGAGGCAAAGTAGATGGTGTACCATGAGTGCTTAGCATCACAGGATTTGGGGGGGTATCTGATAAGGGTATTGCCTGAGGCATTGATGCGACTGCTCGTCGTTGTGCTCTGAGACCTCTAGGTACAGAGGCGTCAGTGTGCGGATGCGGTTTCCCACATATCGGGCAAGAGGGTTGAGAATGGTATATGCGACAGCACAGGTAAAAGGGCAGAGCAGAGCTCATCCTATCCAGCATATGGTTGTTATCCATCATGCTCGTGGATGTGTACTGCTTGAAGGAAAAGAATGGTTCTACCATGGACTCAAGAGAGTTGAGGCGAAGGTAACGCAGGCATAGATGTACCTAGTTAGGAACTAGTGAAGCAATGTAGATCGCGTCGAGAAAGCCGCGATGTTCATTGGCTCGATATGGATACGGCTTATCGATTGGTCAGCTAAAGCGTTCATCACGTGATTTCGCCTGGCTTGGAGTACGGAAAATAGTTTATCCGAACCGTCCTGCTTCCGTCTACCCCTCTTAGTGCAACTCGAGGTCTCATTTAGGCTAGTCGCTTCTTTAAGGTCGGCGGACTTGACAACCTAGTACAGTATAATTCAATAGTGCACCACACTTTAGACTGCGACTAACAGCAAGACCCCACAGTGCAATAGACCCTGCAACATGTCAAGTCCGCATCCTGCAATGTCACCAGCATTTCACAATTTTCTTGTAAAACAACTCCTCATTCCAACAGCCAGCATCGTCAACATGGCTCCTTCGAGAATCAGCGAACCGGATGATTCTGACTCTCAGTCCACATCTTCGGAGACTACTTCAAGCGAAGCAGATTTTCCCACCCCGCCGCCCAAGCGCAGGCGCATCTCGCAAGACAGCGACGACCGTCCTGTGTCGACGATCCCATCCACGTTGCTCTCAAGAGTGAAGAAATCAGCAGTTCCCGAAGCAACTGCTCCTCCACTACAACATGGCTCAACATCTACTGGACGGCCTTCCGTCCCTACCACATCCTCTACCTTTGAATCCTTAAACGTCGCGCCATGGCTGGTACGTTCGTTGGCGGCCATGGCCATCCAGAACCCCACGGAGATCCAGAAGGCAACCATACCCGAAATCTTGAAAGGGCGAGACTGCATAGGCGGATCGAGAACAGGAACCGGAAAAACAGTGGCATTCGCGGTCCCAATACTCCAGAAATGGGCGGAAGACCCGTTCGGCATCTACGCAGTCGTGCTCACGCCGACGCGAGAACTCGCATTGCAGATCTACGAACAATTCCAAGCGTTGGGGGCGCCGCAGAACCTCAAGACCGTGCTGGTCACCGGCGGAACCGACATGCGACCACAGGCTGTGGCGCTCTCACGACGGCCGCATGTCGTCGTGGCCACGCCAGGACGATTGGCAGACCACATCCTCAACTCGGGCAAAGACACGGTGATCGGCCTGTCGCGAGCCAGAGTGGTGGTGCTGGACGAGGCGGACCGGCTGCTCATGCCGGGCCGAGGCTCGATGCTGCCAGACCTCAACACGTGTCTTTCAGCGCTCCCGCCGTCGTCGGCTCGCCTGACCCTCCTCTTCACCGCGACGGTGACGCCCGAGGTGCGTGCGCTGAAGGATCTGCCGCGGCCTAAAGAGCGTCCGCCGATCTTTGTGTCCGAGATCGCAGACTCTTCCGACCCCTCGAGCGTGGCCAGTTTGATCCCTCCCACGTTGGCCCAGACGTACCTACAGATCCCGATGACGCACAAGGACGCGTTCCTGCATGTCCTGCTGCAGGTGCCGTCGTTCACGAAGTCCCCAGAACCGAGTATCATCGTCTTCGTCAACCGCACCACCACCGCCGACGTCTTGCATCGCACGCTGCTGCAGCTCGCCCACCCGGTCACGGCGCTGCACTCGGAACTGGCGCAGATCCAACGCACGAAGAACCTCGCCGACTTCCGCGCTCGGAAGGCCCGCATTCTGATCGCGACGGATGTCGCCTCTCGAGGTCTCGATATCCCGGACGTCGAGTATGTCATCAACTACGATGTCCCGCGCAACCCGACCGACTATGTCCATCGAGTTGGTCGGACGGCCAGAGCGGGCCGCAAAGGTACCAGTGTCACGTTTGTCGGTCAGCGCGACGTCGCCTTGATCCTGGCCATCGAGGAGTATGTCGGGAGCAAGATGTCCGAGTGGACCGAGGAGGGTGTCAATGTCGAGACTAGGGTCGTCAAGGGCCGGACCTTGAAGGACGTGGCCGAGGCTAGGATGGAGGCTCTTCGAGACTTGGAAAGCGGCAAGGACGTCAATGGTTGGAGAAGGAAGATCAAAAAGGATCGAAAACGAGCCGTAGAAGCGTGATCCACCCATCACTGGCTGGCAGATGGTATACGACTTATGAATTGACGTTATACAATCACTCTGTAAGAGTCGATCATTAGTATCAGGTTGCCCTTATAATTCTGGCATTGTTGGTTGCTCCAGCTCTCTATGGAGACTTCTCAATTCGCATGACTGTACAATCGGTCTCTACTTCTCATAGCATGCTTCCGCAAACCATGAATTTCGCTATGGCTTGTGTGGTGTGCTCACCCAGCAGTAAGGAGACTACCCACTGCGATCCCGCAGCCCGGCACTATCTCATCCAATCAATATCCAACTCGGCTTTGTATTCACCCTCGTCGTTGATGCTGCTCAGCACACTATCTTCCCCAGTCCAGGTCGTCGGTGTACCCTGGCGCATACTTGACAGACTTCCGGGTTTCTCGCTCCCAGTCACACTGCCTTCTCGAGCCCTGTCCTCCGATTCTCTCAACTGATGTGTTTTCCACCATTTGCTGCTTTCCTCCACCACCTTCTCCTCCCATTCACTGACTGGTCCTATCACTTCGACATCTTTTTGCCCGGCCTTCAACACATCCCGGCAGGGGAGCGACATTGTCATGTTCTCATCATTGTTTCCACCCGTCAAATCATTCAATTTTGACTCACTAGCTGCATAGACGAGCCGTCCTATGTTGCTCCAGTACAACGTTCCGGTACACATGGCGCAAGGCTCCCAGGTGGACACCAGTGTACATGCAGCGAGGTACTTTTGTGAGAAGTGAATTGCAGCCAAGCGTGCTAGTTCGGTCTCAGCATGCTGGACATGGGAGATTGAGTAATGGGTCAAGAGGATTGTGGTGTTATCGGGTGCTAGCAGAAGGGCTGCAAAAGGACGCTTCTCGTGTAGTGACGTTGCAGTCTTTTGCAGTTCGAGACATACTTTCAGGGCAGCGTCAATATGGGTCTTTGTCAAAGGTGTGCGAGCTGGATGGCTGTAGGGAGGTAACGTAATAGGTGCGGTTGTACGGGCAGGCGAGTTCGTCGAGGAGGCGGGCGTGAATGGAGCTTTCGAGGAGTTCGGGGGCGTATTCTGAGTGACGCTGGCGTGAAAGGAGGATGAGCCAGAGGGCGCCACGGATGGACTCGGAGCATTTGCAGGTTTACGGTGGATTGAACCAGGAGAGGTTGTCTTGAGGTTGGCATTCAAGTTCCCAGTCGACTGGAGAAATTGTTGATAGCTCATTTTGATGTTGCACTTCGGAGTTGTCAAGCAGGTTGACTGACGGATGGATTGAAAGAGGATCGCAGTGTTCAATCCCCATTAAGATTGTACGATCAGGCAAAAAATCTCAACAAAAGCACGACTTGCACATTTCAGCTCGTCTCGCACAGTACAATTGGGAGAAGCTAATATATTGGTGGCCGGACCAAAGTTTGCGGCTTGGTGAAGCTTCCAAAGAAAGAACGGCGATCGCAGGCGGGTTGCAGATTTCGTGGTTCTCGAGTGGGCGTCTTTTTGGCAGGTGCCGCCCCAACCATGTGCCACTTCGCTCCTTCCCATGTGCGGAGAAGGATTTTAGCGAACAACACGGACCTCCTTAACCCTTCCAAACCACCACCAGGCTCATCGGGTCCAGGAACCAAACAGGGTCTTGGTGAAATGCGATAGGTTGACAGTCAAGGTGATGGCCAATCCTTGTCAGAATCGATGCGGCCGCCGTGAGATGTAACTGCAATGACAGTGGATATACTTTGACTGCGATCGCAAGACGCAAATCCGGGTCCAGCCAAGTCAAAGTGTGCTCCCAGCATCTATCATGACTTCTGTCCTGAGGCGCCTGTAGCGCAAATACCGTTCAACAGCTTCTCGGCGCCAGTCTGATTTTCTCAACCCTCGAAGGGCGGTGAGTCGTCATTTAGAAGACCAGTATGTCGATTTTGTTCTCAGACCCATACCGTTGACGGATCTCATCCATGTTCAGCAGTGCCATCAGAGGCCGAAATAGTTCGTCCATCTCAAATATTGTTCTCTTTTTCTGGTCGCGGTACGATCCATCCACCACAATCCTCCGTATGCCTTTGGGCTTGAGAGCGTCTGCGTTGATCAGGTCTTTCAGTCTCGCCGGTGTTCCGATAGCAATTCCAACTTTCGTTTTCTGCATATATTCCACATTATCTTTCAGCTTCATATGTTTTGCAATCAACTTGGCGACCTTTGAATTCTCGCTGTTGAAAATGCGCAAGTCTCGTGTGAGGTCCGCTGTACGGATTCCCGATGAGGTGACTACCAGGGTATGAGGCGAGGCTGTGTCATCGCAAGAAGACAGTCTGGCTTTGCCCCCGTCCGAGAATCTCTCGAGGAACTGCGGTAGATTTGCCGCTGCATGAGGCTTGTCGAAGTCTGTGGTATTGAGGAACGCTTTGGACGGTAGGAATTGGTCTTCCAGCTCGATGGAACTGCTGTCCGGATAGCTCTTTCGGACGTATTTCGCAAAATGGTCTGCCAGTAATGCAGGATCCATCATGGCGATTGTTTCATCAACTTCGGTGTGTTCGTGTCGCGCTGCAGCAGTGGGTGCGGCGGTGCGCTTGGAAGGAGGCTCGGAATTGACTTCGGCGCCATTTTCGAGTTTATTTTCGAGTTTATTTTCGAGTTTACGTTTGGTTCCGTGCTTCTGCTGCTGGCTCTTCTTATTTTGCTCCATTATTGTGTGTAGGGAGGAAATAGGTGTGCTGGTTGCTTTCACATGGCTGGCTGCGGAGATCTTTTTGTGATGAAAATCGCGGACAAAGTGAAAGTGGATCGTCAGAAGTTTCTCCGCATAAGGCGCAGGCTCGAGATCTAGTACAGCCTACAATGATACCTCCCTACTAAACCCTCTGAGGCCTTCCCCATGCATATAGGCGGGTAGGTATGTTGATTACACCTGATCCTCTTTCGGGAAATCATGTCAGTTCCAATTCCAACGTCACCTCTAAACGGTATTGGTCCTTGTATGGAGGTATTCCAGCTTCAATCGCACACAAATGGGTTACTGCCAGCCTCTGGTCTACGAACAGGCTTCAGAAGGACCATGTGCCTCTTCTCTTGGACTTCTTTGATCGTGCCAGCTCGGAGTCCACCTGGCTCAACCGAAGCTGCGACTCATTTATTTCAGTGCCGCCACTGGTGCGATAGGAGTTGGACGTGACCTCGTTGGGAAAAGGACCGATACTATCGCATACTCATTAATATGTCTTGCTCTTGTCTTTGATCATGATACTGCCTGGTGTTTTCCGCCGGGGCACGGAAGCTACATATACAAGAGTGACCCCGAAGAGCATATTGGGCGGTTCACTCTAGACATCGACCGCCCCTATAAGCGACAAGCTCCTTTGACTCGCAGCTCGTATCCAGCATGAGGATGAACGTTATCATCCAAGTTGTCTTGGTGTTCTTCTATAGCTTCCTAGCAGATGCAACCAGCACAGAAAAGATCATTCGCCGTCAATCCAGCCTTAACTGTCCAGCTGGTAGCAGTTTATGCGTCTATTTCAGTGGAGAAAGCTGCGTGGACACCAGTGCTGGTGATGTCTGCTGTGCTGACGGAAGCGGTTCGTGGTCTTCCAACAAGTCTGTATGGACCTGATTGCTGATGAATAGACCAGGTGTCTGCAGTGGAGGATTTCAATGCGGTACTGGCGTCGCAGCCGATCGCTGTTGTCAACCCGTATGCTGTTTTTCCGATGAACAGTCACCCTTGCTCCCATGAAAAAGCAATCACTGTCAACAGAGCTCCCAATGTAAACTGACAAGATCTAGGATACCTCTCCAGAAGAATGTGCTCAAGCCACGCTTGTAGGGACAGCCACGACCGTCTCTGTCCTTTCATCTCCTACCTCTCCACCGGCATATACCAATCGGGCCGGCATTTTGAGGCCTCCTTTAGGTATCGCATTGTTATTGGGGATGGGAAGCATGCTGTGGATTGAAGGAACCAACACTTAAGCTTGTTGTTGCAGAGTCGAGTCTCCACACGGAAAACTCAGAGTTCTCGAGGTCATCTTGGAACACATGGGAACCGACAGGAGAACGGTGGCATAATATCTCATGTGTTCTGGCGGACCGAGAAGCGGTTGAGGAGGAAGTCGATGCTCGTGTGACCAAGGATCTCAAACTTTGAAGAGATCTCGGCGATATCTTCTTAAATTGGAGTGGTCTATGATCGAGGGAACCATCAACGCAGTTCCGGCCATGAACGTACCCACCGGGAGTCAGATTGTACTGTTCTGTACGATCGTAAAGATGGGGAGCTGCTCTGTGTCCCTGGGACCTTGTTATTTACTTGGATCAGATTTGAGATGGTCAGGGGTTCATTCTGCGGCGGCTTCTCGGCGTTGTCAAGTTTAGTTAAATCTGCCCCGCGGGGTTCGCAGGCACCGCCAGGAGATTGAGCTCGTTAGGTGCTGCATTGGCCAGTCACCACCAGTCACCAGCCTATAATGCCACAATGGCAGACCGAGACCCCGCCTGGCGATTATCAACGAACCCACTGCAATCGGTTACTTTCCCATCGCGATTTTTGAGCAACATCTTCCTTTCTGGATCAGATCTCTCGTGAATCAGGCTCATACCGTCTCGCCCGGCCGGAGCTGCAAAACTCAAGAATACCAGTTGTCATGGGCTGCTATCGCCGAGATATTTGAGGCGTCTAACAACGTCGTCGCAGTCGCACGGGGGCATCAGTCAGAGCCCCTCTCATATGGACATTTTGTCCTTTCAATCCCATACATTCCCACGATGTCAACCTTAGAAGGGATACCTACAAACGATGACTCTCACGAAGCCTCTGCGATTGTGGATGGTGATACCCTCGGTCGCGCGCCCCGCGCCCCTCCTCACCCTGCCTCCGTGAAGATCAATGTCGAGGGCGCTTTCATCGTGGATGACGAGCCGAACAAGAGAACGAACATGACAAGCGAATTTGTGCATCGGGAACACACGGACATTAGGTTGCCGCACCATACGGATGTGGTCAGCCATGTCGCGGTTGATGTATTCCTCTCCAAGCAGTCCTGCTACGTACCTTTCACGCTGATCTGCTGCTTAGATTGGCGGTTCCCTTGCGAAGCTCGTCTACTTTTCCCGCGAGCCGGGCTCGACCCATGGCGGCGGGCGCCTCAACTTTCTGAATTTCGAGACCGACCGTATAGATCTGTGCATCGACTTCATTCAAGAGCTGAAACAGACACAATCGAAACTCAATGGGTCAACCCCCCAACAGCTATGTGTCATGGCGACCGGAGGAGGAGCATTTAAATTCTACGACCGGATGAAGGAGGTTCTGCACGTTGATGTGATCCAAGAGGACGAGATGGAGTGTCTTATCATCGGTAAGGACAAGAGGCTGGTTGCTGAAGCCCCGCTAACCACCGAGTGGCTAGGTCTCGATTTCTTCATCACAGAGATCCCGCAAGAAGTGTTCACCTACAGCGAAGAGGAACCAATGCAATTTGCCGAAGCACGCCCAGATGTCTATCCATATCTCCTGGTCAACATTGGATCGGGGGTGTCCATGGTGAAGGTGTCAGGACCCCGAGAGTTTCAACGCGTGGGCGGTACATCGCTGGGAGGAGGTACATTCTGGGGTATTCTTTCCTTGCTCACCGGCGCCCGCACGTTTGATGAGATGTTGAGGTTAGCCGAAAAGGGCGACAACGCCGGAGTCGACATGCTTGTGGGTGACATTTATGGCACAGGCTACGGCAAGATCGGTCTGAAGAGCACCACCATCGCAAGTACCTTTGGCAAAGTCTTCCGCATGAAGAGGATGGCCGAAAGAAACGCAGAGGATGGGCAAGGTTTGTTCAATGGTGACCACGGGGATGGTGATCACCGACTGGGAGGCTTCAAGACCGAGGACATGGCACGAAGCTTGCTGTATGCGATCTCCAACAATATCGGCCAAATCGCGTACCTCCAATCGGAAAAGCACAACCTTCAACATATATATTTCGGAGGATCCTTCATTCGAGGCCATACACAGACGATGAACACCCTTTCCTATGCCATCAAGTTCTGGTCTCAGGGCCAGAAACAGGCATACTTTCTACGACATGAGGGTTATCTCGGTGCGGTTGGCGCATTTCTCAAACGACAACCGAAGAACTGGGGAAGGCGCAATAGTTTCGACGACGTCAAACTGGGCAGGGTAATGTCCAGAGAATAGACGAGTGCCCTCGATTGGAGGCTACTATCTTCACGGGTTTTGGCCTCGATCTATCAAGCCACAGTACCGTGCAGTTCAAAATACCATTGGACACGAACAACTACCGCAAAGCGCGATGCCACAAATTCACTATGGAGGTCTTGAGGTGTCACGGATCCTAAGCTGGAGTTCTCTTTTGTGCAGTGGTCCACAAGGCTGCTGCTATCTGCATACGAGATAGATGGTCTCGCTGACCCGATCCGTTCCTGCCTTGGACATGTTCATGGCAGCTTATGGGGAGTGCAGCGCTCCAGCCTCGCCATCCCAGATGTACTTCTTCTGTCTGCATGGGAAGAACGGAAGTCGGCGGTTGGTTTCGCCCTTTTCTGCTTGAAATGGCAGGGAGACTTTTGCACAAGCGATGTGTCGGATAGAAGTGACGGGTCAGACGGTAAAGTGAACAGCTTGATGGCTAAGGGAGGAAGCGGCCCACATGTCAAGGCTGGCATCGATGGCTTTTCCCATGTTCCGCCATTTCAGAGCCACCGCAATACCGATCACTCGGGTCAGGCTTCCGCGAGGGGCAAGCAGCGTGCAGGCATCGCTGCAGAGTGATATAAGGGCTCTTGTTAGCTCTCTTCTGATGAGTCTAGCACCCTCATGCTTCCGGGTGCCTCGGCTCATCAATGGCAGCAGACATTTTGTAGTCGTGCAGCGGAAGGGCGGCCATGACCGAGAAGGTACCTTACCTACATGTAGATACCTACATGTACCTAGATACCTTTTGTGTACGAGAAGATTCGAACATGTCAAGCACTCGACCACATAGTCACAGTGCCATGGTCATTGAGTCTCCCTCCACTTCACTAGATATCATTGAAGGAACAATCAAAACTGTATGAGGTGGTAGACTGTTTGGGACATTGTGGACCGACTCAGAAAATCTCGCAGGTACCTACCTACTACTAGACACCATATGGAAGAAGTTGAGTTCATGATGGAGCGCGATGGAGCACACTGCAGTGGTGCATCTTTAGGGAGGTTGGAGGCTGAAGGCTGAAGGCTGAAGGCTGGAGGCTGGAGGCTGGACGTTCCGAGTCGGGCAGCCTTAGGGAGCCTCAAGGCGCCAGCCGTGATTGGCTCCTTAGGGCCTTAGGCCTTTCAGAGGGTTCCTTTAGGCTCTGTAGGCTCTGTTAGGTAGGCTCTGTAGGCCCTGACGTCAACCTCCTTAACCCTTGTGGCTAGCACGCGGACTAACAAAACACCCTGGTCTGCCAGTGACGATGCATAACCCAGTAAACCGCTGGCATGCTGGTAACATGTTTCGGCCGCATTGGTGGTGCTGGTGGGCAGCGTGCCAGGGCAGTCCTGTCACGATCCCATTCTCTCGCAGGTAGGTGGTGTCTTTCCCCCTTCTTAAAGTTCCTGCATCCTTCCAGAAAAGTCAGCCTTGTTCCCTTTAGCGATGTCAGATGCGAGAAATCGTGCGTCCGTGGTGTGATAGTAAGCATACCAGACTCGGCGACTGCCAGCAGCAGAAAGGCGCCCCTCCTTCCAGCACACCTTCAGACGGGTTCGGCAACCAGCTGCAAGCACGAAACGCAGCATACACACATCTTCTAGAAGCGGCGTCGCATTGATTTGCAAACCCTGTCTTCAGAGGTCTGAACCTTTTCCAATATGGTATGCGCCTGCGCCAACACGGCAAACCCATCTGCACTTCTCAATGCTGACATACTCGCTATGTCCAGGCTCCCTTTGCGACTTTCGCATCTGCCATTCTTCCCGCAAGCCCCGCCCTTGTGGCTCGTCAGGCGACCACGACCATTGTGACCAGTTCTTCGCGCACATCATGCTCAGGACAGTACTCGGGAGGTACATTGGCCGGCGCCATCCTCGGGACTTTCTTCGGAACCATCCTCATAATATATCTCTTCAACTCGATACGAGCCAACCCATCCCGCGCGGGTCGAGAAGAGGTGGTGGTGGAGCGCAAAGTGCGCAGCAACGGCAGCAGAAGACGACGTCGGAGTCGAAGCGGCAGCGTATCTAGTGTTCGGCGGCCGAGCAGGGTGTACTCGAGTGTTGGTTAGCCCGCGCCGAGAATTTGGACGTTACGAATGAACGAGAGATCTGTACGAGATCATACGCATGCCTCATTCATCTGGCGAGAGGGTCTGTACATGTGAGTTGCTGTTCCAGTGTATTCGGCATGGTCCGGAGTTTGCGACTCGACGTCGCCTGTGGAAAAAGTGAAGAGGAAGATGGTGGTGTTTTCGGGCTGATCGTTTGGTTCTATCACAGACCCTCGAGTCCGGACGAGCAGCGCATATTTATTTATCTACATAAAGCGGAAGCTATTGCATCGAAGTGGTGATATAGTATGGAGCTCAGATCTTGAACTATGTCAGCACGGACCCGTGCCTGAACAACAGCCGTGCGAGGTGGCAGGGCCAGATGTATAGAGTACAAATCGACCCAAGCGGAATGATGAGAAAGCATTGTTGATATCGAGCAAGGCGCAGATTTCACACCAGTGCCTTTGTACTCTGTCAGAAGCATTCTTTGTTTACAGAACACCAACTTGGGGGAGAAACCCTGAAGCTGCAACCACCCTTGTACAGTATTTATTGTCCCCTCGCTCTCGCCGCGGCGTTCCGCGTCACATCTGCGTACTAGTCCGACGGCCGACATTGGTTCCTCACACCGTCACGAGTCCGGGACACTTCAATATCCGACATCCCCAGCACTTCTGTCCTCCTAGCTCTCAATACGCACCGTCATTACTGTGTCCAAGTTCAGTGTGGCCGAACGTTGTATACCAGCGACGAGCGGCGTCAACTACGGTCACTACCGACGAAGGCTATCTTCCTCTCGTTTCGCGTCGAATCCTCCAAGATGGCCGCCAAAGGCATCATCCCAATACTGGTGGGAATGATGCTATTGACAGGATGTGCCAACACCATCCTCACCAAGTATCAGGACCAACAATGTGTTCGAAACTGTGACGACAAGGATGTCAAGAACCACAAGACATTCGAGCAGCCCGTCATCCAGACGTAAGCCCCGGGGTTCCTGCATCTCTGTTGCTATTACTGACTGTTAAGGGTACAAATGTTCATCGGAGAAATGGGCAGCTGGATTGTCATTCTAGGCTTCTACCTCTATCGCTACTTTGTCCTGCGTTCCAGTGACGCCCCTCTCCTATATCAGCCCGTCAACACCGACGAACAAGAGGAGGATGATGGTGATGATGAGACGCTCCGCCCATCCTCGCGAGGTGCAGCGAGCCCTGCCTTGAAACCTCTCCTACCTAATTCCGAAGATCGAGCACCACTTGGAGGATGGAAGCTTGTCCTATTGGGCCTTCCAGCATGCTGCGACATCGCCGGGACGACACTGATGAACGTAGGCCTCTTGTTCGTGGCAGCTTCCATATATCAGATGACAAGAGGGGCGTTGGTTCTGTTCGTGGGACTGTTCAGCGTCGTATTCCTGAAAAGAAAGTTGTATCTCTATCATTGGATATCACTCATCATCGTCGTGCTGGGTGTCGCCCTTGTTGGCCTTTCTGGAGCTATCTATTCGGGGGACAAGAATGCTCCAGGACCCAAACCGGACAGTGTGGAAGCTCTACACGACGCCCTGCTCGCGGCCAGAGAACTCGTTGTTCAGGCCGCAGACCCTGCAGCTGTGCGGACCGTGATCGGAATTTGTCTGATTGCATTTGCCCAGATCTTCACTGCAACTCAATTTTGTTTGGAAGAGTGGATTCTGGAACAGTACGCCCTGGAGCCACTGAAGGTCGTCGCCTGGGAAGGGCTTTTCGGCTTCCTCGTTACTGTGGTGGCTCAAATTATCCTCCACTTCACTGTCGGCATATCGAAGAGTGGGAAGCATGGCTATTTCGACGCCTCGGAGGGCTACCGACAGGTCTTGACAAACAGAGCAATCGGTATCTCCAGTCTAGCCATTATGGTCTCCATTGGCGGCTTCAACTTCTTCGGCCTGTCCGTGACTAGAACGATTTCGGCCACTTCTCGATCAATCATCGACACTTGTCGGACTTTGTTTATCTGGATCGTCTCTCTGGGACTTGGCTGGGAGTCGTTCAAATGGCTTCAGGTGGTCGGCTTTGCATTGGTAAGCTCTCAGAATCACATGTTGCTTGAGCAAAGAACTAATATCGAGGCTTTAGCTTGTCTATGGTACATTCATGTTCAATGATCTTATCAGGCCACCCATCAAGGCGCTTCTGCCCGGGCGTCAAGAACTAGAAGGCCGGGGCGAACTCTTGCCAGAAGAGCCGATCGAGCATATATAATTGTTTATACTCCAATGAAAAGATACGAGACGGCTGCTCCTTATTCGGCGTTCGATGCCTGGACGATCGAGATCGGCTCACTTCAACCCATCGTATCATTACACGACCGATCATTCCCATTTGGAAGGATGCAATTCTCCATATCGTGCCGCCTTGTGTTACCAGCCTATGGCTGGTTGGGTCATTCGCAGGCAAACTTGTTGCGGAATTTGCCAGATTATTTCTCTGGTGGATTGGGACCAACCTCAACCGGGCGTGAGCCTGAATGTCGGCGGCGACGAGGCATGATTCCAGCTTCTCAGAACGTGTGAGAAGAGGTACTGTTTTGATTCAAAAGCACGTCCTACGTATCGACTCCTTTCTCGACGGAGTAATTTCGAAGCGACAGCTCTTGGCCGCAGGATGGCTACACAAAACATCACATTATACTTGTCCGCGGTAAGTCATGACAATTAGATGCTGCATGCCTCCTTTTCTATTTTTTGTGTCAAAACATGCATATTGATACTCGTTTCACATCGATCGCCTCTGGTGGCTTTTCAAGGGGGTTCTCTCCCGTGCAGCTGGCCGCAAAGCAAGGGGTGAAAGCTCTCACATCTCACAAGCCTCGAAGAGGCTGGACCAGCCGTACTCACAATGGCTGAGCGGGCTCGTGCGACCTAAGGCAGATCGCAGGTCCCTTTTGGGTACGTACATATATGTAAGGGCACATATTGATTTGGGGTCTCAGCAAGCATCTGCCCGACGGGCTTGATGGTGGTCCGGCGCCACCGCGGTTGGATTTGCAAGACGCGCTACCGGAAGGATCTTGAACACACTCCCATTGCCCCCCTATGACCCTTCAGCCCCCTGCGGTATATGTCTCATATTGTCCTTGATTGAAGTTCTCAGATGTCTTGCCCTTCCTTAACTTGCCTCGTCAAGCTTGTATACAGACAAGAACAATGGAGCAGCCAACTTCTCTTACCGAAGCAGCAGTCGGCCTCGATATGTTGATGTCCGTACACAGTCGGTCACGCTCGCAGTCACGCTCACCATTCCAGCTCCCTTATTGCATGATCGAGGGACAAATGACGCCTCCATCGTCCCCGGCTCCTCTCATCCGAAATGATGGGCCGCGATTACACTTCTCAAAGCTGCTTCGAAACTCCCGGTCTCGCTCGATCAGATTGAAGCACCTCATTGACGGCGGCTTTCGAGAGAAGAGCTGTAAATGCGACGATGTCACTACTGCGCCGGCGGATGTGAGAGTGGCCACGACACAACTGAAGCCTGGTTTCCAATTTCCGCTTCTACTTCCTGACTCGCCTCCTGTCACTGAAAATAGAGAAACCGAAGCCGAAGGAGAAGAGAACTCATCTGTCTCGTCGACATGCTCATATTCCCGAACTCTCCTGCGTAGAACGTCGGCAAGTCATCATGACTTACGTGCCTTGGCTCAGGCGCAGAGATATGATACTTCATCAAGCCCCGGGACGCCTTTACTCCCGAGTCCTATACCAAAAGAGAATGAGCCTCTGGATTACGGACTTCAACAACAGCTACGTTCCTTCAAAGCACATGAACTAGTTCTCGGGAACGACGCAAGCCAACTTTCTTCCTTGAACCAGCGCACGCCCATTCCTTGGACACGAGAACGGATGTCTTCCTTGACAGACGAGGAGTGTGAGTCGATCAGTAGTGTGCAGATCCTGGCTTACTATTGCAACGACCCGGACGTATCGAGCAGCGGTGAAGAAGAGCTTGAGGACCAGGAAAGCCTGGTGACGGACCATGCTCGGAACACGAAAAGAGACACAACACAATGTTCTTACTCTCAAGTGCGACAACGTACCTTCAACAAGGACGACATTTCAGGATATGACTCTTCCTCTGACCAAGAGGAGGAGCATCCACCTGAAGCTGAATACATCTATTATGAAGAAGAGACAGATGGGCGTAGCATAAGCTCAAGCACGGTGTCGGAGTCGCCCATGCCAGTCACACCCACTGAATCTGAACATGACCACTACAGTCGGAATCGCGATACAGCGACGCTCAGTTCATCCGACGAGTCTGGTTGGCTGGCGAACACAACGTCTCATGCGGAAAGGCGACGAAGGTTCAAAGCACGCTTTTATCAGGTAGTCCAGCACCCGTGGACCGATTCATTTGCATACAGCAACCATGCTGGTGGGGAGGACGAAGATGAAGATCAAGTGGTAAGTCTGATCTCTTTTTTACTTCAGTATCAAACCGAAAAGTGCTCGTCTACTTCTCAGATCAAAATAGAATGGTTTTTTGTTTCTTGGTTCTCGGAAGGATATTTGACTGCATGGCTTGATGAGCCCCCCAAGAGCCATCTTCTGCCTCTCTGCTAGAAGAAAGAGAAGAAGGATTACTTCCTTGTGATTTCCAGAAAAGTCGATCTCTTACACCATTGAAACTAACGCTATATCTTTCGCAGATGGTTGCCACAGTCCTCATCGGAGTCGGACCCGGCAAGCCAAGACTTGTTCAGATTCAACGACCACCTTCTTCAACCTCAAGCCAGTCCAGACTCGCCCTTTCAACAGGATCCCAGTCCAGCCTGGGAGTTTCTATGGCAAGTGAAATTCAGCAACATCAACAACCATGCAACTTACCGACTGTATTGGCAACCACAGCGAGTCTACCTCTTCCGGTCCAGAGACAACCAGAAACCCCTTCTGAAGACCCCTGTCCTTCAACTCCAATCCAAACATCGATACAAACACAACAGGAATCACTTCTCGAAGTATCTGCTTTCAGTCCTTATGATACTCCTGGCCCCAGTGATGCTGATACAGGTGTGCCACGGACCGAATCACAAAGTCGAATCTATCCTCGGCTCCACCATGTTTCTTACGTACAGCCTCAATCATGCTATCTATTCGATGCGGATGCCGACGCGGGCACCGACACCGACACCGACATAGAAGATGAGCCGGAAAGGGGCTGCACAAAAGTGGATGTCAGCGCACGAAACCCATTAAGATCCTCTTCAGTCTTCTACAGCAGCGGTCTGTTGCCTCCTCCATTGTATCTACCTTCGAGAACTAGGTCGAGTATATCAGACCATGGTGTCCTCAGCAGTACTACAGGAGGCGCTAGTTGTAAGGGAGAGGCCGATGGTAGAATTGCTACCTTACACCACCAACAGCAACTCCAGAATCTGGACGATCCATTCGTGGTGACTTCCTCACCGAGAAAGTCGAAGAGTGAGCGTAACTTGCGTCGTTTAGGGGCTGCAAACTGGGCCATCCGTGACGACAGGACTAAATGGCCTCGGGTGCCGGACATTCTTGACACGGACGAAACCACCAGGTGGATGAGCCCAGGATTGAAGATTGGCTATGACGATGGCACGAAGCGGACAAGAGTGGTTGGTGACTCTTACACCTACACCAACTGGACAACCTTTCGCGATCATTCCGAGAGTGATGTCGGAGCCGATAAGGACATTCCCACCAGACAGTCGTCTCGGACTCGAAATATATCTCCAGTTTCTCCGACTATCAGAGTCGCAGCCTCGTCACGGATTCGAAGACTAGAAAGAATACTGAAAGCAGTCACTCAGTCCATCGAAACCTTCCCCGACGGCATGCTTCGGCTGGATTCGCCCGCCATTTCAGAAATGAGACGACATTGTTCTATTTCTTCGGTCCGATCCACAGCTTATTCTTCACTGAAATCTATGCACAGTCACAACATCAACAGCGCCGACTTTGACGATCAGAACCAAAACGACATATGTATTGACGCGTTCCAGAAGATATTTCCGAACGCGCCGACGCTGTTGACCTCGGCGCTGGCGGCGTGGATCATGGTGGATCTATATCTCTCGCGACTCCTTTCAGAAGAGGACCCGCAATCACAAGAACCGCGACAACAGCCACACAGGTCTGAATCTGTGTTCTTGGATTGTTGTCATCGAGGGCGGAAGACGCATTATCATCATGATGGCTCGGAGTGCAGACTTTTCGGGTTCCAGGACGTCCTTAAAGAGGAATCGTTCGGTCGAGATGATACGATTCCTAGTTCCGCGCAGCAAGAAGAACAACAACAAGAAGAAGAAGAAGGAGGAGGAGGCGGAGGAGAAGAAGTAGAAACCCACGAGTATCAGCACAGAAGAGACTCCCCTTGGGAGCAGCACTGGTCTCACGCACAACCAGACATGAATGCACTCACAAACACAAATACAACAGCAGCATCAATCCACAAGGAGGGACGTCGAGACTACTATATCCCAGCCAAAGCAAGGAGAACGCTAGGCATCATCAGCCCTCGGATCCAGTTCCACCATCACGACCAGATCTCCACCACAGCTAACCCGTCGCCCACTCTGCCGACCCAGCACCAGCAAGGCTTGCGATCGTCGAGAATCGGGACTGGTACCGGAACCGGCATTGACCACACCGTCTCGACCAATTCGCATGGCCGCGCATACGCTGAGCTTGATCTTGATCTTGAGCTGGAGCTTGAGCTGAAGGAAAGGGTAGAGGCAATTTACGCTCACGTCCCCATCGTCGCGAGAAAGCTGGTCGAGGCTCTGCGAGGCAGTTGGGACGAAGATGTATGGCGGTCGTTGAGGGTGCTGGTGGAAATTATTGAAGGCTTTGGCAGAGGGAATACGTCGCTTTAAATTTGAGATTTTTGGAGATTTGAGATTTCTTTTTCTTTTTGAGATTTGGGTCCTTGCTAAGGGGAGGGAAGGGGGTAGCCGAAAGTATCGAGTATTCGCGATCGATCGAAGATCGAGGAGTCGAGGAGTCGAGGAGTCGAGGAGTCGAGGAGTCGAGGAGTCGAGGAGTCGAGGAGTCGAGGAGTCGAGGGATTTATAGACTCTGAGTTTGAGGAGTCTATGCCCCTGGGACATACTTTTAAGCAATTGGTTCGTAGGTAGATATAGTTGGTATTATTTGAACCTTGGTGATTTCATTCTATTAATCAGTCTTTCTGGTTTCCATAACATAGGTCGTATACGCCGTCAAGGTCTGATGCATAAAGGTCAATGACAATTGTAGATACCAGACATTACTGTATATTCCTTAGCAAAGCCTTTTTATAAGAGCAAGCCCTCTTTAATTTGATCCCAAAGACTCTTGACTCTTGACTCTTGACTCTTGACTCTTGACTCTTGACTCTTGACTCTTGACTCTTGTTTCTTGTTTCACAGTACAGCCAACTTTAGTACTCATATCCAACCCAGTCCGGTTCAACACCCCACCCAGGCAGGCATTCATTCCCCACCTCCCACGCCCTCCCTATGCAGCTCAGCCAGCCCGAGTCTGAAGTCTGAACTTCAACAACAGCGCCGGGGCCCGGGATCAGCTTGTGCAGTTCAGTTCCAGCATGCCGACGGAATTGTCCGTAGAGCGACGTAGTTTCTTACAACCCAGGAAAAACCAGAGGGCGGGGACCGCGTACTAATAGATCAGCATTCGAAATAACATGGTCGATGACAGATCACGAGGGCTTGGACAACCAGAGACAAGAAGGGACTGAGAAACAGAGCGAGCTTGCTATGCAACAGAGAAAAGGAAGAAGGGAAGAGAAAGGCGTTCATGAACGCCCATGGAAAGCCAACCCCCTAAAGTAGAGAGGGGAGGGATGGTTGTCCATCATGTATCCATCCCGTCATCACGAACGAGGAGCGGTAGGAATACATATCTTGTCTGCGGGTCAGTCGGCTGTCTCCCGGGGCCTGTTAGTGGGAATGTGATCGAATGGGATGGAATGCATAGCAATTGGCTCGAAGGCCGTTGTCCTCGGGAGAAAGAGTGCGGGAGGATGAAAGACGAGGTCAAGTTCTTTGACACCGACTGCGCCAACTCCGAGTCGAAGTCTCTGTGGAGGGCGGGGAATGCGGCCAGCGGGATCCTTCCGTTGAGATGGCGGATGCGGAAAGCGGGATAGCGGGTAACAAAGACAAAAGACAAAAGACAAAAGACTGGAGACTGATGCTTTGACTATTCTTGCTCGACAGCGATATACAGACTCGTATGAGCGTATGAGCGTATGAGCATATGAGCGTATGAGCTGGTCACCACCCTGCCGCCTCTGGCCATACGTCTTGTCCGGTCGCTGCTTGGTTCCGGTCCTAACTATGACTCTGTCCAGTCAACCTGCTCTGTCACGGGTGCGCCCCCTTCCTTGGTATATGAGATCTTCAGTCGTAACCGGAGTTTCGCAGGGAGCGACTAGTAGAGAAGTCAGCTAACCATTTGGTAGAGGGTCGACAAGAAAGCAAACTTACCCCTGTTGCCGAAACTATCTTCATGCCTTGAATTGCTTCCTCGCCTCCCTCAAGGGTGCTCTTGTTGATGGCCTGCAACGTCAATTTCTGGCTCTTTGGCACCGCGGCTTGCAACCCCACACCGATCAATTGGTCGAAAGCTGAGGTGTTTTTGAATCGCGCAAGTGCTTGAATCCCACCGCCACTTCGCGAAACCTGAATGGAAACCGATAATCCATTCTTATTGTAGACGGGATGTGCTTGGGTTGCTCCCGGAGCAGGACTAGTAGGCTTGGCTGTTCCATTGCCGAAAAGGTCCATGATCGAATCCGTGTTCGAAGCCGGCACCGGACTCTTCATCTGGGGTGGGGGACTGGAAACAGAAGAGCCACCTCCGAGAATATCCGCCAGCAAGTCCGCGGTCTGCTGCTTTCCATTGAGTGTGGCGCTGCTGTCCACGGCCGGCACATCCGTTCCACCCATGAGATCCAAGAGCATGTCCGACTCGCTGGTTTTGGCAACCTTGGTATGGGTCTTGCTCTTCAACATCTTTCTCTTGTCTTTGGCAGGTGCGGCCGCCTGACCGAAGACTCTCTGCTCTTCCTTGATCTCTGGAGGCGGCATCTTCTCCAACACCCCGCGCCGAATAGAGTCGTAGCCAAAGAGATTGCTGTATTCCACCGCCCGTTGTTGGATTTCGACACTCAAATCCGACGTCCTCGACTGCATCAGGCGGCGTATCCGTTCGATTTGGGATTGGTCCGACATTCTGGTGGTCAGTTTCATCGCCGACGTGATGATGAACTCGGTGACGACCTGATTGGCATAGGTCGAGTTGAGGATGGTCGTATATAGGTCAACAATATCACTTTCTTTGACCTCTTTGACAACCTCTTCCTCCTCGTAGCTACCCCCGCGCAATAATGCGTCGCCATACTCGCCAATGACCCACACCCCGGCCAGTGTCAGCGCCTCCTGTGTGATGTCGGCCTTCAACGCCGCGTATAGCTTCTGAACCGAGTACGTCTGTTGATCCGGCGAAGTGGCAATGAGGCGGACGAAGGATGACAGGATTTGTTCCTTGACGTGGTTGCCGGCCAGCTTGACCACTCTCAACATGGTGTCAATATGCCAGCGTTTGTTCGGCGCATAACGGTCGGCGGCAATCCCAATCTGCGTCGTCATGACCGGTTTGAACTCCGTGTCGGCGACCTCTAGGAAGGCCAACAGTTCTCGAATCAACACCCTTACATTGTCCTCCCGAATCAGCGTGAAACTGAGGTCCAGGGCTCGTCGTCGAATCGAAATGTCAGGGTCTCTCAGACACTCCAAAATGGTGTTTCGATGCCGTTGGACGGCATTAGGCTCGATAGCCACCACCTTGATCAATGTGTTGAGTGCGACGTAGCGAATATTGTTGTCTTTGTTGGCCAGAAACTTTCCGAGAATATTGACCCCAAGGACGCGCAAGCCTGAGTCGGCCTCTATGTCGAGGATGGTCAGGACGGCTTCGTAGAGGATTGAATTCCCAACATTCTTCGTAGCTTCAGTGTTGGTGGCTACTTGAGCCAAAATATCGTTCATTTGTTCGCTTGTGGCCGCGTCGCCTCGCCCGAGCACCCTCAGCAGTCGCAGGATTTTGACCTGAAGGAAGGGATCTGTGATTCCTGATACATCATGCTCTGGAGTGTATCCTGAGCTGGTCAGGCTCTTCAAGGTCCGGACCAGGTGTGGCACGACTGGACGGAACATCTCGACCACTCCTTCCTCTCCATCTTCTGCCTCGTCTGCTTCGCACAAGCTTATGATCAATGTCAGCCCACAAAGAAGCACGCCATGGTTTCGGTCTTGTATCAATAGTTTCGCCTTTTCCAGGAAATGTTCTTGAAGATCGGGGACTTTCCGGCATATCCGCATCGCGCAAAGAGCTGCCTTTCGACGAATATAGGGATTTGCGGTGGATATCAAGGTCTCGATTTCGGGGAACAGGTCTCGGGACATTTCGACGGATGCGATGTTGCCGAGTGTACACAGCGCGAGGCCGACAACATATTGGTTGGAATGATTAAGATCACTTTTGGTTCATGTTAGCCAATGCTGCAGACCGGACCCATCAACATACTTCTTCAGCGAGTTTGTGACGAGGGTAAGGACTTCTTGGTTCTCGTCCAGAAGCAGCATCGTCCCCAAATAACCCAAACGCTTGTCCGCAAACCGTGGAGAGGCGAGGAGCTTCAGACATTCTATCTGGCCAAAGTGCGTCCGCTCGCCGAGCGTGAACAGGTATAGCAGTTTGGCGACATTATTGCGCCTGGGAATCCATCAGTCACGGAAAGCCTCGTAGATAGAGGCATCAAAGACCGACCGGATGTTTGGATCGTGGCTCTCTTCTCGAAAACTGGCTCGAATCGCGGCGCTTTCCTTTTGGACCACGGCACGCTCGTCAGCGATGGTCTTCGCAGCTCGCACATTGCGAATGAATTGCTTGACTAATAGAATGTTAGCAAACATCATGCCGTTCTTCGCGGGCTACACACGAGATGTCATGTTGAGCTGACCCTGGTCAGGGTCGACTTAAGGCGTCACTGTTTCATGGAGAAATGATACTGATCCGGTCCAAGTGAGATACTGAATCTGCCACTGCTGAGTGAGTGCAATCCTATGGGCGAATGATGCTTCCGTTGCACCCCTTGTGGTGTTGTGAAGAGTGTTAGATGCGCCCTCCAACTTGAAGTGTCAATCCACGACTTGATGCAGCACAAAGTGTCCTCCGCATTTGCCCAATCGGAGAGCGGCATTGCATATAGGGGGGACACCGCGGTCAGACATGCTCACGTGACATCGTGATATCGTTCGCTCCCTTTTACTCCTCTGTATACGTAGTATATCTATCTCTTACCCACCCGGTCTATCGCAGGTCGTTGTCGCTTGGTCTCCAAGTGGCCTCCAGCTTCACCAGCAGAATGTATCCGACCATCTTTTCTTTGATCGCCAAAAGATGGCAAGGTTGCCCACAGGTGACTGCGTGGACAACAAGAATAATGAGTTCAATTCCAGCGCCGCGTCAACAATGCTCTGTCGTTCACCTCGCGTAGTACATCTCTTCGTCGCACTTACTTCTGCATTGCTTCCTGGGATAGACCCGCGTTACCAGTTCACTTACCAGAGTCTTCTCTTCATTCCAGTTTCCAAGATGCTACCATTCTATGGACCTCGTTCTGGGGCTTACATTGACCCGATCGAAGTGCAACCACTACTCGATCTAGACGAAACGGAAGACGCTACTTCCCCGAAGAGGTGGCCGCCAACGGTGCTGTTCCTCCACAAGAGGTTGTTGTTAAAGATGCTGCCCGTCCCCAAGTGGTTGTTGTTGAAGATGCTGCCCGTCCCCAAGTGGTTGTTGTTAAAGATGCTGCCCGTCCCCAAGAGGTCATTGCCAAAAATGCTACTCGTCTATGGGAGGTTGACATAGAAGATACTACTCATCTACAAGAGGTGTGTTTGGTTACCCTTCTTCGAGCACGCAACTAAGAAAAACATAGGTCCGAGCCATCCGTATCCAAGCACACGGCCTTCCCATCCGCCCCGTTCGAATTTCTGCCTCGACACACTTGGCGGTCACAAAGCTCATCCTCACTCTCGTCTTCCTCTCTGTGTCATTCTTCAGCACTACGGCTTTCTGCGCCATCGACAAGTCTGCGTCGGGTTGGCCATACGCAGGAGCTTTGGGTGGAGTTGCGGCGTATGGTGGCGTTACGACCATTGCAATGTTGATGGATGTATTCATGCTGGATGAAATTTTCTGGCCTGGGGCAAGGGCAAGGGCTGGTATGATAGCGGCTATGTTCTCTGGAGGTATTTACGGATGGGCCCTCAGCAAGACCTGTGGCTGACCAGCACCATGACACTCATCATGGGGAAGCGAGGAAGCCGATGATATGTGACAGCGGTCATACAGCAGACTCCCAAGAAGGGCGTTACGAACCCTCCCCGCAGGGTGCACATGTACCAGGAGCATTACCATAAGGCACAGCCTGCTGAAATAGGCAATCAAGCGCTTCTTTTTGTCTCAGACATGGGGCTTACAATGCAGCCGAATTGCTCTTCTCATGATTGGCCCCCCTCGCGCTGAAAACAACAACCACAGGAGTGTCACTTCAAGACTGCTCGAGGTGTATCTTGTAGGCAGGCTAGTACACTGCACTTCTTCTCTTGCATTCCGCTTGTGTCCCGCAAGTGCAGTATGGGTGTTTAGGTAGCAGTGCGTTGCGGCTTCAATATCTGTCTGTTTCCAGCTCGTTCCGTCAAGTATCACCGAAGGATGACCTTATGGGGGCATCGAGCTTTCGAAAGATTCCAATGCGCATGGCACGGTGGCCGAGTTCGGTCGTAGGTCTTGGACAGGCTGCCGCATATCTGAGAGGGGTAAGTTGAACGTTGGAGGAGGTCATGGGTTCATCATGAGCCTGGTATGTCTAGGGTCAGTAGACGAGGCCAATTCCCTGCTTGCTGTTGAGTCTCAAATCTCATTATCGGTATCTTCCATTGCATGGAGCACAGGAGCTGTGGGAGTGGGAGTGGGAGGAAAGGCACGGGTGACGTCGACAAAACTCCAACCCAAAGGCTGCGGTTCGGGTTGTTTTACGAGATACGATGCAGTCAGAGGCGTTGGGAGGCTTCTGGGGCGCTTCGGCTACAAAGGGTCCCGAATCCAGTTTGCATCAGTCAAGACCCGATCGACGGTCTGGGTATGTAGTAATAGAAACATTCAACCCAGTGCCCCCGTGTCAATCCAGACAGATCATGGATGCCTACTCATTCATAGCCATGTTCCACTATCTGCCTTTCTCATAGTACCTTGGCTTTTCTGCTCTTGCATCCTACTCATAGTACTATGGCCGCTACCGCTACACATTCCGGTAGCCAGGAGGGAGACCTCCTCCGACCCAGGCCGACGAGAGCCTTGCAAGAGGCCCTACGTGCCGCCGGCCAGCCTCCCAACGGCTTTACTGATGCCGGCTCTGGCATCTCAAGGTACATGTCATCTTCGCAACCTTTTTGTGACAATACTGACGCTGGAATCAAGTGGGCGTTCGACACCCGTCCCTCAAGATGCCCCCCCATCCGCTCACTACATCTCTACGGCGCGAAAACATGCTCGAGCCAAAGCGAAGCATCGCATGTTCCATACCATCAACTACACCGACCGAGTGTCTTACTTTGACCCCCGAAGCGACTACCGCGACTTCCGAGGCTTTTTTGTCTTGTTTTGGATCAGCCTGTCCATCATGGTCATCACGACGGGGTTGCGAAACATTCAAGAAACAGGCCATCCACTGCGAGTAGAGGTCTACTCCCTGCTATCAAGAAACGTCGTTTCCCTGGGATTGGCTGACGCCGCTATGGTCGCGAGCACTGTGTTGTGCTTGTATTTTCAGAAGTTCATTCGGGGGCAGACTGGAATCCTCCGCTGGGGAAGAGCTGGAATTTGGATACAAAGCATCTACCAGGGTCTTTGGCTGTTGTTCTGGGTGGAGCTGCCCTTCTTTCTGGGCTGGACGTGGACGGCCCAGGTCTTCTTTGCGCTTCACACTCTGACGTTCCTGATGAAGATGCATTCATATGCCTTCTACAACGGTCATTTAAGTGAGACCGAACGCCGCCTACAGGAATTGGACAAGCCCGAAACGGCAGACATGGCAAAAGCAGTCAAATATCCCAGCTCGCCATCGCGCCTGCAAGAGGTGGATGCAGACAGCTCGACCGACGACGAATCGTTGGAGGGACTCGTTCAGCTTCGTCAAGACCTGGCCACAGAATTGACCTCTCCGCTGGGGCAAGTCACCTACCCGCAAAACCTGACGCTCTCCAACTACGTCGATTATATTCTGTGTCCGACTTTGTGCTATGAGCTCGAATACCCTCGGACAGCCAAGATACGTTGGATGGAGTTGTTCTACAAGACGCTCGCGGTTTTCGGTTGCATCTTCCTGATGATCACCATCAGCGAGGAGTTTATCACGCCGGTCCTAAACGATTCGGCCATCCGGCTACGCCATGTCACTTTCTTTTCAGACCGGGCACTGATTCTGGCCGAGACCACCAGTCTCATGCTGTTCCCGTTCATGATCACCTTCCTTTTGGTGTTCCTGGTCATATGGGAATACATTTTGGGCGCCTTCGCCGAGATTACCTGCTTTGCCGATCGGCACTTTTACTCGGATTGGTGGAACAGTAGCGACTGGCTCGAATTCTCGCGGGAATGGAACATCCCGGTATACCACTTCCTGCGGCGACACGTCTTTTTCGCCTCCAAGACATATTTCTCCACCTCGATCGCCATGGTCATCACTTTCCTGGTGAGTGCGCTCGGCCACGAGCTGATCATGGGTTGTATCACCAAGAAACTGCGTGGCTATGGCTTTGCTGCCATGATGCTCCAATTGCCTATTGTGGCACTTCAGCGCAGCAAATACATTCGAGGCCGTTGGGTCTTCAACAATGCCACCTTCTGGAGTAGCATGATCCTGGGCCTCAGCTTTATGTGCAGTCTGTATGTTTTGGTTTGAGGGCAAATAATGAGGAGAGTCATCGTGGTTGGAAAGGGTGGCCCTCCGATTGGATGAGGTGGATGGCGTTCAGGGATGATGAATATAGAAAGCCACATACATATACACACCTGTATTATAAAGATCGAGGTCCAAACGGCCTTGCAAGAAAGACTATTCTCCAAAGACAACTCGGTCGAGGAACTCCCAGAAGCCACCTCAGGCGTGCATACCGAACTCCGACGCTACTTTCACTGTCTCTATACTACCCCTGATCCATCCTACCACCAGTCACCAAAGCGGTCTGCAGCAAATCAGGCTTGCTACTATTGATGGTTCCAAAGGGATGCCAAGAGGCTCGCGAGGAAGGACAGGATGCCAATGTTCGATATTCCAAGTTCGCGGCGTTGACAGGAGCTGAGATTGGTCACGTCGCACAAGGCTGAAACATTGGTTTCTCTGGAGGCGTCGAGGGCGCACTGAATTTGACTCTCGAGGCGTTGCGCAAGACCAAGGTCTGGAACGGGCAGAACACGAGCCTCACCAGCGTGTTGGAAGACAGGAGAACATCTGCTTGACATTCGCGCGGCTGCTGCCGCTGCACGAACAGGGCATCTCGCTCGCCGATATCGCCATGAGCTGCGACCACCGCTCGTGCGAGAACGACATCGACTATGCGCGCGGCTTCTTCGCCTTGCTCGGCCTCGAGTGGAAACTGCATTTCACCTACGAAGACGGCATTTTGGAGATCCTGCGGTCGCGGCCACACCACGCGGCGCGTCTCGCTGGCATGCATGGGCCGAGGGGCCTGCCTGCCCCGTACTCATGGGCGCCGAGATATCTGGCGCGTCTGCAGGGTCGGATCTACGGCGGATTCGATGCCCAACTGGGCTCGTTGATCGGTTATTGGCATACCGTGGTCGTCGAGAGGATGGTGAAGAGGTTTGTCGCGGACACTGGGTCGTATAACGGGTGTGTTTGTAATTTGATCGTCACCGAGGCTAAACACGGAGGAAACGATCCTGATCAGATTCAGATGGGCGCCGGCCAGAACAGTAGTAGCTGTCATGCACTGCCGGTGGGTCAGGAAACGGAAATCCAAATCCAATTCTACCCGGAGCATTGGACGACGGAACTGGAAGACTGGCTCGAAAAGACAATCCCGTCCGGCAAGGCGCGACTCCTGTGCGGTGAAGGAATGGATGTCAGCTACGACGAGAGCACCGATCAACACGCCCGCATCGTCCTCGCGGCAACATCGACCATCGGTCCCGTTGCGGATTTGAATCTGGATGATTGGGGGCCGGTTGCGGGAAGCGCGGTGGTCAATTCACCAAGGTTAGGACGTGTTCGAGACGGGAAACTGCGTTGGTTTTTGGAATAGAAAAGGAGTACTTCTATCCTCGAGTGGATTCTAGACTATGTACACTGGCCCGGAGAGCCGCTCGAGAGCACACAGGGAGATGTAGACTTGGTTTCATATCTTCAAGTGATGAGAGAAAGATGGTCTGCCTGCTGGACCGCTAAGCTAGCTTGTAACGAAATCAAGCCTTCTCGGTCATTGCAGGAGCATGTCCCTTCTTCCATTCCTCCACCACACCAACATAATCCTGCGGTCCATAAGGATCGAATATGTCGGCCATCTTGCCTTTTTTCCGATATGACCCGACGCGCAAGTCGCGCAACAACATATCCAGATACGGCACGGCGTCGAAGACGAAGTCGGGGAATCTTGGGCCATAGCCGATCGGATACCGCCATCGACCGAACTGGGTTTGCAAGACCGTCTGCCATTTGATATCGTCTTCCGACTTGGGCAATCTATCGAGCTTGTCGTCGAAGAAGGCCGAGATCCAAAGGGCTTGGACGGTGGCGCAGATCGAAGTCGTGATGGTTGACACCATGCCGGCAAAGGCCAGATTGCGGCCCGATACCATCGCAGGGGGAACCATGAACCTGTACATCCGGAGAGGTTGGTGCATTCTCTCGGCCAGTGTCTGTTCAAGCTGGGTTTTCCGTTTAGGCTGGGTTTTCAAGCTGGGAAATCGCTGAAGGATCTCGACGTCAGCCTCTTTGGTTAGATCCTCTAGATCCGATGGCGAATGGTGCAGGCCAACTTCAGCCTCGAGACCTCCCAGAAACTCGATGGAAGGCTCCTTTCTCCATCCTGTGGCGAGCACCACGGCATCAGCGTCGATGGACTCGCCGGACGCAAGGCTGATTGACTTTGCGCCGAAGCGTGCAATCTCGTCGATGTGGACGCGAACCTTGCCTTCTCGGACCAGATCGAAGAAACTTGTGGGATAGTTGTGGATGCTTAGTGAACTTCCAACGTAGAAAGCCGGATCCCAAGGTTTCAGCTTCTTGAGCTCAGGGTGAGAGTCATACTTGTTCAGTGCGATGACATCGGAAGCAAGGATCTTCCAGAATGTGCTGACTATCGCACGGCCGATAAAAGTGCCGTGGAGGAACCACCGAACGCCAGAGTAGCCGTCTTCATCACCCCAGATGCAAGGGCTCAGCCAGGTCAGCAAGCGAGTGTGCACAAGCTTCTCCAACCACTTCTTGAGTGGCGTCACGTACGGCGGAGCCATCCACACAGGTCCATGGCCCGACTTACGGATCACCATGTCAACGGGAACCCCGGCTTCGGCATAGGCATAAGCGACATCCCATGCGGACTTTGCGCCTCCGATGACGACGGCGTGCTTCGCCTCGTTGAGGGTAGTCGCATGCTTTGCGAAGTCTCTGACGTGGAACAGCGAGCCCTGGTACTCTTGCATTCCAGGTAGCTGTGGTACATAGGGCTGCGAGGTCAGGCCGGTGGCCACTATCAGTTTCTTGGTCCGTAGAGTCGGATTCTCAGAGGACGATGTCTTAAGCAGCCAGCCACCATCTTCGGTGGCCGTGACAGAATCGACTTTGGTATTGAAACGTGTGCGACTGTAGACACCAAACCTTTTCGCGTAGTCGGTGAGATATCGATGAAGAACCGTGCCTGGGATATGTTGTCCGGGCTTCACGCCATAGCGAGCCTCGTCCATGGGATAATCAGGATATTCATACGTCCCCAACATGTTGTTCGACTTGAGCCCAGGATACAGGCGATCTTCCGCCCAGACTCCTCCAACAGAGGCGTTCGCCTCGAGAACCACCACATTTTTAGCCGGATGTAATTCGATGTATGTCTTTGCGGCGGCCAGACCATACCAGCCTGATTACCCCGCGAGATGGATGTCAGTCATGCTGTCTTCAACACGACCACATGGTCGAGGCGCAAGCCCACATGTCAAACATTTGGACCGTGCGACTTACCAGTGCCGATGACGACCAGGTCAAATGTGTCCATTTTACCTGGCTTGTTTTGCTTCCGTTGTACTTGATGAAGTTATCCTGGAAGACAACACACATCCGAGTGACCAATTTACTGCCACTGCGGATAGAGGGCTGGCTACCGTACTTTACTTCCCAGTCGAGGTGGCAGTGAAGGATTCAGGTTGTGCGGGCAGCTGCAGTTTGACAGGGCGGGGAGTTTGAAAGGTCGGCAGCCGCAACCGGTCAATAACATACCTGTACCTATGTGACCCGTCGCTCGGTTCCGCCACTCTGAGCACGCCCAGAACTGATAAGTTGAAAGACGTCCCCTGAACACCAACCGAAAGAGCCTACCTTGAAACCTATCAGGTAGCGCGCCCCATGGTCCACTCGCGAACCGGGGTATCTACCCTTCCTAGCGGGGAGCGAGATTCTTCCACCACTCAACAGCACACAATATCTCCACTGAAGCAAGGTACGCTTTGGGAGATTAGAACGTACTTACAAGGATGCAGAAACCAGCAAGATCGTCTCGTTTCCTTCCGAGTCTTTCCTGAACGCAGGCATCTCCTCCGAGGTCGTCACCACAACCCTTTCGACCGTCTAGCAGAGTCTCGAGCCCGGTCCGGGGAAGCTACAGTCCTAAAGTACGCTGTACCAGACTGTCACTGCTGTTTGGCAGCACACCTTTTGCGCACCAACCACGCTGATAGAACATGCTGAGCGATAAGAAAGCAGGCTCGAAGAGCTTGTTGGCATATCCGATGCGTATCCGAAGAACTCTATGTGCTGTAGAAGACGCACGGCAAGCAACCGGGGTGCTCGACGGTCCACTGACGAGCTTGGCAGTGGAGCCACGAGCCGTTTGAACTAATGGCACGGCAGGCGCCGCAAGTTGCCAGTGGCGCGTGGAGGGGGAGGATGGAGGGATGGAGTACAGAGTAGGAAACTAACTGACTGCCAGGAGTGCCTTTGGACCAGAATTTTCCTATACAGTTCAAGTTGTAGTGTACGACAGTTGACAGCAAGACTTTGGAGTAGAAGTAGAGCAAGCTGAGCCCAGAGTAGCATACAGTCCTGTCATAGAATATGTGAGACCGGGGAGTGTCGGTTCAAACTAGTACCAATATGGTTAGACTAATAGCAAGCCGGCGGCGGGCGAGTTCCGGCTTGCCGCTTTTTCCCACCAATAGAGGAAGCGCAAAACTCTTATTTTCACATCACTTTTGGGTTCAGCTCTACTGCAGTGCAGGATACACTAACACCACTACGTACAAGCACACAAGATGATACCTGCGTGATGACACTGGTAGATCAGCAGCTTTCCTTCCCTCTAACGCCGATATCACCCATCTTGTCTCACAATCTAGTTTGGACGCTTCAACGAAAATACGGCTGGATGCATCCAACTTCAATGGCGATCAACGACAGCTATGCTCGCCACGGGTTCCTGAAACGGGCTGTCGTGTTCCAATGCCCACATCTACTTGGTCGAACATGCCCGAGATAAGATATACTTTTTGACTTTCTCCAAGCCGTCAGCTAGTGGCTAGTCCTTCTGGAGTCTTGTCCCCCGGTCTTCCTTACTAACTGCTGCAACCCTTGGCTGGGTCCTCTGTTCCCTTGGCTGCGGAACCGGGGTTTTAGCCGCATATGTCAGGTACGTAGCATGCTAACCAGACGAGTGCGAGCCCACAACGCGCGGGAGACATGTCTGGTCTTGTCTTCGGTTGCGAAATTTCTCCAGCATGGTGCCACGGTGGATCGACCAGAGTCCGTCCTGGCCCGAGGCATCGGTGAGAGATGGGCTCCTGGGTGTCCCAATCCAACGACGTTGGAGCCTCCAGAAGGACACAGCATGTCTAGTTGAAATGGTCGATCATATACCATTTTCATATTTCTGCCGACAGCAAAAGCAGGCCGATGTACCTCGATACCTTGCATTGTCTCCCGGGACTCAGTGGAAACCTTCATGGATGTTGACGCTGGGTTCCGCCGGGGAAGCACATCCATACGCAAGACGATCCAAGCTACTCTAGTAGTAAGCTTCAACGTGACAACGTCTACCAAACCTATATACGTGATTTTTTCGTGATAAGAGAGAAGTATCTTTCATACTTTTATTCTGAACTTTCCGCCTCCTGCGGCCCTCGACTCTCAATCAGACCCCGACTTTTCTTCGTTCTGCCTATTCAACATGCCGAGCGAGTTCAACACAGAAGCTTTCACCTTACTTGGGGTCGGAGCCCTTGTCGTGGTCGCACGGACGGTCTCCAGAGTGTACCTGGCTGGCTTTAAGGGACTATGGGCTGAGTGTGTCATCTCCAAGCATTATGCAAGGCTATCCTTCAGATTCAGGATTGTGACTGACTCGGCTCTCCAGTGACTATTTGATGCCCTTTGCTACCGTATGTCCATTTCCGTGCATGCACTCCTGTTCCTCCGCTGACTCTTTCAGGTCGTTTACGGACTCGAGACTGCAACGGCCTATATTGTCGGAGCCTGGTGGCATGGCCTTGCCAATAATGGCATGACGGATGAACAACGTCGGACGTTAGACCCCAATTCCCAAGAATACGAATACAGAGTAAACGGCTCCAAGACCCAGTTGGTGGGATGGAGTCTTTACACACTGTTGCTGTGGACATTGAAGCTATGCATGACCATCTTCTATCACAGGTTTACGTGAGTGCGACCGCTATGATTCGCTACCCATTCTCCAGAAGGTCATTGGACTTACACTCGGACACAGACAAAGCCTGGAGTACATGAGACCGCGCATTCTCGTCGCCTATGGGCTTGTCATCTCGACCTATCTGGCAACCGAACTGTCTATTTTGTTGGGATGCCATTCGTTCCACAAGAACTGGCAGATATACCCTGACCCTGGCAGTAAGTCAATCCCAGTCGATCGTTGGGGGGTCTGGTCGCTCACTGCATCTATCAGATCACTGCCAGCCAGCAATCTCCAGAATCGACCTTTACGTCACTGTCATCCTCAACGTGCTTTCCGACCTATACCTTCTCTCCATTCCTATCCCGGTGAGCTGCTTCACTGTCCGCGCACAGTCTCGGTTTGCTAATGATATGCCTGTTCAGCTGCTGTGGAAAGCGGATGTGCCACTAGTGAGCAAGCTATCTCTAATGTTCATTTTCGGCGGCGCCGTCTTTGTGATGGCAGCTGGCATCTTGCGTGCTGCTCTTGTCATTCATGTTTGTTGAACCCCAAAATCCTCCCCGTCATGTGCGGTTGCCTTGCTGACATGGACATTGCAGGATCCTATCGGAGGAGCTTCGGCTGCTGGCAGCTGGGCTGTACGTGAGACCTTTGTCGCCGTCGTCGTGTCCAACTTGCCTATGGTGTACCAAGGTCTGCGACGCCTCACCAAGGCTGTTGCGACGAGCAGTCTCTTCTCGAAAATGTCGAGGTCCCGTTTGGGCTACAGCAGGTCCACCGACGAGCCTGACTTTGAAATGGTGGCTTCACCGACATCAAAGTCTGCGCCCCAGCTTGCTGCCTTCGAGACCCAACAAGAGTTCTTCAAATCATCATGACGCGGTTCAGGATCTTCAACAATGCTACATTCGATAGTATCAAGCAAGCAAGCGTTTCTCTGAGCGGATGTTCGTCTATACTATATTACACGATACTTGCAGGAAAACTGTAATCAGAAAAGGGTTCTATGTACATGAAATACGGCCATCGGTTGGTGTATGGTAGTTAGATTTCTATTGGATTCCTAGATAATGTACAATCATGGCTCAGCATAGATGGAGCTGCTACATCTTAGTGTTGCATGCTTCTCTGCAGGTCTACCTTTCTTTTGCCAGTATAAAAAAACAGCTCGTGGGTCTGGTTTGTTCATAGTAATTGTTTGTGCAGCGATGAAGAGACAGATACAATGATCTTTGAAGGTTGGAGGTTGAAGGTTCAAATGAGCCAACATGGTAACCATGCCACCAAGATTGATCCGGTAAGGCTGAGGCGCAGACTCCAAAGTCCAAAAAAGGGATGGAATATGTCGATGGCCTTTAAGTCGGCGAGAGCTGGCAGTCTTGCTGTATGTTACTGCGAATCACTAGTACTGCGGCGACTGTCAGGTATCTAGAGGGAAAACTAGAACTACCTCTACATGATATCATGACTATCGCCCGAGCCAGAGTATACAAAACATAATACGCAAAGGTAAAGAAACTGTGGACAATCAATAGTAGTGGTGACAGTGTCTACCTCTTTCGCTCCCTGCAGTACATCCTATCGGTCCTCTCCGGTCACTGACCCTTTGACGGTCCATTCCAACGATTAACGACCTTGTGGAGGATACATACATAGGTTCAAAAAAACTACCACTCAGTTACTGTACCATGACTTTGCGCACGGCGTCTCCATCCCCAAGCGCTGCAGCCGCTACTGTCGGTGATCGTGGCGGTAGAAATGGCGGCAGTGGGAGTAGGAATGTTCAAAGTGGCAATCCCACATCTGCAACTCCAGTAGGTGTTGCCAGTGACGGTCACGACGATCATCGCACACGAACAGTCACACTCCTCATCCTCGGAGCAGGATGGACCTACCAATTCCTCCAACCCCTTCTGTCCGCGGGAAAGATCACCTACGCCGCAACCACCACCACGGGCCATGACGGAACGATCCCGTTCCGATTCGACGAGGCCTCCGACGATCTGGGCCCGTTCAAGAACCTCCCGGATGCAGAGTACGTGCTGGTCACCTTCCCTCTGAAAGGACGCGGGCCGTCTGCTAAATTGGTGCGGATGTATAATGAGACGCGAAGAGGGCATGGGAAAGGGGAGTTGGAAGAGGCTTTGGGACAGGAGGTGGAGGTGGAGGTCGACAGCGCGTGTCACGACGATTCTCGACCGGACGGATCTTTGCGCGCCGAAGTCGAATCCCAAATATCAACAGACATCCGATCTGGAGATGGCCAGAATCCCAATAGTAACACCAATACAAGTACCACCAACAACAATCGCAGCGACAGACATATCTACAGCCCAGAACCGACGCTGAGCTCAACCTGTTCCTCAAACAATGTGACGGCGTCTCCTTCTTCTACAGTTACTAAATGGATTCAACTCGGTTCAACAGGCATCTGGACGACCCCGGACTGGAACGACTCGTCGTCACCGATCGACGACACCAACGCGCGTGCCGTGGCTGAGGAAGAACTGATCACGCTGAACGGCTGCATCCTCAATCTTGCCGGGCTATACGGCGGAGAAAGGAATCCTAGGAATTGGGTGTCCAGAGTGGCGAGGTCGAAGGAGCAGCTGGGGCAGAAGGGCGCGTTGCATCTGATTCACGGGCGGGATGTGGCTAGAGCTGTGGTAGGAGTTGTGAGGAAGGATCAAGACGGAAACGAGAAGGAGAAGGGAACAGCGAACACGATGAACGACGAAGGGAGAGTGACCAACGATGGCAATGGCGATGACAATGATAGAACCCACACAGATGTAGGTACAGAACTCTTCGGCAGACGTTGGATCGTGGCCGACTGCGTCTCGTATGATTGGTGGAATCTGGTATGGGATTGGATGGGTGAGCACGAAAACTCGAAGGGGAAAGTGGAAGGGGGTCGGAGCGAGCAAGTGGCGGAAGAGACTACGGAGCAAAAGGAAACGCAAAAGCAAAAGGAGAGGAAGATGGAGAGGGATATGAAAAGTCAGTACCGACGCTGGGTTATGGAGTTGATGGAGGAAAACAATGTTCGTGGTCTGCCGCGATCAATGGATGTGCTCGGGAGGAAGCTGGATGCTAGGGATTTCTGGAAAGCTATTGGGATTCTGCCAGAAATGAGGCTCGAGAGGTGATGAGGATGAGAATGAGGCAATTTGCAGCTTTCGTGGAGAAGAGAATTTGTGTGCACCTGTGGTAACTACCTAGGTAGTCTCTCCAGCTCTAAAAAAGCGTCTCTCCAGTTCGAGTGTCCAGCTTAGAGGCCGACACCGACACTGTGCTTCATTCCACGCTCAATTCCAGTTCTTCTCCAGCATATCCGATTGACCTCGATCGATGGACAATGATCGTGGTGGAGTGTGTATCACCGGATCGTGCCCTACTGTGCACTCTCTCTTGGATGGTCTCAGTCAATCACTGGCAGATCGATCATTGTTCCTCAAACTGGCGGCTGGGAAAGGTGAAGTGATGTTGTTTCGGGTAGCCCGCGTAAGCTCTTCTGCCATATTTGTGGATTCCTTCTTCTTTCTTCTGTACTCATGAATCGCTTCCGAGTCTTCGTCTGAAATCAGAGGGAATGCCTGCTCGTCATCTCAATCACCAGTCGTCTTCGCCATCTTAATTCTCATCCTCATCCTCGTCATCACGTTTGCGTTTGCCTTTGTCGTTGATCTGAAACACCTGAATTTCATCTCCATTCATGAGACCGTTCTCTTTCATTGTGCCGAACACCTGCTTCGCTTTGAAGAGCTGCGTTCGATCGGGAAGCCAGGCCTGCGCATAGTCTGCGACCTCACCTGTAGTCTTGAGAAAGATAAACCGTAGGCTGAACATATCAATATCGACACCTGCCATGTCTGCGAACTGTTCCAAGATGGCGAACAATGATTCGTCCGACGCAGCAGCGATAGTTGTCGACCATTGTTTGTAGTGAAAGATGACCTCGACCTTGATTGCTACCACTACCGTTGAATTCTCGGAAATCTCCTTTTCCAAGAGATAGGCAGAGTCGGTCATATTGAGACATCGGTATTTGATGATCTGGTCTTCCTCCAGAAGTCCGAGCGTGTTGCGAAGATGCTTTTTCAGCTGGAGGATTTGGTCCTCTTGCTTCACGGTGACGGTTTCATGACCATGGCTTGCACAATCACTACTACCGTACTTGCAGATGTTGATGGAGAATTCAGGCTTCGGAACTGCGACAATGTCGAGTTGGCAGTCGTGGATTCTCGGCATAGGGGCCCGCGCATTGTAACGCATACCACTAAGGTGTTTTGCTGTCAACGTGGCAGCTGGGACGCTGGAATCGAACGAGCTGTGCTTCATGGTTCCCGCCAGATATACCAAGCCATCGTCAACACCGAGGATCGTCGAGTCCAAGGCATTGATTGTCTCAACCAATCGTCCCATGGAAGTACATTTACTCAGATCGACAAGGAATCTGGTCGGCTTGTAAACGGATATGATTGTCTTCATTTTGATGGAATACCAGAAATCCTGATTCGATTGGTGTCGAAATCTCTGTGAAGCAGATGACTCCGAGGTGAGGCCTTGGGATCTTGTCGATAGATGGAATTTTGTTGTGAGATTCAGGAATGGGGTTCGTTGAGGTTATCTCGAAGAGGGAGAACGGCGACTGGTAAGGTGATCGGTGGATTCGGAGATGTGGTAAGGTAGAGGTGCTGCTGAATTGAGGTTGCCTGCGCCGATCTACTGCAGTGGGTGACGTTAGTTCGAGTCCAGAACAGCAGGCAGATCTTGCGGGTGTTATGCTACTTGCAGCGGTGAGGCAGAGATGAGTCCAGAGTGAGAGTGAACCCACGTGGTGGTTCCAGGTAACATGAGACTGGAGAATACACCTCTCCATTACCAACAACATCAAAATCCTTTCAAAGGTGATCACTTCCGTGCACCACCGAAATCAAGCTTCTTCGCGACGCCTTTGTACTTGTTCTCATCATTCACGGCTCCTGGCGCAGAGGCTTCGGCAGCGGCCATCATGGAAGCACCGCCGCCTTGCTTGGGTAGATGTTCCTTCTCAGTCGGTCTTGGATCTACCGTCCACCACTCATGTTCCAAAGCTCCTCTTGCAGTGACTCTTTTCCGTGGATCCAGTTTCAACATTGCCATGAGCAGATCAACGCCGACCGATCCTGCAGTTGGGAACATCTGCATGTAGAAGGATTTATCCCGGACAGGAATCTTCTTCTCCAGATCAAAGTAATCCCTCAGCTTGGAGACCCCTGGCCAATTGTCTTCATTTGGCGTCCCGACCGCTTCACATATCTTGTCCAGCTGAGCGACGGTTCCTCCACCAGTGGCAAGTACTTCCTGGTTCGCCACGTCTGCGGCAGCGTAGGGCCGACGTATGAGCAACTCAGCAAAGACCATGCCGATACTCCACATGTCGACCGCTCCACCGTACTGTCTGGCTCCGAACAAGAGTTCTGGAGGCCGATACCATAGAGTGATGACTGCAGAGGTCATCTGATATCTCGGGTCACCAAATGACCGAGCAAGACCAAAATCTGCGAGCTTGACCTCACCATCGGCAGCGATGAGCAAGTTGTTTGGTTTGATATCTCGATGAAGGACGAAGTTTGAGTGGCAGAAGTAGATGGCTCGACACAGCATTCCCATCCATGCTTTGACGTCAGCAGCGCCGTAGCTGACAGTCTTGTCTCTGATGAGCTCTTCGAGGTTACCGTTCGGGAAGTACTCGATGACCATGTTGATATTCTGGTCTTTAGAGGAAAATACATCGAGCAAGGCGACGATGCTTGGGTGAGAGATTTCCTGCAGATATTTGATTTCACGAATGGTATCGACATTCAGTCCTTCCCTCTGTTGTGAAGGATCCACCTTGAACTTCTTGATTGCGACTGCGTGATGCGGATCTGATCTAAGATGGCCCTTGTAGACAATGGCGTAAGTACCCTCGCCGAGCTTTTTGCCTGTGGACAGTTTAGTGTCTGTCGCGCAGGATTGAACAAGGGCAACTTACCTTTGACATACTTGTTGCTGATCTCTTCATTCATCTGTTCAGCCATGTCAAAATCAGGGGGAGGTTTCTGATGGTGTGATGACAGCGCTGTTGGGGGCTTAGATATTGACTTTCTCATTGTAAGAGATTTCGCTCTGGACGGTGACATGTTTGCGTTAATGTTGGATGGCGACCGCGGCATAAGCGGTGATACCCCGTTGGAGGACGCCATATCGAATTGACTGAAGCAAGGTTGGCTGAGTGACTGAATATGTGAAATGAGACTCGAGAGGGCCGAACAAGGCTTCACAGCAGTTTGTCTTCTGCCAGTCTTGTCATTCGCAAAGCGGTAGTGCCACAGGCTCTGGCAGGCATCAATCTGTTATTGCCAGATATACAGCCCCTCCATCAAACAGAGGTCTTCTCATGCTCATCATCAGATATAAGATCGACCTCATTACTGCTCGGGACCCTCAAGTCTCCATGCACGTCGTCGGCGAGGCTGTCAAGCTTGGCATCACCATTTGGCGTCTATGCTCCGCCGAAGTAAGTTTGCTTCGCAGCCGCAAGCTGGACAAAAGACAAAAGCCCTCGCCAAACATTTTTGAAACAAGCCAACGACCTCAGCAACGATGCCCGCCTGAAGCACGATCTCACCTGTTGAAGACTCACCATCCGAAGACAAATCATAGACCATCCCCTCCTTCAGAAAATGGCCAAACTTGTCTCTCGACAACCACCCGCAACCTCGTCCTTCTTCACCTCCCTCCTCCGACCGTCAGTGTCAATATCACAATCCTACATCTGTACACCATGCCGACGTAACCTGCACCGAGGCCTGCCCGAAAATGGCCGCGTACCTCCTCCGACACCATTCGTCCCTGATGTTCCTACGTTCCTTACACTCATTGGGCGCGAACTCTCGAAACACGCAAGCAAGATCGAGTCCTGGGAGGAGCTTTTCACTTTGACATCGCAAGAACTGAAGGCCCGAGGGATCGAACCGCCCCGGATACGACGGTATTTGCTACGATGGCGGGAGAAGTTCCGGAAAGGCGATTTCGGCGTGGGGGGAGATTTCCAGCACGTCAAGGACGGGGTCGCCGAATTGAGAGTGGTGGAGGTCCCGAGTCTCAAGAAGGATCCTGTAACAGGGGAGCCGGTTTCCGGCCCTGTCACGGTAGGCAGGACTCCTGGGATGCAGAAACTGATTGTCAACGTCCCGAATGGGTCGACCACGTATGCGCTACAACCTGGACAAACTACGGCGGATTTGCGGAAACCCAAAGGGTTCAAGCTGAAGAATGGTTATATCATAAAGGGCAAGCAGGCCCAGCCTCTGAAAGGCACATATGGCAGCGGTGTCATTGTGAAAGTGACAGAAGGACTCTGGGAGCATAAACAGGGACACAAGATTCACGGCGGTGAGAGGAGAAGGGCCGAAACATTGCACAAACTGAGAGTGGAAGAGAACAAGAAGAATGCAAGATAATGGGAGTTCTGTCCAGAATTGCAAATGTTTTCATGATGTTCGCTGGGCCTTGTGCTGCCCATGGAACACTATGTATATCATAATTTGAGAAGGGAGAGTACATCTTGGGCTTTGCGAGGCTTGCATCGGACTGAGATCTCTGTCAGGTTAAGACAAGCTTGTCAGCAATACAGATACCAGAGACTATTCGGACGCATGCGGGCCATATGCTGCACCATCATCAGCAGCAGCAGCAGTGATGACTGTTCGAATGCCCAAATCCTGAGTGAGCGCCTGGTGACTCTTTGGGTGTATGTCAAGTTTCTGATACAGGATCCTGTTCACATCTTCACTCCCTAGGTATCTGTATCAGGGTGGCATGTCCAAGGAACGGTCCGTGATCTTCCAGGATGGTATAGGAATAAAACCTTGATATGCATATTTCTGTCAGGGTAAATCTATCATGGCGCCCACGTCCCTGTGATGCTGGGGAGACCTGGTAGACCGTGTGCTGCATTTCAAACATGAGATTTGGTATGCTAGGCTTTAGCGAATAAAGGATGGAGGACGATGCATTCTCAAGTCATGGAATTCTTTGGAGTTTGGAATTTGTTTCAGTTCACTTTGAGGCAGTAGAAGTTTTGACCCTGAGTTTAGAATGCCATAGGACATTTGATGCTATTCCAAGCTTGGGTTTTCGAGTTAGACACGGCAGCCCGACGAGGATTGCGAGATTGGGTCCGCATTGTGAAAGTCTGCCCGAGACCTACTGTTCGCCATTTCGTCGTTATCGCCAGAAGAATACGCAATGAAAACGCAATAATCCACGAATGCGTGTGAAGCACGATGGCAGCGAGACTTCTCATCCGAATGAGCAACACGCGCATGCTCCATAGAACGTTGCTAGGTTACCGGTTAAACGAAAGAGTTGTTGGGTTCGGTACGAAGGGGTCGAAGTCCTTACCAAAAGAGACCGCCAACCTCAGTAGACCACAGTAGACCAAAGGATTAAGGACTTGGCTCTCACTGACGAAACATGGCGCGTTGCCAGGGTACCTCCGGACAGACTTGTGCAATCCCGCTGATGTTCCAGTCTGGGGGGTATCCTTGTCAGGCGCATCCTCTCTCAATTTATGCCGGTGACATGGAAAGCACGCTCTATTGTGAAGGCTGCCACGTCCATGCTTGATATCCTTTGAATTCTCAGTTAGCCAGATAGTGCGGTGAGATGCCCAAATGATAGTCGAAACGGCTGGTTAGCCATAACAAATGTTGCAAATGTATGGCTGCTGGCTTCAGAACCATGAAATGAGAGAGGTCTCGCTTCGATGGCGGAAGAGATAGAGCCCAGGGCATGTTGACTTTCCGTGCCTGTATCATTTATTTGGCCAACTCGGCAGATTGTCAGGAGTTTGGTAGCGGGGAAGAGGTTTATTAGTCAAAAGCCTAGGGATCCCCTTGAGATTGGCGTTACCAGAGTTGCGGAATTTCTCCTATTGCTCGTGCACGAGTTCCGCGGCCGTGGATTAGTTTGGTTATACCCGGGCCGGATAGTTATCGTAGACTCCTTCTTGTCGTGCTGTGGACTCTTGTGGGGGGCTTTTTTTTCTGGCAAGGCATTCCCCCTCCTCGTAAAAATGGTAGCAGACATCTGCCTCTATTGAATGAGCCTTTACCTGTCTCTGATCGCTTAAGTTCTCGTCGGTGGCAGCAGTGATTCGTGAAATACGCGAGTCTGAAGCGGTCGAAGAATGTTCAACGCCGCAACCATCCTACATAGTCTTTGAATACTAACGAAGGTTCCCGGCTGTACAACGGTGGATCTTTCTTATGATGAGCTTGAGCTGGATCTGGTTTAACCTTGTGGATGTTTTTTCGAGTGAGGCGTCCGGAGGCTGGTTCGAGCACGAGCCCGACAATGAATGCCTGTGATGATCACAAGCTCGCAGATGAAACTTGGGTGATATGACAGGGAGGAAGTCCAATAAGAGGAGAGATCGCAAGGAATGCTCAACTTAGGAGTTCAGACGTGGAAAGTGGCTGCAGAAGAGAGCCAGGGGTCGTGTTTGTGTACAGAGCAGGTCGGATGTTCACTGGTGTACTAGTAGTAGTAGTGGGAGCATTGAGTGGTCGTCAGGATTTTGCGGCTTTACCAGTGCTACCTAAGGTAGGTCCCTAATAAGGTCCTGGTACGCAGGACGGCGTTGGGCAGGGCAAAACGCGGGCAATAAATAATTGGACAGTCTTTGGCGAGTTTGCCGACTCACTGGCACCTGCCATATAAGCCTTAAACGTACCTAGGAAGCACCTCCGTAATATGGGTGTTAATCGTCATCGAAGCGTCTTGCAGATCCAATTGAGCATCGGCAGCGTCAATTGAGTCTGACACTTTCCCCTGCACTGCCAGTACAGTGCCTGATGAGTGCGGCAAGTCTCGAGCTCTGTGGCACGTGCAGTGTGCCAGTTCCTGCAGCCAAGCGGCCGCGCTTGATCCCCTCTATCTTAGCCTGATCAGCCCAAAGGCACGCCGGCGAGAACGCAACCAGGGCCTAAAGCTTAGTGTCGAAGCCGGTAACGGTCCTTGCAGATTTGCCCTGAGCCCGGGATGCTGGATGGTGTGAACGGAGTGACTTCCACTTCCCCCCAGAACAACCTCCTGCGCCTGGTCCATTCTGGCTCATTTCTCTGTCGATAATCACATCCATCCTCACATTATTCTCGCTCCTGGAGACCCGCGTCCAATCGAGGTGCCTCCATCACCAAGAGCACGACCTGCTTGTGCCGCACGCACGGTATCTAGGTCGCATACTTCGAAGACAACGCGGTTCGGCACTTTGCATTGTTTTGTGATGCCACGACCATCCGAGCTCATATCCTCCTCTTCCCCCTCAACCTCCTCTCCCAACATTGCTTGCCTCGGACGAACCTATACCAGCACGATACACCGATGAGCTGAGACCACCATCTAGAGACGAACTACTGTTCGCGAGTCCAGGCCGCAATAAAAAGATAGGACTATTGGATTTGGTCTGTGCTCAATAGACTGACGGCCAGAAACTGTGGAGGACGCCAATCAGACTGAATAGAACGAACAAGCAGACCACATTGGTTCACCCTGCTTAAAAGAGTCCCATCGCCAGATGTACCCCGCATGATACGGTCGTTTTTCTTCAAGAGCACAAGGTCTACAGCAACAGTACCACGAGGGTGACGGTGGGCATGTCTCTACCCGTTCTCTCACGGCCCCTTGCCGACCCGCCGACGGGTGCGTTGCCTCCCATTCCTTCGAACAAACCTCCTCGAAAGAGTCTCCCTCAGATAACGTCACGGTTAAAGGCACCGTCAAGAACTACGACACTATCTCCTCCGCCAGTGGCGTCCACAGTCGATCTATCCTACCCAAAACCTAGCGAAAGAGCTTCTGGGATCTCGCCAGGGAAATCCGTTCGCAAGACAGTGAGCATTGGTTCATTCCCACAACCACCCAATGCGGCCTCACGTCCCCCTACATCGGCCTCAGCCGCCTCTACGACATCGACAAGGAAGAGGACATCCGACGGCACCGGCTCCACCGTACAACCCTCCACGATCAAATCCAAGAAATCGCCCAAAGCAAGTCTTGCTGCGAGTTTCATGACATCCCAGACCCCGAGCTTGTTGAACTCAACTGGTGATGGCATGACCATATCAACCAAGGCAGCGAATAGGATATCTGATGCGCAGTCCAGCATTCATTCTCTCCCTCAGAGCCGAAGCTCTTCGGCCAATGGCTCGTACTCCACTAGCGCCACCACAATTGAAGAGGTGGATGACGACAGTCGAGGTCGTACCAAAGACTTGGACGACACTACGATGGATTCCAAACAGATATCCAAAGGGAAGGAAATCAAGGGCAACGTGATCGTCAGTGTTCGAGTGCGCCCGGACCCAGGTACCCAAAACAACTATCAATCTGAAGAAGGGGAATGGATGGTAGACGGCCGAAGAGGCCTGGTGGCTTGTCGTGGGAAAGACGGTGGAGATTACCACTACGACAATGTGTTCACCACTTACGACGACAATGCCAAGGTGTACGATGCTTCCGCCAAACGGCTGGTTCGTCGAGTGATGGAAGGCTACCACGGAACAGTGTTCGCTTATGGCATGACTGGGACAGGAAAGACCTTCAGTATGCAGGGCACCATGTCGAGTCCGGGCGTGATTCCTCTGGCTATTACCGACATTTTCTCATACATCCGAGAAACTCCCCACCGAGAGTTCCTGCTGCGCGTCAGCTACCTGGAGATCTACAACGAGAAGATTCATGATCTGTTGGCAGTTCCAGTAGGTGGTGGCGTTGGCGGTGGTCAGCAGGAAGAAATCAAGCTGCGCGAAGACAACAAACGAGGCGTATATGCCACGCCTTTAAAAGAGGAAATCGTTCAGAGTCCAACTCAACTACTTCGAGTCATCCACCGCGGAGACACGGCTCGCCGTACGGGAAGCACCCAGTTCAATTCGCGGAGTTCGCGCAGCCACGCTGTTGTCCAGATTGTGGTCGAGAGTCGAGAACGAATCCCCGGAGCCGGGGCCATGCATGAGAATGGCAAACGAGTTGCGATGTTTCCGGGCGGTGTACGCGTCTCTACCCTCAGCTTGATCGATCTTGCCGGCTCCGAAAGAGCGGCAGATGACAAGGAGCGCCGGGCGGAGGGCGCACATATTAACAAGTCTTTGTTGACATTAGGCACTGTTATTGCCAGGCTTTCTGGCAACAGAGACAAGAATGGAAACCCCACGGACAAGGACGGAAAGCATCTACCTTATCGAGACAGCAAACTTACCCGTCTACTACAGCCGGCACTGTCCGGTAATTCGTTGGTGTCGATCCTCTGCACGATTCAGATTGGAGCTGGCTTGACCGTGGCGGGCAACAACCACACGGCCGAGACTCTCAACACGCTGAAATTTGCCGCTCGAGCCAAGAACAACATTGTCAGTCATGCAAAGAAGGCGACCGAAGAAGTGGGCAGCGGCGTCAATGCCGGTTTGTTGGAGCGTTATCGGACCGAAATCCAGACTCTACGAGCTCAGCTGGAGGGCCAGCAAAAGTCGGCGGACGAAAAAGAAGAACGACAGATTGAGCGAGAGGCGGAACAACGGCATGAGGAGCAGATGTTGGAGATGCAGTTGGCGAGGACGGCGCTCAAAGAGCGGATCGAACACCTCAACCGGCTGATCCTGTGCTCCAAGTCAACGGGGGTCAATGGCGGGTCCGTTTCGGCGCTGGGAATGCATTCCCGTCTTTCTGGAGGAACGGAGTACGCAGGCTCGCGGTCTGTCCGGTCCTCGGCGAGTCAATCCACCCTGGGAGTCAGCTCTGGGCTCCGGCGATACCCCTCCGGGGCGTCTCTGGGAGGTGCTCGGTCAAATTCAGGTCACCTATCGTTTGCAACCATACCGGACGAAGATGAAGAGGGTGGCGACGATTACGGCGATGGTCGAGCCACGCTGCAAGCGCAGGTACGGGCATTGCAAGCTGATCTCCAAGATAAGACCCGTTATATCTCCACGCTGGAGAAGAGACTGTTGCAAGCACGACGATCGAGCCACTCACGGGTCTCGATGGCGTTTAACAAGAGTCCGGGAGAGGATGGCGACATCTGCCGGAAACTGGAAGAAAAGGACGCCATCATCTCCGATCTTCAGAGGACGGTGGCGGCGCTTCGGTCGGCGGTGCGAAAGCGAGACATGGCGGAGCTGACGCCGGAGATGTCTTCGTCGGAATTCAAGCACAACCGAGCGCAGGAGGGCCATCAGAGTAGCGGCAGCAACGGCAGTTCTCAAATGAGCCATAGTTCGACGCCAGCGGGATCGGCAGGGCCGCGATCGCCATTGGCGACCAGTCCATTGGCATTGTTGTCGCCCCAGAAGGCGATGGACAAGAAACGCAAGACGGTGGACGAGATGTCAAAGATGTTGGATGAGATGATCCAGGACAAGGTGGAAAGTGGGCAGCTGATCAAAGGGCGCTCACCGTCGCTGCGGCTACCCTCACGAAGATCGTCGTTGCAACGACACTCCCGGCGGACGTCGAGTGTGGGCACGGGAGGGCCAGCGATGAACAGTCTCGTTGCATCCCTGAGGGAACGGGATTCCACCATTGAACCGGGGGAAGGAGTGTGACGCTGAAGGGACTGATTTTTATTTAGTTTCATCTGCCCTATGAATGATGCCACGACAGCTTTTACTTTTCTTTGGCGCCGGGGTTTTTTATTTTCAGACTGGGTGTCTGGGCGGTTGATTGGGTTGGGGCCGATGCAGAGTATGAGCGGACGAGAATCATGGGAGAGGGACGTTAGTGTCTGGTGGGCTTCTGCGCTCTGGATTGAAATCTTCAATGTCCTGTTTGGGGCGGAACCAGTTTTACCTACCTAGTACCTACCTATGTTGGAGCGTTGACGGCGGTTACACCCTGAAGATCAGCTCCGGGGCACTTTATATGTTTGTTGGTTATCCTATTTGATCCGAGACATGGGAAGCGATTCACCAGCATCAGATACCCGGATAGAACGTGGCCAGTCGATACTGGTACTGGTGCTAGTACTACAGTACTACAGGATCAATTCAACAGCAGGTCTTGGGAAATATACTCTGTATCTATCTGTGTATGTGCCTTGTGTCTGAAATTGTCGATCAGGGGTCAAGTAAATGCCTCGATCTCGGTACGATAGGGTCTAGTATCTATAGATACATATATAGATATAGATATAAATGCCCACCTAATCTAGAGTAGGTAGATACTCCGGGAATCGACTGTGTAGATCCATCTTCTGACATGATGTCCGGTGTTTCAGACCTTGAGCGACCCAGTTGTTATTGTAACCTCGCGCTCCATCCATTTCCGTTGACCATATATGAATGACCGTGATACATGACATGATGGTGATGCCCCGATGTTCTTACTGTCCAATATCACATCCTATTATTGACTATATTATCGTCACTGTGTTCGTTCTGTTCTCCAGGAAATCTCCCTCCTGGTAGCAGAGCTGATGCTCACCACGGTACCTTAGGTATACAGCATAACCCAATATCCTATACAGTTCATCTCACTTCTTCTACTCGATGCCCACGCACCCGCCAGTGTCACACAGATCACACTGCAACTCCCACCGTGTGTCTTGACGTCCACTTGTGGACCCTCCAGCCCGATTTACCTGTCGGCCTTTTCCCCTTCTTTCTGCCCTGCTGCACATCATTCCTTTATTCGATTCTTCGATTCGTATCTCAACTGAGGTACCTACCTATCTACCTTACTAAGGACTAAGGTCATCGAATTATTATTGTTGTTGTTTGTCGTCGTATTATTATTTGTTGTTCATCATCATCACCGCAGGCCCCGTGTTTGCCCAGCATCTTCTGCATTTTCCCTTCTCACTACTACCACCACCACCACCACCACCACTCCTACGTACTACTACCACCCGCCCTTTTCTCTGTCTTCCTTTCTATCGATTCCCTTGACGGCCGTTTCCAAGCATACCGATATCGACCAGAACATTGCATAGCGTTTCGGGGTTGATATTTCTTCGACGGCGGTGAGACCACCTCTGCTGGATTCAGACTTCTCAGCTCCTCGCCAAACACTCACCATCATATGGAACATACCTGATCTTCGTCGAATGAAGGCTCTCCGGTCCAAGCAAGACCATGAAAAGCCGCAGCCGCAAGCGCAGCGCAAGAATGGAAAGAATATGCTCTTGTCCAGCCGCGCCACCCCTCCTCAACCGCTAAAACTGGCCGGTCCGGAACGATATCTCTCCATCAAAAGTCTGCTGCCGTCGACCCCGATCCCGTCGCCTTCCCTTCCGTCGATTCTTCCCCGCCACGGCAAGAAGCCTCCCAAGCTCAATTCGCGCCGGTTTGTCCGAGCGTTGCTATGGCTGTCGCTGCTGATTGGAGTCTACTACCTCGCGACGTCTGGCAAGAAGGTGGACCCTCACTCGACTGACTCCGCCGTCCTGACGTCGCTCGGAAATGTCTATGAGGGTGGTGAGGCGCTCGAGTTGCCGGATCGTCCAACACCACTGGCATTGATGGACGGCAAAGGCAAACGGCATTGGACGGTCTGGATCCCTCCGAGTCGCGGCTTTCCTTTGCCGTCGTCTGAATATGCAGATCTGTGTTCCCAGGCAGAGAATGTGGCTGGCCATGTCGCCGGTCGACGTCGGTCCAGCCAAAAAAGCCAACAACAGGACTACATGCGACACGACCCCAATTATCTCGACGTGGACGAAGCTCAGGCTCGCCATTTTCTTCCTACAGGAGCAGAGAAGAAGAATGTTGATTCCACCGCCACTCCTCAGCAGACCTCTCTGCCCGTGTGCAACAGCACTCTGACATATGTTCTGGACGCTACTGATGCGGGACTCGGATCAGCCCTGCTGGGTATATGGCTCTCATACGGCCTGGCCGAGCGCGAGAACCGGTCTTTCTTCATCGACGACTCGAACTTTCCTTATGGCAACTACAGTACGTTCTTCATCCCACCGACTCCACCGCCATGTCGGCCGCCTGTTCCGTCGCACCGCGTGCCCTGTCCCCATCAAGCCAAACATGTCGTTGTTTCGGCGGCGACCACGACGAAATGGACATTCGGCGAATCCTTTCGTCGGCAGTACTCTCAGCGCGAAATCTTCGCCATGGCACGAACCGGCTACGAAGCTCTGTTCAAGCTCCGCAAGGACGACGACGACTACGTGCGCACGCGGACGATGAAACTTAGAACGGGAACACTGACAAAAACCAACCCATCCGCAGCAGTCGGGGACAGAGACGGAGAAGGAGAAGGTGATCGACAAGAGAATGGTCTATTGGGCATCCACATCCGCCGCGGCGATCGACACCCCTACGAATTCGCCTACCAGCTCGGCTACCTCCCTCCGGACAGATATTTGTCTATGGCGCGCAAACTGGTCGGCCAGTCGGAGCGGTGGAAGCTGATTCTCGCGTCCGACGACGCCGAAATGTACGACAACCTCGACCTGCCGGACACGGTTCGCGCGCAGCAGCGCATCTCGCTGGCCAGCAAGAAGAGTCTGGGCAGTGGGCTGGGGTGGGAAGGCGGGTTCTTCAAAGACGTGTTCTGGAGCCTGGGTCTTCCGGCTGGCGCGCCGACGAAGGCGGAGACATCGTATTCGAGAGAGAGTCTTCCGCAATCTTCGACCCAACAGGTCGACGGTAGTGGTGGTCGAGATTACCGAACGGATCCCACTAAAGAAGCTTTGCGGTTGAGAGAATTGCTGGGCCGAGCGTATCTGCTGGACCTGGCCGTGCTGGCGCAGAGCGATAAGGTCGTTTGCGGAGTGTCGAGCCACGCGTGCCGCATTCTGGCTGTCATGTTGGGCTGGGAGCGGGCTTTTCAAAACAACGACTGGACCAATGTCGATGGGGACTATGGCTGGAAAGCACTTGACTGAAAAGTCCTGGAGAAGTTCTTGTTGCACTGGAGTCGACATACGCGACACACCTATTCACGACCGTCATGACTCAATTTCAATTGTTGCTACGTACTCACTTTGATCAGGGATCCCTCCCGCAAATGGAGCTGCTGAGTACTATTCGAGGCCCGCCTTCCACAGTTCTGTCGTGTTTAATTGACTGGCCTCCTGTGTCTCACGTCTTTACCAGCAATGCGCTTCACATGGTCGACACTGATGAGACATGCATGCCACGGTAGGTACCAGCTTTGATATTGATCCCGCCCGTTGCTCAGTCCCGATCCGGATCTTCTCTTTCTTTGTGGCCATCAGCTCCAGAGTCAGGAACATGTATGTATATTTGATTGCAGATACTACTAGTATGCTGGCTGTCACTGAAGCAGTTCAATCATCCGCTGGTTGCAGGTTGCAGGTTGCAGGCTGCAGTCGCAGGAGCGGGAAGCAGCAGGCCAGCTTCATGGTTCAGATCCTTCGGGATCTGTCTTTAAGCAGTTTCTACAAACAAAGAAATGGTGTGCCTCTGACTTGATGCAATGTGTTCCAATAGCCTGGTCGCTTACATGGTTCACCGCGATACTAAGGTAACTGAGGGATCCTACAACTAGATATGCTTGACCAGGTTTCGATGTTTGGGCTATAGTACTTGCTCACTTCGACATAGTATAATACAATGTTTGTCTTGGTAGGGCTATGATGCCCTGTAACCAGACAATACAAGGGCATGTCAATGTCTCCATCTTCTTCTCCATCTCCTTCATCATCTCTCTCGAGTCCGACAAGGCTGTCAGCGATGCAGTGGTGATGGTTCATCTCCCATTCTGATTGGCTGGCTGGAATGCTGCGGGATGCCTCGGTCAGTTGATGCCTGTTTCCGTTCCTCCGCCCTCACCTTGAATGTCCTCAGCAGCCTAAGGTGAAGAATGTATTGCGTATAGTCATGAATCTGACCTCTGACTAGATCCTCCAGGCTGTATAACATTTCATACAAGTCGTGTCTGCACCGCAAGTGCACCACTTGAAGCGCCCCCGACACCTACAGTTGGCCTCGCTGGCTGACTGTCTACGGTTCACGATATGGACGCTGCTACTGCCCTTGCCATACCAGCGACCCTAGCCGGGCTGGCATATCTCAATGCTCGCTGGAGAGTCTCGGTCGACCTCCACCTGCTGCGGGCATTGGTCGGATCCCGCCTCGCCTTTGAGCGACGAGAACGGGCAGATCGGGTCAACTCTTTCTACCTGCTTGAAGAGCATGCCCAGACACCCCGGATCGCTGACCAGCCATTCATCATCTACCAAGGCAAGACATGGACGTTCCGAGAAACCTACGACTCCGTTCTCCGCTACGCCGGCTATCTTCATTGCCGACACTCGGTGCTCCCCGGCGAGATCATTGCCCTCGATCTCATGAACAGCCCGCAATTCATCTTCTTGACGCTGGCCCTGTGGTCTTTGGGCGCCGTGCCCGCGTTCATAAACTACAATTTGGTCTCGACGCCTTTTGTGCACAGCGTGCGCACGTCCAGCGCGAGACTGTTGATCGTCGATCCCGAAATCGCGGCGAAAGTGCTCACCCCAGACACGGAGGAAGCCCTCCGGAACCCCAACTTCCGCAACGATGCTTTTCCTCTCGAGGTGCTCGTGCTGCATCCCGGACTGCAGTCGTCGCTCAAATACTTCCCACCGTACCGAGCCCCGGACTCCACTAGAGCCGGCGTCAGCGGCCGCTCGCCTGCGGTGTTGATTTCCACCTCGGGCACCACGGGACTTCCCAAGGCCGCCATTGTGCCCTGGCACCGAATGATCTACGGATCCGGGATTGTGTCACGGTGGATTGGTCTTCGTGCTGTGACATGTTCGAAGCCAGACCGCTACTATACCTCCATGCCACTGTACCATTCGTCCGCCTTCATCATGGGCTTCCATTGCTGTCTAGGCCAAGCCAGCACGCTGGTTCTCGGACACAAGTTCTCCGCCACGACGTTCTGGGACGAAGTCGTGGCAGCCGACGCGACCGTGATCCAATATGTCGGAGAGACGCTTCGATATCTGCTCACCACGCCTCCCCGCCCCGACGACCGGACCAGACACCGCGTGCGTCTGGCCTTCGGCAACGGCCTGCGCCCCGACATCTGGGACCGGTTCCGCAGCCGGTTCGGCGTCGAGACCATCGCCGAGTTCTACGGCGCGACCGAATCCATCGGCGCGGCCTTCAATCTGTCGCGCAACACCTTCTCGTCCGGCGCCATCGGCTCCGTGGGTCTCCTAGGCAAACTCGTCGCCGACTCGCTACAGACGATCGTGAAGGTCGATTGGAAAACAGAGTCGCCCTACCGCGACCCCAAGACCGGGCTCTGTGTTGCCGTCCGCCCCAACGAACCAGGCGAGCTCCTGTACCGAATCGACCCCAAAGATATCGGCGCCAAGTACCAGGGCTACTTTGGCAACGCGGCCGCCAGCGCGTCGAAGATCCTGCGCCACGTGCTCGCCCGGGACGACGCCTGGTTCCGCACCGGCGACATCGTCCGCTTCGACGCAGACTACCGCATGTGGTTCTCCGACCGCATCGGCGACACCTTCCGCTGGCGCAGCGAGAACGTCTCCACCGCCGAAGTCGCCCAGCTGCTCGGCCAACACCCCGCCGTCCTCGAAGCCAACGTCTACGGCGTCCAGCTCCCCAACCACGACGGCCGCGCCGGCTGTGCGGCAGTCTTGTTGAAAGACGTGGCGACGCATCCCACCGGAGCCTCTCCTCCACCTCCACCTATCCCCGCAACCTTGCTGGAGAGTCTGGCCGCTTTCGCCCGCAACAGCCTGCCCAAGTACGCCGTGCCCGTGTTCCTGCGTGTCACTGCCTCCGTCATGGCCACCACGGGGAACAACAAGCAGCAGAAACACGTGTTGAGGCTCGAAGGCGTCGATCCCGCCCAAGTGAAAACCGATAGGCTGTTCTATCTCCGTCCGGACGCCGAGAGGTATGAACCGTTCGGACCGAAGGAGTGGGAGGAGCTCAAGGCAGGGAAAGTCAAATTGTAATTTTATCCATACCGGCTTTCGGCACGAGAGTGCCTTAGGAGGCCCGGAGACCTTGGCCAGACGGACAGACGGACAGACGGACAGACGGACAGACAGACCGACGAATAGTTCTGACGGCCCTGGATGTATATATATCATGCATGGATGGTAAGAATGGCCCCTGGGGCGCCGCTCTTTCTGGATGTATGATGATTTGAAAGAATCGAAGAGCGACGATTTGGATACGGCTCGACGGATACGGACATGATATGATTGGCATGGCATGCACGTACGATCTGAGCACTATTTCAACCACTTGAAAGAATTTCAGACTTGTCTCTTTTATCTTCGCACCATGAAGAGAGAGAGAGAGTCAGGGCAGCAAGCTGGAGTAAACAAAAGTATTATACTGTCAATCCAACGGAGCAATACATGCTAGTATCTCGGGCAAGACAAAGCAGGGAAGGGAAAAATCATAGTTCAAGCACATACATAGCAGTGACGAGAGACTGAAACATGGAAATGCAATCCATTCCAATCCGATATTGCATTACACAACCGATCGCAGCATAGTACCGCAAGTACAGCAAGTACCGCGAACGCCGACATTCGAAGGAGGATCATATAGCACAGGCACCAATAACCACTGCATAGTACCGCCCCAACAGATAAACACGTGAAGCAAGTACGAAGTAACAAGCACATATCCATCGCAGTCCTCAGTACCCAGTCCCCAGTACCCAGTCCCCAGTACCCAGTCCCCAGTACCCAGTCCCCAGTACCCAGTTCCTAGTCCCCAGTTCCTAGTCCCTAGTTCCTGCTTCCTGTACCGACTCTGTCCGTAGCCGTAGACTGCACTCAAGTCTGGTCTCCAAGTTGCCGGACCTACCCGCACGATCGACTTCGACGTCGGCCTCACGCACAGACGGATTCAATCTCTCCGTTCAATCTCACAGAATGTATTCTGTCTGTTTGCCTGCATGGTCTTCCTTACAATTCCTCCGTAAACCGACTCCCCGCGGGACTGGTGCTCTGGGTCTTGCTCGTAGGGCTGCCGACGTCGACGATGCGTGGCGTCTCCGAAGTCTTCGCACCCGCCATGTCGACCAGCTTGGGCGGCGGGGCTAGACGCTCCTCGTCAAACGTGTCGCGGGCCTCTTCGAAATCTTCATCGTCGTCGTCGTCGTCATCGTCATCAGCATTGTCACCGTTGGTCTGCCCCTGAGTCGTCGGCGTCGATGGTTCTTTACCATCTTGCGTTGTATTCGATGGTTCTGCATCGGGCGATACATGTCCGTCTTCTGGAATGGGGGCGCTCGTCGATCCTGCTGTTGCCACGGCCGTTCCATCAGCTGTGGATTTCGGCTTGTCTTTTTCCTTGTGGCTGAGGCTTCCTGGAATGATGGTGCTCAGGAATCTCTCCCGGAATCCTTTCCTTCCTCGAGGTTCTGACTCGGTGTCCGAGAGCGTTCCCACTTGGTCAACTCCCGAGTCTCCTTTGGATGTGTGGTCGGCGGAATACCGCGACGAAGCCGCATCCGCGGCAATCACGTGTGGCTCCTCACTTAGCACGGATGAGCCAGACACTGAACTGATCGAGCTGCTCCTATGGTCGATTTCCGCAACTGCTGGACCCGGACCAGACCCTGAGGCTGTTGCTTCACCGGGGACTGGTGAGACTCGGCCATCAGGCTTAGGTGATGCGCCATACATGTCGTCGGTTTCGGCATCACTTCGACCGGCGAGGGCGACATCACGGATGGACTCGGACCGAGGCTTGTCTTCTTCCTCGCTGGTCTTGGCCGGTTCAGTGGTGGTCACAGCGTCATGTACCTCGAGTGGTGTTCCTGCCGCGTCGGGCTTGTCATGCAAGTCATTTTCAGGCCTGCTTCCACCCCTGATTCTCTTAAACCAGGACTTCACCCTCGAATCTCGTTTGGAGGGTGAATTTGGAGATGTCGGTTCCTGCGGTTGGATAGCGATGGGATCCAATGGAGCTGGTGCACCGTCTTGTGCAGCCACTTGTGCGTCTGTCGCAGGCACTTCCTCATGTGGGTCTGTCGTAGCCACTTCCTCTCTGCCAGCCGTCACAGTATGAGCACCTTCGCCATGTCCCATTGTAACTTTGTCGTGCACAGTGTCTCCGACGGGCTCCTCCACGCCAGCTGCGACAGCACCAGCAGCGGTAGCTCCCCCGGTTGCTACAACCGCAGCACCAGTTCCGACTCCCTTAGCAAGGAAACCTGGGAGCAAGCGAGTTTTGACAGCTCCTGGCTGTCTCTTCTCTTCCTTTTCTGCTCGGTGCCGTTCCTTTTCCGCACTTCTCTGTTCTTGTTGAGCCCGTTTCTCTCCGGCCTTGTGAGCCTTAGCATCGGCCTTTTCGCGGCCTGATGGACATGTTAGCGCAACCATTTCCACCACAAGCTTTCCTCAACTTACCTGCTGCCGCTTTTTGCTCGGCTTTGATATCTGCCAGTCGTTGTTTTTCTGTCATCTGTTCGGCCTTGACTCGTTCTTGTTCGAGCCTGATTTCTTCATCTCTGGCCCGTTGTTGCTCCGCCTTTTCCGTGATCTCGTCCAGCGTCGGCTGCAATCTGGCCTTGGCAATGGCATCAATCTCGGATTGATCGAGGTATTTCCCACCGCCAATGTGGACTTTGCCTGCATGAATCAGTCTCTCGTCACTCTCGCGTTGAGCTCGTTCTCGTGCTTGTCGTTCCCATAGTTCTCGTTGTTGTGGTGTGGTTCTGCCGGTCTCGGAGAACAATTTCTCGTCGATCGCATTCATACGGGCTGTCACATTTTTATGAGCAATGGCTAAGAGGGCGTCTCGGTCAGCCTGTCGTTTCTTGTTGTCCACATCGGCCAATTTCCCTTGGAACAACGACATCTGCGCTCGAATTTTTCGTGACTGCTCCTCATCTGAATCACTGTCCTCCTGGAAACTAGATGTCCGACGACCCCGCCGTAAGGTGAGTCTGGACTTCAGAGGAGGGGTCTGTTGCCCATAATATTGACGATATTCTGCGTGCTCGTCATGCAGTTTGGCCAACCGTTCGTGTGCCAATTTGCGTGCGGCTTCTTCCAGATTTTCGTATCTTGGTATCACTTCCTCCTTCGCCGCTGCCAAGCTTGCTGCATCCGATTGTGCCCGCCTCCGGGCGGTGTAGGCAGCGTAATGACTATCGGAACGACCAACTCCTCTAGCCTCATCGATTTGGGCCTGTTGAATAGCATACATCTTCCGGGCCATGGCTAGCGCAGAAGCTCGAAGCGTATCTTGTCTGTTCTTCTCCTCGACTTCAATCGCCACTGGAGGATTCGAGGTGTACATTTGGCGCGAGATGTTGTTCTTAGCCATGTTCTGAACGCGAGCGGCATCAAAACTTGATAAGTCAGCGGACGCTCGTAAGGGTGGGTCCGATGCTTTCTGCCGATGCGAGTTGGAAGCGGAGGATTCAGCTGCTTTTAAAGCCCAGCCAGAACTCCCTGCTTGCGGCGGAGACTGCAAAGGTTTGATGGGAGCGGATTCGGCACGACGTCGGCCTCTCGACATTGACGCAGTGGCTGCCAAAAGTGCCTTTTGTCGATTGCTGGATGAGGACTGTCTCTCTGTGATCGCCGGGGGCGATTTCTGGTTTTGAACCGCAGAAGAAGCAGCTGAGGCGCCATGCTCCGTTTCGGACGCCGTCCACACTTCCACAGGAGCACTGTCTTTGTGTGCGAGCATTGCGGCTTGAGAGCCAGCCTGGCTCAGCTCTGGCTTCCACGCTGGGTCCGACTCGTAATCTTTTGCGATGTGTGCGGCCCGGTTTGCCGCCGGAATCGTCCCTGGCTTCCAATGCTCAAACTGTTTCTTGTTCGAGTCTGCGAGACTTGCGGCTGCTCCGGCCGAGGCCAATTTGACGCCTCCGGTCGATGGATAAGATGGCAATTGTTGCGCCCGAGCGTATTTCAACGACTGTGCAGCACCTGAGTGAACTGTCAACGATTGCATCGGATGGTTGCAGGTGGGGGGTTGACTTACTTGCAGAGGACAGCCGTCCGTCGTCATCAAGGATGGATGGGGTGCGGTGCTTGGGTGAGGTTTCGTGATCCCCATAAAGAGCTGCAGAGGCCGCTAAAGAAGGTCAGTCAATGTATATTGTCTTGTCGCGGATGATGCCTTGGTTCTGTCATGACGACTCACCTTTGTCTTCGAGTTTGTCAGAGGGGCCATGAGCGCTGCGCGGAGTGCCGGTGAGGGTCGACATGATTCTTGGCTAGTGAGCTCCACGGAGCAAGCGAGTGCTGGTCCGAGAGGGAGATAGGTATGCGCTGAACGGTGGCTCTACAACAACATGGAGAAGACTGAATGCGAACAAGATAGTACTATACAGTTCTCACAATCGTAGAAGAACGTTTGGTCGCGCGCAAAGAAGAAGAACAAGATAGGTTGTCGCACAGCACAGGCTTGTTGCGGTGGTGCGCCGTCCATCAATGGGCGCAGGCGCTCAATCAATAATGACCTACTAGAGCATGCATCAGGTGTATGTCATCAACCACCGACGTCATGAAAGGGTGCAGAGAGAAAGTGGGAGAGTGGGAGAAGCACAGGGCCCGTTGCTGCCCTGTGGCTGGTTGCTCCAGCTCTTCATCTCCGCCTGTTTAGGCACCTGTCGTGGCTTAAGGGAGCCCTAGGGAGCCTAAGGAACCTACCGAGCTGCCTAACAAACCGGCACGATGGGGCCCTTAGGCTCCAAGAGCACTAGCAAGGACCCTCTTTGCCCTCGCTATCGCTATCGATCACAGGTCAATCGTCATCATTATTGATTGTTGTGCAAGCTGAAGAGATGAAGTAAACAAAGTCATTCCTCCCCTTCTGCAATGGCACTCATTGACCTGCCAGCTCTTGTCTAGTGCCGCTCTACTGGAATGCTTTCGTGCCCCGAAAGAAATTTACGTAGTAGGCACGCTGGACCAAGGACTCTCAGATTTGGGTCGTACGTATTACCAGTGTCTACCCTCATCACTGCTCTTATCCCCACAACGGCAAGGGTCTTGCAACCAAACCCTTAGTCCAACTTCGATGTCGTAGAACTTCGTGAGACCTGACAGCTCAAATCAGAGGTACACCATGACTCGATAGTGTGGTGTTTGTACCAGATCGTGACCATCTCAAGCCTATGACTTCGAACCATGGAGGATGCCAGCCGAACTCCGGAGATACATTTTGACAACCTACTAAACTTCCGGGACGTGGGAGCACACATCAATGGGATTGCTGGCTCAGAAGTCCTCAAATCCGGTCTTTTGTTCAGGAGCGCACGGCCCGACGAGATCAGCCCATCAGACCGCCTGCACCTCGTGAAGACTTGCAAGATCAAAACTATCATTGACCTTCGGTCCAAAACGGAACATATCAATGCGGCGAAGAAGCGGTCGGGCGTGTCTTCCATCTCAGAGTCTGCGGCCATCCCTTCGCCCACCGATGCCATCCCAGAACAAATCAAGATACCAGGGATCCAATACGCAGAAATAAATCTCAATGGCAAGGGATTTGAACGTCACTTGATCTGGCAATTGAAGTATGCCAGCCTCGCCAAACTGGTCTTCCTCATGGCCTTGGGCTATCGGACGGAGGGCATCTCTGTGATTGGGAAAGAATTGATGCTACCCCGCGGACTCACTGGACTGGGGATAGACACCTTGGACCACAGCGGCCCTGAAATCAAGGAGGTCTTCGATGTACTTTCTGAGCCGACGCGTTGGCCGGTTCTCGTCCACTGCACCCAGGGCAAGGACAGAACGGGATTGGTTGTCCTTCTGGTTCTGCTATTATGCAATATCGATATTGAAGCTATCAGTCGAGACTATGTTAAATCGGAACCCGAATTGGAGCCTGAAAAGGAGGAAAGAATGAAGGAAATCACCAGCATCGGCTTAGATGAGTCGTTTGCTGGCTGCCCTCCCGACTTCTGTGAAAAGGTGCTTCAGCATCTTGACTCGACATATGGCAGCCTGGAGAGTTACCTAGACAGGATTGGCGTAGGGAGCGAACAGAGAGCTCGTGTGCAGACCGGTTTCATGAACAAACTGTGATACTTGGCAGCTTGAGGTTGTTCCTTACGGTCGCTGACTATAAGATACTGGCGGTTGCATCTTTGTTGGCTTCGAGCAAACGGACTCGTCTGCCCAAAGGAGAATATAGTGCAATGTCACTCCAGTGTCGCTGGACGCAACTCCTGGCCGAGTCATCTTCAGGATCTAAGATTCCAAGGTGGCTATCAGCCTTACGAAATCCCAATCCTGGTTATTGTTGAAGATGTCCGAACACTCCAGAAATCAAACACTTGACGGAGACATGTCAGCTGTCAACCACTTCGATGAGTGCGTGGCGTCGTTCGTTAGGACAAGATCTTGCTAACCAGAAGTTATAGTCTCCTGGGAGAGGGTACAGTGCAGGTTTACCTGACTCCCGAAGACAAAGTCCGGCATGTTCACAAGAAGGTGCTTGTGAAGCACTCGCCATACCTTGCTGGAATTCTCGGGGAAGGCCAAATATTGTTCCTGGACAACACGACAGACTGCGAGGGTTTCAAGACGATTCTCTTCTGGCTCTACCAAGGGCGTTTACCCGAGCTGGAGATGCATGCCAATGAGGATCGAGACCAGTTTAGTAAGACCATTCACCGACTCATGAGCTTTGTCATTCAGGCGGAGAAGTTCCAGCTCATCGACGCGGCGAAGCTGGCAGGTCTAGATCAGATCCTTGATCTAGCTAGGAGGCGCAAAGCGAAAGTCTGGCTAGCACCAAACGTTGTTGCCGCCATTCTAGCGGCCGAGCTTGCTGGCGGTTCTCTGAATCCCCTTCACGACATGATACTAGACATTGCCTGCTTGGAGTACCGGCCCTCTTGGCGTCTGGCAGGATGGTACACGGACGAGATCAGAAGACTGGGGTCCGTGGAAGCTTGCGCCGTTTTTTTGACCCATTACACGAGGTGGAGGGAACTTGCAGAGAGTCGAGAGGACTTCCCTTTTTCCTTCTTCCCCACGACGCCAGCCAAGCAGGAGGAACGATACCGCACTGGGTTTCTGAGGTTCGTTTCGCCCTACGATTCAAATGGGTTGTCCCGAGGCCCTGGAAATGTGGGGTTGATGTTACAGGTCGTCTAGATTGATACTTGCCGAGTTTTGGACATATCGGGGTTGCCGGTGCAATATTCAATATCTTTGTCAGCGGCCCAGAGCACATTCTTGGCCCGATTGAGTGCTGACAAGATCAACCGGTGGACCGCGCCCGCAGCAATATATCCGGGCTAGTGATACATCCAAGCTCAAGGTCTAAGATAGGCCACGCAGCTGGTCTTCTCGCTCTAAGCACACGCATGTAAACCGACGCGATGAGCAGTGTCCGGTATCAGTTCATTCGGCTTGAAATCGGGTCCGAACATTGGGACATTGATCCATGTAGTATATGCCCGTGGTCAACACCGAAGTGAACGAAGATGCAGAACGGAAACCACAATCCGGGGGTGTCGTCATGCCCAGATACTAGTGCGGTGCTATAGTGGACTAGGGCTAGTGGTGCGGGACTGACCGGCAAGCGAAGTGTGGCTGGGGAAGTGATTGGCGCGAAACAACGCATGCAAACACTTGACCTGATTACGTGGGCCATGACGTATTATATTCTTTCAAAAGGAAGGACAAAGAGAAACCTAGACCAACTTGAATTTCAACACCCATTCATCACTGTACGAGTACCCTAAACAGCCAACGTGAAGGAGATCAACAACCAGCATAGATGTGGTGGTCTTGCCTAAGGAGTATCGAAGTCACTGCACACCAATGCACTGGCAGTCGCCTCCGAGCTGAGTCATGACGGCAGATAACCGAATCTGTTGAGGCTCTGATTGCCAGATATCAAATGCCGAAGCGAAAAAGAGACTTCGACCAAGGCGCCACTGCATGCAGTGCATATAAAACCCCTGCAGTGCAGTTTTGACCACTGCTGCATTTTGCCGCCGTCATGATCCGGGAAGCCTCGTCCGCTAGCACTGCAATATGTTTTTTTATTTCTCGTTCCTTTCGTCCATGGGTAAAAGGTAATTCTGGAGGGGATCACTGTACGAAGTAGATACGGTGATGTACACAGTATAAACTTCAGGTTGCTACTACAGAGGACGGTGCCCCTGTTTTCTCCCCTCTTTATTACCTAGGTACCTATTCCAGAGTTACCTTGTAGTATTCTGTATCCATTCCAAACACTGGCATGGCCAATGCATTCCAGACCCACTGAAAAAGCTCGTCTAGCAATGTTACTAGTAGTAGTAGTAGTATTTATCATCGTACATTGATTCTAGACAGCTCGACAGTTGGCGGTCGATACTACGTAGCCTTTCCATGCCTGCACTGCCTCGCTGCCGACCATACCTTATGATGTAGTCATGTTTTATCACTCACTGCCAGTCCGCGGGCGCCATACAAGTTTTGTTAACCACGCTTTATATCTAACCTTCCACATAACCACATCATCCACCAGTTCATTCCGGCTGGTATTATAGATTATCCCACACGTCCTCCTTCTGTTATTCCTCCCCTCGGTCACTATCCGGGGTACCTGTCGCCACATACTCATCGCGCCTCCCCTGCTATCTCTTTTGGTCTCGACACTGCACAACATCCCTCTGACGTCCTGGGCGGGCAATTTTCGACCATCGAACCACAAGGTCTTCCTTCAAAATGTGGTATCTAGGCAGTTGGATGTTCCCAGTCGTCTCAGCATGCATGTATGTACTTGTAGCACTTCTTCCCGTTTCCGCGCCCTGATGCCGCACCTGACGAGTGTCATCAAACCTGACTGAATATCTTCCAGGTGGCTGGCCATGCTGCTCGCCATGTTCATTCACTGGGAAGTCATCGGACATCCTCATTACCCATCCATGGAGTCCGGCCAGCGGATAGCATACATCAGTGATGTGGGCGCGTACGGGCTGAAACCGCTCTTCATCACGGGCTGCGTGATCACGACCGTGTCGCTGGACCTGGGCTTCATGGCGGAGCGCTGGCTTCGGCACACCGGCCGGCTGGTGCCCAACACGTCGGTGGCCCAAAAGGTGCTGTCCGTGATCGCCATCATCTTCGCGGTGGCCGGCTCCGCGGGCCTCATCTTGCTGAGTATCTTCGACACGTACCATCATCCGCACTTGCACGACGGGTTCCTCCTCCTCTTCATCGCCGGATACGTCCTGTCCGCCGTGTTCATCTGTGCCGAGTACTGGCGACTGGGCATCCACTACCGCCACCACCGGATCCTCAGGATTTCCTTCTACGTCAAACTGGTCTTCATCATCATCGAGGTCATCCTGGCCATCGTCTTCGTCTGTACCGACTTCACCAGCAACCAGAACATCGCCGCCGTCTTCGAGTGGATTGTCGCCCTCGTCTTCACCGGCTACATCCTCAGCTTCCTCCTCGATCTTCTGCCGAGCGTGAGGACGAGGCACCATGTCCCGCAGGGCTGGCGAGAAGCAGAGCTCGAAAAGGGCCGTCACGGCGACCAGACCCTGCCCGGCCCGCCCATCACCTCGGACTCTGCTGGTCCAAACCAGGAGCAGGGAACCAGTTCCGAAGATGATCTTGCGACCGGCTACCGAGGTACCACCATGACCAATGGTGCTGGCGTTGCACAGCCCAATAACGACTCCGACACGGGCAGGCAGAGCAGGTGGCACTTCGGCGGGTTCAGGGTCTAGTAAATCCGCTCCCCCAGGAACGCGGAGGGTCATACCTTTTGCTTCTGCTCTTGTCTTTATACTTTTCTGCATCGGATTGCGCAAAAAACCACGGCACGTGGTCGTTGCATGACAAAAGCACAGAACTTCTGGAAGGGTAATATGAGCTTCACGTGGATAGAACTTGAAAGGCACGCTGACTGGAGCGTGGTCATGCTTGGCGTTCTGTACCGGTCAGCCACAGGGTGTGAAGCTGATTGAAGCCGGCGGGGTTCGGACTCTTTTACTTTCATGACCGATTGGGAATTGTAATGATACGCAATAATATGTAAAAAGATACTGCTACACGATGTATTATTTGGGTGTGAAAATATCATGATTCTACCTGAACGTGAAGTACTATGGAAAGAATCACAAAACATTTCCACCCTTCCGAAGACCATTCAGCACCGGGATCGGAAACAAACAGTTGACGAATGGAGTTGGTGCCCACGTTGATGCAGTGCCCAAGATGACGTGTTCTGTGTAGTAGTTGTATGTCGGGTCAGACTTCGCTGGAGGCGGGTTTCCTACGTCGTCATCCTCTGCCGTTGGCAGCAATTCAAGAGAATACATGGATGACAAATATCAATATTGACGGTCGCCATTGTCGAAAAGGACATAAGCAATGCTCCCAATAAAACACCGCGCACCATCATGTTTGACGGCCTAACCCAACCAGATGCGTATCAATCCAACACTAACCCTCTCCCTTCAGCTGATAGCACCGCTGAACAATTTCGCCGCGAGCTCACTCAGTATCCTGGATTTTTGATCCTGCTCGAGAGATTGGAAGACGGCATAGACAGACTTGCCCTTTGCGTCTCTGATCGCGCCGGCCTTTGCGCCGGCCATAGCTCCAGGAATCGCCCCGACCACATCGGCCATAATAAAGCCGATGACCGCACCGGCGATGCCTCCCGCAACACTCCAGAACCGTTTCGTAGGCACTTTCTTGCCGCCTTCTTCTTCTGCCATGCCGTCTTCTCCCAGCATTTCCTCGAAGACCGATCCAAACTGATCATTGGCGAATTTGTTCTCTTGGCTGCTATCTCGATCCTGCGTGCCGCCGGCCTTAGCACCGCCGAAGCCAAACATGTTCGCCCACGAGAAGGTCGACGGTTTGGGTTTGGCGCGAGGGATCTCCTCGTCAGCGGCGGGGTCGGCTTCATCGTAGTCGAAATTGTCGAACCCGGAGGTCGATGTGCCGTGGAATCTGCGCGCTTCGTCGTATTCGTTCCGCCTCGTCGTGTCGCTGAGCACGTAGTATGCATCGTTGATCCTTTGGAACATTTTCGTCCTCTTGGTGCGTTCAGGCGAGTCGACGGGAACACGGTCCGGGTGCCATTTCAATGCGGCTTTCTTGTATGCTCGTTTGATGTCGTCGGCTGAGCCGGACGGGGCGACTTCGAGGATCGCATCTGCATGGAATCATAGTCAGAAACTAAACGCCTCGAGTTGTCTTTTCAGGAGAGCTGCGGAGGCTTACAGTAATCTGGGAGTTCGGACATTTTGTGCGGTGAGAACACTCAGGGTTCGATGGCCCTAGAAGGCAGGACCAAGCTGAGCCTGTTCTTTAGTTCAAAGGACTCGAGAGTCTAGAGTGACCCAGGTCGAGGTAAGAGAGTCGCCTGGAGTGGCGCTTGTTCTATCGGCGGTCCAACCAGTGCATAGCAGTCGATATAGGTGGTAGGTAATGATAAGAGGCGATGAGGTCCTCGGACGCGGAGAATAGTGTCGCAATAGGAGATAGAGCGCTTATGTTAGGGTAGTATACAAAGTATTCATGTTGTCTGGTACGAACATGGCCTCATCAGCCTGCTGTGTGGTGATAACAACAGGTCAGTGAGCGCAGGCAGGGCGATGAAATGACGTCGATACAGAGGAAAGCCCCGTGTTCAAGCCACAGTGGCGGCTTCCAGGCCGTCCAATGGTGGTCTGGCCAGCGTGACCATTTAGCGGGGCAGAAGATATGGAGTCGGCTGGAGAGGGCAACCAATTATCAGTTTTGAACGGCGGACAGTCAGCAACAGGGGTCTTCAGCCTGGTCCGTCGTGTTGCTAGTATGTAGCGTGGGCAGTTCGGTGCCCCTACTGTCCAGCCACCTCGAATGTTTCGAAGAGAACCTACCTGCAGTGATTGGTACCCAAAGGCAATCAGGTATGCAGTGATACTCGCAGAGTGAGAGGCCACTTCACCTCCCTCACATATGACTTGCGACTTCTCAATGTCGAGTACAGCCCAAACCAGAATCTACGACCAGACGTCTCGAAGGCCGTTCACCGGGGACTGTGCAAGCACACTTCTGTGAGCACCGCTGTCACTGCTCCCACCCACGTGTGACGATCCTCCGTTTCGCACGGCCGGAAACACTTGAGTTGAACGTGCACTACCCGCCATTGCATCCGTGCCACCACCCTGAGGAATCCTTCTCGGCCCCTCCGCCTCGTCCTGCTCCCTCCAACATGGGCTTCTGGAACGACGGTATCCGCGACCGCAGCCGGAGCCGGAGTCGCAGCCCATCCCGAAAGACAAACTACTATGCCTCCCGCCCATCATATTCTCGCAGCGCATCCTCCTTCTTCTCCTTGGGCGGGGGCGGCGGTCCTTCGTCTCGAGGCCACGCCCGCCCTCGTCCACGCTCCGGCTTCGTCAACCGTGTTCGTCGCTTCCTGCGCGAGATATACTCCTACATGCGCCGTCATCCCGTCAAGGTCTTCTTGCTGGTCATCATGCCCTTGATCACCGGCGGCGCGTTGACCAAGCTTCTTGCCCGCTTTGGTGTCAGACTGCCTCGCGCGTTGGAGAATATGGTAGGAGGAGGAAGGGGAGGTGGCGGCGGGTTTCGTCAGCAAAGTGAGAGATACTATGCGCGTGGTGGAGCTCGCGATTTCGCCGGCGGCAGTGCGATGCCCGGCATGGCCGGCGGCGTGGGCGAGAGTATTTCATCCTTGGTGGGCATTGCGCAGAGGTTCATGTGACAGCCAGTAACTGAAGACTGGTATGTGACTGAGCGGGCGGTTGAGGACACTCGGAAACATCTCGTATGTCAGGGGACCGAGACAATCCGAAATGCAGCCGGCACAGATGTTTGAGCAACTACGGACAAGGACACGCTGAGCCTTGAACATATACGCTCGAAACTACACCTATGCGATATGGGAGCAATACAGTTTCTGATACGGCAGAAGATTCCACCATAGTAGTATGTCTTCATTTCATTGTCAAGGCCATGCCAACAGCTCCGAGTAGGAGCCTGCTGTTTACCGCCAGCTTTGGATAAGTCTATTCTGGAAACTTAACGCTCATCAAGACCTCATTTTCTTCCTTTCTTGCCCCTTTTTTTCATTCCTGCCGCAGCCGAAACCTTCTCGATTTCTTTCTCGATGCCTGAAGAGTCGACTAGCTCAAACCCTGAGCCGATCTCCTGACTTGAGTTGGATCCGGAAGATGTCGCCTCCTCAGGCATTGCACCCTCAGGAGAAGACTCAAGTTCTCCTTCGTTTTCCCCGAGCAGAGTCTCGTCATGAACTCCATGTGGGGTGTTGTGTGAGAATCGGTCGAAGGCCTTGTGGTAAAACCACAAGGGAAGGCGTACTACTGCTGTGTCCCAAACTGTTGGCTTCGGTATCTCGTCCAGATCCAGAAGAAACTCTTGAACGTTTCCATCATCGTCTTCTTCTTCCAAAAACACGTTTCCCACCGAGTCAACAACAAGGACCTTTCCGTTCTCAGCAATGACCCTCTTTCTGTCCCTAGAGGAAGCAGACGCTTGTACAGGAGCCGCTTTGACCGGTTTGGATTTGCTGGATTTGTCCTTTTTGTTTTGCCGCTCCAGTTCTCTCTTTTGCCGTCGATTCAGGTTCGCCATCGGGTCGGGTTCTTCAGCTGCTTGAGGAGCCTCCGCCGGTGCAGCGAGCCCGGTAATGCCTCCAATGCCGGATTCATCACCCCATGCGGTCTTTCTAGCATGCTTGATATACCTCTCCATGAATTCACGTTGTCTCTTGTATCCCGTGACCAGTGCAAGGTAATGGGCTCCTCCACCACCAACAAGGAAGAGACCAAACAAAACCGTACCAAGCCCAGGCCTGTATCTCGAATAGTAGTAGCCTGTACCTCTCCACGAGGGAAATCCATGTTGTAAGAAGAAATCGTATCGTTCTCTTTCTGGCCCTTTCAGAATATTGGTAACCACACCCAATCGGCTGTATCTCTCGCCTGCTTGTTTGATGAAGCGCTGGATCTCCCGCTCGGACGGCCCCTTCGAGACGTGCACGCCACTCTTCCTCTTCTCGCCAGGCTTCTTGGGCTTGGGGGTGGAACGAGAGGCTACGAAGGCATGCTTGGCCTTGTCGGGATGAAGTGCTCGCGATTTCTTGCGGAAAGCTTTGCTGATATCTTCGACTGTGGCGGAAGGCTTGACGCCGAGAAAGTCGTAAAAGTTGACTCCGTTTCCCTCGGCGGCCTCGACTTCGTCTTTTAATCTGAAGATCTCATAGTCTTCCTTGGTCCACGCTGCAGCCAAGACCAGGAAGGTGCAGACGAGCAAGAATTGAAGGATTCGCTGCCTCATTTTCTACGCCCACTTCCCCCACGACGAGCGAAAATATGCGAGCAACCAAGTAAAGGAGTGTTTTCGTACGGCACGAAATGAGCGAGGCAAGGAATTCGCGAGTGCTGTGGGTGGCGGCCCAAAGACGTGGTCCAATGAACGGGAAATGACCTTCGAGACGGCAGAGCGACGTGCAGTAGCTTAGGACAGTTCAGCCATTCGACCATGAAGTGAAGGTATATATTCGGACCGTTAGTCCTGGGCCCGTGGTCAGTAATTTAGTTCTCCTCCTCACAGGCTGTCTGCCTGGGCGATGGCAGTCACAGCACCTTGGGACAGCCGCAGGCAAGTTGAGGAGCAGTTGCCTTACCAGACCACGGTGTCTTGGACTGTGGCTGAGAAGCGAGACGCGTGAAGCGAGTCACAAACTGGAGACAGCGCTGACAGATTATTACACCCAACAGGGGGAGGACCAGGCGCAGGCAAACCACTGCACCCTTTCGTCCCCTCGAATTTTCCACTCGTCATCCCCTATCCAAAATCCACAAAGGGAGAACTTCAACACTGCAACCAAGAAGAGTCCCTGCTAGGTGCTACTTGTCTCCGTCAGCCCCTTTGTCCGCTTTGTCCCATTCACTCGCTTTTACGCTCTCGCTCGAGTTCACACCCTGCCTTCGTTCAACCGTCGACACGTTTCCAGACGTCCGAAAGGAGACTCGTACGTCCTACAGCAGCGGGTAGCCGCAACTGTCCTCACTTTCGAAGGCTAACAACATTCAAGCTTAGCCCGTTCTCATTCACCAAGACGCTCTAACTCCTCGAGACTCAAGTCTGCGGTCATCTTCTCCATCCTAAGAGCCATGGCACGCATGAGCATCCCCCTTGACGCGCTGACGTCCCGTTTCAATCTGTCCGATCGCTTCCACAGCGTCCGCTCGCAGTCCATCTCCTCACGCTTCGCAAACATCAAACCCATATCCGAGTTTCTGGATTTGAAGAGATTGTCAAAGCCCCATGACTTTGGTGAAGTCCAGAGCAGAGTCAACTACAATCTGAGCTATTTCTCTAGCAACTATGCGGTGGTCTTTGTTATGCTGAGCATCTACAGCCTGCTTACCAACTTATGGCTCCTCTTTGACATCATTCTGGTCGTTGGTGGCATGTGGGCGATTGGCAAACTGGGAGGAAGCGATCTCGAGTTTGGTACTCTCCGTGCCACTACGTCTCAACTCTACACTGGACTGGCCTGCATTGCGGTCCCTGTCGCGTTTATCTCTTCACCCATCTCGACATTTCTGTGGCTCATCGGTGCGACCGGGGTGACTATTCTGGGTCATGCTTCACTTATGGATAGACCAATCGAGAATGCTTTTTCCGAGGAGGCGGTCTAGGTGGTCGGCCGCGAACTCCATACGATATGCCCCCTTGGGGAAGACCACCAGGGGGACGACCGGCGGCGAAGAACGACAGGCAATGGGGTGCTCAACGGTCGTGGGAGTATGAGGATCGTGTGGAGGAACTGGATACTGACGACGACACTTCACAAGGTGTTGGGCTGGATCACCGTTATGGTCAGCCAAGATTTGTTTCTGATGAGCTTCGATTTACTGGTATTGATTTGGGTGGCCGTGTTGTCCGCGGAAGGCGCTCGCGTGCTGAGTATGACGACGAATATACTCCCTCTGAAGATGACGATGACGATTACGGAGCCTCTACTGGCCTCATCCGACGACCAGATATGCAACTAAGGTATAGGGAGAAAGAAGACATGCTTGTGGAGAGAGCTCTTGAGCGGATTGCACGTGCCCGGGCTCTGGGTAAGCCCAACATCAAATTGAGTCAAGCTGAGATTGATGCTTTGGAACGATTAGAGCGGAACCAGAACCCTCCACGTCCTTCTGCTGCACCGAAAGCGACTCCCAGAAGCAAGAAAGAATCTCCGGTCAAACGCAAACCAGTTGAGGTCCGCAAGAAGCCTGGCAAAATTAACAAGTCGGCCAGCAATTCGCCAAAGGGAAAAGCGGTCGATTCCCGAGGTCGTGGTAAAGGCTCCGTTTCAAACCTATCCAATCGTGATGACTCAGTTGCTTCTTATGCCTTGCCTCCAACAGATCCAGATTATGGTCGGCGGGGCGCTTACCCACAAGGGTATCACGTGCCTGGTTCACGTCGTGCTGAATCCTCGCGACAAGGGTCTCGTCACAACTCTAGTCAATCCCTGCGACAGCAGCAATTGCCGCCAATGGCTGTCTACCAGCATCGATATCTTACTCAACGGTACTCCTCCACTCCAGACGCAGTCTATAGCGCTCGGCCTAGCGCTAACTCATCCCGCGCCTCCCGGCCTGATCCATCCGAATCAGATTGGGAGCCCCGTTCACGCTCGAGCTCGAGCCTTGTTAATGTCCCCTTGGATCAACTCCCTTATCAGACCAGCACTGGAAGGGCGCCACGTTTTGATCCTTCTGATCCAAGATTCGCCTCGCCCCAGCGACGTGTTGCCTCTGGCCCGCCAGCGATGCAGCCAAATCAGGCCGCCCGATACCGCCGCCCGCAAGATGAGCTCTTCTTGCCCGACGAACAACCCGAGGTGATGAGGTACCTAGCCCCTTCTGACTCCGAGGAAGATGACGACGATGAAGGTAGCGAATACGATGAAGGCGTCCAAGCTGATGTTGGCGAAACACCACGGGGAAATTATGCGATACAAACGCGGAGTGCTCGTGCAACAAACTCTGCCCAAAAAACAGGAACCATGGCCAGAACAGTGGCAGGAAAAGGCAAAAAGAGGAGATAGCGATTCGGAGTGCTTGGAATTTGCTTGCTTCATGTCAATAGAATACCCTCATACAAGCATCAGTCGACCACAGCAGGCTAGGTAGCCTTGACATGACATTGCCCGGCTGATATTCTCTTCTGATAATGTTTTCTACAGCTCCCTGGTCTATCCAGTTTCTTCCGTTCCATCCTTCCGGGATTGAAATCCATGAACTAAAATCTCTTTGCAGGTATTTGACTACTCGGCGCAGTCATAGTTGTTCACTCTGTAGTAGTTTGATATATTAGTATGCCACAATTTCTGCTGCAATCGACCATAGGATTGAGAATGCAGCACTTCCCGTTCGCTCAGTGGTACTTAAGCTCAATACCGGCCAGTTAGTACTAAAGTGGGTGACCATTTGGGAATCCTGACTGTCGATTGTTTTTGCCTCTTCATCAATCAGTTTCTTCTTCGCTTGTGGTGGTGTTGGGGGGTGGGAACGTGTTCAAGTCTCCTAATTGCTCAGCCTCGCCCACAGTCACTACCATGATTACATCATCTTATAGTTTGATATCACCAATCATACTAGGTACAAGTCCGCTGTGGGGTAAGTGGCGTATAGAATAGACTAGGTACTAGTGTATCATGTCGCGTGACCAGAAGGCTGTGTACTTTATGATAATAGCCTGTACCTTAGAGGCCTTTACAATTTGCAGAGGTCCAATTTTTTTGCTACGGTGATCGAAAGGTGCCTGCCATTATTCAGCACCCCCCACTGACATCGCTCTAGTATGGGAACTTGTCATGATAGACTAATAGGTCGAAGCCTATGTACCTAGGTAGTATTATGTTGTAATAATAAGCTTCTATAATCAGGAAATCTTTTCCTCGGGAACAATCGGGAGAAGTGCCAGCGACCCCCTAGCCCATATGAGGGGTTTAAGGGGGAAACGGTATCAATGCCGGCGGTGGGACTCCAGGTTGACAGTCTCTGTCAGGTCAAAATTGTTGTGGCAGCGGAGCCTTGCGTTCGCAGCGGACCACGGCTATTTCTACGGAGTGCGCAGGACATATTTGTGCCGCATCCACTGCAGGAAATGGGATTCTCGCGCTTTGAGGTGGAAATTGGAAGTTCCATTCTCTTGATTGGGGGTTATGACAACTGCTTCAGAAATTTTACTCGGGTGAGGTCAATCCCATGTTTGAGATTTTTGCTTCTTTCGAAAGACCTCTGGGTATCCTGTCTTTCCATATCTCGAAACACGTGGATTGGCAACAGCATTGACTTGGGAGTAGAAGACCCTTGCTATTGGTACGGAAAAACAATGCCGTTATCGTGCGACAAGGAAAAGAGTGCATCGGGCTCAGGCTGTGGACGGGTAGGGTGGTGATCTGCTAAGTGAACAGTCTCCATTCGACTCCGCTTTTGTTCTCGGTGTCGTTCTCGGCGCACTTAGCACTGCTACTGCTAACTCTGTAGTAAATGTAACGAATTTCGGTTGTCGTTGTTCCTAACCAATCATCTCCGGCTACTCCCCGTCAGCAATGAACTAGAACTCAAGCCTTTTGCCACTAGTCCTATTTCGAGAAGGTTCGAGCACACTCCTCCGGATTCGGTATGGCACGTGATCGGGCCCTTTCTAGAAAATACGGACTCTCTTCTCCTCGTCGTCGACTAAGGTACCTAGGTTGCATTACAGTCGCCACACTCGGTGGCAACTCGGTGCAGCTGAGCGTATTTCTGGATATTACGAGATCGTCCAGACCGCCGTGAGGTATCGACCATTTGGTTTCCCTATAAAGCTTAGGTGATGCCCAGTGCCTATCATGATGGGCCGGAGCAGCGTCTATGTTGTCCTCTCTGGCCCATATCACGGGATCGATCTAGAACCGAAGACCTCCGCATAGATTGTGGCAAGTATCGCCCCGGGCTTTCGTCGCAGCGCAGCCTCGTTCCACCAAGCTGGTGCAGTCCCACAGAGGGTTAGCCGCTTTGCCGTGCTCCTCAGAACGATATATTAACACCCCTTTGACAGATATACTCATTTTCTTTAGACTTTTTTGTTCACACGTTCTTTGTTACACATTGGAATTCCAAAGCCTTCTCGCTGCCTCTCTGTGGCTGACTGGACACTTTTCATGACCCAAGCTTTGGAGCAGGCTCTCTTTTCCCAATGAGTCTCGTGGAGAAAAGTCTTTTCGACAGCTTTCTGAGAGATACCTCGTGGTTACCTGTCATCAAACAGTCTACGGTGGCCTCAAGGAGTTCGATGTAGGAGCGTTTTTTTGCATTGTAAAGATTCTTCCTTCCTTTTTATTCTCGTTCCCCCATTCGACCTTTTCAACATCGACACGACCTACAACAAGAACTGTCCTACATGTCATCCAGTGGAAGGAACTCCCAGGAAAGCAATACGGAAGGTGGTCAGAGACGTGGTTCTGGATCACGTCGTCCCAATCTGATTGAATTCGTCGACAGTCAGGACCCCAATGTGAGGAGTGCCATTCAAAGACACACAGCATACCATTCAGCGGCACAACGTCGAGATGCCAGGTCCCGACTGTTACGCCGTTCCAGCCAAACCCGGTACCTGGAATGGGGAAGACGTCCAAGCCAGACTACCGAAGTTACTCCGGCAACTTCCTCGACCAGCAGTGCCAGCTCCGTCTCCAGGTCTCCAGCGCCACTTGCGCGCGAGAGGCCCGAGGGACCAAGCCGGACATCCAGCACTCAAACCGAACAAGAGACGGAGACCTCTACGACCACGTCAGAGACAACGTCTAACACAGACACGGCGCCGACGGTAGGACCGTTAATATCAGATGAAGATATCATACTGCAATACTGTAAGTCCCTCTTGGGGAGGAGATTGAGACTGTACGAACCCTTGCGAATGATGAGCTGGACTTTGTGCAAAGAGCTAACTGTTGATGATCTAGATCGTTTGACATTCTGCCAACAGTCCACATCCAGGGACATTTTCGATGGCGCAGTCGCATATATCCTTGAGCACGATGCAGCTCGACATTTACTTCTTGCCCATGCTTATGCGACACGTTGGAGGCTGCAGGCCAGCCCCGAGACAGCGCAGGACCAAGTCGAAGCAGAGTCACACCTCGGACGAGGCACCAATATCTTGTGGAACCGATTACGAATGCCTGGCCATGCCAGCAGCGACTCCAACATCCAGGCCGTGCTATTGCTGTTGGCGTATACGGCAGATTATGGACAAAGTAGTGAGATTCGTCTCCATGCCGACGCTTTGCGAACCATGATCGAACAGCGCGGGGGACTTGATGCATTTGGGCATAATCCCGGGCTCCAGCAGCAGCTGTGGACGATTGAGAGATCACGCCAGTACCATCTGACACTGGACTGTACGCATGCGTGCACGATCGGGCTGCGGTTTCCCGACGGGCTGCCATTGCGCGCCCCTCGCGAGGACGGCTGAGAGGGAATGTTGGTACTGTTGGATCCCATGTTGAATGCATATGGGGCCTGACCGGGTCAAGCATTTTGGGCGATATTGAAGCTTTCTGATCGACTCCCTATACCTTCGTCACAGCAATCGGTCAAGACGGGCTTCCAGGAAGACGCCCGCACCACGAATCAACGATTGTATCGATGCATTTCATTTACCGCACAAAAGATACACGGGACGACTCGGCGTCGGAAATCTGCTACCTGATTGAGCAGAAGCATGAAAGAGCAGACGAGCATACGAACATGATGAGCACACGAACACGAACAGAGATAGAGCGATAATGATACAACCAAAAAGTTGACAAAGTTGACAGTATCTACCTACCTACATACTATACGCCTACGGGCTTCTACGTGTCCCTTACTACTGGATACTGTCCTAAAGCAGACCAGGTGGATAGTGCCTCATCTAGCGAGGCTACTAGGTACCTGTAGGTGTTAGTAGGCCAGGTATAAGTCGTTGACATGTGACGTTGGCACTTTGGTGCCTGCCGTAGACTTCTTGTAGTAGTACGCAGTAGCATAGCACAGCCTAGCCTAGCCTAGCATACTTATCTCACTGCCAGTGCGGTGCGCTGGAACGGGAGCTGCCAACAATTTCGACCCCCCACGATTGATCTCATACCTGCCTAACCTTAGGTAACCTACCTAAGCTGCCATACATAATTCCTTTCCGCACGTCTCTGCTCACCACTTTGCCCACTTTACCAATACTACCGCCTCACTGTTGCTACCCGACATCGCAAAGACAGCTTGGTCTTCGCTACAAGAGCTGTCCAACAACTTTGCTCCCATATATTCTCGACTTGCGCCGCTGAAACGATCCGCCGGTCCTCGGTCTCCTCCGTTCCAGTCCGCTACGTCCAGCCTCTTCCCCTCCTGCGAATCATCTAGTCCTGCCTGTCCAGAAACAGCTCACAGCCTCTCGGATTTGGCCTTCTCGCGATCACCTACGGCACTGATACTCTTGACTGCGCAAGCAAAGCGACTTCAGCAAAATGTCGGGCGAGGCGTGGTTATACCTGCTCGCTGTTTTAATAAATGCCGTCAATCTCTTCCTACAGGTCTTCTTCACCATTATGTACAGCGATCTAGAATGGTCAGTTGTGATACATCCGAAGGGTTCTCTAGGTGGACATGCTTGCTGACTGCTTTCGTTTCCAGTGACTATATCAACCCGATCGACCTTTGCAACCGTCTGAATACCTACATCGTTCCCGAAGCGGCTGTCCACGCATTCCTCACATTCTTGTTCGTCATCAATGGATACTGGTTGGCAATACTGTTGAATCTGCCTCTCTTGGCTTTCAACGCGAAGAAGTGGGTGTTACTCAGGTTCCGTCCTCCAATGGGTGGTTTGGCTGATAAGGAAATTGCAGGATCATTGACAATCAACATCTACTCGATGCAACGGAGATCTTCAGGAAGTTGAATGTTCACAAGAAGGTATATTCCCCTTGCGCTTCCTGCTCTCGCTCTTGACCTAGAGGAGTTATCGAGCTGACCATCTATCTAGGAATCATTCATCAAACTTGGTTTCCATCTGGTCATGTTCTTCTTCTACCTCTACAGCATGATTGTCGCGCTGATTCGGGACGAGTCCAACTGACTCCGTGACCAAGTGTCATATACGGCGAACCATGGTAGCTACTCCTGATCGACGGGTCGGTTGCTCTGGAGTCACCTTGTGAGGTCTGAGACGCAGACCAAGGAGCTTCAGGAGATGGATCAAGTGGCCGGGACAGTTGGCAAATACAAAGGAGTGGAGTCGAAACTTCGTCAGGAAGAGACCTGGCTACTCCAGAGCAGGTCAGGCCAAGAGCAGGTTCAATGATTTATATTGTGGTATGGCAAGCAGCATTGGGCATAATTTATGCCACTGTCAGGCGTGGAGATGGGAAACTCAAGAGCCTTCAAAGACATTGTGCGACCGGCGCTCTGCGCCAACTATCTTAGCGGAGGAAACAGGAGGGATTTGAGTCGCACAAAGGTGAGTGTGTGGACATACTCATTGTCAAGCTACAAGATCAAGCCACCCAATGTCTTGTTGTTCAAGCCAGGCCATAACAGGCTGCAACTGGTGGTTACGTCGCTCTACGTATTGGACAAGAGAGTGTGTGGAAGGGTAGCGCATCCATATCCCTGTAGCGCTGAATTCATAATCATTTTGATCATTTCTAAATAGATTTTGTTTGATGCTTTTGGCTGTCGTGCTTTCGCAGTTCTGATCAATTAGTGAACGTAAATATGGTCAGGCACTAGTTACATTTCGAAGCCTGCTCAAAACCATCGCCAGAACCAGGAGGCATAAGCTCTGCACAAAGACGTGTCTCACTTCTGCAATAGCAAAGATTCCCTACCCGTCCGTTTGACATACTGCTCCGCCCATTGCTCCGTCCTGTTGACTGCACATGCGCAGCCTTCCATCAATCAAGTAAGGCTGTGGCGACAGGAGGAAGGTTTGCCGAAGAGATTCTTTCCCGGGTTTTCGAAGACTACGGTCGACGTCGAGTACGGAGGGACCTTGAGCTGAATGTCTCATCTCCAGGTCTAGGCCCGGCAAGTTCAAGCCGGCCTTTTAAATCATTATGGCGGGTCTTTTGGGAGCGGGATATGAATCGAGCGATGACGAGACTCCTTCAACGCAACCAACGCCTGCGCTGGCGAAGCCGGTGAATGCGGCGCCAGACGTCTCTACAGAGGTTTGGCCCCCCAAGTCGCACAGTACATTTCTTGTCAGGCTAACGGTCTGTAGGACAATACTCAGATGCAGATAATGCTGGCAAACCCTTCCAGCACCGCTCTCACCTACAATGTCACCTACGACAACCTGGCCCGCCCTGCGCAAGGCCCAGCCAACCCTTTCAGGTCTTCGTCCGGGAATGCGTTGAAGCGCAAGAATGTTCTCACCGGAAACGCAGAGGAGACAGCCATGTCTGAGGCGACCTTCAAAACACAGCACAGGACCTTTCAGAGTATGGGTTACACCAGGGATCCGAGCCTGAACGGCGCATTCGTGGGCGATCAATCGGCCGTTGAAAAGTACGGCGGGAAAGATGTGGTGGAGTTACGACCTTCGAAACAGGACAGCGCCGCGATCCGGGCGAAGAGGCAGAAGAAGGGCGATAGCAGTATTGTCGATGGTGAAGGCGCGTACCTCGGTCCCTGGGCAAAGTACCAGGGTGATGATGTGGCTTACGAGGAAGCCGAAGCCGCCGCTGATCAAGAGCTGGCGTCAGATGAAGAATGGGTAGAGGAAGGCATCGTCCCAACGCCTCTGCCTCCGCCTCCCAAGGAAGCCACCGCATACTCTGCCGACACGAATACGGCCGAGACCACTGAATTTCACGGAGCTTCCGAATTCGACTATCAAGGTCGTACGTATATGCACGTACCGCAAGACCTGGACATCGATCTGCGAAAAGAACCCGGCTCAACCCAAAACTACGTACCGAAAAAGCTCATCCACGTCTACAAATATCACACCAAACCGATCACATCATTACGCTTCATTCCCCAGTCATCACATCTGTTACTTTCATCTTCTGCCGATGCCAAAATTGCTCTTTGGGACGCGCACCACGACCGAACACTGCTGCGCACATTTTCAGGCCACAACAAGGCTATCACAGACACCGACTTTCACCCTACTGGCCGCTCATTCTTGTCGGCCTCGTACGATCGCCAGATGAAGCTATGGGACACGGAGACTGGCAAAGTGATATCGCGCTTTACGACCGGCAAAACACCACACACATTAAGATTCCATCCAGAAGGAAATGAATTTATTGCGGGCATGAGCGATAAGAAGATTGTCCAGTTCGACACTCGCTCCGGAGAGCTCACACAAGAATACGACCATCATCTTGGACCGATCAACACCTTGACTTTCGTCGACGAAGGGCGAAGATTCATTTCTACTTCCGACGACAAAAGTTTGCGAGCTTGGGAATACGGGATTCCGGTGCCGATCAAGTTCATCGCCGATCCATCGATGTATGCACTGGTCCGATCCGCACCTCATCCCTCGGGCAAATATGTTGCCTTTCAGAGTGCAGATAACCAGATCGTGGTATACGCGGCCGGCGACAAATTCCGTCAGAATCGCAAGAAAGGCTTCCGCGGCCATAATACAAGCGGCTATGCGATTGACGTGGCAATCAGCCCTGACGGCGGCATCATCTCGAGCGGTGACACTGGAGGATTCGTGTGCTTTTGGGACTGGAAGACGGGGAAGATGTGGCATAAAATCCAGGCTGGTGGGGAGAGCAAAGGTGCGGTGACCTGCGTCGCCTGGCATCAGCACGAGAGTAGCAAGGTTGCCACTGGCGGGTTGGACGGCGTCATTAGGTATTGGGATTGAGTCGCTTCTGCACCTCACGATTTTGCTTGCCTGGGTGACGATCACGTCGACGGCCGCCCGGAGTAGGCATGTTAGCTTCGTCCCAAGGGCTGCAGCTGGGGTCCTGGATGGACCAATTGCGGACTCGGCGAGGTTCGCAAATCGGGCATCACCACAGAGACGGTGTGCAACCACAATCTATGTCCCATTTCAACGTCAACAGGAGCAGACAACACGGCGGCAACCTGTGCTGCAAGTTGCTGGAAACCGACCTGCCAGTGCATAGCCGACGAACAATCGACACGGGTGATATGAGCGGAAGCGCATCTGTTCCTGCGTGGTCGCCATTCGCCCGGCGATATGGCCGCGAGACTACAGTGTAATGAACCCCGCGAAAAGCTAGTGACTGTATGGGCATAGAGAAAACACGAACGACGGAGAAGATAAAGCTTTCTTGCGTCTACTACCTAAACACCATTTTGGCCAATTGTATTAATACAACCCAGGCATTTTGATTCCCATCTTCCCGGAAGCCATTCCTGGTACATATAGTGCATTCCACCAGAATCGACAGCAAGGATTCGCTCACATAGCTCTGGTCACAGCATCCATGACATTCGCGTAAGGCCGGGCGTTCCTGTTGGGCGCAAATCTCTCGCCTTCGGTCTCGTACATGGAGTGCCGTCGCTCGACCATTTGCCAGTCAATGTGATCCCACCAGGCCGTCAAATACGCCCGTTTACCCAGCACACCCCAATCGGGAATGTACTGGTGCTGCCAGACATTGGCGCACAGAATGGGCTGGGCGTTCAGGGCACCGGCATACAGATTGGCTCGGGCGGAGCTGAAGTCACCGAATGCGCCAGCAACACCGAGTCCGCCTCCGCGGCCTAACGTGCGTTCTTCCAGACTTCCCGCGCCGAGTCCGCCTCGGCCGGAGAGCTGTGCTGCAAGCTGGCGGCCGTCGTAGGTCGCCATGTCGCGGCTGTCTCTGCGTGGGGCAGCTTCCGAATAGGGACTGCCAGCATTGTATGTGGCCAGAATGGTAAGTCCGCCGGGGGTGGGTGGCTTCATCAACCAGACGAAGCCGTTGCCGAACATGGCGTCGGCAATTTCGAGAAACTCGGACCGCAGGTGGTCGACCGACTCATAGTCCATCTCTATTGATCGCATTGTATTCAGACCGGGACGACGCTCGACCGGATCTTCGGCGTCGGTCAGCGACTCCCAGAAGAAATGCGTGTGGTTAGCCATGGCAGCATGGTTGTAAAGTGCGGCTCGTTCGGGCTTGTGTGCGTTGATGGCATGCAGATCGAAAGCAGACGTCGACTCGTCAGGCGTGCCTGGGATGAACCGTTAGAGATGTGCGCCCCTTCCATAGCTTGACGTCCGTCCTGTCTTGCGTAGGACGGCGATGTGTGTATATATATATACCTTGGGTCCATTCATTTAACCGATCGCAAAGATGTTGAGTGTATTTCACGTATGTCTCGTTGTATGTGTTCGGGGAGAGAAAGCCTGGAACGCCATGTTGGGCGAACCGTTGCTGTTTCTTCGAGTCTGCCCACTGCGGGACACTGTGCAAGCTTCGGCGCTGAGGTCGGGGACGAGAAGACTGCTTGATGGAGAAGTACACGGTCAGCTTGCCTCATGTGCCGGTTTAATGAAGGTGCGCTTCCAGGGTACGCACAGCTTGTTTGACGATGGCTCGCAGTAGAGACTGCGGCCGCGCCTGGGGTCGGGTGATCATGAACGGAGAAAAGAACAACTCAGCCGCATCGCCTGAGCAGCTACAGAATGGACTAAATGGAGTGAGCGTAACAGGTCTCAACTTGAATGTCTTTGTCGATGGATTTCCCAAATTTCTCAAATGGCTGCGTCTTCCCAAAACGGTATAGTGCAAGTCCGTCTGCCTTCATCCAATCAGGAGCCGGAGTCATTGTGCTGAGCCTCGTGTCTGAAACGAACCACGCCACCTCCCCGTCTGTCTGCAACGACTGTTCGACCGTTTGACATTCTTTCAGATCTCTACAAACCACTCGTTTCACCCTGCTCCAGTGTTTGCGAAGCACTATCTCTCGCGCATGCCTCAGATCAGAAGGTCGCGCATCGTGGCCACTGGCGGCAAAGCCACAGGCTATTCTCGGATCTCTTTTCAGCTTCTATCTGCCTATGGAACATTCCGCAGACAGTGGCTATCCAGGTTCCAGAACTCTTCACTCAATGGATCAGTAGTCATCCTCCAGTCGAGCCTGAATGACACACAGATGGCTCTATAATGGGCACGCGGTAGGTCGTTGTGTCTTTGTGAGTGAAGCCTTCACCTTTTCTTTGTCAAATGTTCTGAAAGCCTTTTTGTTTCCTTCTTCGCCCGATTTCTTATTTTTGGATACACATGGTGAAAGCGCTAGTGACTGGCCTTTATACTTGACGTTGTATGAATCTCTTGTCATATCTGCTTCCTGCCCTTACCAACATTCCAGCGTACGAAATCAAAAACCAGCGTGCCGTACCTTCGCCATGCGTCTCCCATCAAGCGTTTGCATCCTGCGTCTTTTCTTAGCTGGGACGGCCATTATATCCTCGGCCTCGGCCTCCCAGACCACATCCAGAGCATCCCAAGACCCCTCGTTGCTTCTTCGGAGGCAAGATGACCCCAGCTCATGTTCTTCGGTCGATCCGCAACTGCCTATCAACTTTAAATGCCCTTCTGGCGCGAACTGTATCTCTTTGGACAAGTCGTCGTCAGGATTGTGTTGTCCGGAGGGGAATGACTGCTCCAACATCCAGCCTATATCCTGCGATATCCAGAATCAAAACCTGACGGCAAACGCGAATGCGAACGTGTTTACAACACGCTTGGGGGACAAATTGCCCACTTGCGGAGAAAAGTGTTGCCCATTTGGATATGCTTGCATTCAGGCCCAGTCAGGCCCGCCCGTGTGCAATATTATAGCTGACACCAGCAAGACTGGGAAGACGGATGCTTCGTCGTCAGGCAGCTCGTCCACCAGCAGCTCCTCAGCAGCTTCTACCACGAAGAGCACTGCCTCGACTAGTTCAACCAGCACCTCAACTGCAACCGCCACTGGTGTAAGCTCCTCGGCCTCTCGAATCGCACCAACGTGCAACAAATTCCCTATTGGAGTATTTCTCGCAGGTTTCTTTCCCGGCATATTCGTCGGCGCATTCCTCATGCTGGCATGGGTGATATGCAGTGGGCGACACCGCAAGCCCAGCAAGAGACATTCTGCGGGCTCTTCGGTCTATAAACCGACCATATCTGACCCAATTCCAATGGGCTCTGGTGGCGGTATGAGAACGGATTTCCTGCGCCGAACCACTGGGCGGGCCAAATCCATGTTCTCCACAAGAAGCCAGATTAGTCCCAGATATACCGAGAGCCACTGGAAGATGCCAACCCCACCAGTCCAGAACAATATCCCTGCTGTGCCTGCGGGAGTTCCTGTGACACCGGAGCGCAGACTTGCGCACGACTCCAGCGCGGAAAGCATACGAGTGTACTCACCGCCCAGTGGAACGGTTCAACCGCCTGTGCCTGCAGCGATCGCGCCTCTGCGGGGCATGGCTTCCCAGAGATATCCATCCGCAAACAATATGGGCAGTCCTTCCAAGACGCCTCCTTACACCAATGCAATGGCAGAGGGCAGCCGTTCAAACAACCGCGGTGTCAGTGCAATATCCGGTATTTCGGAGCTTTCAAGTCACAACGACCATGAAGTCCTCAGTCCCGCCCGCTATGGTGGTGACGACTTCACTCCAGCGAAGCGAGTGCGGATAGAAGGTCATGATGCAGTCAGCAGACCCACGACGACGTTCACGGAGATGTTGCACGAAGCTGGCTTCCCCGATCCCATGCAAGACCACGGTACTCCGGCTGTGCCTAGGATACCCGACGGATACTCCAGGAATCGGCTATGATGTGATGATTCATGCCCTGATTCTATAGACTGAGGAGGAGTGTAAATACAAGTGGCCGTGTCGACCACGTCGCTTGGGTCATGCCAGATGACCTGGTCTGTTACTATAGCGTGGCAGTAAATTTTAGTACTTATCACCTACCGTTAGTTTGGCTTCAGCGCTACATTCAGAGGTCACTGAAGCGATCTTCGCACTTATCACTTGGTTCGAGTCTGCAGTCCGCATTTGGTTACTTTACAACCTGTTAAAGCGAGGCTACAAGCTGCACCGGACAAAGCGGCGTTACTTTCCATGGGGTTCTACACCACGGCGGCCAAGGCATTGTGTTAAAGCGGCGAGATATCTGATATCATTGCAACTCACTGTCCACAGCCTCGCCGATCGTTTCTCCGCATTGCATCGCTTGGATCCAACAAAAGTTCTCGAACATTGTACAAAACACCACAATCGCCCTCGCAGTTCCGCAGCGCCGCTTCAGAATTACCATCCGAGGAACCACCAAGTCCTATCATGTCAGAAGCGCGCGCAGCCTCCCCCACGCCTTCGGTGCGAGCACGTCAGGACGCCGAGGACCGCAAGCGCGAAGAGGAAGAACAAGCCAGGCTCCCCTACAAATGGACGCAGACGCTCGAAGAGGCCGAAGTGACGGTGCCTATCCCGGGGAACCTGAAAGCGCGGGACCTGGTCGTTGAGTTGAAGAAGACACACGTCAAAGTTGGAATCAAAGGCCAAGAACCGATCATTGATGTAAGTGCAATGCGCTTCCTAAATCTGGAAGATGGATGGACTCTTCTTTGACTGACTCGTATCCTGTACCTCCTCAACAGGGCGACTTCCCACATCCCATCCAGACGGACGAATCGACGTGGCTGCTAAACACCAAATCCGACGGCTCCAAAGAGATCGTCATCAACCTCGCCAAAGGCCACGGGTCGTATTGGTGGGCGCACATCGTGACGTCGGCGCCCAAAATCGACACGACCAAGATCCAGCCCGAGAACTCCAAGTTGTCCGAACTCGACGGCGAGACGAGAGGCATGGTCGAGAAGATGATGTATGATCAGGAAATGAAGCGGCAGGGAAAGCCGACCAGCGACGAGCAGAAAAAGGATGATATCCTGAAGCAGTTCATGGCGCAGCATCCGGAAATGGACTTTAGTCAGGCCAAAATTGCTTGATTTGCCTCGCCTCCATCAGGGAGGATATATCTGTTACATTCCCACGGAGAGGAGTCCATTGCGCTACCATTATGATTCACGAGGAAGAAAGAAATAAAAGTTTCAATGCTATGGTGTAGCCATACTCATCGGCGTCATTGCCATTGTTGCATAGATTGGCATAGATGCCTGTAATGCACACACTGAATGTGTTACTTCTCAACCACGATCTTCTACCTTTCAGTCCTCAAATGCCTTCCTTTGCATGCTCGTGTCTCGCACGTTGTGTCGCTCTCCATAACGTTGTGTCGTCATAGCGAGAGCTTGGAGCCCAAAAGTATCTGACCACCTAGAAGAGAGATACTACGAGTCAGTGAAGCTGCTACCACATTCACATATAGCCCAGACAAGGCTGGATCGCAAGGCTTATTCACAGCCTGATCATATGACCACACAAGGCTGTGAGGTTGCCGTGCGCAAGGCTGTCTCAGTTGAGCTTCACTGCCACTGAAGTAGTGAATGCCAACCTCACCTTAACCAACACTAGGACCGCCGCGGACAATTAGAGTGTATATATATTTAAATCACCAGAATTCCTCCCAACACTGACCAACCTCGGCCTCTAGACTTCCTGCCATCCCAAACCACCACCGAGGTGGGGCAGTGGTATAAGCCTTGCACAACTGGTGTCCATGCCTTAGCAGAGAGCGGTTGGACTCGAAAACGGGTGTTCGGAAGAACCTCTACTGAGGATTGTACGGGGTAAGACCTTTACATAGGGGAGGTTTCGCTCCCTTGGACCTCGGTGGCCATTACGGGGCCACTGGGCTTCAAGGTAAAGTTTTTTGCTGTGTTGGCTGAAAGTCGGGGGTTCGAGTCCTGGAGAGATTGCTCCCTTTTTTGGTTTCTTCGGGTGCCAAAAAGGTGCCATTCAATTGTGGCAGCCCTGGATCGCGAAGGAAAGAGAAAGATGTTGGTGGGGAGGGCATCGTTGACAAGTGGTAGGATTGATTGCGCAGCCAAGACAGAGCAGAAGGACAAAAACAAGGTGTTCAAGTTGCTCAACCGGTGTCGTGTGACTAGTCAGACTACCTAGACGCCTACCTAACTTACAGTTCACCTCTTTTCGGCGTTCCGCCTTGAGGCCGTAGCCTCCACATCTGGATTCCATGTCTGGGTATATTTGCAGAGGGTTCCTCCACCTTGGACGCTCCCAGCGGGCGTACCGAACAAGAGCGGATTGGTCTGCAGTGGTTGAGTGCTTCCGCCCAGCTCGTGTCGCTCGCGTTGTAGTAACCCGTGGCATTGGCCACCGCCAAAATTCCGTTCGGGACTTGGCTGGCCACCGCATTGCTCATGACGGTCTGATTGCCCCAGACATCGAACAGATCCCAGCCCATCTTTGCATTTGCGTTCGTCTTGATGCTGTCAAACACATCCACAAGAGAATACTCGATCGTCCGCGAGTCGTTTCCAGCGTTGAGAAAGGCCACCACTTGCTCGCCATTGTCCAGACAGCCCGACCAAACCTGGATCTCCCCAAAGCCATACTAGTCTTTGTCGTCGAGTTCCATCATCACCCGCCTTTGAATGGCACTTCCTGCGGGATCCTGGCTAATGACGGTTTGTCAACATTGCCTACTTCTCCGGCCTCAGCTGGTCAAGTTTGTTTCGAGAATCAACGGATTTTTGATCGCCGCCCACATGCTGAGATGGACTTTGTACTCGTCGTGACGGTGACCTGGAGTGAGCCTGCAAGAGCGCCAAGCGGAACACGTTGTGAACCGTCGTGGTAGTGAACATCGAATTGAAGGAAGTGAGCGCACAGCCCAACCGTAAGCAACGACTAGTGCAAAAACGATATCGAAAGTGGTTTGAATGAGTAGGAGATGACCAAACGCATAATCCTCACTGAAAAATACCTAACCATGGAGAGTATCCCTTGCTAGACGTTACATATGGCATCATGATATGCATTATTCAAACAACCCGCTCTTCACATTCGTGAAGCGAAGCTCGAGTGTAAGAAAGCTGAAGCTTTCCCTGCATGGTCAAGGGCAGTTGATTTAACGTGCATGATGCCGATCCTTGTATGTTCCTGGAAATCCCTTGTCGGAGGATAATTGGTACACGCCAGATCCTTGATCTTCTCATATGGAACCCGGTGCCATCCGGAGTAGTAACCACTGAATAACTGAGCGGTGGCGCCAGGCAAGCGATGTCGGCATGTCGATGTATTGAGGCGCGAATATTGACCAGCACTTCTTGTCCCACAGATGACTGGAAGTACTGTGGTCCAGAATACTAGTCTTGTGTCTTCGCATCTGATAAGAGTTGCGATTCAGGTGTTGCGACTGTCGCAAATGGCAAAAGCCACCAAGCGCTCCCGGCCGCAGAGCCGTGCTCGCCGGGTAGGGTTTCCTGCAAAGGCACATCGCAGCAACACCATCCGTGGTAAAGGCGACCAATAAGAGTCGAAGGTAGCGGCAGGTATAGGTCTTCTCTCTGGTCAAATTATGCCTCATGTTGGCCGCTTGAAGCCCATCATTGCAAGGTTGATGTCCGGAGGAGCCTTTGATCGTTGGGAGGGATTTGCGGAGTCCATGCCCAAGGCATCATCAAGATCTTCCAGTTGATCCTCGTCGTAAACGTCGGCTGGTTCATTCTTTCCCAGGAATCCATCCCACAAACCTCGTTTGCACACCAAGGCCGCAACCATTACAAGCGGTAGCTGCCATACGCTTGCCCAAAATAGGCCTCGAGCGCTGCCTCCAGCTCCCTGCATTCGCCAGAAACGAATCGCTTCCCGGGTCATCCAAGCATTGCACGCGGTGCTGATGACGAGGAAGCCAGAATCCACATATCCAGCCCAGTACAATACTCCACATATCGGAAACATTGCCAGGGAGTATCGGAGCGCAACACGAGCATTTCGACCAGGATTTGTCCAAGCCAGCATTTTGTGCCCGGCGTTGCGGTAGTCTTCGCGGATGGTGTGAGACAAAGACATGAAATGCGGGAACTGCCAAGCGAACAACAACGCAGCCAGAGCCCAACCACCTATGGCGTTCTCAGATAGAAGTAAATCTTGCCACGAATGATGCTCGGATGTAGCAGCCTCTCCCGCGGCAGCACACCAACCCATGAGAGGAGGGATGCCGCCAACTATGGCGCCGACCCAGGTGTTGGCTGCAGACAATCGCTTCATCGGGGTGTAGACTCCAGCATAAAGAAAAATGTTGAGAGCCGAGAGTCCAGCCACGGTCGGGTTGGTTCCATATCCCAGAAGCAAGAGACCAGATGCCCCGCAAAGGAAGGCAAAGACCGTCGCCGCCCGCATGGAAACAAGGCCTCGTACAAGAGGTCTATTGCGCGTTCGAGTCATCAGAGCGTCATATTTGGGCTCGAAAAGCATGTTTAGTGTGTTTGCACATGCGCATGATAGGAATGTGCCCGTGGTGAGAAACAGGAGCGTCAATGTCGATGTCGACAAGGATGAGTCAACCGATGAAGCTGTCGATGAGAGCAATTCCGGAATGGGATATAGGGAATAAGCCGAGGTGGTCGTTAGCAGGATTAAAAACGACAATCGAGGTTTCGTCAAGGACAAATATGTTGCAAACCTGCGACGAAAGATGGCAGACTTCGGCATGCTGGTCGCGGCTGTTGTCAATTGTGATGAAGCATCCAACGGTAGCGACTCTCCCGGAGTCTGTGAAGAGCGCTCAGCATCCTTTCGTCTTTTCCTCCTCCTGTGTGGTAACACATCATCGGATTCGGTGTTGGAAACTGCTTGCACAGGTTCTGGATCTGGCAGTACTGAATCCACACTTCCTTTCTCATCCTTGCCCATAGAAGCCATCTTGTGGTCCAGGGATATCTTTTCGAACTCCTCTCTTGCTCGAACCTCCTTTTCTTCTCGCGATAGCCCGATATTGCTCCCATGCTGTGGTTCCGCGACGGTGCGCATGGCAGCCAAGAGCCCGCTTTTCACCCATCCTCTTTCAATCGAATTGTTGGCGGAGAAGTAGTCTTGGACAAAGTTATGAGGACTGGACGCGCTCTGCCTTGCTTCTCTGTTGGCGCGAAGAGCACTATTGTGAAGCTTCCTCTTTGTGTGGAACGACGATATTAGAAAGACATCAGGCGAGTATGCTTGCCGGACGATGCGTGACAGGCAAGTCGAGCAAAGACCCTGTCCTGACAGGCGGGTGACTGTCGGAGCAGCCATTGTCGGTGTACTGCCTAAGCAGACTATGTATGTAGGTGTAGCATTGATGATAGAGGACCAGGAACGCGAACGGGCGGTGCAGTGGTGCAGCAATATGAGTTAAAGTTGACAGTATTGACTGAAGCTCAATCCGAATCACGAAGGTCTCCAACTCCGCAGCCTGAACCTGTCACGACCATTTCTCCACCTACAACCACTTGAAGTTCAATCGTTCTCAAACAATTCATTCTTACAGCGCAGCAGGCTTTCTTTTATGCAGATTCTCATATCATCCTGAGGTGCGACCATGGCAGATTTATTGACTGATCAGGTCAGAGCCCTTGACCAGACAAGGCAACGATTACTGGCCCTTCACACCTCACTGATAGCATTGCGATCCGACATCGCTACACAAAGCCCGCTTCCTTCTTGGTATGTCGGATAGGCATATGTGCTGATTGTTTCGCGCTGACTACTTTGGAGGCCTGCGCTTCAGACTCATGCCAATCTGATATCGAACAACCTCCAGACGATCGTGACACAACTTTCAGAGCACAGAGAAGCCTTCCAGTCGACTGTCGCATTCCCACTCCCTCAATTCCCGGGAAAGGAACGGTCTTTCATCCTAGAGACGCTACTACGAACGAAGTTGGAGCCCAATGTCGAGGAATGGGTTGAAGAAGGCGAAAACATTACCCTCCGGCCGCGCAAAGGCGATCAGCGCGGACTTTCAGATGCAGATCTCAGCGCACTCTGGCAATGGGCACCAGGCGCTGCGAACAAGGAGGCAAGAAAACAGAAATGGGGTGCCGACTTCACTTTAGAAGAAAAGCAACGAGGAATGTCCAATGTCATTACGGGCCTGCACAGAGAGCTGGTCGAACCACCAGACGAAGAAGGCGACGAGGAATACGAGGAGGAGGAGTACGAGGTCACCGACGAGGATGAGGACGAAGAGGACGAGGATAAGATGGAAGTCGAACAAACAAAGTCCGAGACCATACCCGGTGGCGGTACCGAGAGCGCACCTATACTCAGGTCTGCAAACCAGATGTCATTGCAAAGCGTGCACAAGTTCATGACGACGGGACGGTAACCGGCATACCACAAAGCCCTGAACGTCCTCTACCTAATTCATCATACCTGCACGATCGCTATATCGGCCGATCGCTCTATCCAAGTCTCACTGTATCATGATCGGGTGGGCGCCCCGGTCACAATAGATATCAACTACAGGTCCAGGATCACTAGGCACAATTGCCTAGAATTCAAGTCTTTCACCAGGGCGGCCTCCTGGGCGACGTGGGGCTGTTCGTGACATACATGCAGTCGGCATTGTGCCGTGTCGTGTATAAGGGGGCTTATTCACATTCACTCGATCTGCCTTGAGATAGATAGGCAACAATCTCACATAGATCAAAGCATGGCCTTCGGCATCTGCTTCATGGCCTGGCGAACACCGAGATCAGCGAGGACCTCTTCGGCGCCGCCGAGGATGGCATCGAACTTGTAAGTGCGATGGAACATCTCGACGACCCTGCCCATGCCGGACTGAGTCAAGCCTCGGCCGCCGAAGATATTGACCGCGTCGTCTGCAACATCGTGGGCACAGCGGGTCACATACGACTTCAACAGTCCGATCGGCCCACCCAGGAGTTTGGACTGCTGGGCATAGTCCATACTACACATCTGGAAGGTGATAGATTCGAGCCAGGACTGACACGCCTCGGTGAGCGAAATCATCTTTGCCAATTTCTGGCGAATGGCGGGCTGCTGGATCAGTGGCTTGCCGAACACGATGCGTTGGTGCGCCCACTTCAGACACTCTTCGACGACGGTGCGCATCCATCGGACCACGGAGCACGCCATGGACCAGCGCTCGTGGTTGAAGTTGCTCATGATGACGATGAAGCCCTGGTCTTCCTTTCCGAGGAGATGGTTGACGGGGACTTTGACGTTGTCGAATTCGATGAACGCCGTGGCCGCGGCGGTCGAATACGACGTCTTGATCTTCTTGGTCGTGACGTTGTCGTCGCGCGGGACCAGGATCACGCTGAACCCGTTCGCGGTCCGGCAGCCCGTGACGAAATAGTCGGCGAACATGCCGTTGGTGATCCATTTCTTCGTCCCGTTGATCAGGTAGTGCTTCCCGTCTGGCGTCTTGTGCGCCGTCGTCCGGATCCCTGCGACGTCGGACCCGGCAAAGGCCTCGGTCACGGCCAGGCACATGAACTTCTTGCCGGACAGGCACTCGTCCGTGACTCGGTCGCGCAGCGCGCTGTCGTTGGCCCACTGCCGCACCGCCGTCAGCGAGATCATCATCCCCGCCATATTGCCGTCCTGGAATCCACGAGCTACGGCTCTCGAGAGTTCCTGCGCCACGATCATGTCGTGGAAATAGTCGAACTCTTCGCTCTTGACCCCGCCCAGCAGCGTCCGGCCCGTGAGATGCTTGCCCGGCCCCAGCCTCATGGCGAGCAAGTTGTTCGCGGCCATCTTGTCAACCAGCTCTTGCGAGATATACGTTCCGTCCTGCTCCTTCTGCTGCGCTTCAGGGTAGACGTCTCGATCGACAAACTCGCGCACCGCCCGCTGCAGTTTGCGATGGGACTCTGTGTAATACGGGCTCTTGAACACCGGCGTCAACCATAGTGGTTCTGCGTACGGCACTGGGCTCAGATCGCCCGGCCCCTTTTGAATCACTTCGGGCTTCTCGCCTTCGATGGTGCCGATGCATAGGCTGGCGTATTTCTGCAGCACCTCTTGCCTGTGCAGGTTGTAGAATGCCATCGTGGCATCTTGTCCCGCGATCTGGCGCAGCACTACGCTGCCTCCGGGATGTGCGTCCAGGAAATCTGTCAGGTCATAGACCTTGTGGTCGATGATGCACCATAAGCTCTCCTCGGTGTTGTTCTTGGCCACTTCCGCTCTGGTGAGGGTCTGCGTGGGCGACTGGGATGTTTTCTGCGCCATCTTGACGGCGTTGTCTATTTTGATGAAACAGACTGGAAGTTGACCCAGACAGTCGCGGTCCTGTGGCCGGCAGGACAGTGCAGTGTTAATGGTCCAGCAAGTCTACTACTAGTAGGACCTCACGACCAAAGACATACTAGTACATAGGACGAGAGGTGACAATGCCTCACGCAGGATTGGCTGAAGATATATTCGATGATCGACCCCAAAGCCCTCCACCGCTGGACCATTCCCCAGATCGGGTATTTACTGGGACCTTGATTTGTCCACAGTGGTTTCAACCGAGGTTAAATTGTGATACCTGACCCGACCCTCACGGCGAGTACCGAGAATGGATAACCGACCTTCCTCTTCTCGCCTATCAACTTAAAAACCTGGGAGCTACGAGGCCTTTGAAAAGCCCGAGATCCGTGCCAACAACCAAATGCTTAGGAAGCTGCTTGAGTAATCGACACTGGGTGCGAGTTTCCTCGAGAGTATAAACATCGCCTCTATATCGGGAGACTTAGGTAGACACCATGCCCAAAATACCTGTCATATACTATACGGAGGAGGTCTGGAGCAGTCCTCGATCCTCCTACGGGCTCCCCTCATAGGGTGGCCTCCTAGTAGGTAAGTAGTCCTAAGGTTGATAGAACAGGCGTTCTCCTTCAACGTAAGTGTACTACCGCCTCTTGAATGTTTGAAGGGCGCCCCTACCAAGATCTCACGGTGCCATTTATTTTGTAGGGTGGCTCGCCTCACACCATGGTGGCTATGTGCAAGAAAGGCTTTTACCTTAAAATAGAAACCAGGCTTCATTTTACAAACCACTTCATCATCGGTATGAGGCGAGCTCGACCCAAGGGCATCTTCCGCTTTTGCAAAGTCCATTCTATCTAAGTCTTCCCACGGACCACAGGCAGTCATATACACTGATGCACCGGACGGGGTCCTTGGGCCACGCTCGATATTTTTGCACTCTCATCACTGGCAGTTCTTTCATGGTCTTGCCAATTTTGACCTTGCATTGACAACGTCGACGAGTTCAGTCACTGGCTGGATGTAAGGCGTAATGCTGTTTCTGACCAGCGTTCTCTGCTCGAACGCGTAGGCCAAACCAACCAACAATTCTTCGCTAAAGTGCGCACCCATGAAGCTGATCCCGAAGGGGATGTTGGGTGCTGTGGCATTCAAGGTGCCGAATCCGTTCATGAGAACTTCGGTCTCCGGAGGATAAGCACCCAGAGGAACGGTGATCACGGGAGAGCCGATCAAGGCAGGAAAGTTGGGTGAAAATTCGGTCGGCACAACAAGTGCATCCAGAGAATAATTCTTCAAGGCCCCTGTCACGCCCAGAGGACCGGCCAGGTAGGTGTTCATGGTATAATTCGACCAGAATTCTGGTGATGTATTGTTGAAGCCCAGGGCAAGAGCACCATCCCAGACCAGCGTATCACGTTCCGGCCAGTCTTCCAGAGGGAAAGCGTGCGTGAAATTGCGGACATCGGCAACCGAATGCACTTGATTAGGGTTGTACGACAGCTGAGAAAGATACTCCTTGGGAAGGTCGCTGATGAAATCCGCCTCCAACACAACATTGCTGTAATCGCCTTCATTCAGAGCTTCATAACCGGTGAAGTTGGTGTTGTCAACAATGATCGCACCGGCCTTTCGTAGGATGTCAAGAGCTGCGTTGAAGACTGGGACAATTGGCGCCGCAGGAGGGTCAGCCGTCAAGTCAATCAAGTTCCGTGGAACTCCAATGCGTTTTCCCTGCAGAGCCGAGAAATTACATGCAGCAACATAGTCGGGGATTGTGTCGAATGGTATGGCATCGGTGTAGTTGTCGTAGGGAGATTTTCCAGCGATAGCCGCTAGGACGTATGCCGCATCCTTCACGGTGCGAGCCATAGGTCCCACGGTATCCTGATGTTCGGATATAGGAATGACCAAGTCCCTGGAAGTCAGGCCAACTGTTGGTTTGATCCCGACAAGGTTGTTGACATCTGAAGGGGACAGGATCGATCCGTCCGTCTCTGTCCCAAGAGCCGCAAGAGCGAGACCTAGAGAGCTGGACACGCCACTGCCAGAAGACGACCCTGAGGGGTCCTGACCTGGATAATAAGCGCCTTGCGTCTGCCCTCCGATAGCAGACCAGCCATTGCTGCTATTGAAGCTTCGGTAATTGGCCCATTGGGATAGATTGGTCTTGCCCAGAATGACTGCTCCAGCCTTCCGGAGCTTTGCGGCCATCGTGCTGTCTCTGGGTACTTTGGCACCGGCCAGAGCGTAGGAGCCTGCGGTGTTGTCCATTTTGTCGGCGGTGGCAATGTTGTTCTTGATAAGTATGGGAATCCCATGCAAGGGTCCGTAGACAACTCCATTGGCGCGCTGCTTGTCAAGTTCGGCTGCAATGGAGAGGGCGTCTGGATTGAGCTGTGTCACCATGTGCAACGTCGCATTGACTTCCATGATGCGCTGGATATAGGCCTGGGTCCGTCAGTGGGGATGAACAATCTCAACCCATGCGTACGCACCGTCACAAGGTCAACACTTGTGAACAAACCGGCCTCGAGGCCTTTCGTGAGATCCTCTGTGGTTGCGTCAATCAACGCTGGGAACGCCGTCCCATTGATGGCAGTGCTTTGATTGTAACATGACTGTGCGGCAACCCAAGGAATCAAGGACAGGCAACCCAGCATCAGTACCAACAGACTGGCGAGGGATAGAGATGCCATTTTGTTCCAGCACGAAGTACAAATACGATGGAGAATTGGAAGCTGGAGGAAGTCGTCCAGATTATCCTCCCCAGCTCCATCGTCTGGGTATAGTCGTATATAAAGCATCTCTGCATGCATGCTCCGATAGTAGTCGAAATCCGACAAAGATTGTGTTGATGACGATGTCGGAAGAGTGAACGGAGGAGGCTCGATAAGCCTGACCAATTGGGCAGGTGGACGTTTAGTTCTCGTGTGGTGATTCGTGGGACGGGCTGATCGTACCTGGGGTCACAGTTTCTGAGCTGCAGAAGTTCCCCACATGATACCAGTTGGTTGTTTCCGAGCTGCTTGTTTAGGCAGCTCGAAGTCTTTCACCCGACACCAAAGATTGTACCCAGATAACTAGCAGTCCAGTAGAGGTGACGGTTTTGAGCTGTTTCTTACGCTCAGGAGCAGTCCGCGGCTCGGTTTCTCGGTCGGATTGATACAGAATCCAGGCAATGGATGACCAGCAAGCAAATGTCGGCCACTCATGGTGTGATGCCCCTCTTTCTCACCACGAGTCTCTTGATCTCTCTCAATAGCCCGACAAGTAGCGGCACTCCAATTGGACCCAGCAGAGGCAGATACACGGCAACCTTGTGTTCATCTGGGAAGTACACTTGCCCGACCATCGACTTATCGAAGAATGCCTTCTCACTGTCCCTGTAGGCTATCCTTGAATGGATAAGTGCTGCATCCCATCGACTCTCAAGAAATGCATGCTCTGCAGCAGTGAGATTGCCGATCGCGTCGTCCACCAACTCAGCGACATGTTTCTGAATTGGAATGTTGCTGAGTCGTTGTGCGAGTCGAGCCAGAGAACCTAAACTCGATGCGGCCTTCAGATATAGTGTCAGAGTCGAAAACCGCTTATAAGCATCCAGTCTGAGCTGCAGCGGAAGGAGTTTGCCAGATTGATTTGCTTGTGGGACTCCCAACAGCGACAGTAATTGTGATGAGAACGTCTCGAAGGGTTGTCGCAACAACTCTCCTGCCAGGTGCGCTGGCAAGCTCATTCCGCCGGTCATTGGATCTGGTTGCAGAGGTGGATTAGTTATTTGGATACCGCCCCATTGAGGGATCAGCCAGGAGGTACCCTCGACGCCGTCGATCTTGAGGGGTATTTCGTCCTGGACTGGGACGTAGAGGATGAAGTTGATAGTAGGTCCGTCCCCAATCGACGGCGCCAGAGGCCACTCCGCCGCATTTACAAAGGCTGTCAAATCCTTCTGCTGCAGAAAGGCGCCCTCCATTCCTTCTTTGGTCACAGGCTGGATGGCTGGAGAGTAGCTCGAATAGAGTTGGATCTGGGTTGTGATGTCGAACTCTGAAGTGTTCGACAGTGCTTGAACAAGAGGCTGGATATGCTTGCTCAGCGCATCTTGAACATCCCAGCTGGACGGCACACCACCGGCTGTGAAAAGTGAGAACGTCAAATGGAACTCGGAAGAGGATTTGTAGGCACGGTTGATCTGTTTCTCAATTCTCGTGACAACGTCGTATGGCTGAGACCTTAGAAATGCTTGTGCATTTTGAGTATGGCTGGCCAGAGCCACGGTCTGGAGAGCCGCTGCGACTTGTTCTTCCTTGAACAGTTCGTGCAGATTTTCAGCCAGGCGTTTGGATACATTGTTGGCATCGGTGCGCGGAATGTAAACCACGGCCTTCGCGATGACGGGATCCAACTCAAAGGCGAAGCCATCTTTCGCAGGCTCGAGAAGCACTCTCAACGCAGGGTCTCCAAGATCTGGACTGGAAGGATTTTCACCACAACTTGTACTGGGAGTTCCCTTCTCTTCTTTGTTGTCTTTCCCAGTCGACCACCAGTTCACGAGATAGAGTCGTTGGTGTAGAGTTGGGTACTCATTGAGATCATCAAGCGCCTGTTGAGTTTCTCGGACGATTCGCTGCGCATCTGGGCAAGGTAAATTGGGAGCTGATACCCAGATATGTAGTGGTATCGACGTAGGAGTATTCTGTAAAGGATAGTTAGCTTACATTGGGCACCCCCCGTCACATCGAGCGCCTACTAGTCCCTCCGCCCAGTTCAGCATGTCCTGCAGCGGCAAATCGGCCCTGTAGATTGATGTCGTCTGCCACCATGTTGGGAACCCCAGGAGAAGGATCACGGCCCAGAATGATAGGACAATCTTCGTCCTCAACCGCACAGCTTCCGGCTTCTCGGGCGGTGGCTGTTTGGTGGTTGTCATGGCGGCCGAGGTAGGGGAATTGGCGGCCGCTGGCTTCATGTCTCGAGAGACCTCAGATCAACAATGCTGCCAATCAAGCATGTTGAGGTGTCATTATCACGGTCGTCAACAACGACTTGCCAATATACGGACTGGCAGTGGTGTTACAAGGTATCCTTCAGAGGAAACAGTGGTCAAATTGCAGGGACCAAAAACCGAGTCAAGACTCTGGAAACAACAGCATAAAATGACTCGTGCCACGCAGTTTGCCCTCCGATCGACGTATCGATGATATCAACAACATATTTTCTACCTACAGGCCTTTCCCTCTTTATATGCCGCGCATCAGCACGCCATGGCATAGCATCCAAGTTTCTTATCATCCCGTTTTGGCCTGCGTTGGGATGCTACTATATCCGGCAAGATGATCGCATGCCGCTCATTCACGCCTTTTCGTCCTGGGGGCGGTTTGGCCACCAACGCTCGTTCATCCATCTCCGGTCTCAATGGATATTCGTCCCAGCAAACAAGGTCTTTCTTTGATTCTCTCCTCAATTCGACACTGGGATCTTGCCCGTTACGCTCATTAACACATACGAAGCGCCTACCATACCCACCGGCACTAATTTTCAAAGCTGTTTCCGATGTTTCGGGCTATCCATCATTTCTACCGTTCACCATCTCGTCCCATGTGACATCCCGGGATGCAGCAGGCTATCCCACACGTGCCAAACTGAAAGTCGGTTATGCCAAGTTTGGATTGGAGGAAGATTGGGATAGCGTCGTCTCTTGTGATCCGGGAAAAGGACTGGTGGAAGCAAGGAGTAGCGATGAGAATAGCAATGGTTTATTCGAAGTATTGAATACCAAGTGGCACATTGCTCCCATGGACCCGGCCAGCAAAGACGGCACTTCTGTCAAACTGAACGTCGATGTTAAATTTCGAAATCCGATCTACGACCAGATGTTTTCTCAGGTCGAAGGAAAGGTTGCAAGTACGATGATATCTGCATTCGAGAAGAGGGTCGAAGAACTCCATCGGAAGGAAGGGAAATAAACCCCAGGCACTGCTGCGATGCGAAGTCTGCGAACGCCAACAACTCCCGGACACTCTTGTGATCGCGATCAATCAAAGCCGCTATGTCGACCGGTGCTGGTGTATGGCGACGGAATAGAGGCTAGGACAATCGGACTGGAAGATACTCTCTCAGTATGAGTCTTCCTTCGAAGTGAGAAGACTTATTTTCGGCGAACCATGCAATGTCCCTAGATGGATTTGGGATAGAGTGATATCAACTACACCATGGACATCCGGGATGTGGGGACGTTCTATGAGGCTTTGCCGGGGCTCTGAACAATTGGGTAATCGCCTCTGTGCATGGCCACTATGGACCATGGCTCGATTTATGGACTGTACAGAACGATGTGGCGGGAGAATCAAATGTTTACCGCTGGACTGTGTGACATAGACCCAGGCACCAGGAAGCCAGACTTTGCGCTGCGAAGCCAAGGGCGAGAAGCCAGCTGTACTTGTAGAAAGAACCTTAATCGAAACCCTGAGATTGATTGCAGAGTCGTCACGGCCTGCTATGGTGCGTTCTGTTGGCATCAAGTCATGGTGACGACTGAGTTGTTGCGACTAGAGGTCAATATTCTCGGCGCGTCTGTAAGCGGCTCCCGGAGGCACAGGCGTTGTCACAGCAAGGAGGAAGGAGACACGTTCGCATGTAGGATGGGAGAGCATAAGTTGCATGTAGACGAATGTTCTTCAGATCAGGAGTCGATCAGGGTCAAGACGACATTCGACCGACATCACGAGAAAAGCAAGGTGTTGGTTGACGTTCAACTGTGCCTACTACTAGCACAATGATGCATCACATTCGTCGACACGTCTCCGTCACCGCCTTCGCCGTTACTTGCCAGTGCTGCAGCGGTAGGTTGTCACTAGTAGGCCTGATGCCCTGCAACCACTCATGTCGTTCAACGTCCTTTATCACACCAGGCCGCCAATCAAGCCATATCTGGCCCAGCCCTTGTCGACCTGCGCTGACTGGTAGATCACCCATCTCTAACCGCCCGGAGAATTGCAAAGCCATGGAGCCGTCAGCATGGGAGGTGCCCGCGCCCGCTGCAGGATGGAAACGAAGAGGGCCCGTTTTCGGTCAATTGAAGACAGGGTCTGCTGACTCCGGCTTGCGGTTGTGTCCTTTAAGTTCTACAGACTCATTAAAGAGGGCAGGCAGGTAGGATTGCAATCTTGCTAACACCCGCCTCTGCTCTTCGCAGTCTGCGATTGCGCCGCTGGTTTCATATGTCGCCGCGCTGCGCTCACCGTCGGTGTCATGGCCTGCTGGCATGACCGTCCTGCGACCGCGCCTCGATTTCCGTGCCTCATCCTCTGCCTGTTGCCCATCCTCCTTCGTGTCACCTCTGCGTTGCAATCCGTCCCGGGCTCGCCCTGTGAGCCTGTATGTTCCGCTGCAGGGAGTCTCGAAGACGATGTTGTCTGCCTCGATGCGAACTACCGATCCCTCGAACAAGGTCGGAATTTCCAGGAATGTGTGGCTTGCCAATTGAATAGCACGGCGGTAGATACGGGGAACAATGAGACAGACGTGGAATGGGCACTATGTACGACCCAATATTCCCAGCCTGATCAAACCATCTCGCAGAACCGCTGAACAAAGCTTCCAGTGGCACTCCGCTACACGTTGGCGGGATGCATGTTTGCCATTCCCGAGCAGCACATCTCCATCAGCAGTCCTTGTCAAGTCAGCTGTGCCCCCTTGAACGCTTCCATCGGTTATCAGATCAAAAACGACAGCTCAACTAGGCCTGACAACAACTTCTGCAACGTCGGCCAGTTCGACGACACTGATATCAACAAGTGCGCCTTGTGCTACAGCTTCATTCCTCAGCAATTGTTTCTCGCCAACTGTATGTTTTATGGTTCCCCATTTCTCCATTTCTCCATTTCTCCATGGACACAGCCTTTCTTACAACCCGTTATCCCCTCCGCTGACATAGTGTAGTTCTGCAAGCATTGCACATCGTCTGCCGCCAGCCACCGATCCCCGGCAGACCTTTCTATCCCGATGCAGCCTCCATATTCAATGAAACCCTGATAGCTGGTCCCAGCACATCGTCCAATGGCTCCGGATCTGGGTCCGGTCTGCATGGGTGGCAGTTGGGAGTTGCCATTGCCCTACCGATTGTGGGTGGCATACTACTGATTGGAGGCAGCTGCTGGGGATGTTTTGTGTTTACGCGCAAGCGACGGCAGAGGATGGCCCAAACCGGCCGTATGAGCAAAATCCACGACGCCCATGCAGGGGGTATGTACAGTCCGATGTCTGCCAAAGCCGAAGCCTGGGGTCAAACCGAACCCCCACGAGAAATGCATGCCATTAGCCCAACACTGTTGCACACCAAACAACCAAGCCCGGGACTGGCTCAAGGGAGATGGAGCCACCAGACGGACGGTTCGGAGCAAGGGACGCCGTTACGGACGAGTTTCCAGCACGGCGACGTGGGACCTGGAACGGGCCAAGTTCGTGACCCGGACCTCCACGAACAATTCTTCGCTGTTGGTGACGACACAGATCAGCTCCCTGGACCGAGTGCTCAGAATGTATACTATGACGTCCATCCTCATGAACAGCTCCAGGTCCCTGATGAGCGAAATGGAAGATTTATTTGATCTCTCGCCCCCCAAAAAGAGGTAGTGGAAGAAGGTTGACCGATGACGACATGATCTAAAATTGTGAGCCTCTGGGCTGGACATTCTGAGGGCAAAATACCAAGATGTCTTCGAGAAGCGTTGACAAGTGAAAACAGAATGGGTGCTAACGATTTGGCTCTTCCATATGCAATGGCAGCCTTGCCAGCAATAGCGTCCCAAATCTGAGAATAGCGGTAGACTATACCATATGCATCTGACGACTCCTCATAGTCGAGGCTTACCTCCCGTGCAGTGCAGCTACTAGACAACCCACCTTGCGTGAATGTTTCTGTTCATTTTGCTTTTCTGGCCCTTTCTCCACTCGGTGCGTACAGTCCATAGCGCAAACGGGGAACCCCTATTCCAGCATGGCTCGTGCTCAGCCTTGCGGGAATCCATTTTGTGCAGAAATACTCTTCAGACTGGTACATCTTCTGTTTCGAGGAGTCGGTTTGCAATACGATGTACATGACTACTTAGCACTCAGTGAATAATGATGGTATCGAATAAGAAATGTCTCCTGATCTAGGTCAGTGTCCAGTGCATAACCTCGCCTGACTCGGCTCTGTAAAGTTTGAGTCTCGAAAGAGGACATAGAGGACCAAGCAGGAAAATATACCAAATGATCTAAACATAGGTAGCTAGGTAGGTACCAAAGACAAGAAACTGAATCATTCAGAATCTCAAAATCGCCTCCATAAGTTGGTGAGTTGGATCAGCCTTACATCGCCGAATGGCTGCCCTGCCAGGTTCTTGACTCAAGCATACTGATATATGTTTTCACCTTGGTGCCGTATCATCTTTAAGGATCTCCCCATTGACTCTATAGGTACCTAGTAAGCATAGTCCTCCACGTCAAACATTCCTCAAAGTTACAAGTGGGAATGTGGCTGTGGGGTGTAACCAACTTCATACGAGCAGAGAGACGGTCTGAGCAGGGTTCGGTTCTGTGGCCTGCCTCACTTTGCGTCTCACCCCGTTACCAGTGCGCTGTAGAAACGTCGGCCTAGATTCACTCTGCACGTATATGCTGGATTCTTTTTTGTGACTCGTCTAACCGTTTCGTAGCACTCAATCAGTCTTGGGCAAGGTTTAGATGGAGATCCTCAATACAGGCTCTAGACTCAGAGTAGTCTGCTTGACGAATAGAGCGCATAGTAGTTTTCAGTTTCCCAGTAGGCGAGTCCCTACACGGAGCCTTGTGTGTCTACGTAGCACCTTTAAGTGGCCTGCTGACCTGGTAGATCTCTTGACTGGTTTGGCCAGGAACCATTAGTTCAGAGAATTTGATCTACTTGCCTTGATCTTCAGATATGATAGCCGGCTTCGTTTCTCTCGCCGAAACTGGTGACACCAAAGGAAGAACACGTTGTCCCTACCACTCCTGGCGATACTCCACGCAAACTCTGATCGATTCTTCGCTCTGCAAGTTTCCTTGTAAGCAGCGGTACACTTAGTGTCGAGCGAGAGACATTCAAGCAAATCGAAGAATCCAGGCATCTTTCACAGTTTCCGGAACAAGGACAGAAAGCTGAGGAAGTCTCAAGCGTCAGTACGTCCAGCAGAGGCAGGGTTCTCTCGTGCCCGATTGATCAGGTACCAATGCATCGATCATCAGCATGGTGAAACGAACTTGGCTTCATGAGTATTTGGGCGGCAACCTGGTGGCAATTCTCCATGAGCCCAGCCCTGTGCTGTGCCACTTTGTGAGAAGAAAAGTCGGATTGTAATCATCGGTTGCCAATATGCCAGCTTTGGCAATTCAGAAGTAAATGGAGAGTGGCCCCAAGTAGAGGTAGTTCGTAGATAGTACATTTCAAAGTGCAAATGCAACACTTCCAGGTCGTTCTTCCTTTCTTTCTCGCTCGCTCGCTCGCTACCCGATGTACGTGCGATGAAAGGCGCATGTGAGCTCAATCGAGTAACCTCGCGGTCATTCGGTTTGGTGTTTCGAAATTAAGAAGTTGCCGTTTGTTTAGTTCAATCACAGATACTAAGTTAGCCACCTTCACAAGTAGAGCACATAGCCTTTTCCTGTAGTAGAACCTTGCAGCCCTGTGTGAAAGTGGAGCGTTAGTCTGCAGGTAGAAGAAGGATCAATAGGAGCTGTTCCATAGGATGAGGTCAACTGGTACTTACATGAGAACTTGAGAAGCAGAATGATGGTCCTGTCCATCCATTTCACGAACATCGCCAACGGGAAGCTTCGTGAAACTCTCATTGTAGCTCTATTCCTCTGAGCCTGTTTCTGCGTCCGAAAATCACACTTTCAGTCTGTCTATACAGAGCATCAAGCTGTTCCAGAGACAAGGAGTCCATCATAATTTTGGCAACCTGCGTGCCTGCGCTGACAAGTTGCAGCATGTAACGATCATCTCTGGGCCTTCTGACTTGCTGATCCCTGCTGGTCTGTCGCACTGCAATTGAATTTTCCAGGGTTGTCACAAACTGCTTGATCTGATTGTCATAAAGGACCCGAGCTGGTATCCTTCGCTTCGTCGCCAGCCTCTTCAGAAGATAAGCCCACTCCGTCCACTCTCGGTCCTCAGATGCTCGAACCCGAGGCTTATCCCGCTCAAGGGGGATTGGAAACTGATATTTTGCCACAAAGTGGAACGCGCAGCTAGATAGAATGTCGTTGACTCGTCCAATGATTTCATCTTGCTCCTCAATACTCAGATGGACCGGAAGAGCAGGGAGTGCCTGTGACCTGGCATGTTCTTGTTGAGGTAGTGGCAGCGGAAGGAGTTGGGATGGGCCATCAAACTCATCCTGGTTGAATGGTCGCCTACGAGTATGGTAGCGGGAAGTCCTGCCCATCTCTGATCCACGCCTGCTCTGCGTCTCCAAGTCATATTCTGCGTATCCCTGGCTGGTCGGAGAGCCTGTCTGTAGCACGAAGCTGTCCTGGCTTTGTCGTCGCAATGCCCTTGTCGGATCGTCCGGGTTTGATCTTGGAGGCGGACCATGCTGGAGAAACGAGCCCAAATCGGATCCGAAGGTAGACGATTGAGAGGTGAAAGACAGTGGCCTAAATGTTTCGCCTACATTCGTCGCAGTTGGAGCACGCGCCAGACCGTGAATTTCGGGAGGGAGCCTCTGGCGTAACGCTTCCGGTCGAGCAGGAGAGATGCGCCCGCTGGAGTCGCCGGCAAAAGGACCATATGGGGACAACGACCAAGGAGCAAACCTGTAGTATCAGGGGTATCAGTGAACTATGCAACATCACGAACAGTGACCGACTACCCCCAGGGGAACACCTGCCTTTGGGCTGAGAAGGGTGAGGGACTCTCTGCCACTGGCCTTGACATGGCGGGGCCTTGTGTCCTCGAAAGTAAGAATTCCTCCCGCTCGGACATGCTCACGTTGAGGTCGGTGAAGTTAAGGGCAAACTGGACTCCAAGCGCAGGCCTCAGGGGATATGTCGAGTGAGGATTATCAATTGCAGATGTTAAGGCTAACATGATCAGGGTGCCCAAAGACGATGAGCACGCGGGCGAGATATCAAACAAAAAGGAGGTCAGGAAGTAGGTGTCTCGCTTGCCATGCTGATAGGAGAGACTTAGCAGTTGGCCAGCCGGGTTTCTGCATAGGACACCGGTCAGATATTGGGCATTATTGTCGATACCACACTGATCGCGAAATAGGCACAAGAAGACGAAGTCCAATGGACGGTCGTATGGCAGCAATCCTGACGAAGCACATGGAAGTGACAAGGCAGTGACATTTTGGGCCTTCAAAGGTTCGAGGACCCATTCCAAAGGCTATTCTCGAACTTGTCTGATGCACATCGTTCCGCAACACCGGGGCTGCTTAGTTTCTTACGAAAGGTCCACCCAGACAGGGGCTGAAACAGAATGCCTGAGGTGCCGGCGGATTGTTGCCGATACCGTGAACGAGGCGTCAACGTGTTGCTTCCCCCTTGCACAGGACGGTGCTGGTTAGTCCCTAACAATGATGTACCGCGTGCGCCACATAATGCGAACTGGGAGTTCGGACGCTGATGGTGTATGTCTTTGAGTGTTCTGGAAGCCGTCTGGTTTCTCGTGGCATTGGTCAAGTGCACGTCAAGCGTGCCTCAGCATGGTATTGCATTGATATAGTCTAATGCCTGACATACGCTGCTGATCATCGACAGATATGCTTGCGTGGTTGCTGCCCGACGCTCACTAAATGCGTGTCAGATCTCGAAGAGCGCATCCGTTGGTAGTCACGCGGGTCCTGCCCGCTGCAACTGATACTACCTGTGCCTCGAACATCTTGTAGTGTTAGGAGCATGATGTGCCTGGTATCGGATGGGACACCTCTCGAACGGAAACCGAAGGGCAGTCTCAAGAATGCTCCAAGTTTGCTGGCAGTTTCGAAGAGGCAGCAGCCATTGTTGGCGGAAGTGGAGAACAATGGGTGATAAACCTGCGAGGCGTGGCTAGCGAGGCGAGTGGGAGCCAGCGACAGCCAGATTTAGCTTCCAACTACATCCCAGGATCCAGGATGGCTTCAACCTTGGACGTGATTCTCTTGCCGTACAGGTCAATAAGAAACATGGTCTATTTGTGATTCTGTGGGCAGAGAAAAGATCATCGGCCGTTGTCTTCTGCTCTCTGCAATGAAGGCCAGCCAAGAACTCAGGACAGTGTCCATGACGCCAGATGAGAAAGAGGTTCGACCTTATGGCAGCCTCGGGGACGAGGGCCTCGCGCGACCTGCCCAACGGTGACGAGCCCATTTCCATGGACAAGGGTTTCGTCGATGCTTGAACTAGATCAAGGGGTGATTATGTTTTGGTCTTCCCACAGAAGTAACTTCATCGTTACATTTTGGGCGCAAATGATGCCCAAAAGCCCAACTGACCGCCCTGTTTGCCGATCAGGGACATGATCTGCACCGCCATTGATGCGACAGCTGACTTTTCTCAAAGTAAGGCTTCAACATGGAATCCACTAAATAGCTGGTGGCCGTTATACTCAGCTAGAAAACGGGAAGAAGCCTTGGAAGGAACATGGAACATGGAACAGCCTTGTAACCACTAAGCCACGGAGATGCGGGTCAGAGTGAACTAGGTGTTGGACCGCGGAGGACATTCTGGCTGAGCTCCGCGCCATAGTGAATTTTTGCATGGTGAGATAGAAAAGATCGGATACGACGAGGAGAGTACCCTCATAGAGAAGTGCAATTTGACGGCGGCCGAAAGGTACCTAGGTAACCAGAAGTGGTTCAAGCTAACTTGCTAACGGCGGATCGATACAGACCACGGAGTAGAGCTGGCATGACCGAACTGGGGCCTGGGGCCCTTTGATGTGGAAGTCACTGGGCGCAGTCACTGGGTGCACCCGCGGGATGGTACGTAGTGGCCATCGGATGCGGGCGATGGTGGAGACAAGGGAGGAGGACGGTTTGTAGTCCTCAGGAAGCGAAGTGAGCTTTTAGTATGTGGTGACCAGGATGATTTCGAGGCGAAAGGAAGAGGCCAGCATTGTGGATAGGTACCAGTACCTTAGTGTTGCTGATTGCCAAGAGAAAAGGGACCTGTTGGCAGCGACAAAAACTGTGGTATGAGCAACTTGAAGGAAGGAGGGAGGAAGGGTGCGAAGAGGCGGCACTGATCTGCGACACGTATTTTGGTAGAGCAGGTGAACAAAGACGACGTTGCTACCATGTAGAAATCAGGGTTGGGCAAGGGGGAGATGTTTCGGAAGCAAGCGCAACGGGATTACGGGCTGCGGCAGGTACCTGCCAGTCGCGTGCTCCTTCCCTCTAGAACTCCGTCAGCGAGTATTATTAGCCTATAGAATTAGGTACTGGTATTATCTGAGGTAGGAAGGAACAAGGAACTCGAATTGGGTGCCTGGAGCCTTTCCTATTAGGGCCTCGTGGTATCTTTCTTCGGCCTTGCCATTGGCCAACCAAGTATGGGTGCGAACCACAAGAGACGTCAGCGTCCAGGCACCGTTCCATACTACCTAGTAGATTGATTCTAGATTTTAAACACCTGAGACGACCGTCTAACTGCTTCAAGTGTACACAGTACACTCGCCTAGCCGCGACTGGGCATGTATTGAGCTCCGAGTCCTTCATGGCTCTTCCGCTGCTTGGAGCGACAGATTTTGAATTTGGAAGCAATCTGAGACGAACGAAATGCACCAGTCGAGTATACCTCTCTTCTCCGCGAAACTCACCAGCTACAGGGACTGCACGAGCCGACTATCCTGAAGCCGGCAGGGTTACAACAGAAGTAGGTATCCGTAGCCTGGGAATGGAGGTGAATTCATGTCACCACAATTTCCGAAACTCGGGAATGATTGACGTCGGCTGTAGGGCTTTGCGAAGCATTCTTCCCTCACGTCGCCCATCTATCTAACCGCCGCATATAGTTCTGATCAACGTTGCATCGTTAGCACGAGGACAATCCTCTGCCAACCTACCGACGACTTGCTCCAACGCCACATGCATGGAAGGATGGGACAAGAGCAAGCCAAAATAAGGGAGATGGCTTGCCTGACAAGTTGTCCTGATGCCCTGCTCAAGCCCTACTCGCGGGCGATAGCCGAGGAGCCTTTGAGCCTTGTTACCATTGGCATAACGCACAGCACAAGCGTCCATTACGCTTCCGCGAGACAGTGTCGCCGGCGTCCCGGAAACTTGTGTCAGGACTTCCGCGAAGAAGCCTAGTATCCACTCTAGAGCTCTGGGAATATGGATCTCCCAAGCTGGTGGATAGTGACCAAACTCTTTCCAGACGGCAAGGCTGAATTCCCGAAATGAGATGGGCTCGTTGTTCTGGATGTAGAACGTTTCGCCTGCCGCTGTTTCGCCCCTTCCGCTACCGTCTTCAAGGTTCAAGTTGCTGAGCCCATTCCGCCAACTTGCTTGCGAACGTAGCAGGTTGTCAATAGCCAGCACATGCGCGTCAGCCACATTACCCACGTAAGTCACATCCCACAGGTTTCTGTCATCTCCGATCCGGAATCGGGTCTCTCCTTTTGCAATGCAAGCGTGGATGGGAGGTATCAGCTGATTGTATCCTTCTCCAAAAATGACCGCGGTCTCAAGACACATGTGGACATGGGATGCTGGGGCCTGCCTTCAGTTCCTTTGCGGCCGCTGGTCTCGAGTTCTCTGTCACTGCTCTAACTGCTGTTGGTAGAGAAACTGTTTGCTGACAGCACCATCCTCTCCGCCATGGCTTTACTTTCACCATAAATGGACGATCTATCAGCGACAGGCCACCTCTCATCGATGTTTGCGTAGGACTGGCTCATGTCGTCGGTTACGACGCAGCAAGTACTCGTCTACACGAGCGCTTTGCACTTGTTCCGTTTTGCTGAATCGACCACATGCCGGGTACCATTGACGTTGATGTGTCTGACGAAACCCTCTAATCGACGAGCATAGCTGTCGCACAGAGTCAGTTCCTTACAACGCGCCGAAGCATATCTTGGAACATGAGGGGAGCACATGTTCTCCATGAAACGTACAGCATCGGCGCAATGACTCGAGGATGGCCCCGTTCGAGCAGGCTTACCGTTCGTTCAATGGCGGTAGATGTCCGACCAAGCTCTTGCGCGCATGCGACACAACTGTATGGTGATAGTGCCCCTTTGGGCCGGAGCCTTGACCCGATTCTCAACGACGATCGAATATGCCCGCGTCACGATATTTACCTTGCTCGTAAGGCTGACAAGCTGGATCGATTGAAGGAGTACACCGGCACAGCAAGAGCAGCAATGACAGCCACGATGTGCGCAGGAACCGTATTGCTATTGTTCTGATGGTATGTTTGCAGCAACCTTCGCATTTAATTCGTACACTGGCGACATCTTTTGATGAGGGTCGTTCAGGATCAACTCCCTACATTTCCTGGCCCAAATGCACCGCCCGGTTCGTCCTGAAGAATTGCGTTGCTATGAATTTGTTAAGCGCCTCGCGGAGACGATCATCAAAGCAGTAGATGCAGGCCTTAGATACGTTTCTTGCATCCAAGTAGGCCTGCTTATCCGGAGAAGATTCAAGGTCTAAAACCGGGGCTACCTAGCATAGGGTTGGTAGCTCTGTCTAATCATACAAGATCTGCATCCGCATTTTCTTTCGAGTATCCTCCGTACCCAGAGACTGCTGTGTGATCACCTCAATCCGTATGCTCCGAAATCAGTCCTCGTCGTCGTCATCAGCATATCGAGGTCCACCTGCTGCCGGTGTCGGCGCGTCAAAGGCGCCACTGGCATATGGAGTTGGTGCGCTGGCGGCGGGGGTTGGGGCATCAAAACCCAGCCGATTATTCTTGAGAGGTTCCTTGTTTGCGTTCTTCGCGAAGCCCGGCGCCGGCGTCGGTGCATCCTGAGGACCAGCTCCTGGCGTGGGAGCACCAAGATACGGCGTATAAGCGTCGTCATCGTAGCGACCCGAGGCCGAAGGGGTGGGAGCAGATATGCCGGGAGTAGGAGCATCGTACGGACGCGCAGCTGGCGTAGGTGCAGAAGCGGCGTTTCCAGGGCCACCCCATGCTGGCGTGCGGGATGAGGAGGTGTAAGCTGGAGTACGTGAACCTGCTGCGAAAGCATCGAAGCCGGAATTTCCGGATGAGCTGAAGCCGTGGTCCGCGCCATAGGGGGTCTTTGCTCCGGCATTCCAAGCTGGTGTGCGGCTGCCTGAGGTTGAGTGATTGCCAGGCCCGCCATAAGAAGTCATGCCACCGCCGCCGTAGGAGGTCTGGGAGCCAGAAGGTCCCTTCCACGCAGGGGTCCGGCCGGACTCGAGGGCAGAACTGCCAGGGCCGCCCCATGCAGGAGTGCGAGATGCTGTACCCCACGCTGGTGTTCGGCCTCCATCCATGACGCCCATAGGGGTTCTGCCTCCGAAACCACTGTCGGGGACGCGAGAGCCCGAGAACCCTGGGCCTGCTCGCATTGCTGACGGCCCGCCGCGATTTCTGATCCAGTCTTCGTATCTGGTTTTATTTTGGGTGTTTGTGCTGGTAAAATGTTAGCTCATAGTCTACCAAACAAGGAGTCTGAGGGGGATGACATACTCCACGACCGAAAGGTCGAATTTACTGATGTTGATCGTCTTGTGCTTCGTCTGGAGTTCGAGTCGCGCCTCACCAGCTGTGGTATCCTTGACAATAGCACGGTGGCCTTTGTAGGTACCTTTATTGATGTGGACGAACTTTCCTTGCAGCGGATCTCGCCCAGGTCGTTGCGGTGGAGCCATCGACATGTCTGGACGCTTCATTTGCAAGGCCGGATTCATTTTGCTCAAATCCGTCGAGGGGGCGGTGATCCGGCCTCCTTTGGCGGCTGTAGTGATGACATTGGTGCAACGGGCCACCCAAATACCCGAGTTTTCAATCCCAAGTTTGTTGTGAGCAAAGACAAATCCTCTGTGGATGTGCAAGATCGTTCCAGACTTGTTTTCACCACCGGACTCCCGTACCACATCGCCAACCCGAATCTCCGAACCATTCTTGTCGGTGGCAACGGCGTTTCTTCGGGCTTCGATCTTCTGGACCTGTGAGGGTATTCTGGTAGTCACCGAGCCGTTTTGATCCAGTATCCGAACAGACTCGCGGTCAGCTCTAATGACACATCCAGCTGTAGTAGGACTGCAAGGGGTTAGCTCCATCGCCAATATACGATTCAGGTGTATACTCACTCAATCTGCACAAGCTCCTGCACATCAAACTTGCTGGCACCTGCTCCGGCACCTCCCGCGCCTGTTGCTTCTCGGAGGTCTTTGCTGAAGACTGTGATTTCTTCATTGCTGTTGTTGGTAAGTACTGTGACTTTGTCATCCTTGATACGAAGGACCATTCCAACTTCGTCGCGATACTTGCTGCCTCCGATGATTTCCACATTGTCACCCTCTCTAAAGCGTTTCCGGAGGCCCTTGACGGGCACCTCAACAAGCTGGCCAGTGAGCTCTCCTTCTGTAACCATGATCGAAACGATGTTGCCAGTCACGGCTTCTGTTCTGCCAACGATACCCTTCTGCTCGCCCTCATAGACTTCAACCTCGTCACCAGGCACGTAGTTGCCTTCAGCTGTTGTATTCCGCAGACTGTGCGCAAGCGATTCAAGATCGAGTAGTTCCGACCCATCGGCGGCAGTCCTTGTAAGCTTGGTGATCTCGTCCAGCCGAGGATTGACATTCTCAGTTATAAGATGCTGCAACTTGAAGTCCTTGATCAAAAAGCCATCTTCATAGAGATCACCTTTGTAAGACCAGCTTCTACCGGTGAGACCTCTGTTCTGTTGGAGAAACCTATCGTGTCTCTTCCTAGCTTCGTTCTCGTTGAAAAGCCGCTGCGGAGGTCTATTTGCGAAAGAATTGACGGGTCCGAAGTTATTTGGGCGTTTGCGTTTGGCGTCTGCAGCGCCAGGTCTGGCTTGATCCTCGTCCATGCCGTAGGTGAGTCTCGGAACCAATCGTACTGTCACTTCCAGACCGTTAGTCTCGACGCTCTCGATCATCCCCAAGTCGCCCTGATAGAGACCACGCTTGATCCGGACGTAACCGCCAACTTCCAGCTCTCTGTTCTTCGTCACTCGCAGCAAGTCCGGCATTTCTTTGACCGGAACGAGGTTCATTTTTGACCTAGGATAGACATCCGCGACGTTCGTCAGAGCATCATCCACGTCAACCTTCCTCCTGGCTTCGACGAAGATGTATCCAGCCATCGGACCATCTCCTCGTTCAAAGGCAGAGCATATCCTCATGGGGTTGCGGCTACCCTGACTCTCGATAAATTTCTTCATGAGTTTGTTAATGATCTCTCGTTCCTTGCCAGCTTTGCATCTGACACCCCAGATACTCGGATCGTTGACATCAGGCATGAGTAAATTTTGCGGAACAAAAGAGCTGTTGCTCAAGGCAGTGGTTGTTCTTCGCCCGTACCTCTCTCTGAATTTTGCCGCTTCTTGCTCTGCGTCCAACGATTGCTGAAGTTGTCTCTGGCGATCCAGTTCTCGATGTCTTCGATCGTCCTGGTCAGCTTCGGGGGGTAGATCATCATCAGGATGTGTGTCTTGTATGAATTCAGGACCAAGATCGTCTTCCTCGGCCTCCAGTTCATCGTCATCTTCGTCGACTTCAGCTTCTTCTTCGAAGAACTGGTTCAGGCCTCTTCTCCTGCGCTTTCGCGGGCGACTAGTAACTGCATCTTCATCCTCTTCGTCGTCTTCTTCTTCGTCTTCATCCTCTTCATCGTCCTCGTTTCCATTCAGGTCTTCCCCTTCGCCTTCATCATCTTCGCCATTGTCTTCCTCCTTTGCATCATCTTCACCTTCAGCCTCATCTTCGTCTGCTGCGACCTCTCGTTCTTCTTTCACAGGAGAGACTGACTTCTTGCCATTCGTCTTCGAGTCGGCGGCCGGTTCGTCCTCGGAAGCAGAGCCACTTCGCTGAGCGGAAACACGTGGCTTCTGGTCGTCATCGTCATCTGCTTCAGCATCGGACCCCATCTCAAGGCCAGGATTAAAGTCATTGTCCGATTCTTCGTCGTCGCCTCCAAAGTCTTGGGTGAGCCATGATTGTCCCGGGGCAGCCATTTTCGCTCGATGGCCTGGAACGGATCCTTCTCTGTGGCGATGGGTGCAGACAGCGGTCTACCTTCCAGTCATGTAAGCTGAAAGAGAAGGTGAGGACAAAAAGAAGCTATTAATGCGAGGGGGATGTTGTCGAGTTGGAGATGTTGTCTAATTTCTAAAAGCGGAGGGCGACTTGGGCTATAGAACTTGAATGTCACCTGCGCTTCGCCAAGACTGGACATTTGGTGTCACGTGCAATACTACTAGTACGTACTAAGTATGTGGTCGTTGCTTTCTTACTCCTATCCTTCACTGACACTTCACCTTCTCTTGGACTTGGATTTCCATGGCGAAGACGACGCCTCAGAACTACAGCCTATACATTTACTTTGCTTTACCTCTTCACGAAGTCTCTGATCATGAAGTGAAGCACTGAAGTATTGGGAGACACACGCAGCTTGGGCATGATCCCCTATCACAGTTCCTGACAAACCAATCTTCAACCAGTTGTGATCTTTCCCTTGTCTACACCACGACACTGAGCATACACTGGCGATTCCTGGGCATGTGATTCGCAGTCTAGAGGACCCATGGTCTCGGCGATCCAGAGCTGTTGGATAGTAGTTGCTGCTCCGAGTCTTTTAGACGCGACAGTGTCTACGAGTTCCCACGTTCACAATCAAGCAGGAGTGCAGCGATCGCCGTATGCTCACGCCGAATCGTGCTCCATCTCGCATGACGCGCTAAGATTCTGGTTGCTGTTCTCATTCAGATGCGCCGCGAGGCAAGTCATGAGTCGAGGGAGCAGAACAGTGTACCAGCCATCAAATGAATCATGTGTAACTCTGCTCCATATTGCAGGGCCGGGATTGCGTCATTTCTAATGCAACAAGTGCGATTGAACTGAGCCAGCATGACTGCAGTGGTCAACCTGGCGAAGAGGTGGACTCAAAAGATTGCCGGTCTTTGGCGAGGCAGATGATTGAGGCCGAGAAGGCCTCGTATCGTTCGCTGTTCGTGAAGAACTGATCGCCCTCTCATGAACAGGCTTTAAATCCGACCGTTTCCCGAGAATCAGCTACGGCACGCGGATCCCATGTGCGCCAATCTCTATGGCACGTTGCGCCAGCGCGCTGCAGATGAGGACGAGCAGAGACTTGACAGCGGAAAGGACTTGTATGGAAGATCCGTGTTCGCACGACATGTTCCGAACCTCCTCGCTATCCTCTGGTGCATACAAGAAGGTGATTGTTTACCATGGAATCTCCCCTCCTTGGTAGAGCTTAACCCCTCCCTCACTCGGGAAATCGGGAAGATGTATGTCCAAGAACTTCCCATTCTGCTCCTTCGTGGCCATGTCCAAAATGTCCAAAACAGCCTTGGATCCCACCTCTACCGGAAGATGGGCGTCCTTGCCACCCAAATCTGTTTTGAGGTACTGCACGAACCAATTAGTAAGGGATGGCCTTGCATTGCAATCAAGAAGTCAAACTCACCCCAGGGCTGATGGCCATGAAGGTGAATCCTTCCTTCTCGTACTGGAAAGCCCACTGGAGGGTCAGCATGTTGAGGGCGGTCTTTGAGATCTTGTACGCCGGCGTGGGAAGCATAGCAATGTATTTTGCCAATGTGAGGGACCCCACTGTCGAGCTCCTGGAAAGGCAGTCAGCAACTGATATCCCTTCTGTCATACTCTTATGTGGATGAGGTGCTTACACATTGACAACAAGCTTCCTGGATCCTTTGCGCAACAGTGGCAGGAACGCGGTAGTGACCCGTTGCGGTCCGTTGACGTTGACATCCAAGGTGCTCATCAGGTCCTGCCTATGATTGGAAGTCTTAGCAAACGCTGCACACCGCAACAGCGCATGGGCTCAGAACCTCACGCGTCAGGAGTGAACCTACATCTCTGAAACGCCACCAGGGGTGAGACTCGCTATGCCTGCATTGTTGACGAGGACATCCAAACCCTGATTGGGACCCAATGCTTTCTCCACCTCGGTCACGGCAGCCTTGATGCTTTCTTCCTTGGTGACCTCGAGAGGTATGAAGGCTACGCGGCCAGGATATTTCTCCGTCAGTTCTGCAAGGCCAGGCGTTTTCGTCCTGGCTGTCGCAGCGATGAAACGGACTTTTTCGACTGGTCTTTCAGCCAGGAGCTTGGTCAGTGATAGGCCAAGACCGCGGGAAGCGCCAGTGATCAGATAAGAAGACATGATTGAAGGTTATCAATTGAAGGTTATCAATTGAAGGTTATCAATTGAAGGTTATCAATTGAAGGTTATCAATTGTATAGACGACAAACGTGGCGTTAGTCCAAGCATACTCAACCCGTCAGGCGTCCTTTATATATGTTCACGAAGTATACTACATACTAGGTATGTAGTGGATATTCGCAGTAGGCTACCCACTCCGAGTCTGTGTACGTACCTACTCACGGAGCCTTTGATGACAAATGCAACCCAAAGTCGGCACCACGGTCTCATAATTCCCCGGACAGTCCCAGGACAAGTCCTGTATAGTAGCCAGTAGTTTCTTCTATAGCGACGATGAGTAGAGTTTATTACCATTCCTCATCAGAGTGTCCTTTTATACTAGAACAGTGTAGGTATATGGTCATTATCAAGATTTCAACTCCTACATGAGTAGGACAAGGAGTACTTTGGCTTATACATAGAATTTGGCGGCTGGCTACTACGGGTACAAATAAAACCGAGTACCCCATCCGCAGAATACTGTGTACCCACTGTGTCGCCATTTTCAAGGAATTACTCGATCGAATCCCGGTTGTTGCGCCCGTGCCAGATTGAGGAGTGACTCATCATTGATATTTGGGTTTCTCGGTTTTGTTGAAACAAGCTGCTACGTACCGGCATGCATTCGTCGACCAAGGACACAATATCTGTTCGACAATAGAGCGTACAGAGACATGTCATAGTACTACTAGTATGAATATAACTGAAGAGCAGAGAATCCCCCCGAGAGATGGCGATGCATGTGATTGGCATTCTGGCACTCGCAGGTCATCTCACTATAGTACTACTATACAATGCGCAGGCTTGATTCGCTGCGCATATCACTAATTACATCAAACCTGTTGTCTTTTACTAATTAATCAACACGTCGCTGGACAACATGGTGCCTTGACGGCCACCCACAAAGGTGAGAGCATCGTTCAACAAGTTAGACACAGTGGCCTTTGGCCCGGCCAGAATATCTTCCGAAGCCGGTCTCGCTCCACATCTTATTACTACTAGTACTCCCTTCAAGCTTCTCACCTCACTTGACGCATTATTAGGTACTCAATCGTGCCATCGGATATCTCCATAAGCCTCCACAAGCCTCCACAACCGCATCGCCCAGCTGTTGGATGCGAACGATAAAGCAAAGGCCGATAAGGGCAGGCGGGACATTGTCTGTCTAGCACTACTAGTCTCTCAAGAGCTGGCGTGCGGTGATAGATAAGAGCAATCGAACCTCCAACCAGACCCTTTGAGACCGATTTGCGCAAATGCATCTCATTTGCTACGCGGTCGTTGTCGCTCCTGACCTGGTTTCTGGTGGACAACGATCGACTCCTGCAACACGATGTTGTTTTCTATAAGTGATGATGCTTCGGCTTGCTTCTTTTGGGTTTGCAGGCTTCATCGGTAGTACTTTCTCCCCTCGAGCGTCTGGCTAATTCTACTCATCTGCTCCTTCCGAGCGTCTTATTTTCAGGACTCTGTCAAGAACCATTCTTCGGCCGAGTTCGCCCTACACGCCAAACCAGAGATATTCGCGTGTGTTCCCTCAAGATGGTAAAGGCACCGTGGCAAGAAGTTGCCAAACAGGCACAGTTGCTACGTGACAAGTCGATTGACCAAATCCAACCCCCCGTCCCAGAGGTTCCGAGCCCAGCGGAACTGCCTCTGAACGTAACCTCTATTCCACGGAAGCTGCTGGACGAAGCAGAATTGAAGATCACAGAATCTCCTCCAGAAGAACTGCTAAAGTCTTTGGCATCGGGCGAGCTGAGCAGCGTCGATGTCACCACCGCCTTCTTGCGCCGTGCAGGCATTGCCCAGAAACTGGTATGTCGCCAGTCACGTTTGTGACCGAGTTTGGTTCTATCATCTGCAAGACCATGTTCGAGCCTGTCCGTTTTGCACATTCTTCGTGGATACGCGGGCCCCCTGATCATAGGTAAATGACTAACAAGGCCCATTCAGACAAACTGTGTGACGGAGGTACTCCCGCACCAGGCGATTCAACGGGCCAAGTATCTGGACGAGTATCTAGCGACGCAGAAAAAGCCTATCGGCCCGCTGCACGGCCTCCCCATCAGCGTCAAAGAGCACATCGGCATGAAGGGGCTTACCCACACCGGCGGCTTCGTTGGGTGGTGGGATCACGTGGCGCCCGAGGACGCCCATATTTTGCAGTTACTCCAGAACGCAGGATGTGTGCTGTACGTGCGGACCACAGAGCCGCAATGCCTCATGCACCTGGAGACATCGAACAACCTTTACGGCGTCACGGTAAACCCGTACAACCGCACCCTGACTCCCGGAGGTAGTTCAGGGGGCGAAGGAGCGCTCATCGGGCTGAAGGGCAGTCCACTGGGCATCGGCACCGACATTGGCGGCAGCATTCGCGCACCAGCAGCGAATTGTGGCATCTGGGGGTTCCGTCCGTCATCGTACCGGCTTCCGACGGGCGGATTGACCGCGCCCATGGCTGGCCAAGAACAGATTGTCGGTGTGATCGGACCCCTCAGCGCCAGTTTCGAGGGCTGTCACATCTTCATCAAGACCCTGATCGATCAGAAACCGTGGCTGGATGACCCGTCGCTGCTGCCCATGCCTTGGAAGTTCACCCCAGCCAGCCAGAAAGAGGACAGTGTCGGTGACAGCTATCTACGCAAACCGGATGGCTCCAAGAAACTCAAAATCGGCGTGCTCTGGTCCGACGGCGTCGTCAAGCCGCATCCGCCCGTCATCCGCGCGCTGCGTGACCTCACGTCCAAACTGCAAGCCAACAAGTCCGACACCACGATTGAGTTCGTGGATTGGCAACCGTACCGCCATGACCAGGCCTGGGAAATCATCTCAAGCCTCTACTTCGCCGACGGGGCCACGCAGGACCGCGCAGCCATCGCGGAGAGCGGCGAACCCTGGCTACCTCTGACGGAGTTCATCATCAACGAACAGCCCGGCGTGCCGAAGCGCGAGTATTCCATCTCCGAGGTCTGGCAGCTGACGTTGCAGAGGGAAGAGTACCGCGCCGCATATGCCAAAGTGTGGAACGAGTCCTCCAAGGCAAAAGTGTGGGGTGACTCCGCGTCCGCCAAAGACACCACCTCTCCCGGCCCCGAGCATGACTATCCGGTAGATGTCATCCTCTGCCCTGTCGGTCCCGGTGCCGCGCCGCCGCTCAACCACGCGAGATACTGGGGCTACACGTCCCAATGGAACCTGCTGGACTATCCGGCCATGGTGTTTCCCGTGACCCAAGTCGATCCCGCCCTCGACCAGCCCGAGAAGGACTACACGCCGCTCAACGCCCAGGACGAGTGGAATCACAAGCTCTACTCGCCGGACAAGTATGTCGATGCTCCTGTCTCGTTGCAGCTCGTCGGGAGGCGCTATGATGATGAGAAGGTGTTTGAGGCCATGGAGGTGATCAAGAGCGTGGTTGGGGGCCAGTTGCCTCTTGAACCGTTCAGATAGACCGTGGATAGACCGTGGATAGACCGTAGATAGACTTACAAAGTGTGGTTCTGGTCTAATCACTTCAATGTCGAAATTCAGGTCCGGGGTTCCCATCTTGTATTCTGTTACGAGGTTCTTTCTTCCATGCCGTAGTGTTATAGTTTTACTTTTCCAAGCGCAGAAAGAGAGAGACACCGTCTTGCTGCTCATACTTTAGAGAGAATAGTAGAAGTAAAGTCACCAGTGCCTAATGTATGTATTGACTCTGTGTACAAGTTCGAGGTGCAAGCGGCTTCGATATGTCGACCGGCACAAAAGCGCAGTGTTCATGTCTAGATCATTCGGCTATGTTGTCAACTCTCAACCCAGTTCTACACGGTATAGCTCATTTAACGATGGCGGGTTGTCATAAGCCCCATGTTCTCACAGTTTACAGTCTGAGGCCCAAGTTGACATGCACTGCCTTTGTCTGCGAGTATGCTGCAAGACCGGCCTCACCCAACTCCCGACCGATACCACTCTGCTTGACACCTCCGAACGGTATCCGGAAGTCGGAGTCGTTGGAGCTGTTGATCCATACCATTCCAGCCTCGATGCGCGCGGCCACACGGTGGGCCCGCTCAATGTTGGACGTGAACACGGCACTACCTAGACCGTAGGTTGTGTCATTGGCCATGTGGATGGCTTCGGCTTCGTCTTTGAAGGAGGCAACCACCACGAACGGGCCAAAAATTTCCTCGCGGTAGATCTTCATGTCCTCCTTGACCTGCGTGAAGATGGTAGGCTCGACGAAGAAGCCCTTACCATCGCCGACGTTCTTGTGCGGGACACCGCCGGAGACCAAGGTGGCGCCTTCAGACTTGCCACTTTCAATGTAGCTCAGGACTCGCTCGTATTGGGCTTTGGTGACCTGGGGTCCTTGGAAGGTGTCGTCGTGGAAAGGGTCGCCGACCTTGGAGGTCTCCTGGACCACCTTTTTGAAGATCTCGACGAATTTGTCGTAAATACCTTCTTGAACAATGACACGGGACGTGGCTGTGCAAATCTGGCCTTGGTTGGACATGATACCGATGTGTGCCCATTTGGCCGCTTGCTCGAGATCGGCGTCGTCGAAGACCAGCAGCGGGGACTTGCCGCCAGTTTCCAGGGTGATGTTTTTCATGTTGATGCTGGCTGTCTTCATGATTTGTTTGCCAGTGAAGGTGCTTCCTGTAAAGGCGATCTTGTCCACGTCCATGTGGGCGGCCAGGGCGTGGCCGGCTACTCTACCATGGCCGTTGACGATGTTGATCACACCAGGAGGGAAGACCTCTGGGATGAGGGAGGCAAGGTAGAGGATTGAGACAGGGGTCTGTTCGGCAGGCTTGAGAACGATGGTGTTGCCGCAAGCAAGGGCTGGGCCCAGCTTCCATGCAGCCATCGCGAGAGGATAGTTCCAAGGAATGATCTGAGCACAAACACCAATGGGTTGCTTGAGGGTGTATGCGAATTTCTGGGCGGTGCTCGGGATGGTCTCTCCGTGAATCTTGTCTGCCCACCCAGCATAGTATTTGAGTGTACCGATGACCTCTCCCATATCATCATTGAATGCCACACTGTACGGTTTACCGTTGTCCCATGTCTCCAGCGTCGCAAGCGTCTCTCTGTGGGCCTCCAAGAGATCTGCGAATTTGTACATCAGAGCACCACGGTCGGTGGCGGGGAGGTCGCGCCAGGAAGGGTCGTTGAAGGCGGCCCGGGCAGCTTTCACAGCCTTGTCAATGTCGTCGGCAGAGGCAGCCTCGACGGAGCAGATCTCCGATTCATCTCTGTTCGAGGTCAGGTTAGTGATATTGCGAATCTAGCAGAGACTGGCCTGGAGAGACTCACGTGGGGTTGATGCTGGTGATTTTGTCACCCGAGCTTGACTTCACAAACTCATTGTTGATGAACAGGCCCGTAGGCAGAGTGATCTTCTTGCCATTGGGAGCAGTGAGGTCGACTTTCAGATCCGCCATTTTGAAGGACTTCTGGGTAGTGCTTGAAAGAAGCCGCAGCGCAGGAAGTATGTGGCTTGAACGGTGGGAAAGGCTGCAGGCTTTCAGACTATTCGTAGCACAAGACCTTGTCAGGAAAGCGAACATGTACTTGTGTAGGTAGAGATGGGGGACGATAGAAAAATGCAAGGAGATGGGGAATCAATGGGCTAATGGGGAACTCGGACTTGTCCAACGATTAGCAACCGTGACCTATCCAGGTCCCTAGATGACAGAATACCTGGTGTACAAAGAAGGCGCCCCAACTAGACGGCCACTTCTATGCCTTGCGATAGGCCGATCAATAGACTGGGCGCCCCTTCCGGCGGGTCTTGGTACCTTAGGATATCTTAGGCAGGTCTCAATTCACTACTGTGTTACGGAGAAGATTTCGCAATTCCAATGTAATCAAGATAGGGGACTGATAATCGACCCCGGGCTGGAGGGTTGGTAGGGGTAGATATGGGTCGCCGAGCTCATCGGATCCCGATTGACAAATAGATAAGAGGGGCCAGATGGAGGGGCAAAGCTGCAGTCGCCCAGAGAAACAGGGTCTGGCTTTTATCAGTAACACCAGTCGATAACAATAACGCGTTGTGAAATGAGGGGCACTCAGCTCTTTGTCAAATGAGGAGTTCTCCGGCTTAGGTTTCCTGTTCAGGTGAAGCTGTTCCTACCGTCGACTACACTGCATCAGGTGCGTCTAAGCATGTCAATTGGTGCCCTTTCGAACGACCGTTATCAGTGCTGCCTATGGACCACCATAATCTGTTATGGATGATGCCTGGGAGGAGAAGATATATGACTGGCTGCGAGAACGGAGAGAGTGTGGCAGTCATCTGATGCCGCTTGTGTGAGCAGCATGATAGTCACTGCAGCCGGTCATATTGCAATCGCTGATGAGCTGCTACACATCTGGCATTTCTGCATACCTGCTGTAGGCCCTAATAACCCTCGCAGGATCACCTAGCAAATGTCCTCAGCAGGCACAGAAAACGTGTTCTGATGTTGTCACTGCCAGTGCCTCGTGCTGATTTCTGGTCACTCAGACAGTTCTCGCTCCGCCGCCGGTCCCCTTTGAGGCCGTGACCCATTGCCGATGCTGCCTGGAAGGGGGACAATTGTGCACTTCTTCTGGTTCACAAACCCTGTCAGGTCACAGCTGTGAGTTGTTTAGCTGTTCGTCTTCCGCCAGATGCTTGAAATCAGTCTGTATTGGCCTTGCCCTCGCCGACTCCGTTTTCGTCCCTGCGCAAGCCATTGGTTGCCCCATTGGTAGCCACATCGACATCTGCCGCCGTTTCGTCACCTTCACCGTCGACATCCGACTCATATCCATCCTTTGCAGCACCACGACCAAGTGACAGTGGCTCCCCAGCCAATTGAAGAATGAACTCCCATTCTGTAGGGGTGACTGAAGAAACACTGAGTCGACTCTGCTTGAGCATCTGCATGTCTTGCAAAACCCCACTAGGGTGAGCCAACGACCTCAGCGTCTTGAGAGTGATCAGGTCGTCGAATTTCTTGACGAATTCGACGTGGACGACATCCCATTTAGGCTTGGAGCGGTCCGACTTTGGGTCGTAATAAGGATGGTTAGGATCAAAAGCAGATTCATCAACAGTGTGTTCTCCCACGATACGCATAACTCCAGCAATGCCCGGGACCTTGCAGTTCGAATGGTAGAAGAAGGCGAGATCCCCCTTGCGCATTGCCCGCATATTGTTCCGCGCGACCGGGTTGCGGACACCTGGAGAATATAAGCCCCAACTCATCTAGCACGAGAACAACGCAACGGAAGACATACCGTCCCATGGCTCCGGTTCTGTTCTTTCCATCAAATCATCAATAGAGAACTTGACATCATGGCCTTTCTCAAGCCGAGACTCTGGTTCGGCTTTCATGAGCCAATACTGAATATCCGTGTCGACGTTCTCTTTATTCTCTCCACTTGAAGTTGCATTGCTATTGATGTTGACAATAGGATGATTGGATCCATTGGACAGATGGCTTTCGGGTCCGCTCTTGACCTTCGGCGGTCTTCCACGTCGCTTTGGAGTTTGCGGAGAACTGGTTGTTTTCAAGGCGGACTCGAGAGTTGGGGCATGGCTCGCAGAAGAGGCAGTCCCTACAAGCAAGAGTTAGCAATGTCCATAATGCTACTGATATTTATCCAAGCGAGAATATTGATCGCTCCTAAGTGGTCAGTCCGAAATAAACTTACCAGTGCGCCTCGGTCCAGCAGCTTTCTTCGAGGTAGTTGTAGAGGATTTGCCTTTAGCGGTGCGAGCAGCAGCAGTATCTGCACGGGACGGGAGACCAACCTTCTTCCGTGGTTGGGGGTGTCTGGTAAAATCGTACTTTGGTTCGCTGACAGAAGTTCTTCTGGGACGGCCGGAAGGAGAGAGAGCCGCAGGTATGTTGGAGGGTTCAGAGGTGATGGAGCCTATACGGACCTTCTTCGCGGGGGTGGTTTTGGCGGCGGAAGTAGCCTTGCGCTTCTTTGGGGGCATGATGAGTGTAGAATCAGATTATCGAGAGGATTGGTGAGTCTATCGAGCCTAGAGAAGAAGTGGTGATCTCGTTGTCGAGGGGAAGTCAGTGCAGTGGGATAGATCCGCTGTTTCGAAGTTTGCTATGCCAATAATGTTAATGAGGGTTCAAACAGACGCGTCGCGTAGGTGAAATTTAGGGCGCGGGGAAAACCGAATTACGTTAGTACTGCAGTGGCACGTAGAAAGGGCACGCAGCAAAGCAGTGGAAGTCACTTATCGATCGATACCTGTATGCATCCACTTTACTGCTTCGACTTCGAGTAGTATGATAAAGCGACTTTTATACGTAGTGAGATGGAGAGATTGATTTCATCTCTTGGTTCTTATTCACTCGATCGAGTAGCAACAGTGCTAGTAATTTGTTCAGTATAGCAGGTCTAAGAGAACGCCCCGTCTAAGCAAATGAGAAAGGGGAGGCATAGATCTCTCCTTCGAGCCATACACAAACAAATAACGGTCGGCACACTCTTATGTTTTGATATAACACTAATAGTATCGTGGCAGATGATATCGTAGAGGGCAGAGGGTCAGTCAAGCTCACCGGCCACCTCCCCAGCACGAGCTATATTTTTTGTCCTTGCTGCCGCCAACATGCGCGACCTTTAACACCGAGAGAACCCTGCCCTCCTATATCTGGTGTCTTCTACATTCCGCGCTTACAGCATGAATTCAAGATTCAGATGATCGTACGATCCCCTCCATAGCAGAATCACGTTTTACGTACCCAGCCGTTGGCTGGAGAAGGATTGCCGGAATGCCCGACAATACTAAAGACGGTCAACCCATCTCAACACCACCAACTCCGGAATACTATCCTACTCTGGTATACCTTGGACCTACTACCTAAGGTACCTACCTAGGTAGGCATCCCATGCCCAGCCATCCTCTACCATCCCTGACCATGTAACCTCCGGCAATAATGCGACGCGACGCGATGCAATGCAATGCAATGCAATGCATGTTTGGGTTACTTGCTAGTGGTTCATCAGCAACTATGCACACCACCAGGACCCAGTCCTAGCACGACACATGTCCTGCCTGCCCATCGCCCGCATGCCCCGTAATCGACAACCCGGGACCCGCGACCCGCGTCCCACGTTATCTCGACTTCCATCCTTGGAAGACCGGCAGCAACACTTCCTGGTTTTCCTTGTTTCTTCACGATCCTGGAGATCCAGGGGCCTAAAAATTCTCCGAAACCGACACGCTCGCTCGCACCGCGCACATCCTAGTATCTGTAGCAGAAGATGCCTGCAGTGTAGTAGTACGAAGTGTACACCGCCCAAGAGGAGACAGTCCGAGATGAATAGGCACGTTGCAGTCCCTGAGACCTCCTAGTGTCATACATCCCAGGTTCTGGGTTGTGACGTGCAGCGAGCTGATTGTAGCCTTCGATGTGCCTCGTCGTCCGATCTTGCTTCGTTGCAGATATCTCCGGAGCCGAGGTACAGAGTACGTGGTCATGGTCATGGTCCATACCAACATGGTGCCTGAGGTGGCTGGGTGGGTAAGGGTACCTGTACTATACCTGGTAGGTACCTTGGATTTAGGAGATATGCAGCAAGATGCAAGAGCTACGTGCTAGGGCAGCCTGCGCAAGCCCGTGTTGATTCAAGTTTGTCACCCAACTTGTGAAGCACCCAATTGCAGTGTGAACAGCCCCAACGCTTCTCAACCACAACCTATCTGGCCCTACTAACCCAGAGCTCCTACCACCAATATCGCCCAGAGATATCCTGTTGTCTGGCCTTTCATGGTGGTATACGGCCGGTCCCTAGCTGAAAGGGTGGCTGTCTGATGAGTGCCTGTGTGCCATGTCCGCACGCCTCGCCTCACCTGCGCTCCCAATCCGAAAGTAGTAGTCGGAAAATCCCCCACGTTACGGCTCTAGGAGGTATGAACTCTTTTGGCTTCGGCGCCGTGTGGATACACGCGATACGATCTTCAATGATGCACGTGCGGTATGCTTGCTATGAGGTACGTACCACTCAGATGGTTTGACCTGACCCCCTCGTCGGGCCTGTATCTTCATCTCTCCTGCCAGTTCTGCGTCGGAACAACTCCTGCAATAAGGTGGTTACAACCCACTGCTAACCAGATCCCTTAGCTAGAGGTACGTAGTCAAGTGGTCTCTACCACCTGCACCTACGGCTTGCCGTCAGGGGGTTTTAGACTTTACCCATGTAAATACAGTTATATAGTGCCGACGTAGTCAAAAGTCAAAAGGGAAGTCGGTGAATCTACCTATAGATATGTACTCCGTAATGATGATGAATGATGATGTTTTGGGATCTGACATGACATTCCCAGTAGTAATCGATACGATCCCGGAAAAAGAAAAGGGTCCGCATTATGGCATCCGAATGAAAATCATCCACCGGTTTCGTCAACTGTCTGCTCTTCTTTCTGATCCGCGTCGAAGTGACATCTGACATGTCCGACAAAACCAGAGAAAGACAGGCCATGTGTCCTCTGGAGTAAAGATGCTCAGTGGGAGGATTTGCTTCCATAGCAGGATTCATCGGGTACAACACTCAGCCTTCTGTCGAACAGCTATGTTGTGAGTAATGTCGTTATACCAGTGAAAGTAGATTGTCGATTCGGGAAAGAGACGGGGTGCAACTTAGTTCCCTATCCCCAGTCTCCAGATTCATCCTTATTTCATTCTTGTTGATTATGCGGTCTGAGAATCATGTCGCGCACAGACGAGCTGACTAGCGGAATCGTGGCCCAAAGAATGGTCCTGTCAAATCCACCAGCACGTGAATGACATTCTGATCAGGCACAGACTGTCAAGATTCATATTGACATTTTTGGATGATTGGCATCGGCACTTGGGGCACGGACTTGTTGATCCCACGTTTCTGCTTTCTCCGGGCCCATGCTATTGTGGTAGTAGGCACCTCATGGCTGAAGCCAAAAATGACGTGACTGGTCGTTATGCCGTTGATGTCGCAGGCTTTCGTCCCTCGACCTTCCCGCATCGACTTAGTACCTCTCTTCCGTTGACAAGGACATGCGCTGGCTAACGATGAGCTATCGATCTTCACTGTATTGAAAGTCTCGCGTAGTGGCTATGTAATCATAGAAATTTCGATATGCTGTGCACAAAAGGTGATATTGTGTCGAACATACAACATTAGAAATGCGGCGAGCCTCTGACCCTGACCCTGCCTGAACGGACGTAAGAGTTTCTCGTCGGTCTGTTCCGGCGTGGCACTGCCTGAAACCTCGGTTTTGTGACCCGCCGAAGGATCATCTCAACGCCGCACCGATGAGTTGAAAAAGAATTAGTATACATTATCAAAGAAAAAGTGGCAATCGGCCGGGGGTATCTTAAAAAGTGCAACAAAATTCGACAAGAAAAGAAACACCACAATATTGGTCAAACAAACAAGACGAATCCACCAGTATATCTTCTCCGATTTGCGCTCATGAGAAGTTGGGAAATAAACACTTCTGACGACATCGAAGCACCCCATTCTGGTTTTGTCATTTGTCAACGTGTCCTTATACGTGGAGGCCACACAAATGCTGATTTCGAGGTTGCCCTCTTTGTCGTCTCTCTACAAAAAGTCGTCTCATAAGAAAGGGAAGGTGTGGTTGAGTAGGTTGTATGAGGTCCGAGGCCCTGTTACCGGCCTCAAATCATCGATTCCAAGGACGGTCAAAAAAACCTCGGCGGAAAGAGTTGTATGATTGTGCCTGCGTTGTTGGCGTTGTTGAAGGAGGGACTGAACCTGTAGGCAGGGACCTGGGTGGTCCATAGGAACTGGGTCCGCCAGGCCGGGGTGGGGGAGGGAGAGTAGTCTCCACGGGAAATGCGGCACCCGACGAGGACGTAGAAGGTGAATGAGTTTGCCGTCCGAGGAAGAATGGCTGGTAGTCGCCGGTACGACGCCGTTGAGCTGTTGAGCCTGACTCCGAGAATTCCGGATATGGTTCTTCTTCCCGGGGTGATGCGTTCGCTACGCCGCTGTTGGCACTGGGTCCTGTTGCTGAAAGGAGTCTTCGGTGTCGGGGAGAAGGAGGTCTTTGCAACAATCGCGGAGAAATGTGCTGGCTGGCAAGATCGCGAAAGAAATTCCTCTCGGAGAGATAAAAGTCTCGTTCTTCGGCCAAGTCCCTGAGTTCCTGCTGTAAACCCGAAATGGTGTGGGACGCTTCCTTCTCCTTTTCTTTTCTTCGTGCTCGAAACCGTGCGGATGCACCTGCGTTGCGTTTCCTCTTCTCGTCTGCAACCTTGGACGCTTGCTGTAGATCCAATTGCACAGGTACCACCATGGGGCCTTGGTCGGTGTCCAGCGTCATCTGATATGAAGGCTGGGCGGATTGATAACCTTCGTGAGGCCCATGAGCTTGATATCCACCCATTATTCCGGCGGGCAATACTCTGAACCCAGTAGGGGGCTGAGAGGGCGCTCGTCCAATGCCATAGCGATAAATCGGTGATATCTGCTCCATCTGACCATAGGATGTCTGCGAGGCGGACGACGGCTCACTGGGAAGCGTGTTCAAGGTCTCGTACCCGCGACCCGGACTTTGGAGACCATGTGTCGGCGGACCGTGGCGTGCAGGCTCCAATGGCGCCAGACTGGGCAGACTCGGACCAGTTGCGATAGCCAAGGGCGGCAGAGGAGGTATGTCTGAGGATCTATATGGACCGGGTTCTGCGGTGTACACCCGTCCACCGGAGCCTGCAGAGGGCTGCAAGGAATGGACACTGGAAGTGAGGAGCGGGTTCCGTTTTGCACCTAGGCTTGCAGCACGAACTGCTGGTGACTTTGGGGTCAGCACGCGTCTGCCTACCGGTGCCGACGTAAACTGATCATCCTCCCTCGTAGGCGATCTTGGGTCTGTACGCTTTCGACCTCGCGGAGATTCACTGGGGCGGGGAACAAGGGTTGCTGCAACACTCCTCCCAGACGGATACATGGGTCTGACATGCGAGGGATTGATGGGCTCGGATTCCGCCTGAGGGTTCAGTATGCTATCCATACCGAGTGGCCGCGATGGAGGCTGATTGGACATGGGCTCCGTCGAAGGTCGGCGAGACCTGGGACCCGTACTGACGTTGACATCTCCCACAGGCCTCACCGATGAGGCGTAACCACCATATAAGTCATGCGCCTCCGTCCTAGCAGCACTGGCTGTGCTCGGCCTCGATGAGTCTGCGCTTGCACTGGAGGGCTGCGGTGGCGGATTGTGTCTTTCTGCAGCGTGAGGCGACTTGTTCGCTGGACGGTCTGTTGTGTGCGAGGATTGTGACATGTACCCGGGAGCCTCCTCGCGCGGCTGGTGCTCCAGTCGCGACCATGGATATCCCTCCTCCGGCGCCTCTCCACTTCCCCCCCTCCACCGATACCCAGGAGCTCTGGAGCCTTGATGGCTGGTTTGACCGATATGACGTTCCCAACGGCGATCGAAATATCCGGGGTCGGGAGGCGTCCTTGGGTACTGTGGTAGAGGAGAGATGCTGACCCCGAGAGTAGCCAGGATGGAACGTTTTCTTTTCTATACCGGGTCAGGTCAGAGAGGGAGAATCAGACGCAGTGCCGCGGGCAGGACCCGACTTACTAGGATGACTTTAATGGTCCTCGAGGCAGTCAGACGAGGGGTACAAATAGGGAAGACAACCCGGCTCGAAAGTTGCGCATTCCACGATCAGAATCATTTGCGCAAGCGTCTCGCAGGCTTGCGTGGATCTTCAGATCATTCGCAGTTGGCACAGAGGAGGCGGCAAATGAGAGTCATCAAGCGAAAACCCTTGCCCTGAGAGGTCCGTTCGAAATAGCACGAATGAAGCCAGGCAGGAGTCCTGGTGATGGGTAATGCAAAGGGGAACAATTTAGTTTCGACAGGCTAGTCTTGAAGTCAGCTCGTAATATCTCATGTTGTTGCAACGAAGTTGAACAGTAAGTAAGCAGAAGGTACCTCGATTTGACGGCCGGGCACAATTTCTGGGACGGGGAAACGGGAAAGCATTGTTGACTGGGTTCGACAGAGAAATACTTCCAGGCTTCTAGCGCTCTTTTTTTGGCCTTGCGTCCCAGCTTCGTCACGATCTAAGCGTTGTCTTAGCCAGGGACGGTTTGGCCCAACGCTGGAAGTGCCAGGCAGGCGAGCAAGCAAGCAAGCATAGGTTAAAGCAAACATCCATCGGTGAGCCAGGAGCCGGAGGATGGGAGTGGGTCGCGCCGTTCTGAGGCGACACACAAATGACCTTGCAAGGAGCCAGCGAGTGGGCAAGGGGAGAGGTCCCAAGAGCTCCCGGTGATGAAATTCGAGGTCCCAAGGAGGTCCGCCTCAAGAAACCTGGCTCGATATCGCTGGAGCATGGCTTTCTCAAGCGCGTGATGGCCGCCCTAGCAGGCGGGATGATGGCAGCGCTGGGCAGCAACGTGATAGCGGGGCGCGAGTCCGCATGCAATGATGTGGCGCTATGGCGGCTTAGGGGGTGGGAACCGTCCACCAGACATGGAGCTAGATGATATCCAGGTCTTTGGCTGCGAGAGGAGTGGACTGCCCTGAACGATGAATCAAGAAGGGCGCCAGCCAGGGGCAGCAGCGCCATGAGCCCCATATAGCTTCAGCGATGCGTGGGCCGGGACCCAACGGCGTGAAACTCCCATGAATCGGAAAGGGTGGACGTGATTTCATGGAGAGTGGTTGCTAACGTGAGAGTGGTGGCGCCTTAGCTCGGCTCCTCTGCTTCTTTCCTCGTGTTGGCCGAGACGGGTAACCAAGATGGCATCTTTTTTATGACAGGCGACCAGGGGCCGAAAGTCCGCTTCCTATGCAGCCATGTCAGGCATGTAGGCTAAGCAAGTAGACGCATTAGTTTCACTTCTTTTCCTCCTTAGCAGCTTTAACTAGCTTGACCCGACGTCGGCTTTGCGATGTGCGTTCCCCGTGCACAGACGATTGACCCCAGTCGAAGAATGTCGCGGATTTTCGTCCCCAAAAGCTGTCTCTCAACCCAGGAATGCGCCCCTAGTTGCGTTTCACCCTGATCTCATTGGGTCCCGGATGTTCTGCCATTTCGCCTGGGATCAGGCATCAGAGGTCCGTGCCTTGTCCAATGTGAGGAAAGCTGACTGCTTTTGGATGCTGTAACATCCCAATTTGTCCGTAGCCTGGGTCAATGACGGGTTTGATGGGACGCAACTCATACGGAACGCGAGTGAAATAGGAGCTCCCGCATATCCCATGTTGTGCTGTGACCTCCTATATGGTACCAAGATCAAGCATGGTAACAAAGCGGCCCGGTAATTCTCATCGATGAGCGTGGCACGGGCCCAGCTGGAATTTTTCCTCTTTCGATGTTGAGGGATCGGCCTCCCACTTGGTATCTTCCTTAGGTTTAGTCCGCGTTCCTGCGTTGTATTATTTGGTACAGGAGACCCATTGTTCCTCGGGACAATTTCACTAGAAAAGTGCGCCTATTATTCTTCAGGTCCTGTGTATTGCAAGGAGAAGAATCCGCACTTTGGCCTACTCTTCCGAATATTTGAGTGCTGGGGCCCAGCTGTCTCCGGTTGTGTTCTGTATTGTTGAACAGCAACTCTTACCCTTCAGAGTTCGAGACAGAGACCATGTTGCAACCACCTGGTGACGTGATTGAGGTATTAGGCGTTGGGAAGCCAGACAAAGGCTAAAGCCCCCTGCAAGTTAGACTTCGCCAGTGGCGGGAGGCATTGCAGGTATGCCAATCTATCGGCGCGAACCACTGGCAGTGACAGGTGCAACTCCCGGTGCATGGGCCCGCCAGGGATGATCATGTCGATCATGTTCCTCCCACGGTTACTGTAGAGACTTTGGGGTTTCTGTGGCTCTTGATGCTCGAAGATCCTTCCCCCCTGCCTGTACGGAAAAGCGAAGCGGCCTGTCACGGACGAGAGGACCCCAAAAGACTGAATTATCCTGTGTTCTCCCTCGACCAAAGGGATATCCAGTGTGCCAAAAATCTTATTGCATTTTAGTTGGTATTGGGTCCCATTCTCCCCGGGCTAAGGTGTCCTAGTTCGTCGCCCCCGAACAGGGCTGAAAGGTATTGTCATCTGTGTACCACAGAACTTGACGAGACACCTCTAGCAAGGTATGAGGATATGATCCGACGATCCTGCCTTGATATTGAACCAAGTTGCGTCACTGCAAGGAGCTCTGTCTGGTTGCCTCGCTTCTGAGGGGCCTGCAGGGGAACGGGTTGGTTATGTTACACATGTAGATATAATTCTCGTGCAAATCTCCTCCTCATTATTGAATATAGGCTGAATCGAATGAGACATGGCTTAGGCAGGGATCTTCGGCTGCTGTCGCGCTCCGTCAGTAATAGCGCCAGGGTTGACTCGGTTGTATCATGTTACGTCGTCAACTTCGGAGGGTTTCCGTCCCAACTTCGTTCTGGAAGCCGAGTCAATATCGTCAAGCCAGAAATCCGCCCCACAAGGGAAGCCCGGGCTGCCAGTGCCGTCACATCAAGGACCGGAGGTGACCGAAAGAAACCAACAACCAGATTACGCACACCTGCGTACCTAGCTGGCATGTTACAACATAGTATTGTGGTATGGCACCTGCGCATTCGGGCTGCAAGAAACTTGGGGTTCCACAGTGCTGATACCAATGCGATCAATGCTCCGTGTAGATGCCCTTTAGACAATTGTCCGGGGAGATCGAGCTGCGTTTCGCAAAGACATAGACTTGCTTGAGGCAGCCATGGGCTGGTAGAAGGAAGCCCCAGCCCTTCAAACCCGACGAGCTCGAAGTCGATAAATGTGTTCTCCCTACGTGATATTCGAGACTTCAGTGAAGACGCCAGGCATGGATTTGGGACATTGACCCGTATACGCCGACGGCGCGCCCCAGTATGTTTCCCCAGCCATTATTTCCCGATGTCTAGGTACTGTTCGATTACTCTCGGCCGAGGAGCATGTGCTTCGTGAATTCTCTGTTCGACAAGTTCAGCCAACGAACAAATGATGCCGTACTGAACGCTCTCCCTAGTCCTGAAAAGGGGAGAGCGCTGCAAGGGTGCCTGCTCTGCTCGAGGCCAATATCGTCACCTAGAATCCTAAAATGGATGATAGCCCATTGGCCTTTCCCGAATAAGCTGCAGCTACGGATTCCTGCATACCGCTGTCTTACCAAAAGAAAGCCAACCCCCTCACTGCTGTGTGGGAAAGCTCCGCAGGACGTACCTTGAAGTCAGACGGGATAGCGGTGCAGTCTCCTGGGGTCATATTTAGCGAGGGGGCCCCAGCTCTCCATCCCTGAAGAACTATCGAGTGTCGTGAAGCCGACATTATTATTTTAGGAGGCGGCATGGCATTTTTTGGTCAGTTGCTGACTCCTGGCTGCGGCGGTGACTCCTGAAAGAGGATAGAGCCTGAATATTTCGTTGGCGGATCACACCCAGTGATTTCCGGCGCGTCATGATTGAAGAAGAAAATGATCGACCCAATTAGGTAGTGGCGTCAGGCTGTCGCGACGACAATTGGTGTCACTGGCGCAAGCCATCGATCACTACAAACGCAGTAGTTAGTTAGTGCGCCAGCCAGGGGATTCACCTTGGACGTCACACAGATAGGACGGCAGCCTCCCTAGTAACCCCAATATTTGCCGTCGGGGCTTACAACGAAGAGGGAGAACGGATACTTGAGGAATCCTCGCATTTGGTCTATGCCCTTGCAGTGGAAAACGCAAGTCGAACCGCACGGTGATGTATCAGGCCGATGGATTGAATGTGGTAACAGAATGGCGTCAGTAGTGCTGATTTGGCAAGTACGATGAGTGAGTACCTGAAGTGCCTGCGGTTATCAGGAGGAGGGGTTGTGAGCCACGTGGGAAACATTGCATTGGGCAGGCACCAACAACGCATGGCAGAGGAGAGCGAGACGACGCGCGACTCTACCACTGGTACTAGCTACTACGCCTCTCGGCCGGGTTCACTACTAGTCGCAGTTACAGCTGCAGCCAGTCCTGCACTGTGATAACACTAACTGATGCCAATGCCAACTGCAACTCTCACCCCGAACACCAGTTATGACGCCAACCTACTGCAGCATGACAATGTGAACAATGTCACCGGCGGTGCAACCATCAGCGCGATCCACCGTCCAGTTGCCGACTACAGTGGCTTAGTCTTCGAGGAGATCACGAGGTTCCATTGTCAAAATTTTCAACCCAGGGAAAACCCCCCTCCGCTGCTCTGCAGCCACAGCTCGAGAAAGAGAGTTATGATATGAAGAGTAAGAGTCGTAGAATTATGGATACATAGAGCCGCCAGCAAGGCTCGTGCCTATCGACCGCTCGGGTACCTATTCATCTCTGGCGAGAACGGACGGATACGGGTATATCCTGCGCATTGAGAATCATTCGCCCAGCGATTCGCACTGTGAACACACGGTCCCCCTCCATGATCACAGACGACTGCAGAAGGAGAAGTCTAGCGGCCGATATTGGTACGTCAATCTCGATGTGGTGATCCCAAGACCATGCTTGCGATGTTTCGGTCCGCCTCCTAGAGTCAATCCAACCCATGTGGAAACCCTCCTCTTTCGCTCGCTGATCGCACCCGGTGTGAGAATCGGCCTTTATTGTTCCAAGACTCCGAGTTGAAACTCACCGGTCCTGCTGTCTTGTATTCGACGGCCCATCTTGCGTGACCTAACCAGACATCGCTCGCTTGCCCGAACCACAAGGAAACACGTCCAGCGTGCGTCGGAGGTGGCCGTAGACTGTTCGACTTGACAAATGGTGCCATCAAACCCACGCTTCGAGCTTTTTGGATTGTTACCGACAAAGACAAAGGCTACTAAGGCAAGGATATTTCGAACCGTGCTAGCCACGCAACGCAATTTACAAATCCCAAATATACTCACATGCTACTACTGTATTCTGCAGAGATATGTTGCACACACCTTCGAAAAACCACAAATGTCCCAGGGCTCAAGACAAACATGTGCCCAGCACACCGGACAATGACGATGAAAAACCTTTTCAGGAAATTGGCAGTCCGAGAATAAAATAACTGTTTCTCGCTTGGACTATTCCAGGCTGCTCCGACCCCTTGGTTCAAGACTAATTGCGACCAGGGGCCTCCTTAGGCCAACAGCCTTGTCAAGGCACCAGCCAACCGTGCGAATCCTGGACTATATGAGAACCCCTGCGAGGACAGAAGCGGACGAGCCTCTCGACATGGATCATCCCTTCCATTCTGATCCTGTCTAGCTACAAGACCGAGGTCACGCCTCTTTTCCGCAAATTTCCTGGCATAATACCTCGATGATCAAGTGGCCCCGGGCAAGCAATATCCTTGACGCTCATCTGTCCTCTTCGACCTTGGCTTCTAGAAGAAGAACTCGAGGCTCCCTCATTGCAAGCGAGCCCGGTACTTCGGCATGCCCTCGATGCCGACATCCACTCTGAACAAGTTTCCCGCAAATTTGGCCGATTCAGGATATTTATCGGGCTCCGACTCCTTTGCACTAGTGATAAACAACTCGGTCCCAGCGAACGTTGGGCAGGTGATATTGCGTGTCGGCAGGTGAATGATACCCGTCACCACTCCTTCAGGGGATATTCGAATGACCTTTGAACCACCGTAACAGGCGTGCCAAATGTTACCCTCGACATCCATGGCATGACCATCAGGGTGAATCCCGTCATCTTCCAGATGGAAAAAGACCCTCTTGTTGGAAATATCACCTGTCTTCGGGTCATAGTCGAACTCGTAAACGTTTTGGACCGGAGAATCGGTGAGGTACATTTTGTTGTCATTGGCATTCCAGGTAATGCCGTTCGGGATGGTCAAGTTCTCGTGTATCGTGCGCAGCGTCCCATCGTGGTCCAGTCTAAAGAGGACGCCTTCCTCCGTGACCTCAGCTATTTCGGGGTCGACGAACGCTTCGACCCAGAACCGACCTTGAGTATCAACCGCGCCATCGTTCGATCTCATGCTGTCATGCCATGTGAGTCCTTGTCACAACGATGTACAGCCGTGCAGCTTCAGATCTCTTACCGTCTTGTCTTATCCTCGGCATTGGGGCCGCTCCAATACTTGGCGACATACTCATGTTCGCCGGTTTTCAGGTTGAACTTAGTCACTCCGTCCTTTGCTCCAGTCAAGATCACCTCGGAAGGATCAATGCCCTCTATGTTAGCTGTGACTCCCAATGGCATCTTGGTGTCGATGATCCTGACAGAATCAGGACCCTTGGCCAGGTCAATGATGATGAGCTTCTTGTTGTTTATATCCTGGATATGTGAGCAGGAGAAGTCCCAGAACGGCTTCGGGAAACCAGCGCACCAGGTATCGAAGCTCATGCCGCTCGGGTGTGTAGTAAGGACCTTCACCCAGACTACACTTTGATGCATAATAGGCCTGGACGCTTTTAGCTCCAGCTCAGTCAAGGCTTCAGATCACTGACCTCCTTGACCGTCCATTCTTGCACACTCATTGTGTTCCGGCTCGCGGGAGTCTTCGTTCGTGGTACTGTCGCTGCTAACTTTAAGACGTAGGTACTGGAGGATTCAGTTCCGGGAGAGATGTCAAGGATGACAGTGTAAAGGGTGCTTTGGGAAATGTAGACGTGGCGAGCTTTCAAATACCTTTGACGGAGGTGTCGATAGAAGCCGTGCCAACAGTACTATTAGTAGGTAGGTGTACTCTATACCTACCTAACCTATTTACTAGTACATTATCGGTTAGTACCAGTAAATGTTGTACATACATAATCGGCGGAGACTGTGTCACTATGACCACATTATGAAGCTTGAATCTACGGCCGACTTCCTAACAGTGCTGCGGCATCTTGCTCTCACAGAGCCACGAGCGTCGGCTGCCTCGACGGGCTGAAAAGGTGCCGCATCCCAATGAACCTGAGGTAGATTAAGTTTGCGAGCAGGCTAACCACCGCCATGGCCATCCATAATTTAATCAAAATCAAAATAAAAGTCATACATGTTAGATCTACCGAAGATGAACCTGAATGATATTGGGATAAGTCAGTGGCAGCCTGGGCAACGTCAAACCGTCCACACCACTTGCCTAGCGCAAGTGCAACAAGACACGCCTCTGGTAACGCGAATGCTTCTGAACACTCCTCTTGGATGTTCACAAGTCGTCTGCGTCTATTCTCTGCATGTTGGATCTACTTGAGTGCGTCTGGAGATGACCGGCCGGTATGCAGTTATGCTTGAATGATTCCCCTGTCACAAACGGCATCTGTGGCGCCTCCGAACTCAGAATATCTGGAGACGTTTGCACATTGTAGACGACGGATGTAGAGCGCGCTCTTCCCCGCAGGTGCGAGCATATCGGTCTGAGCAGAAGTTGTCGATAGCGCCTGAGAGACGTGACGTGCCTCAGCGAGCTCGTTCATGGCCTACCTCGATCTGTAGCAGCGTGGGAGAGCTTCAAGGTTGGTTTGAGCGCTCCTCACAGCTTACTGTGCCTCCCGAATCATGATCATTAGGTGGGTGTTTTGCACGAATGAAACCTCGCGGTCCAGCTCCTCGTATATGTGTCTGCATTGCTTTCTTCCTATTCATGACCTCTCACGCATGGTTGTGAATAACCTTCGTGGTCGCCTCTTCGCTGAATATCTTACACTCGGATCTGTGGCGTCAAGAAACTTTTGATAGCCTGCATGGCGTTGCCATCATGCGACCGTAGGAGGTCCGTCGCTTTCGGCTTGGACAAATCCAATTCCTCGACCTGCACATAAATCAGTATCGCCATCACTGTATGGCGCAAGGCTCTCACGTACCAGGAAAGTGACATCTTCCGCAGCAATCTTGACCTTTTTCTTGGCTTCCACCTCTTTCTTCGCTTCCGCTTTCTTGGTGTCGCTTTTCTTCTTGACGAGGCCGCTTGCAATCTCTAATCGGGACATAGCTTTGCCCAGGGCCTCTTGGTCCGCCGCTGACGGTTGTTTGGCAGCTGCCTCCCCATTCTCTTGTGACATGTCATTTGCGTTCAAGGAGTTAAGGGCCGCCGCGGCCTTGCGGTCTTCGGCATTGTTGGGGAGATTTTGGGATGTTTCGTCGTCGGCAGCATCTGCGGCTGAGGACGCCGCGGGAATCGGTTCGGCCATGATATATGTGATGCAGGTGATTACTCTGTCGAGGAGCTTAGAGGGCGAGAGAAGCGTGCATATGCATATACTAGTAGCAACGATTGAATAGACAGCCATTACTAGACTGGCGTTGGTTCAAAGGCTAAGGCTATCCTTCCTAAAATGGAATGGCGCGATATCGAAACTTTGCTCCCTTACAGTCACCACAGACGTGGGCTGCAACAACACTCTTCTATAACTATTATTTTTCAGTGTCTAGGGCATGTAACTGTTCAAGCATTTCCAAGGCGTCTTCGGGTCCAGGAAAACTTGATCTCAGGCTGATTTGCGGGTCCGGCACGCTGCATAAAGCGACATTTCGGATATATACCTGACGACCAATTCGCCAAAAGCCCTCCCTGGAGCATATACAAAAGTTCTGGGTACGACTGGAGGTGACATTCCGAATTATCTATTCTTTACTGAAACATCAAATCCTACCATCATGGCTCTAAATGGCCTGTCCGGCGCCTGGAGCCCTTCCAGCTGGAGAAACAAACCGATCGTCCAGTCGGTGACGTACAACGACGCAGGCTCGTTCAAGCAAGCGACCAGCAAGCTCAACACACTACCACCGCTGGTGACGCCGCGGGAGATTGTCAAACTCAAGAACGAACTGCGCGAGGTGGCTCTGGGGAATGCATTCCTGCTGCAGGGCGGCGACTGTGCCGAGCTGTTCGACTACTGCAACCAAGACATGATCGAAGCGAAAGTGAAGCTGCTGCTACAGATGTCGTTGGTGCTGGTCTACGGGGCGAAGAAGAAGGTCGTGCGTGTGGCGCGCATGGCGGGCCAATACGCCAAACCACGCTCCTCGCCCATGGAGACGATCGACGGCGTGACCATGCCCAGTTTCCGCGGCGACATCCTGAACAGCTACGAACCGGATCCGGCGGCGCGGGAACCCGACCCCAAGAGACTGGTGGACGCCTACTTCCACTCGGCCGCGACGCAGAACTATCTGCGTGCCGCGTTGTCGTCGGGTCTGGCCGACCTCCATGCCCCTCTGGACTGGAGCCTCGGCCACGTGCGCGACCCGTCAGTGCGAGATCAATACCAAGTCATGGTCGAACGGATCACGGACACATTGGAGATGATGCGCACGATCGGCCTCGACACGGGCGGTGGCTTGGAGACGGTCGACCTGTTCACGTCACACGAGGGCCTCCTGCTCGACTACGAGCAATCACTAACTCGACTCTTCAAGCACCCCTCCAACACGCCCGCCCCGACGTTACCTTCCACATCTGCAACCGCCAACGCCCAGGCCAAAGCCCGCAAGACCTCTCTCCCGACACAGCTTCCGCCGCCTCTCCCGCCGACGCAAGGCTACTACGACACATCGGCGCACTTTATCTGGATCGGCGACCGGACCCGACAGTTGACGCACTCTCATGTCGAGTTCTTCCGAGGCATCGAGAACCCGATCGGCGTCAAGGTTGGCCCGAGCATGCCTCCGTCGGATCTGGTGCCGCTGCTGAACATTCTCAACCCGGGCTACGAGATTGGCAAGATCGTGCTGATCACGCGCTACGGCCACGACAAGATCGGAACCCATCTGCCGGCGCATATTCGTGCCGTTCAGGCCTCACCGCACCGCGACACTGTGGTGTGGCAATGCGATCCTATGCACGGCAACGGACGCAATGCTACAGTGACCCTACCCAGTGCCAAGTCCGACTCGGACGGCACTGCCAAACCCGAAACCACAACCATCAAGACCCGCCGCTTCAGCGATATCCTGTCCGAACTGCGCCAAGCTCTCCAGATCCATCGCTCCATGCACAGCTACCTCGGCGGCGTCCATCTCGAACTGACCGGTGAAGCGGTGACGGAATGTGTCGGTGGCGCCGAGGGATTGACCGAGGAAGACCTGAGCCTCAATTACACCACTTTTTGCGATCCGCGGCTCAACGAGAAACAGGCGCTCGAACTGGCGTTTCTGGTAGCCGGCTTCTACAGAGAAGGTGGTGACAATAAGAGAGGTGTCTAAAGGGGGATCCCAAGTACGGGTATGCAGGAAGGCATTTATCGTTGGATGTATGACTCACAGGCAATGGAAAGGAGTCGTCTGATGGGTGTAGGTTTACATGTACAATCAACGACAAAACAGTGCAAAGACTCTAAAGATCATAGAAATTGCACAATGGTGATGGCTCGAACAGCATAAATGCAGTGGTCAGAGGTTGCGACATGAATTAGGTTGGCCAGAGCACAAAATAATAAGCATGTACGGGTTTTTTATGATTACGCTCTTACAAGCAAGAAACACAGGCTTGCTCCTTAACATATAATACTAAACCAGCCCGCCCGCCAGAGCAGTCATGAGTACTACTATGCAAAACGACACCCACGCCATCTAAAGAAAGGGAGAAGGAAAGAACAAGGCAGTGCGCAGTCTGTATCAATTGACATTCCGGATGCAGACACCATTCCATTCCATAGCATAGAATAAGTCCCGGTTCGCCGTATCCTGTTCCCACATCGCACATCATCAGACCACAGAGCGTTGCTATCCCACGCGAATACACAGTTCTCTCTGCCAAAAAACGAGCAAAGAACACAGAAGACAATGAGTGAAGAGAGCACCTAGCCCGTGCCTCTCTTCCACGGCAACAAGGGCTACTACTCCTTCCTCAAAGGACTACCCACGAAAGGCTTGAAGCCCGATCCCGAACCCAGCCTCCGTCCTACATTCAAATTCCCTCCGAGAGTCTTGCGTCTTGCAGCTGCGTCCACAGGTTTCGACGATCCAGCCTTGTCCTCATTGCCATGACGACTGGTCGTTTTGACCTGGAATTTGCGTCCGTTTCCATTCCCTGCTTGCCGAGTCTTACTGCTCACGCGAGGCTCGCCGTCTTCCTCACTATCATCTTGGTCGAAAATGCCCTTGTTAAGCTGTTTCGGAGGCGCACTCGCAGGGACCATTTCCTTGCCCTTGCCCTTCCCTTTAGCCAGAAAATACGGCGTCATGGGCGTAGCTGCCGTGCGCGGATCGTAGTCCACGGTCAGTGAAGTTGATTTGGGGGTAGTTGCTGCTGACACGCGCCTACCCTGTCTGCCCTTCGATACCGAAACAGAGAGAGGTGTGTTGCTCATCATAGTCGAATAGTCCTCTCCATTCTCCCCTAGCTGTCCTTCTTTGCCCGGGGCAGCGGTAGACATGAGAAAGCCAACATTCGCGGTCTGCCCGTCCTCTCCCACAGTAGCTGCTGCGGGAGAATCATATAGGTAAGTGGAGTCAAAGGAGGTCTCGGTCTCCTCCCCGACATCGCCTTGTGCGTCGACGTCCACTTCCTCCGAAGGCTCATTATCTTGTTCACATTGGGCAGGCTCTTGCTCTTGCCGCCCTCGCACGGGTGTATTGATTAGATCCATCTTCATCGCTTCCGTCAAACCCAGATGATCGCCAAATGTGAACCGTCTGTTCTCTTTTGTCGTAGAAAGCAACCCGTTTTCGTTGACCAGCATTCTGGGTTCCATAGATCTGCGTCGCCTCGAACCTCCACGAGGGAGGATGCTTGAGTCCACGGCATAAGCTGATTCATCGAGCCACTTGCCTTCGCGGTAGCAGTCCAACACCCAGCCCACACCTACGCACAAAACTTGGTTTTGAGCGGAGCGAACCTTTTCTAGCGTCCGTCTGCCTCCGTCTTTGTACACAACATGTGTTATACCGGTGCCGATATTTGGAGTCTCTGCTGGATCAGATTCATTCTGGTAAGCACCAGACCCGGCCGTAACGCTTGATCTGGGATTCCATCTCCATTCTTTGACGCAGCGAGCACCCATAGCCGTAAGCAAATCGACGAAGACACCGGATGCATCCATACCCTCAGTAGTGTGAATATCATAGTGCACAACGGCGCCGTTGAGAATCCCTTCACTCATCGCCTGAAGAGGTGGCCGGCTTGTCTGGGCCATCTTTGCTGCAGTCTTGCTCTTGAGAAAAGTAGTCGGCGTCTTTACTTTGCTGGAGGTCACTGGGGTTTTGGTTGTCGAAGGAGTCATCCTCGACGGGGGTTCGTTAGCAGCGATGCTGCTACGGCGTTTGCTCGACTGGGTGCTCATGGCATAATGAGGTGTGGCAGTCTGATTCGATTTGACAGACGAGAGTGCAAGGCTACATCTCTGTGATGGGACCATTGGTGTCTTGAACAAAGCAGAGCCAATCGTAATGACGGTGTCTTCTTCCTCATCTCTTGCAGATTCGTGCTCTGCAACATATTGGGCCTCGATTTCGTCAGATGTCAGCTCATCGCTGGGTAGCTCAATTCCATCCAGTGTGCTATCTCCAAAATCTTCAATTGCAAAGCTCATTTGGCCAGGAGTAGTTGGCTGACTGGCTAGTGAATGGGCCGGACTAGGGGCTGCGCTGCGGATCCTTCTCTGAGGTGACAACCTCACCTCGTCGGTTGTTCTGAGTGATCCAAGAAGCCCAGCAGCGGGAGCCAGTGCATTTGCTTGCTCGCCAAGGCTCCGTCTCTTGGTGCCGAATGAGATGGCGGACACCGAGTTCGACGATGAAAGAGATCTTGGCCGCTTTCTCTGACCCTTGAGCGGCGACAATGTGGATGGTATCTGACCTTCAGGACGGAGTGGTACTTTCGACACGGTGTGGACATACCGTGGGAGGCTTGGATCAGGTCGAACTGGCGTGACGTTGAAATCCATGTCCACGACGACGTCCTCGCCGTTGTCTAAGCTACCTTGCGTCGATGCTGGAGCTAGGGCAGCAACCGTCGACATATTGGATTCAGTAGTGTGGAGGACAGTGCCGTCTGGCTGTTCAGCAACTTCCATCGGCTGATTACGGCCGGGTGTGTCTTGATGATTCTTTGCCATGTCCTGATCAAGTCGAGACCCCAGCGGAGAATTCAGCTCGACATTCAAGTCACTGGGTTCTGTCTGTGCATGGTGCTCAGGCATGGCTGATGGATGCTCGCCTTCCATAGGAGCCATATTTTCGTCTCCATAGAAATCAGAGGAAGTGGACAACAAGGACTGCTCCTCATCCATTGTCTCAAGTTCTGGCACGCGGTCGTACCCATCTTGACCCACCATGGTCTCACGCTGTTGCTGAACATCCTCTTCTGGGTCAGCGAGCTGCTCAGCCTCGTTGGCAAGTTCTTTGAAATCTACCATGGCAGTGTTCGAAGCGTGAGTGAAGTTGATCAGATCAGTAGTCAGTTCGCCAGGCTCCTGTTCAAGCGATTCAGATTCTTCCCCGCTGTCGCCGTCATCATGGTTCTCAGTCGTAGGAAGCTGAGGTGCTAAAACATCCTCCTGGACAAGGCCGTGGAGGTCCTCGTCATGTCGGGTTGCAATATTGTCATGATCTTCGACTTGATCTTCGAAGTCCTTGGCCTCCATGCTCTCTGCAAAGAATGCTGGTCCAGTGGGGCTTCCAGCCATTGACGGAGCAAATGACAGTCTGCTCGCCACTGACCTGCGTTTGTGACCGTGTCGCAGCGGTGTAGCTTGTCTACTGACTTCCACGGTTCCCTTAACGTGCATTCGAGCAAGAGGGGAGAAAGGCTTCTGTGATGTAGGCTCCAATGCCGCCAACGAAGCTCTCTTCTCTGGGCTGGCAGCGTGCCATCCGCGAACTTGAGTTGCAAGAGGAGTGACTCCAAGGGCCTTGGTAGCGCTCGATGGCACGTTGCCCGTCGACAAGCGTGAACGAATGTTAGCCCCTGTCAGACTGGGTCGGAAGCTCGGTCGCAGCAATGTGTTGTCTGGTGTCTGATCCGCCGCAAGTTCGTCTTCAGAATCATCGTCGTGGCTTCTAATGCGGGTGAACAGAGCATTCGAAAGCCGAGGTCTTCCAACAGGTTCGTTCGAGACTGGTGGTTGATCATCAGCGTCAGACACAGACACAGGATTAGGTGATGCTTCAAGGGTCTGCAGCATATCCTGGTCATCGTCGCTCTCCTCTTCAAATGTAGAATCGATCATGGTCTCGTCATCGTCAACGTTGGGGTTTGCCGTACGATCCAAGTCTTCGCTGGCTGGAATCAAACATTGTTGAGCAAGGTTTTTTCCCGTCTGTGCTAAGCAAGCGCCTTCATCATCATGATCGTCGTCCTCACGGTTGTGTTCAAGGGCCAGGTCCGATTCGATGGTCTCCAGGGCACATGTCACATTGGGTTTTACCTGGTCCACCTTCAAAGGACTTCGGACGTTGAGAACAGATTGGTCGAAGTCAACATCCTCGTTCGATGCGTGAGCCAGTTCATCATCGCTCAATCTGTAGACTTTTGCCATCCGCTGAGGAGAAACAGAGGATCTGAAATGCGATGTCATTACAAGATCGACATCTCCAGGGCTCTGGGACTGCCCTGCAGAGCTGGGAGTCGCCTCTTTCATCGGCGAGTTCTTCTTCGGCGAAGTCGGAAACTGAGCAGGGGTTCTCTGCTTCGAAGGTGAGAATAGGCGCCGAGCGGGTGAAGATAGCAGGGCAGTCTTCAACGGGGAATTTCTGGATTTGATAGCAGACGGAGGGAATATGACTTTGTCTGACAAACCTCGCTTGGGAGATTGTTGAAGAAGAGAATGGCTGCTCGAAGGAAGCAGGGCACCTGGCGCAGAACTACTCGTATCCTGAAATTGGGCCGGGAAAATTGTGATACCTTCGGGTGCGCGTCGTGGAGATTCCTTCAATGAGTCCTTGTTTGGCGAGGAAGGCATACGCCGAGGAGGACTCATAATGCCTACCGCCGGCGGAGCACTGGACTTGGTCGGAGAGGTTGCGTTCAGAACAGGGCCGAAATCAAGCTTCTTGACCGGTGATGCGGAGCGAGGCATTGAAGGAATGATACCTCGCCGCGGGGAAAGGCTGAGGTCGCGAACAGGAGTCTTTGCACCGGCGAGTTCATCCTCCTCGTCATCCTCGCTATCTATCGGTACAGCTTTGGCAATTTGCGTGATCTTTTTGGGCGTCAAAATCCGGGGCATGACCTTTTCAGTCGCTTCCGGTTCCGTCTCGTCGATGGATTGCATCGGTGGCTTTGGGGCACCGCGCCGAGTAGTCTTTGTAGATTTCGTGACTGCTGGGTTGCGAATAGGCTTTGCGCGCATACCTCTACTCGTAGTGTCGGTCTTTCTGGCAGTGGTGGTCGCTGGCTTCTTTGCGGTTCGTGATTTAGTGAGAGTCGCAGGACGCTTGTTCTCCTTCTCATCTTCGTCACTGGGAGGTTCTTGGAAGGTCACCTTCTTGCGAGCAGGAGCAACGACGTGGACATTCGGTTCTACGAGCACAGAAGAGCTGGTTGACCCTCCTCTAGCTCGAGTTTGTCTGGTGGATGGCTCTGCAATTTTCGTCTTTTCAAGAGGGTCAGCGACTGCTGCCTCCTTCTTCGGTCTGCCTCTTGGCTTCGTTCCTGTGACCGTAGTCTTAGTAACGGCCTCAGCTTCCTTGGGCGTCGCCACTTTTCTCCCTCTTCCCCTGCCACGTTGATTTGATTCTGCTTCGATAGTCTCTGCAGCGGCACCCGCCTCCGTCTCCTCAACGCGGTTTACGGGAACAGCACCTCTCTTACCCCGAGTCGTGGTAGATTTAGACACTGTTGCCTTCTCCTTCTTCGATTTCGTGGAGGATTCCTTTGCAGGCTCTGGTGTTGCTTCTGATTGGGGCATTGTATCGACATTTATTCCCTCCAGAGGTGTGATTCTAATCCGCCGTCTTGGAGCTACAGCCAAGGTAGACTGTCCAGCCTTCGCCGAGGCTCTGGCCGTCGTCCGCATAGATGTGGATGTGCCTGCCACCTTCTCGGCAAGGCCATCATCTTCTTCACTGCCGCTCTCTATCGTTTCCAGAGCAGCTGTGACATTGGAAAGTGTGGCACCTGGTTTTCCTGTTCTGGTCGCTCTGGTCGCACTTGAGTCTTTCTTTCCAACTCGAGACTTTGCCTCGATCGCTTTAGTCCGGGTTGTGGTAGGTATGTCTGAATTGGTGGTGGGCGTGGAACGGTTTAATCTCGTTCGGGATGTCGTAGGCACAGCTGGAGCACTCGTGCTTGTGGATTGGATTGCTTTGGTTCGCGTCGTCGTCTGCCGAGATGCAGCCGCCGATGTCTTACGTTTGGCTGGTTCTTCGACCGTCACCGTGGCCTCAGGAGCAGCAGCTCGGGCGCGTGTAATGCGTCGAGGTTTAGTCGGACTGGCTGCTTTTCTCGGCGCCATGGTCGACTGAAGCCCGGCGGGAGGAGAGGCGGTCGTGGGTGGAGGGTATTGATTGAAGTCAAATCGAAAGAAGAAGCTGCGTCTGAGTTTCAGAAAAGGGGATAGTGGTGGAACAATATTGTAGGGCTGGCACCGAAGGTAGTCCCAGCAGATTGCTTCGGGCTTTTGTCTCGGGACGCGCCGTCAAGGATTGGAATCTCGAGTCCCGGTGTCTCGACCGTCCTGACTGCACTTGGTGGGAGTCGTCAGATATGTCAGATGAGACGCGGTGGTTCTGGTGCGGATGAACCAGCGACGTCCGATAAGCTGCTGTTAGTAAACAGTGATCAAACGACCGAGTGGGAAAGTTGCAACGCGGGAATGGAAAGCAAGGCAAACAGGCAACAGGAGCGGTGATGGTGTTGAATAATGATGTTCACGTTGTTTATGTTGATATTGCCCGATGCGGCTAGTCTGAAACCCCGATTCACGCGGAGAAATACCCGTCACGCCAATACAAGCCACGGCCGGAGATTACCGACGACAAGAGAAGACCTCGATACCAGATCGTAATTCTCCTGCTACGGTATTGAAGCATCATGCCCATTTCGATAGGTATGATTGTCACTCAATTACATTTCCACTATCGTGTCTATAGCCCAGATACCCAACCTACTATGGTGACATTTTCCAATGTGCCCAACTTTTTGTTCATAATGCATACACTCAACTGCACATCTTATGTGATGAAAAGCGGTCTATCTTTAGCAGGCCAGGCTGTACAGTGGAGTGGTGGGAGGCGGAGTGCCAGCGCCGACAAGCCCGAAGCTGGGGTCCGCCCCGGTGTCCTGGAGGATGTACCACCAGGTATTGATGTCGCTGGCAAAAGCGTGGCAGGCAACATCATCGTAGTATGCCTTTGCGTTGTCAATGGAGGCGACCGCCTGGCCACTGGTCGCGCCCGAAACCGGCCAACCGGTTTCAGTGATCCAGACGGGCTTGCCCTGGCTGACGGCTACGGTGACCTCATAATCATCCCAAAAGGTGGCATTTGCGTTGGCGATGGAGTTCTCCTTCGTTGTTTCGTAGTACGGGTAGGCGTCAACCCCAAGGAAGTCGCAGGCTGAAATCAAGGCATTCTGGCTGGAGTTCGTCCAGTCATTGTAGGTGTCCACGTGGCCAACGGGCTTGCCATCGACGGCAGTGCCAGCAATGGCGGATCGAACTTGACCAATGTAGTTGATGAGGACATCCGGCCCAGCACCGGCTCCCGAGTTGTTTTCGACGCCAATGGGTGTAATGCGGTAGATGTCCTCGGATCCGACACTGATGCCGGCGATCAAATCGGTGAATGCCGTGCCGTACTGAGCAATGGCCGCGTTGAGGGCGGCGATTTCATTGGCAAACTGGGCGTCACCAGCAGATGCCCACAAGCCGAGTAGCAACGTTGTGCCAGTGTTGATGGCAGCGGGAATAGCTGAAATGGGAGTATTGGTGGTTCCGTCTTGAATCATAGTGTACAGGCGGGCAGAGGTGAAGCTGGAGCCCACGAGATTCTTCGCCGCGTTGAACTCGCCCTCAAACGCCGCCTGGTCTCGACCAGTTGAGCCATAATTGAAGCCCTTGTATGCCGCCAAGGTGGAAGGAAGGGCAGCCGCGAAGGCAAGGATGTGGGAGAAACGCATGATGAGAGATAAATATAATGTCGAAACGAATGTCAGAAGCCAAAATGTATCAATCACTCAGAAGAAATGGGAGGATATATTATACAGACGGAAGCGCAAATACTTATTGAGAGACGCAAAGCAGCGGGGGAAGAGCACTGGGCAGGTTGAGGTTGATGTTTCAACTGCTCAGGCAAGGAAAAGCTCTGCCTCCGTCGTTCGGGTGGCGGCGACCATCAAGGAAGACCCTGGTAGACACAGTCTTGAGGTGCATACCTAGTGGATAGACTCCAACGTCAAGGAAGAAGAGCCGCCTAGTGGACAAAACTGGGGAATGGAGCAGTTGATGAGGAGAGTCATTCGGCCATGACGAGTACAGCATGCATTTTGTCTGAGATGGACGACGAATGACAAAAGGTGTCCTCGCAAGCAGGTTCCTGGAAGAGCGCCAGAAATGGGACGGCATATGCCACATGGAACATGGAGAATCTCATCCAGTGGCTTGGTACGGTCACCGAACATGCGCTGCCAGTCAGCCCCTCCTGCAAGGAACACATGCGGTGGTGTGAAGGATGACATGGACAAGTACGGCATTGAATTTTGGCGCTGCATGAAGCTGGATGGTACTGGACAACTGTCGGCGTGGTAGCGGAAGAACGAGGAAGAAAATCTCTGTACGATTGGTGATGACCTGGCAAGCCAGTACCTGCATAGAACGGCCGCCACTAACAAAACAGCGATGAACGTCAGCGCCAGAGTAAAGACTCAGCCGCAGGGTTTCAGTGCCATCGTGTTGACCATGCCACAGTCTACGCAGCTTGTCATCCGCAGTAGAGGCGTCTTGCAACAAGGACGTAGACGAGGTATGTGAGTATTGGAGTACAGTGGGTGGTGGATGACTGGGTGCGGTTGCTTTTGCCATGAAACTCAACCACTCGCATGGATCGGTCGGGTTCTCCACCGCTCAGCATGCGCGGCGACAGTCGTCGACCTGATGGCGGGTGCAAAAGCAGAGTCGACTGACTGCGGCAGTGCAATGAAGCGCTGCGGCAATCAGCCATGGACATGGTGGCAGTAAGGAAAGGCGGCAACCGGAGCAGTAGTAATGTAGGTAGGAAATTAGGGAGGAGGAAGAGCATATTAAAAGCAGCTCGTCGGACAGCGAATTTATTTCACCTTTCGCAGGCGGGTTTTCGCTGGCGACTACTGTTTTTGCCAAGTCTCTGTCAGACATTGAACATACATTTTTGACACGGGGCTGCCATGACAGGATATGGAAGACCACAGGCGAACAACGCAGGAACACAGCATGTCTTGCATCAACTTGAATTGTATATGGACACATGACACGCACTCACAACTTCATCCCCAGCGCCTTGTGCACCTTCATGCTCTGTCGAATACTCAGATCTAGCATGATCTCCTCACTCCCACCAGGGATCTTATATGCCAAAGTATCCCGGTACAGTCTCTCGACCTTCCCGCCCTGGCCGCCACGGGAGTACGCCAGACCGCCAAAGATCTGAGCGGCCTCCTTCGTGCAGAACTCGAACGTGGTCGTGGCCTGCGCCTTGAGACCGGCAATGGCACCGCCCAGTCTCAACATGGCTTCCGTTTCGCCCATCTTCTCGCACTGGTAGATGATGTTTTCCATCCAATTGTAGCTGGCCTCGATTTGACGGGCCATGTGTGCCAACTTCATCCGGATAACCGGGTGGTTGATCAGTTTCTGGCCAAACGTCTTCCTCTTCGACGCATACTTGACCGACTCCTCAAAGCAGACGCGCGAGAAGCGGAGACATTGGATGATGATGCCAATGCGTTCGTGGTTGAAGTTCGTCATGATCACTGTAGCGCTCCCGGTCAGCGGACAAGTTCTTCGCTTGGTAATACTCAAAACTCCGCTCCAGCTCTCAAAACATACCTTGGAATCCCTTGTTGGGCTTTCCCAACACGTTCTCCACGGGCACTTTGACATCTTCGAATGTAATGTAGGTGGTTCCGCTGCTCCAGACACCCTGGCAGTCCATGCGGCGGGTGCTGACTCCCTCTCCTCTTTCGATCAACAAGAGACTAACTCCGTTCATGCCTGGTCCGCCCGTCCGCACAGCGGTAGTGAAGTAATCACACCAGATGCCGTTAGTGATCCATTTCTTCTCGCCGTTGACGATGTAATGCTTGCCATCCTCCGAGAGCTTGGCCTCACATGTCAGATTGGCCACGTCTGAGCCGGCGTCTGGCTCCGTGATGGCCAAACATATTCTCTTGTCACCAGCAAGGATGCCGGGCAGGATGCGATCCACCAAGGCTTTCTTGCCATACTTGACGAGAGGGGGGCATCCGATACCAAATCCGCCGATCAGATTCCATACCAAGCCACCAGAGCCTGTCCTGGACAGCTCGTCGGTGAGGAGCATCTCGTGGAACAGATCCCACTTCTCCGGTGGCACGCTCTTGACCCTGTACGGTGTCAAGTGTTTGGGATATTTGACACCCAGCAATCCGGCCAGATAGCCTCGTTCGCCCATTTGCTTGTAGATGGTATCGGGAACCTTCTTGGCCTCGTCCCATTCCGTGACATAGGGCTCGATCTCTGATTCAACCCATTCCCGGACCTCGGCGCGGAGAGCAGCGTGGGTTTCGTTGAAGTAGGGCGAGTGGTACTGGCATCATCAATTAGAGGTCGAATCGCCAAACACCATGGATTTCCACTTACGCCTTGATACCAAGCCGGGTCTCCGAAAGGAATGAGGGATCCATAAGGTTCCAACGCCTCGGCGGCTTCCGCAGTCTCTTGCACAGCTGGTCCTGGCGCAGCAGCGACAGTGCCCGGTTCCGGTTGCGGCAGGGCCTTTTGCTGCTTCTCCTCCGCCGGAGGTGTGGCCGGGGGAGTGGGCGGAGCCTCGGCCTTCTTGGTATCCAATGAACCAATTTGCAATTTGGCCTTATATTTCTTCAGGATGCTTTCGTTGTGGTATTTCCAGAATTGCTTCGAAGCGTCCTTGCCGGCCACGCGCTGGAGGACTGCAAATCGTGTCAGAACATGAGGAGATATCGCCGCGGAAGGTCTGGAAAGAGAAGCGTTGTAGCGCTAAGGATCTCGGTGACTTACTCTTCTTCCCGCCTGCGATCTTGTCAGTACCCGTCAAACCCCGGGGCTGCAGATGGGTCTCGACATACCTGGATGCTCATCTTGGAACTTCGTCACATCATAGACATCATCGTCGACGATGATGTAAAGGTTGTCGGCTTTGTTGTGGGAAGCCACATCGGCGGCTGAGAATGTTTTGGACATCTTCAACGCAGCTCAGTCGACAAACCGGATATCGAGACAGACGGGACAGCCTTAGCAGTACAAGGGCGATCCAGGAAGCGCAACCAACAATGAGACAATGAAGTATTGAAGACAGCCCAAACGCAAGAGATGAATCGAAGGAAGATGTAATAGCGCAGGGCGAAGGACAGGTAGTGTAAGGTAGCGTAGAGTGACAGCCAGAGCGCATGGACCGAGCAGGAGGAGGAGGAGGATGGAGGTAAATATGAATTCCTTTTCACATGCCAATCCGGAACATCAACCGTCAAATTACAGTCGAGTTATTATGGTCACAACAGTACTTAACAAATCAATTACAACCCCGATTGCTTCGGCCGGGCAGTCTATTCCCACGCTTCATCGGAGAGATCGGATTCGGGGGGTCCAAGCAGAATGCCAGTAATACGTAGTGCGTTACGGGGTATATGGTCACGCTGTCCCCCGGAAACTGGAGGCCGCGGCACAACCACGTACTACGACTGCTGGCAACTCCTATTACCCCAGTGGAACCACGGGCAAATGTACCATGACGCATGCCAGCTGAGTGAGAGTCTTTTTATCGACCTTTTCATTCGTCCTTGAGTTGGGTCAGATGATTGTTGATGTGGAAGATGACTTCCGGTGGCAGCAGATGTCAGAAAGCCGTTGATGATTACTGGCCAATATGTTGCAATTGCCGAGGCATCTTTTTCGTTCCCTTTTGGGTTCCTCCCGTCCCGCTGGCACTGAGTGCGATTGCACTGCATGTGAAGCCGGCGTTGCTGTCCTCATACCCTGCTAGCAGGTTTGATCGCAATGGGCCTTCTGCCTGTGGGACAAGTGCAAATCAGGTCAGGTACGTTCAGTATTTACAGCAGTTAGGCCTATCCTGCTCTTCACGTATCTACATTGTCATGCGCCTTCCCGTCTTGTCGTCGTCGCTCATACATCGTTGTCGTTGTTGATGGTTCGTAGTCTCTCCCCCAGTGAGCCAGGGTCGATGCAGCCGCCGTGAGGATTCTTATTCTATTCACCACCGTTTGCACCGGTATTGGCACGTTCTCGCAACCGCCGTCCCTCCATCAGGCCTCTCAGACCTCGTTTCTGCAAACCAATGACAGAGCTGATGTCTCCTGTCCACATCTCGCGTGTTTCTCGTCGACTCTTATCAGCGCGATCTGCATTATTTTCTTCCTGTGCGGATGCCTCATTGTCTGTAGCGGGACGCGAGACATCAGTCGACGTGGAAGCTGAGGTGGCCGTCGAGGTCGAGTCTATCGAGCTCGTCTTGCCGTGACCTTTTAAGCCTGGTTCTTCGTAACTCGTCGCCAACTTGAGCCCGGCCATCTTCCCTGCGAATGTTTGGTCGCCAATGGCTGTGGCTTCGCTCTCCCGCCGGCCTAGCGATGACATGATGCCGCCTGCAGCACCCGCCAGGCCCCTTCCACCGCCTGCTGCCATTGCAGCCGCATTGAACACGGCCGCTGAATTGCGTCCATCCAAAACTTCGTGCAGCCGCTCGACAGTTGCTTCCAGAAGCCCATCAATCTGATAAGGCCGCGCCATCTGCAGGAGCGAGCATAGAGTGTGCGGAGTACACAAAGCCGACCCGACCGGCGGCAAGGAGGATGTGTACAGATAGTGCAACAGTAACTGGATTGTCGCGGCCATGTGTGGTAAATACAACGACCGTGGCCGGCTTGAAGCAGGGAGTGACATTGTATTGGGAAGATCGACCAGGGTTCTGTTGGTCGATCGACTTAGTGATCGCTGTGGATCCAGGATCCCGTCGGTGCCAGCCGCAGACCCGGACGGTCCCAATCCGTTGGTCACACTCGGGGTAATGGTGATGGAAGAATTGCGACTGGCTTGCGAGCGAGCAATCGGCCTCAATGTCGCCGCATCCGACATACTGGCAGTCTCCTGTGTGGTGGCGGATTCGATCAGAAGCTGGTTGAAGAAGGGGCCCCACCGTCGCGAAAGGATGAAGGAGTTGCAAGAGATTTTTTCTCCTCCTAAAGCCACGATTTCCATGTCCGCAAGCTCTGTCAGGCTCAATGCTGCTTGCCCAAGTTGCTCGGCTGTGCTATTGAATGGTCGCCCGCCAGCTCCCTGGGTGGGCAGGGTCGCTTGCAGTGATGTAGGTACAACAGGAGCAGATACCGAGACATAGGCAGATGTAGGAGCATCCCTGCGTGGGTTGTCGTACAGGCCAAACGCTTCCAGCTCTACCATGCACACATGGCTGAAATTGATCCGGCGATGATTGTAGTCGTCCACCAAGCTCCGTTTGCGGTGTCCCAGAATCACAAATGTGTTTCGACGATTCCATAGAACCCCTCTGTTCCAACTTCCCTGCGAGAAGATTGAACCATTCGTGTCGATTCTTGTCCACGTCAGTGTTTTCAAGTCCAGCGCCCACAGCGCGTACTCGTGTTTCGAAGAAGTCAGATACGTCCCGCTGACCACGAAATGACCGTCAATGATGCCGCCGTTGGGGAAGCGCAGACCTGGCGGAGATATAGGTCCTGCCATTGGCTTCTCCCTGAGGGAGCCATCAGGCAGCCGGATCTGTAGCTCCAGTTTGACATCTAGAAAATTGTAATTGGAATAGATCAACATCGACGTGCCCGCCCGGGAACTGGCCTTGGGATCCTTGAGCGGGACCCCTCGTCCAATATTCTCGGCTGACAACCCAGTCAATGGAGCCACCATACTTTTATACGCTCCACATTTCCGATCCCATGCTGTGGTATTCGTCCATGTCAGGCTGCGAAGATTAAAGACGCTGATCTGCTCAATGTAGTTGTTGATCCTATCTTGACCTCCAACCACAATCATTTCCGCACCGCCTGTTCCATCCAGGTGAACGCCCAGCGTTCCCGAGTGAGGATCGGCGGAGGGAGGGTTGTGGTGAATGGCCGAGAGAGGAGCGCTGGCAGAGGTAAACACCGCAGATGACGGGAGGATTGTTGCGCAATGAGCATACCGTCCCTGGGGATTGTCGGAGGTCGAGATCAGCGTCCATTTGCGGGTGGGAACGTCAAATACGTGCACGTCCGACATCACCACCACCTCAGGTTGGGGTTCCCCGGTGGCAGGAGTTCTGCTGTGTATCGCGGGTGACATGCCACCATAGCAAACCAATTTTGAGTCTCCCAGCGCACAAACACTGTGGAAGTACCGAGGAGGAGGGATAGCGCCCAGTGCATCGATCTTGACCCAGTGACGGCGGATGAGATCCAGTTCGTAGAGGTCGGCCGTCAGTTGTGGTTTGCTCCGTGAATGTATCCGACCGCCAAAAACGTAGAGTTTGTCCCCGAGTATAGTCGTAGTTGCTCCTACCAAGGCCGGGGGCTCATCGCCCGTTGTTCTGTGAACATTGCATACAAGGCCGGACAGATTGGTTGGTGGAGCACCTTGCTGAGGGACTCCAGGCGATATCCCCACGTTCCCTCCTGCCGCGCTCGCTTTTTCCGCTGCCCCATTTGGAGCCTCACCACTGGCCTCAGAAGCTACCAGGCTCACCTGACTGTTGTTCATCGCTGCCCTCTTCTCATCTACCAGTTGGTCTGAGATATCATGAATGCCTAATGTCGTCGCCGTCGAAATGCTGTTGACTTCATCCGAAATCCGGGAGTATCGTGCCTGGCTGCTGGCAGTGGGTGTCGCGGAGCTCGACGATGAACGCAGTGTATTTATATCGGAGTCTGACGTAGCAGGCCGGAGCTCGCGCGCAAACGGTTGTGCAAAGTCGGGGATTATTATGGGGACATAACGGGGCAAACGTGTTGTAGTTGTCGACTTGGTGGTGCTGTCCTCCGCATAATCATGGACGGGCAACTCGGTGACTTGATATTTTGAGATATCAATTGGGATATGCCGGGACTTGACAATTGTATCCTGCCCACCAGTAACCACAGGTAGTGATGGGTTCGGCCAGAGAGTAAGGGCACTGTATAAAGACCCTGAGTCACCGCCGGTGGCCGACGGTGGAGTCGGTGGCCAGTTCTGTTCCTCAGGCGACGGTGGATCAAGATGTGAAGTCAGGAATCGTGAACCGTGTATCCACGGAAGTGATTCCTGCCTGCCAGCAACACCTTTACGTCGGAACCTGCCCATCATGGTCAGCGGAACCACATCCTCAGCACAGACAGATATTCATGAAACCGCTAAATTGGTCGTGGGAGGAGGGAAGCACAAACAAAAGGAAGAAGACATCCTTGAAGGCAAAGATAGGAAAAGTGTTGGAAAGAATACCTAAGCCACCAAGGTCTCGCTCTCCCCGGACTATCTCTTGTCGGAAAGGGACGAACACAAGCTCGCCTGCTTGACAAAAGAGGTGAGGGCAGGCGGGCAAGTTGCCAATCGGCCGAAGGGATACCGCATACGACGCAGGACGAGAAGGGACGCTACTTACCGGCAGACAAAGAACTTGTCTCGGGATCGCACTTCTTCGATGGAGGGCAGTCGTCAAAGCCCGTGTCACTTTGGCGGGGCGTCAGAAGAAAGGGGCGTCTGGAGAGAAAGCTGGTGACAGACGCCAGTCAAAATGAAAGGCAGGCTCGCAGAGGTCATCCGAGTGCAAGACGAATGAAGAAGACGAGTCTCTTGAGGTCTGTACCACACTGGCCCCTGGAGTAGGAGAATTCAATGTTAGTACGTATTGTGTAGGGCATGGGATTTGTGTAGCAGGATAGTACTCTGCAGTTGTGTCCTGCACGGTCTAGACAGGCTCATGCGCCGATCGATGCCAAGCCGGCATCTGGCACTGCAGAATCCGACTTCTACTTCAAGTTGAACGTATCGCAACCACTCCTGTTAGTACGAGAGTACCACCAGCACCAAGGTGGTCCTACATAGGTAGTCATAAGCACAGTATTGCGGGTAGCACTATCTCACGGTTCCTACAATGAGTCCCCGCTGAAAGGCGGTCAGGTACAATGTACTACACCACTGCCATCTGAACTGTTTATCTGCGCGTACCGCTCCTCAGATCTTGGGTTGTTGGCGAAATGCGGGCCGGCATTGGTGGCTTAGAATGTCCATGCAATGCGATATCTGCAACGTCGGGAGCGAATGCGCATGCAGGATGCACCTGCCCCTGAAGCTTCACGTGCCGGGTCGCTCACTGGACGTGGTAGGTTGAGGCCACAAGTACCATCGTTGGATCGGAATCGTACAGACTTGATTTCCACATCAGAACTCTCATTGCATCTAAGTCAAAAATCATTACCGCCACTGCGGGACATCCCGTGTTGTGGCCAAGGTCACTCGCTCAATGGCAGTAATTTTATAGGAGGTCGACATTCCAAATCATCTCCCTTCTCTAAGCCGCAGTGGTCTTTTCCTTCGGTAGTGGTGTCACGCGCAGGTATGGCTTGATGATCTTCATCTCTGGCCAGATTTCCTTCGCTTGCTCGGTCTTGACGCTGGGGTGAACAATGACATCGTCGCCAGGCACCCAGTTGATCGGGGTGGTGACTTTGTGCTTGTCGCCGGTCTGGAGGGAGTCAACAATTCGGAGAACTTCCGCAGTGTTGCGGCCGGTCGAGGCTGGGTAGGAGAGAATGGTGCGGATGACCTTCTTGGGGTCAATGATGAAAACGGATCGGATGGTGAAGGCAACACCCTTCTCATCAACGTTGGTGGCATCTTGGTGGTCGATCATGTCGTACAGAAGAGCGACTTTTCGGTCCTTGTCTCCGATGATGGGGAACGACAGGTGGCTGCCGCTGATCTCGTCAATGTCCTTGATCCACTGGCCATGGCTGTCGATGGTGTTTGCGGAGAGGCCGATCAGCTTCACTCCTCGCTTTGTGAACTCTGGCTCCAACTTGGCGAACGCGCCCAGCTCAGTGGTGCACACTACAATACTGGTCAGTATGCGAACCCTTCAGAAAAAGAAAGCCATGCCGCTGTACACAGCCTGCGCCTTAGGGATTCGGCATTGTGACAGAGGAAGCAAGGCCTCGTGGAACATACCAGGTGTGAAATCTTCAGGGTGGCCTGTACGAATCCATCGTTAGCCTCTTGTCCGTAGCCTTGATGTGCATGTTTGCTCTTACTGAAAAGGACAACCCAGTTGTCACCAATAAACTCATGGAAGTCAATAGGACCTTTCGTAGTCTGGGCCTGGAAGTTGGGGGCAATAGAGCCGAGGCGAAGTCTGGAAAGAGACGTTAGCAAATGTGCATCCTGAGGAAGTGTGCCAGCTGCGTCAGAGTCGCTGTAATCACGTACGGTTCGGCGCGTCCTTGAGCAGACATCTTGGAGGTGATTTCGGTAAGACTGAGAAATTTGGGAGCTGAGTCAAGCTATGAGAAGAGTTACTGAGGTCGGCAACGTTGAAGACTATGGTCTTTCAGGTAAGGCAGCGGACAGTTGATATATAAGAATGGTAGGTGATGCCAAAGCAGCAACGACAAATCTTTTTCCTGACCCGTCTTGCGGCGGGAAAATCCCTGCGGTGGGCGCATCTCTGGTTGCGCCGATAGTATGATGTGGGCGGGGTCCAGGATGGCATCAGCGCACGCAACAGTGGAGGGGTCGAGCTGCGGTGAACTCGGTGGACGACGTTGGAGAGCAACCCAGTCCACAGGCTCTTTTCGCACAATCAGCGGGCGAGCAGAGCACGCAATCGATACACCACCAATCCGCTTTCGATATAGTGGCTGAGGTGGAAGAGCGAGACTTTGGCCCAGTGGCTATTTTGCGCCTAGCGTGGTAAAGGATGTATCATACCAGACCCAAAGTGGCCAGACCTTCGACGAGAACTCAGCCTCGAGAGGCGTCGCATCACGTGAGATTAGGAGACTCAATCACGTGCCCGGTGCTGTATCTTCAGCGCACTCTTGAGGTGGGTACTTTTGGCAGGGGTGGGATACGGGACTCTTTCTTAATAGCAGTGGTTGATAGGGGGATTCTTGCATGGCATTGAGAACCCATCTTGCCATGAAAGGCAACAGCTGGGACTATGCGACAGTCACTCTGGGAAGGTAAGAGCTCCATGGAATGCGCATTATAAAAAGCATGGGATCCTGGGTAAACGTTGTCACCACGCAAAACCATCAGCCGTGCGAGCGAGGTAAGTTGTTTGAGTAACGCGGGAGTGATTTCCCAAGCGCTCTTGCAATTGAAAAGTATATCATCGCATGTGCGTCTCCCACAAGGGTTCTACCTCCCGGCCCTTTCTAACTATAGTCGCTGTTTGTCAAAGACTACGGGTAACCTATGGACTTGACACACTCCGGTCGATCCACGGTCGATCTACCGGCTGCTGGCCTCTCCCAAGAGGCCATCGCTCTGGCTGGACACTGCTTCAATGCGGCGAGGAGTGGAGAGATAAGTGTATTTGAACAAGCTTTACCGCAGGGATTACCGGCCAACTTGACAAACGACCATGGCGACACTTTGGTAAGCCATTAGTCCTAAATTCCGAATCGGAAAGCGTCTGACAAGGGGCACGTGGCCAGCTCATGCTTGCCGCATATCATGGCCATCTGCAGTTGGTCACACTGCTAGTCGGCCACGGAGCAGATCCCAACAGGCTGAATGACAGGGGCCAGTCGCCTCTGGCTGGTGTGGTTTTCAAGAATGAAGCAGAAATCGTCAAAGTCTTGTTGGAGGCTGGTGCAGATCCCGAGGCCGGCGAGCCCAGTGCACTGGAGGCCACCAAGGTACAACAACCTCTTTCTTGGTCTGGAGATCTGCGGACTGACAATGAACAGGTGTTCAAACAACAGGAATATGAGAGCATGTTCACTGAACAGATAGCGAAACTCAAGGCTGGTCAGTTGAGGCCATAGTTGGACCGTAGGTGTTGAATTATGTATCCCTGATGCCGTGCTGTTCCATACTTCTTGTTCTGGAATCATAGTTCGTGGATATATCTCAGCCGTCGAGCGAGATTTGCAGATGAATTGTCCCCAAGGCCGTGAAACCTCATCAACGCCGTAGCCAAAAGTCTCGACATAATGCAGGGCTCCTTCAATAGATCAACTCGTTATTGATATGCATGTCCTGGCTCGTGATCTTTCCTTTGCTGCCGCATGATCTTCTCAGAAGGAACTTTCAATGTCGATGGCTTCGGATGACATGAGGAGCACCATTCATATTTGCGATTTTGAAGCATGTGAAGCTGGTGGCACCATTCAGCCACGGGTGCGGAGGGTTCAAGGGATACCATGGACGACGTTCGGGAGGTGGAGGTGGAGGAAGAAGGCGTCGACTTCGGTGTTGATCGTTCATGTGGCATTTGTATTGCCTTCTCGTAGTCGGCATAGAATCGTTGTGAGCTGGACATCTCGTTGCACTGTGCGAGTCTGAGCCTGGTGAGGTGGAGCCCGGAGGGATTGCGTATGTGAAGAGGAGGATATGGGTAGATCTTTGGTATGAAGATGTTGTGTAGAGGGCCAGGGGCTGTTATAGTCAAGGCGATGGATGTTTTGATTTCTCGTGGAGGGATGACGTCCACAATCTAGGGCATTCAAGTCGTAACGCGTGTTGTTTAGGGGGTCCCAATGGTTTACAACAGTGGCCGGCGTTTTTGTCCGCCCCAAAAAATTGGGTGTTTGCAAATCGCGATGCCAGAAGGTGGCGGTGCAAGAGCAGGAGAAAACTTTTAACGACCAGGTAACAACACGTGTATTAGTACTCTGCCGTGGAGAATTGGCGCTCAACTCGGGACATGTAAGAGATAGAGGACAGACATGTCAAGAGCCAGAATCGAGAAATGATCAGCGATCAGAGCAGCACCCAGATGATGGCGTGAGGCATTCAGGTACTAGTAGTCATCAGCATCACAACACACTGCAGCGATAACATGAGGAAACACTGCCGGGACTAAGATTCCTAAAAGAGAGGAAACCCCAATACTGGAGGCCAGTGCATGAAGCACATGTAACCAGCGGTCTGGGTGTTTCGTTAGTATGTCTCGAATGGTGTGAGGAGAAAAAGATGGATGAGGTGAGGGAGTCCACCTCAGACTCCATTTGTGGTCCAGAGAAGTTTTGGTCTCAACGACTTGATGCGGGCAGCGAGAGTCCAGGGGCTCAGCTGAGAAAGGTTCAAGCCGCCACCATCACCACAGGAACTGCGAGCACAGGACAGTCATGGGAATATTTTTAGACACAGACAAGCGACTTGGGACCGGCTGCACTGGTTGCTGCAAAGTTTGGCAAGTAGACACTGTCGCTTGTTGATAATGATGAGAGCAGATTGTTCTTGCTCCACAAATCAAATCGGAGAGTTTAGAGAGTTCCAGAGCACTTAAAGGACTTGACACTGCAGTGGGTGAAAGGGATAGAAAGCAGTGGGCAGTGGGCGGCGGACCCCTTTTGGCGTACCAGCAACGATTCAATCGCAGTGGGGATTACACACCCTTTAATAACAGTGGGCACGACCCAGAGATACTGTGGTCTACAGAGTAGAAGGTCTCTCGTATCCATTCTCATAACCTTTCGTGCAACATAGAACAATCCTGGTTGGCGACAGAGCCCTACGAGAACGCATATTCACTATTTGACCGCACACTATGTTGGAAAGACTCCCTGCATCTGTGATCGGAATTCCTCTTGGACGCAGGCTCTGAAGCTGCCGCTACACCCCAGCGAAAAAGGCCGAGACTCGTGTGCTCATGAGCCCTGCCGACTCCTTGGGACTCCGAATGCCCTTCCGCGAATCCTCTGGCACTGCCACTGCCACTGCCTGTTGTTCCGTTTTGAGGTGGTGACAGATCGATTGCCTGGATGTCGGTCAATCCTGGACGTGAGTTCAAAGTCAGGAATAGCAAGAAAGCTATCCAGTAGTTGTCGTCCAAATGCGTGTCGGCAAAGTGGCTGCCGACTCCCGTCAAGGGAAGGCTCTCATCGCGAAGTATGTCCAATCCGGTATCACATACACCATGCCCATAGACTCTGAGTCGTTGATGTATAGGTCCGTTCAATCCGAGTCAAGACCAGCCAGCACGCCAGCAGCCGGAACAAAGAACGTCGTGCCGGTCAATGGCCTAGAGAAATCCAGAATGCGATCATGCAAACCTGGCGGGTTCCCCACAAACATTCGCTGCAGCATCTTCTCGATGACCCACAGCCGCGATGAATATCCGATGAAATAAGTGCCAAACTCCTTCGCGCCCGGGTTGCCGAAAGGCATGTTGTCTCGCAAGATACTATATTCTTGACCATCTTCTCCTTCAATAGTAGCCAGCGTCTTATGCGCCGCCTGCTTCCCTTCTGGAGCATCATCTAGCTCAATGTTGTCCAGCTTAGTACGTCCGATCACGGCTTCCTGCTGTTCGGTCGACAAGGCGCGCCAGGCCTTCAGGTCGTGCACGTACTTTTGCACGACGACATAGCTACCGCCCACCGACCCTGCGTCTTCGTCTTGCGTGACGATGATCGATTCGTCGACGGCAGGACCGACCGGGTTCGCCGTCCCATCAACAAAGCCAAGGAGGTCCCGCACATCGAAGTATCGAAAGCCCACGGTCTCGTCGACCACAGTCACGGTATCACCTAGCAGGTCCATCAGCTGCCGTTCAAATTCGAAACACAAGTCCCGTCGGTCCGCTCGGATGTGGAATAGGAGGTCTCCTGGAGTCGAGATTGCCGTGTGAACTTTGCCTTCGATTTTGCGGAAGGGGTGGAGCTCTGCAGGTCGGGGCAGGCCGTTGGTGATCTGGTCCCAGGCCTCGCTGCCAACACCAACAGTACAGGCAAAAGAGGCCTGGAGATCGCGGAAAGCCACGTTTTTGGTAAGGTCGTCGGTTTTTGCGACCGTGGATCGGACAGTCTTGACAGCATCGGGATCGTCTTTGTCGTTGATTGTCAGCACGAGAAACGTCGCTGATTGTGTAAGCGGCGCGTCGACACGTTGCGGTTCGATAGGAACTCGACCGGAGCCGCCCATCTTCGGCCTTGTCGCCATTTCGGCGATTTGGACCATTGGACAGGATTGCAGTCGAGGTGTAGCCGGCCGCCGGTTGTCAGCACCCGCCTGCCTTGTCACCCGTTGTCGTTGTGGTGTCTCACAACCAGAGAAGAACCGTGTCGATATTTGTCTTGGGCGAATCCCGCACGGGGTGCCGGAGCGAAGTCGACTCCTGTTGTAAAGTGAGGAATACAGGATATTCCTCGTTCCGATCGGCTTCATGCCAACAACCTTGAAGCCACCCCAGGGTGACCGCTTGATTTATAAACGCTGCTTGTTGCTGACTTATGAGTACCTCGCCATTTGCTACCCCACTAATGGCGGCTGATTGTCCTTTATTCCGATTGGTTTTTGCGACTTGTCGAACTCAAGAGTGTTATTAACATAATGGTAGAGCCTTATCTCGGATGATCGTCGGGCGTGTCAGCGCTCACATGGAGGTTGCGTGATGGTGTCTGGATCTTGAATATTACCTCTGTCCAACAATGACCATGATGCATCTCCTGCAAAGGCGTACGTATTTCCGGTGTCATGGCCACCTCCGGAGGGTTTGCCGCATCATTGTTTACCCTCACTGGTAGAAGGTTTGAAACCCCTGAACAAGTTGTCGACAGCTGAGTCAGTCGTCCGCATGACGAGCTGTCAACTGAGGTACCTAAAAGGTAGGTGGCTTGTATGTGGAAGGGGACATACCGACCGTCGACTTGAATCGAGGCAGATGAGTGGCCTGTCTATAAGTAGTGCACAGCGTATAGGTATGTTTCCTAGGTTGACGCGCATGGCTTAGACCGAAGAACACAGAATTTCACAAGTGAGAGAACATGTCTTGGAGCTGATCTGCAGAACCGACACCCCCCGATACCATGTCACGTAGGTTGGCGAGAATTGAGAGCAAATGCCAGACTGAACCATATTCGAATTTCCCTATTATCCGATCTAGTGAATATACAATTCTGCAAACCCCTTTGACGTGAAGAACAAGAACAGATGCAGGAATTCTCCTGTTCAGTTCCTTTTCCTTCCCAGATCCCGTCCCCAGCCGACGCCTTGACAACAAATCTTTGCTTGCTGAATATGAGGGGAGTTGTAATAAGACAGCACTGATGTGAAGAAACATTGCCTCTTTTTCCAAACATCTCGTCCGGTTGTTATGCATCCCTTTTAGTAAGGAACATCGTCTTGTCGTCATGTCTCCTTCTGCCTCCCCAAGAGCGTTCAGACGGTGCCTGACGGGCTACCTGCAGAATCGGGTTTCACTGGGGGTTCTGTACAGAGGTTGAGCGGACGCGGGTAGGCTCCAGCCTCGTCTCGACGGGGGTACGACGGGCGTTGAGCATTGGTTATGACTCGAACCCATAGGGGCGGGCTTTGGCATAGGCTGTCAACATTTGGTAGTCCAGGGGTCTCCAACCAGTTGGGGAGCCTGGACCTCTGCGGAGGCCTTCGGCTACCTCGGCGTGCCTTCCAAGCATCAAGCGCACTTGTGTCTTGCAGCCTTCATTTCTTATTTCTGTCGGCCTGAGCTTTCACATAGGCCGACACCAGTTCCTTCTGAAGCTGTGGTGGTGCCCGTTCGTAATGGCTGAACTCCATGCTAAACTCGCCTTTACCTTGGGTAGCGGCCCGCAGGTTGCCGCTGAAACCAAACATACCCTGAAGACTGGCATCGGCCCAGACGGTGAAGTCATCGACACCAACCTCGGTATCATTGATCACGGCGTTGCGTTTTTGTAGTAGACCAACGACATTGCCTTGGAACTCGTTCGGTGCTGTGACCACCGTTTTCATCAGTGGTTCTAGGACGATAGGGTCTGCCTGTATGAAAGCTTGACGGAAAGCTTGTTGTGTGGCATTCTTGAAGGCCATTTCACTAGAATCCGTCATGTGAGTGGCACCATCGTTGATGACCATAGAAGTCCCCAAGACTTTGTGCCCGATCAAGGGGCCCTTTTCGCAGGAGAGATGGAATCCTTTTTCGCAAGCAAACAAGAATTTCTCCGAAATGGCACCGCCTACAACTTGTTCTTCGAAGTGGTTGCCTTCCAGATTGCCCTTCGGTTCCATCCAACCTGCAACACGGGCATAATCACCAGCACCACCGGTTTGTTTCTTGAGGAGATGGTTGAAGTCGACTTTCTTGGTGATGGTCTCACGGTAGGCAACTTGTGGTGGACCAGTCTCGCAATCGACCTTGTACTCTCGTCGCATTCTTTCCACGTAGACTTCCAGATGGAGCTCCCCCATGCCTGATATGATGGTCTGCTCGCTCTCGGTGTCGAAATGGACTCTGAATGTTGGATCTTCGCGCTGAAATCGTGCAATTGCCTTGGAGAAGTTCGGCAAGTCTTTGTTATTCTTGGGCTTGATGCTGAGAGAGATGACAGGCTCCGGGACGAACATGCTGCTCATGCTGTAACCGAGCTGGCCGTCGGTAAAGGTGTCTCCAGATGCACAATCAATGCCGAAGACTGCGCAGATCTCACCGGCACCAATTTCGGACACTTCTTCCATTTCATTAGAGTGCATCCGCACGATTCTGGGGATCTTGACCCTCTTGTCTGTCCGAGCATTGAAAACATTCATTCCTTTCTTCAACTTGCCTTGATACACTCGGATGTAGGTCAGCTGTCCGAAGTTCGACTCTTCCAGCTTGAAAGCCAGTCCCACAAACGGTAGCGAGTTGTACGGAATGAGTTTGACAGGGGCTTCCCCCTGGCGACGATCCAAAGCAGTGTTGGTGACTTCGGACGGATTGGGCAGATAATCGCAGACTCCATCCAGCATGGGCTGGACGAACTTGTTGGCAAGTGCAGATCCCATGAAGACGGGTGTGAACTTGAGGGAGATGGTGGCTCGTCGAATGGCATCTTTCAACTGTTCGACTGTGGGCTCCTGTTCGTCCAGGAAGAGGTTGGCCATTTCTTCATCGACATCGGCAAGGGTTTCAATGAGCATTGCCCTTCGTTCTTGTGCAAGCTCTTGAACCTCGGCCGGAATTTCGTCCTTGGTAACTATGGTCTCCCCGTTCTCGCCTTCGGCATAGAGGGTCTTCATCGTGACCAAGTCGACAACCCCGTGGAATTCGTCCTCGGCGCCAATGGGGACCTGTACGGCCGCTGCAGCGATCTTGAGCTTCTTGTTGATCTGCTCGACGGCTTTGAAAGGATTCGCCCCCATGCGGTCCATCTTGTTGATGAAGCTGAGTCTGGGAACGTTGTATCTTCTCATCTGCCGATCAACAGTCATGGTCTGACTCTGGACGCCTGAAACGGCGCACAAGATCATCACAGCACCATCAAGGACTCGGAGAGCTCGCTCGACTTCGATCGTGAAATCAATATGTCCGGGAGTGTCGATCAAGTTGATGTGGTATTTCTCCTCTTTTCCATTCTCCTTCTTCACCCAGTCGCAGAAGGTCGCTGCCGATTGGATGGTAATGCCCTTCTCTCTTTCCAGATCCATCGAATCCATTTTCGCACCAACAGCGTCTTTGCCACGGACCTCATGAATTGCTTTTATGCGCCCTGTATAGTATAGAACTCGTTCGGTAGCGGTCGTCTTGCCGGAGTCAATGTGCGCCTAGTTGGGTGAGCTAATGGCGCGAACTAGTGGATGGGGAGTCATACTGCTATTCCAATATTCCTGACTTTTGATAGACGATAAGCCTCCTCTGGAGAAAGATTGTCGATGATGGTCTCTTGAGACAGTGCATCAGAATCCTCTTGAGCCTCTTCAAGCCTGCTTCACGTCAATCCGAGTCTGACAACAAACCTTGGAGCTTCCTTACATAGCTGCTGCTGCTCCTGCCGCGCCCCGTCGCTGTTGCTGCCACCACCGTCGGTCGAGCGGCCGTTGGGTAGCTTGGTTCTTCACGCCTGCGGAGAATGTCTGCAGAGCCGCAGTGGAGGCACACCGTCGACAAACCCATTGTCGAGCAACGAGAGACTGAGGCGCTCGTGAAAGACTTCCGAGCAGCCTGGAGGGCCCTCGCACAGCATTCGAGACACTCATGTCGACCTCACCAAATACTCGTTGTGGTGTCGAAGTTGAAGTACAATGACCTGACACCCGCCCCGAGTTAACTTGAACTGCGCTCCGGCAACTTTTTTTGGAGCAGCTTCGGTGCCAAGGGAAGTTGAAACAACTTGAAGGCCATTCGCGGGCGCACCCGCTTTCGGGAGCAGAGTGATGCCGCCCTGTACCATCACCGGCTTGCGCGAACTGGCTGCGTTACTCTGTTAGCACTCTCGATCTTACTACATACTAAATTTCCCCGTTATTGTCCGAAGCTCGCCGACGGCAGAGCGACTACGGTCACCATATCACCACATTTGTCTCCCTGTCTTTCAGTGATCCTCACGCCCAAACTATCATCCCAGCTTTATAGCAGATAGGGCTCATATAAAGCGTTGTTAAGAATGGAGAGAATTGAACAACAAACCGGAGTCGTGGGAGGCGCATACCTAGAGAGATTATATTGAGACAGGCGTGGTATTGGTTTGATATACAAAACGAGCCTTGCACAGCCTTGCGCACGTCCACCTTCAGGCGTTTAAGGGTAAATTGTGTCAACGACCGAAAGTATGCCGACCCAGCATCCCACGACTGGATCCTGCGAAGACCCAAGACTAGTAGAGAGCCAGTGGCCGGCTGGTTAGGCAGGGCTGACTCTATTCATTCTCAACGTTGGGCTCACATGAACGGGGGCGGCAGGGTTCGGCAGCAGGCCCCGATGCACACAGCTTAACGCCTAGACACTGTGTTATGGAAAGTGTTGGGGTAGTTCAAGATACAGATACCCATGCTCAGAGGGTACGTGCATATTGGTTGATATCTGCCGGAACACGAGTGCCTCTCTTGCGACATCTTGTTACTATGGAAAACAAGGTGTATATAAGGTATCACACTTCCTTCACGAAACCAACCTCCACAAGCTTGTCTATCGCAACGTTCAGCGCCTGAACCTTGGTCCTAGTATTCTCCCTGACCCATAGAAACAGCTCCAGCAGTGCTCTTCTGACGACATTGGTCCCCGGCGTGATACGCATCTGCTCCTTTCCGATGATATACACGACTTGAGTCGAATAGGCAAGCTGTATGGCGGCCAGCTTCTCGGCAACTTCGGATTGCTCGAAGGATGGCCGTGCTGAGTCAACACTCTTTTCCTGTAACACAGTTTCCTTTGCTCTGTTCAACATGGTCGACCTGTCTGAGTCGACGTAAACGCCTTCCAGGATGATGAAATTCCGGACTTGCTCGTAGAGTAGAAGTCCCAGGTTTTCAGTGATGACCTCATCGTTGTAGCCGTGCCGAATAACGACGCGGTAGCAATCTGGCATCGGAGCCTTGCTGTTGCCATCACTTCCAATGTAGCACCGAGTCACCGCATAACGTTCTGCAGGGGGCACTGTCGGTATCGCTAACGGCCTCAGATGAAAAAAGATGATGACGTCTGACGCTGCATGAAATTTTTGAAGAAAGTGAATGAAGACTGTGGGAGTGGTGGATGGGGACCCCGCCTTGTCGAAGAAGATACCGACACCATCGATGCGAGTAATCTCCCCTCCGCCAAATGCAGGCAAGAGTCTCAGCTTACGGCTGTGGACATCGGTGCTGTCTGTGGCGCAAAGCATGTGTGAAGGTGGGAAGCGGTCAGTGGCTTCGGCACGCCATTGCTGCTCCTTTCCGAACCGCCACAGAATGAAAACGCAAGAGAGCACCACCGCAAGTGCCAGCGTGAACCATGCTCCTTCGGGAACCTTGGTCAATGCCGATGACAGGAACACACCATCGAAGAGGGCAAAGATTAGCCACATACACCCAACGATGATCGCTGGCACCTTCCAAACGATCAATGCAACAACGGCGACCATGCACGTCGACATGAATGTCACAAGGATGACACAGACACCGTAGGCATGTCCAAGGCTTGTGGTGTTGTTGTATACCGCAGTGACTATGACGCTGCCAATCATCAGTAGCCAGTTTGCAGCTGGTATGTATATTTGGCCGTAGAATATCTTCGAGGTATGCACAGCCTTGATTTGCGGAAAGTAAGACAATTTCATGATTTGAGACAAGAGCTGGAAGACCGCAGTGATCATCGCTTGGCTGGCGACAATGGCAGCGAGTATCGCGATAACGAGTGACGGCCAGAAGCAACCGGGTGGGACCGTGTTGTAGAATGGATTTGTCCAGGCGGTTGGGTGTTCAGATATATATGCGGCCTGTCCAATGTATCCTAATAGTAAGCAGGGAAATGCGAAGAACAGCCATGATAGCTGCACAGCCCGCCGAGTAAAGGCACCAAGGTCCGCGAAGAGTGCCTCACAGCCCGTGAAGGCTAAAAGAATACCTCCTAGACTCTTCCAGCCCTCCGTCCTGTTTCGCATAAGAAAGGCGCCGGCAAAGTAGGGAGAAAACGCCTTGAGCACAGATGCGTCATGTTTGACGAGATTGAAGATTCCAAAGGAAGCGTTGAAAAGCAGCCAGACAATGACAATAGGGGCGAAAGTACTCGCAAGTTTGGTGATCCCGAGTGGCTGTATCGAAAAAAGTGCGACGAGGATGGCGCATGAGACACCGATGATAGTGGGATTCGTGATACTTGGAGAGACGACCTCTATGCCCTGAATGGCACCTAGAACGGATTGCGCAGGAGTCAAGACACCGTCAGACATGACCAGCGCGACACCAAGCACGCCGACAATCTTCAGCAACCACTGCATAGCCCAGGAACGCTCGATAAGATTTCGAGCCTTCTGTGCCGGTTTGCCAAGATCCCCTGTGCGGTGACGTTCCATCTTGATTCTTTGCTCTTCACGAGGATCCCGACGAACAATATTCGCGTACCTCGACAGGAGAGTGAATAGAGCAAACGTGCCACCTTCACCTTCATCGTCGGCACGGAGGATGATGAGACAGTATTTGATGCTGACCATAATCGTGAGACTCCATATGATCAAGGATAGAGCACCCAGGAGGTCATCGTAGCTGGGGTCGGAAGTGAATGTCGAAGAATATACGTATAAAGGGCTCGTGCCGATATCGCCGTATATGACACCAGTGGATTGGTATGCAAGCCACAGGAGCTTCGTGCCACGGAATACCTGTACAGGTCAGCGATGAAAGCAATCCCTTGCTTGGGCAAGCACCATCATACCTGTTTTGTCTTGATATCACGGTCTTCGATATTGTCCGCCTCGGCTTCAAGAGCATCCTGTTTGGCGCGTTTTGCCGCACTGTTGGTACGAAAGCTACCGACACCTGCAACTTCCCTGCTCCGTAACGGGTATACACCGCCGCTCTGCGAGGGTACGGGCTCAATAATATCATCAAATTGGCTTCGCGGTTCAGACATTGCAAGGAATATCGGGACAAACGGGAAAAGCAGAGAAAAGAAGTTGAAGGACTAGGGAAGTATTGGGCACCCGATAGCACTCACTGATACACTGGAAGAGAGCCCAGGTGATAGAACAAGAGGAGAGGAACAGTCTGGCGTGCAACAGGGGAACAGTCTCATATACCTACCAACGCTCTTCGTAGCAAAGCAAGCAAGCACGTGGTGCAATATGCTGCACTGTACGGAGAAGCTTTACAAGTGCCGCTCCTGGTGCATGCGAGGAGCAACACTGCCACATTCAAGCGTCCTTCCCTACGACACTGCTTCTGTTGTCCCACCACCCGGGGAAGAACAGTCCTGTTAAACCACTCATGCCCAGGCCGACGGGCTGGAGAGCAGGGTTCCCAAGAGGCAATCACCCAAGCTTGATGAGAGGGACGAAGAAGCCCAAAGATAGTGTGAGTCTTTGGAAGACGGCGATGGCTGTTACCCCATGTGGGAGCCACCGAGCAGGGTCAGCGAAGGTGGTGCAACGCGGTTGCGGTTCAAAGCTTCAAGCAGATACCGACAGGGCAGTAGGATTACAGACGCCGATATTGCAGAGGCTAGCACAAGTCTCGATGCATATGATAAATGCCTCATAGCAAGGGGTAAGAGGAGTGAGGAGAAGACGATCCTGATCATGGCGACGTTGATTGAAAGACTCTTAGTGGCAGCTCAATCTGGCTATGGGCCAATGACTGTGACATGGACAAAAGCTTGGCCCCCACTTTGTCGACGCAACCCCAGATTGTCGTATCAACTTCCTGGCGCAGCCACCACACAATCCATATCGTAATTCAAATGGATTCGGAGTAGATCTGGCATGTGCAGATCCTTCAATGCGCCTGGCTTGTTGCAAGTGATGCCCACTTTCGTGGGTGGCTGTGCAACACCTCCTCAGAGGTTCTCTACTCTTCTCGGAACAATCACCTGGATGAAGGCCTGCGGCAGGCTGTGTACTTTCCATCAGTCCGATGTGTCGGGTCCCCAGAACGCCTGACCCTTACCATTACTATGCAAAATATAGCTCATGTAAAACAGGTTTCAGCTGTCTGGATGTGTTGTCGTACAAATCATCATTGCCTAGACCGAATACATGATCTATCAGCGTTGCCCCTTACAGTCACTGCTTGGCACCCCTCTCGTCCTTATTCTATTCTCTTCTTGCCCTCTTCCATGAACCCCATGTTGGCTGTGCTGATATTTCGAGCCCTCCTCTCCTTGCTACTGGCTGTAGCCGTAATCAGAGGCCCAATGAGCTTGTCCTTGTGTGCCCGTGCCAGGGCTTGATTGAATTCTTCAAGGGCAAAGTTTGGGGTGTTAAGCTTGGGCCAGTTGACGTAGAGTAAGCCATAGGTGTAAAGGAATTGAAAGGACCAGCCAGCCACCACCAAACATAAAATGACAAGTAACCGCAACGGCCAGACGGTGGCTTCTGGAGATCGTCGAGTGAGAAGCGCGATTAGGATAATGAAGAGGGAGGCTGCAAAAACATAAGGGATGGCTTGGATGATAAGCGGCCGGCGGTCAACGAACATCATAGGCGATCCAACCCCATAAGTCGATGGAAGATAAGCCCCAAGGAAGAGATCGAATCCATCTTGTCGAGGTCCGTCCAGGAAGTTGTTGCGGATATACCGAGTGCAAGAATTACTCAGATCCTGCAACATTCCCACTCTCGTCCGAGTGCCTGTCCTTGTGAAGTCAGTCTTCAAAGCGCCGGTGCCCGAATAAGCTTTTGAGACGACATCCGCGTTGTCGGCCCATATATTCCTGAATAAGAATTCAAAGGCACGATCGTCGCTTATGCGCTCGCCTGGTTGCAGGATACCAAGATCTTGGAACTCCTGTGTCAACGCCCATCGACCAAGCATACTTTGGACGACATTCGTCCTGTCGAGGCAATCCATGCAGTTGGTGCGGACCACGGCTGTCTGCTTCAAGCGGACCTCAAGAGCGCCAGAAGGATCACCAGGCATTTCAACCCCTTTGAAATATTGGCCCTTCTTTAAGCCATCCATCAACTCGTCCAACAAGAGCTCCGCCCGGTGCCATTTTAAGCCTTTGGTCTCGTTGTGGAAGTCAAAATAGATGTAATGCAGTTTGTCCATCATCGAACGTGGGTATTCTGCACTGATATCTCTGAACTTTTCGTCGGTGCGCTGGTCGGCTTCAACTGACTCATCCGGGGAGTTGACCAGTATCCTGATCATCTGCTCGTACGCTTTCTTCACGCGTTCTTCCCTGCCGCTCGCATTGACCAAGTTCACCAGGTAATTCTCGCCGTAGATTCTAATCTGCTCAGCGAAATGCTTTCGAGCAGCATCCACTGCAGTATCTACCCCTCGGATCTGAAGTCTTGGTACATAGCGCAGGTCATTGATCTCGGCCCAATAAACAGGAACACTGCCTCGCGTTTGCACGAATGACAGGACTTGGGTCTCGGAAGGCTCGCCGCCAATCTTCCCATTTTGCATGCCTGCGCCCCCAGCGTAACCCGCAGGCGGTCCGGAAACATCGTTCAACACGACGACTTGTTCCGTCTCGTTGTAATTGGAGACATGGCCTTGATCGTCAATCCCGCGAGAAAAGTATCTGGTCCCACCACGGTGCCGTGATCGCCTGGTGATAAGCGCGAAGTTGAAATTGGTCGACTTGAGCCTTGCCGCCCTCACTTCGAACATGCCAAACATAACAGGCAGAATGTAAGGGTCAGCTCCTGGCTGTTGCTGTCCCCTCAACCCGGCCAAAGGTCCACCTCCCATCCGGAAGTCGATCAGGTCGGTCTGAACGAATCTGTTCCAGAAGAAACGATCGTCGGCTCTCTTCCACAATGGCTGCGACGAATCTGACTCGGATTGACGTTGAAAGCTTGAAGTCACATCCAATGAATAAGAAAAGTACATGGGGCCAGTGGCCAGCAGGGTCTTGAGATATGAAAGATAAGTATCCTCGTCGGGATCGTGAACAGGTCGTTCTCGGAGGGGGAGAAACTCGGTTGCGACGACCTTGTAGACCATATGGCCTCGAAGCCTGCCCATGGGTTGTGCCTTTGTGATAACAATGACATATTTGTCCAACTTCAGCTTGATGATACCCAATATTCCTGCAATACTGGAAACGCGCTTTGCGCCCAGCAGAGAGCCATCGTTCAGCCGGATGTCGCCAGAGGGCCTTTCTATGACCAGCGTCGGCGCAGAAGGGGTGGACGGAGAGGTGAAGGCATAATGGCTGGTAGATGCATGGACGTTGATGTCGCGAAAGGGCAGTAGAGTGGCCATGACCGGGGGCGCAGCTCAAGCTCTGCGGGACAAGGCTTTGGTTGTTGTCGCTATGAACTCATTCTCAGCCTCAAGTAGGGAACAGAAAGATAATACAAGGAAGTGGTTTATAACGTATGTGTGATCTACCAGGTTTGGGAACGAGAAGCACAGTGACTGCGGCGACTGGGTGATAAGTCGCACAGACGTCGATTAGCAAGAGTATTGATTTCAGGTGGGAGGCTGGAGGCTGGAGTTTCCCTGCGTCGTCATCCTTGGCTTCCGATTTCACGCCATTTCATCCATGGTCCATCGTCCCCAACTACCCAAGGATTGAGCCACCGCAGACAATAACATCACCCATCAGCACATCCACGATTGTACTTACCCATTACTTCGGCGCTGAACCACGCTTGTAGAGTTGTTTTGATCCTCGAATCCGGAGATACAGCATTGCTTTAAGTCTCGACCAACGAACGCCATGGCCACGAGAGCTCCCGCAGGCCGACCTGGCGCAGGCGGCAGGTTTGCCCAGTTCAAGCTCGTCCTCCTCGGTATGTTGGATCTTTGAGATCGCAAGGGTCACAGTCTAACAGTTTCCTAGGTGAATCTGCAGTGGGCAAGGTACTCTTCCCAGCGACTCCGGGGTCATTTCAAGCAACTAATACCTTTTAGAGCTCGTTAGTTCTTAGGTTCGTCAAAGACCAATTCGACGACTATCGCGAGTCCACAATTGGCGCCGCGTTCTTGACGCAAACGATATCGCTCGATGAGAATACGACGGTGAAGTTTGAAATATGGGACACAGCGGGTCAAGAGAGGTACAAGTCGCTAGCCCCGATGTATTATCGGAATGCGAATTGCGCTGTCGTCGTCTACGATATCACACAGGCCGTAAGTGTCCTCCTTGCGAACCCCAAATGCTGCGGCTGAGAATGTATCCAGTCATCACTGGACAAGGCAAAGTCATGGGTGAAAGAGCTCCAGAGACAAGCCAACGAGAACATCATAATTGCGCTCGCCGGAAACAAATTGGATATCGTTAATGAACATCCCGATAAACGCGCCATCCAGACAGCGGACGCGGAAGCCTACGCCAAAGAGGCAGGGCTTCTCTTTTTCGAGACCTCGGCCAAGACGGCAACCAATGTTAGTGAGCTCTTCACCGCCATCGCCAAAAAGCTCCCTCTTGATCAGGCAGGACCTCGCAACTTGAGGTCAAACCCTCGACCAGGAGTAGATCTACGACCCGAGTCGACTGGCACTCAAGGCGCTGGAAATTGCCAATGTTAAACAACGCGTCAATGGATTTGTGCTCAACTTTGTGACCTTTTGATTCAGCTAGCAGGCGCATGGATGGGGACCATTACGGCTGGGCAGGACGCTGGATTTGGGATTGTTTTTGCCGTCACACCCAGAATCAGGGCCAACTCTGGATCTTGAGCTCCAGTTTGGAGCAAACCTTGGACCAGGAGGCCACGAGCGGCATCATGAGGAACGCGCAGAAACATCTCTGTTGGTTCATGCTGCGAGGTCATCTTCTTCTAACCATGGTGATATACTACCCTGAACGGCGTTCTTGAGATCGGTGCCCCTTCCGGCTACACGTATCAACAGATTTTTAATGCCTAGACTCATGTTCCCACTGCACAAGATTTTTAACATTTCTTTGCGGCACGTCCGTTACTGCTTTGAACGCTGTGGCTGTCATGTTCATCTTCTCAAAACAGGGTTCTACCTGCCCCTTTTGTGTCTTCCAATGCCCATGGGCACATCTGAACACATTGTTTAAGCTGGATTCTCTTCGATCTTACACCGATCCTCCACTTCGGTTGCCGGCCTTGTCACCAACCAGCCCGGCCATTTCCAACAGCGCCCTCGCACCATCCTTGTCACCTCCAAACTGTACGCCTCTTCTTCTCGCCGCCTCTGCCTCCTCCCAATCGAGTCTTTTCCGTTGCCTCGTGACCTCGTCCTCACCTTCTCCCACGGGAAAATTGATTCCCCAGACTTCCAGATTGTCAATGTCAAACGTGATCTTCTTCGGCTGCGCGAGCTCGGCATGACGGCTCTGTGCGGTTTCCAGACCGGGATCAGTCACGAATGCCCCACTGCCTGCATCGCCATCGTGCTGAAATGTCGCGGTCGACAGATCTGCATCGACCAGTAGGCTGACAGGGCCGAGCACCGGTGGTTGTGACACAGTGCGCGACTGTTGTGGAACTACACAGCCCAAGGCAATGCCAGTCTTGCTAGAAAAATATGACACGGGGATAGTGTGGTTGTAGGAATTTTCAGGGAAGACTGCCTGCCGGGGTTGAAGCTGGACCAGGCACGCTTTGGGCGCCGAAGGGTCGCGCGATGGCGGTCGGCGAGGGCCAGAAGCTGGGTCGTGCCATCTTTCGGGGAGGTAAGCGGCCAGCGTTATGGGTTTGTTGCTGGTGTTGGGAAGGATGCCGGAAACGATGACCAAAGTTCCTGACCTCCAGGAGAGGACTTGCCGTGAGAAAGAACTGAGGGAGGTGCCGTGCGATGAGGTTGAGTATAGTTGATTGAATCTGGCGCCGGAGCTGAATACATCCAGGAGAGAGCCGGACGGAGAGAAGAATTTGAGCGACATCGTAATCTGGGAAAGAAGGGTGTCATCGAAGATGGAGTCACTGTCCTCCTCAGATGACCTGTATATGGGGGACGGCCGGGGTTCGATTGTAATGACTGGGTCCGGTTCGGCGCGATGCTTGTTAAGATTGAAGTTCTTGCTGAACAGAAAGTGCTCAAATAGTGCGCTAAGAGGTTCGAACAGCCAAGGAGTTGTTGTCGTCACGGTCTTGACGAAGTTTGAATACTTGATACCATTGCTCAGAGGGTCAGGATCAAAGGCAGCGATGATGGCATCAGCGGATGCACGGAGGGCACGTAGTCGTTCCTGGGTTAAGCTCTGACCATAGACCCCGACGGGCGTTAAGGGCTCAATTCCAGCAATGAGCAACAGTAGCATTATAAGCTTCTTCATGTTCTCTACTGGAATGATAGCATGGTGGATTTTGCGGTCTGTCTTCTGGTCATGCCTGAAGACCTCAATGGCGTCAAGCGAATCGAGGGCAGCCAGAGCAAGGTCATCGTCGTCCTCTTCTTCATCGTCATTGGCGGGCTCGTCGATGGCGAATCCCGAAGCATGAGAACTCGCTGCGTTCTCGAACTCACGTTCCTTCAACATGTCTTCCGGTAACTGCTCACTGATGATCTCATCCATATTTGGTTTCGCCTGGGGCGAAGACATGCTGGCACTCCGATCGAACACGGCCAGGCTCCGGAACAACAGTTTGACTTTATCGTGATCACCTCGTCTCAAGATCTTCTTGTACCTACCAGTCATAATCGTGACGACCTTCAGCAGGGCCTCCCTGGTCAATATGCATGGCGCGAGGCTCGGGAATGGAAATGCTCCGAGATAAGTGCACATGTGATAAAGAACGGGCCCTGCGTTGAGCGGCTCCGGTAAGGCCAAAAAGCGACACAGAGTGTCCTCTTTCCAGTATTCAACATCTTCCTGATGGTCGGCCAAGGTCTTGAAGTTGTCCTTGTAATGCGCGATCTCTAGATAAGTGTAGCACTTGGACGCAAAGCGGAGGGCCAGTTCGTGGCTCAGGTGCTCTGGATTGCCCAGAATATCAGACCTCACGTCGGGGTCTGGATCGGATGATAGTCTGACTTACCTATTGGGACCTCTTTCGCTGGCTCTGATGACTGAGACTGGCCCATGTTGGATCATATCCCCTGGCAGAGAGGTGGATTGATAGATACCAGGTAGTCAGGCAGGGCACAGAATACTACATACCTACCTACTACTACCCCCAGTGCTATTGATGTCAGACATGCGGACGAGACTACGCCATGACGTCTTCGAGCCCACCGTACCGAATCATACTCCGCCCTATGCAAGCGCAGTTTTGTTGCGCGCATATTTCCTCGCTGTCGGTTGTTTGACGAACGCTGGTCGACCCTGTGGTAAGCGATCATGCGTGTGTTATGATGCGGGCATGGACCCTGAGGCTCTCGTCCAAACAGCCGAGATACGTCCGCCGGTTCGCGACAACTTCTATCGAAATGGCGCGGACGTACGCAGTGAGTAATCGCTCTCACAGCATTATACATGGACAGCGCTGACACCGAGCAGGACGCTGTTGCGTCTTTGAACACGCTGCAGTCCAATTTCGCCATAGTCGATGCGATCCGGAAATCAGGGCGGAAGATGAATGAGCAGGCTATTCCGGAAATGAAAGAGTGGTGCCGCAAGATTGGATATGAAGTATGCGACGACTGAGCCCATTGCGAGCTGCCACCCAACCCCATTCGACTAACAGGGAGTTGCGATAGCCATCACAATTGAACGCACTGAGAGCTATCCACATAGCCGGGACAAAAGGCAAGGGGTCTACGGCAGCGTTCGCGTCCTCTATTTTGATGCAGTTCGTGGGAGATGGAGCAAAGCCCCTGTCAAAAGTCGGATTGTACACATCGCCTCACTTGCGCTTCGTCCGAGAACGCATACAGATCAATGGACAACCACTCTCTGAAGACCTGTTTGCACGATATTTCTTCGAAGTCTGGGACCGTCTCGAAGATGCGGCAAAAGCAGCATGTCAAGATCCAAAGGCTTCTGGCGCGAAGCCTGTGTATTTCAGATTCCTTACACTGATGGCGTTTCACACCTACATGAGTGAAAAGGTCGATACTGCCGTGATTGAATGTGGTATCGGCGGTGCCTATGACAGCACAAACATTATAGAGGCTCCAGCAGTAACGGGTATCACGAGCCTCGGCATCGACCACGTCGCCATGCTTGGTTCTACGATTGGTGAGATCGCGTGGCACAAGTCCGGGATCATGAAGAAAGGAGTCAAATGTTTCACTCCAAGCAGTCAATTGCCGGAGGCAAAACGTGTCATGGAGCAAGTTTCCGATGACAAGGGAAGTGTGCTTGAATATGTCGAAATCCACCCAGCAATTGCAACCGGCGACATAAGACTTGGCCTAGAGGCAGACTTCCAGAAGACCAACGCCAGCCTCGCGCTTGCCATCGCAAAAGAATGGTTGCAGCAGCAAGGTCTCGATTCTGACCCGGAATTCGAGCTCAAGGTCCGGCATGGTCTTGAAAGAGTCCGATGGCCGGGACGATGCGAGACACGCCATGAGCCAGGAATTCGATGGTGTATCGACGGCGGCCATACTCTCGAAAGTGTGGAATTGGCGGGGAAATGGTTCGCAACACAACTTGTCACTGCCACTCGCCAGAACGACTCGCCAGTCCCCCAACAGCCTCGCTTCTTAATCTTCAACCAACAAACACGTGACGCTTCTGCTCTCGCCCGGGCGCTCTACAACACCCTCTCTACCGCTCTCCAGGACATGCATCCTTTCACGCATGCTATATTCTGCACCAATACAACCTTCAAGGAAACGGGGTTCAAGCCTGACTTGGTCTCGGTGAACGCGAATTCTTCGGAAGTCGAAGCGCTCAAAGTTCAGAACGACCTTGCCGAGACGTGGAGACAGATTGATCCCTCAGCTCGGGTCGAAGTGGTAAGGACGATTGAAGAGGCGGTCGATACAGTCCGCCAATACGCGGAGGCGCGACATGCCAATACCCAAGAGAAATACCAAGAGGTCGTTGCACTGGTGACAGGCAGCTTGCATTTGGTCGGTGGGTTTCTCGAGGTTTTGGAGACCGCGAATTCGAATGAATGAGAGCCATAGACAAAAGTCATCAACTGGTGGACATGAGCGCTACTTCTAATGGTGGAACGGAGCTTCAACGCTCGATAATCGTCATAGATAGCATACTGCCGTATATCTTATACTGCAGTTGAGCAGACATCTTCTAAAACGCCGAAAGAAAACAATGCCATTTCCCCAGGGTCGCAGTTCGTAGGAAAACCACAGAAAGGATCCAAAATCCCTAGAAGCGCTGACGACGGCCCAAAATCGGGCTAACGGGACTGATCATCTCAAGACGACTGCGTCTATGCTCTTCATCTTGAGGTGTGGTGCTGCCCTCTGGGGCATTGTTAGGAGATGGCAAAGTCCCAAGCCCACTACTAGTCGACTCATTCTGGTGATGGTAGGAATAGCCTCCTAGACCTCCTTCGTCTGTGGCGGCGCTCTCATGTGGATGACTACTTCCCGCGAGTTCTTGGATGATAGGCTGCATGGAGCTACTATCGCTACCATGGCCTCTGTCATGCCCAAACGGGCGGGAGGGGTTCTGACGGTAGCGCCAGTTATTCTGTCTCGCTGGCAGAGGCCACGGCGGAGTGTCGTCAGTCCCTGTGGATGATCGGTGGCTGTAGCTGCTGGAGACATCGTCGGGCGGGCTGGGCCCTGACGGTAGTATCCGGGTATTCCGCAGCTGAGAGGCCCCTGAGTTGTTAGGGTACCCATTGACGCTGGCGAGTGGCGAAGGTTGGTACGGTCCCGAGGAGTTGGTGTTGGTGTTGGTGTTGGTGTTGGTGTTGGTGTTGGAATCGGAATTCGGAGTTGAGTAGGTGTGGCCATAGTTGGCATTGTAGGCGTAGTCTACTATACCCGAGTGACGTGGCTGGTCGAGATTGTTGTACGGCGTCGCGAGTTCGAATGGAGGTTTGGGCCGCTCCGTGCTTGCCATTTCGTGCCTCTGAGGCTGAAGCGGTGGTGCTGGCTCCTGTTCAACTGAGGTGTACGGGACCTGCTGTACCTCTGGCGGCGAGCTTGACAAGTTCGTTTTCGGATCAGAGGCGCACGAGGCGCCGTTCAACCAGCGTGAGACCCGGCTGCTGCTGGATCGCACCGATTTCTCGGAGGAGCCACTGTGAATGAGTCGACGACGGCGGATGAGCAAAAGCAGCAAGATTGTGGTAAGGAGGAATATTACGGCCGCAGCCACGCTGATACCGATGATGGCGCCCTTGCTCACTCCAGAGCTGCCTCCAGTTGATGGTTTGCTACTGGACCTGTAGGGGTAGAAATGTTCGATTTGTCTGGAGTATTTCTGGGAGAAGATCCCACCAAGGGCGTTATCAGACCAAGATGCCGTCTTCGCAGAGCTTCCTTGAGCATTGCCTCCTATAGCGCGCCTGACTATGGCAGGAACTTCGTAATCAGACCAAGTGTTCGGATCGTACGTGTCTTGGAATTCAAGCTTGTTGAGGTTGAACACCTGGACTATACCACCTTCAACGCAGACGGCTTGATTCTGGTGGACGCCCCCGATCACGAACATCTGGTCGGGATAGGCGGTAACACATTGGTGACCAGACCGGCCATGAGACGGGTTGCCATTGTATGCTTTGATCCAGGCGAACGCGGGTATGGACAGAATCCAAACGTCGTCCGAAGGTTGATCGGCAGCATTGAGGCCATCATAGCCTCCGTAAATGTAAATGTTGAAGGACGATGAGTCCTTCGCAGGCGCGACCACAGAGCAGAATTCTGTCAATTGTCCAGGGCCGTCACCAGTAGTATTCTGCAGAAACCAAGTTTGTGAGGCGATGTCATAGACAGGCAAGCTCGTCATGAAACTGGGACTCAGCGCTTGGCTTTCCGAAGTTTGCGAGTTATTTAGACCAGATGCCCAGATCTCCTCTGGCGCAATAACACCGCCAATGGCAACGAGCACCCCTTTGTCTGAAACGGGAATCCAGACGAGTTCGGCGTTGGCTCGCGGCTGGATGTTGTCTGGAAGAGTGGTATTGGTCCACTTTTCGTCTCTCATTGTTGCCATGTCGACCTCTATAAGAGTGTTCGCGGTCTGGTTGGCAGACGAGTCTTCGTAGTATATTGGACCCCAGTCCGGCGAACGCGTGCCGCTGAAGTAAAAGCCTAGGTTCTCACTAGGAACAGATGTACCTGCCCCATTCGTGATATATCTTGTGACACCATTGGGAAGACTCCCTTGGTAAAACCCAGGAGCCCAGCTTTGTCTGTCAGGGCCGTATTGAACAGCCTCATAGCCCAGGACAGCGTCTGCGCTTTGTGCAGAGGCTGAATCTGTGAGACGAGGAAGCCCACTGGGACAGTTAACTATGGCCTTGACTGAATGGACGATTTGACTGACCCGTAAAGATAAAGCTCTCCATCATTAGTGAACATTGTTCCATCGACATAGTTTGGAGCAATATTGTTTCCTGCGCCGCCAGCCTTTGACATTCGGTCGAAGAGACCCGACACGTTGGTTTTTGTTGTATCAAATGGTGTCGAAAAGTTCAAACGAAACATGTCCCCAGCCACGTTTCCATCACTGCTCACCACTGGGGCAGTTCCATCGGCGAATGCAGTCTGCCACCAGAGGAGACCTCCATCAAGATACAGAGCATCTCGTATCACACCAGCTCGAAGTCGAGCCCAACTGCATATGGTATAGTTCTCCTGTACCGATACTGCGGCAGTCGTCCTGATCAAAGCGCATACTATCGATGCTCCGGTAGTATAATATGCTTTCATGGCGAATCAGAACCCAAGTCGGGAGATACCATACTTATACGGCGGCGTCGAGAAGCGCCCAAAGACAAATATGTATCACAGACTTCTAAAGGTTACAACCATTTGAAAGCGTGAATACCTAGAATAAACTCCCTCAAGATAAAGAGTGTGACATGATGTCTGAGACGTACCCTGTGTACCGTCTTATCAGCTGCAGATCACTGTCCGCAGTCATGTTGCCATCGTTGAGACTATGATACCGTCCCGATGGCCCGTCATTGGTACTGTGCAAAAGTTCTGTCATGCCCAATCCTCTCAGCTCGGGGGCTTCTCTGCCACGGTGACTGACGGCGGGATGATGACTCTCTGAGCAGGCCGCCTGCGTCATAGACAACGGGCGCAGACAGTCTCGAAGGGAGAGCGACAAGGGCAGCAGCAAGCAGCAATGACATGGTGCAACCTCAGCCGCTCAGCGCGAAGCCAGACACGAGCGAGGAGAGACACGGCCAATAACTAGGAACGGCTGTGATCAAGACAAGAAACGAGCGACTACTTCCCTGGGGATTTTCAAGCTGTCGAACAACAGCAATGAGCACGGCTTGCAGCTAAGCGAGTTCAGCAAGAAAGGTGAGTCGTTTCAAGGAAAGCCAACACAGACAAGCGTTGAAGGCGGCACAGAAGTTATGCCTATAAACCGGTTTTCAACAGTGCCCATGAGCCGGGGTATCAGGGTCCAGGGCCCTTGAGTGGGAAAGGCGGTCGGTGGGCGGAAGGTGGTTGGAACAAAGTTGGAACAAGGTTGCGGATGTGGGCCCATCTTGGCACGGGATCTAAGCTGAACTCCAGATCCAACGTCGTCGCTGATTCCATCGTTGTTCCTGTCTTGCAGCTGCTCGATGCTGGCTATACCCCTGGCAACAGCCTCCAGGGTGTGGCCATCCAGCTTACCGCTTCCAAGGCTAGTAGGCTTCGAGTCAAGGCCCCGAACCCTCCGCACTGCCTTGTTGCCAGAAATGCTGACTTCTGTCATTGACTGGCGAGCTACCACCTGCATCTGGCAAGGCGGAGCTGATCCAAAGCCAGGAACGTCACAATCATGCATATCTAGGGTATGCAGATGCTAACGGTCAGGGAATTCATTGCCATAGAATGGCCGATTCCATGTGGCGCGTCAGTCTTGTACCACCCCTTGCCAGCCTTCTCAAGAGTCAAGCTCCCTTGATGTTGATGACGACGATGTTTCTTATACCTCCTGCTCGACCTTTTGTCTTGTCTTCTACTACCTTGGAGACGAGTTGCTCAGTTTGTAAGGCTCTCATCATCTTACTGCTTCCCCATTCGTTTGAATACAACTCTCGTTGAATACTCCCTCGCTTTGAAATCTGGCCTGCCGTGGGGTCCCATTATGACCACATGGTGGTAAGAGCCTAGCTGAGGCGTGAACATTTGGAAAAAGACGAACATGCATACAGTGTTAGGCTTCCTAGCCAGTGTTTCTCTGGCCATCGAAGTCGCATCCACCCAGTCCTTTGGCGGCGTTGTGACTGTCGTTCCGCATTCTGGTCCATTGCCGCCGCTGCCACCGCCGCCACCGTCGCCACCGGCCTCTATCAGTACATCGACAGTTGATGACACTATCATATATACATGTCCACCTGTGCCAACGGTCTTCCTCGATGTCACTCACTATGTAAATGTACCAGTGACCGTGACGGCCACTGCGTTATACACAGATACAAGTACTGCCTCCTTTACCAATACGGCCACTGAACTCCTTACGGACACGACCACGGCGTCTATTATCAACACTACCACAGCCTTCTATACCGATACGACTACTCAACCAATTACCATTTACCAGACAATAATATCTACAACGATTCTAACCACGGTAAGTTTTGGTGGCCTGAAGCTGCAGATAGATATTGACGCCCTCTAGACCGAAATAGTGACGGAGACGTCAACGACTGTGTCTCCTAGCCCAACGACCGCGACCGCTACAGAAAAGCTTATTCTTCAAACGTTTACCACCGAAGTCACCAGTGTCACAGTATGTCCGACGAGAACAGCCAACCCGACATTCACTGCTCTTGGGCCTTTGCCCACCGACTGGACGTGAGTACCATGCAATTAGATACCACACCCTCCCCCTCAATGCATGCCCACCCTCTCTTACTTATCGTGTGGCTTTGAATGACTATCAAAGTATTCAATCTAACATAATGACACCTTTAGATGGGGTTGTCCTCCTGGGTGGCTCTGCAAGCCATTACAAGAGAACTGCAATTTCGAAGCCGGCCTTCCGGAGCAGAATTTCTATTGTGCCCCTAATGAATGTATTCCGGCTCAAGCTCTACCGGAGCCGCTATCAACATGGAGCAACGACATTTACGGAAATTTCACACCGATCGACAGTCCGGGTCTTACGATTCAGGCCATTGACGACTACTTCAACATGGACCCCACAGAGTTTGGACTCAGCTACCAGATCTTCATTGTGGAGGAAGTATACACTGTTACCTCAACGACCCTTCTCCTACCAACTCCCACCGTCGGAGCACGACAGGCTCAGACAAGCGTCCCTGGCGCGTGTTATCCTTGGTGCAACAACTGCCTGTTGGAGGCCCAAGCGAGGGGCAAGACTTCCGCTTTATGTGTGCCGGGTTCCGCGTTTGAAGTATCCCTAAGCCAATGCGAGCAGTGCATTGATGTGCACAAGGCCGACAACGTTGGTAGTTTCGTGCAGGTCGCGCCCCAGTTCCAGCAGTTTCTGGATTATTGCGCTCAATTCTTGACCATAGTGGTGACAACGTCCGTTACCGCAACGGCCACAAATGCCCAGGGGTCGACCTTCAGCACGCTGTCGGTTGAACTATATACAACAGTGACGCCAAAGATCTCCGGGAGCACTTTGACATCGGCTGTTCCACACACCTCACTAACTACTGTCGTAGGCACGACGGTGACAAACGCAACACCGAGTTTGACATCCTCAACTGAGACGATAGCCATATCGACATCGACGGCAACAGCATCGGTGGCTTCCTTGTCAAAGTCCGTCTCAGCCAATGTAACCTCTAGAACAGAGGCCACATCAGTCGTCGTGACTGTTTCGTCCGAGACTCTCCCTGTCATCGTAACGACGACAACAGCGGTTACTAGCCGAACCTCGCTTCCCACTTCTTCGGGCTCACCGTATGTAACGACGGCGGCAGTGTCTACGACTCTGTACTCATTGAGCACCATCACCGGGAGTCAATGGTCGCAAATCACAATCATCCTGCCTCTTGCAGATAACAGCACCACTACAGTGTACGGCTCAGATCTAACGGGCGGCGCAACCCTTGTGTTGCCAGGATCATCGACCATAACCTCGTATCTCACTACAATGACTCTGACGCCTGGCATTCTAATATCTGGCATCCCGAGCTCTATTTCAGCCACATTCACAGGTCCTGCGACAATGCAAAGCACCACTCCTCCTATCACACCATCTGCATTCACAGGCGGTACATCAGGTCTGAAGGCTACACCAGGCGATCTGCGCTGGCAACCCATGCTAGGGTTGGTCATCGCATGCGCGGCAGTGCTCTTGGTATGAGCAGTGATTGAGAGAGAATCACATGAAGCTATGGGATGAAATAATACAACGTGTTGCCAATCTTCAATTTTGATGCTAAACCCACTGTGCAGGGGCCTCTTGGAGATTCAAGTTGCTTTTGTATCGTTTCAACCTGCATCGGAACGAACAGAGCTATAAGACAACCATAGACAAGGTCCCAAACTGCAATATCGTACTCAAGTAATAACCTTCCAAGGCAGGAGAAGGGAAGAGGAACAAAAATTTGAGACTGAATGCTCGACCGTAGAACAATTTATCCGGTTCCGGATTAGCGCTCATCCACCTTGACGCTTTTCCCGAACTTTCAATTGACCTTGGAACAAGCAATACACTTCAGTCCATCTCCAACGTCTTAGCATACAACCCGCCGTTGCGATCCAAGCCTACCCTGTACAAGTCGAGGCCCAGCAGCAACCCACGAACTGAGTTCATTGCATCTCGGCCTTCGCCATCGCTGAACCGTCAAATCCGCTGTCCTTGTCCGTCGAAAGCCGCAGGTCGCACAGCGAGAACGAGCAACGATGCTACCACGAACACTCTGCACGCGTTTGACGCTTTTGCGCTCTCTACTCCCTCAGACCCGGCTCTTTGGCACCTCGATATCAAGGCCTGCGTTCAGCACGTTAGTCCGAAGCTCGATTAAACCACAATCCTCCTCACCCTCAAGCTCGCTGCTTACGACGCAAGTTCGTGGGATGAAGACTCGGTCATCGGTAAAGAGACTGTGTGAGAGCTGCAAGGTATTCCATTGTCCTTCTTATTGCTTGGAATGTGCGTGGGAGCATGATCAAAGTTGGCTAACACAAAATCCCTCGTGGCAGGCTGTCAGGCGGAAGAATCGGGTGTTCATCATCTGCGATAAAAACCCGAAGCATAAGCAGCGTCAGGGCAAATGAGTGCTGCCTTTGGTTCAAGAAAACAGATGCCGTTACATAGAACGGTACAGGAATATCCCACGCGCAGGAATGTTCGAGGCTGCCGCTCTTGCTATCCTCCTCTCCACCTCTCCACCTCTCCACCTTACCATCTCACCATCCCGAATCGAAGTGGCTCCTCGCGTCAGGGAGACGAGAGGAGCCGGGGCGCCGCAAGCTCAGTTGAGACGGGTTGGTCGAGATCAAGGTGTCTGGCTCGCCGGCACTGACTTGACCTATACCTCGAGCGAGAGCGCAGAAAGCGTGGGTACCTCAGGCTGGAGGAACAAGATATGTATGAAAGATACGTTGAGGCCGCGCCTCTTGTACAAGGTGAAAATTGGAAATGCCTATTGATGGCATTGAACGGTCAGGATTGGCCGGCATTGTTGGCATGGAAGGGGCGTCCCCAGTGACACTAAAATTAATGGATACGCATGCATAGAATTAAGTCAAGAGCTCAGAGATCCTGAAGTACTTGTGAGACTTCCAGATAATCCGGACACAGGACAAGCTAGCTCGGTTTCAGAAAATCTTGCTGAAACTGTGCATGGCTGCTCTTCGCGTCTGTTTTGGTCTCCTTCCACGCAGGGATTCTTTATCGACCATCAGACAAAGCCATTTTGACGGGTTGATGTTCTAGCACTAACGCTTGCCGGACTCAGCTCCTTGGAACGTGCCGCAGTACCGTCAGATCATAAGAGCACAATTCCTATGCCACCCCTCTTTGATTCGTCCGGTTGGTTTTTGGCATTGATTCCACCACTGATAGGTTTCGTTCTCCAGTTGTAGAGATAGTGATGCAGCTGTCCATCGCCGGCGCCGAACTTCAGCTGTTCAAGGAACAGCGGGTTGTCGTGCAGCGTCAAGGCGTTGAAGACGTCAAACTTGGCCTGAGGTGTATCATCAACGTTAGCAAAAGCACATCAATATCCATGACAACACAGCGCCACTGACCTTCTTTGCCTCAATGAGCAAATCCTGGACCAACTGCGTCAGTCTCTCCTTCAAGCCCTTTTCCTTCGGGTTAAATGCATGTTCACTGGCATAGTAGTAGAGGTATGCCGCGCGGATCTTGTCGTGTTTCTTGCTCATCTCCCCAATGACACTACTCTCGAGGCAGTAGAAGCTGCCAAAGTCGGTGATCTTGCCATCCTGCTCGGCCACGAATGACCATACGACCTGGTCTTCTGGCTTGTGCTTGTTGATGAACCAATGCTCGACCTCGTCCCTGGTGAATTCTTGGGCCAGTTCAAACCTTGTGAGGTAGCGTGAGAGCAAATCGTACACGGGCTCAATGTCTCGTTCTTCCATGACTCGCCATCCGGGTGTGCTTGTGTTCGAAGGGAGTTGGTTGCGAGCAATCATTTTGGCCGGAGTGCTGTTCGGCGGAAGCGGGGAGAAGCCAATCTCATAGAGCTTCGACCAGTCAAGACTGCGATGGAAGTAGCGACAACTTCCTACGGGGGTAGGTAACACGACACCACCGGTATAAATTGCCTGGTATACGCCATCCAGGTTACATCGTCGCGTGATTTCTTTGATGAGTACCGGTGCCAGCCTCCTAGACCTCAACTTCTTGTGGACGCACAAGAAGTTGATTTCCACCACGTCTAGCACGTTTTGTCGTATTCTGAGCTTGATCGGGATGCCGAAGATAGAGGCCACGAGAAGCCTGCTGGGACCCTTAGCGCGCACACCGATATGCCAGCTCTTCTTCCATCCAGGAGACTTGAGAGCCCAGTCCAAGAAGACAGCCGAGTAGTTGAAACGAAACATGGCATGGTCGTCCTCCACGTAGTGCTGCGAAAGCAGCTTGTAAACCTCCTTGATCTCCTCGTCGTTCGTCAGGTCAAGCTCACACCACTCGTAGCCCTCAGGCAGAGGCGCCGCTGTCTTCGGGACCATCTCTGGTGTGACTTCCTTGATAGGACCGTCTGGTCTGCTGTCTTCAGGTTTCTCGTCAAACTTGGGTACAGGTTGGGTTGCCCAAAATTTGTATGATGCCATGTCCTTTTGGTTCTTGCCATTCAGTGAGATTCCGCTCAGCAGCTGTGAAACATCCATCTTCCGCAAGATCTCAGACGCCTTTTCAGGAGGTATGCCGGCCAACTCGCCTTTTAGTGAGGGGTTCATTTCGAGCAACTTCTTTACAGCTTCGTCCGGTAGTTTGGAGGGAGACTTGGAGGATTCGGCGGGTTCGGACAATTTCTCTCCTTTGAGAGCAGAGACCAGCTTGGACCTCTTTGATCTCTTCTTCTTTTTCTTGGTCTTCTCAGTTGCAGTCGTTGTCGCATCTTGCGAGCCCTCTCCAACTTCCTGTGGTTGTTCTTCTGCGCCAGACTCTGACTCCGACTCTAGGTGCGCCTCGAGTGGTGCGCCGACAGGATGAGATTCCGACATGGTGACTACTAGTTGCTGTGCAGTCGTCTGACGTTTGAGCTGAGCGCAGTGTCTGCGTAGATGTTTACAGAGTGCAAGACAGTTGCAACAATTCTAGGGATGTAAGCGCAGTTAGAAGGCATGCCCCGCTGCGTTACCATAAAACAGGGCGAACATGAAACTCCGCACACGTCAATAATAATATAAGTCGTCCGTGTCTCGTGCGTTCTCTTAATGTTATTACGTAGTATTATCTTACCTATTCGCTCAGTGTGCTTCCCGTAGCCTTGTCTGCCATCCTCCTTTATTTATTGCAAGATTCCCTAGTCATTTTACGATGTATTGGCCGATAGTCTGTAGCCCGATTCACTTCAGGATATCTGCGATGTCTTACGCCTGCCGCCCATCGATTCTCCATTAGCAGTTTCCTCCAGGCAAGTCTCGGGGCAAATGATGAAGTTCACTGCGCTACTGCCGCTGGGGACTGGGCGACTCCCATTCTCTGGTTCAGGGATAACCGAATTGACAACGAGCGCACACCTTGTCAAAATGGGGGTTATCCTTCGGTGATTGTGGACTTAGCGACAGGAACATGCTTACAGCCATTACTTTAGTCTTCTACCCCGTTACATCAGCTTTTAACTCTATACCATGAAGTGTCGAGGAATTGACACTGATTGCGTATGAATGCGCGTATCGTCGGTCATTGGTTCCTCTGCTGAATCTATGCCCAACTAAAGGATGCTATCAGCATTCAAACGGCCCCAAGAGCTGGCCAGACCGAAGCAAGTGCGGAGAGTGAAGGCTGCGGGAAAGGAAGAATAAGTGCCTTCCCACGTATCAATCAACCATATTGGTTGCTTGGATGCCGGAAGCATTGCTCGTGATCAAAACATATCTTGATAGAGACGGCGTTACTTGGCCGCTACACATTCTGAAAAGAACCGTCGAAACGGCGCGTAGTTGGCTTGAGGCGTTGAACTTCGTACCATGACGAGAAGTAAAGTTCTTAGCTGGAACATCGTGAAAGAGAGATTCGATAGGAGTCCTGAAACAGGCAAAACTCTTTTCCAGAAACCCATTTGATATCGGGGGCCTGGCAAGTGGAACCCAGTTCGGTAGGGTTTTCCGTTTCGGAGGATGTTCGCTGGTTGGTAAGCCGGGGTTAGCAACGTCGAGAGGTTCGAAATGAGAGTTGATCGATGGTTGAAAGCCAGGAATTGTGCGCCGAGAGTGGGTTCTGAACCCAGGTCTTAGTCTCGCCCAATGAATCAGGAGCCATTGCATATTGAGGCTGCCCTCGTACGGGCTAGCTGACTGAGCAAATCGGCTTGGCCAGTGCCTATTCACCTGGGATTCTTTGCGTTGAAGAAAATGGATGTCTTTGCGACTTACACCTTTTTAATTTTCCTGCCAGGCTGTTCCGTAGAGGACATCGTTCCGAGATGCTGACTAGTTAAAGCAATCACAGCTTTGCAATACCCAGCCCTGACGATCCATAGAGCATTGAGCCTGTCGCAACTACGCCTGTTGTTAGATCCAGGGCACGCATCCCATGGCCGCGTGCTAGCTTCAAGCATAGCGTCCAATAGCACCACAAGCCACATGTTCATAGCTCACCGTCAGCGGGATACATTCTCTTCTGCATTTTTCTGACCAGTGTTTCGGCTGTGTGGCCCCTTCAGCAATCCATACTGGTGATGGTTGCACCATGTGAGACGACGAGTGCGCTGACCTGGTGGCACATTGCGGATGGTTTCGGTCGGCGTTTCGTATGCTGCTTCGAAGGGGCCAGCGGCCACCTTACCACGTTGTTTATCTTGTTAATACCGGAGCCAGGCATCTATCTACCACTGCACGGCGAATGTCAGATGTGGTCCTTGCACCTAGCAAGGGAGCTACGAAGACAGAACAATTCTTGGAGACGTTTGAAATATGGCCTGATTGTAGCTATCTAATCTCTGGGCAACCCACATTAAGATCCAATCATCTGCCAGTGTTTCCTTCGACCAGCGTCATCTCACCAAGTGCCATTCTTTGGCGCCGGCGGGCATTTAGTTTCTGAGTGCAGTGAGGAGATTTCGCCAGAGCGTCTGTTAAGAGACAGAGACCGCAATCTACCACTGTTAAAGTGGTGCCCTCCCTTCTCACACATCAGGTTCCGGCGTCTTGCTGCAACCCTTCCAGCTGAAGCGCAGTGAAGCGTAAGGGGGCTGACAAAGAAGTTATGTCATCTTGCGAAGGCAGGGACCGTGGCATACTCCGCCCTTCCCCTCACTTAGATAGTAACGTGCAGTGATACGATCCCGCATTTGCTTTTCCCCAGACTCGCTTCGCAGTCCATGGACCGAAGTCCAGATTGCATTTCGACTTATCTTGTTTGCTATTTTGATCCCCTCCATTTCCAGAGCTTCGCGACTTTGGGTGCACATTATGGCAGGTACCGCCAACATACTGGTCCATATTGATCCGACGAGACCCAAGTCCACTCAAGGCGCACCATTCGAACCAACTCTTGCAAATTGTACCTCGGTCATACACTTGTCGGCAGGTTCGTTGGCAGAAACAGATGAAGACAGCCCGCTCACACGTATGCTGCGAGGACGGTATCCAAGGGCTGGCGGGAATTCTATTCCACGGTTGATATCGTCAGACAGCAGCGCCGCCGTCCGGTCGAACGAGGATCCTTACAATCCGTTCTTCATTCCTTCATCTATTCTCTTCCAGGCCCCGGTCTCTCCTCAGCACGCCTCAGCATTACTCCAACTTCCGCCAGAGATACTCCTCTTGATTCTAGCACAAGTCAAGATACCATACTTTCAAGTCTGCTTCGCACTGACCTGCAAGACCATGGGCCGCGTCGCAAGCAGGAAGAATGTCATGTCGCCATGGCGTGGGTATCGAGACAAGGACGGCTTGTTCCGTCTGCTGGAGAGAAATCATTACCTTCCGCAAGAATTGAGGCTCTGCCGTGCCTGTTTCCTTTTCCTTCCCCGCAGCAACCACTACTGGAATCAGAAGATGGCGAGCTTAGACTACGACAGCAACTGGGCCACCTGGTGCGATATCATCAATTGGTTCGACCCCACTTCGTATTTGCAGCATAGATGCCCGCTTTGTTGTCTCCGCGTGTACACGAGCTATATGAGTGAGAAGACGTATCTGGAAGACAACGACACTAAGGCCGTTGCCCAAGGAAGGAAGATCTGTCCATGCTTGGCAAGGAGAATGAAAAAGCCCTGAGTCAAGGCTTGGGCGGTGCCGAGTCGTTGTCCAAGGGAATGCCTCAGCTCTCCTCAGTCGACTTGCAGGATAAAAACGAAGCGAAGTCTTGCAGCGCCGGAGGATCTCTCATGTGCCGAGTCTCTCGATCCTAACCTTCACCATGGTCAGATGTTCCGATCCTACTTTGGTGACCTTCCAGGTCGCACCGAACAGCCGATGCCCTTCTCGAGTAAGTCGGACTCGGAGGGCCATGGAGCGCAATGTTGTCCATCACACTTCAGGCCTTTGGGACAGAACCGCCTTGATACGAGAGAACAGTACGGACAAGGTACGGACGGTACGAATAAAATGGACCTTGATGTGACGACATATGGAAGGCCTGGACGAATGGCTGGATGGTGCATAACAACTGCAAAGATCTGATTCGATTAAGACCCAATTAATCCAGATTCCAGTCTCAAAATTCCAATGTGTCTTTTTGAACAAAAGATTCAAGTCAACAACAACAACTTGGCAGAGAAGCAGAGCAAGCAATAGACATTGATTATCTATTCCGTCGGGTCCTTGTCCTAGTCCTCGTCTCTTTCTTTTTCGACTTTGCTTGACGTTCCGAGGGAGCAAGTTCGTCATCGCCATCCTCAGTGCCATCATGCCCAGCGGTGACTGTGGCCGTGGTATCCTTGCCATTTGCACTTCCAGTCCCAGAGACCCCGACCGGCTCATCAAGCTCCCCATGTCCTTCTGCCCCTTCTTCACCTCCCTCCGCCACATCCTCTCCAGTATCAGCATCATCATCAAAGTCCTTACGTCTCCTTTTCTTCTCAGCCTCCCCTCTAAGTCGTTTAAACGCATTTTTCATCCGTCCCGATTCCTTACCAGTCCGATTTCTAGGCGCCATGGCCTCCGGGTTCCCTGCCCCCTCACCGCCAACCGCGAGCCCTCCGCGGGCAGGTTGATTCTGACCCTGGGCCGCGCCGCCAATTGCTCGTCCAGCAGGAGCAGCGCCAACGCCAACGCCACCGCCGAAGAACCTAGTAATATTGCTTTGAGTGCCCTCCGTTTCACGCTTGTTCATATCGCGAATAACAGGGACCAGAACCTCGTCCGTTCGTTCCTGCGACCAACCAATAGTAGCCATAAGGAAACCTCTAAGCTTATCCAGATCGGGCACACCCCACTGGAACGGCTCTGGGGTTGAATCCACTTCGGGATGGAGATAAGCTTCGTCGACTCTTTTGTCTGGGAACCCAGGAGGAAGGAAGAGTCGCTTCTGAACCGTCTTTCGGAATTTGCGCCGGAACGGGGTTGTGAGCTGGTCTTCCAGATCCTGCGGTCGGCCGAGCTGCACTTTCTCACACCACTCCTTGAATTCGTCGAGATTCTCGAAATCAGTGAGGATCTCCAGCGCCGTGACCGGTCCAATGCCCGGTATGCCTTCAGTATAATCGCTCCCGAGTAGATGGGCGAAACTGATCAAGCGGCGACGATCAAGAAGGAACTCCTTCTCCAATTCTGACGCTAGATAGCATTCGACAAACTTGGCTGCATTGAACATATTCTTGTAGATACGCGTTCCGCCGAACAAGAATATGTCCGAGTCGTCTGTCACAATACCATCCACTAGACCCAAATGCACCAGTTCCGCGCATTGGGCTTCAGCTTCCATTGGTGCCGTGATATAGGGCAATCCGAACAGCCGTAGAAGAGCCTGGCATTCTTGCACCATGACTTGAGTAACCTCGTCGGCATCACGGCGGTCCTTCTTCTGTTGGTTACGCAGCTGTTTGAGTTCGTTCTCGTAGTCGTGGACGGCTTGGGCAGAGGTCTTCTGGTTGTTGAGCGAAGAGGTGAAACGGGCGTGTTCCTCGGCTTCGACCGCAAGCTGACGCATAAGTTCTTCTTCAGACTCGGACAGGTAGTCAAATTCCTCTTCGGCGGGTTGCACCTCGGGTTGATTGCCATTTTGCTCTGACACAAAGTCGTCGGCCACAGTGGGCCTTGATAAATCTTCAACCACGGCTGTGGACGACTCCTGAGGTGGTCCGACCGGAGGTTCCATGTCAACGTCTACAAAGGCTTCACCTTCATCGTCATCCTGCTCAGCAGACGGCGCAGTTCGCTGAAGAGGAGATTCCTGGAAATGAGATTCTTTAGAGGCAGGAGCTTGCAGACCATCCTCCTCTACGGTGCCCAGTGACCCAGGACTGTCCGGTTGTTCTTGATCAGAGTCACTCCATTCCACATCGTCAAGATCACTCTCCGCAGCCGCTGTAGGAACGGGATTCGGTTGAGGCGGCTCGGGAACATAATCAGGCATAGTGGAAGGCATGGGGGGCTCGGCCTGAGCTTTCTCCGCCACAGCCCCCATCAAAACCTCTTCGCCTTCATTTTCGGCTGCAATCTGTCGTGCAAGCTCGTAACGTTTCTCGCGGTCTTCGTCGCGTTTACGGCGCTCGAATTCCGCGTTTCCATCAGCAGCGTCCACATCGATGGTCTCTACTTGACTTGGCTCCGCTGGTTCATTGTCTGCATCCTGGGAAGGGACAATGTCTTCGACTTCCGTTTGCTGGTCTAGGTAACTGGATTTGTTCGGATCGCCTTTCTCGTCTTCGGCTTCCAGGTCAATCACTTCATCCGAGTTTCGGCGAATGGTGTCTCTCGTAGCTGCTTCTCCTCGTCCTGATAGTTGGCTATCTGCTTCCTCTGCCTCCTCATTCTCGGTAAGATGCTTGAGATCTTTGGTGCTCGGGGCAGCATTGAACCAGGAAGGCATTGATTGAGGCGGTCTCTCCTTGCGAAAGGTATCATCACCAAGATCTCGATCAAATCCTCCTGACAAGTCTTCTTCGATCTTTTTGGACTTCTTCTTCCCAAGGAGGGATTGCCCTAGATTCAATGACTCGAAGGGAAGGGGCCCGTCAAATTTTGGCAATTCTGCAACGGGTTTCGGCGGCACGTCTCTGTCCCGGAAGTTGGTCCTCACTTTGTGTTTTGACTGTCTGGACTCCGCCAGGGCCGCCTGTAAATCAAAGCCATCATCCTGGTCGACCTCTTTAGCTGGTGCTTCGCTTGCCATAACACCTCCCTCGACACTAACACCATCCGAAGGCTGCTCCAAAGACATTGCAATAGCTCGTTGCAGCTCGTCATCTTCTTCGGTAAGCCCTAAGGGGAGAACATCTTCAAACAGTGCGTCAATATCGTCGTCGTCATCGCTCGCCCTATCTTCTGGCACAAAGAGGGTCTGATCATGGCTATCAGTATTGACGGTCTTGGACACGCCAGTTGGTCGTGACTGGGGAACACTGGCAGTTGCTCTCCGGGCCTCGTATACTTGTTTCCGCTTTTTTGCAATCTGATCGACAGCATCTTCGTTTGACTGGTCGTGATCTGGAGCCCTTCGTTTGCGTTGCCATGCTGTAGGTACCCGGTTCAAACCTTCGATAGCGACATCTTCGAACTCTTCTTCTTCTTCAGCCGACTCGGCACTCGGATCCACGGAGTTCTCGTCGTCTTCTAGGTCGATGGCATTTTCTTTTCGACTGCCGTGCTTGTTCGAAACAACACCTAGAGCCCAACCACCGTCGACACCTTCGTTCTTCACAAGAATGTATTCCTTCCCTTTCTCCCCTGCGATCCTACCACCCTGATTCAAGAAGTCTTCTGCCATACCATTTATATGCATGAGTCTTTGGGTAAGCTCGTTTCTTTCCTTGACCCTCTCAATCTGAAATTTCGAGAACGCCATTCGGTCCGGGAACATTCCATCAAGTTGTTCCTTAGAATAGCCCATTCGGAGCCTCGAGCGCAGCCTGGCAGCATTGAGGATGTTGTAGCGATCGCCTGCCGGAAGGGATAAGAAGAAGGGACTTTCGAAGTCAATCTTGCTGAAATCGTAGAGATTGATGTCTTCTCCACTATGGAACTGCCGAGCATACTCCTCGAGTTCTGCCTGAGACATTATTCTCGGGTCATTGGGGGCGCCCATATTCTCAAGACTGACGTCGAGGTCGGGCAGATGATACTGGTCCTTTTTTCTAAACCCTCTACCGGCTTGCATTTCCTTCTGTGTCATGCCTATCTCTTCCACATAAACGAGCTCCTGATCTGGGGGCAGCTCCTCCTCCACAGGTGTACGTTCTTTCGCGGCGCGTCTCCGTTTCTCTTCCTCTTCTGCAGCCCTTGCAACCTGCAACGCAAGTAACTTTCCCGCTGTACGTGCCGCATCCTCCCGTCGTCCCTCTCGACGTCGTGCTCTTTTTCTGATAGTCTCGCGCTTTAGTACTGGCGCCCCTCCATCGAACACAAACACTGGTTTAATGCCATAATAGAGCAGCTTGCATATTCTCCTGAAGAATCCCACCACATGACTGTTCCGCAGTGCATTTCCTTCCTTGTCACGGACCGCCTTGAGAAATTGATAGATCCATATTGACGCATCGACAGCGAGGCGTTTACGGTTTAGGGAGGCAAGTTGTGTCGGTCGCGCCGTTGGTGCTACCACGGTCCAGAGACCCGTCACACCCATGATGAAGGTTGTGCTCCTTCAGAACACCCCTCGCTCTGATGCTGCCGAGGAGCGCTGAGCGTCTCATCCCGGACATTGAAGGCGAGATGAACCGGACATTTCGAAGTCCGCAAAAGGGATTATGGTGGACGAAGATGTGAAAGATTGAACCCCGATTTGCCTGGGGTCGGCAGCCTGATATACGTCATGGAAGACGCGAGATCACGTGATCACGTCTCAAGGGGTTCTGGACATCAGTCTTGTCCGCAGAGGCAAATATCTTACTACAAGGTCTTTTACAATTTGGATATTCTGTACATTCGCACAGTCTCATGCTCATAGTACTTAGTAGAAGAGTACTCAACCCTTGCCCAGCCGCAACGTCCATAATGATGCAATCCGAACGCCATGCTAGATTATCAGTGGTGGCCCATGTGACCCATGACCTTGCGAACGAAAGTGATACTTGGTCACAGGAAGAGATAGAACAGACCACCTTTGGAACTGCTAGGCCTTTTCCTCCGACTTCGGAATTTCCTCTGATCCTGAGGGTCCCACAAGAGTTGGAGCAATTCTCCGTCTCTTGGATTTGCTCTCCTCCTTCTCACTTTCGCTTGCTGTTCCAACATCTCGCTTCCCTAAAATTCCTCCGCTGACAGAGCTAGTGGCAGAATGGTGGCCACCGTGTAGACTTGCTGGTGTTTGGGGTGGGGTTGACATGGGAGGCACGGCAACAGGAGGCCCTGAGCTCGCAGCTGTGACAAGCGGCACATGACCCATGGTGGGAGTGGGATGGTTGGTAAGATTGGAAGCCTGGATCGATGCCATCGTTGCTATCGAGGATTGCGAGTTGGACCGCGCTGGGCTGCCTGGACGAAGAATAAACGGTGCTGGAGATGGGTGGGAAGGTGGCACAGGGGCTGGCGATGCTTTGGTCAATGATGGCGAAGCTGCCGCGGTCGGTGTCGGTATGGGTGTGGAACTGGAAGATGAGGTTGGCAGGGCGATCGAAGTGGAAACAACGGGATGATTGTATGTCGGATGCGGCCCTGTATATACCTGACCTAGTTCGCCAGGCTGAAAGGCCAAGGTTGAACAGTATCCGTCCGTTGAGGACATGAGCAATGTGAGACCATCGTTGGACCTTGCATAGATTGTTAGCTGCGGCAATGGTAGTGGAAGGAATCACATACCATGTCAAGTCGGTGAAGGCTGCATAATGAAGATTACTCACTACGCACAAAGGCGTGGTTTGCTGTGTATCGTAGACGAACACTGCGTCTTGAGTTGCAACCGCATACACCATCCTATAGGGCAAGGAAAATGCGGGAGTGGATGCTGGGTTGACCGCGTCATTTTCCACCGCGGCCTTTGGGGATGGAGCAGCCATCGATTCGGGAGCAGATGTCGTAATTGAAAGTGGCGCAGGTTCTTTGAACGTCGAAGAGCTCTGTGGCACAATGGGATCTGGGAGCAAAGGAATCTCTTCGGCGGCCGACGAAGTGTCGATGGTAATATGATTCGTTGCTTTATTCGTTGTACGCAAGGTATACAGGATTGGAGAGCATCTGACGGCGACGGACGGCTTCTTGTGGCCTGGTAAATGCGCCACCGGCGGTTTGTTGAATCCAGCCCGGGTATAAATGTAAACTGTGTTTGCAACATCTTCGGTAGTCTTAGTTGGATCACTTGCCGTAGGGAACGATGTCTTGTAGTGGCCTGCTGGTGTGAACAATAGACTTCCATCAGGAGAGAAGGTGAGCCGGCGGAAAAAAGAGGTCATGGTCTCGTTATGATACAGGTTTGTGTTTTTCACGGCAAGACCCATCGCAGCGTTGAGGCTAGGCGATGAGATCTCCGGCCTTACCGCAGGTAATGGGAGCGAAGGTGCCGGTGAAGCAGAGCGGCGGAAGGACGGCGAGGACCCGAACGATGACCGTCGACTAGCGGTCAGCATAGGGGGATCCATCGGCAGGGCTGTGGTAAGGGGTGTGCCAGGGTTGGAAGGCGCCGGAGAAGCAATGGCGAGGTTGTTGCCGCCAGCATTCGAAGTTCGATGTGGTAAGTCTGCTGGAGGAGCCGGACTGTTCGAAGATATTCTCCGTGCAGGCAAATCCATCTTGTTGAACTTCCCTTGACTGGATAATGTCGGCGTGCCATCCTTGAGCTTGAGGGCATATATGTGAACCGAACGGTCCGATGATTGCGTGGCAACAAACTCGTTGAGTGGATCCCAGGCGACCCCCTGCACAAAATGGTTGTGTTCTGCTATTTGACGGATCATGGCACCTGCAACAGTTAGCTCAAGCTGGCGATCATCTTTATTGAGAGCTCGAACCAGTATGTGCACTGAAGATTCTCGCGGTGTTGTCGACTCCTCCAGTGATGAAGTACTGCCCATCTGGTGACCAGGCCAGATCATATATCTCTGCTCCACTAGATGTTCGACACATGTGCTTGATCCTCCACGTTTCTTTGTCATCGGCATGCTCTTCGGTCAAGGTAGTCATAGAGGATTCGGAAGGAACCCAAAGTAGGATATTGCCATCGTCGCCGGCCGAAGCTAGCATCTCGCCTGAAATGCTGTCAAAACGTGGTCCAACGATGTCGCTCCTGGACACTGACCTTTGGGACAGAACCGCACCACATTGACAGGCTGGGTATGTCTTGTGAGTGTGGAAAGGTATGTAACTTTTCTCTCGTCGCCTTGAGCTTCAATGCTCCATAACTTGATAGAATGTCAGTCCCTATTCAAATACCGGGACAATAGTGGGCATCGTACTCGAACATTGTTGTCACTGCCACCTTGTTAGCTATCTGAGGATGTGGTCACATGTTGGCAAAACTCACTTTCCAGCAGTTGCTAGGCGTCCTTTACCGTGAGGGTCGAAGTGTACAGAGTATATTGGTTGGCTTTCGTTGTGCCAGGTAATGAGAAGGGGACCGGCTTTCATGTTGGCATTTGTGAGTGGCCGCGCAGGGAACTTCGTGGTAATTCAGTAGTATGGCGAAGCGATATTTTGTAGAGCGACGGTCAACGTGTTGTGGGCTACCAGGTCAGATGCCTGCAAACCTCTGTTTTGGACGACGGACGATCAGGCACGGCGAGGGTGAATTGCTGGCTTAAGACATGAGGCGGTAGGATCGTGGAGAATGGACGGCGGAGTACGTTGAAGTGTACAAGAAAGTCCGGTGAGTGTGAAGTCAATTATGCAGAAGGCTGGACAGTAACAGAAGTGGTTGTCGTCCATGCACGAGACAAAGAGGAAGTATGGATCGCCGCAGTTGGCAAGAGAGACATGAAATGGCTTTGGGGACTGGAGTGCAATTGGATGTCGTAGACGGAAGCAATAATGTTAATAAAGTATCCCGCAGGGATACTGAGTGGGGGGAGAAGACAGCGGGTGATGCAGTGGCAGTAGCAGCAAGAGGAGGAGTTGCTGTTGGAGTCCTTGGGCTAAGGGGCTCGCCCTACTACTAGTACTAGTACTACTAGGCCAACGCCGACAACTGCAGTGGCTGCTGACTGTTGCTGGAGGCCGCGAGACATCGGCCAAGCACCAGTAGCAGTCAGGAACAACTGGTAGTACAGTCGTCCACTTTCGTAAGCACCTCTCTCGAAGACTGCACCATAACGACGCGCCCCAAGTCCACGTCCACCTTCCCACGCGACAACGATGCGGCGCAAACTACCTTAGGTATGTATCAGGTATGGCAGATATCTACCTAAGCCATGTAGGTGTGTGCCGTAGACCCATTAGTAGGTCACCGAGGTCCCTTAGGTACCTACACAGGCACCTTAAGGTAAATATCTGGAGCCTCCTTAGCCTAGGTAGGTACTTACTACCTGCTAGGTAGGAGGTAGTACGTGGCTGATAAACACATCGCTGTTTCGCGCGCTGCCTCTGCGTGCCTTTTGAGAGCGTAAGGAACCTCCTTGCAGCCGCCTGGCGTTCATGCCGCTGAACCTAACAAATCCACTCCCATCCCTAATCCAGAAACGAGATGCCTTGATTGATATTCTAGTCTTTTGTCCCCGCAGCAATTACGAAAAGGCTCTATTATTGCAGTGGAACAAAGACGTAATAAAGACTGGTCAAGGTAGGTACCTAGGTATAGAGAGGAGGGAGTCCGTTGTCATCATTGAATGTCAGGATTTAGCTCCATAATGTACTCCCGTTTCAATCACATTACCATTCCTCATAGCACCTGCAGTCTTGCCCAGAAGCTTGGAGACCTGCTGTTGATCTTGCTTCGATCCAGTACAATCCCTAACCGAAGGCGCAATAATACAATCCCAAGCACAAAGCTCGTTGCCAGCTGGCCTGACTCACCTTAGTACGAGTCTGGTCCTCTTTCGAAAGTCCAGAAGCTTTTCATGAGATACTTCCCCCGAATCTCGGTCTCTTTTCTGTTCAGTCCAACTGTCCAGCAAGACGCCAACTCTTACGCCCGATGAGTAAAGACTGATTGCAACACGATCATGCCACCCTGACAATGCGTGGTCAGCCGCCTGTTCAAATCCTTCTTTGGCAGTATGCAGTCGTTTGCAGGCCTTGCTGCAGACATTTCCCTTTAGAGTCTCTTCGACTTGGGAGCACTGCCTAGATAGTTGCAGGCGGACATGGCACAACGACGGCACCACCTGTGGTGTTCCTATCTGATTGGCGCATTATTCAATAGCTCTGAGCTGACACCTGAGCAGGCTAGACACAGAAGTTAGTTTTCTATTCCTAGTCGCGTGTAGAAGATAACTCACTGGGCTGTTGAGCATGTTTTGTCGAGCATTTCTGCCCTTCTTGATATGGCTCTTTAGTGCACTCGAATCCAGGGGCTTCAACAACTCGAAACTGCACAAGAGATTGCTAGAGACTGACATTACAGCCCCCCAATTGTCGAACTCGCCGCAATACTGTAACAATAGTTAGCATATATTCATCGTGGAGGCGCAGGCACGGCTTACGTTCGGAGCAGAGAAGACAGTGACAAGCAACCGATCGTTGAAGAACTCATAACCGTCTTCAACCACCATGTGCGCACGACAGACCAGGTCGAAGTCATGTCGCGCAAGAAAGTCCACAATTACTTTCTTGCCGAAACAGTAGCTCACACCTCGTTCGTTGGAGTCCCAGTCTTGATCCATATCGGCCGGATCACTCCATAGCAAATCATTGAGGAGACCATAATCAGGAACATCCGTCGGTCGAGCGATCTGTCGAATGTCGTCCATGTGCGACAAGCTAGGTGAGAGCCCACCGTGCACACAAAATATCTTGTCCGCCACGATAGCAGCGATAGGCAAGCAGTTGAATGTGTCAATGAATGTTTTCCAGATCTTGATGTTGCAGCGCCGCTTGCACTCATCGTAGAAACCATAAACTCGTGTGACATTGGCACATTCATGGTTCCCGCGAAGTATAAAGAAGTTTTCGGGGTATTTCAGTTTGTAGCAGAATAGTAGGAGAATTGTCTCCAAGGATTGTTTCCCTCGATCAACGTAATCTCCCAGAAAGAGAAAATTGGCCGTGGGCGGAAATCCGCACATCTCGAAGAGGCGGATCAGATCGTTGTATTGGCCGTGGATATCGCCCACAATCTTGACAGGCGCGTTCAGTTCCAGTAGGGCTGGCTGTGACAGTAAGACCTCCCGCACAGCCATACACACGGCCGTGATTTCGGCGTTCTTGAGGCACACGGCCTTGGTGACTTTCGTCGAATAGCCGGCATCGAGCAGACGAGAAATCATGTCATCCAAATCCATGTCATTGACATCTCCAATCGCCATGCTTGCTCCGGGAGATGCTCCCGGAAGGTCTGCCAATTTCGCTCGCAGCGAAGCTTTCGTCTCGGGCGCCCGGGGATTGATTTGGTTCTCACGTTTCACCAAGATCGACGCCCCCGCCTTTTGGGTCGATGAGTGAATATGCGCCTGGTGCGGTGCTTCATCGGACACTGCTCCGACCTCTCCAGTACGTTGCGCGCGGTCTACGGACTTGTGGCCTTTGCCTACAGACTTTGACTGGGTTGGAGATGGCGGTCGAGCAGGTGAGGCCGTGCCTGGAGAAGGAGCTTCTTCGTAATCCGCAGGCGACGTCGGGGTCTCTACCGTAGGTGTGTTCGAGATCCGTTCTCTTGTGGCACGAGAGGAGCCCGACCGACCACTGGCTATGGAACTCGCATCGCCCTTATCAGTATTTGATCCTTCCGTGCCGGTCAGACCGGAGCCCGAGGCTCTTGGACTATCGTTAGTCTTTTCATCCCCAGAGCTCTTGATCTTGCTCCTGATGGAAGACCGGATCGACCTAGATGTGCTTTCCTTGGTATCGGACCTGGAAATGGAGGGATATTGTGACAAGGTGTCAGGTACTAGATTGGAAGACGAATTACTCTTCAAAGGGGTTCTGGATCCATCACTGTTTTTTGACTGTTGTTGGCCCATTGAATATTTTCAAGCAAACTCGAAAGGCGAGAAGATGTGCAAGGTTCGATGGTAGGAGGGAAGTCAAGGTGGTTTGAGAAGTGAGATAAGCAGCCGCTTTGAGGAATGCGTTTTGGCGGCTGGTCAACGAGCGCCTGGAAGGAGCACACGCGTCGTATGCTCAGGTCGACTCGGCTCGTAGACAGTGCAAATATATCGTACCGCAGTCTGGGTTCGGTGTACGGCGTCTCCGGATAGCACTATGGGAATGACTGACAACCAGGGGTGTCTGAGCATGGAGGTGCTGTGTTTCCGGCAGTGGTAGTTCTTTGTTTCGCCTGGAAGAGAAAGAAGATTAAACGTCAGCAAGGCAAAGACTCGCTTGATTGTGGTGCAAATCAGCTAGGAGTATGCATAGTAGGCATCTTTGAGGTCTGGACATTGAGCGATTTGCAGCGGAGAGGCTACCGTGGAGCCAGATGTCGCATGGGGTCGCAGTGAAACAGAGTTGCGTCACCGGCGGAAGCGTAGGATATCAGAAGGATGAAACTGACCTGGAAATACGAACTTGAGTACAGCAGTAGACTTGATCGGGAAGTTTGTAGGGCGATGAGAACAGCAGTAAAGGGATGGTGCTGGTAGCTAAGATAGTAGAGTGCGAAAAGGTGAATCGGGAAAATAAATCATCCAGTCAGTCAAGACAAACGCAGTAAGAGGAGTGCAGCAGTAGGTTGTGGTGATGGTGATAGTAGTGTGCTGCCTGCTGGTCTTGTGTTTGGTCTTGTCCGACCACCACTAGTAGGTGTGTCTGTACTGCGCCACTACTGGCAGGGGAACATCTGGAGCTTATTCTGGATGTAGGTACCCAGTCTCGCCAGTCTAGGGAGATTCGTTGGTACTAGTATCCTGGGTACAATTAAGTACCTGAAGATTAGAGGGCGAGCCTCATGCTGGCCTGGACGCCTTTTTGGCTGCTGCGGTGCTCGGACGGTGTCTCCCGCTTAACTCCACGGTGGCCACTCATTATTGAACACTGCACCCTCAATTCTCAATTGTAGCTTGAAGCTGACGCCTAGATCTGCTTGACGGCCCAGTGGCACAGTCCCCTATCCGTGTCCACACGTGACTCTGTCGGCTCCTAAGCCTGCGACGAGCAGCCTAACAGGAACGAGCATACCTAAGGAGGTACCTAAGGTATCTTATTAGCACGTACTGCTCTCAGCTTGGGTACCTAGGGTGCAGCATAGTACCAGGATGAAGCCTTCAATGTCGCTACAGATGCAAATGGCGTCCAATAGGGTTCCTATGTGTACTTGTATATAGTCTACTTGCTTCTTCTCCACAAGTCAAACAGGGGTTTCTCAGTGCCCGGATACATGTAGACAAAACAACGATGCGCATGCCCAGCATCCACCCAGCCGGGACGACAACCACGATAGAGGTACAGTTTCATTGTTTGGGTCGAATTGACAGAGACGGTCCGCTACTGGCAGGCCAGTCCCTCTTTTCTTCCACCTCCATCTTCGTGATCTGTTTTCCTGGAATCACTATGAGGCCGACGAATCTCGAAGTCATGTCAGCTTTCCTGGGCTGGCCGGTAGATGTGACTTCATCTATGGCAGCCTTCTCCACGGCCTTGGATGGCATTCGATACTCGAATGAATTGGATAGAATGACGTTACTATCCTGTTGTGTGTCAGTTCCCGAAGCCACACGCCTGAAAAGAAGGCCTCGTCGTGTATCCTTACACAGTCGGTACATTGGAATGTGCCTGTGAAGAGGCGCCCTACTTTCGCATCAACCCGGATCCTCATTCTCACAAGATCTGCAGGCTTACCATCAGGAATGGTGACATGCAATGTTTTGCCGAGGAGTGATTCGAGGAATTGCGTTGCTTCTGCTTGCTCCATTCTGTCGGTACAAAATGCTTAAGGCCGTCTCAAGCAGTGCAGTGTGGGATGCGGAAGAAAAACTATTTTACCACGGACTGCACCGCGTGCTCGAGCGGCATTTTTCAGGCTCTTTCAGCGACGGCAGAAAAAGCCAACGTAAGAGACGTACTCAGGATCTTGCTTGTTTTCTGGTCCCAAGTTATTATCTCAGTGATTACGGTAAGTAGTAGGGACAGTTAATAGTACGTAGTAGCATACGATAGCGGAGACAGGACTCTATATACAGGTAGAACTCGAGCAGGCAGTTTCGAAGCTAGAGCTATTACGTACTAGTAATGTTTGGGCGATTGGCATATAACGGATATACGAGGCATCTTAAACTACCTGTCCGTCGTCGTACATTTATGGCCCTCGCCCATTTGCGAGGGATGTTCCTGTAGTATTGACCCAGACGGGTTTGTCTTGTTTGGTAAGTATGCTTAACACTTATACATCTGGCGAAAGGCTCCCTTCACTAGACTTCACCTTCATCTCACCTTTCTGCGCGGTTCTACGACCTTACCATGTCAAGAGAATGCTTGCTCCGGAGTCTCCAGATCCAACACGCCTCATTCTTGCTCGTCTGAATCCCTCACCGCTGCCTTGATCCAGTACCACAGCCTGCGAGTTCTCTTTCTGTTCGTGATCTTTACCTTCAGTTGGCATCAATCTCTTGAATCGTGCGGAATCCACCGGTCACCAAAATGGAGCAGACAGTCGAAATTCTAAACAGCCAAAGTTCGCCGAAGCACTCTTGGTCATCGGAGGAGCGTCTTTTACTTGCTATCATCAACAAAGTGTATGACCAGCCGATAAAAGAAGTCTCGCTCATCTTCAACAGTATATGTCACAACCAGCTGGCGAAGGAGGGGATCTCGAATGGGCTGTCGATCTCGACGATCAGGGCACAGATTGCTGACCTGAAGAGAACCCCTAGAGTTGTCCAGGAGTATCAACATGTTCAATCAATGTCTTTGGACATAGCGCACAAAGTATTCCGCCAGCAACGACGGCGGATTGAAACTGCGGCAGAATCGCTTGGGATCTCGTTGAAGCCGCGATTGTATCAAGTCCCAACCCCCGCACCTACCAAAAGATCCTACATCGCTAGAGACACAGATTGGGATGACGAGTCGGACATCTCTGACGGGCCAGAAGCATCCACTTACAAAACGCAAGGTAAGCCCGGCAGCCTGAAAAAGAAGATGGCCTTAGCACCACGATCAAGTGTACTATCGTGGGACACCGAAGAAGAGATGAGAAATATGGAAGTGGCCTCTCCACAAGATACGGATACCTCGATCGGCTCGGTCTCATCATACACTGATTCCGATTCCTCTGCGTCGTGGTGTACACAGTCGGATTCAGAAGACACTCAGCAGTATTTTCAAGAGACTGGACAGAACGACTTTTCGATATCCGCCTCTAGGATGGATGCAAGATTAAGGATCTCCTTCGATTATAGAGGCAGACCAACGAAAAAGCATCCGCGTCTCTTATTTCGAGCCTTTGAGCCCGCCTATGGACTGGTAGCTCGGCGATATCAGGATCCAGTATCGACCTCTACAATCCCTCAACCTCCGCCTTTTGAAAGTGCTCGCTTCCGATGTAGCTTGGCAACATGTCCGAGAAGAGAAATTTCTGTCCCCCTTCCTGTCGTGGAGCCAGAATCCTGTGAGGGCACTACGGCTTATGGAAAAGACTACTGCACCTCGGTTCTTAGCAATCATCGACTACAATGATTAATGTGAAGAGTTGGAAAATAGATTTGGAAGAGGTGTTGGGATTTGGCTTGTACCCGAGATATGTCGACACCACCAATTCCAGAATTTGGAAAAGGTCGGTGAGAGTGTGTCTACTCACCTCAGCTTGGAGAGACGGCCAGGATATACCGGTATTGGTGAAGTAAGTACCCCGTTCAACTTTATTGGCTGTAGCAGCTAACTTCGATAGTTCCTTTCCTGGGGTTCAGTCACCGGTAAGCCAGTGGCTATCCTAGGTAAAGGAGCGGCTCTCAATCTCTACCACGCATTCAAGGGTATTCGAGGTGTGGGCTACGATTCTGGGGTTGTTATCGGCCAGGTAATAGTATCCGAGGTAAGTCGCTCCGGGAGCTACTTAACTAACAACCTAAATGTCTGCAAGCTGTTCCACACATCTACAAAGAGGTGGTATCAAAGAGCCTACTTCTTGCCTGTAAAAAGGTGGATAGAGCTTCTGGGCCTGCCTATCGCGACTTTGTCGACGGTGTCTACGATGTGCCGGGCCACAAGCTACCAGAAAGTGACTCCGGTGCGGAAGGCCAAGTTTTCGATGACGATTGGGAGCCAGCATCCCATCTGGATGACCCGCAGACCACCCGGTTCAAGGCTGTTCGACAAGCTCATATTACTGTGGAGATTCCTAGTATAACAATGAAATCCAATTCGCAAACCGCAAGCGGATCAGAAACAAACACCCATCGTCGAAAGGAGGAAACAGAAGAGGATCTTCAAAGCCTTGTTGATTCCCAACTGGCCCAGACAGGTTTAGAGTTTGGCATCACAGCACTTCGAGGGGATACTTCTTCACCTCCTGCTTCAACTGAAGGTGATAACTCTCGAGCCATACTTGGAGAAGACTTCAGATCGAACTCGGTCAACCTCCTACCGAGGTGGTCAACTATGGCTACGACCCTCCAAGGAGATTCTATGACAGTCGAAAAGTCAGACTATGCCCTCGGCCCTAAGGATGACTTCGACCGCTTTATCTCGCGAGAACAGCTGGACTCTGACCCCAGATATGACGCTTTCATGGCAGAACTCCTTAAGTTCGCGAAGCTGCCTACGCCGGCACCACCGTCTCCCCTGCAACTTCCGACTCTTCCAAGCATTGTAACGGCTTCGAGTCCAAGATCAGTATCGGCAACCGCGGTGCCGGGTCAGAATCCTGTACCAATTACTCTACCTTCCGCCGTCGGACCTGAGAAAACATCTGGGCACGACCGTGAATCGCCGTTGTCCCCCTTAAGAAAATCCATCCCATCCAAAGACGGAGACGGTGACCACTCACTAGCAATAAGTCGGCCTGGGTTGAAGTCTGTACAACGTACTCTTACAGAGCAGTGGTCAGTTATGAAGGGCACCACTACTACCCCAACAGTCGATGCGACCGCCATCAGAACACAAGCGAAAAACACAGGTCCGAAGAAGAATCAGCAGCAGCAGCAGCAGCAGCAACAGCAGGGAGCAACCGTCCCAGTGGTAGAACCGCAGTTCTTAGCCTCAAACACCACGACATCTTCAGAACGATCGGATCCTGTAATTATCGACCTCGACGCTGGCTCTCAGACACCGCAAGGCGTATCCGGCAACAGGGCTGGCGCTCCTACCCATGGCTTCAGAGGTTTCGGCACTAGAAAGCCTGCGCGTTCGACTCGCACGAAAGCAAAAGACAATATAGAGATCGGTTCAGTGATTGAAATCTCAGACAATGACGACCTCGAGATCATTGCCACTACCACCCGTCTTCATGCGAGGATGCGCCGGACTGTACTAACTATCCGAAGTCGGAGTCTGAGCGAGGCCGTGGTTCTCAATTCATAGCCGCAGAAAGAGGACCTCGTCCGAAATTGTCTCATTCTGCAAATTCTGTGTCATATCAATTGGCAAAGGACAGAACTGGGCTCACACAGAAAGAGCTGGAGGAGCCGAGGAGGCAGAAAGCGGTTTGCCTGATAAGCGGGCCTAAGTCTCCGCTTAAGAGCTTTCCTGAACAGCAAACACGATCGATACAACTGGCATTACCGGCCATGGAACTCAGATACTGTGCAGCATCGTGTACCAGTATCGAAGATGATCCGGATCCGGACCTGGAATGACGTTCTGTGAGATGTCGAGCTAGAGTTGAAGGTGGACTGGCGGCTTGAAATGGGCCTTGTTTGATCAATACATATCGACCTAAGCACCGATCTGGATCTCTATGTCATGGCCTGCTGCACGGTCTCTGGGCCCGAGGATGAACAACACGAGGCGGTTGAGCTGGATCTTGACATCAGATATCCTACTGCTGAGGCATGATTCTAGGTCTCCTGACTGGCGAGTCAGGATTTGCACCAGGACCTGGACCATGGACCATGGACTCGTCTGGCAGACCTACGTTTAATCGATGCTGTTTCTTTCATCAATACGAACATCAGCCGACCTACGTACTACGTAGTAGCACTTGTTGACCCGCATATCAAGGTGGCCCCTTATGAAACCCTAGTACGTAGAGTCTGACTCGGACTCTTTGGTCTCGCCAAATCCCGTCTCATGCATGATATTTGCTACTCTTATTTGGATTTTGGGTTCCCATTGGGTTCTGTTTAGACGTAACCATTTCCCGGGCAGAGCAACTTGCTGCTCAGGAAAAGAACCGAGCAGAGAGAATGATCGCGTGGAGATAGGTAGGCGGTTGTGACATGCCAATATCATCATCCTTGGGTAGGGAGGTGAATGAATGCGGAAGTAATAAGGCATGGTAGGGCACAGTGCGATGTGGTACTACCAAGGTGTAAGGAGGAGACAAGATAATAACACTCATACACATACAGCTAGAGAGCGAGAGGACTCTGTAACCCATAGTCATACCCAGTCCCAGTCCCAGTTCCGGTGCCATTAATCTACATTAATAATAATACCAACACCAACCTCATCGATCGTGAACTATGAACTGTAGAGCATCGAACGCGGAGTCTCGACTTTTCGCCAACGCCCCTTACCCCTTTCCGACAACCTCACGATGCTGTCCAGTCTCGAGGTAGGTTTCCTCCTCCTGTTCGCCCTCTTCGCCTTCTTCCACGGCGTCATCCCAGATCGTAATGCTTTCCACACGCTCGCCTTTGTTCAACTCGATCGCGTTGAACGCTTCGACTTCTTCGACTTCCTCCTCTTCGTCCTCGTCTTCCCCTTCAAGAAGACCGTCACCGCCAGTGCCGTTGCTGACATGACGACGAGGATTGTTAGCAGCAACTGCGTCATCATCTTCCTCCTCTTCCTCCTCTTCCTCGATGATTTGGCTCTTCCGTTTCCCGGCGCCGGCACCGCCACCGACTCCGCCGACACCACCACTGCCCGTCCTACCCACAAGGTCTTTTAAGCCTAGATTCATCTTGCCAGCCGACCCTTCTCTGTTCCTACCGGCCACGATGGCTGGGCTGCCGAGCGCGGCGGGCAAAGTGGAGGCGGAAAAGAAAGAGGAATTCAGCATTGGTCCTTTGAACGGAGACTTCTTCCGCCGCGCGAACATAACTCCCGACCCGAACGTGCTGGCTTGCGGTGTGGCAGGCCCCGAGCCAAGGCCGCTGGCACTTCCATCACTCGTTCCAGGAAGCGCGCCAAGGACTGGTCTGTTTTGTGCCGAAGCCTCCAAGCCACGAGGTGCAACTGTCGCTAAGCGATAAGTCGAAGGCATGGTGTTGACTGTGGGTGTTGCGGGAAGGACTTTGATCGAGGAACGTGGAGAGCGGGCGCTACTGGTTCTAGGTCCGGGTCCAGGAGTGCTGTGGATGGTGTCGAGACTGTTGGAGCTCTGAGATGAGGCTTTGCTGTGGTGAGAGGTCTGCCGAGGCATACTTCGAATAGACGAGACGGACGAAGACGTTGATTTCCGTCCACGAAGTCCCGTCGAGCTGCGGCGGTATGATGACCGAGGAGTAAGAGGGGCTGGCGATGTAGAGTTCCGAGGTAGTTGTCCGCGACCGCTGGAATCGATGCGCTGTAGGAGGTTTGGTGTCGCCGAACTGACGGCATTGGAGTTGGACATGACCGGTGTCAAGGCAGAACCGTGGGAAGATCGTCTGGAATGGACGGTACCGATAACAAATCTGTTCTTTTGATCTGCGGAGAGACCATTGGCTGACCTGAAGGCAGTCTGATTGCTGCCCAGGTGACCGTTGACAGCCTTGTCGTTTTTGGGGGTTGTGGGAGACTTGGCTCGTTTCGTGGATTCGGCAAACCAATGCTTCAGTGCCGTGAGAAATCGCCTGTTGTGAAGCTTGCCGCCGCGTCTCTTGCTGACTCCGTTCAGTGAGCCAAGCAGGTCCGGATTTGTGGTGACCAGCTGCAGAGTACTGCTTCGCCGACTTCGTTCTTTGGGCGGTAGAGGGGGCCGGGAACCACTCTGTGACCGAACCGAGTCCTTGTCGATAGGTGGCGGAGGTGTCGCCGTACCAGCTGATGGCACCACATCTCCTTCTGGAAGTCGTGGTAAATCGCCCACCACGATTTGAGGAGTGCTCCGTCGCTGCGTCCTGCCACGACTACTGCTCCGGCGCCTCTCGGTAGTCTCACTGTGATTCCCTTCTTCGTCGACCTCCACCAACGTGGGCGCAATTCGCTCCAATCGACTGCTCGCACCACTGAGACGTCTGAGTATTTTCAAGTCCGCCTCTCTTTCTTTCCGTCTCTGCTCCTTCCTGATCTGCTTCCTGGTTTCCTTCTGAATAAGAAGCGTCCACCATCCAGCCAATGAATCGCACCGTTGCGCCAGCACATTTTCAATGACTTTATCAATATCCACCCCCGCAGCTTTCATTCGTTCAAGAGTGTCCTTCTCCAACTGTGTGGTAAAAGGGGCCGGTTGCGAAAGTTTCAAGATGGCTTGCTGCTGAGGTGCATGGTCGGCCAAGAAGGGGTCTGCCAGTACATCTGCCAGGGTCGGTCGGTGCAAAGGGCGTTTGGAAAGCAGCCTTGAGATCAGTGACTTGGAGGACTCGGGGAACGTGTCGGGATAGACGGGATCTTCCTTCAAGATCTTGGCTTTGGTTGCCGCGTCGTCGTCTTCATCGAAAGGCAACTCCCCTTTCAGCAAGGCGTATAGGATAATACCCAGACTCCAAACGTCGACCTTCTCGCCCGCATACTTCTCACCTCTGAGCATTTCAGGCGCGCTGTAACACACCGTGCCGCAAAAGGTTTGCAGATAACTTGCTTTTCCCTCGTATTCCCTGGTAAAGCCAAAATCGCACAACTTCACATTATCGTGCTTGTCGAGAAGTACATTTTCCAATTTCAGATCACGATGTACGCAAGACTTGCTGTGGATATATGCAACAGCTCCGACGAGTTGGGTGAAGATCTTTTGTACACTTTCGACGGGGAGAGGACCATTTCTGCATAAGTAATTGTACAGTTCGTCACCTGGATCTCGTTCAGCGTGTGTAATTGCGCACTAGAGTTTTGCTGAGCCATACCAGGACAGTATTCCAACACGAGCCAGACCAGCGTTTCCGTTATTATAACCTCGTATAGTCGCGCGATATGGGGATGGACGAATTGTCGATGGTGATGGATTTCTCTGGCAAGATTTGAGTCCTCCTTGTTCGAGGCCTTGAGTACGACCTGTTCCATGCTTTAGCGGGCTGTCTCTTTCCCTGTATTCCTTTGCGCCAGGCCAACCAACCTTTGAGCCATTGGTGAGGTTATGTCGGGCAAGATAGACCTTGCCAAAGGAGCCTTTTCCAATGAGCTTGCCTAGAGTATAGTTTCCAACAGTCTTGAGGTCTTTAGAGGCGAATTGTCTGTTAAGGAGCGTCAGCGCGCTATATAGCAGCGAGGCTTGGGCCATGCTCCTTACTCGAGTAATTCTGAATAGGAGTTCGCAAGCTGCGCATCTACTGTTAGCCTCCTGCCGGCAGTCCAGGAAGGGTTGCAGTATGTACTTTTGCTTTATGTTGTTGGAGTTCCGCTCTCGTCTTCGGTGCTTGCATTCCTTGCGGTTCTTTGGCTTTGCCAGAGCGTACCAGGGGTCATTCGGCACGTCGAGGCTAAGTATAACATGTGGGTATAGTAGGTGGAATAACGGAATATGTTCTAGGGATGGACCGCGTTGGTGGATAGGAGTGTTCGAGGTCTTATCAGCAGAGTGCGCTGCTTCAAAATGTGTTCGATGGCGTATGAATCGCGTCGCTGACAGCGTGGGCGCCGTTTGTTCACTTGAGTCGGTGATGCAGGAGTAAAAGTGATGACAGCAGGACCATAGTAAGATACAGTCCGTCTTCAGATCGACGACGACAAATTAGTAGGTAGGTTGGTAGTATCAGGTGTCAGGGTCCGGGAGCCACCATGCTAGGGACTAAGTTTCCCCTAAAGCAACCTGGGAGTATGAGGTGGCGGTGGGCGGCGTCAAGGAATGGGTTCTACTGGCAGAGGCTCAAAGCGAAATGATGGCAAACATGCCCGAGCAGGTGGAATCTGCGGAGGACGCGATTCTTGTTTACCATGCACTGCACTGCAGTACGGACCGTTTTTGATCGTCCCCCTAAAATCCTTATGGTCAACACTATCAATCAACAAGTCGCCCCGCTTCCCTAGCCGTACTGTATCTTCAACAATTCAAGTCAGTAATGGTATAGAGCAGAGGAGATGCCACGATTGACCTGCGCACATTTCACCGCGCCCCAGCATGTGACACACTTCGACGAGCAGCCGATCCCACTATGGGAGCCCAGGAGACCTTTCCCCATCGATTCGCTCGTCACAATGTAAGGGTGATGTGATTGGGCACATAGTGGACATTGTGCATCGCCGTGTACGATTGGGACATTGATGCAAGATGCAGCCATAGTCGTATACCAACAACAATAGATGCAAATACACTCTAAGAGCCGGAATGCGCAGGCAAAATATGTACAACTTTCGTGATAAGGTGGTGAAGGTAAAAGATATACCCAATCCCTTGGACCTATGATTCACTCACTAAAGGCTTTTTTCATCATAGCAGAATGGGCCCAACATCTCAAGGTCCCTCACATGTCGTGAACATCGGGCTCGAAACATGGTCCAGGTCGCTAAGTATATACACAGCTCTCAAGCATACCCTTGGTGATAACCAGTGCTCCGTGGTAGCTGGCACATTACCGGCGCAACTGGGAGACGTGCACATTATTTTGCGCCGAGGGCAGTTCGGAGATCATGCTTGTCCGGTCAGACACAGAGTGGGTTCCTTCGACTGTGTTCTCCTGCGAGTGATGTTTGTAAGGACTCGGCACCTCCGATATCATACTCGATCGTTCTGACAGTGCCTGCGGATTGGGAGAGCCCCTGGCTGTCCCCTCTGAACCGCCCGACAACTCGGACACCATGCTCATCCGGCTGTCGGAAAGGGGGGGACTGTGGGGCTGCACCGGCGGAGCGAGATGCCCAGCGTGAAATGTCGAGCCAGGTAATTCGGCCATGAACTGTTTAGAGGGTTCTGCTTGTTGCTGTTGCGGGTGCTGTTGTGTCGGAGCGTAATAGCTCATGTGTTGTTGCTGTTGTTGGTAACTGGGTTGATACGGCGGGAGGCTCATTGTACTGTATCGCTTTTCGTCCGGCCGGAAGGCAGGATGATTCGCCATGGTCTGCCAGCCCGGGTTCTGCTGAGGCGACAGCATCTGAGGCGAATGCGGTGGTCTCGGGCCGATTGGTGATGTGAGCATTTGTGAGTTGGCCATGTGAGAGCCGGGCTGGAAGCGAGGACTGGCAGGAGTCATGAGATATCCTCCGGTCACCTGGGTATATTCCTCGACACGCTCCGCCTTCTTCAGTATCCGTTCCACCAGCACCTTGTGCGCGTTGTCCAGATTCTTGCGTACGAACGACGTCAACAGGATGTTACACCTCATATCCCCGTCTTCGCGCAGATACAGACCCTGTCGAGGCACATCCAACCCCAGCTCTCGAGCTTCGGGGGGTTCTCCGGACAGAGAGCCTCCAATAGACCATTTCTCCCGGATGTCCAAACCCATAGGCGCGTATATATGTGTCTGCAGACCGTACGGAGTGTCGTGGAAGCAGGCCTTGTAGCTGACCTTTCCCTTCATAAGTCCACCAGGTAGGTAGTGGATTTTGTCCGTCAGCTCCTGCCAGGCACAGTCCAAGAACTCGTCGGCCGGGGCGTCGCGGGGTGTTTTGATCGAATGGTGCTCGATGACGAGGGGGTTCAGCTCGATCATTTCATTGTGATTGTGAAGCATGGCGATCGCAACTTCACGCGACACCTGTGGAGGCAGAGGGGTGATGTTCGTAAAAAGCGTACGCTTGGGCATGGTAAATGCTGTCTATACGAAAGAGGCCTCTTGAGCGTGTACACCGACAGTCCCGGGGTGGTGTTGTTGTTGTTGTTGTTGTTGTTGTTTATGCTCTTCGAGGAACCTGAACCCGAAAGAACAAGGCTTCACCTTTGTGTTTATCAGCATTCCCATGAAGGCTGATCGCGAATGAGCAAGGTAACGGGAAAGGATAATTTTCTCGCTCCATAGTGACGAGAAGCTCAGCCCCAAGGCAGCTGTTACATGTACAATTACCTGGCGAACAGGCACCATAGAGGGGACACCAGCAGTTGTTCGGAGCCCAGGCTGTTAGCGAGTTCTTTTGGGCAAGGATGTCAAGGATCCTGATGTTAAGAATAGCTAGTGCTTATCACTTGCTGGCATCAGGATGACCAACGAAATGGATCACGAGCTGCCAATGCCTCAACAGCCCTCACCAGCCTCCTGCGCAATTGGCTGAGAGTCCACGCTTCAGCCCCCCTCGCTTGGTCTCCCAATCTTCGGGGAAGTCATTAACGTCTTGTTTTACCGGACAGTGGCTGGACTCAAAGCATGGCATGTTTCGAGTGCTGTGAGGTGCGTTCTCGCTGCTGGCTGTTCGAATTTTTCGACCATGTTGTAAAGACGGAACATGATCTGTTGGCGATACTCCTCGCACCGATCTTGATAATGATCGAACGGGATCTCAGATGGCCGCAACGAAGACCTGTAGATTATTGACCGACCTCGCGACCGACCTCGCGACCGTCCTCAGGCAGGTTACGCCCGATGGGCAGGGCCGACGCCGAATAAGCCGGCGCACCGCCTCCTGAGCCTCCTCCAAATTGCCATATCTTCATTCAAAAACTGCGAAAGCATGTTTAGGACCAGGGAGTGATGGGAAAGGTCAGTACCGCCTCCAGCTCGCGTTTTGGATCTTCTCAACAGCTTCTTTGCTGAAGCAAAAGGTTGGATCGTATTCCTTTAGCCCGGGTTCATTGTAGATGGCCAGCGTAGCAAGGCCAAGGTATGAGTGTAGAAGGTCTTGCATCGTGGTTAGCACGTCGCCTTTTGACGACAACTCTGCAATATGGTTCAACACACCAGGAAGTTCGCCAGGCGCTTTTCCAAAGCCCCCTATGAGATGCGACACGTGTTCCAGAAGATATCTTCTCACCGCCTCAATGTCAACCAGATGGTGTTGCTGAAGAATCTATGCGACATCAGTACCAGCCACAAGATTGTTTGCAGGACGCTCACAGCCAACGCTCCAACGTTCCAAAAACAATAGCATGTATCTGCCATTTTCCCGCATCTGCCGCAAAAGCCAGCAGCGGCCTCGTCTGTAGACAAGCCATCCATCAGCGACGGCAGGTCTAGTAGTTCCTTTTCTGGCTCAGCCTCGCGGGGTGTGTGCTCCTGCCGTTCTGTCTCGTCTTCTTCGTCGCTGCTGTCATCTCCTGCATCATCAATCCAGGTGGTTTGTCGATCAAGCATCCAACAAACGCAACTTGGAACGTCCAGACCCGCTTGGCTGGCCACTTCTCGGATCGAGACGACCGGGCTGTGGAGGAGGCCTAGAAATGAAAGAGTTGCGATTCCGCAATAGTTCAGGCCAGCTATCAGGCTGTCAATGTCTCTTGCAATCCTGCATCTGACTGGTGGCGATTCGACCTACAGTGAGCTTCAAGCAGAGGAGCCTGCCCAATGCCTCCTTCATAACTCTAACAGGGCATCAGCCACTGAATATCGCTTCTGTAACCGTACGCCGTGCACTCACCTGGCAGTTTGCAATGAATTGTTGTAATTTCGTCTCGTCAATCTCCAAGTCCTGCTCGTCTGCTTGCAAAATCTTCAAAGTCCCTACAGCGCAGAGACATAGTCTGGGGTCGTCCGCCCCTTCGACATCGTTATTTTCTCCAAGGAATTCGCCGAAGCTCCCGTTTTTTCGTTGAAGGCTCCTTACCCAAGCTATGCACTGCCTCCGTTGTACCCGTTGTAGATCGTCTCCCAGAATCACCAAGGTTGCGAGGGCGAAGTAGGTGTTAGGAAGGTTGGCAGGATCCCAATGCCAGTTCTGCGGGCTCCTCATACCGCCCAGCATGGTACCTGTAAAGCCTCGAAATCCGCCTGTATGGGGGACTTGACAGGTATAGATCCATTCGATCCAGCTTTGCCTCTCGTCAGGTGTGGTCACCTTTTCCAGAGCTCCCAGTAAATCTAATGCGGCCACTATGAAGAAGCCGAAGCTCATGCGGCTGGCCTCACCCGACGTGTATGGCTCCGGAAGAAGCTGAGAACACCGCTTCCAATATTTGATATGTCGTTCTCGGTCGAGCTGAGTCCTTTTCTCGGGGATCATGGCAGCAGACACGCGCCAGGCGAGCGTTTGTGTCGTGATGCCTGCTGATCAGAAGTGCAGAGTTATATGATTCAATAAATAATAAGTGGCTTAGTCTCTGTGTTGTTCATTATTGGAACAGGCAGAACCGAATATTTGCAAGAGAAGAGCACGACAATCACGACTTCTATGCCCTGGTAGACAACAGGTCCTCGAAGTCTGGAGTGGAAATCGATCGAGAGTAAAATTTCAATGCATACAACGCAACTTGCTCTGATCGCTCTGATCGCTCTGATGGCACTCCTTATGCTTGATCCTGTTCCCGCCGTCACTCTTTCCAACAATAATGCAGGTGAGACTGAGGATAGTATTCTACGCATTCTAGTCGACTCGAACTGCCTCCGTACTCTGCACCTCACCCTAAATGCTCCCATAACTTCATGAATGAGACTGGCTCAATTCTCGCCCGATTATGCAACGCTCCGAATGACAAGTCATCATGTGCTGTGTAGAGCAATCACATGAAATCATCTTCTCCAAACCCATCATCGTAACTTGTCGTATCGGCGACACCTCTGCTAATATCGCGACCTGCTGCGAGACTGCTCTTAGTTTTGGCTGCCTTTGATTTCTTTCCACCTTTCTCCCGCTCCTTTTCCTCCTTCATCTTCTCATTGCTCAATGCGGTCAAGCCGCTTGCTGCCTTTTTGATCTCGGCACTTGGCAAGTCGGCGCAGATTTGCTTGACAAAATTTGCAACCCATATCGGATAATGCGGTTTCGAAGAAGAAGCCGTGAGTAGTGGGACTAGAGTGGCTGAGAGAGCGTCGAACTGTGCTTTGGTACCAGGCCTGAACAGAGGAAGTGTTGATAGATCAAGGGTCTGGCCTGGATTTTCCTTGTCTTCTATGATCACCGCCTTGTTGGGTGCGGCGCGGGTCTTGGGTCCCAATCCCACATCGGCAAACAGGTCCTGGGCGTGTTTGAGGTCGGCTTCTTGTTCTGTCTGTCGCAGACGCAATCGCTTGGTAGCTTCATCTTCGTCCTCATCTGAACTCTCCTGTCCCTCTTCCGCCTGTCGTCGCCTTCTATTGGCCTCTCGGTGTTCTTCTATTCTCTGCGCTTTGGACTTTTTGTTGGCTGCGGCTTCGGCTTCGGCTTGAGCTTTCGCTGCGGCGGCTTTGGCGGCCTTTTCCCTCTCAACTTCGGAGTCTTCTTCCTCTTCCCAATTATCGGCAACCTGTCCATAGTCAGCATTCCAGAGGAATGGCAGGGTGGATCATGTGGCAAGGGCGTACATCGTCGGAATCTTCCTCGTCTTCAAACTTACGTCGGGGAGCGACGACAGGGACGACTACTGATTCTTCAGAAGAAGATTCTTCAGATTCGTCATCTACCGGAACATCGTCAGTCGGCGATTGATACAATACAGCACATGCCGAAAGTCATCCGAAATAGGATCGAGCCTGGCAACGAGCAAAATGAACTCACCCCACTTCGGAGGAGGCATGGTGCCGATTGTTAAATTGAGTTGCTCGCGGACGTCTAATGATCTATGACTATCCCGGCAAGTTGGGGAAAGAGAGCGTATGCTAATGAAGGTGGAATCGTGGGTGAGGTAGACTGGAGTGTGGTATGCGAATTCGCTGTCCACCCGGATTTTGTGTCTTTTTGCCTGCGGCCGACGATCGACGCATTCAATCAAGTTGATGAGCAGCCGACCGCCAAGACCAATTGCTACCCAATCACCCGTGGTGCAGTGGGCCACGGCGTTGAAAAGCACCAGCTACTACATTGGAGTCTCTTGTCTGCATTGACTACTACTACGTACATACCTTGAGGCACCAACACTAGTAGACCGTGTAGGTATCTGGTACTATGCTCCAACAGCTTTTGCTACTCTTCAGATACGGAGTCACGATAATACGACCACTGAAGACAATGCTACGAAGCAACTAGGTTAAAAGTGCCTCATTTCGGACTTGAAAGGTTGGGATGATAGGGAATTGGGTTATGACCCGTAGTTTCATGTTCATTCGGTAGGTAAGTCTGATGCTTAGTCGCCGACATCCGCCGATTTTCTTGTGATAAGGCTACTTAGAAGGTGTAGGAATAATGTGAGCCTTAGTCAGAGTTTGAGAAGCATGCTCGTTGGTCGTCGTTGCTCACAAAGTGACAGACTTGCGGAAGTTGGTGCCAGCGTAGATGGCGTTGGATCCCAACTCCTCTTCAATGCGCAGAATTTGGTTGAGTTTGGCCAGACGTTCGGATCTTGCCGGTGCACCAGTCTTGATCTCACCAGCTCGAATACCAACCACAATATCTGCGATGGTGACATCTTCTGTCTCGCCAGAGCGGTGGGAAACCATGACGCTCCAGCCAGCGGCGTAAGAGTCTTTGGCAGCTTGGATGGACTCTGTGAGGGTACCAATCTGGTTAACCTTGAGCAGAAGCGCATTGCAAGCCTTGGCGTCAATGGCTCTCTTGATACGCTTGGGGTTGGTCACGGTCAAGTCGTCACTGAGAGCATGTTAGCGTATGGTAACAGTATTGCAGAAGGGAATACGCACCCGACAATCTGGAAGTCACTGGTCTTGAAGAAGTAGCTCCATGCCTCCCAGTCGTCCTCTGCGAAGGGATCCTCAATCGAGACAATGGGGTATTTGCTGGCCAGTGACTTGTACTCATCGGCCAATTGCTCATATGTGACCCATTTGGTAGGGTCGCTGTCGGGGTTCTTGAAGTCCAAGTCGTACTTCTTCTCCTCCACCTTATAGAACTCGCTCGAGGCGACATCCATGGCAATGTTCATCTTGCCCTCATAACCAGCTTCCTTGATGGCGGCCGAGATCAAATCAAGAGCTTCTTCAGCAGTCTGGATGTCAGGAGCGACGCCACCCTCGTCACCAACGTTGCCAGCGGACTGGCCGTACTTCTTCTTTGCAAGACTCTTCAGTTTCTGGTACACCTCAGAACCCCAGCGGAGGGCTTCAGAGAACGTAGGCGCTTGACTGCGGATGATGTTAGTCTCGATGGTTCAGACGCTCTGGAGAGGTTGCACGTACTCGGGAACGATCATGAATTCTTGGAAGGCCAAACGCCCACCAGCATGAGAACCGCCATTGAGGACGTTCATGAAGGGCACAGGGAGCACATAAGGCTTCTTCGTTCCTGCAAGGTCGGAAACGTGTGCGTACAGCGGGACGCCCTTCTGAGCAGCACCGGCCTTCGCAACAGCAAGACTGACACCCAGAATTGCATTGGCGCCCAGATGGGTCTTGTTCTCTGTTCCGTCGAGCTCAATCAAGAACTTGTCCACAGCAGATTGGTCGGTGGGGTCAATGTTTTTCTCAATCAACTTGGGTCCGATGATCGAGTTGACATTGTCAACCGCCTTCAAGACACCCTTTCCTCCCCATTTCGACTTGTCGCCGTCGCGGAGCTCGCAAGCTTCGTGTTGACCGGTGGAGGCGCCGGAAGGAACGATAGCACGGTGAAGTCCCGTCTCGGTGACGACGTCAACTTCGACTGTCGGGTTGCCCCGAGAGTCGTAGACGGAGCGGGCGTGAATCTTAACAATCGGCATGGCTGCGGTGGGTCAGAAAATGGAAGATATCGGGTGGGCGAATGGAAATAGGCTCGAGTCCAGGTTGGGGGTACGGAGACACGGGGAAATCAAGGCTGGGGAAGCTGAGGACTCAAAGAACAGGGAGGTTTTAGTAGAGATTCGTGAATGGAAGTGTTCTCGCAATGGTGAAAACACAGTGAGGGGAGCTCGGAATAAAGAATTCACTTACCGGATGCTTTTCAGTGGTGTGATGGATATATCCACAGAGGGTTGTCCTTAGGTGTAATTGTTGGGAGAATAACAGACAGGAAGGACAGTATTTGTCTCTTCGAAGTTGATGAATGAAGAGCAAGAGATTAGTAGAAGGGAGACGAAGATTGTGAGCAACAATCAACTTTTTGTTGTTTCGGTGGGGCAGGGAGCAACTGGTCGCTACGTACTACTTCACTCAACACCTGAAGTCATAAAACAGCTCAACTGTCACCTGTTGGCAGTCGCAGGGTGCGGCACGAGAGATCAAGGGCCGTTAGTACCACTTTTTAGCGTACTGTGCAACGAAGCACCACTGGCAGAGTCTCTCTGCCCCTCCATACGAGTTCTCGTCACAGCTTCCTTCTGGCTTCGGACGACTCTGGAGGGGCAATCAAGGAACTAAGCTAAATCAAGACAGTTGTCATACACGTGACTAGACTCGGGACACCTTCCCTGAATCGAGAGCCTCGTCCTCCCTTGCCTCGTTGCGCATGTCTCTGGCTACCTGTGCAAGCTCCCATCATCAATATCATCTCGCAGTTTCCCGTCCCTTTCAACATCATACCTTCGAAGAGACTAGATCAGTCTTCAAATTCTATCTCCCCGTTCTGCCCTCCTGACCCACTTGGCAACGAGCCATCCTGACACAACTTGTGATACGATCCACCGTGCAACCCAAAGTCGCCGAAGATGGATGGAGGCGGAGATCCCGAGAGGCAGCAGGCCCTTGAGCAGTACAAGAACAAATTGTTGGAGTCACGAGAATGGGAGGCTAAACTGAAGGCACTGCGGATGGACATCAAGGGTCTCCAGAGAGAATTCGAAACAACCGAAGAGAACATCAAAGCATTACAGAGTGTCGGGCAGATCATTGGCGAAGTGCTAAAACAGCTGGACGAAGAAAGATGTGTGTTGCTACTATCGTTACTGGTAGCCAGGCTGCTAACCTAATACAGTCATCGTCAAGGCTTCCTCTGGTCCCAGATATGTGGTTGGCTGCCGGTCTAAAGTCGACAAGGCCAAATTGAAACAAGGCACACGAGTGGCGCTGGACATGACAACCCTCACAATCATGCGAATGCTTCCGAGAGAGGTCGATCCTCTCGTCTATAATATGTCGTTGGAAGATCCGGGACAAGTGTCCTTTGCCGGAATTGGTGGTCTCAATGAACAAATCCGGGAGCTGAGAGAGGTTATTGAACTCCCTCTGAAGAACCCAGAGCTGTTCGTACGTGTCGGCATCAAGCCCCCCAAAGGTGTCTTATTATATGGGCCCCCGGGAACTGGCAAAACGTTATTGGCCAGGGCTGTTGCGAGCAGTCTCGACACCAATTTCCTCAAAGGTGAGATACAGGGTTTCGGTTGACTTCAGTTTACTGACTGGTGTCTAGTTGTTTCCTCCGCAATCGTCGACAAATACATCGGTGAATCCGCCAGGTTGATTCGGGAAATGTTTGGGTATGCGAAGGAACACGAGCCTTGTATCATCTTCATGGATGAAATTGACGCCATTGGAGGGCGACGATTCAGTGAAGGCACATCGGCCGACCGAGAGATTCAAAGAACTCTCATGGAGCTCTTGAATCAATTAGATGGCTTCGACTACCTGGGAAAGACCAAAATCATCATGGCAACCAACAGACCAGACACACTAGACCCGGCACTGTTGCGGGCCGGTCGGTTGGACCGAAAAATCGAAATCCCACTCCCGAATGAAGTGGGCAGATTGGAGATCTTGAAGATTCACGCAGCAGGTGTGGTGACGGAAGGCAATATCGATTTCGAGAGCGTGGTGAAGATGAGTGATGGTCTCAATGGCGCCGATTTGCGAAATGTGGTTACCGAAGCTGGCCTGTTCGCCATCAAAGATTACCGGGATGCGGTCAATCAGGATGACTTCAACAAGGCGGTGCGAAAGGTGGCGGAGTCGAAGAAGTTGGAGGGCAAGCTGGAATATCAAAAACTGTAAAATGTCGCGTGGTTGGGCTTGAACGGTGCATAGCGGGCATTCTGATCAGTGATCATTGAGCTATTAACTGATTCAGACAACATCTTTCGCCGAAGGAATTAGACAAGATTGTTCTCGCCGCTGGTCAGTTTGCCGAAAGAGGCATGTTCCAGCGCTATGACTCTAAGCTGAGAGATACAGTATCGCGTCGGGGCGTATCTCGAATGGTTCATGTCACGGTCGAGATGATTTGAACTGTGGCAGCCTTGTCATATACTCATTCTCTTGACATACATTTCCATTTCTCAAGGTCATTCGCGAAGGAAGCCCATGGCGACCCGCCACCACTTCTGGAGCCCCCTAGCCTCCATCTGAGCAGCCATTTCTCTCACTGTGTCGACTTCTTCCAAAGTACCAAACGGCGTGTCTGGTATTTTCTGTGGTAGCTGCGTATCTGGCACGGGGCTGACAGGGGCGATGAGTTGATAGTCTTTATACCGCAACTCATGTACCGTGTCGACCCATCTCTGGACGTTGGACTTGTCACTGCCTCGAACATACATGACACCGGGCACGCCTCCTGATCGCAGTAGAGCAAAGCATTGGTGAGTTTTGGAGGCGGCTTTGAGGCTGGCAATCTTTTTCCGCGAGGTGATGTGGTGCGTCCGGATCAAAGCATGGTACATGCTCCCCTGGCCCAGACGTTGGCTTTTGGATATGCACGGTGAGCCCAATGTTACTAGTAACCTCGGTACCTTAGATAGGTAGGTACCTGAGACGGTAGTATATGAGGCGCAAAGCGTGTCTCGTCACGCAAGCAACACTGGCAGGGTCTCGATCGCTTACTAGTACATAGTACGACCTGGGATTTTGGGAATCTTGGCATCTTGGCATCAAACCGCTCCAAGAATCTCCCCGCATTCAAGGCCGGGTGGAAGGCGACGTTGGAGCTCGAATCACCACTTGGCGAGCCGGTCGTCTTTTGTCATAGTGTCATGAAATCAGACTCGGACTGTAGACGACACGAAGGTGAACGCCCAAATCCAATGCCTGCACCAAGAGATAGCCACACGCGACAAGGGCTGCTCAAATTGAGACCGATCCCAAGCGAGTCGCATACATGTCTAACCTCTGGCCGAAAGCCCCGGATGTCCTCCAGGACGACCCAACATCCTACATAAGGTACATACATATGTACAAGGCGCTTTCAGCAGAGGACCCAACAGGATCTGGCAGCGGCCTCGGCCCATGTGGAAACACCATCATCAATCCGCCCTAAACAGTCTTCTTCATCCCTCCTTTTACTTGCCGTCGAGTAAACATGGGGCGGACTACACCCCGACTTTGCGGACTTCCCCTTGGCTTCCCCCATATGCCCCAATCCCTGATGATCATGACGGACGCTCCACCAACGAATGTCATATTACTTTGTACTTTGTTTGCCGTCTCTTCCGTTTCCCGTCTCTCCTCTGTCCTTCATATTCACCCTGGATGCCGCAACGCAAGGACGGCACACTTGCTGTTGCTTCTGCGCGGATGAAACTGGCTGTGCTCAGTCGTGCTTCGTGAACTGATGTGGATCACTGGTGGCACCATCATACCAACAGAGACGGTTGGTCGTTCAAATTAGCCAGGAGAGAACAGGGTCTCTTGTCATGCGCTCTTCAGATGAGGAAGTCCATCAAACGGTCGTCGAGTCAATATCCGTCAATGCAGCCGCCGCGCTCGACGTCCCGATCGAAGAGAAAGGGTCTGTTCCTTCCGCGCCCTCGGCCACCATTGACGGAGGGGTCAGAGCCTGGCTTCAAGTATTGGGATGTTGGCTTGTGTTTTTCAATGTCTGGTAGGGCGTCTGCCGCGGCTCCGAAGGTTGAATAGATGCTAATACGTTGGACTGCTAAGGGGCTTCACATTTTCTTTCGGACCATTCCAGAGCTACTACGAAATCAATCTTATGACGAACCTGTCTTCGTCAGATGTATCCTGGATCGGCACGGTCGCATCGTATCTTTTGATCGTCACTGGCGTCCTTTCTGGTCCGTGGTTTGATCTCGGTTACTACAAGGTTATGCTTTTTGGTGGTGCAACCATGTCTTGTTTCGGCCTCTTCATGTTGAGCCTTTCACACCAGTACTACCAGATCCTCTTGACCCAGGGCATCTGCATGGGCCTGGGCTGTGGACTTTTGTATATTCCCGGCCTGGCCCTCGTCGGTCGGTCATTCACTCGGCGAAGAGCAATGGCTATGGGAATCGTGACAACTGGCGCTCCCATTGGTCAGTCACCGCTTCGCTGATGAGGCCACACAATGCTTACAGGAACCACAGGTGGAATTATCTATACCATTACGTTCGACCAGGCCATCGAGTCAATAGGATTTGCATGGACTGTTAGAGTGATGGGATTTATTATGCTCGGATCCTATATCATTGCTTTCCCTCTCCTACTCTGGGGTACGGCAAATACTGGCGATATTGCGAGCGGAACGCCGCGTAAGCTATTGGACAAAGCAGCGTTCAAGGACATGGCGTTTTGGATGTATACATGGGCCAACTTCTTCGTGAGTCAACACCAGGATAACGTCGGGCCAAGGCTGATTACCTCAGTTGTTCTGCGGCTACCTGGTGCCGTTCTTTTACATTCCCACTTATGCTCAACTCGAGCTTAACATGTCGAGGTCCTTATCACTATATTCTATCGTCATCGCACAGGGGGTGTCCGTGATAGGACGACTTATAGCTTCCGGCGCTGCCCTTCGGTTCGGAGTCATGGTCCCCTGGCTAACCTGCGGCACCCTGTCGGCGGTGCTCTGTCTTGCATGGATAGGTGTCCACACTCCTACCGCATTTCTGGCCTTTGCAGGATTATATGGTAATTTTCACCCTGATCTCGAAGGCTCCGCCTTCACCTTTTGCTTTCCGTGCTTATAATGAATAGGAGGCTTCAGTGGGGCGCTTATCCCTCTCCCGCCTAGTATCTTCCCTGTCGTCTGTCCTGATCCCAAAGTCCTTGGTGCGCGTCTTGGAATGGCCCAAGCCATCGGTGCTACTGCTTCTCTGATAGGTAGTCCCATCGCCGGAGCCCTGGTAGGTCTAGGAGGGCACGGGTACCTGGGCATGCAGCTCTGGAGTGGTCTTGTCATGTTGGTCGGTGCGTGCCTCCTGCTAGGTTTATGGATCATGCTCGTCAAGAGGAGGGGCTGCAAGACATTCATCTGAGCAGAGGCCATGAATTCAGTGTCATGCTATATCAGATCTACCATACATGTCGACATATCGGCGCTTGGAGTCCCTACCCTACACAACCACTTCTGATTATATCGGCAGCCGCATGTACGACAAACGCACTATTTGACAACGCGCGAAGAGAGACTGAACCCGCCCAATACTCATCTTTCGTGCACACAGCATATGCACAAAAGAAACCCCCCTTTTTTCCCACAAGGTCCCTGGTGGTCTATCCCTCCTGGGCAGGTGTACATCCGAGGCTGGGTCGAACAATAGTACAGCCTCCAAGATCTGTGTCAGGGCCATACCTGTCAACGCATGACCCCCGACGCTGTCGAAGGATTTGAATTTCGAGCTCCTGAAGCTCACGAGTACAGCAGAGGCAACAACCCAACCAGATGAATCAGAGTCGGCTCTGCGCTTACCATGTCAGTACGCCACGCATCTATATCAGTGTAACCAGAATTGGTCTCTCCTTGGAACGAATGGACCTTAATCTGGCGGCTAGTTGGTGAGATGTGCCATTGTGCGGTCAAGAACAATGCTCAAAGGCTACGACATCGTTGACCATTTCTCCTGATCTGTGTCGACGCTGCCTAGAACCACGTCCCAGGGACACTTGAAGTGAAAAGGGAAAAGAGCTTCCGGAGGAACAGATGGCATACTTTTCCGCTCGCTGTCCCATCAGCCTGTCTGAAGTTGAGCCGGTTAGAAGTGCCACCCAGCATTCCCCTCCACGGTATACTAACCTTCCCAAAGCGGCATGAAACCATCAACAAAAAGAAATGGAAAAAGGGGTAAATTGAGTGAGATGCAGAGATTTTGCATTGATGCTTCTATGTCGCTGTTTTTTTGCTGTTCTACAAGCATCGCATAAGATGCGTGGTGTCATAAAGAGCAGCTTCCTGGGAGAGCTGCTGGAGGAAAAGTATTTACAAGAGACGCTAGGAAGAAGCCGAAGACTGCAACCAGGATATGTGGTCGACCAGACGGTCCCCTCTTCTCAGTCGCATCCGTCTGAATGATGGACTGCGCATGCTTGCCGGCCGCAATTGGTGTCAATAGGACCAAGAGCTGACAAGTTGCCAGCTCATGACACCATCTGGCTTACAGGTGAGGAACTTCGAGATAAGAGCCCCGAACCGCAGAATCAGTCCTCTTGATGGCAAATTCGGAAAGTGAAGGACCTCTATTTGGGATACTTCTTCCACCCTCTGCCATGTCCCCTCTGCAATTGTGTTAGCACTGATTCCCGAAGGGTCGGGCGGATGACGACGAGAAGCCTTACCTGTTTCCATTCCCTAACCAATTCCGGCATATTCTCCATCGCCGTCCTCCTCTTGTCGAGATTCGCACCGACGTGTCTCTCCCATTTATGACCCTTGACCCTCTGACCCTCTCCTGTACCCCGGACACGTAGTCCTCGCTCGAGTAGCCGTGCCTCTTTGAATGATGTCGATTTGCGACTCGGTGGGAGGAGCTCCTCTATCCCGTACTTTTTAGCAAGTTTAAACAGCTCCGCCTGCCGTCGCAGGCCGATCTTCGCGCCGGCCCATCGTCCTGTTATCGGGTTTTTGCGCGGGAGAAAAGGATTTGAGGATAGGTTTGTCTCAGATGAAGAGGACGCAGGTGACGGTGTGGGTATTGTGATTTCATCGGTAGATGATGATACTGCTTCTTGCGTTTCTGAGCTGGAAACAGCGGACGTCTCTGTGGTGGGTTTCGGAACTGAGGTTTTCTGCGTTTTCAAGACCGCGCCATTGGCGATGGCGGCTTCTTTGGCCTCTTTCCGCGTTAATGGTATTTTGGCTCCAGTGAACTTGGCCGAATACACCTGCGGCGGATATCTAGCAAAAAATGTGACCAGGCGAGACGGGAGGTTGATTTTCTGTAGCGCGGCCTCTGCCATGGTGGAGGAAGGATGGTCTTGGTCCGCTCTGCGGCTGTTGCTTGCTCGGCTGTTGAGCCAGTACCCTTGGCGGAACGATGGTGGTTGACCTGCTGCGGGCTCTGACAAGTGAGCTCCGCGCTATATGTGTTGGTCAAGGCAAATGAGTGAATCAGGACTCTGGTCGGCCGGCTTCGAGTTGAAAAGTAAAGTGCATTTAATGTCTGTGGAGGTCTCGGACATTGCACTGCAGAGCACAAAGATGAACATGCACAATTGAATGCAGTGATTCTCCGCAGCCCAAACGCAGGCTTGGCCGCGAATTGGACTCAAGAGCTCACGTGCGGCTCACCTCCGCCGTACTATAGTACCTCGCTACGTAGAAGCAGTGTGAGCACGTGGCAGTCTACACTCATCTTGGCAACATTTAACTTTCGGGCCTCAAGCGCAGTTTCAAGTTTCTTCAGCCTCCGAGTTCCCAGGTTGCTTTTCCACTTCACCTGTATCTTTTTCGCATTTCTGCGTTCAATATCCCCTCTGAATCTGTCGCGGAGAAACTATACCTCGATAGACGACAACTGGCTTGAGACAAGGTCACCTGGGGTGATTCACCGCGTTCCAGCTTGATCGATCATAACACTCCGTACCTAATCGGACTGCGTCCAGATGGACGTTTATGGCGGAAATGATGAGGAGAGCGCGGAGCTGCGAAAGCTTCTTGTCGAGGTGGTACGTTGATCAAGTTCGTCTTGTCCGACGCAAACACTGATGAACTTGCGTATTCCAGAACGATGATCCAGACAACTTCGAGATCTGGGAGAAACTGGTCCGCACCGGCGAGTCGCTCGAGGGCGGAATCAACAGAAATTCGAGTTCCCAAGCAATCACTGCAATCAGGGACATCTATGATCGTCTGCTCTGCAAATTCCCTCTCTTCTTCGGATACTGGAAGAAATATGCCGACCTCGAGTTTTCTATCGCTGGGACCGAAGCCGCGGAGATGGTAAGAGCATTGAAAATAGTCGGAAACAAAGGCGCATGCTAAGGTTGTCAGGTCTACGAACGCGGCGTTGCAAGCATAACCAATTCCGTGGACCTGTGGACAAACTACTGTTCATTCAAGACCGAGACCTGCCACGACGCCGACATCATCCGAGAGTAAGTATACAGATAAGATTCCCTCTTCTTGAGACCTAAACACAGCACGACCTAAGAAAGACTTCGACGGGGCATTCTACAGGATGCCGACGGTCACCGCAAGATTGGTGAGATCGTCAGCAGCCATTTCCCTTCTGGATTGCTTCTCACATATCATCAGTCAGGCGCGCGTTGATTTGCTTTTCTCGGACGGCCCCGTGCCCATCACTACTCCCGCAGGAAACTGTTGCGAATGATTGAGGGACTATCACATCGCGTAGATCTGGCAGATTCATGTTTGCTTCCACCGCCCTCCTCTCCTGTCCCCTCCCTAGTCTGGCGGTGCTGACTCGCTGGTGAATAGACTTTTCGAACGAGGTGCTGTTTGCGTTGGTCTCGATTTCCTCGCTCACCCATTCTGGGACAAATATATCGAATTCGAAGAACGGCTGGAATCGTTCGATCGCATATTCGCGATTTTGGGTAGGATCATCAACATCCCGATGCACCAATATGCCCGATACTTCGAAAAGTACCGGCAAATGGCCCAGACCAGACCGCTGGCTTCTATTGCTCCTGCCGGGACACTCACTCAGCTCCAATTGGAGCTTGAAAACGAAGGTGCCGGATACAAAGCTGGCCGTAGCCAGGTCGAGGTCGAGCGAGAATTACGGATACGCATCGATGCTTACCATCTCGAGCTCTTTCGGCAGACGCAGACCGAGACCACGAAACGATGGACATTTGAGTCTGAAATCAAGCGTCCATACTTTCACGTCACAGACCTGGATGATGCACAACTTGTCAACTGGCGTAAATACCTCGACTTTGAGGAATCCGAGGGCGACTATACAAGAACCCAGTTCCTGTATGAGCGCTGCCTGGTCACTTGTGCCCAGTATGAGGAGTTCTGGTTGAGATATGCGCGATGGATGCTTGCGCAACCAGGCAAAGAAGAAGAAGTCCGGAACATTTATCAGCGTGCGGCTTGCATCTTTGTTCCCATCGCTGTTCCAACAGTCAGACTTCAATATGCTTATTTTGAAGAAATGACCGGCCGGGTTGATATAGCCAAGGACATCCACGAGGCCATTCTGATTCCTCTCCCCGGCCATGTGGAGACAATCGTGTCGCTTGCAAATGTTATTCGCCGCCATTCTGGACTAGATGCAGCGGTGGCAGTTTACCAGAGCCACATTGATTCTCCGACCATCGACCTTTCCGCCAAAGCAGCACTAGTGGCGGAATGGGCCACATTGTTATGGAAGACCAAAGGAGCACCTGAAGAAGCTCGACAAGTGTTCCAAAAGAACCAGCATTGGTACCTTGAGAGCCCGGCTTTCTGGTCCAGCTACTTGCGTTTCGAGATTGACCAGCCTACGGCTGAGGATACGGAACAAGCTCACCATGATCGGATTCGAGGTGTCGTGGACGACATTCTCACCAAAAGCCGTCTGCCGGAATTGGCCATTCAGGAGCTTGTCACCACCTACATGAAATATCTACTTGAAAGGGGTACCAAGGGTGCCGCCAAGGAGTACATGAATCTCGACCGCGAAATCAACGGCCCGACCTCCGTCCAAAAGTTGCCCAAAACTATTGCCGATCCGAGCAAGCCCGTGGGGCTCGTCAATGGCCAGGTATGATGTCTCTTCTGCCATTATAGCATAAGACTAATATCACGCGAACAGCCAGCGCCGATACGGTATGCATAAGGCCAGGCGGCGGTTCTCGGCGATTTTGAACAGTTAGCTTCAGTGGGCGTCTGATTAATTAATCATTAAGTCGGCAGGCATAGCGATCGACTTTGGTAGAGCTTACGACTTTCCTTGACGATGGCTTTTGAATGGACTGGATGCCAGGACTGTGCAATGTCCACTGTGGATAGTCAGAATAAGCATGTCATCTCCAGACCCTGGATTTACCTTCATGCTCCGTTTTCGTTTGCTTTCCTTCCTCTCGATTAGTTATCCCTATAGCCGACGATTGATCGTGCTAAAGTGGTTGTTGCCAATGGCCACAACGTGAGCAGTCCTTCCAAGCATGCGTGAGCGGAGGGCCGGCATCATCATAAATATCGCCGCTCGAGCTGCGACAGTCGACTTCCCTTTCGGCATCGGCTACAATTCCAGCAAAAGCCGCCGTAGCACGAGCAACGTCAACGCTCCAGGAAGAAATCGATTTCGACGGCTTAAGTGAAACGGTTTACCTGTTTGCTTTGCATCCTGGCGAAGTATATACGGCAATGGGAGCCGGTGAGTCCCTACAATCGTTGCTTCTTCCATACTAAACTTCTTCCCTTTCCGATCACTCATTGGCACGCATTCGTAGAACTATCAAGTAGCTGATCTGAGACTTCGTTCAGCCGAGCCGCGTCCGGAATTACTTGAGCGATACCCGCAACTATCACGGCACGGCACAGATTTCAAGGACCTATTCAAATATCCTCCAGAGTTGTGTGGTGCAACGTGCGTGTACCTAGCTACAGGCAAGGCTAAGGAGATGAGAGGCATGTATTTCGACTGCAGAGAAGACATTGAGCTTGTCTGCGCTGTTGGACACGACGATCTGCAGAAGGACTTTTTGTATGCGTTGAAAGTCGACTTTGTTGACGGCTACAAGATTGAGCCACGAGAAGAAGGAAATACACGTTCAAGCCACGCCTAACGTACTATTGCAGTACACTGTACCAGCCTGAGTATCTGGCAGGCGCCCAATAAAGGATTTGAATAGTTGTCTTTCGACAGTGAGAAACGGAGCCTCGCCGTTGGGTATCCACTTACCCCACATTTCCGGATTTAGCAGCCTGCCTGTTTTGTCGTAGTCGGATTCCTGTCGTTATAAATCCAAGTTGATAGGGTTTTGTAACGACACTCGTATCATTGTAGTCAATTTTCTGTGAGCGATCTATTTGGTTCACTAGGAGGCCCGGGACAGCATACTCGGTTTCTGTAATCAAAGCAGGTGGATCTGAGCTTTGTGGCTTCGACCGTTGTTTTTTAGGCTGTTCTCGCAATGCTTCAACACCTGGCTCGACACGTGGTTCGTGAAGGTGAAAGCGTCACGTTGTAAGACATGGCATAGTAAACAATTGGTCTGCTTTCATGAGGCCTATTTCAAGTACTTTTTCGAATGACAGCGTCATCGGCTTGTCTCACATTGGACAGCTCCACGCCGAACCATCACATCCCTTAGTAAATGCCCGGCAGAATCCTCCATTTAACTCGCTGGCAATACCTCTCCCAGTCCTTCCCATATTTCTTTCGACACTTCTCCTCATCTCGCATCTCTCGGTGAACAAGCAACACGCCGAAGTATACAATGTAAAAGTAAGTGAAGATCATCCCCCAGCCTCTTGCACGGCCTTGCACCACCTCCCGAGTCACGGCTCCGGTGACAGGGTTTTGGTAACTCTTGATGATATAACCTGCCATGCCAGTAGGTAGGCAATAGCTGAACGACATAATCCAGTCGCCCAGATAGTTGATATGCCGGGCACGGCCCCACCAGCCCGAAACAAGCAGTTTGGATCCAGATTCAGTGGTCAACGTCTCGAGATGTGACACGCGAACGTCGTTGGGGTTGGTGCGGAAGCGGTTCTTCTGGTTGTTGGCTGACCGGAAGATGTAATAGCCTAGTCCTTGAGCAGCGAGAACTCCTGCAATGCCGGTGATTCCCAGAGACAGAGGATACACCGCAAGGTAGCGAGCTTGAATACTGTAAACAAAGGGGACCCATACCAGATCTCCAAAGGCAAGCATGAAGCCGAATCCATCGTTGATAACGTCAATTGTGGTCAGAATGGCAGGCTCCATGTAAAGAGCATCCAGGACGTAGAGGGACTGGAAAAGGGTGATGAGCACGATCGAGTCGCTCACGAAGCCGTGGGTCTTGTATTGGTGGACAACAAAGGTAATGTCGAGGATGACCCAACCAATCAATCCTGGTCTCATCTCGTTGAAGACCTTAAGATCAATCACCTGACCACGTACAACTGGTACCCATGGAGGAACTGCGATGCGAGGGTTGAGTTCACGACCGATGAAAAAGTCGTACAGCATGTTCCCAGTATGTCCTCCCTTGGCCAACTCCCGGTGTTCATCATTTGACTGGCCGGAGTGAGGGACTTTGAAGGAGGCCAGGTAGACATAGATTGCTTGTAATGTTGCAATTATCAAGCTGGCAGTCACCACTTGGGGCAGCTTAGTCCAGATGTAGTCCCACACGACGAAGTCGGTGCCCTGGACGGCAGTCCCAATGGCGAGACCAGAGAGGATTAAGACGGCCGAGTTGAAAGAATTGAACTTGTAGTGATGTCTTCCGCCTGTTCCTAGAGTGGTACCGTCCACCTCTTCGCCTGGTAGCAACAGCTGCAGCGCCACCAGGAGCGCGTAGTATCCAGATACCCAAGCTGTCACTTCCAGATCGAACAGGCCTGGCAATCCATTTTCGGGCCAAGGTGTTTGCTGCTTCAGCTTCTCGAGCGTCAAAATTTTCGGGTCCAATAGGGCCGGTGCAGGACAGCCGGAAACGTCGTTGCAGAGAAAGATGCTGGAGTAGACGAGCAGAGGCAGACCGAAGACGATACCTGCAGCACCCAGCCTGCTAAGAGGTCAGCGTGTGAATTGGAAAGTTCCTCCACAGTCTTTCAACTTACGGGCCTCCAAACTCATATTCGTGCTCTGTCGATGCATGCGTGGACGCGCCGGTCTTTGCTGATTTAACGGTCATGTCTCAGTACAGGTGGATAAAACGAGTGACGAGAAAGAAAAAGACAGGGTCTCGATCGACCAGCGGGACGAGGAAGTTCGAGCAGAACGTGATTTGATCTGTGTAAAAGAATGAATGGTTTGTTTACCACTCCAGACGAGTTCTCCGGCAAAATCGCGAGCCGAATGAGATCATGAAGCACTTCAAGTTGGAGACCGAGACGCAAGCCACTTCACCAGCCTCATCTTTCTCATCTCCACCGGACAGCAGCCACAGTGCCTCAGTGCGGGAAAGTTCAGCTGGTCCAAGCTGCGGCTGGCTGAAAGATACAAGCACGATGTTGATGGCAGAGTTCCCGCTTGGGAACGTATTTGAAACTGGTGACAGACCCTCCGACGCCTTTCAGCCATCCTTGTAGATATCTATCTGCCCCTGCAGCCTGCAGCAAACTCCTGGCCAGTGCCTGATCGTCGACGTCCCCCATCCCGTATCAGCCGCTACCTCCCTCGCTACTGTTATCACCCGGTCCAGCCATCAGACTTCTGTCAAAGCTGTCCTTTCTCTCGCTACGATATCTCTTACGCATTCTATGTCTGCATGATCTTCACAGACACCGCACTCGCTTGTTCTGCTTGAATCCTTTTGTTAGGTGTATTCAAACGTCGCATTAAGTTTCGTGGACGATACCCTCGGCTCAATCACTCGACGAATATCATCAACTATGCAATTATCGCCGGACGTGGTCCTTTTCCTCCTCCTCTCCTATCTCCCTCTGAGCATCGCCTCCAGCGAAGTGAAACCACCTCCAAAACCATGTACGATTCACTCACCCTCCACCGGTTCCTTCTTCGATCTGCGACCGCTGCACCTGACGGCCGAGGGCACGAAATACCAGGTTGCGAGCAATGAATCGTATCATGTCAAAGGCTATGACTACCCGTCAAACTTCACCATGAACTTCTGCGGTCCGGTCGTGGAAGAGTTGGACGATGTTGAAGGGATTCCGATGACAAAAGTTGCCAACGTATCAGCGTTCTACAAAGACCAACGCGGAGATATCTATAGCATCGGGCAACAGAATGATCAACCGTTGTTCCGTGGAAAGAAACTCCTTATGAACTACACTATGGGCTCGCCCTGTCCCGACGTGGATGAGAATGGCGTTCCTATAGATCGGGATGCTATGGCGAGCACAGACAAGAGAAGACGCAAGTCTACAATGCTGTCGTTCATCTGCGACACGTCACCACTGCTGTCGACTCGACCGGCCATTTCCTTCCTCGGAACTCCCGACCATTGCACATACATTTTCGAGGTCCGCTCGCGTTACGCCTGCGGCGGGACCACATCGGCAGGCGAAAAGGGGACCCTCGGACCAGGCGGAGTGTTCGCTGTTATCCTCGGGATCGCCCTTCTGGTGTATCTCATCGGAGGTGTTGTGTACCAGCGCAATGTCATGCATCAAAGAGGGTGGAAACAGTTACCCAACTACGCCGTCTGGGCCGGGTTGTTCAGCTTTATCTCGGTAAGTTCTTGTCAGCCTTTTCTTTCCTCTCTTTTCCTCTCTTAGCTGGAAGTCCGTGCCAAGTTCCCTTACACACTATGCTATATACAGAGACCTCTGTCCATGCCACGCCGAAAGCGAAATGGCTCCAGTGCGAGGAGCCACGATTGGAAATCCGACTTGCCGTAGTCAAGGCTGACACGTTGGCATTTTTTGTTATCTAGGACATGTTTGTCATTCTGTTCTCCTCTTGCACACGACGAATGCCAGGTGGAATTACGCAGCTGTTTGCGGGTCGACGAGGCTATCATCGTGTCGGAACGGATGATAATCGTGGCCCTGGGCACGGACGCACACCGGACGACGAGAACAGACTTATTGATCAGCTAGACGAGGAGTGGGAAGACTGATTGTCGATAGCAGTCCGCGAGGTTTTGAAACATGGCATTTGCAGCGAGAGCCGCGACTTGCTGGGCACTCATACTTGGCAAAGGCAGCAATCAACCACACAACGGGAGTACTCTGATGAGAGCAAAAGAATTGGACATTCTACACTGCTCCCAGGCTGACGCGTCACCATGCGGCACAACAACCTATATCAAACGATTGTGGTTCTATATCATCCGGTACTCGTATTGGGATTCTGGTCCGCGAAGCGTCCTCCGACGTCCCCACCACCAGCAGCGCCCGAGTCAGCAAAGTCCATTCCATCCAGCGCACTGTTGCCGAAATCCTCCATGCCGCCATAATTGGGCGGTTCGATATTGAATGGTAATAGCCAGGCGGAGGAGCTCGTGTCCATCATTCCGCCGGTCCCTCCAGCCATGGGATCATTGAAGCTAAAACCATTGGTATCCAATTGGTCCCAAGGGTTGGTGCTACCGAACTGTCCCAGCGAAGGAGAATCGTTATTGAGAGTATCCATCGTCGAGGTTCCAAGATTGCTATGGCTCGATGGATCCACATTTGCGTATGCTCCAAAGACCATCTGTCTGTCAATAGCCGGTAAGGTCGAAACAAAATGAAGGTTGAGGTGCGGCGACGTCGGAGCCCCGTAATTATACGGTTCACCTGGTTGCGACTGGGCACCAGAAAACTGGGGCGTCTGGTACAAGGACGGGGAGGTGATATCGAAATCGGATGGGTTGAATGGCTGCGTGAGGTTAAGATCCGCCGTAGGACCTGACAACTGCTGTTGCTGTGAGGATTGTGGTTGTGGTAGTTGTGATTGAGATGGTCGGCGTTGAGCATTAGCTGTTCCAGGTGTAGCTGCAGTCGGCCCTGCATTGCCTGAAGTAGACGAAGCAAAAGCGGTAGCATTTCCAGCCCCTGTACCACCCTTCTTGTTCTCCGCCACACTCTTACCCCTTCGTCTCGCAACCTTCTTTCCCCGTGAGCCTCCAGGCCCATCGTCTGCTTTGCTCGGAGGACTCAGGCTGGCGAAGAACTCCTCGACAGACTGCAGATCGCTGCGTTGGGACATGACGGCCTCCCCAGCGCCACCGGCCTCGCGTTTGTACTCCAAGTGCGATTTCTCCCAATCACTCTCGCTCACGCCGTGCGGATACTTGTCGAACCAATCGCCATATTGGAACATGGCCTTTCCAGATCCGACCGAGGATGCGGCGGTGTGTGTGCCCTTGATGTCACCACCAGGTGTCTCCGCCCGGGAAGGTGGGTTGGTCAGACCAGTGCCTGCGTCGAGGTCCATCATGGGCGTCTGAGAGCCAGACCCGTCGGCAGCGGAAGGTCTGCGAAGGAGTGAAGGCGCACCAAGGCTATTGGAAGAACTGGCGGCACCACCACCAAGTCTGTGCATGGATTGAGAATGGCGTAGGGCTGCATCGGCAAAGGCACGGTAGTTGTCCTTGATAGACTCGGCCATGTAATGGAACATACCCCAGTACCGTTTCATGCGGGTGAGGTATTTGTAGTTGTGACGTAGGTTTTCCTTGGACGCCGCTTCGAGACCGGCGTTCTTGCTGAAAATCCCCCAGACTTGCACCGTCGCGGCCGCATACGCACAGTAGCCGGCGAAGGGGACCGTGAGGGTATAGCCGGCAGATTCGGCAATCAGGCTCGAAATGAGGTTCGCCGATTCGATAACCGTGCTCGCGGAGTTGCTGAGGAAGGATTTTGGCATGCCGGCTGCGGTGAGGTGATGATGGTGTGGTCGACGAGATGGCACCGTGGGGACGGCAAATCGGTGTAAGAAGAGCGAGATCTGTGCGAGGACAATGTGCAAGAAAAGGAATTGGCTCGCGAGACGCCCCGAGGCGTGCGCAGCTAAATTTTCGGCAGTATAGGTAAGATCATCTGGCAAAGATGATTTGAGCTGCTGTATCTGTCGTTGGAGAGTGGCGAACTGTGACAGAGCATCCCATATTGGATGCGGGTCTTTGTCCTTGCCGCCCAGGTTCAAATATTTGACGACACGTTTCCACAGCACGACGGCGCGGACAATATATGCAGCAACGCCCATATTTGCTTTTGCTTCGACGGACTCGTCGCCCGAGTTATTAAGTGAGGTCTTCTTTGACATGGGAACGTTGCCGTACAGATCCTCGGTGGCCCCAGGTACTTCCATTTGGAAATGAGATTCTTTGATGGGTAGCTGGATCTGAAAGTAATCTTCGTTGAGGAAAGAAGGGCGCTCAGTCCCTGAGGAGTTAAAGGTGTCCATCAGATAGCAGGCCCACATTGTCCTTCGACGAATCTCTCTGTCAGTAAAGGACAACTCAGGCGGGTTTGGGCTCTTTTTGTTTGGATCGCTAGAATTCGCGATCTGGTTCCGACCCAGGGGATCATGGTCGAGTTCGCGATGCAGTTGCAGAGCATAGCCCATGCGCATCGCCTGGCCTCCAAACGACCACGACAAGCCACCCTCGCACGTGCCGAAATAGTGTAGCCCTAGCATCAACATGGCCGTAAGAATGGTGATGTTGGGCTCATAGTGGCGTTTTTCCACAATACGACGTGCAGGCGTTGCCCACTGCTCCCCACGGAGAAAGGCCGGTTCGGTGCTGACTTGGGGATGGGTGGAGAAGCGAGCGGAGATAGCGCACACTGCAAGAATGAGAACGGGGGGAATCGTGCCTGCCCTTAGTTTGCGCATGAAGCTGGGTTTGTGGAGTAGAAGATAGGACTGGCCATAGACACAGTCAAAGAAGACCTCGGCCAGGTGCTCCTGAATGTGCTGCGGTGGAAGGGATTCAGACCCTTCGATGAACAGCTTGTTTTCACCGTCACGTTGCTTACGCAGGCCTGCCGTAGGATCAAGGAGCGTCGACTTATCCCGTGAACTCCTCCAGTCATTGAGTTCTTGAGCGAAAGCTTCGTCCGCTGATCGTTTCTTGGGCTGCTCCTTGTCTTTCTTTGGTGACTGGCCTGGCAGAGGCGGTCGAACCGACGCTCGTCCAGTGGCCGACAGGTCAGGCAGTTCTTCCTTTGGTATCACTCGGATGACCCGGTCCTCCATTCGCTTCAATCGTTTGTCTAACATGGCCATGTAATCTGTACGAGGAGCCGCTTTCCGAGTGGTGACTTTGTAGACGCACGGAATTCTGGCTCGGAGACAGTGCTTGCATGCGGGCTTCTCTCCCGAACACCGAATCTTTTTGCGTCGGCAAGCAATGCAGGCTAGAGGTAGCCTTTTCCTCTCCTTGCCAGCCTTGGTCTTCAACTCGCTCCAGGCTGGAGGTGGCTTATCTTCTTCCGCTGACGATTTCTTGCCCGCATCTTGTTCCGCTAGTTTGCTTGGTGAGGCGTCTACATTTCTTACCGGTCGATTGGCCGAACTAGCCGAAGTCCATTGTTTCAAGGCTGCTGCGCCGAAAAGATCGTGGTCGAAGGCCGAATCGATGCTGGCAAGGCTGGCGCGGTGCCGTGGGCTGGGGACTCTATCAGAAGTATAACGAGCCGCATCCGGGCCTGAGTCTCGGCTTGGAAGGCTTTGACAATGACTTAGACGAAGATCCGGGGGAACATCGATTCCACTATTGCTGCTCCCATTAGGACTGCCAGCAAAGGGAAAATTGAAGTCGATAGATGTGGGAGAAGAGGTGTCAAAGACGGAGGAAGTTGACGGCGTTGGTTGAGATTGAGTATTGATGATTGCATCAACCCGGGGATTTCGAGCATCAGGCATGATCTGTCCCGAGTCTGACACAGAAATGTTGCGATGCTTGGCTTGAGTGAATCCGGACCGGTTAGATGAGCTTGTCATAGTGTTGGCACCGTCGATAGCAAAATTTTTATGGCGGCCCGCATGTCCTCATGCGAGTTCGTAGCAGCTGTGAATTGCGGAGAGAAGAGTATGTGGGGCAAACCTGGAGCGACAGTCCTCGGCCAGGAGCTTCCGGTGAGCCCAAATCAGAGCACAATACAATAACGGTAGATGACTTAGATTAGAAGAACCATCTTCGGTTGAGGTCCGACGAGGCTACCGAAGGTATTGAGATGAGGTTGGCGAAGTTGTTAGACTTGTACTCGGCGATGTCTGGTGTGCGAAGAGAACAGAACGAGCGAGCGGCCCGGCAACGACTAATTGACGAGCACTTGCAGCAGCACGAGCAGGGATCCGGAGACGGTGACGGAAAGATATCGGGCTCGTAATGATCTGTTCTTCTTCGATTTGCCTAGAATGACGGACGTGGTCGGAAGAATGGAGTCGTTGGCTAGGATTCAAGTGGAGGGATTTTTTGCGGCGGGTTGTACGTAGATCTTGCGGGAGAGCTGTGGCGGGTTTTGAAAGTTGAGCTTGAGGCGGCCGAAAAGCTGCTGGTGTCGAGAACAGCGTCAGCAGCACAATAGAGCACCAGAAGACCGAGTGGCTATCATTCGAAAACAGGTTAAATCGGAAGAAGAGGAAATTGAGGAGAAGTGAGTGCGATGATGCCTAGTATGATGATGATGAAGTAGTAGTGCTTGATGCTTGATGCTGCTCATGGTGCTTGGTGGCTGCTAATCGTGGGGATTGGAGGCGGAGGAGAGAAGAGGAGTTGATACGAGGTGCGGGAAAATGTTTTGCAGCTGGCCAGTACCTAAATAATATGTTGTTTAGGCGTGTACAGATGGATAAGGGGATACCTCAGGTATTATCGTTGGGTGTCATCCTTGACAGAAGCAACGGAGAGTGCACCTAAAGCGTCTAGAGCCCGCGAGAAAACCATAAGACCCTCCAAGGGGTTTGTAAGCCTATCCCTAGCCTCCTAGCCCTTTGACGCTCTTCACCCCAGCCTTAAGATACACCTAGTTACCTACGTGTAGGTACAGTACCTCTGATTTTAATTGACAGATCAATCCCTATATCTGCTGAGAAATAGCCCGTACTACTGCAAGTCTTCAGCCGGCTTCTCAACCCGCCACTTACACCTCAACCTCAGCGCTTGCCATACTAGTATGTACCGTGGTTTTTTGTATGAGCTCTTTCCTGCTCAGGCAACAAACAGTTCTGGTCGGTCACGAGCACCTCCCCCGCAAACTTGAAGTAATACTACCAATGTATCCTCGTCAGACTGCCCCAGTCCGAGGCACCCGAGCGCACCAGCCGACCCTCGAATTCGTGTCAGACAGCCCCCAAGCCCCATAAGTTCGCAGACCCCCGCAGCAATCTCTCATCAGCCTGAGATTCCAGCCTGCGGGGGGTTCATCGGCTATTCGTATCTGAGTACGCAGTTCCAGACTTATCTGGCATGCTTCATACTCCCACTACGTACCTGAAAACCAACCCTCAGATGAGGAAAAGCACTCTTGGGAGACACAAGCAAGGGAAAGCACAAGCACTCAGGCTGCTGCCAACACTCTTTTTTCTGGTCACAAACTTGAACAGCTGTTTCTGCTCTCCGGGCCTGATCAGGTGACTGACTGCGTTGATGACCTCTCTGCGGAGCCGGTGTCGAATTCGCGATGTATTTTCTCTTCTTCGCTCTTCCCCTGTTTCTGTCCTCTTCGGCTCTTGAGTTGTTAGATTCTACCCATTTGCAAGGTCGAATGCTGCTTCTCTAGTGTCAAGAAATCACTTCTGTTTCTATGTGGTCTATTCCAATCATGGAACGACGGGACTGTCAGAGCAAACTTGTCTGCCCTCATTTTAGCGAACTCCTTCGCCATGCCTTCACTAGCTGAACAAGCGGCCAGCCTCGCTCTGTCGACCTTTGACTCCCTGCCTCAGAAATGTAAGCCTCGTACGCTTGCAGATGGGAGAAGAGAATGGACACCCATGGCAGCGGTGGTGTTGGCCGAGGCCGGAGACACTCCACAATTGACTTGTGTGTCTTTGGCAACTGGAACCAAATGCCTTGCTGCATCTGCACTCCCATCTTGTCGAGGATCTGTTCTCCATGATTGTCATGCCGAGATCCTTGCCTTGCGTGGATTCAATTACTGGCTGCTTGCTGAGCTTCAGAAGCTCCTCGAAAAGCCAGAGCATGAGTCGTCAATACTGGAGTCTGCCAAAGCAGATGGCACCGCCCCTCGGCAGATGTCCATATCAACACCTCAGGCTCCATATAGACTCAAATCCACAATCTCCATTTACTTTTTCACCACCGAGGCTCCTTGTGGTGATGCATCCATGGAAATATTGATGAGCTCAATGCCTCCTCACGCAGCAACCCCTTGGTCAGTTGAAGATATCAACAATACCGTTCTTCAGGGTCGAGGTCACTTCTCGCTACTCGGTCACGTTCGGAGAAAGCCTGCCCGAGCAGATGCGGAACCAAGTCTATCCAAGTCTTGCACCGACAAGCTCGCCCTTAAACAATTTACGAGCATTATTTCTTTCCCTGCCGATCTTTTCGTGCAAAAAACGGAGAATGCATTCATTCGGACCACCCTGGTGTATGCTGATCAGTACAATTCCACTGGATATAGAAGGGCCTTCTCCCCATCAGGCAGGTTACTGAACGTCGAGCACTTAGGGCACTTTTTCGACATTGTAACACTCCCTCCGGACTTTCCGCGTTTTCTTTTCAGCAAAGATAATCGAAGCTCCGAGCTGTTGAGCCCTAACAGGACGAAAGCGAGCAATATATCTGCTTTATGGATCAGACACCCAAGCCAAGAGGAGACCGGCGTTCTGGAAGTCTTGATCAACGGGGTCAAACAAGGCTACAAGCAATGGGATGAAAGGCCAGGCAAAGCAAGTGTTGTTTCCCGCAGAAGCCTCTGGGAAACCGGAATCAGGATTGCGCAGCTGGCTTCCCATAATTGCGGCTCGTCAGATGGATCTGCCATATCTTGCATGAAGTGGCATATGGACGTTTCCCAAACGCTCTGCATGAACAGCTATTGTACAGCAAAATCCACAGTGATGAGATCCTCCCACTTGGACCTCAAGCAGCATGTGAGAGAGGCTCTGGGCAACTGGACTAACAATAGAGGTGACGATGAGTGGTCTTTATGTTAGCCGTCCAAAAGCCATTCGATTGTTTTGATATCGATCATTGGGAAAGTCTAGATCTTCTTGGAGAGATAGCACTCATCCCACAAACCCTTGAAACACCGCTGGCTGGCTCATCACATACCTTCGATGATGATGACCCTTCATGGTTATGTTATCGTCTGTGTTAGCCGCCGGCTACCACATCCACTCTCCGTGTAGGTCTCCGGGGATTCGTTGTGAAGCGGACGTCGACCCGAAAAGGTCAACTATCAAGCAGTCTTCTCATCAGACAGTGACCACTCATAATTGTCCCCATTCACGACATTCGGATACGACGGCGACAAGTGACCAAGGGTGGCATGCCCGGTACTGAGACATCGTGGCCGCCTGTGCGTAACAAGGCAGTGCAGTGATAGCGAAGGCCAGCCGAAAAGCCAAAGCCACACTGGCACCAGCACACAGAAGCGCAAATCTGGCGAGTGGACAGCTCAAGCCCGGCAGGCGGGTTGACTATGATTGTTCCCAATGAGGAAGGCACAAGAGTGCGGCAAGATGGATATGTTGCTTTGAGCTTACGTCGGAATGCAGCGCCCAGAGCACTAGAATGTATGATGTGGTCAGATGTGCCAGGCCTTTGAGGTGACCGTTCCTGACGATATCAACGTAGACGGCGTTAGTTCTAGTATCAACCGAACCGAGTTGAAGCATCCACTGAAAAACCGGCAAGTTACCTTTTGTCTTCCTGTTGTATATAGTCTATGTGTCTCGCTTCGCGTCCATACCATTACGAACATCTTTATTTTATTTGGCATAACCCGTAGCCTCATCCGCTCGGGCCATACAGGACTCCAAGCTGCGCCAGAATTGTGCAAGGTCCAGCGAACGCGGAATCGTCACCCCCTTCCCACTCTCGGCTTTCGTAGCCACGGTCCGGCCCAACTGTTCGCCTTCCAAGACAACGTCGACATTCCATCTCTCACCACCTCTGTCGTTGAATCCGATGCGCATAGCCTCATCCATCTGGGTTCCCAGAAGAACCGCCACAGCGATAGGGTCATGCAGGGGTGGACCCTGGGTCAGGTCGTAGACGTCGGCGTATCTCTCTGCAAAGAACATGAGAAGTTCGTTGAACATGGTGCGAAGACGTGTGGGGCCGTGGGCGCCATGCAGCAGAGTATTCTGGACATCTGGATTTGCATAGGCTTGATGCGTCACGTCAAGGGTGATGAGTGTGGTTTTGGGCTGGAGCAAGGGGTTCTGCAGTACGGCTCGCGCCGACTCCGGATCAGCCCAGATATTAAACTCGGCCCAGGGGGTGCGATTCCCGATCCGCTTTTGAGTGGCACCGGTTCTCGAGTCAAGCTCTGGCGGGCGACCCATGATGACATCCGTGAAGTCGCCCCCGATTGCGCCGCCCATGATGGACAAACCGGCAATGTGATGCGCCAGGTCCGGGTCGAGAGCGAACAATAACGCGATATTGGTCAACGGTCCGGTGGCAACCAACCATGCTGTGTCTTTCGGCTGGGCACGCAGAGCATCTCGCATTTCCAGGATCGCATTGCAGTGCGTCAGGGCTGAACGAGAGGGCTCAGGCAGGAGACTGGTGCCCGCGAGTCCACTGGCGCCGTGGGTGGCGGATGCGGTGTGGGCGAGGCGGCAGAATGGTCGGGCTGAGCCGGGAATGACAGGCAGCTTCGGTTTGCCTATTGCTTCGAGCACGCTGAGAGCGTTGACTGTGATGTTTGCCAGAGACGCGTTACCGTGCACCGTGCTGATTCCAATAAGGTCAAGCGATGGATGGTACGCGGCAAGGAGGATGGCGCATGCATCCTGTCACCAACAGAAACACTTTTAGTCAGGTCGATTGAGAGAAGAATGGGCTGAACCTGTCAAGGGGACTCACATCATGACCTATAATGGGCGTGAGTAGATAGTACCTTGGAAGCGAGGGGGAAGCGATTGTATTTGGATCGGATCAGATCAGATCAGATCGGGATTAGAATTGGTGGGACGGAAATTGCATGGTCGTGCATACCTGGGTCGCAGTCAAGCCACAGAGGGATCTGAGGAGGTATCTGCTGATATTCCCCCATGTTTGCGCAACGCTGTAGATGTAGAGATAGGCAAGAACGTTGGCGACAATCCTCTTTGAGGCTTCAATCGCGCTCGTGTACAACAGGGGGCTGGGGCCCGGGGAGTCGGCGAGTCGGCAAATCGGCAAGTCGGCAAGTCGGCGAGTCAGTTAAAGGAAAAGCTTAGTCACCTCGTCACTTAAACAATGCTGGAGCTCGTAAAGGAAAGTCTAGCGAAAGGATATTCTGACAGCAGAATCACAGGATGGTCGCTGCTGGTGACACTTCCATCGTCGCACGCAGCCTTGAGACATTTCCTCCCAGGCCAATCATACGTTGACACACCTCTCTGACTACCATTATTGCAGACCGGCGCATCGACTTGAATGGTGTGAGAGAGTGTCTTCTCCTTTTTCCTGCGGCTAGCCCCTGCATTGCATTGCCAGCGTGGCCGTGTCGGGCACGAACCCCTCGGCCAACGCAGGCATAGCGACAGACAAACAGCCACTACAAAGAGCAGGCGCAATGCTCCTTTGCACCATGGTCTTGAGATGACCACTTCCTCTGCCTCCCCGTCACGACCATCTTTCCCTACGGTAGCGACCAAGGCTTTGTCAACTGCCCAGTCCTCGCAGTTGAATGTCGCGGCGGAAACCAAGGTCGCACCATCCGCAGCACGCCCACCCTCGCAATCGAACGTTTCGACTGATAACAAGGTCACCGCCGCCTCGGGGCCTCGAGCCCCGTCGCAGGTGAACGGCGAACCTGACAACAAGGCCACCTCCAAGTCCCGTCCGTCATCGCGTGCTCCCACAAACACCAGATCCCGACAAGATGTTGCGGCTCCGGATCCGACCTCCCAGAGAGCAACCCTCGCCTTGATCAGAAAAACATTGGTTGCCGATGGGAGTCATGGAGCGGATTTGAAAGGGACGCCAGCATCGATTGAAGGAGTCCTACCTCCGCTTACCAGTTCAAACGAGGTAGACGTGCAGCTGTATGCCATTGTCGCCATCGTGATTAAAGACTTCGTCAATTCCTGGTATACGAAAATTACTCCGGACCACACGTTCGTGGATGAAGTCATCCAGATTATTGCCCATTGTACACGAGCCCTTGAGCAGAGACTGCGCCAGATTGACATAACGGAATTGATGTTGGACGAATTACCCGTCTTGGTGGAAAGACATATTGTCGGTGAGCCTTCCGGCGTGAACAGAGTGTCAGAATGTTGTTCCTGTGTTGACATATTCCCTTCGCAGCAACCCGCACGGCTGCAACAGCGCAGGCTTCGTTGCAGTACGGAGAGAACCCGCTTCGAATTTACCATGCCCTGAACCCGCATCCAGCTCTCGATCCTACCCTGCCTCCTGAACAACAGCGGAGCTACGAGTCAGCCTATCGACAATTACTCATTCAAGGGGCGCTTGCCGTACTCCTCCCAACGGAAGACCTGGCGAATGCTTGTCTCAGAACACTGGTCGGCGACATCATCGCTGACCTGATCCTTGGTCAGGCAGTGGCAGACAAAATATCCCAGCCCTGGTTAATCCACGGAATCGTCTCAAAGGTGGTAGGTATGGTGGCATGGCGGCCAACAGCTACATCTTCCCTCAATGCCGGCCAGACCCATCATCCAGATCGACGCATAAGCCGACTTGAACAATTTGGCCTATTATCTTCAAATACGGCAGAGCAGGAGCATAATTCGCCAGCACGTCGCCAATCATCGCTTAGTGCTTGGTTTTGGAAGCTGCTTCAGTCCGTCTTCATCGCGTATGAATTCCTACGATTCCTTCTCATCGGTATGGCTCACGCCCACCATCTCCGCCCTAGGCTCCGCCTGCACAAGAGTCATCAAGTGAGCGCATCCACTCCATCACCATACTCAAACAAATCCCTCACCGCGTCCTCACGGCGAGTGGTCGATGCCGACCGACCTGCCCCCCGTGCGGTTCTCAGCTACAGGATCTTCGGTTGCGTCTCGACCATTCTCGATTTGTCGCTGCGCATGCCTTGGCTGGAAAGCTCAATGAGCTTTTGTCAGTACTTCCTCATCGCGGGTTCTGGTCGCCTCGGTGCCCTAAACTCAACGCTGGACAAGTAAGTCATATCATTTTCTAACCCTGTGTATTGCTATCTTTCTCAAATGCATTTTTCCTTTGTTATCTTTTCAATGGAGCCCGATCAAAGGCGACAACAGACGGTCATTTCGGTCCATTGAAGTCGCATCAGGTTGAGATCATATGATATCGCTTGGAGAATCCTTAGCCAATGGACTGGGGTATCAACCATGTCTCAGCGTCTGCTAGGCGGACAGCTCCTGATTCCTTCATGCAGCCTGGACATCAGGAGGGTGTGGGCTTCTAAAACAGCAATATTACCAAGTTCATCAAAAATACCGCCGTTACCAGTCATGACGGTACAGTCGATTGTATTGTCACTATGGGAGGTACACCATCTTATTGGACGGACTTCTGGTTCAGCGCCTTGCCGAAGTCATCTGGACTGGTACCCCCTGGCGCTGGAGATTGATGGTGGTCATCCCCCTCGGGCGTTCTCTTCGCTGGTGGAGCTCGCCGGGATTCATGCCATCGCTACTTGCACATCGAATCGATGTCGGATGTTCCACTTGACCGTCGACTACAACTAAAACACCTGGAAAGGCTATCAAAAACGAAAAAGGCAGCAAGTACAACGAATCAACTGTCGGGATCTCCTTGACATTTCTCCCTCGCTGAACCGTGCCAGCTTCCACCAAAAGCCGCCTACATGATCGACATGGTTCAGCCCCGCCTCCGTTTCCCTGACCTCCGTCGAATCTTCTTGTTTGTACTCAATTCACCAAAAGAGAACGCTGTAAGTTCGCCAACCATCGTTACACAAGGACTTCCGGCCGTCAGTGGTATTTCCTGGCACATCAACCATTGATGGGGTGAGACATTCTCAGCGAAGCCAAAAAAACCAGCTTTGCAACAGAGACATTCGCTTTACCCAGGCCAATGGGCTACCTTGGGTGGGAGATTTTTCTGAAAACATTTCAGTTCTGCCTCCCTATTGGCCGCTCCATCGATTTACACTTTCATCGGATGGTCTGATGATCGCGGTCTCCCGCATCCCTTCAACCATCAATCTGGCGGGTGTCTTCGGCGCGTGCCGACAGGAAAGCGAAGTCTCCCGACTTCCCGATAAACGTCCTCCGAAACAATGTCTTCTACGTCACCAAGGTGTTACACGCCGACTGGCTGTCCCGCCCACACACCCTTGCACGAAGCCGTTATCTATCAATCTGTCGTGTCAAACCTGCCATCATGGGGATTTTGTGTCACGTGGAGTGAGGCACGACAGGAAACTACCTAGTAGTTCGGTCTCCAACCCCCAACGGCACTAGACTCTCCCCGTTCGACTTGGGCATCCTCTTGCGCGGCCTTTGTACCCGACTCCTTGTCGCAATCCTGGGGTTGTTTGGGGTGGCGCTTCGACATTCGTCTCTACTCGCTCTTCATGCCCAACAGTGGACACTCGCGACTTTCTCCTCCTGAGGCCTGCATGAATTCTAGGTTCTCACGTTTGACGAACCTTGAACCTGATTCTTCAGTTCCTCGATTTGCGGTTCACTCTGCTGAAGCCCGCATCTTGCATGTGTAACTTGAATTCGATTTTCGAGTCTTCCGCTAGGGCCAGAACTACGTTAGGACACTTGCAGAACACCTTGCGCAGACGACATTGGTTTCAAGGCTCTTGCTGTTGGCTATACAGACATGCTGCATCTTGGGTATGGGTCACGCCTACATCAACAACAATGTAAACACATGCTCGCAGGGAGGCCATCTGAAGGCCGTTAGTCGACTGCAGCATTCATCGCCCAAGCCAGAGAGATCTTCACACGGCCACACCATGTCACGTGAACATGCTCAAGACTCTGAAGGTGTTCGGGTAGCAACAATCGACATTGATGGGCAGTCATTATCCAACTCAGCCAGCAATGAGTCAAGAATGATGGTTGAGAAGAAGTGGTCTCTCAAGTTGTGTCCCTCTGGTGTCCGATACTCCCACAAGCCGTCTCCACGAGGACAACATACGCAATGGGGAACTGTCACTACGTGAAGGAGCCGTCCATTATCCACCTATTGAAGTGGCTCTAACAATGTATCCTGAAGCATTCATCTGCTTCTTTCTACGCACACGACTAACGATGATATTCTTTCATGAACAGCCTGGCTAATGCTTGATTGTGATACAGATTTCTTTACCACATGATATCGACACGGATCTTCTCTCCTTCCCTTCTTCCGCCATTACTCCTACAAGTTCGTGCCCTTGTGTTTCCGGACAATACCATCGGCCCCCCTCCACCTCCACCGCCAAGTCCTGAAGAAGCACGACTTATCAGGTCAAAAGCAGCCTCAGATCTTCTGTCACTCTTCCCTAATGCCCTAGGCAGGAAGTTTTTCGCCGTGGTAAGCAGCAGCAATAAGACCGACAGTGGTGATGGTGGCGGCGTTGGTGTCACAGCAGAGGACGAGGAAATGCGTCTCGAAGTCGAGGAGAGGGTTCTAGGCTGGACAGACAATGCCGAGATGAACAAATACCTTGTCTATGCCATTCTGGAGTATGTCGTGGTTCGATTGATTCCGGAGATGGTTGACCAGACACCCAGTGAGCTGTTGGCTGAGAGAGGGGTCTCACTGACTGACGGTGACATCTCTGATATAATCGAGGTACAGCTGAATGGAGCCGAAAAGCGAAGCTCAGCATAGAAAGGCCGGCAGGTCCGTACGAGTTTGATATAATAGATTCTCCTGAGGTCTTCTAATCTTGACGGTTTTTAATCTCTGTGGACTTGCATGCCTTCATCTTCTCTCACTCGTCTTATCATACCTTTCCCGAAAGCAATGTCCACTGCAACCAAAACTGCGACAATAAATCTGCCAACTGAATACAAAATTCCGCTTCCAGCCTTCCAATCTCTCCATTGATCACTACTCGGTCATAACCTTTGTTTGGACAGCTTCCAGCCTCGTCTGACGCAATCTAATCAAGACTGAACATCACGGTAATACTTCCACAAGAGGTCGTCTGGAAGCTTACATGCCAAGAGGACATCAGAGTTCCAAGCGAAACATATTCATATGTTGGGGTGTGCCGGTGTGGGAGCATTGCACAAGTATTGTATCTGGTTTTCTATCCTGGTGTCTGTCTATTATCTATATATTTGTCTGTGTATATGGATGTTAGTTTTCTGTCTCCAGAAAGGCCATCACTTCTGATCCGAGACCATTCTAGCAGCCTGCATTCATCTTTCTTGGTTTTATTTGCTTGGTTTTCCCTTTTTCTCTTTTCCTTCACTTCTCTTCTTTTGCTCATTGAGTTGTTTGGTCGAAGTTGAGGATTGGAATCGCTAGCCTCGCCTTCGACTTCGACTTGGACTTCGATTGCGAGGACTTTTTGGTGGAAGAGGAATGAATATTCATGAATCCATCGGTAAGGAGTAGGGACCGACTCATAGGAAAGAGCGTGGCCATGTGAGGAGTATCTTTCTGTATTTCGACACATGTCATGCGTGGGAGGGAGTTGTAGACCTTGGGATATCAGGAGCAGCTTTCGTGTTTGGAAGTTGTGATGTTTGGGAGAAGGGACTTTGAAGCGAGTCAAGAGGGAAGGACGAGTACCTACTCCTTCTCATTCGTGTCCTCTACTGCATTTGGCCAAAGATGGCTAACAGTAAGAAGGAAATCATGGGTCATCCAGATTCCATACACCTGAGACGACTTCCGTCTTCCGTCTTTGAACTGAAAGATCTCCCTGCCATGAACCTTCCATGGGAGGTGAGGCGGGACGAGACGAGACGAGGCTAGGCCATGCTAGAGGAAGATGTCAATCATATCTCAAATGGAATCAAGGCAGACATCGACCAGGGATTGTTCATCGACAACTCCGTCCTCTTAGGAGCATATGCTATCATCATGTAAACAGGTTCTGCGTGTTGTATTGTAATCTGTAGATGAAACGCGGCTCACATGCTTCCCGTGTCACAGAAGCCTACGGTAGTGCTTGAGCACCGGGTCCTGACTCCTGGCTCCTGACTCCTGAAGGCCAACATTAAACAATCTCCCAACTTCCAAGCCGTAGTTACTAGTCATGATCTCGCCACAGACCGACCGAGGAACAAGAACACCCGGAGCGGCATATCACACCAAGGCCCTGGACCATAAGAGTCAAGACGTCGAGTCCAGGCATGTAGCACGGTGTAGGACCTAGGACCTAGGTCACAGGCCCAAGGGAGTGGCAATTCAGCGTGATAGCTAGCTAGCTAGAGCCTAGAATCGCTACCGAAGTACTAACTGTAGTACTGTAATAGAATCAGACGAGGGAGGCATTTGGAATTGGGCAGTAGGCAGTAGCTGTAGTCGTTGGGCATCGAGATGAGGATCGACAATGGACATTGGGGAAGAAGATCATGAAGATCATCTAGTTCGTCTGGCCCCCTAGTCCTAGTAGGTGAATATCTTTCAAAGTCAGTCAACCCATGGTACTAGTATATGCAATAAATAGTACCTACGTGTCTACGTAGGTATGTAGATCATACTACGATCAGCAATGAGTGATGCAAAACAGACGACAAGGGTGCGAGAGCAGAAGGAAGAGGGAAAGAGTTCCGCGTCGATCGTTCATCCCAGTCGTTCTTTTTTTTTTAGAGCTGCTTCACTATTGTGTAAATACGTACGTACCTAGGAAGGCCTCCTGAGCCCTTGAATCATGATCGTCAGGTACTGTACGTGTCCATGGTGGATGGTGGATGGTGAAAGGATGAACACTCGGAAGTGGTCGATCCATCAAGCAACATGCTCGTCGCCGCCTCACTTTGTTCCGTCCCTTCACATCCACATCCACGTCTCTCTCTCCACAAGTTCGTTTTCCATCAGCTTCATTCCATTGGAAGCGCGTGACACGGATTAAGGTAGGCTGCTGGACGTCACGTAGACTTCGTCGATCTTCTGCTCTGTCCTTTGCAACCTCCTAGTCTCTGACTCTGTCCACTGTATGCTCGGTGACTTGGATTGCCTTGGTCTTTGGCATCATCGTGATCCCTTTGATCCATTGTTGACACGCTCTACTATGAGATGTATCTGCAGATACGATAGCTTATGCTGCACATCACACATCCTGCATGGGACACAAGACATTTCTGACAATGCATAGTTTTTCTCCCTATGAGTTTCTGCATTGCAGGCCGGAAGCAGCCACCAGACCACGAAGTCGCCTGGGAAAAGAGAGGAAGAAAAGAATTTATACAGCGATGACCGCGCGTCAGCCGCGTGTCCTCTCTTCCATCTCCGTGAGCCCACCACTGCCGGGCACTGAAGCCGAAAACGCAGCCTTTAACCCAGAAGAGAAAGGAAACCCTTATGATCCTGGCGTATACTTTCTTTGATAGACAGCGAAAGCCAATGTTGTAAAAAGGAGAAGTAAAGAAAGACAAAGTTGAAATAAATCAGAATCCCCGTTGGCTTGCGCTCCATCTCTTCTCTTTCACACATCCGTATCCTCATACAAGAAAAAGGAGATGTCGCCACGAGGCTGGGGGTATGTCTAAGGAGGCAGTCATCGTCTGCAGCTGCAGACGAGTACTGTGGCCGAAATCGAGAGAAAAAAAATTGTAGAGCTCATGTGCTCCTGTGAGGTTGTCGAGACTGGTGTCATCGTTCATGGTCCCAAAAGTAATAAATGCGACTCCTGGGTCATGCTAGGTCCCTGGGTGTTCCACTGTCGTGTCGGTCCGGATATAGATTTCGTCATTTCCTTCCGTGTCGGCGTTTCCCTTTCTCCAATGCTCCACGCTAATTTGTCCAAAGGATTGTGTATCAGCTTCATGGGAAGTGCAGATCTACCAAAGATATCTGTTGCAAAGAGTTGTTTCGAACTCCGAGAGTCGAGTCTGCCACAAGGATTGCATCCTTGGCTATGTTGAAATCCCAAGGATGGTCCTCTTCTTGGAGATTCGAGGACTATCCATGATATCGATCGCGTGCATACCGCCTGGCAACATAGCGGTGCCTGGACGTAGCAGCTTCATCTTTTGCATCAATTTTCCAATGGCTAGATAGTCGTCCGGCTCGGCGACAGTGGGGTTTTGCTCTAGCAAGGCCTTAATTGAATGCAGTGCTCGAATGTTATCATCCTCCGCAGGCGATGCAGGGTGGCTGACTGGGGAAGTGTCTGCCGACTTAGGCAATGGAGGTGGTTGCATGGTTGAGAAGTGCGCTTCCTCAGGGCAGTGAATATCAGGAACACTTTTATGCCGTTTCATCATTTGTCGAGGGTCAATGCCGACAGGCCGAGTCTCAATTGTGGTGTTGGTCAAGGACCGAACGGGAAGGGAGGGCCCCTTCCGGCCAGATGAGGGAGGTCGCGAATCAGAGCCTAGATTTGGAGCATGTGGATAAGTCTGGCTTCTCTGGCGGTTCGAAACTTCCGAGTGGTCTTGTGCACCGCTCGTCAATGACACCAATGACATCGCATCCGGATCTTGTCGTACCATTTCAGGTGACGATGGAGAGAGCATGGAGTCCTGGGCGAGTTGAGCAATTTCGTCGGCCATCTGTGCACCCATCTTCGGCGCGCGGTCGAAAGGACTTCTACCCTCGAAGTCGAAGAATCCCCGTGGGGTTTCCATCTTGACACTGTTGTCGTTTCCTGATTCATCGATGGCAGACATTGGGGGCGAGACAAGACCATTTGACGATCTTGGGGACTCGCCTCCGGGCGAGAGCGATGCCGTGTTAGAGTCCATCAGCGCTTCCTCTTCCCCGGGGTTCGAGGCTCCCAGGTGATTCTTGCGCTTGAATTTGTCGAGCCAGGCTACACTGGACAGCACGGCCTGGTCATTTCTGCTGAAGGAGAAAACTTGGGCTTGTTTACGGAGGTCTTCATCGGAGACTGGCAATCCTTTCTTCTGTTGGTTTTTGACCCAGTTGGAAAGGGTCTTCTCAAAGTCGGGCAGCTTTGCCTTCGATTTCTTACCAGGGCTAGTGTTCTCGTCTTTCGGCTGTGGATTCATATACTTGTCACGCTGTCGCAGGATCTTCGACACGGTGCTGCCGGATGTTAGCGCGTACAGACAATGCCCAGATGCCCTTCCCACGCACCTTCTCTCCACGTTGAACTTGGCTATCGAATGTCAGACAAGACCGAATGGTCGGATCATATACATACCTCCTATCTGGGTTTGCTTCATGGTTGGGTTCTGCTCGGCCTCGATGCACATCTGACGACGTTCGTCGTCGGTCAACTTGCGACGTGAAGTCGTCGTCTTGGCACTTGTCGGCGTCATATCGGATCCAGTGCTTGCCGACAAGGGGGTTTGAAGGACTCCAGACGGCAAAATCGGGGTATGATAGGTCTGGGGTTGGCTTGCCAACATACTCGGCCATAACCCGCTGTGAGGCATGATCAATGGCGGTGGCATCTGCGCATGAGAAGCAGCAAAGGGCGATAGTCTGGGCATGTTGTACGACGGTTCCATTGGCATTGGCGTGGTTGGATGGTATTCAAAAGGAGGGAATTCGTGAATCGGCGACATGGTTGTCTGGGGACTGCTGGAGTAAGCATTTGGCATGCTCATCCAGCCACTCTGGCCGTATTCAGAGTGTTGCGAGTCCTGGTGCTCCGGAGGCATATTCATCAAGGCCTGCATGGGTCCTCAGACCTTGTAGTCGTACTGTAAGAATTCCGTCGCAGGTCCGAGTTGGCAATGCATACCACCTGACTAGCAAAGTTGCGGCTACAACAATGCAAGTATCCGCCAACCCTGAAGTTTGATCTCCACAGCCCCCGAAGCTCAAGAACATGAACAAATGTCAAGATCTCGATACAAGCAGATTGTAAAACCTGGCGAACGCGGGGTGTAGCTGTCTGTATACAAGGTCGGAGGGAGCAATGGGCATATGAGGAAAGAGGTGGTCTCGAGAACGGGCGTGTGGAGGTCAGAGACTGAGAATGCGGGATGCAGAATCGATGCAGAATCGATACAGAAGAGACTCCAGCAGACTTGTGGGCGAGCCGAGCTGTGACTTGGGCGAATGGAAGACTGAATTGCGAGCCGGGGCTTTCTTTCGACCAGGGGGCCGGACCAGACTCGAGGGGGTCTGGACAAGGGCGTAGGCGGCCTGCTGGAGGGGTCTGTTGGATGCTGCAGGTGCTTGATAGAGAGCTGCTTATAGCGTGGTTTGTGAGGACAAGCAGTGATGTTGCTTTTGCCCCCTCTTCGCTCTGTGCATCGGGTAATGCGAGCAATGCAAGATGGTACCACTGTCTATCCTCTCGCGACTGAACAATGCTTGGGAGGAGTGATGCCGTTCGCAAGACTGGCGGGTGCGTGGAGGGTTGGGTGCTAAAACAAAAGGGCGGCACTCGGGCCTATAAAGCGGAAGCTTAGGGAAGGCTAGCTGCCGGCCGGTGGGAGGAACGGGCCTAAAGGCTCGTGGATTAGCACTGTGGATGGAGACCGTTAGGTACGAACAGGCGTCGGACGTGCAGGGTTGCCCAGCGTCTAGTCCTCCTTTGTCGCCTAGGCCCGCGCTGCTGCTCTGTCCTGGACAAGCCTGCCACGACCTGCCCCGGGACCCTGAAGGTCTCGTCGGCAGAAATTGGCGGTTTGGTCGAAATCGCCAGCGAAAAGTGACCAGGGACTTAGATGTAGGACCTCCTGAGATTTGCAACCAGGCGCTCTGGGTCGAGAACTGGCTGCCGAAACTGCAGGCCTTCTCGAACTGATTAACCAAGAGACGAGTAACTCGGGAAAAGCAGAGCGACGGAATGAGGCAAAGGTCGTTTTTCAAATATCGAGTCGGCGTCCTGACACCCATAACCCTGTCAGGTTTGTCTTTTCTCCTGCATTTACAATCAGCATAGCAGTTGGGCTTGAGCACGCCCCACGCCACCTCCAGGTTCTCAGCAGCTGAGCGGCGTCAGATTACAGTGAAGCCAGTGGAGGTGAGTCGATGTGCCGGCCGTCAAAGTAGACACAAGCCATGGCAGCAAAGGCTATGGGCGTTCCGTTTAGCCTCGTCCCTCCCATGACCGCCCGCTAGCCAGCCGAGCAATGACGCGGGCGATCCCACAGCGACAATGATCATTTGGCCCACAGGATCTTCCACCGCCCGCCGGCATGCGTCGAAGCAACGGCGAGAACCTGTTCACAGGTTGGGTATCCGTAGCCATAGCGGGAGTTGGAGGGTATTATTGGCAGTCCCTCGACGGACCCGTTCCAGCTAGCAGTTCCTGGGTTTTGGTACTGTACAATACAGCAAAGAGGGCTGACGGTACAGCGATACCATCAACAGAGAAACTGTATCATTCCCCAATAGTCGTGGAGACAGGGTGAGGTAGGCGAGAGACGAGACGAATGATGTGAGGTCAGTGTGCCTGTGCAACCACACGTGGGTCGAAAGAGGCGGTTCAAGAGTGGCTGGCCACTACTGAGAGGCTTACGGACGACCTGGAGGACGGGAGACAAGCTCGGAGGACATTTGGAGGAGAAGTGATGTGCTTCGAGTGAGAGTGAGCGCACCGACTAGCGTCGCTGGTACTTTCACTCCCTTGTTTGGCGCAGGCACCGCGCCAGCAAGCCACGGGCAAGGTTCTCCTGGAGACGAGGACAAATCTGTGTCCGAACATGGTAGCTCCGGAGACAATATTGCAGAGGATGGTAGATAGCTAGCCAACGGCTGAGGTGACTTGGCGACTCGTTTCATGGTTCGAGAGGAGGCAGTACCTGGGCGGCAACGCAGGCTTAGAGAGGCCACCTGAGACGCCCGATGCGGCAGGCGGCGAGGAGCAGAGATAGGACGACTTGGACTAGAACAGTCAAGGTATAACCTATTCCTTGATGGCTGCATGGCTCATCACATGCAGACTGACATAATTGAGGTGAATTGATTGATGCCAGTATTGGTGATAGTGGTTGGAAAGAGGAAGAGCAGAGTTCGACTGGTGGTAGACATTGGATGCTGCCACAAGCACATACATCTATGGCCCATTCAAAGTCTATGATCTTCTTCAGCGCATGAATTTCCATTTCCAGAAAGAGCATTTGAGATAACTGGCCTTTTGTTGCCTGAATCTTGTGGTCGATCCTTCACAGCCATCCTCGGACAAGACTTGGTCTTTGTTCTTGATCCCACCGAGCCTTTCTTGTCTCCTCTTCCCATAACTCCTCCTTGAAGTACACATTCGAGTATACCTGACTAACCGCGGAACACAGAACCATACACGCAAAGCGAAGTCCTCCTTTGACAGCTATACCTTCTTCAGCGCTCGAGCTTTGTTTTTTACAGCCGGCAACAATGACTTCGGAGCGGCGTTCGACCGAACGGATGTGTGGCGCTGCTTTGTAACATCGCAGGGGCTCGCCACGCAGACATGAGACTGGAACACGGTCATCGAGGTACAAAATCCCCGGGGAGGGTTCTGGACATTTGACAAGGAATGTCAAGCCTAATCCAGCAGTCAACAGACCGTCCCACCCCTCTTGCACGGGTTGGCAAGTGTTGACAGGGCTGCCGCAGATACGAAGATGGCATTTGGGATCAGAATTTGACAGCCTCCCATTTTCCATGCTGTGGCACAACGGCCCACGCGGTTGACAGCACCTTAATGCGCCTTCTTGTCCTGCACTCCAACTTCTGCATAGTGCAGATGAAAATGGCCTGATGCCCGTGTCCGCTTATCACAGGCACATTCGACCCTCCATAAGCTCGCAGATTTTGTGCGCTTTGCCCTCTTCGTGTATGCACTCCTTGTAGGGTTGCAGGTCCTGCATTTGAAGCTTGGGCTCAACCATAATGCCCGCATCGAAGCTGTGTCTCATCTCTCCTGTCAGGGCAGCCCCAACAATCCACACCCAGGTCACCTTTTTCCCGTCTCCCTTGTTCATGGTGAGTGTCCAGCAGGACTCCTCCATGGCGTTGAGGGTTGGCTCTGACCTGGGTATGGTCATCCAAGAGGGGAGGCGGCCATTGCATCTTTGGTTCTTGAAGGGCAAATCACACGATTGCCTTGTCTCAGCCCGTATCCCCTCCCACACTGCGATCCGTCGAATGGACAGAGATTCCTTCCGTCTCTTCTTGGACGGCTTGGACTCTCGCTAGGCTCAAATGTCCGGCTGCACGCCTTCGTCACATGTTTTTGCGGCTTCCTCGTACGAGTCCAATGCGCATTTACATAGGAGACATGCTATTTCCCCAATGTCGCTTGCGCTCTAACCGGTACATGTAGTACACCCTTGTTTACAGGGACCTTGACTTGGAGAGGCAGAACATGTTGCGCGCCGCGAACGTGACATGTCCTGCAGAATGACATCTTTCAACAGTATTGCATCTTCAGCTTTGGCAAATTTGTGGCTGGACTGTCTTGATGTTAGTCACTAAAGCATGGTCCTTTTTGGAAGGCCACAACCAGTAGACAATGCAATGATTTGAACCCTTGCGTTGGCCCGGAGCGAGGGACAGGTTGTCGACATTCGAAGGCGCGGGGATGGCCGGAAGGTGGGCATCTAGCCTTGTCAAGCGCAGTCTTCCGGTTCCACGACTAACCAACTCAACCCTTGACGAGGCTTGTATCATTGGAGGCATCGAACGATAGTAAGTGCGTATCTCAGGACTGGTGGGGAACAGCTGGAGATTGACACGATTTGACGTTCACTTTTTGATAATGGTGACTGAGGGCAAGTGGGTTAGCATTGGTACACTGTCTCAGGAGCGCGTAAGGTCTCACCGATATCTTCATCGGCCAGCTCGTGCGACAAGCCTACACGCTGAGGCTGATGCTTGACCGAGCGGCCATAAACGATAGCCTGTTTAAACTGGTCCACAATAGTCTTGTGGATTGCGTTGCACTAGCAATAGTCAGCCAAAATCCGGAGATGTAAAATATTGCGGTCAACCTACAAAATCTTCCACGGTCGAAGCGTTCTTTCTCAACACGACCGGCGTGCTGTAGTCTGGTTGCTTGCCCTTGGGCTTGGTATAAATACGCCTCAGCTGTAATTTCTCCCACATCTGCTCGAGGAGTTCGTCAATGTTCCACCCATGCTCCGCACTGATGGGACAAGCATTCGGGATCCGGTATAGCAGGTCCAGTTCCTCAATGGAAATGGAGTCAATCTTGTTCAGCGCGTATATGACCGGAATATAGCTCCTGCTCTTTGCCTCGAGGACGTCGATAAGGTCGTCAATGGTAGCATCGCATCGGATTGCAATGTCGGCCGAGTTTATCCGATATTCACCCATGACAGCCTTGATCTCGTCGTGGTCGATATGCGTGAGTGGAACGGTGCTGGTGATGTTGAGACCTCCCTTGTCCTTCTTCTTGAAGACGATATTCGGAGGCTCCTTGTTGATACGGATCCCAAAGCCCTCGAGCTCAGCCTCGATGACGCGCTTATCCGTCAGGGGTTTGTTCACGTCGAGGACGATGAAGATTAGATGGCAAGTCTTCGCGACCGCAATGACCTGACGTCCACGACCTTTGCCGTCCTTGGCCCCCTGAATAATACCGGGCAAGTCGAGCATCTGGATGGCGGCACCATTGTACATTACCTGACCAGGTACAGTGGTCAGGGTGGTGAACTCGTAGGCTGCGGCTTCGGAATGCTGCCCGGTCAGGCGACTCATCAGTGTCGATTTGCCCACGGAAGGGAACCCAATGAATCCCACCGAGGCGACACCGGTCCTGGCGACATCAAAACCACTGCCGCCGCCACCGCCGGAGGATGTTGGGGTCAGGAGTTCCCTCTTCAATTTTGCCAATTTGGCCTTGAGCTGGCCCAGATGGTAGGACGTGGCTTTGTTTTTCTGAGTCCGAGCCATTTCGGACTCGATCTCCTTGATCTTGTCGACCGTTGTCGACATGATGTCCGATGGGGGAAATTACCGACACGGGAGGAGAGTTCTTGCCGAGGATAGTATCTGACTCCGTTAAGAGAGGATTTTCGTTGCGGTTGGGCAGCGATATCTGGAGGGTTCAATTTCCGTAGTGGGTGACGCTCGCCTCTACGCGCAAAAAGTGCATGGACTGAGTGTCAAATAGCGGATGTCGTGTAACCGTTCTTTGTCGTCTCCGATTACGCAACTGTGAGATAGGTGTAGAGACGAGGTTGGAGGAATTGATTCGAGCTGTGGTCTGCGGGTGCGGCGCAGTTGACTGATGGTACAAATCGCAGTTTGACGTGAAAAAGATGTGTTTGGAATGCAGTGCCCCGCAGAATTTACTTGGTACTTTTACTCGACACTTTTTTAGGTAGGTGTGCCATGAATTAGAGTCACGTATCAGACAGTTAAAATGCCCTGAGGCGCAGTGATTGCCACTCTGAAGATTCGACTACGTTCGGTGTTAGGTACCTGTACAGTACTATATGTTGTAGTAGACCGATGGTTTTGGGCTGCTCTTCGCCCTCGAAGCACTGTGTCTGGTGTTCCACTAGGGAAAAGTGCCTGCCGAAACCGATTCTGCAGGCTGCGAATAGCGTCTGAGTTCACCTCAACGCCACCCCGCGTCATCCTCCAGCGCCTGTATCGACACAAAAGTTTTTTGTGTACAGAGTACCAACCTGGTAGGCACATACCCAGGATCCAGGTACCATCTCGCCACGCTGTGGTGCCCCTCCTCCGTTCATTCCCGCTGCCAGTGTTCCAAGGTCACCTGGTCTCTCGCTTCAGGCGTCTGAAACAACTTCAACGCCTCCGAACATCCGGACTGCACCTATCAATGGCGTCGGCGGCGCCTGGCCCTGCTCGCCAGCCTTACCGTTAGCACATTCCTATGGGTACCTTACAGAATACCTCCGACGGCCCCGCCGAGCACATTTTTGAAAGCCTGAAGCTTTCTTCTTTCTTCGTCATTTCTTTAAAGAAAAGGCCACATTATTGTAATGGGAACTTGCCAGCGTCCATACCGCTTTGACCTCAAGCAGCTATTCGCTTAGCTCCACTGAACCCCGAAGTCCCCGATCATCCTGTCACTGGTTGGGAGCACAGGAGTAAACAGCAGATAAGGTCACCGGATTGAAGAACCCCCGCGGCCTACCAAGAGCGAATGCGTGAGTTGAAATAACAATATTGTTACTTCCGGAGTATCTTTATCATCGGAGACACGTACGCTCTACTGTCACTGCTGTCATCCGCCAACACCAGTGCGTCAAATGGTGGACAAGGCTTGCTGGTGAGACCGCGTCCTTATCTGCAGGGAAGCAAAGCAGTACACCGCCTTCACCGTCTCACCCCTTACCACCTACCGTCCGCTGAGGAATCTACATAGCCCCCTCTTTCACTTTTCAGTCAAACTCGATTTCCTGTCTCTCTCTTGTCCGCAACATTGTCAGATTATCCAGAAACCTGTTCACCAGTCACTGCGTGCTCGCGGCATGTTATCCTACCAACCAACGCCCGTCGAGGCGGCGCCATATATGCTACGACCTGATCTGTATCCGCCACAGCACCAAGACAAGATCAACACAATTGATTCAACAGATGACTTCCACCGCCTGGTGCGAGCCCTCTCTGACGTACTGGGCCCTTCTTCCGGCATTGACTCCGCCGACGTCGACGAGAACGATCTCATCCGTCTCATGGAAGGCTACGTGTCACAAGAAAGCCAGTGGCATCAATACGCCTTCGCGGACACGAGCCGAAACTATACTCGCAATCTCGTCGATGAGGGTAACGGCAAGTCGAATTTATTGGTAGTGGTCTGGAATCCAGGACGGTCTAGTCCAATCCACGACCACGCCAATGCGCATTGTGTGATGAAAATCCTCAAGGGGAGTCTCAAGGAAACATTGTACTCCATGCCGCCAGGCTCCGCAGACAGCCAGATAAAGTCATCTGGCACGTTGACTCCACCACAAATCGTCAAAGAGACAACTTATGCGGAAAATGAAGTCACCTACATCTCCGACCAGATTGGCCTCCACAAAATCTCCAACCCCTCCAGCACCGAGGCGGCCGTTTCTTTGCATCTATACACTCCGCCTCACGCGGCGAACTTTGGCTTCAACCTCTTTGATGAGAAAACCGGGAAGCAAACACATATCAAGCAAGCCGGCTTCTTCTCCGACCGCGGCAAACTCATTGAAAAATGCAAGTTTGGGTCTTTCTAATTTTTGTCTATGAACATGGCCTCCAGTCCTCGACTGGCATTGATACCCAGGGTGCTCGAATCGTTTGAAGGTGTTTGATGGTTATGGTGTGGAATGGCGTCAAGAATGGCAATGGTGTCCAGGTTTAGAAGGTCTCTGTACCGTGGCTCTGGGAGGTCGACCGCGTTGCTCTATATTGGATAAGGACTGCAACTACGATTACCCCTGCCCACTTTGTCCAGGGGCTACCTGCAAACTGTGTTTGTGTGATGAAGGAAACATATCTCGGTCGGACAGCATGCTCACGGCACCCTGAAGCTGGCTCCAAGGGATCATGCTCGGGCGCACTTTGGAGATTCAAGATATTGAGGAGGCAATGTGTCGGTATATTGGCACTTGGTTTTTGGGCAGTGGGGGTTCTGTTTACAGTGCACTCAGATCACTAATACTAGAATCTCGTCTCTCTCAGCGGACACCAGCAGCAAGAATTGCAACCACCCCATCAACTACCAGTCCCATCCCCACTCTATCACGCGAGTGCGTTTTCGAAACGGAGTTCGTCTTCCACGACGGGTGCATCAATCCAACATCGGCCGAGTGTGCCCGACACTTCCTCTTTGAAGTTGTAGAAAACCCATTTTGGTCGTCGCTGCCTTCTTTCTTTTTCGTAGTCTCTGCGCGGCACTTTTTCCTTCAGACAGATCATAATACCTAGTAGACTGTCGATTGCCATACTCTGTAGAACAGTTTGGCCGGGCGAAACACTTCGATTGGTCCACCTGTCCTGTCATGCTTCGTGCGGCATGCGGCATGTCGGTCTTTGGAGGTGTTGTCCAATGAGATCCAAAAGCGCCCGTCTCTCTGTAGATTACCTACCTAGGTACGCTTTTGCTATCTACCTGACCTGGCGTGTCTGGTCACAACCCATATCTCTCTCGTACGCTGTACCTGCTTACACCAATAAGGGGATCTGGCAACAGAGGGGAGGGGAAAGGGAGATGTCCGTTTGCCATGAGACATATCAGATTCGCCAAGCATGGACCGATATAATCAACGACAAGGACGACGGAGGGCTCACGTCTTTCTTTAGGAGTGAGACTATCTACCTGAGTTAGAGTTCGCCTCAGACTTTGGTTCTTCTTCAACGATAGGTTGGCTAGGAGTGTAAACGAAGAAGCATCAACTCAGAACCGCATTTCTTTTACCCTTTCTTCTATCTTCGTCCCTCCGCCTTCGTCTGCAGTATTTGCCTCGCCTCCTAGCATCTTGAGCTGCCCTACTTCGACTTTCCATAGTATCCCCTGACGCATTCCACGCATTTCGTGGCGATCGTACAAAGATGCCACAGCTTTCCAGCGATGTAGTCGCATCAATCACAAAGTCCGTCTCCGATGGCTTCGACGCTCAAATCGCATACACACAGTCCCTGATCAGGTTCGGCGGCCAACGAGGCGAGGAGAGTGAAGTGCAGGAATTCGTGTTCAAACAGTTCGCCGACCGGGGCTATGAGCCGGTGAAATTCGAAATGGACGAAGCCGCCCTGGCGAGCCACGTCGGCGCGGGCAAGTTCAGTGCCACACACTCCAAGGCGCCTATTGTCGTGGGCGTGCATAAGCCGCGCGAAACGCGAGGCAAGAGCCTGATCCTCAACGCCCATATCGACGTTGTGCCCATTGGGCCTGTGGACTTGTGGACGCATGACCCGTACAGCGGGCATGTTGAAGGTGACAAACTTTATGGTCGAGGAGGCGCCGACATGCGAGCTGGCGGCGCAGCAAATCTGTGCGCGCTCGATGCCTTGCGGCGGCTTGGATATCAGCCCGCGGCAGAGGTCATCTTGGAGTCGGTGGTCGAGGAGGAGTCCACGGGCAATGGGACCTTAATGACACATTTGAAAGGGTACAAGGCGGATGCGGTGCTGATTCCCGAGCCCGAGGAGGAGATGCTGGTGCGGGCCAATGTCGGCGTCTTGTGGTTCCAAATCGAGGTGCGCGGAACTCCCGTGCATGTGAGGGAGATGGGCGCGGGTATGAACGCGATTGATGCGTGCCAGAGAGTGGTTGGAGCGCTGAGAGAGCTAGAAGCAGAGTGGAATGAGCGGAAGGTCGGGATGGAACACTTTGAAAATGAGGAGCATCCTTTGAGTAAGTTCTTGACCTTGTTTGTCAAGTGGACAGCCAGTGCGGGAAAAGGGGGGAAGCTTTGATGGATTGAAAAACCCAGGTCGAACTGTGCTAACGGACCGTTCTGGGCAGATTTGAATGTTGCAATGATCAACGGAGGTGACTGGCCATCGTCGGTACCAGCATGGTGTCGGGTTGATTGTCGAATCTCGATATATCCCGGTGTCACTGCAAAGTCTGCCGCAGATGAGATCGAGCAGAAGGTGGCAGATTTCTCTCGGACCGATTCATTCTTGAGCAAAACTCCCCCAAAGATCATCTGGAACGGTTTCTTCTCCGAAGGATATGTGCTTGAGCCCGGTAGCGAGGCAGAGAATACCCTTCGAAGAGCGCACCAGCAGGCAACAGGCGAGGACTTGAAGACATTCATGACAGCAGGCTACCTCGACACTCGGGTGCATGTATTGTATGATAAGATTCCGGCATTGTGCTATGGACCTATCAGTGCCAACATCCACGGTTTCGATGAGTGGGTGAGTGTCAAGAGCCTGAAGAGGATCACCACAGCCATCGCATTGTTCATCGCAGAGTGGTGTGGGCTTGAAAAGATAGATGTGGAGTGACGGTGTGGATGCTGAGCCAGTCTACACTGGTGAGGCGTGGTCAGGATATTCAACTGGCATGTCAAGGTCGATCACGATAGGTTTGTGGAACTTCTTGCCGGCCTTGTGTGGCCAATTTGTTGCCATATAGGCAGCATTCACAATGCACGTTTCGACCCTTCCTTCGCGACCTGAGATTGCTTCTTGATCCGATCGACCATGTGAGCCAGGACCCCCGAGGCCATGGGTTGCCGGTAGCTTGTAATCGGTGATTGCGCCTGTAGATGGAATAGGGCGTTCTGCCTTTTCGAAGCTGGGAAACGGTGGTCGGGGAGGCGGAGGAATCGCAGGCAGAATGCCTTCGTAGCCGTTGGCTTCAGGCACTTGACCATCCTCAACAGCGCCGTCGACTTCAACGCCCCGAGATCTCGCGAGCTGTACGTTGGAGACAAGGTTTCCTGCGCTCCCATCATTGCGCAGTGCCGTGGATTGGGCTCTCGCGGATAGATCAACCGTAAATTGCTTCTTGCCTTCGGGACCAGGGTCATTCCAACGCCGGATACCTTTCTCTTTGAACTTGACGTATGGGCAAGAGATATCCCATGTCACGGCCTCGACCCCATATGCTTCATGGACATGTCCACAAACATGTAACCGCGGACGCACTCTCCACAATGTCTCCCGAAGCCTTTCACATCCTGAGGCTCCACGTGTGGCACATTCATCTCGATGGAATTTTGCTGGCGTGTGAGTTACCACGATATCTGAATCCAGAGGGATCTGATGCCAAAGTTCAAGAGCGTGTTCGGGGGAATACCCGAAAGCCCACAGACCACGCGCAGGCGAGTATGGAGAGCCAAAAATCTTGAGAAGGGAGCAAGAGCCATCTTCATGATCAATTCTAACTTGCTTCAATTCATGGTTCAAGTAGACGATGGATGAGTCCGATTGAAGTAAGGCGATGCACTGCTGGGGGTCTTCCATTCTCTTATTGTGGAAGTAAGCACCATACTGTTGATAGAATGGAATGTCGCAAGTGATATCGTGGTTCCCGCAGACAATGACCTTGACTTTGAACGAGGTCTGCCCAAGCCAATTTATGGTCTTCTTGAGTTCCGAGAACGTACCCTGGTTTGTAAGGTCCCCTGCATGGATCAATATGTCGCCAGTGGGCAACTTGGGAGTCTGATTGTGCGTGTCGGAAATACAAACGATCCGGACTCGTCTGGTGGTCATACTGATACCAATAAACGCGTTTGAAGAACGGCCAATTCAAGGGGAGGCCAACGCAATATGTTCCATATATTGAAGTTGAACTTGTCGATGGTTGAGTCGCTTCAGCTTTCTTCTTACCTCTGCGATGCTCCTGCCTGCAGTGGTGTAGTCCGCTGACATAACGACAGTTGATCTCGACACAAGATATCTCATAGGCAGGTGAAAACAACGGAAGCAGTAGACGAAAATGAGTGTTTCGTAAGAGGACCAGGTCTTGTCCAGTCCACACCGAATGTCAGTGTTTGGGACCTTGCATTAGGGGGTTGATTAAGCCAGCATGAATAGCACATCCGACGCACGACGCGCCGCTACCGCCAAAGCTCCGCGCCGTCTGTCGCGATGAGCAGGCGGACTAGTATCCAGGATCGTACGAGGGCTGAATCGAGGCCATTCGAACACGTTCCTGATATAGTGTTCTCTGCAGGGTGAAGACACTCGAGTAGTCGAGTAGGCGAGTAGGCGAGTCCCAGATCATGACCTGAAGTATGTAACGTGAAGTGGATAGAGAGTGCAGAGTAAACCGCAGGCAAAAGATATCGGCTCCTCACCTAGGCTCCTAGGCTTCTGGGGGTTCTTTAGGGGCTCCCGAGGCGTTTGGCTTCCTTGCCCCCGGTCATGCCGCAATCAATCACTCCTTTCCGCGGGCGCACCTTGCCATAGAGACCATAGCCTGTAACGTAGTGCCCGTGGTAGGAGGATTTAGCGCCTAACCGCCCCGGAGACAAGTCGAATCACCGTGCGAGATCTTCTTCTCTTAGCCCTAACTAGGCAGGACAAACGTGACAGAAGAAAGAGGCTAGCGACCAGAAGGCACACAATGTACGGGAGGGTTTGAGATATCACATCTGTGCCTTGTCGTGGCGTGGCATTTGTACCTGCAGGTGGTTGTGGGAGACGTGACTAGGAGGAGAAAAAAGAATGGCAGATCACGGACCTGACTCCATCGGTTTCGAGACACTCTTTCTTGCTCGAAAGTCATAGCTTATACAAATGTTTGAAGCAATACCAGACCACTGCACTGCGGTGTTGGGAGAGTCGGACCTCCTTGGGCTCTGGTCCAGGATTCCCTCACCATCAACAAGCGAGCGGTGCTAGCAAGGGACCCCCGTGAAGCTGGTGGCCCAAAAACAGCGGCCGCCCAACTCTCATCGGCATGGACGGGCACGACACGTCAACTTCTGCTCCTCGAAACCGCGTCCATACCAGCTCTTCTACCGTTGTTGCACCTCCTCATGATCTCCCACATTGCCGCGTCTCCCCCATTGAGTACCACTATGATCGTGTCACGGATGTGGAACTCCCACGAGCTTTACGTCCGCATTCTCACCAGGTCCGCAGAGCGACGACGGTCGACGTCAACAACGACCTGACAGGTCGCCCGCAACTCCGCAAGAAGCCAAAATTAACATCCAGCAGCACCGAGCCAAAGCCACAGTATCATCTCTATTCGCTCGACCCTGGCATGACCACATCAGTCGAGACATCGAAACTCTCTACCGTCCCTTCCCTTCACCTCTCCTACGAAGGCGTCGATCAGAACCACCACCAACCTCCCTCCAGCAGCGGGGTCGGCCAACAGCCTCCCCCTTTACAGCGCATCAACTCGCATTCGCTGCAGCGATCTCCGTCCCAGAAAAGACCGCCCGCGTCGCATAGTAGTTACGGTGTCGAGACGATTTGTGGACCACCTCCCTCATACAGTACACAGCGAACCCTATCGCAGGACAGGATTCGAACCCTGGATCGAAATACAGGGTCGAGAGCCATCAACGCAACGCCTCGAGACTTGTCCCCTGCCAAACCCGATGAATCTTTGACAGAACCTGAACTTTCGCAGCCACCATCACAACTCTCGCCCGTGCGGCAAGACAACGCGGCGCTTTCAAGTACAGATTCTTTGACTGGCGAGGCGAACACACGAGAGGAGTCAAGCCCGGAGACTGCAGACACGCGTAGTCTGCTTACTCCCGACTCGGTGATGAGTAAAACTGAGGGAACAGCGGCTGAGGCTTCGGAAGCCGAGCAGCGTGGAATCCCAGATCTCGAGAGGTTACAACCAACATCTACGGACGAGGATAGTAAAGGATCGAGCAGCGATGAGAAAAAAAGTGAAGACTTGTTTTTGAATATAGCAAAGGCGGACGCGTCCCGGGAAGAGCAAGTATTGTCCAGGGCAGACAAACGACGGTCCAGAATCTCACTGCCCTTCTTTACGAGTACGCGACAGTCGACAGGGTACAAATCCTCCCCGGTCCTCGAGAGATTTGATAACGCCAGTGTATCGGGTCGATCAGAGGCTCTGAATCACTACAAGAGGTCCTCGCTTGGGCAGCATGTACCGGGAGCTCTGTCACGGTCATACGCGCAAGGAAATCCCGTTCGCGACGACGGCTTCGAGGTTCAGCAACAGACATACAGCGCGAATCCTCGCAATGTTCCTAACCGGCCCCTTGCGAGGCGATACTCAAACACAAATACCAACACAAATACTGATTCTGGACGCCACGTTTCTCGTCCGAGTACGGCCCGGATCAGTCGGCTGGTGTCAGACTCCACGTTTGCGGATTGCTCCAAGCCGGTAGACCATAACGCAACGGAGTCAACGATATCCACCACCGCCCCTTCAACCGTATGGGATGAGCTGGATGATCTGAAATCGAGGATTCGGAAACTGGAGCTGACTGGGAAGCTTCCCCCTTCCTCCGCCGCGGCGATGAACAACGCCGAGCGGCCCAAGACGGCAACAACGGCTGCGACCACCATGTCCTCCTCCCCCAAACAAAAGGGGGCTGTGACGCAGTTGCAATCAGCGATTGAAGGGATCCCATCCACGATCCACCCGAACCTCCACGAGGCTCTCGGGAACGCCAAAGCGGTCGTTAGCAATGACGTGTATCAACGATTGCAGGCCACCGCACAGGATGCTCTCCAATTGTCGATGATGATGAATCCCGACGGATATTCCGGTGGCGCAAGCACCGTTGGCTTGTCCTCGGTCTCGGAACGCCAGATCCGTCGAAGAACGGAGAGCATGTGTCGAAGCCTGACCGAGCTGGCGATAGCGATTTTGGCTGATAGCAAGTCAGCGCAGCAACCGACTACAAGACCGGGCAGTCGAGATGCATATCAGGCCACAGTCACGGGCCTTCGCGGACGTGGGTACAGCAATGAACCCACCGAACGCCCTCCTGTCGCTTCGAGGGTCCAATCTCGCCTTGAAAGTCGACGAACCAGTGTACCATCCGCTGCCACGATGAACGCTCCAGCGAGTAGCCCGGAAAGCGTTTTTCACACGCCTCCGACAGCATTGCCCCAGATACCGATCAGCTCATCCCGAGCTGGGCGCACCTCGTCTCTATTACGCAGCAGAAGAACCGGACATCTTGATGCAAACACAGACGACGAGGAAAGCAGTCCTTCTGTGCGGCCTGTGAGTCGCGCTATGACCGAGGTGGGAACCTATCGGCAGATGGCTCGGAATCGAGCAGGATATTCCAGAGAATATACCGCCCAACATCCAATGCCCTCGCCAGCCGAGTCGACCAGTATGCAGATGCGGAGCTCGATGCCCACCAATCTCAGCACCAACCTAGTGTCAAGACGCAAGTACGCGTCTCCTGGAAGCAGTCTCGGAATGCAAGAACAGCCGCCCCTTACACCAAAGGAAGCATGGGGTCGAATATCAATCGTCCCGGGTGTGGCATCGAGTCCAATTGAAGCAACGCCGGATAATCAGGTTGGTCTTCGGGCAATGAACTCCACCAGCAGGAGAAGTCTTGGGTTTGCGAGCAGAATCTCCAGCGTCAGCAGTCGGCTGCGAGCAGCCAAGGCCGAGAGAAGTGGCAGTGTGCGAGACTCCAGCGAGGCTCGAAGCACGCGAGAGATGATTGCACCATCAGGATCGGAATCGAACAATACGATGACGACGACGACATTGTTGTTGGAAAGACAGAATTCTAGTCAGAGTCAGAGCGTTGGAGGGAGTTGATCAGGGGGTGGGTGACATTGAGTAGTATCTGGTCACGACATTCCACCCCAGGACTTGTATCATCCTAGGAACATTGTTGTCATTATGGGTGTATGTTGTATGACTGGCTGGCCGTACCCAGGAAATGGATAGCAACGGCCGAAGACCACAGCGACAGTGTGAAGTGCAGGTTGTGTACCTACCTACCGACCTACCTAATCAAGGTAGGTACTCATGGGTTTTGTTCTTTTTGAGGACCAGAGATCCAGAAGGCCACAGACGATGAGAGAGGTCATGTCAAAGACCTCCAGACTTTTTTTCTGTCACCGATACACTGCAAAGCCGAGGAGTACCTATGTATCAGGCCAGTGCCAGCAGATCCTGTCATGTCATGTCATCGTGCCAATTTTCTTTGCCACCGACTCTTACCACCAAAGGTACTATAAGGCGGAATCCAGATGTTTACCTCCCCTGTTGTCCTCCTTTTTCCGGCCTCACCTCTATGACTAGTACATCCTGGATATATAGGTACAGAGGATTCAAACGGCAAGCCTAGACCAGAAACCGTGCCGCCGTAGGACGATGTGATTGGCAGTATCCATCCACTGGGGACAAACTTGAAGATGACATGTTATTTGACGGCGTGCCGGTGGAAAATCATCGGATTTGACGGAATGCTGCCTGCAAGTATCCTTTAAGGACCCATTCTTTTTGGTTATGGAGGACAGATTTGATGGATTCTGTCTTGAACCATCAGAAACAGTACATAAGGTACTCTATGCTGGCCACGTGTACCTAACAGAGGTACGTACACGAAAATCCTGTTTCACCAGATTCCAGAGGAAGAGGTGATAGGCACGAGGTTTTTTAAGAGAATACAGGTACCTACGGCGGGGACACTGGGCTGAGCAGATCGATCCACTTTTGGCAGAGAGGGAGAGGACGACACGACGACAACATGACATGAAAACTTAAGTTAATACAGCAGATATCCGCTTTCTGATGATACGGTAGGTATACTTGATGTTCTAGAGATCGAGTCTGTTCTCTGGTAGAATGACTCCCGTCAATGGCCATGGGTAAGGTGAGGTATCTTAGGTATAGGTACGTCAACAGCTGTATGGTATTCAGGATCAAATACATGGCGATATCTTGCTGGTACTGTGCCTATCCCTTGGTCTCAGCACGTTCTATAACCCAGTCAGGGGATTTGTTGTCGCCCCGGGCTTCATCAGGGCTCATTCTGAGGTGAGACGAGTAGATTCAGGCGAAACACATACAGACTCGCTCTACAAGTCGCGTCAAAGCTCACAAGAATGGTGATGAATGTCGTTATTCGATCTCAGCAAATACATACCAGGCCCTGTACCTTGGGCTTCTGGCACGTATACGGAATCTGATTCGTCGGTTAGGCACAGGCAGGTAAGGATTCGGTGGTGATGGGTTCTGAAAGACGCCATCGACGAAGAGTCTTGAGCAATATTAACACCATAACATAATAATACTGGAAAGTGAGCACTTAAAAGACGCAACTTTTCTGACTTCTGAGTCATTCCGTTGATTGAGCACGCACTGTTGGGAACCACTTTGCACATTTTGCCATGGTAAATACTATATTACGCGTGTTGAAAAGTGTCATCCGCGCCCGTGCCGGCCCTGACAACTCGTATTGGGGCCGATGTCGCAATCACTCGTGAAGATGGCATGTTGAGACGTGGAAACTCCTCACAGGCTGCCGCCACGATATAAGGAATGTGAGATATCCCGTGAACATATCATCAAATATTTCATGCTTTACTCTTCCATCCTCGTGTAGTCTGATTCTTCAACACCAATTCCTCCATTTCCTTCTCCATCTTTCGAATCACTCTGTTGCACGACAAACTGAGGGAAACAAAACAGACACGAACACCCGAAATACGAAACGACAAAGTGACATCAAAAAGAACGGGGCTTCTCGCCTTTCTCACCTCTTACTTCTCACCTGGCACCACCGTGACTGGCAGTCAGTGTCATTCATTGTAGGGGTGTCTCACTCACTGCCCTGAACACCAGTCAATACCTTGCCAACGCATTCAAGGTCTTTCTGCTACTGGTTCCGGGACGTGCGTTGTGTGTGTGTACACTTGATCCCGACCAGGATCCGATCAGATCAGACTACGCATCACTGCATCCTCTCATTCTCCAGTATTATTCTCCCGGGACGCTCACGGAACAATCAATCAAATCCTACTGCCTACAGTCTCCGACAAGACCAGACCAAGGCTGATAAAGGACCCAACCATCAGTCCACGGGTCTCCTCCTTTCTGTGACAGCCCAACGGCCCGCACGGGGCCTGCTTTGACTGCCTGGACCAACTGACCAACTGGAGTGTATATCTGGTCTCATAGAGGACATCAGCTTTGATATTCTTTAACAACACTGCACAAACTTCATTATTCTCTTCTCTCGTTATACTGGTGACAGTTGTTCAACCCTTTTCTCGACTGGACCGGACACATCATTTTGCAGCCCTCACCTCCCGCCTTTCTATCGTCTCGTCTCGTCTCATCCCCTGCCATGGCTTGGTCCAACAGACACCAACACCGCTTTGAGTCGATCCCCCACAGAACTGCGGACGGCAGCCCCCGATCCTCCATGTCCATGGAATCCGACCCTTTCATCTCCGCCCGATCATCCGCCCGCAAGTCCTCGACCACGTCCACATCCTCCAGACCCTCCATCTCGCCCATCTCACCAGGCCTTGCACCCAAGGTCCAGCTGGTGCCGTACGCACGCTCGGCCAGCTTCGATGTTTCCTTCTCCGACGCCGAGCGGGAGTTGCTGGACAAAGCCAACTTCGACGCCTTGGACATGTCGTCGCAGGACTTTGACTTCGAAGATATCTTCACCTTCGACAGGCCCCAGAAGAAGTTGACAAAGGTCGTCGAAGTCTCCAGACCGACCAAGGACCATCGGGACTGGTCGAATTTCTCCTTTTCTCATTATTCCGCTGCCATCAATGCAAGGAATAAGGTCAACAAAACGAGGCCAGGCATTGGCGAGCTATACATGAGGAATCAATCCGCTGCACGCAAGTCTTGAACGACAGAGTCAGAAGCCTTGAAGGATGATCTGGTCAACTGGCGTTCCACTGTTGCACGATTCTGCTTTTCTTCCAACCAAAAAAGACGTGGCAGCTCCGCCTGGGAGCTTTGCCAACGCTCTTCTTCATTATTCTCCATTCGATATCACCACATTATTTTCATGGTATCATGGGCAGGCGTTGCATGGGAGATGCAAATAACTCCACATCACAAAAAGTTGAGGCATATTCGGGTCTGGCACAGGGACATGGACAGGGCTGCCGAGCAGGCATGAATTCAGGGATAATTGTCATCGGGACACAGGAAAAGGACTGGTATTCTGACACAGAAGACACTTTTCTTCGCAAGGACGGGAAAAGGACCGAAAAAGATTAAACAAGCATGTAGATGAATTGCAAACAATTGAAACTCACTTTACTTCCCTCCGTTAACCTTTCTTGCGAATATTTCTTTGGTACCGCAAAGTTGAAATTCCTTTCGCTTCCATTTTTCTTCATCAACGTTCTCTCTCAAAACATGAAATCGACACCACTTCCTCCTGTCGTCTTCGAGAATGTCGCCTGCGGCGACATCTTTGAGGCAATGCTCGTTGAGGCTGCAAACCTGTTTTCAAATTCGTACGGTGTCTGGGGACCTGATGCAGAGAAAAATATTGGGCCATTCGCAAAGCAAGGTGAGCATCTACCACTTCTCGTCCCCCTGTCAGTGACATATCATTGACCTCACCAGGTCGCCGTGTCCGGATGAGTCCCGACCGCCTGCGCCAGCAGTCTTTGCCCGCAAATGCAAACAACTTCCACACTCGAGCCACATGCGGAGGCGAACTGGCTGGCTACGTCTTTGCAACTCGCTGGAACTATGAAGGCCGGGAAATATGCTGGATTACACAGCTCTGCATCGACCCAAAATACCGACGCCACCGGAGTAAGTTGCTTCCAAACATACTGTTGAGAAAGAGGCTAAAACTTGCAGCTGCTGCTGAAGCTTCGTGAGGGCAAGAACGACAGAGGCTTTGGCATCCTCAGCTCTCACCCTGCCGCTATCCTCGCTGCACTCAGAGCGTTTGGCAGAGGGATCGAGGAGGTTGATTTGAAGATGGCAAGAGAACACGCCCGCGCAATCATGGACTGTAGCCCTGTTGGCTATGTCAAGGAGGCGGTTCTGCGAGGAGGTTTGTTCATGACTCATGGAGAAGACAACGTCGTCTGCTGTGCCTACACCAACTTCTGGGTTGACCATACAGAGCCTCTAGAAGTGTTGCAGGCCGTCAAGGCACGTGGAATAGACTGGCCATTTGGTGATTTGCCCGAAGGCTGTGAGTTTCTGGTCATGGGCAAAGGTGGACAGGTGAATCCGGAAGGCGAGCGCATTCGCAAACAGCTCCTTTCTTCAGAATTCTAGAGTGGTCAGAATGTGACTTCTAGGGAAGACAGGCTCACCGTAAATTTTTCAAGCCTTTGTACAAAATGCTGAATTTCCCAATTACCCGGATAGGTGCGGACCGTCGAAGCAGGTTTAGGCCGCCGTTTCACCGACATTGAGAATACGGGGTTTTCTGGCCTGCTGTAGGAATCTGAAACGCGGTGCAATATTCAAGGGGGTCTTTCTCAGTGTCTGTGTTTGGGCATGGGAACAAAGTGGACTTGGAGACTGACAGCCGCGACCGTAGCAACATGATGTCGCCTGCTTGCAGCAAAGGTCCAGCTCTGAAGGAGGATCAATCTCGTCAGCTATTGATCTGTGTGGCGGACGGCCGTCTTCGGGTTCAGTAGGTAGGAAGCAGTACGTATTGCCAGGACTGCAGCGGTGTCAATGTAAGCTATTATTTCTGCAGCAGTCAGCACCTTTCTGTCATCTGGGCGGCTTTGAGGCAGAGGAGGGATCTGGCGAGCTGAGCGTACTCTGTAGATGCCGCTTGCAAATGGCCCCAGGAACTTGCAGTTGGCAGAATGAGGGAGGTGGATGCGCGCGGCAAATTTGTTACCTAGCTGGACAGGGCTCGAATGTGAGAGGCTGGTATCTATTCATAGTAGCAGTCGTACGGTTTCAGGTTGGATGCGGGCGTGGCCACCCACCAATTGCAGACTGAAGATGCGCCCGGGGGGAAGTCTCCCTAGGCCTCCTTAGGCCCCTTCGACTGCGCGACCAATGCCGGACCATCAACGATACCCCTGCCACCAGCCCGATTCTTCCATCCACACTGCACTGCACTGCGCTGCATCTAACATTCTCGCCTCCAGTCCCTCCAGAACTCCTTCTGCTCCCTGAGTCCGCGGCGAGATCTTGTCAAGGCGCCAAGTCAAGTCTGCCTTTCGTTCTGCGTTGCGTGTACAGAGACACGTATGTACCTACCTACGGTGATTCGAGGACCCCAAGCCCGGCCTGTCAGCCTCAACTGAGTTCAACAACAATACCCTGACAACACTCCTACGCCAGGACATCCCGCCCAAGGCGAGCTACCCTCTTCATCGACCGAGATCACGGCGATCCACCATTTTCTCCCTCTCCCATTCATCAGCTGGCTTCGCCATTGCGCCATCTGCGCGTCCCGACCGTTTCTCATTTGCCAGCGGTCCACATTCCGCTCCTACTGGGTCGTCTCCTGCTCCTGTCGCAGTCTGTACGCACTCGGCTTGCCGCCAGCTTTCTCGGTCTCGCCGCCGTTGGGCCTTTGGTCTCCCTCGTTGCGCCTGTTTGTTTGTAGAGGTTCAGTTGAGCTGGCTCTCTTTGTCCTGTGCGCGCACAGAGTCACAAGCAGAAGGAAGGCTTGCTGTTGAGATGCAAATCCTCCCTGAACACCGATCCTGACGCGGAGCAATAAAAGAGAGAGGCGATCTTACTTGCTGCGCCGCACTTTGCATACGCGCCAAATCTGAAACTGCGCATAAGCCTTGAGGCAGGCATCATCTCGCACTTGTCGCATGCGCTGGAGCAGTACGGCGCTGGTTTGTTTTGACCCCGGTACGTCGGATTCAGTTCCTCTCTTGTCGTCCTTGTTGTAGGTAATGCTCCAAGACCTGTGGGTGTATTGTGGTTGTTCAGTCGTCGTCCACCCGCAGGCAACATGTTGCGAGACTCTACAGGCAGTGCTGACAATCATCATCGCAAAAGATCCTTCGATTTGGTCAATAATCATCACCACCTTACGACATTACCACAGGCCAGCAGCCACCATGACCAGGCGTGGCCCGGACGCCCTCTAGACTGCCTTGAGCCCCAATTCACCGCCCCGTCTAACAAGAGACGGCCTCTCCCTTCCAAATACTCGACTATGCCGGTCGAGGTCGCCTCTATACTGTCTATGCCCTTCCCTTCATTCATGTCAAGATTTGGGAAAGCAGACACCAGCATCGTGGAGGATATGGCAGGCTTCTCTGCCGAGACGATACACAACGAAGGCCAGATCTTCATCGCGGAAACGGACCGGCGTCCTGATACTACGATTCTATCTTCTCAACCTCTACATCATCGCGACAGCGTCACCTCCATAATGACCGCTTCAACTGAATCGTCACTCACGACCACGAACTCGACCTTTGATTCCCCTTTGATACCTGACGCTTCGCCTTCGTCATCCCCCGAGTCTGCGTCCTCCAATCTGCCCATACTACCTTTCAGAACCGTAATGGGCAAGGACGCGACAACAGAAGCAGCTCCTTGTCAAGCAACGCAGCTCAAGGAAGTTTCCAAAGACGCTGTGGCTAAGCCAGAAGCGGTGGTGGAAACCACGAGGAATGTCAAAAACCTCTCGCTTAATATGGGCGTCGTCGTCCTGCCTCGACCATCAACATCCCATGGCTTCGAATCATCTGAGGCCTTTTCGGCGCCGCCGTCACCACTGAAAGACACGCCGAGGACAGGGAGAAAGAAGCCGACCAACCTCACTATCAGGACCCCTGGCTTTCAACAACAGACATTCTCACGGACGTTGGATGTCCCTCCGACTCCCAGCTCCCGACCATCATTACATCACATACAGTCTTCTCCGTCATTGGGGTTCTTAGCTTCCCCGGGTAAACCTCCACCTCAGGGGCTTTTTCTTCAACTGCCAGCACCTAGCAGCGTGTATTCCGGTTCAAGCGCTGAGTCGAGCAACACAAGTCAGTCTACCAACGGCAATCTCCCGGAAGTGAGAGAGGAGGACGAGTTCCACCCACAAAGATCCCAGGAGACCCAGGAGAAAGGCTACCCCAAAGGACCTGTCCTGATTTATGATACCGGCGTCTATCTATACCTTGAGCCCACTGCAGACGAAGCCAGCGGTTTTGATACGGTTATCAATGTGGCTAAGGAGATCAATTGCCCCTTGGATCTGGATGTATCGAGGGCCGATGTTGCTGAACCGAAGACCGCAATTTCAGAACTGTCGTTCAAATCCGCCTGGGAGTGGCCACGCCCAACTGACCTCGAGACACCGACAACTCCGAGGCAGGGTGCCTTCTCTCAGACAAAACAACCCGAATATCTTCACGTACCATGGGATCATAACTCGGAAATCTTGGAGGATCTGTATACACTATGTCGCTTGATCGATGAAAGAGTACAAGCGGGGAAAAAAGTGCTGATTCACTGTCAGTTGGGTGTGAGTCGATCGGCCTCGCTGGTGATTGCCTACGGCTTGTTCAAAGGGTATCAACCAGACTTCCATTCCATGTACATGACGGTCAAAGAACGGAGTCAATGGGTGGGCCCGAACATGAGCCTCATCTATCAACTAACGGATTTTCGGTCGAAAGTAGTGAAAGGGGTGTATGGAGACCATTCCTACAACCCGTCTCCGAGTTGGTGGAAGATGCCGACGGTAGAATCTCCCAGCATGGACACATCGATCGCAACACGAGAGATGTGGGAAGAAATACCAAAATGCATCAGCACCAGCGGAGAGGCACCGGGATCGAGTACGCCTGCCTTACTGCCAAGGGCAAATGTGTGGGGGCCCATGCGGTTGAACAAGGCTCTCCCACCTGTACCTCTATTTCCCAAGGACGATCCCATCAACGTCGTCACCTCGGACAACGCTGCGCCCGTCCTGGACAACGTGCCAACGAAGTTTCCTCGACCGGGTGCATCCCCAAATTTTACGGCTCCTACCGACTCAAGTAGCCCTCCTCGAAGCCTCTCTCCAAGACCTCTGCCCTTCCGCGAACAGTTCGAAGCGGTCGTGGAAACCGTCCCCTCACCACTGAAGCCTTCCAGAACACCGAGGTTAGGAGTGTGGGCCGTCTCACCCAAAATGGATCTTGCTCTCCACGATGTACCAGGGAGCCCGACGCTACTTTCGCCCAGGGCGGCGGAATTCATGGCCTCCCCATTTGGAATCACATCTGCAGGAGATCTGGCTGTCCCCACCAAAGATCTCCCACTTCCACAACAAGAACTAGCTTCTACGTCACAGGAGAAGACCGATCGGTTGTCCACAGCTGTGGATCCGAGAAGTCCACACCAACAAGGCGAACCTCAGGATATTTTTAGACACATCGACGGATTCCTGTAACACACATCTGCAGTCAACGAAGCATGGGTTTGGAATAATGTCTGAATAGACGGGAATTGTCATATTTGGGAACACAGCATGGCGTTCTGGTGCAGATGGACTGAACCTTGGGAATGGTATGCGTGAAAGCCGTGATTGCAGGGATAATCTTGGATTGTCCATCGACACTGTACAATTATCATGAAGTTATGCACTTGATGAAGCAGTCACAGATTTGCTGCCATGAAAAAGGAGCGCACACGATTATGGGCTGGATGATCATAGGGCTGGCTGTTATGCTGCCACGCTGACCATCATGTTGGGCAACGGGTCTGCCTTCTATGGCCAGATTGATATTCCGCGCTTTATGGAGAAATAAACTTATTGCATGGCCTTTGAGCTGCTCTGACTATATGTTTGTTCTATAATACCTGCTGGATCAACTAGACTGTCAAGTTGGGATTATCTCTGATATCTGGTGATTGTCTGCGATACTATATCACAATATATTCTCCTAAGATTAGATAAAGCGACGAGGCTGCGCTAATGATTTTAGTGGCCTGCGACCTTCGAATGTCAGTTGTATCTGACGTACCACGAACCTGACTGTTAATGCTTCGTCGATTGTCCTGCTCTCACCACCCCAACCCCAATATCAAGTTGACACATGCGAATCTATCTTTACGTGCACCTTTTCTCTTTCTCGTGGAGGACGCCTTCCTCTCTACTGCGCTACCTAAATCATCATCTCCACTGTCGCGTTACCGTGGACCTCCTCTAGCTCGTCGCCTCGGTCCGTATGGACTTGCGGTTCTGTATTGCCTGTGGCTTAGGACGACGCCGACATGGCTATGGAACGCACTCGTATTGCGAAAGTGAGTGTCTATATTAAAGCACTATGGATATCGCTCTCAGTTCTAACATGATACCATAGGTTGACAATGTCACATTGTCGCGCCGGGGTGAACAGGTCAACGGTACTGTTCATCTAACTCCTCATCACATCATCTTCGTTCACACACCTCCTCCTGCTCCCGATGGCACACCTATACGACCGCGCGAGCTATGGATCACGTACCCGATCATTCAAACCTGCACACTCCGGCCCACCCCTACCGCATCCAGACAGCCTAGTTCTATCCGGTTACGTTGTCGTGACTTCACATTCGTCTGCTTCTACTTCAATGATGACCGGAAAGCAAGAGATGTTTACGATAGTATCAAGGCTTGGACCTGCAAATTGAGTGGGATTGAGAAGTTGTATGCCTTCACGTATCAACCTCAAGGACCAGAAAGAGATGTCAGCCCAAATGGATGGTCACTGTATGATCCCATGCGGGAGTGGAGGAGAATGGGCATTGGCCATGACAATAAGAAGTCAAACTGGAGAATATCTGTAATAAACCAGGACTATGCCGTGAGTCCCGTATTCATCCGACTTCCTTTGAGCTTGCATGCTGACCTGTTAGCTTTCGGACACATACCCTGCCCTGTTAGCAGTTCCTGTTTCCATTTCCGACAACACCCTCAACTATGCCAGTCGCTATCGATCCCGTGAGAGATTACCAGTCCTTACCTACCTTCACCCAGTTAACAACTGCTCAATCACACGGTCTTCACAGCCACGAGTCGGCGTTCGTGGCAACCGAAGCATTCAAGACGAGAAGCTCCTGGCAGCAATATTTGACACTACCCGAGCCGAACGTCCTCTATCCGGTTACACTCCACCTCCGGAGCGAGAAGACTCTGGGTCCAGCCGAGAGACCAACTGTACGACCGCTGTAGATGGAGATTTCCAGCCGACAGACGCAGAAGCTCTCGAGGACGCCGTGATTTCTAGCCTACGAGGGGATAGCAAGCTGTCCCAAGAGCTCGACAACAAGCGGCCTATGGTTTATGGAGCCCAGCAGCGCAACATGATTGTCGATGCCCGTCCTACAGTCAATGCTCTAGCAATGCAAGCCATGGGCATGGGTTCCGAGGATATGAGCAACTACAAGTTTGCGACCAAGGTGTACCTTGGTATTGACAACATCCATGTCATGCGCGACAGTCTCCAAAAAGTGATTGATGCTCTGAAAGATTCGGACCTGACACCATTGGGCCCCAATCGAGATCTATTGAGGAAGAGTGACTGGTTGAAGCATATTGCCAATGTCCTAGATGGTGCGGGATTGATCGCTCGCCAGGTGGGACTGCAACATAGTCACGTACTGATTCACTGCAGCGACGGGTGGGACAGAACGAGCCAGCTCTCGGCGCTCAGTCAGATATGTCTTGATCCTTACTACAGAACTCTTGAAGGGTTTATGGTACTGGTCGAGAAAGACTGGTTGAGTTTTGGGCACCAGTTCAAACATCGATCAGGTTTTCTCAGCTCGGAGAAGTGGTTCCAGATCGAAAATGAACGTATCACCCGAGGCAGTGATGATGGTGATGGGAGAGACCCGGGCGGCGGAGCAATGTCAGGGGCGCAAAAGACATTTGAAAACGCTCTGTTGAGTGCCAGGGGTTTCTTTTCCAACAGCAGACACAACGATTCGCGCGAATCAATCAATGTCGATTCGGACGCAGAACCTAGTGCAAGCAACGATACAGAGTCGCAGGCTGGACGGAGAATCGTCCCTGGTACTCCTTCAAGAAAAGACAAGGAGAAACCCGCGACCAAAGTCAAAGAAACCTCGCCCGTATTCCATCAATTCCTGGATGCGACATATCAACTCATGTACCAACATCCTACCCGATTCGAGTTCAACGAACGATTCCTACGGCGTCTCCTCTATCATCTTTATTCCTGTCAGTATGGAACGTTCCTCCTTGACAGTGAGAAAGAGCGTAAGCAGGCGAAACTGTCTGAGAAGACGAGGAGTGTCTGGGATTATTTCCTCGCACGTAAGAATGAATTCCTCAACCCGAAATACGATGGAGTTGTGGATGACAACGTTCGTGGCCGAGAAAGAATAATTCTACCAACAATTGACGAAGTCAGATGGTGGCATGAAGTCTTTGGACGCACAGATGACGAGATGAATGGCAAACCTGCCCCCGCAAAGCCTCACACTAACGGTAACGGAGAAGGCGAAACAGAGTTGTGGACTTCGGTAGGCAGACAATCGGGTCCTTCTTCCATGCCTACATCGGGGGCCAGAACTCCTGTCCTCATTGGTGTTGAGACCAGTGAGGCCGCTGTTGCAGTGACTGCGTCTTCTAAGCAGCAGGTGGCAGCGGACACAGCAGAAGCATCAATCAAGCCAGCAACAGTTGGCAAGTCTGCCTCCGATTTTCCTTCCGGCTGTCTGGACCCCGATGAGGTACCGATGTCGGCGTCTAGAACCGATGAACCCGACACTCCAGTGCCGAACGGGCCACAAAAGAAGGCTTCGGCTGGAAGACCTGTCAGCATTGGGTCTGTGGAGGCTAGCGATGGGCAACAACCACCTGTGGACCCAACTGACACAACAGCAATCGACCCTCCATCACAATCGGAGCAGACGCTCTCACCAGATCAACCAGGCAAGGAGACCGATGCTGCTGAAGAACTGGCAGATGACCTCGACCCCTTGGGGATTGGTGAGGCTAAGGACCACGTACCACAATCCAAGAGAGCGCACAATGTCATCGAGCGGCGACGGGAGCAGATGGAATCGTTGTTGAAATGAACGTTATGGGACGAGACGGAACGGCACGCTTCGGCCACGAATGCAACGACACCATAGACGATGAATGATGAGCGGATCGCGCCCTTTCGAAGACCCGAGGACTGTATGGCTGGCCGTTGATATGGGGTTGCGATACGAGACTGATTGCATCCCGGGAGTTGGTGATGTACGATTTAACAGACAAAGGCACAAGGCTCATGGAATGCAGCCTTGCACCGGCCATCCGGGTACCACTTCAAGGGCTCCTCATTTTTATGTATGAAGCACGATCAAAGGCCAGAAACGATAGCTGCTTATGGACCAGGGAGACGGTTCTTCTTCAGCCCCTGCCACTGCAGGCAGGCTTGAAGAATTTTATGTGAGGTTCTCGGCTTCTCAGGCACCATGCCTGCCTAGTACCTTGGGTAGGTAGCTAGTCAAAGTCCCCAATCCGATAGTCCTGCAGTGTACTGCAATGGAGTGCCACGGCTACGTTTACTAGTAATAGTATTGGTAGTAGTAGCAAGAAGTCCCAAGGACCTTGGCGCAAGGAATTCTGATCAGATGGAGATATGTATGTAGCTATGTACCAGATACCCAGGTACCTAGCCTTCGCTACCGAGGAATTCTCACCCACGACTTAGGCCTTCCTCTCACCGTCACCGACTCGAATGAATGTCTCAGTACGTATCACAATAGTCACAAATGATCAAAGGTGATCAAAAGTTCCTGATCGACGACCCTATCGATCTCATCCCACCTTTTTAGGAGGTTGTGGCTATTCTCGCTGTTTCATCCTCCAGCCTCAGTGGCCATTCACCTCTCAGTTCGATTCTGGTACTGGTTCCGACAACCAAGCACACACATATCACCATGAGAAAGGCGTTCAAAAAAGCCTTCCAAGAGCTCAAGGATGTCGTGGACGGCAAGGAAAATCGACATGATCAGTTCGAGTCTGTTGTGAGTATGTCTGGCAAACGAATTTCTTTTCCATTCTGGTTTCCCTGTTCTTTCCTGTCGAAGATAGGTTCGGAGCTTGCTGTCTAAGTAGGGTCTGAGTTGACAGTCGACCTTTGATTCTTCTCCCCCCTTCAGCCTTGATCTCCCAATCTAAAATGGGACTTGGAGGAAGAACATCGAGGTCATGGCGGTTTCAAAGCATTGATCGCTGGGTACGAAAGACATCGGTGAGGATGTTCACAGCACCTCATTGGAATACATCCGACATTTCAGCCTCGCATGTGCCCAGGGTTCTTCATCGCCTCATTGCCTCAGTGTCTGCTTGCTGTTTATTTCTGTCTTGGGTCAATGAGTCTGATCTATCAATGCACTCGAAATGCCCTTTTCCTTCCCATCCTGTTGTGCCAGATGACAGGCAGGTCTGGAACGATTACATATAGATGCTAACCTAACGTTTCCGGCATCGTCGCAGCAGCAGGACCAGCTCCGCAATCACAACCACAACAATATCCTCAGCCTTTCCCTCCGCAAGGCTCCGGCTCTCTAGGCCCTGATGTGGCCTTGCAGCAATCGACTGCTGTCTGGCCCCGTCCTACGCCTCAAGATATCATTCGCTACAGATACCAACATGGCACGAACTTGGGCGCCATCTTCGTCTTGGAGCAGTGGTTGTTTGGGAGGATGTACGACGAAAATGTCTCGTCGGGCAGCGAGCTTGATGCGGTTGTGGCGTGAGTGTTCTATCTCGCTTTTGTTTGTATGTTTTGATCTGGGTGTTTCTCCTGGCTTTAGGAAGGCTGGTCTTGCCTTGTCTTGCGTATACTCTCCATCTCCTGCCTGATCTGAGCTTAAGGCATCTCTGGCCTTCCACATACCTCTGTACACCTTCGATTCGCTCATGACCAAGGGATATTGAGTGCTGGGTACTTCTTCCGTTTGATGGCCAGTTAATCCTCTCATCCACCTGTCAAAGTCGGTCAATGGTTGTGTCCGCGATTGAAGTCCGCAACCAGTGTGTATCTCTACTCCCCAGGGACTCTGCATTTGCTTGATGAGCATATATCATATTCCATTGAACCCCTGAGTGTATACCACAGCCTCTATCCAGTCATCGAGTTGAACCATGTGTCTTTTCTCGCCTGCTGACACTCTTCCATCAGATCAATCAACAACCGAGGTCTCCTTGAAACCCGCCAGAAGTGGGAATCTCACTGGCACCGCGCCCTAACCGACGCGGACCTACACTGGCTAACGCACACCGCGCACTGCAACCACATCCGCCTCCCCATCGGCTACTTCACGCTCGGCCCAGCCTTTTGCACAAACACTCCATTCGGCCTACCTGTGAACAGTACACCTTCCAGCACGAGCACTACTCCTGCCGAAGTCTACGTCAACGCCTGGACGGCCGTGAAAGAACTTATACGCCGCTGTATAGCGGTCGGAATCGGTGTGCTGATCGACTTCCACGCCGTCCCCGGCGGCGCGAACCACGAAACCCACTCCGGCACCAGCACCGGCCGCGCCTCGCTCTGGGGCAACAGTGACAATCTCGCCCTAGCGACGCGGTGTTTATCGTTCATGGCCACCGAGGTAACGCGCGATCCAGGCCTCGCTGCAGGAGTGATGGGGATCCAAGTCTGCAATGAATCCATCATCGATCCGCCGGGCATGTACGAATGGTACAACGAAGTGATCCAACGCATGTCGGCCATCGATCCCACTTTACCCATCTATCTTAGCGACGGGTGGGATTTGGGCCGCGCAGTACGGTTCACTAGAGCATATAACAACACCGACACCAATACTGCTACTGGTCACAAATGTCCGGTTGTCGTCGATTGTCATAAATACTGGACCTTCGATGAAAAAGATACGTCTCGCTCGGCCGGCGAGATCATCGAGCAGATCAAAACGCAGGAATTGCATGAACTTGAGGACCCCAATTTGACCGGGGATGTGTTTGCGCATCAGGCCGCCGTGGGCGTTTATATTGGCGAATATTCGATGGCTTTGGCACCGCAGACTTGGGATAGGAGTGGTGCTGGCGCTGGAACGGATCCGAACGGGACCGTGAAAGACAATCTGATGCGGCAATTCGGCAACGAGCAATCACGCAAATGGCAGCACAGAGCTACGGGGTCGGCCTTCTGGACGTTCAAGATGGACTGGATGCCCGGCTGGGAATGGGGGTTCAAACACGCCACGGAGAACAAATATATCACGGCCCCAAGGGTTCTGGGATACACGGTCCGAGAAGTCCGAGAGAAACTCATGCTCGCTGATCAGCGAAAGGGTCAATTGCTTGATGACGCCGTTGCGGGACATACGGCGTATTGGGATTCCCTTCAGCAGAAGAACCAGGGCGGCGCGAGTGTCGCTTCGCCGCGGTTCGAACATTGGCGGTATGCGGATGGTTGGAATCAGGGATGGAGTGACGCGCGAGACTTCTTTGCTGCGCGAGTCGACGGGTACGTTCCGTCGTTGCTGGGCGGTGCCGGCATCGGTGGGAGCGCCGATACTAGTGGTATGCCAGTGCGTCCTGAACCAATATCGCTAGATGATGGGCCAGATCTTCCCGTCGGTGCAGACCTCGTTGGCGGCGCCTTGGATCTTTGGATCCTCAGACGTATGCGTGCTGAAGGCATGACTGACCATCAGACGTATCCTTTTGGGTGGGAGTGGGAACATGGCTTTCGCGCGGGAATGAGGTCGTTTGGAGAGGTCGTTGGGTGACATTCGGACAAGGCTCTCTCGCCGCTTGCGAGGTACTGTGTCTTCAGATACATCTATGAACTCCAGGGATCGGACGTCTATTTTTTCACGCATATTGCGTAGAGAAGATTCAAAAAATGATGCCCCGTTCCGTTTATGTAGAGAACGAGCAAGCTTTCTATAGAATACGTCATGTCTAGCGAGCAATGTACCCTGGTGAGCGATGCATGATGGGAAAAGTCCTAGATGCTGGATACCATCCAGTCATGTGTGATGTACATGTAGTACGGACACTGAACGCTTCAGGGAGGCAGCGCGACGGCAACATTGCATTAGGAGCTTGCATCGTCTGCAGGATGCCGGCTTGGAGAGCTCAACTCTTTGCTTGTATCAGAGACAGCAGCAGCAGCAGCAGTAGTAGCAGTAGTAGCAGTAGTAGCAGTAGTAGCAGTAGTAGCAGTAGTAG